CCTCAGTACGACAGACCAGACTTTTGCGAGAAACAGAACAAACAACATAGAGACTATCCCCGTGGGTGTGTGTGTGTGTGTGTCAGACACTCCTGGACGACACGACACGTCCTTACATTATACAGCCAGCCAGCACACCCAACAAACAACAGCTCTTTTTGATTCTTGTTACACTGTAGTACTTCGTCTGTGTGGTGGATGGAATGAATGCCCCGGGGAACAAGAAAGAACGAAAGCAACCTTCCCACACTCAAAAAAGGCCCCTTTTAACCAACACTTCATGATAACTCTGAACCTCCACACACACACACACACACACACACACACACACACACAATTACTCACTCGAAAGGGGACCCATCACACACACGCAACCAAATGTAAGGCTTTCCGGAAACCCCAAACAAACCCCCCCCTCTTTGAAGGAAACTCCTTTCTCGTATGTATATATGTATGTATACGACGCTCAAGCATACTCCCTCGTGACCGCGTCGCACCAGTCAAACAACTTCTTGGCCTCGCCGTCGTCCTTGGTGACGGCCTCGGCCACCAGGTCCGGGCGGACCGACCCCTTCCGGCCCCAGGGGATGATGTAGGCGCCCTGGTCCGCGTCGAGGGTCAGGTCGGGCGACAGGCCCGCGTACAGTTCAGTGTAGGCGCCGAACACGACCGGGTACAGCAGCTTGTCCAGGAACCACAGGGCCCAGCTGGGGTACTGTTTGTTGGCGTGGCGTTGTAGATCCGACGCGAGGTTGCCCGGGTTGTAGCACTGGAAAATCGGGTTAGGATTGGAGGGTGGAATGGATTGCGAAGGAGAATATATCTCTCTCTCTGGATACAAATGAAAAAAAAACGGGGGGAAACACTCACATTGTGCAACACTCCATCCCTGGCCCCGAACCGTTTCCCAAACTCGGTGCCGAAAAAGTAGTTGGCGGCCTTGCTGACCCCGTACGTGTGCGTGTTATTGTTCTTGTCGTCCAGCGTCTCCTTCCCGTCGGCGCCGGTCTTCCAGCTCATGCCGCCCGGGGGGCTCTGCAGCACGACCGCCAGACTGCCGGCCCAACTGACGCGCACGGCGCCCTTGGGCTCGTCCTCGGCCGTGCGCCGCAGGATCGGGAGGAGGAGCTTGGTGAACAGGAACGGGCCCAGGATGTTGGTTTGGTAGGTCAGGTCCAGGCCCTGGGCGCCCTTGGAGCCGTTCGGGGGCACCATCACGCCGGCGTTGTTGTTCAGCCAGTGCAGCTTGTCCTCGCGCGACAGGAAGTCCTCGGCGCTGGCCTTGATGGTGCTCAGGTCCGACAGGTCGAGGTGCAGGTACTCGAGTTTGCCCTGGGACTTGGGGTGTTCTTTTTGGATGGCGTCGATGGCCGCGAGGGCCTTGGATTCCGTGCGCGCCGCCACGTACACTTTGGCGTTGTGTCCGTACAGGATGCTCGCCACTTGGTAGCCCACGCCGGTGTTGCTGCCCGTGATGAGGTAGACTTTGCCCGTTTGGTCAGGGAGGGTTTTCTCCGTGAGAGTTGGAGGAGGCAGTCTGAAGGATTGGGACCAAAATGCGCGTAATTTGTACAACATTTTGGTGTGTAAGAGTTTATGACGACTGTCGGGTGTTTGATTGTCTGGGGGAAGCGATACGACAGTCACTGAATCTGGGGCAGGCGGCTGCTGGAGTTTGTGGCGACGCAATGCTGGCTCCTGAGGGAGATTGTAGGAGGAAAGATCGAATTGTAAAATGTTGCTTATATGCCGTGGTCGAAGGGCACTTCGCACTTATATATAGAAGACTGTGCAGCCATGTGAGACACAACCCTGGTCGGTTGATAGCTCATGTCCTGCAGGTCGCCGGAGATAGTACCCATCAGGAGATCGACCCTGCATTAACGACTCCAGAGGTCTTCGGTCAATACCGCTACGGGTTTCGGGGTGGCTCAATGCCAGAGCTTTGAGTGTGAATGCGCAGGCACGGACCACGTCTGACGCATCAGCGCTGGGTCCATCGTCCCCGAAGAAAGAGAAACGAGAGTATTGAGTACAGTTGAGCAATACGAGAAGGATTCGAGGTAGAGACTGCGGCGAAAGCGGGCACCCAATCCAAGCAGACATGTCAGTATCGTGCATTAGCGTTGAGCTTGATGTCCGGCACCGATGGGGATTTGCCGGGATGCTGTGGGTGCTAGAGACATTTCTGCTGACACCAATGGCACCAATGGCACTATTGGATTTCCCCCTTGGCGGGCCGGCCTCTGGAGCTCGATGCGAGTGGCGGCAGTGGGTGGTGTCTGTCGATTGCTGCAAGCCCCCGGCGTTAAAGCTGGGGCAACGCATGAAGCACGGGCCATTTCGGCTGAAACAGCGGATAGAGCTGTCGTTTTGAAGATTGCTCCTGTTCGTTGCGATCTGCTGTTGCCTACATGGACAAATCTCTGAGAGAAGGACAGCGTCGTCTCGCACTTGCTGCGACTGGATGGGAAAATTTCTCCTCCGGTTCAACGCTGTCGAGGCCGCGGGAAGTCGGTCGTCAGTCCAATGTCAACGTCTCCCCAATGTCCAAAACGAGAATCTCCTCCCCCCATTTCAAGCCCGCATCTTCAGCAGCCATCTTCCAGTGCTTCACCGGGGTGCGGACGTCTTCGTAATACTGCGACAAGCCGCCACGGACGGTGCCCCAATGCATGCCGATTGATCTCTTGCTTTTCACGTCCTGATGGATTCGAATCGAGTCCCACGAGTTGGCATGGACGTTCGACATGAAGTCCCTCGGCTCACACAACCCAATGGGCAAGAGGGACAGGTCGAAGGGCCCCAACAGGTCACCAATCTGCTTGAACGCTGGACACACAGGCTGAGCGTCTTCCTCCTCGCGGGACAGGTTTCTGGAGTGGATGGACCGATAGGCGGTATCCCCCGCAAAGTAGATCTTCTTACCAGAGCCTTGCAGATCTTGGATCGCGTACGAACACCACAGATCGTAGTTTGAGTCCCAGACGCTTCGTCGGGAGAAGTGCTGCGTGGGTGTACATGTGATGTGAGCCTTTCCAACCCCGTCGACCTCAACCTCGACTCGGTCCCACCAATCCAGCTCGGTAATGGATGAGCGATCGATGCCCAGCGCTGTCAGCCAGCGCGGATTGTGCAGTCCCACCAGAAAATGGACGTTTGATCTCCTCCTCGCCCAAACCGTCTTCAGAGTCTCTGCATCGGCGTGGTCATAGTGGTTGTGGCTGATGATGACGAGGTCGATCTCGACAGCATCCAGCAGCTCCTCTAGGCTGCACGGGGTGGGTGTGTATCTCTTGGGCCCAAACCACGTGAAGGGAGAGGTTCTCTCTGAAAAGACCGGGTCACAGAGGATGTTGATGCCTCGCGTCGCGGGTTCCTCCCTGCAGGTCTGCACCAGGAAACTGGCGTGGCCGATCCATGTCACTCTGGGCCCTGGGCGAGGCCTGGAAAAATCGACCTTCTGAACGGGCACCAGCTCGGAGCGGTCACTGGGCACCGGCATAAATGCAGGCCGATCGCTGCCAAATCGGACCTTGACGATATTTCCCAGACTGTGGTGGCTGGGGTTGAACGAGGGCCAGGGGTTTCGGAAGGCTTTGGGCGGGTTGCCGACGTGATGGTCTTTGGGGTCGTCGGGGAGAAGCGAGGGAAGTCTGGTGATCGACACCATCTTGAGGCTGTCGAGGCCTTTGTTTAATAGTGGATGAGCAGAGATGTACGAGGTACGTGATCTGTGACCCGAGCTGGTGGTTGATACAAGTGGTGAAGATGGTCAACTGGGTGAAGAAGTCATGACATTTGTCGGACTCGGATTTATTCGCCTTCCGAGAGACTCTTCGTATGTCCGGCGTCTCTCTCTTTCTCTCTCCGTCCTTCATCCTGATGGCGACAATCCTCTTGGATGCATGGTTCACGCTAAGCAGGTAAGTCAGAAAACCAGCTACTCGTTTGGGCATCTCTCCAGACCCCGCGTCCAACTCCATCGGCCTCACGGCGTATTATATATATCATACAACGACGGGAGGCTCTTCTTCCTTTCCTCTCGAAACGCCTCCTGGAGATCTTTATATGGGCTGCACAAAGGCTTTGTAAGTAAGAGAAACCCTCGGATTCTGCCTCAAAGTCTTTGGTGGCGCTGGACCAGCATGGTGCCTCCACTGGTCGCTCTGGAAGAGCATTTCTTCTCCCAAGCCATCCTCCAGGGCTCGGCGGATTCCTACTCGGAACAGCTCAAGCACATCCCCGGCCTGATCGACAAGCTCGCCGACGTGGGCGACCTGCGTCTGCAATCCATGGACGCCGGCCAGGTGTCGCTGCAGATTGTCTCCCACGCCCCGGCCACCATGTCGCCGTCCCAGTGCCGCTCCGCCAACGACCAGCTCGCCGCGGCGGTCAATGACCACCCGGACCGCTTTGCCGGTTTCGCCGTCCTCCCCGTCGCGGATCCGGCCGAGTGTGCCGCCGAGCTGACCCGCTGCGTCAAGGAGCTCGACTTTGTCGGCGCCCTGATCGAAAACCACACCGCCGACGGCACCTACTTCGACGGGGCGGCCTACGTGTCCATGTTCCAGGCCGCCCAAGACCTCGACGTGCCCATCTACCTGCACCCGACGTGGCCGACCCAGGACATGCTGTCGCTGCTGTACACGGGCGAGAACATCCCCAAGGCGGCATCCATCTCGCTCTCGTCGTCGGCCTTCGGCTGGCACTCGGACGTGGCCGTGCACGTGCTGCGGCTGTTCGCCGCGGGCCTGTTCGACCGACTCCCCAAGCTCAAGATCATCGTAGGCCACATGGGCGAGATGCTGCCCTTCATGCTGGAGCGCATCATGCAGCTCTCGCCGCGCTGGGGTCCGCGCGCCCGCGCCTTCAAGACCGTGTGGGACGAGAACATCTGGATCACCACCAGCGGCGACTGGAGCGTCAACCCCATGGCCTGCATCCTGCGCAATACCCGGATCGACCACGTGCTATACAGCGTCGACTACCCCTTCGCCCGCAACGAGGACGGCCTCACCTTCATGCGGGACCTGGAGAAGAGCGGTCTCGTCTCGCCCGAGCAGTTGGAGATGATCGCCTATGGGAACGCTGAGGCGCTGCTGCGTGTGAAGCATAAGAAGCGCTGGGATTGAGCCCGGAGGGGATGGTGCACTGCATACTGCGATACGTAACTAACTATTCCGTAAGCCATACCGTTCGAGGTAACACCTCGTACTTCGTAGGGACTCTGGGATGTGCTGTAATGCGGGACACGTCCACAGAGCCTCCATATTCTACTGGGACACATGGACATTTGGACACGATATAATAATGCACTGACGGTGATATCCTCCCTAGTTGGTAGAACAAATGGTTATATATAACTGAATAAAGCACACGGCAGGCAGCATGTGCACGGGGCTCGGCTTCCGTGGAAGGGTTCGAAATAATCTCTGTTCACACTTCAGACTGACAGACATCTTAATCTCTAGCCAAATGATCCATTCCCTTCCCGTGCTTCGACCGTGAATGTCCTGTGATGGCTCACTCAGAGATGACATTTTCCCCCATAGAGGAGAGCGACAAAATCCCGCATGTACCTTACCAACACCATCGCTTCATTACTTCAAACAGCGGCAACAGCAGCGGACAAACAAGGTCTCTGGCAGTCACATAAATAGCAGATTTCTTTCATTTTCCCACTCCTCGCACTTATCGTCTCGGAACTTTCCTCATCGGTCTTGTTCCTCCTCCAAACTCGGCCGGATCCAACGTCCGAAAGCCACTCCGGCGACTGGGTTTCCGTGGCGGCGACCGTTCGGGCGAGTGTTCTTCGATGACCTCAACAATGTCCTCCTCGACGCTGGGCCCGTCAAAGTGTTCCTCCACCGTCACCGTCTCTTGCTGCCGCAGGACCCGTTCGGGTCGGTGGGTGCCGACATGGCTCATGCTGCGACTGCTCGGAGTGCTGCGGGAGGGCCTTCTGCGGTGATGGCGGATGACTTCTTCGGCCACGACTTCCTGGCCACCTCCCCAGCCGGACAGCCGGAAGAGTGACAGGATGATATATAGGATAAGGATGAAGCCCCCGACAGAACCCAGCACGATGCCGACCAAGGCGCCGGGGGCCGGGCCCGAGTTCAGGCCCGCATAGGTGGTCGGGATCGCGAGGACAGCGGTCTGTCGTTTCTCGAGAGGAGCTGAAGGTTGGAGGAATATGGGCTGCACAAGTTCCCGCCGGGAGGGTTTTGTGGCAGGGCTTGTCGAGGCATGGAGCGTGCGTCTGGAGAGTTGTAGCACCTCGCGGAGGACGAGTGCGAAGAAGGATGCAATGGACGTTCTGGAGCTGGCTACCGAGGGTTTAGACGAGACGGTCTCGAAGGTCGAGGACACGGAGCGAGAAACCACGGTGCGCAAGTGTTCACTCGAGGCGCTGACACTGCGGATGTAGGACGTCGGCGCCATTGGAGATTTCGAGGGTGAGTGGGCGAGGACTGCCCGCAATGACACCGCCGAATGCGGTCCTTCTCTTCCTTTGTGGCCGTTTCTTTTCGACTATATGATATTTCTCCCCCTTGCTCTTGCCTGTGGGTGTCTGTGCGTGCTGCCCAACCTGCTGCACGGCTGGCGCCTCCGGCAGCTAAGCAGGCTGTGAGGATGGAAATTCAGCTGACTGCGGGCACCAATGGAGACTCGCCGAACAAGTTGGTGTGACGGAGTTTGAAAAAGAATAGCTGGGCGGGAGAAGTTTCGAACGTGAACGAGCGACTGCTGGGAAAACGAAGAGAAGCTCCAAAGCAAGCAAGCAGCAAAAGCCGGGTCAGAAAGGGAGAAGTGCACAGAGAGAGAGAGAGAGAGGTTGGTGGTGGTTACTCCGTACTTGGTGCAGTGCGGTCTTTGGTCTTTTTCTAACGTGATGGATGATTGAGATCCCAGCCACGTCTCTCAACTACTTCCTTGGTTTAGCCTGGCGGGGGCTTCTGTGTACCTTGAACCTTGCACTGCGCCCACTACGTAGTACCCTCGGTGCTTACTGGCCACTGGCGCACTAGGCGCACTAGGCCCCGCTGCCGCCCAGAAGCCGCCTAGTGAGCCCTGAACTGCGACATCATCGTTAAGCTCTGGTGGCTACTTGTAAATTATGTATAATCTGGGTGGTTGGTGTTTGACCATCCATCCCATGCCATTCCAATTATCATCGGCCTTCCCTATCGAATAGTTTACTGTTGGGCAAATCTTTATCCGCACGGGCTCTAACGAGCACCTCGTAATCGTCGCAAAAACTGATGAATGGCTTTCTGGATTTTACTACTGCGCATGGACAAAGATGGTGTCACTCCCTGTTGTCGAACATCGCAACTCCAGCCTCGTGGTCATCTAATCCTGTAAAACGCCTATCGACAAAGTAACCCTTCACCAAAAACTCACTTAAAGGTCATCCGGGTCCCCAAGATCCCACTTGCGCGTCGTCAATTTGCGCTGCTTCTTCACAACAGGAGCAGCGGTGGACTGTGACTCTTCCAGCACCGAGATCCTCGTTACACTCGAGCTCCTCAACGACAGCTTCCGTGGCGAAACATCACATATGTCCAGCCCATCGTCGCTCTTCCTGGGCTTGAGTGTTGCGTCGCTGTCTCTGTCTTTGGTCGATGCTCTCAGCGAAGCCAGAAAAGGGTTGGTCGCAATATTCATGTTGGACGATTCTTGCAAGACCAATCCTTTCACAGGCGACTTGGCCGCGGTCGTGCCTCGCGATTTCTTGGTTGGGCTTTTTGTTTGAAGCTCCTGTTGCAGAGCTCGCAATTTGGCTCTCAGGCTTTCGTTTTCTCTCGCGAGCTCTTCGATCCTGGTATCACCAGGAGCATCCTCGTGGATCGTGATCTTTGCGGTTTTCTCGAGGATTTCGAGCTTGCCATCCACGTACTCCTCCCCTCTCAGTCTCTCCTGCTCCCATGCCCCTCTCCATCTTTCTCTCTCTTCGTCCAATCGTTCCTCCATCTCTGTCCAGCATTCCTCGCGGACTTCTTGCTCCATAACCGCGAGCTTCTCTTCCGCGGCCTGCAGCTTGAGTTCTGCCTCGGTGCGCTTGATTTCTTCTTCTGCGAGTTTGACAGCCAGGAAATCGCATTCCTCGGCTAGTCTCGCAGCCTCATGGGTTGCCTGTTCCAGTTCTCTGGTGATGAAATACGTATTGGCAACATCTTGTGGAGTGCACCGGCCAGTTGGAAGTGCTTTGCCTTGAGCCCCCGCCAAAATCGTGCTGGTCACACTAGGAACCCTAGGCACGGTCACCTCTCGAGCCATGGCTGCGTATCTCAGAATCTGACTCGTGGCATTGAAGTCTCCCAGAGGATCAGCTGTCACAATCATCACACCCTTCTGCGGTGGTTTGTACGGGGCAGCATGGTTGGACGAGGGGAACGAGTTGGAAAATAGGAGCTCGGTAAGCTTGCACTGCCGAAAGGGAACGATAGGCTTGCTCCCTTCCTGTTGGCAGTCGTTGATGACTTGAAGACACTGCCCAAGGTACATCAAGCTCTCGTTGATCTTTCCTGCTTCCGCCAGTGTCGATCCGGTAGTTTTGGCGTTGCGAGCACGTTCGGAGCCGGCCAGATCACAGATAGTCATGGTTCCACCCGTCCAGGGAGAATGACAGGCCATCAAATACCCATCATTGTAGTTTGTCCTCGCTCGCCTCTTCACTTCGATACAAAAGAAGCCATGACTCCTGGAGCTGACGCTGTTGCTTCCCGTTCCTGCGACTCTTCTCTCGGTGAGACCCGTCTCAAGAACCATCATTGCTTCATCGTAGCTTCCACACACAACTTTCCGGAGCCCAGCAACAACTTTCATGTCTGGAGACATTTCGGTATTCTTAAACAGCAGTGGACGCCGGAGTAAGCCCCTTTGGAGTGCCGCTCCTCGCTGGGTGGAAGTGGGGGGTGCATTCGGCGATGTGGGATTCGACAGCAGGTCGAAAATGCGATCGTTGTATACCTCATACATGGAGACGAGGACAACGTACTCGGCTTGTTGTTCGATGTTCACAGTAAAGGCTCCGATGTCAGGAATCTGTGGGAATGTGGACGGTCGAGGCAGAGGAGGCCTTCGGACAGGGTGGCCGATAGATTCCTTTACGACCATAGATTTAGCAGGTGACTTCTTCAAGCTTCTCAAACGACTCAAAAACGGGACTTTGGACGGCGGCCGCCAGGGTTCCTTCTCGGGCGAAGGAACCGTCTCAGACACACTCGGCAGCAAATGCACGGTCGACAGAGAACTACCGGTGAAGTGGTCTGGCACGAATGCTAACGGCGATGGGTTTTCCACAGAGCTGGTATGTGTGTGGGTTCGGGGAGATGCGGGAAAGGAGCCGGGAAGCTCATTCTTGCTAATGCCTACCATCATGGGGGTTTGAGCTCTTGACATGGGCGTCTGCGCTCGTGATAGTCTGGCTCGGTCGCCATCGCTGTAGATTGACTCAAGGAAAGTGGTGGCCGACCAGATCTGGGCCTCTGTGGGGTCAGACGACTGGAGAGAGGACAGGAGACTGGTATCCGTGGGGAGATCTGGGTGGTGCGGTCGACGTATGTGCTCGCCAATTGATCTGAAGAGAAGGTCGAGAGTCATCTGTGTGAGTCCTCGCTGAGACTTGGATCCCAGGATCGTATGGCTCTATCTCACGGTCAGTGGCCCAGCAGAGGTGATCTCCAGGCACGACTTTCTCACCTTCCCACTGCCTGTGACTCCCAGTGTAGCAACAAGACCATCTCTTCCAGTCTGCAGCACGCTCTTGACTGTATCTGCGACACCAGTCTCATCGAATATGTCTAATTGTGTCGCCTCTTCCTGGAACACCTTGGTAAACCCGAATCTTTCGATTGCGCGCTTTCTCGAGTCATTGGGAGGTTGCAGCGTTATGTGGCTTGAGAAGGGATTGCCTGGAGCTGCATCGCTATCGGCCGGCGAACTCGGCGGTTCCACGATGAGCCACGGTTCAGATTTTTGCTTTGTCTGCGGGAGTTGGAATGGCGGGCGAAGGCGTAGATACACCTGGAACAGCGAGGTTTGTGGTGCCATCTTGGCCGAGTTATCCATGATGAAGAGGAAGGGCCGGTGGTGCGGCTGCTGAGGGTTTGCTTTTGCAGGTCAACTTTAGGGTCAGTGAAGGCTCTCATGCAGCGGCGCCGGTACAGCGTGACTTTGACGGTGCTGCTCATGTCTTGGCGTTGTTGTAGGTCGCCCGTTTGGGAAAACCGGGTTGTTGCTACGGCAGCGAGCGTCGTGGGGAACTCCCCGCAGGTCAGAGCAACCACCGCAGGCATCGCTCAATCACTTCCAAGTGAAGGAGAAAATGTACTGCGGGTGGTATCTTTACATGGTGAAATCCAAAAATGGTCATTCGATGGTATGAAAAGAGCAATGGACAGCACTTCACTTTCTCTAGTACGCCGAGTAGTGCTACTCGCCGTACTATTCGAGCTCTCACGCTTCAAGTATCGTGTCATTACACGGTCTCCGAACCTGGGATAATTGTCATGGGCTGGATTCCATATTCTCAGTTCAATCCTTGCTCGTGCTGAATGGACGTCCCAGCAGTCGAGACAAATCCATGCCTTGATTGCAGGTTTCGGAGCGAGCTGGCGCCGAAAGATAGACAAAAGCGGTGACGTCATCTGCCCAGATACAACATGTCCAGTCAGAGCGTTGCTTCGGCCAGGCCAGAAGCCGACATTGACCAATCTGTAAGGAATTGGTCAGCTCTCCCGCGAGCTGATCGCACCCAGATCGTCTTCCTCGCCATGTACCACATGCAAACTCTTGCGTTTTCACATGTGGCGAGCAAATCGGTTGGCGAACAGCCCCGGCTACCGACCAGATCGACCTCTCCGGCTTGTCCTCTTTCCTGATCAGCAGCAAAAGGCCGAACCGCGAGGACATGACTAACCCTCCCTCTGAACCCCTCTTGTCGGCTGAAAATGGCAAAGACGTGGTTACCTAACGTAACGAAGTGGTCGGGACCGTTCAAGGATCAAAACTCTTGCATGAAAGTCTTTTCACAGAATTGTCATATATAAAAGCAGCTGCATTTGCACAGGTAGGACTCTTTGTCTGGAACATCACAGACATCGCTTTAAATACTCCAAGCCGCTCGAAAGTACAAACAGTCTCAGGCAAACCCCGAAAGTGGCTTTCAGAAATACGTTCAAGATGGCCCAAAAAATTATCACTGTCTTCGGAGCCACAGGCAACCAAGGTGGCAGCACAGCCTCCGCCATCTTCAACAACCCTAGCTTGTCTTCCAAGTATAAGGTCCGTGCTATCACTCGCGACACGTCCAAGCCAGCAGCGCAAGCTCTCGCCTCGAAGGGCGCCGAACTAGCCAAAGCCGATATCAACGATATCGAAAGCGTGAAAGCTGCCGTCGCGGGTTCATACGGCGTCTTTGCTGTCACAAACTATTGGGAGACCATGTCCAAAGATACCGAGATCCAGCAAGGCAAGAACATTGTCGATGCATGCAAGGCCGCGGGTGTCAAACACTTGGTGTGGTCGACGTTGCCACATGTGGGCAAACTGACCCAAGGCGAACTTACCAAGGTCGAGCATTTCGAATCCAAAGCTGAAGTGGCAGAGTATGCCGAGCAGACCAAAGGCGACATGCTCGTTTCGTACTACATGCCGGGATACTTCATGTCCAATCTCAGAACCCAAATCAAGCCAGACGAGGAGAGCGGCGTGCTCACGCTTAGCCTCCCGTGGAATCCTCAGAGTACCTGGGTGCCTTTGGTAGATATTCAGAACGACACCGGATTGTTTACGGTAGGCCTCCTCGAAGCTGGACCGGCCGCCAATGGGGCCTACGTTCATGGTGTGGGGGAATGGATGCACCCTCAGGATATTGTCGACACGCTCTCGAAGCTCAAGGGCAAAGATATCAAATTTGTGGAACAGCCTGCCACTGTCGAGTCTATTGCCAAAATCGGGAACAAGGTTGGAGAGGAACTAGCAGAAAATATGATACTGATCCGAGACTGGAGCTACTACGGCAAAGGTACGGAAAAGACCCAGGCTGAAAGCGACAAGTTCTTGGTGCCGGGCTCGAAGAAGACTTCTTGGAAGGAATTTGCGGAGCAGGCGAAGTGGCCTTTCTAGGCATCTGGAACACGAAGCAAGCGTGTTGTCCAGCCTGAATCAGGGTGGAAAACACATTGAATGGACCACATATTCCGAGAGGAAAGGTATCGGGACTTCACAAACCCGAAAAGGGCATTTCCAAAAATTTCATCATAAATGATCATATTTTATTCTTGCTTCTCTTCGACTCGCCAATAATTTCATATATCCGAAAATGCTGGTCGGCCGTCGAAAGCAATGCCCAACGATTCGCTCGCATTCTGTCTCCTAACTGGACAGCATTACCTGTCTCTGTCCGCTCATCCGTGACGGCTTAAGCCCCATCTGATTTCGATGTGAACTGACCAAGACAAGCCCAGTGCTCAATCAACCTCCAGTCCTGCACACGCATGAAATCCATGACGCGAAACTCGACCAGCTGGCTTGAAGCTGACGCAGGTTGGCGGCCGAACAACTCGTCAACCTGCCGTTCACAGAAGACTTTGTTGGTAGCCACGACGAGGTACGGCGTGTCACGCGTGCTCATTCGGCCTGCTTGATGCAGAACGATTGTCTTTGGACTTGGGTTCGGGATCTCAACACAGCTCATTGTGCAGGATTGTCGTTAGGCGTCCTGAAAGTAGGCCTTCTTCCAGGTTGAAGGTGTTGTATAGCAAGAGTTAAAGCAAGTTAGATGAGCGTCATACGCAGTGATTACTCTGTAGGCACATGGGATTAGCGCCCGAGGCATTCGACAAATAATGAGCGCCCTCAGGCATGCATTGGCGCTGCCACCTAGGAACGCAATCAAAAGCCGACGCCCGGAAGACCGGTTGCGGGTGGCCAACGCCCAGTCAAGCGTTAGTGGATGCCCCGGGATACCCCGGTAGGTTCTTTTGGCGCTAAGGACTGTTTAACGGCGCTGGGGCTCATCTCCAGCCTTCCCCTATTTTGATATTTCATCAACACCTCCTCACAACCGAGAACACCACAGAAGGCTGGTCATCTCCAGCACATCCCTTGATTGGCCGTTATGCCTCGAGGATCTAGCCTGTACAGCACTTGTCTGGAGGCGATTGGTGCTATCGGACTCGGAAACAACTCACAGCCATGGCTTTGGCCCTAACACCTCACATCCAATTTGGACTTTACCTGCCACTCCCTGAATCACTGAAAATGGCTTGGGTCTCTCATCTCAACTTGCTGTTCCTTTGCGCATTCAGCAGACAGTATTGTCGACGTGAGCTCTGCCGTTCGCGACAAACCCAAAGATTTCTGCGACAATGGATGAAAAAGGAGAACCCAGTCATGTACCATCACCAATTGCGGCTTACACACCTCCCGCAGGAGACCACGGTGTAACGACACCACTATCTCATCCACCTCCACCTCCACCACCGAGCAATCAGCCTCCTCAGCACCCAATCGTGCCTACATTCTTTGGGGAGATCGCGGGCACAGGTAAACCCAGGCACACAGACTCCCTCCCCCATTGAGGCATTACTGACCGAGTCCTCCCAGATGGTCAAGCCTACATGTCCTTGCGAAAACGCGTGACGGATGCTTACCGTTGGCACACCTACCAGTACTGGTTTGTCGCGGTGACGTCGAACTCGCTCCTTTTCCTCCAGATCCTCGTTGCAGCTTCTCTGACTGTTCTGGGCGCCTTTAACGACAGAAGGGCTCGGACGGCGACCATCTTCCTCGGCGCCACCAACACCGTGATTGCAGGCCTCATGACCTACTTCAAGAGTCGCAACCAGCCGAATCGCGCCCGTCAATTCCGCAACGATCTGGCAAAGATCGTGGACCAGCTGGACGATGCGGAAGCGAACTTCCGGAATCCCAACGTCCACGACGACGTGTATACGGTCATGGAACAGATTAGGCAGGCTTACAGCCGAGCACGAACTGACGCCGAAATCAACTATCCAGACCTTTGGGTCAGAGGCGCGACTCCTGGCGATACGAACTCAGATACCACGACGGGAGGGTCCACGAATCCGCAACCAAGAGCCCCAGCTCCACCTTCAGCAACACATCCACCACCTCGACCGCGTCCAGGAACGACAGGCCACCCTACGTCGGGCTTGGCCCCTACAGGACCAACACCTGAGTCAACAGTAAGAACGGTATGAATCAATGTGTCGACATATTGTGCTGTGCCATTTTGAAGCTAGTGGGACGAACGGTTATGGACTCGACAAGCCTAGCTTTCTCGCCAACGTCGTTTATGACGATCTACGAATCTCCCCGACCGATCCACTCCGCGACCCTCTCAGCCGTTGCATAAACCACCGACTGAGGATGACACGCCATCGGAACCGGAAAAACGCTGGCATCGACAACCCTCAGCCCTCTGACACCCATGACGCGGCAATGGCTGTCAACCACTTTTCCCATCGCACAGCTACCCATCGGATGATCAAAGCTATATCCAAACTCGGCGATTCGGTTGTCTATCTCCTCGTCGGTGGTGTCTTTGGTGATACAGGCGTACCCCTCTGGGGCAACTTCGTGAGAGATGAAGGATCTCCCAGCCTCGGTTTCGAGATGCACCGATGCGGCTTTCCGAAGCGACTCGCGCAGGCCAAACCTGTCCGTGTCCGTGGCGAACCAATTCATGTCAATCGCCGGCGGGTCCTCGACGGTCGCAGACTGCAGGGTGATGGAGCCTCTCGATGTAGTTGTCAGGTAAGCAACGACCGTGCTGATGTAGCTCCCGTCCAGGGGTGCATCCAGTCCCGTGAATCTCTTCCCCATGGCCGCGTAGAGAGTGGCGATTTCCATGTGCGAAGCATCCGGTCTGAGCAACAAATCTCTCTCTTCCTGAGTCTTGGTCAATGCTTCCAGTCTCGCCAGTTCATCCAGAGCTCCAAACTCGATGAAATCCAGCGGCCACCCAGAGAAATACGACGGGTCGACGAACAGGGGCGATCCTATAGACAAGCCCTTTTCAGGATATTTCAATTTCCAATTGATCCCTGCCGCCAAGTGATCGGCGACGTTTCTTCCCACCTCGAGATTCGAGGCTGTGGTGTGGATGCCGTGCTTTGCCAACTCAGCGGGGTCACCTATACCAGAGAGCATCAGGACTTGAGGCGTGTGGTATGTGCCGGCGCAGACAATGACCTCTTTGTTCGCGACGACATGCTCGCCGCCAACCAGGTCCACGCCGTTGGCCACCGGGTGCTCTAGTCCTTCGACTTTGGCAAAAGTGACACGCTGTACGACACTCATGGTGCGAACGTCGACTTTGGACAGATCGAACACCTTGCTCGGCAGTTGTCTGGCGCCGTTGGCCCAGACCTCGACAAATTCGACCAGTCCATTTTGGTCTCCCGCGTTGCCGTCGGGGATGTACCTGACCCCGGCCTCCTCCCACATTTTTTGGACCGACTCTCTGAGTGGGTACTTTCTGGATGGCCACAGGGCTCGGATCGGGGTGAGCTTCAAGGGCCCATCGTACCCGTGCTGGGTTTCGTCCTTCGCCATGCCCTCTGGCACAACCGCGCTCTCCACCCTCCTCATGTAGGGCAGTAGCGCATCATAACCCCAGCTGTCGTCGCCCACTATCTTGGCCCACAGGTCATAGTCGCTCTTGGGGCCCCTTGTCCAGGCTCCTCCGTTGATCGCGGCACTTCCCCCGAGTGCTTTGCCGACGGGCACCGTCGTGTCACGCCCGTTGAGGTTCGGATTTGGCGAGATGGCGAGCTGATACGAATGGGGAGATGTACGAGCCAAATGTATGCCGTGGCTCGTCAGGATGTGGTCGGTGGTCGAGGGGTCTGTACCCGCCTCGAGGACGAGAATCTGTTTGGTGTCAGAGGGGGACAGCAGCTTGGAGAGCCGCGACGCCAGGACGAGGCCGGCAACACCGCCTCCGACGATGACATAGTCGTATGAAGACGACGCCATGTTCGCATTCCTTTTGCCCTCCCGGTGCTTTCTCGACAGCTATGGTCCTGCTGGTGGTGGGAAGCAGTGATGATCGTCGCGGGGAGTAAATAATACCTTATATAGAACCCATCTCGTGACGAGCGAGTCAAAAGTGTAGAGACACCCACCTGTGCGAGGTATCTCGTGTAAAACCAATCGATCGATCCAATGGACAGACAATAGCCGCGGTAGAATCTATTTGGCGTGTCTTCTCGTGTGAATTCGAACTCCGGACAGGGATCAGTCTCAGCTTTGCTTACGCCCTGCTGCCTGCCTGCCTGACTCGTATATGGATTATGTATGCATACGAGTCGACGACAACGGGGAACGGGGGACGGGGTTTCAGGCCTCCCGAGTAGTGAGAACGTAGGAAGCATTCTCCCAGTTATGGATTTCCCCGTTTTCCTCTTTTTCTCTCTAGTGTGTATCTCACGATGGAAGCAGTATCCAATCCAGATTTCTTCCTGTCTGGGCAGTCGGTGCGGGTTGGCTCAGGTCAGGTTGTGTGGATGTGGATGTGCAGACTTAGGTGGGTGCTGACGCGGTGGACATTGTGTGGTACCACCTACCCTACCTACCTACCTACCTACTTACCTACCCATGTGCATATGTGGCATGTGTGCACACGTGGCAGCTAGAGAGCTATACTAAGTACAGAGTAGGTTCGTAGAGTAAGTAAACGAGTTATGTATCAGCCGATCCTGCGCAGACAGCAGAGCAGGCCAAGTCGGTCGGGCCAGACCGTCCGGATGATGGCGGGAGATGTACCTACCGTAGGTACAAGGTATGCACACAGTAAGGATGTCTGTACCCTAGGATATAGACTGGCAGGTGGATGGAGTGATCAAAAAAAAACCCACCATGTGATGCGTCGTACGAGGGAGGTACAGTACACACATTCTCGGTCACTAATATTGTGTTGTCGTTATGTATTGGCATTTGATTCTATTTGGTCGAGGTGTCGTTGGGTTGGGCAGCAAAAGAGGAGTTTAGTTACATAGCTACTGTAGTTGACCAATGTACTGTAAGGACTGTTCATCAACCAAGTTACAGTAGTTGCATGCAGCAGCATCGCCAGCCGCCAGAGGGAGAGATTCGGTTTGGTTCGTATCTGATTACTGTATATTCTCGAAGTCCCTTTTTCACTTTTTCCCTCCCTTGCACCGGGGGCGAACGAGCTGCCACAAACCAATCCTAAAGTCCACGAGGAGAAACATCCCTTGAGATGAGCTCGAGGCCTTGTATTGTACACTGCACCGACAGGTAGATAGGATATGGAATGCGTATGGACTTACCCACGATCTTTTCCCAAAAAAGACCTTGTCGTGGATGATACTTCTGGGGCCCACCGCCCTCCATTCGCACCACTAATTTTTCCAGCCTGGAACTACCCTTGCTGCTTGACCTTCAGGAGGTCCGCGAGGCCCAGCTTTCGGAGAAACGTCTCCCTCACCAGATCCCGGACGCCGTTGACGATGGTCGCCCCCCCGCCATCGTACTCGACGTGCACCCTGAAGGGCCGGTGTCCGTGCTGGGTATCGACCACGCGACGGACGGCTTCCGCCACGGCGCTTGGATCTGCGTCCGGGGAGACGATCTTGTCGTGGCCCTCGGCGCTGACGCGGGCCCAACCCCTCAGCGGGCCGTCGTCCCCCATGTACTCGCGCTCGACGGCGGCGTCGCCGGGGTTCATGGCCGTAGCGAAGTGGTTGGTGCCGCGGGTGAAGACGCCGGGCACGACGATCGAGGTCTCGATGCCGAAGGGCGTCAGCTCCACGGCGGTGGTCTGAGCCAGCGAGTCCTGCGCCGCCTTGGCCGCGAAGTACGGCCCCAGGAACGGCGAGCTGGGCCCGTGCGCGCTGCTCGATGTCACCCACACCAGCAAGCCCGTGCCGGCGCGGCGCATGTGCGGCAGCACCGCGCGGTTGAGGCGGTGGCACGACAAGCAGTTGACCTCGTACATATCCAGGAATTGCTCGGGCGTGTAGGCTCGGTGGGGCCGAAGTTCATGTGTCCTGGTAGGAAGCAGCCGTCAGTACTAGTGTGGGTTGAGTTTAAGTCCGCTTCTCTCCTCCTCTTCCCCCTCAAGGGCTGGACCGATGTAGCACCCTTACCGGCATTGTGTACAACAACGTCGATCTTCCCCTCGTCGGCCATGATCTGGTCGACCGCTCTACTGATCGAGTCGTCCTTGACGACATTGAGTTGTATGCCTCGAAGCTGACAGCTGTTCTCTCTGGCGAATGTCGCGGCATCATTATACACCGTGGTCTTGCTGTCGTCGTTGGATTGCAGAAACCCGGCGTAGACGGTGTGGCCTGACCGTGCGAGCGCTCGTGCCGTCAGGGCTCCAAAGCCCGAGCCTGCCCCAGTCACCAAACTCACAAGAGGTCGTGCAGCCATTTGCGTGTAGTAAGTAGTGGATGAAGGTCTCAAATTTGGGCAAGACAATGAATATCGTCCGGGAGGCCTCAAAAACACCGGACACGATCAAGCAAAACAGTCTTATACGGATGTCTCCAGCTTGGGTGGCCTTTTGCCAGGATGTCCTGCATACCTTTTCCCCTCATCTTTGAACCCACCGGAATGGCCCCGGAGATCGGAATCACCTTTCTCTCACAGGGGTGTATGTATTCATTGCACGGGTGTCGTCGTCGCCCATGCACGCTCGGGTCGAAGATAACGACGCAGAGAACCGGGGTATATCTCGTATAATCTCCAGGGGAGTGCCATGAAGAATGACATCAGTGGCGACATTTCCCGCAGGTGATTGGCCCGGACCGATCCATGCCCGGGGACAACATCAACATCGGACGAATGACGGCTACCGGGCCGGTGTTTGCGGAGAAAGGCATTTCCTAAACAGTGCACATTACCCTTTCCGCTCTGGGCTACGTTCAGCGCTGTATGCGGCCGCTGGCGTTATGGCTACAGCGCTCACTGTCCGGAAAAACAAACAAGCAAAAGAACCATTCCATGGTCGTCGATAAGGAGGATATTCCATTGGTACCGAGCCCGTCCCGACGACCCCTTCCTTGGAGGACATATTCAAAACTCCGCGACTCGTCATGGCATGGGCGGTACAACCCGGAAAAAAACCCTCTATATTAAGGGAGACAAGATCTGGAATAAATAATCCTCACACCATAATCCAGGAACACCATCAACAGACGCTTCATGAAACAGTTCAAAGCAATCATCTCCAAGCACAAATCCGACAAGACCACCGCCTCACAGCAAACCGCTCCAAGCCCCACAACCACCACTCCTACTAATACGACTCCTCCTCCTGCTACTACCACACCACCAGCCACAACCACCACAATGTCTTCCACTCCACTTTCGGGCAAAATTGCCGTCATCACCGGCGGCACCAAGGGCATCGGCGCCAGCACGGCGGCGCTGCTGGTGAAGCTGGGCGCCAAAGTGGTGGTCAACTACGGGCGGGACACCGCGGCGGCGGAGAAGATCGTGGCCCAACTCGGAAGCGACAAGGCGTACGCGGTGCAAGCCGACGCCGGGTCCGTCGCGGGCGTCGAGCAGCTGGTGAAGGCGACGGTGGAGAAATTCGGGCGGATCGACCTCCTGGTGGCCAACGCGGGGATCCTGCCGATGAAGACGGTCGAGTCGTGCACCGAGGACGACTTCGACCGCACGTTCAACCTCAACGTCAAGGGGCCCTTCTTCCTCGTGCAGAAGGCGCTGCCGCACATGGCGCCCGGGAGCAGCATCGTACTCGTGTCCACCACGCTGTGCCACGCCTCGACTGTCAACGGGCCCTACACGCTGTACTGCGCCACCAAGGGCGCCATCGAGCAGCTGACGCGCCTGCTGTCCAAGGACCTGCTGGCACGCAAGGGCATCCGGGTCAACGCCGTCGCCCCCGGTCCCACCGCCACCGACCTCTTCCTCGAGGGCAAGAGCGAGCAGGTCCTCAACATGCTCGCCAGCTTCCATCCCGCCGGCCGCATCGGCCAGCCCGACGAGATCGCCGAGGGCATCGCGTACCTGTGCGGTCCGGGCGCCACCTGGGTCAGCGGCCAGACCATCCGGGTGAATGGCGGCATGGCTTAGACGATTTTTAGTCAAAAGGGGTCGACCACGGTGATGATGGAAGAGAATCTGATGGGCGTTGTTTTTCTGGCTATGTATTTCATTCTCCCATTACGTATCTTCATTCCATGAGTACGATTCATATATACGGTAATACATTTCCATCCATCATGACAGTCAGTTCTCATTCCCCTGGATTTGCCTACGTACGCTGCTCGAGAATTCTGAAGAATATATAACGCTCACTGGCTGGGCAAGAGTACATGCATGTACTGTACTGTGGGCAGACCTCCAATGGCCCACCAGCCAGTCACTCAGCCACTGAGCGACACACCCACAGCCCTGAGTTAAAGAGAAAGAGGGGGTGGCTATCTATCTCACATCAGCCGCCGCAATGATGGGAATGGTTGGACGATATATATTTATATGTATACAACACGACAGCTTTCGCTGGGGCCACGAGTAGTCCGACTGCCTTGATCCCCATAATACACATAGTAGACATGGACTGACCGTGTGTCGGCCGGATCTACGCTGTCTATAGACGATAGGACATGATTCGAGATAGATGGGCTCGTGGATTGGCAGCTCTGTCTGTTTGGTCAAATCTCAAAAGGACTGGATGGAAAAGGAAAAGGAAAAGGAATGAATGATAATATCACACGCTAAATCATCATTGCAAAGAAGAAGAAGGGGAAGGGAAACGCCCTAGATTTTGCCAGCTTCGTCAAAGGACACTATGCATCCGGGTTCCGTGTAGAAAAGTGCATCTTTTCTCATCCAATCATTCCTAGTCGTCAAGGTGCTGTCATTGGCAGCTGATAGAGGGATTGACCCTCATCTTCACCCTCGCTTTCCCGGGCCAGCCTGCCTCAGAGCGAACGCATCTCGAATCTTCTTGGCCTGCAATTCCTTCTCTCTCTCAAACTTCTGCTGGTTCGTCTCCGCCCGCTCTTTTCTCTCCCGCTCGCGTCGAGGATCGACCCCCGGCGGTGCAGCGCATATCGGGTTGACCTGAGGGCTGAGGGCGGCAGACGGTGGCTCGACGGTGCTGCGGAGGATCGCGTCCCAGTGGTGGTCTCCTCCTTCTGCGCGATGGCTTTCCGTCTCATTGGCCAGGATTTTGTCCACGATGTAGAATGTCTCGGGAAAAGTCTGAGTGCCGTCATCGTAGTACCACCGAAGGGAAATGGTAGAAGTGGACGTGTGACTTGTTCCGGTATGATCGGTCAAGCTGGTCGGGGTATGTGGCCGAATGGCGCCACGGGTGGCAACCGCTTTGCTCTTGGAGATGATGCTCTTCGACAACACGCTGTCGTGGAGGGCATGGCGCAGCTTGACGGGATGTTCCTGGCCCTCCGCGATGACAAAGATACACACTGTCGCGTTCGAAGCCTATTGCCCAATATCAGCAAGCATGCTAAATAGCGTCAAGTTAGTCAACGACGAAGACCGTACCATTGGTGAAGAAGTCCTGTCAGATGGACGAAACAATTGCGGACGACGAGCTTGCCACGAGCGATATGAAGACTCAAGCTGATGCGACTCCTGCATAAGAGCGTTCGAGATCGGGCGATTTCGCCTTGTGGCCATGCCTCAAACAGGACGGGTGGCCGAACAGTGAGGCGAGGACAGGGCGACAAGGCCAGCAACTGATACTGCGAAACGATAAGACAGACTTCGTGCCCAAGCCCAGATTGAAATGCCCGTGTGTTGGCAGGTCGGTATTGGAGGACACTTCGCCTTTCATATATCCGCGAGAGGATTTGTTCATGTACACCGTCTGCCGACGATACATCCCTGTCGACCGAAGACTTTCCCAGTGATGACATTTTGCTGCACTCCGGCGTGCTGGTCACCTGGGGCGGTCGGGGGTGACCGTGAGCGCTAGATTTGTCACTTGAGCATGCGAAGGCTGAGAAAAAGCCACAGGGAAATAATTGACAGGTTGAACAAGAGCTTGTGTAGATACCAGACTGAAGAATTCCTCCTCGGAACCGCAGTGGCGAGCTTCCGCGACGTCCAGATGACCATATCCGTACAAAATTAACGTCTTTGGCCTTTTCGCAATGTTTTGGTGACTTTGAACTTTTACCCAACCAGCTGTGTAACAAATCTGTCTTCAGAAGCCCGTCACCCAAACGCCTCCCTCGGTCCGAATCCAGATTTGGGGGGATCTTGTCATACCGTTTGACCTCAGAAATCCACGGCGAGGAGGTCCTTTCCCAGAAATTAACGTCTGTGTCTCATCTTTTGGTGGTACATTCATGATAATATTCCCTTCATGGGTTGAACATCTGCCCGCGCCCTTGACCCGGTTGGTGTGCTTTTGATTGTGAGGGGATTGATTCGATGCCCCGGTGCGAGTGCGATACACTTCACAAAACTCCGCCGTCCTTTCCGGATTTTCCTATCCTGCCGTCTCCTTTCTTCGGTTGAGCTCGACCAAAGCGATGAATTCATTCCAGTTCTCCTCGATCCATGGTCGGCCGAGGATACAGTCAAACTTTGCTTCGGATTCTGGTGGCAAAACATAAAACGGCGCACGATAGGACGGCGAGCTCTGGCCCGTCCCGGAACCGTAACTCCGGAAATGCCACTGAAGGATGACGGTGCTGCTGAGCTCGGTGTATCCACCAATAGAATGCACACGACCATTGTATGGCTGTTTGTTCAAGTTGAGCTCAGTGTGAGCCTCATCAGAAATCAGGTTGAAATCTGCACCGGTGTCCAACAGCACACGCCGCGGAGTGGTCGTCGACTGACGATGACCTGATGACCTCGCATTCTTCGGCTCAAGGTGGATGAACATGAGGACTACGAAGAGATTGAGGCGCCTCCTTCTTTCTTCCATCAGCATGACTTTTCCCGGGCATCTCGGCGGTCCACTCCTGTTCGGCTCTTCGGTCTTTTCTTGGAATGGGCGCTCAATGATAGAACCTCGAAGCCGGTCAAAAAAGGGCTTTTTGGCCATGGCCTTTGAAGGCAGAACGACGGGCAGTAAAGTGGACGTTCTTGTGGTCGAATGCTTCATCCGACTGACTCGGACCATCCTGTCATCCACAAAGTCAGTAATGTTTCGACTGGGCCAAGCGGAGGTCTCCTCATACTGGTAAAGGCCCTTTTCTGCCGTTTCCCCTCCGGCCGTCTCAAAGTCCGCGGTACATTCACGTTGTGCAAATGGACACAGGTCGGAAGCCACCAGCGCGCTGAAAAGAGCAATAGCAGAGACAGACAATGTCTGCCGTCTTAAATAACACCAAGTGGCAGTCAAGCCACTTTGAGAATGGCATGATCTCTCTGCTTGGATCCTGTCGTTGTACAGGGTCGGGCCCGTCCTTCGGGCGAGCTGCAATATGGCAACATGTGACAAACTCCTCCAAACACGACGAGAACCCTTATCCCGCATACAGGGCTGCAGCTGTGGGCCTCCGATTTTCTTGAGACATGTCGACTTCCTGACAATGACAAAACCAGACTTATTCCATGTGCAAAGCAAGGGCCAGTCTGGGAGTGCTCGGGAGTACCTCCCAATATCGTGGGTCAGTGTCACGACAGGCGGCGTGTCTTTGCAACAGTAGCACCGTGCTTTGGAGAATGATAGAGACTGAATCGACGATTGCCAACGGAAGCACGAGTAACTATTTCGGGACGACACTCGGTAAGGGAAGTTGCAGCACGCGCTTTTGCCGCGCTGAAGGAGCCCGAGACCTTGTCAGACTTCCGATGGGCAACTGTTGCGGTGCAAGCCTTATCTCAAATTTACAAATGTCCAGATACTCAGGAACTCCTGAACTGTAGACCAGGGTGGACATACCTCATGATGTACATAGCAAACCAAGCCGGAAACGCTTGATGAGTGGGCTGTAGGAAAAGAGCACGTGCTTCGGAGGTCATCGCCACGTATGTAGGACTGGCAGCACAGGCGATCTCCACGTAGTTTCCGCACGCAGGGACAGCCAGGCTCGCAATATGCATTGGTTGCGGGGACAAAAACTGAATGGAGCACTTGTGCAGAGAGTGTGGCATTGCCCACTCGTTCTCCTATTGGAAGCTTCCCGTCGGTGTACGCTGAAAGGCGGCTACTCGGAGCGTGCCAATGCCTCTTGGGCAGCGATGCAGGTAAAAGCCCTTCGACGAGCGCCCCACTGATGAGGAGTCGCGGCTGTGTCGGACAAGGTGGTCTGTGAGTCCTCATTATAAGCAGACATCCGCCCGCTGTCCTCCCACAGAAGACATACCCCTGATCTCCATCACCCTTCTCGGAAACCGCCGACAAGATCGTTGCGTTACGAAAATGACAGGCTACGGGGCTTTGGCAGCAATGATGGCTAGCCATCGAAACATCGAAGCCTTCAGAAAATTCTCCAGCATGAACCTGGAGAATATACTGCACATGCAAGCCGAACTGCAACATCTCGAAGTGGTGATCAACGAGGTGAGAAGGATACCGGGGCTGAACAGCTTCGACCGGATCTGGATCGACAATCCGGAAAGCATGTCCGAAGAGGACATACGTCGGATCTTTGAGCGGTCAAGGACCCTGGTGGACCAGTATTGTAGGAAGCGTGGCTCTCGAGGCAATGATTGAGAACAGGTCGCTGACACAGTGGGGCAGATCGAGCTCTATTGAGAACAGCAAGAATCAACGCGTTGCAGCAACCGCGAAAAGACAATCTCGAGCTCCGCAGGCAGTGGTATGACGAAGAAAGTGGTGGCGACCAGTTCTTGTACGGAGTGGAAGCGGGCATCTTCCGCGATGCGAGCATTGAGCAAGACCTGTTGACGCTGAGCGAAAACATTGGAAGCAAAGATGCTCTGGCCAACTTTCTGAGTGAAAGGGTGGTGCCGCTATATCACCGGGTAGTAGGATATAAGCTTCACCGGTCCATGGCGGAGAAGGCGTTTGAGCGGACGTGGGAGTACAGGCCAGAAACGTTGGTGCAGGTTGGAAATACGATATGTATGCTGTTGTCAGCCGTGATTCCGGCGCTGTCAATCCTGGTGTTGTTCAGTGTGAAAAGCATGGCGGCACGCCTGGTTGCAATCAGCATGATGAGCCTGGTGTTCTCATTGGTGATGAATGTGATTGCTCAGAGGCGAGCCGATGTCTTTATGTCCACCACAGCATTCGCGGCAGTGCTGGTGGTGTTTGTAGGCTCAGCAAACGTGATGGGTGGATGACAGTGCATCGGGAAGAGGTATACACAGGAAAGGCAGAAAACCCCCGAGCGGTTGCACCGTGACACCTTGACCCAAGCAGAGGCATGGTTCTGGCCATGCTGTTATCATCCTCTGTCACACTGGGGCTGCTGTGGGAGCTGGAAAATGCAGTTGCGCGGGCTCAAATGCAATTGTTGGGGTGCAGGATAGGCAAAAGGACGACAGGTCATCTTGAGGTTGCTCTTCTCTTTTCCCCCTCCACAGTGTCCACAACTCACCGGCATCAACTTGACACAAATGGAAGCACGATAATGTCATGGATTTTTTGTTTTGTTGCTTTTTTTTTCATCTGGAGACCGTATCCACGCAAGCACTTGAGACAAGAGAGTATGGGGCGCCGATGATTTCGGTCGGTCCGGCGAGGCACGATGACGTTGAGCTGAAGGGAGGTTGAGTAAAATGAAGCGAGACCAAACACCAAGAGAGACCCCAAAAGGGGAGCTGCAGGACGGGATCGCGATTTCTTTATTCCGGGGCATGGGTCCTGCTCAGGCTTGGCGCCAATGATGGAGCTCAGGAAGAAAGTGACAGGGCGGGTTTGCCCATCAGGAACTTCCGAAGCTTAGGGGTGGCCCTACGCGGTAATGGAGAGCCGCAGGCGCAGCGCTTCCCCAACCTCCCTGCTCGCTCGAGCTCCCAATTACCCACAGAAGCTCTGAGCCCACCTGCTCCCCTCGCCCCTCGCCCCTCGCTCTCTGCCCTCTGCTCTCTGCCTCCTCGCACTTCCCAGCTCTCTCCCACTTTCTCTCTGGCATCTCCTCTTCTCCTCTCTCCCTCCAGCCTTCTGGAGCTTCCTCTTTGTCAAGCAAGGTCAAGCGGCACGCCAACCACTGGGCCGAACCTCTCTATGCACTATGATGCGCACACTTCGGGCTCTCTCTTTTCCCACCCCCCGAATCCCCCGTTTTTCTCTCCTCTCCCCTCTGTTCACTCCCCTGAGCTGCTGACTAGTGCAAACCTGGGACATGGACTCTGGGCCCTGACGTTTGCCCACAGCTTCCCCCCAGAGGACTCCCAAGTTTCTCAGCCGTATTCCGTACGCTCACCCCCTACCTCGACCACGCTTCTCTTCTCCCTCTTCTTTATTTCCGCCCACAGCTTGCTTTCGCTCGTAATCCTACCCTTTTTCCATCTCTCCTTACTGTCATTCCATCTTGCTTCACCCACAAGTCCCATCCAAACATCATCTACACCATGGCGCCCACCAGAAGCCGACCTAGCGAGGAAGAAGAGGAAGTGCTTGAGCTTCCCGACGACGAGGAGGAGGAAGAAGAGTAAGTCTCAGCTTGTTTACCCTCATTTCTTGATTGCTTCTGTTTGAACTCCTGCCACTAGGAGGTGGAACCGACCGTTTGAAGCCTCTTTCACTGTCTCAATGCCGCCTCTGGCTTGAGCATTGTGCGCGGGCCAAGTCACCGCCAGGCATGCATCATTTCTCTATCCCTGCTCTTGCCCTTATTCCTGCGCCACGTACTTTGCTGGCATCGTCTCAGACAAATGATGGTGCTGATGATTGCGTCCTGGGCAGATATGAAGAAGACGACGACGAGGATGATGAGGATGGAGATGAGGATGACGAAGAGGAAGAGGAAGAACTAGAAGATGAGGAGGAGGAGGAAGAACAAGGTAAGTCCTGGCCTCACCTTGGGCCCGAAGTAGGCTTTGCTCCTGTCTTCAATTTGATCGCTAACCGACTTGTTGACGTAGCTCCCCCTCCCAAAAAGCGCAAGGCCGAAGCCGAAGCCTTACCTCCACCCAAGAAGTCCAAGCCTACAGATGCTGAAGAGGAAGATGGGGAAGACGAAGAGGACGAGGAGGAAGAGGAAAATGGCGAGGATGCTCCCGAAGACGACGCTGACGAGCAAGAGCAAGAAGAGGATGAGCCTGCGGTCAAGACCAAAGTTATTTCGGGCTCCGAAGGCAAACAGGCCGCGGCCACCGCCGAAACCGAGGAGCTCGACGACGAAGAATAGTCATTGATTGTTTGTCGTGGGTGGCTTCCTTTTGGGCTAAGCTGAAGTCAACGTTGGCAAAAAGGATAGAAGACGGTGAAAATTTCTCCAATGCAAAAGGGACAGCGTCTCCCGCACCCACCGCAGCGGGGAAAATGCCCGTATTGCAATCCATCCCTCGCTTGCGCCCAGTCGTCCCTACGGAATAGCACTTGAAATCTTTAGGCGTAAATCTCACCTCTGTCCATGGCTTTGTTCTGTTTTGGCAGACTGCGAAATGGTTGTCTGCTTCAATACAACAGTGAACCAGTCACCAGCCCTAGAGAGGGCCGCCAGCTTGCCTTCTGCCCTCCTATCTTGGCTTCGTCCATGCGGCTCGCCCGAAGGCTCGAGCTCTTTTGACCTACCGACACGTTTGAAGGGAGACGTTTCCGGGGATTGTTCTCTCCGGCCAGCTATGAGATGAGTTCTCAAGCTGATCAGGCATTGTGGGATGCTTGGCAGCTGGTCCTCGCCTTGGCTCGGTTGACTGTTCAGGGGCCCTGCTGACCGACGCTGGGATATTAAATGGCATGGGGTTGTCGCGAGCACGGCGCTGAGCGGACGTAGCGGCCGCACACGAAGGTCATCCCTTTGTGGGATCTTTCTCGCAATGACCCCTGGCCAAGAGCGCGATACCGCTCTTTGTCATCCTCGAGTGACATTCCGTACTGCATTCCGTGCTGCATTCCGTGCTTCTCTGGTCTTTGGCTGGATGACTGAGAAATTGTGAGGCCTTGGCCAACATCATGATCAGGCAATGTTCAGATGTGTCGAATTATTCCGTTGCCTCCATCGGCCGCTTTTCTCTTGGCTATGGCATAGACAGACGAACGGTGAGTTCTAAAAGCCGAACATGCATGGACATCAGCTCCATGATATATTTGTCTTCACGCAGTCAACCTGTGTCAATGTGCAACGCCCAAGCATCGCGCAAGAACGATCGGTTACACATAAGCCAGTCTCTGTCAGGCTGTCAACAACTACGGATTTCTGTGACCTCAATCAAGGCTCGATAGCGTTTCAAGAATCATGACAAGCTCCAAGGTCTGGTTTATCACTGGCTGCAGCAGTGGATTCGGTCGAGAGCTCGCACTTGGTGCGTTGAGACGCGGTGACAGAGTCATCGCCACCGCTCGCAATGCCAGCAAGCTTGACGACATCAAGGCCGCTGGCGCCACGACAATGAACTGGGATGTCACTGCACCCCTGGACGATCTCAAGAAGACAGCCGAACAGGCACATCAAGTCTACGGGAGATTTGACTATCTGATCAACAACGCAGGTTACAACCAAGTTGGAGGACTCGAGGAACTCACGTAAGTCTCTCTTTGCTCTCTTTGCTTCCAGAGGGATACTTATTCAGTGAAGTCCGGAAGAAACTCAAGCACAATTCGCCACCAATGTGTTTGGGCTGTTGAACACTACCCGGGCCATTGTACCGTACATGCGGGCGCAACGCTCAGGAGTTGTGGCCAACTTCTCCAGTGTCGGTGCTTGGCGAGGTGTCGCAGGCGCGGGACTTTACTGCTCTTCCAAGTGGGCGGTCAGTGGTATCTCCGAAACTCTTTACTTTGAGCTGGCAGACTTCAATATCAAGGTCTGCACCGTCGAACCTGGATATTTCCGTTCCAACTTTCTCAGCGCCGGCAACAAGCTCAAGCGAGGGAACGCGATTGCCGATTACGAAGGCACGGCGGTGCGAAAGGGGGAGCAGTTAATGGATGAATATGACAACAAACAGCCTGGCGACATCAAGAAGGGCGTCGCGGTTCTGATCAGCGTCCTGACTGGAGAGACAGGAAGGGAAATCCCAATGCGGTTGGTGCTCGGACCAGATGCCTACAGAATGATCAAGGCCAAGTGTGAGGAGACCATCAATGGTCTTGAAGCGTGGAAGGATCTAACTTGCTCGACCGATTTGGACGAGAAGTGAAATCCCAAATGCACCTGGAGAGTCCAGCCACCGACGGCACCGCGATGAAGGCCAGTGGTTGATTTGAACAGCTGATATACTCAATGAATGCTCTTACCCTGCTGACTCATGAAGGTTTCTATACGAGTCACTTCTGCATCTTCTTGAAATATCCACTCTTGGTCCATATGTCTCATGAACGCAGGACTTCTGCTGACTCAGATGATAGAGATGTTGCTGGAGAGAATCAGTCGCTGTGGCTGCGCTCGTCCTCCCCTTACACGCGGAAGTGGGAAGAAGTATGGGACCGACTGGCCAACGTGTCGAGGAATGATTTCATCCACAAGAGACGTTCTTTGGGAGTCGACTGCTGTTGCGTTCTGTCTCGGGCTCGTTGGATTGATCTTGTTGGAGTGGCTGCTGTTCGCTACAATGGTCAATATCAGGCTACATGCCACCTCTGAACTTCACGTGCCGGGCCACCGGCGAGGACATACATCTCTTGCTCTCATGCGTCCTTGTCTTTTGAACACTAGGTATGTCTTGATCTTGCTTGGAGCTAGGATCTTCCTTACTGCCTCCATTTGCTCCCTACAAGCTCGCCGTACCGGGTTCGGAAGAACCGTCACTGCCATACAACGTGCGAGGAAAACCTTTGTTTCATGCCAGCACTCGAGGAATGGAGAGCCTGAACCTGGCTCAATGTCCTGCAAGGCTTTCCATGTGTGGGCATCTGGCTTCCTGCCGCCGCTTTTTGCGACGACAGTACGGAGTACCATACCGTATCACAGCAGCTTACTGCGTTACCAGGTACTTCTCATTACGGTGTGCATGTGGTCTTGCACGCCCACACGGCCGCTCCGTACAGGCTGACATGACCTCGGGTCAGGTCTCCTTCCTTCGTGTTGGCTGCGCGTCCTCCTGTCATGACCTCTTGCTGCTACGGCTGCGGCGGGTTCGTCTCACGTCTGATCTGATCCCGTCGACTCCCCATGACCTCCCTTTGTTCGTTGTTTCAATGCCTACCTATGTTCTTGCTCCTCGTCACCTCCCCCAACTCGGATTAGCCCAAAGCCTTGCAAGGATATTACCGAAGTGGCCAGGGCAGGGGGATGACAACAACGGCACGACATGCCGTTTGATTCCCCCCCCGTTGCCCCATCGGCCCATGTCCTATCGGATACATATCGATCATGAATCCCAAACGCTCATCATTTCCACAACCCTGCTCGAGGGCGGGGCTCCCGAATCCCTTTCCCACGCTTAACCACATCTCACCTCGTGCTCAGGGAAGGGGGGAAGGGGATAAAAATAAATGTTGACTACCCGACGAAAAAGCTAAATGATCCTACGAGGCTGGTTGCTGCCTGGACGAGTAATGGCCCTATCCGTCTTTTTCAAAACCCTCTCCCTTGTCCAACCAGCTAGCCGGTCACTCGCTCACTCTTCCCTGCCTACCCAACAAGCCATGTTCATGTTTCAAAACACCCGTCCCCACCACGAGGCACCCGTTCGGGCATCGACTTGCGACTGCGGTTCCGTTTCAGCGACTACCACGACGACCAGTCCGTATTCTATCCCCCATTGAGCAGGAGTAACATGTCCTCTTTCGAGCCTTGCCCCCGGGCCTTTACCTCTCTATCCGAAGTTGTCGATCGAACAAATCGATCGTCCGAGGACGCGTCAATTCGTCATCTCATACGAAACACCGAACACCGCCGCTGACCGTGCTTCAGGTATAGTGTGAAGCCGGGGTTTGCTCCCCGTGTCTATTCATTCGTTCATTCACTTCCCTGTCTCCCACACTCGATACGCCTCTCTGTCCCTGCCTGCCCGCCGGCCGTGGAGATGGAGCCTGCATCCTCGCATAGCCTGCTCGCTGGCCGAGCAAGCAAGCAAACAAGCTAGCTACTTAGCCATGTGGCATACCAACCTAGGGTAGGAAGGTCGGTATGCTGCTCGTCCGTGCAATCCATCCATTCACTTTGGCCTTGCCTTAGCCATTGCCGTTGCCTCGCCGGGAAACACGGACGTTGCAAGTTCGCCCTGTCCGAAGACAGCCCTCGTTAGAAAATGGGGATGCTGGCATCACACCCGGCGACGACCTCGTAATCTCGTAACAGGCGTAGTACATACCGTACGTAGGCTGATCTTCTTGTCTATGCGCAGCATCACACCTTCCACATGCGGAAGCCTAGGGGTATTTGGAATTATATTACTCGCAAGTGGGCTTCACCAGCACCAAGCAACCAGTGGTATGTGTTCAAATCCAAATATAGCCAGCCAGCCAGCCAGCCAGCCAGCCAGCCAGCACACCCACCCACTCACGCAACCCTTAACCCCTTTTCGTCCTGAGCCCTCGGGAGCTAACAACAGGCCCCTTAACAAAGACCGCGTACCAATCATGCAGGCACACACTCACGAAGTATTGGGATCTCACGCTACGCTCCACCCCGGACCCTGGACTTCGGATGGTCGTGCCTGGGGTTGGAACTGGGTGGACCTTGGATTTGGCTATCTCCGAGAGAGAGATAGAGTCCACGGCCCAGAGAGACAGTCACAGCAAGTAAATAGCAAGTAAATAACAGAAGAAGATATCACATCCGTCCCCTGTAATACGTCGTAACATAAACAGACCTCATGAGAGGCGGACGGCACAGGGGATTATTGGACTTCTTCCACCAGTCCAGGTCTGTCTCTCCCTCCCTCCGTCTTCTGCCAAGATGATGCCCTTGATTTCTCTAATTTACCTGTTCGTACTCGCAAGCCATTATTATCTCCTAATTAATACTGCGTACTGCCTATAGGCTCTTTGTGTCATCATTATATCGTGGCTCGTTCGCTCGGCCGTGGTGCTTGCATCTACAGTAGGTAGGCAGAACCTTTACACGAGCAGAGCACCCCCAATCATCCCTTCTTCGTCTTTCCTTCGCCCACGTCCATCACCATCAATAATCGTGGCATCTCCATGCAAATACGAGTAGATAATCAGGGTCACTGCTATCATCATCATCATCATCATCATCATCATCATCATCATCATCATCATCATCATCATCATCATCATAGAAACTGGAGCCTCATCTTTTTCCTCCTCCCCCACGACCAGCCGTTTCTCTGGTCCGGACAATGGCCGCCGTCCATCTATCCATCCATCCATCCATCCACACCTGTGCTTATGGCGTTTGTTGCTAAATATAATAACGAAGGACACTCCCTCCTCCCTCCCCTTTCGACCAATAGTGGCTTACCGAGGTTTATTGTATGTACGGAGTGAGGTATTCCCCCCCGCCCTGACCAGCCATTCGAATCGCGTTTTGCAATTCTGCATTGTGCATATGCATTGGCATGGAGCCCTTCCAGGGCTGGCTTGGATCCAGCCCACGCGGAAACGGGCAAGGCAGAACGGCTCACGAGGGCGGTCCCGTCCAATCGCCATATGTGCCAGTGTGCCGGAACGCAGCACCCGTTGAAGACGGAGGTGGCCCACTTTCACTAACCGTGCCCAGGTGCCATATATAGCTGGCGTGAGCATATCTGAACGGCGCGAATGATGCATGAAAACATAGCTCGCTGCTCTAGACCTCTTCCCCTCCGGCCTGGCGAGAGTGAGTTCATCCCTGCGCAAGCGTGACTTTTTACCTTTTCCATCAACTTGTTCTAGCAAGTTCTTCCAAACCTTGTCTGAAGCTCCTCAGTGTGAGCCAGACTAGACGGTAGATGTCAAACCGCCTTGGCCCGTTACGCCATTCTAGTGATGTACTGTATGCTTACCTAGCATCCGAATACTGATAGAGCCCCGTTCACACTTCGTCTACGTACGTCGTCTGTTCGTGGCTGTGCTCGAGGAATCCCTTGTTTTTCCAACTTTCCAATTTTCCCGACGGGGAGGAAAAGTACCTCACCACCTGCACTGTGACCAATCCTCGACTCGTAGCCTCTCCCAAAGTCGCATACTCCACTTGTGCACCAGTGGCGAAAGTTGTCACGGAATCGTAAACCTTGCCCTGCACGTCCTAATGCAAAGGTTGGCCTCGCTGACGGCTGCCGCTCGTCAATTTGCCTTTGCTTTTTCGTGCTTGGCTGCACGAGGCTGAAGGGTCAAACGATCTCCACAACGTCTCAACCAGGGGGGATAATTGCAGCGCGCCATATTTCCCTATCGACCAAGTCGTCGTACACTTCTTGGATGGAATAATCCCACAACCACAAAGGATCTCCACATCTCGTATATGAGCTCCTCAGTCTGAGTAGCACGTAGACCCTAGTCAGCATGAGCCTCGACTGCATACCTCGTCCAGATCAGATGGCGAACTGAAGAGCTCGAGGTGCGTGCGTGTTCATTTCGACGTCGTGTCCGGAGGACGGTCCTAAAATTAGAATTTTACACATTTTGCACGCAATTTCCACCATAACCTATGTATGTAATGAGGGCCTCCATCTCTCTTGGCTCTCACAGTATGCTATACCCAAGTGAGGAGTGGACGGCAGAGATACGGGCCCGGCAGTGGAGGATGGACACGGAGCACTCTAAGACTTTTGGGAGCGACAAAGTTCCTCATGCAGGGGTAGCAGAAAGACGACGTAGTTCTTTCCGCTTTTCTATTCTTGCCTGCTGTTGTTTTTCGGATTCCGGTAGAGATCCTGCAGAAGGGGGTTGAACTGAGGCAGAAAGGGCAAGACGAACATGTTGGCATGTTGGGACGATACAGCAGGAGACTGTTGTCACGAGGCAGGCACGTGTCGTTTCTTGCTCAGCTATTGCCGGGGGTCTCAACTTCCAGAACGCACGAGGACTTGGGTGAACATTATCAATGGAATCTATGTACTGTATGTACTGCGTCTGTAGAAAGCAACCATGCGCAGGCATCATGACAGAAACGGCCATGTCAATGCAGAGCAATTCCCTTCCCATCCTAAGCTTTCATCATGCGATCCATGGCGTATTGCAACCTTTCCCTCCCGCTTCGTAGACTGTCTGTAGACGGATACTTGAATAGTCACACGGATAGCAGTAGACTTTTCCCCCTCGCAATCCGTTCCCTCCCGCGCTTTTCCCAGCAACCGCCTCGAAACTGCCCAAAAAGAACTGGTCGAAAACTTCAAAAAATTTCCTAAACTTTCGTCTCGTCGTCGCCCGTCGTTGTCTAAATTGCGTAAAGCGGAAATGGCCAAATGGTCTGCAACAAAATGTGTTTGCAGGAAAACAGTTGAATGAACGCCACGGGAAGCCTCGCCTCCTCAGTAGTCTGTCCATTCTGCATAAGTCTCCGTCGGAAACTCGGATTTGAGCCTGTAATTCTGGCCGGCTAGTCACATATGGACTGACTGGCCCTCAAAAGAATCCATGAAGTTCCAATCAATATCTCCCGTACTCAACCTGGGGTGTGGATCAAGATTGTAACCTAACAGCGCCGTCCTCGCGTGCGGATCGACCTCGTTGCTGCCAAAGCTGTGCTCGGAGCCTACCGGGAACTGTTGTCCAGGGAAAGCTGGCAAGAAGTCTTCGGGCGCGTGTGCGGGTTCCGAGTAGAGGCTGCTCCTCATCCCTGACTGCCATTGCATGGGGGCGGCGAAGGAGCCCGGCGTATCTGGTTGTGAGTAGGCTCCATGCACCAAAGCCGGATTTGAAAGTGCTTGAAAGGCCGTCGGCTGTGCGAGATCCATCTGATGACTCGTTGGCGTGGGAATGCTGAATTTCGCGGTGGGTGGTGTTGATCCGTTCGAGTACGTCCTCCTCACCGGACCCTGCTGGGCCTTCTGGCGATCCAACGCGGCCTTCATTCTCTTTCGGATGATGGCGTTGCTGCGCTCCAAAGCAGGCATGGTACTCGAGGCCTTTTGCAAGACCTCCAGGAGGAAGTTCAAGCCATGCTTTTGTGCCGCAACCGCAGGATCCTCGCCCGGTTGGTATTCTCTTTCGAAACGAAGAATGGCGATTGTCGCGGCAATGTAAACGCTGTAGGCATTGAGATAGGAGACGTGGTTCAGTCCAAAAGTATTCGCTTGTAGCATGATCAGATCGTGGATGGCGCCCGTGGCCTGAATACACAATTGCCATGACCGTGCCGGCCCTGGTGCGTTCATGTCTCGTGCTCCAAGGACAAGCGGGCGGTGTAGAAGTATCACCGTGGTATGGTAGAGGAGATTCAGTGACATAATATGCACTGGTGGTGCTAGAGACGGCATTTGGTCGGGGTTGATTCGTAGATGAGGGGGCAAGGAAATGAGCCAGTCTCGTAGATCGCGCGAAATTCTCCCAAAAGGTGCCTCGCTGGCTGTTTTGGCCTCGGCCGAGTGGTCTTCATCTCCCATCTCGCGGCGGGCGGCCGCTTCAGCCGAGTATATGTTGTGCATCAGGTCGTTGAGAATGACACAAATTTTGCACAACTGCCGGAAGCATGAAACCACGTAGCCAGGACAAGGTGGGTAGTTGGGGGCATTCGCGAGCTCCGGTGTTGGCGTCTCCCCGTAGTATGGTGACCAGAGGTCACTGTCACTGTAGTCGTCCATGAAGGTCAAGGGAACTTCCTCCACCGCGGGCGTGAAACCGGGCATCCGCCCCAGATATAGCGAGAGGATTTTGTCCCACGTGTAGCAACTCCAGAATAACCGCTTTCGAATCTCGATGTCTTCAGGGGTCAGGCTTTTCACCAACGCTTGGAGTTTGTCGCTGGGGAGGTGGATGCCCAGGTCCAAGGCCATCCGAAACGCGACCCCCGAGAACGTCCAGGCTTGCGCGGATCTTCCAAACATGACTTCTCTCGCTGACTGTTGCAAGAGGGCTTGAATGGTTGGGATCGAGCTGGTCCTCAGCATATCCATGCCCAAGCCAAATCGCGCTTCGTCGGTCATTTTTTGCATAAACTCTCCGGCGCTCATCGAGCTCCCCATGGGACTGTGTTGGTTCAGCACACTATGATACTGGTCCTGGTAGACGTCGTGATTCAGAAACCTGGCACAATGGGCGTGTATCACCTAGAATCCCATCAATAAAACGCCCCGAAATGGTTTGTCAAGGTTTTCGCTATACCTTTAGCAACGTTTCCGAAAAGTACGGGGGATCTTGAGCACCGGGCGTATTCAGATCCACCATGGCCATTCCTCTCGTAAACGCCGGCCGGTATACAAACAGAAATAAAGGATGCTGCCAGCACCAATGATACTTGAGCAGTTCGTGGGAGATTTCCTTGGGCACATTTGTCTTGGCGGCACCATTTGCAATGGCGAAGGGTTCAATCTGTCGCTGGTGAGTGGCATTTAAGATCAGATCCCGTTTCACCCGCTGGTCTTCGTGAAGGCTTCCACTGTAATTAAGTTGGGCTGCTATGGGCGGGTGATGACCCTGACCTGAGGGTGGCTCGTGGATGGGAGACGTCGAGTTGTGGAATGTTACACTTCCGCTGTCGTCCACACTAATGTCGGCCTCCCACTTGACATGTCGATTCCGATGTGCCAGGACTTGACTTGAGCTTTGCGATCCGGCGGTTTCGCTGGCGGGCGACGCTGAAGGCAGCTTCTTGTCATCGTGAGACCCAGCCTGACTCTATCCGTCAGCTACCCCTGGTGGCAGAAATGCAACAGGGAAGGCTACTTCGTACCCGACTTAGCCACACTTGGGTCTTGGCCTGTCGCAATTGCGCTTTTAGTTCTTGAATTTCCTCCTCCAACGATCGCACGTAGGCGAGTGAGGGTGGCTTGTCGTAGTGACAGTCGTCTTTGTATGCGATACACCTGCCACGGCGTATCAGAATTATTATTGATCGATCGCAATATGCGGGACAACTCACGTGGTGCATTTGGGTGTTTTCCCGTCGCATTTTGACTTTGAACCGGTTAGCCATCAATGCGAAATGCTTTCAGAAAGCCACCAGCGGTCACCTCTCCAGACCGGTTGAAGATTGACCACGACAGAGGGGGAAGTCAATAATACCTTTCTTCTCCGACAGCCCGCGCAGGTGGACTTGCGATGCTTGGATTTTGGTTTCTGCTCGACTTCGGCAGGCATGTTTGGAATATGGAGTGACAGGAGACTAGAGGGAGGTTTGTTTGAGAGTTGTTGGAGGGCAGAGTATCGGGTTCAAGAGTCGAGTTGAGTTCATGATCAAAGCCTCGTAGGGCGACGAGGGACTTTGAATGGCTTTCTCCTCACGAGATCAGAATCAGAATTGGAGAGAGGTCCGTCAGCAAAAGTGCCACCCCTGTCCGGTGTCTGGAGAGCTAGGGATATTTTTTCATACACAGGCAGGCATGAGAGGCAAGGTCTGGCTTAGCGTCATGCGAGGGCGATTGTCGGGGCAGCAGACCAAACGAGTCTGGATAGACAAGGGTCAAAAACTTTGCGGGAGGGCGGATGAGGCAGTTAGGATGATTCTGCTAGCATTGGGTTGCGCTGGGAAGGGAAAGTACCATCTGATGCTGAGTTACTGCTCTTTCTGGAATCGCAGACAGGCACGACAGGGCAAGCGGATGCCACATTTTCTTGACCTTTAGTTCGAAGCGACCAGGGGGGGTGGATGTAAGTTGGGTGGGTGGGAAGCTTAGGTGAACGGATAGTTTGGTGAGTAGTAAGTGGCCAGGCGCAGGGCTGTGGTGGGATGACGAGTTCGCTCTGTCGTCCTCTCCAAAATGCTGGTGCTGGCTGATGCTGGAACTGGAAAGGGCAGAAGGTGATGGACCAGTCGAACTGGGATTGGAGCTGCCTCGCTACAGCCGAAGCCACGGCGAACACGCAACCTTCCGGACGGGCACCACTGCACTATCCAACAGACAGGGGGGACAGGGATTAGGCATGGTGATCAGGATCTGAGGGAAGCCTACTAGCCCGAGCCGTGTCGCAAGATGCGCTCAGCGCCAGCGCCCAGCAGCACACCTCCCCAAAACGTCATGGTTGGGGGACTAGACGCGTTTGACCCGGTTCTGACAATTAACCTGCCGCTTTGACCAGAGATGGGAAGGATGTGTGATTACGGGGATAACCAGGACAGAGGGGAAACACTAGAGCAGGGGATAGATCGGGTTCAATGACATGCTGTGCATTAGCGGGCACAGAACAGTGGTTGGATTGAGCAAGATTCTTACTGAGAAGGGAGCTTAAAGAGAGAGGCCATACTCGGTGAGCCCTAGTGTCGAGTGAAAGTATATACTGTACGGGCCATGGTATCTGTAAAACCAGAATACTGATACTACTGCATACGGTTGACGAGACCGTGACTGGTACCTCGCAGACTGGCAAGCATTGGAGATGTATCTCAGGGACTGTGAAGAACAACAACAACACCAACAACATCAACAAACCTCTCTCCAACGCCCATTGTCTGTTCACAACAACAGTACTCGGTACAGTACGTCAATAAAGGGAAGGTGGTGGGCGACCATTGCCACCAGTGCATTAATCCCAAGCCTCCAAGAGACTTTTTCCTTTTCTCCAAACGCTAACCACCCCGGAACGAACCAACCATCGTGTGCTCAAAGTCAACTGGCGTGTAAACGGCCTTGACACGGACCGATCAACGACGGTGCCGACTGCGATCACCACCGAGGCTGCTGCTGGTGTTGGTGCTATTGAATCATCTGTCGACAGACAACCTCTCGAGCCTTTACCATCGGAGGCAGCACCACTACACTGATTATTGATGGCGTTTGTGGCTTTTGTCATCACAGAAGGCTCTCTCCTCTTCAACGCCCTGTCATCTCCGGCCCAGGCTGTTGGAAACGTCCCAAGTAAGTATTCAGGAAAAGACAAGCGGCCCCGGGAGGCAAGCTCGTGCCACGTCGTCATGAGAGTTTCACGAAACCACGAGTCGGTCAGCGATAGGCCTTGATCATGGCCACATGCAGTGTCAAAAATCCCTCCTGGGCTAGTGCCAGACTTGTTCAACCGTCGGGGAACTGGCCTCTAAGATCCTTCTCTAGCCTTGTGCTCCGAGGTCTGTATTGCCCAGTCACAATTATTACATACATACAGAGCGTCAACGCCTCCTCGTATAGCTGACGAACATTACGGCAAGCGAAGTCATCGCAACCTTTGGACACCCCAGAACCACCCGCTTGCATGTTTCCAAACTTCCAGAAACTCGAACCTAAGCTTGTGGGAAAATGGATGATGCTTCTGCTGCTGCTGTGCTGCTTGCTGCTTTTTCCTTGCGGATCCGCACCGTCGATCTCGCTGGGTTTTTCTTCCTTACGGTGAACGAATACGGACCGGCAGCCCAATCAAGGCAACGGGCAAAGTGGTTCTATCCCAAGTATAGCCCTGGTAAGCACTCTATTCGACATAAGCACTATCTGCCTCCCGCTTGCTCCATGCCTGACAGCCCGACCTCTGATAACTTGAAACTTCCTTGCTTGCCACGAGGGGGCCGGCTTTTCCAGCCACGCACAAATCGACAGGCCCTGAACCATTTCGCAGTAACCCGACCACGCGCTCACCGCTAACCCCGTTCTGGACCTCTGCTCTGGAGAATCCCGGTCGATTTTCGAGTTCACCAGACCTCGGAATAGCACAAACACGAAACGTGCCCTGTCCCCCATCATCAACCCCCCAAACTTTCGGGTTATAGGCAAAACTATCTGCCAAATTCTGCATCATACGCAATGTCGGATATTCTTTATCCAGCCTGACTAACCCTTCTATAGTGAGATGACTCCCAACAGCGCTGATATCCTACCTCTGCAGGCAAGCGCCGGACCCACTAGCCGGTCGAAATATGGCTAACGTGCCCCATCTCGTTTCTGCTGTCTCCAACATCAACCAACATTTCGAGATGCCCACTCCATATCGATCTTCATCAGCCAATTGTTTCATGTCAGTCCCAAAGGACCAGCCGTTTGATAATCGCTTTGAACCGGCTGTCCACGAGGAGCCTGTGGTGGGATGACCACCCTCCCTAGCAGACGACGTCTCCATCTCTAAAATTGGATGAGAAACCGTTAGACGAATCTTCGCGAGTGGGCAACCCCAATGCCCTTCCGCACGCCGGGGGCACGCGCAAGCTGCTGCCCGGAATCTGACAAATCAATATGTAGTCACCAGCTGGTGCCAGGCTTGTGAATTCCCTCATTCACTCTGCGTGCTAGTGCCCAGCCTCCTAGCTTGCGAATATCAAAGCTCTAATCGTCTGTTTGGGGAAGGACCAAGACACTTTGATATTGGCCAATTGCAATGACAAAGGTTCTTCTGCCACCGATCTCCAGTCAGAGTCAGTTTGGGAGGAGTCAGAAGCGTTGCATCAGTGCTCCTTCGAGGCCTTCTTCTCTGCAATCTTCATGAATTTCACAAAAGGACTACGGTAAACCGACATGTCCCGCTATCAGGTGCTGGGACCGTCCATGCACTCAAAGTTTACAGCCGATATCCGGGGTCCTGCAAAGGATCGGTATGCCCCCTTCTGCTCACACCAGTGCACTTAGTCATTCACCTTAGTGAACACCTACTGCGTGCGAAAGAGGCTAAATGGCCCCTCCGCCTGCACAAAGCGACAGGACCCAAGGTATGTGCGAGTGCGGGAAGGGATGTGCTGTCAACCAGTCACAGACCCGTCTATTCTGTCTGATTCCGAATCCTTGGCGGGTCACGTTTTTTTGACAGTCGAGAGTAGCTGGTGTCGCGAGAGTCCAAGGCCATTTTCTAATCCTTTGATATCCACCTGCGTCGGTTTGCAATAGCCTCCTGCATCGAACGCGTGGATGGAGCCAAAGAGTGTTTTGTCCGACTCTCTCTCTCTCTCTTCTCCCAAGAATTCTGCTTCGTCAGGGAGCTGACTTTGCTTCGTCATGTTCCGGAGCTCCCAGGCAGTTTGTTGATCTGCCCAGAGGCGTGGACAGCAAGCAATCCCTGATAACCAGCTCTTTGATGAGCGGCTTCTATGAGCTGGAACCACCGGCTTCGACGTTGGCTGGGAATTCCCAATAGGTGGTCCGAGTCCTCACCGTCTTAGGACAACAATATGGCGTTGATCAAGAGCATTCTTGCCTCATACAAATGTGGAGTGTCGTGGCCAGGTCTTCCCGCACGATAAAGGTGATTGCCACATTTACCCCGCGTGGAGAGGTCTTGAAAGATTCAACGTTCCACGAGGTCTAGGCCGTCGTTTGGGGGGACGCTCTCCTGGGAGGAACGACTCTCGCGTAGAGAGTTGGAGCCTGAATCCTCGAAGCAAGAAATGTCTGTCACATCGTATGCCGCCAGCCACAACGGCGGATTCGAGGTTAGCCTCTTTTCAAAGAGGCTGACTGACAGGACATAATCGAGCACGATGGGCCATGGGCGAATGCTCCGTTTCATCCCACAGATGGTCTTGCTCTTGGTGCAAACCCTGTTGGGGTGACTTCACTCAAAGGAGCACCCAGGAAGAGAGGGACATTCGACGGGAGTTCAGCCAAACGATGCAAGGAGCATACGTTGCTGGTTTGCATGTTGAATACTCCCTCATTCCGTTGCTCCTCCTGGAGCACCTCGTCGGCTTTTGCACTCGAGGCCCTCGCCAGGCTGATTAGCTGTCTGTTAGCCCTCCGGAGAGTGGCCGGTCAGGTGGTCTTCGCAGGGTAAAGGCCTTGAAAAGCCGCGTAGATTGTAGACATGTGCTCCCAGGTACATAAGTCGCGCTGGATCCTTCTGGATTCTGGACTCCAGACTTCCACAGCTCCAGACTCCCTGCGGTGGTCTGAGGCCAGACGAGGCGCTATACACAACAAAGTCAAAATCAGCAGAGCCATGGGAAAAAATGATCTCCAGCCAGGTTGTACTTGGCCTGAGACTCCTGCAGAGAGGAATCCACGGTTCTCCTTGTCTTTGGCTCGTGTTACCGTCTCTTGGCCCGTTCTGAGTTTCTGCTGAAGGCTTGTCCATGTTCTATCGTCTTCTTTGGTGGGGGGGCATTTTCGCTCAGGTCTCGCTTAATATCTTTTTCCCCGGTAAAGAAGAGCACAAGAGACAGACAGCCTCACATATCTCGAGAGAAGTGTCAGAATTGTCCTGACCCGGTCAGTATCCTTTTTTAACATGCGGTTCACGCGTTGCTGAGGGCTATTCCTACTAATGATTAGGCGTATTTGGCTTCCCCGATCAACCAGGGTTTTTGCACCATGGACTTGTCATGGAACTTTGGGTGTGCCCAGCCCTATGGTTGCGGTCTCCAAACTGCGCCCCCGCCATGCCTATCCGAGGCCCTTCGCGTTGTTTTTTCCCCCTGCTTGTTCTTGGTCATGCTCACCCACTATGTACCGGGGACCTCAGCACCACTGCACCACACGGGGATGTCCACAGTTGTCCCTAGCCTCACTCGCGTCGCACGCAAACTTCAAGCAAGAATGGGATCCAAATGACCCCCATGACCCCCGCCCGAAAGTCTGCGCTCCTTTGCCACATATCGCCCGCATTCTCGACCTGGCGTCGTCTGAGGACATGCATTACACTGCTCACCAGCAGTAGCGCAATCCAGAAAGGGACTTGGTGCTGATCAACTTTTTTGGACCTGCTCGTCGAAGCTCTAGCACGCCGCCGAGATGCTTGGGACTCGCGCGTCCAGACGATATATCTACGCTCTCGTCCTGCATCATCCTCCTGGCCCAACCTAATCACCGATACCCATAATTGACCAGATGAAGAAGCCAGACACAACAGAAAGAAGTGACAGTGGTCCAGAGACCTTGGTTGAGGAAGAGATGGGAACAGTTGACCCTCATGGAACAGACCAAGAGTTTCTGAATCCCCGGCCATCCCAAGACCCGCAGGATCCTCTGAACTGGCCTCTATGGCTCAAGGTTGGTCGACGGATTGTGTGACTGGAGGCCCTGAGCTCCTGTTGATCTGCTACAGATTCTCATTCTGACCCAAACGTCTCTTCTGGCCGCAATCGGCGGTCTAAATACTGCTGCAATAAACCCTGCTACGGTGTTGCTGGCCCAAGACTTCGGGATCAGTAAAGTTGCCGCTTCGTACCAGACGTGAGTCTTGTCTTGACAACACCACCTCGTCCCACCAATAACTGACTGGCGACCAGCACCGTCTGTATAGCCCTCAACGGAATAGCCCCTTGGCTATGGATACCTCTCTCGAACAAATATGGTCGACGACCGGTCTACTTGGCTACCACCTTTCTGGGCTTCATTTCCGCCCTGGGTTGTGCATATACCCAAACCTATGGCCAACTCATTGCCGCCCGTGTCTTCAATGGGTTCTTTCCCGTCGCATTTGCTCTCGGCGCTGCCACCATCACGGACTTGTTCTTTTACCATCAGCGTGGCAGAGCCATGGGTTTCTTCACGGTGACTATGGTGAACGGAAGCCACCTGGCTCCCATCGTCGGAGGCTTGCTGGGCGAATACTGCGGTTGGCGATGGATCTTCAAGTTCGTGGCCATTGTGGACGCGATCATGTTGACCACTGCTTTCTTCTGTCTCCCAGAGACACTATTCCTCCGGAAAGGGAGTGTCGACGTGTCGAAGCCGGACTGGCTCAAGCTGCCGGCTGAGCGTCGGCCTCGTTTCACCAAAGAAGTGTACTTCTCCCGCTTGCGACTGCGTTCGGATTTTCCTGAGCGGAGACTGAGGCCCAATCAATTTGTCCTCCCTGCGTTGAAGATGGCCAAATACCCCTCAGTAATATTTCCGGCTCTCTACTACGCCACCATGTATGGCTTTGCGTCCATCCTGCCGGCGGTGACGGTCGCCACAATCTTCACGGAGTTCTTTCATTGGAACACCCTGACGATCGGCCTCACCTACGGCGCGTCTCTCACCATCGGAGGCGTCCTCGGCGAATGTGTCTCAGGCTGGGTTGTTGATCGCATTGTCACTCGAGAGCGGAAGCGACTAGGTCATGATCCGGAACCAGAGGTGCGACTCAGGGCCATCTGGATGGGTGAGATCATCGTCCCCGCTGGACTTCTGATCTATGGTTTCTGCCTGCAATACCGTACGGTGTGGATTGCGCCGATTCTCGGGATGGGCGTCGCGTGCTTTGGCCTGCAAATCATCACCACCACAACATACACATACGCAATTGACTGCTACCGCACAGAAAGCAGCGAGGTGGCGCAGCTGTTCAACTTCATCCGCCAGGAAATCGGGTTCACTTTCGCCTTCTACGTTGTCCACCTGGGAAACAAGATCGGGTACCAGTGGACCTTCCTCATGTTCGCCCTCATCGGCGGGATATTGGCCTTTATGCCGATGCTTTTCGTCATCTTCAAGGGAGAACAATGGAGAAAGAGACTTGGAAAGCCAGTCGGCGTCAATATCCTTGACACCATGATGGAACCGGCGGACGAGCATGGTCATGGCTCTGGATGAAACCAGATCAGAGAGCCAAACATGCGAGATGAGATATGGGCTTATGAAACGCATGGGGGGATCGCGGACGGACATGGGAATCTAAAATCCCATACTACATCGGCGGCAGCCCTGTCAAGCAGGGCTTCGGCTAATGCAAGTCATCTGCCAAAATCATGCACCAGATCTCTGCACGGTGGGTGTTGCACGATCTCGGCACGACCCTGCGGGTATCACGGCTCTCACTGCTGCACGTCAGTTGTACATATACATATACGGGGTGACATCTCACTAACAGATCTGGGCGACCAGATGGTGCGAGCCCGAACCGAGGATGGCGCCAGCTGGCCGGGTGATTTGCGTGGGAGGATTATGGCGTTGATGCTGCTCGCTGGATCCCGGAGATTTTGCTGGTACACCTCGTCCCCTCTCTTTAGCTGGACCCCCATTAGATGTGGAAGATGGTCCGCCCGGAGGGACTCCGGAGCACATCATCAACCAACCACCGGTCTATCTTTCGTCGTTTAAACTTCCGACAGATTAGAATCAGTTCTGCTGAAGAACCTTGCAGCGGCGCAGCCGTGGGATATCCGTCTATTTCCGCGTGGAATTTGTTATTGTGCTGTCCAGGTGCATGCAATTCAAATGGCCCTGGGGTGTAACGGAGTCGTTCGCCAGAGACCGGGTATAAAATGGCAAGAGATAGCGGTCCTTCCGTCTTCGGGATATAAGACTTGCCAGATCTCGACATAAAAATTCCAGCACATCCTCCAGATTCTCGGTTCTTATCTTACGCTGCAACAAAGAAATGTGCATTCCTATGTTCTAGTCGGGCAGCGAGTTCCGGACCAGATACCCTTGGTTGGTACCATTCGTGGATCCGGCCGACCGAGCTTGTATAAAGCAGGCTTGAATCTCCTATCTACGAGTTCCTCCGCAAGGACCACCGATATAAAGGGTCTGTCTGGACGAGCAATCCCCTTTGCTTACAATGATATGCCATAAAAAAGCAGACAATGTGGAATCGTGAGTTTGACCCTTTAACTGCAAATCTCACAAGTCCACGAAGAGGACGCTCCGACAGTCCCAAGGTCTTTTCTCCTTCTCCTTCTCGAACTCCTAGGACGAGGTGGAGCTTTCTTCTCCTTTGGCCAGCAACCTGGCTATGAGGACCTGCATTTATATGGCGCGTCTCTTTGAGATGAAGTGAACCCACGGTACCACGCCACAGTAAATCATCGGCGGCCATCTTGCTGTACGAAGTATCGGATATCGAGGAGCTGTTGGCCTGTACGAATTTCATATGACAATACAGCACGCGAACGAATCTTGTGTGTCACGATACTACTCGTAACATGCCACGTCCGGCTGCTTTCGAGTCATGACCTGAGTGGACATCCCTGTCTACTACGCGGGCATCAAGCAGGAAACTTGCCGGAGCACGGCCGCGCTCCGAGGTTCGAGATAGCCGCGGCGGCAAGGGCCTCTTGCTCTCTGGTGCTGTGCGAGCTCCGAGCTCTCGAAAATCAGCGAGACGGCCTCGGCGGGGTCCTCGTAAGTGCCCTATTCTAGCTGCCCGCGTCAAAGCAAGTCTCAGCGCGAGAGAGTCCCGACCCCAGTCGTGATCCCTCTCTAAGAGTCTGCAGACCGGGATGCGTCCATGATGGCTCCTCCCGAACCTGGAAGGACGAGTAACCGGGTGTTTTCTCCCGCTACAGGTGTTCGGGAAACGTTCCCGACAGTCGCGGGCGGAAGGGAGGGAAGAAAGATATGGCGTTGCGTGGGAGCATGGTCTGCCCACTTAGGCAGGTGCTGTCTTCCGGTAAAGGACAAGTACGAAGTCTCTCACAGGGTAGGACCCAGCGCCAGTTCAGGCGAGGTCAGAAAACTGTGAGTGTGACGCTTTCGATGGTGGTGAGGAGAGGTGAGAGGTGCGGTAAGAAAATAAGGGGAATGAGAGGTTGGAGATGCGCGGCAAAAGACGGGGGGAGAGAGGGAAGGGCTGAGTGAGGGTGCTGGAGTCTGGATGCTGGGTCCTGGGTCCCTGGGTCCCGCGCTGGGCAGGAACGGCTTGAGAGCACCTAGTAGACGAGGCGTTTGAGAGGACGGGCATTCGCCGGCCGGGGGAGAAGGGGAATTGGGACGACGGGGGTTTTCAGGACCAGAGAACGAAGTATAAATACAAGACGACGAGGAGCGAGGGACACTCGAGAGATGGACGGCAGGTTATGCATACATACATATTTACACCGAGTACGCCGATATTCACATCTCTGCGTAGAACGTGGAGGCACAGGATAATAAATAAGTTGGGGTGGGTATACCACACTCGTCGTGACCTTTCTGAATGTTTCTCCATGTCGTGTCTCGGAATTGCTTCTGTCTTTAAGAGTATGATAATATAACCCGAAGCCCGAGATTGAAAAGGGAAGGGAGGCCATTCGGTTTCGTCTTGGGATCCTGGCTGGGTCGCCCACGAAGCCATTTCGCAGCTAGCTATTATCTACAAGACAACGAACCAAAGCTTCTTCTGTCTACCTGCCCGAGGGTGCTTGTTTGTTTGTTTGTCTTCTCTGCAGAGAGAGAGAGACAGACAGACAGATAGATAGGTGTTCGATCCATACGTCCGATCGATACATAATGTACATTCATACATACATACAGTAATATACCCAACATGGACTACCATCTAAGGACGGTGGCAGGCAGACAGGTAGCGAGACTCTGTGTCCGGTTCCGAGTCTCAAGTTATCAAGTCTCCGTCAGCTGTGGAAGTATATACTACTTGTAGTATGTGTTTGTCCTGGCTAGATGCATGGGCATGCATACATACATATACACGCCAGCTGAGATAGATAGATCGACAGACAGACAGACAGACAGACAGATGGCCTGAGAGAGAGGGGAGAGAGCAGAGGCAGAAGCAGAGGGGAGGATAGAACGAGGAAGGGAAAGGGGAATATAAATATATATATATATATGTGTGCGTGCATGTCTGTCTCCACGTAGTAATAGTCCTCCCGGCCTGCTTCCCAAGTCCCCGAGTTCCGTTATGAAATCGGTGTGTAACGTTGTCGAATTTCGATATTATCGTTTGTTGTTATCGATGTTGTTTTTGTTCCTTGCCCTCATCTCGCTGGCTGGCTGGCTGTCCCTGAATCCTTCCTGTGCCCGATCCGATGCCTCCCAAGGACTACAATGTGGCTTCCTACCGCTCGGCGGGAACGATATTACACGACGGGGGGAATTCTGTGCCTGCCTGCCTGCCGGCGTCCCTTCCGTAGTAGTAGTAGTACTACTGGTACCGGGTGTCGAGGACATACAATACGTCGTCCATTGTTGTCAGGGCACATATACTGTACATATATATCCCTAGCGTACTGCTCACTGGATGCAACTTACCCACCACTGGGACATCACCCGATGCCATGTCCTTCATTCACGTACATAGCTTATCAGCCAAAGTGTATAGAGATCGAGGAAGCATAGAGTCTGGCAAAAAAAAGACGTCCTCCCACAAACCCGGATAGGGGGCAAAGGTCACAGTTTCTTCTATCCACAAGTACCTGTGTACAGTAGACATGCCAAATAACTTTTTCGGTTCTGACGCTGACTTCACACTTTGTCGATCCCAACGCCATCATCGTTCCTCATGGGTCGCGGAACTGAAACATTGGTCTCAACGGGCCCGGTAAAAGTGGATATAGAATGGAAATCTATTGGGTAATGCCTTCTTGATGTTGGTGGAGGGATTGCTGCTTTTATCGCTGTGGAGTCAGTAAGCATATCCCCGTACGAGCACAACCGGTGCAGTTCTCCCCCTACCAATGCTCTCTCTGATCTTTTGCAGTCTAAATGCAGTCAGTATCTCGGCTCTCGTTTAAAAGCTCTCAATCCCGTACTGGAACTCGGCTCTCGGTGGCCTCGCCATGAGCAAGCACCTTCATCCATTCCATCCTCCAAGGTCAAGCCTAGCATTTCCACTGACAGCTCTCATGACCCCTCGATCACCACCGTTGTTGCCTGTTTCGAAGTTCTCATCTCCCACACGATCGGCTTCGAGCTCGTCCCTCCATATGTCGTCTGTAGCCGGGGACAACATCTCTGCTCGATTTCCGCCCGTGGCGGCAGCGTCAGCCTCGAGCGCACGCTGCATAAACCGACTCTCGTCCCTGATCCTCAACCTCTGCAATCGAACACCTTCAGCCTGCACACTTCTCGTCAATTCCCGGTTGCGCCGTTCACGCATATTGATGGCTCGTGCAGTTGGACTTTGCTGGGCGGTTTCCCGATCCCAACCTGGTCGATCACGGTGTGCAACAGAGACCGATCGGATGCGGAGCATTCCCGGAGGTGCCGTATATACAGCATCTTGCTCCGTGATCAGCGGATGCCTCGCCACATCGGCGGGAGTTTGAGGCTGAGAATCTGCAGGGAGTGAATCATTGTACACGGCGTAGGAGCTCCCGTCCAGATATCGAGGTCTGTGAGGGCGAGGCTCAGTGCGCGGTAGGGTAGCAGCATTACGAATCGGTGTCGGTGTGCTGGGCAGTCGAGGAGAGCCGGGAGAAGCAGGTTCTTGCCCGAAGTAGTCGTTTGCTGGCGTTCGTGGAAGAGGAGGTGAGCTTGGCATATCTGTTATGAAATACATCTGTCCAAGGACGTCGCTGCTGCTTCGACGGCGTCCTAAGGTAGGTTGAGCAATGTCTGTGCTGGATCTATGCACGGAGCCATCACCTGGTGCTGATTCTGTTGCTGGACTTGCGAACATGACGTCTTGTGCTGGATATATTGGAGCCGTGGTATGGATCGCGGGTGGCAGTTCGAGGGGTGCATCCTCCAACGAGTCGTCCAAGGAGATCTGATTCAGGCTGTCCAGGATCTGATCCTGTGTCAATGTTTCGGCCACAGAGTCCTGCTCGGAGGACTGGTATGGGTAGGTGTGACTTCGTCGCTTGTACTTTTTCCGCATGGGTGTGGCTGTCGGCACAGGAACCGGTCTTCCCTCTTCTGCGTCAGGAGAAGGACGCTCTGGTGACACCACCTCCGCAAATCGAAGAAGCGAGCTCTTACGAGGAGCATGTTGATTGAGGTGCAGGGTCGGTCCGAGGGACCTGGGCGACTTGGGGCTCCCGTTGGGAGAATTTTCACTTCCCTGACCGAGAATGTCTGAAAGGTGGTCTGGGGGCTCGTCTTGGAACTCTTCAATATCGGGAGAAAGATCCGGGAAGCAGGTAATCAGCCCATCTATGGACTCGGAGGAACCGTGACAAACAGGACTCTTCTCCTTGCCTTGGTCTCTGTCACTTTCTCCCGGCGACGGCTGGGGACGACGGTAGGACAACTCGACGGTACTCGAGGTTGACAGACCGAAGCCTTGCAGGCCAGGATAGACTGCATCTGCCGCAGCGTTGCGATAGTCGTTCAGATAGCGGATAATGTCATCCTTCTTGAAGCCTTGCCTCAATAAGCCTTGATAGATTTGCGTCTGTCGGAGATGGAACTCGATATCGCGCTCCGACAGGGACAGGCTGCTGGGCGGTAAGCGAATCATGATGCAGTAGTTAGTGATGAGAACAGGATCCCGGCTACGAATCCGACTTGATAGGTTTGAGACAGAAAGAAGTGTGTATCCATCAGGGCATCAGGCGAACAACCGCCATGGCGGAGGGAGGAACGTCACCTTCGCAGTCTCCTCGTGTCGCCATGCGAAGGGGCAGGAGCGACGAGGGTGGCCACGGAAAGATGTGGCCTTTTTACCTTGGACATTTATAGCAACATTTGCTGTGGACATGATGATCATGGCCATGATGGACGGAGGCTGACAGCTCTCACGTCGTGGGCTCTTCTTCAGCACACCACAATCCTGCCAAGTCTGCCCGCCATCATCACACAAGATGTCTTGTTTTTGGGAGGAGTCCTGCGTACAGCGTACAAGGTCGAGAAAGCTGTCGTCGACCCCCCCAGGAAAGCGTTTTACGTATGTGGATGCCAGGAAACCCACATCTCGCGGCGGTAGTGGTCACATGAACTCCACCGCAATCTGGCGTCAATCTGCGGCAGACCTGACTGACTGACTGACAGAGGGAATCATCTCAGGGCTGGTCGTGATTTGGGGGCTTTTGTACGAGGTACTGGGTACTCGATACTCGATACGCAGCACACAGTCATTTGCAATATAGGAACGAGCAGATCCGGCGTCGAGGTTCGCTCGGCTATGGAACAGCATTGGCTGATTGGTGGCTAATCATCTGTCTAGGGAACAGCGCTGCGCTGCGCACACCAACAGCCATCATCCTCACCATTCACCCACCATTCACCAACTTCTCGCTCCTGTTGTTCCTTCATTCTTCCAATACGCCCTGCCCACGCTCGCTACCCGCTACAAGAAGCTCCCTGCCCCTCGGCGCCATCGACGTCGGCGCCACAACGGGAAACACACTAGCATCAGACTGCTCCCTGCCAGATCAGAGCCCAGGGGACTCGCAGTCCGCAATCTGAAACGACTCGCAATCTGTGTCTTGCACCCTCGCACCTCGACGAAACATTCCACACCTTCGCTGCTGCTGCTGCTGCTGCTGCTGCTGGTCCTGCCGCAGCGATGAGGACACCAGAATCTCTTCTCTAATCAAGCCGCTCACCACAGAGACGTCATCGGACACCTCGTTCCTCCTCTCCAAGCCACATCGTCCACGAGTCTGAATCCGACCCCCCCCCGGTGCCACGATGGCCGACCTCTCACTTGGCCCGCTGAGGATTGCGAATCCCGACGACGCTTCGCCAGACACCGCCCTACAACCTCAGGCGTCCGCCTCTCAGTTCCCCCGGGTTTCGCCCCTGGTCGACGCCGATGGGAGGACAGAATATATCTCCGCCACCCCTCAACGCTCTCGCAGCCCGGTATCCCCAATGGAGTCCGAGACCAGCCCCGAAGACCTCCCATCCCAGGCGGTAGCTTCCTCCCCGTTCTCGTCAATACCGTCGAATGCGCCTTCTCAGCCTACGTTCCCCCAAAAGAACGCGTCTGCAGAGCGGCTCGCCCCGCGACAAAACATCCCCTATAATTATCAAGATCAGCAACAAGCACAGTTCCCTCAGTACCCGACCATGATGCCTCAAAACCTCCACGACCCCCGGTCCAACGCCTCACGTCCAGGGTCGGCGTATTACACTCAATTGCCGGTCAACGGTGCCGCCGCCAATGGGGTTTCCCGGCAAGGATCGTATAGAGTTCGCAGTGATGGCTCAAGCTCGACGGGGTTTCCTCAACGGACGTCCTCCAAGCGCTCGGGGCTAGGAGATGTCGCGGGGGTGCCATCAAGAGACGATAGTCACACCGAGAGAGCATATGGTCAAGGACAATATACTCCGGGCAACGGTCCTTTGCCTCCGCGACGAACGTCTCGAGGCGTCGCGGGACCCCGCATGGGAACCACGCCCACCGGCACGACACCACTCTCAACCACCCCTATTTCCATTCAGACACCCCTGTCGAGTTCTCCGTACAATATGGAAGATCGGCCGTTGACCAGTGCCGAGGAATGGCAAGAACGGGGAGCCGCCGTCGGCCTCAAGAAGGAGATCGGGGCTGACGGCACCGTAGCTTACAAGCCGGTCAAGAAGGGCGTGAGGGACTTTAATTTTGGCCAGACACTCGGAGAGGGCTCCTACAGTACCGTCCTCGCCGCGACAGATCGAGCCAGTGGAAGACAGTATGCCATCAAGGTCCTGGACAAGCGGCATATCATCAAAGAGAAGAAGGTCAAATACGTTAATATCGAGAAAGACACTCTGAACCGCTTGACAGACCACCCCGGCGTGGTCAGACTCTACTACACATTCCAAGATGAGCGGTCCCTGTACTTTGTGCTGGATTTGTGTCCGGGTGGCGAGTTGCTCGGAGTCCTGAAGCGAATGTCGACTTTTGATGAGGAGTGTACTCGATTCTACGGCGCACAGATATTGGACACCATCGAGTACATGCATAGTCGCGGCGTTATACATCGCGATTTGAAGCCCGAGAACCTGCTGCTGGACGACAACATGCATATCAAGGTCACAGATTTCGGGACGGCCAAACTGCTTCCTGAGAGGCGAAATTCCGATGGCCGGGTCGATTTCGAACCTGATTCCACGTCGGCGGAGAATAGGGCCAACTCGTTTGTGGGAACGGCAGAGTACGTGAGTCCCGAGCTGCTGACCGACAAGAATGCATGCAAGGCGAGTGATATGTGGGCCTTTGGTTGCATTATCTATCAACTATTAGCTGGACGGCCGCCTTTCAAGGCCGTCAACGACTATCAGACCTTCCAGAAGATTGTTGCCCTCGACTACGAATTCCCCCGGGGCTTTCCAGACGTCGCTCGAGATCTGGTCGAGCGATTATTGGTTCTCGACCCTCAAAGACGGTTATCACTGGAGCATGCAAAGAACCATTCTTTCTTCACCGGGATTCGATGGGGTCGCGACTTGTGGAAGCAGAAGGCACCACGGTTAAAGCCGTATGTTCCTCCAGCGGCACCGCCCATCAAACTCAACGGCAGCGGTGCACAGGACAGCTATCCGCCCGACATTGTCCCTGGTCACAGCACGCATCCCACCATGCTGCCCCCCAACAACCAAAAGCCGCTGCCGCGAGTTGTCACAGAACTCCCACCCCCCAGCCAACTCGATATCGAATGGTCTCCTGTTCTCACGAGAAACAACGAGAGGATCCTCAAATTAGGCAATCTGTCGGTATTGTCGACGCCCAACCCCCACAGTCCGCACAGCAACGAAGCCGGAGGGAAACTGTCGAGATTGTTCGGTGGCAGCAACAACAAGAAACGGCAAAGATTGGTCATGGTGACATCGAGTGCCCGAATCATTATTGCGGCGGCTGGTGGAGAGGAGAAGAAGTCCAAGTCCGAGATCTCACTCCTCTCGCCAGGCACCGAATACTCCAGTGCGACAGATTCCAAGGGAGTGACTCAGTGGATTGTCAATACGGTAAGTTCCCCGTCATCAGGTCACTACTGAGATGGAGCTCTAACACACTGAACAGAAGGATCGACACTACGTGTTCGAGGACCCGAAGCCACAGTCTGGCGATCAGATGTCGACGGCTGTTGCCGCGCAGGAATGGCTGGATGCACTGGGGCGGGCACGAGAAATTGCGATATCTCTGCAGATGCAGAATGCCAACAACACGTACTCAAACGACGACGACGCTCTCAATCTCACGTCCTCGGCGTTGTCGAGTCATGCCAGCACCATGGACCAAGCGACAGATCTAAGTCCCCATAGTGTGAACCAGTCCCACTCGGGGCGAGGAATGCTGCACAAGCAACATTCAGGCGGCGATGCAGAGTCGCTGAAGGGGAGAAAGCGGTTCAGCAAACGGCAGTCCAAAAGTGGACTGACTGCAGTCTTCTAGAAAGAGTGTGGATTGTGTGGCGTTCATTTCTTGACCCTGAATTAGCATAGCATGGCAACTTGTTGGGCGAGATCAGCATGGCGATGGGGGTTTCATAAAGAGCATCGACACAGCGGCCGCTGCAACTGTAAAGAAGGGCTCTGACCAAAATCTAGAAGAGAGGATATATAGCTGTCGGAGAGGCTATTGATGAGACTAGCCACATCAACGGGACTTGCCGTTCGGATGATCTTTTTCTTTTCGATTCGATTTGCCTGGTTCCAGCCCGGTGCGTAGTGTCTGGAGTTGGCCACAAATGAGAGTGTGGCGTCGGCCTCGATGTTTGTGTGCCTTGGCTCAGCTTCCCTCACGACTGGCTGACATCAAACTTGACTCGAGCGGACCTGCAGCTGAACTACGCCTCATGCGGCCGTCGCTCTGCTGCTCCTTCGCCACTCCTCCGTCCCCTGGTAGCCTTCTTCGAAGAGAAGACGTCGAAAAACGCTTTGCTGAATGTCTTGACAGGCACTGCAAACCCGGGGCAACCCAGAGTTGTCAACTGGCCAAGTTTGCGTGCGACAAGCTCAAGACCGACCCGAAGTCCCTCTCGGCTGCGAGTCCATCTTGTGACCCTCGAGAAGTGCGCCCGACTTCCGTGGGCGACAACCCAAGCGACGCGTTCGAAAAGGCAGCTTGGTGGAGGGCAGTGGAAGAAGTGGGCAAGGGCGGTGACGAAGTCGAGTTCTACAACACCTTCTCCTACATGAGCTTTCCTCGGATGCGCACAGCTCCTCATGACAGCGACTCGGGGTGAAGTGACATGAACCAGCAAGCTGCTCCTCCCGTCCAGCAAGCAAACCGAACCTCACTTTTACCCATGGTTTCACGCGCCGAGCTCGCCGACCACCCTCTCCCTCACGCCCGTTCCCTCTCGCAGTCTCGAGCCGCGCCCTCTGTCGTCTCCCGGACCTCACGATCGAGACACCACAACCGGGGCCGCTCGCAGTACGGGGGCTCTTCTCATGTGCCGCAGAACGAGTTTCCCTTCTTCTCGCACACCGGGGACGTCGAGATAGTCGTTTCCTGCGATGGACAAGAGAAGAGGTACCTTCTACACAGTTTCACACTGGCGCAATTCTCGGGCTTCTTTCAGGCCAGCACGAGCGAACAATGGTCTCGAGGCCAACCGCAACTAAATGGCCACAATGTCCCGTCTGCTTCACGACCTGATCAGGTCCTGAGTGCCATCGGAGAGGAGTCGTCTCAAGTCAGCTCGACTCCTGGGCCTTCCATTCCTGCCCCTCCACCTCGAGCAGCAGCAGCAGCACCACCACCAACACTGGCACTGACTCCGAATCAAAGGAGGAGATGGAGGTTTGAACTCGACTGGGAGGATCTCGAGGAGGACGAAGAGCCTATCTTGGTCCAGAAGACGCCTGAGGGCAGTCTTTTTTCTGCTGCAGTCGTGCCACCGCCGCCACTTTCTCCGCCAGAACGTCCACGGCATCAACCCATTCACTCGTCCTTTTTCCGTTCCATGGCCAATCTGACCTTTTCCCATCACGGCCCGGCGACTCAATCCAGTGCACAACTCGCAGTGGCTGCCCCCGATCCATGTCTCACGAACCCGCTGCTCAGAGACTACGACAACCTGTTTCGCATTTTCTACAACTACGCTCCAGTCCTCAACTCCTCCAACATCGCCTCCGCCTATTCCGAATGCAAGGCTCTTCTGTCCCTCGCCGACATGTACGATGCTCTTTCCGTAGTTGGACCTCGGATCGACCATCACCTCCTGCGTTTCTCGTCCCGGCTCTTCAAGCAGATTGCCAAATATCCGCCGTCATATCTCAAACTGGGCTACCTTGCACGGAGTCGGACCATCTTCTCAGAAGCGCTGACCCACGTCGTAGGCCAATGGCCAGCCGCCCTGCCATACATCAAGCCGCCCAATCACTCTGGTGCCGGATACGAAGTGCCTCAGTCGGTCATTGATTTGATCGAAGACAAAGTCGACGAACTGGAGGAGTTGAAGCAGAAGGTCGAGACGAAGCTGTTCAGGTTGACTCTGACCACCACGCGCGGGGAGAGGGTCAATCCGGCCAATGACTATCTAGGCTGGTTGGCCGTCAGTCTCTGGCGCCAATGGTTGGCCGAGAATACGGCGCCCGAGATTCGAGGGATCTTGAAAAACAGCCCAAATTCACGACCCGGGAGCGGGCATGCGAATGCGAACATATCACAGAGTCCCCATGGCCGACCACTGCCGCAGGGAACGGTCGCCCCGAATTCCATGCCCCCGCCTCCTCCCTATCAGCCTCATGCGCCCGCGCCCTCAGCCATCAATACGGGTCGCATCTTTCGTCTGATCGGTTCTTCAAACCCCGACACGTTCCTGGCTCATGATGAGCTCAAACGGTTCCTCAAGCTCTCGCCGCCGGGCTCTTCTCACTCTCTTTATACGCGCGACAATCTCCGGCGATTTGAGCGCAAGATCGACGAGATCAAGAACGTCGCGCGGGACATTGTGAAGCCCTTGACCCGGAACTGCCTCGAACTGGATTTGAGGAGTCTGAGTGACGGCGGGGGTGGAGGACTGGGCTACCTGACGTGTATGAGGTGTGAGGAAGACGAATTGCCCTGGGAGCTTTGATTGCACGACCTCTTTTTTTGGGTTTGTGTGTGTGTGCACGCCTTATGACGAATGAACGAACGAACGAACGAACGATTTCACGATGTTTTTTTTTCATTTTACGGGGTGTTTTGATGATGTTTGTGTTTACGATTGTCGTATTTAGCTCATGTAGTTCAACCATTGATTGATTGACTGATTGACTGATGTTGATGTTGTTGTTTTGCTTTTGTTTTCTTTTGGGAAAATGAAATCATGAGGAGCCGAGAGCGAAACTGACTAACTAACTGTGTGTGTCTATGAGTCCGTGTGTGCATGCATGCATGCATGCACTATTCTGGTCGTGCGTGATGAAGGGGGAATGTCGCAGGTTCAAGGAGAAGGAGAAGGAGAAGGAGAAGGAGAGAGCCATTATGCATGTTATGTACATACTGTAAGTCGTGGCATGTGTTCTATTGGGCATGAAACACCCAGTCAGTCAATCCGCCAGCCCCCGAAACCAAGACAGTGTACTCGGTAGAGAGATAAACCGTGTGTGTGTGTGTGTGTGTGTGTGTTCGATCGTGTAGTGTGTGTGTGTGTGTGTGTGTGTGTGTGTGTGTGTGTGTGTGTGTGTGTGGATAGTAGATAGATAGATAGATAGGTGTCCCCCCCGAAAACATCCATGATTTGATCCAATTCAATTCAAACCAATTCAAAAGCAGACATGTGTTTAGCGCCCTTTCGCCGCTCTCGTCACACCCACCCGGCCGGCCGGTGCTGCCCTTCCTCCTTTCTCATCCTCTGACGAGCCTCGGCAACACCCTATGTCCCGTTCAGTGCTTTTGATGTCCATCATCATTTACCGGATGTGTCGGGATGTTGGTCCAATCCCAGGCATTGCGCCGCCCGAGGTGGTCGATCCGACGGGAGCAAAAGTAGTCGGGATGCTGCTGGGGTGTTTCCATTGCGTTGACGTTGACGTTGACGTCCGTGACACGCGTGACATTGTCGGGGCAGCGGTCTTCTTCTTCTTCTTCGCTTCCCTGCCCGTCATAGCAAGACTCGGTGTCTGCGTCGTAGCCGCGGTCGATGTCGTCGTTGGTGTCGATGGCGGTGTCTTCCCGCTCGAATTCCGTCACGGGGTCGTAGAGCCAGACAGCAAAGTTGAGACTGAGGCAGAGAAAGGCGTGGTGGGTGAATGTCTGGTGAGAGCCCGGAGCCCAGAGCGAGAGGCTATCAGGCAGGGCGGTGTTTGTGGCCATCCATGGAAGGATATAGGTCGTGACACGCTTGAGCAGGAGGTCGTAAGCAGCAACAAGGAAGATGAGACCCCGAAAAGAGGTTGGTCTGGGGAGGCTGAGCATGGTGATTGCTGACAGGTAGCTGAAGTTGTGGGGTTGCTGTGTACTCTTGTGTTTGTATTGTTGTTGTGTTGTGGATTGAAGGTTGTGCCGTTGTCAGGTAAACGTTGAGCAGGAGAGGATTGATATATGCGAGAAGAAGGTTGACACGCCGGGGCTGGCTAAGGCAACCCGATTGCACACAAAGATCGTGAGGAGTAAATCCCCCTTCATTGTCATCGGCGTCTCACTCTGGGGCGATGTGATTTTGTTTTCGACCGAGTACACGAAGCCCATGTCTCGTCGCGGCTTTGTTGGGGGATATTGAGTCTCATGTCGAAAGGGCTGGACCCAGCATTTGAAGCATCTTCGCTTGTCCACCTTGAGACTGGAGGCTTGCCTCTTGGGACAATTCTTTCACGTATCCCTGAGAACCGTCGTTGGGAGCAATGTCTGGCTAAGACACCGATTCGGGATGTTCAAGACAAGGCTGAGGTGTAAACGAAAACGATGTGAAACAGGACATAGAGGCAGGAGATCCGAAACCACGAAGATGTGATCTAGGACGATGCTAGCTTTCATACCCGGCCTAACCAGAGCAGCTTTTGCGGTGTCAGCCAATGGCCATGGTCTCTCCAAGTTGGTACAGCGTTTGGCTCGCTGCTCCGTTGTTCTCTTGCGGCTTTCAACTCGACCTGGTTGATTTTCCACGAGCGGAGCACCCACGTGCTGGCCGCTGCGAGCAGGAACATGCAGCCCACAAAGATTTGCGAGCTGAGGTAGCCCGACGCACTGACCATCTCCAGGGCAATCGGCTCCGCGAAAGTGGTGGGCACCACCAAGGACAGGCAGATCACGCCGAAGGAAGAAGGCAGCCGTTTGAGCCCGACCACTTCGGCGGTCACAGGCGTGACTGTATTCCAGAAGATGCCGCAGACGCATCCCGACATGAGAGCGAAGGCGATGAGGACGCCGTAGGATTTCGCCGGCACCCACAGGGCGAGGCAGAGAACTCCGGATACCGCCGTCATGATGGTCGCCATGTTGATACGGCCAAAAGCATCCGAGTAGTATCCAATAACAGGTCTGCCGATTCCAAGGCCAAGGTTGAGCACAGCGCCAACGACGGACCCTTGTGAGGCGGTGAGACCAATAGATGTCGCATAGTTGGGCAAGGAGTAGAGTAGCACAATATAGCCCAGTTCAGTCAGCACCCCCCAAATAACAACCAGAATTACCTCAATGTGGCCGTATTCGCGGTAGTTGAAAGCATTCTGCAAAGGTTGAACGGCCTTGTTGCGGTCTTTAAGCAAGAGCGAACACGCTCCGTTGACGGCGAGTCCGCAGAATGCCAATATGCGGTAAGCCCAGTTGATTCCCAAGCGCTGAACGATGGCGTTGGCCGCGAGATTGTACGCCAATCCTCCAAGGCCAGCCCCCGACGACGCAATGCCCATGGCCAGACTCCGGCGGGTGGAGAACCATTGGGGAAGAACAGCAGTCGCCGGGATATAGAGAAAGCCCATCGCCCAGCCGAAACACACCCCTTGGGTCATGAAGAGGTGCCATATCTCGGTCGCATATGAGGCGCCGAAGAGGGCAGCGAAGACAAGGACGGTGCCGACGAGAAGGGTTGCCCTCATGCCTAGGTGTCTCACGGAGATATTCACGACGGGGGCACTGAGCAGAGACTGAGAGATCGAGAGGCCGCCGATCAAGGCGTACTCGAGATGTGACGCGTGTTGAAAAGCAGGATCACTGAGATAGTGAGCGAGGAAAATACCCCAAGCCTGTGGCGCATGAGCTTCTACCTCAGTCTGCTCCTTTCAGGGCACTCACGCTGTTAAGTCCCCAAGTGTGGGCATTGATCAGGAAGACACAGGCCGTGCATACCCAGCCATAGCCACCGTTCGGAGGCACGTCTTCGGCAGAGACAGCATCTAGGGGTGGATTGTCCTCCTGTTGATTGACAGGTGGTTCCTCGAAAGCATGATGCCCATTATTGTCGGGCACAACGAGCTCAAAGATCTCGGCATCGCTATTGTCTTGGTGGTTGGGAGAGTTGGACATGGTCGTCGAAGGTACTTAATGCCTACGTATGAAAAGATGAGGCATACACTGTAACAGTGTTCTAATCGTGGCAGCAGGAACGAGCAAAGCTGCTGGGTGGAAGTAGGTGACATGCTGGCCGGTGGAAATACCCGAGGCTTACAGAGACACCGCCAGATGCCAAAGGGCGTCGAACCAAGTGGATGTGCACCAGAATAGCCGGATTGCTGCCTGCTCTGCCCAGGGTTGATGTTTGCTATGAGAAGAAATATCCATTGCCATGAAGCCACCGCGTTCTTGGTAAAGACCCAGAAAATACCTCATGCTGCATGATGCAAGACTGGCTATCGAATGCCTCCTCATCTTCGTGACCCTTGTCAGCGTCCTCGATGGTCGTTCAGAAGTCTAAGGAATGCATTCGCAAAGCGTTCAACAAGATATAACGTAGGCGCCGTGAATCTCCTATGCAGGGGAGTTGGCAGGCACCCTTAGGTGCGGTGTTGGCGTGGGAATAGCTGAGCTCGTCGATCCTGTGTTGGCTGGTGCTCCAGTCCCCTTGACATATATCACTTCCCCTTCATTAGACTGTCCCGCCCTTTTTTCGATAGCTGACAAACTTCTCCGGCATGATGGCTGTGGCAGCCTCGAGTACCTCGCCGACTGCAGAACATTCGAGTCTGCTGATGAGTCGTCCGACTCTTCCTCGATGTCGATGCTGTGTGGAGAGGGCTCGCTTGCAGTCAACCGTCGGCGAGCGTTTCCCGGCAGAGCTCTTGACCCCTCCACTTCTGGTTGATCACTCTTGAGCTCGGGGCTCCCGACATGAATTTCTCCTGTGCTATCGGCAGAGTGTTCCCCGCTACTATCTAAAGCCTCGCGACCTTGTCCTGCCCACTTTCGCTTCAGAGGAAAAAGAAAGGGTGACTCCGGTTCCAGAACGACGCCAGGTGAATCCCGGGGAACTTTCACGGCAGACCACTTAATATTGTTTTCCTGGTTGGAAAAGATCGTCTGGGGTCTGGCCGGGGCTGAGAATCCGCCAACGGGATTGCCCAGATGATTTCCAGAGGCAACCCTGGGCTGCCCAACTGAGAAACTTATACCCTGGTTGGCATCCTGGAGTCGTCGAGGCCTGAACGTTCGAGCGTCGGGGTTCAGACCTGACTCGGACGATCCGCTTTTCCCTGGCGACTTTGAGCGCGACAATATCCTCCCCATCATATGTGCAAGGGCTTTGGCGTTCGTCCTATCTCGTGAGTCTACAGCATGATGAGATGCTTGATGACTTCGATGCTGCTGTTCTCGGATGCACGACGTGTCGCTGGTGGACTCCGGATCTTTGCGCTCTGCGTCCTCTTCCTTGATTCCTCTGCTCGTATCCTTGATTAGCAGTCGACTCTCGTGCTCACCGGCATCAATATCATTGATCAAGACCAGTGTATCCTTCTTTTGTGGAGAGCGAGACCGGTATCTCAATTCGCCCTCCTCCGCCTGGAGACGCAGTTGGCTGTGCCAGAGCTCACTGTAAGGACCATTTTGCTTGATCAAAGTGTCATGTGTGCCCGACTCGGTAATCTGGCCATCTTCAATCACGAGTATATGATCGGCATGAATGACGGTAGACAGACGGTGCGCAATCACAAACGCCGTCTTTCCTGCACATAGTTGGCGGATACTACTCTGGATCTTCTTCTCCGTGATGCTGTCGACACTGCTAGTAGCTTCATCCAGGAGCAAAAGATTGCCCTTTTTGAGGATCGCTCGTGCAATTGCAAGCCGCTGAAGCTCACCACCCGAGAGTTTGGTGCCGCGCTCGCCCACCTTTTCTTGATAGCCATTCGTAAACGACATGATTTTTTCGTGTAGAGCTGCTGACTTACAAGCTCCAATAACCTCTTCGTCCGTACAATCAATATCGGGATATTTGATGTTTTCCAACACTGACATGTTGAATACGACAGGATTCTGAGGAACCATGGCAATGTGTTTGCGAAAGGTTTCCATCTTGATGTGTCTGATGTCCTGACCATCGATCAAGACGCGGCCCTGGTCAGGGTCGTAGAACCGGAAAAGGAGTTTCAAGATGGTGCTCTTTCCTCCTCCCGTCTGTCCAACTAAAGCAATAGTCTTACCAGGGGCCGCCCGGAAGGTAATGCCTTTGATCACTTGTCGTTTGCCATCATAAGAGAAAGAAACATTCTCGAATTGGACGGCACCCCCCAAGAACACGAAAGATTGAGCATCTGGTAAGTCTTGAATGCGTGGCTGCTTTTCTAGTATTGCCACCAGCTTCTCAGCGTTGACTAGCTTTTCAGCTACCCTTGACAATTCACCTGCCAAAGTTGATAGGGGTCCGGTGAGTTGTGCCCAGTACGTGATCAAGACCACAAAGTCACCAATTTTACGCTGACCATGTGCGATCTGCAAGGCGGCCACACTGCACGCGGACACAAAGCTGATGCACGGGACCAGATGGCGCAAGCCCCGAGTCCAAAACTCATAGAACCACCAAAGGAGCATTCTGTTCCGCGTAATGTCGCCTTTCTCGCTATACTTCTGAATCTCATAGGGAATGCGTCCGAATTGGCATACTGTGGACCAATTTAGCGTAGACTCGCTCATCTGATAGTACTGCTCGTGGTACGCATCAAGCCAAGACCGTCGCATGGCCCTCTTTCTACCGAGTGCCTTGAAGGTCATCCAATAGAACAGAACAACCATTGTTGCAATGATGAAGGTCATGTAAAGCCCGAAGAGACAGGTGAGGACGACGATTGCCGAAGTCAAGTCGATGATTGTGGGCAAGAATCGAAACAAAGTGTCATGAAGCAAGTCAATCACATCTTGGCCCTGATGCATCGTCTGCCAGATGATCGAAGATCTCTTAGAATCGTGGAAGTCGGCGGAAAGATTCATGATGTGACTGTAACAGTGTCGCTGTAAGGCCACTACCAGGTCGGTGCTTACCCGCCAAGATAGCCAGGTTTCAAAGAGTGGGAAGCCTGCATGCGACAACATGAGTGTGAGCAGCACGTACAGAGCAATTGTCTTCCAAGGGATCATTTCTCCAAGACCGTTGACAACAATGCCGAGACTGAGGGGAAGAGCTATTGTGACAATCCTGGTCAAAACACTGGTGATGCACATTCCACCAAAGTAAAGCCGCAGTTTCGAAGACCTTGGATACATGTATGGCACAAAGAGCTTGAAAGATGCGAGGTACTGCCAGAGCGGTCTGTTTCGAACGCGCAGTCTGTCTGCTTCCTCGTTTTCTCGAGCCTCATTGTTCAAGTCCGAGCTGCTTGGAGATGATTCGTTGTCCAACAGCGGTCGCGTTTCGTCCTCATTTGCTATGTTTTTCTTTTGATGTACGAACCAAAGAAGGAGGCCGTCTCCGATAAGTCCGATCTCAACTGCTAGTTGGAGCCCTTGAAGCAGAGACCGTGCGAATAGCTGCTTGTCCTTAGATGATGTGCCAGGGAGCGAGAGTGCAAAGACCGTGCCTTGGCAGACAAGAAGGACCGACCAAGTTCCAAGATGAGGATATGATGTGATGGTGGGAGTCCCGATGAGATTAAGTAAGAGTACGAGCCAGATCAAAGTGAGGAAGAGCGCGTAGACTGCGTCCGGGTCAGAGATTTGGTAGGTGTCAGATCTCTTCAAGTCAATCACCGCTTCCGCCGAAGACAGTGAGGCGGCGATACAAGCTAAGCTGATTTGAAACTTGCGCAGGTTTCCTTCTTTCGGTTCTTTGGCTCCGGAGAAGGAGCTGGCGATCGTGGCAACGGCGAAGAAGGTTGAGGACGCGACAATGGTAAGGACTTGAAACACCCTCAAAATGAAAGGGCTTCCATGTAGTGCGTAGGATAGCATGTTTGCTGTTTCGCGAGTAGTGAGGTTCGCAGTCATGTAGTAGAGTAAGAGGGATACTCGGATGCTAAGAAGTGTCGGTGAAGCGTTAGTTCGAGAAGGGATGGCTGCCTGGACCAAGGCTAGTAGGCTGGACCTGATCGAGCATACATATACTTTTGTTCGATACCGCAAAACAGACTGCCGAAAGCAAGAGGAGTGTTGGCTTAGCACCGAAGGAGACTATGGGCGAACAGAGATGATGGTGAGATGTCCTGGAGCGTGAGTCGAGCTCTTGAGTCTTTGGAAAAGCTTGAGGCGCTGCTCCATCCACGCAGCAGGAGCCACCGGCCTGAAAAAGAAGGTCGAAGCCATGTTGAGACTCGTTGTTTACAACTGCATGAGCAGCTGATTAAGGAGAATGTAGGAGAAGGTGAAGTGAATCGTGATTGGAATCTGGTCGAGTTTGACTCATTTTGGCTCGCTGCCTGGTAGCACGACTTCGCGGGCGCCAATGTGTCTCTTTTGGCATATCAGAATACTAAGGGAGGTTCATACAACCTGGATGGGCACGGCTGGTACGGAACAGAGGCGTTCTTCAGGACTACCATCGAATGGTAGCGGGTTGGTGTCAGGTCTGCACTCACGGCTCGCCGCGTAACCTCAATAAGAAAGGGAGTCTGAGACTCGTGTTGCACCCCCGGACCATCTCACCACCTTAGCGTGCCTTGCGGTTTCGCTCCATTTGCGTTCCTCGGCTGGAGGCAGATGGGAAGGGAATTGTTCAATCAGAATCCACCAACTAATACCGTAAGACGAACTAGTGGTAGAGTCCCGGGAGCCCGTCACCAGCAGTGATTGGCGATCGGTAAATGATCAGGTGTCTGTAGACAAACAACAACGCATTAGACCAGGTGGAAAAGGTCTGCTGCAGGAAGACTGTGTGTTCCGCTGCGTCCGAAGTACTTTGTACCCCTCTGGCCTCTTTGCAGCTGTACCTCCACGTTGCACGACATGATCGAAGAAGGGCCGATAGAGTTGCTGATCAATGGCCATACGAACAATCGATAGACTGGATGCAAGTCGCTTGATCTTGACGCAGCAGAGTCCTCTCAGCATCGGCCGAGATTGATCGATCTTACTAGGGGCATCTGTACCGCTCCAGACTCAGAGAGACCAAAGAATGGCGCGATTGCAACCCTGGTGACTGCTTGGAAAAGCCCACCGACCACAGCGTCCTGGAGATCCTGCCCTGTCTGCTTGAAGTCAGGATAGGCATTTAGTTCCAGCAGCCACACGTTACAATCCTGGTCGACCAGGAAGTCCACACCAAAGATTTCAAAAGCGTTCGGTACCGCTTGGAAGTGGATCATCTGTTCACGAGCTGCCGCCTCGAACACCTCACCAGTTATGTCGCAGATTTGTTGGAATATGGTGTCCTTCCAGTTTGCGCACATCCCAGTAGATTCGAGATCCCAGAACCGATAGACAGAGGAGCTTTTGGTCGCCTCATCTTGAAAGCAGGTATTTGTTAGATGTTGTGCTAGGTCGAGTATCTCGAGATCTGCGGCAGAAGCGGGTGACTGGTAGCCTTTGGCTGCGAAAAGAGCCAGCATCTCCTTGTACACATACACCTTCAGAGCTCCAGCCGCCAACACGTAGGCCCGGATGTGAAACTTTCGACCCCCATAGGATTCGAGCAGTAAAGGGGGGTCGATATAGGGTTGAGCGATGAAATGCCTCAGTTGAGATGTCATTGCGTTACCATCAGCAGATTCGCCTTGTTTGCTCCCTGGGTCACCAGAAGACTCGTCCTCTTCGTTCGAACTCTCGGCGTCCGCATCGGGCGCGTCTTTCTCCCATTCCTCGAAGATGGCTTGAAGTTCGGCGCTAGTTGAGAATAGCCTGATGCCGTTGCCACCATCACTCATGCCGGGCTTCAATATCCACCATTGTTTTTGTCCGCCGAACTCTTGCATCTCATTCTGCGCCAAGCTTTCGTTCAGGTCCCATGCATCCACCAGTGCCTCATCCAGGAATTCTGCGTAGTCGAGTTCGAAATGCACACACGGCTTGAAATGCTTTGCCAGGATGCTACTCGGGTGTTTGACGAGCCAGGTAGACACTGTATTGGACAGATAGTGCTTGCGGATCAACGCTTTTCGAATGACATAGGAGCAAACAAGACAGGTTTGTGAGTGCTGCATGGCATGCTCGAAGTCAATCTTCTCGTACGCAGTGAATTGTAAGACGCGGTCTGCAGGGTTTGGCAAGTCACTCATGTTAGAAATGCGCCTGAGAGGCAAAGGAGCTAACTGCTCAAGGGCAGCCAAAATGAGAGGTTGCACATAGGTATCCGGGTAATCAATGAGCGCGTATACGGGCGGAGAATTCGGTTCTATATTGTATGCTATTGAGCTTGAACGAGCATCATCTCTGTGCAGACGTCGATTAGCAACTGGTTCCAAGTTCTGCCGCGAACTCCATCCAAGGTGAACTTACTCACAGCTTGATTTCGCCGGTGTAGTGAGGTAAGTGCCAGAAATTCGCGATCAGTGGAGTGACCCTATCATTGTCAATGTGCGACCCCTGTCACCGTCGTCCTCGGGAAACTTACGTGATGTTACCTTGGAGCACCTCCCAACCGTCTCCCTTGCCAGCATCGTTGACCGCCTGCCGGACGTCGGCAAAGTTCGGGGACCACTTGAATCTGCGATGAGCTCTCCTTGTCACGCGGTTGTTGTTGTTGTTGTTTCCGTCAGCTTCACCACCTTCACGAATTATCTGCTCCTCCACGTTTGGGTTCTCGTTGTCTTCCTCCTCGGCCAATTCCGTGAAGGAGCTGCCGCTAAGCCATCGGTTTTGTATCATTTCAGCATAGACAATTGTTCTGTCCTCGACCCCTTTCCGCAGAGGGACGTTGATACTGTACAGATGCACGTCGTTCGGCCAATCTTTGGTCAGCTTTTCCATCAGGCGAGTGCTCAGCCTCGAAGCCGCTGAGATAACCTCGAGATCGTGCTCCCTCGAGTCGAAAGCATAAGACAAGGCAATACTTTTCACACCACTCATTGCGCCTTCCATTGCGCCACCAATGGTTCCGCTGGACAGAGCAAAGACAGCAGTAGTGTTGCGACCATAATTGGGACCGCTAACTACAAGGTCGATTGGACCTCTGTCCTTGAACAAATGATGAAGCCCGATCTGGACGCAGCTGGCTGGTGTGCCGTCTACCAAGATCCACTCCTCTCCGCCATCGTTAAATGGTCGGTCCGAGGTGATGCCGTCGTCCTTCAACACGGAGCCAGGGCGGTAGTACGTCGGAGTCAAAGTGTGACCAACCATGTGTGCTTTTCCTATCCAGGATCTCTGGACGTGAGGCAAAACCACTGACACCAAATGCCCAGCATCTTGAAGGGCCGTCACCAGAGAATGGACGTATGGCGATGATTGATTCGACGGAGGACCGTCGTCATTAACGACCTGGGTAAGGAGTCAGCAATCTCCTTCCAACCAGGATCTTGGGGTGGCCTACAAGAATATGCATGTTGAAGGTAAGTCTATCACCAGATATCAGGTCTACAATGCAAATGCAAGAAATCTATGGGAGAAGGATTATCTACAAAGAGATGAGCCCGACAAAAATTCGAGTCGGAATCGGTCAAGCTTGGCTAATATTACGCCGCTTTAACAAGTGACTTGCATACTGCCAATGGAGAGTGGGCAGTAACAGACACCAACTGAAGCGCATAAATCAAGGAAGACAGATAAAAGGCAGCTCATAATAGATTCTAGGCCCTCGATCGCTCCGTCCATTGCCATAGGAGCAAAGAAACTTGCTGGAGTTCGGTGCAATTGACCATGGTTCGCCATGCGTGTCTTCAGGACGCATAGAAGAAGAGAAAAAGAGTGTAGCTTTTTGTGAGAGTCGACTATGATACACTGAATGTTGAGACTGATGATGAGTGCCATTGTAGGCAGGCAGATAGAATGTCCCTTCCAGAATCTCTAGTTATTGTCTCCGATTGCGTGCCGAGTGATTTCAACCGGCGTGACTTTGGGTGGCGCGAGGGCAAAGACCACGCAGCGACGATGTCATTTCCCCAGGAATTCTGTTTTCGAACGGAACCGAACCGAACCATTTTCTCACGGGCCACGACAAGAACAGTGCAGATATAATGCCAGAACACCACCACCACCGCCGCCACCACCGCCACGGTCCTCGGTCTCGGTCTCGCTCCCGCTCCCCCTACCATCATGACCGTCGACCTTCCCACCGTTCCCGGTCGGATGAACCGTCCCACCGCCAGCAGCACACCAAGAAGCCTCCCACGACGCCCAAGCCACTGCCATACGGGGCGCGAGAGCTTTCACGGCGTGACCTCTTCGCCTACCGTCCCTTATTCGCTCTGTATCTGGACATTCAGAAACAAATCGACCTCGAGGAGCTGGACGACACGGAGGTGAGGGGCCGATGGAAGAGTTTCCTGGGGAAATGGTAAGAACAGACTCTGAAGATTCTGCGTTGGCCTTCTGCTGGCGCTGGTTGTGGAGGAGACGCAATTCGTGGTAAATACGCAGGGCTAACATGGCAGGAATCGTGGAGAGCTCGCGCAGGGCTGGTATGATCCGACGACGTTGGAAAAGGCGAGAGCCCAGGACCAAGCCTCACCTCCCCCAAATCGGAGGACGAGTGCAAGACCAGATCAAACGAGGACGTCTGGTTCTGGACCGCTGGCCCAGGCCGACGATGACAGCGAACAAGAGGAGGTAGACTTCGGCCCTCCCCTTCCCTCATCCCTTGCGACCCGAGCGCAACATGACGACTCCCTCGTGTCTCGAAGTCAAGGCGCCTCCATCCCTTCCCTCGACGACCTTCGTGCACGCGATGAGCATGCCCTTGAAGAGGCCCACGCAAGCCGGAGGCAGCATGCGGAAGAACTACGCCACGAGCGTCATCTCGATCGCAAAATCCAGAAAGAGCGCCTCGACGAACTCGTCCCGCGCGCCGAACCGGGGAGCCGCGAGCGCCAACTGGAGAAGAAACGCGAGCGCGCTGAGGCGAACCGCTCCTTTGCAGCGTCAAAGGAAGCAGCCGGCGACGTGGATGTCGTTGACTCCGAGCTCATGGGGGATGAGGACGGTCTGGCAGACCTCAAGAAGATGCACAAGGAGCAGGAGAGAAAGAAAAACGAGAGGGAACTTCGGAGAGAGGAGATACTCAGGGCCAGACGTGCTGAGCGCGAGATCAAGTTACAGGCGGTTAGAGAAAAGGAAGAGAAGACTATGAGTATTTTCAAGGAGATTGCACGGCAGCGGTTCGGAGGGGGAGATGCTCCGTGAACATGAAGAAGTTGAAAAAGGACAACACTTTTCTGATTTCCTTCGAGTATGGGTATCTAACTTGCATTAAGAGCCGCGACGGCCTCTGCCCCGTCAGGCTGCTGCTGCTGCTGAGAAGATGATCCCGAAGACGCGCCATTAGCCACCGGTACGTTAGCCCCGTGAGTCGCCGCCGCTGGGCTAGGATTATTTGCCGCCTTGAGTGCTGCCGCCATCTGCCAGGCCGGGATGGAAGCTTTATTGCCAGTTGCTGGCCTGCCGAAAGATGTCGCGGATGGAATTGGGTTCGAGGTAGGAAGTTGTGGTGTTGAATTTGTGGACGCCGGTGCCGGCCTTGGAGCATTCACGCCACTACCAGCAGGGGCATTCTCAACCGAAGGGGTCGCTGCCGCGGTATTGGACGTGGTGGCCGGCGTTGAGCCTGGCAGGGTCGCCGGCTGCGTGCGTGGGATGGAAAAGACTCCAGAACCGCTGCCCATGCGGTTTCCCATTAGGACTTTCAGACTGCTCAACTCGGTGCTCAATTCTTTCAATTGTCTCTCGCTGGCATCTCGCACATTGTCGATAGAGCGAGGCAGACTATCCTTCATGGTCTTGATTTCTGCTTCCATCCGTCGCGCATCGTCTTCTCGCTTCTGATTCGCTGCCTTCAGCTCTGCGACAATTTCTTCGATGTCTGTGATAGCGGTATCCAACCTCTGGGTTCGGGCTTCTTCGGCCTGTTTCAGCGCAGCCGTGTCAGAAGATAACGTATCGAGCAGCGCAAATGCCCTGTTGAATTGCTCGTCGATGGCGGCTTTATCCTGTTCGAGTTGCGGGGGCGTGGGTGGCGATATTAACGGTTTGATGTATCTCTGAGCAAGCACGTATACGCCGTAACTTGCGCCACCGACAACAGTGGCCATGATGAACCAGTCTCTCCAATCTCGTTTGGGGGGCTCCGGCGGTGGAGGTTTCCAGTCTCCATACGGGTTGTATGGGTAGGGATAACTGGGACCTGGAGGACCTCGGACGTTGTAGGCATTTGGAGGAGGGTAATAGGGTGCATTTTGCGGCGACGGAGTTGGACTGGCAGCCGGATCACCGCCAGCACGAGCAAGGGATACAGAGATCTCTTCTTGGGTGAGGTTCTTGGATTTGAGGAACTCGATCCGCTTCTCGAGGGGAGCAGACGCGACGGATGGGTCCTGGAGGAAGGTTACCGCCGATGCAACGAGGTCTTCGCGGGGGGCCATTGTCGGCGAGCTGTTGTCCCCTCAAACTAGTTCATGCAAAGTCGACCTTGCACAGATGCCCACGGGCAGGACGATGGCGTGGAAGAGAGAATCGCAGCTGACAGAAGACGCTCGATAGATGGAGGAAATGCTGCGGTCCAGCCATCTTCAATTCGTGCTCTAATCTCTGTTGAGCCGAGGTACTGTGGCACGTGACTGCTCTCACGCCTTAGTCATCAGTCGCTGTGGCGACGGGCATCACGTTTTAGCGTGTTGAAGGCTAGCCTAGTCTGGTCTGTTGTACCGCACATACCCGCTATGGCCCTTGTTCATCGACCGCGTAAACTTCGAAGACTACGGACAATCACTGCCACTGAGCACTTCTCAATAATCCGACCACAGCATAGACTGCGCCGTCTAGTCAGGAGACCAAACAAGCCATCTCCTTGGACGTCGTAAGAATCCTGCGTCGCACTCGAACGTCCACAATCACAAGCAATCCACCACCATGTCGCAACCCACGGGCTTGTTCAGCGTACGTCGCCCGAGGGAGACCTTGGGCAATATCACAAACTTCTCAGGCATTCCTCAACCAGCGTCTGCAATCAAGCGCACCTCGACGAACACCGAACTGCGAAATGCGCCGTACACCGCGTCTCATGTGCGATCGACGTCGATAAACCAGAGCATCCAGCGCCCTGCGCAACCCATATTCCATCGCTCCTCGTCTGGCGGCAATTTGGCAGATATGGGCATGTCGACGGCTCGGCGGTCGGTCTCAAACAATATCTTTGGAAGCACACAGACTGGGCGACAGAGTCTGGCGCCGAACCAGCTGTTCGGCTCCCAAACACCGGCGTCGCAGGGTTTGCAGAGGAGAAGCAGCATCTTTTCTCGCCCCTCTGGTCATGGCCCCAGTGCGCACCAGTCGTTCTTCTCACAAACGCCTGCACCAGCAGGCGCACCCAAAGACCCGAGGCCGTTGAGAGATTCGTCGTATAGGGCACGACTAAGCCAGGAGTTGCTCGACTATCTGACGCAGAACAACTTTGAATTGGAGATGAAACATTCGTTGACCCAGAATTCTGTCAAGTCGCCAACCCAGAAGGACTTTACATTCATGTTTCAATGGCTGTACCGTCGCATTGACCCCGGCTACAAATTCCAGAAGAGCATCGACACCGAAGTCCCTCCAATCATGAAACAGTTGAGGTATCCTTACGAAAGGGACATCACAAAGTCACACCTGGTCGCGGTCGGTGGCCAGAATTGGCCTCGGTTTTTGGGTCTGCTGCACTGGATGATGCAGCTTGCTCAGATGCTGGACAATTTTACCCGCGGCGCGTACGACGATGCGTGTACCGAAGCCGGTGTCGATGTCGCCAGCGATCGCATCGTCTTCCGATTCTTGTTTGGGGCCTACCAAGACTGGTTGCAGATGGGCCCTGAAGACGATGAAGAGAGTGAAGAAGCCGCCCTACAACCACATATCCAGGCAATGACGGACGAGTTTGAGCGAATCAATGCCAAACATGCCGAAGAGCTTCAACTCTACGAGGCGGAACACGAAGCGCTCCAAGCGCAAATCGATGAGTTCGAGCGTAATGCGCCCGACATCGCCAAATTGGACAAGCACTTTAAGATCCTGGAAGACGACAAGAAAAAGTTCGAGGAATACAACGCCAATGTCCAAGCAAAGATTGAAAAGTACGATTCGAGGATAAAAATCCTCGACGCCGAAATCCAGAAGGTCGAGGCGGACCTGGAAGTCGTGGAGCAAGAACGACAGAATCTACAACACTCGGTCGATCGACAGGGTTTGAATATCCAAGACATTGATCGAATGAACACCGAGCGCGAGAGACTGGCAAAGAGCCACGAAGACGCCCTGGCTGCGTTGGATGAGATCAACAAAAGGGTTCTCGAGAAGGAAGTTGAGACAGCCCGTAAACTGGAAGATCTCGAGGCAATCGTCAAACGATACAATTCTTTGGGTTACCAGATGTCCCTCATCCCCTCGTCCGCGGTCAACGCGAAAGGCGTAGATTACGAGCTCTCTCTCAACTTGTCAGAGCCGAATTTCTCCTCTTCGACATCCCAATCACGCCGAAGTCGTGCCTCGCCCATCGAATCTGATCGCCTTCTCGCCGACCAAAATGTCGGGTATTCGCCCGTGCATCTTCTCAACCTGGACCTTCGCGGCATAGTTCGCAACGCATTCATCTCGCTCCGGAAAGAGATCAACGAGCGCCGAAAAGCTGCAGCGGAATCGGACCTCAACGCCCGCGACTTCCTCGACAACATCTCAGAGGCGCTGCATGAGAAGAACACTGAGATCGACAATCTCAATTATCGCGTGCAGGAAGCTTCCCGGCAATACTCGACCTTGAAGGAGAATGGCCAAACGGCGCATACACAGCAGACTTCGGCAATCGAAAAACTGGAGAAGGAACTCAGCCGGATGCGAGAAGGGCTGGAAAAGGGGGTGTTGGAGCTAGAGCAGCGTGAGCTGGAGGTGCAATTGGCGTACGAGGGGATGCGCGAGGAAAGCTCCAGAGTCCGCGAGGAACTGCACGGTGGCATCGAGAAGCTCCTGGAAGATGTCATCCGGTTCAAGGTCCACGTCCAGAAGGGCCTGGAGGAATTCGAAGGCTGGGTGGGCGAGGAGGTCGAGCTGGAGTTGCTGGGTGACGAGATGGGCGAGCTTGGACTAGAGGACCACCACGGCGAGGACGACGAGCACATGGGCAACAAGGCGGACGAGGACATCTTTTGATCCATTATGGGATTGATGGTCATTCCCCCCTTGTTTGGGGGCGGTTACTGGGACTTTTCTTTTCTTTTCCATCTTGCTTGGATGAACGATAACTACCACCAACCAACCACACATATATATACCATTGGTACAGGGACAACTGGGATACGTACGTACGAAGACATGTCATCAAACAAGTCATCATGATAATAAGGCCTTGTTCCCTTTCCCTCTCCACTGTTTTCCTTGTGTGGAGAATACTCGAGAACAAACCACCACCACAATGCAATGTCCACCGACCGACGTGTAGTGAGCCTCAGCTGATAGTCGCCGCAGTTTCCCCCTCTGGTGGCTGAGTGAGTCTATGCGTGCGTGCGTGCATACATGGTACACAGCACATACCACTACTTACTGTGCCTATCTGTACGCAGTTAAAGGGGGGGGAAAGAGAGAGAGGGAGAAGGAGGGAGGTCTTTGATCTCGCCTTCGTAGCCAAGGTATCCCTGACGGGGCATGTACACATAGTACATATGTTGTCTAGGAGATAATACAGATACCATTTTTTCGTTTATTTAAAGCGTCACCGAAGTGATTTATCGCGCGTCACGACGACCGTGATAGACTCCTTGTCGTGAAAACACCACATCACACCACACACCAACGCTATCCGACGCAGCAGCCAGCAGCCACGGGACATGGCCATACGTCACCAACCAAGGAAAAAAGCCAGTAATGCTTTCGTCGACCGACCTCGACGCCAACGCCAGTCGATATAATCGCTCCATGCAAGCCCCATTTTTCCAAACTTCATCCGCAATCAACGCTCGCTCGTTCGTCAACATCATCATCATGCTCCAACACTGACCTGTCCACTTCCCTCCCCCGTCGCCGCACCACCCTGTCCACCACCGCTTCGGCTCTCCCTTTCCAGAGACTCTTCGTCCGGCAACATCTCGACTTGTCGGAGCAGAAAGCTCTTCTCGTCCAGGAACTGGTCGTCGTCGGTCCTCCCCTCCAGGAAGGTGGGCAAGAACCGCAATAACCGCCCGCGGTTCTTGACCAGAATCCTCTTGACCTCGTCGCTCTTGTTCGGGTTTGCCACGAAGACCTTGAACACATGGAAGGCCTCGTACTGGACCATCTTTCGGTCGTCTTTGAGCAGGGTCATGGTGAGTTTCAGGTGGTCGGCGCTGGAGACGTATTGGGTCATGATGATGTAGTTGCTGCGGTCGAGCAGCAGTTCTCCCAACAGTTTGATGGATTGGCGTTTGGTGACGTATGAAGGGGACAGGAGGAGGATCGGGTTATAGTACTGCGTGAAGAAGAGGGTATAGTTTGTCGCTAGGTACTGTGAGACAAGTTGTTTGTGTTTGGTGAGGATTTCCTAGATGCCCGCCAGGGTTAAGACAAGTACCACGAACGACACTGGCCGGACTTACCCTGAAGGTGGTAAATGCGTCGGCAGACACCTCGAAGCTGCTCTTATTGATCCATTCAAAAAACTTCCAGAAGACTCCCTTGCCCGTCTGTTTGCGACTGACATCCAGATCTTTCAGATGCACCGCCTTTTCGCCCGGTTGAGACTCGTCGTATAATATCACCGCCGCAATCGTGTCATATGCCAGCGCCTGCCGTAAGATCGTCCCACATGGCATTGCGGATTGTGGGTAGTCGTACCCGCGACATAACTCGACGATGATCTCGGGCCGTTGCAGGACGAGGTAGGAGATGGCCGAGGGCTCCGACGAAGCGGACTGTGACGACGAGTTGGTTGAGGAGGCTTTGTAGCGGAGGATGTGCGAGAAGATGATCTGGGCATCTTTCCGGGCTTCGAAGGGGAGGAGACGGATGGACTTTGCCAGTTCGAAGAGAATGTCTTCCTGGATGATGCAGTGCACGAGTTGGTGCACGTGCTCGGGGCTGCATAGAACTTCTAGACGACTCTCTTTGTTAGAAGAGGGTTCTTCGGGACGGTTGATGGAGGACGGAGGGACCGAACCAGGATTGCCTTGAACAATCAATTTCATCTGCGACATGTGTTTTGCGACATCTTCTTCCACCTGTGACAACCAGGAGTCAATACGTATTCTTCAGACCACAATGCGAAGGGGCGATCCTGCAGACCTTTTGACTGGGACTGGGCTCGTGGAGTTTCACCAGGAGGTCTTTTAACGACCTGGCAATCTCGGCGGGCTGCTTTTGTCGCCCTCTGCCTCCAAAGAGAAAGGCCATTGTGGACCTCTATCAGAGAACTAGCATACAGTCGAGAGGACGTGGTCACAGAGGCCAAGACGAAGTGATAGAATAGACTGCGGGTGTACCACTCTTGGGGCGCTCTGAGAGGGTGGTGCAGTTTGGGTGACTGCGAGCATGACTTCGCTGCTGCACGGCCCACGATCGCAGCCGCGGTGGGATTTGCGGAGTGGAATCTGGACCCGCAATGTTTTGTATATCCGTTGATTGGGGCAACCAGCGCCTCCAGAGGGTCCAACCACTGAGATTAGATCTAAGAGTAGTCCCTAGGAATATCTATCTACGGAGTACTCTCTGCCTCTCTGGCTCCTCCACTCCCATCTTCTGTGTGCCTAACCACAACACTCTGATGAACATAATGAGTCTGGGTCGAACACCCCCGCCCCGCTTCCAGTACAGCAGCAAGCCTACCAAGAGTCGCATCAGTTAGATATCTGTTTCTCGAGCACCTGCCCCCAGAGGACGGATGGAGAGGATAGGGTTATCTGTACCTTCATGCCCCAGCTTAAGCAACAGTCGCAATCACTTGTGCACTCCTTGTCGTAGCCCGGAAGTATGCTACATTTGCAGGAGTCGTCACTGTCTTGATTTGTCGAGATCGCTTCGACCTTGGAGGAGCCGAAATCAGTCGAATCCGTGGACTTGTTGCTGGTGTCGTTGATATCAGAGGATGTGGTCAGAGCAGTCGCTGGACTCAGCATGAGAAGGAAAAGGGAGACGATCAAGGCAAGAGACCTCATCGTGTCAAGTTAGTTCTGTGGTTGGTCATGCAGCAGCGAGAGAAACTGTCTGGAGAAGAGAATGCAGAGATAGGGAACCGATCCGTCACACCTTGAAGGACGATGCCGCCTTTTGCTACTGACAGCACCTTGTCAACCTGATCTTGTCACCCCGTCAGGCCCGTTTGCCGCATCCATTCACAACAGAAGATCTCCACTCCATCTCGAATGCGCAGTGTTCGTGTCGGATTTCACTTCCTCGATGACTTCACACAGCACAATGAGGAGCAATAGTTGTTCGTGAGCGCCATGAAGGCCGGCAAAAAGTTTTGCTGGGAGAGGCAGCAGCAGGCCTTTCTGCGTTCACGTTAGCGACGTCGTCTGGTACATCCGGCGCCAATTGGAAACGCTGAAGCAGGACTCACTTCAAAGCCCCAGCTTGCACAACAGTCACAGTCCTCGTAGCATTTCGCGTCGTAACCAGGAAGGATGGAACATCCGCAAGACTTTGCCTCCATGCTGAGATTGGATAGACCAGTGATGTTTACACCGGTGGTGTCATTGACAAGCATAGACGTGATACTAGAGGTGTTGAGCAAAAGTAGGGCAATGGACAGAACAGTGAAACGCCGCATTTGGGCTGAGACTTGTGGCGCTCGAGAGATCTTTCGTTCCAGGTCGTCTTCTTGAGGGTGAAAAAGGAGTAATTGATTGTGATAGCTACCGTAGACAGTGTAGGCTGCGATGTCTCGCTCGTTGTTAGACAGTTATATCCGTCCGTGTCCGAATCGCACCCAAAAGTGAGTCAATGGTAAATAATCTTAGAGTACGACTGGATCGGCACATGGAAGGTAAAGGCTAACAATGCAACTCCTCTCGCTGATGACTGGGGGTACAAACATTGTACGAATAGGGAAAAATGCTCCTCCGCTCATGAAAATAGCCCATGCTCAGGACTCTTTGTAGTCTTGCGGTTGAAAGAAATCTCATCCACGGAATGCTTGTAGAATCATATCTCACGATTATGCCGTGTGCCCGCCACGTCTACCGCTTCCTAGCTCCTGCTGATCCATCTGAAAGCGCAGTGGTCTTCCCCAGAACAGTCGGTTCCTCTTTCTCCTCGTTCGGGGTCTTGGGTCCAGAAAGAGTCTCATAGTCGAGCTCCGTCGCAGCAGCCTCCACCATGCTTTGCTTTCGTTCGCGTTCTCGCGGAAATTCCTCGTGGGGCTTGCCCTCGAACCTCTTGTGCACTGCCTCAATCATCTTGCCGAACCAATAGAAGTTCAATGAATTGAGAACCAGATTGCAGGTCAGATACACTCCAGCCAGCCAAATCGGAACAGCTTCGGTCTGCATCCCAGTAAACTGCATCACCTCGGACTGCGCGACAATGCAGCTCTTGTCACCCAAGCAGAGTTGCCCATCTCGGGGGACAAATATCGAGGAATGTGCAGAGGTGGGGATCTCTCGAAGTACCGGACCGGACTGCACGTTCAGGTGCATCGTGTGCCAAACATCTTGATAGACCCGCAACGACTGGTAGGTGCCCCAGATTAAGCGGCAACCGAAGAACACCGATAGAAGAATCATCCCGTTGTACCACTGAAGCTGAGATCCGGTCATGTTGAGCTTGTCGCAGAACCAATGGATGTTGAGGAAGGGCGTGGATAGCTCGTAGAGAATAAACACTGGGCCATAGTAGTTACAAAATGGTCTCTGCACGTCTTGGTCAGTCAGGAAAACACGACTCCAGCTTCAAGCATCTTACAAATCCTAGGGCGAAAACTGAGAGTGCGGTGATGGCATGGGCCAGGATACCAGGGCCAAAGATCTTGAGATAGCGCGCGCTCACAACAAGATCCCAAACGAAGTAACCCGTCGCCAGCCCTTGAATAAGCCCGGAGGCGCCAGTATACCCATATATCCGCTCAATAGCACTCCCTTGCATATCCTTACGCTCTTGATCCTTGAACATGACCCATAACGCCGCGGTGTTGATGACACACGACTGCAGCATAGACACCACGTGCACATCCCAGTTGATGCGAGTGCGTCGCGTGAGCTTTGGATAGATGTCGGGGAAGAGGAAGTTCGACAGGATCGGCGAGACAATGGACTGGGTCGTCTGGTAGAGGATGAAGGCTCCCAAGACTTCGTGAATATGATTCGGGAGGGAAGGGAGGTGGAGAGCCTCGCTGAAGGGCGTCACCAGACTCACAAGCCATGGTGGAGGAGGCGGGAGAGGATCTAGCATCGTTCAGAGAGACTGATGTGTCTGGCGGTCGGAACTGTGAGGTTGCAAGAGGATGTCTCGTCAACTGAGTCTGATAGAAATAATGTAGGTTGCTTTGGAAGTCAATGAGTGTGCATAATAACAGGGAGTTAGGCGAGTAATTTGTCCAAGTTGGATTCAAACAAGTGGCATCGTGTATCTGGACTCGCTGGTCCCGGACACAGCGAATGGGAAAGGAATGACGCACAAGCAGGCGGAAATTGTTGGGGGGGAACACTAGGCGCCTTTGGTGCCTCAAGCGAGGAAGGTGATCACGTTGGCACTTTGGCAGCCCGGGGGCTCCAGGGGTTGTACACCTGATTGGCCACCCCCCAGGGGAACAGAGCTGTACCAAGGAAAGACTATACATGAGTACGCACGTGTCAGCCACCAATTCCCCAACGAGTATTAAGGCAAACTGTCAATCAATCAATGTCCCTGTTGAGTATCTTGATACTTAATCTGTCATCATCCCGTTTCGGGCACTGTTCTGCATTACTCGCTGAACGCTCACTACCCTGCATCTCACTATCTAGCCAAGAAACAAATAGACAGCAAGCATTCCAAAACGCCATCCCTCTCATTTCCAATCTCCTCAACTTCCCATATCCTACGCCGTCATGTGAAAGTATTCGTTATGGCTCTCGGAGCCTGCTGTCAATGGCTCAGTGCCTAGCCCGCTGTCACTGCCATGATACTTCATCCCTTCTTCGGTAATGGTAGGTGGAGGCTGCAGATCAGACATCGTTTCTGCTTCGACAATGGGACTATGCGACCCGTCCATTGTGCTCAATGCCATCGAGCCTTGTTGAGTCGAGTCTCTTTGATGGCTGTCAGCCGACTGGGCATTGTGCAGGACCATGGCTGTTTGGATATTCTCGTCCATCTCCTGTTCCTCATCCTCCTCGGCGATACTGTCTGTCTGCCCATTCACCGTTCCAACAATGCTGCTACCGCAGCTTGCTGAGCGCCTGCTGTCTCTACTCAACGTGCTTCCCGTGCCATAGGTCATGCTGTCGGTATACATGACGCTGGTGCCGTAGCTGGTCCTCCTCTCAGTGCTTGTTTCGCTATGGTTGTCATCATCACTCTCATCATGGTCAAAGTTCTCTTTGTCTGTCAACTCTGACGGGGCACCATTCCAGCTGGCCTTCCGTCCATTGAGATAACTGCTAGGGTTACTCTTCACGGACTGGCTGCGTTTGAGACTGACAAGGCCGGTGGATTTAGGCACCGGGGCAAGCATCAAAGCCATATCAGGCGTGTTTCGACCACGGTTTCCCGTGACATGGCTGGTGCTGAGAATTCGACGATCAATAGCGGACGTTCTCGGAGTCGACGCTGCCTTGGAATTTGAAGTAAGTGGCGTCCTCTTTTTCAAGGCCGTGCCAACAGCGCTGCCGATCGCTGACTTTCCGCCCTTGATAGAAGTTCTGGCTGTTGCCGTGCTGGCGGTGCTGGGGACACGCTTGAGACTCATCGACGCATCGCGTTCAGCCGGGCTGATTCTTGATCTGTTGATAGTTTTGGAGGATGTCTTGACCGCTCGAGCCTGGTTCACAAGTCCCTCAAGGATGCGACGCTCAAGGACCTCTGCCCTGGCATTCATTTCGCGCATTTCGTCTTGCCGGATTTGCAGCGCGGTCTCGAGCTTCGCCACGTCTCGAGTCAGTTTCTTTGTCTGTCCAATGAGCTGTTCCTGTTCTCGCTTCAACAGTGCCATGGACTCCAAAAGAGAGTTCTTCTCTTCGTTGAGTGTAACAATATCAGCCTCGACTTTCTCCTTCTGGGCTGTTCGCTTCTCCAAGGCGATCGCTGCCTCCGTTGCCTCGGCAACTTTGGAGTCATGATGCTCTCCCATCAGTCTCGCCTGCGTTGTCACCATGCTTGCGATCTCAGCCGCAGTCGACATAACTTGTTGGTGGATCTCGTCAAGTTTTTGAAGGTTGGCCAGAGAATCCCGAGTCTCTTTCTGTTGGTCCTCCAGCCCTGCAAAGATCTCTTTCGCTTCACTCGCATGGGAAACAAGCGTGTCCAGCTTGTCATGCAGCCCGGTATTGTTCTCCACTGAGCCGGCGTGGGATAGAAGAGTGTCCAATTTGTCGTGCACCTCGCTAATCGCCGTCGACGAGTTGTCCCGGGAGAGTAAGGTGTCCAACTTGTCATGTAACTCGCTGATATCCTTGGCAGAGCTGGGACGGGAGAGGAGAGTATCCAACTTATCGTGCAGTTCGCTATCATCGTATTCCTTTTGGGCAGGTAGCTCCCTAGCCGCTTCAACCGCCGGCAGCGCTGGCAACAAGGGTGGTATAGCTGCTGGGATGGAGTCCACGCCAGATTTGATCTCCTCTGTCGCCCGTGCAAAGCTCTCTGTTTGCTGCTGCGAATGCTCATAGTGCTGGGTGACCACTCCGAGGACTTCCTGGATTGCAGAGAGGACTGCTGGTTGATGGTCTGACAGACTGCCTTCAACTCTTGTTGCTGCCGCCAATGTCTTTGCGATTTCCTCTCGAGTCACGCCATGTTCGAAGGCATTGGCAGTGTGGAGGTTGTCCACCTTCGAGTTAGTCTCTTCAATTGACCCGAAGACAGTTTTTGAGTCTTCGGAGATCCGCTCACAGGTCTCTGTGACTGTTGTCCCCAAAACATCCATGAGCGATTTGAGATCGTCCACAACCGCTTTGGTACTGTTCGTGGCTTCCAGATGTGCGCTGTCTCGCTCTTCTAGAGTACTTAATTTTGCATCACTGGCAAGCTGAGCATCATCGTACTTGGTCATCAGTGCATTGAACCTGTCCTCAATCACAGATTTGAGCTCCGCACCCGTCTCTTCATGCTTGGTGAAAAGTGTAGCATCTCGCTCTGCCATCTCAGCTTTAATGGTAGATTGATGGTCCATGTGGCGGTCGAGTTCGTCTTTGATCATGGTGGACATTTCCTCAACGCTGGCTGCAGTAGCATATTTGCTCATATCATCATGATGCATACCAAGTACTTTGTTCAGTTCCACAATTCCCTCTGCACTTCCTTCTACCTTTCCGATGAGTTCATCTCGGAGGTCACCGATGATATTTTTGACATCGTCGATCTTCGTGGCCAGACCGCCGTGTTCAATCTTTCTGGCCTCAAACGCCTGCGCGGTAAGACCATTGTCGGCTTCGAATTGCTCCCGGAATGCTTTGAGATCATTTTTCACGTCGGTGATATCGTCTTTGCATGGGAGAGATCCAAGATCTGGCTGCTTGATATTTTCGATCTGGGTTTTGATATCCAAGCACAGAGACTCGACTACTTCCAAGTCGGACTTATCGAGACCGCCCTGTTCGGTCTTTGGCTCCTCCAGTTTGGACCTGAACTCTTCCATGCTGGTTTGAACGTCTTTCAACATCAACTCGATCAGCGTGAAGTCTTCTCTGTTGGTTTGTTCAGCAGCCCGCTCAGTGGCGTCGTCGACCGCTACTTTGAGATCCTTAAGGGCAAACTCCAGGGCATCGATCTGACTCGATCTAGCCAAAGGCTCAGAATCTGGCAAGAGAGTCTCGTCGATCCTGGCCTTGATGTTTCTCAAGAGGGTTTCGATGGCTTCCGTGTCTTCTTTCGATGCGGTATTCTCGGGCATGACCAGCTCTGGAGGAGGCGCATCTCGAACTCCATTGATGGCATTGTTTACTTGATCAATGGCGGCGTACAAACCTTCCAGATCATCTTTATGGATTCTAGCCTCACTGGTATGGCTCCGGTCGACAGACTCTTGAACTTGTTGGATGGCGTCTTGAAGCTCATTCATGTCGTCTTTGTGTATTCGAGCTTCCGTCACAGGCGGTGGCCCGGCCATTCCGTCTAGCGCTTCGACTTTGATTCTCAACTGTGTGATCATCACCTTTAAACCTTCAATCTCGGTGGTGATGCGGTTCTGATCGTGTATCACCATTTCCTGTCCGCGGTTGGTGGAGGTGTCGGATTCGTCACTCTGTTTCTCCTGAAGCCTCGAAATATCTGCCCGGACATCCTCAATTCCCGTCTTGAGCGCATCAAGGATTTCGTAGCTTGCGCTGAGGTCAACCGGGCGATCAGTCAATTTCTGGATGTCGGCTCGGATACCGTCAACTCCGTCCTGAAAAGCATCGAGGAGCTCGCTGGTATTGGAGAGAATACTTTCGTTCCCGTCCATTTTGGGACGAGACGAGGCAATCCCTTCTCGGATGGCGTCGAGGACTTCCTCACGATCAAGTGAAGAGCCGCTTTTGACCAGCGCCCCGGCGAGAGCTGTGCGCATATGCTCCAATTCGTCCTTGACTAGGCGAACAATGTCTTCACTGTTACTGCTGAGGGTTGATTGTCGGTCGTCGGCTATGTCGCGGATAGCGTCGAGAATCTCGTCCTTTTCAGAGAGAGCATTGCTCCTTGCCATATTTTTGCTGATGGTCTCGCGAAGATGCTCGAATTCTTTTTCCATTGCGTCCAAGAGTTCAGGTGTGTTTGGCGCGCCATTCCCGCGTGCTGCAAACCCTTTGTCCAGATCCGCTTGCATGGCGGCAAATCCAGCCTTAACTGTGTCGATGATCTCGTCTTTGCCAGTAACATCAGCAGCGCGGTCAACATAGCTTTCTATGTCGGCCCTCAGGTCTTCCAATCCATCCTTGAGAGCATCAAGTACCTGTTCTGTATCCTTTCCGCTGGCCGCGGAATATTGCTGGAATTCATTCTTCATGCTGCCGAGGAATTCATGCATAGCTTCGATGACACGTTCTCCCATTCCTCCCAGGGGATTCTGTTCGCCTTCCAAGCATGATTTGATTGCGTCAAACAGATCTTCACGATTGAATTCGACCTCTTTGGCAACGCGGTCATGTTGAGAAAGGCCATCTTTGATCGCGTCACTTATATGATCCTTGGCGACAGTGTCATGCTGCGCCAGTCCTTCGCGCACAGCGTCGAAGACATCGTCTCTGGTGAGGTCAGTGCCTATCCCCCGCGGCGCAGACATATCTGGCCATTCGAGACCCTTGATGCCCTCACAGACAGCTGCAAGGATGTCTTCCCGAGTTATTCCAGTTGGCGCTGGGATGGTGGGAAGCTCGAAATCTGCAAGGCCCTTCCTGACTGCCTCAAGAACGTCTTCGTACGTAGCACCGGCATCTCTGGCAGTGGGTTGTTGTGGCTGATATGATTTAAGACCCTCCTTCAACGTCTCCAAGATCTCATCTCGCTCCAGTCCGAAATGCTCAAGAGCGATTTCTGGTTTACAGTCCTCCCATGCCTCTCTCACGGCAGCGAGTAGTTCATCTCGTTCAGCCACAGGATCTCGGATTGGTTGTTCAGCAGGCTGCGGTAGCTCCGCGAGGACTTCACGAATTGCCCGCACGACCTCTTGTGTATCGACCGCTGGACGGTTGTGCTCTGCTGATCGTCTCCCACTTTCTCGAACAATGTGATGCATGTGTTCCTTGAGCTCAGCAAGACCTTGCTGGACAAGGATGGCAATTTCGTCTCTGGTCGCTGCTTGCGTTTCCAAAGTTGAACCTTTGGCTGGCGACGTCGTTTGATCCAATTTCTTTGCAATCTCACGGCCCATTCCCAAGACTTCTCCACGAAGTTCTCGAACCAATACTTTCACTTCATTTGTAAGGCCGCCTCCTTGGGCCAGTGATTGCTTGACACTCTTCAACATTGCGACAATGTCGTCAATCACCGGCTCGGAGCCTGACATAGCAACACGTCCTTCGGGACCTGATCTTGTTTTCCCAAGTGTTGCCGCTTTTGACTCCCCTTCAAGATAAAGATCAAGATTTGAAGGACCCTTAGTGCTATCGTTGCCGCTTGAGCGCACGAGCGCACGTGATCCGGATTCCTCCTTCATGTCCTTCATGAACACTAGGATGTCTTCCAGCTTCGACATCATGGCGGGGTCGAAGGCGATTGGGGTAGGGGCATCTGGATGCGATCGAACAAGAGCCTGTGACTTTACTGCTTCGAGAGTGCTCATGATTTTGTCTTGGCCTTCACGGGTGGCCATCTCCCTGAGCACTTTCTCGAGGAGCGCAATGCTTGCAGCACCGTCAACACATGTGAGGGAAGGCGACGCAGTCAATTCTCGATCAAGTGCGGCAGAGAAACTAGATGGGCTGCCGATGCGTGGCAGCCCGAGACTCTTAGGGCGTGGAGAGCCATTGTGTACCTTGTCGTCGAAATACATCCCCAAGTTAGGTGTCGATCTGTTAGCATCTGGGGGGGCTGCAAGCAATCGAGAGTCGAGGTTTGTGAATTTGCTTTCAAGACCCGCAATGAGCTCTCTGAGACTTTTGCGGATATCTTCGTCCCTCGCCGTGGTGGCCTCCTTGAGGCTCATGAGGTCACCGTAGTTATCTTTACTTCTCTTGTTCAGACTCGACATCTCCTTCTGAACGCTTGTTATAATTGATGTCAAGCTCAGAATCTGGTTCGAGAGGGCATCAAAGGAGTAGGACGTTGGAACCGCAGGCGATGCGCCATTTGTTATGTCACCCAGAGGGGTGGCATCCTGTCGATTTCTGATTGTCTGCAAGGCCAACATGTTCGATGGAGGCGGTGTATTCTCTGCTTCTTTGGATCTTGCCGAGTTCCTTTCGGTGGGAGTCGGAGTCTCTGACCTTGGTCTTGTTGGACTGCGCTCCGATGTTTTGCCGCTAGGGAAGTCTTCAAAATCCACGAATTTTGCTGTGCGAAGGCCTTTGTCTGGTGATCGCCTCTCCAAAGAATCGCTCAGTCTAGTAATGCCGGGGCTCTGGAGGTTCTGCATGCGCCTATTTTGCGCCCGTATGACATTTCTGTCCGGAGAAGCGGGAGGAGGATTGCTGGTGTAGGAGCTGGGTGCATTTTCTCGAGCTCTGGCAGCAATCAAGGCGGCGGCTTCGTCAATCCGTTTCGATGTATTAGATCTCGTTAGAGGGCTCCCAGGAACCCCAGGGTTCAACGGAAGTGGTGGAGGCGCTCTATCGGGATCTGAGCTATCCCACCTGTAAAACAAATCAGTATTTCCTGAGACAATGTCGCAAGAACAAGGGCTCACATAGGCACTGAGCTCCTGCCGGACTCTGAAAATGAATGTTGATGCTTGACCATTCGAGACTCAGCACGGTCCCGCGAAGCATCCCGCGAACTGGCAGAGTAAGTCGACATGGTCAATGCCTCTCTGTGGAGATTTGAATGCGAGGAATGTTGTCAATTAAAGCGAAGATGTCCAGTGCTCATAACGCACGTTGCTTACTCCGGCATGAGCCAGCACAAACTCAGCAAGCAAACAAGAAACAATGGGACGTAAAACTCAACGATGCTAGTATAACGGTGAAAGCAAGAGACTTTGGCAGTGGGCTGTTGGCACAAGTTGACGTCGGGTAGCAGTGCTCCTGTGATTGGCTAGACGAATCGGGATGTAAACAAAGCTAATTGACGAATCGGTTGACCTGCCTCTGCGGCTGAGGGGAGGCAAGCGAACCACACAGAAAACTTGACATTGTCTGACCACATCGGCTGGCCTCCGAATTCAACATTGGAACTTGCTGGACATCGGAATAAATGTCGCCCTGGTCTAGACATGATCGTAGTGACCGTCGTATGGTCTGTAACATACTTTTAATAGTAGCTCGAAGGACAGGGATTCTCCTGTTAAGGGCGACGCTCACCCCGTTGCTTGGGAGGATTACAAGCAAGTGGTAGCGGGTTTCTCATTGTCAGACCGCGATTTCTTTCCCAGCTTGGCGGGGGCATGCAACACTCCTGCAGCACGTGACTTCGAAAACCCTACTCCGCCAAGACTAATTTTTGAGCAATTCAGCATTCAGCAAGCGACTCCAGCATTTTGCAGCCTCAACTTCTCCCCGATTTATCCAACAACCTCCTCAAGCGCGGAAGTCTGACCCCAAGATGAAGTGTGAGTAGAAGCCGTATACAAGTGTACTTTGCGACATACTAACACACGAGACAGTTCTCAAGGTCGGCCGCGTGGCCATCATCACTCGAGGCCGGTACGCCGGAAAGAAGGTATGGAAAGAGACATCGGATTCAACACATGAAACGGATCGCCGGTCTAACAGTCTCTCTCCAGGTTGTCATAATCCAGCCGATGGACTCCGGCACGAAACAGCATCCTTTCTCCTACGCCCTAGTCGCAGGCATTGAGCGCTACCCTTCGAAAGTCACCCGCCGAATGGGCAAAAAGCGAATGGAGAAACGATCGAAAGTCAAGCCATTCATCAAGATGATCAACTACAACCACATCATGCCCACGCGATACACGCTGGAACTCGAGGGGTTGAAGAGTGTCATTTCGAACGATACATTCAAGGAGGTTTCGCAAAGAGAAGATGCAAAGAAGAACGTCAAAAAGGCCTTGGAGGAGAGGTACTTGAGCGGCAAGAACAGATGGTTCTTCACGCCTTTGAGATTCTGAGTGAGAGGTAGTGCACCATGTCTCAAAAACCCATTTGCCATGATACGCAGCGGAGGGGAGCCTTTAGACGTGTGGTCTCCGGTCGGCAGGAATCATTGCAACAGGGATGGATCAAGCCCGCCTTCGGGCAGTTTCGGGGTCAGCCAATGCAGCGAATGTTTATTGGGAAGGACCTCACACCTGTACCGCCGACGCTACGATGGATGACACGAATACAGCCCACGTGAAAACAATTCAATCTTCATTGCGTATTCATCGCGATTGATAGCTTCTGAGCTCATTCAAGATAAAGATCATCTTTCAGGCGCTGCAGATTCCGGAACAGCCCAGCTGCACCTCCACTTCCTTCATTTGAGCTTCTCGGATTTCTGCCCGTGGCTGAGTTTGATCGTACAGAACTGGCCACCTTAGAATTTCGAGCCCTCTCTCGTGCGTCCAGTGTCTTCCGCCTATCTTCCACCAGTTTAGCCAAGGAATCAACAAATTTCACTCTCGCCTTTTCCTCGCCCGTGCCCTTCCAAAGTATTGCGAGCTTCCTGTATTCATCGACTCTTTGGGATGCGGCCTCAAGGTTGGTATAGCCGGCTGACTCCTGGCCCAGTAGATCATCGATTTCTGCCCGAATGCTTTTCAATGCCTCACGCGCCTTGTCATCTTCAGCTGTGCTTTGTATTCCCAACTCAGGCGAGGAAACCGAGATGAGGTTTGAAGCCATGGACAACTCAGACGGAGGTATTGGCCATTTCATCGCTTCCCCAAAGATGGTAATGACAGACTCAAGACGTGCTTTCACCTTGCCTAGCAACCGTAGTCGCGTCATGAAATCAGGCTCATTCTCCAATTCCACGTTTTGCAAAGTGCCTTCATCATCAGCCTCGGAATTTAAAGTAGGTGGCACATTGCCAGTGACCTCGTTGTTGACGAATTGGCTAATGTCATGCCGCAGCGAGTCGGTCAACAGCTCGTGGAAGCCGTTCGCATCACCACGAAGCACCTCCACCTCATAGGCGAGACGATTTCCACTGCGAATGATCTCGTCCGTCAGAGATGTCAATTCTGAGGAGGCGCGGATGCTGATTGTGTTCAGCGATGTGAGAAGTGCGAGTGAGTCGGAAGAGGCACTCTGAATTTGCGTGGACTTGCTTGTTTTCAAGTTCTGGATCTGAGAAGACAAGTTTAAGCTGGGTAGTGAGTCGTTCAGAAAATCGACAGGGTCAAATTGAGGATGATGGAGTTTTGTAAGCATAGAGCCGCTGCCGTCGTCATTCTGTTGGCCGTGCTCTTCGGCATCTATGCGAGAAGGCATATCGGTCTAGGGAGTTCCGTCTGTGGCAAGCCTCAGCAAATTCGAGCCTTCATGCGTGGTATCAAGCAGGCATCCGCCGTTGCCCCTTCACCGTAGATTTTTGGGTCGACGGTTTATTGTTCTCCAGCGACCCGCCATGACCACGACATGCCGTGTGCAGTATCTTCACTACCAGGGACGATGGATGGTGTGGAAATGGGTCAAGGACTTGTCAGTATCACATAATAGCCAAATGCACTTTCGTGTCGCCATCGCCACGTCGGTTCGGAACAACTATGTACCGAAAGGGCGGACATCCCCTTGGCACGACCAGCCTATTTCTTGTGTTTTAGCCATCTCTTCCATCTCTCTTCTTCCACGTTGGCGAAGCATTGTAGGTAGGGGATTCGTGGTCTTCAGAAATTGCAAAGACCATGCTCGACGGTGAGGCTGATAACAAAGTGAACAGAAGCCAGTCCGTGGACCAGGCCGCCACAAGGCGAGAAAAGAGTGAAACATGACAGTTCCGCTTGCCATCCTGTCTTGGTCCAGTATGAGCAGCAACAGTGGGAAACGCAAACCCAGACCGACTCAAGGCCCAACGCCTGCAACGACCCTGACAAAATTCCCTATCCTTGCGCTGCACCCTAGAAGATGCGTCTTGTTTAACCATACGCTCCGCATTATTGACTTTGGCCCAATGCATGCTCGTCGACCATTAAGTGCATGTCTGCCTCACTGCCTCTATCTTTGTCGCGACTTTCCACTCTTTCCCACTGTTTTGATTTCCCTGCTCGTTTTTCAGTTCTCTTTCTTCTTCACCTCCTGACTTGCCCTGCCCTCCACATTGCTGATGGCATCTGTTACCATGATGCTGCCTTCAATAAGCTGAGGCAACCCTGATTGTCCCCTTCGCTGGATCCTGCCAGTCACAGGATCCTCAAGATTGAGTCCCTCGAGTCCCTCCTGCCTGCTCCCTCGACATCAGATCGAAACCAACACGACTACCACCGACCGCCAACCACGCGATCCTTGCCCCCAATGGGCCGCAAGCTCTTCCTGAGCCATCTGGCTGACGCCACCGACCTGGAAATCGAGAATATCCACAGCATCCATAGCCCCGAAGAGGGTGTCGTTGCCTTCACCTATGCCTCTCTCAACAGCCAAGTTGACCAAGTCAACATTCAGGCTTTCGCCAATGATCTTGGAGAATATCCGGACGGTAACTCATTTGTGTTGTGTTCAAATGACGCCTCCCTCGATCCCGTCGTTGGAGAAACACTGCACAAAGCCACCGAAAATGCCCACGGCAAATCTATTGTCAAGCTGTTGACCGAAGTCGCGGCGCTGTTGGCAACGGCCATGACAAAAGGTCGCAACCAAGAAGATACCACAACCGACCATGTGATGGAGGACGATGGATTTGATTTCGCGTTTGAGGGTGATTCTGACGATGAATGTTTTGGTCTAGCTGCCCAAGGCACAAGCAGCACAGAGGTCGGCTCCAAGGACATCATCGACATCGCCAGCTCGTCAGCTGATTCGCGGGACAAAATGGAAAATATACTTCCAGATATTCAAGCCCTCAAGCTGTCAGGCTTCCGTGTCGGCATTTTTGGAAACATCGCCTCCGCCGGTATCCTATGTGTTTCAATCCGAGTTTCCAAACTCGGCCTCTCGGACGAAGCACTGCAGGCATGGAATGTGCCGCGAAAGCATTACTTCGTGTTGCTGATCAGATACACGGGAGGCTATCTGGACGCCGCCAGAGCTATCAAGGACCCGGATCTGGCAGGATCCTTAGGGATGCGAGTGGGCCTCTGTGATCACTACAAGCCGTCCCTCCGCGCAGTCCTCGCTCTCTATCAGTACACGAAGGCAGACAGTGCAACCTCAGCAGACGATCCTGACGCGAAATCAAACGATCACCACGCATTCCGAGCACTATTCATCGGCAATGCAATCAACCAGTTCCTCCAAGAACGGGCCCTCAAAATCATCTCAGCTCGGGATTTCTATCAGCTCAGTTGGCTCGGTGCAGAGAAGTTTATCAACGAGAGACAAGCGACTCCTTCCTCTTCGAGTGTTGACGACATGAAACCCTATGACTGCAACGATGACGATCGCGCAAGCAATCTTCCCCCGATAGTCGTGGCGGACCATATGCGCCAAAGTCGGTCTGAGAAGCCTTCTTTGCCACTAATCCTGATGCAGTTTGCCCTTAGACACTTCGTTCGATGCACAGAATTCTGCCTCGTATGCCATTGCCGGGTCGACGACGGGTTCGAAGCCTTGAAACCATACGTCTGCCTGAAGCCTCTCTGTCTCTACCAGTTTATGTCGCTTGGTTTCGGCCCTCGCCTGGAATGGGAAATTATGGGCCAACCATACGTTGTCGACCTTCTGGTCAGCTTTTGCTATGCAGCTGCTTCCAGTGGCAGACTCAAGGAGTTTCCTATTGGTATGAACTTGATGGTACCCGTTTTACCGCGTCTCCCTATTATGCGCCCTGGTTCATTGTATTGCGAGACTCGATCTGGGCAAACGAATACCCCGCTAGTCGTCGACAAGTCTTTTGAATGTACGTACAGTGTGAACTTGAGGTGCCTGAAGGTCAAACAGGATGAAAAGAAGAACACATCACTTGAGAAACTCAGGCCTGGTGCTTGGCTTGTCCTCCACTCTGGAGACACTGACGCTGCAGTCCATGGTCGCGTCAAGAGTGTGGAGCTCCCTCAGGTTTGGCTTGACGCAACAATCACTGTTCCATCTCCGGGGCTACTTCCTAGCTTCGGCCGTGCCGCTGAAGAGTCTGGAGAAGACGACTCCTACCGCGAAGCGGATTGCTATCTGTACGACAAGACCTTTGATAGCCTCGATCAAGAACAGCAGGGAGGTGCCATCATGACGTTACTGGACGTCCTCCCACCTGTGATCGAGATGCGCCGCTCCTTGAAAAGCCAAGGACAAAGTCAAGAGCCCTGCCTCAAAGCATGCTCTAGGCAGATTCCAGAGCCGGCATTGAATCTTCTGCGTTGGATTGTCGCCTCCAACAGGTCTTGCATCATGCAAGTCGACGACATTGGCGGCGGCGACGGCGACTTAGTTTGCGGAAAGCCCGAAGACCGTGTTGGAGGAATGGATTCTTGGGTCCAGTTTCGCTTTGCGCAAGGAGCTCCTGACAAAGAGAAGCGATTCAATCGCAGCGTGAAGCAACATGCGCAGGCCACTGGAACCAAATACCCGACCCTTTTTGCGTGGCACGGTAGTCGAATGGGCAACTGGCATTCGATCGTACGACAAGGCCTCCGATATGATGAGATCCTCAACGGCAGATCATACGGGCATGGCATCTACATGAGCCCCCACGCGTTCGTAAGTTTGGGATATAGCAAGGAGCCTGTTATTGAGTATAGAAAGTGGCAAGGCACCGTTTTCAAAACTACCAAGGTGATTTCCCTGCAGGAAGTTGTGAACGACCCCGCGCAATTCACCTCTACCAACCCACACTATGTGGTCCCCGAGGTCGACTGGGTGCAGACTCGATATCTATTTGTCCAGACCAAGGATAGACCGCTTCGTAAGGACTTGGAGAGCCAAATCTACGAGCAGGATCCGGATCGACCGGCCCACAACGAAATGGGCCAGCCGATAACAATCCCGATAACCGCCATATCTAAGACTCGAAGACCCGGTAACACTATTAATACCGTCGGAACGCCTTCCGGGAAGCGTACCAAGAAACTCTCGGAAACAGACTTGGCAACGGCCGAGCAACAAGAGGAGTATGCAGACAGTGTCGTGTCGGATCCGGACGACCTCGCGGCGTTTCATATGCTCGATCAAACGTATGACTATCTTGAACCTAGCATCAATGCTAGAAGTCTTTGCGTCAACAGCAAGAAGCGGCCAGCAGAAGCGGCAGGAGATACCGATTTCGTACCTGGCAAACTGGACGTTACGAATATCAAGTTCATGGACCCGCCGCAGGACGCTAATCCTATGGCCACCAAGGCACTCATGCGTCTACTCAAAGATGCACTCAACACCCAGGAAACCACTCCGCCAGCCACACTCGGTTGGTACATCGATCGCAATTTGATCAGCAACATGTACCAATGGATTGTGGAATTGCACAGCTTTCCGAAAGATCTACCATTGGCTAAGGATATGAAAGTTGCGGGAGTGACATCAATTGTCGTGGAAATGCGGTTCACCAGCCAATACCCCTTCAGCCCCCCTTTCATTCGAGTGGTCAAGCCTCGCTTTCTGCCGTTCCGCCGAGGCGGAGGCGGGAATATCACCGAAGGAGGTGCAATGTGCATGGAGGTGTTGACAAATAACGGGTGGTCTGCCAGCCTTACAGTTGAAAGCCTCTTGCTGCAAGTGCGGCTAGTAATCTCTGATACAGAGCGGCCTGCGAGGCTCGCTGGTCAGCTCGGCTCTACCTATGGTGTTGGAGAAGCAAAGGCGGCATACATTCGTGCGTGTCTCGGCCACGGGTGGACAATTCCCGCCGGGTTTGAGACGATCCAGGAGTAGGAGCATGGACGAGGTTGGTGAATGCGGCGGATGATAAGAACATGGCAACAGTCCCAAGGATGCCTTGGCTTGGCCAGAAATTCTGCAGTAGGGGTACGAGTCTGCGCCTCAGGGCTTTGGTTACACAACCGAAAATTGCGTGGAGGGGTGGTCAGGGATACTGGATGATGCACGACGGGTAACATTGGCATGGGAAGAGGCCGCTGACATGACGTACTGAGGTTGAGGGAGACGACGTTGAGATAAGAGGCCATTCCCTTATGAGACACCAGACAGATCCGTAGCAGATAGCTGTTGAGTACTACATCAGCACCTCCCTCTGGCTGCTTAGTCTATCTCCGTTATGTGGGCACAGTGATGCATGGATGACAAGCCACCGAGATTTGCAGGTAGACAACAGACAGCAGACAGCAGATCAAAGTAATGATGGGACAGGATAGGCTGGCCCGGCCAAAGGGCCTAACATGTGGCATTTTATGCGTGTGTATCTCTCTCTTTCTTTGTCTATAGCACCCCAATCCACGCACATGTTAGCGCCTTCGACATGCCCTTGTCTATGGTATGCATAAAGGAGGAGCCACATGTCTGTCCGCCTACCTGCATGGCTATCTTTCTGTCTGCCTGTCCTTCCGTCTCTCCTCCGTTCCCCCCGAGGGAATACTAGCAAGATTACTCTGTCAAATCTTGCTGCGTGATGTGATTGTCAATCAAACCGGGATTGGGCAAAGACCGGGGTTTATAAGGGCGTGTGTGGGATGGGAGGGAGAACGTGTGAACGGGATATGAGAGAGACAAACCCATCGTCGGGGCACTTTTCGTTCCGCTTGATTACAACTACCTCGTATACCGCGTACTTGGTCCGCGGTTTGCAGTTTTCATTACATACCCACGAGTATAGCTAGGTACCTAGGCAGCTAGTCGGCAGGTGGTTGTGCCCGGCAGGTTATGTAACCCTAACATGTGTCCTTCAGAGGTATTATTTGTTTACTTTATCCTTACTTGTAACACAGTATCTCCACTAGAACCATCCATTAGGATAATATGGGATTTTTGTCTTGCATGACAAATATACCTTACCTCAATTTTCAGTCCGAATGCGTGGTCTCGATGATGGAACCCATGTGCCGGGTGTCTATGCATCGTTCAGTCATCCTGGTCCCAACTTCCCCGTGGGAAGGAAGGAGGGGAGGATGCCGGACACGGACAGATGGTGCGATACTAGTCGATGAGTGGAGGAAGGATCATGTAAAAAAAATGTTAACATGGGCCAATGGGGCAAAAACGGGCTCCATGGGACGGGATGGGTATGGCATGGTATGGTATGGGAAAACTGATTCCTTTAGAGTTTTTGATCTTTGATAGTCGTCGTCGGAAAGCACTCCCATCATTGAGTCGCCAAGTGCAGATCGATCGGTCGAGAGAGAAAGAGAGTCTGGGGCGAGCTTAGGGGGGAATACACAACGTACCGTATATACATGAGTAGACTTACTTCGGGATAGTTCTTGGTGTTGTTAGGTTGTGCATATGCAGGGCCGTTTTTAGAACCTGCAGTATCCACAGCCCGCGCATTTTCACATGCGAGCCAAAAGAATTATAGCAAAACAAATGCACCATGCCATTCGCAATCTCGTCTGACAGAGCTCCATCTCCATCATCGTGGGCGTTTGCTCGAGAGACGAAGGGAAGAATGATTTTAGTTTTCTTGGGCGACGGACGGGAAGTACCGTGTATCTCGTCAGATGCCCGTGATCCAAGGTTTGCTCCCTCAGTCCGCTGCTTACCCCAGGGAAAAGGATCCGCGAATGCAGCATGCATGATGGGTCCGAGGCAGAACTGTGCGGAGGAATCAACAACCCGGGCTACCCGTTGTTGCAGCAGTGCCAGCAGGGATATAGATTGCATAAATGCTACTTGTCGGAAGTGCGCACTATCATCCCACCTTCTGCTCTTTGTCTGATAACGACGAAACAAGCACTGACCTCCTACCTAGCCGCGCATGTGCAACACAAGTCAGAGCACCGGCACGACGTTTCAGGCGTCAGGAGAGCTCTGTCGTGGCCATAGAAGACGAGGCAGCTCCAGGCACCATATTCGGGTTCCCGAAGGAAGTGGTGTGAAGACGGCGACAAGAGCAAGAGGCGAGGGAGAAGCGAAAGTGGGTAGGGGGTCATTCCACGTAGGTGCAAGTGCCACGAGTGGATGGTGGACGGCAATGCGCGACAAGTGAGTTGAGTGACAGGGGAAAAGATCATAGTCTGTGGCCCGAGGCTTGTACTTTCACATGCTCGTCTTGGCGGCTGCGTGGGTTGCAACCAGCATCTTCTCTCGGGCCACTGAACCAATGCGCCTGCGCCCTGGACGGAGCGAAATCAAGGCCTGGTGAGCCATGAAATCATCTCCCTTCTTCACCCGTCTAATGGAAATGGCGAGTGGTCCAGTAGCATCTCAACAAGATTGCCAAAACCCCCTTTGGGACCACGCAAGCAAAGAGCACGAAATCGCATTGTCACCTATTTAGCTCAAAGTCGAGGGCAGCGCCATATTATTCCCGCCCACTCCCACCTACCTATCTGCCTACCTACCTTGTTCCTGCTCATTCCTGCTTTTTTTTACTTCTGCCTCCGTGACGAAAACAGACCCATCTTCTCCTTACCAGAGCTGCTTTGACCTGCCACTGACCTGTAATCGGTTCCACTCTTCACACCACCCTGTGAGTATATTGGCCCTTGGGTTCCTGCAGTCAATTCCCCGAGCACCGCAGATCCACGCTTGCCTTCCTCAACAAAAGCAAGAACCCAAGTAACTGGAACTGCTTCTTCTTTTCCTTCTCTCCCGCTGCTTACCGCACTTGCAATCACTGTTCTGTCGTCCAAGTCTCTCCGGACATCACTGATCGAACTGCAGCTCCTCCAAACGTCAATCAACACACCATGGGTGAAGCGACCGTCAACGGCGACATGCCGCATTCTGCCTTCTTCTCGGTAAGTGAGCCCCGTGGACGGTCTCCGATTACTGGCAGAAGGGTTGTCTCACGAACACTGCTAATCGCTTCTTCTTTCTAGCATATACAATCCTATCCTCTCGTCTCAGATTCGATCAAGACCATTCAAGAGAACCCCTACGGTGTCAAATCGATCGAACTGACCAACGCCGGCTACACGAAATTTGTCAAACCCACGCTGCCCTACTTCCAGACACCGGCCTCGTACGCAAAGCCCTATGTCGCCAAGGCTGATGAGCTGGGAGACAAATTCCTCACCAAATTCGATGAGCAGGTGCCAATTGTCAAGGCCGAGACCAAGGACATTCAGGACAAGGTTATGAGCTACATCCAGTGGCCCCTGGACACGGCAAACACTACCAAGGAGTGGGCTTTGGATACATACAAAGACGAGTACAAGAAGTGCGGAGGAGAAGGCTACGTGGCCGGCGGCAAGGCGGTCATCACCACCTCTCTGATTCTGAGCTCCGATGTCCTCAAATGGATCAGCTCGTTCCTCCAGGCCAAGAAGGAGCAGGCCAAGGAGGTTGCCAACGAAAAGACCAGCAAATAAGTGCTCGTCTGTCCACTGCACGTCGTCTACTCTGTTCCTACTGCCCGATCATCGAGAGCTCGAGCTCTCAAATCATGTACAAATGAACCAGCACCAGCATTCGATACCCTGATAGCTACCGGCGCACTGGACGAGATCTGGTCTCCCTTGTGGTAAATCCGAGCCCCTTGGAGCATCTTACCCAGCAGCACCACAACAATCCAACAACCCGAATGAATTCACATGAGCAAGCGATAATCGACCCTTGGTTTCTGTTCTCGCACGCATCATCCGCTGCTGCGGATTCCCTTTCCGCCAGTCTGGATTTACCTTTGATAGACGTTTGTTTGTCTGCGCTTCTGAAAATGCATAGAATCGGTAGTTTCTCTTGAAATGATATGAAGTCACTCCTCCCAATGTCCAAGTCGCCTCTGGTGGCGATCAGCAACGCAATCTTTTGTTGAGCTGCGGCGGTTTCTGAAACTGGGGTTCCGACAAAAAAAAAAGCATGTGAAAGTGACTTTCCCGCCTCTTATCGTTATCAGAAATTTTCACATGTCATGATGTCGTCTGTGGAGACTGAGAGAGCGAACGGTCCCCCATTTGGACTCATGAGGCAACTCAACAATTTGGGCGGGAAGAAGACGAACTGTTTCAAATCGAACATATTCGTGGAAGAGTGTTGAGCCCCGGCTTGTGCCAGACTCTGTTCTGTCCTGCTGGCCGACTACACAAAAAAACAGGATCACGGCACGCGGGACTCGTCCGCCGGCCGGATATCCTCTCCGCCACCACTGGCTCGGCCCTGAGAGGACATCGGGGCCTTGGGTTGCTTATGTAGAAATCACATGGGTTGTATGCACTATTGTACTATAATTCTACGGGTAAGGACCTCATCAACTTGGTCCGAGAACTACCTTGGTCCTTGCTCCTGGGGACCATAGGTAAGCCAAGCTTCATTATTTCCAACTCCGGCGTAGTATCTGAACCTGGGTCTGGGTTGGCTTATGGGGATGGGGATGGGTACACCCGTGTTCTTCATCCTTTTAACGTGACCCCTCGACCCCTTCCCCCTCCCCTGGCTGGTTGGCTGGCTGGCTAACATGCATGACTCCGTCCGAAACGACCGGCACACCATACCTGCACGGTACGTTGACCGGTTGGCTGTCGACATCCCTCGATATCCCACAAGCTTTCCCTTCTCCTTCTAACCTTCCTCTCGTGGCGTACTGTATATTGCTTGGTGATTTCTGTGACGAGAGCGCAGTTATCGTTGTTAAAGGCAGTTCTCGTAGTGCAGTACGCAGTGCAGTAAAACACTCATATGTACATGTATGTACCGGGTAACTATCCCTCTATGCCAGACTCCGGAAACTCTTTATGTAGCCAGATCCCCGTAACCTGAATGCATGTATGAGCCCGTCACCTCCAGTGCTTTGGTTCTCTTGACCTTCTCCCCACCTTCCCCCTTCCTCTTGCCATTGGTGATATTTCCTGCATACACATACGAGTATCCGAATGGATATATCCCGGGTCTTTGGAGGGAGGGGTTGCGGCTTCAGTCTCGTTCTGTCTGGGTTTTTGTTGTCCCGCTAAATAAGCTTCAATTGTATCAGAGGCGACCCCGGTATGATATCCATATCTCGATCCCTCCATACATCAGCTCTTCGAACAGTCCACGTTACAAAGACTCGAGATAAATGATTGAGGGCATAGGTGGGAACTTGGTCGTGTGAACTTGCCCAGATTCGAGTGGCTTGCCAGCTGTCTGGTGAGGAGGCCCAATAGTGCAATGACTCGCGAGGTTGGCTCGTTCTCCTTCCTGTGCGTTCTTGGATGGCCAGACTTGAGAGGGTGACGGTTCATCATTGCTAGTCACACGATTGCACCTAAACGGATGCCCGCCATTTCTAACGAAGCCCCCGTATTTTTGGACGGTTTATGGCCATGAATGTCACAGGAGAAATTGTCAGAGCCTGCCGCTTTTTGACTCTCTACCTGTTAAGGAGAGGAGCGAAAGCTTTGGCTGAAGGTCACCTTTTGTACACGGTGCCTAGGTAATTGTTCCATTCCATTTTCCCTTCGGACGTTGGAGACCTTTGGAGGTATCAACACTCTCCTTCCCTATGAGAGAGATAAAGACCATGACGACAGCTGGACAACATTGATGCCAAAATCTGGACAAGTATCCAGAGATATTTAGCAAACGGGTTTCATCAGTGTCTACTTACGAGTCGATCATCAGCCTATATATACCTTAGCACTCTATTCCTTTTCTGATTTTAAGTTTGCTATCACTAGTGGAGGAGGTGACGTCGAGGAGGGGGTTGCTTCTTCATGCCCTTTCCGGTGTGATCAAGGGAGCATCCCTGGGTACCAGTGTGTGGAGGGAGATCACTCCACCAAAGCAAGGCTGTACCGAGAACGCTTGGAGCAGACAGATAGGCATAGAGATGGGGATCGCCCAAGACGTGGGAAGAACACGGACGCTAGTGATCAGGCTAGACGTAGGTAGGTTTTGGCCGTCGATGATAGAGATTGGGACCTGCACACATGAGGACAGTTCTCATCCAGGTGCCATATTACTGTAGATCTGGGTGTTTCAGCTGAGATCACCCGGGCACAATCGAGATCTCCCCGTGGATTGAGTTTGTGCTGATAAAGGAGATGAGCGCAGACTGGTTTCCTGTACCGGGTACTCCGTATGGGGAAATTGCTCGAGAAGCCCAGGCAGAGACATCAAGCGTCGAATTGCCCAGAACAAGGAGGCGACGTCCGGAGGAGAGCGCCAGCCACAGAGAGAGCACAATCGCGGGCCTGGCACGTCGGGTGGGTTGAGGATGGGACCCATTCGCTCGCTGGGAGCAAAACGTGGAAGTACCGAGTATCGCGTGGGAGCATGAGCAACCAAGTTGAGAAGGAGGAAGAGCAGCAGGAGGAGATGAAGATAATGATAACCCTGGTGACTGCGCAACCGTGCGTCGGACTAGCTGCGCCCGGCTTCCGGGCGGCACGGAGCATCATTTTTCCAGCCTGCATCTTTCACCATCTCCCCCATGTTTGTCTACCCACCTTTTTCCACAATCCAACTCACCAGAGTCACCATCACGCTTGGGCCTACCAGATACGCTCCTCGTCCGGCAGTGCCGCATGGCTGCAGGACGAGCAGAAGCCGCTACCACCCTGGCCGGAGGAGTCCCCTCTCGTTGTGCCACCAGCTTGCCTCAAACCACTCGTTGCCCGTCAGCTGCACGACCTACCTCGCTACCTCGCAAGGGCGTATGGTAGAGATAAGCTTGTGCGAGAATCGAGAGATACCAGAAATCCGGACACGATGAAACAAGCCTCACCAGGATCATGCCCCCATACTTTTCAAGCTACGCCGCTCAGGCCTGTCCTGTCGATCTGGTTCTAGCCATTGACATCACGAAACAAGATCGTATGTCTCGTCGCCAATCGCCCGAGACAGCCATTTGAGGAATCGACGAGATCAACAAACCAGAACCGACGCTTCGCCAGAGGGCTTCCAGAAGACGGTGGTTATCTGCGGACGTAAATGCAAGGTTGTCGGATTCTTATCGCGCACCCATGAGGCAGGGATGGGCTAACGGGCCTAGGCCATCGTCAGCGCCAAACCACGATTTGATCAAGCTTCCTGACCCTGTCCCACCCGGCCAAAGAGAATGGGGGTTGGGTCTTATCAAGGACCTTGAAGATCTCCAGAGTGGATCCAGCCTTCGGTCACCTCCACCCAACGAGCACCGACTTCTGTATCCCGCATCGAGGTGCTCTGGCATCATATCGCCCTCGATTATCGGTACCGTGCCCGTCCCTTGTCACGTATATCTTTCTGCCTGTCCCGCCCTCTGGGGGGTTAGCCTTTTCCCACTCTATGCTCGGATTCTAGGTCACCGGCAAGATGTCGAAATACGTGCATGAAACAAAGAAATATATCCCCAGTGGAGCGACGGTCAAGGCTAGGGCGACCACTCTCAGCGCCTGGGAGCTCCCAAAGCAAGGTAAATCAGTCTCACAAATCCGTCAGAAGCAATCCCATTTTTGCTGACCCTAATCCCTAGAGTCTGCTCTCGCACCCAAGGATGTGTGGTAAGTCCGATGCGGCGGTCTACAGACCAGGCAACCAGGGAAACCGGTTGGACTGACCCAATATCCCAGGACCAATGCGGACATGGACCCAGTCCCTCCAAGGTACCAGACCTGGACCTTGTGGACGTGGATGGCCTACTGGGCGACCGACACTATCAACTTGGGTACCTGGGAAACTGCCTCTTCTGTGATTGCCGTGGGTCTCAACTGGCGCGATGCAATTCCCATCATGGTGGTCGGCACCAGCTGCGTCGCTGTCCCCATGGTCCTCAACGGTGCCATCGGTGCTAAACTGCACATCCCCTTCTCAGTCATTGTCAGATCCGGCTTCGGTTTTTACTTTGGTTACTTCTGCATTGTCTCTCGAGCCATCTTGGCCATGTTCTGGCTTGGTATCCAAGGGGCCAACGGTGCACAATGTATTACGCTCATGTTGACCGCCATCTGGCCCTCGTACGCACACATCAAGAACCACCTTCCCAGCGATGCCGGTATTACGACGCAGGGAATGATCAGCTATTTCCTCTTCTGGATAATTCAGCTCCCACTTTTGCTGATCCCGCCAACGAGGCTTCGCTATCTTTTCATGGTCAAACTCGTCGCTGCGCCAATCACCGCGTTAGCGACTCTGGGTTGGATCGTGCACAAGGCAGGAGGCGGTGGTGCCATCTTCTCCCTTCCCGAGACCGTTCACGGCACTCAGCGCGCCTGGCTCTGGCTGTCGTGCATGTCCTCGGTCACAGGCTCTTGGGCCACACTGGCCTGCAACATCCCTGACTTCAGTCGTTACGCGAAGACCTCCCGCGGCCAGTACATCCAGCTGCCTTTCCTTCCGGCCATTTTTACTGTCTGCGGTGTGATGGGGATTGTCACCACATCCGCGTCCAAGGTCCTCTACGGAGAGTTTCTGTGGAATCCGTTGGATATTATCGCACATTGGCTGGACAATCCCGGTGGTCGTGCCGCTGCCTTCTTTGCCGCGCTCTCGTGGTATGTCGCCCAAGTCGGCACCAACATCACTGCAAACAGCATGTAAGTCCTCATTTCTTGATTGTGTTCCGTCACTCGCATGCAATACGCTGATATCATGGTAGCTCCGCCGCAAATGATCTGACAGTTCTATGTCCCAAATACATCAACATCAAACGTGGTTGCGTCATCGCCGCCATTGTCGGTGGCTGGGTCATTGTCCCATGGAAGATTCTCAGCTCTGCCTCGACCTTTTTGGCCTTCATGGGCGGTTATGCCGTCTTCCTCGCACCCATGGCCGGAATCATCGCTTCGGACTACTGGATCGTCAAGCGACAACACATTGACGTGCCTGCTCTGTATGACCCTCGCGGCCGATACAGGTACAACATATGGGGTATCAACTGGCGCGCCATGCTTGCCTTCCTTCTCGCCATCGGCCCCTGCTTGCCTGGGTTGGCGTGGAGCATCAACAGCTCGTCCAAGATTACCTCGGGTGCCAAGCACCTGTATTCTTTTGATTGGCTCTATGGCTTTGTGACCAGCATCTTTGTCTACTCGGTGACCAGCTACATCTGGAAACCGACCAACCAAATTGTGCCACACACTGTCTACGGCATCCCTCAAGATCCCGACGAGGAAGAGGCATACGAGGAAGCCTATGATGAGAAAGTGCTCAGGAAGGACAGCCTCGTGGGCAACCCCAAAAGTTTCGCCAATGTGGGCGGCATCGACAACATGGGCAGCACTCTCCATTTCAGGAAGTCTGTTGATGAAACTGCCAGGGAGAGTATCGAGGTGAGACGAGCCAGCCGGGCGAGCCAAGGAGGTCAAGGACCGCACGAACCTGGTACCATTCCCGCTCATCTCAAGGGTGTTGACCCGCAAGTGTTGAATGAGAAGGTGTAACTTGGCCCCGATTGAATGAAATTTGATCTAAACAGGCTAAGCCATCTATCTCATCCGCCACTTTGATCGTGCCTTTCGGCATTAAGCCACATACACACATACACTCACACACGTTTCCCCTGGCGACCGGTCCACGACCAGCTGCCGCGAGAACGAATTGAAATGATACCCACCCACCTACCTATATGTGCTGTGGGACGGGATTTATCTATCAAGATCTTGTCCCATCAGCGAAAGTTGTATACGAGTATGAAGGCGAGTGAGCGACCGTGACAGGGCTAAGGAAAAAAGATGTATGTACTCGGTAGACTTTAGGGGGGCTTTCTCTACAGACTAGAATCTGATATTGCTCTGGTTTCTGGTTTCTGGTTTCTGGTTCTGGCCTTCATTCAGACATCTCGGTTCTTTCTTTTTGCACCGACCACGTCTCTTATGTGCGTTAACTGTCACAGCACCCCTCCCTGTACAACAGCAACTCTGATGATCGGGCATGGAGGCGACATCTCTTAAGTCTCTCACACCATCGCCCCCCGATCCTGGTTCTCATGTGCCGCACCATATATCCCACCCACCCACCTACCTACATCATCTCTCCATTCTTTTCTTCCTTCCCTTTTTCCCTTCTTAGCGTTCTCCTCTTCCTCCTACCCCATCCCTCGCCCTCTCCCCCGATTTCCTCTCCTTCCCTCCCAAACCCATCCCCCTCCATCCTTCTCCGTCTCAGGCACATACTCACGCATCGATATCGCAGACCATGAAATACCGCTCGACGACGCCGCCGGCGATGAGCTTGCCGTGGACGGGATCGACGGCGGCCCCCGTCAGCACGGTGATCAGCGACCCATCGTCCCAGTACAGCAGCTCGGGCTCGTAGTCGCGCGCTTTCACGAGCCGCACGATCGCCGCCTCGCCCTTGAGGCTGTAGTCCAGCAGGTGGTCGCTGCTCAGGCGGTGGCGGAGGGCTGCGACGTCGGGGAAGACTATACGTTGGGGACAAAGAAGAAGGGGGGTGATTGTTAGTTTCTTCGGGAGCTTGAAGATGAGGAGGAGGATGAGAGTGGGAAATGGATAGAGCTCGAGAAGGGGAAGAGATTACTGGGGATGACAAGGACAGGGGGGTCGGTGGAAGAGGTGGGTATATTCGTGTGGGAGAAAGTGAGCGTGGTGTGTCATAGGATTAGGGGCAGGAGGGTTGTAGAGTGTGGGAAGAAGGAACGAAGGCAGACGAGGACGTACTGCAGACCGCAATGTCTTCGGTGCCGGGTATCAGAGAGAGGTTATCCGCCGAGGCGCCGAGTTGCTGTTGTTCCCGCCCAATCGATCAGTCAGCCAGTCAGTCAGTGACCATGTGTTTCCAAACACATTTCCTCCCGCGGCCCTTTGGTTTCGGGACGATGACGAGGAGAGGCTAGGATAGACCACAGGTAGGAAGGTAGCTAGCTAGCTAGCTAGCTGTAGGGACTCCTCGGAAGGAAGAGATTAGGGGAGTCACGTACGACTTTCTTGCGCACCGTCAAGGCGTGGGTCTCCGGGTCGACGTCGTAGATGGTGGTGGTGGCCTCGACGACGTCGTTGATCATCAGCGTCTTGCCGCCGTCGACCAGCAGCGCGCCGTTGGCGCTCGGGTGCGAGTTTGGCGGCGACACGGTGCGGCAGTCGATCGACGAGGAAGATGCGTTGCAGTAGACCACGTCCGTCGCCCACTTCCAGGGCCCCCAGTGGTCCTCGTGGCTGCGGAGGATGGTCGCCAAGGGACCGCCGCCGTAGAAGTAGTGGTCGTTGGTGATGAAGAAGGAGCTGCAAGCCGGGAAAAAAGGGGGAGCATATGTCAGTATCGTTCCCCAATTCTGCGGAATCCCTGATAGATTTATATAGAGGTTGTGGAGTAGGGAGGCAACAGATGGAGTGGAAAGGGGATTCAATCTCACTTCAGACCCGTCGCGGCGACGGCGTTGGGCGTCTTGATGGCCGGATGCTGGAATTCGCGGACAAACGTCAACACGTCGGAGCCGAGCGTGTGGGAGAACAGCACGATGGTTTCGCCTTTGCGGCCGTGGTTGACGGCGAAGAGGTAGATCTGTCCTTGGTCAGCAAGCGAGCATTCCCCCTGCCAGTCTCTTGCAGTCTCCTTGCTATGGTGGTGATTGATAGATTACCTTGGAGGGGTCGTCTTCCGGCATTAGGAGGTCAATGCCGTGCAGGACGAGATCGTGCGAGGAGTCGATGCCCTCGAGCTTCATCTTGGTGGCCTTGTCTTTCTATAGTTTGTCGTCAGACTTTTCTCCTCTCCTCCCCCCTTCAGGTCGCTTGCAGGGAGCGTCGAGGCTTTATGGACATGACATTACCTTGATGTCGTACTTTACAAAGTACTCGTGGTAGCTCGCCGCGCTCACGGTGTCGTGGCGGTTCAGCGGCGGGTAGAACACCTCTCGGGTCTCCGGGTAGCCACATGCTAGACAGAGGAGTGATTTCGTCAGGGGTGGTAGATTCCAGCAGGGGTGAGAACTGGGAGGAAAGAGAAGCTGCTGCTAAGACAGATGGAGAGAGAGAGAGAGCAGGACCCAACGAACCTAAGAATGCCGTCGCCGACTCATGATGGATTCGCACATCCTCACACGCTTTACCAACTATATTCCCCCCCGAAGCACCACACAGTCAGTTCCGTTTCTTTTTATCCCCGTGGCAGGGAGGAAGCGTGGGATCTCACGCACGCGGATTCGTCCAGCACTTGTCGTTGTTCAGCGGCCCGTGATGCATCCACGTCGTATGGGCCTTTGCGTCGGTAGCCCGACCCCCGTACGTGTTCAACACCGGCCACGGGTAGGCGTAGAAGACGCCTGACACGGCGACCAGGAAGGACAGCGGGCCAAACCAGACCCAGTTGTTGACACCCATGGTTGGTTTGTGCTTTGTTTTCTTTATTTGAAAAATGGCGTAAGGGCCAGTATCAGTCCGTTAATAGATGACGTTCTGTACATGTATATATGTTTGTATATATGGCCACACATCCAGGACACAAATACACCCCCTCTGCAGGTTGTTGTAGACAGCAATCAGTGGACAGGAGACAGTGGATTGAGGGGGGAAAAACCTCGGCTATCGGTTGACTAACAGATTCAATCCCTCCATGTCATCGGATTGAGGACACTGGAGGAAGCAAATGCTGACCATACATATGGACCGGAATAACCCCGTGCATTCCCCGTCCCGTTGGCCAGTCGTGCTCGATGGGAGCAGTGATGCTGTGCTGGGATATACAGGCAGAGACGAACAATGAGAGAAGCTGGCAGGTCCTATGGAGATGGAGATTTGCGTTAAGATTATGAGAAGTCCCTCAACTTGCTCCATAACTTCCCACCCAGCTTGTCGATCAAAGTCGCCCCTTGCTCACGACTGTGCTGTATTTGTTGCGCTCCCTGCTGGGGGGACCTGTTGCCAGCCACTCCCCCGACGTTGGACACCGAGACACCACCGCTCCACAGCCCAGAGATAGACAAAGCGCAACACATGGGCTGTGCCTGGGGATGGAAATGCTCCAGCCCGAAACTGAGGACGCGGGCTTTACGGTTGTTCCATCCCTCCCCCCAGTGCTCCGTCGCGTGGTAGATGCAGTACACCCTCCCATCCCCGTACGGCGAAGGGAGGAAGCTGGCATGACCGGGTCCGAACGGGCCCCCCTTGGCTCGGTCACTGACCAGGAGCGGTGTCGGTCGTTTCCTCCATGACGACTCCTTTAGCGGGTCGTCGCCGACAAGCTGTAACAGGGCCAGTCTGTAGTCGCTGGTCCAGCTGCCATTGGCGCTGTAGATGATTCCTTCAAAGCCCCCGGGCATACTGACGAACGTGGGCCCTTCGTTGACACCGTGTGTGCCGCCATCGGCCCTCTCCCACGGTAGTTCTGCCCGGGAGATGCAGGTGAGCGTCTCCGGCCGTGCGACCTCGGGCGTCTCCAGCTCGATGAGGAACAGATCCTGCTGCCGGTCCGAGTTGTCGCCCAGCGGCCACCCGGAGTAGCAGCAGTACAGCTTCTGGGTGCGCGGCAGGAAGAAGACGGTGGCGTCGATGTTCCAGTGGTCCGGCAGGCCCTTCATCTGCCCGAGAAACTCCCACGCGCCCGCCTCCATCGGATCCTGACTCTGGCTGCGCAGCAGGAGAGTGCGGTGGCATGCGTTCCCAACCTCCGGATGGGCGCCGCAGAAGTAGATGTACCACCTCCCGTTCAGGTAGTGGAGTTCGGGCGCCCAGAGGTCGACCACCCAGGGCGTCGCCGGCGGTGGCTTCCAAGCGATGATCTTCTTGCAGTTCCGGAAGTTCTCCATACTGTGCGACATCCATATCTCGACACGGTCGCCGCAGGTGAAGGTCAGATAGAAGCGGTTGTGCGCGGCGACCATCCATGGGTCGGGCGTGTCGGTGTCGGCAATGGTCTGGTTGGACATGTTGCCGCCTACTACTTCACTCCGAGATCGATGAGATGAGAGAGTCGAATTCGAGAGATCTGAGATGGAGAAAGAAGAGAGTATGGCACATCCTGTGCTGTTACATATACATCAGAAAATTAATTGTCATGGGCGTAACAGACGATCGTCATATGTCAAACGTCAGCGAATCTTGTCCCACGTCGTGGTGTGTATTCCGCAAATGCAACCTCTCTCTCCAGTGTCGTCTGTCTGCATTTAAAAATAATAATATATGACCTTGAAAAAACAGGATGTAGGATTGTGGTGAGAAAAGACCTTCAGGATTATATTGTCTGTATAGTATTCATTGCAGAGATCGTGGGGTATCATAGTCATCAGCAGCGCGTGGACACGTAACTCATCAAAACATCACTCATTCTCTTCCTCTACGGCGTCAATGTCCCTGCCAAACAGGCCAACAGCTGGAGTATACGCCGGTGTCGTTGAAGCCAGCAATTGGTTCCTTCGAGCCGCCGGCGTCGCCGGAATCAGAGTGACTTCCCTGACTGCCTCCTGGCTGCTCGGCCTGGCAGACGCCTGTCTCCATTTCTGCAGGAATCCAAGAGCCCTCTTCTTCTCATTGCGATGGAACAATACATCGGCATCCTCCTCCAGTCGCTTTGTTCTGAATGCCGCATTCCTCCAATTCCTCAGCATTTGCACGGCATAGCTCGCAGTCCGAATGGACCGGTATTCATCTGCCCTCCTCTGGTGGTCGAGAATCTGTCGGGTTGGGGCGAGCCAGTTCGAGCCGAAGATTTGGAGGCGCTCGATGAGATTCTTGCGAAACAGAAGGTCGGCTTGGAGATTGGCTTCCTGCACCTGTTCGGTCTTGTTGTACATGGTTATGATTGCCCCGTGGGCTGTACGCCTAGCATTTTCCACATCTTTGCGAGCCCGGAACTCTTGGGCGGTCAGATTCATGTGACGCATCTGAATGGCCTTGTCCCTCCACACGTTCAGTGCCGTGCGAGCGATGTTCATCTTGACTTTTCGTCGCATGGTTTTGTATGCGTCGCTGTATTTCGCCTCCTTGTTCTTTCTGGTGGCGGCTCGCCATTTGTGAAAGTATCTCACGCTTAACACATGCTTGCGAGCCTCCATGGCCTGTTTCTCTTCAATTCGGAGTCGAGCCTTCTCCCGCCATTTCTGAAGCACATGTTTGCTTGCAAAATAGTCTGCTGCACCCTCTGCTCGCCGCTCATTCAATCGAATATGATCGAGCTGCACCAACCACGCCCGAAGCATCTTCCGGCTCAAATTCTCCTCGTATACAAGGACGGCTTGAGTTTCTGCTTGCCTGATGTGGCTCTTTTTGGCTACCATCTTCACCAGGACATTTTGAAATGCTTGTCGGTCGCGGACATCCGCAGCTGCGGCCTCCATTTCCTTGAGGCTCGCAGTCTTCTCTTGCCACTTCTCCAGCGTCTTTCGGAGTATTCGCTCATCCCTGACTTTAACAAAGAGCATTTCGCGGGTGACCAGTGTCCAGTTCTTGAGTGAAAATGCAGCGTCGCGTCGCATGCGGAAGTCGTCCGCAACATGATCCATTTGGCGAATTTCGGCGACAGTGTTGCGCCAGTGTGACAGAACCTTTCTTGCCAGATTGCGAATATACAGACTGTCTGCCACCGCGTTCATCGCCGAGTCTTCATACTCCAGGTATGCGGCTCTTTGCAGCTGCAGCTTGTGGCGCCATTGTTCAAGCGCTTGCGAGGCTAACTTTCGGTTGTCGAGGGCGACAGCTTGCTGCCAGAGAGGGTCATCTTCGTTGATGGAGAGGATCGAGTCAGGTGTAGCAGGTCGCACAGGCACAGAAATATCTTTGGCGCCTCCACCTCTTCGGCCTTCCTCGTAGTCGGTCGCCGCATCGGTTGAGGTTCCGTCTGTGGTCAACACGATGTTCGCCTCTTGTAACACGTCGAGAAACTTTTCGTTGAGAGGAATTTCGGGGTCAGTCTCGAGGAGGTCAAGGAGCCACTGCAAGCACGGGTCATCGTACTTGGTCGACACGTGGCTTTCCAAGCATATGGCTTTGTACTCGCGCTGTATCGCAGCTGGCGTAAAGTTGATGGAGGCTTCCTGGAGGCGGAAGAGAACACGATGTAACCGGTCGATATCATCGGGGGAGAAGAACCTCACATCGCCGGCAAAGTGTGCCAGGTCTTCGGGCGTCATGATGATGTTCAGAGAGCACCATTGTCTCTAGTTGAGAAACAACAACCAGCGCCAGGCGCATTGGACAAGAAGCATGCAAGCTAGCCTCGCTAGATAACGAGACCGCGTTCGGATTCTTGGCAAGAGGACGCGGGGTCACGTGATGGCCCATCGGCTCTTCCCGAAAAGGCAACCCGTCAGACGACGTTAATTCAACGTTGATGGCAATATTATCCTTGTACAATCCAATCCATCAGGTGTGACTCCTGGCCTACGCTTTCCTCTGGCCTGCCGGGCGTTGATTGCGTCTGTCACGGCTGAGAGACAGTTCGACAGTCTGAGCACAGAGGTGAGCCCTATCTGACGTGTCGATGTCGAATTCGACAGGGTAACAAACTGACTCTGCGCTGCCTCCGCGCTTTGCTGCACTTGTCACACCTCGTTGAACGCTTCCACCACCGCCACTGCAGTCACTAAGCCTCAGTTTCTACACGATATACTACCACGGGCCTGGAGCCTGCCGGTGCGTGGCAGAGCGAGATTCAGTAGTGCTGGTGCATGTCTGCCCAGCGCAGAATCTTGCCCACCGTCCGCGAGAAGGGCACGCCGTTCATGACGCCGTGTCCGCCAGGGGTGAATACGCCAATGTACGGTGTCTCTTTCGTGAATCCCTCCTCGCCCCAGACATCGTCCAGGTCAAGGGGTCGACGGAAACCAGGCGTCAGATTCAACCTGATTCGGGGCTGGGGTCCGATCAGATAATGAAGAAGCAGACATGGTGTTGCAGGGGAAGAGAAGATGGTTGAGAAAGAAGAGAATGTTGTGGCTCGCGGAGGTAATGTACATATATACGTTTACCACCACCCAGGAGGTATACTAGCTAGGGTTGAGGCTTTCCTCAAACGTCGAAGAAGGCGTAAAGGTGATTGGTGGCCTCTCCGACAAATGCACTCGCTTGGCCGCAACAGGTTAGGCGTCAACATCACACACTAGTGGGGGCAGCTCATCTGCTCCCCGTCATTAATGCCTAGGAAATCCGGTCAAAACGCATCCTAACGAGTGTTACAGGGTGACTAGTTGCGTGGCAGGAGCATCAGGAGAGATCCTCTCTTACTGCTGCTCACAGACACAGCAACTCATCCGCTTGCTCAATTTTTGTTGTTGGTTCAATGGAGACATCTACAAAGTATGTATGGTCAAAGTATCCAAGGATAGCCGAGGCCCCAGAACCGGGCTACATCAGCACAGATAATGAGCAGGACGACCAGGCAGAGCCGCTCAAGTTCAGGCCGAGTCGAACTCATGTCTCAGTAAAGCGGCAGGCCACATTCCCCAATAGGTGCGAGGGCCACCTATTGTCAGTTCAGACGCACAACCTGCAACTAAGATCTTACAAATCACACCTACTTCCTTCTCGGGAAGGGAATGGACTTGTTGTCTCTGTCTGCTGTATAAGAGCCTCGAAGCGACCAAAGTGATATCTTACTTATCCTAAAAGCTGACCGATCGGGAAAACTCCGACCCGTGCTGCCAGAATGTAACAGCACTAGTGTCAACATTCTCCAGTCATCATCACACACGAAATTCTGGGGAATGGCGGCGGCAGAGCACCGTTGCGTGATGGCAGATGGTAAGCTTTACTCTTCTTCAGAGTCGTGGTGGGTTTTGGATCTGGGGGGGCTCAACGAGGAGGATGACAAGGCAATAAACAAACCATCAATCACCATCGGCGCGCGCACATTCTCCTAGGCTGGCGTTTTACTAATAGCGCTTCTTACACGACCCATCTGACGCAGGCAGCCTCGTCGATATCCACGTCCTCGTCTCACGCCTTGCTTCGAGAGTCAAGCATCTAGCAGTGAGCCGTTCGTTCGCCGTGTCCCAGGCAGAAGAGCATTTAAACCCCTGAATATGAGTGACCCGAAAGGGCTATTACCCTTGTGGAGACTTGCGTACCGCGCACACGCCAATACAAAGCGGCTACGACCTGCCCTGCTTGAATCTTGAGCCCTCTGGCGACTGCATATCATGGAGAAGAATATCCTCATGTTACCATATTCGCGGTCGACTTGTCTCAGTCAACCGGCGCGTAAGACGAGAAAGGGTAAAGGTGTATATTCTTGATGACAGAACGGTCCTTGAGAATGCCGTCCTTGCCTATTGTAAGGCCTTGCCGGTAAGCGCCCCAGTACGCCTGAACAGCTTCATCATACTCAAGGATAAATATAAACGGTAATGGTTGTCTATTCTGTTGTCCGTGCTTCCTTCCATTCAGCTCAGAACCTCCATTATGGCTCAACTTGGTGCCACCCAACTATTCCTTGCCGTCACGGGCGTCCTCGCAATAGTGCTGCTCGTGTACAAGGTATTCTTCACCAATTCGCAGTCCAAAGGCAATCATTCTCTGCCACCTGGCCCAAAGCCCCGACTCTTGGTGGGCAATCTGCCCGACCTTCCACCCGCCGGCGCCAAAGAATGGCTTCATTGGATCAAGCATAAGGAGCTTTACGGTCCGATCAGCTCCCTCACGGTTCTGGGGCAGACGATGATCATTATCAGCGACCACAAGGTTGCGGTCGAGCTGATGGAGAAGCGTTCCGCCATCCACTCGTCGCGCCCCAAGCTGGTGTTTGGGTCGGAAATGTGCGGGTGGGAAAAGGCGCTGGGGCTGATGCCGTACTCCAACAAGAGCCGTTCCTACCGAAAAGCGCTGCACACCGTCCTGGGCACGTCCGCCGCCATTGATCCGTTCCGACCGCTGCTCGAGCTGGAAACGCGGCGGTTCCTGCTCAAAGTGCTTGAGAATCCTCGAGACGTGTTGCAGCTGATTCGGACCCAGGCCGGCTCCATTATTCTGAAAATCGGCTATGGCTATACCATCGAGCCCAAGGGGCGGGATCCGTTGGTGGATCTGGCGGAACAAGCCCTCGACCACTTCTCAAAATCCTGCATGCCTGGAGTCTGGATGGTGGATATGATCCCTGCCCTCAAGTACCTCCCGGACTGGTTCCCCGGGACCGGCTTCAAGCGCACCGCTCGGCAGTGGAAAGCAACTCTCCATAGGGTGGCGGAGCTGCCATACAGGTTTGTGGAGCAGAAGCTTCGCAGCGGGACGGCCGAGCCTTCGTACCTCTCGAAGCTTCTTCACGACGACAAAGGAACCCTTTCTCCCGAGGCCGAAGACGTTGCCCGATGGTCTGCCTTCTCCTTGTACGCAGGAGGCGCCGACACCACCGTGTCGTCCATGGCCTGCTTCGTTCTGGCCATGATGCTCTACCCAGAAGTCCAACGCAAAGCCCAGGCCGAGATCGACGCGGTGGTGGGCTCTGCTCGCCTGCCGACATTTTCCGACCGCGAGGCCCTACCTTACGTCGACGCCATGGTCAAGGAAGTTCTTCGCTGGCATCCCGTGGCGCCGTCGGGCGTGCCGCATCTGACGACCAAGGCCGATGTCTACAACGGATACTTCATCCCCGAAGGCAGCCTCCTGATCCCCAACCTGTGGGCCATGCTGCACGACGCGACCGTCTACCACGACCCCGAAACGTTCGACCCGTCGCGCTTTCTCGGACCCAACGCTGAACCAGATCCTCACAACCTGGCGTTCGGCTTCGGCCGGCGCATCTGCCCCGGTAGGTTGTTCGCCGATGCGGCTTTGTTCTCGACGATCGCAGGGTTTCTGGCCGTGTTTGACGTGCGCAAGTGCGTCGAAAATGGGAAAGAGCTCGATCCGGTCGTGGACTTTGACACCGGCATCATCAGTCATCCGAAGCCGTTCAGGTGTGATATCGTGCCGCGATCAGCCACTCACGAGAAGATGATTCTGTCTGTCGAAATTGATCATCCCTTCCCGGAACATGGTGACGCAAAATTCTTGGCCGAGAGTGTCGCGGCGTAGGGCAGGCACTTAGTCCAAGTGGTCTTGGTCGCCAGGGGTGGCTCTATTCGTTTACGAACAGCATGCATCGGGTGCTCAGAGCGCAGACGACGACCCCTGGCTTTCTTCTTTTCTTCTTACCTTGTTTGTTGGATGGCATTTACCCACCAACTGAGGTGCTAGCGAGGTATATAAAATGATCGATATATGTATTCGTTCAGGCTTCCCACTACCACGGTATTTCGCTCCCTTTACTCCCGTCTTTGAGCATGGAAAATCGGGGATTCATCCCACGGCGATGGCCCCGAGCTCAAGATAGGACATAAGGTAAACCGACGACGAAGAAGAAGTCGCTGCGTGTGAATGTGTGTATAACAATGTGTCCTTCCAACATATTTATAAGATTGGTCGGAACCGGAAACCGACTCTTGTCTGCTTTCCCCCGCATTCAGAATATTGAGCCCTCGGTTCCGCGCACAAATACAATATGTAACCATATAACTTATACATCCGTTGAAATATATTTAATTCTTCAGCGTCGTTGATGATGTATCACCGCAGTGAAAGTACCCCCGGAAGAGTAAGCACAATAGCTGAATCAAATCAATTGTGGTGATCAGTGTGCTACGATCAATGCGAGGGCGTCTCCCGTCTCGCTGAGCCAAGCGGTGTCGACCATTCCAGACAGACAGACCTTCTTGAGCACACAAGCAAAGTGCTGGGCTTGGACACGAATGCTTGCTTAGGACGCGTTCATCAGCTGGAGAAGATGTCTTCAGCAGCACCCGAACAGCCTCCACCATGGCTGGAAAGCTACGCGACCGATCGCCATGACTGGCATCAAACGACGACCAAAGACAACAACAGCAACAGCCGTGTCGTTCACTACCGCCGCATTGGCATCGTCGAAAGCCTGTTCCACACCGACGGCACCGACTTCGAAGGCCGAGCGGACCTCACGATGCACCTGCACGTAGAGATGAGGACGTCCTTGAGTCCCGACGCCTTGCGAGCACGGATCTTGCTGGCGTGGAGCGTCATGCGGCAGAAACACATCCTTCTCTCTGCACGAGTGGCCAAGGCCGTCGACGTCCCGGGGGCAATACAGTCGTCGTCCTCGTTCCACCCCGAAGACCGCGTGTATGTCTTTGAGCCGAGCAGAGACCCCGGAGCGATGCTGCACGAGGCAATGAAGCACGCCGTGTTCGTGGGCGACCACTACCCGGATGTGGACGTCGACGAGTTCTTCATTCACACCCTCAACGTGCGCCGGTGCATCGACGAGACCCAGGCCCTAAGTAGGCTCTATGTCATGCCGATCGAGAGCGATGACGACACCACCACCACCATCAGTGGCCTGCACCAAGTCCATTTGATGTTCATCGCGGGCCACGAGATCGTCGACGGCCTGACCTCGATGAGGTGGATGTCTTCGTTCATCGACCTGCTCAACCAGTCCGCCCAGCGACTGTCCGCCGAAGCCGCCCGTCTCTGCACCGCCTCGCCGGTCGACCGACTCCCACCCGCGCAGGAATCCTTGTATCCGCCGGTAAAAGGCTCTCCGGCGCGACAGCGTTGGTCGTGGCTCCTGACCCGCATACTCCGGCACACACGACAGCCGCCTCCGGCGTCATTCCAGAATCCGCTTCGACGCCAGACATCCCTTCCCCAGGCTACTCCCCTCAAATCCAAATTCTCCCGTGTTCTCGACTACACGCAGACGCCGCCGCTCAACACCTTCCCCCTGCGAGCATCTCTGGGTCCCGCCTCCACGAGGCGACTGTCCCGTATCTGTCGTCAGGCCCGCATTAGTATCGGCAGCGGTTGCTTCGCACTGGTGGCGCTGGTGATGATGGGTTTCGAGGAACGCCGCCACCCCGGTGTGCCCACGCACGAGCGTCTCCCCTTCGTAGGATCGTTCCCCGTCAACCCCCGGCCGTTCCTAGGCGGCGTAAGCACCACAGGCAAGGAGGACAGTCTAATGCTGGCGTTCAGCGACGGCATCACATTGCCATTTCTACCTGCCACCAATCTAGATCTCGAGGGCCGGTTACGACTACTGGGCAAACAGGCCCACCGTCAGCTCCGCCGGTATCAGAAGCGGCCACGATCCCTCGAAGAGGAAGCCCACCTCGGCTCCCGTAGCCCATCCCAGCTACTGCCTCAGCTATACCTCTCGACGCTTGAGTATCTCGCGCGGAAGAGCCCGAGTGCCCGAAAACGTGGCTGGAACGTCCAGGGCGCGTACCCGGCCCGCGCAAGTCGCACACTTGCAACCTGTGGGGTAAGCTCGGTGGGCGCTCGTGGGACCATCATCGCCGCGGGCAAGTATGACACGAGGGGACAGAGAGGAGGCAGAGAAGAATCACGACAAGGGTCGTTGTCACCAGCAGAACGCCAACAGGGAGCAGGAGCAGAAACAGGGGCAGGGGCACGCGACGTGGTGGCCGACTTCCGTAACCTGCACACCACCGTGCGCGCCCGGGACGGGGAATTCCTCGTGGGCGTCGTCGGGGATGGCGACAGCTTGATGTTCGGAGTCAGCTATGACGGCTGTGCCATCGACTCGGGTCTGGCGGGCGAATGGAAGCGCGTGATGGAAAGCATCCTCGAGGAGGAGCACAACGATCCTGCTGCCGCTACGCGAGGCACTACCCCCAAGATGCTGACGGCGTTTTCGTCCCATAAGCTCTGATACTCCCCACCTGGGCAAAACGCGCCCCCTAAAAACCGGTCCACGCAGCCATGAGCACGATACGACCTCCTCGCTCGCCTGCAGCACATGAGCCGTAGGCCGATTCGCAGGGCGGGCGGGGGCAGACCACAGACCACAGTTCACCAAGCAGGGGAGGAGCACCCGAGGTCAGGAACCCCCACGCACCCGGTGGTACAGTCGGTGAGCAGGTTCTGCTCCCGGGGGCATTCATTCTCAGCCGTGCTGCTCCTCCCAGGAATTGCCTCCCAGAGCAACGGAGTGGTGACGGTGGCGAAGTGGTGCCTCCATTCTCACCCGGTTCTACATATGTGGTATAGGGTCGAATAGCACTCTCGCCAGGGATATTGTTTGGGGGGAGAGAGGAACAACTCGTTGGCCTTGTTTTACATGTGTCGTTACTGCCTCGAAGACCTACAGTACGTACATGCCATGAACCCCTTGAACCCAAGCGAGCTTGTTTTCTAAGCGGATGAAAGGTAAAAAAGGGGGAGGCATAAATTACTTTGAATCATTGGATTTCAATTTGTAAATATGGAGCAACCAACGCGAGGCAGAGAGAGCGAGCGAGCAAGCAGCTCACGCTCCTGTGCGTTCTGTACGTACGTAGCCTCCCTAACACGACTTATGTTGGCCAATCCATGTCGTCGTCATCAGCTTTTTGCATGCTTCAAGTATAACCAAGGAATTCGCGATCATCGAGCAGTCGTCGGTCGGTCGGACCAGCCAAGAGTCCAAGCAGTAGTAGCAGTCAGTCCCCTTACAAGATGTACCGGAAATTCTCGCTGGAGTCAGTCTCGGCGCCGATCTCGTCCTCCGCGTTGACGATCTCACGGACGGGCCCGTACTTCTCGTCCAATTTCTTGTTCAGGTGTCTGAGCCAGGCTACCTGGGCCAGTGCCAGGGTCGACGCAAACGTGCAAAACCCGAAACTGATCCAGAATCCTTTCTTGTAGTGCGGCGCCTCGCTCGCCGGGAAAATGTGCGTGCCCACGAGCGGACCGCACTGGCCCACAAAGTTCATGAGGATGAAGCCGGCGCCGCGCTTGCTGTCGCTGCCATTGTTATTGGCGACCCAGGAGAGGACGAGGCCGATGCACGGGTAGAGTCCGCCGGCGACAAGGTAGAGGGCGAAGTATTTGACCCCGACCACCTCGACAAGACACAAGATGAGATAGCCCACGGCAGCGGTTCCACTGCACAAGGAAAGGAAGATACCTCGGCGCTGGAAGTGGTCCGAGAGATGACCGATTGCGAGCACGACGAGACAGGCGAACAGGTAAGGGGGGGCCGAGAGACCCTGGGCGTGAAGAGCGGTGAAGCCCATGCCCTGGAGGATGGTTGGCGTGTAGATGGGCAGAGAGGCGTAGCTAACATTGCAGGAGAAGTACATGAGTGTCGGCAACCAGTTCTTGAGGTCGAGTAGTGATTTGAAGAAGTTCTTGACATTGATCTTCCGGTCGCGCTCGACGTTGCCGACCATGCGAACCATGCGAGCCCGGGCGATCTTCTTTTCCTTCTCGCTCAGGAATTGGCAGTCTTGAGGATTGCTTGGGAGCCAGTAGTAACCGAAGAGGCCGACAGCAACAGCAGGGAGACCTTCCACAAGAAACAAAGCACGCCAACCAGCAATGGCGTGATGATGTTTGGTGACAAAGTAGGCGAAGGCTCCGGCAAAAGAGGCCCCTAGAGGAGCAATGGACACATACCAGCCTAGTCGTCGACCCATCTCTTTGCGGTAGTAGAAAAAGGAGAAGAAGTAGGCCAGACCAGGGCTGTAGGAGGATTCGAAGATGCCCAAGAGAAGTCGCAGGACCAGCATTCCCGCAAAGTTTTGAGCAGCTCCACAGCATCCAGCAATGGTGCCCCAGATAACGATGACAGTGGGAACGTAGTATCGGGCGGGAAAGATCTTGTAGAAAACAGTCTGCCAGTCGAAGAGAATATAACCCAAGTACAGAGCAGTCAGAAGCCACTGGTACTGGCTGTCACTGAGACCCAGATCTTTGGACATGCCCGCAGTGTTTGCGTTCCCAATGTTGCCACGGTCCATATATGCCAGGAGGTATGCGCCGGATACATAGCCCAGGACGATGACGTCGATTTTAAGGAGCATGCGCTTTTCTTCTGCTTTCGTATAGTTGAAGGCGAGAGCCTCCAGCCGGCCAACGGCCTCAATCTTCTGCTCGTTCTCGGGCGAGGCGGTGATGTCCTGGCCTTCGACATGACTGATGTCGGTCTTGGCTTGGACGACAGTGTCTTTTTCGGTAGCCATGGTCAAATAGCTTGCTTGATCAAAGAGAGAGGTAAAGAGCCAGACGAAAAGAGAGGAGTGTGAGACTGATCCAAGACACGACGACTTGTCCAACCGCTTTATGTAGGGCTCCAGGGAGGCTCTGGAAGCACCTGCCCTCATCCAAGCCCCTGGGATATCGGCAGTAGCAGCATGGTCTGACCCGTGGGGAAGCCTATTCCAATACCAGGCAGAATACCAACCCCCACTGGATGCTGGTAGTGGACTCCGTGGCGTTCAAATCCGGGGAAAGCTTCTTCGGCCACTCTCCGGGTGGGCCAAGTCCCTGCAAGGGTCCTTGGTCATTGACTGGGTGACTTGGCAGAAATCGGGGTTATGGGATAGAGCTGGTTTGGATATGTTCTGTTTGGACAAAGGGTCGCTTCGGGGAATGGCCGGCTGGGCAAATTCAATCCTCGCGTGGGGGATTGTCGAGCGATATCGTCGCTGCACGTCGGGGTCAGTCGCCGTCCCATAGCCTTTTAAAGAAACGGTACGCCGGTCCAAGAGTTGACGAAGAACCATGGCAGTTTGACAACTTCCTCCCATTCGAACTTGTCCAAAAATGCCCTCTTTCAAGATCCTTGTGCTACCCGGTGACCATATCGGCGCCGAGGTCGTACGCGAGGCTGTCAAAGTCCTTCGTGCGGTTGAGTCGCATCCCTCGGTGGCTAAGCAAAACATCAAGTTTGACCTCGATTTTGACTTGTTGGGTGGCCAATCTATCGATGTTCACGGCATCCCTCTGACACCCCAAGTCATCGAAAAAGCCAAGAACTCGGTTGCTGTGCTCTTTGGCGCCGTCGGCGGTCCAAAATGGGGCATGACTGGTGCTTTGCGGCCGGAGACTTCGGTGCTAGACTTGAGAAAGGCACTTAATTGCTGGGCCAATATCCGCCCATGCCGGATTCCTTCTCCCGGGGTCGCCAAATGCTCGCCACTGAAAGAGTCCCTGGTGCAAGGCACCGACTTCATTGTCCTTCGAGAAAACCTCGGAGGCGTGTACTTTGGCGAAAAGAAAGAAGAGCCCGACTATGCCCACGATGTTTGGGGCTACCACCGATGGGAGATTGAGCGAATCTCACGAATGGCTGCTTATCTGTCACGCAAGCACGGAGGCTCCAAGGGTCCAAGCAAGATCACTTCCGTGGACAAAGCCAACGTTCTGGCCGTGTGCCGCCTGTGGCGGGAAGCGGTGACGACGATACACGACCGAGAATTCCCGGAAATCCCACTCCATCACCAATTGTCCGACTCACTGGCCCTTATAATGGTCAAGAACCCTCGATCGCTGAACGGAATTGTCATGTGTGACAACATCTTCGGGGATTTGTTCTCCGATGAAGCAGCAGCTGTTGCCGGCTCACTTGGCTTCAGCCCTTCCGCTTGTTTGTCCGGCATTCCGGGCGAACCACTTTCTACGGGCATGTACGAGCCCAGCCACGGCTCTGCACCAGATTTAGCACCCAACAAAGCCAACCCGATTGCAACCATTCAAAGCGCCGCCATGATGTTGCGCTATAGTTGTGACTTGGACTCCTTGGCGAATGCTATTGATGAGGCCGTCAGTGTTGCCCTGGACGACAAAGCCTCTGGTGGTCTCGAGGTCAGGACAGGCGACATCGGAGGCACTGCCTCGACGACGGAGATGGGGGATGCTGTGGTGACTGCACTCATGCAGATCCTGGATAAAGCGGAAACAAGTGTCACCTCTGAAAGTGCTAGGCTGTAACGCGTCTCCATAGATCAGTAGATAGCGGGCCATGAGTCGAATCTGAATGTACCTTGACCCCCACGGATTTGAAAACGTCCCAATATCTCTCTTCTCGGATGCCACGTGGAGATTTGGGGGTTAATGCAATGTCTAGTGAATGGGAAGTCGATCAGAGCTGATCGTTTGGGGAAATGAAAGACAAGACCATGATCGGCGGTATGAGTTCCTTGGTGAGAATCCCCCACGGTACCGGCCATTCCCCGGACACGTGAACTAAAGATACATACCTCTGTCCCTGGCAGGTTGAAGTGAGGACTGCCTTTAAGCGCACGACCAGCTTTGAGAATACGAGTGTAACCAAGCCAAATCAACATGCCTCTCACGTTGTACGACAAAATCTACCAAGAGCACTTGGTAAATCCTGACGACAAGACGGCACCACTCTTGTACGTCGATTCACATCTGATTTTCGAAGTCCCAACCGCTCAGGCATTCGATGGCCTCAAAAAGAACAAGCGACCAGTACGGAGGGCGGACTTGACCTTGGCCACAGTTGATCACAATGTTCCAACGGATGATCGGTCTCGGTACCAGGATGCAGCCTCTTTTGTTCAAGAGCCACAAGCCAGAACCCAGATCACCTTGCTTGAGAAGAACGTCAAAGAGTACAACATCAAGTACTTTGGCATGCCAGACCGCCGGCAAGGCATTGTCCATGTAGTAGGCCCAGAGCAAGGACTGACTCTCCCGGGAACCACACTTTTCTGTGGAGATTCGCACACTCCTACCCACGGAGCCGTAGGCGCTTTGGCTGTCAGCGGAGGAACTTCAGATATTGAACATGTGTTGGCCACCCAGACTGTGCTCCAGAAGAAGTATAAGAACTTCCGCGTTCGTGTCGAAGGTGAACTTGGTCTCGGTGTCTACTCCAAAGACATCATCTTACATTTGCTCGGTAAAATTGGGACAGCGGGAGCAACTGGGTGTGTCATTGAATTCTGTGGCTCCACAATTCAAAATCTGTCCATGGAGGCAAGAATGGTGCTGTGCAATATGAGCATCGAAGGAGGTGCTCGCAGCGGACTCGTGGCACCTGATGAAGTCACCTTCGAATATCTGAAGGGCCGACCTCTTGTTCCTTCTGGGGCAGACTGGGACAAGGCACTTGCATACTGGAAAACGTTGTACAGCGACGAGGATGCTCACTGGGATTACACTGTCGACATAAATGCCGCCGACATAGTGCCTTCAATCACCTGGGGGACCTCGCCAGACGATGTCATCCCGGTCAATGGCAAAATCCCAGATCCAGCTGACTATGAAGAAAAAGAACCGTTCAAAGCAGCTGCGATCCGCCGGGCGCTCAAATACATGGACTTGAAGCCGAACATGCTAGCGACAGATATCAAGATCGATCGTGTCTTTATCGGATCCTGTACGAATTCGAGAATTGAGGACCTTAGGGCTGCAGCAAGAGTAGCCCAAGGGAGAAAAGTCGCAGATTCGGTGTATGCCATGGTCGTTCCAGGTTCGGGACTGGTCAAGAAGCAAGCAGAAAATGAAGGCTTGGATGTTATTCTGAAAGCCGCTGGGTTTGACTGGCGAGAGGCTGGCTGTTCCATGTGTCTGGCCATGAACCCTGATGTCCTCGCTCCTGGAGAGCGATGTGCCTCGACGACAAACAGGAATTTTGAAGGAAGACAAGGTCCTGGTGGCCGAACTCATCTCCTGTCTCCAGCCATGGCAGCAGCAGCAGCTATCAAAGGCCACTTTACCGACGTGAGGGAATTCTTGACCTCACAGAATGGGTCACTGAAAGTGACCCAGTTGACGCTCAATGGTGAAAAGGTAAAGAGTTATGGTCCAATTGAGGTGACCTCAGGCGCTGCCACCTCTGCAACCGCCGACGAAGACGATGCAATTCCGAAACGACCATCGGAAGAAGCCAAGCGCAGCGTGGAAGGAATCCCCAGGTTTGACGTGGTCCGGTCTGTGCCCGCTCCCTTCGACATGCAAAATATCAACACCGACCTTGTGATCCCTGGAGAATACCTTAAAACCACAAAACGAACCGGTCTAGGCCCGCATCTGTTTCAGGAACTTCGATATGACAGCACTACACATGAGGAGGTACCCGAATTTGTCCTGAATCAGGATCCTTATCGCCAATCTAAGGTTCTGGTCTGTACTGGAGAGAACTTTGGCTGCGGCTCTTCAAGGGAGCATGCTGTCTGGGCGTTGGTCGACTTTGGTTTCCGCTGCGTCATCGCGCCCTCGTTCGCGTCCATATTCTTCAACAATTCCGGCAAGAATGGGCTGCTGGCCATTCCTCTTGACAATGCAGAGGCCTTGCGGAAAATCCATGCTGAAGGCCTGGCCAGACGTGAGGTTGAAGTGGATTTGCCCAACCAGGAGATCAAGGACGCCAATGGCAAGTTGATTGCAACATTCGAGATGGATCCATACACAAAGCACTGCTTGGTCAACGGTCTGGACGACATAAGCAATACGCTCTTGAGCGAAGAAAAGATCTATGACTTTGAAATCAAGCAGAAGTCAAAGTTTCCATGGTTGTTCGGTCGCATCCGGAAACTCCAGCCTCCGAGGCGTCTCGGTCTTTATCTCCCCAGCGCGAAAGATGTCTTCGACTGGTAGGCAGTGGTAGACGGAGGGAGAAAAGTTAGGACGGTTCATTACACACAACCAGCTGCTACCAGCCAGCGGTTAGTCTAGCCAACTGTTTTCGTCGAGCCAAGAGGGCTATAAAATCCAAATTTCTGATCACATGTTTTTGAGATTGTTTCCGAAACAGGGAGTTCGGTCTTTTCGGGCCTTTTTTCCCGTCGTCGTAGAATGAGAGTGGGCACGCCAGCATTATCCCAAAGAAACCTGATATTGGAGAGAGCGGAGAGCGGAGCCACACCCCACGCCAATCTCCCCCACGAGCGTGAAGATGCCGACCCGGGGTTTTGAGCTACCCCGAAAACGGTGGCGTCGGGCTTTGGCCGGAAGCTGGTGGGGAGTCGATGTGAGCCGGCCGGGAGATGGGAACACTCTGGAGCGGTAGGAAACCATCTTCGGGTAGATAATAAGTCGAGAATACATGACAAAACTTCAAGCAAGAGTCCAGCATCGTAAAGAGGATCAAGATGACGATCTCCTATCCAACAGTGTCGCCGCTTCGTTGCGGTTATCTCTCGCCTCCAGCGTCAAAATTCCTCGCGGATGCGAAGGAAGGGGAGAAATTGACCATGCCGTCGATGGCTTTCCTGATTCAACATCCCGCCTCAAAGTCAAAAATTGTCTTTGACCTGAGCATCCGGAAAGACTTGACTAAATACCACCCTGGGCTACAAAAGCACCTCAAAACGAGGAATCCTTTAAGCAGCCAAGACGATGTGAAGTCAGCACTGGCGCTGGGAAACGTGGATGTCTCACAGATCGACTTTGTGATCATGAGCCACGTGCATTGGGACCACGTGGGCACTCCATCCGACTTCACCTCTGCGATATTTATCGCCGGCCACAACACGGGCAAGCTCCTCAGAAATGAAATGGGACCAGACTTGGCAAATCCCTTCTTTGAGCCCGACTTATTGCCAGCGGATCGCACGATCGAATTGCCGGCAACACCGAGCTCCAAGGCCGGCGAAGTGTTCGATGAGGTTCGCGGGTGGCATTGGCAGCCCATGTCTCCAATCCAAAATGTCATTGACATGTTCAACGACGGCACTGTGTATATCGTGGATAGCCCAGGTCATCTGCCAGGACACTTGAATGCTTTGGTCCGGGTGGCTGTCGACAAATGGGTTTATCTGGCTGCTGATGCATGCCATCACATGCGAATCTTCAATGGCGAGACTGACTTCGGGTCTTGGAAGGATGACAAAGGCCGGACAGCCACAATTCATAAAGATCTGGAGGCAGCATACAAGACGCTGAACATAATGCGAATGCTTCGAAGGGACGGGCTAAACGGTATCCCGGTGGAGATTGTCCTCGCGCACGATGGAGAGTGGCAGGAAAGGAATTCGGACAAATTCTTCCCAAATCATCTGTAATGAGGTGGCAACGGCCTGCATTGCAAGATATTTTGATGTAGACCATGGCAGCTCTGGCTTCGCTGGCGGTCCAATTAGGCTCGACAGGCCATCACCAAGCCTGGTGGAATAGTCATCAGCACGGGTCCAATGAGGCTGCAGCCCTGGTTACCACGTCATCACTGACGAGGGCTGCTCCCTAGCGACAACGTGCTCTCTAAACCTTCTCTCATGTTTGCCGAGGTAGAGGGCCCTTCTCGCTGCGTCAATCCAATCGTCGACGTTGAGATACGCGTAGGATCGGGCATTGTTACCCCGAAGTGAGCTTTCTCCACGCATCATACATGTAATGGCACGGCTGATGAAAAAGGGGCTCACGAGTTTCGGTCTCGTTCTTCCCGCCTCCGTACCAATAAGAGTTGCGTTCCGTGGGGTCGGGTCCTGCTCACTGGATCTCAGCCGTTCGAGGGCCATATTCGGGATCCGAGCGGGAAGGTGTTAGGTCTCAGGGATGGGGGTAATGGTCTTGGGCGCCGGGGTATCATTCTCCCCCACAATATAGGATGATAGCGTCTGGACGTTGCCTTGGGGGATGTTTGGAGATTCCAGAAGGACTTCCTTGCATGGTTGTGGAGTGCCTGGCGATCCACCGCGGCAGTTCTCCTTCTTCAAAATAACAGGGAACCGCGTCATCGTCATTGCCCTTTCCATGGGGTCTCTGACAATCCCCCCGTGTCAGGCATTCAGGCAGTTTGCATGAAGAAGGATCCTGAGTTTCTCGAGGACAGAGAGGAAGAGGAAGTGGAAGAGTGCGGAGATGATAAGGTTTTGAGTTCCGTAGAAATCCGGCTCTTCTATTCGTGGAGCCTCGCTAGCCGTATAGAACTCCACCACAGTCAAAGTCTCGGCATCAAGTCCGCTCCGCTGGCGGGTCGCGAACTTTTTCTCCCGCAGACGCGTTGAGTGGGTGTCTTTCAGGTCCAAGCATCCCACCCCAGATTTTGAGGAAGTCAGGCCGTGCAGCATGAACCCAGTGCAGGGCACCCTGATGCCGTTTCTGTATCCTTGCTTTTTCCATACGTCCACTGCAAATTGCCTGCGCGTTCAAGCACATCGGATTCGACTTCACAACCGTCTCCGCCTCCAATACCTACATCAAACAAGTCGACTTAACAGTCCACCCGATGTAGAGACAAATGCGTCTCTCCACAGCCCTGCCTCCGAAGTGTCCATACCTCCTACCTCCGCTACTTCGACCCACCTGAATCCTTCCCCCGACGATTACTCCCGTTCGATCTTCATCGACAAATGCCAAATAACCGTCCACGCAGGCTCCGGTGGGAGCGGGTGCGTGTCGTTCCTGCGCGACGCTCATATAGCCGATGGACCACCCAACGGTGGCGACGGCGGGTCTGGGGGGAGCGTCTTCATCCAAGCCGTCCCGGGACAAACGTCTCTCCATAAACTTGCGAGGCGAGGTATCATAAAAGCTGGTCGCGGCATAGGAGGCCAAGGAAAATCCCAGGGTGGGCGCCGAGGAGAGGATATCTGTGTCCAGGTCCCCGTTGGGACGGTCGTACGAGAAATCTGGCGGAGCGACCCCAGCGCGGAAGAAGAGATTCGCATCAAAGAACTCCAGGCGATGAGCGATGAGCCAGATCTCTTGAATAATCCTGACAATGGTTTGAGGAACAGATTCATCATCTATGCTGGTGCCACGACTGCCGACGACCGCCGACAAATTTCCTCGCATCTGCCCTCTCTCAATTCTCACTTGGTGAAACCCAAAAAATCACATCTTGCCATTCTGCAGCCTCGTGCACCTATCCACCTAGACCTGGACAAGCCCATGGACAAACCGATCCTGCTGGCCGCGGGAGCTGTGGGGGGACTGGGAAACCCGCACTTTGCGACAAAATCCGACCCAAAGCCGAAATTCGCGACGAAGGGTGAACTAGGCGTGCGGATCAAACTCGAGCTGGAACTCAAGTTGTTGGCGGATGTGGGACTCGTCGGGCTACCTAACGCAGGCAAAAGCACATTCACGAGGGCGATATCGAATTCAAGGACGAGGATAGGTGACTGGGCGTTCACCACTCTCGCACCTACAATTGGAACGGTCATCCTGGACAACAATGAAGGGCGCCCGTTGGTGCGTTCCGGCATTCCATCCCCCGGTTCTATGAACTCATCTTCATCTGGAAGCTTTGTGCCGCGTCAGTCTTTTACTGTGGCAGACATTCCTGGGCTCATCGAAGATGCACATTTGGATAAGGGCCTCGGCCTCTCGTTCCTCCGACACATTGAGCGGGCAAGGATCTTGGCTTTCGTGGTGGATCTATCCGCGGGAGATGCCGTCACACAGCTGAAGGCCTTGTGGAAAGAGGTTGGAGAGTACGAGAATCTCCGGGATCGAGAAGTGAGTGAGCAGACAGAGGCAAGGTTGATCAATTGGTCGCCCTTCGAGGCCCAAGCTGCGCCACCCACGGAGGACGGACTATTCAACGACGAAGGGGAGGAAATCTCAATATTCCCGTCGGGATCCTCTCGCTCGTCTACGACACTCGAACCATTAGCTTACCCTCCCATCAGTGCGAAACCTTGGTTCGTCATCGCCACTAAGGCAGACATCTCTCAAACAGCGACCCAGTTCATGACGCCAGGAGAAGCCAATCCCACCTCAACCCAAACAAACTTTCTGTCTCTAGCAGCCTATATGAGGCAAGTGGAACGTGGAGAAGTGGAACACCCCAGCGGGAAACAAAACGGATGGCGGAATCGCGTGGCGGCGATACCTGTAAGCGCGATCAAGGGGGAAGGAATTGATAAGGTCAAAGATATACAGCCGGCGTTCTGGATAGCCTTGTCGTTGGTCGCTGAAATGTGGGATATGAAACTAGGAGCAGTCGCAGCGAAGCAAGTTGCGGAGACTCGATGGGGGTCGGTCCATGCGCTTGAGAGCGAAGGGCTGGGAAAAGCGAAAGGAGGCGAGGGGGAAGAGATTCTCTAGGATGGTAGTGGTCTGGACATAGCATCGGGGTCATGCAATCACTTGACTATAAGTCCGAGCTCGCTGGAGCTGCATCACTTACTCATTGGCATTGCACTCAAACCTCGAGGGACAGGGAAGCAGAAACGGAACAGAATAGAAGCAAAAGAATAAAGGGGACCCGGTCTTGTAACTATAGTTGACCCCATCCGGAAATGTCACGACTGAGGTCATCTCGGTATCGCATGTTTGAAGATGCAGTGGTATTCAGCTATTCAGCCTTGTAAGCATTAAGGCAGCTCTCTGTGAAGATTCTCACACGAGGCTGACAGCAAGTCCACTGTTCGGTGTTGACGCTATTAGATGAGGTCTTTAGGACAAATACTGCCCCTTCCTCCACGCGAAGGGTAAGCGGATGCACACCATTCCTTTTCGCACGAAACCCGAATCAACAATGAAAAACACAAGCGCGGCCAGCTCATTGAGTCGCCGACATACTCCTTCGATATTGTGGAGCGTGGAGGTGCAGTAGGTTCTCGCTACGCAAAATCCCTCTGCCAAATCTGGTTCTCGGAGGAGTCAGGCACTAGAAACCCCTCCCGGGAGGTCCAAAGCTGTTTGGGTGGCCGACGACGCCACCCAAGGCACTCGTGTGGTGGATATGTTGACTGTGACCCAACAAGGGACTTCCTATCTCACCAACGCTGCCCCTGGGTTGTTGGCTCGGGGCATCCTCGACGAATTTAATCACTTGCCCTCTGTTTTTGTCAATGATAACCTCAAAGGATCCGCCGCCATTCTGTGAGTTGCCCTCCGTATCGCAAATTCCAAGCATCTCGTCCATAGAGACTGGTGGTTCGCCTGGTGCTTTAAGCGTCTCTAGCTGGCGGAGCACATTCTGCACTGGATGATACCCATCGGCGCTTGCCACTGGGCTTTGTGACAGTTGACGGCAAGCTTGGACAAGCATAAGTCTCACTGCGATCGGGCGTGGGAGATGGGACCTTGAGATTGTTTGAGGCCCAGCGCCAATGGCTCCAAATGGTGGGGGACCCCAACCCGGGCTAGGACGTTGCGAGCCTGGGGGCCCCCAGCTGGGAGTAGGAGCCATGCTTGGGTTGAATCCGCCCCAACCAGGGTGTCCCATACCAAACGGTTCCTGCTTGTGGTCAGGGAAGCTGCTCGCGAATGGTATCCGCGCAGATCCAGGCGGACCGACAGGTGGAAGGCTCATGCGAGAATCTGAGTTTTCCAAGAACGGCGCATCAGAATCATCCAACAACGCCTTGCTTCCCAGCTGTGTAGCCAGATGATCAATATCGACGTCCGGAGTCTTTCTTTGCGGTCTCTGCTTGTCCGGGGTTGTACTCGACGGTCGCGCAATGGGACCCAGTCCAGGTCGGCCTATCGGTGCCTGCTCAGCCGATGGTTGTCTAGAATGAACCTGGGGCTTGGGCACTGGCTGTTGATTGACGATAGGAGGCGCCTGATTAGGAGCTTGTGGCAAGAAGGGCATTTGTTGACCTGGTTGAAAAGTTCTCGGAAATCCCGGGGGAAACTGCATGCCGTTCTGGGCGAAACGCTGCTGGGTGCCCATGGGGGGTCCTGGGTACATGTGCATAGGAGGCATCATGGTCGGCATCATCCCTGGAGCAGCCATCGGTGGCGGACCACTCACTCCTAAACCCGGTAATCCATTCATATTGAACGGATATTGCCCTCGCCCGTGGTTGCTTAATGGCGACCTCGGAGCAGAAGGCTGCGGATGATGAAGTGTCGGAGGATGCCCTTGTGCTTTCACCGGCTGACCAAGGGCTGGTGTTTGCGGCATGGCGACGGTTGCTGGAGAAGCAGAGCTTCGGGACAGCTCGGTGCTAGCCTTCTGTGACCGCGGGGACGAGCCATGGGAATGCTGGCCGGGTTGCGAAGGCTGTCGATTCCGCACAGGCGTTGGGACTTTGGGAGGGATGACCGGTGTCGCAACAGAGACGTGTGGAGATTGTATGGTCGGACCGCGAGAAGGAGGCTGGAGGCCAGGGGGAAGCGCTACAGGCTGTTGTTTTGTCGGATGTTGATGGGCAGCACGCTCTCTGGCGTCTCTTTCCACTTTCAGAGAGACCTCTTTCTCTTTTCGTGACTGCTCCTCCTTGGCTTTCCTCTCGCGCTCTTCCTTCACCTTCCGCTCCTTGGCCTCCTTCTCCTTGGCTTCTCGCTCCTCGCGTTCTTTCTTTTTCGTCTCTTCACGCCTCTGTCGTTCTCGCTCCTTGGCCTCCTTTGCCTTACGTTCTTGTTCAGCCTGTCGCTCGCGTGCTTCGAGTTGCTTACGATGCTTCTCGGCTTCCTTGCGGAGTCTTTCCTCTTCTGCAGCCTTCTTTTCAGCCTCACGTTTTTTGCGTTGCTCCTCGCGGCGTAGTCGCTGTTCCTCTAGCCGCTTTTCTTCCAACTCTCGCGCGGCTGCTTCCTGAGCAGCCTTCTCGGCCTCTTTCTTTGCTTTCTCCTCGTCTTTCGCTTGTTTCTGGAGTCGCTTCTTCTCCTTCCGCTTGGCTGCTTCTCGGGCCTTCTTTGCTTCTCGCTGCGAGTCGAGTCGGCTCTCTTCGTCTAGCTCTTCGAGTAACTTTCTCTGTCGTTCTGCGGCGACCTTCTCTCGATAGGCCGTCAAGACACGTTGTTCGAACATTCGCGCAGCAAAAATTTGGAACATCCGTCGACCTTCTTCCATGCGCTGTTCTTCAGTCATGGAATCCTAAGGCAATGCTGTCAGAAATTTTGCAGACCACAAGAATACGCCGCCACTGACCATGTCGTCCCCCTCGAAATCGTCCTCTTCTTGGGAGTCGTAGTCCTCGTCATCTTCCTCATCGTCATAATCATCATCATCGTCTATGGGAGGATGATTGTGACCTTGATGAATATCTCGATGAGCTAATGACGAGGAATGGTAGCGAATATCTTCCTCACGTTGCATGCGTCTCTCCGCCAATTGCTCCATCATGTCTATGAAGTGTTTGCCATCATTCTTTAGCAGGTCGTCCGCAACGGTGAGTATACCATCTGTTCAACTTGTTAGCCGATAACGCCACTGCATAGAAAGATAGAAGCCTGACCCTTCACAGTCAGGCTATTGCCGAATTGGAAAAAGTCGGGCGGCCCCGGTCGCAGGCCGTGATCGTCAAGCTCCCCCTCATCGTCGCTATATCCCTCGTCGTCTTCATCATCGTACTCGTCGTCGTCCTCAAGGTCCTCTTCATCGTCTTCGATCTCGTTAATTGGAAGTCGCCCGGGGTGTGAACGATGTGATCCATGGATCTTTTGTTTGAATAGAGGACGGGGAGGGGCCATCATCTGAGGAACGCTGGAAAGATCCGAGTTGTGGTTGGCAAACTGTTCGAGTTCCTCGTAGTAGGCGTCGTAGAGCACCTCCAATTCCTCCTCGATAGCAGTACGTTTTCGTCCACATACGGAGCAACTGCAAGAGTGCTTCTGTTGTTCCTTCATTTTGCGCAAGACGGCTTCCTTCTCGACCTTGACCAACGATCGTCGCTCATCCTCGCCCAACTCCAGCCAAAACTGCTTGATGTTTTCCCGCTCGGCCTGAGTCGAAGTATTCCAGATGTGGTCGCTTGAAAGTTTCTGAGAGGCGCGCATCGCGGCGTTCGACAGAGGTGGGAGGTTGGAGCGAGACAGCATTGTCGAAGTTCTCGATAGGGCCTCGTTTGTGGTTTTGGATTTCTTCCGCTTGCTGGTATTCAGCCACGAGCTGTCGTGCATTGCCTCCGCCCCCTCTCCGTAGTTGGGGTCCTCATCGCCACTATAAAAAGCTTCTTCCGGGCTCCCAATATCGGCGTAAGTAGGGTCGGTGGAGTCTGGATAGTCGGGCTCTTCAGTGAAGTAACCCTTTACCGGACCCCGGCCGTGTTTGACTGGGGGCAGTTGTCCATTCGGTTTGCTTTCTGGCGTGGGAGCATGACCATTTGGTATCGGCACGTCCGTCTTCTCCGCCGCACGTCTCGCAGCCTCTTTTTCCCGTCTCTTTTGCTTCTTGCGATTGACCGCCGTGGCATGAGCAGGCTCTCCGGCCGATTCAGTGGTATCACCGGTCTTTAAATCTGCGTCTGACTTCGCATGTGAAGGCTGGCTGTTCAACGACGGCGTTGACGACATTGCAGGCCCCGAGTTGTGCAGGGGTTGGACTGGTGCAGGCGCATCTTTTGCAGAAGTGGTCGCGGGCAACGGCTGCGGTTTGGCGGCATTAACCTGAGTGTTGGCTTTCTTCTTGGAAGGCATAGCGCCAAGCCGTCACTGAAGGACTGCTAGGTTCGATATCGATCTTGATCTCGCTAGGTTCACATCAAAGGCACGGCGGTTTCGGTTGCTGGTGGGGTATCACAAATTGGTAAGTGACGAGCAGAGGAGGTGCACCAGGGGTGGCAAACAAACAAGGAGGACGAGACAAGGGATGTCTTGAAGATTGAAATCTGTTGAAGGGAGAAAGTGAGGGTATTACAGGAGAATGGCGGCTCCCGTCTGTTTGGAGAGTAGGAAGTTGAGGTGTTCGACGTCCAAAGTCTCAAGTCCAGTCCCAGTCTGGATCAACTTCAGTTTCGTGGGGCGGCGACGTTCCAGTTGAGGCTGCACCTGCGCTTGGAGGTGCAGTGCGTCCCCAAGGGAAGTTGCGGTCCGGCACAGGGGCCCTGAACGGCACCTTGGATTCCTCGTTGTCCGCCAGTGCCGCCTAGCAGCCGCCTAGCAAAGTTCAATAATTGCCCTGTGACAGCAGGTACGCCAATTATAGGCCCTTTGCGTCCCAATTATCACACCTCCACGTCTGCCATTCATCCTCCCACGCACAACTTAAGACAGCGACGTCGACAAACAGCATTTCTGGTGCGATCTCAAGCCTTGGCTGACTGCATCTACAATTGCATCATCGTCTACTCTTCGATCTCACCGGAAGAATTGGTCTTCATCGCTAGATCTCATCCCGTGGTGACCGAGACATCTATTTGTGGCTGCGCCTCAACCACTGCCTCTCGCAGTTACCGTCCCGCTCGGGGTGGATTTCTTCTCCGTTGGACCCCACGAACTCCCAGCGGACTAGTCTCAGTTGTTCAGAAACAAGACAGCCGGTTCCTCAGCTACAGGACAAATACATCGTTGCAGACGACTGAAACTGCGGCTGGCGGTGCCGGTCGCTGGTGGAGGTAAACGTACTCCCGTTTGTGGACTGGTTTCGCTGGCTTTGCTGTATGCGACCTCAGTTGCGGCCAGTTACACCAGGCCGCACCTCCACTCCCCTTTGACTGCATTTCAGCTCATCCTCACTCTTATCCGCCGCACAATACCGACTTAAGACTCCCGAAACCCTTCATCCGCTTCTTCTTTTCTCTCCTCCACAAGAGCTGTTCACCATCTACCTCGAAAGCCACCGGGGACGTCGAAGCTCTCCCTTCGCCCGCTGTATCTGTAGTGGTGTGATCTGTCTGCCTGTGGGACAGAGCCGCAACGGCTTCTACCGCCATGGCACAGGACCAGGCACAACAGAATGTGATGAGAAGGTACGTTGGCTCCCACGTCTTCACTGCCCGCGTGGTGGAAAAGCTGTCCCTCAACACCAAGGCTTCCCACATCAGGCTGCCATTGCCGCACGTTTGGCCAGATCCCGAGAACAATCACTGATATCGGTTCCTGCAGGAAGCTTGTTATAATAGGCGACGGTGCTTGTGGAAAGACATCACTGCTATCAGTGTTTACTCTCGGCTATTTCCCTACTACCTACGTCCCAACCGTCTTCGAAAACTACGTGACAGATTGCCGCGTCGATGGCAGATCAGTGCAATTGGCATTGTGGGACACAGCAGGGCAGGAAGACTACGAAAGATTGAGGCCCCTTGCATATGCGAAATCACATGTCATCCTCATCGGCTTCAGCGTCGACAGCCCCGACAGCTTGGAGAATGTGCGGCATAAATGGATTGAGGAAGCTCGCGAACGGTGTCCCGATGTGCCTGTCATACTGGTCGGCTTGAAGAAGGATCTGAGAGAAGATCCGATGGCAATTGAGGAGATGCGGAAGCGGAGCCAAAAGTTTGTTACGCCCCGAGAGGGCGCTGAGATGGCTCAGGCTTGCGGAGCTCGTAAATACCTCGAATGTTCAAGCTTGACAGGCGAAGGTGTGGACGATGTCTTCGAGGCTGCGACAAGAGCTGCTCTTTTGACATTCAATGGCAAGCAAGGCGGTGGCGGATGTTGCGTCATTCTGTGATGCCCAACACATTATCGGAGTGGAGAACGGAATGGGTTGCTGTTACCCCTTGAACAATCCGAATTGGAAGACTGGTCACACGCAGGGAACTAATACCGATGCTCAAAATGGCGAAAAACCGACGTTGTACCTTTCCCTTCCGGAGAAATGAAGTCTTGGCTGGCACGTTGTCTGAGGACGGATCGATCCATACCAGGCTTGGGCTTGATCCTGTGCGACACGAGACGAACGAATTTTTCATACTCGATTTAGCGAACTGACATCAACGATGGACCTTCTACTTATGTGCCTCGTCTTTTCAATTCAGGTTTGGTGGTCGAGAAGGGCCGGCCATTGGCGATAAAGACAAAAAGTTTCAGAAATTTTCCTCGGTGTATGTATACATATCGATTCTTTTTCGCTCTCTCTGTTTCGGGAAGCAGGGCCATGATATGACCACGCATACTTGTCCGGGAGCTTCTCCGCCCGGGGTTTGCTGTAGTAGTCCCTGTAACTCGCGGCCGACTGCAAGTCATCTCTCTGTTCTACAAGATTGTCGCCTTGGTAGTTCCTTTCCCTCTCGCATCAATACTGGCTCATTGGGTAACACATTCCTTTGGACGTCCATGACCCTACAGCAAGGGTCTTCATCCACACCCGGCCGACTCGCCAAGATCGCATAGGAGGGAATTGTCCGATCGAGCCAAAATACCGTCCTGTATAATGCGAACGCTTGAATGACCTTGAGCGCTGTTTAGACCCAGTTCGTGTCTCTTTGCGGCACCTTCTGTTGCGACGCAGACACTTAATCAAACCATGCGAAATCAGTGTCTTTTCCACGCCTGGTCCCATATTTTTGCCTTACTGCCACCTCCTTCAGCGGCACCCTCTTCACCTCCGGCACCCAACCCGCCTGTACTACCCACCCACTCCACCAAACCTCGCGCATACTCGATTGGCACACCTCCCTTTGCTCTCCCTCCTGGCCCCGAGGCACCGGAAGTCCCGGTGGCCGGCCCGCCAATACCCCAGACGCCGGTCTTCATCTGGGCCTTCCTGAACAGGCGGCCCCCGTCGCCGGCCCCGACGCGGAGTTCTTCATTCGCGTCGCGCATGGCATTGTATTGACGCTCCAGCTCGAGTTCGCGCGACTTCTTCAGGTTATGTCGATAGAGGTTCCATGCCCGGGCGATCGTCCAGTGGCGCAGGTATCTGTTGCGCGAAAAGCGCAGTGGCCGTGGTGTGAGAGTGGTCGGGTGGTGGAGGAAGAAGCGGATTAAAGCTGTGATGATCTGTTAGGACGGAGAAGAAGTCCGAAACACAAAAAGCAAATGTGTCGTTTAAGGAACAATCAATTCTGAAATGGATTGGTTGGTAGGAATTGGCATGGACGTTGAAGGAGGTCTTCAGAAGAGTTGTACGTAGAGAGAACCAGAAGAGGTGTGGAAGAGTGTGAGGAGAAAAGGCGTCAGGCAATAGAACCGAATACTCACTTATCCTTCTATCAGGCCTGCCGCTGCCCTTCTTTTTTGCATGCTGAGCGGTACTTGTCGAGAAGGATAATCTCGAGCTCGCGGGACCTTGAGATACAGTTGGGATGCTCGAGGATAGACAAGTCGGGATTATTCTGCGCAGCGACGGTCGAGCCGTGACCTGGAAAGCATGTGCCAACGCGACACGGATCGAAGAGGGATGCATCTGCAGTCTCACCAACTGTATCTGGGAGACTGTGTGGCGTGGGCGTTAGGAGGGTCGAGTACACAGAAATCTCCTGAGATTTGGAACTTGAAGTTGCTCTCTTTACGCTCAGACTTTCACGGGCAAGGCTGGAGGCTTGGCATATTTGTGATTTTCAGCCTTGCATGAGGAGGCCAGGAGGCCTTTCAGTTTCGGGGAGCGGCATCCGAAGCAATGTACATAGTTTCCGGTTTCAAAGGGGCTGTATTAGTCTCAGATAAGCCTCCGAGCAGGTCATCATACTGCTTGACTTCGATTGAGTAAAAGTCTCTTAATTCCTGCCAAGCTCCATTGTCTTGTGTGTCCATTCCATAAGGCCATATTCAACAAGAATTCCCAGGGAACCTCATACCGAATACTTTTTCGTCCGCTTGTCAAAATTCATGATGCGTCTTTGCCGATGACCCTGGGCCAGCTTCCATCTGCAATAAAGCAATAAAGCGTCTTTGATCACCACAAAAAGGCATCCACCCACAACGCTTCTTCCCCATTTCGTCGAAAGTAGCCCGGGCCGACCATTCGTGTAATTGCGATAAGTCAACCATGATGACGGCAAAACACAGCTAATGAGATTGCCCATCCCTGCGGCCACTGCCGGGAACACTAACGCCCCCAGGACGGTCTGTCCGATGCTGCCACTGCCATCAACAAGATCGTGGCGGCCCAGTATCCGGCGAACGTGATGATTCTCTGGTTGGCCCTGGACATTTCCTCCATTCCCGGCAACGGCGGCCTGCCCATCGTCACCGTCTTCACCCTCTCCTTCGTCGTTGAGATTGACATCAATCTGTAGGACAAGGTCGCCATCCACAACTACTTCTTCCATCTCGTCCTCATTAACGTTGCCACCATTTTCTCCCGCTCCTTCGCCCTGTTCGTTTTGTCTGGGTTGTACTTCTGCCAACCATTTGTGGTTGAGATTAGAGAATGCCTTGTAGTAACACCAGTTGTAGACCGATCTCATAGCAGGTAAGCAAGCAAATACTGTGCTGGGTAGAGGCGGCCATATCGTCATGTCAATGTCAAACTTGTCTGTAATCTGGGTGGAAAGGAGGATCAAACTGCTGCCGGGGAGGGCAAAGTCGGCATAGTCGGTGCGGGCGAGGATCAGATTGACCGGTATCAGGCTGTACATCCAAGCAAACTCATTCCGTTGTATGGCGTATCTGAAAACCCGACTCGCATCGTCATGACCGAACACCAAATAGACGGACTGAAATCCATGGAACCATGCCCCAGCCCATAGTGTGCCCACAAAAGATAGACCCAATCCCGGCAGGACCAGCTTTCCCAGTGTTCGGTCAAGTGCTCGGTAGCTGTCCACCACGTAGCTTCTTGGTCTTGATATCCTGATTTCAGATTTGCATTGAGGGCATAGAATATGTCCAGAGTTCTTGGTTTTGTTCTTGGGATTTTCGAGGTCTGCCACCCAGTCTAATAAGCATGCCTCATGGGCAGTCAAACTGCAGGAGCACGGCGAGCGCCATATTGGAGGGTTGTCCGGATCGTCTTCGCTTTTGTCGCTCATACATATCCAACATTTCGGTCCAAAGGTTGAGGCGCGTGAGGGAGCCGACGGTCGTGAACTCTTGTCCTTGTGCGGTTGTGAGGCATTGTCGTCGGTTTGGGCGGGATCTGGGGATGATCGATCGCCTTCTGAATCCATCGGGGAGGCGAGGGGCAAGATGAGGAGCAGGTTGAATCGTCCAAGTAGAGGCAGGCTAACGCCGACTTTGGGACAAAATGTCGGCAGGATTTAATTTGTCATGCTTCGCATCGAGCGCGTCAAACAATATCAGTAACGTACAGAGCAAACGCAGGTCCTTGGCTCAAGTTAGGCAATAGATCGTGTGTCTCGGTCATTGTGGTTTACCTTGGAGTGGCAGGCTCAGTCACTCGTTTCAGACCACACCCGCCGCGGAGGTTGTTGACTGAATACGTAATGTGTCGCTGCCATTTCAAAAAGGATGAGAACTAACCATCTAGGGCTAGCGTAAATCACCGTGCTTTGAGCGGCAAATGACTGTGGAGGGATGACCTCTAATTTGCACCATTTCCCATACAAATGGTCACAGCCTCTTGCGGAAAGTGACACTGAGATATCGTCAATGCCGGGAAGCACTCACGAGAGACGCACCCAGAGGTGTGCGTCAAAGAACATTTTAAATGGGTGGAAAAGGATGTTGTTTTCGTGCCCTCCTGGGCATTTCTCAAATTTCGGCAGTGACTTTTTCCGCTCCGGACTAGTCGTAGATGCGACTTTCCCCTCCGACTTGAGTTTTGAAACTGTTCTCTCCCGACCTGTGAACTCAAAGCATTTGTACCCAGGAGCACCAAAAGGATCATAGGATTGTCTCTGCTCTCTGTAAGGATCTTCTTTACCTGGTCATTGTACTACCAACACGTAGCCTCGCGTCCAGGGAAAAAAAGTGTTTGGCAAATAAAGCCATCCAACGTCACAATTGTGTTTTTGCCATGGCAGCTCTGGTGCCAAAGGTGGACAGTCTCGACCATGTCTACGCAGGGGGTTCTGAGGGTCATGCGGTGCCGGTCGAACTCGAGCAACGTTTCAAGAATCTGATCCAGAGCTTCAAAAAGGACTATGGCCACAAGCCAGACTTTGTGTCCAGAAGCCCTGGACGGGTCAACATAATCGGCGAACACGTCGATTATTCGCTCTACGATGTCTTGCCCACTGCCCTAACGGTTGATGTGCTGATCGCCGTCCGCACCGTCAGACGTGGGAATGGAAACGCAGCTGAAGTCAAGATTGCCAATGTAAACCCTACCAAGTATCCTTCCAAAACGCTGGTCATCCCGGATTCCGGCGCAGTCGAAGTCGATAGTGAGAATCATTCTTGGAGTAATTACTTCTTGGCTGGGTTGAGAGGATCATTGGAATATCTCCGAAAGCAGTTCGGCGACTCTTTCAAGCCCAATGGCATGGAAATCCTAATCGACGGAAATGTCCCAGCTGGCGGTGGCTTGTCCAGCAGTGCAGCTTTTGTTTGTGCTTCTGCTCTAGGTGTCATGGCTGCAAATAGCCACGATATTTCAAAACAAGATCTGCTTGATCTCTGCATTATCTCGGAGCGCGCTGTCGGCGTCTTTTCTGGAGGCATGGACCAAGCTGCATCTATATTCTCTGAAAGAGGATATCTCCTCTACTGCCGGTTTTTCCCGGACTTCTCTGCCGAGCATGTTCCTGTCCCGACAGCAGAGCCAGAAGTCACTTTCCTGATTGCGCAGTCTTTCGTTACCTCCGACAAGGCAGTGACTGCACCAATCCATTACAACCTCAGAGTCGTTGAGTGCACCATGGCGACTGTGGTGTTGGCCAAGCTGCATGACATTGCTCTGAATCCAGACCAGAGCTCTCTTGGTTTCTGTCTGCGAAACTTTCAAGAAGAGGTCATGAAGAAGGAAGGCCGCACAGATGAGCCGTTAGCAGCACAACTCGAGTCCATGGTCGAGATCATTAAGTCAAACCTCAAAGAGGAAGGCTACACCAGACAAGATATTGCCGATATTCTGGGCATCTCCGTGCAAGAACTTGAAAAGCAATATATGTCCAAGTTCCCCATTCGAGCTGATGTGTTCAAGCTGCGACAGCGCGCCTTGCATGTCCTGGAAGAAGCTGGACGTGTCCTCAAGTTCCGAGATACCTTAATAATCCCAGGGAAATTGGATGAAGAGAAGTTGCTCTACCTTGGCGGCCTCATGAACAAGACACAGGCTTCGTGCCGAGACGTGTACGAATGCTCATGTCCCGAGATTGATCAAATCTGCTCCATCGCACTCAAAGCCGGGGCTTATGGAACTCGACTCACCGGTGCAGGCTGGGGTGGTTGCACGGTCCATCTGGTGCCTCAGCATAAGGTTCATGCAGTGACAGAGGCCCTCAAGCAACAGTACTACTATAAAAAGTTTCCCGACATCAGCAAAGAAAAGCTCGAGGAAGCCATTGTCGTTTCAAAACCAAGCCAAGGGTCGTCGCTAATTGTCGGGGCGGCACTCGATGTATAGCGGGAACAGACATTCATGGCCGAGAACGATCCAAAATGGCTTCATCGGTACATCCGATCCGACAGTCTGGCGCCGTGAGTTTATTCAGAGGACGACCTCTCTACCTGAGCTTATCGAGATGTGTGCCGGTCAAGGTGGTGCAATCGGACTTCCTTGACTGTGTCAAGTTTGGACACGATCTTCCGCCATTCCAATGGACTACCGTACCTAATGTCCGAGTAAAGTGTCTGCAAAGAATACAGTATTTTTTAGATGATTACTCAACGTAGACTAGGGTCAGACCCGAGGTTCAAAAAGGAAAGGCAGTGGCTCGCTTAGCTACGGCCGTTGTAACCTCATAATAATATTATTCCACACGTGAGACTGCTCTTCATGAAATAATAAGAGCTCCGGTTTCAAGCAGAGCCTTATCTTGATCTCCTGCCGGCGGACGGCTAGGCTGTTGTAAGCCTAGCAAATGCCTGTGATCCAATGTTATTGGGTGGCTGTGGTGGCTCTTTAATAATAATTGCCCTTTAATACGACAAGTTGCCCTGGTCTTCCGAGTTTGTTGTTCCCTGCAGTCAATTCCAATCTTCGAGGCCTCTCTGCTCGCATATACGGAGTATTATTCCAACTGTCCAATTGCAAAAGGCTCCGAGGCCGTCAGTCCGAATGCTATGAAGGGCTCGACTCTCGTTCGTTGCTTTGAAGTCCTAAGGTGGCAAGCAGATGGCGTTATGTTTGACCTGAATTCGGGCCTTAGTATCCGGGCCCCCCTTTTGTCGCCACCAAACATTCATCCAAGATCATAAGCTGACGGTCCCACAGAAACCACGCAGGAGGTGGAAAGAAACACTAGGTATATCGCTTGTTCGAATAGGGAGCAATTGCCCTGAAACTCTCGCCAGATCCTTCGAGTAGCATCGATTCCGTTTGCCTGCTTATGTTGCGTGTTCAGAGTCAGCTTCGCGCCCCAAATATGGGTCGAAGTCTCTATGAAAAGTGGTCTTAATCCGACGAAATGATTGCCATCCCATCCCCAGGGACAGTACTTTAGTAGCAGCTACGTCCTTTGTTTTCTCTAGCCCTTTTTTTTTAGTCTCTTTCGTGTCTTCGTTGAAGCTCGCTTTCTGTTTCGTCGCTACGTGCTTCTTTCGTCTGAACCAGAAATGCCGTCCAGAATCTACAGGTCACCCTATCCCCCGGTCAAGTTGATCGATAGCGATCTCTTGACCTACCTTTTTTCGAATCCGAAAAACACACCAGACGATAAACCGATATTTATCGATGCAGTCACCGGAGCGCATCGTACCTATGGAGACATCAAACGAAGGTCTCGCTCACTTGCGCACGGTCTGCGAGAGTTAGGAGTAAAGCCCAAAGATATTGTTGCACTGTTCAGCCCCAACAGTATCGACTACGCTATTCTCTGCTATGGCATTATAGGTTGTGGTGCTACCGTGTCGCCGGTCAGCGCAGCATACACGCCACTGGAATTGGAAGCGCAACTCGAGACCAGTGGCGCCAGATTTCTGATAGCCCATTCTTCGCTCCTCCAAACGGCCGAGCAGGCGATCAAGTCCAATCCGGCCATCCAGATCATTCAAGCAGATGGAGTTCGCGACAAGAAGGGCAAGTCGACCGCTGAAGCTCTCGCTTCAGACTGTCCACCCAGCCCACTCGTCAGCATTGAGCCAAGTGAGGCTGAGGATCGGCTCTGCTTCATGTGCTTCTCTTCGGGAACCACGGGACGAGCAAAGGGCGTCATGACAACACACAAGAATCTCACGTCCAATATGCAGCAGTGGGACGCCCAGCTGCCCAGCGAGACCACGGGGAAATCGACCACGGTAGCATTTTTACCATTCAGCCATATCTACGGTCTCACCTCCTTTATTGCTATTAACACGTTCGTGGGCAATACCGCTGTCGTCCTGGCTCGTTTCGATCTGGAAGTGTTCTTGTCGAGCTGCCAGAAATATCGGCCTGAAATGGTCAACGTGGTTCCACCAGTTATGTTGTTGATGGCCAAGCACCCGTTGATGCAGAAGTATGATCTAAGCAGCCTGCAAAGAGTGTTCTCTGCTGCAGCTCCGTTGAGTGTGGAACTTCGACAGGCCGTGGAAGCACGGTTCAAGGAGCTGTACGGGACAAACATATTGGGGCTGCAGGCGTGGGGCATGACTGAGACAAGTCCGTTGGGCGCAGCAGTTCCTCCCAGCCGACCGGACAAGAGACACACGGTCGGGTGCATCACACCCAACATGGAATACAGAGTGGTCGACCCAGAGACCATGCGGGATACAGGGTACGAGCCAGACGGGTCTGCAGTGCCAGGAGAACTGTGGCTTCGCGGGCCGAATGTGACCAAGGGTTATTATCGAAACGAAGAGGCTACGAAGAGCGGTGTCGCAACCGACGAGGACGGCAAGCTCTGGTTCCGGACTGGAGACATAGGCACCATTGACAAAGACGGGTTCCTGACCATTGTCGACAGGATCAAGGAGATGTTCAAGTACAAGGGTATGCAAGTCATCCCGTCAGAGCTGGAGGGCAAGCTCTTGGAACATCCCGACGTCGAAGATTCCTGCGTTGTCCCGCAGTGGGTTGAAGAACAGGCGACCCATGTTCCGGTCGGCTTCGTGGTGATCAGTGCGAAAGCGAAGGCCAGGGGCCAGGAGAATGTTGTTGCCGACATTAACAAGTGGTTGAATGCAAGGGTTGCCAACCACAAGAAACTGAGAGGCGGCATCCATGTCATTGACGCCATTCCCAAGTCGCCTTCAGGAAAGATTCTGCGGCGAGAACTGGTTGGTATGCTGAAGGCGTCGAGTGCAAAGACAGGATCAAGGCTGTGATTGTTTGCGTCAAGATAACGCTTCTTGTCTTGAGGGAACTTTTGAGGGTAATGAGACAGGCGTTCTATTGTACAGCTGCAGCCCAAGCATAATCATATTCTCTCGCAGCCTCGCCAAGACCTGCAAGGCTGAGTAGAGAGATAGTAGCACGTGCCCGTCGACGTCATTCCACATATTCTGACGGAGTTTTCTTTTGCTTCTTTTCTCATCAGCTTCTTCTTTCTTAACCTTTCCCTCTCGAAAGCCAGGGACAAAAACACGGGTTCGACCCGAAGTATTTGAACGCGCTAACCTGGAGTGATCCGTACGTCTTGGAGTCGTTCCGTCGGAACAAGCTCCGCCTAGACGCCGTTTGTGCCGAATGGGGATTGACCACAACCTGCTGGGGGGAAAATTTCGATGCCAACGCCCTTTATCTTTTTCAATCATTGGTCAACTCGGCAATCGGCAAAGGTGGAAATGGCAGTGTCAAGGGCGCACGGCCTCTAGGCCCAATCAGAAACGCTGTGATCCTTCGGCGGGGATTGCCCGAGATCGGACTACTTGGTCATGGACCATGGCTATTGGGGTGAATCAACATGGCCGACTCCAAAAGGAATCGCATACCCGTTTATTACATCGCGGTCCAGGAAGGTTATGCGGATCCATGGAACCCGTATGGTTGGGGAGTTTCGAGGGTGACGGTGAGGGAGGACCTCGAGATGATTGCTTGGTCTAAAAGTACTCTGTTTTGAGGACTTTTTTCTTTTGCATCTCCCTGCATATTTGCGGTCTGCGTCGTCCGCTTTGTGAGTATTAATACCCGTGTGCTACGTCCCACACTATCCGCCCAAGCTTCTCAATATACACTCCTTCATTCTCTTTGTGTCGCCCTCCGATTTGACTCTAGTCACTCCTTTTCAGGGGGAAATGGTAATCAGTTTTCAAAGACCTTTCCTTCCAACGTATACAGGATGACCGGCGAACTCCACCATGACACCGTTCAAAGCGACAATGCCAGCCCTGAGATTCACCCTATCTCGTCACAATCAGACCACTCTCCTTCACTGGATCTCGAGAGGACGCCGACGATCAGGATAAGAGATCCTCGGGCAGACGAAAAACCCGACCTGGTGCGCATCCGGTCGACAATCTCGGCGCATGACATCCAGGGTGTGCCCAGCCATGGCAGTTCCTTCGTCGAAGTCAACGCCGCCCAATATGAGCGTTTCAGTGAGCGTCGGAAAGTCGTCATCACCTGTGTCCTCTCTCTGTGTGGCTTTCTGGCTCCTATTTCGTCAACCACCATCCTTTCAGCCATCCCCGAGGTAGCAGCCACCTACAACACCGATGGAACCATTATCAACTTGTCGAATGCTCTATACCTCATCTTCATGGGCCTGTCGCCTTCCCTCTGGGGACCGATCTCCAACATCTATGGCCGTCGATGGGTATGCATCATCACCGCCATCCTCTTCTTTGCATTCAGCGTGGGCACTGCGCTCGCCCCGAACCTGGCATCCTTTTTCATCTTCCGAATGCTCACCGCATATCAAGGGACCTCGTTCTTGATTGTCGGAAACTCCTGTTTAGGAGATATCTACACCCCGACAGCCCGAGCCACAGCCCTCGGCTGGTTTCTCTCAGGGACACTGATCGGCCCTGCGTTTGGGCCTTTCATCGGAGGCATCATCGTCACGTTTCGTTCCTGGCGTGACATCTTCTGGCTGCAGTCTGCCCTCGGCGGCCTCGCAGCCGTCCTGGTGATCTTGTTGCTGCCCGAGACGATCCCGGAAAAGAAGATTCACGATCTCCGCGAACTTTCGCGAAAAGAACGGACACTGCACATCATTCATTGGGTGTCTCCTTTCCGGATCGCCATATTACTCTTCTCGTACCCAAACCTGATCATCGCCGGCCTCGCTTCGAGTGCTCTCGTCTGGAACATGTACGGGTTGCTCACCCCAATTCGCTATGTCCTCAATCCGCGGTTCCACTTGACATCTCCAATCCAGTCAGGGCTTTTCTACATTGCACCTGGGTGCGGCTATCTGTTGGGCACCTTCTTCGGCGGGCGTTGGGCTGACCACATTGTCAAGAAATGGATTCGGAAGAAAAACCGGCGCGTGGCTGAGGACCGGTTACGGTCATGCTACGTCTTCATTGGCGGCGTTGTGCCGGCTTGTATGCTCATATACGGATGGTCGGTCGAGAAAGCGGTGGGTGGTGTTCCTCTCCCCGTGGCGGCAATGTTTGTCCAGGGAGTCGCACAACTCTTCTGCTTCCCCAGCCTCAATACCTACTGTCTCGATGTCATGCAGTCCAAAGGTCGATCCGCCGAAGTGGTGGCGGGGAATTATATGATCCGCTACGCATTTGCTGCCGCAGGGTCTGCCGTGTGTCTGCCCGCGATTGAAGCAATTGGGGTTGGCTGGTTTAGCACTATATCTGCCGGGTTTCTTGTGATCAGCGCGGTTGGTGTGTGGGCCACGACCACATGGGGAGAAGGCTGGAGACATGCCGTCGACGACAAGAAGAAAAAGAAGAGGAAACAGAGAGAAGAAGAGAAGGCAAAGGAGAAAGGTGGGAATGAAGGTGTGTGAAGAGGGCGCACAGGACAGACATCCAAGTTTGCTTCCATCGACAGATCAGGAGGGGCCCAGAGGAGAAGAAGACCATACCATACCGAACCCGTTACCACGAGCGCCTTGGGTGTCATTGGCCATGATTGCATATGTCATTTTTGTACGGCAAGGAGTTTGAGGGCATGGATGAGGCAACGAATTTACTAGGATCCAGACGATGGAGATATGTGCAACGTACCAAGAGGGTACACAGCGGGTTTGATTTACAGCAGAGATGGTGTTGTTGGTGTCTTTGACAAGCTCTGCAAGCCAGTGAGGATGTCATGTGCAAGAAAAGTCGGATGGCGGTCACGAAATATATAACGTTTGTCGGGGAGCCTAGGCATAGACTTATAGACCGAGGAAGGGTAACAAAAATTAGAAGCAGTGTAAAAACAGCATGGGCGAGGGATCACTTGGTTCAACCAGTCGTTCAGTCAGGGACGTGCCAGCCTGGATCCGAACCATACCACCAGCATAATTATGTGGATTGGGAAAGGCAGGCAGCCTCGCGAGATATGGTGCAGCAAAACATCACATGTGAAAAGGCGGGGACCCAAAAGATCTGAAGGTGGGGGTTTAACAGGGCTTCTCCATCGGCGTCCTCCGCCATCTGCCATTTCGAACTGTCGTTTGTATCGAGTAAACAGATTGAGTTGGGGACACACACACACACTGCGTACCTGCATAAAGCCTTGAGGAATTTTTTTTTCCATTTGATATTATCGTCCCCCTTGAGTCATTCTTCTAGGCGACGCCTGCGAGCAATTAATCCCAGTTGTACCTTACAAGACGTGTACTTCGGACCCCTGCTTATTTCGAGCCATATCTTGAATCTCCTCTGGTCGAGTTAGCCTGCGCTCCTACAGAGTCTACCTACGCCCCCAGCGATGGAAGTCAACATCCAACCGCAGGCTCTTTCGGGGACTGTGGTCGACAGGGTGCTTGGTTCGACCAAATCAACTTCCAGTATAACCGTGACGCCCGTCCCCGCGGCCCTCATCGACACGACCTTCTCTTCCTCGACGAACTTGTCCACTACCGTCCTGGGCGCCTCCATTGTGTCTTTCTCGGACGAATACTTCGCCGCCGCCGCCAACCTCCTCACACCCACTCCTCCCGTTCGAAAACCGGGGGTGTTCGTACACACGGGAGCGTGGTATGACGGATGGGAAACGAGGAGGCACAACCCCAAGGAATACGACTGGGTGGTGATTAAACTCGGCTGTGTGGCACAGATAGAGGCTGTGGAGGTGGACACGGCTTACTTCAACGGGAACGAGGCTCCGCTCGCGGGGTTGGACGGCGTGGCCTTTTCAAGTGACGAGGACGACAGCGAGGCCGCCAAAGAAGGGTACGCTGGATGGATGGAGGTTCTGCCCCCCCAGAAGTGCGGGCCGTCTCAACGGCAAGCATGGAAAGTCTCTGGGCCGGGTGTGCAGGGGAAGCAGTTCACGCATTTGAGGTTAAAGCAGTACCCAGATGGGGGGATTGCGCGGTTGAGGGTCTATGGCACAGTTGTGCCCCCGTCGTTACCGGCAAGTGTGGCCTCCGGGAAGGAAGAGAGACCTCTGGAAGATCTCGCCAGTGCCCTCAACGGCGGTGTGGCCATTGAATGCTCGGACCAACATTTCGGCGGGAAGAACTATCTGCTCCTGCCAGGCCGAGGGAAGGACATGGGAGACGGGTGGGAGACGGCCAGAAGCAGGGTCAAGGGTCACACCGACTGGGTGATTGTCCGCCTCGGATTGAAGGGCCGGAAAATCGAGAAAGTCATTGTCGACACCAAAGATTTCAGAGGGAATTTCCCCCGAGCTGTCAAGGTTGAAGGGTGGGCAACCGAAGTGGCCAAGGCCGCTTTGGGCACCGAGGCGGACCCCAAGCATGATGCCACGGGCTGGACAGCACTGGTTAAGGGAGAGCAGCCTTGCCAGGCGGATACAGAGCACGGCTTTGAAGGGGACCAGCTGGTGGTGTCTGAGCCGCCAGAAGGACATGTGTGGACGCATGTGAAGATGACCATCATCCCCGACGGAGGGGTCAAGAGACTGAGAATATTTGGGAGGAGGGCGTGATGAAGAAGCTCTGCTCTTGCCTGAGATGGTCCTGCATATATATACCCGGGCATCTATACAGTACTGATACAGGAGGTTGTGCCATCTCACCACCCTTTTGTCACACATCTCTTCCGCTCCGCCGCCCGAGTCTCGTGAGGCGATCAAACGGCCACCTCGTGGTTGGTTCGTGGCCAGCGAGTCTCGATTCGCCTGGTGCGTGCCAAGACCGACATCGGCCCCACTGTGAGCTGCCAGGTGCTTCATGATTGGCTTGCCACCCTTCTCCGCAAAATCGGAAGGCAAAATTCGCAGATTAGGACCTGGCTCGCTGGTCACCCATTCTCCTCCTCCATGCCACTCCCACTTCGGCACCGACAGCGACACACACACTGACTCATAAATCTTTTCCTTCCTTATTCATAGCTTTCTTATTCCCACCCCCTTCTCCCCTCTTTCCTGGCCGGCAACGGTTGGACTTCTTGACAGGCAACCATGGCGACCAAAATGACGGCCATACGGCCTGGCTCCAGTGCCATTCGCTCTTTGTCCCGAAGAAGACCTTCGTGTTCCCAGGCCTTCTCCTCCACTACCCCGGCAGCAGCCCTGTCACCTCACCGAAAGTCTCAAAAATCCTCTCCCGAACAGTCAAGACGGCCTGCGACGACTGCGGCTGCCCAAGCACAGTGAGTCCATGTGTACCAGAGTGAACCCTCTCGAGTATCCTGCGTGCTGACGCTGTGGAAGAACCACTCGACCTCTCCCCAGTCCTGCCTTTAACAATGACTTCCGCCGAAGTGAGCCCTCGCCTTTGGTCAACAGGCAAATGCCTGAGCTCGACGACTCGTTCGTGGGGCTCAGCGGCGGAGAAATCTTCCACGAGATGATGCTGCGACAAGGTGTCAAACACATCTTTGGCTACCCGGGTGGCGCTATTCTCCCAGTTTTCGACGCCATCTACAATTCAAAACACTTTGACTTTGTTCTGCCCAAACATGAACAAGGGGCGGGCCACATGGCAGAGGGGTATGCTCGAGTATCCGGGAAACCTGGTGTCGTCCTTGTGACCTCAGGTCCCGGCGCAACAAACGTTGTAACCCCCATGCAAGATGCACTTTCCGATGGGACGCCCATGGTTGTGTTCTGTGGCCAGGTCCCGACCACCGCTATTGGCACCGACGCTTTCCAGGAAGCTGACGTGGTTGGAATCTCAAGAGCCTGTACAAAATGGAATGTGATGGTCAAGAGCGTGGCGGAACTGCCCAAGAGAATAAAAGAAGCCTTTGAGATCGCCACCTCGGGAAGACCTGGTCCCGTCCTCGTTGATTTACCCAAAGATGTTACGGCTGGCATTCTACGGAGACCCATCCCCATGCAATCGACCTTGCCCTCCCATCCTTCCGCCGCTACCCTGGCCGCCAGAGAGCTTTCCCGAAAACAGTTGGAGGGCACCATCTCGCGTGTGGCCGATCTGATCAATATTGCAAAGAAACCACTCATATATGCGGGGCAAGGCATCTTGGGATCTCCCGAGGGCCCCAAGCTTTTGAAAGAACTGGCTGACAAGGCCTGCATCCCTGTAACGACGACCTTGCAAGGTCTCGGAGGGTTTGATGAGCTTGACCCCAAGTCTTTACATATGCTGGGCATGCACGGTGCCGCCTACGCCAATATGGCAATGCAAGAAACCGACCTCATTATCGCTCTCGGAGCCCGCTTTGACGATCGAGTAACCCTCAATATTGCGAAATTCGCGCCCGAAGCGAAACGGGCGGCGGCCGAGAAACGAGGAGGGATTGTACACTTTGAGATCATGCCCAAGAACATCAACAAGGTCGTGCAAGCGACGGAAGCTGTCGAGGGTGATGTGACGACCAACCTTGCGGATCTGGTACCCAAAGTCAAGCCTGTCAAAGAACGGCCCGAGTGGTTTGCGCAGATCAACGACTGGAAAAAGCGATTTCCTTTGAACAGCTACGAGAAGGAAACGCCCGACGGTCTGATCAAGCCGCAAACATTGATTGAAAAGCTCTCCGACATGACCGCCCACATGAAAGAGAGGACCATTATCGCTACCGGCGTCGGCCAGCATCAAATGTGGGCCGCGCAGCATTTCCGATGGCGGTATCCTCGGTCGATGGTCACATCAGGCGGCCTCGGGACGATGGGATACGGCCTTCCCGCTGCCATTGGCGCGAAAGTTGCCGCACCGGACGCGCTCGTGGTCGACATCGACGGCGACGCTTCCTTTAACATGACTCTGACCGAACTCAGCACGGCGAATCAGTTCCAGATCGGCGTCAAGGTCATCATCTTGAACAATGAGGAACAAGGCATGGTCACGCAGTGGCAGAGTCTCTTTTACGAAGACCGATTTGCCCATACGCACCAAAAGAATCCTGATTTCGTCAAACTTTCAGAAGCCATGGGTGTGCCAGCACGGAGATGTTTGAAGCCAGCCGATGTGGAGGAGAGCTTACGGTGGTTGATTGAAGGTAGTGGCGAAGGCCCAGCGCTCTTGGAGGTCATTACCGACAAGAAGGTACCAGTTCTGCCGATGGTACCCGCAGGCAAGGCCCTGCATGAATTTTTGGTTTACGATGAAGGTAAGTTTTTCCGTGATATTGCTGGCCCCAGTGTGTTCCCGCATGGACCTGAGCTAATCTTTGGTACAGCGAAAGAAAAGGAGCGGAGAGCGATTATGAAGGAACGCTCTGGACATTGAGAGTGTGTCAACGAAGGAGAGAGAGAGGACTATATGTGTAGGGAGGATAGGGGTCACAAAAAAGTGTCAATGATCTTCTGGAATCCCAAAAAGTTGCTTCATAAAAAGAAACGAGTCGGCAATATGAAGTGCGAAACAACTAACCAACCAACTAACCATGTGGCGATTGCAATTCTGTATAGGCGAACATACGCATTTTTTTGTTGCACGAAACCATTCTTGAATACCAGGAATTCTGCCAAAAAGAGCTTTTATTCTTTGGAAAATGCCATTTCTTTCATTTTCGACTTACTCTCCTCTCCTCTCCTCGCTTGTATATCTCAGCTGCCGTCTGTTGTTCGCTGTCTGTTGCCTGCTGTCTACCGTGACCTATGACTTGTGACTTGCTAGGACTTCCCCATGTTGACGAACTCGACACGGGCATCTCTCTTCTTCTTCTTTGCCATCTCCCGGAAATATGAAATGGTGGCTCGCGAGACACCCCTTATTTGCGCGCCGCCCCCCCAACTTCGATGGATTGGTTTGTTTCGCTCCCGGCTGGCTGGCTGGTTGGCGGCCAGTCCAGGGAGCCAGGAGCGAAACTTGTTCATCTCTCTGTGAACCAAACTTCGTAGCGGACAGGAGAGTCCGCGTTATCAGACAGACAGACAGATAGACAGCAATCCCGAGCCTCCCCATTCTCGTCGAGCGCGTAAGAAGGAACATCCAGAGAGAGTGTGTGAGAGAGAGAAATGGTATGTATTGTTGTTACATTAGGCCCATTGCAACAACGAGGTGTACCCGAGTGATCAATGGTTTCGTCAATCCCTACCGTTGCTGCTGCTGCTGCTGCTGCTGCTGCTGCACCACCGTCTTCAGCTTCTCATCCACCAGCCGACCCACGATCTTCTCCAGCATGGCCGGCGCGCCGCCTGCGTCCCGACCCGCGGCGCCCTCGAGGTACCCGACGACGCTCTTCTCGACCAGCTTGCCGACAATATCAATCTCGACATTGACCTCGTCACCGGGGGTCTTGGCGGCCATGACGACGCGCGCCTGCGTGTACGCGATCAGCATGACCTCGAACCAGCCCGCGGCGTCGTCGACCGCTGTGACCGTCAGGCTGGCGCCGTCGAGCGTCACATAGCCCTTCTCGACTACGTAGCGCAGCACACCGCGCTCGCGCGGCGCCAGCCGGAACGTCAGCGCGTTGCCGTCCGGCGTGACCCCCGCGATCGCCGCCACCGTGTCCACGTGGCCCTGCACGAAGTGGCCGCCCATCCGCGTCGACGCGCTCACCGCCCGCTCCAGGTTCACCTTGCTCCCCTCCCGCAGCGACCCCAGGTTCGTGCGCCGCAGCGTCTCCGGCGCCACGCCGACCTTGAACGCCGTGTAGGGTGCCTGCGCCGGCTCCAACTCCGTCACGGTGAGACACGTGCCGTTGACGCAGATCGAGTCGCCCAGCGCCGCGTCCGTCAGGATCGACGCGCAGTCCGAGATGGTCAGCGACGTGCCGTTGCCGCCCGACGTCGATGGGTCCAGCGCCACCAGCGCGGTGACGGTGCCCAGCGTTTCGACCAGGCCGGTGAACATCCTTGCTCTTTGTTTTCTTAAACTGGGAGAGAGAAGGGTGGAAGGGCGGGAGAGGTCTCGGGTGAAGTGTGTGGTATGTCCGAACTCCGGAGAGGAGTTGTGTATATACAATGTCCCTCTCTCTTTTTCTCTCTTCCTGGAACTCCTAGACGCGAGGGTGTGCTGCCTAGAGAGGAGATGAGTGAATGTCGCAGACGGAAACGCAATTGGTAAGCATGGCGGAAGGTCAGAGGCCAAAGTGAGGGAACGCGATGATGTGACATTTTACTTTTTTCTTTCTCGATTCCCCGCCTCGGCTTGTGCAGCCTCTACATAGTTACGATCTTTATGTTATTAAATACCACACACACTCTAGATGAGAACAAGTAGTTCAGAAAAGGGGGTTTCAGCACAAAGCTACCTTCGTTGGTATTCCGGATGGTATTTATACATCATTGGGAAGCTCCAGAAGTCGCTGGAATAAAACACTTCGCCATCCATCCCCTCGATCAATGTTCTATATTACAATACGAGTTCATTCCCGCCTTTTCTTAATACAAGGGGACTGTTTCCTCTTCATATCCGTCTCTCACCCCGGAAACCTGGTGCTCTGGCGAGTGTACCGGTACTATTGCCGGTCACAAGCTGAATACACTAATATACGTGTAGAAGGACTATACTAGCCTGGCCTCGCTGGGATTTGGTGCTTTCGCTGCGTGGTGAGCATGGCGGTTGCATTCCCGCCTCAGATTTTGTAACAACATTCGAACGACGGCACAAATACTCTTCCTTGTCTTGGACTCTCAACGTGGACACGCGTTGGCCGGGAGGTGGTTCCCTCGATGGACACTCTACTCCGTTAATTGAATCCCATCGTTGAATGCTGGTTGACTGTCTTCTGCGGGGTTCGGCTCTGGAGAGAACAAGCTGAAGTATAGTCCCCGGTCTGCGGTGATAGGGCAGCAATCTTATGGGTGCACCTTTCCAAAGGAATGTCCAGGTAAGCCTCGTCCCATATCAACGATTTATATTGCTGACTGGTCCTGTTTCATCCGCTTTTTTTCCTGTTCGGTCGACAGCTGAGAGCAAGATGAAGGAGATTATCACGGTCTAGTGACACGCTGGTCAGCGGTTTGAACCATGCAAGAACGGCTCCGCATTTGAGCCCACCTTCTTGATGGCTGAAATAAATCTCCGCCTTGTCCAGGTAAGGGAGACTTCGATCCCAAGAGAACCGACGAGTCAGCGATTTGGTTGACCCCAGGGTCGAGTCCGAGGTCGAGGTCGACGTGGATGCTCTTCGCCCGGCTTCCATCTCATCGATCTGGGCATGCATACCCGTCAACAAGAGAGTGGATTTCCGACCTGTCCCCTTGCTCTCAATCTTGATGCTGTCTTGACACACTGTAACCCCGGGACGTCAGTAGCACGACTCAGCGTCAAAGCATGCAGGTGGAGAACTGACGGTTAAATTCCATGTACTTCTTCCGCCGCTTCCCTCTTTCCTGGATCAAATGTACCATGAACCGCATCTCCGACCCCATCTCCCAGACCCGCACGTTCTCGAGGCCAACGAGGCGATCGTCGTCTCGGCCTCGATGGGGTCGACAGATCTCAGTCACAGGTACCAGAAGCCGAAGGCTAGACCCGTAAACTATCTCCTGGAACTTTTCACAGTCTACGCCAAAAGTTCAGTACTCTCTCCGAATACGACTGAATAATTTGCTCTCGCAAATAGATGAACTCACCAGGGACACTCCGGAACTTGTATTGGACCCAAGTGGTCGGTATTCTTGGATGGTCCCCCCGTTGACCCTGTTCGATGGTGAAGAAGGTCAGACCTTCCCCTTGTTCCACCACAGCCGTGAGTTCGTCGCCGTTAATTGAGTAAGGGATGATGTATTCCCAGGTGGGCACTAGGAAGTGTAAGTCGAGACTCGTCAGGTCGAACGGCGAGGATGTCGGTCAGAAAAGGAGTGGAGTCGCACCTCGCTGCCTGAAGCGTATGGTTCTCTTGTCGTTCAAGGTCCAAATATCCTCCACAGCAGCGCCATTCTTGATGAGCAACACTCTCCCCGAATCACTGGCCTCTATCAGAACTCCGTCCGCCGCCCCGGGCTTTCGCCAGACAAAGTTAACTGACTCAACACGTCTGGTGGGAAAAATCAGCAGTGGCACTCCACGGATTGGGTTTGAGAATACATTTCAGTAAAGCTAGCACGAGAAGTCAGCTTATCAACGAATTCTTTCTGTTCTTTGATGGACGCAAGCTTGACGTGGCGGTATTGATCACCAGGAGTGACGCCCGGGAAACTCTCCGGCAGTGTCAACTGGTCATCAATGTCCTCTCCAAATTCGCAACCATCAAGGTCGAATGTCGGACTTGGCAGCAGCAGAGGAGCCATGGATTGAGGTTGTGTATTCGCCGAAAGTTCCGGAGAGCTGGCCTGGCTTCCAGATCCCCTTGCCGTGATCGACGGTGACGTTGGATTAGGAGATAGACCAAAAGGACTCGACATCGGGCTTGGAGACGGGGTTGCCATGGCAAACGCGAGCATATCTTTCATGTCGCTGACTTGGACTGAAAGCTGACCAACCTGTTCACTGAAGTGAAGCCGTGTCAGCTCCCCCGGTTGGATTCCTCTTCGAGCTCGGTAGGAACTTACGAGAGCAGTCCGTTCTCCAGCCAGGTGAGCACCTGAATATGTTGCGCCAGCTCTCCCCGAAGGTTCTCGACCACAGTATCTTTCGTGGTCCATTCGATCGTGTGGTAGACAGTCTTGAAAGCTTCGATCCATTGATTCCAGGCGGCGTCTGCTCCAGTGGGACTTCCCTTCTTGTTCACGATGTGCTCATACTTTGTTGCGATCTTTTTCAATTTCCTGGTCGTCTCTGCACATTGTTCGAGCATACCCTGAATGTTGCTCTTCACGTCGGCGTGGTCTTTGAGAATCGCACCATGCCGGCGAAGCCTGCTGGCAGCTACTTCCACGCATGATTGGTATCGGTCTGTCTCCCGGATAAAGCGCCTGATCTCGCTCGGGGCATGTGTGGCGGCATGTAGTGTTTTCGCTGCCTGTGCCGTAATCTGAACCAAAGCGATCACATCTCCTACGCCGTTAATAGCCATAAGACAACGAAAAGGAAGCAAGTTCACCAAACAGAAGCAATAAACTCTAAGCAACGTCACCTCAAAAATACCTATTGCCGTCAAATGCACATTTACTGCAGGGAAAAGCCATCGAACGGACAGGCTCCGGCAGAGTCATCAGCGAGAACATTGTCGATGAGCTGGGCAAGGTTCGTCGGCAGCTTCCGCGCGTGGCTGAGGATCCTTGCCATGCCTCGAATCTGTTGAAATGCCCAGCTTCAACGAAGACGAACAAATTGGACCAATTGGGATGGGAACGCCAGGAACGTGGGCAGGAAGTGAGCCTCGCAACCAGGGCCCCGCGCTAGCTTAGATCCGGAGATAGCAACAAGTGACGCGAAGGCGCACGGTTGTGAAACAAGACAACGGCTGTGTTGTCGTTCTGCGCTCAATGTGGAACGAACTGGGCGAGAGGGAACCCTAGAACCGGTCAGTTGGCGTGCGTGATATAGAGGTCGGGCGTTGGACTGACCCAATCATGTGCTAGCAGGATGGCAACGGGGCTCCTACAACCACAAAGTTCAGGGGCTCACTGACATTGGCGTAAGGCTGATTAGTTGACTGCTACAGGCATATAGCCTGTCCTAGTAGGCCGGGCCCCGAGGCGACCCCCTGGCCGTTGACTGTGGAAGCGAAGGCAACAACAACCACCCCTCTTCCAGGAGAATTTATGCAGCTGGGATATTGGCGAGGCGAACCCAGCCTGATCACTATATTTTCTCCCCGTACCTACTCTGTGCGGTAGTTCCTGCTCCCAGGTCAAACAGTATCCTTCTGCAATGCTTTCATATCGATTGCTGTCCGCCCAGTGGACTGGGTAAAGACAGATTTGCTGCCCATTGTCCTTGAACCTGATGTCCGCAGATCCTCAAGTAGTCAGAGCTTGACAACTCAACCAACAGCCATCATGGTTAAGAGACATAAAGCCTTTCGAGATTTGGAGGATGAGTATAAGCATATACAGGCAAGTCAACCTTGTCAATTTGTGCGAGGCGCTGCACCCATTCGGGCGCTGATCGATATTGTTTGCAACAGGATCCAACTTTGCGTCGTCGTCTCATATTGCGGGATATCAACGAACGATCGTTCAGCCGCGCTCATGTTCGAGCTATCTTGGTGGCGGGAACTGGCTTCCTCACCGATAGCTATGATGTCTGTTCCTTCTGAGGGTATCTGCTTCATTCGAGTATCCTGACATTCCACCAGATTTTTGCCATTAATCTGGTTTCTGATATGATGTAAAGACCTCTCATTTTTCGTTTGTTCTGTGCTTCTGCCCTCATCATAAGGTTCTCCTGATCGTCTGCGTACGCTGACAGAATCTGGCAAAGTGGGTTCTGTTACTTCCCGAAGCACGGGAACAAGATCCCCCAGGTCGATGATACCTTGATTAAGGTCATGACTTCTGTCGGCACGGTCGTCGGGCAGTTGTTCTTTGGTTGGCTTGCGGACAGGGTTGGGAGAAAGCGCATGTATGGATATGAGCTGTTGATCATCGGACTGGCGACTCTGGGCCAATGCATTACCGGTCCTTCTTCAGCAATCGGCATAACAGGGTTATTGGTGTTTTGGCGCATCCTCATGGGAATTGGTATCGGTGGTGATTACCCGCTTGCAAATATCATCACTTCTGAATTCGCTTCAACCAAATGGAGAGGCACAATGGTTGCCGCCGTGTTCTCGACCCAGGCTCTTGGGCAATTCATAGCCAGTCTGGTTGCCACGATCGTTATTGCAGCATTCAAGTCTCAAATTGACAACGACGACAATCTCTGTCAGGACAGTGTCTGTACCCAGACTGCTGCTGCACATCTGGCTGTTGATAGGATGTGGAGAATCATTATCGGAGTTGGCGCGGTGCCTGCGGCATTTGCACTCTATTACCGTTTGACAATCCCTGAAACACCTCGATACACTTTCGACGTGAACCGTGACGTGGAGCAGGGCTTTGCCGACTACAAGGGATGGGTTCAAAACACCATTGGACCCAGGACCGGACAAGGAGAAGTCGAAGATGAGAGGAGGGAGATTCGTGCCGGCTTAAGACCTGGCGAAACTCTGGGCGGCCTTGACGCTGCCGTCGTACCCCAGTCGTCATGGAGCGACTTCAGACGCTACTTCCGACAAGGCTACAATGGCTGGATTCTCCTTGGGACTTGTGGATCGTGGTTTTTCTTGGATGTGGCATATTATGCGCTGGCTTTGAATAACACCATCTTCCTCCAGAAAATGGGGTTCGGATCCGTCCACAACAGCAACCCTACAAGGTTATACACGATCCTCCGCAATGGTGCAGTTGGCAATCTGGTGCTGGTGGTCGCCGGGGCCATCCCGGGCTCCATTTGTGCAATTCTGCTTGTGGACAGAATAGGACGCAAGTCGATTCAGGTGGGAGGGTTCGCCATGATCACCTTGCTCCTTCTGATTCTTGGGAGCTCTTTCGAGAGCATGTCCGACGCCTCAAGGGTGGCGGTGTTCGTCCTGATCCTGTTCTTTGTCAATTTCGGTAAGTGATTGGCTCGCTCCAAAGACCCTTGGCTGATAATTTGGGAAAAGGCCCTAACTCGACAACGTTCATTGTTTCGGGTGAATGCTTTCCAACCAGGTACAGAAGCACATGTCATGGACTGGCAGCGGCCTCTGGAAAAGTCGGTGCAGTTCTCGCCCAAGCGCTAACGGGTCCATTGCGAGGCATCGGATTCGAAAAAGGCGAGGACGACGCATCACCATGGCTACCCCACGTCATTCAGATACTTGGTGCCTTCGCATTTTTGGGTCTGCTCTGCTCCTTCCTCATCCCGGAAACGATGGGTCGCTCGCTGGAAAAGTTAGCTGGTGAGGAGCCTCGAGCATTGGAAGGCGAAGAAACGAGCGAAGACGACGAAGAAATCCATCCGAGGTCGCCGCTGGAATCGATGTGGATCTCATGCACGCCTGTGGTGTTGTTTCAATGGCTTTTCCACCGGCGCAACCACGCAGCTGCCTATGATGACATTGATGCTGGCGAAGGAGTGGTCTCTGGAGAGCGGATATCATTGTCCAGAGTGGGCGCTGGTAGCGAAGCATCTCCCACAAAGTTGATTATTCCCCGGGGGGATGCGCCCGAGCAACAGGATGACGGTGGACTAAAGATACTCGAGACTGAGATAGACAGGGTATCTGGGGAAAGCTCCGACCGAATACTCCACGATGATGATAATGGTGATATTCGGCGGATCACTTGAAATTTTAGCGGCGTAGCCTCCAATTGAGAGTGTCTTGCTTTCAAGAACGTGTTGAGACATAATATAATCCGAGAATATATTTTTTTGGCCGCCCAGACTCGGATATCGAGGCAATATTCGCCTGCCGCAACAGAGAAAGCCGGGTATAGACGTCACGTTTCATCCGTCCAATGTATAAGTTGATCTGATATGGCACTTGCAGCCATCGTGCCCCAGAAAATCTCGGCACGAAGTTGATATCGTGATGTTTTGCTCAAGTCTGGCTCCCTATGGAGAGTATGTATAGACCAACCTGGGTGCAAAACTTTTGGAAAGGGCCAAAATCCTGCGAACACTGTAAGTTGCCACCATGTAGCCCGACTGTTTATAAAAGCGCTCAAGGGACCAGCACCACCATGGATGACCTTAGGTAAATTGTGGCGCGAGATAATGTCTTGACGGCGCGAATGTCTTTTTTCTGTAGCTTACCTGGATTGAAAGCATCTCAAGTCAAGCTGATTTTTGCACTCACAACCTCTTACCTCAATAGCAGCAATCTCTTCCTCGGCGCCATCCTTTTACAATCGTCAACAGAACAGAAGACTTGAATAGCTGGAGAAGGGTGACGGAGTCCACCACTCTTGTGGGACCTGGTTTTGCCGGACCGGTTCTCGGTCGCTGTGCAACACACTTAAAGATGAGTGTGTGGTAAATACTTCCTGAGTCAGGTTTGCAGTTTTCGACATTCGGATTTCCTAGCTGAAACACAAAGGCACACCCGAGGGGGAGGGGAAAAGACATGTGGGTGGTCGTGGTCGTGGTCGTGGAGAGAAATAGCATCGTCTCTGGAAGGCCAAGAACGGAGTAGCCTGCATGCCAAAAGCCACACGCGCACGGACCAAGTCAGCTGACTGAATTTCCCGGAAAACATTCCCTTCCTGGAGAGCCGGCAACCCCCTCCATCTTCGGAGCGCAGGTGCGGGACTTCGCGTTCTTCACATCGACCCTCTCCGGGGAGAAAGCTCATATATACCCGTACTCCGTACTTTGGACCGCCGTCATCCCCAAAGGCTCATCACTTCCTGTCGTCAACTGACTTCTTCATCTTCGAACGATACTGTATCTCTCGAAACCGACAAGAACAGGTCCGAGCTTTCCTCAACTGTGTGCCATCTGCAAAGATGAGCCAGATTCCGCCAGGTACGATTCTCTTCCACGACCATGACGCCAGAGCACACCCATCCACCGGTTGGCTGACACGAGAGATAAACCATAGAAGTCGAAGCACATCACAAGATCATGCGGGAGACATTGTATGTGGTTCCAAACTCGGCAATAAGGCTAGCAATCTCTTCTGAGCCTCGCATATTTGGCTAACACATGCGCACAACAATGCAGCTTCGCGGTCACAACGCCGCTGCTTACGCCGCTCAACCTGTCCCTCGTCGTCCTGATCCTGACGCTCGCGTACCTGCGCCTGCGGCCACAAGCGGCGCCATCCCTCCCGCCGGGTCCCCAACCTATCGTCTTCAAGACCTTCACGCCGCGCACGCTGCTCAAGTACAACGGCACCGACAACTCACCCGTCTACCTGGCTGTGCGCGGTAAGGTCTACGACGTCTCGTCCGGCCGCAACTTTTATGGGCCCGGCGGGCCGTACGAGAACTTCGCCGGGCGCGACGCCACGAGGGGCTTGGCCTGTCAAAGCTTTGACGAGGAGATGCTGACGAAGGACCTCGATGGGCCATTGGACCCGTGTGACGACTTGTCGCCCGAGCAGGTGGATAACTTGAACGGGTGGATCGAGAGATTTGACGAGAAGGTGAGTGGCCCCTCTTATGGAGTTGGAAAATACGAGGCTGCGAGGGGGAAAATGCTCGAGATTGCAGATGCTGACGTCTCGATCTAGTATCTGGTTGTGGGCAAACTCGTGGCGTTCCGGAAGACCGACTTTCATTAGTCCTGCGAGACACCAGATGCTTTGAGAGATAGGACAAGACCTAGAATTCGCAAAAGAGGAAGATGTTCCGATACAATGCCTATCTTTTCCTGTTCGTTGGTAACTGCTATCGTAGCTCAAAAGCTCTAAAGGTACAATCTCGTAAGCCTATCATCAGCCAAACTCATGCCATGGTCCTTCGTTGGTTAACCCTTGCCGAACGAACTCCTCCGGTCCCTGTGTCGCCACTGGATGAGAGCCATCGCCTTCTAGGGGTATTCGTCATGCCTTCCACCCACGCCTACAATTCACTTTTAGCGCTCGTGGCACTCTTGGATGCAACGCTAGCTGCTGAGCTTGCGGATTTGGATGCAGATGCAGATGCAGTGGCACCAGCTCCCTGAGCCTGTCCAAGAACCCATTGCAAGCCACTCTTAATTCGTTCCAAGATGGTTCCTGAGGGGGTCGATGTCCCGTACTTGAAATAGTTGTATTGTTTCTTGGCCTCGGCGCGGAGCTCATTGGTGGTTGACCCCTGGTAGTTGGGAACACCGTAGCTGTCCAGGTACGATTTCAACTCGCTGTCAGACCAGGTATCAAAGGCAGTGTCCTTAGCGGCGTCGGTCTGCTTGGCAAGGTAATTGGTGACCGATGCGTAGCTTGTCCCACCGCTCTTGGAAGCAGACGCGTAGGAGTCCTGAGCCTGTTTGATCAGATCCTCACGGGTTGCCTTGGCACTCTTCTTGTACTTCTTGCCGTGGGCTTCAAGGTACTTCTGGAGATTCTCAAGGGTCCAAGTATCGAATGTCCAAGCCGACCAACCGGTAGCAGCTTTGTGCTTGTTCAATCGAACTTGCTTCAAGAGCTCGTCCCGCTTGCTGCCCTGAGGAACGGGAACCCCACGGGAGTCGAGATAAGCCTTGAGGCGAGAATCTGACCATGTATCTACCGCGGTGTTGAATGCGTCTTCAGCCATGAGAGAGGCATCATCGGTTGCCTTTGCATACTCGTTGCCGGCAGACGAAGTCGCAGCGCCAAAGCCGGAAGCGGCCGAGCTGGAAAGCGAAGAGCCGCTTGCCTCGAGCTTGGAGCGTTGTCTGCGAGCCAATGCAATAAGTTCATTCTTCCTACTCCCCTGTGGGACAGGAACTCCATGGCTGTCGAGGAACTCCTTTAGCTGGCTTTCAGACCAAGCATCAAATAGAGCATCACTAAGGCTGGCCTGTGCACTGGAAGCGGATTTGCTTGCTACAGAGCTGGCACTAGAGTACGAAGCACTCGCGGCAGATGCGGCCGACGACATGTTGAGAGAGGCCAATCGTGCATTGCGACGAACATGAGCGATGAGCTTGTCACGAGTGGTAGGCTGTGGAACGGGGATACCACGCTCGTCGAGGAACTCCTTGAGATCGGACTCGGACCAAGTTGAGTAGAGCCAGTCACCCGGGTAGGAAGCGTACTCGCCCAGCTGTTTCGCGACGGAATCGTAGTGCTGGCGGGCCGTGCTCAAGAGAGTATCCCTGGTACGTGGTTGGGGAGCAGGGATGTTGTGGTGATCAAGGAAGCTTTTCAGAGACGACTCGGTCCAGCTATTGAAGGTTAGCGAAACCGATGACAAAAGGAGCCATCAACTCTTTACCTGTCGAAGATCCAGTCTTTGACACTGTGATAGCTATCGGTAGTCTTGTCCCCAGTCGCAGCGACAGGGTCGATCACCTTGGCCTGCCAATTCTCTTTCACGAGGTTCTCGAGGTCTTTTCGGTCCGCAGGAGTGGGATAGGGGACATCGTGATCGGAGAGCCAGCGCTCGAGTTCGGTCTCATGCCACTTGTTGTAAGCTAAGAAATGAGGTCAGCAGCATCCTTGTGAGCAACGTGTGGACTTTGGGACATACCAGCTTTGCTAAACCATGTACTGGCAACAACGGCCTCGGTCGACGCCAGAGCGACGACGAGGAATTTGGAGAGGGAGAACCTCATGGTCCTGTTCGCTTTTGTGAGTACTTCGGGTAGGTAGAGGTAGTGAGAAGAGTTAGAGAGAGAGAGAGAGTATTGTTTTAACAGAGGACTGAAGAGGTCGAAGAAAGGAAGTTCAGGCAAAGTTGACAGATTGAATATTTGTGCCAACTTTGACGTCAGAGTTCCTTCACCATTTTACTGGTTCGATCGACGGGCGGTGATGAAGGGGCAGGTGGGAGGTGAGGCAGAAGTGGCGCCACAGGCTGGGTGTTACGGCCAAGGTCACCGGAAGGTGAATGCAGCCTAGGCGCCACAGACTTTTACCTTACAGCAAGCTATCTGACTGGATGCCTGCCACAGCTCGCACAGAAGTGGCCTCTACAACAGCTAGCTGCCTTGTGCCAGTCAAATGTTGCGGGACACGAGTCCGACGAAACAAAACAGCTGCAGAGCTCCAGGTGCGTGACGCCAACGACTGACGCGATTCGTGATGCGGGGAAAGCGACACACGCGAAAACTTAGCCTGACGTCACCAACACGTATAGTGCGAAAAAGAATTCCGATGTTTGTGGCGCAAAGCAACTGGTACTCTCCAGAGGATCAAGGCAGTTGTTTGATAAGAGGCCTTTTTTCAGCTAGATAGACTGTTCGAGTAGCAAGTGGCTGAAGACATCTTGACTGCCGTCTTGTTATTCGCGATCAAAGTGTTTCATGGCAGACTGAGCCTGTACAGGAACGCAACAGATTGAGGCGAGGCTGGATGACTATCAATGACAGGCTTGGCAGTCAATGAAGTCATCAGGGGATCATCATGGCACTCCGTACAATTTCCAGGGCTTTTTGACCTCCGCTCTCAGTGTCCTCTTGAATTGAAGTCGCCTCACACCTTCTGTCCCTATATTCTTCTGATACCACCCAGTAGAATTCGCACAAAGCAGCCAAAATGCAGCCCATTCTTCGTGTGGCCGCCAGGCCCGTCCGAGCCTCTCACCGGTTCTCAGTCCTTTCCTATCCTGCACAACCAAGAAGATTCGCACATCAGTCCTATGGAAATGAGCAGTCTGGGATGCAGCAGGGCACCGAACAGGACAATCCTAAAGCCAACATGGAGCATCCCGGCCCAGAGGCTCCTGAAACTGGCAAAAGTGGAAGCACGTCCACAAGCCAGGGTGGAAGTCCTAAGATTCAAACCCCCAAATCAGCGGCCGAGGACAGCGACCCGGACGTTCGGAAGCATAACGAAGAGTTTGCACAACGACACGAGAGAACAGTAAATCAGCTGAGTGAGGACGATAACAAGGTTGACAAGAAGTTCTGGAAAGGTTCGTTTCATCTGCCCGAGCTTGTCCGATGTGGTATGATCTAACCCTCATGCGCAGGCGACGTCGGACGCCCATCGGAAGACAAAGAATAGTGATGATTCAAGAAGGCCCGAAGAGGCACGAGATGAATGATATATCTGTGACCCTGGAATCATGGTTCCAGGAATCCGGATCTGCACTGGGCGTCTGAGGGTTTTCAAAGCAAGATTGAACCTGGGTAATGCCTTGCAGTGAGTGGAAGTGCAATCTGTAACGATGACCTGGAGATGAAGTCAATCCGACGTTGCATCGGATAGCCAGTTTTGCTCGAGTGCACAAACAAGGACGCATTCGTCGTTCAAAAACTAGTAATACATTGGCGTACCCATGAATTCAATGCAACCGCGAATTTAGTGTCGTTCGACGCGTCAAGACTGCCCCTCTGTTCTCCATTGGTGATTGGGCCAGATCAGATGTCTTGTAGTCCGTCATGGAGCGTGTGCTCTATCCCTTTCTCAGAGCGAGGATGTCGGCCAGGCGCACTCGACCCCGCTGACCCCAGCCGGCCTGGCCCTGCTCAACATCCGGTCGAACACGCGTGTACCAGACCTGTGCTCTCTGGTCAAGCTCTTGCGGGCTCAAAGTGGATGCCCAACTCTTGCAAACTGTGTCGATCGCTTTGATAGTCATAGCAGCAGCTTCCTCTCTCTTACTTGCCATATCTCTTGGGGTTTGCTTCTTTCGGGCTGGCTTCTTCTCGTTGGGGTCCTTTGCGGGTTCTGCGGTGCTGGACTCGACAACCATCATGGATTTGAGGAGGTAGTTTCGAGGTGAAAGAGGTTTGTGTATAGGAGGCCCAGCAGAGCTCTTGATGTCCTTACCAGCAATCAAAGGTCCATTAGACTTGCGAAGCGCCTCGAGGTCAAGTCCCCAGAACGCACTGCTGGGCATCGATAGCTCATCTTGATCGGGCACCGCCACGTGTCTCCGCATCACAGCCACCTCGCGTCCCATTATCTTGACTTTAGGTTGGCCCTGGGCCCAGCCATCTTCTTCCGCAGTCGGTCCAGTTGTTAACCCGAGATATTTGGCTTTGCTCTGCGCACCTGCGCTCACCACAGCCTGCGCCAAGCTCCAACGACTCGAAAGAGGCTGCTCGGGGTGTGTATATGCAAGGACGGCGATGGTAAAGGCCAGGAAAAGTGGTGCGCGGTTCGTCTCGATCGTGATATCCTCTAGCTCAGCAATGGATATCTCTGTCTGGGGTAGTGCAAGAGAATCCTCATCATCAAGCGGATCTTGGTCTGCTCTCGCACGCTTCGAGGACGGAGAGTTCGACTGAGCCGCTGCTCGTTTTTTGGGATTAGACACACGCTTGGCCGCGTTGATCACCTGCTTCAGCACCTTCTCGTCAGCAAAGATCGATTGGAGGTCAGTCTCGTCGGCCTTGGAGATGTTCTCGGGCGTGTTGAGCTGCTGTTTTCGAAGAGCGTGGATCTTCGGCATGGCTTCCGCCAATGGAATGCGGGCATCTTTGGTCAAGAATCGCAACAAAGCCTGTACTTCAGCCGCCGCAGTCATACTGTAGGACTTTACGGCCAGAAATGCCACATCTGATTAGTTCCCGACACACAACCTGGTGCAACGTTGGCAATATTCCCGCAATATCCCGGATAAACGATTGCAGTAATTGAGAACAATGGGGATCGACGCCGATGGACGCCGGTGACAGTCGTCAAAGTCAGCCGTGCAGACAGAATTATTATGCGAGATGATGGCGCTTGTCTCAAAACGAGCATGATCGATGGCATTGCCAAGCCAACTAAAATCAACTAACACATTATTGGCCGACGGCCATGGCCAGAGAGGAATGGGCATTGCCAGTGCGGACTGAGTCTAATGAGACCTCCTGTTCCAACCTCGACGGCTGCTTCTTGTTCCGCTCTCGCAGTTCGTGCTCATCCGACAACTTCAACACCCACCGCCCTCACCACACCCGCCTCCCACCCTCTGATACGTTCCTTCCTACGTCGAACCTCCGTACATAATACGCCCCAATCCGTCGCTGCCTTTCTCGCTTCCTCAATTGTCTGTCTTCGCGTATCCGGAGTCGGCCTCCTAAAGGGTGGCGCAGCGCCCATGGCGCGACGACCTCCTTCAAGACGATCGACATCGATGGACGATGACACCACGCCGCGAAGGTCATCAATAGAAACCTCCAATCCCAATGTCTTCAGTGACGATTATGCGGTGGATCGTGATGAGTCGATAGGCACTTCAAGTCCGACGGACTCAATTGACAGCCGACCGGAAGAGCTGAACCTGGCCCAGCGCAATGACACAAACAACAATACGCGTGAATACATCCCACCTGGGCTTCCTGGGAACACCCTCGGCCTAAACAGGCTTTCTATCTCCAAAAGAACACTCCCGGCCGAATCCTCCGCCCTCCCCCACCGAGCCGTATCAACCTCGTCCCATTCCATCGCAGATACCCGAAGAACCCTCAGTACATCCTCCCGCTTCTCCATCCCACGAGCTCAGAGTCCTTATAGAGGGCCAACAGCCCCGAGCCAGCCCTATGGGTTATATCCCCAAGTTACCAGAGCGTCTAGTGTTGTCAGTGATTCGACAATTCGGCCCCTGGAACAGCCCTTTGTTCCACACGGAGGTCCAGAGCACCCATACTCCATGTATCCTCAGAACACAGTCCCGGAGGATGATAGTTCGGACACTGATATCGCTTTGGGATTTCCTGGAATGGGCCAATCATATCCGCCTGACACATCCTCTTCCAGTAATGAAGTCGGCGACATTGTTGGTAGCGATGGTCATATCGAGCAATTACCGCCCTACAGCCGCTATGCCGACAACGTTATCGCGAAGGGAGACATGGCGAGAATAGACCCACAGACGTCGACTATTACTGAAGAATCGGGTCCTTCCCTCATACATCCTCCAGAAGGCTCTGCGTCAGATGTTGAATTAACGGCTGTTGGCTCGGGCCATCCTCAAGACGAAGTCGCCAGGAAAGAAGGCCTGAGCGAGAAGCGACGGAGAAGGACATGCTGTGGTCTACCAATCTGGACGGTCGTGATCGTCGCTGCGATCGTGGTGCTGGCAGCGGTAATTGGTGGTGTCATTGGTGGTGTCGTAGGAAACCAACATGGAACGCGCCAAGCTGAAGTGTAAGTTGATCAAACAAAACGTCTACGCGGGTATTTCTAATTTTGCAATAGCGCAGCGACTACAACGGTTTGGCTCGACGCCGACCCGGCCCAAACTGGTCCGTCGACACCCTCATGTCCGACGGGCCACTACACCATCCCCCTCAATCAGACAGAAGAGATCAATTCGTGCGTTATTGATGACGAGTACTCTCATACGTGGGAGTGTCTAGATGTGGCCCTCCTTGGGATTAACGTCTTCGCAAACGGCCCGAACTATTCGGTAGTGTTTGACGACTATTCGGTGAGACCTCAATTGTTCAGATACGGACCACAACCTCCGGATTTCAATGGCACGTCCTTTGCGATGCAACCATACAAGGATAAAGAAGACGACCAACTAGGTGTCGCCCTCTTCTTCAGTGTGCTTTTCGACAAGCTGATCATTGGTACGTTCTTATCATGCCCTCGCACAATCAGCCATTGACTTGATGTTCTAGTTCCTGCCGATCAACTCTCACCTGACTCTGGCCCAATGAAACGCTCCGTATCCTTCCCGGAGTTGGCGGGGAGAGGCATGCCCTATTGGGGAGCAAACTACCTCAGCATCGGCGACAAGCCTTGGTACTGTTTTTGGAACTCTTCCGTCAGCGAGTTCTGGGTCTTTTTGGATCAGAATATGAATGACGCGTATGAGACGTATAGCTCCAGCTCTACAATAACGTCTGCATCCAGCCAGCCCACCAACGCAGGCCCTTACAGCATGACACATGCGCCGGCATACGGGACAGGCCCAACAACTTCCAACCCGTCCACCACCACGCCGTACCCCAGCGATCCGACTGATGCTGACTACTGGGCCGGCACGAAAGTCAAACGTCAAGCCACCATCGGATCACCGGACTTTCCCAAACTTGTCAAGATGGTGGAGAAGCGGAAGCCTGACGACAATGTGCAGCCGTATTGCCAACAAATGCAAGTCCTCAACAACTGGCAAATCATGCCCATACCCGATGTGCCCACCATCTGCGTCGATGAGAGTGACTACGGCACGCCGACTTCGGGCCCCGACAAGAGGAGGGTGATGCGCAGAGGGAACCCTAACACAGTGGAGCAGCTGGGATCCAACTGCATCTGCGAGTGGTTCAGTGTATAGGCCTTCCAATGGAGGGCAGGGTAAATTTGGGCCCGTGTGACTTTATGTGTTACGAGGTTATGAGTGCGCTGCTGGAAGGCCTGCTGCTTGATATTCCCTTCTAGGAAGGATTCCATCCAAGGATGAGTGACATTTATTGGGACATCTCTGGTGTGTATATTTGGGGCTCTGGTTCTACTGTCTGCAACTTTAGGCACGGCGGACGGGGGACAGGCAAAAGCGGGAATATGGTAGAATTTTTCCTACTGTAAACAGCAACAAGAATTCAGAAAATTCGATTTATTCATCCAGATTCACCCTTGTTTCTACTACAGCCTGGTGTCTGTCCTCCCTCCAGGTGACAAGGCTGGCAACACGCTCCATTCCTTCTTTCAACATCACTCACACCTCTGCCTCGACCAACTAGGATAAAGGCTCAGATCTCACATGACGAATCAGCCAGTCAGCCGCCGCCGCAGTCAAGGTTCTCCCGGCAGCGCCGAGTCAGCGTGTGCCCTGCCTGGTTCGGCTAATCACATGGAATTATTACTCGTTCAGGCTCTATATGCGAGCTGAGCAGGCCACGCAGCGGCCCAACCATTAACCCAGCGTTGTCCGTGCCCCTTTGGTTTCTATTCTTGCAGCATGAGATGGTCCTGACTCTGTTGTGGGATTTAAACCGCCCCCGGTGATTCGAGAGGCCCTCTCGTCTCCCACCCGCTCCCAAGTCTTCCCCCTAATCGTGGCTGCTTGAAGCCCCTAGCAAAAAGGAACGAACCAACTAACGGAACGAAACGAAGATGGGCCGCCGAAAAGCGTTGCTCATCGGGATCAACTACCTCGGGTCGCAGCACCAGCTCCAAGGCTGCGTCGACGACGTCAACAACATGGCCGAATTCCTGGCGTCGCGGGGCTTCTCCAACCACCCGGCCAACATGGTGGTGCTCACCGACATGAACGACCCCCGCGGGCCCTATTTCCCTTCGGCACACAACATCCTCGCCGCCATGCACTGGCTGGTCAGCGAGCCCGGGTGTATGTGCTTCTTGCACTATTCGGGCCACGGCGGCCAGGTGCCGGATGAAGACGGCTCGCATTCGAGTGGGTTTGCCGACACCATCGTGCCCGTGGACTTTGAGAGGACCGGCCAGATTGATAGCTCGACCCTGCACCGGGCCTTGGTCAGCGCCCTGCCGCCGAGCAGCACCCTCTTCATCCTGTTCGATTGCTGTCATAGGTGAGAAACCCTCTCTCCCTACCCCCGTTATTGGGCTGTCCCAAGGCCATGTTCCCCCCCGCGCGCGTAAGATCTCAGAATTACTAATTTTGGGCGCGCCAGTGGTTCCGCGGTGGAGTTGCCCTTCGTGTATCGTAAGTTGTCTCCCGCAGCCCATATTACCCCTAGCCAAGTCTCGTGAAGCAAGGAAGGAAGAAAAGGCGAGAGAAATGAGAGAAGTGCCGTATACTATACCACACTATACTATCCCAGCTAAGCACTAAGGGGACTTTTGGTCCTGATGTGCTTTTGCTCTTGCTGATACGAGGGACCATCTGATTGTTGACGCCAATGATGCAGGGACCGATGGTGACGGGAATGTCAACCTCATGGACAACCTTAGAGCTGGGGCCGAATTGATTGGCGAGGTTAGTAACACATTACCATACACCTTTTCTATCCATCGTGACCCATCGGCTTCTCGGTGTGAGTCGCCGATGGAGATGGCAAGGCATGTCATCTCATGGCATTGCATGGCTCGGGCATGTCCCTTGGGCACTCTTATACCATGTCTCATGTGATGATGGAAGCAAACCCTGTCCACGCAAAAGTGCCTCATGGGCGTGTCCCGGCGTGCGACTACCATCCTCACACTGAAAACAGCGGCTCCTGGCAAGTGATGGGCGGCAGTGACGACGGCTGGTAGCTTACTCTCTCTCCCTCTCTTTGTTTTCGCAGGCATCACATCTCATCCGCGGAGATTTCACGTTCGACAGCACGGGCGAGGCCCGGCACCTCCTGGCGGGCGCGACCTCGTTCTTCCGCGGTCTCCGGCACCAGTACGACGGCGACTACGACGAGGGCCTGCACAGCGTGGACGACTTCCAAGAGGACTGGGGCCCGGAGAACAAGTCCGTGTTCATGTTCTCGGGCTGCAAGGACGAGCAGACATCGGCCGACGCGTTTATCAACGGACGACATGTCGGTATGTGTTGTGCTTTTGTTTCTCTGTCTCTCTGTCTACCTTTCGCTCCATTCCAACAGCAGCCTTCTATTTCTTCTTCATCTCTCCCTATCCCGTATTGGCCTGATCCGCCACCTCCCTCTCCCTCTAAACAAATCAATTTTCGGCTTCTGCTGACGGATGTGCATGTGTGTTGCAGGAGCCATGTCCTGGGCCTTTCTCGAGACCATGAAGACCGACATCTACTGGAATATATCTTATGTCCAGGTATGACATATACCTCTCTCATTCTCCCACCCGCTCTCTCAAGCACACATCTACTCGATTAACCTGTATCGAGATGTGACGTGCCATGTCCTCTGTTTTCCCCCTTCCCCCCCTTTCCCGAAACCCGCAGCGCTAACATGAAAATTCTTTTCCTTTCGTCTTGTTGCCAGATCCTGCAAAACACCCGGGCTCTCCTGCAGCAGCACTACTCACAGATACCTCAGCTGTCGTGCGGGTACCAGCTTGATCTGAACAGTCCGTTCCGGATATGATGACTTTGACCACCGATACGACGATATTGACGGTCATGATTATAATCATGGTAATGATGAGATGAAATATTGGGGTTGAATAAAAAGGGAAAAAGGAAATGAAAAGAAGAAGAAAAATTCATCCCTCGGGAGCCTTCCTCGCGCGTGGGCTCAATCAAAGCAGGGGAGGGAGTCACTTCTCGGGTCCCATGTACATAAATCGACCAAATTTCTCCTCTTGCCAATTCAATTCCCATGTAGGTCGGACAGGGTAGGTAGTGAGTGGCGGCTGCTGTACACGGCCAGGAAAAAGAAAGAACTCTATCGAACTCGTCGTCGTCGGCGCCAGGGCATTCAGGGGGGGTTTGTTATATGCCTCACCTAAACATCTCGGGTCGATTTGGTCGTGGAGTAGAAAGTCGGCGGTGGCAGGACATAAAGGCCTGATAGTGGGTAGGGGGGAAGGCAGGTAGCACTCCACTGCCGGGCTTCTACAGTATGTCCAGGTTGCTTGACCTCCGGCCTCTAAACATACGACTAGATGATCTATCCATCTACATTGTGTATGTGCTTCGGTCTCGCATCATTATTCGTCCTTTGGCGCGCCATTTCCTTTCAACTCGACCTAATAACCGTGTTTGGTCGAACCACGAGGCGCTGCCAACTCGATCGGTGTTGACTCCTTCAACCAAACCATCATTCATTCGTAGCTGATGTTCGAGTCATTCGACTTCAGAGCTCACACGAGGCCGGCGTCGGTATTGTGGTTATAGTCAAATCTCCTACTTCGGCATTAGACAAGCAGCGAGCCCCCCGGATTGACCGGGCACATTCCAAAGGCATGGAAGGCTTACCCTTCGTCAAACATAAATTGGAAATTGTCAAACGGACCAAATGACGCGAAGAACTCGTCAAAGGCTGTGCCGCTCAACCCACAGGTATCCAAGACAGTGCTCATGGCGTTTGATGGGTCGTCGCGAGAATGAGGAGTATTTGCTTGCGCAGCCGGGTCCTGTAGGCCAGCCGCGTAGCCGTCATATTGCTTTGCGTCGCCGGTCTTGCCCGCGTTGAGGGCCTTCAAGACTTCGGAGAAGAGGTTGCGATGCATGTCGGCACTCCAAAATGTCTTGTTGAGGTGTGAGAGGACCATCATGTGCAGGTTTAAATTGTGCCCAGCGTGCTGGCGGATGAGACCGTCAGATCGAGCAAGCTCGAATAGATGAATTTGCATGGCGATCATCATAGCAGTCACGAGCATAGTAGGCGACGTGTCAATCATATCTTGTCCGATCAATTTGTTGAGAGTGCCCGTGGAATTGGCTGCAGCGGCCTTGGATCTCTGGGTCGCGGCCGCTTGGAGGTTGCTTTGTTCGGCCGCGGAGAGATGTTCAGGCGTCGAAAGAATGTAGGAGCGATGAAGGAGGATGATGATCGCCTGACAATAGCATCTGAAATGGCTCACATGTAGCATCAAGGTTCGGGACCGGGTTTCGGTATCCGTAGGTAGGCTTTCGAGAAGACGTAAGACGTCCGCATAGTCGGCTTCCAACTGAGGCAATGACAACAGAGGCCTTCTCGGGCGGTAGTGTAGAACCATAGTGTCTTCCAGCTTGATCGACAGCCGGAGCAATTTTATCCAGAGTTCAGCCAGCTCGTCGAGATCCGGCGGCAGGAATGCTTCGCGCAGCTCTGGAGATAGTTCTTTGACATCGTCCACGACATCGTGAACAGACGGCAGCTGCAGATCGCTGTCATCGAGGTGGACGCGCATCGGTCTCCCAGTACCCAGACAGAGCCAAGCCTCGCGGTAGTAGCTGCACCACCATAACCGTCTCCAGAGCGCTATTTGGGATGGTGAGAAAGGAGACCGTGGGAGTCGAGAATAGCTGGGTTCACGATGGAGCCCAATGCTAAAGCATAGGTGGATCGCCGCTCCACTCCAGTAGCAGCCGCCGTCCAGATCCTCTAGATCAGCATACCAGTAGCTGAGGAGCAGAACAGAGGCAATGGTAGCCGACTTATCGGTCTCGAGCTGCGCGTCGTACGTCCTCTGAATGCTGTGAGCTCGTTTGCAGTGTTGTTGCACTTGGACAAATCATCTTACCTTGGCATTCTGAAAACAAAACTGTTTCAAGACTTTGCGACTCTGGAACCCTAGAGCTTTAAGGGCCTCTGCATCGATGTAGAGTGCTGCCGCGAAGAACACCGACCACAGCAACAGACAGCTGACATTGTTGGGGTCGTCCGAGTACTTGGTAATGAATTCCCCGGCATTGACGACGGGCATGAAAGGGTAGACATAGCCGAAGAAGCAGCGAATGAGCCTCGCGCAGACAGACGGTGGAAACTGAGGCCTGGACCCTGGAGTGATCTCTGGTTTGAATTGCTGTCGCTTAAGGACGTTGCGGGTGATGATATAGGGGCTTCCTTTCACGGCTCGATTTGGCGAGCAGATATCAAAGACGAATTCGAGTCCCTCCGCCTCTCCTAGAAGGTGAAGTCAGTATTGTTGAATTACACCAGAAGGCTTTCCAAGTACCGGCATAATAAGGCACCAGGATATCTCGGGAAGAGTCATTTCCACGAGGCTTCTCCGACACCGAATCAGAGACTGTGGTGGGAGTCTGCTGAGTGCCGGTTGCGATCTCGCTTGATGTGTCTGGCTCCCTTTGACGTTCTGGGGAGGTGACAATAGGGGCAGGAGGACTCTTGTCCACGTTTAGATGTTCCCGGGGTACTTCGACCGTGTCCGAACCCTGGCGCGTTACCTCGGTAAGGGCTATAGATGTCGGAGACGGCGTCAGAGGGTACGCTGATTTCGATGAAGGCGGGATCGCTTGGTCGGGGCGGCTGTTGTATTCAATGGAACGTGATGAGTGGCCTGGTGGATGGCCCGGGGAAGGCAAGGACACCGACGCAACATGCTGCTGGCCATAGACCTTGCAAACGGTGCCATCCTGAGCACAGTTTGCACACGGGATCCCCTGGAACGCGACCGAGCACCGGACTTTTCGATCATGACAGCGCGTGCAGGCGATGGCCGAGCGCTTCCTCTTGCGCGGCTGCTGTGCATCCATAGCTCGTCCGCCTCCGGTGCTGAGCAGAGATGGTGGACGTCTCCCTCTCTGCAAGGGCCACTGCTTTTGCAGGAATCTCCGCCTTATGTCTGCGGAGTGGAGGAACGCAACCTCGGGTCTTTGTCCATTGGCGGGAGACTGCGGGGGAGAGGCGGCTTGCGATGGCGGCATGGACAAGGTCTAGACAGAGGTCAAGTGGGTGTCTTGGGGTTCTTGTCTGCTGTTGTGATTGGGTTTTGGTGGGAGAAGCGGGTAAGTTGTATTTATACGTCCAAAGCCAAAAACGGATTATTTGTAACTTCATCAAAACCTCCCTCTACATTGCCTCCCCCTCCTCTGCCATTCTCTACAGGTGTTCAACCCTTTGCTACATGTCGACCCCGGACAGAGAAGAGATCCACTAATACGGGCTTATTGGCCTCGAATGGCGTCTTCTCGCCACGCTTCCCCGCCTATTCGTAGCCGAGAAGGAGGCTATCCCACGCTGTCCCCCAAATACTTCGTCCACGGTGGAACCCCCGCTTCCGCCTATAGAAGAATGGACAAATCATGGACGAAACGCATAATAGTGCAGCGATATTCTTTCCATGTTTGACATATGGCCCAGTAGATCACAGGCGAAACACTCCGACCGAGGCAGCGTACCGAGGTAGCACCCAATGGCCATCTCAGCAATACATATCTATATTGCAATGCTGGGGTAAAGTGGTGGCCCATGTCTCGATTATTCAACGTCCCTGTGGCGGCATATTCAAAGGCTTCAAACTCGCCGACACCGTCTCTATCCATACTGTCGTTCCATCATGGTGGGGAAAACAGCTGGCTGTGCCGAAGAGGTATCCGTCGAGGCACCTTCATCGTCGGTGGAAAAGTCTCAAGTCCAACATGAAGAGTCCGTTGACCAGGCCGAGAAGAGCATTGGTCTTCGCATCGACGGGGATGACCTCGACCATGAACACGAGCCCAAGGTGTGCCATGCCCTTTCGCTTGTGCACAGGTCTTTGGGAAAGAGGATATGCTGAATCGCCGTCCAGATGACCCTCAGACGCTTCATGAGTTTGCTCGCAATGGCCTTGCTTTGGACCGGCAGTCAGATTCCCGTCTACCTTTATGGTAGGACTCTCTGATTTCTTGTCGGACCCAAACCCCTAATAGGAGTGACACAGGCAGCATTCCACCCTACATCTATGGGGACATCGGCGGGCTGGATAGATGGATTTGGTTTGTAAGTTCTCGAAGATGATCTGAGCATGCATCGACACTCACCAATCCGCCAGGTCTTGGGGAATCTACTTGCTCTCGCGGGCGTTTGTCCTTTCGTCGGCTCCCTATCGGACCTTCTTGGTCGTCGCTATGTGGCTTTGATGGGGGCTGGGCTGCTCGTCCTGGGTACTGTCATCGCGACGACCGCGAGATCCATGAACATGTTCATAGGTATACTCCGCTTTCGTGCATGGTACTATGAAGACTGCGTCGCCTAACACAATCACAGCCGGCACGACCATCGCGGGGGCAGCCGCTGGGATCAGCGAGCTGACTGCTTTGGCAGTGACTTCTGAGATGGCTCCTACCCGGAAGCGTGGTGCCTATGTCGCCGTACTGATTTTCACCATCGTCCCATTCCTGCCATCTGGGTTATACGCACAGATGATTGCTTGTACGTTGAGACTTTCTTTGCCTTGAGTATGGAGGTCTCTGACACAGACACACAAGCTCATGCCGGTTGGCGTTATTGCGGCATGATCATCTGCATATGGAATGGACTCGGCCTCATCATCACGGCCTTGTTCTACTTCCCTCCGCCCCGGGTGAACTCCAAAGGCAAATCGAGGCAGGAGGTTCTTCGCGAAATCGACTACGTCGGCGGACTTCTCAGCATTTCCGGGATGGTGCTCTTCATGGCCGGCTTGCAATGGGGCGGTTACCAGGTATGCCCGTTTCTCCCTGGCAACGGAGCCTTGGATACTTACTTTCCGTAGTACTCGTGGAGTTCGCCCCATGCCCTCGTTCCCCTTATCCTCGGTGCCGTCCTCATTGTCCTGTTCATCTTTTGGGAAGCCTATGGCGCAGAATATCCCATGTTTCCAAAAAGACTCAAGCAAGACCCTCGCATCTTGGGACTCACTCTGATCATCACCTTCATCTCCGGAGCCAACTTCTTCTCCTACCTTATGTTCTGGCCGACCCAGGCTTTCAACGTGTATGGCCATAATCCTGCCGGTGTGGGCTTGCGTGTCCTCCCCGGAGGTATCGCCATCATGGTCGGTGCCTGCATCACGCTTTGGCTGCTGTCGGTCTTCCGCGGGCGCAACAAAGAGCTTATGATCATCTCCTGTATTCTTATGACTGCCGGTATTTGTCTGCGATTGTCCCTTTTGCCGCGTTGGATACTGATACCACCTTGTGCAGGAAGTGGTGCACTGGCGTGTGCAACCCCAGACAATATGGATACACTCTGGGGTCTTTTGGTCCTCGGCGGCCTGGGCATCGGCGGTATCGTCGTGCCAGCCTCGATCATCACCACCATCATCTGCCCAGACGACCTCATCGCCACCGTCAGCGCCTTGACGCTCGCCATCCGTGTTATTGGCGGCTCGGTCGGCTACTGTGCCTACTACAACGTGTTCATCTCCAAGTTCGACACCAACGTCGTCAAGTACGTCGGCACCGCCATGTACGAAGTGGGAATCACCAACACGACCGATATCACCCAGGCCATCGTCCTGACCGGCGCCAGCCTGATCCAAGACTTGAAGACCATCCCGGGCCTTGCCAATGAGACGGCTTACCAGCTGGTCGTCGCCGCAGGCCAGCTGGCTTACTCGGAGAGCTACCGGTACGTGTACCTGGCCAGCATCGCCGCTGGGGGAGTCAGCATCATCGCGGCATGCTTCCTGGGAGATATCAACAAGTACATGGACGAGCACGTCGCCGTGGTTATTGAGTAGTGGTCTTGAATGGCCTGGTGGATCAGAAGAAGGGGAAAGATCCGGGTTGGGGGTGAACATGATTGTACCTCTCTAAGTACACTGTTGGCTTCGTCGCAATGTTCTCGTCGTCTAACCCACTCCGGTGGTAACGACCGATAGCCCGGAGCTCTGAGGAGTGAATAATGCCTGCAGAGTCTGCTCAAGAGGCAGCAAAACATACAAAAGCACGCGACATGTATCTCTCCGCTTGTCAGCATATATACATATCAACCTATCAGACATACATACATACATACATACTCATCTATCCAAGACCGAGACTTCTGTTCCTTGACGGTAATACGCTGATGACAGTCTGAATCTGCCACCGTGAATGAATGACCACCGCGGTATCAGCGAGCTTCCCGGAAGTCACAGGTCACAGTGCCTGCTGGACCTTTCGTCTCGGATCGAGTTCCGGGTTGTGCTATCATCCTACTGTATCTTTTTGGGCTTGATCTATCTATATAACCATAAGTTATGTATGTATATATATACCCGTCGAGAGATGAACACGGACCTTGCAAGAGACCGTGTCAGGTAATGAACGAGTGATATGAATGATATGCCATGTGCTCTACTGGCAGGATGGGTAGGTTTTGGTTTTTGTCTTCCATTGACGATCACAAACGCCCAATGAACCATCATAAATCAACTCCCCTTTTGTTTTATTTGGATTTCTTTAAGAGGGGGAAGGGGGTCTTTCTTCTTGGACTTTTTCTTTTCTATCCCTCTGATGTTTCGGTTGTTCTTCTACATTGTTCTGATCCCTCTAACTTCATCCCCCCCCCTCCCCCCCCTCGCACCCACCAGCTGTGTAACACACACCCCCCCCCCCCACCCCCCCCCCCCCCCCCCCCCCCCCTCCCCCCCTCAGTTCGCCTCTACGCCACGACACCCGCCTGTCTCAGCGCCTCAATCTCCCCGTCCTCCTTGTTGAGCAGGTCCCGCAGCACGAAGTCGGTGTGCTGGCCCAGCGTGGGCGGAGCCGTCCGGGGCCCGGCGGCCGTCTCGGAGTACTTGACCGGGTGGCTGACGACCTTGACGGAGCCGCAGGCCGGGTGGTCGAGGTCGGCGACCATGCCGCGGGCGCGGACGTGGGCGTGGTCGAGGGTGTCCTTGACGTCGTTGATGGCGGCGTAGGGCATGCCGCTGCCCTCGAGCACGGCGAGCCACTCCTTGGTGGTGCGGGTGCGGGTGATCTGCTCGATCATGTCCTCGAGAACGGCGCGGTGCTGGACGCGCACGTCGTTGGTCACGAACCGCGGGTCGGTCTTCCACTCGGGCCGGCCCAGCTTGTCGCAGATGATGCCGAACAGGCGGTCGTTGCCGCCGCCCAGCATGATGTCGCCGTCGCGCGTCTTGAAGCCCTTGTACGGCACGATGCTCGGGTGCGCCGTGCCCCAGCGCCCGCCGTCCCGTTCGCCAGAGATCAGCACCGAGCTGGCGATGTTGGCCAGCGTCGCCACCTGGCAGTCCGCCAGCGCCACGTCCAGGTGCTGGCCCCGGTCCGTCCGCTGGCGGGCCAACAAGGACGCCATGATCGCGTTGCACGTGTACAGGCCCGTGGTCAGGTCCGTCACTGCCACGCCCACTTTCACAGGGGACCCGTCCCGTTCGCCCGTGATGTGCATCAGTCCCATTTCCGCCTCCACCATCACGTCGTAGCCCGCCCGGGGGCTGTAGGGCCCGTATTGGCCGTAGCCGGTGATGGAGGCGTAGATGAGGCTGTTTCGTCGGGGATAAAAGTGTCAACGAGTGGACTCTGTCGGTAGGGGTGAAAGGTGGGGGAAGAGAAGTTCTCCTTTGTCCAAGTCTCCGGAAGGGATGCTCACCGAGGATTAATCTTCCGTATCGACTCGTAGTCCAGCTGGTACTTTTTCAGAGCCCCTGCCGGCGTCACATAAGGTGGTTAGTTGGTTCGTCGGTTGGTTCAGTCCAAGACCGCCCAGAAGGTGAGGCAATGAAAGGCGAGGAGGGTATTTCAGTCAATGAAGAGGTTTTCCCAACATGTCTCTCCACACAGCCTTATACATACCTGGAATGTAATTTTCCACCAACACATCCGACGTCTTGGCCAGCTCGTGCAGGATCTTGACGCCCTCGGGGTGCTGGAACGAGAGCCCGACGGATTTCTTGTTGCGGTTGACCTGGAAACAGCGATCGAATCCCCATTTCAGCGTCTGTACAACAGCAGCACCATACCGCACCGGGAATACACCGCAAGGGAGGCATGTTGCGTGATGGCCCGAGGGTAAAACTTACACCGATGAAATATGCACTCTCCCCCGGCTTGCCGCTCTTTGCAAGGGCTAAAGAACAAGAGTCCGTCCGTCAGTCAATAGATCAGTCAACGCCACCCCTCGCGAGTTGAATCTGAAGCCATGGCTGGCCGAGCTCAGGTTCAAACTTACCATCGTCTTTATACTTCGCGTACGGCGGCCCCCAGGCCCTGGTGTCATCGCCTCGAGTGGGATGCTCGATCTTGATGATTTCCGCGCTAGATCAATGGTCGAAAGAACTCTGTCAGCTGACTGATGTAGATATACCGATATGTGTGGGAAAGCAAACCTGCATGGGTGTGATATGGGAAGAGAGAGGTTGGGGGGTCATTCGTGCGTACCTACCCTAGATCGCCCAGAATTTGTGTACAATATGGCTACGAGGTTGCAATGTCCAGCCAGCGAGTCAGTCAATCAGCCGTCAATCCACCTTCCCATCAACTCGATGGCTTCTTCGGGTCTCTTTCCTAGACCACCGACCAACGACCAACTGCTCAAGCAAGCAAAGGGTGGTACTGCAACAAATGGGGAACTCACACCGGCCAACACTCGCGTCATGTCCAGCACCCTGACACCCTCCAGCGGGGCTATCTTGCTTGTCTGGGAGTTTGTTGACGACTCCCTGGCGGACGCGAACCATCGGCCCGACCTGAACGACGGCTCGGACTGGGGCCGAAGGAGGAGGCCTGGTGCTGCGGTGCATCCAGGCCGGCCCGCGAAGGCTCGTCGGAGAGCTCTGCTGGGAGCCATGGAGAGGTCGAGATGCAGTACGAGAAATACACACACAGAGGGACTGACAACAGAAGGAGTGTGAGGCAAGCACAGTAGTCAACAGAGAAAGTTGTTCTTTTTGAATGAGGATCGACGGCGACGGCGACGGTCCCGAAACATCGGCCGCCAAGCGCCGAGGCGATTCTACCCCAAAAACCCCGTCGTCGCCGAGGTTGAGATGAGGCTCCCTCGTGAGAAGACGGTCGAGCAAGCTGCCCGGTATGGGCACGTCGTGAACGACGCCTACGATGGAAAGCTTCCTATCGCCCGATGGTCGTCATTGCGACTCACTCGTTACTATCTCATCCTTCTAACATACAAGCTATAGTTACACACACAGATCGTGAGAGCTGCCACCAACGCACTGCGCAACAACACTTCCCAATCGATAAAGACAGACATTTCAAGTTGCCAGGCGAAAGCCCGCAAGGTATCTTGGACAAAAGACCTCCCAATATTTTTTTCGTAAAAGTGATGGAAATGACAATACAACAAAAACAACCCCGGAACATAACAACAAAACCGAAAAGTGTCGCGAGGGTGCAAAGGTGCAAAAGGCGGAAACACAAACGCGCCGTCCCAAACAAACGTGTTCCCGAAGGTATCCATCGATCCATCGCCATTCAGCGCCCTCTAATCGATTTCATGTTATAGGTGTTGCGGCTCGCGCCGCTTGGAAAGCCAGTCTTGTAGTTTCCGTAAATCCAGGTCATCAGTAAGGAAAGGGGGAATTTCACGCACACATTGGGCAAGAATGTGGCGGAAGTCGATAAGCTTTGGACGTCAAGGGGCTGAGAGGAGGCACTTGAGCGGCCAAGTTGCCGACCGTCCAAGGATGCATGAAATAGAATATCTCAAGCCAGCCCTGCTGTCTGTGAAGCCCAGGTCATGCTTTTTCCGGGGTGGTTTCGGAAAGATCCAGGTCGTCAATGAAAGCCAACCGCTCATGGCGAGGTGAGAGGCATTCGTCGCCTCCTTCGACGACAGAAGGGTGCATCAACGGCTCGCAGGTACGTTCTTCTCCTTCGTTCGAAAGACGATCCGGGCCTCCATCGGAATCTTCCATCCAGTAGCTTTCCAGAGCTCCAATGGCACAGACGATTCCAATGGTCCACCACGCCAGACCGCCATACCCGAGTTTCAGTCCAGCTGTGTGTACCGAGCCCGTCACAACGGGCCCCACGGCACGGGCCAAGCACGCCATCGATGCAGCAGTACCATTGATCCGTCCGAGTACGCTCTTGGAGTAAACAGCATTGGCTAGAAGAATCGCATTCGAAGGAAATGATATCGCTTGAAACGTGATTTTGATCATAAGAGTAGCGTAGATGCCCGTTTGCTGCCAACGTTCCGGAAGAAGTACCAGATATGGCACCACCAAATACAGCACAGGCCAGATAGTCATCGTTAGCCGAGACGCATTGAGTGTGCCGAGGCGTCGGACCATGTAGGGGAAGATGAAGAATTGCGCGACGATCGAATAGCCGCCCTGAATCGCCATCATGAAACCGATGGCGCGGGTGCCCATGCCGAAGCCTCCAGAGAATCGGAAGGGAAGGTGAGGCTCCGTCTGCATACGTTCTTCACTGAGAAAGGTGGGCATCAAGGCGTCGAATGAAACGCTGTGGCTACAAAGCATGTCAGTCGGAGCCACTGGGCGAGGGGAGGAGGAAAAGAACATGGCACATACTAAGCAAGGATCGCATATGCAAAGATGATCAGTTTTACCTGCCGGTTGAAAGGCCTGGCCTCGCTGCTGATTTCTTTCTCCCGCAGCATTTCGAGGTCCAGCTCTATCGTTGAGGCTGACCGCAGCAACGGCGAGCTTTCCGTGCTCCGGTAGCCCGGGGGTGGATCGCGATGGTCAAAGGCATCCGGTCGGTCTCCTCGAGCAAAGCCCAATTTACGGCCCAGGGCCTCGAGCTGGACCGGAAGCCTTTCAAATCCGAGGCGCGCGAAGAACACCTCGAACGCAACCTCTCCAACGCTATTGCAAGGCTTTTTCTTGGTATGTGTTTCTTCGAGAAACAGGACGCCAACCACAATACCGCAGATGAGCACTGCAACACAGACGAGATTGGGCAACAGGAACGGGAACTTGTCGAACAAGCCGCCTCGACGGAACCCGAGGGAGTCACATGGCATAGCCAAGGCTCCGCCTATCGAGGGACCAATGATGGATCCGATACTCCAGACCACCGGCATGATCGAATACGCACGAGGCTGATGCTCCTTCTTCGTCACGAGCTCTGCTACGGTGGTTTGGAGCACTCCCACATTGCCGTTCAGAGCCCCGCCGAGGGCTCTGGCGAGAATGGCAGTTTTCAGACTCCGCGAAAATCCAAAGCATATCATGCTCAAGGCGGTCCCAGCGAGACCCATGATCAAGACCGGTTTGCGGCCGACGCGGTCACTCAGCCGGCCCCAAAGCATTCCGGTCAAAAACTCGGCAAAGGCAAAGGCTGTAATGAGCATTCCGGCAAAGACCGATATCCGCGACTCGTCTTGGGTGATGTTGAACGATTCAATCATGCGGTAGGCGTACGGGAATATTGACATGAAGGCGATTGGCTCGCATAGACGACATATTGCTGTCCGATGTGTTAGTGATTCGCAACAGGTTGCCAATTTGGGAGCGCCTGCGAGATGACGTACCCAGCACGCCCAATTGTCGGTATGGAAACCCATCGTCGACATGTTTGAGCTCCCGTTGACTCGGGGACTGCTTGGTGCAACGGTTCAGCATCGTCACCGAGGGAGGAAAAGGAACTTGTCGTGTGAGGGCGGAAAGTGAGGTGAACAAAGAAGAGGGTCATCTAGCACACGGCGCGAGGAGGGCGGTCATAATAAGGGAAAGGAAATTTCCAGGAGACAAAGGATCGAGCAGCGATAGACAGGGCGGGCGGGGCATTCTCATCTTTCTCTTCTGACGGAATGGTGCATCCGCCGCCGCGTGGAAGAGGCGGTGGACTGCCTGGAGCAGTTGGCATAGCACAGAACGCGGCAGCGAGCAGGACCTTGCGATGGAGACATTTTTGCGCAAAGCCAGTGGCCAAAAAAGCAGCCACGGTTACACGAACGAGGCACCCCGAGGGGAGGGCGGAATGGACAAGGTAATCAGGGCAAAAAGTCTCTGACATCCGCGCCCGGTTGTCCACAGAAGGCGGTGTTGGGCAGCTCCAGTCAGAGCGCTAGAGCCCGAGCCGCGGGTGCCGTCAGACCAGTTTGTAGTCACCCGAAATAAAATGCCCTGCACGACTGGGGGGTGGGAGATGATGTTCTTCAATCGGACGGTTCGAGCGAGTTGGGCAACTCGGGTTGAAAGTCAGGAAGGGCCGGGAAGTGGTGCGTGATGCTCGGGGAAGGCGTAACTTGTGCCCAGGTGGGATGTTGCTGGATCCCTGGCGCAAGTGGACACACTCGAGGGAACGGCATTGAATGGGGTCAAGGCCAGGATGGTGAAAAAATGGAGAACATGGCCAGACGCTCCTCTCTGTTGGGCTCTTTGACTTTTCTCTGCCGTTTGGGCTCCAGAAAGTGGGTTTCAGGGCTGCCATGCGACGGTGGCGATGTGGATCCGGGACTGGCATCGTGACAAGGATAGCAAAAGGCCCATAGACTGCAGGTCGTTTTGAAAAGGGAGAAGAAAAGAAAGGCGGAAAAGGAAATACCACTGATTGACGTGGACAGGGGTGGAGGTCGATACTCGTACAGGCTTGCAGCCAATTAACCGGGGGGACGGACGTTGATCCAGAAGAATTTCGGCATCATGGACCCAGGCCAGTAGCATCCAGTAGAAATAAAAGCGCATCTGAGCCCAGGAACCGCGACAATGGTACCTTCGGGGCCTTGTGATTCGGAGGATCGATATGCATAGGCTTCGCTCTGCCAGAGTGGAATTTACCCCTGACCAGAGCTTGAGTGGACCGCGGTGAACAGGCTAGGGATCAGAATCCTGGTCTTCCGGAGGCCGGGGAGCCTGCTTACCGAAGAGTTTGCTGCCTCTAGCGCTGGCCTTTCCACCTCTCGGCTAGCACTTGGGCTGGCCGCTAGACTGCCCCCAGAAGCTTTTGCTTGTTCGCTCGTCCAGTGGCGAACAAGCCGGCTGGGAATCCTGCTTATGATCCAAGGGCCCTGTACCGAGTTATGTGACGAGGGAGACGCCACTACCTTGCTTGCTGCATCAGCAGCATGTCATCCTTCTCGTTTCAATGCACCTTGTGACCAGCGTGCCGTGCATGCCTGATCGAGGCCCGACACGATTCTCGGACTCTGAACTCTCTAGTCATGGGCATTTTCTTGTTTTGCTCACCAATTGAACCTTTTCGCGGCGTGGGATACAGAGGCGGTGAAAAAGGCGGTCATGCCCGACGGATTCGTGGATAAATTGATTCACTTTGGGCTGGAAGGGAGGGCCAAGGCTGGCAGGGTGTCGCTGGTTTGGTGATTGGCGATCGAACAAGTGCTCCCGTGGAGTTTAGGGTCAAGCGTTTAGACGTGTCATAGACTGGGGTCAGTCGTACAAAGGGCGGGTAAGCAGTTGAGGGGGGGCGTCGCCTCGGAAGGCTTCGAGTCGGTACGGTCTGTAACTGCGCTGCGGTCGACGTTGCCCCACCCACTCGCTGGACCTGTACCCGAGTTCCATGATGACGACGATCCTTTGTTTCGGCGTACTCGTTTGTAGTGGCTCTGGCCAGCAGCTAACACGAGAAGTTGTCTCTAGATGAGCGACACGCAGCATACGGCGCCCCAGCAGCAGGGGTTGGGAATGTACAATGACTCGGGTGCCTTTGACAAAAAGACCTGGAGAAACAAGGGCCGCCAAAGGATCCGGAAGATGAGCGGGCCAGTATTTCCATTCGTGCTGCGTACTCTAAACGATGGAGAGGCCAGGACCGGCCGACTGGATAGGGTGGGAAAAAAGGAAAATGTCTGACACGTCAAAAATGCACCAGGGCGGGTAGAAAGGAGACAGGCATGGATCACAAGGTTCACCAGTGATGGGTTCTTCAATGATGATTCGACTGCGCTGACCAGGGCAGACGCACTGTCCCAAGGCAGATTCTGGGCAAAAGCACGGGTGAAAGGGCGAGTGAAAGATGAGGTGAAAGTGAAAAGACGAAAAGGGATGGGCAACGGAGAAAGATGGACCTTGGACAGGACTTACGGAGTACTCTCTCATGACCAGGAAGGCCAGAGAGCAAGGGCAACAAGGGAGGCCCGTCTCCTTTCTGCTGTTCGCTTAGCAGGTTCGAATCGAACAAGCAAGCAGCCGGTACCGTGTCATTGGAAGGCCACCACCCATCACCCCCCCTGCCTGGAGAACAGAGTTGAAGCCTATCATAACAGCTGAACGGGGGGAGCAAACGTAGCGAGAAGTTCCAGCGGCCGCGGTACTTACTAGGGAGCTACGCAGGAGCCTACGAGAGGGGAGCAGGGGGCCCGAAGAGGGAGGGTGGGGGACGACGTTGATGGGTGGGTGGTAGCGGACGATGGGACCAAACCTTTCACACAATTGACTTTGGAAAGTGAAATTCGCGAGTTTCACCGGAAGCTCAACCCCAAGTCCCCCGGGGAATATTCAGCACCCTTGCTCAGCTCTGTTTGACTTGGCGTGCAGCCCCTGATTCATTTTCCAGAACGACGCCACCGGCATCAGCGCCGATGCCATCACAGCTAACCGTTCAGGACTCAAAGAGCAGCAGATGAAAGAGTTTGCGGAGGGTTGATGAGGCAATCAGCTCGCCAATGGAATATCTCCTGAGTTTCCGGGGGAGTGGTTCACACACACCGGCGACACCGTAGATACGTACCTACCTACAGTAGATGCTCCGTCCATCAAAAGACCAATGATACATATAGCTAAGAGGCCCGTAAAGTGTCTGCCGAGCCCTAGTTAGGCCGAGTCACATGCTTAAACGCGGGAGCCAAAGCATCGATTGGGGGCGAGGGAAGCAAGATTTTAGGCAGCACGCCGGGCAATCCACCCAAGGCGCCCCCATCTTTTTCCTCCAAATGGACTCCATCTCAATGTCACTTTATCCGCTTGTATCATTCTTTTACCGCAGCAATGACCTGGCCTCGATGACGCAGAGAGTCTTGGAACCAGTCTTGCTGGTCTCTCATTAATACTGCCCCATCCAGTCCTTTATTTTTGGGACGATAATACTGCATGGACTGGCCCTTTGTGGCATGGTATGTAGGTGTTTCATAGGCTAGAATGGCTCCGAGCCTACAGTACACCAGCGTGACCAGCAACCCCCGCGCCATTTACAGCATGGAACCTGCACTTACTTCGACTGTCCAGGAGTCCCAAAGTGAGCAGTGCTCGGTCAAACAGGCTGTCCGGGAGAAGCCACAAGAGTCTCATCCAGACCATCTGCAAGTGACCCTTTCTGTCCAATGTTGCGTCGTGACGGGTGAGTGTCTAGGTAGTCCTGCCACTCAACCATGACACCTGCTGTCACTCGCCCGAAAGAGCCAGTTCCATTGGAAGGCCGGCAAATTCTGCAGATTGCTGCATCATGGCTGCGCCCCGGAAAAATAAGACCTAGTAGCAGAGGGCCTTGTTGTCATGACAAAGAATCATGAGCAACTAAACTAGCTCGACCTCACTACGTGGCGACAGGTAGTGCAAAAATGCCCCCATGAAGATGCCGGAGAAAAAAGGCTCCTCGGATTATGCGCCCTGCAGACTACCGCAGCGTGGGCAGTTACCCTAGAGCATGCACAATGTCGTCTGCGATTTTCGGGGGTGGCACAAAGGACCGCACAGCGGGTTGCGTGCCTCGCCTTGGGTTCTGGAGCCTCGTTTAGAAAGAACCCATGGTCGATATGCAAGGCGCCACCTGACATCCCCAACTCTCTGGCCAGAGTCGGGCGATAGCATCATCAACCACCGCATAACCGTCACTTTTCGCAGTCACACAATGCATTCTCTATCTGGTGCCAGCACATTGCCTGCCTGTCACCAAATCCCCTCAACCGGTGAGGGGATTACCTGTTCTGGTCGACCGCCGTCAAAAGACCAGGGTTGGGAGTGGGTAGACGGCTACTCGCTGTGGTGGTCGACCTCACAGAAAGAGGCGCATTTTCTCGGTGTGACCTGTCACCTCGCCTCCGACCACCAGCGAGAACTGTCCCAACTTGCAGAGAATGAATCATCCGCCCGCAACTCGCTCAGGAGGGTAAAGCCACCCGACCGTGAGTCAAGTAGCGGTCAGATAAAGTTGCATCGACTCCGATGGACACGACGTGTGCAGCGGCCATTACCCCCTCGGGACTCTTCCATCCTGAATCCAGACCCCCCAGGATCCTGCATGGGCAGATTCCACCCAGGGCCTCTGGCTAGAGATGGAGGCTTGCAAGTGTTTTGTGCATACTTGTAACTCTGCATGCTCGTAGGCAGTATGTGTCACGCTCCCATTCGACCTCTCAGACTCCTCCTTCGTTCTTTTGTCTTACTGCCCACTCCAACAACACCCGGAACGGCTGAGTTTCTGGGATGCTGCTCGCCTGGTCAGCGTTAATCCGCTTGTGCCCAACGTTCTTGCTTCAATGTGATGCAGTTCGACAACCTCAGCAGACTCTAGCACTTTCAACATAACCCACTCCGACCGCGCACTATGTACGGAAAAGCTGAGAATCATAGCATGGTGGGGGAAATGATGACCCACCAAGTGGTTGCCTGCCCGGGAAAAGGACTGGCTTTACCATTCATAAACAGGGCGTCGGTGGCGATCTCTCTGGTAGTCAAGCGGTCACCTGCTTCCTTGCTGCGTGTCTTCCTTTTTTCATGGATCAACTGATGATGGAGCCGTGAGAAGTGGCCGCAGATTGGACACATGGAGACTGCTTCTGACGTCCGAGACATCGCTGCGCCTCGCCACAGTAGAAAGTCTGGCATGAAGACGGAACTCCCGGAGTCGGTAGGAAGCTGAGACGGACATGGTTGTGGAAGACCTCTGGGGTTGCAACTTGGAAAGTGACTCTGTCATGAACTCCTGACGCGGGTCGATCGATGGTGCCTGTGCGAGAGCTGGACCGTCAGGACCTCCTCCGTGGGAGCAATTGGGGAAATTCTTTCTTCCCCTACACGTCGAGATCGCCGGTGTAGCACCTCACCTTTTGAATTCCGTTTATGGTCCGGAGACTTGATTTGATAGTCATCGAGGTTATCAAACTGTCTGGGTCTGTGCAACGCTGGGTCAAAAGGTTGGTTTCTGTGCAGGAACGACCCTTGTCGGACATCGAGTGACAATTGACGTACGCCAACAACAGAATGTCTGTCGTCCAACCTCTTGAGCGCTGGCACATCCGGAATAGCCATATGACCAGATTTTCGATATTTTGGGCAATTAGTTTGTCGCACCACACGTTATTGCACCTGCCACGGCATGCATTTGCCATGTTTTGCGCGGGGGATGAGCTGCCAGGTTAGTAGGACCTGGCAGTGGCCTCTCCAACCACAATGACAGTGTCGAGCATGCTCTTCGAAGTCAGTTCGAGAAACCGACCTTGTCTAAATCTTGACAGCCGTGTTTCTATGCCCCAGGTTCACAAATGGGGCGCCCCTCCAGTGCAAGTAACGTCCACAATGTCCTGTTCCCATTCATTCTCGTGGTCGTTCGAGGGTCCTCGTCCCTGGCAATCAAAATGCTTTGCAAGGATTTCTGAAATGTGTTGTCTCTTCTTGTTGGTGCTCTCTCCCGGATAGAGCCTGTGACTGTGCCTGTTATGTGATCAGCGATTGGCGAATGTAACCGCGGCAGTTTATCTGCCAAGCCGTGGGCAACGCAGCGACGTGATTTGCTGGCGGCCAATCTCGAGATAAGCCCAAACCCAGCGCAGGCCAGGCATAGGTGCTCCCACCCATTCGCCATGCTTTTTCCTCCAACCACCAACGAGCGATTGAGATCCTCAGCGATATGCGAACCCGAACCTTCAACTCTCTGCCAGGCTCCGCCATGGCCATTCACACGCCGCGCGAGGCTGACCTGTACTGCTCGAGTCTCCTTTGCATGCTGGCTCCCTAGTACTGGACAGGGCATTCTCCCCAAGTACTGGCAGAAGATGTCAGTGTCCTTCTCTGGTTCATGACATGCCCTCATCCACCACTTCTCCTCACAGCGCCGGCCAGAAGCGAGCGTATCCCGCCGACGAACCCCTCCTCCAACCGGCACAGGATGTTGCGGTTGCGGCCTCAACCAACTCCCCTCCCCCCCTCTCAGCGGCTTCGGCCACTTCGGCCTTTAGAAATGTCTCGGCCTGCAACCGCTGTCGCATCAGGAAGAATCGTTGCGATCAACGACTCCCGGCGTGCTCCACGTGCGAAAAGGCCAATGTCCGCTGCGTAGGCTACGACCCCATCACGAAGCGGGAGATCCCTCGCAGCTATGTCTACTATCTCGAGACACGATTGGCATATTTCGAACAGCAACTCAAAGCACATGCGATTCCTTACAATGCCGCTGAAGTGTATAACGCAGAGTCCAAAGAGCTGGGTGACCCGGTGCAATCGCCGGGCAGCGCAAAGAGTTCTTGGGTAGGACCGCAATCTCCAAGTAATGGCTCGCCGCGGCCCGTCAAAAGCGAAGACTGGGATAAGAAGCAGGAGGATGCCGACAAGCTCAACAAACTGGTGTCAAACATCGGCATGGTTTCTGTGCAAGGCGCATCTGATGCCCGATACTTGGGCTCTACATCGGGAATATCGTTCGCTCGCGTCGTGCTGGCTGCCGTCAAGAGCTCGGTGTCTTGCAACAACTCAGAGCGTGCTGGTGTCCGACCCAGTCGTCCATTGCCTAATATGGCCGTTTCGGGCGGTAGTTCCATGAGAGATTCCTACTTCGGCCTCCAAACGAAACCTACCATCAAAGAAGCTACGTTCCCAGACCGGCCGCTAGGTGAGAAGCTGGTCAATTTGTACTTTGAGCATGCCAATCCCCAGATCCCCATCCTCCATCGAGGCGAATTCATGGATTTGTTTGACCGCACATACTCGATCGACCCATCGAAGCGAACCAGCCGCGAACTATACTTGCTCAACATTGTGTTTGCAATTGGCGCGGGCATTATCTGGGGTTCATCCGACCCCCAGCCAAACTCTCATCAAGGGGACTCGGCCCATAAACGGGCCAGATTGGCCATGCAACAAGCTCAGCCTGAGGAATATCATGCTTCCGCCATTGTCAATCTCGGGTCATTTTTGGCTGCCAGTTCATCCCTGGAAGCCGCCGAACGTCCCAATGGTGATTTGGAGGAGCTTCAAGCCGTTTTGTTACTGTGTAGTTTTGCCTTGCTGAGGCCTGTGGCACCAGGACTCTGGTATATTGTCGGCGTCGCAATGAGGCTGGCAGTTGATCTCGGTCTGCATTATGAAGATGGTACTGGCATTGACAATAATGTCGAAGGGCACCAGGGTCCACCGACCACGACGGATATGAAGCCCCCAGGGCCGGTTGACGCGAAAGAAAAAGGACGGCGCGAATGGATTCGTGACCTGCGCAGACGCCTTTGGTGGTGCACTTACACCTTCGACCGTCTGGTCAGTACTTGCGTGGGGAGACCCTTTGGAATCACAGACCAGGTCGTAACGACTGAATTTCCCTCCCTGCTCGACGACAGGTTTATTACGAGGGCTGGGTTTTTGCAGCCAGCGTCTCCCGATGAGCCCACATACAAATGGGTTTCCCACCACTATTTCCGCTTGCGCCTGTTGCAGTCTGAGATCCTACAAGTCCTTCAGCATCAGCAAGCCCAACAAGCTCGTCTGAACGGGACTAATCGTCGCAATCAGTTTATGCACACCAAACTCCCATCGCCTTTTCTGAGCAAGTTCGATTCCTTCCGTTCCTGGCGACGAGACATTGACCAGCGTCTATATGAATGGAAAGAGTCAGCGCCGGAGGCGTCCGAGACTGGGGTCAGTTTCTCGGTGCAGTTCTTGGAACTCAATTACTGGCAAGCCGTTATCATGCTGTACAGGCAGAGTCTCAGCGTTCCAGCACCTCTGGCAAATGAGTTTAGCCCGACCGAGGACGTATCGAGCCCTTCCAGTGTCAGACTGGAAGAAAAAGAGGACGAGGATTTGGTGTTTCTGAAATGCGCCGAAGCCGGCCAAAAGACCTTGAAACTTTACCGGCAACTTCACCGTCTGCGCCTCGTCAATTATACCTACCTCGCGACACACCACTTATTCATGGCTGGCATCTCCTTTCTGTATGCTGTTTGGCATTCTCCGGCGGTCAGAGCGCGCCTGGTAAGGCTCTCCTCCATCTCCTTGCGGACTTTTTACGCTAATCGGTCCCTCTTAGACACTAGATGATTTCGACTTCACAGTCCTCGCTGCGACATCTGTGTTGGGCGATCTCATGGAGAAATGCCCCCCAGCAGAAGCCTGCCGCGACGCTTTCGAGCGAATGAGCAAAGCCACGGTCCAAATGTGCATGTCAACACCTGGATTTGGCTTCTCGATGGAACCACGCGGAGAATATCAATCACGACAACAACTCGCCCGACAATCCAGCATGCAGAACCAGTCCACACAATCACAGAATCAACCCATGCCCATGCAGATCGACTCTTACCCTTCCACAACGACCTCGAATGCAACTCGCATCGCTCCGAAACCCATGCCTAAACGACCGCCACCTAAATTCGACATGGACCTCCGTGAGCTGTTTCCCGATGACCTCGAACCAAGTACCCGACCATCTTACTCCTTTCCTCAGCCACTCCAGGGCCTCCAGCAACAGAGATCCCCACAAACCACCATGGCAACCGGATTGTCGCCGCTGCAGCAGCAGCAGTCACAACATTCTCCTCGCCAGCAACAAATGTCCCCAGCCTCCAGCATAAATTCACAAATCAACAACGGGCTCGGCATGGGCACATCCAACAATCCCTTGCTCTTCAACCAAGGCTCCACCCCTCAGCAAAGCCAGACGCAACAGCAGCAGCAACCATTCTACATGCAAAACACGTACAATCCCGACTTCATGTCCAGCCTACCGGGTATGGACTTCCTCAGCAATGCCGTAACCGGAGGTGGCGACGGAGAATTCAACCTGGACGTGGGTGGAGGACTGGATCTGGGCTTTGGCATGACGGGTCTGGATTTCCAACACGACTGGAGCGACGGACAGGGTCAATATGACCTATTCGACGGCTTTTTCTTCGGGAATGGCTACGGGGGAAATGGGAACGGTGGCGGTGGCGGTGGTGGTTCAGGGGGCACGTCAGGCAGTTAATTAATTCCTCCTGCTGTCAGAGTGAAGCCCGCCCCTGCAAAGAGATGTTTTCATGTCGTTCAACTACCTATATAAGCTCAACAAAGACACATTTTGCCCAGAACCCTTTTTTTGAAATCCACGACAATGACGATTTCATTCCTTTTCATTCCTCATCTCCCATCCTTTGCTTTCTGGCCATCAGGGTGTTACGTGCCACCACTCTAATCCCCGACATCTCATCGCAGGCAAGCAGGCAGGCACTGTCTCCTGAGAGGGTCTCTGAGCTAATAACAGACCAGTCAAGCACAGAGGGGTAGAGAGATAGGATGGGACAGACAGGCAGACAGACAGAGAACAGTTCTCCTCGGGAGGCGGTGAGACTTGATCTGATGTACAGTGTAGGTTGAACTGGTCTGGGAAGTCCTTTTTCCTCCCTCCAGCCGGAAAAGCACTTCCTCGAGGAAGAAGGAAGTGTTGTTTGGGCGTGGCGACGTTGATTGCGACGGCGTTCGTGGGACGTTCCTTTTTCCCGTACAAGTCTGACAGCTGGGGCCCTCCTGGCAGTATATGAGGAGGAGGACATATTACATTGCGCGAGGGCGGTGAGACAAGAGTCCAACTGAGCTTGTTGTCCTGTAGTAACCTTCATATCGATTGACGAGGATTTGGAGGAGCAGACTGTCGCCGTGGGTAGCAGCACACGCCTGTCTATCATGAGCACCTGTGCCCCTCATCCAAAGCCTTCGAAGACATCGTCTTCGGTCTTGCTGGCCCTCGTTTGCTGGCGGCGAAGCTTCTCGATCATCCGCGCGGTCTCCGCTTCGTATTGCTTCTCGTCTTCCGTCATCTTTACGATCCTGTCGTGCTGTCGTCTCGCCTCCTTCTTGGACCGTTTGACTTCCTTGGTAGCCTTGCGCTCGAGCTTCTCGGACCATGCCACGGTGCCCTTCTTCCGTTTCTTGGAGTCAGTCTCCTTGCCACGACCTGCGGCAGGGTCATCATCCTTCGGGCCCTCCTCGAGCATTTGCCTCCGGTGCTTCTCCCTCTGCTTGTCCTTGTACGCGTATCGATCCCAATCAACGCTAGGTCCTTGATAAGGCTCCAGCTTGGTGTTCTTGAGCTCGGCGATTTTCGGCATCTTCAATAGACCCCAGGCAGCGGCGTGGTCGTTCCAGTCGATTCCACTCAGGTTGAAAATGGATTTTGCTTCGTGTTTCGAATAACTCCTGACCCAGCTTACGAATGCCCGCTGCCCTTTGTCGTGCAGTGCTCGGTCCGTAAGTACAATCTTTTGGAATCTCTCCTCAGCCAGACGGTAGTCATCCTCCAGGTCGGAGGGAACAGGGTCAGTCAAGGGTTCAATAGGGGTGTGTCGGACCTTCAAAAATTCCACATAGTCTTGTTCATGAGGGAGTAGAAACACAACACTGAGGCCCTTGCGGCCCGCGCGACCTGCTCGGCCACATCGATGCAGGAATACTTTAGAGTCTGACGGGGGGTCGATTTGGACCACCAAATCCACAGAGGGGATATCCAAACCCCTGGCGGCAACGTCGGTCGTCAGGAGGACAGAGGGAGACGCCGAGTCTGTGAAGCGAATGAAATTCTTCTCCCGCACATTTGCCGGATGCTTACCATGCAAAGGCACCAGCACTGCCTCAAGGGGCATGATCGATGGCAGCAAAGCCTGGAAGTAGTCCACCGCGGCACAAGTCGACAAGTACACGATTGTCCGAAGCGGCATTGGATCGAGGTGCTTGAGTAGCGCTGCTAAGAATGGAAATCTTTGAGAAGCTCGAGTCACCGCGTAGGTCATCTTGAGACTTGCAGGAGTGCGCTTGTCTTCCACTCCGTTGGCGCCTTTGACTTTGACTTCGATCTTCACAGGATTTCGCAGGCCCACGCGAATCAATTGATCCAGTGCCTCGCTCACACTGGCACTGAAGAGACCTGTCCTCCGCTCTTTGGGGAGGAGGTTGAGAATTTTGGTCAGCTCGTCTTTGAACCCATGGTCGAGCAATCGGTCGGCCTCGTCGAGCACGAGCACTTCGAACGAGGATTTTGGATAGTGGACATCTTTTGAGGTCATAATATCGACAAGCCGGCCTGGTGTCGCTACCAACACATTCGGGGAGGTCTTGAGGAATCTACTCAAGTCTTGCGCGGGTGTGGTATAGCCACCTACAAGCAGTTGCGGAACCACTTTCAGCGTTGATGGAGGAAAGGATGCTGCTTGATCGGCTGCTTCAGCATCACCCGACGCATCCAAAGGATCAAGGGCCGCTGCGGAGGGAGGGTGGAATCTGAGTAAAGAAACCAGGACATTGTATATTTGTGTGGCCAGCTCTCTGGTAGGAGAAACGATGATGGCCCCGACGTGATGTCTCTTGATCGGCTCTTCCAGTCTTAACAGCTTTTCCATCACTGGTATGAGATACGCCAACGTCTTTCCGCTCCCCGTGACAGCTTCCACTACGACGTCTTTGTAGGCCATGAAGAGGGGGATCGTTGAGGCTTGGACGGGTGTCATGCGGGTGAAGTTCATGGCGGTCACTGCATCGAGGATCCATGGGGACAACGAGGGGTTGAGGGCATCCCAGCCCCTGGGGGACTTTCCTCTCGAAGGTACTGCTCCTCTATCCGGCGCCATGAATAATGTAAAATGTAGACAGGGACAATAGAGTGCGCCGGAGGGGAATGTTCACGGCGCAAGAGAAAACTACACCGGAATTTCTTCGGTACATTTTGTTATATATTTTTTTCTATCCCTATCGATAAGAAAAAATCTTGCCGTTTTTAAAAGCATCTCCTTCACTCTACGCAAAAGACAAAATCTCCTTTTCAATCGCGTCTCCAAAGCTCTTCGTGTTTCCCTTTCCTCCCATATCCGCCGTAATGACACTTTCATCTGCTCGGGAGAGCACATTCTCGACCGCCTTGAGCATTGCAGCAGCAGCCTCCTTGTGGCCGAAATGTTCCAGCATCATCTGACCAGCCCAGATCATGCCCACAGGGTTGGCGATGCCCTTGCCAGCGATGTCAGGCGCGCTTCCGTGTACTGGCTCGAACAGACTTGGGAACTCGCCTGTGGGATTGATATTCCCTGATGGTGCTATGCCGATTGTCCCCGTGCAAGCTGGGCCCAGGTCTGAGAGAATGTCTCCAAAGAGATTGCTGCCAACTATCACATCAAAGATCTGAGGTCGTTGGACAAAATGCGCCGTTAGGATGTCGATGTGATATTTGTCGACATTCACTTCAGGATATGACTTGGCCATGTTCTCGACTCTGGTGTCCCAATAGGGCATTGTAATGCTGATCCCATTACTCTTGGTTGCACTCGTCAAATGCTTCTTCGGCCTGCTCTGGGCCAGCTCGAAAGCGTACTTGAGCACTCTGTCGACCCCGGTCCTGGTCATCACTGTCTCTTGAATGACAGTTTCTCTGTCGGTGCCCTCGAAGATCTTCCCGCCGATACTACTGTATTCGCCCTCCGTGTTCTCTCGGACGATCCAGAAGTCGATGTCTCCCGGTTTGCGCCCCGCCAGCGGACAGCGCACTCCCGGCATTAACCGTGCAGGCCGCAAGTTGATGTACTGATCAAACTCGCGGCGGAACTTCAGCAGGCTACCCCATAAACTAACGTGGTCGGGGACTTGGTCTGGCATGCCTACAGCGCCGAAGTAGAGGGCGTCAAATTTCGATAGCGTGGCATTCCAGTCCGGGGGAAGCATGTCGCCGTGCTTCCGGTAGTATTCACAGCTTGCAAAGTCGAATTCCTCAAATTCGAGTTCCAGGTGGAAAACGTTTGCCGCTGCTTGCAGGCATCGCACGCCATACGGCATGACTTCTGTGCCGATTCCATCTCCGGGAATGACTGCGATTTTCAGTTTCTTTTGTTGAATCATGGCGACAGTTGATTGCTTGTTTACAGGTGTCTGATAGGATAACCTAGCTGCTCGTTGGTGAAGAAACGCCCGTGCGACAGCATATATACCTGGCTAATATCGCTGGCGGGGTAAATTTTACCCGACAATCTTTTGGCCGATGTTGGTTAGCTATTGCGAAATCGGAGTCCCTCACCAGGGAAATCTCGCCGTGCTTGCGTCCATTCAGACGACATCAGTGGTTTCTGGCTCTTTACAACAGGGTTGTTCCGGTCGTGAGCTTTGCTGCGACAACATGGAAGATGCAGCTTGCCACCCTGAGGGCGCTGGCCACCCGCAACAAAAGACTCGGGTTTCATGCAGATTGTCTCACGACAGTAGGTATTCAGTGACCCTGCAAGTGTATCCATGCGATGCCATTTTCTCCCTTGATCAGTCCTACGAAAGGTCATACAAGAGCTCGAAGAGCAAGACTCTCCAGTGCTGCCCTGAACGAGTCGATATAAGCAAGGCTGATACCCCTAGAGCCCCTTTTCTTTGATGCATCATATCTGGCTACCCCCATGATCTCCAACTGTGGGAATAAAGACCTGATACTCGACTTGTTAGGGCTATGTGCTTGTCTTCCATCTCAAAATCTTGCGTTGTGCTCGAGTTTGACCCCGAAATGAAGCAAAGAGGAAGTACAGGACAATGACGGTGAAAGCTCTCGTAGTCTTTTCCAAGGGTGACGGTGTGGCACATCCTGTGGTTCCTTTCCCTTTTTACGGAGGAGAATAAGTTGGATTGCGATGCCGCGTTTGTTCCCTTGACTTGTTGAGTGGAATAGTGGATGCGTTTAGTCACCGAGAGAGTGAGAAGTGAGAATTTTCCAAGCCTACGTTGCGGGGAGTTGCTATTTTCTTTTTGGAACAACAGCTCTGGAAAACAAATAGAGAGAGGGAACGGGATCCAGGACGCCACTGGTAGAGGAGGGCAGTCATTTTTGGTGAACTCATCTGCTTTGGCTCCGTTTGGCTCTTCGCATTCTCCTAGTTGGATAGAGGCAGCGCAGTCAGGGATAGTTTTCTCGGAAGACTGTTTCCTCGTCTGTCCTCAACTTTCGTTGTGGGACTGTCTCGACCAGTTTTGGGGGGGACGATCTCGTGTGTTCCTAACGACAACCTATGATGGCTTGCAACCTTGCCGGGACAGCAATGTCCTGAGAATTGAGTAGCAAGGCAGTACAGAGCCCAGATCAGACCCCAATGCTTCGTTCATCGCCGGTAGTGGGTCTGCAGAATTCACATGCCCAGTTGTCCCACTGACGAGAAACCCGATATCAGCATATGGAAATAGACTGTGGAAATATCAGTTTCGGCAATAGGTATCACCGCCAGACATAGTGTCACCAGGTCTATTCAACACCTCCGCACATTCTCGTCTTCTTCTCCACACTATCTTCCACTGGCCACACGGAGGGCGGGTCGTGGGATGGAGATATGCGATACGGAGAATGCGATCGGATAACCCGGGGGATAACGGTTAGTGTCACGCCTCCATCCAAGGCCCGACGACAATCACACAGCATGGTCGTCGGCCTGGGTTAGGAGCTCTGTTGGCATCTCCCGCGAATTCATACAGTCGATCTACATATACTTGGACATACTCACTGTCCACCCCGACTCCGGCTTCCAAGGCGCGAGTTAAAAGAAAATATTGGTTGAGGAACCGGCCACACTCACAATGTCGGTCGCGACTGATCTTGACATTGTCGAAACGCCATGTCACCGACGATACTTCCACGTTGGCGGCGTCTACGAAGAGGACAAAGGCACGAGCTACGGGGGACAGATCATGCGAGGCCAGACGTACGTCGAATGTTTAACGCCCCTGGGCGGCGCCAAGCGAGAGTATCCTCTGGTCTTCGTCCACGGTGGCGCCCAAAGTGGTCTGGTATGTACATATGGACAGATAACTGGTTGCCAGCCATAAGGGTAGTTTGGGCTGCTGAAATGCGGATGGAGGCTAATGTACCAGGGCTAGAACTGGCTGCACACACCCGACGGTCGAAAAGGGTGGGCTTCTTACTTCCTCGACCACGGGTACACGGTGTACCTGCTCGACACGGCGTCGAGGGGTCGATCCGCGCCGTCTCTTGACCAGAAGCACACCCAGTACCCGACGGGGTTCGTGGAGGACCAGTTCACCGCGACGAAGGTGGCGGCAAAGTGGCCCCAGGCACGGCTGCACACACAATGGCCTGGTGTGAGTTCTAAGTCCAGCACAACACAACGGCAACACTACTCTGCTCCCGAAGACGAAGCATCTATCCTGACTCACTTCTGACTTCGAGACGCGTGTTATCAGACAGGACAACGTGGCGACCCGGTGTTCGACCAATTCTATGCCTCGACCCTGCCGAGCATGACCGACCTGGTGACGTCCCAGCAGGGGCAAAAGGCCGGCATCGTCGCGCTGCTCGACCGCATCGGCCGGCCCAGTATCCTCGTCACGCACTCGCAGGGCGGTCCGGGCGGGTGGCTCGCCGCGGACGCGCGGCCGTCGCTGGTCAAGGCCATCGTCGCCGTCGAGCCGAACGGGCCGCCCTTCTCGGGCACGCATCCGTCGAACGGCGCCCGGGCACGGATGTGGGGTCTGGCCGACATCCCGCTGGAATTTGCGCCGCCGGTCACAGATCCCTCGGAATTACACCTCGTCACCCACCCCTCGACCCAGAACGATCGGTCCCCGGTGATCCTACAGGATGAGGGCGAAGGGCGCGTGGGCCACAAGCTGAAGAATCTCCAGGACATCCCCGTGCTGGTGGAGGTGGGCGAGGCCAGCTACCACGCCGAATTCGACCACGCGACGGTGGCGTTTCTGCGCCAGGCGGGCGTGGCGTGTGACTTCATCCGACTCGAGGAGCTCGGCATCAAAGGCAACGGACACATGCAGATGCTGGAGTTGAACAACCTGGCCATTGCACAAGTGTTGCAAAAGTGGATAGAAGACAAGGTCTCCCACGACGTGGGCCAGACTTCCCTATAGACGAGGAGGAGTCGATTGGGGATATAAATATATACACATATATATGTTTGTATATGTCCATATTGGCACAGGAATGTATGGACCAAAATGCTCTTGGCATGGTGATTCTCAGATCCCTTCGCTTGACATCTATCGACTCCTCCAGCGGGTGCCTGCGAGACGCCACCATGGCTTCCGAAGATCCCTTTGAGAAATCTAAAGCCGATGCTCCTAAAACTTCCGATCACGAAGTATATTCAGTGTTTGGCGCCCGCGTCCGGCGCGTTGTGACCATCATCCTCGGCGCCGCCACCCTCGCCTCTCCCTTGACCGCCACCAGTTACTTACCACTCCTCCCTCTTCTCTCGGCCCATTTCCACGTCTCCCTCCAGCAGATCAATCTGACTATAACGGTATACATAATCTTCCAGGCGGTGGCCCCGCTGCTTATCTCGACGTTTTCCGACACGTTGGGTCGGCGACCGCTGTTTCTGGCGTCTTTTGCCATCTTCGCCCTCGCCTCGCTGGGGCTGGCGCTCAATCGCTCCAGTTATGCGGGGCTGCTCGTGCTTCTCGCAATGCAGAGCCTCGGATCCAGCGCCGTGCTCAGCATCTGCTACGGCACCGTGACGGACATGTGCATGCCCAGCGAACGGGGCAAGATGCTCGGTCCGGTGATGACGGCGGGGAATCTGGGCACCGCCATCGGCCCTCTCGTGGGTGGCTGGATCGCACTGGGATCCGGTAGTGCGTGGTGGGCGTTTTGGGTATTGTTGATCTTTGCCGTCGTCATGCTTGCGGCCCTCGCTGCGTTGCTACCGGAGACGGCAAGGAACGTCGTAGGCAATGGACAGGTCAAGGACAAGGCGTGGAATCGGCCGCTGATCGACCTCCACAAAAGGTGGGATCCGGAATCGGGCTCTGGGAGCAACAACCACGCAGGCGGGCTGCCGACGAGAAGCTTGAAGTTTCGCAGTCCGCTAACGTCGATCCGGATCATGGTCTATCCCGACACCGCACTCATCCTGTGGATTGTCGGCACGTTCTACGCCTTGTGGTACACGGTCCAGTCGTCGATCCCGTCCACATATGGCCGACATCCATACAACTTTGACGAGCTGCAGATTGGCCTCGCATATCTCCCTGGCTCGGCTGGGGTCATTGTCTGCATGTATATCACCGGCAAGGCCATGGACTATAACTACCGACTCGTGGCGAGGCGGACTGGCTTCGAGGTGGACAGGGTCAAGGGAGACGATCTTGCCCAGTTCCCCATCGAGAGAGCCAGAGGCAGAGGGTGTATCTGGCTCCTACTTACGAGTCTGGGGGTCACTGTCGGGTACGGCTGGGCCATCGAAGAACGTGTCCACGCGGCCGTCCCATTGCTGTTGCAATCTGCCATGGGGTTCCTGGTGACGTGGATTGTCAACTGCTTCAATGCTCTTCTTGTGGACGGATACCCGAAGATGCCCAGCACTGCTGCAACAGCCGGCAACCTGGCTCGGTGCGCGATGAGCGCGGGTGCCGTGGCAGCCATGCAGCCACTATTCGATGCTATAGGGCGAGGATGGTTCTTCACTCTGGTCGGCACCTTGACCGGGGTCGGTGGAACAGCAGCGCTTTGGACATTGAATAGTAAAGCTATGGTTTGGAGAGGCAGAAGGAATCGAACGGACGAACAAGTGACGACGATCCATGTCAGTCCGCGGGCGGACGCAGGAGGGTCCTTGAACAAGCCTCCGACCTCGATAGAATTGAGGCAGTTGAAAACGACACAAGACTCAATTTTGGACTATCACCGTTTCCACGCAGCTACCTGTCGGGTAGTGACACTGCTCTAGACGCAGGATCGGTCGGGCTAGTGATGGCTGGTCGGGTAATAGTGGGATGTTTTGCCCTGGCCCGCGACTGCCCATGCTCGAAATACTCCAAGCCCCGTTTGATCACGGCGAGTTCGTCCTGCTTCACGAAAAGGATGGTTCCATTCCGAAGGACTTCGATCTGCAGGGTCTTCGCGGCAATGAGCCAATCTCCTGGGATGAAGAAGTGACGGTCATAATACTCCTCGTAGAAGTTGTGGGAATCTGCCGAGCATATCCATCCATCGACGTGCAAAAATACGACCCGTCGGTTGTGGATCCCGACCAAGTATTGGACTTGATCGGCGAGAGGCTGGAAATGCTCAATCGGTGCCATCAGTCCATTGCCGGGTGTGATATCCTCCGCATTCCAAAACACGAGCCTGGACCGTGCGTGTGGCCCTGATGTGTCCGAAAATGTCGTGGCAAGGTATTTTTCATCAAACACGGGACGCGACCCCTTGATCAAGAGCTCAAGACCGTCCAACTCTGGGAATCGGGTGCCACTATCACCAGTCAGCCTCTCCAGAGAGTCCCATTCGTACAGGTGAGCTTCTGTTCCAGTCATCAATATCAGTTGATCGCTCCTCGAGGGATGCATACCCCAGCGGCGAGGTTTCCCATCATCTTCCCAGTTCAGCCATACCACCTCTTGACATTGCGCCGGCGTCACCTCCCATAAGATATCGTATTCGACCGTTGATATGAGGAGCCGGCTTCCTCCCGTGTTGGGCAGAATCTGTTTCACCTCAACTCCTGTACGGTGATCAAGATACTGATCTCCTAGTGTCCATAGGTCTCCTGTGCGCACCAGTTTGTGCACCGTGACTCTATTCACCATATCGCAACAGAATAAGATGCTGCTCTGAACGTCGTATTGGAGATAAAGAATGCTCGCGTGTCGGTGGAAAAGCTCCTCGCGCTCCAATCCTGTCTGTGAGTCGTAGAGATATACGCCTCCATCCTCTTTTCCGCAGAGGATGAGGCCACCATTATCGGCACAAGTCATAGCGCTGATCAACACGACATCAGACTCACCGTCCAGCCTAATATCGACAGGATCAATATAGACTTGTCCATCAATCCTTTGATGAAGCAATACGGGCGGATCCCATATGCGACAATGGTTGCCCTGAATGTCCAACAAGCGATGGCCGTCGGCACTAAAGGCCAGTTGTTTGATAATCGACTCTTTGGTTTGAATCCTGTAAAGTAAGTTCAGCGTGCTGAATTCGAAAATGCAGATAACGCCTGCAGAGTTTCCACAAGCAAGAGTCAATCCGTCGGCTGAAGACGTTAGATAATGTCCATTGGCCACTACTTTAGCTTGTACGGTGCCTTCGGCGATATTGAAGAGGTTGAGCTCGCCATCGTTGTAACTTGCAACGAGCAGTTGCGCTTCAGGAGCCCGACTGAATATCATGCTCTGGACTGGACTGATTCCGATACGTTTGTCGGCGGTAGCGCCAAGGGAACCTTCGTCTTTCCCATAGACGTCATAGACACAGGCATTCTCAATATCCCATAGGACTATGTCTTGTCCTCGATACGTAAAAGCCAAGAGAGTCCGATCGCCTGAAATTGCTGTTGTATACGGCCGCAGGAAATGACTTGCACCCTCTTGTTCGTTCTCGTTGAGCCACGAGATAGGTTCTCTTGCGTGCCCTTTTGCGATTTCCCACATGACGATCTCATTCGAACGGTATGTGACGAGCAAGAGCTGGTCTTCGTCGGCAAGGCCCAAAGAGATGAACTGATTGTGTAGCTCGAAAGTCCAGAGCAATTTCCAAGTTACAGAATTCCAAATGCAGATATGCTTCAAGCCTGCAGAGACAAGTAGGTTTCCAGTATCTCCAAACAGTAATTTCTTCACCCATCCCCCGTGATTGACGGTTTTCAGCTCTTGGCATGTCGTTGCGTCGAAGATGGCAATGTCCCCGTTCCGCATGCCGACAGCAAATGCTGTGGTGCCGCAGGCCACTGCTGTTGGACTCGCACGGAGGCTGATCGTCGACATGCAATAGCCCCATGTCTGCTCAGAAAGACCACTCACTCTTATGGACCTCGTGGAAGAACCATGTTGGATCCTCATTGCACTGTCCATTGGACAAAACGGGGCGAGAAGGTTGAATACAACAGAAGGAGACGAATGTAGCTTCGTGCCGAATCTAGTGACAAGGCGGATTATATCAGTAGCCCAGGTATCAATCAGGTCGATTTCTTCTCCACGGTTTCCGGTCGATGGCGTTTGGGTCGCCCTTCGTTTCGTGAATTGGTGAAGGGCGATTCCAGTCTGGACTAATGGTCTCAGATCAGATCCGCGAGCGATGTATTCTATCCACGATAGTACGTTTGGTGTTTTCAAGAAACAAACGAGACTCGCTGCGAACTCATCGTCATCGGAGGCAATGGAGGGCAGGTGTTGGCATAGGGCATCGCAAGCATAAGCAACGAAAGGACACCGCTCCAGAGCGATTCGTGTAGCACTGAGTTTGTTTTGTTTCGGCACGCCCATTTCTGGTCCGCAGAGGTACTTCAGACTCACCATCGCCAATCGCTTATGGCCAGTCTTCTGGTCGAGCCTAGCCACGGATATGTTCTCGTCAGAAAAGAGAAAGTCCCGCGCTGTCAAATGAATCATGCGGACTCGGTCGTCGAGATCTACGACGACGAGCTGACCACAATTGTTCTCAATGAACATTTTCACATCATCGTCAATTTCTTCCTCCATGTCCAGTCTCAATGCGTGGTAAAGTTCGGTGGTGGTAAGTGGTCGTGAAGCACAAGCAGTCCAATTCAATATCGCCCTGATCATTCGTTTCTCTCGTGCCCGTGAGAAGATCGAGTCCAGGATGCGGTGGTACAGTTGAGACATGTCAGAAGGTACCTCTTCAAGGATTTGCTGTATACCAGTCCGTGTCGAAACCCTTCTGAGCTCTTGAAGAACTAGTCTCGCCCATAAGAAGCAGCCCGAAGCTTTCGTCAAAACCAAGCCCGCAGTAAGACCACGATCGGGACCAGGCAGCCTGTTGATATTTACTTTCAGGTACTGCCCGATGTCAACGTCAATCGTCTCCTGTGACACGACATCGGTATGCACCATGACAGAAGATGTGAGGGGCAGTCCATACGAATAAAACGAGCTCCGAGAAGTCAGGAAGATGCGAATGAAGCCAGTATTGGCGGCTTGAAAGAGGTATGGGATCAATTCGTTGTCGGCCTTGCATTCGTCCAGAGCATCAACAACCCAATACTGTGGCTGTGAGGGCGGGTGTTTGAAAATGCATTCCAAGAAGAGCTTCCGCCACATAGTCGTATGGTCTGCCTGAGCCAAATGCGGATCCTTCTTGCATGTCTTGGAAAGAGACTCCAAAAGTGCGGTGTTGGCTGACGCCATCTGCCATGCCATACATCGGAAGAAGATGGTTATCGTCGACTTTGCCTTGTCTCCATGGTTGAAAAAGAAGAACTCGCATATTTTGTTGGCCTCTCTCAGAGACTTGACGACGTAACCCGACAGAACCGACTTCCCTGCTCCAGGTTTTGAAGTCAACCAGTATAACTTAGGCTGGCCTTCATTCCTCCATGTCTGAAATTCAGGGCGTGAGTTGATCCACTCGCATGTGCCGGGTACTCGCAGGGTATCGACACGCAGGTAGTCGTCTTCCGGTGAGTTGGATATGTCAAGGCTATCATCGATCAATTGCCGCTGCTCAAGACTGATGGAGTTGCTGCTGAGATCCATGACCGGTCCAAAGCCGCTCAGTGCTTCTGCAAGTGCGTTCCTCACAGCTCGATAGTTCGCTTAATGCGGACTACCAAACTTACAGATGTCTCTGTGATCGGCTTTCAAGTACATCGACCGTTCGTTCGAGTAGCCCAGGATTGCCGACTCCCTCGGGACGACCATCTTCTTGTGAAACCCGATAGTCATAGGTAACGTCTCCCAGAATGACCAAAGGTTCAAATCTTTGCTGTAATCCGGAAATTCATCATTGATTGCTTGGATTGCTGCCGAATTGGGCCGAAGGTCGTTTACAAAGGGTCTGCTCCCAGAGACAAGGAGGATCCTTGACAGCAACCCAGCTAGATCTGAGCCCCGATGCGGTGTAGCGAGGAAGAATACACTGCGTAAGCGTCGGGAGAATTTTTGATATCTTTCGTTGCGTCTCGAAAGGATATAAGCCTGCTTCGCAACCAAGCCGCCCATGCTGTGGCAGAGAAGAATAAGAGGCGCATCAGCCGCATTGGGAATTTCGGGACTGTTGGTAACCCACTCAAGAAGCGACAAGGCAAAGTCCTGTATGTTCAGGATGCTTGCATTACTCCAGTTTGAGTCATAACCGAACATATGGACGCCGACATCTTTGAAGGCTGGATCTTGCGGCAACCACTGGGGCCAGAAAAGAGCTGGGTCTTGCTTCCTGGTCCACGTTTTCCGAGAGCCTCCAGCCAGTCCGTGGACAAAGATGAGATCAGCGGTAGTTTGATTTGTGGGTTTGTATACGGTATTGAGTCCCAAAGGCCCTCTCCAGTCGTCAATTTCGGATCTCTTATCCATTTTGGCGACGAGGGAGATGAGCAGCCATGGAGGATGGATGAAACAGAAGCAGGCGACTGAAAAGGCTGCTGAGGCACGAAGAGAAGGTGCTAGGCACCTCCTCTGTGATTGCCATGAGAACGTCAAATGATTGAACAAGCAGAGTTGCCGCCTGCAGTCGTCCGGGATCGAACATCTGTAGGCCCAGAGTGGAGAGTATTATCAGGAACGGCGGCTAAGCATCACTAGCAGCAGATGCCAATTGGGGGTTAGTTGAAGGCCTTGCCTAACGGTAGTCCCCATGGATAACACAGACAAGAAGCAGTCACTGCCTGGTCAAGACAGGGAAATGTTCTTATGGATTCCATTCCCTCTCTGCTCCACAGGATCATCGGCGCACAAGGCAGATCCATCCTGACGGCTTCATGCCCTAAGCCTTTCACTGCCCTCTGCCAGACGCCACGTATCTGCCCTTCCTCATTACATCACCCACCTGCTTCAGATGGATGCCGAGATGCCATTGGGAGTAGCAGTTCATGATATCGGGTCCTTTGAAGCCAAAGGCCCGGCGCCGCGACAAGCAATTCATTGACGACGGCTATGTATTATCCGCGCACAAAGCAGCGAGTATTCAGGTCCGGAGAGGTGAGGATGGCTCAGTTTGAGGCTATCGGTTGTTGTATATTCTACCCTTTCTGGCACATGCCAAAGCATAAAGAGGTAGGCGGACCATTGTTGACATGACAACTCCACAAATGTCAAGCACGGACCAATTGGCTTGGTGGTTTACACAGGAAGCTTCTTCCCAGATATGTTCTCACCACGATCAGTTATCTGTTCGTTCCCCTCCAGCCACAAGGTCGACTTCGAAGACGGTAGTATTATGGCAGACTGCAGTCTCGAAGGTGGCACCGACCTGCCTGGAAGAAATGGATCGACATTCATTTCAAGAGCACGCAGTATTGTGGCTGGACTGAAGGACCCGTCCCTGGAAAGTTATATTCAATATGTCGATTCTAACGTAGCTGCTTGTGAGTACCTTGACTCTCCCATCGCTCGCACTTGTCTTGACTTTGAAGACTTCCCCTTAGGATCGAAGGTCAAGGGGATATTTGCTCATGGATCGGCTTCTTGGACGAGGACGGCAGCGATTCAAACGGTGCAAGTGGATGGCACCATCCTGGAATTCTTTCTGAAAGTAAAGTGCACTGGCCGCTGAAATCTCTCCCTCTAACGGCACAAGTACAGGTTACTAGAACCACAGTCGGGAAGACCACTCTCCAAGGAGAATATGTATCGACGTGGGCAATCTCACGAGCGGCTCCAGACCTCGTTCAGACTCCAATTGCCGTCGGAACATACGCGACCGACAACAATATCCACTTCCTCCTCTCCAGATTTGTCAACATGACTGGCAAGGTGCCCGATCCGAGGTCGTTGCCCATGAAGATTGCCGAAATGCATTTCAAGGGAGCGTCGCCGACTGGTAAATATGGATTCCCGGTGCCCACGAGTATGGGTGCTTGCATCCAGCAGAATAAGTGGACAAGCTCCTGGGAGAGATGCTTCACGGAGTTGATGAATACCATGTTCGAGTTTGAACAAGATGTGCATGGAAACCATGAGGAGATGCAGCAACTTCATCACATCATCCTCGAGAAGGTGATCCCTAGACTCCTACGACCGATGGAAACAGGAGGTAGAGATATCGAACCCAGGATAGTGCATGGAGACTTGTGGGACGGCAATACGTCTGTTGAAGCGACAACTGGAAACCCAGTCATCTTTGATGCTAGTAGCATATATGCCCACAACGAGTGTAAGGCACCCATGCGACATTAAGGCTATGTTGCTGATAACTGTAGATGAATTAGGACCGTGGGATTTATCTCGTCATCGACTGGATCGCTCCTATATCCAAGAATATCGGAAGCACTTCGAACCCTCACGGCCAGAAGAGGATTTCGAGGATCGCTTGATCCTCTACCGACTGCGGTTCAACTTGACTTCATCTGCTTGCCATCTGGACCACGTGCATTACAGAAAGCTGTAGGTAACGTCCATCCGTTGTGTACATCCTTCCGCTGACAGCCATGGAAGTGCAGTCGGAGATATGCGTTACCTGACGGCAAAGTACACGGACGGTTATCAAGGACCAGAGCAGAGGAAGCCAGAGGAAGACCAGACTCTGCCATCCCATGCTGGTGAGAAGAATGGCGATTTGCTCATCGTCGATACTGAGCCTCAGGGCGAACTCCATGGTCTGGTGGTCGAACAAAGGTTCGAGGATAAAACAGAATTCCCTGGTTGACCGTTGATCTCAGGCGTGAGGATAGACTCCTTGTTCCTGAAACAGCTTGTCGCGACTGCATTTGAATGAGGTATACAGAGCAGAACGGGCCTCTCAAATCTTGTCTCCAATCCGAAACCACCCTGAGCGTTCTTCCTCTTGGACCACGACCAAAAAAACAAAAACAATCAACAATCAGGATTCCCACCTGGTCACCCACGGTAGTACTAACTAATCGGCATTTGGCTTAAGTACGGCTGAGCAAACGGGAAGCCCTGTTTTCCAAATCCTATGGTCGATTGCGTAAGACTTTTGAATACTGGAAGATATAAGCATTCTCCAAAACCAGAGACTGAGACTTGATATGGTAAAACCGGCCACTTTGTGGCCATCAGTATTTATTAGGGTGCCTGTCGCGGTATGATGTCCTCCGTAATCTTGAGTCAGGTGGATAGAGATGCCTAGTACTAGTGGATGTTGAATTGACAGTAGCGCAGTTCCGGGGTGATGAAATTGACAACTGCGGTTCATATGTCCAACCTTTTCCGCTGAGGCATTAATGAGATGAGTCGATATACCATACTAAAGCCCAAAGGAGTATTTAGTGATTAGCTCGAGCTACCTGATAAGCGAGCCTACGAGAACTGCGTAGGCAGCCCGTGCCGAGTAATCGCAGTTTCGGCAGTGGCTCATTAGGCTAGAGGGCGCCTAGGAGCCACGAGGGGCATGCAAAGTGGTGTGGCTAGTGGGCTTATGCACCGTTCACAACTCCAATCACCCAAATAATAAGTGGCTTTTGCATGTGCCTGTCACGTTCCCCTTCCAACAGCCAGTTTTCTTTATCCCAAATTCAGGGCACAAGATCTCCCTCCATGCGCGAGGTCCTCCCGCGTCATCGCTGAATTGCTTGAAAATAAAGACCAGGTTGTCGATATCGTGCAACGCAAGCCCTCCCTTACCTTTCGTCACTATGCGGCCAATTTGATCGTCTTGCTCGACTCTGCCCTTCATCTCCTCTCTCCCCTCTCAAGTAGTTGCGGGTGCGCAGGCTGTAAGAAATTTCCAATCTCACATCTGCTGCCCACCAACACCCCCTTCCACCACCTTCGAACATCGTCGGTCCGTCTGAAATCCTCCAGATGTCCTACCAATATCCTATCCCTCCCACTCCGAGAGTCATCTCGCCCTCCCCCACCCCTTCCGAGTCCTCCGAGCGCCAGGACTCCTATTTCGCGCCTGTCACACGATCGGCCGCGAAGGCCCAGCGCCAACGGTCCCCTCAACCAGATCCCATAAATGAAGAGAAGGATGGCTCTGGGTCAGACTCGAGCTTGGAGAAACGGGCCCGGGCGCGCTCGAGGAGTCCTGTCTTGACCACCACCCACATGAACGGCTCGGCCAATGCCAGCAAGAGGAGACGGCCCAGTGGCCTTACTTCGATAAAACCTGTCGCTAAATCAGAGCCTCTCACAAACGGCACGATCCCATACCCGCAGTCAAATGGTCACCTTTCGCCCTACGACCGGGTCAAGAAATCCTGGCGAGAATTCTCTCGCTCTCCCTCACCGCTCGGCTTGATTCCGCTCCACCGCCATTATCGCACTTTGATCCACAAGCATGAAATCCCCCGGAAGGTCCTCCACGTCTCGATCGGGTTCTTCACCCTACGTTTATACGTGACAGGTGTGCAGACCTGGGCCATAACACCATGGCTGCTAGGCGCACTTGCCATTATTGGCCCGACCGACGTCCTGCGACACCACTCAGAACGATTTAATAGATTCTACATCTCCGTGCTGGGCGCTCTGATGCGTGAGACCGAGGTGGATGGATACAACGGCGTTATTTGGTACTTGGTTGGCGCATACGTCGCACTGCAATTCTATCCCAAGGATATCGGCGTCATGTCGATCCTTCTCCTCTCCTGGTGTGATACTGCGGCCAGCACCTTTGGTCGATTGTATGGACGTTATACGATCCGTCTGCGAAAAGGCAAGTCTCTGGCAGGCTCCCTCGCCGCTTTTCTCACGGGTGTCCTCGTGGCTCTCTTCTTCTGGGGTTACCTGGCGCCGAGAACGGGTCCGTTCGCCGACGACCCCATTGATCCTTATATGTTCCAAAACCGCCTGACGCTCCCCGCTCAGGTGAAGGAGCTTCTAGGCTGGGAGCCGAACCAGGGAGTCATTGTCGGGGACGCTGCTCTCGCAGTTATGAGTATTTGCACTGGGCTCATTGCCAGCCTTTCCGAGTTTATAGATCTGTGGGGCTGGGATGACAACTTGACGATTCCGCTCCTCAGCAGTGCAGGACTTTGGTTGTTTTTGAGCGCTTTCGGTTAATCCAGTTTTCAAGCCGCGCGGGACAGTGGCGCATGGATAGGAGAATTTCTCTTCTCAAGGCGATTCTTATCGACCGATGGGAAGAAAGTTAATTGAATATAATGACGACCTCACGCAAACCTTCTGCTCTCTGACTGCTAGACGAAGCCGACCGCCTGTCCATTTCGTCCTATGGTCGCGTCCTGGACGCTTTGGTGCCTAAGAGTCATAGGCTCCAGGCATTTTCAGACCGTGTTTCCCGCATGCTCTGCTCAGAGCTTCCTGAGACAGACCACAGAGCATATCAGATATTCACACCCAGGTAATTGTTCCTAGCCTGGGACCAAAATACAGGAACCCAGGCTGGCTGAGGACCAGACTAGGATCTACGAATGACACGCCATATTACGACAGAGTCCCGCAGACTGCCCCGTCAAGTTCCAACAGCTATTGGACGAATCAACGCCCGTGTCAATGGGGTTCAACAGGCTACGGCTGCTGGTAGTTGGTGGTCCTCCAGTAAATACCCGGAGGAGCGTAATAGAAGATACGACCACTGTCTCGCTATATTCACCCACTACTGCACCAAAGTATCATTCGTACGAGAGCCAAGGATCGGGAAAGATCTACAGGAGCCCGCAGTACAACCTCATCCAATACACCAGATCATCCCTCTGCTTGTGGTCTTTTGTATATCACAACGACGGGACGCTTGGCGGATTGTCTCCACCAACGAGGCTGAACCCCTTTGCTTTAAATTTAAAGCAAGCCATCATTCAGAAACGGGTCATAGAGTGGAAGCTTGTTCTGCTATCCTAGTCCTTTTGTGACGATCAATCTTTCACGACGGGAACATGATGACCTCGGATATCTTCTTTTCGACAAACTCTGGCTGGCGATCTTTGGAGAATGCACCGCCTCGGGATTGGTCTTCGCTCGCACTCTTCCCCCGCAACATCAGCGACCCCGAGTTTGTGGAGACCGAAGGCGACAAGCCGCCATAAATGAATTCCTTTTAGGAACGGTATCCTCCAATGCTATTTGCTTTGACGTGAGTTTTATCGACACAGACAAAGGACGGGAGGATTTCATCCTTCTCTGCCCGTTTCTGCTTGACGAACCCTGTACACTGTTGTGGCCAACATGGCGATCAGCGCCTCGATCGCACTGAGGGTGGTTGGAAACCACGCCAGACCTCGACATGTCTCCCGAATTCTCGTAAATCCAACCGGGTCTTCACTTTTACACATGAATACAACTCGCAGCATCTCAACCTCCCGGACAACCCCAGCCGCCGTCGCGGCCCAGCACATCACCACGCCGAAAGACCCGCCCAATTTCTCCCCGGAGTTCACGTACGGTGCGTACCAGGAGACCGGCACGCGACCGGTCAAGCGCATCCGATACCCGAAGTTCCAGTCGCTGGAGAGCGAGCGGGCGTTTCGCAAGCTGCACCACGCCGTGGCGCTACGGTGGCTGGGCTACCAGGGGTACAACAACGAGGGCGCGGGCGGCCATGTCACGGTGCGCGACCCTGTGCTGCCCGACCACTTCTGGATCAACCCGCACGGCAAGTCGTTCTCGCACATGACCCCCGACGATCTCGTCTTGATGAACCCCCACGGCGAGGTCGTAGAGGGCGGCAACATGCACAGCGTCAATCCCGCTGGCTGGGTCATCCACAGCGCCGTCCATGAGGCTAGACCCGATGTTGTCGCCGCCGTCCACTGCCACAGTGTGCCCAGCAAGGCCTTTTCGGCGTTGGGGTGTTATATCGAGCCCATTAACCAGGACGCTTGCCGGTAAGTGTCAATCTCAGCTGGCGGATAGAGCACGAGGAGAGGAGACCAAGAAGGGTCGATACACAGGGAGTGGGAACGACTGGAATCGACCTGTTTTTCTTTTGTATATCCTTCCGATCTGCCCGAAATAAGACGAACGACCGACCAGTCAAGAAATGCTAACGTCGACTTTTAACGTTAGGTTCTACCAAGACCACGGCCTCTACTCTGGCTTCGGTGGGATCGCCTTCGTGAGTTCCCCCTACCATTATCCCGGCCTCCCTTAAAAGAAACCCATTTATCCACCCATCCATTCATGTATCTATACTCCCCTCCTACCCCCTGAATAGTCCCCACGGCTAACCAGTCATCACCCTTTTCCTGAGCAGAAAGCCGACGAGGGCCACCACATCGCCGCGGCGCTGGGCAACACCAAGGGCGTGATCCTGCAGAACCACGGCCACCTGACGGTGGGCAAGACGGTCGACGGCGCCGCGTTCCTCTTCGGCGCCATGGACCGCTGCATCCAGGCCCAGCTGCTCGCCGACGCCGCCTGCGCGGGCCGCGGCACCACCACCATCAAGGTCGCCCACGAGGAGGCCGAGTACTCGCGCAACGTGTACAATGACGAGATGGTCTACATCATGTTTCAGTCTGCGTAAGTCTCGCCGATCCACACACATTCTGTCTCGTCTCTCTCGTTACTCTCTTCGTTTTCCGAGGAGCAATGTGCTGGCTTCACATTCGATGCACTGGGGATGCATTGAATGAATTATTTGAATGCTTTGAATGCTTTGGAATGCTCTTCCTTTCCAAGGAAGGAAGCCCTGTTCTCAAAGGCAAAGTTGCTGATAATTGTGGATTGTAGCTTTGAAGACGTCATCCGAGCGTCGAATGGCGAACTACCCATGCATGTACAGGGGGAACTCCCTCGGGAGTAGTGATTGATGTTCAATAAAGATATTTGTGGGTTGGGAGGAGGTCGCATAGTCTCTGGACGGAAAAAAGAGATCAGTGCCCGGGGCAAATGAGGCACTTGCCCCTCCTGGACTCTGATTGGGATATCGAGTTAGTCGAGCTATACACCGAGAATGCGTCTACATGAGACACGGAGCCCCTGCGCACTCGTCTTTGCGTAAAGTGCTGTGAAGACTGTCGTACGACTTGGGGAGGAAGATAAGAAAGATATATATGTGCGGGTGGATAAAGGGTTATTTTATAGCTGCGCAATCTACAGATTTTCCAAGGGCAATGCAGCGCCGACGAAGCCCCTTTGCCGAGAAATATTGAGACAATGTCGTCAGCATCCTGAACTCGTAGATCGAGCTCGAAAATCGATTGCTGGCTCTTGTCCAGTCAACCACAGTGGTTGTAAACCGCTCGTGGTGGGTGTGCCGCCATCGTTGAGGCCACATTTGTCGCAAGCACGCTCCAATTCCCGTCAAAGAGCGCCGCGGCGTCGGGACTTGTTGATACCGTTATGGGACCCAGATCAGACGGGTTGAAGATAGTGTCTGCTTGCCCAGTCAGAGGCGGAAGAGACGTAGTCGCGCGACGTGGGGAGTCCACCGTGTTTGCAGAGGCACGGGGATAGAGGCAGCAGTCGGTCCCCTTAGCACCTTTCACGACGGTGATTTCGCCAAAGCAGGGAACAGTGATCTTGACTTGGCACTCTTCTCCCTGGAGATCAGCCTCGGGCTGAGGGAATGGGGTGAGTCGTCCGTCCATATCGTCCTTCGCACCTACTATCAGGTCCAGAACCGCCACAGCCTGCTGAGCCACGGTACTCTTGCGGTGGTCCGTAGATGCTCGTCGAAGGATGTCCGTGACCTCGACGACGGATTTCCAATCACGTTCATCTTGTCCCTCGACAGCGTATTCCCTGCTCGGTTCTTCATTGCTTTCGGTCTTCTGGCCCACTAAGTGCAAGACCAGCAACACGGACATTGTAAAGGCTTGGAAATCGAGCATCGCGCACAAGTATGAGTCGATCCGCAGGCCGACGCGGAGGTATTTATAAGCGATCAGGGCTTGACGCGATGCGCTCGTAGAGACTCCGTACGAAAACTGGAATATGCCCTTATCTCGTTTGCCGATGCATTTCAGCATCAGTGGGAGATGGAGCAGTGCTCGAATGAAATGCATGAGGAAGTATGCTTCAACTCGCTCCAAGGCTTCCGGTATTTGTGGGTTCGAGGGGCTTGAATCAGCGTCCCAGCGGAGAGTGTCGACGTTGTCCATGACCTGTTTCAGCTCTTGATCGATTTTCAGAGTCCGAAGCAAGGAATGGTGGTCGTCCAGTTGCTCTTGGTTTCGGTCAATGATCCGGCCAATGATGGAGCTCATGGCGGCGTAGAAAAACGTCGCCTGTTGCGGGTTGGGCTGCGGGGATTCTATGCCCTCTTTTAGCGATACCAGGGGTGAATGGCGCACGCCATAGGGAAACCCAAGAAGTAAGCTCAAGTATCGATCCAAGAAACAGATAGCTTCCCATAATGCTATTTGTCGATGATGGGGATGATCTGACGGTATCGGGTTTTGATAGACAGAGGGGAGTCGGTCAAGACCTATGCTGATGGCATATTCGATTGCTCGCCGGCATAAGTGCCAGGCTTTCCGCAGTCCGCCTTGGTTACAGTAATATCTTGACAAGAGTACCAAGCATTCTATACCGGGCAAGGTTGTGGCAACATCCTCCTGGAAGACCACTGCTCTGTCAATAGCAGGTAGGACCCGAGACTCCAAAGTAGCTACTGCTGTAGGGTCGCGAAAAGTACCATCGTGAAATATCTCATCGTTCAGTCGCTCAGCACTTATAACTGTCCAGAGGAAGACTTTGGCGGTCGCGGCAGGATTGGCAAGACTTAATTCATGGTTGAGCACAGACCTCCACTCTCCAGCGGTCGTCGCTTCGCGGTCGAATAGCTCTGGAAATCTGTGAGGTGACGAGCTCCACCAGTCCTTGCTCAGTTCGATCAATGTGTTGAGATCAGGTTCACGTGGCAAGAGTGTCAGGAGCTCAAACCGAGCAGGATGGAAACCTGACGGTTCTGTACTGGCCGCTGACTCGACGGGAGAAGGATTCGCCGCATGGGATGTCCGTGTGATAACGCCGTTGTTGAGTAGACTAAGGATAGGGTTCGACCGGAAACGACCGTTGGTAGATGTAGGTGCTTGTTCGTCTGGCGTTGGGTCTGTCATTCCTAATCAATCAGTATTTCTTAGTGTTTAAGTACAAGATATGCCCAAGTTACCGGTATCCGCAGTTCTGCCGCCGTGTAAATTGCGATTTCTCTCAGATATCGAGGACTTGGTAGTAGATTCATTCCTCAGATAGGCTTCGACGAAGTCTTCTAAACGAGCAACTCGTTCCCGTAGACTATATTTAGCTTCGTCGGCCTTGCCATCTGCGTTGGTCGAAGTGACACTGATAGCAGGCGTCGTCTTAGGGCCCTTGTCCTGGGACAGGCAGGGTGTGCCACGAGCGTAGCATTCGTCGCACCTCGACAGTCTTCCTCCGCGGTAGGTGCATTTCGTCTTTCGACGTCGGCCTGGTCACAACGTCAGATCAGACATGCAGTGTCGCCGGCGCTTGAGCGATATTGCTGAAGCCTGAGACTTGGCAGCCATTAAGCCACCATGTGGAAAGGGTTGTCTTACATTCAGAGCAGCTCTTAGTGCCTTTTCGCATGTTCAAGCGCGCTTGTGCTTGTCGAAAGCCAGAACTGTTATTGTTTGCATTCATCCTGGATGCAAAGAGCTCGGACAGGCGCGTCAGTTGCCAGCATATCCATACTTCGGTACTTCTTTATCGCGGCCGCGTGAGCACAAAAGGAGGCATGTTGAAGGGTCGAGTGGCGTCAAAGAAAGCGAAGATTCCTATAGTGTAGACCGAGAGTTCTGAAACTATCAGTACAGACTGGACAAACCTTTCTTAAGCTTCCCCTGTGTATCAGGACAGAGACATGGTGAATTGCGGAGCGTCCTGGGGCCTCCGGGTTTTCGTCCGACAGGGATGGAGGCATTTATTCAGCCTCGTCAGCACGAGAGGATCACTAATCAGCTAGATCAAATCTAGCGACTACTTGTGATTGCACTAAGAGCCCACACGCTTCTTCAAGCTGTAGATAAGAGCCGAGATGCTCTTGAAGTGACTGGAACGGCACAGTGCTTGTATAAGCCAGTGATGCCCGCAAAAGATGGTGTATTTAAGGAGTACGGATTAGTGAGTGGATAGAAGAGAATGCGGTTAGCACGTCGAGACTTAGCGTTCCGGAAGACTTTCCTCCTGAAGCGACAATCACGTGCTTCTATTCCGCGGTCAAGTTTGGCTCCTCTGAACAACGATCTCCCTCCTCACGATAGTACCACAGCTTTGCCATTGGTTTGTTCGACCAGCCTCTCGTCGATAATCATTCAAGCTCCAACAACCTCGATGCTGTGTCGACAACAGTCTGCTCAAGCGGTCTGTACATATCATCACCAAATAAGTGCTTGGCCTCAGAGTCATCGACTTTGAGCGGATGGTCCCCATCTTGCTCCTTGTTCGCCACAATAGCTGCAGCTCGTACGGATGACAGTCGATCTGCTAGCTGGGGGAACTTGTCAACTAAGATCTCTAACACCCTCTGAGCGAGGAAGGGCTCCGGGCTTGCTAGCAACAAACGTCTGTTCTCGGTCCCGCCTTTGATGATTGACTGGACATGCAGCGCCGCAAGGTCCCGGACGTCGATATACCCGATGTACAGTGGCTGCGAAGGTCCATCTGCGCTGGATACAGGCTTCAGGAATGTGCTGTAGAAGACATCGGCACTGAAATTGAAGCGACCCTTGCCAGATGCATTCTGGTGGAGGTGCTGCAGCGGTGGCCCGAAGATAAGAGGCCTTTGGTCGATTAGTAGACGAGAAGCGCAGAGTGAGTGAAGCCACTTTTCGTGCTTACGCTGAAAGGACCGTGACACCAAAAGACGGCTTCTCCTTCTCGACAAAATCCCAAAGAGCCTTTTCCGCCAGGGTCTTGGAGACAATGTAACTGGCGCCGGGTTGCTGCAATTGGCGAGCAACTTCAACACTAACCTGTTACCATTCGAAGTCGCGTCAGCTTTGTCTCCCAACTTGGAACTCTTACTTGTGACATACCGGATTCCAATCTGTGCTTGTCAGCACTCGCCCGTCCAGCGGCTTTGTGATATCATATACTGTCACCAGACTACCGGTATAGGTGAAATGCTTGAGAGATTTGCAATACTTTTTCGTTGCCCGGAGCAATTCGAGGTTGCTATTGCGGGTCAGCAAGAGATACGAGATTGCCACAGGGAAGAGGGCTTGGGCACCCTTGAGCACCAGGGCCCAAGAAATCTCTGTCAAAGTCTGCTCCACCACCATCAGGCACCGGTGCTGCTGTGTGGATGATATAGTCAAACTGTGTTTGTTCGAAGATCTTGTTAAAGGCACCCGGAGCTGACATGTCTGGGACCACAACGAGGCGGACTTTCGACCTGAACTCAGGATGTGCAAAGAAGACGTCGTCAGCCTTGGCCTCGGACCGGACTGTGCCGACCACATCGAACGTGTCCTGTTGGAAATCAGAACATGACCCTGCAAATCATTGTAGGCTTACAGTCAAGACTCACATCTACTAGGTATTTGAGGACGTGTGCAGCCAAGAAGCCATTGGCACCTGTCAACAGAACGGTAGGCATGGTAGAGGCAAGTTGGACGCGGATTGTGAAAGTTCCAGTGGACCGGAAACAGAGTATGCCATGTGTATGTTGTCTTTACTTTATAGGCGAAGCCTTCCAACGCAGCCACTCTCTGATGGAATCTGGATGTACTGCTTTTGTCATCTCCCACAGGAACGAAACTCTATGGACCCGCAATGTTTGTAAGTACTCTCTCACTAATCTGCCTGGGCAGGACGAAATCTCGGAAAGCGGGTATCTATATTGATAACGTGCGTTTTACTAATTCAGGAGTGGGAATACCATACCCGAGAAATGGTCCGGCGCGGTGTTACAATTACAAAAGGTACGAATCTGGAGTGTCTACTTTATGTCCGTGTTCGTATACCCTGCAAACCGGCTAACATTCTGTAAAGTCGATGATAACTCAGTAAGCAGATGATGGCACAGCGGTGAAAGGCCCACAAGACAGTTCCCGGAATCCTGACAATCTTGCTTTGGAAGTTGACGGAGGCTCCATGATGGATATAACTGTTGCGAAGCAGTATTCCAAAGCGCTGCCTGCAATCATAGAGTCGGCGAGGAGTATTAAAGGCAAGCCCTCGGGGGTCCTGTCCTCCATTTCGTCGCCTCAAGGTATCAACCCCCACCTACAGTGATTCCATTAAGATCCTCTCCTATACCCTCGGAAAGCACAATGCGGACCCTCGACCGCCTTTTCCCCATCATTCTCTCGTTGTTGGCGTCCCAAACAGCCCTCATCTCGGCCTTGACAAACTTCGACGATTGGGCTCACCAGCGTGTCGCCCTCGACAAGGTCTCCATCCACCTTCGCTATGCAGGTTCTGGCCCGCCGATCCTCCTCCTGCACGGGAGTCCGCAGTTCAGCTTGACATGGCGCATCATCGGGCCCATCCTCGCAGACAACAACTACACCGTCATAGCCCTGGACAATCGCGGCAACGGAGATTCGTCGATCCCCCCAGACGGGAATTATACTGCCATGGCTTCGGCCGCGGATACCAAGGCTGTGCTCGACTTCTTGAATATCACTTCCGCCTACGTCGTAGGCCACGACTTTGGTTCCGGCATAGCGACCGCTCTCGCCGCCAGCCACCCATTTCTGGTGAAGAGACTCGTCGTTACGGAATTCGTCCCTCCGGGATTCGGATACGAAACGGCACGCACACCCGGCACCTACTGGGACCTCTACGCGAACTGGCAGCTGGCCTTCTTCTCGATCCCCGACGCCGCCGAGTTCTTCATCTCCGGGAAAGAGAAGCAGATGCTGGAGTGGTTTTTCTACCACGGCAGCTATTCCGGGGTGACGAGTTTCTCCGAAGACGTCGTGAACAGATACACCAGCTCGATCTCCAAGCCGGGGTTCTTACGGGCCATGCTTGAGTCGTACGACGTCAGGGGGGCGGCCGCCGTAGCCAGCTTTTTCAAAGGCACCATTGGCGTGAACCCTCTCCAGATGCCGACGTTGGCAATGGGAGGCGAAGCCAGTCTGGGCCCCTTTGCAGCGCAGGTCTGGGGCAACATTACCGCAGATCTTGAGACAGATATCGTTCCCAAGGCAGGGCACTGGATAGGTATGTCACCACATGTGCACCGCGTGGACGGTCCCGCCCTTTCACGACTACACGATTTGCTGCTAACTGTCCCGGTAGCGGACGAGAACCCGGCCTGGGTGGCAACTCGCGTCCAACAGTTCTTCGCACAGGAGCAGAGTCCTCCGCCCGCTGTGGATCTCTCCGGCCTGACAGACAAGGTGACGCTCACAGTTGGGTATTTCGGCACCCTTGAAAATGCCGCTTTGGCAAGCTCATGACGAGTCCAGAACAAGGGAGAGAAAAAACAACTTTGAGCGAGCTGTGTGGTCTCGAATAGGAAGGGGGCGTTTGCACAAGTCGCCAGACCAGAAGGCACGTCCTTACTGCGTGAAGGCCCAAGGGATGGATGAATGGTCTTACGTTTTCTCTTTTTTGTCTCGGAAGACACACACACAATGGTTCTCCTTCTTCAATTCTAGGAAGCATAGCGAGACACCACGACGGCATGTCGAAATTAGTACAATGTGTCGTCATCGTCAACGAAAGGTATCGACGATGTTGTTCTATTTCTCATGATATTGACCTCCGCTGCCCTCATGCAATCGGCGTTCTCGGGACGGTGTCAGTCGGCAAAATTATGGCCCAAGAGTCTCCTGCCTTGCCATGCCTGCCCGTCTTCTTTTATTCTTTTTTTTTGATAACATGAGAGGACACAGTGAGAGGTACAGCATGGGATTGTGTGCGAATACAAGAGATGCAAGAATAGCTTTTGATTGCTTTTGGATATCCGAGGTGAGATTTTCTTTTTCTATATAACCAGCAGTTAGTTTGGAAGACTTGTGTATCGGCATGATGATCACCGGACTTCACCGGGCCCGAGAAGTATTCGCAAGATCCGTGACTGTCGAGAGCCTAGTGCAAGACGGTTGAAGAACTGTAGGCGGAAGATAGAAGTAGGAAGAATGGCCCCCCTGGGAAGCGACCATCCTCCGTCACAAAGCCCTGAGCCAATATATTCGGAGAAAGCTGAACGTTTGGGATTGCCTTGACGACCAGTCCGAGATGCTTATAAGGTGTAGCAATGTTCTCCGACGATATCCAGTCCTGCGCACGCTCAACGGGGTCCAATCTTCTCGAAACCACCCATGTATGGTCTCAAAACTGGGGGAACAACAACACAGCCTTCATCCTCACGCCACCCATTCTCCAAGAGCGCAGCCAGAACTCTCGGAATTGCGATGGCCGTCCCGTTCACGGTGTGCGCAAACTTTTTCCTCGATCCGTCAGCTTCGAGGATCCTCGTATCCAGCCTGCGACTTTGGTAGTCTGTGCAGATGGACGCTGAAGTGACTTCGCCCCATCCTCCGTCCTTCTTCCTCCTCGAGGGGAACATTGCCTCGATGTCGATCTTGCGATACGCACTCGCACCCAGATCTGAAGTTGGCATCTCGAGGACGCGGCAGGGCAAGCCAAGCGAGGACAGGATTTCAGTTTGGATTTCCACCATTTCGGCCAGAAGTTGACCTGAATGCTCAATCCAGCTCGCCTCATCCGTCAAGCCTCCATTACTGCTGTTCGGAGCTGGACAATCTGTCCACGCAAACATCTCAACCTTTGTGAACTCATGCACGCGGTACAAACCCTTGGTGTCGACCCCGCGAGCACCGGCCTCGGCGCGGAAACAGCGACTGGATCCAACGAGCTTGACAGGTAGACGGTCGGCGGGGATGGCCTTGCCCGCATAAATCCCCGCGAGCGGAATCTCAGCTGTCGCAGCAAGACTCCGGGTGGGTTTACCGGCATCCTTTTCAGGTTGTGCGATTTGCCAGATCTGCTGTTCATCGTTTTGGTCCCGAGGTTGGAAGCCGCAGGCAGTGGCCATGTGGGAGTAGATCAGCGACGGTGGCGAGACAACGGACCAGCCGCGTCTCATGGCGACAGACAAGGCATAATGAACCAGAGATTGCTCCAATAACGCGGCCTCGTGTAGCAGGAAATAAAACCCCCAGCCAGATGTCATCGATGACGATGTGAAGTCGATTAGCCCAAGCTTCTCGCCGATGATAGAGTGGTCGGCCGAAGGGCTATACTGCGGAGGTTGATCTGGGTCGTAGTTGATGTAGGAGCGTAACCTTGGTTCACCACCCGTCGGTGTACCCGAAAACGTCAAGTTGGGCAAGGACAAGGCAGCATTGCGCGTCTCGAGCTCCAGAGCATCATGCTCTGCTTGGAGGGCATCCACCTCTGGTCTGATCGACTTCATCTGGCCTACAATGTCCGCCTTGTTTCCCTGGGCCGTGTTCAATTGCTTCTGAAGCTCTTTCAAGGCATGACGGGATCCGACCATGCGCTGGTCGAGCTCTCGCATCTTCTTAACATTATCCGCGACTCGCTGCGGGATGTCCTGGTGGCTGCCATAATTTCGCACCAGGCAGTTCTGTTCGTAGAGCTCGACATTGTCTCGGATCTGGGTGAGAGGAGGAAATTGACGTGGTGCGGTCGCCGGTCGGAGTTCTTGGTAGGCGGGCTTGGTGGTGCAGTATGCTCTTCTGCATCGAAGCAGGAACGCTCGAGCTTCGAGAGCTTTCCTCGACATTGAGGCTCTGGCGTACGCTATGCAGGAAGCCTGGACAAGGGGAAGAAGGGTTGAAAACGCGGGTGGACGCGCCGAAAGAAAAGTTCCCAATAGCACCATTGACATCAGTGCAGTGCGGAGTGGCATGACTTTCCCAATCGGGTTTGGTCGTATATCTCGCTGTTTTAGCCGACGTGCCACAGTCAACAGTCAACTACCAACCAACCCGTGGGCTGACGACGAGGTCCATTGCTCTCACTATTTTGGAGGCACAGCTCAGGACCGATTATTTATCTCAGAGTCATGAAGAAAAGATAGGTGTCACGTTCATTCACAGAAGTGACTACAGCTGTTAGGAAAGAACCGGTACTATACACTTTTCACCTGGGCACCGGAACACGACAACAGGTCGCATTTCCTGCAATCATGACTTTCATGGTCGAGTGCCCTCCTAATTGTGCTCGGCCTCCAGGAGGTTGGCGTAGATGCTGAGGGATTCTCCAATCAGATTGACAATCTGCCACACGCTACTCGACTGGTACAGTTTCGCCCACAGGCGGACCACCATACCACTCAACCGGGCCTTTTGTGACAGGAGGTGGTCACAGCTCATCTTGTATTCGGTCTCAGCCACAAGCTGGATGACGAATTCGAGCACCCTCTGTTCAGCCGGCGTCAAGGTTGGGCTTAAGTCGGGCACCGTGACCGCCTCGAGCCACTTTGCAAGCAGGACGGCACACTCCAATGAGCATAGGGCATGTTGGTTGGACCATAGAATCAGTTGCGTCTGGGCGACATAGTTGATCCCAAGCTTCACGGGAATGCTGAGAGCGTGTGCACAGTGGAGCGCTGCCCGTGTCATTTTGTCGCTGCGTTGAACTTTTGGACTTTGGTGTAGTGAGGTGGCAACCACGTACGAATTCCAGCTGCTGAACGATCTCACGGGGCCGAGGTCCATATTGAGCCGGATGTAGGCCAGCCGAAGGAGGGCGGTTGAAGTAAAAGTCACGGGGCCGTGAGGGCTCAATGGATCCATGGATGACTCCTGATTGCGTTCCCAGTACTTGGCCCACCGCTTCAGAGCCCGCTCAAAGACGTTCATTTCTTCGTCCGAGAGGCTGTTTGAACCGCCATGTATGACGGGCAGTCGAGCATTGCGTGCGAGCCAGATATGCTGGATGATGGCATGGATGAGAGCGCAGCCACCTAGAGCAGAGAACCCTCTCGCAACGACCTGGTTTGAGCCGTTCCATTCACCCGGGTTTGCAAAGAGGCACGAAAACGCGTCTTGAAAGTCCTGACGAGGTGACCTTGATTCGGCACGGGCTTCTTGCCACTCTGGCTCACTGGCTGCCTTCCACTCTTTCTCGGAGCAAGGCAGATCGAGCCGGAGTCCGCTGGCGAGCATCATTGGCGGCAAGTCGAATAGGATGGTGTGGATATTGAAGAAACAAAAGACCACGAGGTGGGTTCTTTTGATGGTCTCGAACCGAACCCACTCCTGCCAGTCGTCCGTCGGTTGCTCCTGAAGACGTGATATCTCGTCGTCTTGAACGAGTGAGTGCAACACACTGCGGATTGACAACGCATCGGTCACTGCTGGCTCACGTCTGTACCAAGATGCAATGGCGATCAGCAGTAGTAAAGTCTGCACCATCTCAATCACGCAGGTCCTTTCGTCCCCTTTACAATTTGAGTCAGGGTTCACGGTGGAGGTGTCATGCACCTTTGAGTCCAGATTCAAGTTAGCTTTTCTTCTCTGGCGTTGGCGAAGGCGTTCCAAGACGACGGCCCTTGAGCCACGGAACAGATCAATCCCCATCTCTGGCTCCCTAGTGTAGCGAGCCCCGAGAGCCGCGATCGCTAAGAGCAACTCGACGTGGATGCTGTCCATGCGTAGGGTGGCAACGTGGAAAAAGGGATAGTGGGCATGGAAGTTCTTGAAGTATCCGCCGATCAGTCGTGACAACGCATGTCGGGAAGGCAGAACAAAGTCCCCGTCGATACAACCAGAGAACATCGCCAGTTCATCGATAATGCGTTGTCGACAGTCAGCTGAGATGAACAAATCCCGACTGTTCAGCCTCGTCGGACCTTGTGGGTGTGGGCCACTGGGTGGAGGCTTTTCCTCAGGAGCCAAGGACGGTAGCCGAGAGCCAAAACGCGAGATGGACGAGTCATTTGCCCTTATATGGGAGGGGGATGCGAGTGTTGCTTGTATCGTAGTCGTTGCTGTTGATTCATCCCGCGAATTGTCGACGTCTCTAGGACCACTTGCCTCTTCAAAAACGCCACCCAGAGGCATGTCCAGGTTCGTAAAGAAGACAGGCAGAGGTTGATAGGTCGGAGAGAATGGGTGTGTGAGAGTGGGCACGCTATCCATGAAAGCCGCAAAGTCTTGTGTAAAGGCAGGTTCGAGACCATCGAAGCCGCCGTCATCCATGCCCAATGTCATCGAATAATCCGGGACCGGAGCGGGAAAAGACTCCTTGCTTGCCTGGCTTGAACCCTCGTCATTCGGATGGCCGAAGAAGCGTACCGACAGCTGAGCCTGATCAATATGCTGCTGCACTCCCCTGGGGTCGCTCACGAGGCTCTGCGTCTGCGGCGGGACTACATGTGGCTGCGAAGAGAGGACTGGGGCAGGTCCCGGATGATACTCAGTCCAATTCACCAGAGGCAACGGCGCCGGCAACAGTGTTTCAGGCTTCACCGGTCCATGGTTCTGTTGAGAACGAACCCCGGGGGGCGATTGATGTGATAGGCGTATGTGCCGGGTCAGCAGATCTCTTGTGTTCAGGTCAGCAGCGCGACACGACAAATCATTCTAGTGAGAGCAGCAGCGTACTTGCGGGTGAACCCCTTCTGACATCGAGGACAGCGAAACGGCTTTTCCTTGGTGTCTCGAAACTCAGTCAGTCACTGACTTAAACGCCTCTTGTATTGACGTTTCCTTACGCGATCTCTCATGGCGTTGGAGATGCTCCAGACGGGCAAAGGGGCGACTACAACGGTGACACACGAATGATCTGGCTGGGGTTGCGGGATTTGTTGTCATGGTTCGGCGACCTGCTCATCGAGCGGCGAACAGATGGCACTGGTGGTAATGTAGTGGGGAATTGGATAATGGATTCGGGGAAGAAGCTACAATCTTTTAAGATGAAAATTGGAAGGTGAGGTCGAGAGTTGTTTTAGAATGCGGGGGCGCGGAGATGGCGCGGTTTGGCGGAGGCCGGCGGCTAATGATGCCGTCGGATCCCCGGGAAACACGGCTAGTCCCTAGCGCAACGCGGGCACCAACGGGACTGCCAATTAAAGCGCGCTATGGCTTCTCCAATTCGGGGACGCGCCAATGAACGATGACACACCCAACAAGTGCTCGAGGAGAGTTGTCACGTATCCTCACACTCCCGCACCGTCAGATCCTCCTCTGCACTCCATCTACCCAACCGACAAAGACCCTCCCCCAAATGTTCCCATATCTCTACCTCTTTCCGGCACCCGACATGTCGACGTGCATCATCCCCCCTGTAGCAAGATAATGAAGTCGGTGTTTTCCACATAAGCTTGCTTGAGATCTCTCTTCCAACAGCCGGACGTGACCCACTGCCCAATATATATCGCAAGTCTCACCATTACATAGGGTGAACTGAGAACACAAAGATCAAATTTCACTCCCAGTTCAAGACTAGCGGCCTGCAAGGCTTTCCCATTACAAGGTCACCCCTCGACCATGCGAGCACAAGTGTTAGAGGCGTTCAACACGCCTTACAAATTTCAAGATGTCCCCGTCCCGTCCAGCCCAACCGGTCAAGATATCTTGGTTAAGGTCGGAGCGGCATCATACTGCCACACGGACGCGGTCTTTGCGTCTGGTGCGATGTGGCAAGACCTGCCACGGATCGGCTCGCATGAGTTTGCCGGCACAATCGTCGCCCTCGGCCCGGATGTTTCACCAAAGTTGAATCTCAAAGTCGGCATGCCGGTGGGCGTCCCCGGTCGAGCATTTCATCCCTGCGGATCGTGCTACGAATGCCTCAACAACGACGGTGATCCAGAGAAGTACGGGGTATGGTGCCCCAAGGCTGGCAACCTAGGTCTCTCGGCCAATGGTGGCTTTCAGGAATATTGCATAGCAGATTCTCGCCAGATAGCCCCCATGCCCGAGGGTATGACGGCGGTCGATACCGCTCCACTCATGTGCGCGGGTCTGACTATCTGGAACGCACTTGAGAGGGCAGGAGTCAAGATGGAATCAGGGGGCGGAAAGGGGCTTACGATCGCCATTTCCGGAGCTGGCGGTGGCCTTGGACACTTGGGAGTACAGTTCGCCGCGAAGCTGGGATGCAAGGTCGTAGCCATTGAAGCATCTGACCCGGCATTGGCTCTGTTGAAAGACGTTGTCAAGGATCTGGGATCTTCAGGCGAGGGCGTCACTATTGTTGACGCGAGGAAAGAGCCTGCAGAAGACGTTCGGGTGTCCATCTTTGGATCTCCCGAGCCCAGTCTGGAGGGCGAGAAGGGTGTGGACGGCGCCCTCATTCTCCCCGAATCTCAGAAAGCTTTCGAGTATGGGATGAAGCTGATCAAGAACCACGGTGTTTGTGTGACGGTCAGTTTCCCCAAGGAGGGTTTTCACATGCAACCGCGGGACCTAGTTTTCCGCCACATCTCCATGGTCGGCGTCCTGGTCGGTCGGAACCGGCAGCTCAGAGCCATGTTGAACTTTGCGGCGAAGGAGGGAGTGAGGGCCAGAGTGACCACCTACAAGTTGGAGCAACTAAACGAGCTTGTGGAGGATTATCACAAGGGTGCAAGCGGAAAGTTGGTCGTGGACATGTCCAAGTGAACATCCGTCAGGTTTCTACGCGTTATTCCACGGTTAAAGTAGTTGATACGAACATCTCTGTCGTCATAGCAGGGCAAAAATAGATAGGGCGTACAGATTGCATGCCGACTCCATAGAACTGTGTCGCTAGTCTCATATTCAACGTATGTCTCTTCTACATCAATGACAAAGCTGTATTCAAGTAGAGCCAACTCGCTAATCGAGGCAGTTCGGAGCAGGGGCTGGTAGCGTCAGTCTCTCGATCTCGTTGGTATTGCTCTAACAACAAGTTCGAGATTAGCCACCATGGTCTCGAGCCCGGAAATACTACAGCCTAGTCCGAGAACTATATCCGAACAAGGACAAACTCCATCGAAAACGTTGGAGAGCCTGACATGTCTTCCTCATACTGTGCTCCAATTTGGGGGTAGCTAAAGTCTCTAGCCGGTCTCGAGGTTCTCGGAGGAGGGGTCATCTCGAGACACCCGATCAGAGAGTCTCATCGGACTATCTTCTTACGCTAGTCAGATGTCTCCTCGTGTCAGCTGTTCCATAATGAAAAGAAGTCTCTTACTGTGTACATCTCACATAATCCAGCCTCGTGAGCCATTTCAATTGAGCTTGGTCGGGAGATCTTTGCCTTCCAACCACAATTCCAAGTTCGAGACTGTGTCCTCATACCATCGATGCATGACATCTTCCTCCACATATCCCATATGTGGGCTGAGGAGCACTTCGCTCCTTCCGTTCTTTCCCCAAGCAGTCGTGCGCCACGGGCTATCTAGCGGCAATGGCTCCACATGATAGACGTCTAAAGCCGCACCCCTGATCTTGCCACGGTTCAAGGTATCGAGTAATGCCTGTTCATTGATCAAGGGACCTCTCGAGGTGTTGATCAGAAGTGCCGAGGGTTTTAGCAGTGCAAGCTCCTTCTCCCCCAGGATATCTCGGCTTCGCTCGGAGAGGACGTAGTGGACGCTCAACACGTCCGCCTCCTTCAGAAGTTCCTCTTTGCTGCTCGCCACCTTGACCGTTCCTGGTGGGAGACCAAACTTCCTGGCCTGCTGCTCGGCATCCTCCTGGGTGAGATTGCTCGACCATGCCATGACCTTCATTCCAAAGGCCCACACACCTCCTGCCGCCACCCTTGCCCCCAAGTTACCAAACCCCAACAAGCCAAGTGTTTTACCTTTCAGTCCTGTCGCAGGAGAAATCTCCCAAAGGCCTGCCTTTACGGCAGCATCGTCACGAGCAATATTGCGAGCGATGCCCAAGATGAGTGCCCAGCAATGTTGTGCGGTGGAATCAATTGAGGTCGGCAAGCTCAAGTCACCAGCCTTGCCGACCCCTTTCGCACCCGCAACGATGATGTTCTGTTCAGCACAGGCCACCATGTCGATTGCCGAGTTCTTGAGGCCTGTTGTAAGAAGCAATTTGAGGTTCGGGAGGGATCTGATCACGTCTCCCGGGAAGGGCGTCCGTTCTCGCATGGTCGAAATGACGGTGAAAGGCAAAAGGCGTTCGATGAGTGCATCCTTTTCTGCCTTGCCAATGGGGTTGATATTGTCAGAGAACGTCGTGACTTCCACCTTGGGTTGCAGATGGGAGAATTTAGCAGCAGCAATCCCCTGATAGTCATCCAATATGGCCAAACGGAACTTTGAGGCCGCCATTCTGTTGCCTTTTCGACTTAGATGTGCGTATGAGACCGAATAAAGCCGAAGCGAAGGTCGAATGCGTAATTTGAAGGCCTTTCCACAAGATAGTACTTGCACCGAGGATTCTTGAGATGACTTTCACTTGCATGCGCCATATTGAACGTATAGGATCGTCGTGGATGCTGATGAGGCTCCCAACGGTTCCATGGATGTCGTAAGAACACGCTTCTCCGAATCGGAGGATGACCTATACCGATTGACATGGTTAGGCCGACCTAAATAAGGCCTCGTGCAGGATGGACCCGAAGTGGACGACTGCATAGTCGCCCCAACTTGGAGACTCCAGGATTACAGAGTCGCACGGAGATAGTCGTAGGGACCAGCGTTGCAAGTGACACGGCAGATGAAATCGGTGATTTAAACAGTTGATATTTATTCATGGGTTCTCAGTGTCATCCTAGGGTGCATTCTCCCCGTCAAACCTCAGCAGAGAGAGCCATACCGAACTGTCACCGTTGCTCTCCACCATGCATCCAGCTATTGGATTCTTCTTCGTTGCCTCTGTGATTGCGCTACTCGTCAGGTGGGCCAATCGAACCGATATCCCAAAGATCAAGAACCTGCCCGAACTTCCCGGGGTGCCAATATTCGGGAGTCTTATCCTTCTCGGCAAGTATCACGCCAGAAACTGTGCTAGACTGGCCAAGACATATGGAGATGTCTTTCAGGTTCGCCTAGGTAACCGCGTAAGTGAATGTTCCGCGATGATGTATCCCAAGTGACTCGATGGTGTGGAATCTTATCGTTGTCCAGAGATTCATTTATGCGAACTCGTTCGAATCGGTGAAGGAGCTCTGGATCAAGAACCAGTCGGCACTCACCTCTCGACCAAAGTTCTGGACCTTCCACGACGTTGTTTCTCAAACCCAGGGAGTGTATACTTTGGGAACCTCACCATGGTCTGAATCCCTCAAGAGAGCCCGTAAGGCGGCAGCTACCGCTCTCAACAGGCAGGCAGTTCAGACGTATCTTCCGTTCATCGACTTGGAGTCCACGGCCAGTATCAACGAGCTAGTCCAGAACATTAAAAATGGTTACGACATCGACCCCAATGGTTATTTCCAACGCTTCTCGTTGAATATCAGCCTGACGCTGAACTACGGCATCCGCATCCAGGGCACTGTCAAAGACAGCACTCTCAATGAAGTCGTTGCCGTTGAGCGAGAGCTGGGAAACATCCGCGGCATTGCCCATAACTGGCAAGACTATGTTCCTTTGCTCCGAATCCTACCGGGGTACAAGTCGAATGCCATAAAGTATCGAGGTCGAAGAGATGAATATATCCTCAGCTTCTTCAACCAGCTGAAGGAGCGCATCGCAAACGGTACCGACCACCCGTGCATCGCTGGCAATTGCCTAAAAGATCCGGAGGCTAAACTCGCTGAAAGTAAGAATCGAAATGATGCGATGCTTCGAGGTTTGTTTACTAATTGGAGGTTAGATGAGCTGAAGTCGATCTGTTTGACCATGGTCGCTGCTGGCCTTGACACTTTGCCTGGAAACATCAACATGACGATCGCCTACCTCTCGTCACCGCATGGCCAGGAGATCCAAGCGCGAATGTACGACGAAATCATAAAATCTTATCCTGGACAAGACCCGTGGCATGGGTGCTTGTACGAAGAAACGTCCGAGTACGTGATTTCCTTTGTGAAGGTGAGTACCAGAATACCCCGAGTGATCACTGCCTCCGCCGAATCGAGATTGACCGTGACACAGGAGGTGCTTCGCTTCTGGTCGACTCTCAATTTGTCCTTCTACCGCCAAAGTGTTAGTGATATCAATTACAAGGGTGCTGTCATCCCTGCGGGGACGCCTTTCTTGATGGTAAGAGATTTCCTCACTCAGACGTGTTTGCCGACCGTCGTGCTCACGATTCATGTCGTAGAATATGTGGGCAGCCAATCATGATCCTGCACACTTCAAGTCACCCATGGAATTTATCCCTGATCGCTTCATGGGACAGTCTGGCGTCGGAGAGGGAACGCAACACTTTGGCTATGGCGCTGGAACCCGGATGTGTGCGGGTGTTCATTTGGCGAACCGAGAACTGTATATTATCTTCACTCGCCTAGTGCTAGCCTTCCGCATCCACGAGGCCACCGACCCCAAGGACAGGCCGATATTGGACACCATTGAGTGTAACTCGGTGCCGACAAGCATGGTCACTCAGCCCAAGCCGTTCAAGGTCAGATTCATCCCCAGAGACCAGAAACAGCTTGAGACCTGGATCAGTCAGAGCTATGCCAACACTGCACACCTCTGAAGGACGACTTCCAGCTTTAAGCGATAACCGTTGGAGGTCTCCCATTGTTTAAGCCGACACAGACCAATCGTGGACACTGTCTCATCCAGTTATTCGGCCGATCCATCGGCAGAAGCCACAAGAGTGGACGACAACCGGGAATAAAAGCAAGTCATTGCTGAAGGGAAAAGATCGAAATCAGCCATTTCTTCTTGTCTGGTCAGTCGGTTCACAGACGGAGCAACATGCAATTGTGGGGAATGCGGAGAACTGTATGGTGTTGAAGTTGACAGATGAACTTGTTGACCAACAATGATGTTAACCCTGGGGCGAGGACTTTCGACTAGTATAGTAAATTTTCGAGATCAGAAAAAAAGTTAAATGCGACATGAGGCAGATTTGACCATGATGCATACGGTACCATTTCCGAACCGCCTTGAAGAAGTAAGGCCTAAGCAAGGATGTTGGAAGTTGGTAAAGCAATTTTTCAGGTAGGGTTGTAATTTGCAAGTGCTGCCAAGACAATTACTTGTCATATATTCAATTTCCTCATTCATGCTATGATTTGGCTCACGAATTGCACACAGAAAAATGCGATTCCTCAACACCCGCTCTGCGCGGTGGCGTGGCCTAATGGTAAGGCGTTGCTTTCCGGTTACACCTGCGATCCCTTAGGGGAATGGCAAAGACTGTGGGTTCGAGTCCCATCGCCATCGTTTTGTTTTTTGTCATCCTTAGCGGGCATATATGTACATACAGTAATCTTCTTTTTGGTTTGATGCTCGTTTGCAACCCTGAGCAGGAAGGAGGAGAACACGCACTGGGAACAGAAGACGCTATCTATCTTCCCTCTTAACTTGACAAATCTGAACGCCAAGTCATCACGTATCTTGACGAGGCGCCTATAGAAGTTCTATAAGTACCTCTGGAAGTGATTAGTTCTGTCCAGAGATGTGTTATTTGTTTGGTCCGCTGGGTCAGTTTGATGGATATCTTACCAGGCGGATACGTCTGAAATGAATAACTAAAACTTACGCGGATAACCAACATGGACTCCATTGAAACGCCGTGATTTTCCTGTGGCCCCGACTCCCGGAGGTCAAACTACCCAGCACTGTCGGTCAATACATTTACAGCTGCCGTATCAGCCCTAGCCAAAGGACAACAGTTCCACTACCGTCCCACGAAGTTCCCGTCTCTTCAAGTTCATTCTCAGCTCTCTCCTTTGCTCATCCACTCCTCATCGGCCAGATTTTGAGAGCTGCGTGGCTGTCATTTAACGTCGGCCATAGCCACCTTGATTGTATCCGCCGCTACCATAGTTTCCACTTCGGTTATCTCTCGCGGGCGGACCCCGACTTTGACCTTGATAATATCCATCACTGAAAGACCTCCCACCATTCTGCTGATATTGTCCATTGCTGCCGTGGTACTGGTTGGTTCCGCCATGATTTTGCTGTCCCTGGTTGCCATAATAACCCTGATCCTGACCACCATAGCCCTGAGCAGTATGTGTGCCATACCCTCCGTATCCGTTTGCAGGCGGTGGACCACGATTATACCCTCCTTGGTTGCCGTAGCCCGGTGGGGGAGGCGGAGGCATTCCTGGAGGCCATTGATTCGGTGGAGGCATGCCAGGAGGGCCTGCATCAAACGGAGGGCGGTCCGCAGCGTAGTTGATGCGTCCTCCCCGATTTTGTGTATCGAAACGGTCGCGTCGAGTATTGTCGTAAAGTGGGGCGCCGCCAAAATCCCTTCCCGATACCCTAGCCTTCGATCGCACCATTGCCAAGTCCCCTTTATCGAGGACCGGGGCCGGCAAGACAACTCCGGGGAACAACATGGACTTGTGAACATGGGTAGGAGGCGGCATTGTGAAAAAGACATTCAAAGAGCGATCGTCGTCGACCTCGGGTTCCAGTCTGATGTCTTCTTGTGGTCCCGTCAGGTACATATGAGGTAGGAAATCTTCGTTTTTGGTTACTTCGCCAGCCAGCTGACTCTTTTGCATTGACAATTTCACGGTGCTTGGTCCATCTTTGGCTTTTTTCGAGTAGAACTTCATCGCTAGGATGTCGTACAAAGGATTCTGATCCGATATTATCAGAGCGTCGTGGCCTCGCTCGTTTCTCGCATGCTCGTCATCCGTCAACAAAGGATACTTTGTGGCCATGGCCGCGAGGAGTCGTTTCTCGTCAATGAAGGGCAGCAATACAATGGCTTTCCAGGACTGTTTCGCGCCATTGAGATCGAGGTCAAACTCCTGTGGGTAGAAATCGACAATGTCGGAGTCAGGATCAGTCATGAGCGGATGGAAAGCGCTGGGAATGGCGTGGTTGGAAGATGCAGGCAATACACCCATCAATTGCTCATATGGTTTGAATGGTGTTCCTTTGTCGAACTTGACAGTCTTTTTCTCAATGTCGACAAAGTCTGCAGCGAATGGTGCATAGTGATAAGGATAGTACCATGTCCAAGATGGGCAACCTTGAAAATAGTATAGCAACACCCAACACAGTCCTTCCACGTAGGCTTCGGCGACCTTGTGGCGGAAGGCGAGATCCTTGGGGTCGACATGGAATTTTTGCTCATAATAGCGGTCAGCATATCCCTCCTCCCACAAGCGGACTGTGTCTGGTGGAGGGTCGTTGGGATCTCCATTGTTGAAAGTCTTTTTCTCAATCGGTGTATTCCTCCCAGGAGTACCAGCACTTTCTTCATCTTCGTCCATCAACGCCGCCTTCCGCTTGTCTCCTGCTGATGCAGGCGTGCCATCGTTCTCTGCCTCATCTTCCAGTGTTGCAGCCTTTCGCTTGCCCAGTATTGACGAAGGACTGGCATCCGAGGAACTGGGGGGGCCATTGATGCCGTTGGCACCATTCTTGGCAGCTGTTTCAGCAGCCCGCTTGGCGAGCATCTGCTCTTTCAGGACTGCTGCTGCACTCTTGTTCGACACCAGGGTTTTGTCCACAGCAGCTCTGTTCACAATGGAGTTGTAGTCCAAGACGGGGAAGTTTGAAGCCTCAAAGGTTTCAACAGGTCCGGTAGGCACCCGAGTATCGGCTCTGCCACCCTTGTTGTAGTCAGGCGAGCTACGGCGTCTCTTCGCGAAGCGGGCCTCTCGAGCCTCATTTGCCTGGTTCCGCCGCTGCTCATTCCGGGCCCGCCTATCTTCCGTTTCTTTCCTGCGTTTGAAGATTGCGTCCTCTTGCTTCGCCAGGCCCTGTAGAATGATCTGGGCACGTGCAAGGTCAACTCTTCCGTCGCAGGTCAAGTAACCGCCCATGATGGGGATATTGTCTCTCCAAATGGCAATGAGTTTATCGATACCGTCTTCTCTGATTTCAAGGCTAGGAAGATGAGGCAAGAAGTCATTGCCAACGAAGAAACACATGAAGACCCAATCGTCAAGGGCACGCTCAAGATCGAAACGGAAGGTCTGACCAGGAACGAACATCTCTGCACCAAGATACTCACGAAGTATGGGCACATTTAGCCAGACAAATGGCTTCAGCTCCTCTGTCGTACCTTTTTCGTCGAAATGACCAGATTTTTTCTTGGCTTCGCCTCTGCAATTCTCGGCATAATGACCTTGCTGGCCGCAGAGCCTGCAGGTCTTGGCTTTGGCATCTCTGACATCGACATCTTCTCGAAGGACGCGAAAGTGAGGCTCATGCGTGGCGATTCCAAGCATTATTAGGTCTGCATCAAGCCCATACATGACGTGTCTCGTGTTTGGATCATAGGCGGGATCTGAACGCTGGGAACGAATGAACTGCATAATCTTATGCTCACCTTCTCCGGGCACGCTGGCATCTGAGATTATGACCTTCAGCTGAGCCCAGGCAGGATCCGTGTTCAGCTTCCACTGGACCCAATATCGAATAGATTGAGCAAGAATGAACATGAAAGGCGTGCCAGGTGTGATGACATTACTATCCCATGTTTTCTTGATTACGTCGTCCACTGTTTCTTCGTCTTCATCATCATCCATATCACGCTGTTGTTGACGAAGGAGTGTTTGAAACTCCGCCTTCTTTTCATCCGCCTCTTTCGCGTCCCTTGCTGACCGGAAACGACGAGCACGTTGCTGGTTCATCTTTGCACGAGGAGCGACACCATCTGTTCTACGTCAGAGCCCATTTCATATGAGAGCAATCGCGTGCATATCAAAGGGGGGGATGGTTCACTTACCAATTGCGATCATCAACAATCTCCGCGGTCGCACCATGTTCACAACGCGATCGGTGTACTTGAAGATTTCCAACATCATCTCGCTTTCATTTGCTGGAGGAGGCTTGTTCTCGGGATGCGAACAGGGGTGGACGATGCCGTTGAAATCAAGGTAAAGGTTGTGCATCTCTTCTCCATTCGGGTTCGGCTGGGTGGTGTCCACAGGATATTGCACTCCATCAACTTCATAAGGTTGTTCCTCGATCACGGGGGTAATGATCTTGGGATATTTTTTGGTGAGCCATCGGAAGAGAGCCGGAACACCCATCTTGACTCGATGGTAAGTAGCGAAAAAGCAAGGGAAAGAAAGGAATAAGCCTGGGGACTGTGTCGCTGCCTATGCAAATTTTGGCAAGAGATTACACTCCTGAGTGTCGCAGGCAATATAGTGAAATGTCACTTGCTCTGCGTCCAGAAGAGATCTCAAATTTGCGTGAGATCCGAGTCACCATGAAGAGAATATGTTGGACTCGAGGTTGCAGAAAGATGAAATGGAGATGAATGCCTGGAAGGAAACTGCGCCTTCAATTCCTGGTCCAGGTTAATTCTGGACCCTGCGCCGATGTCCAAATCAGGTTGGCGTAGTCTTGGCAAATCTGGAGAAACAACGAGGTACAAGGCCAGCTAGGCAATTTCTACTATGTCAACCTCCGTGTATCGGTTTCGTCTGAAATTGTAACTGCCAGGGGCGAAGATTGTCAAAAATAAGTCCCCGTTGTGAGCTCTTCCATCGCCGCTCCCAGATGATCCACACAACTCGTTCTGCATTCCACATCAATCACAGCTTCAAAGGCCGGGTCGATGTCACTTGAGGCAGCTTTCGCCTCATAATCTTTCCGCTACCTGTTCTCGGAATTGCATCTATGAAGTATATTCCTCCAGTTAGCCATTTGTGGCGAGCAAAGTTCTTCTGGATCATCTCGAAGAGCTCTTTGGCGTCGAGTGTATCGTCCTTGCGGACAACAAACGCCCGAACGTATTCCTCCCCGTCTCTGGTGGTAGATAAGTTAGCTCATCTTGCAATAGAGGCTGAGAAGATTCTGGTTGCCTACATCATGGTGCCCACAACGGCGGCGTCTGTGACTTTAGGGTGGTTGAGAAGTGCCAACTCGAGTTCGGTTGGCGAAACTTGAAGGCCCTTGATCTTGATAAGTTCCTGTTGGTTCAATTAGCCAAAGGACGATATGCCTAACTTTCCGATTTGCCGATTGAATACTTGCCTTTAGCCGATCAACAATATAGAGCTTTCCTTGATCATCGCAGTAACCAATATCACCGGTCCTCAACCAACGATAGCCGTCCTCGTGGACAATGGTTTGTGCAGTTGCCTCAGGCTTGTTCCAATATCCCTTCATGATATTCGGCCCAGATACCCATAATTCTCCAGTTTTCTGCCCAGGAGTGGTAGAAGTGGTCAATTCCTCATCTACAGGGACAATCTTCGCTGCGCAATTAGGATTCAGCCAGCCAATTGAGCGTCCATCATCTTCCTCGTCTGGGGAGAAACCGGTTGCGGAACAGGTGCACTCTGTCATCCCCCATCCTTGCTTGACCTGTACACCCGGTCGGAAATACAGCCTGGCAAGAAGTTTCCCTAATTTAGGATCAAGAGGCGCCGAGCCGCTCACAGCTTGCTCGATAGATTTTAGATTATATCGTTCGGGAGCGTCTTGCTTGCACAACATTGCGATGACGGTCGGCACGCCTGTCATGTACGTGATGCGATAGGCGTCAAGGTACTGTAAGTACCTTGTAACATTGAATTTTGACATTATGAACACTTTCGCTCCCAGTACTGCGGCATTTATACCATAATAAGTTTGACCCTATCACCAATGTCAGATTTATCTGGAGTAGGCCGGACTACTTGGTGTATGACACCTGCATCCGGGAGCGCTGCAACTCACATAGGCATGATACATAGGCAGAGGCGCGAGCCATCGCTCGCCAGAGATGTCGAGTCGTTCCTTTCGAGCTCGTGCTCGTGGTGTGCTTCCAGTCAGAGCCCGTTTGAATAGAAGCTGTACGGAGTTGGAGACGAGATTATAGTGAGATATCTGCACCCCTTTTGGCAGCCCAGTGGTCCTCGAGGACTGTCAGCAACGGATGAAGGCCTTTCTTGGAGTCTCGTGATATTTCTTGCCCTAACTCACCCGCTGGAATAATTGATAATTGCGGTCTTTCCGTCGACTTCTTCGAGGGTGGTTAGACGCTTCCACGACCAATGTCGAACAGCGTCTTCAGACGCCCAGATGTTTGTCCATGATACCAAACCGTGAAGATTGTGCGATGAGAGGTCCTCATCGGGATCATGGAATACTAAAATCCTGTCCTGCGGTAATCCGACTTCCGAAGCAGCTTTGCGAGCAACATCGACCCCATCCGGCCCCGTGAGCAGCAATGATGCCCCGGAATCCCGCATCTGGTAAGCCAGTTCTTCGATTCGATGTCAGCAAACACAACACCCTCAGCTCGACGACTTTGCTGTGAGCCACTCTGGAAGAACAACTCACCGGACACAGAAGCCGACGGAGAGGCGGCAGTAAAAATGCATTCCGCGGCGATTGTTCCCCAAATCACGACTGGAAAGAAAAGTCGATTGTTGGAGTATAGTAGTAGTCGCTCATCGGCTCGAAGCCCGAGTTGTTGCAATCCAAGAGCCACTCTTTTGGAATAGATTTCAGCTTGGGCTAGACTAAAACATTTGGCAGGTATATCGGCGTCGAAGTACTGAGCTGCCTCCCGTGAAGATTTACTCCCAGACTGGAAGACAAAGGTGTTGACATCGATCAGGGGGATATCGATGGTGTAGGGAGATTTGAACATTTCCTGACCTGGTGGGAGCTCAGCTTTCCTGAGCCGGCTCAGTTACGAGAACTTGGCAAGCAGCGGTTTATGGTGCTCTAGGTTTGAGCTTGAATGGCGAAATCTATAAAGAGTCTACTGAGTACCATCCAGTACACCATATACATATTTTTAGTCAGCTCGCAAATTGTCATATTTGGAGAACGAGAGATTCATCGGAAACAGAGGAGGGGTCAGCCTCGGTATGTGCTGAAGCGGAAAGCCTCTTAGCCCACTAGCCTCGCCCCTGAAAGCAAGGCTGTCGGATCGGATTAACAGTGCTACCGCTTTTATTCCGAGAATATTTCTTGGCCTGCGGACAAGTTGTCTATTCTCCCCAAAGTCAAAACGCGTTCCACATCAACACCGACGCTGGATACGGTTGTCTACAGCGAGCGTTTGCAGCTTACCTTTATGTTCTCGACTTAAAATCTTTCGGGCATGTGTGTCGTGATCCTGTAGTCCATGGCTGACAGACGCTCAGTCAATAGAAGACAACCGTCCTCATGACAATGAATCTGCCCTCAAGATGATGCGAATACTCGAAGCACAGGCGCCTGCTAGACAGACTGCCACCGACACTATACAGACACTCAGCAGCCGCCTTGCAAGTGCTACTTTACTCGAGGATCGACGGGCCGCGATACTCGGTCTACGCAGCTTCGCAAAGCTATACCCTGCTTCGGTGGCTTCTGGGGCATTGAGAGATCTTATCGCCGGATTGAGACGAGATGGAGACGACTCAGACACGATCAAAATTCTGCTGGAGACGCTTTTGATGCTGTTTGAGCCAGATGAGAAGTCAACGGAGGCTTCGGAGGAGATCAGTCTGTGGCTAGCCGACGAGTTTACGCAGAGACAGGACAACATTACCGCCCTCTTGGACTTGCTTGAGCCTAATGAGTTCTACTCACGTTTATACGTCCTCCAGATTCTGTTCCATATATCCACCGCGCGGCCACAGCGGACACAAGAGGCTATATTTTCGGCGCCTTTGGGTATCTCTCGCATAACAAATATGTTGGATGATAGACGGGAGGCGATTCGGAGCGAAGCTTTGATACTGCTGGTGGCCTTGACCCCAACGTCGGCGGAAATACAGAAAGTCGTGGCCTTCGAAAATGCATTTGACCGTGTCTTCGCTCTGATTGACGGCGACGGCGGTCTTACACACGGCTCTACCACTGTTCAAGACTGCCTCTCACTTTTGGCCAATCTTCTGAATCTCAACACTTCCAATCAATCGTACTTTAGAGAGATCGGTGGGATATTGAAGATCAAGAAGCTGTTGGCGACCGCCGTGGACGAAGAGGATTCAGGGGACGGCAGTTCAGAATGGCTCAAACCACAGCGTGATATGAATGTCTGGGGCTTATTGGGGGTTATCCAGTTATTTCTTGCTCAAGGTTCTCAAGGGACCGTGGTTAACCAACAAATATTTTGGACGACCGGAGTTCTAGACGTTATTTTGCGAATTGCCTTTCATCCTGCATTCAGCACCGGTGTACGAACCAAGTCACTACAAACGTGTGGCGACGTCATTCGAGCAAATCATAGTCTCCAGGAAAGGTTCGGCGATCTTGGAGTCCAAATCAAAGAGCCGGATAGCCCTACTACCAACGGCCACTCGTCGAGTACCACCAATGGGAAGGCGCCCAAGCAGAGCAAACCTACCTTTCGAACTCAGAACGTAATCGAATCACTTCTAGAGGTGGCACTAGGACCCGCTCCACTGGCTCTATTCGACGTCCGACTGGCAGCGTGTTCCTGCCTCGAAGCCTTCATGAATGGCCATGTTGGTATACGAAGCCACGTGCTGAAGAGGGCCATCGAGGGGCACAAAGCAGGAGATGATACCATACCTAACATGCTCACCGTCTTGCTTGAACCTCCTGGGACACGTAACAACTCTGACCCGTACCAACAATGGATGGCTGCGGTACTTTTGCTCCACCTCCTCTACGACAACGTCGAGACCAAAAAATTGGCCTTGGAAGTGACAGAAGGTGACGCCGAAAGTGGGGAAGAGGTCGTGACTTTCATACAGAGCATCGCAAGCAACGTGGTGGCCGGTGTGCAACATGTGGAGGACGAGCGCGCTCTACTGGGCTATTTGATGCTGCTGTCTATATGGCTATTTGAAGATCCGGAAGCGGTCAACGACTTACTTGCAGAGGGCAGTAATGTGCAAGGTCTCATTGCGGCTGTCAAGATCACCAAAAGTTCCATGCCTCTCGTTGCCGGCCTTTGCGCATTCGTGTTAGGGATAATCTATGAATTCTCAACAAAGGACTCCCCGATATCGCGAAGCACGCTTCATGGACTCCTGACCACCAATCTGGGCAGGGAGGCTTACGTGGATCGCTTGACAAAGCTCCGGGAAAATGTCTTTGTGCGAGACTTCGAGGTCCTGCCACAAACCGGCAATGGCGGGCTGCCAGAAGTGTTCTTCGAGAAGACCTTCATTGACTTTCTCAAGGACAATTATAGCCGATTCTTACGAGCCATCGACCGGGATCCGAATTTTGAAGTTTCTATTGTGAGCAACGGCGTTCAGAAGGGCATCTCCCGCGATCTCGTCGACAATCTCAGGGCACAAGTCGAGGAACAGAAACGGGCATTGGAAGCCGCCAATAGTGAACTACTGCAGCTGAAGAGGAGACTGGAACAAGAGGAGCTCGATCACCGCCGGACGCGAGAATCCACCACTGTTGAGCTATCTAGAATCAAGCAAATCAACCATAGCCTGCAAGAAAATCACGAGGATGAAATCAGCAAAATGCAGAAAGGTTTCGCGCAGGAGAGAAGCACTCTGTTGAAGCATCACGAGGATGAGCTCAATCGCAGCCGCAATGAACATCTCACGGCTATCGAAACGGCGCGAAAGCAACACGAGGTGGAGGTCCAGCGGTTCGAACAGCGTCTGAAAATGGTTGAGCAGGAAGCGGCGCGAGAGCAAATGGCTCTCAATGAGCGTCACGCACGAGAATTGAGTGAGGTTGAAGCACAGGCACAGAAAGCCCGAGAAAGAGAAGCCGCTGAAATCGCAGACTTACAAAGCAGAGTGTCGGCGTTGCAATCTCAGCTACAGAAGGCCGAGGCCAACCACGTCCAAGATCTCGAGACCGCGCACGAGGAATATAAGAGCAAAACCGAGAGTTTGGAAGCGCGCCTTAAGCGAGCGGAGAGTCGTGCTCAGGATTCCGAGAGCCGTTTCAAGCATCTGGCTGAAGACCTCGAGAAAGAGAAGGCCGCCCGGAAGGACGTCCAGACGGAACTCGACGACCTCTTGGTCGTCTTCGGCGATCTAGAAGCGAAGAGATCTGCTGACAAGAAGAAGCTCAAGGAACTGGGGCAAGAAGTCTCTGAGGACGAAGACGAGGAGGAAGAGGAGGATGAGGGCGCTGAAGACGATGACGACGATGCCGTGGATTAAAGATGCACCTGTCACCCAAGCGGGTAGCCGATCTAATCGATACGTTGTGTGTGCATTTGGGCTTATGGCGCTTTGCATCTCGCGGGGACTAAGCGTTGGAAACCAAGAATTGACAGTATAGAAAACCGATACCCTGTACAGTAATCCATGTCCTGCCGCAAGAGTCCGGGTGGTCGTTCAATGGTCCTACTATTCTCTATTTCATCTCCGGTACTCTTTGCAACACGACTTTCAGGTATGATAAGTTTACCTACGCACCTCAGAGGACAAGGCGCCGGGCGTTTTTGTGGACTTGGCTGGGGGAAAGACTCCATGTCCAACACGAGAGACAATATTCCTTCGTTCTCTGCCTCGCTTCTCTTCCTTTCCGCCACCTGGATCGAAGTCAATTGTGCCCAAACCCCCCTGGTGCTAGGGGCTCCGTCCGGTCCTCGTTGTAGACTGTCTGGCCCCCTGAGAACATCCACCTTCGTATGCCCGTTCTTTGGCTCTTCAGCAACGCAACACACCGCCTACAGTAACAGGCGTCTTGACAAAGAAATCTGGGTTGAATACGCATCGACGCTGAACGGGAGCCAGAAGAGTGATGGGAAGAACGATGCCAGCCATTAGCCTAAGAGAGGGGTGACGAAGAGATATCATAAGAGTAAGATCGTTTTATAGGGGCTCCCACATCTACAGTTTCCGCACATCGCTCCCGCCATCTTCGGCGAACAGCTTCCACACGCTCCTCGCCTCCATACCCTTACATTTGTCGTTCTTTCTGGCCTCCACAAAGACCTTTTGAACCGGCTCAGCAAGGACAGTGCTGGCACCGACGGAGTTCATGAGTGCCACGGCATCGTCAATGACGCCACCGGCTAACTCGGTCGTGAAGCCCCCCTTGAAATCTCGGGCGGATGATGCGGCCGGGTTCACCCCTTTGACCGGGTTCTGGTGGAGGGAGTTCCAGTTCATGCCCGACGAGGCATTGATAACATCTGAGGAAAAGAAAGGAGGGTCAGGGATGGCATGGCATGTGGTATCGCGAGATCGAAGAGCTTACTTGATAGAATCTTTGGGTCAAGGCCATAGAGCGTACCAGCATTCATCACTATGAAGTAGTTCAAGGTCAGCTTTCAGTCAATGGAGAGTAGAGCATATGCTAAGGCTTACCTTCACAAAGCCCTAAATATCCAACATAGCCCAGGTAGTTATTCAGCTGCTTCGTCGCGAGCCCTGCACCTAATCCTCCACAGTGGTAGATATTCTCCTCCTTCCCCATTGCTGCTAAGATTGGCTTGACGGTATCAAATATCTGCTCATTGGGCGTTCCGACCATGAAGGTCAAAGTGCCGGCATTGGAGCCCTGGGGGCCTCCTGACACGGGAGCATCAACAAAGACCCCGAGTCCTGCAGAGGCGACTGTTTTGGCGAGGGACGTTGATGTCGCGACATCGATACTAGAGCATTCCAGAAACAGGCGTGGAGGCAACGAGGACGACAGTCCAGACATGAACCCTGTTTCGGGATTTGTGAAAGCGTCGTGGACGTGTGGTGCTCGTGGCAGCATGGTAATTATGATATCCTGGATGATAGGGACTTCCTTTGAGTCAACTCATTCCTGTCTCCCTGGCATCAGAGGTCACTCACAGCCCTCTCAGCAACCTCGCGCGGCGAATGCGCCACTTCCACAGGAGCCTTGCATTCTTGGAGAAATTGCGCCCTTCTTGTCTCATTAATCTCACAGAGGACAAACCTCGCCGTCTGGGGGATCTTGGCACGGAGGTTCGTTGCCATTCCATATCCCATCACGCCAATTCCGACGAATCCATAGACGGGGTCCGTGGGAAGCTTGAATGGTTGCTGAGCTGTATTGTCCTCCATGGCTGGTCTCTTTACGATCAATGAACACAGGGTAGTTCTTTCTTTTTCTCTCTGTAACCCAAGAGTACAAACTTACTGGTCTCAGAGGTCGTCGAAGAGGATATGTATTGTAGCATCCGAATTCAGTTTGGAGATAGTCCCCCGCATAGTCTCATTCGGATTGCCGTCGATGTGGACCGGTAAGACATTGCTCTTCACCTTGCCGAGTTTGCTGCCTCCATGGCCTTCTCCAACGGCTCTCCAAGAGTGGCTTGGGCTACCTACTGTTGACTGTCGCTAGCGACAAGGGGAGCCGGTGTGACAGGATGCCAGAGCACGGCCCATTTGAAGAATTGCCTCTGTAGATAGATTGAGTACATCACTGGAAACTTGGATGGATAGGAAAGTTCTTCGTGAGGACAGAAGGGCCACGAGCCTTCTCTGCTTTCTGCTGTGTTTGGATGATGTAGTCGGTGTCTGTGTGAGAATTGGTTGTGGAGTTGACGTCGCGATAGTCAAGTCCATCTTCCAGCGCAATCTCCTTCCTCTCACTTTTTGCTTCTCCAAACAACCGTGTCCGACACAACGGAGGACTAAATCAAAACACCTCAAACTCTCCAAGTCTCCTCTTACCATCCAGGAAAGCCTCGTCGGATGTTCCGGACTTCACCACAGAAGAAATTGCCTCAGCATGGGCGGCGAAGACATGTGCTCGCCAGACACATCTTCGTGATGCCTTGCTTTGGCACATGCAGACGATGTGACCACAAGACCTGGAGTTGGGGCAATCGACCTGTCCCTAAGTCCTTGAGGCTACGAAATCGCGTATTGTCGCGTAAATGGTGTGGATGTACACAGCCACGGCCCAGACCATGCCAAACCCCCTTGGAATAGGCGTAGCCCATCAGGAACTGCAGCCTTTTGGCAAAAGTTCCAGGCACACCGGTTCGATTTCGCGAATCATGACCAAGACTTGCCCTCCTGGCAGGCAACCATGCACAACTGAATCTCATTTTGATTCGATTGAAGTGCACAGCCCACGTACCGTCGGGAATCAGATGGTGCCAGCGCATTTTCCAAGTTCGCAGGTTACGAGGTCAATGCCAGGATGACAAACTTGCCTTCTTTGTGCGACTGGGTATAAGGAAGTGAAGACGATTCAGTCTTTAAGTACGCATCTGGTGGCCTCTATGGCAGCCTTGAATTGACCATTGCTCCTGGCTTGCCTGCAGACATGTCTGAATCATTGTGCGAACGATGCCGTGCATTTCGGAGGTGGCCAGCTTCCAAAGCTTTGAAATGGTTTTGGTCAGCGAGTTTTCAACTCTGGCCATCAGGCACAATGCTTGAGGCTTCCGCAGCCAAGGGTTGTCATCTCTGCAAGTTGTTCCTGCGAGCCCTCATGAAGAGCGAACGGCCAGATGGTGACCAGCATTTGCCGGACCGCCCAGTATATCTCTCGTTTGGTCGAGCGGACTTTGCAGGGAGAGGCACGCGGATCGATGTGAGAATTGAGCCCGAGAGTTTGGAGACTGCCGGGAGGCCCAGGATATCCGGTGACATGGCACCAGGATACTCTATACTACCGGGAGCCATGAAAGAGAGAACCCTTGCAACATCACGATTGACACACATCGCAGGGGAGGAGTGGTTCTGGATCGTTGACTGTGAAGATGGCTACGAGTACTTTCAAGGTGCTACTGAGATTTCTGCGGCTGCGTTCTGGGCGTTGGTAAATCCCTACTACTCCACCAAAGTTGAGATCTATGGACTTCGAGGTGAGCACCGCCGGGCACGGTTGAGATGCATTGGACGCTGACATCCTTCAGCCAATACGACATCCGTACTTGAGAAATGTTCGTCCATCGAGGACTTATCCACTGGTTCTGCTGCTGGTTTCCATCTGGCGTTGAACTGGCTTAGGACATGCATGACTACACACTTCCCATGCCGTCACTTCGCTCCGGTGCTTCCCAACTTACCAACAAGGGTCATAGACATTGGTCAGTCAGACCGTAGGATGGCTCCTCGACTCCACGTATCGACAACGAACCAAAAAGGGTTCTATTTCACACTCAGTCACCGCTGGGGGACGTCTAATCATTGTCGAACGACGAAGAGCCGACTGCACGAGTTCCAACGCGAGATCCCTCTGAATGAACTGTCAAAAACATTCCTAGACGCCATAGACATCACACGGAGGCTGGGATTTCGCTATCTGTGGATCGACTCGTTATGCATCATCCAGGATGACGAGTCGGACTGGCAAACAGAAGCTGCGAAGATGGGAGACGTGTATCGACAAGGCGCTTTGAATCTTGCTGCCGTGGACTCAGACGAGCCCGGGTGTTTCAGAGATCGAGACGGGGCTGTGACACGGCCCTGCAAACTTGACATCGAAATCCCCGATGGAATACTCCCTTTGCGAGATGGCGACATCATCCACGCTTTGCCCAGCCAGAAATTGGGGCCTAAGAAGCCTTCTCAGGCGTATCGTGGGCCTCTTGACTCTCGTGGATGGGTCCTCCAAGAATACATGCTCGCCCGCAGAACGCTCAACTTCGGTAAAAAGATGATCTACTGGGATTGCTTGACGATGCTTGCCTCGGAGCCACTGCCGGATGGTCTGGAAACGGGCGACATAGGAATTAATGACGACGGTGATTTTGTCCAGCGATTCAAAGCCGGCATAAGTGGTGACTTCCAAAAGTTGGAAGATCCGCTGAGCACAGCCAGCCAGGCCTTTTCTCGGATTTGGTTCTTGGCTGTTGAAGCATATACACGCCGCAAGCTAACTTTCGAGAAAGACAGACTAGTTGCGATTGCAGGTTTGGCTATTGAGTACCAGAAGGTGACAGGCGACGTGTATCTGGCGGGAATGTGGAAGCGAGATCTTCTTGATGGGTTGCTGTGGAGTGTTTGGGCGCGCGGGTGTCCTACAGTCGGAAACACGGTGGCCCAGAAGGGTGACCACGGTCCGTACGGAGAACGCTATACGGACTTCAAAGGTAAAGTCATCTCAAAGGTTTGTCGAACTGTATTGCTGATTCCTTACCCAGCGCCGTCGTGGTCTTGGGCGTCTGTTTCGGGTTACATCCGATACATTGAACAATACGAGCATGATGATCGAGTCGGACAGAAATTCATGGCCGATCTGCTTCATGCAGAGTGCACTCCTTTAGATCCACGCATGACCTCGTACACATACAGCGGCCACCTACTCATACGCGGCCAACTTCTGGAGGCCACCATCCAGGCTATGAACCCTTTTTCAGTTGACTGGGACACTCAAAAGAACACTGGTTCCATGTTGCAGATGCTCCACTATACCAGGGAAATGGAAAAATTGGCTGCTTTACCTCTGTCGACCACAATAAAACCAAAGGAAGTGCAGGCTGGACCATCGAAACGAATACTCCCGGTCGAAGGGGAAGGTGGTGACACAGCTCTTCCTACATCAGTCGAGGTCGATCAGCGTTCAGACAACGCGCCAGACGCCAAGGGTAAGGTTGTGCTGTCAGGGATGGAGGAGTTGACGGATGAACAGCCTGTTCCACATACCCCGTCCGCAACTTCAGCACCGTTCCCCCGTGGACCCGATTACACGAGGCTGACGGAGGGGATGCTGAGTGCCTTTGCTCCAGGCATCGATATGGACGAGTTACGGTCCGCCATCAACATCAAAGCGAACCACGTCACCATCGACGTGCGTGCAATAAAACGTGCTGGTGAGAGGACACTCAATAAGATGGTAACAGAGCCTTTCGACAACTCCAACGGTGTCGTCGACTGCAGGCATATACAAATGGCAGTGTGGCCGGTACATACCCTCGTTGATCCGCAGAGCCATAAAACAATTGGATTCTGGGCACCTGATGTCTCTGACGAGCTCGGGCTTACGGTCGGAGGCCGGTTGGTATCCTGCCTGGCGATCTCGCGGCGCAAAAACTTCGTTTGGTGTTTAGGTTTGGTACGGAAGGAGGATTCTGATGAGTGGATGCGTGCCGGATTAGCATATATCAGTGCTGAAGAGTGGGAAACAAGGACGCATGGATCACCGGCGACTGTGAGGATAATCTAGCTGCCTAAGCCCCCCTGTTTTCTCACAATAGCAAAAATAAATTGAGGGCAAGAGATATTGAGTCACCCAGTGGTTAATGTAAAAGCGGCGCGTGCATCTCGCGTGTCGCCGCCAAGAGTTTATATCAAATATTGAGTCACTCTGCCTCTTGAAAAGACTCTCTCTCTCTCTCACGTCCTGCACCAGTTCGTTCCCAGTCCCGGCTCTCCAAACATGGCTGTCGATTTCTCTGCCGAAGAGGCAGCGACCCTCAAACGTTGGCGGGAAATTGACGCCTTCCAGACCCAATTGCGCCTTTCCAAAGCAAACAAGCCCTATACCTTCTACGATGGCCCGCCGTTTGCGACAGGTTTGCCTCACTACGGCCACTTGCTGGCGTCCACCATAAAAGATATCATTCCAAGATATTGGTCAATGAAGGGCTACTACGTTGAGAGGAGATTTGGCTGGGACACACACGGCTTACCAATCGAGTATGAGATTGACAAGAAGTTCAACATCTCTGGACCAGCGGCAGTGAAAGAGATGGGAATTGCAAGATACAATGCCGAGTGCAAGGCTATTGTCATGAGATATGCGACCGAGTGGAGGGAGACCATCGACCGGCTGGGCCGGTGGATTGACTTCGACAATGACTACAAGACCATGAATCCTACTTTCATGGAGTCGGTGTGGTGGGTATTCAAGCAGCTGTTCGACAAGGGCATGGTCTATCGCTCTTACAGAGTCATGCCCTTCTCAACCGCGCTGAGTACGCCGCTCAGTCAGCACGAAGCCCAGTCCAACTACAAGGAGGCACAAGACCCTGCAGTGGTCATTGCCTTCCCGCTTGTCGAAGATCCTGACACCAGCCTCCTTGCGTGGACAACCACGCCCTGGACCTTACCGTCCAACATTGGCTTGGCCGTCAATGCCGACTATGAGTACATCAAATTCCTGGATCAAGACTCCGGTCGGCAATATATAATGCTAGAAAAGCTGTTGCGGACTTTGTATAAAGACCCCAAGAAAGCCAAGTTCAAGGTCCTGGACAAGATCAAGGGTTCTGCTCTCAAAGGCAAACAATACCTCCCACCCTTCGACTATTTCTATGACGAGTTCAAAGACCGTGCTTTCAAGGTTCTCAATGCCGCCTATGTCACAGACGATGATGGTACAGGTATCGTGCACCAAGCACCAGCTTTTGGCGAAGAAGATTTTCGGGTGGCCATGGAAAATGGTATCATCAGTCACGACCACCTCCCTCCCAACCCCGTCGATGAGACAGGCCGCTTCACGAAAGAGGTAACAGACTTTGTGGGTCAGCATGTGAAGGAGGCAGACAAACATATCATCAAACATCTGAAGGGTACTGGGCGTCTCATCCGCGACAGTCAACTAACCCATCAATATCCGTTCTGCTGGCGATCAGACACACCTTTGATCTACCGCGCTGTGTCCGGCTGGTTTGTCAACATCGCTGGAAATGATAAGGTGCCCAGCATCATTCCAGATATGCTTGACGGAATTATGAAGTCACATTGGGTTCCCAATTTTGTGAAGGAAAAGCGATTTGCTGAGTGGATCAAGAACGCCCGTGACTGGAATATCTCCAGAAATCGATATTGGGGAACCCCCATTCCATTGTGGGCGAGTGAGGACTACTCAGAGATTGTTGTGGTCGGCAGTATAGAAGAACTGAAGAAGCTTAGTGGTTACAAAGGTGAGATCACGGACCTTCACCGTGACAGTGTGGATGAAATCACAATTCCAAGCCAGAAAGGCAACGGTGTGCTGCGCCGGGTCGAGGAGGTATTCGATTGCTGGTTTGAATCTGGAAGCATGCCATACGCCTCGGCACACTATCCCTTCGAAAATTCTGAATACTTTGAGAAGACTTTCCCTGGTGACTTCATCGCAGAGGGCCTCGACCAGACTCGTGGGTGGTTCTATACCCTTGTCATTTTGGGCATCCACCTGAAGAAGATGTTGCCATTCAAGAACTGTGTTGTCAACGGGATTGTTCTTGCGGAGGACGGCAAGAAGATGTCCAAAAGACTCAAGAACTACCCTGATCCTAATACAGTCATTGACAAGTACGGTGCCGATGCTTTGCGGCTGTACATGATCAACTCACCTGTCGTGCGAGCTGAGCCACTGAGATTCAAAGAATCGGGTGTCAAGGAGATTGTTGCAAAAGTTCTTTTACCTTTGTGGAACAGCTACAAATTCTTTGAGGGTCAAGTCGAACTACTGAAAAAGGTTGAGGGTGTTGACTACATGTTCAACCCGGAGATGGACACGACGAACACCAACGTCATGGACAAGTGGATTCTCGCCAGCTGTCAGAGTTTACTCAAATACATCAACGAGGAAATGGCGGCATATCGACTGTATACGGTCGTGCCAGGACTGCTCAACTTGATCGATGAGACCACAAACTGGTATATCCGATTCAACCGGAAGAGACTCAAGGGCGAACTGGGCGTGGACGACACTCTGCATGCCCTGAACACTCTTTTCGACGTCCTCTTCACACTCGTCCGTGGACTCGCACCATTTACACCATTTATTGCCGACCTCGTATACTCAAAGCTCCTGCCTTATATACCAAAATCGCTCCACGGCGAAGACATGCGAAGCGTCCATTTCCTCGCATTTCCCGAAGTCCGACAGGAACTGTTCGACACGGTGGTGGAGCGACGTGTAGGACGGATGCAAAAAGTCATTGAACTCGCCAGGCAGTCACGCGAGAGAAGAGCTATCGGTCTGAAGACGCCACTGAAGACGCTTGTTGTCATCCACAAAGACCAACAGTACCTTGACGATGTCAAGTCCCTCGAGGGGTACATTACGGAAGAACTCAATGTGCGGGATCTCGTTCTGTCGTCCGACGAGGAGAAATACAATGTGCAGTACAGCGTCACGGCGGACTGGCCAGTGCTTGGCAAGAAATTGAAGAAAGATATGCAAAAGGTCAAGAAGGCGCTTCCGGACGTGACCAGCAGTGACTGTAAGACGTATCTGTCAGAGGGCAAGCTCACCGTGGCAGGGATAGAATTGGTAGACGGCGATTTGGTGGTCAGACGGGCGCTCAAGGAGGACGAAACTTCAAAAGACCAAGAAACGAACACCGACAACGACGTTTTGACTATTCTAGACGTGGCTATATACCCGGAACTGGCTCAGGAAGGTCTCGCACGCGAGATCATCAACCGCGTTCAGCAACTGCGAAAGAAAGCCAACCTGAAACCCACGGATGATGTCAAGATGGAATACAAAGTCCAGCAAGATCCGGACAAGATCGGACTCGAGCAGGTGTTTCAGCAACAGAGCTCCTTTATTGAAAAGGCGCTGCGGCGGCCGGTGGATCAACACGTGGTCACGGAGGTGGAGGGGCCGATCGTGAACGGCGATAAGGGCGGCGCAGATTTGATCGTGGAGGAGGTACAGGAGGTACAAAAGGCGACGTTCCTGTTGAGGTTGCTGAGGCTCTGAGAAGCGGGCTCTCATTGTTCGAAGGACATGACCGAGCATAAAGATGACATCGTTATGACATTTCTTGTCGAAGAAGAGATCGAGTCGACGAAAGGGACCGTAGATCCGGTCCAGCGGATGCGAAAAGAAGGCGTTAAAACAAGGGGTATGCATGTCACGACTTCTTTGCGTGTCTCTGCGCAGTCGAAGAAAGAAATTAGCTAGATGTCTGCGAAAGAAAGCAATGCATAGAGAAGAGATCCCCGATGAGAAGAATAGCAGAGGGACGAGGTTTGCCTGGGACGAGGGCGGCGAGAGCCAGGCAAAACTCGTCCATCTTTTTCTTCCGCTTTTCTCTCCTGATCGACATGAACCACGACCCAGAAGCGATGGCTGCTGAAAGACGCCGTGCCCAATGCCTGCCTCTCTGTCCCTCCCTCCTTCTTGGGGACCATGAACGAAATGCATTTGAAAATTGGGGACATTTGAGTATTGGAACATGGGATTTAGGGACTGGACAGTAGGGTAGACCCCTTCCCCCGACTCCCCGACTTCTCCGACTTACCAGGTAACAATCTTTCAGGCGCAGAAACTCCTTGGCGCACATGTCGTGGTACGTCGACTGGTAGTCGGCGACGATGCATTTGCCGTACGCCGACGCCTCGACGGAGCACTTGGCGGCCGCGGCGGCGAACTTCTCGATCGGCCTGGTGCGGCCGGACAGGGTGGGCATTGCGAAGATGTGTTGAGGATGTTTGTGGGTCGATGACAGCTGCACGATGCTCGATTGGGGTTGATTGAATTAATTGATTGATTGATTGTATATATGTCTGAAAAAAGTACAAGTGGTTGACGTTGCTGCTTGGGTTCTCCTACGGATCGTATGCGCCACCGTAGTATTTGTTCGGTGGAGGATACGTATATGCTCGGTCCTTAGTAAAATTCGTTGCCAGCTTCAAGGCAGCCAACCAGGAAGTACCCTGTTGTGAATAGCCACTAGGGGCGGATCCTTCTATCCTTCTACCCTAGAAGATGGATAAAAAGGGCAACAAGCTACTGGACGCCCTGCACGTGTGTTGGGTACCAAGTCGCCCCCAACAACACGCCAGCCCTTAATATTCGGGCAAAAGCTTGAATGCTCATCCCACGTCTGCCTTCCGCCTGATGCCCTTTTCTCCACCTGCTCACCCAGAACATTTCCATCTGCGCAGACTTACGAGTCTTTCATAGTATTCGAAAATCCCCTTCATGCCATCCTCAACGGACAGTCAGCCGATCTCAATTTCATCAGCAGGACAATCTCTTGAGGACCGGGATGACGACTCGATCGTCGAGGCCTCCAGGACAGAACTGGTGGGAAGCGCCCGCTGCCGCCTTTGTAAGCGAGAGGATCGAAGATGCTATGTAGAGCAAGGCTGCGCGTCGTGTGTGCAGTGCTCGGTGCACGATGACTGTGTCTTTGAGCGCCTCATATTGGTCGAGGGCCCTGTTGGACGTTTTGCATGGTCTGATCTGGTCGGCCAAAAACACACCATCGAAAGACAACCTGCTGCTGCTGCTGCTGCTCTGAATGCTAAACTTGTTCTCCCAGCTATACACGAACTTTTTCAACAATATCCCCAAGGACATGCGCAGGGCGATAACCTGCTACGCAGCGCAACGCAGCCCTCTCCTTGGAATCCGCTGATGGGCGCCCTCTCCGTAGGTGGACGTGGCTCTTCGGAAGGCTCCGCTCACAGCACCGTGGCAGCAGAAGAACCTGGATCCTTCGCCAGCTTTGTGGCTCGAGAACAGAGGAGAAGCGTCCAGTTTGCGCCATTGCTCAAGTCTGGTGTGCTGAATGCTGGCCCAACAGTGCATGTGGCCCTGCCGAGGGAAGGCACAAGCGCCGCAGGACGCTCTCGAAGCAGATCACCAGACCTCGAGTGTTCTGACTGCAGTTACGTCGCGAGAACCCGCTCAGATCTCAAGTACACCACCCATCAAGTCTTACCGTATGCCGGGACCCCTGCTGATATGTCACTTACCAGGAAACACCGTGCGCGACACAACCGCGAACACAAGTGCCCGTTTCCGACCTGCCCGCAAAGGCAGAGGGGCTTTGCGACGAGCAATGACCTGGACAGGCACCTCTTTGTGGTTCACAAGATCAACAACAGGAGGTCAAGGTCGTACAAGTGCTTCGGCATTAACTGTCCACGACCAAACCAGGAATGGCCTCGATTAGACAACTTCAAGCAACATCTCAAGAAGTTGCATCCGGGGGAAGTTGAGATTTCTCTACTGCAAAAGTGAGTCAGTTTGTTAAAGACGTTTGAAAAACGCCGCTAACGCCGCTCCAGGTCTAATGCTTGGTATGAATCTCAACTTTGCCAACAAGAGGCTGGGCCTCCTGCAACCCCGCTCTCATCTTGTGGGAGTGGGAGTTCTGCTCAGATCGATCGCGACAGTGGCAACGCAGATGTGGAGGTTGCCGAACATAGAGATGTTCCCGAACCTACCTCAGTCCGTCGGAGTGCCCCCTAACACCAAGCAACCTGATTGTGGACGAAGGCATTCCCTGACTTCACCAGACTGTCATGGCACCGACATCCCTGCAGCTGAACTTGTGTGGGGGTTAGAAACATAGTTCGCAGACGATTCTGTCCTCTATCACACCTCGCCTTGACTGAACCTTGAAACAGTTGGCACCACAAATACCAGCCGTGTCCAGCGAGGTACTTCAAGCCGAATGGATACACAACTGAATCAATATTGCACCGAAAGGGTGGTGACAGAGGACGGAAGCCCATCTCAGTTCTGATTGGCCCGTGCCCAAGCGCCAAGAGCAATGGCCCCTTTCACGTGCTTGCAGCACACACTTCAGCTTGTGACGTGAGATGTACGTCATCGACCATTTCATCGAGTGCTGCTCACCTCCCTGTTTAACGTGCAACGAAGAGGGCATCAATCACTGAACGGAAGGTGAACTACACCAAGCTGAAGTGAGACTTCATCAAACGACCTCATCGTACCTACTGTTCCTACTTCCTCATCGTACTCTCAACCCAACAAACCCCCGAGTAATCTGAAAAGCAAGCACCTATCCATCTCCAGGGCACATACTCTCTCTCAGTACCAACTCGGACTATTCTCAAAGACAGAGAGAGAGCCTTGAAGTATGTCCTCTCATCACCACAACCACCCCGACCACCACTCCCACTCCTCTCACCAGCACGGCCCAACCCATGATTCCTCAGTCCATTCCCCCCACCGTCACAACCACGCCAACAACCCAAACCGCCATCCTTCCCTGCACTCACCAGAATCCCACAGCGGACCGGATCCAACGACGTACGACAAAATGACCACCGATTCGAACACCACCCGTCTCAATACCATCGACTCAACCGCCACCGATCCACATACGACATACACCTCGTCGGACCCGTCGACCGCGCCGCACGCGCCCTCCACGCACAAGATCCTCGGCGACATCAAGGGCGCGGTGCACGGGGTGACGGGCTCGCTCCAGGCCGCCACGGGGACCATGTTCGGACAGAAGCACATGGCCGAGAAGGGCTTTGACAAGATGAGCGACGAGGACGCCCGCCTGGCCGCGAAGACGGGCAAGCCTCCCGTGGGCACCGAGCAGCGTGGTAGTGTCCCCGAGTCAACAACGACGACCTCTGCAGCCACCACCACCCCTGGAGCCACATCCGCAACTGAGCATGGGAGGGGTCTCCCTCATGAGCGGACCTGAGTTGAACGTGGGAGCAAACAAACACAGAGACGCGGAGAGAGACACAGCAACCCGGGAATGGTAACACGTTCTGACGAATGGGGGATTGAGCACAATGCGCAGGACGGAAAGTCAGAGGGATATGAACCCAGATATCATCTCGGGCAAATTCCCGCGAAGGACAGGAAGATAGTCAGCTGCACGAGAACGAACACTCCTTGCAATCCTCTACTCCCGAGCTTGGCAGAGCGAGGACCGGGTTACCTCCTCCACAATCCTGTATTCTGACGAGCAATACCAGTGTGACTGTGACTTAGCATAGCACGCATAGCTGGGGCTTTCCATACCAGCATATCCACCATGGATATCAAATCCACGACGCCTCGAGCAGGTTTCAATTCAGCAGACGAGAGAAAATTGCCAAAAGAAATCAATCCCGTGCGCCAGTTTCTGACTCAAAACAAGGGGTTTTATTGTTTTATTGTTTTATGTTTTTCTGATTTACAAGTTTCAATCTGTCTGCTTTCCTGCTCATCAATGTGATTTTCATCCATCCATTCCAGCCCGGCCGGTTTGACACCTTTTCCTCCCCTTTCCTGCTCACTACTGCAGGTTATGGAACAAGCTGCTGTTCATTTTCGCCTTCCCCTTTTATTTTCGTTCGGCTTGCCTTAATAGCCCCCTCCGCGCGTGCGTACATATGTACATGCTTGAAGGCAAGCTACATATGTATCGGTACATCCATCTCCATCCAGCCCATGGCTGCCGCCTAACCGTGTGTGTCATATCGGGAACTGGGGTCGTCAGGGATCTTTGTGCTCTGCTCAATCCCTTTTGCTTGTTCGTGTCGTCTCGTGTCGTCTCGTCTCGCCAGATCATGATGGCCCCATTCACCGTGTCGTTAGAATATAGCGCGAGGAAACAGGTGAATATCCAAAACAAAAAAAAGGAATTAGAACAGTTTTGCTTTTTTGTTTGTGAGTATGCAGTCGTGCATGCCGGGCCAAGCCCACATGAAGGCATGTAACGAAAGGATAAGCAACGCTATGCACAGGCAAATCATTAAGAACGTATGTTGGCTTTTGAGGGTCCCCTCTCCCTGTGGGTATTATCAACGGATCCGTCACGCAGCTGTGCGCCGGATTAGCGGGCCACATTGGAAACGCTGTGCCTCTGGTGGCTTGCACCTGGCCTCAGGTATCCAACAGCGGCACAGGCATTCATTCGCTCCCCGTACTTCATTCCTCGAAAAAGAAGCCGTCCTCACCCGTCTTCTGTACGCCGCTCATTCTGTGCTCAAGCGTCTTCGTCCGGGCAAGGAAGTTGTCATCAACTCGACTTTCTTCTGCATCTCGCGCCCCGCCAAATTGCGATTCCATCGTGCTCTCGTCCACAAAGGTGAATCCTTGAAAGGCGTTCTGCATGGTGGGCGACAATGGCGTCGATGCTGGGGCAGCGCCAGCGGCCAAAGCAGCAGCTCGGGCATTGAGTGAAGATGAGGTGTTGAGAGCGTTGGTGAATTCGGGATCAAAGTTGGAAGTATCGGCGATCGACGCCAATTTGGGCTTGAACGGAGGCACCAGATTCTTCTTGCCCAGTGCATCCCAATCAATGTCGGCAAAGAAGGGATGCTGCATCAGTTCCTCCGCATCTCCATGGGCACCAAGTCGGTGCTTAGGGTTGCGGTTCAGCAGTCCCTTGACAAAATTGCGACCCTCAGTGCTCAAAGCATCTCTGGGAAATCGCACTTTGCCGAACGCAATGTTCTTGTACATCTGCTGAGTGTCTTCGGCGTAGAATGGACTCCACCCACAGCACATTTCAAAGACGAGGACACCGAGCGACCAGAAGTCGACCATCTTGGTGTAGCCCTGCTCGTCGAGCAACACCTCAGGAGCTAGATACTCAGTCGTTCCGCAAAAAGTGTTGGTAGTGTCGTCCTGTGCTAAGTTGGCTTTGGAGAGACCAAAGTCACACAGTGCGATATGTCCGTTTGCGTCGAGAAGGATATTTTCGGGCTTGAGGTCTCGGTAGACAATATCGGACTGATGTAGATGCTTGAGCGCAAGGATAAGCTCAGCGATATAAAACTTGGCACGGTCCTCTTTGAAGCGGCCTTCCTTTTGTAGATGCCAGAATAACTCGCCTCCAGACATAAAGTCTGTAACCAAATAAAGATCGGTAGGAGTTTGGAACGAGAATTTGAGGCCGACAATAAAAGGTGACTCTGTGGTTGCGGTTCGAACCAGGATGTTTCGTTCACCGATGGTGTGCTGAATTTCCTTTTTCTGGATAATGACCTTCTTCGAGAGCACTTTCATAGCGTAAATGCGGCCGGTGTCCTTTTTCCGAACTTGATAGACTTGTCCAAAGGTGCCCTTCCCAATTAACTTGAGGATCTGGAAATCGTTCGGACCGACATGTTTCTTTTCGACTGGGGAGAAATGCATTCGAATGTGAATCTCGCCGGTAATATCCTGGTCCTCTGGACTACGGGGCTCTAGTTTAAAGAAGCCTTCCAGCGTGGGATTTTGTTCCGTAAGTTTCAAACATAACCGGATGTGGCCCAGGAACGTTTCTGCGTGACGATCGTAGACGGTCACATCCAATTCTGACTGATCACTGACGACGTCGCTTGAAAAACCAGTCAGTCCAAAGTACACCGAGTTGTGCCACTAGATCACTTACAAGATGGCTTCGTGATCCCAATGGGGATCGGTGACCCTGCCATCTCCATTCGTGCTGCTTTGGCGACTTCTCATCGGGATAGCCATCGGCTTCCCCATGTCACTGTCAGTCCTCCGCACTGACTGTAACTGGCCAACCGGTCCTTTCCGGTCATCAACATCGACATCCATCTTGTCATGTCTAGGTCCCTTAGAGACATACTCATTCCATTCAAATTGGCAGACTACGTAGGGATCGAAAGATGGCTTCAGATCTCGACCTTCTGCAATCTTGATGGAAAGCTTGCCTCTTGGCGTGCTGTTGGGTATTTCATCTTTGGCCAGAGATCGCTTCTCCGGCTGGGAATTGCCTTCACTGACGGTGGTACTCGCGCTCGAAAGGGGCGATCGAGTATCGGCCCGTCGATGATCTTCTTGGGACAAGGCTCGAGGAGTGTGAGGAGGGGTGCTCTTTTCACGCGGCCCATCGGCCACGTTTGAAGTTAGCTCATCTGACCCTTTAAAAATTGCAGACGATGGTAGCTTAGCATGACTTGGAGAAGGAGATTTGGGACTCTGTGGCCTCGAGGATTGCGTGGACGATGCAGGGTTTGAGATATGTGCGGCTGAAACGACGCCTTTAGTGACACCTGAGACGGGTAAGGACTGGTGGCGGCGGTCTTTCACCCCTGATGCAGACTTAGGGAGTACGAAATTCCTCAGAGCCTGCGTGATGGAAGCTATCCCACCATCTAGCAGGGATCCACCATTCTCTGCCACCTCGCCATCCCTATGCACCACTGAAGCGGCGGACGAGATTGGCGTAGGTGGTAACTGAGACGTGCCACCATCTGAGATGGGTAGTGCGGACTCTTCAGGCAGCTCATCTGGTGGTGGGGTTGGAATGGAAGCTTGTTCTCGCTCCACCATCACCATCGAGCCTAACGAAGCAGAGGAACTTCGCCGACTCTCGCTCCCTTTTGTGTGCTCTCCCTTGTCATGTTGTTGGATTGCAGGTTCAGGGTTTGTGACAGCTTGAGATGACCGTGACGGTGTACGCTGAGAAGAATCTCTACCCACCTGGCCAAAATAACCGTGTATTATACCCGGCAGCCGCTTGTCGTGGAGGTCCGGCCGCGGTGTCTCTACTCCAGAGGGTGTGGGTGAATTCGATCCAATCTGATCGTGAAAGTCCTCTCGGTTCTCGTGTCTCGCACTGCTGTTCGGGAGGTTAGCTAGAAGGTTCAAAGGATTCGCACGTTCAAACAAAGGATTCTTCGATGACGATGAAGTGGCAGCTGCAGCATAGCTGGACCCCAACCCAAGGGGGCGGAACATGGTATCTGCCTCTGGGTCCGGCTCGCCTGTTGGGAACACAAGATGTTGTTTCGTCCCATGGCCCATGTGCCAGAAGAACTCGACTCACGAGGTCATGGGTCATTTAAAAGGCCAAGGTGACCAGGCCCCAATTTGTTTGGAAATTCCTCAAAACCGAGGCTGGGGTAGGATCAACCCCGCCATGCACATGGCCAGCCATACGCAGCTCTTTCCCAACACGAAACTTGGTTGCTCAAAGGAAAAGATCGGGACATACTTCTGGGCTATGGCTTGTCTCAACAGATCTGCAGCTGCAGCTGCATTTGGGTTCACTCCAGTCTGCGCCATGTTGGCAGCCCTCCGCTCTGGTTTCCTCCTCTTTCAAAGACCGAGAACGACTCCTGCTTGCACAGTGTCGGGTTACGGGTCGCCGCACTCGCCCGTGAAGGGAGGGGTGGTTTGGTTCCTGAGATTCCCGGACGGCAGGGTCAGAGGGTGCAGAATTTGGAGAAAATCGGAAAATTGGTCGGCAGGGATTGCAGGGCTTTCTCGGAGCTCGTTTCACAAGGGTCTTTTAACTCAGAACAGCGGCCATCCGGACCTTCAGTGAAGGGTGAGACTCGAGTGAAAAAATTTCGGATCTGAGGTGGCGATTTGGTGGTAACGGTCAAAGATAACGACGACAAGCTCGTCAGGAGCGGGAGGGCGTGGGTGATATAATCGAGTTGCAGGGCGAGAGGTCTGACTTGGAGAAAAGGTAGGCGGGCCCAGGTCCTCACTGGGGGGGCCGAAGACTGTAGGGATTTTTGGGGTGGAAGCGGAAGGGAAACGGGAGATGGAAAGTGGAATGATGGCAAAACTATGTGCAGAGCCACCAGAGCGAGGTTGTTGGGTAGGCCTAGTGAAAGGAAGCTCAACAAGGCAGAGAAAAAGAGATTTAAGAAATGGCAGCTGATGGCAGCATCCAAAGTCAAATAATAGAGGCCGGCCAGAGGCTCCAAGGTTCCTGCTAGGTACAAAGTCATGCTGTGGCCGCCGCTGGTGCCGCCTCCTATGAGGGGACGGGGCCGGCCAACTCCAAGATCAAGGACAAGTTCCGGGGTCTGACACTGAGTGACGGAGACCCAGGCGTCAAGTTACAGCAGGCTGGAGCCCAACAAGGGCCCCTCAGTTTTTACGATCCATCGGCGAGCCCTCTTTTGGGTGTGGGAATTTTGCATCGGGCTGGCACCATCAGAAACCTGCCAATCCATATAACACACCATGTGCCACTCAGGCACAGGCTGTGCTCGAGGACGCTAGCACAGGCTCACTAGGCTTACGACGCAGACCTACAAGTACGCAACGAGTGCATTCATCCTCCTTGCCCATGCCCGTGGATGAGCGGTGGACGGATGGATCGAGAAGACATCCAGCGAGGACGATCGGACGACGTCATCCATGCGTTCATGGGCGCCATGGGTACATGGGGATTCTACCGACTTCCGCCTGGCCTGGAGTTTATCCCTCATTCTCGTTCGAGACTCCCCGGTCTTCTTGTCTTGGTCAAACAGAAGCTGCGGACGAAATACCCTTTGAGAATTTGTTGCTCAACCCTCAGCGTCGGTGCGACTCACCAGCAGCAATAATAATAATAATAATAGCAGCGTCGATTTGATTTGCATGTGGCATTTTGCGTTTATCTGTCAGCTGCAAGTGTCCCCAAAATCCCCCCTGTTCAACCAGCACCATCTAAGCGCCCCAGCACATGCAACGTCTCGGAAGCCCTGCCATGTCATATGCCCTGCCTTGTATCTCTAAACGCGTCTGAACATCCAAAAACAAACTGGTGGCCCATGGCTGGCTCGGCTATTCCGAGTAGGTTATCGCATATCTCCATCGCATCACCCGAGTACCTATGCAGAGAATTTTCCCTGTCGGTCTGATCTGACCCGCTCAGGACAGAAAATTCTGAGGATAACCCATTGTTCATGCAGTATTTGCCAAAAATGTTGTCTAACCTGGCCAGAGAAGGTATTCGATCTGGGGACAAAGCAATTCTGTCTGTTCGTTGATAAAGACTGAGAATCAGAAATGACCTGGCGCTGGCTGGCCGGTGAGGGTGATATCCGTCCAGTAATCGGTGCATACGATCTTCTCCGTTGAGCTGGACTTTCTATTCAGGGCATGGCTGGGCCAGACTGTGGTGCAACTGACCTACTGTCGTGGAATAGTACATGGAATACATCGGCACGATGCTGTGTAACCCGTGTCACTCGAAATACGATAGCCGTGTAGGCGGTAAGGCTGAAAAGCGAGCAAAAGTCCCAACGATGACACGTACCACGGTGAAAGGGTGCTGTACAAGTCCGGATCTTTTGTTCGCATACTCATGGCCGCTCAGGGGTTAGCCACAGCTTGAGGGCTTTGAGACAAGTTTCTCGTCTCTGGAGTACGAGGGCACGGAGGGTCACTGAGAGGCACAAGTGTTTCGTTTCCCAGCCCCGCCGCGAAATGTAAATGGGATTGACCGTAGTTATGCTGAGTGTCTTTGTGATCCGCCGAGTGACGCCAAGACCAGTAGTTTGACTCGCGTGGCGCGTTTGGGCCGCTTGTTACGAGATTGAAGTCGCAAGTTGGAAACCACTCAAGACGAAAGATCACTAACAGTTTGATCTGGACTTCATCAACACCATGGCTCGGCGTCCACGTCTTGCGGCGCAAGCTGCTCAGGCCTCCATGCGTAAGTCCCTCCAATAAGTTATCCTACATCACATCTAATTTCGGGAAGGAACCCCTATCCCTAACATATCCGACAATGAAGACGAAGAAATGCCAGATTCCCTACCTGCAGAGGCGCCTACACCGCAAGAAGATGATGAGGACGGAGAGAATGAAGAGGAGGAAGATGGGACGAATGAAGCAGAAGCCCCGACTCCATCACGAGAATCGGAGCCGCCGTCTCGATCCGCGACTCCTCGCCGCGGCCGCCCTCCCTTACCGCGTGGGCGGCGAGGAGGGAGGCTAGGCAGGCCTCCAAAGCACCGTGTTGCGACCGGATCTGAAGATGGAGATAACGATGCTGCTTCTGAAACTGCCACCCCCAAGCGAAGAGGAGGTTATCGAGGTCAAAGGGGGGGAAGATGGGCCAAATACAGAGCAGGAGGGTCACGACCACAACAAGCTCCTCTCGACGATGACGGAAATCCGATGGAGATTGTAAATGATGAAGTTCTCCTGCCCGAAGACCCAGAAGGTGAACAGAAAGTTGACAAGAATGGCCGCCTGCTGGGCGGAAGAGAATATCGCGTACGGACGTTCACTATTCTCGGCCGGGACGACAGACTCTATATGCTTTCAACAGAACCAGCACGATGTATTGGATTCCGCGACTCGTATCTTTTCTTTCAGAAGCACAGGCACCTCTACAAAATCATCATCGATGACGATGAAAAGCGGGATCTCATCGAGAGAGACTTGATACCTCACTCTTATAAAGGTCGCGCAATTGGCGTGGTAACCGCTCGCTCTGTGTTTCGAGAGTTCGGGGCTAGGATTATCATCGGAGGAAGAAAGGTGATCGATGACTACGAGACCAGGAAAGCACGAGAACGGGGCGACGTCGAAGGCGAAATAGCCGTCCCAGAAGACCGCTTGCCACCTCCCGGAGAACCTTACAATCGAAACCAATACGTGGCATGGCATGGGGCCAGTGCAGTTTACCATACCAACACGCCCAGTGTGCCTCTCCCTCTCGCAAAGGCGCAAGAGGCCAAGCGGCGAAAAATCGTGGTAACAAGCGACAACTGGATGCTGGAACATGCAAGGGAAGCCAGGTACGTAACCCACTTCTGAGATTCCAGACCTCAATTGACTCGTTGAAACAGCCGCTTCAACGCGCAGTTGACGGCCAACCGTCGGGAAAACATCAACGGTGTCTACGACATACATACCAACGTCATGCAGTATCCAGCCCATATGCAACCAACACATGCACGATGGGAGATCGTTGACGACGAAGAGGTAACTGAAGACCTGGAGAAAACAGGCCGGCTTCCTCACATCGACCCGGTATATGGACGAAACTTCCGTATTCATGACCTCTGTCTCGAATCGGCGCCAGAATCGTGGTACGAGACGCCTGGCACTACCGATGAAGGAAGAGGCCTCTCTGCAATTCCAACGAGTATACTTGAAGAGCTTCCTGCCGACTGTCTACGCGCGTTTGAAGAAGCCAAATCACGCGAAGCCGAATGGCGGGCAAAGTGGCATACGGAACGGGAGGATGGGCTGCGAGCACGCCTATTGCCTTCCTTTGAATGGTTTCCAAAGTGAGTCTACCTTGTGGAGTAACGAATCTCCATTGCTCTGGCGAAAGCTGTCTTTGAGCATGTCTCAAACGGTTCCGGCTTGCGATCGTTCGCACACGCACCCACCAAAATCCTGCGTACAGGACCCTACAGCGAGCCTCGGTCATGCGGACAAGGACGCCCAACACCAACCGGATTGGCTTTCATCAGACACCAAACCCTTCAACTCAGATGCACGAGACTTGACGGCGAAGAGAGGATTTGGAAGCAACGGAGGCCAAAGACACCAGCTTCAATCTCCAAACGCCAACCATTCCTCCTGGACAATGGCCACTGGAATAAGAGTGGGCCTCAGGATCCAAGGGCTCTGCAATCGCCGTCTCTGCGCGTGGGAATCGATGCGTATTGGAAGTTTCAAACTCAAAGTCGGTGGAAGTCGGGGGAACGAAGAGGGGTCTGTTTATTCCTAGAGATGAGCTCCAGAATTTTGTCGTTTGCAGGGTGCAGAAGCAGACCGATTTCCGGCGGTGGTTCGAACGAGAGAATCGTCAAGATCATGATTGGACGTCTACAACCCCATCCCGACGCACCTGGCATCTTCCCGATCGGTCGGACCAATTACCTTTTTCGAATGATCCCATTCTCGTCCAGGCTTCAACTGAAAATTTTGTGCCGCGGCAAACCGCCCTTTTCTTCAAGGCATGGGAGCAAGGACTGCACAAGAAAACTACCTTGTGCACGACGGTCAAAGACCCTCCACGTTGTCTTTCCACAAAAGGCTATTATGGAAGATGATTCAGAGCTAGACACAGCCGAAGGGCCGGATTGTGCATGGTTTTCCATTGATAGAGTGCGGTATCTTATTCAGCTGTGCTTGGGAGGCACTGTCACGGTGACCACGTGAGGGGCGGGCGCACGATGATGTCGTCGTACGTAAGAATCAGCCTGTGTTCGAAATGGAAACGTCGAAGATTGCGCAGCACTTATGTAGCGGCCTTGTTTCCCTTAGCGGATCGGGGCCATGTCGGTCAGAGGTTCTTTGTCCTACATATCTCGATGCTCGATGACGCCTAGGGGGCATGCAGGTGAACACACATGATGTTGCAGGGTGGGTGGGAAGAATAGGCATCAATTTTGGGGCCCAATTGAAACAGGCAAAACCCAAGGATTTGAAGGGAGAGCCACGGCGGCAAACAGTCGGTCACTGTTGGGGGGGCAAACCCCATGCATGCATCTCTCGCACCTGTCATGGTGACGCGGGAGGGCTTTTCTTCTTGCGAGTCACTCTTGGCCCTCGCATGCTTGGTTCTCACACCGAGTGGCGGATAGTCGAGCCAGTTGGTGGTGCACAAATAATGTCGTCAGGTTGAAAGTGGCAAGCGGCATAATGGTGGAAAGTTTCGAAAAGAGGAGCCTGGATGGATGAATGTTCGTATAACGTACCTATAACTCGAAAGAGGCGTAGGGTTGACAATGATATCAATCACTACCAGCAGTCAGGGTTTAGCGGAGTCATGGCCCTTTGGTGTCTTTGTCGATCACAGCGAGCACAACAATTCCATGCACCGACATTGATCTCGCCGCGGCTGAAGGCTGAAGACCTGAGAGAAGCAGGGGAGCAGGGGGACTCGAATGGTGTCGTCAGTGCTTACAGTACACCCCTTGGTCTCGAGCGTTGCAATAGGGATCTTCTCAGGGGGGCGAGGGGCGCAGACTCCAGACCAACTGCGAAATCAAGAAAAGGCTAAGGCGGCCTTCGGACGGACCGGAGGAAGGCAGCAGACTGAGCATCAGTTCAAGTCATTGGCTGGGCTGGGCTTCAACGTCGCAGAGGCATGCAGCGACCTGATCGAGGCCTGACCCCAACTTTTGGGCCACTTGGGCCACTGGAGCCACTAGAGCCACTCGGGAGCCACTAGTCCTGTTGCCGCCTAGCGGTCTCTCAATTATTAATGGCTCGTTCGCTGTGGTGAATTGTTTTGGTCCCTGCTGATTGTGCTGCTGCTAAAACGAACAAGCCCCATGGCAGCGAAGTGAGAGATATCTCTCGAAATTAGATTTTCAGCAACTGAATCATGCTGGCCCATCACAGAAAGCGCTCATACGCTATACGCTCACAGTACCTCGTACAGAATGGACATGCCTAGGTAAGTATTTGTTTGTGTGTGTGTGTGTGTTCTCGTATTCTCATCGCCTCTTCCGCAGTCAGCCCACAGTTGTTCTTCACGGTCCTTCTCTTCGTCGGGGGTCTTCTGACTGGACCGCAATAATCCCCTCGTGCAGTCCCGCGTGGCCAGCGGCCAGTAGCCAACGGGCCTATGGGCGGCTGTGGGTGCCTGTGGGTATTCCACCAGCCCTCGAGAACACCTCTGACGAATGATCCGCCTCTGGCTTCCTGCTTTTTCCCTGCCCTTCCGACTCCTCTTCGCTGCAGCCGCCTTTACCCAACCCAGCCCAAATTCAACGAGCCTAAGCTCGGTTTGAGCCCTGGCGTCGCCCATCGTCCTGCGCCCATCCTCGGTTTCGCCTTTGGCTTGCCCGCGCCCTCTTCCCTCCGCCTTTCCCTTCCCTCCTCCCTCCACTCACATTCTTCACTCGCGCGTGCCGCTGGCCTCTTCCAGGGTTCCCTCACCACTCCCTTTTCCCTTGCCCTTGCCCTCCCCTCTCCCGGCCGCCGTAGCTCAAATTTTCGACCTCATTCATCATCTGTCCCAATTCACTTTTGCCTTTTCTCCCCCATCCCAACCCTTACTCCTCTCCTCTCCTGAAATCAATTCTTCACGAACCTCTCTCCTCCTCATCACCATCGAAAAGCGACTGTAGACTACCCTTTCAAGACCTACGGTCTGAGTCGTTGTTCCTTGGTGCAGCCACCGTTGCTATTCTCGGCGGTCACCCTGGATCTTCCCACCCAGCCCTTCGAATTGGTAATTTCGGACCCGGGCCCACGTCCTGCCTCAAGTGAACCTCCTGGGTGACGACTCCTTGCGGTCAGCTTGATTGCCACAATTTCCCACGGCACCACTGTCGCCAGGCTACCGATATTTGGTTCTGCTTCGCCATACCGACTACGTCTCGCAAGCCTCCCGTCGTCCCAGGCACCGTTCAAACCATTTCCTTTGCGACTTGGTGGCCAGATTGGGGGTTTTCGGTTTTCTGACCAACGAACCACTCCGAACTGCGAGTCACGAGCCCCGTCAGAGCCATTTTTGTTGGCCTTGCCTGCGCGCTCCTGTCCCCGCCGTCCCTAGTGGCTGTGTGTAGCCATATTCGGGGTGCACCCGTCTGTGTCCGCGCTCAAATTCTCCCTCACAACACCCTCTCTGTGGCCTGCACTTCCTCTCAAACAAACGCCCAACATCGAGACTGTCACTCCTTCGCGATAGCAGTGCATTGTTGATTTCTTTGGAGAGTCAACACGCATCGAAACATTACCACTTGGTACGCTCGTCCCCCATCCTGAAAGACTTCTGCCCATCAGAAGCACGAGCTTCATACAAAATCGACGTGAAATGTTTTGATTTTCTGCGGACGCTCGTCGCTGACTCTTTACGTTTGCAGGCTGCCTTGCGAATGAGATTCATCTCACGCCGCTCCTCCTTACCAGATTCAGCCATCTCGACGAGCTTTTCACTAAGTCTTGTCGCCCAAATTTGAGCGCCGCTCAACCCCGATCAATCCGCGAGACATTCCTGTTTGCCTACCACTATCAGTAACAGTTAAATCAGCATTCGTGTGAATAGCTACGACTACGTCTAGCAAATCAGACTTTTCACTGTCGCGATCTCCATCATTCGTTTGCGGTATAGTCTTCGGTCACAGCGATTGATAACACGAGAACATCGCCTCCATCCATGACCTGCTTTTGAGTGGGATCAAAACAAAAGCTTTTCAGCTCCGGCTTCAACGCCTCGGGCGTGGCCGCGCAATCAGCGGAAGCAGACGGTGAGCAACGATCCCACTACCAGGTAAATATCTGATCGCTAACAGTATTAGGCCGACGGCTTGTCTGCTCTGCTCAACGTCCTTGACCGAGCATGCCTTCCTACCACAGCTGGGGCGCAGCCGCCCAACACCCACGACTTCCCCCAACGCCTCCGGATTACCAGACGACTTACCTCACACCCTTGAGTGCAGTGTCTGATCAAAGCTTCTATCCATCGCAAAGCTACCACCCTCGCCGATCACTCTCATCTCGAGAGTACAATGATAGATTTCAGCCTCCGCCGGCTTACACCGCTCAGCCGTCTCTAGCTGGCCAGGTGGCGCGCCTGGGGCATGCTCACCCGTCACAAGAATATCCCTACCCGCAACCATATCAGATGCATGGTCCGTCCTACTGGGCAAACCACGTCGCAGCGCCTATTCTCCCTCCGATCCGTGTGACTGAGGCTATGGACCATTTCCCGGCCCATTATGGAGCACAGCACACGGAGTCGAAACCCAAGGAGGACAAGCCTACAGGAGGTGTCGCGCAGCATCTGGACTACGACATGGACCTCATGTCGAGCTTCGTGGCTGAAATGTCCCAAAAACTGTGAGTTCTACTCACCCAGATCTAACATTCTTGACTCTAACCTCTTGTCACAGTGTAACACCAGAGTCTGCACCAACATCTCAGTTCCGCAAATACGTGTCTCAGATTCTGTCCTCTACCCGCTTGCCCAGCTCCACAATTATGCTAGGGTTATTTTACTTGGCTTCGCGCATGAAGCAGGTGAATGAACGCGGACAGTCGACCTCTTCATCTGGTACTGTCTATCGGATGCTCACTACTTGCCTACTGCTTGGCAGCAAGTTTCTCGACGACAACACCTTCCAGAATCGGTCCTGGGCCGAAGTCAGCAGCATTCCGGTGCACGAGCTGAACATGATGGAATTACAGTGGCTGACGGATTTCAACTGGGAGATCCATGGCATGATGTATGATGAGGACAATGGCTTTTTCATGTGGGTAGAGCACTGGCATGCCTACGAAGAAAAAGCCCAGCTCGCCAAAGTCAAGGAGTTTCAAAAGCTCACTCCGATCGAGACCAATCTTCATCGCCATCATGCCGTCCAGAATCAACCCCTCATGTCCCCTGAAGGGCCCATTCCTCCTCAGTACCAACAAGGCTCGCAATACGACACCCGATGGGTTCGTGCGTATATTTCGGAATATTCACCACCATCTGCTCCGCACAGTGGACCGCCCACGCCAGACTACTACAATGCCTCTTGGGCCTTTACACCGGGCGCTCCTCCAGCATATGGGCGCCAGCAGTACCACTCTGAGAGTGCCTCTGCATACACCGCTCAACGCAATCAACTGCCTACCTATGCCCAGACCTTTGGCTATGGATCCGGCTTGACCCCGACTTGGGTCACTCACGGACCCAACTGTGGCTGCAGCCTCCATGCCAAGCAGTCGGATTATTACTTCAATCACCCGGGATACACCATGCAAACTGTGGTGGGTTAACTCGTTCAAACTCCAACTCCAGCGTTCAGCGATCTGGGTCCGGCTCCAAAAGTTCTTGAATCATACCGGGGTGTTCGGTATTGTTTTTACCACTGTCGACCATTTCCCTGCAAACAGACAAAATCGGCACCGTGCGAGGAGGAGTCCTTCATATTTGTTGGCGCTCCGGTCACACCGCTCCTCGCGGACGAAAATTTCTCTTCTAATCGACTTTCCCAATCTAACGACCTTTTACGAACGGTACTTTCTTGTCTTTCGTTATGCAGCATCTAAAGCGAGCAACTCCCCCAAGAATAGATCAATTTTTTTCTTTTCACTATACATTCACGACGGGGATGCCCGGGCGGCGCTTTCATGGCGGGAAAAGTCACCAAAAAGTTCCGACTCGGGAATGGGTTTATCATGGAGATGGCGTCACGGTTAATCAGCACAAGGGGGGGCGGGCACCGCGCAGGGCTTTTTTCTTTCATTCAAAAGACTTTGTTTGCTTCACAGTTTACTACACCGTGTTTTTTATGAGACTTTCAATCACAAAAGGATGCCAGGGGATCATGGCTTGTGTGAGAGCTTGCATAGCACGGCATCGCAGGGGAAGGTGGCTTGGTCAAGAGGTTTGCTGCATCGTCGTTTTTGTAATTAGCTATGTGAAACGAGGCGGCGGGTCCAATGAACGAGGTTGAAATGTGCTACACAGCTGTCCAACTGGGGCCCGAAAAGGCCCTTTCAGCAGCCAGAGTTTGCTGCACAGGAACCCATGAGGCACCCCCTGTATGGAGTACGTGTGATGGGGGTGGTGTTGGGCACAAAAGGAAACACAGGACACAGCGGGTGACGTTGTCATGGACCTTGTTGTCATTTTCATTTTCTTCCAACGGCCGAGATTCAACGTCGGAAGGTATATACCCCTGATAGATTGCAATGGCGCTTCATTCGCTTCAAAGATGGCAAGCTTTTCATCATAGACATGGTGTCTGCCAGTAAGAAGTTTCCCATATGCATTTGCAGATGAAAATCGATCGTGGACGACCAGATCAGAGGCAACGAGAGGCAGGTGTTGGAGGAGGATGGGCTGAAAATGGGCTCGAAAGAAGCTGGTTCAGGCTGATTATTACTCTAATATTAGGTGCTGTAATAGGTGCGTGCTGTGCTGGAGGCCAGGCTGCGAAGAGTGACGCGGTACGGGAATGGTGCCAAGCCTGGGGCCGCGGTTTTGCCGCAGCGACTCTCGACTGCGAGCTTCCATCTCGTGTCTGGGGGGATTGTAATCAATTCAACTGCCCATAAAACCTCAAGCCACTACTTGATTCTACCATCCCGACCTATCTTCCTTGCCTTCGATCATTCCGGGCCCCACCAAGAAAACTTCATCAAAAAGGCCGCCATCATGTCGACGTTAGAGGATCTCGATGATATGGAGCGCGATGAGAAGGAGCAGAGAAAGGATGGCGATGACAAGGACAAGAAGCCTACGTCTAACGGCGACGCCAAAGATGCCGAGATGAAGGACGCGGATTCCAAAAAGGATGAGGAAGAACAATACATCGATGACGAGATTCTACAATCGAGTACGAGGGACATCATCAACCGGCGGCGACTACTCGAAAACGAAATGAAGATCCTGAAGAGCGAGTTCCAGCGGTTAAAGCACGAGGAGACTACCATGAAGGAGAAGATCAAGGACAATTTGGAAAAGATTGAGCAGAATCGGTGAGTTTCAACGACGTGTCTTGTTGCATGGAGCGAGTGGCGGTGGCTAACATGAAAACGTCTCCAGGCAATTACCCTACCTCGTGGGCAATGTGGTCGAACTCCTTGATCTCGACGTCGAAGCTGAAGCGGCCGAAGAAGGCGCCAACATTGATCTCGACGCCACGCGAGTGGGCAAATCGGCCGTGATCAAGACTAGTACTCGTCAAACTATCTTCTTGCCTCTGATCGGTCTGGTTGACCACAACAAACTGAAACCCGGCGATCTCATCGGCGTCAACAAGGATTCGTACCTTGTCCTGGATACCCTGCCCGCTGAATACGATTCCAGAGTCAAGGCGATGGAGGTTGATGAGAAGCCGACGGAGAAATACACCGACGTTGGTGGACTGGACAAACAGATCGAAGAACTCGTGGAAGCGGTCGTCTGGCCGATGAAAGAGGCGGAGCGGTTCAAAAAGATCGGCATCAAGGCTCCGAAGGGTGCGTTGATGTATGGTCCTCCCGGCACGGGTAAGACGCTTCTCGCCCGTGCCTGCGCCGCCCAAACCAACGCGACCTTCCTGAAGCTCGCGGGTCCTCAACTGGTGCAGATGTTCATAGGTGATGGCGCCAAGTTGGTCCGAGACTGCTTCGCACTCGCAAAGGAGAAGGCCCCGTCAATCATTTTCATCGACGAGCTCGACGCGGTCGGTACCAAACGTTTCGACTCGGAGAAGAGCGGTGATCGAGAAGTCCAGCGGACCATGTTGGAGCTGCTCAACCAGTTGGACGGCTTTGCGTCCGACGAAAGAATCAAGGTCCTTGCCGCCACGAACCGAGTCGATGTCCTCGATCCTGCCTTACTTCGATCTGGTCGGTTGGATCGAAAGATTGAGTTCCCCTTGCCAAATGAAGAATCCCGTGCGCAGATTCTACGGATCCATTCCCGGAAGATGACTATAGACGAGGGCAACATCAACTTTGATGAATTGGCGCGGTCAACGGATGAGTTTGGAGGTGCACAGCTCAAGGCCGTCTGTGTCGAAGCAGGTCAGTCATCGCTGCTCGTCATCCGTGTTTTACGGGCGGAGTTGCTAACCATTTCTAAAAGGCATGATTGCCCTTCGCAAGGGACAATCCAAAGTCAATCACGAAGCATACGTGGAAGCCATTGCGGAAGTGCAAGCAAAGAAGAAAGACACGTGCGTCTTCCCGATCCTTATCTGTCGTTATAGGAAAGCTAACATTTGAATTTGCAGAGTCAATTTCTACGCATAATGCAGCGGTCATGCTCCCAAATCAGCATTCCTGGAAAATTCATGGCAGAACGTGGCATGTACAATACTCAATCAGGCAAGGGACAAGATCCTCAGATAGATGACTGCCGTTCCCTGGCAGCCCTATTATAAACCATTGGACGTGGCTTTGCGTTGTGCTTTTCGAGAATGTCCCGTCGTCGCCATCCCGTCGTCTCGATGTTCAGCTCTTTAGCTGTATACGGTCATGCTTGACCCTTCTGTAGGGCGTATTATTAGATATTATGTGACAAGTAATATCGGAAAGCGGCTGGGCACACCCACGGGCTGCCAAACTTAGTATGTAGTTGTCGTTATCCATGATGGAGTTCTCATTGGCCAGGAACGAGATGTGTGCCCTGTTTCATGCGCCGAGTCGATGGTCCGCGTCCAACTTTTGTATCCGCTCGCCACAACGATTGTTCGTGGCCTTTTCATGCATAGATGTGTCGTATCTATTATAACTTGTACCAATTGACGACGGTGGGTTGTGGTCTACAACTCTTGTGGCGCTTTGTCATCTTTGGAGCCATGGCCAGAACGACATTCAATGTGCTCCGTTAGCAGAGGAGACAGTGGCTCACATTTCGGTGCTGGCGCTGAACGCGTTGAACAGGCTTGGAGTACTCATGCAGGATCTCTTTCTTATCTCGAGCCGTCAACATGATGTATACATTAACCCACCCAATGGAAGAACGAGCAAAGTACGCCCAACATGATGGCCACGAGCAGTCATACTCTCCTCGGGACTCCCAACCCCAGCTGTTGTCATTTGCATATATCAGGCAGATGCAGAGTGGTGCGCCAGCGACTCGGAGGCAGTCGTTTCCATCTCTCAGACCCTTCTCGACGCCACGATACCGTGCCAAGTCGCGCTTCCTGGTGTCGACAGCAAGGGCCGATTGGAAGAAGCTTCCACCATCAATCCTCAACCTCGTCCTACATCATCTCAGACGTCTCCATCTGAGCCCAGGGTCTTCGTCGTGTTCAACATGCTACCTGCGGGATTTGAGCTCGGTGCAGCTGACGTGCAAGGCATGGTTTTCTGACGCACAGCGGATCCTGTAAGTCTGTCCCCTCCAGCGACGGAGCCTGCTCCTCAACACAGTCTAGGTATACCAACATCCAGATCATCGGCCAGGATGATCCCTCGATGCTGCGGAAGTGGAGAGTCTCGCGAGCAGCGCGCCTGGTGCGGCTGCGGTCCACGCTTCGTGCGAGACCACTCCTCGCCGCCCTGGTGAGGACACTCCACGTTCCGGATCCTCATATCCCCATCTACCTGGCCAGTGGCAGTCCAAACCCCGAGTATGATGCGTACCTTTGCACCATCGCGTCCGTCGTCATGGAATGTCCCAACCTGGAAGCCTTGACAGGATTCGTCGCATTCTACAACCACACGTTTGACCGGCTGACGCACGCACTGTCGACGCGGACGAAGCTGCGCCAGCATGTTTGGATCATTGCCGAGAATGACGATGTCAGTGTACGAAGTCAGACACAATTGCCCCCGGGTCTTCTGGACGACCACCAGACGTACCAGTTCGAGCTGTACCACTGGCGGTGGAAACGCCTCGAAACACTGCTGCTGTGCTCGCCAGGGAGCCACGGCGTGATCGAGCACGAGTTATTCATTCGCGTCCTCCACTCCTTGCCCGCTTTGCGCCACTTGTGCATCTCGTCCTTCGACGCCGACGATTTTCACGACATGACACTCCTCTCACTCCCGCCGTGGGTCACGGCGCTACGGCTGGAGGAGTGCTTGGGGGTCACCGATGCCGGCCTGACGCAGTGGGCGGCGAGCCCCAACGCGGCGCAGACCGAGCGGCTGAGCCTGATTCACCAGGACGTCACGAGCTTACTGACGCTGTCCAAGATATTTGCTCGCTTGGGTCGCCTGTGGAAATTCACCATAGTGCAAACGGACGTCGTGCCGACCTGGCCTCAAGAGGTGGGAGTTCTGTTTCAGCCAGTCCTCGCCTCGGGGTCTTTGAGATTTCTCCACTGGGATATTCTATGCCCATCGCCAGAGTCTCTTGCGGACCACCACAGCGACGCTGCTAATGCGGAGGAACAGCAGATGCCGAACGTGCAACTTGCCCTCTCAATCTCCCACCACGGTTTTCCGACATTGAGGCACCTGCGCGTCCCTCGAGATGTCTTCCCGCCTGGTGCTCTGCAGTCAGTTTGCGAAATGGTGGGTGATGACGGCATGCTTCTCGACGATAGCCCTGGCTACCATCACCAGTTCTTGACCAGATCGAACTCCTTACGAGGAGCTCGTCAGCGTGCTCGGCGAATTGCTCACCAAATCCGCACGGAGGGACTGGATTCTGTTCTTCCGCGTGCTCTCCAATACCCGGCGACGACGATGCTGCCAACTTGGAGCCACGACGGGCCGGATTCGTCGCAAGTAGTAATACTCAAGGACGAAATAGAAACACCAATTCCCACCTCGGGGTACAAGGAGCCAGATACGTCCTATGCTCACGACCACAGCCGAACCACTCCTGCTCCTGCTCCTGACCAGAGGACCGTCCACCACGAACTGGTGTCGCCGATTTCTCCAGGGATTTGGCCCTTTTCGCCGTTGGCACCGGACGACGGTATCATCTCCCCAATTACTGCGGAACGAGAGGAGAGGTGTTGGTACAACAGAAACAACAACGAGGACCCCGACAAGGAAGTAGTGGTAATACCACCACACACGAGTGTGCCCTTTGAGTGCATGAGGTATGGGGGTCCTCCTTGGCAAGCTCCAAGCGAGGAGAAAAGGTGCGTCTGCGATGATTGGGCGACAACTCAAAGTGTCGAAGGACGAAGATGTTGTTCCATCTCCCCGCCGCCGCGGAGTCCTCTTCGGTCGGCCCTCCGCGCTCCAGGTCCTGTCCCTGGCCCGTCTGTCCGTGGCAGTTTTGGAGACCACAACTGTCGCGAACCACAATTGCTGGATCGGAGAGGATCTCTCGTGGTCCCCACTGGCTCAGCCAGAGTCAGAGCCAGAGCCCGTCAGCAGTCCCAACGTCCCATCTTCTATCTGCAGCCAGACATCGTCGGACGAGACGAGAACGGCGGCCTGATCGGGTGGGCCGAGCTCCTGGACATCCGCGAAAAGGCCAAAGTGCCGCCGCGCACGGATGAGAGACGCATTGCCAGGTCCGATGGACGACGTGGCGCTCAGTCAGCCGAAGATGATTGCACTGACGACGATAACGGCCGCGGCCAATGCCAAGGGAGAAGAACACCGAACATGTGTACGGGCTCCTGGGGGAAGAACAAGCGAAGCATTGATGATTCCGACGCGGACGGACTGCACCGGCCCAACAATCTCGGCGCCGATGCCGTGGTCGCCAAAGTCCTCTCTGCACCGTTCACCGCCGTCAGTGCCACTGCTGCTAGGGAGAAAGGCAGACCGAGGTCGAGGTCGAAATCCAAATCTAGGTCCTCCACGTCGAGATTCAATCTATCTCTGGGCCTGCGCGGCTCCAAGGAAGAGACCATGTCCCACGAGACGACAGGGAGGCATGTACCGCGCCCGAGAGGAGATCGGGGTGGATGTGTGTCCGCGGTGGATTTCTTCTAGCAAGAGAAGGAGAAGGAGAAGGAGAAGGAGAAGGAGAAGGAGAAGAAGAAGAAGAAAAAGAAGAAGAAGAGTATGAAGCTCTAGGAGTTTCAGCCTTCACCTGCCGCTGTGCTTTATTGAACTAACTGTTCATCAGGGATTCGAGACGTGTGATGATGATGATGATGATGATGATGACGATGATGACCAGCTGCACTGTTCAAATGGAGGAGGGTTTTAAATAGATAGAGATCTAGTCAATTAGCAAAAGCGGAAAGAACAAGTGCCACAATATCATTTCAATTCACGGGTTCAATTGGCGACCATAGTCAATATATTCCTTATATGGTCTGGCCTGTCAGTCATTACTTCATGAACTTCGTGGCACTCCGTCCAAGCTTGTTTGTTCGCTTTGTGTCCTCGCGTGCTAGCTAGAGAGAAGCAGAGCCTCGTCAACCCCAGCCTCAAATACCGGAACTCAGTGGCCCCCAAGCCGTACGCAGGCGGAAACCCGCTCCCAGGCATCGGAGATTGCTGAGCTGATCACTCACTCATTCACTCATCGTACAACAGATGCAAGGTCGTCGGGATGGGCGACTCCTTTGCGTTCGCGTCGAGGTAGATCTTGGCCTTGACACCCGCAATGTCCTGCGCGATCACGCTGAAGCGACCCAGACGACCCTCGGCGCGACGGAGGTTCTTCAGGCGGAAGACCTCCTTGAGCGTGGCGACGAGTGCCGGCCCGATCAGCCGCGCGCCGAAGCAGTAGTGCATGCCGTGTCCCAGCAGGGTGTACGATGACATGGGGCGGTGCGGATCGATCTTCTCAGGGTCTGGGAACGCAACAGGGTCCATCGCGGCAGAGGACGTCGCGATGAGCACGTATTGGCCGGCCTTGATGTGTATGGGCCCGCGTGCGCCGTCCTCGAATGTGACGTCCTTCGAGGCGACGCGAGGGAGACCGGGCACGACTCCGGCATGGCGCATGCCTTCAAACACGAACCCGAGCAGCTCCTTGTCAGAGGCTTCGTCTTCCTTCTGCGCCAGCTCCACGATCCGCGCCTTGTATTGCTCATACCCCTCACTCAGGTAGAGATCGATGAGGAGGGACGCTTGTTGGGTGATGTTGCCCGCGACAGGAGCGCCCATGCCAATGCAATCACCCACCATGTCACCCACGTCCAATCCCGTCTTGTTCATCGCGTGGTAGAACTGGTCTGCGTCGGGTCCGACCTCGTACGCCGTACCCTTCGCCAGCCAGTCCACAATGTACTCCGTCAGACCACGTTGCGTCCGGAAGTGGGCTGTAAAGATCTGTCTCAAGATCGGCGCAACCGTCTCGGCCGTCTCTCTCAACTTCCACTCGTTGACCGGCAGGATGTTGAAGCTCTGGTACATGAACAGAACCAGATAGATGTCGAATAATTCCGGAATGGTGACCAAGCCGCGAGGGTGGGCCGCATCCTTGATGGGGATGGCGAACCGGCGCGCGAGCCACATGATGGGCGTGACGTTACAGACATCACGGACGATGTCGATCGATCTGCGATGGTCGGGATACTTGAGGGTGCTCTTGTGGATGAGGCTCCTGACGGTTTCGCGGAAATACTGCTTCAGGTTCTGCTCGAAATTCTCCTCAAAGAAGACCTTGTGGAGGATGACGGAACGGGGGTCGTGGCGGGCTTGGTCGTCCCAGCCGATCATAAATTCGTGGCCATCGGTGCAGTTGCGGATGGCGGTTTGATACATAACGTGGAAAGTATCTCGGTCTTCAAAGGCCTTCTTGACACCTTCTTGAGTGTGGATGCCGACAAGCTTCATCACATTTGGTGGAGGTCTCCGAAGGTCATACTTGGCCACCACCTTGTTGCCTTCGAGGATGCCCTTGACGGCCTCTGGTGTGTAGAACGGCATCAAAGCATATGTGGATGTGCCGGTGAACTCTCCAGGGAGGCCGTTGAAGATCAGCTTTGCGAGTATGCCTCCGTAGGCGCCTCCCGGGAGATCCGCGAGTTTGGACACGCCCCAGTTTGTCAGGGTGGTGCTATTGAAATCGTATGTGAGGAAACGGTCGCCTCGCACCAGAGCAACGGCATCATCCAGGATGCCACGTCCGGTTGTTTGGCCAGGACAGACACCGCTGCCTGGCATTGGCGGCTTGGTACACTCTGCCTGCAGACCGGGATATAGTTCAAGATTGTCAATGTGGCCGTATAAGAGCTCGGCCGCTCGAGACACTTCCGGATCCTCGTTCCATTCCGAGAAACTCTTGTATGCCGTCAAGTTGAGGTATTTCCGGAACCTAGCAATTACTTGTCAGCATTATCTGAAGCGGTCACGTCACCCAAAATCTTCCTCGTGACTTGTTAGACTCACTCGTTCAGCGTGCAGGTGTTGAAGATCTCCCTGGCCTGAAGCTGGCCCATGAGATCCACCACCTTCAGACTGGCCGGTGTCCCATTGGCCCCGAATGCGTGAGCTGGCTCCTCGATGCAGTCTTTGATGAGACGGCCCAGCTCGGCGTCGTCGAAGCGTCCATCCGGACCGCGCGTCAAGTTATTAAATGTCCATTCACGAGCAGGCTTGGATGTCAGCTCCTTGGTGATTTTCCCCGTCATCTGCCAGAAGAGCGCCGGAGTCATTTCATCAATGGACTTGATCTGTGGAAGATTCCCCTTGATGACATCTTCCATCCACCTCGCGTCGGCAGCGCTCAGGGCAGCATGCCAGTGGTAGAGAACTGCAAACTCCACCGAGACGGCGTTACCCAAGCCTCTCGGTACACGTCCGACCTGTGCAGACCTGATCTCTTCTCCCAGGTTGAGCGACCACTCCGAATTGGCTCGGGGAGTGTTTAAGATGGCAGCAACGTAGTCTCTCAGCACCACAGAGGCGAAGAAACCGACGTTAATGTTTCTGCTCAGCTGGAAAATGTCCTCGTCTTGTCTATAGTCGGGTTAGTCAGATAATAGCCTCGGTGGGGCGGTACTCACTTTTTCTGGTCCTCTTCTTTCAGTTTATCCCATGGACCATACGTCCCTTGCTCATTGATAGACAAGAGCGTTTCAGCAATCTGGTTGTGGTTCCTGGAAAACATCATCAATACGGCAATGACGCCCGGTGGCATCAGCATGATCCTCTCCGAGGCAATCGAATCTGGATAGATCAGGCCGTTCTTGTACGTCCGTACTCGTTCTTGTTCCTTGCTGGTGTTTCCGTAGAGTGTGCTGAGATCGACGTAGCTGGACGTTTCGTTTTGCCAATTGTTCCCCCTTGAGGTCTGAAAGCACTCATGTATGACGACCGTGGCGAAGGAGAAGAACAACCTGTTTAGCCCGGATGGGTGTTTGCGAAACGAGCCTTCTTTTCGCCGGAGCAGATGTTCGAAGACGAGTTCGACGTCCGGCAAGTTAGGGCCTTTTGGTTTCACAGGCGGCACGCTTCGGCTGTAGGGCGAGCCTGCTTTTCCCAACTCGGGATCCCAGAGATTGTTGTTCCCTCCGTCGTGCCTCCTGTATCTCGTCGTAGGGCCAGCCACGGTTCCTGGTGGGTGGGGCAAGTCGTCCCATAGCATTTTGATGAACTGACCAGCGGCGTCCGCACCCAGTCCGCTGTTGGGCGGGAGCGATTGCAGCATGTGCACGCCATGCTCGAGCAACAGCTCTTTGTCGTTCAAGGGCTTTCCTGAGATCAATGTGTTGAAGGCCTGGACCAACGTGGCAGCGTTATCTCGACCTAGATGAGTTAAATCATGCAACAGCGACGTCTGATTGACCGAGGGCGTCGCCGCAGCTTCGGCATCTGTCCGCCCATCTGGAGCCGTGGGTGCATTTTGGAATATGGTTGCCTGCAATTTGTGCAATTGTTCCATATTGGCAGAGTTCTCCTTTGAGCACTTCAGCTTCCTGCACTGATTCTAGCCTGCTGCCCCGGAATAAGGCAACTGGAAGACGACCTGGGATTTGCAAAGTGAAAGCGGGGGCATGTGCTGCATAAATATGCCTGGGAAGATGGAGGACGTGGTTCGGTCTTCACGTAATGTCCTGTCTGTGCAGCTGCAAGCGGACGTGCGCCGAGGGCAGATGAGTGGAAGACCACAGTTCACAGACCTGTCTAGGCTGTCCCGATCCAGCGAGGATTGAGGGTTTTCGTGTAACCACAACGTTTGGGATGTACCTTACGAGAATTGACACCCACTTGTGGTATAGTCGAATGCCGGCTATGTGCTGGTGCGGTGATTTACTGTCAATCTTGTCCTATGGGACACTGGACAAACATTGCTAGCTGGAGCAGTTTTCAGCTCGGTGGAGTACGAGGCCCCTTGAGCATGTCACACGGGTAGGCACCCCTACCAGTTCTCCAAAGCTTGATCGCACGATGAAGACGCTCAGAGAGCGGCCGCTGGGGACACGGGTCAGCGAGTCGGCATGGATATCCTTCTCCGTTTTACGCTGGGCGTTCGCATCGCCTGTCACACTCTTGAGGCGTAGGAGGACATGGTTTGACCGAGTTCGCCTCAGTTTGCTCCAGCTCTCCCCATCTCTGGGGACACCTCAAGAATTGCAATGCCTGTACCTCCACAAAGCTTGATTCGTTACTGAGGGGCATGGGTATCGGAGCCGTTTGGACCTTGTTTGCGTTAAGCAGCATTGGGCGTCGATTCGGTTCGCTCCGAAGGTGTTGTCCGCATCAGTACCAGGAGGCGAGGGGACGCCGGTGGCACTTGACCTCGGTGAAACGGCTGATTGGCAGCAAACATGACTCTAGCAAAGTGAGGGCATTCGAGCTGATGGAGGAAAGGATGCCCAACGGAGACACCTTGGGCGGGGTTCAGATCCCCTTTAATCTCGAATCAGGCGTTATCGTTTAGAAACAGGCTACAGATGATGGAGTGAAGGCGACAAAATGGCTGACAGATGGAAATCAACGTATCACAGCAGCAGTGAGCGGCATTGAGCAGCAGTAGTGAGTAGAGGCGCAGTCCAGTAGCTTCCCGCATTCAGCTCATTTGTGCCAACGCCGCAAATCTTGGCATTCAAGATGAGTAAAAACTACTCGGAGCTCACGTGCGACTCACCCCGGCCGTGCCGCTTTTAAAATACCGCAATGGGGGGAGCGTGGGAGGGGGGTGATGGCTACCCCTAAGGCAACCTGTTTAGGTGCTCTGGTGATAGCCTCTAGGCGGTAGGCTAGGCGTTGTTAGGCCATGGGCAGTCATGACCTACCTACACCACCACCACCGTATCTACCACTGTCAGACACCATCACCTTTACCTACAGCTTGATACCAGGATACCAGTTACAGTCATATAGCGTTGGCACCCAGTTGGCAGCTAGGCGTGAATATAACCAAGCGAAAGGTCTAGTGGCACGTGATGTGCCAATCGGATGCGAATACTCTTTCGGGCCAATCAGAGCGTTCCCCGCTATATACTCTTTCGCTTTTACTCAACAGGATGAATACAAATGAAATCCTTAAACAGGATCCATTATTAGAAGTAGAGTCCCGGGGATAAGCGATGCCGTGCCGCAAGACTACGGATCTGAAAAGTCCATGGCAGAAAAGGACATTTGCCGGGGTGACGACGACGATGGGCTGAACGTGGTATATTATGGTGCCCGAACCTCGACCATGGCCAGATATTCGATCTGCCGCCCTGGAGGAAACAAACGGTGGACGGGACCCTCGCTCGCACATGCGGTGACTTTGCCGTGCAACAACTCCAAGGGTGTTAGATTTCTGGCAGCCCTCCCTCACATCACTACAATCTACACGTGAACTTTTTGCGCTGATATGGCGGACAGTTGGAGAAAGGAGCCACGTCACACAAATAATATTAAAATGGTATGAATTTCAATTTAGTGTCTAGCACCACTACTTCATCTGAGACGTTCCGATACAGAACGCCGGTGCATCAAGTGTGGACTAGAAAACGAATCAGAATTCACACTGAAGGACACCGTCAAGTACCAAGCAAGTAACCTCAGTGATAGGCTTAGTTGCCGAGTTTATTCTTCTCATGCTCGCTGTGGGACATACTGTAAGTTGGGCCGGAGAGCGTTAAACCTCGTGGGTAAACCTTGCCACAAATGTGCACCCCGTACAGCAAGGAGTGAATGAACACCTTCTGCTCGGGGATTTTGTCCCTGGCCTGCTAGGGGAGAGGCCGAACTGGGGGGGCAGCAGCAGCACCGTGGGATTTTGTAATCGTGGCCCTGAGCGCTTAACTTTCAGCTTCGGCTTGATTCTTTGCTGGCACAAGGGAGCTGTTTCAACTCCTTTATGCATCAAGTCTGAATGATTCTGTCTGAATTTCGGCGATGTCGCAGCACGCAGCATCGGTGCGGCGCTGGCAAGCATGACCTCTTCCAACCTTCAGGCGCGTGTGTGGTCGAAGGGGCCATTGCCCTCTTCTCGATCCGCCTAACCCTTTCCTGACATCAAATTCCCAGCAGCATGGTAGGTCGTCGCGGAGCAACATTTCATTCCCCTGGGGAGAGGGCGCCCATAGGCCATGCATGTTCTTCGGAAAGAGGTACATCCACGAGACACTTGTCTGCCCGCGCGCGGCTGGCTCTCTTATCTCTGGCGCTGGTCCTTCATTTCATTGTGGTACATGCCCGACCTCTCCACCTCGGCCACCCAGGCCTTCCAGGTCAAAGGGGTTGCTTTGTTCGTCGTATCCCTGCAGTCTCTGCACTCCTGATCACTCAAGTAGATGACATCCAGATCCGTGCTCCCTCGCTGATCCATGGCGGCCGTTTGGATAAGCCCGTTGCGCCGCACGTGGATGGCGCGCCACACGGCGTCGGGAATGTTCTCGGCCCAGGTGTCGAAGCCGTGGCCGCGCTCGAAGACGACGGTGTGGGCGGGAACCGCGGGAGAGCAGGAGGGGGAGGAGGAGGGGGAGGGAGGGGAATGAGGAGGTCGCGTCAACGCCGTTGAGTGTCTTGGCCACGGCGTCGCCCAGCCGGATGTGGTTGATGAGAAGATTCTGCCGGTGCGACCACGGTAGTAAGCCGTAGTGTTTCGCGGCGTCAAAGATGGGCGTCGAAGAGCCCAGGTAGCCAGCATCCCGGTAGGTCGGCTGCATCATGCTCCCCGACGCGTCGCACAAGCCAAACACGACGGCCTCGGGAGCGTGCGAATGCACCACGCTCATGACCCCAGGATAAGCGTTATACACGCAACTGTGGAGGTAATGTTCTGAGTCTTCGGGCACTTCGTCCGGCTCCACGATCTGGCACCCTGTTGTGGGGTGCGTCTTGGTGACGGGCAAGCCGTCGCGCACCCGCCATTGATTGAGGTCGCGTTTGGAGGATACCAAGATGGCGGGCACGTTGCTAGTGAAGAAGGTCGACGGGTCCGCGGGGTGGCGCACCGAGATGTGGCCGTGCTCGTCGAGGATCTTGTAGCGGTGCAGGATGTGGAAAGCGGTGATGAGGGCGGACAGCGTCGAGTCGAGGATGTCGGCCTCTTCCATGGAAAGAGATAAAGGGGGCAAACCAATATGTATGTTGTTCGTCGTGGCGCGTTCTGTATTCTTGTACCTCCAACACTTGGGGGGTCTGTGGGCTATTTGCAAAGTGTTTTAGGGCTGGTGGTATTAATCTTTCCGAATGAACCAGAGCCGATACCATGCATTTCTTTAATACCAAACTCGACCTCGCGTGCAACCATGACCTCATCTTGTGGGGTGCTTTGCAGAGAGATCGCAGGCGGAAAAACACGGTGCGGCCTGTTCATTGGCCCCAAATCAGGGAATATATGGATTATGGGATCGTGCTCGCGGATGTAGTGTGATTTGGCCTTGAGAATTCTTTCGCGTGGTGCCTGGATATTCTTTCTACATGCTTCACCTATGGGAGGCCGCCGGCGAATCCACTCGCACTCTCTGACATGACCGTTTATGGCCATGAATGGCGGAGTTTCCTGTTTATTCGAACGGGGACATGCCTGATTAGTTGTGAAGAGGCGAAGATGAACCACACTGTCCAGGGTTTACGTCAGACGACCGGTCGACCCAAGATACCGTATCGAGACTATGGTCTTTGGATGCTGGGCATCTTTTACCCCTCCCGCGCCCGGGGAGGCTGCTGGTGGTAAAAATTAGACGGTCCCTGCCCACTTTTTCGTCGAGGTCACAATAATAGGATCGCCTCTGACGTGTGCTGGGGTCATTATTCGATTCCCCTTCCGCCTAGCCGAGTATTTGGGAAAGACCATATCTCGGCTGGATAGAGATTCCGAGCCCAGGAATCTGTTTTTGCAAACTACTTCGAGTACGTCGATCGCGGTGACAGACGTCTTGGTGGCTTGCATTGCGGTTATGACGCTGAGACAGAATCGACCGCGGTACTTGGTGCATGCCGGTGCAGCAAGCTGTGCCGGATGCAAGTCATTCCCCAGCGTGTAGTCGTAGGACTTCGTCGATGATGGACGCGAAAATAGCGGCTTCAAAGGCCTTGTTGATACTGGCTGGCCAAGGATCCATCACGTTAGACCAGTGATCGTGCTTCGGAAAAAGGTCCCGCAAGGGCAGACAGTGAGGATGAAAACGTCACGGGAGCCTTTGAGTTGGGTTGTACGGAAGCCGTGGCTCGCGCCTGGATAAGTTTTCCTTATTGTGTTCGACGATCAAGGATCCGAGCATCTCTCTACGGTGAGAAGCAGCTGCACTTACTCAAGAGCTCGATTGGTGAACATTCGCCATGACGACATCATTAAGGGGATGGTTTGCATTTGACACAATGAAATGTGTGTGGCGAAAGCCAATTCGTGTGGATTCCGCCCACCCTGGAAAAATTCTCCGGACCGTCGATCACCTTCTCATATAAAGTCAGGACTTGGGTTGAGTGGAAATGAGTGGTGTCTAGCCGTAGAACATCGTTCGAAGCCACCTGAGCTTCGCACTTCCCCGACATCATGAGTATAGACGTGGCCCAAGGCATGTATGTGTGTGATAAGAAAGTCACAAGTGTCTGTTATGTTCCCTCCTCACAAAATTACCCATTAATTAATCCCTTTCAATTGTCCACTTGGGGCGACGTAGGGCAAATGAAGAGATTGGCTCACCTTAGGCTCTAATCAAACACCTTACACCTCCCCGCTTTTCACACTTTTGAGATCTCATGGATGAAGAGCCCGAAACGGCCAAGGAAAAGCGCCCGTTGCTCGCCGCAGAACAAGGCCATTCGTTCATTATTTTCCGCTTGCTTCAAAGATCGGAGGTCAACATAAACTTCAAAAGCGAATATGAGCAGACCGCTCTCTCTCGCTGGCAGCAGAATATGGACAGACGGAGGTGATTCAGCAGTTGTTCACTCGCCCGGATGGGTAGGTTAACAAACAAGACTTGGACGGTCAGACGGGCCTTGGGTGGGCAGTGTTCAATGATCAACCGTAATGCTGTGGCTGCACTGTTGGCCAATCCTTTGGTCCGTCTTGATGTCTCCTATGTAGAAGGCATGACACCTTTGTCCGGGGCTATCGTCGAGCAAAGGGACGCAATTCTTGAGCTCCTCCTGGACAGGCTAGACATCCTTTCGGACAGATTGACCCGGATGACCCTGTTATGGGATGGGCGAAGATGAGAGAGCACACCGAAACTGGCGCTGGAGACTCACAAAGGTTGAAAGCGGCGTGGCCCAAATTCAACGTTTTAGAGGCATACAGGGCGCTGGAAGCTGCGGTGATTGCGCCCGACGCCGCGCCTGACAGGTTAGCGGTCTCGGCCCATGGATCCTAAGGTGTATGACCCTGCTTGGACGAAGCAAGCAGACTCTGGGACCGGCTCCTCGAATGTTGGCCGCACTCTTCTACCTCTTGCGATGAGAAGGAGAACGATATTAGAAATCATGCGCGTGTTTCGTGGCGGTCGAATTACCGTTGCCAGTAACTCTCTCGCATCCTGATCGCCGCTCCGTGGACTCAGGCTTTCTGTGCATTTATGAGTTTCCGATGCTCACTTTCCAAGGCTCTCGACAAGGTCTCTTTTCACAGTCAGCACATTGCGCGCCGACGACAACCATCGGCATTGGCCCATTTTTTGTTGCGCTCTCGGTTGCGATCTCGGTATCAACACACACACAGCGTCATCCTTGGTGCCTCTCGTACAGCGACCACCCCCCTGAAGATTTGTCTCACATGACCCTGCATCGGTCGCATGCGTGTGATGTGTGACTTCTGCTGGAACCTGGCGGGGAGGGCTGGTGACTAAGGTGAAGATATGTCGATCATCTTGCTTTCTTTGCTGGTAGATCAGTCTGGTCGCCCGTTCCGCAGTGTTCGTGAGCCTCCCTCCTCCATGATGACGGGACTGAGCACGTGCGACGAGAAGGATGAGGAGATTGAGCAGTCCACTCCGTGACCGAGGGATGGGATTAGCAAAGTGATGGCAGTGTATGTACACCGAATGCGACTTTCTCATATCTAAGAATCCCGCGATTTGACTGTGGCTAGGACTAAGCCATTCTGGGCTGTGGCTCTGCGATTGTGGCCGAAGGCTTGGCGTGATCATGTGACGACACCACATCTGGAGGTATGTGTAGCATAAGCATCAGATTACCGAGTACGGAGTACCTGGTAAGTAATCATGGCACAACACAACATCGGGGATTATCAAAATAGACAAAGTCAGGACCCGTGTCACAATATGTATCCAACAAAAACCATGGGCATTTCGCGGCGGGGAGCCATGCAGACGATCCTGCCTCGGCGTGAAACGTGCTCGGGGCACCGTTTGCCGGCTAACACGGCACACGTCTCCAAAACGAGGATAGCACCGTCGTCACCAGGAGACATCCTACCCGGTGGAACTCCTTCAAAATCTGTTATTCTTGCACGGACATGGCGTTTTTCTGTCTGTGTTGTTTGTTTCGACATGTTTGGTCTCGGGTTGGTTGAAGCATGTCCGTCGACCTCGAGAAGAAGCCTGCCACGCCGCCTCCGCACGAGAAACAGGTTGCCCAAGACGTCGACGGCGAGCGGGACGTCGTTGCCACGTATGACAGCCCCTTCGATCTGCCGGTATGGCGGAAATGGGTCATGACCACACTCCTGGCGCTGATGACCACGGCCGTCACCTTTGCGAGCTCGGTCTGGTCGGCCACCATCGCCGTGACGTCCAAGGAGTTCAATGTCAGTGAAACGGTGTCCCTCTTGGGCGTGTCGCTGTATGTCTTGGGATTTGCTGTTGGTCCCATTGTTTGGGGTACGTACGCCGCTCTGCAGTCCATTGAGGATATCTTCTCGATATTTCTCCCCGAGTCATTCGCGCTGGATGCTGACCTGACGGTGTGGTTGTGTAAAGGTCCCCTGTCCGAATTTAAAGGCCGTCGGTTACCACTCTTTTCAGCTTTCTTCGTGTGGACACTCCTCCAAGTACCGATCGGGGTGGTCAACAATCTGCCTGCACTTCTTGTATGTCGCCTGTTAGCCGGCTGCTTTGGGGCGTCGCCTCAGGTCCTGGTCGGTGCCACCTTCGCAGATTTCTGGGAGCCGGCGGAGCGTGGCGTCGCTACCGCTGTCTACTCGTCCGCGGTCTACGTTGGGCCTACGCTGGGCCCCATCTTTGGAGCCCTGATCACCGAAAGCAGCCTCGGTTGGCACTGGACGGGCTGGATTTCCCTCATCCTGGGCGTCGTGGTTGGAGTTCCGGCATTCCTCTTCGTCCCCGAGACGTATGGGCCGATCCTCCAGCAGAGAGCAAACAAGAAACTCCACTTGGCACGGGGCCCGTCGGCGTTGGCCGACCAAAACGTCAAGCAACCTCCAGCCTTTTCGGAATTTGTCCACAGGTATATGTTCAAGCCGGCGGTCATGTTCTGCGTCGAACCGATGCTCATGGTCATGGCGTTGTATATTGCCATCGTCTACGGAATCCTCTATCTGACCTTCTTCGCGTTTCCCTACAGCTTCGTCCAGGTCCGAGGCTGGGATCCTCGTGTCGGGACTCTCCCATTTTTGAGCATCCTGACCAGTGTGATCGTATCTTCGGTCGGGGTGGCCGTATATTCGACAAAATATTATCGTCCCCGGCTCCGGGCCCGGGGCTCAGTCTTGCCTGAGGACCGTTTGCCGTTGGTCATGCTGGGCAGCCTCATTTTGCCCGTTGGGCTCTTTTTCTTCGCCTGGACGTCGTCCCGGCACATCTCGCCGGTGCCGCAAATCATCGCCGGGTTTTTCATCGGCAGCGGCATCATGCTCATTTTCACCAACGCCGTGGCCTTTCTGGTGGACATCTACCTTCAGTCAGCCGCCAGTGCGATGGCGGCCAGCACGATCGTGAGGAGTCTGGTGGCGGCTGGTTTTCCGTTGGCGGCGCCTCGCATGTACAAATCTTTGGGTGTTGCATGGGCTACGAGCGTTTTGGGTTTCCTGTGCACGTTGGCCATCCCGGCGCCGTTTCTCTTCTACAGATATGGGCGGAGACTGCGGCAGATGTCGCGGTTTGCTCCGACGCCAGACTAATCGTGCTTCTGGCAGTGGCATGCAATCAGATCATGACCATTCCGCCCACAGTGGTCGGCTGGGCCGTTCCACACTCTAGATCTTGGTTCATGAAGACGCGACGCTCACGATGCATCTGAAATAGATGTCTATCGAACGAACACGGTCTAGTGGCTTTTCCAAGACGAGTTAGATGGTCACAAGCTCCCCTTGTGGACCGCCCTACCTCATGGCCACTGGACTGAATTCATTGGTCTTTCCAAGCCTAAAAAGCAATATTGAATGGATCAGGATAACTTCTCCAGCTGTCTCCGGGCTCTATGCCCTTTTTTTTGAAAGTGTGTCAAAAGCCAGCACTTGAACAGAAGAGCCATGCCTGAGTACAAACGCGACGACCGGCACTACAGAGTTGAAAGCATGCGGGAGATGTTGATGTTCACGCCAAAGAAGCCGACCAGAAACGTCAGGGGCATGCAGACGAATGTGATCCGTCTGGGTCGCCATACGCTGGAGCTCAAATTCGAGAGATAGGCGTACGTCTCGAATAGCTCACAGGTGCTCGATAGATTCCACAGGCCTCGGGAAGAAGGGGGGGTGCTGTTGTTGTTGTTGTTGTTGTCGGACAATTCCTTGTCGACACACACCCTTCTTGCTGAAAGAGGATCTAAACCGTGCCTCGCTTGAGCCTCACTAGCCCGTAGAAAGGCTCGCTCGCCAGGCTAGTGTCTACGTACTAGGCTTGATTTCGGCCTTGCCCACCAAGGAGTTTGACCAGGCAGACAGCCAGCCTCTCTTCTCGTATAACCCTACGCAACCGACAACCACACATCCAGGACAACTGTGTGCGTTGTGCAATGCCAAAGTGTTTCTATCATTGAAGGGTCTCCATTCCAAATCCTCACAGTAACTCTCCTACGAGCAGATCTCTCAATGCAGCTGTATCTTCTCAGCCAAGTCCCCGAGGAGGGCGGACAAGAAGGCTCCATCGAGATCGATGGGTTGCGTTGGAAACTGACTGCCCACGACTTAGACACCCTTGACGCTGAAGACATACGGTTCATTTGCGTCTCGTACACTTGGGGCGAAAGGCGATTATCCAGCCCCTTCCACCCGTCGTACGATATTTCCGACCGCACCATACCCGCCCTCAACGCCGTGGTTGGATACCGCCCGTCCTGCACACGCATCTGGATCGACGCGTTCTGCGTGCCTGTTGGCGATACCACGACGACGACACCCGAGAGGGCCCACACGCTGGAGAGCATGGGGTACATCTACTCGCGGGCGGAGGAGGTCGTCGTGGTGCTGTCGGCGGCCGCCCGCCCCGTGCTCGAGCATATGAGCACGTCCGACCGCCTCGTCGACCCGGTGCATCTCGACGTCCTGGAGCGGGAGGAATGGGTGTCGCGCGCGTGGACGTACCAGGAGGCCGCGAACAGCAAGGTCCTCTCCATCACCTGCGAGGAGTCTCAGGGGTCCATCCTCGTCCCCGGCAGTCATTTCCTGAACTGTCTAGGCTACACGCTGACGCGCCTTGACGGCTCGATCCCCGCGGGCGACAGGAGGCAGCGCTACCCGCGACTCGACGCATTCGAGGACCTGATCGCCGAGCACCTGCTGGCCGGGTACACGGAGCGCGCGGCGCTGCAGGTCATGGCGAACATGGACCGGCGCACACAGCACCGCCAGGAAGATCATTTCTACGCCATGATGGGCGCCATCAGCACCGAGCGCCCCAGCTCCTTGTTGCCCCCTGTCCGACAGGATCCCTGCGAGGCGTTCATGGCCCTGTGTGAGCGCAAGGGCGACTACTCGTTCATGTACTCGGCCGCGCCGCGGGACCATGACACGTCGAAGCGCTGGCGTCCCGTGGCTGGAGATCATCTCCCGGCCATCTTACCCTGGCACTGCTACGGTGAGGGCCAGCCAGGCTATGAGGAGGGGGGATCCTTGTATCTGGAGCTGATGATGTCGCTGGGGATCTCGTCCGTCAATGAGAGTGCCAAAGAGTGTGTGCGGGCGTGGCTCGCCGCCAGTAAATTCGTCGTGTCCGTGGCATCGGGAGGAGAATCCCTCCCGGAATCAGCATACGCCGCGCTGCGAGCCATGGGCTTTACTGGAAGTCCCGCGTGCGTGACCACGTCGCACGGATTCTTCTTCCCCTGGGAGCGCATCTCCTCTGGCCACGAAATCACGGTCCTGGTCGCGACGGCTGTGCGATGGAGCTTTGGCGCGCCGGGCCTCGCTCGCTGCGGCGGCGGCGACGGCGGTGGACATGGAGAAGAAACATATATACCCGGGGTGTTTTTCGGTCGCGTCGACAATGCAGCTGCCGTCTCGGTCAGAGTTTCCTGAGCGATTAGAGCGGGGAGAGCGTCAGGCGTTCCTTCACGGGAGACTGGATACATCGATTGCCCCAAAAAGGACGACGAGAGGGTGGGTTGCTTGGATGCTTGCTTGGCTGGCTCAGGCGATTCTGTCGTCACGAATGGACAGACTCCTTGATACTGCGCCAGCTTCATTCCCACCACCGAACCTCCCGTGTGTGGGTGCAGCAAGGGGTAAGACCTGCTCAAAGCGGCCTGGGCATTTCACGGCACCACACACAGAGTCGTGGGTGGTGATGAGAAGGGATGTATATTTCAAGACTGTATACGAATGCAGAAGGTATATGAACACACCGTGTACATGTGTATGTGTGTGTGTATGAGGGTGGTGGATGGGTCGTGGACTAAGGAAAGGGAACCAGGGGATGTTCTGTATTACTTAGAAAGAAGTAAAAGGGATCGATCTATCCAATGACGGAGAATATATCGACCTACTCTGTATATAATATAAGATAAAGATTCTAATAGGACGGCGGAGGATGTTGCGCCGGCTTGATTCCACGCCTAGCATAATGAATACGAGATCTCATACTTCGTCATCGCTGTATACGTAATCATTCTCCTACTTACATTGGGTGATACCTACGTACCTCCTTCTATGCAGTGGGTAGATGGGTCAGCGATTTTTTATGGTGACGCCAGCGACTTCTCATGGGCGATGACGGGTTGCTTTGTGCACATAAGCTCTTGAAGGTTCGTGGTTATATCTTGTATATCTATCACACACACACACACACACACACACGCACACACACACACCCACCTTGAGTCAAATCACTGCAATCTGACGGCCTACCGACATCGTCGTCGACCAGTCATCTGTCTACTTACTGACTGCATAACCAGCAGCGCGTGGTCACCCACTTCTATCAAAACTCCACGTCTAAGATGGTCCCCTTCGAGGACATCCTCCTCAACAACACGTCGCTGCTCAGCCCCGGCAGCGGGCCCGTGTGCGTCTTGGTCGGGTCCAGCAGCAGCAGCAGCAGCAGCGGCGGCGGCGGCGGTACGAACGACGGGATCGGAATCATTGGGCTGGCGACGCTGCGGGCGGTGCTGCGCCACACGTCGTGTCCGACCATCTATCTCGTGGCGGAAGGGGACCATGAAGGCCTCCATTCGCTCGTCGCGGCCGTGCAGAGTCTCAATCAGTCCGCGACGCTCGTCCCGATTGCTTCCACGGGGGATTTGGCACGGGTGTCGAGCGCGCAGGACGCCGCGCAGGCCATCGTCGCCGCGGACCCGCCTAGGGTGGACATTCTCATCATGGCGTCGTCCGCCACCTCCGCACGCTACTACGCGCCACATATGCGCATCCTGGTCACGCTGCTGCCGCTGCTCCGTCGAGCACGGTCGCCGCGCGTGGTCAGCGTGTTGTCGGCCGGCGGCGGCGGGGGCAGGGACGCGAGCCTGCTCGAGATGAACGACGTCGGCATGATGACGACGTTGTTTTTCGAGCACCTAGCCCGGCAGCCGGAGAACGACAAGATCGTGTTGCTTCGAGTGGACGCCGGCCTCGACGACGTGAACGTGGACGAGGCGGGCGAGCGGGTCCTCTTCGCCGCGACGAACGGGCGGTTCCGGCGCGTCCAGGACCCCGAGCGCGCGGTCGGGACTTTAATCCAGCAGGGCAGCGACGGCGTGTTGGGGAGTGGCGTGTACCTCGTCAATGCGGACTCGAGCGTTGTGGCAGTGATCCAGGAGATCCAGGACAGCGGCGGTGGGGACGAGGAGATGGACGTGGACGCAGCGCGCCAGAAAGTATGGGAGTACACGATGGGCGAGCTGGAGAGGATTGAGAGGATGTGACTATATATATATATTATATGCCCCGAACTGTGCTTGACCCCTTCCCTTTTTCGTTCAGTGTAATACGCGTGATATGCCTGTACCACCCCCATCGTGCTTTAAGGACCGACATACCCAACACCGTTTGAGATGAAGAACCAGGAGCGACGAGGCGCCAAGAGGACACTGGCGATTTCAACCATGTCCGAGTAATGAAAGCACCTTGTGACGACTTCCGCAGGAGAAGACCAAGGCCCCAGACCATCTTTGGACGATTATCGAACCGTAGCACGGGGCGACTTCGGGGGAGCATTGGACATGAGGTATTGGATAGACACTACGTCTGGGCCTCTGCAGAGCCTACCTCTGATGTCGTAGCCTTGCTGAGAATAAAGCCGTGATAATCCAGAGAGCTCTCAGAACCTCCCAATATATCCACCTTGATATCCCATTTCACCCCGTCACAGTTGAGGAGAGGTTTGATAAAGTGAGGCTGCCGGTATGTTACATAAATAAAGGTCGCGTCGGGTTTGAGCACGCGAAAGACCTGGATGGGCAAGAGATGTGAATTTCCCACAACAACACCACGTCCACAGAGACGCTCAAAACGTACCTCTCGGATATATCGACCAGTATTATCACGAACCTCCGCGGGCGGATCCCAAGGGCTCCCGTGGATCATCGCATCCAATGTGCCCTTGTCAAACGCCACGTCTACCGACTCGGACGGGATCTGATCCATCTGGCGGACGTCGGCGTGCTGCCAAGTGATGCCCTCGACATCCTGGTGCCGCTTCGACATGGCCGCTACCACCACAGGCGAGAAGTCGACGCAAATTTGGTCCTTGTACCCTCTTCTTGAGAGGTCTTCGGGAATTGTCTGTCACCGAAAGTCAGCCGGGAGCACCCCTCGCCCAGGGGGTCCGGGCGCCAAGGAACACCTCACGCTGTCTCCTGATCCCAGGTGGAGGATCGTAGGCGCCGTCTCTGGGGCGCGGACCTGGAAAAGATGCCGGTCCAAAAAGGGCTCGAGATCGTTGAAAGTCCGAAACCACTCGTGAACCTGCTCGTCCGGGCCAACCTTGGCGTAACGCTCATCCCAGTACTCGGAACGAGCGAGGCGCTTTAACTCGGCTTCGGACATTGCCACCGCCGCTGGTGCTGGAGAGACCACCAGCGTGAGAGGGGCGATGATGTTTGGGGTTGCGGTGACTGACGCCGGGCAGTGTTTCGGCGATGGGGCTAGGCCTCTTTTGCAAACCCGCTCGTCGTGCTCTTCACAGATGAAACCCAGTCGAAAAAAGGGGCCGAGGGTCACATCAACAACGGTCAGGATGGTGAGGCAGTGAGGCAGTGAGGCAGTGAGGCTTGCACAGGGCGCTTAGACGTCTCGACGTAGTGTTGACGGACTAGCGTGACGGTCATTACATTGCCTTGGCGGCCTTACTGCGTCTATCGGTCACATATCAATCGAGAACCAGAGTCAAGGCTCAGCCGCACCATTTGCAATCTCGCTTACCGCTCAAATCAAAGGTACTCCCGTACTATGTCTTACATGTCCCCGGCTCCCGATCTGAGAGTCGGCGCCATTTCAGGTTTGAATTGCCACAACTCGGCGGCTAATTATGGTCCACTGCATGCCGTTCATAAGGACGCCTCTGACCGTCGAGCAGCTGCCAGTTATCATGCCGAAGCCACCAGCTCCATTACACCAAATGTGGCACGCTGTATGCAGTGGAGCCGAAGAACACTCGACGACGACGAAGAAGAAGAAGAAGTGGCTGCGGTGTCAAATACAGCCTCCCTACCAGAACGAAATGCTCATCGCCATCCGAAGTCGCCTGTGACCCAAGGAGGAAGAATATTTCCATGTCTTCGGGGCTATCCTCCCAGCTCCACCTCAGTGTGGCAAATCAGTGCAGGTCGAGAAGCATCTCTTTGCTGGACAAGTGGAGAGGGCGCTCCAAGTCGAGGGAGCCATCTCCAAAACAACCTCAATGCAATCCGAGGGTCAATTCAGAACCCGATAGAGGGAGAAATACTGCTGCGTCTGTGCGCAACGCCTACGCACCTAGCGTGCCGCCGCCCACGCTGTCCAAGACACCCCCAGTCGATCACACCGCCCAAGCCGGAAGTACTGTTGTTGCTAAGAACAATGCAGCCGGTGTTGGATCTACGGACATGTGGAGCGCCGCATACCGGGAGGCGCTGTCCGGTTTTGGCGATGAAGTGGCGAGTGTGATATCGAAAGGCGACAAAATTGAGTCGCTCTTGACAAACCTGCAAGAGACCAACGAGGAACTCGCAGGGGACTCGCTTTTCCGGCGGGGACTGCGAAGATTGCAGGCGCCACTCAAGAATTTCAAATTGGCCTTGGATATGGCAAGCCCTCTCGCTAGTATTGAGCCTACTGCGTCAACGGCCGTTGGAGTTGTGACCTGCGTGACGGCAGTGAGTTCCCTTCCTCCTGCAGACACCTGCAGACCCCCCAACTGGAAAATAACCGTTCGGGACAGATTGCTATTGGCATCTGCGGTGCGGAAGACTCCTTGAATGCTCAGATCATCAGCATGCTAGAGCACGTCGCCATCATCGACGATTGCGATACTCTCGGACAGAAATTAGATGCCGATAATGGTATTCACAAGGTTCGTCCATGACTATGTAGGCCTCGACAATCCCTCTTGAACTCTGACCAAGACCTTCTAGGCTCTTGTTCCAGTGTACAAGGATCTTTTGAGCTTTTACATTGCCGCCCTGGAGATATTGACCAGCAAGGCTTTTATACTTGCACTGGTTTGTGGCCAACTCAACCAGCGCCTGCCGACCATTATCTCGGAATTTCTCCAGCATGCCGCTCTTCTGCGAGACAGGATTGGGAATGCAACATTAGAGCTTGTCACAGACATCAAAAAACTGCTTCAAGACAATAAGAGTAAGTTGCTCACCGAGGAGATACGCCGCATCAGGAGGAAGCTAAGGCCCATCGCAGTTCAGAAGCTTCTAGGCGTCGACAAATATAAGCAACGGAGCGAGGTCCACACTCAGCTTCGTCGGCTTCGAGCTGTTGATGCTTGCAAATGGATAGAGGAGGAGCCCAAATTCATCAAATGGTACAATGCGACGACTTCCAGCCAGTTGGTCCTCTTTGGCCACATGGGTTGTGGCAAAACAGTTATTACGGCACATGTGATTGAAGAGCTAATCCGCATGAATAGAAACAAGTTGCCTCGGCCTCTTGTATGCTACCATTACTGCGTCACCGATGAAAGAGGGAAGGCACTCTACATCTATTCGAGCCTCATCCTACAATTACTCGACCAGCAAGAAGGTCTCAAGGTCGAGTTCGACAGATGGCACGAAAAAACCGGGAAATCCGAAGGCCGCGATCCGGCACAGTCCTCCGAGGATCTAGGGAACTTCCTGTCAACCTCTGTCGAGAGTCTCGACCGAGAACTATTTGTGGTCATTGACGGTCTGGACGAGTGCGACAGCGAGTCGCAGCGCGAGCTGATCGCTCTGCTCACCAGCCTCTCAGACAAAGCGCATAGACTGAAAGTCTTCTTCTCCTCTCGGCCTCAGGAAGGAATCGAAAATCTTCTGCAAGCCGCCGCCCAGATTCGGTGGAACCCTACTCTGGAGCGGGATACAGTCATGGTTGAAAGAATTGTTCAGCAATCCCTAAGTGAATTTCCTCCTGTCATTCAGTCGCTTGTGGCCGAAAGGCTTTCCAAATTGGCGCAGGGAAGTGCCATTTGGGTCAGATTTACGATTGAACTCATCAAAAGGCGGCAGATTAAGGCAGTTGGTCCCATGAGAAAGTTTTTGGCAGATATTCCATCTCCAGCTGGGCTGTCGCAACTATATGCGAAGGTGTTCGCTCATCAAACTGGAGACGACCCTACCAACGAGCAACTGGTCACGAGCGCACTAGAGATTCTAGCAGTAGCTCAGAGGCCCATAAGCATACTGGAGTTGGCTTGGGCTATTGCATTGAACGATCCTTGTGCAGAGATCGAGACCCTGGAAGAGCTCAAAGACTCGGTGGACGGAGAAAGGGCGTTGGGCTTGCTGCAGCCTTTCTTACCACAGATCGACCTCGAGGACGTCAAGAAAAGGCAGGTAACGCTTGTGCATCAGTCCTTGAAAGAACTGATCTTGCGACATGCTCCTTGTGATTGGGGTCACCCGCAGACTACTGCTGAAGACATTGATAAACAACGCATCCGGCGACGACAGCCTGAACTGCAAGCCTCTCTCCTACACGCATGTGTCAAATATCTGCTTCTGAGTGAATTTGATCAAACCGATCTGTTTTCAGAAGAGCAAGAAACAGTCCAAAGCTTCGACGAAATGGCCGGATTCGCAGCGTTTGACGATGCCAGTGATGATAGCGGGCAAGCAGACTCATCAGGAGCGCATCAAGGCCCTGGAAACGGGACAGATGGCACAGAGAACTACTACGACCCTGCGGAGCGCGGATTCGGCGAATTTTTCGTCTATTCGTCCTGCTTCTGGCCAGATCACTTCAAGGTGAGCGCACCAGAACGCCTGCCGCCCACATCCGACATTGTGAAGCTGTGCACAGCAGGTTCGAAAAGATTGCAAAACTGGACTGGGCAAAATTGCCGTCCAGATTGCACGATCACGCCGAAGTTCTATAACAGCCACCCCCAAGATCCGCTAACCATCGTGTCGGTACACGGGCCAGAGGTCGCACTGATAAGGCTTTTAGAAGACAACACGATCGACCTCGGTGGCAAGGAATTTCTATTCGATTCCGTCAAGCGATCCATCGAGCAAATCATCTGGTGGGGTGATATCTCTCGACTATCTATACTCTTCCGGCATGCGAGGGTAGGACCACAGATTCGAAATATCGGCATCTTTCATGTACTCATGGCGGAGTGGGCTTCTTCGGATAAGAAATCGAAGCCGTGGGCTAGTTGCTTTGATCTTATATTCGACATTTGTGATGACGTCCTGGTCCAGCAACAGTGGGGCAACGAACTCTTGTGTTTGGCCGTGAGCTATGGTTGCCTCCCCATGATCGAAAGACTTTTTGAAGAGGCGGCTCGCAATCCGGCGATGAGAGATGAACTCCTCCGAGATGCCCGACGAGATATCAAGCCTCCCGACTATCACCAGTCAGTTGGGGAAGCAGCCTGGTACAACCGCGTCGAGGTGCTCCGGTATCTCCTGAATCAACAAGGCATCGAGGCCCATCTTCAGCACCGCGACTCTCATGGGTACAACGTTCTCCACCGAGCAGCGCGCTGGTGCAACCCGGAGGTGGTGTCTCTCCTGGTTTCGCACTTCCCAGAAGGCGTGAACCAAAGAAACAAGAATGGCGACACACCGCTACACCTGGTGATCTTTGGGGGACAGGCAACATCCGGGCGGCTGGAGTCGGCAACGATCTTGCTAAACCAGGGCCATGCGGATGTGGAGGCAGATTCGACAGACGAGCACAACGGCTGGGGAGAACCGCTCCGAATGGCTGCTAGATATGGCGACACAGCCATGTGCCGCGTTCTCGTGGAAGTTGGTGGTGCCGACCCTCGCCGCGCCCTGAAAATCCAAGACGGGCGCCCTGCGCTGGTAGATCCTGTGGAGGTCGAGGAGCTGGGCCCCAAGATCTTGGAAACCCTTTGCTCTCTCGCCGGCATAGCTCTCTAGGTGCATATGTCCTGAGTGGGAGCTACTCAGAAGGCGACAGACAGCAGTTGGTATTTATTCCACCGGAGAGAGAGAGAGAGAGGTAGGGCGGTCACTTTGATAGGGTTGGTAGGGGTAAAGGTCGTGGTTCTAGAGGCTTTTGGGACTGGACATCTCTGTTCGAACAAGGCTACGTAGGCATACGTGGATGGGTTACTCAGGACGAGATGTGATGATTCTCTCCGCACGCTCACGTCGTTTCAGTCTCCAGAGAGAAAAAACATGCTGAATATCATCCTACGGCCTGCCGACGAAGGCTGAGACGCGAAAGTTGCCAGCAGTGATGAATGCTTCTGGTCCGCTGAGGAGTCGGAATCGTAGTGATCACTTCAACGGGACTGGTCTTCAGTAATGGGACAGAAATATCTCGGTCATTTACACCCCTCTCTATTGGAAAATCATCGAGACCATGGAGGGCAGTGTGCTCAGCTCAGAGTCATTCCCGAGATAGGGCGTGCTTTAGTACTAGGAGAAGGCTGCGTGTGAACCGTGTGACGGCGTGGAAAATCCTTTCACATGGCATATGAAAGTCTCTGGCCCTTATGTACATACCTCCCTGTCTAGGCTGCAGGAAGCATTGATGGGCGATGGTCCCCCGTTCGTTGACTTCGTGGATGCTGCCGCGTTAGCCGTGTTTGATATTTCAAAGGTCAATGGGTTCGCCCTTAATCCATCATTCGATATGCTTCTCTTTATCCCCAGCCAAGAGCCACAGCTGTCTCGTCATCCATCGGAGGACAAGGGTGACACGAACATGTCCAATATCTGCGTAGAAAAGGTAGAATCAGCGAAAGCACACGCCTGGATCTTCAATCCAGCGTCGCTTCTTGAACCAGATGGACCTCCTGCCAGTCGCGCTCGATGGTACCCGTGTCCAGATTAGCCCGCCAGACGCTCAACTGCCACCTGGGGGCAGACGCATTAGTACGACCACGACGACAACCCCGTGACGGCCGTTCCGGCAGGTGGAAACGGATCGGAAACACAAACAACATGCGATAACGGCGCGTCTTCTGCTTGAACGCCTCTCGGACGGGGCCGTACCCGTCTCGGGACTCCAGGACATCCCAGACCTTCGACATGACGTTCGCATCCGAGAGCTCGGCCGAGTCCGCGAGCTGGGGAATCGTGATGGTCCAGCTTTTGGGGTTGGGAGCGAACGTGGCCGTGCGCAGGTTGGGAAATTCGTCCAGATGCAGGGCCCACGTCGACTCGAGTTCGAAGACGTTCAGCCGCACATGGCGGACATCGCCCAGCCGGTGCAGGGCCGTCATTCGGCTCACGAACGCGTGCAGGGCGTGCTTACAGTGCGGCTCCCAGATGGCGACCTGGACGAAGACGCGCTGGGCCTCCTGCCGCACCTGCCCCGGCGGCGCCGACTGCAGGAGCCACTGGTGGTCCGCGCGGTAAGGGCCCGTCGCCGCGGAGAAGCAGTAGCATCCCGAGGGGGCGGTGACGGCGACCCGGTTGCCGTCAAAGGCGTGTGCGAACACGGCCCAGCGGATTTCGGCGGGGAGCTTCGGCAGGCGAGAAACCACGTCGGCGAGTCGCGTGTCGCGGCTTTCCAGGGGGAAAAAGTACGGCCGCGCCGTCAGAGTGTGGGAATATGAAGTCTCGGCCACGGCTGACTCGGACATAGCGCTCGAAGTGTTGGAGGGTTGGATTGCCAGGACGATGGGCGTGCAGCGGTTGGTCCAGTGTTCACATCGCTGGCGCGGGCGTAGATGCTGGGAAATGTGAAGGACCCCACTCACCACTAGCTGAGGCCCAGTACTCCGAGAATCAATAGAGAACGGTAGACATGAAGTCTCGCTCACTTCGACATTGTCCGTTATCGTGATGAGGAGCGAGATAGAGGTCAATGGTGTACCGTACAGACTGCTACGGCGGCGCAAACAGAGATAATTTGGCAACTCATCATTGTCACGTGCAAATGCACCACCTACTGTCCAGTACATACAAGGACAAATGAAACAGGATACTGCTCTGATTGAATATCGATACAGCCAGCAAATCAGCCAATAGTCTTGGAAATGGCAATGCTTTTTCTATTTCGGATACCAGGAGGTCTACCTACCCATGTAAGGAAGCACTTGTTGATGCAAAAATGATGCTGAGTAAATGCACGCTGGTGAAAGGATGATTATGCTTTTCACGTCGGCGAAGCGAGGTGGTAGTACAGATGACGGGACGCCAATGCGCAACGTGGCAGACCCGAGAGTGTCGAAAGTGTCGAAAGTGTCAGAAGTTGTCTGAACTCGTGGTCGGTGAGTCTTAGTCCAGGAGGGCATCTCCCATATCGTCTCCCCCAATACATCCGTCATGAACTCAGAACAACGCTCGTCGCATCATAAGTGGCCGAGTTGGTGGGTACAAATGAAAAAGTCCACCCTTTCTCTGCGCCCCCCCACAAGTCCTCCGTCAGCAACCCCTTTAAGCATCTCTTCGGACCGGGTATTGATCCTGTCGAGACCGACCACGTGAGGATGCCTTCACCCGGTGTGCATGTCTCATGTATCGGAGCGTGTCGTGAACAACATCATCTTCCAATGCCTGGGGCAGACTGTCGACTCGAAGCGGACGTCCGCCAGTAGCCACAGACGACAAATGATTGAGCACGGCAACATCCCTACTGGATGGCGTGATGGCAGGCGCGTGTTTCTTCGGCTTCAAAGATCGAGCCCCTACCGGCAACGATGGCACTGGAGGCAAATCTCGATTGGGAGGCGGCTTCGTGGGTGGGTCGGAAGGGGGCCGAGGAAAGTATTTCACACCCTCATCCGACGACGCGCTCGTGCTGTAGTTCATGTAGGTGAAGGCACCGGTCTCAATCGACTCCCCAAACGACAGTCGGGGATCCACTTGGCTGTCGTTGTTGTGCCAGTTGTGCCAGTGCTTCTGTCTGGGTGTGTCGAGTTCATTGGACCAAGGGACTTGATTTGGAAGGACAGCCGCCTCTGCGCGACGAGCATTGCGGTGCAGGGAATGATCGCGGGAATGCGGACTGTCGGCCACCACCGTGTCGGACACGCCGTCAAAATTGAACGACAATAGCGAACTGGCAGAAGTTGCTGCTGGCGTCGCGATTGCGCTTGGAGGCGTGTGGCTGATGGGCGAGTGGACCATGGGACCATCCAGAAGCATGGCATGCTCTCGATGCTGTCGTTGCTCTCTTGTGAGAGATCGCGCAGTGCGAGAAGCTTGACGGACATTCCTCCGTGGATTGTCGCTGTCCGATCCTCCCTGCCGGGGTTTCTTCTCCCGGATCGGAATATTGGTGGTCACTGCCTTGCTCTCTAGTCTCTCGTGAGTCGCACAGTGGAGTCTATCGACACTGGCAAAGCGACGAATCAGGTCGCCCAGTTTTTGCTGCAGCTGAGGACTAGTCAGACGGGCGGAGGGATCTCGTTCGAGACACTGAAGAATAAGCTGCACCACAGGGCCGACGGCATGATATACCTGGCCCTCATCCTTTTTCGCCTTCTTTTCGGCTTCATTTTGGAGACTCTGAGCCCACAAGAAGACCTGGCCAAGGTTGGCGTGGAAGCTCGCATCCGCTAGGCCACCACCACGGCCAGCCATCCGATTTTTGGAAGATCGATGCCGGGAGAACGAGCCATAGCTGCGTTTGCAGAGAAGATTCAGGACGTCCATGATCACCGCCCCGAGTGAAAATACGTCGGACGCGAACATGTCCTGTTCCACGGACTGCCACGTCTGAACGACGGCGCTTCGGCCCTCGGGTGCCGATACGAAGATTGGATTGTTGAGCGAGGACGTGTTCTTGCCATTGGAACTGGTGGACGACAGAATGGAGGGCGCCCGTCCTGGGACGATCGGGTCGATGCCAAACCGTGCTGTATCTTGGGTTGAAACCGATCGGGTGTCGGTCGGAGACGGCATGTCCCTGACACGGCTAAAAGGCTGAGGCGGCGCGTCCGGACTCATGGCTGCACTCAAGCGGAGCCTTGCGTACCCTCCTCTTGATGTGGGTTGAAATGTATACGTTGCTCCGGACGAAGCCGACCTGCTTCTTGCCGCATTCCTGCCGTCCGAGGAGTTCAACCGTGGGTTTCCACCCACCTTGCGGCCCGTTCTCCCGCCAGAGGGAAGCGATAGGGCGGCAGAGCCGGTGCTTTGCACGGTCACCGCTCGCTTCCAACGCTCGGGCGGACCGTACTGATACGCTTCGATGTCGTCATGGCGAGGCCTCTGACGAAGCAACCCGTCTCCGTCCAGCAGGCCTAAGGAGATGCAGAAGGAGTCGTCAACCTGGATGTTGGAGGGGCGAATGCCTCCATGAAATTCACAGTTTTCATGTAGCCAGGCTACCGCGCTAGCCAAGCAGTGTGGCCAATTGATCAGGATTCGTCGTCGCTCAGACTTCGGGAGAGCACCAAAGCTTTTCGGAGTATCGGTGAGAAATGTCTTCAGGGTCCACTCGGGGGCTGGGGCGGAGATGACATTGAACGCGCCTTGATGGAGGTAAGAGCCAAACACAGACACAATATGTTGGTGACAGAGTCTCCTGCTCGCGGCGATTTCATTCAAGATCTCCTCCTCCGTGAGGGGGGCCTCGAGGACGATGCGACGGCGAATGAAAACCCTTTGGTTGTCGGACGGTAACCGAACTCGGTCGGTCCCTTCGTGACTGAGTGAGAGGACCACCGACTTCAAACTCAGAGGGACGACCGGGACTGTTTCTTCGTCTGCGTACCGGATATGTTCCCCCTCCCCGACAATTCGCGTCAGAAACCGGAACTGGGTCTTGTAGAAACGTCTGTCCAAAGACCTGTCGGGCTGAAAGGACAGTCGGAGATCGGGGACAGCTTGCTCGATGATGGGCAGATCTTCATCATCGTACGAGTCATCGATGATGCCGAAAATCTGATCAGGTACCCCAGTGGCAACCAAGATGAGGAAGAAGCGCTTTGCTCTGGTCAGGATCCAGTCCAAATAGGTATCGTCGGTTAGGTCCCCGCCAAAGTACAATGGCCGCTGAAGATATTCCTGTTCATCTGCACGCAGGTGAGAATGGACATAGGCGGAGGTGACTGTTTCGTCCACACGCTCATCTGTCCACAACGACATGGTTCCGAGGATTGGCCCTCGTGAGCAGGGACGATAGGAAAAGGATCAATGCGAGGTTTTGAGTCGGTGACTAGCAAGTGAGCCATAGTCTTATCGGAGAGCATCCGGCCAGGACAGCAGGGGTTCGGAGCACACACGTGGAAAGTGGGCAGTGGACATGACTAGCAGGAACCAAAGAGGGATTGTCGGAGACAAAAGGGCAGCAACGATGCTTACTCTACAGGAGATGAAACCGGGGAAGAGGTCGGGATAGATCGAAGGATGGGGAATCCTGGTGTCTTATTTGGCTCGAATTGGGAACGCCAGGTCGCGAGAACGGGTGTGGAGTGGCCACAGATCCTCGCATGGCAAGCCGTGGCGCCGGGAACGAAGGAGATAGAGACATTGATGACGGCGGTTTGCTGGAGTGGGGGTTCGACCTGCTACTAAAGGAGGGAGGCAAAGGGAGAACTGTTCGGGACCAGCTCGCCAGATAACATGGTGGTAGGATGTAGTAAGCCGAAAGGACAAACAGAGACACAAGACACACACCTTATCTCTCCTAAACAGGGGGGAAGTAGTCGTGAAAGCCCATCTTCCTAGACCCAATGGTGCATGGTTTCTCCCACGCGGGTGTATGAACGCAGTTTGAGTTTTCTCACATCCGCCCTCCTTTTTACACTTTTTTAAGACGCCTCCCTCAACGTTCGCTGACGAAATGAGGGACCGGTGGGAGAATGAGGGTGGCCTGAACAGGGGAGAGCGTGTGCCCGCCCTGGATTGCACCCTGTGTGAGGAACCGTACGGTGAGGGTGAGGGTGAGGGTGATGGTGACGAGCCCCCCGTGACTCCTGTTGTGGCCGTCGACTGATTGATTTGTTTCTGCAGCACAGATGATGTCGTTCGTTGCTCGTAACTGGATAGACTTGGGGGCGGTGGTGGTATTGGTGGTGGTGGTGGCGGCGGCTGCAACGGCAGCGGGTGATGGACCAGAGGACCAGGGGAGACACAGCTAAGAGGACAAGCAAAGATCGGATGCAGGATGCAGGATGCATGACTCCTGTAAACTGGCCACGGCCACCTGTAACTGGTCGCCCGCCAGCCTTATCAGCCATCATGATCGACTCAAGCCTATTATCAGTTTAGTTGCAGAATAAACTCGTTAAATGACATGAGTCTCAGGGTCTAGTGAGCCCTAAGGGGCGTGGGTCTGACAGAAGCAACCTCGGCTCCCTCGATAAAGGATCTGGGTTATTATAGATACTATCGATTGAGGCGACTTCCGCCGGTCCAACTGTGTGGGGCGAGTTCTCCTGGTTCGGAAACCCAGCGAGATGGAATGCTGGGTGCAAGGTTGGCCTGTGTGCCTGGTGATCCCTCCCTGTTGTCCTGTGAGCAGCAAGACTCAGAGGATCGACAGTTGGTGCTGTGACCTCTCCAAGGACCCCAGACCTATAAGAACCCTCAACGGCTCTGTGTTGTAAGGCCATCCATCTCCCGAGTACAAGGCTCGCCCTGCTGGGAAAATGCACACTCCCCCACTGGACTTGAAACAGGACGAGAAACATGTGAACCGATATTGGCATAAGTACACAAGAGAATCATGGGCCACTGTCCGAACTAGTCATCCTCCTCTGGTTTCCACATAATAATATCATCTTGGTCGACAAGAATGGAAGCGAGCAGCTATCACACAGTTCTGTCCGAATCAGTCCCACATTCAGCAGGTCTGCGCGCAACTTTGGGAGAAAAGGAATGTCGTCAAGACTCAAGACAGCTCTTCACCGACAATCCTCGGCTGCGGCTGGCCGTTCCTGTCCATTTGTTTACCGCTGCTGGTTGCTTTTGCTCACGTTCATCTAGTCACCCAAGCAATAAGATCACTGCTGCGGGCCCGTTGATTTGCTTCTCTCTCTGATTGCCGATCTTTCTCGAGGGATTGTTTGTGGTGCCGTGTCTTGGAGAGGCGGACGGAAACGCCACATGCCAAACCATCCCGACCAACGAGAACTCAAAAAGGAGCCATCTTGCTCCCCTCACACGATTCAATTGACCCCAAATGCGTGCAGTCAATACAGGCTTGAAGGCGTGCAAACACTTGCCGCAGGATGACGAGATGACAATTTTAAGGGAGGTTCTTTTCAGTTTGTGTGTATCCATCCCCATGGTATCGTGGCCTCCAGATACTTCACCATGATGCTTGGCATCATAAACAATGGCAGGTCGTAACGAGTTCGTCATACGCCCCCGCCTTCTTTGGGAGACGAAGGTTGGGAGAATGCCTACTATCGAAAACATGTCATGGTCATCTTCCAAATACCCCAGGCAGAGAGGATCAGAGGATGCCAACTGTGCTGGCAGATCAGGGGATTATTGTCCTTGCTGTTCGTCCCATGAGCAAATCGAAGGCTTGAGCTGGTATATGTGGTCGTCTGTGGCCGAGCAGGAAATTATGACACCGTATGGTCGCCCTGAAACAGATGAATGACAGTTGCCGTCCCATCCTGAGATCCTGGGTTTGATCAAGTGTTCGGTTGCTTGGCAGCAAATGGTTCGCAGCATCCCCAGAACGACTTTCGAATTTCAGCCTCCTCCTTCACTCACGACCACGGTATTCACTGCGAGGCGCAGAACAGATGCTCCCAGAAGTTCCAAGGGCCGGCACTGGCTGGTGCTCGAACCACGGTCGCAGCGGCGCCAAAAGCACGGACAGCAGAGTGTGATCGTTGGTCCTGTAGCAAAGGACCTCGCTGGCACGGGCGCAGAAGACCCATGCAGATGAAACACACACCCAGCAGATGGTCAAGGGACTTTGGGCGTCCGTGCTGTCACATGCATATACGCAACACATTCCACATTGCCCTCACCGCTCGTGCAAGCAGGAGGAACGATTCGAGGAGATGCTGGGGAATGCCCGAGTGTAAGGCTCCCACGACAGCTCAGTGCCAAGTGTGCAGGATTCCCCGAGACTGGGGAGATTGGGGGCCCCCCTGATCGACAACGAAAGAACAGATTTCAGGCCCGAAGAATTTTCTTCGCCATTGTCGCGGTTCGGGTGTTATGGTGCAGTCACAATTCAGCTAACGAGCCACTGCAAATGGCGGTCTATGCTATATGCTGTGGGTGCACGGCTTTTGCAAGGCGTAGCATGTCACGAGGGCCACCAAATGTGCGAATGTTGCGATATAAAACTTCATCTGGCGAAAAGCCGCCAAGATGACTTTTTTAAGTCCAGTTTGATATCACCTGTGCCGACCCCAAAGCCCTTGTTCCGCAAATCGGAGAGTCCAAATCTCCCGGAAGGCTGGGTGAGATGAGCCGGATGAGACATGGAATGGGTTTACAGCCACAAGCTCCTTCGGCTTGGGACTTAATAATAGCATCTGTTGGTCAGGGCAAAACAATCCTTTTTCCAACAGACCGGTTACGACGTACTCGTAAGCGGCGGGTTCGCAACTGATATTATGCAGCGGTCGACATGTGCTGGGCGAAAGAGCATGGTCGTCAGCATGGGAATTCTCTGGGCGCGGGCCCGCCACAGAGAAGTAAATAAATGTTGCCCAAAGCTTACGAGCCTCGACTCGATAGGTCGTACGATGGCCCTCTGTGAACCTAGGTAGGTTCCTGATGGATCTCGCAAACGCAGCTGTTCCCGACGAGCAAGCTTCGACAAGGCGCTCAAACATAAGAAAAAACCCTAAACACCTCATGCGCAACGGCCCAAGCTGCTCCACTGGCCATCGCTAAAGTCGCAGAGTGCCCCCTGGCGGCCTGGTCTCTGGCTGGACGAAAGAATTTTGAGGCCAAGGCTAAACAGCAGAGTTTCCCGTTCTGCTACGGAGCCCCCTGTCACGGAAATGTGGCTCGTACGATCGACGAAGGTCTAGAACACGCCAACTGTCATCCTCGACCACCCCGATCCTAGGGATTGGCACTCCACCGCAATGTTCTGCATAGCCAGATGCCTGTGCCTAATCCTCTCTCGCTGGCTTGTTGGGCCTGTTCGAGTGCCCACGTAACTTTGGAGCTCAAAAAAAATGGCGCGAAGGCTACGGTGTTGTACCTGCAAGTGCTCCAACCGGACTCCTTGACCGCGCCTCACCCGCTCAAGGCCATCTTGGAAAAAGACCCTCACATCTGGTCGTACATGAGTCTTGTGGCCCGACACAGCCGAGTGCTTTCTCGACATCTTTTCTTCTTTGTTCGTTCACAGCAGGTTCCCGATTGCCCAGCAGCCTGTTCTTCTGAGCATTAGGCTCTGTGTGTGAGAGAGTGTCCATTTACTCTCGTCGTTACTCACTTTTAATTCTTGTTCCTTCGTTCATACAGCTCTTTCAGCCCCTGGGTCGGGTTTCTGGTTGGCAATCTTTCCGAGAAAGACGGTACCAACACCTGCTTGCACTGTGATCCTGACTGTCCCCGCCTCCCACAACTTAGCCCCGCGAGCAAATCTTCATGGGCTTGCGATATAAGCCCTGCCAATGACCTCCCAGTGTTTGTCACTGGAGAATGGCTTGCCCACAGTCTCCAAACGGCACCCGGTAGTCGTGCAGATACAGGAGCTTTCCCTCCGCATGTCAAGCAGAGACAGATACGATGCACTCACCCATGGTGTTGTAGAAGTCTTGGGAAAGTCGGAGGAGGGGCCCCAGAATGGTTCAAGATCAGTGTTGGACGGACTAGGGCTGAAGAGACCGTACAGTGATATTGGACAAGGCCAGAAGCGAACTCTGCGGCCTAAGCCGCGCCGGAGGTCGTCGTCGTTGGGGTCGCTTGATGGTATCAACATGGGGCATGACGACTGCTTCAGTCGAAGGGAGCACTCAGCAAGCATCTGTAAAACCAGAAGTTATGATGCTGTAGGGCCTTTGATCGCGAGAGTGGAGAAGGAGGACGAGGACGAGGATAAGGACGGATTTCCTCACGACATGATCAGAACCGGTCCAGCGTTATTAGACGTTACTGCCGCTCCTACCAACTGTTCGGGATCGTTGCCTACGCACGGCTGGTTCTGCCCGTCACCCTTTCTCGGACAAGTGCTCAGCGGACCTTGTGGAATCGTACCACCCCTCACACCTCCAGAGGATCTCGACTCTTTCAAATGGGAGACTCCTTCACAGACAGACTCTAGCGAAGGCGTTCAGACTGCATCAAACGTCGGAGGTGGTTCAGCGAACCAGAGACAAAACCAGCCTCGCACCAGTTCGACCTCCCGTCCGTCAGAGATCAGAATGCCAGAACCATCAAACATGGCGCGGGATGAATCGAGCAGGACGAACTGGCTGGAACGAGCCTGCCAGCATCTTGGTATGTTGCTTCTCGGCTCAAACTGGGAGTATTTACTGACTGGGGATATATTTAGTTTCTTCGTCCGGAGACCCAACCAGTCAACAACAGCTTCAAATGGTTGTTCAGGCTCTCCCTTGTCAGCCAAGGTCGCACGACACGAGGCCAATCTACGACAGAGTGGTCGAAGACGTCCAAAACCACTTCACATCCCCGCCCTACATCACGATTACACACGCATACTTTCAAGCAATCAGCATGGACGAAGTTCCAGCCTCACCTCCAGCGACACCGAACACCAACTATCCGAGTGACGACTACTTCCAGGACCACACCGTGTTTACACATGCGGCTGTCGTCCCGGCCTACCACTCTCACACAACCACTTTCAGTGCCGCCGCCCCTCGCCCATCGAACATCGTCGCGGCTCCCAGCAGCATCCAGATCTCGATCCTCGAGCGGTACATTCCGCCTACAACTCCCCGAGAAGTGGAGGACTTTTTCACATTGAGCAGGCGGTCGTATTTAGCAGACCGACTGCTCGAATTGTCCTCGAACGATGGTTCGTTACTCCTGATCTATCCTACCAAGAAGGGCGGGCAAACGTTTGCAAATCGATACATCGGACCCGTCATCGAACCTTTTCTACGGCAATTTATCCTATTGAACAACCTCTACACCGACATTGCGATCCAGCTAGGCCGAATGGCAGCGGTCGCCAGTATGAAGAGCTTCGAGGAGATGCAGGCCCTCTTATCGACCATGTGCGAGGCTCTGAGTCAGAGGGCACCATCACGAGGACTGCCCAGTCGATACCAAATTATTCACGCCGAAACCGCGGAGGTGGTCCTGGACCGCGCCCTGTGGAAAGAGTGGTACATTGAACAAGAACAACCCCGGCTACGACAGAACTTGGTGGATTATCACAAGAGCGGTGGTCGGATGCCAGCGAGAAGTGGCCGGATTGAAGTGACGCCTGGCATGCTCGCAAGAGAAGTGGTTGATGGGATCCGCCAGAGTCGGGAGACAGCAGGAGATGTCGGTGTGGAGGTTGCTGTGTTTGTCGTTCGACGCACGACTGTCGTGTAATGTGTTTTGCAGCAAAGGAAACTGCATCATTTATGGCGCGGCTAGCAGCTGGGGATACAGCATGGCAATGGATGGAATTGATCAAGCAAGGCGTTGCGGGCGGTCTGACAGCGGCGGTTTCGGGGTGGCGCAATCTGGAGCCACAGGACAATGAACACGAGCAATGAGATACCCAGCGGATTGTGCGGTTCTAATGAAGACAAGCTGATGCACATGGACAAAAGATATGGATACTGATCACTGGTGCCAATGATTCCTACACTTGCTGAGCCGCATATCTACTGCATGTAATTGAAGGGATAACGAGGCACGTGGGTTGACCAGACTGACACCCGTTGTCCTCTATCTCACACTGACGTCGACGGCGTCTTCTAAAAAGGTCAACATCAGTCATTATTATTATCAAAATTAGCAGCACGATAGGAGGATGACGTGCCGTCGTCAAGCGAAATTGTCAATGTTTCAGACTTCTCATCGCCATGTCCGGGATGAGGACAAGTTGCACAGGGGCTCCTGAGGGCTTCGAGAAGAAGGACGGCCAAGCGAAAAGCGTGAGTACGGCTATCTCTGTGTTTTGTGTTTTGCCATGCAACTTGTGCGGACCCAAGGAACACCTCGTAATGATAATGGGCATGCACCTACACGAATATGGATGGAGGTGAGGGGCTGGGTTCAATCAGGAGCATGCGGGAATACGGTACCCCAACCAAGCTTTCCGGTACCTCAGACAGTCCGGACAAACTCTCCGGGGGCAGCCAGGGCATCTCCCAGATAATGATGTGCCTACGGCCGGCCTACTATCCTATTAGCTAGCCTACCTAGTGAGACCCCCCCATTGTCCCGCCACAGTTCCCTATCTTGACCAACCCACGGAGCTCCAGTAGATAGCGGGAGATAAACAAAAGGCCCAGCGCACAATCTTGCGCCTCCGGCACCTACTGGCTGGCCATATCCGTTCACCCACAACCCTCTAGCGACCTGGCAACCCGTCCGTGTTATCGATTCGGCAGCGGGCATGGCTGCTGCTGCATGGATCAAAAACGGGGATCTTGATGGACAATGCATGAAGCTGGTTCCATCTCCCACACGCTACGGCCCAATTCTACTTCGCGTCTTCCAACTTTCCTGCGTCGTGGGCGTGCGAGGGACTAGGTTCGGGGCAGCGTGCAGCGGGAGGCGACCTTGAACTCTACCAGCCCGTCGTTGCATGTTGTCACGTAGCTTTGGCCAGCTTTGGCCAACGGGATGCGCAAGCGGCTGAATGGGAACCACCATGGGCTGAAGCCGTCCTCGAATTTCAACCACCACTACGTCTATCATCCCCTTTGCTCTTCCTCCTCGATCGTCCTTGCCATTGTCGTTGCTGGCGTCGTCGTCGTTCATGATGTCTGTCGTTCTTGCATGACCCTGCTTGTTTCCCCCCTTCCTTCGTTTTTCTCCGGTTCCTGTCGCGCCTGCTCTGTGAAGAGAATCGCGACTCCCCCGCCCGTCGCTTTTTTTTCTTGCTCGAGCGCGGCTGCTGCGACTGCGGCTTGTGTGGCTCGTCCCTCTTTATCTTCTCTGACACTTCCTTCACAGGCGGCAAAGTCATTCAAATCACATTGCCTTGGGGACGAGATCCTTTTCTCTTCTTTTGCACATATTATTTGTCACTCCTGGTGGTTGGTTTATTGGCCGACCTCTGACAGCACTTGCTACTTTACCACAACTTTGCACCGCTTCTGAGCGATTGGACTCGGCAGGGTACCCAGTTGCTCAAGTCACAAGGGTGTTTTGACATCTGTATTCCTCTTAATATTACCTCTCCTTCATCAAGAACACGAGAGATCTCACAACGAACCATGGGTGCTCACACAGGCTTGTTGTTCCTGGTTCTTGCGGCCCTCTGCGCCACCATCAACGCCATTCCCACGATCTCAGCGGTCGGTTCCAAGTTCTTCACAAGCGATGGCAACCAATTTTTCATCAAAGGCATGTCTGAGTGCCCTGAACGCTCTCCTTGATCCCAGCTAACTGAAGCGTTCTGCGCAGGCGTTGCCTACCAGCTGGTCGAAGATGACCCCCTCGTGAACACTACGCAATGCAAACTCGATGCCGCACTCATGCAACAGCTGGGTGCCAACACCATTCGTGTATACCATGTGGACGCTACCGCAGACCATTCAGGTTGCATGAACGCTTTCGCCGCTGTTGGGATCTACCTGTTTGTGGACATGGACAGCTTCACCACATACATTCGATACGTAGGGCGGATGACCGTGACTGTGGCAAGAGATAGGGAAGCTGACAGCAAGCCAGGACACTGACTCGTCGTGGACCACGAACAAATCCGCTTCTTACAGAGCTGTTATGGACAACTTTCAACAATACGACAACACCGCTGGCTTTTTCGTGGGAAACGAGGTGCTCAATGTTTGTGTGTGACCAGTGACTCTCCTCTGAGACCGGCATACCTACTAATGAGTCAATAGTGGCTGATTCTGGGGCTGCTCCGTACCTTCTCTCCGCCGCCGCCGACCTCAAGAGTTATCGGGATGCCAAAGGCTACCGCAAGATCCCCATCGGCTACTCGGCCACAGACACCGCCGTCCTTCGGCCCATGCTTCAGGATTACTTGGTGTGCCGTCCTAACGTGACAGAACGCCTCGATTTCTATGCCCTGAACAGCTACGAGTGGTGCGGATCCAGCCCAGATTTCCAGACTTCAGGATACGTCGGTTTGCAGGCGCTTGCCGAAAATTACCCGGTCCCTATTTTTTTCTCAGAGGATGGGTGCAATACCGTGCCGCCGCGAACATTCGACGACCAGGCTGCAATCTTTGGCCCCCAGATGGTCGACACCTGGTCAGGGGCCATCATCTACGAGTGGATTCAGGAGATGAACGATTACGGACTCGTCTCGTACGGGCCGCAGGTCGGAGCAGACGTCAACGACGGGTCGATTGTTGTGCAAGGGTAGATGATGGCTTACCAACCACGAGTTTTATACGCAGTGGAGCTGACCGAGCTACAGATTCACCCGCCAAGGAGTGCCGACCCCGGTGTCACCGGATTTCAGCAACCTCCAACAACAATGGAAGACGCTGACCCCGACTGGCGTGAGCTCGGCGCAGTATGCAGCGACGGTGACGACGACGCCACCGGCTTGCCCCAGTTCGACCGCAGGAGGATGGACAGTGGACCCCAGTGCGCCTCTCCCAACGATTGGAGTTGGTGCCGTGTCAGCAGGTATGCCAAGCGGCGTGCCGAAGGGCAGCATTACCGTGACCCCTTCTGCCGCCGGGACCCTTTCTCTTTCTACTTCACTCTCTGTTTCTCCTTCGGAACCGATTTCGCAGGCCAGTAGTACTTACAGCTCGACAGTCACCCCGTCGATCAGCTCGAAGGCCAGCAGCACGACTTCCGGAGGCGCTAGCTCGGCGACCTCCAAAGGAGCGGCTGGTCGAACCGTTTCCGGACCTCTTTCGTTCCAGGGTGTTGGATTTGTAGGTATGGTGCTTGGGCTGGCGACCGTGGGCGCTGGTGTGATGGTCTGGCTGTGAAGGGCCGAAAGTGGTCTATCCAGGGGGCCAGGTGTGGTTTATCTTACGACTCACGAACAACATGGCTGCGAGATTCCATTGGGGAAGAATTCAGAAATGCGATCAAGTGTGCGGCCAATGGCGACAGGTAGACGATGCACAAGTATGGTACGTTACTGCAACAAGGGAACAGACATAGATTCAATAATGGTAATGGAAATCCACTTCTGAAGCGCCGTGTTTGTGTTATCGCCTATCTATTGAGATCGTTGCGGTTCCATTGCCGGCAGGAGTGCTTGTTCCGATGGCCCCATCGCGATCAGCATAACCGAGCCGTGTTCGCCGCACCATTTGTCAACCGCACAGCGGCTGATGCCCGACTCTCCGTTCCCAACAGGATTAACAGCATATCCGGTTTGGGAACGCCTGATCCGAATATTGAGGTGAGTTGAGCGTCTCTACTGGTAGCTGTCCGGCTGTCCCGGCACGTTTTGCAGTTGTGATTAGCCAGACACAGGAGAATAGTTCGAAAGAGGCCACAGAGAGTGAGGACAATAAGAGGGGAAGTTGTGAGAGGGTCAGATGTCAGATGTTCAGAGATATGGATGGATACTGCTGTCATGCACATGAAATCACCCTTTCGCCAGCAACCATCAATTGGCCCGAGTAATTCGGCCGAAGAACATGAGTCAAGCAAATAGATAGGGTAAGTGGAAGAGGTCAGATAATCCTCCTCGTAACGGTTCCATTTCTTGCATGAGCCGCACACCGTTTAGGGCTGACACGAGTCGTGCAAGAGAAAAAGAGGAGTTCAAAAAGAAAAAGGTCCGCGAGATCATCATGACCAACACGACCCACCATTTTCTTTTCTCCTCCACACGGAGCGACGGCATCTATTCTAATAGTGGCACCATGGGCCTTGTCTCTTTCTGACCTCACCGGTATCGTGTGTATTTTTTTTTTCACTTTTCAATGTCCCCAACGTGACGACATCGATGTCCATCTGGATCATAGCGATCTCAGTACCGTAATTATCCCAGACCGTACAATGAGATGATCCCGGACCAAGCATCCATCCCATCTCCATGAACAATGCTATCCCCGTGCCCTGTCCCCTTCCCCTTCCCTTTTTTTATCCTCCCAACACCGCTTCAGGCTTATAAATCCATCTTCTCTCCACGTGCCTGGCGGGCTTGTTGAAAACTCCGCAATGTCCGGGCCTTTCTTTTTGCCTTCTCATTGGCAATGCATCAATGCTGGGTACGGTATCTCGTTCGCCTAGTGACTGTGAAACCCGTGCGGTGTAGGGTCGTAGGGCCTACTCTCGCCGCGCGCGTGTCTCCATTCGTTCGCTTCCCACTCCCCCCTCTGTTTCTCACCTACCTCACTACCATCTTCATCCTCCTGTAACCCTTCCAAGACTTTTTTTTTCTCAGCGACGTCCTCCCTTTTCTCTCTGTCTCTTCGTGGCCCAAGCATCGTTTGCTAAGGCAATCTCCGGACAACTCGTCCGACCTGCCGGACACTGACAAACCCTTGGACCTGAGGGTGCAGTGGCCTTCGACGGAGGCGAGAGTGTTCTGTACTTTAACCCCTCCACAGACGACTCACTAGGACTACTCACAAGGACTCAAGAGGAGACTGAGGCCAAGATGTTCAACCAGCACAGTGGAGAAATGTTTCGCCGGCGATATGGCCGTGAAGGTGAGTTTTTCCTGAATCACGCCCTCGATGTCCTACGACGAAGCGCTAACAGGCCTAGTATCTCTCGCGAACTTGCACAATGTGGCCCTCCCTGGGCAGCTCTCGCAGGATACAAGCGCAATGCCATCGCCTCAGGGGTCGGGAGAGCCCTCGAGAAGCCAGAGCCAGGAGCGAGATGGGACGTGGGGCGAGCGGGATGTCGGAGGCCCTGTCAGCCGTGAAGAGGCCATGGCAGAGTTTGAGGAGATTCGGAGGGAGATCTCCAGAATCAGCCTGCAGCGGACCGCAACTCGCGAGTCCGGTGCCGAAAAGGCCAGGACTTGGCTCTCCCGGGGTCGGTCACGGCCGTCGATGGCTCGCACGCGAACAACAGCCTCGAGAGCCAGCAGTATCGGCACCGATGCAACTTGGGACAAAGAAACCGGCCCAGAGCCGGTCGAGGAAGATGACTTGGACCTGGGTGCTTTCCTCAAGGATGGCCATTTCGAGAAACGGACTGCTGAAGGCGAGTCGGCGAAGAAGGTTGGGGTACTCTTCAGAAATCTCACTGTCAAGGGCGTGGGTGCTCAAGCCACCTTCACAAAGACCCTGCCAGAGGCCATCGTGGGCACATTTGGGCCCGACCTGTATCACCTGGTGACCAGATTCGTCCCTGCTCTCAAGTTTGGCAAACCGCCTCCGACGAGGGACCTGATCCATGATTTTACTGGGAGTGTCCGCGACGGCGAGATGATGCTGGTGCTCGGTCGTCCGGGATCAGGCTGCTCAACCTTCCTCAAGGTCATTGCCAACCAACGAGAGAGCTTTGCTGGGGTCGAAGGCCTAGTCACCTACGGCGGCATCTCCGCCGAGGAACAAAAGAAGAGCTACCGCGGTGAAGTCAACTACAATCCAGAGGACGACCAACACCTCCCGAATTTGACCGTGTGGCAGACCCTCAAGTTTGCATTGATGAACAAGACGAAGAAGCATGACGCCAGCACCATCCCGATCATCATCGATGCGCTCCTCAAGATGTTTGGCATCTCGCACACAAAAGACACGCTGGTGGGCAACGAGTACGTGCGAGGTGTCTCCGGGGGGGAACGGAAACGTGTGGGCATTGCTGAAACGCTGGCAACTAAGTCCACCGTGGTTTGTTGGGACAATTCGACGCGAGGGTTGGATGCCTCTACCGCGCTGGACTACGCCAAATCCCTCCGCGTGATGACGGACATTTCCAACCGGACGACCTTCGTCACTCTCTATCAGGCAGGTGAGGGTATTTATGAACTCATGGATAAAGTCTTGGTCATCGAACAAGGACGCATGATCTACCAGGGCCCCGCGAAGCAAGCACGCCAGTACTTCATTGACTTGGGGTTCCATGCGCCCGACCGCCAGACCACAGCCGACTTCTTGACTTCCGTGGGCGACCCTAACGAGCGACAGTTTCGCAGTGGCATGGAAGCCTCGACACCCAAAACTGCACAAGAGTTGGAGGCGACGTACCGCAAATCAGACATCTACAAAGGAGTGCTGGCCGAAGTCGAACGCTACGAGAACGAAATCAAGGTGACCGATGGCTCCGATGCCAGACAATTCCAGGCGGCCGTTCAGGAACAAAAGAGCAACAGCAAGCTCATCTCTGCGCGGTCGAGCTATACCGTCTCCTTTTGGCGGCAGGTCATGGCGTGCACACTCCGCGAGTTCTGGCTGTTCTGGGGCGACAAGTCCACGCTGTACACCAAGGCGTTCATCATCATCTCCAATGCTCTCATCGTTGGTTCTCTCTTCTACGGAGAAAGTCTGGATACCAGCGGCGCCTTTTCTAGAGGCGGTGCTCTTTTCTTCTCCATCTTATTCCTGGGCTGGCTGCAATTGACCGAGCTGGTGAGGGCGGTCAGCGGCCGTGTCGTGATTGAACGACATCGCGACTATGCGTTCTACCGGCCCAGCGCGGTGGTAATCGCCCGTGTTGTTCTCGATCTACCGGTCGTCGCGGTCCAGGCTGTCGTCTTCACCATCATTCTCTATTTCATGGCCAATCTCGACGTCGAAGCTGGCAAGTTTTTCATCACCCTCCTTTTCGTGTACATCACCACGATTTGCCTCACAGCACTCTATCGCTTGTTTGCGGCCTTGAGTCCGACCATCGACGACGCCGTCAGATTCTCCGGTCTCGCGCTCAATCTCTTGGTCATCTTTGTCGGCTACACGATTCCAAAGACGATCTTGACCGGCGACGTCATCTGGTTCGGCTGGTTGTTCTACGTCAATCCCGTGTCATACTCGTACGAAGCCGTGTTGACGAACGAGTTCCACGGTCGGTCGATGGAATGCTCTCCTTCGAACTTGATACCCCGTGGCCCCGGTGCCCAGCCGGGTTATCAAGGGTGTTCACTGAGCGGAGCTACTCTGGGCAGTACGAGAGTCAGCGGTGATGCCTATTTCCAAGATTCTTTCGGCTATTCTCGATCACATCTTTGGCGGAACTTTGGAGTGGTTCTCGCCTTTACCGTACTCTATATCCTCGTCACCGCTTTCGCTTCCGAAATTTTCTCATTCGCCGGAGGTGGCGGCGGTGCGCTGATCTTCAAGAAAACCCGCAAGGCAAAGCAGATGGTCGGTGAAAACACCAAACCCGCGGATGAAGAAAAGGCCGTAACGGCCGCGGAACCAGCTTCGACCGGCACCTCGGAAACGATGAAGGATGAGCAGAACGCCATCACCGGCGGCATCGCCAAGAGCAAGAGTGTCTTTACGTGGGAGAATGTTGAGTATGAGGTCCCATATCAAGGCGGAAAGAGAAAACTGCTCAATGGAGTAAATGGATATGTCAAACCCGGAGTGATGATCGCCCTCATGGGTGCCTCTGGAGCCGGCAAGACCACGCTGCTGAACACCCTCTCGCAGCGCCAGACCACGGGCACTGTATCTGGGGATATGCTGGTGGATGGACGGCCTCTGGGCGTAGAGTTTCAGCGAGGCACCGGCTTCTGCGAACAGATGGACCTGCACGACGAAGCGGCCACCATTCGCGAAGCCCTCGAGTTCTCAGCGATCTTGCGGCAAGATCGGCATGTGCCAAAGCAGGAGAAGCTTGACTATGTCAACAACATCATCGAACTGCTGGAACTCCACGACATTGAGGATGCCATCATTGGCTCTCTGGGTGTCGAACAGCGCAAGAGACTGACCATTGGCGTGGAACTAGCTGCGAAGCCCGAGTTGCTCCTGTTCCTGGACGAGCCGACCAGCGGTTTGGATTCCCAGTCTGCCTTCTCGATCGTCAGGTTTCTGAAGAAGCTCTCCCAAGCGGGTCAAGCCATCATCTGCACAATTCACCAGCCCTCGTCGATGTTGATCCAGCAATTTGACATGGTCTTGGCTCTGAACCCGGGCGGCAACCCATTTTACTTTGGTCCCATTGGAGAAAACGGTTCGGCGGTGGTTGAGTACTTTGCGAAACGAGGCACCCAATGCCCGCCCAACAAGAACGTGGCCGAGTTTATTCTCGAGACGGCTGCGAAAGGAGGGAGGAGACGAGCCGACGGGAAACGGGTCAACTGGAACAAAGAATGGCTCGAGTCCGATGAGAACGCCGCCATGCTCAAGGAAATTCAACGTCTCAAGGAAGAACGATCCAAGGAACCTCCCAAGGAAGTCAAGGAACAGCGCGCCTTTGCCGCTCCCGTGTCTCTCCAGACGTACGAGCTCGTCAAGCGGACGTTCCGTTCGTACTGGCGCGATCCGTCATATCTGTATGCGAAACTCTTCACCAGCGTGCTCATCGGCATCTTCAACGGCTTCACGTTCTACAACCTGGACAACTCGGTGGCGTCGCTGCAAGAACGGTTCTTCACCTCGTTCCTCATCATCATCATCCCGCCCACCATCGTCAACGGCGTTGTCCCCAAGTTCTACCAGAATCGGGCGTTGTGGGAAGCCCGCGAATACCCGTCTCGCATCTACGGGTGGTTCGCGTTCTGCACCGCCCAGGTCGTCGCCGAGGTTCCCACCGCGATCATCAGCTCCGTCATCTACTGGCTGCTGTGGTACTACCCGACCGGACTCCCCCGTGACAGTGAGACGGCCGGGTACATGTTCCTGATGACGATGCTGTTCTACTTCTTCATGTCGTCGTGGGGCCAGTGGATCTGTGCGTTCGCGCCGTCCTTCACGGTGATTTCCAACACGCTGCCGTTCTTCTTCGTCATGGTGTCCATCTTCAACGGCATCGTGCGGCCCTACAGTCAGCTGCCGGTGTTCTGGCGGTACTGGATGTACTACGTCAACCCGTCCACGTGGTGGCTGCGCGGTGTGCTCGCGGCCACCCTGAAAGATCTGACGGTGCAGTGCGCGCCGCGCGAGTCGACGCTGTACAACGCGCCGCCGGGCCAGACCTGCCAGACGTACACGCAGCCGTTCATCGACTCCTCGGGCCTGGGGTACGTGCGCACCCTGGCCAACGGGACGTGCGCGTACTGTCCTTACGCGAGCGGACGGGAGTATCTCTCCACCTTGAACACCCGGCCGAACGAGCAGTGGCGCGACTTCGGCATCTTCTTGGTGTTTGTGTGCTCGAACTGGCTGCTGGTCTACTTCTTCATCTACACCGTCCGGGTGAGGAAGTGGAGCTTCGGCATGCGGTCCGTCTTTGGCGCGGCGGAGAAGCTGGTTGACGCGGCAAAGGGGTTGGCGAAGGGGAAGAAGAGGTGAAGAAGAGGTGACAGGGAAGACATCGGGGGCGGGTGGATCTGGTCTGCCGTTTCGTGTGTAACTGATTTGGTTCGATGTGTATGCAAGATAGCGTTTTTTGTCTTCGGACGGCGAGTTAAAAAGGAGCGATTACGTCTTGGGAAGAGAGAGGCCAGGGGGGGGTAGGGGTAGAAAAGGGAGTCCTTTCCGACTGGACATGAAAAAATGGTATCAAAGAAAACATATCGACGTGCTGCTAAAACACACTATATCATATATAGGTATATCTAATATCAACGTGATGATGTCCGCGGGTCGTGAGTGTTCATTCATTCATTCATTCATCCTCGAAGACTCAACATCGAGGTACAGTAGGTATGTATGTGCTGTACGTGAGAATCCAAAAGGGGGAGGGACGTTTTACTGTACATATGTAATTAAAGCCCAGTGCAGATTAGGTGTATCTGTATATGTTGGCTCGGACGACAAGACTTAGTACTACTACTGCTGCTGCTACTCCGATCACTGTCACTGCTACGACTACTACGACTACTTTACATACATACATACTTACAATAACGACCACGAGTAAAGAAATAATATATAGAGAGATGGGGGAAGAGACCAAGGGCAGTCGCCAAGTCACAAAGAGCGATATTGTCCCGTCCCCATTCCCAGCATTTATTTCTAGATAGCTTAATACTAGCTATCTATATACCTGCTTACACAGATATCGGGCCCGGGCTATGGTTTGTCGCTTCTCAGTGCCTCGGTGCTCAGTTGGCTACGTACAGTAACACTCAAAATCACCCGGATCACTCCCTCCGTTCAGACGCTCACTCACTTCTCTGTCCTGTCTTCTCCCTCATCATCCTCAACGCCCACGATACGACAACTAACCGCCCACAATTTCTTCGCCCCGGGCCCATCATAAGCCCACTCGGCACGGCCTGGAGCATAGAACACGTCGGCCTGATCCGGGGGGACCAGGGGCGCGGCGGCACAGTCGTCGAGGTACAGGCCGCCCTTGCCCTCGAGCTCCTTGTCGACGGCGGCGAGGACGGTGGTGGCGGCGCCCTGCGGGACCGACTTCATGCCGCGCGCCACCTCGGGCATGGCCAGCAGGGCCGAGAAGTCGGTGTGCACGGCCAGCCCCGTCGTGATGCCGCCCGGGTGCAGCGACCAGGCGTGCACCGCACCCCCGGCCGGAGATCCGTAGCGCCGCTCGATCTCGTTGGCCATCCAGATGTTGGCCGTCTTGGACTGCCCGTACGCGCCGAAAGGGGAGTACGCGCCCGGACTCCCCAGGGTCAGGTCGTCGAACACCACGCGCGACTGGCGGTGGCCCTGGGACGAGACGTTGACGACGCGCGAGCGGAAGTCGGGCGAGGCGGCCGCCCCGGCCAGCAGCGCCGGCTTGAGCAGCTGGAACAGGAGGAAGTGGCCCAGGTGGTTGGTCTGGAACTGCAGCTCGTGGCCGTCGCGGGTCAATTCGCGCTGCGGGATCGCCATGACGCCGGCGTTGTTGACCAGCACGTTCAGCCGCGCCGAGCGCGCCAGGAACGCCGCCGCGCAGCGTCGCACGCTCGCGAAGTCGGCCGTGTCGAGCTCCAGGAGCTCGACGTGCCCCGCCGTGGCAGAGGGGGGTTTCAACAGGTCCCCCAGCGCCGCGCGGCCCTTCTCGAGATTCCGTGCTGTCGCATAAATCGTGGCCCCCGTGGCCGCGAGAGCCCTCACCGTCTCGACCCCCAGCCCGCTCGAGCACCCCGTCACCAGCATGACCTTGTCACCCAGTGCGTTTTCGAGGTGGTTATCTGCGATGATCTGAAGTGCCGTCGGGCGCGCGTCGCCCGGCCCGGCGAGGTTGGACGGGAGGTGGGCTTCGGCGTAGCGGGTTGTCATCTTGGAATCAGCTAGAGAGAGAGAGAGAGTTTTCAGGAGAGAAGGCTTTCACTGGAGGATGGAGGGGTGGGCTTGTATGAATTTGATGAAAGCGTGTTCGTTCGATTGCTTGCTTGTTCGAAATGACTTTCCCTTTTTTGCGTGTTTCTCTGCCACTCAAGAGTATGTGAAGCGGACGCTGGTGCTGGAGTCGAAGTTGGATATCTTCGACATCTCATTCCAGTCGTCCTCGTCAAGGCATTCTTTATATATCAAGCAAATCCCTACTTCTTCTTACCTGCCGGTCTTTGACGGGGTCCCTGGAAAGCCATGCTTGCCTGACATCTGCTCACCCTGCAAGGCAGAGGAGATAAGACCACCCATCCGGCTCCTGCTCCTCGGACGAATGCATGCATCTTGCCCCTGTTGACAACGTACCTTAACACCGAGAGCGTCATATCCTTACCTTTGCTGTGTCTCCCCACGAGGGTTGATGGTCGGTGTGGCCACGCTGTTTGTTGTGCTTTAGTGATTGATGGTTGGAGGGGGGGAACAAGCGGGGCCAGTGGGAGGGGATAGAAGTAGTGGACAGTGCAGTGGCTGGGGCTGAGCCTTGAAGAAGAAGGGGAAGAAGCTCCAGGATCCCAAAGATTGACTGACTCAGTGACTGACCTACTGTTCGTGCGAAGTGGTGCGAAGAATGAATCTGTGTGTGGAGTTGGACTTGGTGGGTGTTGGACGTTGCAATAGTTTGGATGACGATGCAGGCTGCTTACGGGTTCGGAGAATGCAAACCAAACACCAAATCAATCATCTCTGGTCCAGCCGAAGGAGTTAAAACATAACAATAACCCTAATCCATCCATACATCCATCCATCATGTTGTCCCTCCCTCCCCTGTTTTTGCGAGCCTTGTCAGAACTTGTTACCGGACACATGGACTGTAGGACCCAAAATACCAAAGACCTGAAGCTTGTCCTCTCCATTTTACTTGGTCTTGGCCTACAGCGTTGAGAGATAGTCAGGAACAAGGACTAATGCCTGTGCATATGAAAGCAAAAGGAGATCGTGTGGGTGGTGTGATGGAAAGTTGAAATGAACAGCTCTTGGACTGAATGGAGAATGTTTCTCCTCGGTCTTCAGATCATGTATTGTACAGAGATTTGATATCGCAATACCCCTTCCATCCAGCCTCAGCCAACCTTTCATTTCGCCAGTCACTCCCAGCTGCTGACCCTCTCTTCCTGCCAGAACTGCCCATTGGAACCCCCAATGTCGCCAATGGCCAGCAACACAGGTGTCTGTGCTCCTTGGTCGGGCGTCTTCACGCCTCGGCCTTTGCTCATGTCCGTGTTGACCCAGCCCGGGCAGCAGCTGTTGATCAGAACTGTGCTCCCCTTCTCGGCATTCTGCCTGGCGATGGTCCTCGTCATCCCAATCACACCAGCTTTGGAAACCGCATACGCAGCCCCCGGCCAGTTCTTTTGGTATGTCCCATTGGTCACCGCTGCAGAAAACTCTTCCATGAGTTGGGTGATCTCTTCTGGTGTCTTTGCGTTCAAGAACCGAGCTCGGATGGAACTCGAGTACTTGGAGCCCAGTTGGCCCGCCATGCTGGCCACATTGACCAGTCTCCCGCCATCCTTGATGTGTGGCAGCAGTTTCTGCGTGGCCTCCAATGTACCGTAATAATTGCAATGCAGAGTCTTCCTGACCACGTTTTCGTTGAACCCATCCATCGCAATTCCGGCATTGTTGATCAAGAAATCTATGCCATCCGGATGCTCTTGTGTGATTTTCCCTGCAAACTCCTCAATGCTCCGCTCGCTGTCGATGTCCAAGGGTAGGAATTTCACGTCGGTGAGACCTCCATCATTCCTCAGAGCTTTTGCACTCTTGAGCTGGGGGTCCGCCTTGATGGACTCAAGCGCAGCCTGCCCTCTTTCTTCGTTTCGTGCAGTTAGATACAGGAGTAAAGGGCCGCTGTTTAGTGGAGAACGTGGATACTGGAGGGCGAGTTGACGGATGATGGCCAGTCCGATCCCCTTGTTGGATCCTGTGCAGGCACCCACACGCGCATAGGCGGTCATTTTGACGGTTTTGAAGGATGAAGCGTCTAGATCAAGCTCCCGCAGGAGTAAAGTAATGATAACCTTGACGGCAGCACTCACCTTGTTCGGAGTTAGCGGAGAGCGGACGGCATGCGTGTCATAGATCTGCCTGCGGCTTCCCTATGCGCGTCATACATGGAGAAATCCACACGAGGCAGTGGTCGTGGTCTGGGGGTGCAATGTTGTCTACCGGCCTCGACCAGGCTGCTTGTCGTACATAACGGGACGCCGACGGGCAGAATGAGAGAATACATGGCGAGATAGGATGCTTTGGATTGCCGTGACGCCCATTGGTGGGTGATTCTCGCAGCCGACAAGGGCGCAGTTGCTGGGGCCGAGGCCAACCGCCGTGACGTCTTTCGCACCGAAATGTTCAATCCTCAAATCGCCGAAGCATTTCCAAACCGAGAGCGTCTTGTAAAAAGAACACACATCCTCTCCCATTCTCGTCTTTCTCGTTGACTCCCAGCTCTTGCAATGGCCTCGAGATCCCTCCCTAGACCTCTCCTGAGGCTTACAGCACCAGCTCAGCAATGTCGCTTCTACTCGCAACCCGCAGCTTCGATATTCAGAGCTAGCCCCGCCTCGTGTCGAGCTGGTCGCAGCCTGCCACGAGCCGCAAGACCGGTCTTTGTTGCGGGCCAGAGACGCTCCATTTCGGCCAGCTTGCAGCGACGCTATGCCGACGTCGAGGAGGACCAAGGCTTCGACCCCGCCTCCGTCGAGCGCGAGTCGGATCAGGTCGACGTCTGCATCGTCGGCGCCGGCCCAGCGGGATTGAGTGCTGCCATCCGGTTAAAGCAGCTGGCCAACGAGGCCGGGAATGAAGAATTTCGCGTCGTCGTACTGGAAAAAGCTGGGGAGGTGGGCGCACATATCATGTCTGGCAACGTGCTGGAACCGAGGGCGATAAATGAGTTGATCCCGGATTGGTTGAGTGAGGACAACGAAAATCGGTTTACGCTGGCCACGCCGGCTGGATCGGACAAGATGCGATTCTTGACAAAATCTAGTGCCATTCCTATACCGGCACCTCCACAGATGCACAACGAGGGCAACTATATCATTTCTCTAAGTCAATTTACCAAGTGGCTGGGTGAGAGAGCTGAAGAGGTGGGCGTCGAAATATATGCGGGCTTCGCGGGTGCCGAGATTCTCTACAACAACGAAGGCGCAGTCAAGGGCGTTGCGACAAACGACCAGGGCGTGGGAAGAAACGGCAAGGCAAAGGCCAGCTTCGAGCGAGGTATGGAGTTCCACGCTCGAGTAACGCTGCTGGCCGAAGGATGCCACGGCAGCCTGACCAAGCAGGTGTCCAAGAAGTTTGACCTGAGGAGGGATTGCCAGCCGCAAACCTATGGCCTGGGAGTGAAAGAGGTCTGGGAAATTCAGCCAGAAAAATTCAAAAAGGGTGAGATCTCTCATACCATGGGCTACCCGCTGTCCAAGGACACTTATGGCGGCGGATGGATGTACCACTTTGGAGACAACTTGGTAAGCCTGGGGTTGGTTGTTGGCCTCGACTATGCCAACCCTTGGATATCTCCCTACGGCGAATTCCAGCGCATGAAGCTCCATCCATTCTACAAGTCCGTTCTGGAGGGTGGTAAGTGCATCGCGTACGGCGCTCGCGCTCTCAACGAAGGCGGCTTCCAATCAATACCGAAATGTGCGTTCCCCGGAGGTGCCCTGATCGGCGACACTGCCGGCTTCCTCAACGTGCCCAAGATCAAGGGCACACATACGTCGATGAAATCGGGCATGCTGGCTGCCGAAGCCGCGTATCAAGCTCTCGCTCACAACAAAGAAACAAGCACCATCTTCCTGTACGACTACGAGGATGCCCTACGGGAAAGCTGGATCTGGCCCGAACTCAAAGCTGTGCGCAACATGCGACCGTCCTTCCACAACCCCCTGGGCATCTATGGCGGCATTATGTACTCCGGCCTCGAGGCTTACGTCTTGCGCGGCATGATGCCTTGGACTCTGAAGCACAAGCAACCCGACTGGGCGGCCACAAAACCTGCAGATCAATTTCCCAAGATCGAGTACCCGAAGCCTGACGGCGAGATCACCTTTGACATCTTGACCAGCGTGTCGCGGACCGGCACGAACCATGAGGAGGATCAGCCTGTGCATCTGCAGGTGAAGGACTGGGATGCTCATGCGCAGAAGGAGTGGCCCAAGTACAAAGGCGTCGAGAACCGGTTCTGTCCGGCGGGCGTGTATGAGTATGTGGAGGATGATACGAAAGATATTGGAGTGCGGTTCCAGATCAACGCTCAGAAGTAAGTCCCCTATCACGCTAACACCAAGCCTTTCGATGTTTCTGGAGCGCTTACACATATGTCAATAGCTGCATCCATTGCAAAACTTGCGATATCAAAGTGCCGGATCAAGATATCAACTGGCAAACTCCGCAAGGTGGTGAAGGACCAAGCTACAGCATTACTTGAGATACCATGCGAGGAAATTGTGACCAAGCAGCCTTGACTCGACCTATGCAAGTGGCGCCAAAGGGAGATTCTTCCACGCACCTCGCGGAATGTCTGTCTCGCCTTATTTTCCCTCTCGGCAGGATCGATGTACAATATACCTGAGTTCTGGACAGTCCTTCGAGGCTCTGCACTTCTCTGCGCAGTTGCGACTGGGGTGGTGGTGGTCGATCCTGTCACAGATAATTCGAGCCTGGTCTCAGGTGGGACCCGTCACCCTCTATATGAACAACCAACGGGGGGCTGCGCAATAGCAGCGGTATAACGGACATCTTTTCAGCACCGAGGGGTCAGAGGAGAGAAGAGCAGAGGAAAAAGAAACACATTCTGAATGTTTCGCAGAACAAGACAGCAGACAATGCCCCCGTCGCTGTGTCCTATGTGCATATAGCCACTGGATATAAAAATAGGTCTCCATTCATGATTGCTCCTGTCGATGGATCCTTGTGCAAATCCCCTACTGAGACACCAACCCCTTTGAGAGCATCGCCTAACCTCCCTCCAGCCATAGCCAATACCACCCGAATTCGAAGCAAGGACGGCTTTCACCAACTTGAAGCATCTCCTGTAGTTTCGATGCACAAGTAACTTGCTGGAGCTATTGCAGCACGTCCCGCACTCGTCTGTGAGCTGACAACATGGGAATCCATCCCAGCTAGTTCCGTGTGAGGTTCAGACACTCATCCGTATTGCCATGTCTTCTGCGCTATGTGTTCCAGTTAGTTCAGGGGTCGAATGAAGGCCTTTGGCGGTTTGCGGATGTCGACCTGGATCTCTGCTTGCGGCGCAAGATCCCGGCCGGCATGGGACTTCATGGCGACCAAGTTCAACCACCCTCTCGGGTCTGCTCGGACAATGTTGACAGTACTGAAGAGCAGACCGGCCGAGCGCAAGTACATTGTGAGGGCATCCAGACAGTGTTCAGAATTTGGTTGACCAATGCGAGAAGGAACTGGCCATGTCGCTAATCGGGGTGAGCGGTTAGTCGCGGGATCATGCATGCGCGCCCGGCAAGAGTGCATATGGCCGAGGTGCAATGGTACACATGTACCCGCAGTTGAAATTGGCGTGGAGGAACTCATCTTTTTGTATATTGCTAGAGGCTTGGTTTTTCAACTCCAAGCAGGTGGTACCAGAAGGCGGTTCGGTAGCCGAAAAGGAAACTTACCAAGAGCCTGAAAGAGCAGTTATACATAGAGCGCCGATGGTCCTGCAAACAGGAGACATTCTTTCAAGCTGTGAATCAAACGAGACGGTCTATCACCTCTCCCGTCATGCCATCGGTGAGTGGCCAGATTGCAGCCTTCACACATACATAGTAAGGCTTGAACCAACGCGAGGCTGAATGCCCGAAAAGGGCAGGCTCTCCGAGGGCAATGACAGGGCGAGCTGAAGGAATGGGTCATTTGTGGGTCCTTAGTCAGGTCAAGCATTTCTACTGGATGGAATGACACCGGTTTTGGAGACTTTTGAGGCAGAGTTTCTGGACACGGTTGCCGCACGGTGATTGGCCGTCGAGGCCTCGTCATCCCTGCCACCAGTGGCATGCCAAGCCAGCATGTGAAACAAATCGACCGACCGATCGCCCACACCGCGTCAGGGTCGTGACTCATTTCCGCATCTCACCAATTTTCTTCTCTGTCGTCAACATTTCACGCTCGTCTCTTTTCTCTCCTTATCACTCTGCCTAACTGGCTTGGGTTGTTTGCTGAACATGGCGAGGCCACGAAAGATGACATCCGACCAGGTGTGTTTTCACAGGCTGCACTGATCAGGTTTTCAAACAGCTCGGCCTGCGTTGCCCACATACCTGTGGCAGGCAGGCAGTCAGGCAAATAAAAGCTTGGATGTGGGCGGCGGCAAACCCGACAGCTCTTCCCACTGATGCCACTGGCACATCTCCCAGCCTGAACCACCCCGAGCCACTCAAATCACGTGAGTACGACCCACGTACCGGAGCTCACTTCCCAGTCTTGCCATGTCCTTCCGAAGAGTGAAAAATCTATTTCATGCTCACCATTTTGTTTTCACAATGACACGACTTCGAGGGCAGAATGTTTGTCTCGTTGGGTGTGTTGTGTGATGCATGGTGCATACTTTAGTTTAGGGGGGAACGGCAGGGCGGATTGGGCTGGAATGCCCAAGAGCGAGCGGTATGCAGCAAGCCAGAGAAGGGAGGGAAAAAAGGGGCAGATAAGGTGCAGAGTTGCAGGGCGAAAAAGGTGCAGGGGTGGCTGGCCGGGGGCTGCAGTGGCCTGCGCAGGCGAGTTGCTGGGCAGATTCCTGGTGGATGAGAGTGAAATGTGGGCTTGATTGCAGCAAGCTTGGGCGCCCAGATGACACCTACTAGGCCGGTTGTAGCGTAGCGCCCCTCACTCGGCGGGGTTCCCAGTCTGCGCTGTGTGGCGAAGGCCTGGCACTATAAATGCCGCCCTCGCCCTCTTTCCGCGCGAAATGCAGCCGACCTCTTTCTCCTGACATTTTTCGTTCTTGGCACTCCCTCCTGCCAGACTCTCCATCCACCCCCCTCATTTCTTCGCACGGCATCAAAGCGCAAACCCCCTCTTGCCAGCCTGCGATTGATATCCTCTACATCCCTCTCACTCTGGCATCGATTGGCTCTCCCACATAATCGTGCCGCCACATAAATCTCTCTCCCTGGGCGCATCCCGCAAACCTGATCCAAAGTTTTTGGCCACAAAAGACCCAAAGATCTCACCTGCGACCCGCGCCTGCCACTCTCTCTTCACGCAAAGGGCAAACAAAGGAAACAAAGAAAAGAAAATCAAAGGCCACAATAGACTGTCTGCACTTTCCGCTCTTAAGTAATTCGCAATCGCAAATCTACGCACTCTTGCTTCCTGTTGCTCCCCACGTTCTCCAAACCTCGATCCTCCAGATCAGAACGGAAGAAGGTTCTCTCTTACAGACCTGATCTGAGACATACCTCAAACCGGTCGACGGACTCAATTCTCAATTGGAAGTAGGGCAGTTGTGTTGTAGGGGAGACATTGAGTTGTTCATCTCCCGCATCTCGGTACGAAACACCACCGCATCCATCTCCTTTACCTTGTTCCCTCAGGTCGATTCTACGATCTACAGCGTTCGTCGTCGTCGTCGAGTTAACGCCGCGGCTACCTCCTGCTGGCTCAAGTGAATTTGATCGAAATTTACTTCAGCCTCCAAAGTCGAGCCTCTGCACCGACCGACGCGATCGACCGCACCCTCGCCACCTTCCAAAAGTCACTTACAAATTCATCACCCTAACCTGACCATATTTTAATTCTCTCCAGACTGCTTTTCATCCTTTCGTCGATCTCTCTCATCGACAAGGATACACCCGCTGCGACCGCTTGATTGCGCCGCATCGACAAACCTCACATTCCTGCAATCATGGAGTCTCTTACCACTCACCCATCGACCGCGCAACAGGCCAAGGCCTTCACCTCTCCCGCGTCTCTGTCGTTTCCTGGTGGTGCCGGGGACTTGACACCGCCTTCCTCTGAGAAAGATGGACAAAACCTCAACGGTGGCTCATACGCAGATGGGAAGACCAATGGTCAGCAGGGAGGAACTGCCATTCAGGCACCACAAACCCCCGGCGCAACGCCTGGCGCTGGTGTGAGTGGTATTGTGCCCACCTTGCAGTGAGTATTTGTCCCTTTGTTGTCCTTTCCTCAAGGTCAGCAGAGGTTAACATTTCTAAAAAGAAACATCGTTGCCACGGTCAACTTGGACTGCCGTCTTGATCTGAAGACAATTGCACTCCATGCCCGCAACGCTGAGTACAATCCCAAGGTAAGGCTCCGCTGGCCTATCATGGTTGGCACTTGCTGATTGACGGTGTGTAGCGTTTTGCTGCAGTCATCATGCGTATCCGTGACCCCAAAACTACTGCCTTGATCTTCGCATCAGGCAAGATGGTCGTTACTGGCGCCAAGTCGGAAGATGACTCGAAACTTGCCAGCCGCAAGTACGCCCGTATCATCCAAAAGCTAGGCTTCAATGCCAAGTTCACCGACTTCAAAATCCAGAACATTGTCGGTTCATGCGACATCAAGTTCCCCATCCGACTGGAGGGCCTTGCGTCTAAACATCATCCCTTCAGCTCGTATGAACCCGAACTGTTCCCAGGTCTCATCTATCGCATGATCAAACCCAAGATCGTCCTGTTGATCTTCGTCAGCGGCAAGATCGTTCTCACGGGCGCCAAAGTTCGTGAGGAAATATATCAAGCCTTCGAGCAGATCTACCCTACACTCTCAGGTGAGCATTCTTCGAACTGTGGCTAGTCGCTTCTGTTGCTAACATGACCTAGACTTCCGCAAAGTCTAGATCTACTCACGCGGGGCGGGGTTATCCCGTTAGCCTTGTATCAACAGTCAAACATTACCTTTCGGCTTCTTCCTCGACAGTGGTCACGCTGTCGCGGCTGGACAGCCGACATGCCTAGGTGTTGCGTCTTGCAAGCCAAGCATAACTCTAAAACTACTTACCCTTTCTTTTTCGCCTGTGTCACGACTATTTATGAGCATTGCATGGCGTTTTGAGCGAAAATCCCTTCGTATCGTTTCCTGGGGCAAAGGCACCAAAAAGGGGCTCGGGTGCAGTCGACCTTACTTACACCTTATTAGACATTGGGTCTCATCGACAACGGGATATCAGCTTGGTGGGGGACGGTATTCGGCGCTGGTCGATTTCGCATACCGTCTTGTGTGGAATATCTCTTCATTTTCCTTCTGCGCGTGTTCCTGGTCAAGTGGTGGGTGGGAGAGACACACCCTTGACCAGTTGCTATCCGGCGCACGGAGAGCTTTGCAGAATCAGGGAGGCTTTTTGAAAGCTTGGTTCTCCATCCATGACGGGAACTTTCTGCGTCATGGGAAAGGAAAAAAAAATTAAGATGGGCAACTGAAATCTGCCCGTTTGCCCAGATTGTTTCTGATAGAAAAGCAGCAGAAGACTGCTGAGAGTGGACTTCTTGAATGGAGTGAACGGATCGGAGGGTTGACAACGGTACCTTGGTCGTAGTCAGTTAATGCCCACGACTGCATGATGATAGCTCAATATGACTTTTCATCCCTCCATATATCTTGGTTCTTTTCCCGTATAGTTCTCGTTGAGTCCGATACTTATGCGTGCGTAGTGCTGTTGTAGAGCCTTGTGTGAACCAGTGCTCGCGCAACTGTGTATTTTGACATTCTCGATCTGCGGACGAGTGATTGATTCCACGGACACATTTGGTGCTGTGAGAGAAGCAGCTGTACGAGGTGCTCAATGCCAAGCCATTCAATAAACTTATCTTTATCCCATCATGATCAACACCAATGCTGCTGTTGTCGCTCTTCATCCAACACCGTCTGTGCTTAGACGATAGATAACCCATACTTTCATCTGCACGGGTTCATCCATAGCTCCTAAGCAGGCTGGCTGGTGGGCTGTTTGGTTCTCCCAGTCCTCGACGACGAAGACGAAGACGTTGAGGGAGAACAAAGGAAGAGGGGGGACGAAGATATAGATCACAGGGAAAGAGAGAGGGAGTGTGTGTGTGTGGGAGAAGGAAGGGAGAGGGAGGGAGGGGAGGGAGAGGGGGGCAATTTAGAAGGAGAATATAAATGAGGACCTTGAACGCTCGTCTTCGAAACAGGATAGCTGACAGGACATGGCAGGGCACCAGGACTACGGAGGAGATCGGTTGGACAAGGCCACCAGCCAGCGCTGATTTATTATTTGATTGATCGATTGGATCTATTATTGATTGAACTGGTTGGTTGATTTGATTTGATTGATGGATTGATTGACGCCTCCTCCATTGTTCTCTGTGCGGGTAGGAGAATAGGGAGGTAGGTAGCTAGGTAGGTGATAGGTACCTACAGCTCGAGTGAATGCATGTCGGTCGACTATATTCGTCTCCGTCTATCTATTGCAGTCGCTCCCTTATCAACTGATAGATATATATATCTATAGCCCAACCGAGCCAGCCCACTTCACGTCCTCTTCTTCTGCCTCTGCATCTCTTCCTCCAGGAGCATGCCCTTCCTCCCCGCCCGACTCCCGTCTTCACACGCCGTGAATTCCTCCTCGTCGGAGTTGATCATTTCCTTCTTCAAGTCCTCCGGACTCCTCCACCGCCAGATCTGCGCCAACTCCGGCTCCAGCGTGCCCTGGATCGCGGCCACGATCCTGTCCCCGATCACGGGGAAGAATTTGAAGCCGTGCCCGGACCCGCCCGTCGCGAGGAACAGGTTCTGGAACCGCGGGTGGAAGGTTATGAGGAAGTCGCCGCTGGGTCTGTCGGACAGAGAGAGAGATTCAGTGCGGTGAGTCTTGAGGTGAGCTTGTCCTTTTTTCGAAATGGGGGTAACAAACAATGATACAAGCACAGACTGAAAAACAGGTTGGTGGAAATAAACTTACGTATCACAATACCAGCAGATCCGTGTGCGAGTGAAGGGTCTGTCGGCCATTTGAGGCAGAATCTCACGCAGAGCTTCTCGCAGGGCTTCTTCAGCCTCGAGTGGGATGGGTATGCCAACCTTGGGGACGCTGACTTCCACGTATCCGGCATCAACGCCGTTCGAGACGTCAGGGTCGATGACGGCCCTTGGCACTTTCACCAAGTTTCGATACCCATACCCATGTCTGGCGATCTTCAGCTCATTCCCTCTCGGCGGGATCACGAACATCCCTCGGCTCATGTTCATGACGGTCGGCCGGTTGCCCATGGCCGCCTGCTCGTCCGGCGTGATGTCCAGAAAGGCCATCGTCTGCCCAGTGGCCAAACATCGCCCTTGGAGGTCAATGAGGCTGGGGCTCCACGCCCCAGCTGCAAGGACAGTCAGGTCTGCGAGAATCTGCTCCCCTCCGACTAGTTCCACGCCCTGACAACTGCTTCCGGAAAACACGAGCCTCGCGACCTGTGTACCAGGGCGGACGGTTACGCGACCATCACTCTCGCTTTGTACCCTCTTCAGGGCATAAGCCACACACGCCTCGGCATCGGCCCATCCTGAGTTGAAGTTCGCGTAGCCATGGTCCCCACTGACGTTCTCGTAACCCGTGGCTTGTCGGATCTCGTCTTGCCCGTGTAGTTCTCTGATCTTGCTGATGTCCACATTGGCGTCCACTCGTGCCAGAGTCCTCACATTGGCCAGAGATTCCCGTAAATAGGCATCTTTGTCCTCATCAGCAGTCAGCACAAACCCGGGCTCATGGTATCTGTCTTCCCCTCCCCACGCCTCCTTCCTTTTGTCGCGCCAGAGCGCTTGGGCCTGGGAAGCCAGCTTGGCATAGTGTTTGTTGGCATAGTCGGCCCGGACAATACGGTTCGCATCGACGGACGAGCCAGAAGGGTTCGGGAGCGAGGGCGAGCCGTCGATGATGGTTATGCGTGTCGCATTGTATGCGGGGTTGGAGAGGAGCGAGAGCGTCGTGGAGAGACCGAAGACGCCGGCTCCGATGATCAATATGTGCTGGGGAATTGAAGCGTCAGACATTGGGAGGCCACAATCTATATACCCTCCTGCTCTCGAGTGCAGAGGAAATTCTGGACCTACCCAACACAGCGCTACCGAGAGATGACTTTCTTCTAGCCCGGTTAACCCAGACGACGTCGTTCTCCGCAGATCAAAAAGTATCGAGATGCGAGTGCGCCCTCCGAGGTCGGATCAATCTCGGCTAAAAAGAAGGCCACATCGTGTCGCAGTTTGATTTCGCACCGACCCCAAAGTCCAACAGATGAGGATGAACGATTGATTTTTGGATCCCTGGTAGTTCATGGCTGAAGCTGTCAGGATCTACGCAGAATGCTCGAGGATTCCGCATCTTGCACTCTCCATATCTGCCAAGCGCGCAGCTGCTCGCTCCACGACGGCATGTCTCAATCAGCGGCAGCTTTTTTCGCGTGCAGTCGGGCGATCCGAGCGGTCCGCACCTCGACAAGCTGCGAGGGCTACTCATAGTTCCTCTTGTGGTCCTCCCTCACGCAGACATGCCTCCACGAAGCAGACCGTCCCGAAATTGAACGTCCCCCGACCAGGATTGTCGCAACCGCAACATAAATCCAGACCAACCCTCCTCGACCGTGCGACCGCCCAAGATGCCCTCGACGCCCTGGCCGCCCAGAACAGGAGACAGCGCATCCACATGTCCTCCAACACCTATTTCTGGATCACCTCGCTGTTTGGCTTCCTCCTCTCCACCTACGTTGCCTACACCTATATGTCCTACGCGCGCTCCGTGAAGGAGTACGAGAATCTGGATCTGCCGCAGAACGCCGACGTCTCTTCGCGATGGATGGATCTTTCGAGAAACTTCGACGACGAGGTCGAGTTGTCAGAGAAGCTCATGTTTCTGAGGAGCAAGAGGGAGAAGTTGTGCAGAGAGGCTCGGGGCAACGTGCTGGAAGTCAGTGCAGGCACGGGCAGGAATATGGAGCTCTACCGCTTAGACCCTCTCGTCACGCCGGAAGACAAGAGGGTGCAAAGCTTGACGTTCAATGATCTGAGCGAGATCATGCTGTCCCAGGCGCAGAAGAAGTTCGAGAAGCTGCAGGAAAGGGCGAAGGACAGGAGAAGATTTTCGGGGCCGGTGCAATTCGTGGTCGGCGACGCAAGTGACAAAAACCTCATCAAGAGGCCCGAGGGCGGGTTTGACACAATCATTCAGACCATGGGGATTTGCAGCGAGACCAACCCGGTCGCATTTCTGCGGCAGCTGGGAGAACTGTGCCGACAGCCCGGGGAGAAGAGCGCGGGTGTCGACATGAAGATCATCGAAAAGGAATCTCAGCAGTATCTCGAGGATATCAAGAAACGTAGGGATCATGGTATCTCAGAGGCAGAGCAGCAAAGGCAGCAAGAAGAGGACGCACTTGTCGCCGAGTACGGAGGGGATCTGGGTGGGAAGATCCTCCTCCTCGAACACGGCCGGTCCTACCTGGGACTCCTCAACCGGGTGCTGGATAACGGGGCCAAGATGCACGCTGACCACTATGGGTGCTGGTGGAATAAAGACATCGAGCAAATCGTCCGGGATAGCGGGCTGATCGTGGAGCGGAAAAGGAGATATCACTTCGGCACGACGTATGAGTATGTTCTTCGGCCGAGACCGAAGCCCAGAAGTGAAACTGAGACAGAGGAGAAGACGGGAGAGAAGCTCCAAAATGGAAAGAATGTGGTCGTAGATTTGAGTCAGGGTGTGCAAGTCAAGAGATGGACGGGCGGATGGTTTGGCAGAAATTAAATGGGCTTATATTGACGAGCTGATGGTTCCTAAATATCCTGGCCGTGTTGTTATTGAAATCAGCAACAGCAGCAGCAGCAGCAGGGAACGCCTGCCTTGTTTGGATGCTCGTGTTGGAATACATAGAAAATGCGAGGGGGGGTATCACGAGGCTGAGGGAAAAAAGGAGGGAGCTGGAGGGTGGTTGTACGAAAACACGTGCTCTTGCCGATGGTTGTGGGCATGATCATGATGGGCCTGTGAGACTCCTCCGTCGACCTCACCACCAAGCACTGTACTCGGTGTATTTATTAATTACATATTACCTCTCCGGGGGTCCATCCCCTCTCCATTAGGCAGGTGCTCGGCCGAACATTGTGTGTGCGCACACACACATACTGTACGTACCCCTGTGCATTGTAGTATGTGAGAGCATGTCAAACTCCTATTTGATCTGCTCTAATCGGTACATAATATATATGAGTATGAGATCCCGGACAGGAAAGAAGCACACACGCCTCAAGATAGGAAGGAAGGAAGTCATCCTTGCTGGCACTCTACAATCTATTGCATGTGACAAGAGAAAGAAAGAGAGAGAAAACCAGAAATGGAAACCCGCCAACCAAGTGCCCGGCCGAGCAGGGCATCTGGGGAAGTGTTAAGCGAGCGAGGTTGGGTTGGGAAGAAGCCGAGATGCCCAACCATAATAATAGTTCCAACCCAACGTTCTGTTCGTGCAAGCTCTATTATCTATCATTGCAGATCCGGATCAAGAGGCCGCCGACGTGAGGTGAACCCAGCTCGCCAGTTGGAGGGACGGAAGTGTAATCGGTATTATGAGGGGGAGGAAGTTGGAGATTCGTTGGGTGGGTGTCTTGTGCCTCACGAGCCCAAGCACATGTTCTCCGCATTGACCATTGCATCATGATATCGCTTGAAACCGCTGGTGACGGCTTGCGAGCGAGTAGATTGGCTGGATGTTGCCCTATGCAGACGTTATGTGGGGGGTGGATGGAACGAACCTGACTCCAAATGAGACCCCAAACCAGCATCACGGATGTCCCAACCATGATCGCATACATTTGCATATCCGGCGAGCGTCAGGAGGATGGATGGATGGATGGATGGATGGTGGTGGTGGTTGCCAGGAATCAGGATATCGGCGCAGGGCTGACCTGACCTCGCAAGCACCACCGCCCCACAAGAATGACTCACGGGATGCGATTCAGTGCCAGGTGTGCCAGGCAGGATGCCTCAAGAGATGCCTTTTCTGTGATACGAATCATCGTCGCGAGTTGGGGCGCATATTGAACCAGCTTCGGTTCGTGGCGCTGGTGCTCTCCCGTAAACGCAAACAGCACCCAATCGCTTGGTCTAGACACCAATAGTCCGTGTTTCAGGTTGTCTGTGTAACTGTTTAAGTCGTCTTCTACTCTGTATTTCACACCGCAGGTTTGGGAGTTTGGACTCGTCTAGACTCATGTCTGCTCCTGAGCGCCTTGCTTGATGTCCCCAATGAATCAACAACCACCCCGATTGGGCAGCAGTCTTCTATTCCGTTATGACACGACATTGCAGGCTTGACAGGGGTGCATCTGAGCTGGAAGCTTGACACAACGGTCACGTGAAGATAAGGATGTCGTTCGGCTACAATAGACGGATGGAGCGGATAGTGGAGGCCTTGCGGCAAAGTCAATTATTTTTTTTCCCTCCTACCAATTTTTTTTGCACTTCGCGCTGACGTTTTCATGTTGCGCTGGATACGTCAATCATGATGGCAAAATGAACAGAGTGGAGTTTTGCTCATGAAAAAGAAAAAAATCACTCGAAAACATTCACACCACGAAGAGTACTTGGGCGGCCGCCTGCCTCATGTACCGCGCAAGCCAACAACAGTGGCGCAGACAGAGCAAACAAGCTACAGTATGTACTACCAGATGCAGGAGAATTATCACCCATCCGAAGTCTGGGTCACGTCGTCCAGAGCAACCAAGCTTCACAGTTTGCGGCCGTACTTCTCGATTGGTGCTGCGAAATGCAGGGCGAACGATGATGGGCCAGGTGCATTGCCCATTATGGAAGAATCCGTAAACTCAGGAAGAGGAAATGTGCGGCATGAAAAGGTGAGAGGAAAAAAAATTGTGGATGGGGATGGAGGGGCAGCGGGGCGTGATTCGCGGGACGGAGGTGCTGAGTTTGGCCCTGGTGGTGCTGGTCACCGTGCCACCCCCTGGAGACTGCAGCAACCTTGTACCCCAAGCGCATCCAGCTTGCATCCGGGTAAAAGACCCTGGGTACAGAACCGGCCTTTTCCAGAACTTTAGGGGGGGTCCGACAGAAGATCAATAATGTTTGGTGCCCATCCGCAGTTTAGGTTAAGGTTCCTTTTCTGCAACCTTCGTCCGGCCGCCGCAAATACTCAGCCAACAAGCGCTTACTCGAGATGCAGTTACAAAACTTGGCTCAGGATGACCGATGAGGTATCTGCTCTTTCCACTGGCGGATGATGGCCGTACGGTCTTCGGTTCGATTAGTGAGGCGTAAGGGAGGGTGCAACAAGATGTCAGCCATTTCCAGTATGCGAGTCGTGGTAGGGTTCATCGACATTTCCGAGACGAGTTAGTGGTGCTGCACGGGAGCAAGAGTATGTACGCCTGTCACTGTGTGGTACGCACACCTGACGGCATATGGGGTTGAGTAGTGACTCTGATGTCCCGTGGCGCTGTTCTGCGAGATCTGGAAGTCACACCACAAATAGTTGAGACTGGCCGTGCCGCAGCAGAAGGAGAATTCCTCTGATGTACATATTCGACCGTCAAATCGCCGATGAATGCAAAGCTGAATATAGCAGTTGCTCCTGGTTGGGCCCTGTTCGCCCGTACAGCTTCACGACGTAACAGGTGGAGGCTTTTGTCGTCAAGCAAGGGACCGGTCGACTGGTGTCGGGCGGTGGTTTGCGAAAGAGTCGGGCAAGTGCATCCGCGAGCCCTGCGGGCAGGTTAGGCGCTCAGCGTTGGCTGCAAAAACACTAGCCTGGCCCGGATGGAAAGGGCTAAAACAATGACCCCGAGTTTAGCTTGGCGACTGGTTGACTGGCGCCTGGTGGGCTCTCAGATCTCAATCCAGGGCCCAGGGCGACTGGCTGGAGGAAAAAGGACCCATTAATCAATGGCATCCCAGGCATCGAACTTCGCCATGACTGCTTGCTCGGCGAGAGGCGGTGGCATTTTTAGGACTCACAAGCCCATCTCGGAGTGCCCACGAGGGTTTTTCCTTGGGGTTGTTTGTGGCGTGCTGCCTCCCTTCCAGAGCAGTCTCTGTCCCTACCGACGCATTCCTGGCACCTGTCTGTACTCCGTACCTCCATTATTCTTCCTTTTCCATCAGAGCTGCTCTCCTCCCCTCCTTTACTTCGTCTACCATGTTCTGGTCCCAGTCGCATTGACCTCGTCACGCATACCTTCCCTCCTCGCCTAGAGCACGGGCCATAAACATACTGTATCCTTGACAGCGCCCAAAACATTTGGTTCGACCCACTCCGAGCAAACAACGTCTTTCGGACCCTGACCTGACCTACGGCCGCCGCCTGGCAGGCTCCCATTACCGCCATTTCTCGCTTCTGCGCCGTTCAACCGCCCAGCCCCATCCCTGGAAGAAAGAAAACAGAATACAAGAAAGACATCACATTTCTCTCTCTCTCATCAGTCCGATCGACCAGTATCAGGCGTCGCCATCTGACTGCTTACCGCCGTTTGACCTCAACAAGTCAAGTGGTCGGGACAAGATCTCTTTTGACGCAAGGAGGCGAGGGTAGGAGCAGCGAAGGCCAATTGAAGCTGATCCCTGCTCCATACTGGAGAGTTTTCATTGCTCCACGATCCCGGCACCTTGCATTGCAGCCACGCATTCCAGCTGCCTCCCTCCTCCAATCACCGCCCCGGCTGCTGTATATCCATCCGTCTAACCACCCTTCCTCTGTCACATCTTTCGCCCTCCCTTGTCCAACGCTACACAACACTAGTCCATCCCTCGACTGGCGTCGCCGCAACCTGAATCATCATTCTGCCATTCGACAATTCCACCCATCCCAAAAACAAATTCCCTGCTTTTTGGGGCTCCTCTTGGTTACCAGAACCTCCCCGTTTATTGTTGTACACGACTCCCTCCCATCCATCCCCCGGCTCTACAGTATCGCGACTGTATCTATTGTCCTGTTATACAACAGTCCCCCCGACAACATCCTCTCGTCCCTCGCCGGTGGCAACACATGACATTCCACCATGCCTTACAATACTCGCCGGAAATCTCTCTCCCTGCCGTCGCTGGGCATCCATTTGCCCAATGCCTCTCGCGCTCACCGCCCCGTCCTGAAGACCACAACACCACCTGCAGAGACCTCCACGTCCCCTCTGCCTCCGACAAAGAAACAGAAGCGCTCTCACGATGGCGATGAACCTCTATCCCCCGTGTCGTCGCCGCGCTCCAAGGTCGGCTCACCTGCGATCGACCTCCCGACGCCGACCACCGCACTAGCACTCGCTGCTGCCGTTGAGCAGACCCCACCCCCGTCTCCAAAGCTTGGTGCTCCGGTCCGGAAAATCGACACGGACGGTATCAACGATGATATTGTGATCTCTGTCATCGAACAGTTGGAAAAGACGGGCAACCGGCCACACCTGATCAGGGAGATGGCAACAATATTGGCCTCGAGCAATGCCAGTATCGCTCAGTAAGTTTCTACGGTTCGAATTTCGATCAAAGATCATGCTAACCAGCCCTGATAGTTCTGCGAACCCAGCTGCATTGCTATCCTCGCGTCTCAGCCTCTACCTGAAGAGACCATGGACTGCGTTGTCGCCGTGCCCGTTGGCTAAGGAACTGATCCCGGTCCACCCACGGAAGGTGTTCTTCTTCCTCACCACGCAACCGCGAATGCCTCTTCCTGACTCGTCAGCCGACATCCTCCCTCCCGCCGTGATCTCGGTCAAGAACCTGACCCCTAGCGTGTCAGATCACAGCCTGAATGAAGATGATCTGGATCAACGAGACCGTGCTCGACTATCTCCCAGTCCGGAGGTGGAACTGTACTCTCCTGACCTGGATCAGGATGATCCCATGCAGCCTCCGACCCCCGGCGCCCACCTCAGCGCCAGGAGCAGCCTCAATCCGGACGGTACGCCTGATATTCGGCGTAGCACCAACCGGGCTCAAAGTCCTCCACTGGAAGAGGACGAACGTGGCTTCACTGAGACGGCCACTGCAGTGCGCGTCCGCGGTATGAGTCTACACAATCCCACCGTTCAAGCATCAATTGAGGTTGATGAAAAGCCTCCCGCAGTCCCGGTGTCAGAAGAGACCCCAGAACAGCGCCAAAAACGTGATCGAGAGCTCGGGTTGGCCCTCTTTGGCCAGTCTGATCAAACTCTCCACGTGCCGGAACAGAAGCTGTTTTCGAGCAGCCCCATCATGCAGGCCAAACCCGATCATCAGGCCCCAGTGCCCAAGACGAGCTTGGTCCTTGATCTGGATGAAATCGAGATGGGAGTGGCTTCCTGGAGCATGATGAGTCCCGAGCAAATTGAAGTTGAAGAACTGGACGAGATGTTCATGGGTTTCTAAGACCCAGGCCATTGGCCTGCCGAGCGTGGCATTGATGCCCGCATCGGACTCTCACCTCATTAGACGTCGTCCAAGTCTCAAAAACATCTCGACTTTGGAGTTGGCGATACATCGGAGACATTTCGAAATAAAGAGTTGTTTTACGATTCGAAGGCTGGATCTTGATGAAGTGGGCGCGTGGTTATTTTCGGGTTGTCATCTGGACTCTGGAGCGAGGCAAAGCCATGTGTTATAGAATTCACATCTCATGAGAAGAAGAGACTTGTAGTATTAGATGCCTGTTGGCTGACTGGGGGATACGGCGGGTTAGCCCATTGAGGTTCTAGAAAAGAAGTGTATCATTTGCAATGAATCCATCCATCAATTCCTTCTGCTTTCTCTCGAACTCCTGTCTTCTCACAAGGGAAGCCGAGCAGTTTGAGTCTGTCGTTGCTTTGTCAGCGTTAGTCTCCTCACCTGACGAGTTCTTGCAGTCTGTCATTATTATTAATGTTCTTGTGCTCGTATCTTGAACGACGATAAATCGCCAACGAGCCGCGGCCAGCCGTTTGGCCTGTGCACTCACTAGACGTTGATCAGATGCGGACTCGATTTGGGGAGGGACGCCATCCAGAAAGCGTCTACTGCACGACGTCACTCCGACGACGGCAGTCTTTGGACTTCATTTTCTGATGCCTCTCGCTTCCAGTTCATAACCCTTACCTACTCCAGAGGGCCCAAAGGCGATCAAGCAAGCGCCCTCAGATGTCTCGTGTCCAGCCGAATATGGTATGTACCGGAACCTCCGGTATCGCGTCAAGGTGCTACCATCATTGAGTTCGGTTCCATTGTGGGAAGATGAGGGACCGTACCGAGTAACTGGCTAGCTGGCGAGCGAGAGACCCGTTCGGTCTTCCTGTCTATGCGAGCTATTGCCTTGTCTCTCTCTTTCTTTCTCTCTGCGACCGATGGAGCCGAACCCAGTGCGTGGGGTTTACTTTTACCTACTTACATTTGCAGACTTCCCTAATGGGCTTCCAAGACTACAAGCGTCTGTTGGTCCGTTAGTGATGTGATATAACATTCAAGCATACTTTCGGGCTGGTGGCCTCGGTGGTCGCTTAATGGTCGCTGGTATCAGGAACGAATGTGCAATTATCGCCTGCTACGTACATTTCAAGAGAGACGTTTCTTGCTGATTGATGATTCCTCCAGACCCCTTCGCGTTATACATACATCTCGACAAAGACTCTGTGGGTCGGGAGCTGCCTATCGGTTGCCAAATATTTTGCCTAGCATGAGTCTGTCAGGTTTGGCGAAATATCACACATGTGGCCTGGGCCACCGCTGTCGAATGGGATGGACAAAATGCACCTCGTCATCTAACAAAGCAGAGAAGCTGACCCAGTCGAAACTTTGAATTCCAAACAACTCTCAACGGGCATCGTACACTCGGTTCCAAGCTTGGGAAGGCCATTGACGAGGATCAAACCCAGAGTTTTCACCTCCAGCCGTGGCTCAGTACCCTCACAGCCCCCTCGCTTCAAGACGCTTACAGTTCGATGTCAGGAAGTCTCCGCATCAATTGCGGAGACAGGCTGCCTATTTGCCTCCTTACACGCCAGGTTTGGGGGTCCGTTCGCGTTCTCCGGGCTTCGCCAATATAGCATGTCCTCTCCACACGCCAGTCGACTTCCCTCAGGGGATGGCGCCAGTAGAGGGAAGACCCCTTCAGGCGACAATGTCCACCACGCGGCCCACGCACGCTGCCAATTCCGAAGGACGTGTACGTGGATTCGCAGTGCATATTGATTTCTGAGAACCAGGCCATCTATACCTTTGCCGAACTACAACGGACCTAGAGCGTGTTGCTATTGACGAGACAAGACAAGTGCCCATCCTGGTGGACTCACGCGAATATTCCGGGGGTACAAATGCTCGATTCGTGACTGACTGTTCATCATCTCCAGTTCGAGGAATGATCCTTTCCCTCCTTACTTTCTTTCAATGTCCTGCAAGGGGACTTGGAAACCATTCCCATGGCTACCCGCTACCACAGGCTGTCCCGGACCTTTGGCTCAGCACGGCTTCCCCAGACATTAACGAGGGACAATTCACCGTTAATCATTCCAGGCTTTGGGACTGGCGCGAGAATGTCGTAGTATCTAAAAACCGTCTACCAGACAGGTACTCCTTGCTCTACCTCCATGCATGGCTCGTAAACTATATTCATGTCATCGATGTTCACACGCTAGAATGCTTGTGCTCCGCTGGTGCGAACTCCCCCTGGAGAATGACTTCCATGTTGAAAGCCACAGAACCGGTCCTGTTCGGACGTACATACACACTCTCGAAAGACCTGCCAAAAGCAATGTGAAAAAAAAAACCCCCCAAGAAAGAGGGCATGCAAATGGGAATAACTTTGGAACATTAACTTTTCGTCGCCTTTCTGTTTTAACATGCTCCTGGTTTCCGCCCGTAGACGAAATGGAAGTTGACGTAGAGGTGGTTCTGGGAGTTCTGCAACTCTCGCACGACGTGCGCCACGAGCACGCGGCATTCGTCTTCGGTCCAGTCCCGGTACCGCGTGAGGAAGCCCAGGGCGAAGGGCTCGATGGCCGAACAGACCTGGACCAGCTGGAACTTTCCCAGGGCCTTGAGCTTGGGGTCGCGCGGCCACGAGCCGACGGGGACCTGGTGATGTGTCAGAGAGACATGGTTCGTTGGCCGTGGATTTTGGCCGAGAAATCGAGAGGGAAATCATGGGAGATAATAGATAAAGAGGGAGCAGTAACTGACTTTGTAGACATCGTCTCGGACATCGGTAAATCCCGCATCGATCAGCCGTTGTTTCTGCTCCTTGGCCACGTCGAGGTCCTTGCCGAACACCCTGCTGGCCTCGTTCACCTCGTCCTGCCACCGTTTCAGATACGGCGCCCGGACGAGGTCTGGGTCGTCGTCCGACTTGAGCCATGTCTCGTACTCCTGCATCTCCAGCCACCCGCCCGGATTCAAGGACCGCAACGCCTGCTGGTACAGCCGGTCCCAGTCCTTGATGCTGCCGACCATGGTGCGGCCGTGGATGAAGTCGTACCGCTCGTCCTCGGAGCCCGCCTCGACCCAGTCGCTCTCGACGTCGTCGACGTAGAACTTGACGTTCGGAGGCACCACGTCCGGCTGGATCGGGCTGAGGTCAGTGCCGATGACCATGGCCATGGGGAAATTGTCCGCAAAATCAACGGCCCAGATCCCCGTGCCGGTGCCGAAGTCGAGCACCCGCTGCGGGCTCGCCAAGATCGGTGCACGAAAGAGTCGTCCATCCAAGGTCAGTCGGAAGACGTGGTGCAGGAGATCAAGCCGGGCTTGCTCTGCCTCATCGTTGGGCAGACTGTACGCGCCTTGCCGGTAGGCGTGGTACCGTCTGCCGTGTTCGTACGGGTAGTTGTATATTGAGGAGGCCAGAGATGTGCTGGTGACGGAGAGGTCGTCGCCCAACGTCGAGTCTACATCGCTCGGTTCATTTGACTAGAGGGAGTTGATGGAGAGTTAGAGAGGGCGATGAGAATGAGGAATCAATCAGATCGACCTCACGTCTGGCTGGATCTCAGCGTCTGGGTCTGGTGCCTCTGGCTGTTCAACTGTTGCTCCCGGTGGCTCTGTTGACTGTTCTGGTGGTGGTGGTGGAGGGGCATGTCTGGTGGTGTCACTCATTGTCAAGCGTTAGTGCAGCCTTGTTCTCACCACTGCGGAGGCTTGTCTGTATTGAACTGAATGGTGGCGGGGAAGTTTGTGGAAACACGGGCCGTCGAGAGCATATGTACCTCGTACCGGAGAAGGTACTGCGTGGGAGTGTTAGGCGGAGCGGTCCGTCGGACATCAGCTCCTGCCCGGCTAATTAGGGCTTCGTTAAGTGCCTTAGGGCTCACTAGGCTCACTAGGCGCATATATGGCCGTTATGATGCCCGTGTCTCTGCAGGCGCTGGGGGCATCTTCCCCTCCCCCAACGCATCCGGTATCTACGCGAGGAGGACCTAGGAGCCATTATTGGTGCCACCTATCCCAGGTCGTTTGTAGGTGTCTCCGTCGAGGGCAGAGCAGTGCAAGCAAATCGGTCCACCTCGCTTCTGCCTCACCTTGTCGCAATGGGGCTCCGTCCCCCGACCTCATCGTTATCCATTGACTCAACCCTGCCTGCCTATCCAGTACTGGCCCTGCCACCTGCCTGCTCTGCAAATCTTGGACTATGGCCTCGTCCACTTTTGAGAGTCTCACTCAAGGCTCCCTGACGACACCCTTGACCATCCTCGCGACCACATGGCTGTTGTATCTGGTGTCGCTTGCTGTGAACCGGCTGTATCTGTCGCCGCTCGCAAGATTCCCTGGGCCCAAAGCGGCCGCCTTATCACGATGGTACGAGCTCTACTACGAGGTCGTCCTGAAGGGCCAGTACTCGCGGAGGATCGATGAGATGCATCAGCAATATGGTACGTCGACTGCGAGTATGGGTTGTCATTGATTCAACGACACTGACTGATGCTTATCAAGGTCCCATCGTTCGAGTCGCCCCAGATGAGCTCCATATTAAAGACAGTGACTTTTTCGATGAACTCTACGTCAAAGTCCCGCGGGTCGACAAGCACGACTGGGCGGCTGGAAGGTTTGGGAACCATGGCTCCATCATCACCACCGCAGACTATGCTCTACACCGTCGTCGTCGTGCGGCACTCAACCCCTTGTGAGACCTTTTCCTGTCGAGACGGCCATTCGAGGAGATGGAGATGTTGACATCGATCTAGCTTCTCTAAACGGTCCATCGTGGATTTCCAACCAGTCATTCGCCAGAAGGTTGAGCTGTTGAGCAAGAAGCTCTGTGAGTACAAGGCGAAGAGCGCTCCAGTAGTCCTCAGTGAGGCATTTCCCGCATTCGCTGGCGACATAATCACAGAATACTCCTTTGGAATCTGCTACAATCACCTGGATTCTCCGGATTTCTCAGAGTCCTTCCACGCTGCGTTCATGGCTGTCGGTGAGTTTGGCCATGTAGCAGTCCAGTTTCCGTGGTTCCACCCGGTGAGTTGTTGCTTCACCCATGCCCACTGGTCCACGAATGCTGAGAATGACACAAGCTCTTAAATTCTCTTCCAGACGGCCTTGTGCGGAAGATGCAGCCCGCTCTCGGGAGTCTGTTGCAGCTCCAAGTAGTAAGTTCGGTGTATGGAGTCGTCAATATTTGGCTTCCACTAAAAACTTCGGCATAGGATCTGCGGAACATGATCAAACGACTGACCGAAGAGGATGAGCTGGGAGATGAGAAGTCCTCCCATCGCACTATTTTCCACGACCTGCTTCGAAGTGCTCTCCCGCCCGAGGACAAGGGCAATCGTCGCATGGCAGACGAAGCCCAGACAGTCATCGGAGGCGGTCTCGAGACGACTGCCTGGGCACTGAGCGTGGCGTCATTCCACATCGTGAACAACCCCCGGATCTACAAGCGGCTACACGAGGAGATTGTTCAAGTGATGCCTGACGCATCCTCCATTCCCGACCTGCTGGAAGCCGAAAAGCTGCCATACCTGCGTGCATGCATCACGGAAGCGGTCCGGCTGTCCTATGGCATTTCTGCGCGGAACCCGCGTGTGCTCAATCAACCGCTCCAGTACAACCAGTGGACCATACCTCCACGCACGGTGGTGGGGATGTCGATTGTAGATGTCCATCACGACGAGAATATCTTCCCCGAGTCCCATTCATATATTCCGGAACGATGGCTGGGGAATCCCAAAGCGCCGAATGGGTCTCCGCTTGATCGCTACTTTGTCGGCTTTGGAAAAGGCAGCAGGAGCTGCCTCGGGATCAAGTATGTATCATGACACTGGTCACATCTGTGGGCGGTATATTGGACAAGCTAACTCAATGCCTTTCTCTCCAGCCTGGCGTACGCCGAACTGTTCCTTCTCATGGCCACCCTTTTCCGGCGATTCCGCTTCGAGCTGTTCGAGACCGACAAGTCAGATGTTGAGCTGAAACATGATTTCTTCCTTCCCAGCCCCAAGTTGGATTCCAAGGGCGTGAGGGTCAAGGTTGTTGAAATCTACGAGTGAAGTCATGCTGGTATCTAAGCTTCCACTCACCATGATTGATATATCCATCTATTCCGTGTTTACGCGAATCCCTTCGCATTTCGTACGTCAGCGCCGTTATCACCCATATCAAGGCCCTACAGCAAACATGCCATTGATGGATAATTCATACATGAAACGCTGTTGTGCCTGGCTCGAAATGAAGCTGTGTCTCAAGCCTTTGCTTAGTAATTCATCGGCGTCTACGCGTCGCGTCTTCTGGGACAGATGGACTTGTACGAACCGCATCTGATTTCCGGCTGTCTCGCGACAGCACGAGAACCGCAATCTCTACCTGCTACCTTTGTCGACAGGCGTTCTAGACCGAACAAATGAGAGTCTGGAAGGATCGGGGCAGACGTTGTGGAGTGGACCGCCCAGATCTCTGTAGCTGTAGCTTATTCGCAGCCGCTGTGGCTCGTTCTCAGTCGTTGAATCTCTCTGGCCTCTGGTCCGCGACCTGGGAGGCCTAGGGGCCGAATTGGCTAGTTAAAGAGCTACGTTCGTCGAGGGTCAACAAGGATAGGACGGTTTCCGGTCACTTTGGTCTCATCCAACCTCCAATGGAGGCTGAAGAGCCTCTAATGGTACAGTACCGGCGACAACAGCAGATGACGGCTCCTCCTCTTTCGCGCTTCGATCCAGTTTACATCGACCAAGTTTCGCAGGGACGACGCACACGCAGCACGCCTCGCCTTCATTCCCTAACGACGGGGACCGGCGCCAGCATCTACAGATCCACGATCATTCCCGCCATCCGAGCGGCGCAGTCCGAGGTCGTGCTGGTGACGTGCTTCTGGGCGGCGTCGACGACCCGGACTCAGCTCTGCGAAGCGCTCAAGGACCTGTCGAGGCGTGCCCTGGCATCCTCATCGTCCGCAGCGGCAACAAGACCGCCCACGAAGATTTCGGTGCAGATATGCTTCTCCTCGAGCTCGCTGGCACGGAACATGCTCCTTCCCACGCCCACGGATGGCCAGGTCTACGGCCCTGCCAGCTGGGGGAAACTGGGCCTCCCGGAGCCCGAGGAGGTCAGAGGCCTGGATCTGCGGGTCGTGCGCAAGTTCTTCTGGCCCTGGGGCATCATCCATTCCAAGTATGTCATTGTTGATCGCAAGCTGGCGATCTTCCCCTCGTGCAACGTGTCGTGGGAGCGGTGGTTCGAGGTCGCCCTCTCGTTCACAGGCCCCGTGGTCGACCACTTGCGGCTCTTCCACGCCGACTTTTGGGAGGACGGGAGGCCTCCGGCTCCGTCTCCTGCTCCTTCTCGATCTCCCGGCGGCCCATCTCTCGCCGCCGTCAATGCAGCTCAGGCCACCACCACCACTACCACCATAACGGCGCCCACGACTCTCCTGCCGTCGCCGCACACTCCGGCGAAGCTTCCGAACCACCTCCAACCGCGCATCTTACTGGGTCGTTTGCTCCCCTGCTTCCTGGACGCAGCAACCATTCCGTTCCCCCCGACGCCGCTGCTGCAAGCCACGCACCACCTGCTCGCCACGGCGCAGTCCAGCATCGCCATCCTCACGCCCAACATGACCGAGCCGACGGTGCTGGAATCGCTGCTGGAAGCCCTCGAGAGGGGCGTCCGCGTCTGCATCTGGACGAACCGCGCCCTGATGACCGTCGAGCAGATCGTCACCGCGGGCACGACGACGCCGAGCTGTATCCAGAAGCTCCGGGAACGGGCGCTGCAGCTGGGAAGGGCGGCGCTGCTGGAAACGTTCTTCTTCGACGATGACGACGACGAAAACAGCCCGGACGACGGGCCCGGGTTCCTGCAGCGGGGGCGACGAGGGTTGCCAGAGAATGCCGATGATGAAGAGCGAAACCAAGAGTCCATCCCCGTCAAGCTGCACGCGAAGGTCACCATCGTCGACGACGAGCGGATATTGTTGGGGAGTGGCAACATGGACGCCGCGAGCTGGCGGACGAGCCAGGAACTGGGCGTGCTGGTCGAAAGTCGCGAGGTGGTCGACGGGTTCAAGAGGCTGTGGGCGGAAGACACTACTATACCTCCCATAACTAGACGAAGAGAATAATACCACCCCTTTAGAAGCAAAAACCCTTTACGTACTGTCCGCCAGCTCGGCAACAGGGAGCAACACTGTGCATCGACTCGGCATTCACATCTTGGTATTTGGGAAAACTGTCCTGCCGAGAGATAGAATCCGAGTTACTGCTGTACTACATCCATCTCAGAGCTTTGACAGCGTCTTGCTAAGTCTTTGAGACGGCTTTGCGTCCTCGCCGGTAATGACCTACCTACCTACCTCCCTCCCGTGTATAAGCACGGGACACGGCGTAGATATATATGCCCCTGATCCTTACTTATTACTTGGCCGGTCTGCGAAGAAGCATCAGCGGCTTCCCAGCTTCCACGACGTCGTTTGGCTTGACGAGCAACTTCTCGACCGTCGCCCCTTCCATGCTCTGCTCCGCCTTGACGGGGATTTCGAGCTTCATGGCCTCCAGGATCGAGACCACCTGCTCCAGCCTGACGCGGTCGCCTTCCTTGACCTCGACTTTCCACACGTTGGCGTTCAGTGGAGCTTCGACGGGGATGATGTCCGGATCTTTGAGATGCATACGTTAGTTAGTACGTCAGTCTGTCTTTGTCCAGATTCTCCTTTTTCCCTCAAGGGAGGGCAAAACATACCGTGCAACAGCTCCTCGACGGTGTCCATGCTGATTTTGCCCGCCTCTTTCTCCTTGTTCCATTTCTCCAGAAGCTCCTTCTCCAGCTTGTCCATCTCCGCCTGGGCTTCGCGCTGTTTTGCCCGGATTTGCACCACTTCGTCCTTCGTCTCCCGCAGGAGCTGGTTGTGCTCTTTCATGTCGAACTCGGTGTCCTCGTACTCGTACTCGTACCGGCCGCTGCGGAACGTGGCCATCATCCTTTCATACTCGTCTTCGGTCACTTCGTAGAAGGTGATCTGGTCAAAGTCCTCGAACAGCCAGGGCTTCTCCGGGCTGTAGCCCTTCTTAAAGCCGAGGATATCTGCGCCCGGGATCGAGAGTCCGGTGTTCATATAGCCACCCGGCGACTCGACGTTGTACAACGCCATGCATGATCCTCCCCAGCCGACCTGACCCTCCGGGGTATGTACACGGGAAGGATTCATTTTGGGGCACTGGATGCGCTGGCGAGGATCAATGGGTAGAGCAATCGGGAGGGCGACAAAGAACCCCACAGCCACCACCATCAACGATGATTTCGTGTATATGTCTCGAAGCTGCTACCCGTTAGAGGACTGAAAGGTAAAGCAATTGGTCAGTAGCTTACCTGTTGAAGCGTGAATGCATTGTTCTTTGCCACGAATTCCATGGGATCAGGTAGATATGAGGCGTACGGTCTTTGCGTCTCCATATATCTCTGTAAGCTTTCCTTCTGCCGTTTACTCTGAAACGTGATGGGAAATTTGTACTTGCGGCTGGGGAACTTCGCTTCACTCAGATCGCCGAGTTCGTTTTCGAGCTGGAGAAGATAATCCAGCATCTTCTGGCGGGGAACTTTGGTCGAGTCATAATACAACATCAGAGAGTTTCCACAAGCCATTCCAGTATGCATCGCGCCGTTGGCGAATGATATCTCTCCAGTGTTTTCTCTGAGCTTGCGGTACAGTGCGACTGCGCGGCATCGGTAGTTGAGGTCGAAGGAGCCATGGCCATAGTCGATCAAGATAAAGTCGTCGCCGCCCTGTCGGTAAGACACGAGCGGTTGGTTGCCCTGTTCTTGGATTTGATGGATCATCGCAGGCTCCCACCCTTTGTTCTCGACCGATGGAGGAAACCCATCGTATTTCAGCGGCGAAACATGCTCGAAGCTGCCTTTCCCCTGGCAGCAGTCGTGAATCGAGCCTAGAAAGTCTTCAACTTCCTTGCGCTTCGCAATGGCGTCCTGATACGAAACCCTCTTGAACCTCAGCTTGTTGCCCGCCTTCATTTGGCCGAGTCTCCAATAGTCCGCCTTCACGATTGTGGTCGCCGACACGAATCCACCAAAGTCGGGCGCGTCAATGGGAAAGAGGCAGGGATCGTCCCCGGTCCAATTCACCGTACCAACAGGATAGCCATATTCGATGACATTTGAAGGATGGGCACCGCCCTCTCCTCCATCAGGACGTGCCCATTTTGGCTTGGGGCCGATCAGCCGGATGCCTCCTCGAGCGGCGTTGTGGGAAATTGTCCACGTGCTTTTGTAGAACTCTTCGATCGACTCGTTGGTGATGAAACCCTCGTCGTAAGGACCGGGCATGGCGAGGAGATCCCATTCTTCGGGATAGGACGGTATCAGATTCTCTGGTAGGCGAAGTTCGCCGCTGATCTCGGGTAGATCCGCCGTGACCACCAAGAAATCGCCAGCGGCCAGGGCTCTTCCTTGATAGCCCCCGACAGCAGTCATCGGTGCAGTTGCTTTTGACCCGAACCACGTCGCAATACTGGGAAGGCCGCCATATATTGCCAAGTACGATCTGCATCCACCTCCTGTCGTCTTGCCGATGGTGAGGCGCTGGCCAGCTTGGATCTTCAGCCGCGTCCACATAGGTGCCTCCTTGCCGTCCAGCTTGGCCTCCATCGGTGCACCACATATGGCCACAATGGCCGGTCCAAGGAATTTGAGGTCCGGACCACTCAAGGTGATCTCAACGCCTTCCTTGCCAGGAGGATTGCCCACGAGCGCATTAGCAATCCGGAATGCCAAAGGATCCATTGGTCCAGAGTGCGAGAAACCTCTCCCAATGGTGGGACGGCCTGGCCAGTCTTCGATCAAGGTGTACGCACCACCTTGCAGAACATCGATTGCCGATGGTTGGAACTTGAACGTCTCGAGAAATTTTGTCATCGTGTTGCCAGACTTGAATGTGCTATCTTTCAAGATGGCGTCCAAGAACTCGATATTGGTGGGTGGTCCGAAGATGTTGGAGCCTTCGAGCATTTCAGACATCAGCCTGAGGGCTTCCGGGCGGTCTGCTGCGTGGACCATGAGTTTCGCCAGTAAAGGATCGTAAAATGAAGTGACCTTCGTTCCGGTGTGGATCCAGCCGTCAATTCGAGAGCCCGGGACCTGCTTCCAGGATACATGCTGCAGTGTGCCTGGTGATGGTGCAAAGTCTTTGGCCGGGTTCTCAGCATATACCCGGACCTCAATTGCCGCTCCTGAAGGGCCCTCGGGCTGCAGGCTGCGGAGGTATTCAGCATCGAGGCCGCCCTTCCCGGACAGCTCTGCGTCGGCCTGTTTCAGCATCAACTCCACCAGGTCGATTCCATAGCACATCTCAGTGATACCATGCTCAACCTGCAGGCGTGTGTTCATCTCTAAAAAGAAGAAGGCCCCAGACTCGTCATCCACGAGAAACTCGATGGTCCCGGCCGAACCATAGTTGATCGAGTCAGCCAGACGGACAGCAGCCGATCCCAGCTTCTGGCGGAGTTCGGGATGTTTGACCACGAATGGGCTAGGGCACTCTTCAATCACCTTTTGATGTCGTCGTTGGATCGAGCATTCGCGTTCACCAAAATGTATTGCTTCACCAAGCCCGTTGCCGAAGACTTGGACTTCGATGTGGTGGGATGAAGGGTAGAACCTCTCCATGAAAACGCCTGAGTTTTTGAACAGGGTCTCGCCACGCGATTGAACGGTCTTGAATGACTGACGGACTTCGTTCTCGTCCTTGCACGTCAACAAGCCCATGCCGCCTCCGCCTGCGGTAGCTTTGAGCATAACCTGGAATGGTTAATACAACTTTTCCAGGACGAAAGGTCCTATTTACCGGGAACCCCAGTTTCTTCGCTTCCTCAACTGCATCGTCCTCCGACTTGACAAGGCCTTTGGTTCCTGGGACGATGGGGACATTTGCCTTTGCCGCAAGTTCACGAGCCGTATGTTTGATGCCGAAGTCATCTATACACTTAGGACTGGGTCCGACAAACACCATTCCCGCTTCGGCAACATGCCTGGCGAAGTCAGTGTTCTCTGATAGAAATCCATAGCCTGGGATAATAGCGTCTGCTCCTTTGGATTTGGCGATTTCGATGATTTGTTGTGTGTCGATGTAACCCTTGGCATCTGGTCCTGAGAGCAAAACAGCCTCATCAGCAGCCCCGACGTGAGCTGAGGCGGCGTCTGCTCCAGTGTAGATCGAAATTGTCTTAATACCCAGATTGCTGGCGGTCTTGCATATACGCACCGCAATCTCTCCTCGATTCGCGACCAGCAAGGTCTTCAGTTTCTCCATCTTGCGAAGACTGGCGATGGAAGCGGATGACGAACAGTCGACAGCTGACGCACAGCTTTGCCGACGCGAGGGACTGTTGGCATTATCAAGCTGTGGTGTAATGGCTTGATATCAGTGGACCTGTTGTGCAAGGATTCCCCAAAACATCCATGAGGGGCACGAAGTCTATCGCGCCTCCGCAAAGTCGTTCTTCTCCGCCAGTGTTGACGTATGATTGGGGAGGGCCAGAGGATGCCTCCTCGGCGCCTGAAAAGGAAACGTGTGTGAGAAGAGTTTGCGTGGTGTTGCAAAAGTTGTTGTTTTTTCCTTATTCACCATAAAGGCAGGTTCAAGATGGCGCCTCCACCAATCAAGCACAAAGCCTTGCTCAATGTCGATCTGGGTGAAGGAGTAAGTGAGCCTGTTCGAGCCGTGTGCCATATCTGATCGCTAGAGCAGTACGGCAATTATGTCTGTGGCCCAGATTTGGAGTTGCTGCCGTTGATAGACCACGCGAATGTTGCCTGTGGGTTTCATGCCGGCGATCCCTTGATCATGCAGGAGACGGTCAGGAACTGTAAGAAGCATAATATCAAAGTCGGGGCTCATCCTGGACTCCCTGATATACAAGGTAAGCCCCTGGGCCTGTCGAAGTTAAGTCGCTTCTAATGCCACGAAGGTTTCGGTCGACGTGAGATCAAAATGTCTCCCGAGGAACTGACCGCCATCACTGTGTATCAAGTCGGCGCGTTGAAAGGATTTCTCGACCAAGAAGGCGTCCCGTTGCACCACGTCAAACCCCACGGCATTCTATATGGGATGATGTGTCGTGACTATGAAATCGCCAAAGCGGTCATGGAAGGCATCCCCAAAGGCGTTCCCGTCTTCGGGCTTGCAGGAACAAACATGGAGAAGGCGGCCAACGATCTCGGTATCCCCTTCTGGGCAGAGATGTATGGGGATGTGAAATACAGCAACGACGGCATGCTTGTCATCGACCGGAAGAAGAAGCCGTGGAATCTTGAAGACGTCAGGAAGCACGTAAGCCAACAGCTCAACTCACAGTCCGTGACTGCCACAGATGGGAGTGTGGTGCAGTTGCCGGTGAAGGACTATCCGATATCCATATGCTGCCATTCAGACTCGCCTGGCTGCCTGGGAATCATCAGGACCACAAAGGAAGTGATTGACGAGTTCAATAAGGAGCACGGGAGGATATGAGAAACGGCTCTTTGTAGAGACGATGTATGGCGGCCAAGCCGCTAAAAAAGGCCCATGGTGGCTGCTGCCGCCACGTTGTTGTCGCTGTCGTCATTCTCATCGTTGTCATTGTCTTTGTCGTCGCGGTCGCGGGCGCCGACCCCATCAAGCTTCTACTCTTCTTCTTTTTAGTTTTCTTACCACCGCCACTGCCACTGTTGTTGTCGTTGTCGTCGGCCGCTGCCGGCGCTGTTGTTGCTGCTGATGCCACCGCGGCTCCCCCACCAATGGTGACTACATGCTTGGACAGCGGCCGCCAAAGGGAAAAGGCGCAAAGATGGAGATGGGAGTGATGGACAACAAGGCCTAAATCATATCGGCAAGATCTTGTTAGAAAGCTCCAGGTGAAGAGTCTCGATACATACAACAGTTTCTGGCAAGAAAAAAAGGGGGTGAAATCGTTGTGCTTTCAGGTGAGAACGAATTCAGAACTGCCAGAACACGAAAAGGAAAGTTCCAACTTACTCGGGGGAGCGAGACCAGAGTCAGGGCTAGTAACGGCCGCACGCAAAAGGAACGGAGGTGGACATACGAACGAATGGTGAACTTCTGGTCCATAGCAATTGAAAGCAGTCGGCATGAACAATCTCTCACAATGAATGCGAATGATGCGGATGATGCAAGAGATCTGAGTTCAGCAGGGGGCAATGTCAACCAGAAGTGCAAGGACATGGGAGTCGTACTCACCCAAGGGACGGCGCGGACAGGGGGAAAAGGGGTCTCTGCTATATCCGAGGAGAGGGAAGAAGCGAAGGAGAAGAGAAGAAGCAGATTTAAATTGAAATAAATGTGTGCACACGCCAAAGCAGTCCAACGTGTGATAGTCCCATGCCAGGCGTGTTGGAGCCTGTAGCATTGGTACTGGTGCGAAGAGAGGTAAGTTCATTACCGACCATCGACAGCCTCATCCTCTTTACGCTTGATTCATACTCCATCATATTCAGTTCTCAAATCCGGCCGAGGGCATGCTACCCCTATCCACTCGCGCATTCGTCAAAAACCCGAGACCACCAAGGGTCGTTGAGCCAGTACCAGCAAGTGTTCATTTTCCGTTCACTGGGGACACATGGGGCCGTCTGGTGCCACGGCAGCTCTTCCCCTTTCTGCCTCATGGAAAGATGATTCCTTACTGCACCCAGGCTGATGTATCACTTCAGATCGGAAGTCTCTTAGCTCCTCTCGTTATTTCGCACATGAAACTGACTGGATACGCAAGACAGTTGCAAGGCACCATGTCCCACGAGCGATGACCTCAGGTGTCTTTTGATTCATACTGTCTGCTTGCGACACGGTTGGCATGTCCATTTTCAGTTTGTTGTTCAAGAACATCCACGCAGGGCTCAAGAATGACATGGAAGCTTCCCCAAGGATAAGTCATAGCCTACAAAAGGGCCGATACCAGGCATGCCATGATGTTATTGTCATCCCTGTCAATAATGGTGATATCAACTGGCTGATGGACGTCTTTGAGGCATGATTAGACTTCCAGTGCTAACGATTGCGATCTTCGAGAATTCGCCCATGATTGGTTTGCTCTAAGCGAGGTCGACACAGCCTCGTGAGCCTCTTGAGCCGCCGGTTTGGCGTCACTGGGAATAAAACCAAATAATACTTACTACGAGCATTGTTCCATGGCAACTTTCGAAAAGCTACCTTCCCGGGTGTCTTCCTCGGATAATTTACCCTTCTCCAGCGCATGTAAATTCCAGTACAACTCCGGTTTCTGCTGCAAACCCTTCAACCATGGTCGTTCGAAGCCTGTAGCCAGTCCTCATATATACTGACTCCGAGCGAAGATAGTGTCTGCTCGTCGGTATTTCATCCCTTGGCCACTGCTGCTTGACGTTTTGCCCCCACGGCCTCGGACGGTACCCGTGGAAATGAAGCTACAATCGAGAATTTGAGATACGGGCGGAAAGAGATGGAGAAGAATGGCGCGACGTGTAGCCAACCAAGTCAATCGTATATCCTGATTGCACAGCTGGACTATAGCACCATGATATCATTCACAGCGGGTGTTCCAAAAAGACGGAGTTAGTTGAAACACAACAATTCGGCGCTGAACGCGTCGTGCAATAGAAATCCATTGTCCATGTCATAGGAAAAGGTTCAAGGCGTGGGCAAGGGTTTACTGGTTCTGGTGTAACCCCATTAAAAGGGCCGAATCAATTCAATGTGTCCCTGCCCCTGTGATATTGCTACCTGGGGCTGGTGTCATGTTGTTGTCATGTCTTTTTGTAGGTCACAAGTTACACGTGAAAAAAAAACTTAGCATAAGATTCGTTGAATGTATAAAGGACGATGAAAAAAGAAATTCCACTGCGGGGAGTCGAACCCCGGGCTTGTCGGCGCTATCAAATCAGAGATCTGGAGATGAGAGCGACAGATGTTACCTGTGATTGATTGTTAGATACAGAACCGATTGCTTAGGAGCTGGATGTTACGAACCGCTACACCACAATGGAGACTCAGTTGTCTGATTGTTGAAGAAATTTGAGTAATACAACATTATGTAGCTTAGGTATCTGCTGTCAAAGTATGATTGTCGCTTGGGGGTCAAATCTCGACTTGATCTTAACCAGATTAGCTTAGTGTGATGTAGAAATGGGCCAATCAAGCCACACTTGTTAGAACTGGAATGGATTGACTACTACAACATCAGCAGATTTGGGATTGAATGTAAAGGGGTTCATCATGACAGTTGAAATTGAATCCAAATGTTTTCCCTTAGGTTCCTATCATGGAGTTTTCCTCCAACTTGGTGTTCGAAAATACAACACCAAATATCTATGTAAAATAGGGCAACCCGCCACAACGCTTTCGAACTAATCCATTAACCATTTCTACTCTTCATGATCACTCTCCTTGACTGAACTTGTAGTCACTTGGTTGCGGGCTTGCACAGAGCCGTTATTTATAGCTAGCTTAGCTGGTGATGGAGGCGCAAGAAGATGTCAAATCTTGTTGCCTTGCGCGCTGGCGGACAAAGTACCTGGCGGCGCAGGTGCGACTGGTGGTATACAAGGTGTTGCTCTCACCGCAGGTTCAAAGCCTAACGCTCACGACATAGATCTCGTGGAGCAGTTGTCTCTCTTCTCCTCATTACCATGGTAGTCGCTCGAGTGCTGGTTGACATCGTGAGTTGGTCCATCTTGCGTGGCTGGTGGTCTGGGTTCCTGTGGTCGCTCTCGCCAGCGCAGTCCGGGATGATGCGTTGCGCATATTGTGCCGTTTCCTTCTTGATGTAAGGCAAGCCGAGTATGACCTTGACTTGTCTTCTCTACTCGCCAGGGTACTCCTGCTCTCACTCTCTGTCGGCCAGCCTTACTCTCTCCTCATTTCCAAAAGCTCGATCGTTTCCCTTCCCCTTCCATTCTCCTTTGTTCTGGAGGTTAGTGAGCATGGCTTTTTGCATGTTTCAGCGGTTTTGGCTGTAAAGGGTTGGTATTGTACTAATTTCTGCAAAATGCAACACACCAGTCCTTTGCCCTCTCCACAGCTTCCCATCACCATAACTCTCAACTGAACAAACGTATCATTCGCGCCTTCTGATGTTAGATCTTGATCAGTCGGCCTTACCACCTTGGGCGGTAGGAGGGCATGGTGGCGGCGCTAACACTGGTTGCATTTCTTACCGAGTCTCACTCATCTGGGTTGTCTGAGATAAAAACAGTCATTAATCCAGGATCTAGTCACCCGAGGAATTGCACATGTATCAGTGTCGTGACTGTCCAGCGGGCCCGAGTTCATGATGGACCGATGCATGCTCCTGTCCATCAGCCAATAGAGCAGAAACAAGACAGCGCGAAGCGGATAGAAGGCACTTCAACGGCGTCCCAATAGCAGTGCAGCCCCAAGTTCCCCTGCACGTGCAACAGCCTGCTCACTTCGCTCAGACGAGCGGCGCAATCTCCATCCAGAAGCTGCGAGACCGACCTCACTGGTTCCTGTCATGGTACTTCTTCCAACTCTGCTCAAAGGTCTCTTCGTTTACCGCAAACTTCTTGATGTAGTCCTTCTCCAGCTCATGCGCTCTTTTACCGAGAAGCACGAGGCTATGCAGCGGAGGACCCAAGTCAACATCACACAGCTCCTTCAGTGTCCCGCAAGCAAATTGTTGGTCATCTGCACCCACTCGTGCGCAGCCGATAGCTAGACTGTCTTGCGCATAGACTTGTTCCTTCTTCTCATCCTCTATTTCCAGCATCTGTTGTGCACACTGCATGACAGTCATGTAGCGTGGAGGCTCGTATACCTTTCTTCCCCTTGCCATGTTCTCAAGTGACTGCTCTTTGACTTTGATATCTAGCAGCATTAAGGTGTGCAGGCCAATTGAGGCATTTTCTCGGATGCGATCGTAGAAGCTGGCGGGTTTCCAGTTCTCAGTAAAGAAGACCATCGAGACAGTCTGGCCAAAGTTGTAGAGCTGTAGACCGGTTGCACCGATGGCATTGAGAATCGAGGCATTGGGAATAGACTTGACGGGGATAGAGAGCTCTTGAGCCCGAAGGACAAGATCAGTATGAGTTGTGGCCCTGCAAGGTGCGTCAGACGAAAGGTCAATTATGGCGTGGTGTACAATCCTACCCGAAAGGATCGCCGACAACCAGAAAAGCAATGTCGGCCTTGTCGGCCCCTTCCAGGATCTCGTCGCTGGAGGATTCGACCATCTCGCGGTCGGCTACGATTACGGGCCGTCCATAGAATGACTCCTACCTTGACTGTCAGAGAAGAGCCATGTCAGCAAGATATGCGACGAAGTAGCTAGAAGGTGAAATAGCGATAGATGGGTAAACAAGTGGCTGGTCATACCAACTTTTCCTTCCCAACGTGAAGAATGCTGGTGTATGCCTCGAGGTAGACTCTTTCTGCGCGCTTCACAACTTCCAGTCCTTTGACAGTGATATCTGTCTCATCCGCGAGACCGAGCCCAACAAGATAAAGCATGTTGGCCTATTGTCGGGAGTATTGACGTGAAGCAAAGTGACAAAATGACCATGTATGAATGAATGGGTTTTTGAGGGAGATACATTATGGGGATGGTGCACGTGACAACTTCGGCACATTCGGGGAGCTCTTGTCCAACTCCCGCGTATCATCCCTGATATTGTTCAGTCATCCATTGCATCTTATCCCATCGTAGCCGGCCGTGTGCTGCCTAGCAAGGAGGAGCGCAATCACTTCTCCCAAGCTGTCCGTATGAAACGAACAGAACCAAACAAAGAGCAGAAGAGACAACCTTGACAGGGGCAAGCCGAGGAGTCGAGATGGCGGGTGAAAGACCAGCTAAATACCGGCAGGAAATCCAGCAGGTGAGCAGCTTTTCTCAGCCATGGCGTTTCGTTCCAGCAAAGTACCGGATCCCTGGAGATACCGACAATCCACCATATATTGAAGCCGACTCATATCGCCAACACCGCTGCCAGCAGCAGACTTGACGAACTGAGAGCCGCCGATGTCAATTTGTCCAGATGTATCACGGCACATTTGCCCACGGCGACCGCCTGTTACATCCCCAAGCGTCTCTTTTGACGCTGCTCCTTCGGAAATAATCTGGCGGAGTCTCTTAAGCACTACAGTCTCTCAGTCCAAGCGGTGAATGGCAACAAGAACCTAAAGCTGCACAAGCAACACCTAGAGCATGGCCTGAACTCAACATCATGGCAACACGAGACCCTGGAAAAGGCGTTCAAGAAGCTCTCATCTTTAGAGATACCCCCGCCGAGCCGCACACATACAAAGGTCTCCCTAAGGACGACAACGGCGCCGCAGCACCTTCTTCAGAGAGACCTGGAGATGACGATGACTTTGAAAGCCTGAACGACTTCGAGCTGAGACTGATGCACTGGATTGAACAGATGATGTTCGTGAGTGGTGAAACGGCCGAGCCAAGCGCAGAGACCACTTGGATGATTGAAGAAATCGTCAGAGAGCAAGTTATCGAAATGGTCAGATGTTCTTTGGATGACTGTCTACAATCTTGCTGACCTCCTCAACAGCTGACCCAAGCAACGGCACTCGCAAACCGTCGAGGGTCCAAGACCATCTCGATCGCCGACCTCATCTTTCAGATTCGCCACGACAGAGCCAAAGTGTCCAGACTCAAGACTTTCCTCTCGTGGAAGGATGTCCGCAAGAATGTGAAGGACTCGGATGACAAAGGTGGGGGTGATGCCGCTGAAGTCGGCGACTTCGACGAGGTAGGTACCTGTTACCCCAGTCGCTTCGGAAGGGAATAACGAAATGAGCCTCTAGGCCTCCGGAGGTGTCAACCCATCCGCGCCGCAAAAAACTACCGCGAACAAGAAAGCCAAACTAGTCTTGCCCTGGGAAATCCAATCATTTTACGCAGAACAAGTGCCCGAGAGAGACGACGAGGAAGACGAAGAGGAAGAGGAGCAGAACGAGGCTACCCTCGCCCGCCTCGCCTCGGCCGACGAGCGCACCAAGAACATGACCAAGGATGAGTATGTCTACTGGTCCGACTGTCGTCAGGCCAGCTTCACATTCCGCAAGGGCAAGCGATTTCGCGAATGGGCCGGGTTTGGGACGATCATTGACAACAGACCAAACGACGATGCAGTGGATATTCTCGGCTTCTTGACGTTTGAGATTGTCCAGACCCTCACCGAGGAGGCGTTGAAGGTCAAAGCTGCGGAAGATGTCGCCAATAAAAAACAGAATGGTGGTCGGGGCGATCAGGACGCGTCGAAGAAACGGAAGAGAGAAGGGTGCAGTCTGTTCGAGATGCCCGAGGAAGGCAGGACACCGGTCGAACCCAAACATGTCCGAGAGGCATTCCGAAGACTGCAGACGGTGCCTAACAAGTACAAGTTCATGAGACAGGGCTTCGCTGGGATGAGGACACCACTGAGGTTGATTTGAGGTTTTGAGCGAAGGCGTTGGGGGTTTTGGTTGCTACGAATGCTGGAGATTTAGGGACATGATCAGATACGATACCCCTCTTGTGATTATGAGTTAGGGGTGGCATCCCAGGCACAGGGACTTCGTGCACAGGATATCGATATCATCGAGAATGCCTTGGAGTATTCTCCTCTACCCCAGATCTCTGTAACTGGGAGCCATCAATGAGCACCGGCGGGTAGAGAAACTTTGGAGTCCTTGCTCTCTATTACATCATGCCGCGTTAACAAGGGACATCACCAGCAGAGTAAAAAGCGCTAGGCCATGATATGTGAGAGCGTGAGAGAAGACCGAAGACCACACGATGGATTGCCCAGAGCCATCGCAAGTCGGAGTCATATTATATGTAACTAACTGGACGCCGCCTTCTTAGTTCTCCAATCACACCAGTCCACATTTCTCTTTGCATGCCTCATAATCCGTTCATCTTCTCTCCCACACAATTCATCCGCATTTTCGTGATCGTCAACATCACCACCTACATCACCACCAGGGCCTACCTCGACTCCCGAGCGCCACCGACCCCTCAACCCCGCCTCGACGAGGAGGGGAATAACAACAACAACTACTACTGCTGCATCACCAACACCACCACTGGCCGCACGCCGACAGGGCAGGCAATAACAAGAACCACAACAGCCGCACCGATGGCACCGAAAGGCAAAGGCGAAAACACCAGAAAAGCTGCAGGCAATGCCCGCAAAGCCGACGCCGCGGCGCAGAAGCAAGCCGCCGCAGACGCCGTAGCGGCCGCGCGCGAGGAGGAGAAATGGCAACAGGGCTCCAAGGACACGTCCAAGAAACAAGCGGCGGCGGCCAAGGCCGCAGAGCAGGCGGCGAAGAAGGCCGAGCGGGAGGCGATGCTCGCGGCCGAAGAGAAGGGGATGCGAGACAAACCCAAGGGGGCGAACAAGAAGACGGCGGAGAAGAAGAGCAGCAGCAGCCGGGGCACGCTGGACCTGGCCCAACTCGACGGGGACCAACCCAGCGGCAGCAGCAAAGAGCGGGCGCTGAACGCGTCGGGCATCGACAACGCGCTGGACGCCCTGTCGCTGACGACGGGGTCGGCCAACGACATGAAGCTCGACCGCCACCCGGAGCGCCGCTTTCCGGCGGCGTACAAGGCGTACGAGGAGCGACGGCTGCCGGAGATCGACCGGGAGCGACCCGGCCTGCGGCGCAACCAGAAGATCGAGCTCATCAAGAAGGAGTTCGAGCGGTCCGACGAGAACCCCTTCAACCAGGCTGGCAACGTGCGCTACGACGCCAGCAAGGAGGAGCTGGCCGACGTGCGCAAGAAGGTGCGCGAGGGCGTCGAGAATCGCTTGGGCGAGAAGTGATGCTTGTGATGCAGGAAGGCCCCCCTCCTTTTTCTTTTCTCCCATGTGTACCCTGGAATGGGGGAAAAAAGAAAATAAAATCGTGTGTATGTGCTTCTTCTATTCTCCCCTGTCTAACAGGGAACAACAAATAGCGGCCGGCGGTGGTCTTGGTCTTTGAGGTAGGAGGGGTAGGTAGGTGCCGAGGGAACACACCCGAGACAAGATCTATCTATCTATCTATCTCGGTTTCGCCGGAACGGTGATGGATGCCGTGCCATTCGAGAGACAAAGAGACTGAGCAGCCGAGCCGCGGACTGGACTGGACTGGGCGTGACAACAAATGATGCGACGAGAATAACGAGAAACGTGGCATCATGGGGGAAAGGAGAATGAACACATGGATGTGAGACTGGTCTCAATCCCCAATGACATCCCTTCATACATACGTACAGACAGACTCTCCTTTCTTTCTTCTTCCTCTATTTAGCGATATATACATATAAATATGCATTGGTTGGCCATGCGGCGCCGGGCAGGCGGGCGAAGAAGCATTAGACGGAAGACAGACAGACATACGGACACGGCTTTAGACCATTTGCGAATGGGGAGAGAATAAAAATAAGTTTCTTTCGTCCTCCTCCTCCTCCTCCGACGATGCTATTTTACAACACCTTCCGTAGTCGCATGTCACTATCTCCACAAAATCAAAACAGGGAGGCCTTGCCTGTACACTGGAACCCGTGGTTTCGGTTTCGTTGAACGCATCCCAACGCTCGATCTCCATCTGTGTGCCACCTGTGTATACAGGACATAATCACGGGTCAGCCCCCTCACACGCGACAAAATCATCGCCACTGGCACCCGTATGTGTAATGACTCCTGCATAGTCCCCGTCTGCATTGAAAATGACGCGATCCGGACCGGGAGACCCTCCATCATACACCTTGAAGTCGTCCAGGATGGGGAATTCATAGTACGGCCCATCGACGGAGAAGTCGAATCCCTCGTAGTCATTGTATTGGTGGGGGTAGTCGTCGGATCCCTCCGTCTGTCCATCCTGATAGAGCGAATAGCCTTTGGAGACGGCAGCGTCAATGTCCGATTGCCAGTAGCAGACATCGCCGCAGGTTTCGACGCAGGATTGGCGCTTCGTGAAAGCGTTGAATTCCCGAGGCCAGAATGAGGGTGACACAGGCTGTTTGCTGGAGGAGAGAACTGGTGGGAGAGCAAGAACCGGGGTGAGCGCGAAGACAACGCTGGCTAAGACCTGGAGAGGAATTAGAAGGTGTATGATACCTCATACGGTTTCCTCGAACCTTTGGGAGCTGCATCTCTGTGGTGCGGATTTGAAGTGCTTGATCTGGGGCTTGAGGGTACACCACGAAGAATGGATGTCAGATACCGTATTGAGAGACCGTCTCCGGCTAGGGGACTGGTCTGTGCGGTTTCGTATGGTCGTTCCAGCAGCTCTTCGATGGTCGGCTTCGTCAAACGACGGTCGTGAGATCCCTTTAAGTAGTATTCAAAAGCAGCACAGGCTCTTCACAGTTTTGGACTCCACTGACCGACGTGGAGAGTTTAGAACACAAACAAATGTCCACCATGATCCTGCAACAATCACTCGCTCCCGATTCAAGCCGCAGGGGAAAACGTGCTCCTCTCAGGATGCGATATGCTCATCAATCGCGGTTGTGCTACCTCGGCCGACCAGGATGCCAACAGGGAACCATCAACAAAGACCAGGCTGAACCCTGTTCCTCCTGCAGCAGGTACCCGCAACACCAGATACGCAGAACCTCAAGAGGCCACACCGAGAGATTTCCCCAGACGGGCGCCTGCACGAGGTGCCAGAAGTCCCCGTTACGACGCTCAAAGGCCGTGGAGGGTAAGCAAGCAGTGTGAAAGCATCACTTTAGCGACAACCCTGACCCAGATAGAGTTGTTCTGCCGACACCTATCAAGGCCTAGATATCGAGCACGAAAGCAAAAAGAAAAGTCGAAGAGGCGCTGGTGATCGACAGTATCCGTGACTTCGAGAAGGTCTTGGCAGGCTGATTGGCTGAACTGTGGCGACGAGTGAGGAAACGAGATTGGACACTGGGGCCCAAACTGCAAAGGCCATCCTGGTTCTCCATCCTGTCATTCCCTTCCGCACCTGTCTGCCGAACCGGTACGAGGTCCTGTAGGTCGTTCAAGTTGCAAGATGTAACATAAGTCGGCGATGAAGCTTGTTTCTGGGTCGGATCAGCCACGACGCATAAGAGTTTCAGATTCTGATATCTGGCATATCCACTTTCGAGCTGTTGGTGATAGCAGTAGTCGGGTTTGAACTTGTCATGCTTCCCTCTGTGACAGGATGGAATTCCTTGTTATCCAACTCTGAAGGTGATCCCCATGGCCGCAAACAATCCAACAACACCTTCGTACGTGGCATCACGGATGCATGACTGTTCGCACATCCCAGACACAGAGGCGTTCGTCCCAACCACAGCTGGCCGCCCACCCTTCACTACCGAACAGACACCAATCTACCCCAGTCGCGAATTCGGTATGACGACCCATGCTACCGAGTTCTCTAGCGGGACCTCCTTGCTCGCCTCCGTCCGTCCAGACACGACAAGTCATATCATAGCTGGCGCTCAGTAGTAGATCGGGGAGGTGGGGACTCCATGCAACCTTCCGCACCGCGTAGGTATGTCCCTGTAACAGATGCAGGGGCCCCTTGGGCTGCCGGATGTCAAATGTTCGGATAATGCGGTCAACCCCGGCAGTGGCGACGACTGTGCCACGGTATTTATTCCAATCGTGAGTGAGGGCTTCAGCAGGTGGGAAGGTCGGTTGGATCTTTCCCACCGCAGCGCCCACCGACAGGGGAGCCGCATGGATAGGGATTTGCAATACAAGATGGTTACTAGCACTGGCTGGTGTTCTCAAATCCCATACTCGTAGGTGGCTGTCGGAACACACCGCGCTCAGCATCCCATCAGTATGAGGACTCCATTGGACGCTGTACGTGCAGGAATGGGTGGGCAGTGTTAACAGGCTCTGTTGCCGTTCCGGGCTCCATATCTTGACGGTGCCGTCCCAGGACGACGAGGCAAAGGTCGCCTTGGATGTGAGGTTCCAACTGCAGGAGAAGGCTTCCCGCGAATGTTCTTCAAATTTGGCAATGGGGAATTCCGGTGCCAGGGAAGTGTCGTAGAGGCGCAATGATCCGTCCCCGGAGGCAGTGAGAAGATGGGAACTGTGGGCTTCGGAGTGCGTTACATCGTAGAGTGCATCTTGTGTAGGGTAGCTAGTCGACCGGTCAGCACTGATATTCCTAATGTCTTCCCTGAAAGCATGGAGTCGAGATTCAGTACACTTTGAGAGGCACAATGCCTTGAGCTGTCAGCTCCAGGGCATACAGCCGTCCGTTTCCCACGAGGCCATAATTTGCTGCTGCTGCAACCGCTATGCGGTTGTCAAAGAAAGGGGAATATTTGACTGCATAGCCCTGGAAGCCTTGGGTGCGGAATTCTAGCATGACTGATACTGCAACTCTTGTCTCGGAGGTGAACAGTCGCTCATCCTGTCTGGTTTAGCCACTGCTCCGGTGAGATGGGTGTCAAAAGCAAGGCCAGAGGGGCATCCACCCACAGGCCTCTTGAAGGAAATGGGTGAAATGTAATAGAAAGACAGGCTACCAGTGACCAGTGAGTACTAAAGTGTTAAGGAAGATGGCGGGATTCTCAGATCGACAGGTTGACGAACTTTCGACGTGGGCCGAGGTTTCTCCCCGCCATTGCAATTGTTGCTGCTGTTGCCAAGAGAAGGTAAATCGACGCCCTACTCACCCCTCTTTGGGACGAGGGTGATGCCGCTCTGTACTCACTGCTAGCCGGATCTTTCTTCTGACTGCTGGTCATGTTCTGTCGAAGAGGTCTCCATACACTTTTAGTACAGCACAATGGTAGGTTGCTTACATGCTCATCTCTGCGAAATCTATGGCTAAGTGATCTATTTAACACAGTTAAGTAGTCTATGCGCTGATCATTGCGCTCGCTGGCCAGGCTCCTGCACTTGCCGATTCCATTGACGACCTTTCACAGCTGCTGGAGACGGCGGTTGGGCTTCTAAGATCATAGGCACTACCTGGATCGAGCATTGAATGCGGCCTTGAAATCGTAAGTTCCATACACAGAAAGCAGCGGCTGCGCAGCCTTCGAACGCGATGAGACTGCAATGGCCATCGGGATGTATGACGTGGAAAGATTGGTACATCTGCTGGGTGCCATTTTTCCCAACTGATTGAAGTAAATAGTCCCTCTTGGCTGTCACTCGGTTGCTAAAAATGAAGCATGGGTTTTTTTACACTATTGAAGACTCAACAGAAGAGCGAGAGACTTGAAGTCAACATGAGCAGTTGCATGCAGAGTGCAGGCCACTGACGGGCTGATGGACGTCATTCTACATCGCCCCTTTCAAAGCACTCTCTCCACGCAACGTCCGACCTCAATCTCGGTCCTTATAAGCCTCTGGCCGCCATAACCCTTTCAACAGCCACCTTAGCCTTCTCTTCGGCCCCGAGGAAAAGTCTGCAGGCATCTGCGAACCTTCTATTCAGCACTGCATTCTCTGCGATAAATTGGTCAAGCTTTCTCCCGCCATCCACCACAAAGTCTATATCCATCGTGGCTTGCACTCCATTCCAGTCGGATCCGGAAAGCGGATCCAGGGTCTCCAGTGTCTTCAGACGCTCCGCAACGGCGAATTCAGCATACGGATGTTTAGGCTTCTTGTTAAGCACCGGAGGAAGGGTATCCAGTGTCTCCATGAGCTTCTTGAGATTGGGGCCCTGAATAGTGACATGTTGACAACCCAATTCGGCCATCGCAAGAACCTCAGTAATGTTAAAATGGCTGTGGTAAGCAGTAAGTGTCAACAGCAGCTCTGTAATAATCCGAGCAGCGCTCTCTGGCGCGCGACTTACCTCGCAATGACCATAATCGGTTGCTCCTTTCCAGTCTGTACATAAGCTTGGGCAAATGTCTTCAGCATGTGTATTACGCGGGCTGACATGGGATGCTAGAGGGACTGTCAGCTTGTTGCACCGATGTGATAACAAATGGACAGAATGTACCTCGAGAGCTGGGTCCTTGACCTGTGGACGTAGCTTTGGATCAAAATGTGCTGCAATTTCTAGTATAAAGGTAAGTTTGGTATGCAGCTAGCGGAGAGTTTGAAGACTGACCATTGTAGTATGGGCTGATAAATAGGCAGTTTGACTGGCTGGCTGCGATAGCTTGCTCAAGAGAGAAGACAGCCGTCGCTAGCGTGCGAATGCCTTGCGCATTGAGCTCGAGAGCTGCCGAAGCCGCAGCTCCAGAAAATGGCACTTTGATTGCGAAACGATCTCTTGACACACCGGCTTTCTCAAACTCGTCGGCATATTCGTGGCATTGTTTGATTATGGCAGCACGGTCATTCACATGACGAAGGGAGGTCTGGACGAGGACACGACCAGACAAATATGGGACATTCCTGGCACAGAAGGTCACAGCCTGAGATCTCCCAGCGCTCGTCAGAACTGAAAACATGCGAGCATTCACGAAATGGCTAGAATATCGCGTACCGCCATGTTATACACTTTCTCCCAGCCCTCCTTGCCATACTTGTCAACAAGCTCCTCTAGAAGCGTCTGGTTCTCAGGCTTCAGCAGCTCTTTGGTAATAACACCTTGGTTCGAAGTCTCTGATCGACTCAATTAGCGATCTGAGACGCTCTTTCACCAACCCTCAGGTGTCAATGACATACGGTTGTGAGGAGCGAAAGGCAAGCTCCTGATAAGTTCTGTGTCCACATCATCGACGTCGACATTGCAGAGCTCTTCGAGTCTGTCGAGAAGGGAGCGTGGTGCCATGATGTATGCGATGGCCAGAGTTGTACTTGTCGACGAGGTTTAGGACAGACAAGCTGTAATGCCTCGATCCTAACAAGGAGAAAACTAGTATTCGATGCCCATTTGGTACTCTGTGCGGTCCGCTAGTCTGAGCGCAGGAACAAATGACCAGAAGCCTGGTTTTCTTTTGATTCAATCCGGTGCCGTCTTTGTTTATTCCTCCGACTCTCTTGTTTTCCCGATACCGGTGGACGTCTCCTGTCTCCTCATTACGCCTCGTCACGGAGAAAACTGCGGCATCCGCCACCACAACCCACCAACTCGTCCTGAGGGGCTGTTGGTCCATGGTTCTTTGCCGGCGGTCCGCCATCCGCCGCTAACCATAGATGATATGAGGTACAGTTCTAGCGGCAACACCACGATACTGGAATGAGACAACTCACCATCATCGAGTCCAGCCCCAGCAGATTGAGAACTTTCCATGCAGACACAGCGGCACCTCTTCGTGGTGTCACATCTTAAGACGATGGTACTCTGGGTCTACTTCGGCAACTACAATGGAGAGACTCAAAAATACAGGCTGGGAGGAAGCAGTGACTGAATGACTGTTCCTTGCTTTCTCAGCCTCTTTCTAGGCCAAACTGCGTTCGTACTGCATTCATACTGCAGGACCAATAGCAGCTCTCTAACACCACCTCCTCCCTCCCCCCTTCGGTGTAACAAAACACTTTTCTCCTCCTTGATCCACGGTTCTACAAGCAACATGATCTCAAAAGAACCCTTTGTCGAGCAAGCGACGAACGGGCAGCAGGGCCCAGAAAGCGACTCAACCAGGGACCTCTTTTCGCTCGACCACAGAACAATTATCGGTATGTGACAAGACAGAAATGTGGGATCAATAATGTTGTCCATTTCCCGCCATACCACATCTTCTGCAAGAGCGAGCACTTACCCTGAATACAGTAACCGGCGCCATGGGCGGGATGGGCGTCGTGGTGGCCAAGGCGATTTTGCAGTCTGGCGCTGACGTGATTGCTATCGATCGCGACGCGGAGCCCAAGGCTTCTCACACAGGTATGGCTTTGCGACAGACCACCACACCAAACATGGCTTCAAATAACTAACGCCGGTGCCTTTAGAAGACCTATACAGAGCCGCGGAGAAGAGCGGGACCGTCGTCGCCTACTGCCAATGCGACATCTCCAACCTCGAGTCGACCTACGCTATGTTCGAAGACGCCGTCGCCGCCGCCCGATACCCCCTGCGCGGACTGGTCAACCGCGCCGCGATCGGCTGGGTTAGCCCGTCCATTAACTTCCCCGTCGAGAATGCGAAGCGTATCATCGAAGTCAACCTCGTCGGGACGCTGATATGTGCGTAGGCAGCGGCGCAGCTGGTCAAGAAGCACAATTTCTCCGCCAGTTTTGTCTTCATCGCGAGCATAAGCGGATACATGGTCAACAAAGTGTGTTGCTTTTTCATTGTCCCTACAAAGGCCATCCTTTTCTCCAATGACACCACCGCGGCTGAGAGAGAGACACACACATGAGGGCTGACATTGTGGTTGTCCTCTTTGGATTCTGGCAGGGCACACCCAACGCGGCGTACGCGGCCTCCAAGGCCGGAGTGCACCAGCTCACGCGCAACCTGGCGTCCGAATGGGGCTCCTCGACCGACGACGCGGGGCCCTCGATCCGAGTCAACTCGGTCAGCCCCGGCGTCATCCGCACCCCGATGACCGCGGGCGTGCTCTTAGACAGCAACTTTGAGCACTTGTGGACCGAGGAGACGATGCTGAAGCGGCTGTCCGCGCCGGAGAATTACAGAGGGCCCATTATCTTTCTCCTGTCGGATGCAAGCTCGTACGTCACGGGGGCGGATCTGTTAGTCGACGGAGGGTACACGGGCTGGTGATGGAGATGTGGTTCGCTTGTCAAGGAACAGCAGAGCGGGTAGTTGGTGATGAGCTTGGAAATTGGGTTTGACGATAATTCATTCATGGGCCATGGGAAGAATTCATTCGGTCGCATTTGGCATGCAGCTGCTGCCGGGTGCTTTTCGAGGAAATCTAAATTAGAAAGCAAGCATGATGAAGGGAGCATTCTCGGTACGGTTCCCTGAATAAAGGCATTTCTGGCGTGACAGCTGGTGCAGGTAGTGCGCCGCAACCCTGCGCCGTGACAGAATTCATGAACTAGAATTGATTGTTCTGCCATCGCTGCTTTCCCTGTGCTTCTACCGCAATGCTCTGCCTTCTTTTGTCCCTCACAATATGGCGATCGCATTGGCCATACTACCAACACCGCCTAATTTTGTCAGTTAAGATTACCACTCGACTTGGTGAGAATGATCTATTACCTCGGACATTATTGGGAGCACTGGCCAAGAAAAAGGTCCATTTCTTGTCGGCCGCGCAGCAGGAGGCAAGAGCGTCGAGGTCCCAGAGTTCGCCGATCGGACAGCCCCAGAGCGCCAGGAGGTGTTCGTGCAGGTAGAAGCCTTTGTGTATGATTCAACCTGTCAGCCATGAATCCTCTTCGCAGCTGTGTCATCGCAAAACAGCCGGGATCATTTTGAAAACCCCCTCAAACAATAACATACCAGCGTCCGACGGCATGGCCTCAAATCCAGGCTGGTCTCCGGCCACGGCGGCAAAGTACGAATCGTGCAGAAAGTCGAGCATTTCTTCGCTCTGCTCGAGCCCGATGTAGCGTTGGCCGTCGTCGGGCGTGAATTCGTGCCGCCGGAGGTGCATCTTCGCCTTTTGCTCGTCGCTTAAGGACGACTCGTGCTCCAGGAATCCCGTGCGGACGAGGAGAATGTCCCCGACGCGAATATCGCCGCCGACGCTCTCGGGCTTCAGGTTCATGCCTTGACTGGCTGCCACCTCGACCAGGGTCTGGTGGGAGATCTTGTAGTTGTCAAAGTATTTGACTTGAAGACCGTTGGCTTGGGCGTACCTGCCGAAGTCGAGCAGCACACCGCGGCCGGCGATGCCATGTGTAGCCCACGCCTGCACGCCGAGCTTCGGACCGCCCTTGTATATATCTCTGGCGGACACCTAGGGTAATATCCTGGTAAGAATGTGCGACTTGATGGAGGCCCTGCCTTCCCTCTCCCCTTGGTCCCGGGATCTCTGAAGCTCACCTGGTTGTAAAAATAGCCAGACGGGACATGACAGAACTAGTAAGCCATCAGCGGGTTAGCTCGTCTGTATCGCCCCAGGTAACAGGCTCAGCGTCCATGGGACTCACATGATGGAATCCGTCCCACTGTGAACTTGACTGTGGATTGACCACATAGACTTCGTCAAAGGCATGAGGCGCAACCTGCGTAAGTCTGTGCTCAAAGGCAGCCCGTCCGTACATGGGTGGAGAGGGCTGATCCAAGGGGAGACTGTGTGTGATCCATATCACAGTCAACAAGGGTTGGCCAAGGGAAGAAGTATCCCTCACTGGCGTTAGCCAACGAGACTTACTTGAGGTTCACGACTCGGCCCTGTGTCGCCTCCTTCATTGCATTCAGAATCCTTTCGGGTGTAAGGAGATTGAGCCGCCCGAGCTGTGTTGCGGATAATTCAGTTAGTACGAGCCTCTGAAGTTGGTGATAGACGATGGTTTCCGAACCTCGTCTTCCTCGCCCCAGATCCAAGCAGCTCCAGGCGGTTGGCCCTTGCGAGGGACTAGGTCTTTGCGAAGCGGTAACATATTTGCAGTCCGGAGTCAATGGCTGCGGCCGAAAGCGAAGAAACCGAAAGCGAAGAAACGTACGGCGTTATGTGCGTTTGGGTCGAAATAGGCACCCCGATATAAAGTAGATGCCAAAAGACTTTTGAGACACTAAACTCCCAAATGTCGGGAATTCGTGTCGCGTAAAGGCATGCAAAGTCATGTGCATTGCTCGAACTGTTTCCGACTTCTTCAGTACACGACCTCGGCCGGGCACACACAAGTATCAAATTTGGGCTGAGCCAGGTTTGTTCCCAAGGCGTCCCGGCGTCCGGCCTTTTCGGGTTGCCGGATCCCTTGATTGCGGCAATATCTCTCAAAAATCTCCGGGAGCCCCAAACTGAAGGGGATTTCTCGAACGTCAGTTGATGCAGTCCTTCATGGTGTTCTGCGCCTTTATGCGGACAGTAGTCGATTTCAACGACTTATGAGAAAGGTCAGCAATATGATGAGGGAGTGGCTTGGAAAGTTTCCCTACCCAAAAAGTGCTTTTCGAGGGCGATGCCTTGGTATGAGTACCCGCGAATCCTGCAGAACGGACTGCAGATTGCCAGATTCTAACTGTACAACATTCCTGGTTCATCTAATTGTTGCCATAGAGCGCGTTCTACAACCAACTCGTCGTCGCATCAAGTTACGCCTTCCTCAAACCTGACCCGCCAGTCCGCATTGCAATATGCATAGTGCGCCTTTGTGTATTCCCAATATTCCGGATACCATCCGGTGAATTGCCAATCAATGACGGCAACAATCTTGCAGTTGCGCACGATCAGATTACGAGGGTAGATATCGGCGGGAGCGAAGCAGGTTCTGTATTGGCGGGTATGAAACCGCGTGATAACTTCGCCGAAGACTTGGGAACAGTTCTCGAGCGGGATATTGCCATGCAGAAACGAATGGAACGAATTAATGTTGTTGAAAGGGCCAAAGGGGCGATACCCTACTCGGACGTCGAAACATTGTCCAAGTTCTGATAAGGTAACGACTCCCTATTGTGGCGGGTCGAGCTGTCGAAGTTGCTCAATGTAATTAGCTATCTGTCGAATAATGGCCTACTTCTCATCACTCGATAGGACGTCGCCTGCCCATAACGCTTGTAGAGTGTCGCCTTGGATATATTCCATCTCGATGTAGAGGCGTCCGTCGACTCGATAAGCTCGATGGACCTCAGGCACAGGTATAGAGGTGTGTTTCGCGACATATCTCAAGCCTTCAAGTTCCGCTGAGGGACAGGGACCTTTGATGATTCGATCGCTGCTAACCCTGACCACGAGGGATCCTAAGTACCCAAAGCGCTTCTTGCCTAACTAGAGCCGAGCTCGAAGGAAGAAGGATATTAGCTTCGACAAAATGGACATGATGACAATGGCTATGAAGAAGCTAGACCTGGGCGTGATAGGCGACGAAAGGAACGACTCTTGGAAGGGCATCGCAATAAAAGCGGCGGCCCTTCATGACTTTTTGACTCCAAAGAGCAGGTGGGCCGAGTTCCAAAATAGGGACCTGCTTCAAACGACATATTGCCAGTGACAGGTACTACTCCATCAACGCAGAACTGGCTCACATTCAGCTCAAGGTGACCGTCGTCTATATATGCTTCTTCTCTACTCTTGCGAATAACAGTTCCCCCTCTCCCTTATTGCTGATGCTGGCCATATCTGACATGGAGGAAGAAGGAAGCAAGGGATCCACCACACTGGGGGAGATGAATAGCTGTAATAGTACGATTCTATAGCTATCTACAGAACACATGCTGATCAGTCAAGGCTCTGGATTGTATCGGCCAATTTGCGCTCGCCGCTAGCAAGTTGTATTGCGATGTGTATCCCAAATCCAATGACTCGGGCACGCTGAGCCACAAAGAGGTGACAATGTCAGGTTTCTGGCTGAGTGGGGACAAGTTCGTGACTTGTGCTCATCTTCTGGACATTCACGCCGACACGAATGTGGACGAGACAGAGCGACGGCTGCGCAACCCAAGTCTGGCGACAGCACGTGTTTCGACGGCGAGAGTCTCACGCCGACGTGGGGAGAGGGATGGTGAGTCGGCTGATGATCAGACTGTTATAACACGCTGCTAACTCTCAGCAGTGGGACCAGCGTACCATGTCCACTTGTTGAAGGTTTGCAGAGCCTCAGACCTTGCTATCTTTGTCTTGAACTCTGAAGCCGCCGGAAGCAAATACACATCTCGCCACCCGGTGCACTCCATCGACCCTAGATCGTTGGAACCCCTATCGCCCGGTAACAGTGTGTCGTCCTCGAACTACTTCACTGCATAGTACCCAGGTTCCAAAAAAGACATACGTGACACGGAGCTGTCATACATACTCAAACCCATTGGGGCAGCAGCAAATGTCCAAGATACTTACGAGTTCATGGGTCAAGAGGTCAGAAATGACTACTCTCCAAAGTCCCTCCTAGGACCCCTACCTGTAAATTACATCCCCAGTCCAACAAATGTGCTCTGCGCTGACTTAACTGCTAGCATTATGAAGAGACGTTCATAACGAGCACCCGAAGTGTTGCGTTCGGCCCAGTCATGGCTAAGCAAGGGGCGAATATCTGTGGATCAGTGTACGGAAGTGGCAAGCTGACCGAAGCGCGGGAATGCAATATTGCTAGCTTCTTCGGCTGCAGTGGCGGGATGGTGTGTAGGATTGAGAAGAATCGAGGTGCTTGGAGAGTTCGAGTTGTTGGCCTCTGTGAGTCCATACCCGTGTTATCACTGTTCTCTAGGCGAAACTGCCACGGCTGACTGCTCTCCAGCTCACGGAGAAAGTCTGAACAACTCCACATACAACAGTATCCTCAGGATCACTGTTGCCGGCGTCGAGGAACTCAAGGAGCCCGTTATTGACCCGTTCCAGCTTGAAAAAGGCATTTCCGGTCTCCACCTGTGGAGGTGGTTGGATCCTGCCGTTGCGATGCTCATTGGGACATGATATTCGACGCGAAATGGGGCTCGGTGACACTCTGAAGATGAGACGGAAGGAAGGACAGCGAGCGAAGTGAAAAAAAAAATGAAAAAAAAGCACACACTATCAAGACGTCCATAATCCTTCCTAGGCTGGGCGAGCGACGGATGTCCACAGGAAAAGAAAGTCACACACAGTTGGGTTGCAAAAGTTCAAGAAACGGTCCGTCGGCGAGACCGGCATGATATTATCTTCCTGTCAATACGGAAACAAAGCATTGGCCAAAGACTTGGCCACTGACCCATTTGCCACCTCTGCTTCGACTTGCTGAGCATAAAAAGTGAAATGCGTCCCTTGTATCTTGAATGAGATGGCACGCGGTCTGCGCAGCTTGGGATTCCAGAGACGGCATTGCCCAGAGGTTTTTCGGCCTCTGGCGATCCTGTTCCTCCGCGCCTAGAATTCGCAAGTAATGAAGTAAATCTCGTCATGTCACCGCCAGCCAGGCACCCCGTGACACCTCGCAGGCTATCGGTGACATGTTCTGGTCAAACGAGTCACTCCGCTGTCCCTCGCAACAACTCTCCGCAGCCTGAACAAGAAAAGTGGGAACCAGCCCCAAAACCTGCGCGACTCTAGCCAGGGCCTTTCCTTGACTGGGCTCAGGCCACGCTACTTATCTTGGACCCTGGCTCGATCTTTCTCTCAGTGTAGCACCCCGAGCCGTGTTGATCGCTGCGCTCAAAACGGTACAAGGGTTCCAAGTGCTCCCCACGCCGGAAGAAGAGGTACCGTCTTAACGCCCATGGTAAGACCTAAAACGAATGAGAAATGGAAGCTTGACATGCTGCGAGATATACGCACCTTACTAACTTGATAGCTGATGAATCGTCTCGTCGGCACCGCAAAGACGTAGTCGAGCTCTTCCAGGGTGTAGCCACTGGTGTCTGGGACGAAGAGGAACATCAGAATGAAGACAAACAAGTTCATGCCACTAGATGGATGTCGCCGTCAGCACAAAAAGACTCTGCAAGGGACGTTAGGGGCTTGAACCATACGCGTAGAAACCGAATGCACCTGTCGCGGTGAATTTGCTCAACATCAGGGGAAACGTCAACGAGAGAGCCGAGGACAGGGCAAACGTCGCCGACACGGCCCAGCTGTTGCCGATCTCCCTGTGTGACAATGGGAAGGCTTCCGCAGAGTACACGAAAGCCACCGGCCCTATCGCGATCACCATCAGTCCTGTCGCCGCCCAACATGCGAGAATATCGACAAGGTGGGGGGATCTTACCTTGACCAACCGAGTAAAGAGCGGTGAATGCGTAGATGAAGAAGGCAATCATGCCAACATGCGCCTTGCTGGACTCTGGAATGTAGAAGCAAAAGCCCGCGGCGAGGAGCGTCCATGCCATATGTGGGAAGGTCGAGAGAAGTAAAGATCTGGCACCCACGAGTCAATTGGTTATCACCTTCGTAAAAGATTGACCAGTCTTACCTCCGACCGAACCTGTCAATGAGAAAGATTGCGGGGATGGCAAACGCGAAGTTGATGACACCGTAGCCCAGCGAAGTAAGTAGTGCGGTGTGCTCGGAGGCACCAGCTTGGACAAAGACCGTCGACGAGTAAAAGGCAATGATATTCATCCCTACGAGAGAGGGAGGTTAGCCTCAGAAATCGGGACTGTCTCTGCTAGAGGATGTCATGGAATGGGTAGCCTTAGCAAGAACAGAACATTCATAACATCTAAACCTGTTGCGTGATCTTTGTCAGAAGACTTGAACGTACCGCAGAATTGCTGGCCCATAAAGACGACCAAGGCTGCTATGGCGCTTCGTCGAATACGAGGGACCGTGACGAGTTCGCGGAGTCTAATAGCGTACGTCGACGCAGCCGCCATCTCGTATTCGATGACGAGCTGAGCATGGACGTAGTAGAGGTCGCGCGCTGCTTGTATTCTATGTTTTCGCAGTCGGCAGAGCGACTCAAACGCGTTTCGGTACCGATTCTTCTTCATCAGCCAACGTGGAGACTCTGGAGGTCCCATTAGCAGATAGCCAGGAAGGCACTCCAAGGACAACCATACCTGGACAGAAGAAGACGAGGAGGGCGAGCGGGACGGCTGGGATAAAAGCAGACCCAATCTGAAGCCTCCACGCAATTTTGCCGACCCGGTAGACCACGAGATTGGCGGCAAACCCGAGAAAGATGCCGAAAGCCGTCCACATCTGCCAGCCCATGACTAGGGCACCTCGAATGACGGCCGGAGAATTCTCTGCGGCGTACATGGGAATCGTCGCAGCTGTCCGAAAGCGTAAGTCTATCGACCTTATTGTGGGACAAAATGTTGATCAGAGTCTTTACCTTTGAGGCCCATTCCAAACCCCATGAGGAGCCTAGTCACGAGGAGCTGGTGCCAGTTTTGCGAGAGTGCACCGCCGATAGGTGTCAAGATGCAGAAAACCGCCGCCATAAAAGTTGCTCCACGACGGCCCAGGAGATCGTTAAACGGATCAGACAGCCAGCATCCCCTTCGCGGCGTCAGCACGCTAGGCTGCACGATGCAAATGCTCCAACTTACAAGATAGCAGAAGAGATATAGGGAGCAGCGTTGACCAAGCCGATCAGCCAGTTATCCCTACTGGAGCCAGACGCGATGCCAAATTCGACGGGGAACGTCAAATTGGCCCCGTTTGAGCCCGTTTGATCCCAGCCCCTTTTAGTGCATCAGCCTTGTGTCGTTTAGTCCGAGATTTCTGTGAAACTTACTGTACCGCTGCTCCGATCGAACAGACAAACACGGTGGCATATAGGGCGAATGGGTGGGCCCACCTGTGCGTGAGCTCGTGCTGCAGTCCCTCGAGCTCATCCGGATCGAGCTCTTCGATTTCTGCCAGTGGCACTGCGGCTTGAGCAACGTATGCACCTTTCTGCAGGAGCGGTAGGATGTCGAGGAGGTCCTTGTCCGTGGCAAAGCGTTCCACTTGCCGCATCAGACCATCTTTCGCAATTCCAGCCAGAGGGTTGACCAGTTTGTGCATGCGGGTTAGCATGATATCGCTGAGCAAAGTAATGGTGTTCGATCTGCGTACCTCGCCGTGCTGTTTTCCCTGATAGTCTCGACGGCAATGTGCCCTGTCGACGAAGTATGCCCCACCTCATCGTGAGAGGCAAGCTCGACCTTCGCAGACGCAAGTTTCTCGGTCATCTTGAATTGCAGGTGCCCTGAAGATGAAGACTTCAATCAGGGCGATGGGGTTTTTCGAGAGATAGTGGGAAGGTGGTTTGGGTCAAGAACAGTCATGAGCCTCGGGCGGGACTGAGAGTGCATTTTATGCTTGTGGTCGCAAGCTTGTCTACTTCCCAAAAGCCGACTCAGTTGATTCCAGACGGATGGATAGTTCAGACCCCACGGGGTAGAACAGTTGGGGTTGCGTGAGACTCTGACCACGTCCGCGGCACTCCGTGAAAAACAAATTGCGCCTGGCTGTATGCCCTGATACGTGGTATGGAATCCACAGCTCTGCAACCTTCCATGTTCGTATTAGCGGCGGTCATGTCCCCACTACACTCCCCACAAGCGGTCCGCCGGTGCCGCTTTAGACGCATTTCCGGTCCAAGTGGGGAATAACTAGTGGCAACGCAGACATTCTCGATACTGCGTGGCTGACTTTGCCGGCCAAGAGGTTTCCGAGGACGACAGAAATGTTGCTTCGGCTACTCACGACGGGATGCAATGATGATGGCCGCCAACATTTGGATTCAAGCTTTGGAACAAATCCTGGGATGGGGCTGTCAAGGAGTGGGAGAAGGCATGGCCGGTCAACCCGCCCATCATCGGTCACTCTACGACTAAGAGACGCATACCTAGGGATTATTCAAAGCACCCGCCTGATGTTTCGAACAGTATGGCCCGCTTATTTCCTGGTAGCAGAGTCTGACCATAACAGCCTGTTGACCAATTACCGGAGAGAACTGCTTATACAGGAACGTGAGGGTCTCCTTAAGCCAATGGGGAAATATTGAGCCACGGTTGAGATTAATGCACAGAAGTTACGAATCGAGAAATCTAGATCATTGTCCATGGAGCGAAGAGTCTCAGATTATGTTGTTGCAGCATGGAAGAGATCAATTTTGGCGAAACTCCGCGCTTGACTTCTCACTTTCGTCTCGGATCCTCCATGTAAACTCGTAAGTCTTGCATGCATCTTCGTATGAGGACAGGATTTCAGCCGAGGCAGTCGGGACGCCCTGTTTAGTGCTGTCCATACCGTTTGCAGCTTCCTGGCAAGGAACAGCTCCGAGGGACCCTAACAGGCCTGCAAACTCCGAATAGAACGGATCGTCATTGAGAAAGGTGAACGACTCTTCTTGCTCCGAGGCTGGGGTCCTGTTAAGAAAGCATTTGACGTTAGCAGGTCCTTCAAATTCATAGATCTCGTATGGAGCTATGGCTCTGACGTGAGCCTCACGCTAAATGCCAGTCCATTCAGTCTTGTTCATGGCAACTTACCTAACGTAAAGTGTTGGGGTGCTGTAGAGATCAACCAGGCGAAGCTGGAAGCCGTCTCCGGCAACGACGATCTCGTTAGAGTATCGAATACCGTGCAGTGCGACTATATGCATAAGTGATCCCACTGCACCACCTTGGTATTTCCTGCCTTCAGTTAGCCAGCTGTCGCTCGAAAATCCTATTCTCCTTTTGGGGCATACCAAAATGCTGCTGTTACGCGAGGAATGCGCTCCTCAACAGGTATTTGGGACTCGTCCACAAGCATGCTCGATAACTTCCCAGCCGGCTCATAGTGTTCCAACGCGCAAGCCCTGACCGTGTCGAGATCAACCTCTCCACCAAGATATCGACAGAGATCGCAGAAATGGGTTGCTTGCTCAACAATAGGTCCGCACTGTTTTGCCTTGTCCCACCAGTCCGTCTTTCGCACTTTGGAGTAAGCCATGCTGTATCGAGCGTTAACAGCCATAACCTTTATGTTGTTGTCGCGTATAATAGACATCGCTTTCTGCACGACCTTGAGGTATCGAAGCATATAGCCGACCGCAATCTTGTTGCCTGACTGCTGAACTAGTTTGGCGACTGGCCAGACTTGGACGGGTCGCGCCGTTGATACCGGCTTTTCAACGAACAGCCCCGGTGCGGGCCCGAAAGCAGAGACGACTTGGACTTCCAGGTCGCGACCAGGCTGTGTGGTTCCTCGAAAATGAGGAGGAGTGGCTAACAAAATGAGATCTGGCAGGGTTGCTGTGTCAATCAACTGCTCCTGGGCCTCTCTCAAGGTCATAAAGTGCTTTGTTTTCGCGTAGCAGGCCGCCGCTGCGGACCCGGACTTCTGAAGGAGGACCTGTTTGACACGTTCCACTGAAGGATCGACGATTCCAACGACCTCGAGCTGTGCACCCAGGTATGTCTCGATCCGTAGCGAATGGTTCCAAAGAACATTGTCATTGCCGAAAGTGATGTTTCCCTATATCCAGAAAAAAATCTCAGTCCTGAAGTCTGATATCGAAAGACCTTGCGTACTGCTCCAATGTAGAGAACATGGAATTTCTTGGTGGCCTCTGACATGCTGGGCTTTTTTGGGAGGAATGCGTGTAAATTTCAAAGCCTCTTGTTTCTTTCGCGATATCAAATTCAACGAGGACTCTTGGATGTGGCACTTTTAAAAGCGGACAGCAGTTCAAAACTCGGTGGCGTACGCCCAACGACGCCGGAAAAGTTCGGAGCCGGTCAATGGAAACTCTCACAGCCGGGCATTCGACCGCCCTTCCAACTTAGCCAAGTCCGAACATGTTCGATGCAGACTCAAATCATTGCTACACAACGAAGGTTCTTTCAACACTAGTTTACGATTCCCTCTCCTCTTCATAGCTGGTGAACCATTTGCTCAAGGCTGTGGAAGGTAGTGGAGATCCAGACTGAGGGCCCGGAGTAACCATTCCAACTTCCAAAGCTTTGCAACTCGCCCTTCCCTACTTTTCTTCCTCGAATGAGTACAGCGTCTTCTTCGGGACGTCTTGTCGGAGGATATATCTCCTGAAATTGCTAGGTATGGCGCGGATATGCTATTCTCTTTGTCAGCAATGGAAGCTAAGACAATAAATGAAGGTGCTTCTTACGAAGGCCGCGTGAGTAGCCATTGGCATGTCGAAAACCACGTCTAACTCTTCTGTAATGAGGCGTCAAGCGTCAGTGTCGCCATGGAATTAAAGGCACGCTATTTCGGATCAGTAAAGAAGGTGGGGGATCCAAACGTACCCAAGGACAAGGCCTTCGTCTCGGGAAGAAAGAGATAAATCGCCACGGTCAGAAGCGCGTTCCAGCCTGCATACCAGAAAAATGCTCCAGGTGGGGTGAACTTGTCCAAGATGGATGGAAAGGTCAAACCAACAATCGAGTTGAAGCCCCAACAGACGAAGACTGCAAAGCTCATTCCAACGTCTCGGACAGCCAGTGGAAAGGCCTCGGCAGAGTAGACGAACGGTACAGGTCCCTCTCCCGGACTGTAGGCGATTACGTAGAGGTAGACCCCCACGGCGACAACGGCCATCTTCGTCGTTGAATCGGTAGCATAGAATCCCCCAGCAGCCATCAATAGGAAGATCGTCATTAGCGGAAAGGTGCAGAGCAGGAGTTTCCGGCGTCCAAAAGTGTCAATGGTCCTCACTGCGGGGAATGCAAAGATGAAGTTCAGCATTCCAAACCCCCATGATGCAAGAAGAGCGTGTGATGGACTGGCGCCAGCCTGCGAGAAGATATTCGTAGAGTAGTAGGACATAACGTTAATGCCGCAGTACTGCTGCGCAAACATTACCAGGCTGGACCCGATGACAGCGTTGCGATTCCTGCGAATTGTAAACAGCTGTATAATGGGGACGTTCTTTTGGTGGGCTTGATATTTGGATTCTTCTTCGAGGAGAACATGAATGTAGTAAAGGTCCCGAGCGGCTTGAATATCCGAGCCGCGAAGCGCCTGGAGGCTCTTGAAGGCCTCCCGATAGCGGCCTTTGAGCATGAGCCACCTTGGCGACTCAGGGTTGGTGTAAACAACTGCCATAACGACAAGCGCTGGGAGTCCGGCGATGCCGAGCATAAGACGCCAGTTCAGTCCAACAATGCCACTGCGGTCAGGGACATGGTAGAATGCGATGTTGCAGGCAGTTCCGAGCATAATTCCGAAGCTACCGAGAGTGAGATAACCTTCGTGGATCGTGACGAGGGAAAAGGGACCTACGCTACCCAGATCTGCCAGCACATTGTCAGAGCACCTCTGATCCTGGCAGGAGCACACTCGGCCGCATAGACGCTCAATGTTGCGCTTTTCGGGCCCAGGCCAATTCCAAGAAAGATCCGTGCTATCATGAGATGCCACTAGAGTAAGGCGTTAGTTGAGTTCCACATATTCCTCGAGGATGACAGTCATACCCATGTATTTGTGCACGCGGACCAGATGCAGGCAGCGAAGCAGAAGAAGGCAGTCACAAACATGACACCTCGTCTTCCCCATCGGCGATTGAGCGGAGCGGTGAGCCACACACTGAACACGGTGCAGCAGAAGTATGGAGCGCTATTGACAAGGCCCAGGATCCAGGTTTGTCGCCCAGGCCCGTCAATACCAAATTGCTTGGGGAAAAAGATATTTGCACCGTTAATAGAAACCAAATCCATGCCGTTCACAGCAGCTGCAATGCTGCAGAGTATGATCAACCGATAGAGCGCGGAGGGGTGATGCCATTCTATGGGCCTGTCAGCGATATGCTCCATCCAACACCCAAACGCTCACACTCACTGTGCTCTGCTTCTCGCTGCAAGATATTCCGCTCTTCCGCGGTTAGAGCTTCGAGGTTGTTGAAGGCTGCGCCAGAAGACAGTCAAAAACTGTGCCATCTTGGTCAAGACTTTGGTGACAAACCGCCATGATGTTGAGCAAGCAGGGCTCCTTTCTGCAGTGCCTGTGTATACTCTTCCAAACCATGCTGAGCGGCGAAAGTAGTGGCATTGGTCTGCAATCTACTGAGTATTGTCATATAAAGGTTGTATATGGTATACACTCACCACGACCTGGTCGATTGCCTGGCTCTGAAGAGGGTTCACCAAGTGAACCTCGCCAACGGTCTCTTCGTGCTCCAAGACCACCTCTTGACGTTTGAGAGGGGCATCCTGCATTTTGTCAATATTCATGGCGATTTCTTTGCTGTCTCCCAATTGAGATATGTATGTCTAACGTGAAGAGATTCTCCGCCTGTCCATTCGCTGAGTCGCCTCGTCTACTTATACCCGAGGTGCCAGTCAAGGACTGCTGGAGAACTGTGTCCCATGGGGCCCCGGCTTTTGGAAAAGGACAAGCAGATGCTGGACCAGCCGATGTCTCGCGGCAGAGACACCGGAAAACACAAGACCGGGTCCGGGAGGGTCTCTATAATCCGGCCATGTTGGTTTACCGGGCCAAGCCTTGCGGGGGAAACCCAACCTCCAAACAATATCATGTTGTCCGAATGGGGGTTTTATTCCATCGGCCCTGCGTCTTTTATTCCACCCTTGACCAGTAGCTTACTGAACATCGCTGAACAGGGACAAAGAGCAACATCACTATCTTTCAGCAGTATGGAACAGAATATTCGGTCAGCGCAAAATGTGCCAGAAATGCCTCTGGATCTAGCCCCTCGGCGCAGGCTCAAAGCATGCCGGACTTGCCGGCGACAAAAAATGAGGTGCACAGGAAGTCCGGAGTCTCCCTGTCCTCGCTGCACCAATGCAGGGCTGCCATGCATTTTCGAAGATAGGAAGGCAGCGGCGCCCGGCATCGTAAGCGGGGCTCAGAAAAGAAAGCATGTCCAACGTCCTCCACCAAATCTAGCTGGGTTACGCTAACCTCGTCGGTTTTGTTAGACTGGTGGAACTGGAAGGCGAAATCCAGCAATTGAGAGAAGAGCTGAAGTCTGTCTCCAGAATTGCAAAGGAAAGCCAGGTCGATCATTCGCATTCTCTGCGAACTCCAGTTTCGTCTAACCAGCCCGCCGATGAGCCCAGCTTGGACCAGAATGAAACCACTCGGCCTCTCATCTCACCATCTTCGACTCCTACGCAGAGCCAGCAGCAAGAGGATCCAACAGATATTTCTCGCCCCTGTCAACTCGGCAACAACGAAGGAGGACCTAATCCGTCTACTCCAGCATTCAGGGCCCCTCTTCATGTCCGGGACGATGACCACACCATGCGAGGGCGAGTGGGTGCGGGGAGATCTGCTTCTCGCAATCAAGCTCCTTCCAGGGCAGAATCCGAGGCTGACTACATGCATTATCACCATTTGAATGCCCCTGTTACCGCCGTTCAATCCATGGAATCAACGTCTCCTCATTCAGATGTCGCTCTTCGGTCTGTGAGCCACGACGCTAGCGGCATCCAGCGTGGTCAAGCCTGGCCAGAATCAATGGGAATGTTGGCACCTCCTTCTGATGAAACATCCGACATAGTGTCAGAACTATTCAAGGATGAAAGCCAGGCACGATTTCTCTTCGCATCGTAAGCATTCTGTGCTCCTCCGTCAAGGTGTCCACATTAATTTTGTTTTCTCAACCCAGCTATTTTGAAGGCGGTAACCCATATATTCCAATGTTTGACCCCATAGTAGATACTTTCGACTCTCTACGAACTCGTTCGCCTTTTTGCCTCATCGCCATTTTATCCATTGCTCTGAAACAGACATCCCATATCCTACACGGAGCTTCTACAGACCTGCAAACAAAAGTACGAGAGGCTTGTCTGCAAGAAGCGCGCCGTTGGGTATTCGACAGCATCTTCGAGCATCCAACGCTTGAGACCGTGCAGGCAATGATACTGCTTGCAGCAAATGCAGAGAAAAGCTGGCTTGCCATTGGCCACGCTCACCAAATGGCGCTGGAATTGGGCTTGGATTGTGCACTTCATGAGTTGGTCGGTGAGGACCCCTTGACAACCGAAAGACGGAACTTCCACATTGGCAGCCGCAAGGCCCGTACGTGGTGCATCTTATATCACATCGAGCGTGAGCTTGCAGTTGGCACCGCAAGGAAACCACGCATTCGCGAACTCGACAAAGCCTTATTGAGGCCCTATTTGGACCTTCCTGTCTCATACCCAAGCGACATGAGGTTTATATCTACGATTGAGATTGTTCAGCTCCGCAGTAAGTCGCGGCGTGTTCTCTCGGTGAGATATTTGACATGTCCTCCCAGGTGATATCCAATCTAGAGTCGAAAGTGCCACGTCGGTGTCCACCATTTCTCAGAGTGTGCTGCAAGAGTTCGAACAGAAGGCTCAAGAATGGTTCCAATACTGGGACACCCGATTCAAAGGTATTTCTCGTTCCCGCCGCAACATTGGACACAAAGACTGTTTAGATCTGCTCCGTTCGCCCTATCTGGGGGGGCTGGAGGAATACGCTGACCGGATTTAGCATACAACGTAGACGAAGACTCACTTAATCGAATCAGCTTACTCACTCAAAAGAACTATTCAAGAATCACCATCTGCTGCACAATTCTCGGTCGATTACACAAGAACGCGAATACACCATGTCTGGCGGTTATGGAGGAAGTTGTCCGCCGGACAGCCGAGACCATATCAGACCAGCTCGACGTCGTATCTCGTTCCAAGTCCTACAGGTGGCACTTCCGCTGGGCGCCAACATATTCTGCCTTGATGCTTACATTCTCACGTCAGTAATCTCCAAGACCACTTGTTTCATTTGCCTCGGAAAAGTTGCTGACGGCTCTGCAGTGGTCTTAGCCCTCCAACTCGCAAACAGGTGGCCGGGCCATCTGGACAAGGCTCAGACGGAGAGGCAGGTCAGGTCTGTCCTTGGCTTATTGGAGATGCACCCTTACCAAAGCCTTGTGCTTCAGGTTCGGAGAATGCTTGAGAGATCGGCGGAGGAGCGGTTGCCATGGCAGCAAAGACTTGCCACTTGGCCAGTCGAGGAGCCGAAACGCGGCGCGTCGATGCAAAGTGGCAGACAACATAATCCTCCCCTTGAGATGCAGGCACCCGTTAACTCAAGCGAAGACGGCGGTGCCATACAGCACACTGAATGCATAGACTCTTCGAATCCCGAACTCGAAAACCTGGATTGGCTTTCCGGGGGTTCAATTTTTGGGAACTGGACCCTGCTTGAGTTGGGGAATTCAATGTCATACGATATGTCCATGTTCGGGGGGAATGGAGCAATATGAAGGAAGCGAAGTTGACCTAGGAGCATACGTCGTACTATATAACAAGTATGAGAAGTTGGTTAACTCCCAAAAAAGTACACAAGCCGAGAAAAGTAAATTGTGAATAGGAAGTATCTCTCTCACCTCTCTCACCTCTCTCCCTTACTCTAAATACTTTTTCATAATGAAAGGGTTGCTGAAGTGCACCAGCCCTCTTCCGCGGGAAAGGAACGAGAGCCACGATGCCCTGCGGGATAACTAGGAGTATTTGGATAGAGGAGTCGCTCCCTTGTCCACTATGATACTCTGAGGCCTCGTCTATCCTATCACACCGCACCGATACTATCCTGTAATGTTTCCGCTTGGAGTAACACCCGCGGCACAGTTGAGGCGGGAAGAGTCAGATGGACCCGGTCTTGTCGGAGAAGGGAACACCTTCCTTATCACCCAGACCCTTGTGCTGCCCCCGGAGCCGGCGATACCGCCCATCTCAGGGGCTAGCCTTGTCGGTATTCTCTGACTCCCTCTCATGGCGATTATACCGGATCCGGCTGAAAGTTGATTGCTATTCCGAATGGACATGGACGGGATATAAGAAAAGATGCTATTATATACAATATCTCCCTATTCTGCTCTACTCTACTGTACTCCACTCTACTCTACTGTACTCTACTCTACTCAACTCAACTCAACTCTACTCTGCTCTGCTCTGCTCTGCTCTGCTCTGCTCTGCGTAGCCCAAGATATACGGATCTTGTCAAGGCGAGCCATTTCTCTGGACCTCGTATCGATTCTGCCTGCCGTTTCGTGATGTCTACGCTTGAGCAATTGCGGAAATATACTACGATAGTATGTGACACGGGCGACTTCGAAACGATCAGCCAGTACTCGCCGCAAGATGGCACGACCAATCCCTCGCATATCCTGAACGCGGTCAAGCTGCAAAAGTACACCCACACGATACCCGCCGCAGCGGCCTACGGCATCTCCCAAGCACCAGACCTCGAAGGCCGGGTCCAGCACGCCATGCTGCACCTGATGGTGTCCTTTGGCGCGGAGATCCTCCAGCGCCTCCCGGGCCGCGTGTCCACCGAGGTCGACGCGGCGTACTCGTTCGACCGCGACAGGACCGTCGCCGCCGCGCGGGACATGGTCCGCCTGTACGAGACACGCGGCGTCGGCCGGCAGCGGGTGCTGATCAAGATCGCGTCCACGTGGGAAGGGCTGCAGGCGTGCCGGGTGCTCGAGCGCGAGGGCATCCACTGCAACATGACGGTGCTGTTCTCGATGGTCCAGGCGAAGCTTGCCGCCGAGGCCGGGGCGTCGGTGATCTCGCCCTTCGTGGGGCGCACCATGGACTGGTTTCAGAAGTATTTCCCGGGTAAAGACTACACCGGGCCCAAAGACCCGGGCGTCCAGCTGGTGTCGGACATCTTCCGGTACTACAAGGCGTCGGGAGTCAAGACCGAGATCATGGCAGCCAGTCTGCGCAGTATTGACGAGTGCGTCCATCTCGCGGGCGTCGATCTCATGACCATCCACGTCACGGTGCTCGAGGAGCTGAAGAATGCAGACTACGAGGTCAAACCTCGTCTACTTGCTAAGAATAGTCAGTCACTCATCGTTCGCATTGTGACTTGTGCGGGCCGTCAAACTGACCTTTTCTCTTTAGATCATCTTGATCCTCACAAGGCGTCTTCTGGATATCTGCAAGACGAAGCGAGGTTCAGACTCGACCTTTTCATGGATGCGATGGCGACGGAAAAGATCAATGAAAGCCTACGCATCTTCTTCCGTGACGGCGAGGAGCTGAAGAAGCTGCTCCGCGACGCGATTATCTCGCAGACGAGCGGTCAGTCGAACGGCCACCATGCCAGCGATTGAGGATGGGTCATGAGAAAGTTGATAGAAAGTTAGTCCTGGGACTGTAGTATCTGAGAGATCATAGATGATATACCTGCTCTGTGACGGTCCACATAAGGAAAATTCTACGAGAAGGCTACCTAGATCACCGACCGAAAACCATCTTTGTTTTGCCGTGTGCAGCATAGCCCTGAAGGGTGAGCGAAGCCCATTCACGCGAGAAGTCTAGTCCTGCCTGGCCAACGGCAAGCTCAGGTACAACAACTGCACATGTTGCTGGGAGGCATGCGTGTCTGTCTCTCTGAACCCCCTGACGCTGCAGTCCGAGTGATAGTCGCCTTGTATGCCATCGCCTGGTCAAAGTACATGGACGTCACCACTCGCTCAAGCGGGATCCGGTACAACCTGGCCATCGTCTCGGCCGACAGCAGTCCCATGCTTTTCACCTTCTCATAGACCCGCTGACTTGGGAACATAACGTCAAAGGTCAGTTGGTATGGCCCGGCGTTTTTGCTGCGGACCACCGTCGCCACGTCGCCGAGGTAACACGTCCCCAGCACCGGTTCCGGGGTGAGATAGTACCTTTTCGCCGGATCCCCCACCAGGGCTTTGAGCTTACTGGCGCCCGCCGTTGTTCCTCGTGACGGCAAAGACTTGAATGGAATTGCTGCTGGAGTAGGCATCCTCGGGTCAGTTACACCAGTTTGATATGGTTGGGGAACTTGGGGACATCACCACCGATCTTTTCTTCCTTCTACTCTGTTAGAAACGGCATACGACACTCACCTGAACCAGACACTTCCTTCCTGACAAACGAATTATATCCCTCAACGGTGTATACGCGGACAGGGAATGATTCGAGCGGATCTGTCTTGTGCATAAGGTGATAAACGCAGAATTCGGGGGACGGGCCCATGGGTACCTCAGACGGGGTGAACGGCCAGGCAAAGGTGCCCCCCGTGGCGACCTGGCCGGGATACGCAGCATGGGTAAAGTAGAACTTGACCATGCTGGCGACCTGGTTGGCCTGATCTTGCGTCTCCGCCCGGACCTGTCCTGCGATGCCCACTTCCTTGGGTAGGCGGTCGTCCGGCTCTAGATGACCCATCACACCGTTGACCCTATAGGTGTGAATCTTTAGATCCCAGGGAAAGTCGGGAAACTTCTCCCTTGCGGCATCCTTGAATCCACCCAATCCAGGGGTCGAGTTGGGAGATTAGTATCGGGTCGCGCAAGGCTCCGATGAAGATTGTGTGGAAGCCGCCATTCCGCGCGCCCTCGAGCTTGACGGTGTACTCTCCTTCTGGTTCGGGGGCAAACTTGGCCCCCGAGATACGTACGCACTGTCCGCTCATCGATCTGCTCGTACTGAGTCTCGTCCAGCAGCGTGGCACCGCCGGGGCCCAGTAGTACGTCTGGACGAGTGTGTTCGTAGAGGAAATGGGCTGCGACCGATATAGGCGTAACTTTAGACCCCGGGTCGAGGGTCAAGACATCAAAGTTGTCCTGCCATGGCTGATCGGGACTTTGGCTTGCAGCAGAAGCCGCCGCACTCGAGGACTTTGCCCATGGCATAGTTAACGCCTGTTATTATTACAGTGGAGGTTGAGAAAGGTTAGCCAAGAGAAGGTGATTTCACGCCCAGGTTACCCTTCTTTGGGACGTGGGTGATGCTGCCCTATACTCCACCCCACCTGCCGTCTTGGCCAAAATCTATTAAATACCGAGATGACCTTCCTCACCCTCACCTTTACAACTACCCTCACCTTTACAACTACCCTCACCTTTACAACTACCCTCACCTTTACAACTACCCTCACCTTTCCAACCATCACCCTCAGTCTACTCAATGCCACTTCGAAATCCTCTCTAAATAGCATCCTCAAGATGCTGCGTTAAGCTTTCGTCCTTAGACGAAGTAGCATTCTCCTACGAGTTACATATTCTACATAGAATACCTCTCTATTATCCCAAACCCGTACCTTCCAGACAACAACGCGTAAGATACATCACTCAACTTCGATCGTAAATCTATTAACAGGTCTATAGGTTCGCTTTCTGGCGGTGATAAGGACACCGGCTCTACCGCTTGATCTAGCCTACCTCTCGATGACAAGCTCAACTACTTTAACAAAGAGTTAACGGCGACGGAATCAGAAGTGACAAACCTCGTTGGAAGCCTACAGCAGCAGGAGTCAAAAGCAGACTCAAAATTCACACGCCTTGAATTGGAGATGACGAGCCTCAAATCAGAGATGCCACACCTCAACGAGAACCTTACTCTGCAGATGAAGAGTTTCACTGAAACTATCTCTACGCAGATAAGCTGTCAAGGATGTCTTATTGAAGATAGGCAGTACTCAGCGATAGATAGATTCCGTGGTAACAAGTATCCTTTACGTACAGTAACAACAAGACTCAAAGCTCAAGAGAAGAAAGCTTCCCGGGTGCGGGAAGCGTACCTTTTCTCATATAGGCTTGGTAAGCCTAAACGGCTTAGGGTCGTCCGAGGAGTCCCTTTACTCCGCTCTTCCTCCTGAGCTACAGTGGCGCATAGGGATGCTTCTCCCCTGCGAGTCACGTGCTCTTCTGCTCTGTTTGTGACAGGATTCACTTTAGTAGCTTTTAGATTCTTAATACGATGTCCCTGTGTGGGAGGTGAGCGATCCTTAAAAGCGGCGCCGAGTGGGTGAGTGCATCAAATGACAGCGCGTATTCGAGTTTACTAAGAATTTCAATCCCTGAGGCATTATACTTTGGACAGCCTGCGCCCTGCATCCCATACTTCAAAGGTCGCCCCGGGTTGCTACTGTGTACGATGGCCCCCAGTCGAGGACACACCGACCATGGACGCGTTCATCTTGCGCAAACGACGTCGCGCGTCTCTGCCACAGAGCGACCTGGCACCCAAACCTGACCCCATACCACCAACCGGCGAGGAGGACGAGGAATCGACTGATGTCAAACTGGCAATCCTTTCTTCTCTGTACCCAAACACATCTCAGGATGACTTGTTGGAAGTCCTGCTTGGCTGTGACGGCTCCGTGCACGCTGCCACCAAAGCACTCTCGACTGCTGGGCAGGATGCCGGCCCGCCACCGAAGCGACGAATGATCGGTGCCAGTATGCAGACAGGTCTGCCGTACGCGCCAGAGAACAAGAGTCCTTCGAAATCAACAGGGCAACAACCGCTGACTAGGAAGGGCAAAACTCTCCACCTCTACACGCCACAAGACATCGCAAACCACACACCCTGTTCCATCATCCACAATTTCCTGCCCTCCCATCTCGCAAACGCCCTGCTGGAAGAGCTCCTTGCTGAAGTCCCCAGCTACGAATCCATTCAGTTCAAGATCTTCGACAATGTCGTCAAGTCCCCGCACACGGCATGTTTTTACGTCGACAGCTTGGCAGACATCGAGCGACAGAGAAGCGAGTATTATTACAATGGCAATGACCTGAGTGATATCAGGCAGATTTTGCCCGTCATGAAGCAAGTCAGCGGTCTTGTTCGCGATGCTGTTAACAAGGAAATTACTACGCGGATCCGCGACTTCTATCCGGACGGGAAGAAACTGAAATATCAGTCACCTCAGATATGGAAGCCCAACGCCGCCTTCGTCAATTGTTATGATGGTGGCGCGCAACATGTGGGCTATCACTCTGACCAACTCTCCTATCTTGGGCCCCGGGCCATCATAGGGAGCTTGAGTCTCGGAGTTGCAAGGGAGTTTCGCGTCCGGAAAATCGTGCCCAAGGACGACCCTGACCAAAATGACAATTCTGAGAGCATTTCGTCTGCGGCAGACGTGTCGGGCCAAATTGCCATCCATCTCCCACACAACTCTCTCCTTGTGATGCATGCCGAGATGCAGGAGGAGTGGAAGCACAGCATCGCGCCGGCCCTTACGGTCGTGCCTCATCCTGTCGCGGGGAACAAACGCATCAACATCACCTATAGGTGGTATCGAGAAGAATTCCGCCCCAAGCACACGCCAAAGTGCAGATGCGGGGTCCCTTGTGTTTTGAAAACAGTACAGAAACAGAAGGCTAACAGGGGTCGATACATGTGGATGTGTCAGGTTGGCAATAAGCCCAGCGGTGGTGAGGGATGTGGCTGGTTCGAATGGGCGAGATTTACAGATGATGGGGTCCCTGTGGGTTGGAAGGGTGGTACGAAAGGGGAGGAGAGTCGGCTGGAGGAACTGGAGGCCCAACAAACGACGGGCAATGAGGCTGGCTCACAAGCCCACGAGACTTCGAGCTCTGAGGGCGAGTAATAGAATGCATTGGGCATGGCCTTAGAGAACCCACTCCAACGAGACGACGACATGAGAATCAAAATCCTTGCGCCTACGGTGTCGTTTTGGTATCCAACAGTTAGGAAGCGACATGTACCGTACCAGACTTTTTCCATCGCCCATCCTGCTAGGGATCTGTGATGTCAAGTTACCTCATCTCTTCGTGCTTGTACCGCTCTCCTCACTCAATCCTCACACGAGCACGAGGCTGAATCTCAGCCCTGGATTTCCATTTGACTTTCTTCCCTGGCCCCGAAAGCTCAGGTCGTCCGGCACACGTAGCAGAAATATGTGAGCATTGCTTCGCAGGCCGCCTTGTCAGAGCACTCTACGCACGCTCTACACTACGCTGTGGACAGCCGCTACCAGCGACGATATCATAGAGGCAAGGAACAGAATAGAACAGGACATGTTTCATGCAATATTATTTGGCCCTCACAGCCAGGGCGGCCCGCAAACGCCCGTCTCGTAGAGGCTCTGAGCCTCGTCGCTCAGCCCGGAGGCCTCTCTCATATGCTGCCACACAAGGGCAGCCTCGTCCATGCTATCGACACCCGCCGTGTCCTCGCCGTCGCTGTCGCCGTCGCCGCCAGCACCAACGCCACGCCCCGTGGCATTCTATTCCACGCGCCCCTCGCCGCCAGGGCCGGCACCACCCGACTTCCTCGGCGAGAACCTCTTCGCCACCGTTGCCACACGGCGGCAAAGAGTATCTCGGAGCGATGGAGCCTCCGGAGAGGTCTCCAACGCCAGGACCTGTCGGTAATAGGTCTCTAGGACCGCGAGGTCCCAGGTGACCGATTCCGACACGACATGGCCCATCGCATGTCGGAAGTCGTAGATGAGTGCCAGCGCCTGGCCGCCACCTAGATCCAGGTGGTGTTGTCGCTCTGGTCGCTCGACCGAGAGCAGCTTGACCGTGCTCACCCCTGGATCAAGCGCATGGACGATGGCGCCTGCGAGCTCTCCGGCCTCAACAGCGTCCATGGAAGAGGCGGAAGCGAGCGAGCCAACGTGGCAGACGGCCCGCGTCTCTAAAGTCGTATCGTTTGGCAGAAATGCATGTCGATACTTGATGATTGCCTCGATAGAAACGGGTTCGCTCCTCTTGCCGTCCATCTGAAGGCTTGCCAAGAACTGGTCGATCAGGGAAAGAGATGACGACGTTTTGGTGTCTGATCGGAAGGAGCTGGAGAGTTTCGATCTCAGAGTGTTCTCTTTTGTACCGAGCTTGATCAAAAGAGTCCAGTGATCTTTGGCACGTAGCTCCTGGATGCTTTGAACTCCAACCTCAAAAAGCTTGTCGGCAGGACCTTTGACGTAGGTTTGGATTCCCAGATCAATCAAGGAACCTTCATTGTTCTCCATGAGCATGTAGGACCGCTCTTGAGATTGATCGATATGTCCTTGCGTCAAAAGGTTGTTTTGTTTGACCGCAGTGAGGTTGAATGTGACATATGTGGTCGTGACTGACTTTGCACCGGTTTCCAAGACATTGAATGCGAAGGTCTCCACTTTTAGCGCTGCAATAACTGGCAATGGGACAATCGGGATGTTCTGTGAAGGTGGGGGGTGCTGCAGAGGATTGCGACGATAGGTTCCTGCTGGCTGGCTGAAGTTGCCATGGAAATGGTAGGCATCGAGCTGCGGCTGGATAGGATCTCGGTCGACGTGGGGAGCAGTAGTCTCCTCGGGGTACCTTGCGCTAACAGGACTGGGAGGCGGAGCGGACGGGACCGTCAACCCATTGACTAGCGGCCGAGTCTCATACGCAGATGTCGGGAACGAGGTCGTCGCAAGACGATCATTTGAAAGAGAGCCACGGTAGTCCTGGATGTTTTGCAAGGTGGGTGCTTGAACAGCGCGGGGTGTGAGGTGACCGTTGATTGTGGAAACAGCTCGCATGTCCTGGTCATTCAGGACGCCATTCGTATAGACACCGTTGGGAAGGCTTGACGCCATGGTCGAGGAGATTGACGGTCGAACGGCGTTTCGGTTTGGCTGTCTCTTTATTAGATCGCGATTGATCTTTTTTGAGTGTCTTGAGGAATGATCGGTCGAGAAAGAGGCGAAACTGTGCACAGAAGACTGCTGAAAGATGATCAGTTTCAGGCTTCGAGGACGATAACGAGACCTTGAGTCCTGTTGACTACGTACCTCGTCTTCCACGTCGAGGGGAAGTTCCCCCTGAACTGCTAACGGATTTGAGAAATGACCTGAGGACGGTCTGGAGACAGAAGAGCGACTCTGTGAACAAGGAGACTGCGACAGGTTAGCCAAAAATCTTTGTACAAGAGATCACCACAAGCTGTGGGAAGAAGCTCACCCTGACGTCCCTGTTGAAGTTCAATCTCTTCTTCCTGGGTGCTCGAGCAGCAGATTTGCGTGAGGAGAGGAGGGTTGAAAAGGAGACGCAGCTGCGTGACAGCAGACTGTCATCCAAATCCAGATTCAAATCGGGTGCGACAGTCCAACTCTGGTCTTGGCTGGATTCGGATGGAGAGCAGGAGGTGCCGGTACTGGCATTCCTTCTTCCCCAGAGCGAAGACAAGGACCCAGAGATTGACCTGAATGAGTACCTTGTAGTCTTCTGAGCTCCGAACTGTGTTAGGCTACCGGCATCCTCCTCTTTGTCCGTCAATTCTGGATTTATCACTCTGAGAACCCTCGGAGTTGCGTCCATATCGTCAGTGCCCATGCTGTTCAGAGTCTCAAGGATTCACAAGCCACCGACGGGCCAGCAGGAGTTGATTTCCTTCCCTTCTCCGCGGGATTTTGAAGCTGACAACGAGACAGCGCTGTCGTCAAGGTCTCTCCCACACACCCGAGCGCTCTGCAAAGCAGAGACAAATATCCGTGAAGCAAGCAATTGCTTTTTATATACTAAAGGTTTTTCCTAGCGAGAGGAAAGTGAGGAATCCACTGGCCTTTATCTTCTCGACTTTCTGAGGGCAAAGGTAGCGGACGACCTTCTTGTGCGGGCCGACTCAAAGGAAATGGCCAGGCATGCAATGGTTACCTCGAGCCAGGTCCAGGGAATTGAAGAGTTCCGCAGTTCGACTCAGGGATTGGTGAAAACCGTTGCCTGACAGGGTCAGATCTGATAATTTCCTTGGAGAGCAGAGGCAATTCCGCAGGCTAGAGGGCCGAGGTGATGTTCCTGAAAAAGAGTACGCTGAATACCGTGCCGTGTGGAAAGACGGTTCCGTTGTCAACAGGCATGCATCAGTAATATGAAGAAGCCATACATGCTATACTTCATGCGGCCAGTAATCAAACAACCGAAGCAGCAACCATATGTGGTATCGTATGCAGCGTAAGCTGTTGAGGAGAGAGGCGAACGACGGAGCTGCGGACGAGACTGAAGGTCGAGCACCTGCTTGTTCACCAAGGCAAGAGCGTCAACAGGGTCTTGCGCTTTCAAGCAGTGGATGGAGAAGACGCTGTCCCTGATAGATCTTGCAGGAGCATGGTCATCACGAGGCTTGACCGGCCAGACTGAACCTTCTCTTCATTGGCCCACTCGAAATGTTCGCAGATCGCACCATCAGGTAGGCGTGGCAGAGCCAGAGGCCGATATTTCGCCCTTGATTTTGGCGAAGTGCTCATCGCTCAATTTCATGAAGCGTATTTGTCGATCGGCTGCAGCCAGAGTTCTTTGGTGTGGATCCATGCTCGTGGTGTCTATCGCAACAGATCCGGCTCGAGCACCGCCTGTACTACCGAACAGGGTGGCTTCACTGATGCTGGCTTCAATACCGTTCTTGACGCGGGACTCCCAGACCCCATCCCATTTCCACTCTCTGGGTGTTTTCGGAGACGAAGAGGCCGCATCTTTGCCTTCAGCTCCCAGAGTTTGCGGCTCCATCTGCCGCTTCACGAGTCCACGATGTGCACGCCACGCGTACAACGCACTAGGATCTCCAACAGTCTCAAGGGGGAGTCTGTCAAGCAAGTCTTCATCTTCAAACGCGTCTTGAACATGTTGCAATAAGTTCAAAATGATAATCCCACGATCTTTCGATTCCGGTGCAAGCAGAGGAGTCTTGGTTGCTTCTTTAGTGTCAAATTCTGAGGGTTGACGACTCGAGGCACTTGCATCTTCTTGCTTGTTTGTACCAACATCGTCTCCCGGGTTGTCCGGCGAAGTGGGTGCTATGAACCAGTGAGGAAATCCATAGCGCAAACTGAACGCTCCAGGAGGGAGTCGATCCCCATCTGAGGCGCCGAAACCGCCTGAAGCATCGACACTGGTGGCACTAAAGGTGTATGTGGTCAAAGGCACGATCAGAGGATGGAAGACATCGGTCGAGAAGATAATGAGAGGAGGCCGATCGGGATACGTGTCTGGGAAAGAAATATGGAAGCGAAGAATCGCCCCTGCGTATGGTCCTGGACTCATCGTGTCAGCTCCCAGACAACTTCTGGTGATGGCATGAAAAGACTGGTACCTTTCCGGACAAAAATGACAGCGGACCAGAAGCAAGGGTCACCCGGAGTAAGTGAGAGATAAAGCCCGTCGGGACAACGTCCTTTCAGAGCAGAGCTTGAAGGAGTGTCAGCCCATACACTCAGCGTCTCGGCGACTCACTCACAAGTCCAGCACAAGTAGTTGTCGTCGAAATGATGGAAGCAAAGGAACGGACATTGTTGATGATGAGCAAATACGATTTGGAGATTTGAGTTGGAAATGGCGGAGACGAGCTCCTCCATCGTGCCCCACGCCGAGACGCAGACGCCCCTCGAGCCCTAGGTGTGGAAGACGAAGCCTTTCCAGCCGCACGGGTGCTCATCAGCCGCGCGGTGCGGCTAGTGAGGCTCAGCACGTTGTGGTGACACAGACTGTGCCCGCTTCTCTCGCGTCAAAGAGGTTAAGCCTTCGAGAGCATACAGGTGGAAAGAAAAAAGACCTCAGCACCACCATACTTAACGAGGAGGACGACGTGGGTGTCTTGCGATTATTTGGTACTCTAATTCCATACACAGCGTGGAAAGCATATTATCAGCCAGGACATTTGGCGACAGGGGCTTTCCTTCGATTCTGGGCCACGGCATCGATGCCATCGTTGACACCACCAACAATTCCTTCTACGAACCATGATCCAAGATCCACACACGCGCCTCCTACCCGGCCATCCTTGAAGCGAACAATGGCTTGGTGTAACTCTACACCCCGCTCACCAAGAGCCGAAGTCAGGTCAATGCCATTAGCGAGCACTCGTTCAGTGACTTGATGGTCGCGCTCAAACTGGAGAAGTCGGTTCAGGAGGGTCATGATAACCGGCAGGACCAGCAGCAATCCAGCAACAAGCCAACACACAGCGTGGGCAACACCCTGGCGGAGAATATTGGGTGGTCGTTGAGCACGATACTCTGCGAGGGTTTCTGCTGGAGAGATCAGCTGGGGGCCCATGCTCGCCCGCAGATTCTGAAGCTCGAGCGGTGTCAGATTTGCCGGCAAAGCCATGTGCATATATCGCAGAGCATCAATGTGCATGCTCCGCAGGGCGACCGGGTCGCCTCCTTGCTCTGCTTGAGTTTTGGCGTTGACCCATAACCTCACCCCAGTCAGAGCAACATCCCAGTCCACTCCTGATCTCACCTCTAACGGTGGGAGCATTCTCATAGTCAGATCTTGCGAAGGGACGCTCCCTTCAGGGCTGTCCGGTCTTATCGTGGGTGTTGTAGCTCCACTTGAGTTGGTCGTCGATGCAAACTCATAATTGTCTCTCTCTTTGTTGGACTGGGCGCAATATGCTCTCCTGCGCACACCCGTGCCGTGAAGGACAACTGTCCTTGCCGTATGACGAAGGGAGGTTAAGACCGGTATCCTCGAACGGACCACGGAGGGAATCATGGTGTATATGGTCGATCTAGAGAGTTCTTCGCATGGTATGGGTTCCCGTCCTGCTAGGTTCGCATCAGACCGAGGCACAGCGGCCGCCATCCTCGACGCTGTGTCCAGGGAGAAGGGCAGCGGGTTCCCAGGGGTCTCTTTCGTTCTGTGAGCTGAAAAGGAACAGCGATAGGTGATATGTAAGTAGGATTTCATCCGGCTCACGGGTTGAGGATGGGAGTTACGAGCTGGAGTACCGAGCACTCATGTGGAATCTCAATTCGAGGCAGCGAGGGCGGGACGAAGATGATATCCTCCACTATGGCATGTGGACATTTCACATGCACATAATGCGATGCACGACATTGTCACGCATGGTCAGGCCAAAGCCAAGGACGAAGGCGGAAAGGACAAGATAACAAGCAGGCAGGTGGGCTGTATGCGAGAATAAGATTTGTTCTCCAGCGGTTTATCAGCGTCTTTTGTGGTTTTGTTGAGACGGGAGCAGCAGGGGCGTGCTGGTGCCGCCGGGATGGATGGATGGATCCCTGACATGTGAGAGTGGCGGCTGAGGGCAACCCGGCCCTCAGTCTTCTGGCACGTGTGTTATGTACATACTGTATATCCATGCTTCTTATTCTCAGATGCACAGACTGCGTGGAACACACACGTGCAAGAGATGGACTGCCAGACTGTTACACTCCCCTCTGTTCGTTCTGCAGCTCTGATTTTGAGGACATAAGAGGACGGAAAAATTCCAGTTGGCGGTCGCCGGAAGTTCGGAACTGGATTTTCTTTCTCCCGACAAAAGTCCATCCATCACCGTTGACCACCAGCCTTGACAGACACAGGGCGCGGTGGAACACGAGATCCATCAATTTCACTATCCTAACCGATTATTTTTCTACTTCTCATCGTCAGAGACCCTGATGACTGGACCGTGAACCGGTGGCGCGCCATGAAACCCCCCCTTTCCCTCAATTGAGCCCTGCGCCCTCCGCCTGACAATGCACGCCCACGAAACGGCCAATGTGGTTGTCTGTTACATTTGTTGAAATAATCGCCAATGCCCACACAATCTACTTCATCATTTCCCCTCCTCTTCTGGCTTGAACTCCAAGTCAGTTGAATCCCGCGACGTACCCAGATAGCTGGCTCAAATCGCGGTCACTCATGAACGGGCCCTTGCCGCCGACCTGTGTCGGTTGCTGTGGAAGAGGCATCCCTGTGTTCATGTTGATATCCATTCCCATGCCCACTTGGTGATTCACCCCATACGAACCGAACAAAGCATCACCTGGGATACTCGACGAGAACGGCGTTGCAGGCGTCATTGAGACGCCAATTCCGCCCACGCCTGCCATCCCTCCTCCTTGACTGTTGTCGAGTCCCAGATCGAAGTTCAAATCGTCGACCATTCCCAGATCGAGGTTGCTGAAGTCAATGCTGTCAAAGTCAAGCTCCATGCCATTGTCGAATACCCCGGTTGCGGTGGAGTTGGGTACGCTGCCACAGTCCGGTGTCATGGCTGGGAAAGAGCTGGTATCGGTAGACAGAGTCCTGCGCGGTGTCTGGGTAGTCGCCGGCTTCGACTTTAGGCCACCCTTGATCACGTACGGGGCTAGGATGGGCACTTCAGCCAGACTTTGGGTCGGTACCATCGCTTCTGTGACATTCCCGATCCCCTGTTGATACTTGAAAGTATCAAGCCACTGCTGATTGTCCGCGCAGGTCCAATTCCAGGGGTCGTTGTCCTCGTAGATTATCAGGCGTGCTTGATCCTGCAGCTCCTTATCTGACGGGATGTGACCCGCAACCCTCTGTTGCGACACAAATTTGCTCAGTTCCTGCTCTAGTCTACCCCAGCAATTAGAATCGCGAGTCATTTGATCAGGCTCCGTGCTCTCGGCCGAGGTGCCATTGGTCAATCCTCCGTCGGTGTTAGAGGACGGCGTGGCCATCAATCTCGCGACAAAGGGGTCCATCGTGTTCCTCTCGTGGCCGATCAGGTAAGGCGGGATGGCGTTCTCGACCAGTCTTTCGACAAAGGGCTCAAACCCCCATCCGCCACCCCAATTGCTCATATCCGAACCATTCCGGAAATGTGCAGCGAGATGATCAGCTCGCTGTTGCCAAGTGGTGAACTTGGACGGGCAAAAGCCGCAGGCGGATTTGATTTCGTTGGTGGTGCTCTTCCAGGTGTCCATGTGCGATTGCACCTTTGCGTTGTGCATCAATTTCAGGTGCTGGCTAAGGTGATCCTTCCGATAAAAGGTCCGCTCTTGCAGTGTCTTCTCCTGACATGCGGTGAAATTGTGCGATTCCAAATGATCCGCAGACGGATTTGGCTCGCGGCAGAAGACGCAAAGTTGCATTCCCGTCAATGCGTCAGTCATGGTTCCACCGTGGGGACAGCATGTCCACCTCTCGAGAGCAAGATGAAGGGACTTCTCATGTCTCTGCCAGTCATACTTGGCCGGGAAAGAGTCTGTGCAGAACGTGCATTGGAATATCCTGGCAGCTCGGGATTTTGCCTGTTGCGCAGCCGTGCGTTGCGCCACAGGAGCTCGCCGGCGCCGGCGCCGGTCTTGCGAAGATGCAAAAGAACCCTTTGATCGGTTCGACCGCGATGAAGCGAATGTAAGATCGGAATTGCTGGATTCTTTGGTTCCAAAACTGCTTACTGACGGAGCACGGAACATGGAGAAGGACGAATCATCTTCGCTCGACGCCCTCCTCGAGCTGGGCCTCGAGCCTTGAATACCCGGTAGAGACGGGTTACGAACTGGGAGGGGGGTGGAAGTGACGGCACGAGCAATAGCGGTCATCGATGCAGGTTCGTGTTCCGGCGGCGAGGCTTTCCAACGGTCTAGGGGATTGAGATCTGTGACGTCTGGGTTCTCGGCTCTATGGGGGATGTCGATAGCCCCCAGCATCGGTGAGGATGGACCAGAATCCGAAGGCCTGACCTTGCCTCGTCTGCGCGCATTGGCCAGCCAATTCGAGATCTGGCTCCTTTTCAAGCCGGTGACCTGTTTGAGCTCGTCCTTTTCTCGCTCGTTGGGATACGGATGATCAGCATGTTCACCAAGCCACTGTTTCAAGATTTTGACAGCGTCGCGCGGGAAGCGAGCACCAGTCTTGCGGCCTCGTCCTTCTTCCATTGACTTCATGGCCTTTCTCCGTTCGGTCAAAGGTCCTTCCGTAATCTGCTGGTCTTCTGCAATTCCTGGGAAAGTGTTGACAAAGCCCTTGGGGATTTTCGGGTGCACAAAACTGCACTCTCGATACAGGGAGATACAGCAGGTGCAGCCTGCGACCATGGCGCCTCTTGTAGCCAAGAAGCAATCGAGACCCATTCGCGCGCAGAGGTCGCAAGGCTCTTTGGCACGAAACATGGGATAGTCGGCGCTGATGTCGGAAGGATGTGGAATGGCCTCAATTTCGACGTTGTTGATTAGCTTCAGCATGACGGTTTTGGTGGTCGGTGGTCGACTGGTCGGCAGGGCCGCCGTCTTGTCGAAAAAAAGCGATTCATAGCAGTCCGTTGCATCGGTCTCGCAGGCCTCGCCCGCGACCGACGAACACTCGTCAAGGTCCAAGGCGGGGATGGCATGCGAGGCGTCGTCGAAATCGAAGTACTCCATGTTTGTTTGCCTAGAGTCCCCAGGGCCGGGACCGAACAGCAAGTACTTTCGAAGAGATGACAATAGAAAGAGAATGGAGGGGCGAGAAGATGACTCGGCCGTACTTTTTGTGAAATCCTCAGCCTTCTCCTCGGACCAGGATACGAATCTCCGAAGATCGGTGGATAGGGTCGATGACTCCTCAGGCAGGGCCTGGAATGAATGTCAATGGGTACGCTCGAGCCTTGGTTCTGCACGCCCTTCCCACGACATTTGGACGGGGGCGTCTCCATTCTTGCGACTCTTTGGGGAAGTCGGTGCCCACACGACCACTGAGCATTGGCCCTGGGGGGCGTGGTGGACATGTCCGAGTGCGCTAGGTCCAGCAGCATCGTCGTCGGTGGCTGCTTATCCCACTGCAGGGCACCTTCTGGAAGCCCTTCCTAAGCCAATTGTGGGTTTTGACGCCCGTCATCTCAGTGGGATAGCGGGGTCTTTTTCGCGCATTTGTCGAGTCGTCAACGTTTGCCATGGGCCATCATGCGAGCCTGTGCAAGGGTTCGACAGTTGGCACGTTGCATTGGCCCTGGCGTAACTGGAGAATAAGGCTCATCTGCGTATCAGTCCTTGACTGAGGAACGATTCCCCAGTCTCTCTGGTGCCGGCGCTGACAAACCTTTTCTCGTTGCCAGCACTGGGTGAGCACTTCACCACACATGTACTTGCTAATGTCTTGGAAAACGCCGGTGAGTCAGTTGCAGTGCCACTCCGGATATGGCAGGACACGCCGACTGGGGTAGGTATCCGGGGGAGAGATGATCGCTTCCAGTACTTGCCCATCTGATCTCCGACGTTCGGAAGCAGGTACTTCGATGGCACGGCATCTTGAATCAACATCAACAATGCTAGTGCATTCTCAGAAGATATGGCACCTCCCTACTTTTTTTTCTCCAACGAAAGCCCTTCGACTTGAGTCCTCTGAAGATTGAACGGTTGTCGCTTGAACTCTTGACCAATGTTGAACGGCTTACACCTGTGCACAGAAAGAAATGAAGAATCGGGGCTGTGTGTTTATCTGTGTCTGTGTGTCATGAGTATGAATCCTGCCCAGTATGGTGATCGAGGAGGGCAGGTTCGCCTCGCACTGCGAGTGCTGATTTTACACTCACTTCTTGGGAGTTTGATGCCAGAGTCTTGGATGATTCGTTCAAGGCCTCTAACTATACCGAGTGTCTATTTGGAAGTTGTCCCAGAAGCAAGACGTGCCTCTCTGGTCATTTAAATGGATCCGACCAAATCACATCGTTTCTCTGAACCCAACGCTCGAAAACTTCTTACAATCCTTTTCAAGCAAAGACGTTGTGCTCGACGAACCTCGTCCGATTTTGCGTTCGCTGGGACTCAATAGGTAGGCGTGAGGGTGGTAAATTGACCGAAAATCATCAACTGGATGATCGGCTCAGTATATTACAAGAACAAATAGAAGCACACACAGAGGATGAGAGGGAGGCAGGGAGCCTCTATATCGACGGTTTGGATGACAACATGCTGTTACCTCCATCACGATCCGACACCTCACCTAACGTTACACTCTGTCTGTCCTTCCCCCAGCTATTTTGGGTGAGGAACTTGTTCCAGCCTGACGAGTCGGTTCTATCAGATAATATTGTACGAGAGGACCCGGATAAAGGTTCAGCTTGCTTGGGTTTGAGGACTGGAACATATCAGAGCAGTCATTGATCCTGTCGAACAAGCGGTAGCTGCACACAAGGAGCACCAGGACCAGCGAAAACAGGAAGTAGGAAACCCAGAACTCCAAACCTTGCGGGACACGCCGACGCCTTGCGCGGTGACAGGTACAGGCCCCTTAGCGATCAACCCTCATAATTCAAGTGTTGTCCGAAGAGACGATACCCTCATTGCCATTGTCGTCGCTGTCGCTGCTCCAGTCTCCCTGACTCGACCCAGAAGAAGGACGTCCCTCCCCTCGTATTGACAGGGCACCTTTCTAGAATTGTCGACGATGGAGCCAGCTAAGGCGGAGAGCGGAACAGGCTGATGTGCAGCAGTAGCAACCGCTTATCCGCACGTGGAGTGGCATGCCCGATGAACTCTTTTCTTTTTTTTCCCCGATGACATCGACTTCTGATCCTTATGGTTCCTGGACAATCAATCAATCAATCAATCAATCTCTTTGTTTTGGCCCCCTTCAACCCCCTCCCCGGTTGGTGCCAGCTCTTTTCGGTGTGCTGTTACAGTTCCAGGGTTGCACATTGCAGCCACCTCGTGCGACACAGATCTCGCTTTCCCCCTCCCAAGCGATTGAAAGGATCGGTGTGCAAGCGAGGACGAGGAAAAAGGAAGGGAAAAAACTCGTTTGCGCCGTACAACAGCAACCACCAGCACTAAATCTTCACCTCTATTTCCACCGTCTGCCAAAGACCCTGACTGAACCATGCCTGTGCATCGACGACTCAACATGCCTGCATATCCACATTTACGTGTATATGTCTGCTGCTCGTAAGCCGCACCGCTCTGGCCTTCAAAAAGAAAAAGAAAAAGAAAAGACAGCTGTCTCTGCCGCCGGGGCTTGGTCTCTCTCTCTCTCTGTGTGTGTGGGTATCGGCTTCGTCGAACGCCTCAACCCGCCATCACGCGATTGATAGCACCACCGCCCCCCTCGTCGAATACAAAGAACATATAGACCAGAATTCCCAGACCCCAACGTCTAGAAGCCAGTCAGATACCTTGCGCTCAGACAAAGAAAGAAAAAGAGAAGAATGCCCGTCTACCTCGTTCATGGCTTCCGCTGGCCGCGCGAGGGCTTCACGGGCATCCGCGTGCACGCCGTGCTACACAACCTCGACAACTGTAGCGTCGAGTACATCCAGAACGCCAACTCGCGCGACGACATCCTCCGCTCCTTTCGCGAAATATACCCGGACATTATGCGAGAGCTCGACCACACGGACGCAAACCCGGCGTCGACGAGAAGATTGGAGTTCATTGAGCAATATAACCCCGACGACCTCGACGGGCCCTACGCTGTCAGCCAGCCCTACGCGTTTGTGGGAGACAAGGTCGTGGTGATCGCTGCGGGGCCGGGCATGGGCCTGACCGGCCCCGGTGTTGCGCAGGCAAGAGCGTACCAGCAGCACCACCATGCTCCTCCACCAGAGCCAGAATCTCCTCAGCTTTCCAACAAGAAACAACGTGCCACGACGCTACCCATGTCCAAGCCGGCGCCCTTCAACTCCCCCGCGGACACCACGGCGCTGAGTGTCAATCTGGACGAGGTTCTGGCCGACGGTCCCGGTCTGACAAACAAAGCGTGGGAGGCGCTGGCGGATCTGAGAGACAAGATCGCCGAGGGCGAGAAGATCGGCTGGTGGGTCGTCTACAACGGTGATCCGGAACGGTCGTTTGATGATGTCGAAGACGACGAGGACGAGCAAGAGGACGACGAAATGGAAGACGTGAATGAGGAAGACGAAGACGGCGACACGGAGACTGTTGTTGGTGCTGCTGTTACTTCTCCTCCGTCGTCTTCTGCTGGTGCTGCTACTTCGGCCTCCTCGAGGAGAGGCCATCGTCCCACGCCCAGCGACTCCCTTCCTATCCCTACGTCTACCATAACCAACTATCCACAGTCCATTCCCTCTGGGGCACCCACGCTTGGCCAAACACAACACATCGCCTCTCAAATGCAACAGCCACAGCCCCAACGTCAAGAAGGAGGCTCGCCGGGCCTGACCGCCTTGCCGGTGCGACATACACCGCCTTCCTCCGTAGGACCAGGGATACGGCCAACCACTGCACCGGCCACCTCCGAGACCGGCAAAGGCAAACAGAAGGAAAAGGACAAGGACCTTTCGGAAGACCCGGTCAAAACAAAGGATGGGGCGAAGCCGCAGGGGCTGAGAAAGAAGTTCTTCGGGAGAAGGACCTGAATGGGTTTTGTTCATGAAGTTAAATGATTCTGACGATTCTGACGATACCCACGTATGATGCGCGAAACTCGAAAATACAATAGACACAAATTGGCTGGACCGATAAAACGATCCCCATCTGGCAGACAGGATCCTGTTTTATACCATCACTTCGGACACTGAGAAGAGGTCCGCCTTGCATTGCCTTCCCAGGCAGGTCCTGACACACTACAATGGTGAGAGGAGCAGCTGTTGCCTCATTCAGCAGACAGAAATCAGCTGCTTGCCTGATCAAGACTGCAGGCTGCCTAACTACAACGATGGTATCCATCTTTCATCATGTTTGACGCTGCCGTGACAGGATGCAATCCCGCAACGTGTGTCCTGGAACACCCGGCAGCCTTGGGGCAAGGATGATTTCAAGTATCAAATCGATGCCTCTTAGGACGTGCAGTGTGGCTGTTCTGGCTGGAGGGAGAAGACAGTACGAACTTACCCAGTTCCTGATCACCTGTGAGATCCTGACAGAACGAACGCAAAGCAAGTTTACAATAGACCCAGGAGCGTTCGTCCAGCGGTAAGGAATGCTCATGACGGGCGGCCGGGACGGGATGGGGAACCTTGGATGATTTAAACCACGTGCCTTCACCGCGAGATGGAGCAGGCCACTTCACCCGGGGAGGCGCGGAGACGTACGGACAAGAAGTAGATGGATTCAGAGGTTAGCCGGAGGACACGTTGGACCACGAATTGATGTGTTTCCCCTTCGGTGGCCAGCTCCAGGCCAGTGTTGTGGTAAGATGGTTTGGTCCGCTGTAAAGCCACGCAGGGGATGTCCAGACTAAGGTTTGAAGTTCGGGTTATCAAAATGCTTTTGAATGTCGTACCTCTGCCATGAAGGGCCGAAACAGCAAAGGGATGTGTCCTGCTCATTACAGAAATCCATGCAGAGGAGTTGAACAAATCCGGCTTTCAGAACCTTTCCATAGTGCAAGCCCTGAAGTTGCAACAGCAAACACCGAAACAAAAATGTTGTGACAATCCTTCGTGAAGTGGTCATCTGGACTGGCCAGGGGCAGAGCAAGGGACCATCTGTGGCTTGCAGACCTTCCTGTGGCTCCTGCTGAGTGATGGCCTGGTCCGTTGCTCAACTCATGAAAACTGAGCTGCTAGGTTCTGGCCTTCCCTACATCGAGAGCAGTCAGTCGTCAAAGATCCTTGGGATCCCACTAGTATCGTCGGTCGTCGTAGCCACCATAACCGCCGGCATAGCCATAGCGTGGAGGACTTCTGGGCCGACCGTACGGGTCGCCGCCGCGCGCATATGGATCTCCATAGCCTCGAATAGGCGGTGGTGGCGGTCCACGAGGATCATATGGATCGGGATCGTATCTCCTCGGTGGTGGTGGTCCGTAGTCCCGTGGTGGAGTGCGTCTTCCGTAGCCTCGGTCATAGTAGTCGTCAATAGGTGGGCGACGTCCAGGTGAACGCTCACGATAGCCTCGCGGACTCCATCCTCGTGGTGGGGGTCCTCGGCGATCATATTCATCCGCTGGTCCATACCGACCACGAGGTGGGGACCTCTGTCGATAGCTGCGATTGTCCGGTCGTTCCTCCTGGATCTGGGCCGACTGGTTAGAAGACACGGCAAGAGATGATTGTGATCAATACGTACGTCGAGTGTACAGTGAACAGTCGCTCCCTTAAAGGTCTGTCCATCTAGTTTTTCCACCGCAGTCTTGAGGTCGGATGAGGTTTCGAATTCCACAAACCTTGGGCAGATGGTGAGCAGATGTGGGAAGGAAAAGAATGTCAGAATTACCCTTTGCCATCGCGGTCACGACCAGTCTCCGAGTATACCACGTCCAGTTGGCCCGAGCTTCGCGCAAAGTCCTTCAGGTCCTGGAAGCTGGTGAGCAGGTTTCTCCGTAGGGTAGCAAAGGTCGAAGATGATCAAGACTCCAATCCCTCAAACACAGGCATGCTTCATGGGATCTCCGTCACATCCAAGAACAAGGCCACCAAGAATCGAGGCAGAAAAGATTGTAGTCTCCGGTGATCTTTGATCCAGACGGGATTATGTAGCAGAGTGGGAGTTCTAACCTGCCAGCTGGTATCCGGTTGCAGTCCAGTAATCTGCATGCGATAGATGGTGCGACGGGGCCGAGGAACGTTGCGATCAGAGGGACCAGCGAAGTCATCTTTCCGGCGCGGGCCTCTAGCAAACTGCACAGTGAGACGCTCGCCCTTGAACATAGTTCCGTCTGTTGTCTGTGTCAGGAGAAGTCTTGGGAGAAGAGGAGGGACGGGGGAGGTTGGTCATACGGAATGCTGATGGAAAGTTAGCGGATCAGAACTGGGAACGGGTGGGAAAGACTTACCAGGGACAACGTCTCGCGCATCCATGGCGTCCTCGTATTCAATGAAGCCAAAGCCGTTCATGAGCTTGATCTCTTTAATAGAGCCGGTGCCATGAGTGCCAAAGTGCTCCTCAATGTCCTGTTTGGTGACTGGAAGGCAGAAAGTGAGAGTCAGCGACCGGCGCAGCCCCGGAACAGGTGTCGAGCGGGTCCAGGAGTCAATATTCAGGGTTCAGCTATCCTCCAAGTATGTAACATTTGTCCAGGGCGCCAAAGAAGGGAGAATGGGATGAAGGTGAGCATACTGTTGCGCGGAAGGTTTCCCAGATAGAGCCGGGTGGATGAAACGTCGGCCATGTTGGACTGCAGCCTGCGAAGGAGTCCGGACGACGATCCAAGTAGGTTCGCAACTGTGATCCAATGGTCAAGAGACGCAGGATAGACCCAGTTCGCAGACGGACCGCAAGCCCAGACGTGGAAATGAGGCGGAGGTGATATAGCCTGGCGGGGACAGGGGAACCAACAAGCGGGTGGAAGTGACCGAGTTGGAAGGTGTGATAGTAGTTGAACAGCCACAGAACGGGATGTGATTCGGATAGAGGAGAGGACTCAGAAAGTGATAGACGTGCACCAGGTTCGCAAGCCTTGAAGGTGGAGGATGGAAGGCGGAAAGTGGGAAGAAGAAAGAAAGGGTCGCGTCTCGGTGCAACCTTTGAGCTTTGCCTCACTTCGAGATGGAATGGTGCCAAGCCACGACTGCCGGCGCCGGCCAGACAACTACGAGGCGGTCATTACCTGCACCCCTCCACCAACCAATCGCTTCTTTCACCACCATCAACATTGCTCTCACCCTCCTCATCAGCACCATCCACAATTCGTTGGAGGGAAGTTGACTCTCCAGCTCCCGATGTCCGAGTTGGGGGCAAGCACCTTCTGGCGTCCCCTAATAGACCAGCTGCAGAACTGTGCCCCCGATGATCCCATTCACAAATGTTTCTCAGCCGGTATGGGCAAGGATATCCTGGAACAGGCTGATGAACTTTTCAACCTCGCGCACAGAAAGCTCCATACTTTCCCCTTCAAGGATGTCCAGCCTTGTTGGTTTCGCCTCTACACGGACGCCAGTATCGTTCAAGTGCTGAAGTTGCTTGGTGTCACTTCTCCTGCCCTGGAAGATTCGATGCTATCTGAGTCTCTGAAAATCCATCTCGATGAGGTTGTGTCCATACTAGACATGGCTTTAATCATGGCTGGGGGCCTGGGACGAGAACAGCTGATCCACGATATCTTGGCCAAATTAAAAGCTGCCAATGTAAGTGACGAGAAAGACGAGGAGCGCTCACGAAAGAGAAGGCGAGTCGATGGGAAGTCTGGGTCTGGTGAAATCCCCGATGATCTCCTGCCTGCAGAAAGCGTCTCCATACCTACCATTAAATTTCCAGTCCTGCAGATGGATCGGCCAAGCCTCACGAAGTTCTCCCAGCACATTCAGCAAATACGGGAACCTGTGGTCTTGACAAACACCATCAATCATTGGCCAGCTCTTGAAAAATGGCATCGTACTTCCTTTTGGCTCGACGCTACGATTGGCGGCCGTCGCCTTGTCCCGATCGAGGTTGGACGAAGCTACACTGATGATGACTGGAGCCAGAAGATTATGCCCTTCAGAGAGTTTCTAAGTCTCTATTTACTACAATCATCGGATGATGGATCAAGCAGAAGCCCTAGAAATAATGATCAGACGGGATATCTGGCGCAGCATGATCTTTTCAAACAGATTCCAGCCCTTCGAAATGATATTGCAACCCCAGACTATTGCTACCTGGAAGCTCCGCCTCCTGAACCTAACACGCCAGTAGCCTTGAGCAAGGCAAAGGAGGGAGTGAAGAAGACAAGTCATCCCACGACCATTCCTCCTTTCCCTGAGTTGCCCGACAAGGACGATGCTGATGAGACGGGACCTGGGGGCGAGGCCCAGACCAATATCTGGTTTGGCCCTGCATGGACGATCTCGCCGCTCCATCACGATCCATACCACAATATCCTGTGCCAGGTCGCTGGCAGAAAATACGTGAGATTGTATTCACCACACCACAGCAAAGCGTTATTACCTAGACCCGAAGACGAGCCTGCTCCTCATCACAAACCAGGTAGTGTAGACGACGGAGAGCAGCACGGTGACACAATTGACATGTCAAACACTTCACAAGTTGACCTCGCCGCCATCGAACTGTCCCCATTCGAAGATTGGGACGAGGTTTACCCCGGGATTAATCAAGTGCCCTACGTTGAGTGTGTCCTCGAGGCTGGCCAGGCGCTCTACATACCTATCGGATGGTGGCACTACGTGCGGAGCTGTTCCGTGGGAATATCTGTGAGCTTTTGGTGGTGATCAGCCAAGGACAAGCAGCACCATTACATGACAAAAATTCAATCGGATGAAGATCGGCTGTGCCCAGGTGTCGATTTGCCCCGGTCCACACGAGAGAGCACAGACCCGCCACGCTCTCCCACGCGCTGCACCTGGAGGGAACCTCTAGCCTGTCTTCGACCAATTTCGACTACTAGACCGTATCGTGCATCATATCAGCTCTGTTCTTGTTGGTTGCCGCCGCACCAGGTAGGCAAAAGCACACGTGGTGAGCATGCAGGTCAGGACTGGGATATCCAGAAGTTGGAAAGCGGGCTTCTTCTCGTGATGAAATTGGATGACGAAATGGAGCAACCTCGCGTGCTCATCCCTCAAAAGGCAACGGTTGGCCGGAGCTTGATGCAGGTGCCAACCCTTTATCTTCGACCAGGGCTCTGGGCCTCTGGCTGGGTGGATTGTTATCAGCACGGTGGCACGCCAACAACCCTTTGATCGCCTGCAACCCTAGCCACCAGCTATCTTTTGGGCAGTGGGTTATAAAGATGATGGCGTCTGCCACTGACTGGATTTTGTAACCTGACCAGCCTACGAAGAGAGCTTGTGCCTGGGCGACTTTATCTGTTCAGCCGGTGTGCACATGCATAATTGTTGCTAGGAGCCCCGCTGGTGCCGCCCCCCACATTCTCCAGGAATACAACGAGATCGAGCATTGTCGCCGGTGAACAGCGCATCCACCCGACAACCCAGCATGGTGGACACGGAGAACGCGGGCACTGCTACTCGCAGCCTGTCCAAGGACGAAGGCCGCCTGCGCGAACTGGGCTACAAGCAAGAATTGAAGCGCGATTGGTCGTTGATTCACAATTTCGGCGTCTCCTTCTCCATCATCTCAGTCATCACCGGTATTACCACTCTGTTCAGCTATGGCTTGAACACTGGCGGACCGGGCGTCATGTCCTGTGGCTGGATCGTTGTCTCCTTCTTCACCATGTTTGTCGGGCTGGGGATGGCTGAAATTGTCTCGGCCATCCCCAGCGCCGGAGGCCCGTATTTCTGGGCTGCAATCCTGGCACCCAAGAAGTGGGCGCCGTTTGCGAGTTGGGTTACAGGGTGGTTCAATCTGCTGGGCCAGGTCGCCGTCACCACCGGCATCACCTTTGGCTGCGCAGGACTTATTTCGACCCTGGCCACTATCAATGGTTACGAACCGACGGCAGGCAGAACCCTGGGGATCTATGCGGCGCTTTTGACCTCGCACGGCATAGTCAACTCTTTTGGCGTCCACATTTTGCGTTACTTGAACAACACCTCCATAGTTCTACACTCGCTCGGTGTCTTCAGCTTTGCTGTCGCCGTCGTCGCCAAGGCTCCTCATCACCAGTCTGCCAAATTTGTGTTTGCCACGTTTTACGATGGGACTGGTGACCCGGGCTGGTCGGTCAGGGCATCGCCCGCATACGTCGCCTGTATCGGTATCCTGATGTCCCAATATACAATTACCGGGTTTGATGCTAGGTGCGCTCATCAAGAATGCAGTGAGACTATTCACGTACTGACCTGTGGCTAGTGCGCATCTTTCCGAGGAAACTCAAAATGCGTCTTGGTCGGCGCCCCTTGGCGTTCTCATGTCAATTGGCTGCTCCGCCGTCTTTGGCTGGTTTCTTATCCTCTGTCTCCTGTTCAGCGTCCAGGACTTCCAGCGTACAATTAGCTCAGAGTATGAGCAGCCGGTCCTTCAGATCCTGGTGGATGTGTTTGGGAAAACGGGGGCCATCGTGCTCTTCGTCCTGATCATCATCTGCGTTTGGCACTGTGGCCTGTTCAGTTTGACCTCCAATTCACGAATGATGTTCAGCTTTGCTCGTGATGGCGGCATCCCTCACTTCTTCCACAAGGTGGATGCCCGGTTCCGAAGTCCCATCCGCACTATCTGGCTCGCTGCGGCACTGGCTTTTCTTCTGGCTGTCCCCAGTCTCGGATCGTCCGTCGCATTCGCTGCGGCAACTTCGATCGCAACCATTGGCCTCTACCTTTCGTATGGGCTTCCGATCTTGATCGGCATGATCAATCCACAGGGGTTTATTCATGGGCCTTTCAATCTCAGATGGGCCTCACGCCCTGTGGCACTCATCGCGTGCATGTGGATCGGTTTCATCACCGTTGTCTTCTGCCTGCCTGAGCTCAACCCTGTCAATTCGCAGACGCTCAACTATACTCCCGTCGCCGTCGGTATCATTGCGGTGTGGTGTCTTGCAAGTTGGTTCTTGTGGGCTAGGAAATGGTTCAGGGGTCCCATTCGACAGGTGGAGGCCGAAGTGGCCGGGATCAATGTTGATGATCCCGATGCTATGGACCGAGCTGAGCGGGAAGGAAGGATCCCTCAACTCGACGATCCTCAGGTAGGCAATGAGAAGAGCCTCCTGGCCACTATGAAGCAGAATTACAATTGAGACGGCGGAAGTGGGTACCAATTGGAGGAAGAATATAAGGCTATATATCCGAGTGGTCAGCTATGGATCATTGATGAGCATTGCAACAGCATGTAACCAGTGGGGCTTTTGACCGGCCATAGTGACACCATGACGGTCAGCTTTATGTGTTACGTTCGTTTCTCGTTGGTTTGTCTGTCTCTCCTTTGTGACAATATTCTACCTTCGGTCGACCTCGCTGCTTCGGCCACCCACACTTTGTGCTTAGGTATGGGCATCATCATCCTGAAAAGCGCTTCAGGACTCCCAAATGAGGAGCCAAAATTAGCGGGAGGCGTGGACCACTAAAGAGACAGAAAGTGATCAGCATGGCATTCCCAGAGTTATTGGGCTAGACATCAAGCTGAAGTGACTATCTGCCAACTTCAGAGCTTCGACGCCCTCACGCTGACATTTGCATCCGCGAACGGCTCTCCCCCACCCAGATAAGGAGTTGAACCCATCTCGGCTCTGGTGATCATGGAATAGGCACCAAGGCACAAGTTCGGCCACGCTGATTCCCAAGCTGACTCGGCAGTCCACAGCGGGGTCGACGAAGGAGGAGGGAGTGGTGGGGGAAGTTTCTTCCACGAGCAACAAACAGTCAGCAATGAGGTTTCCAGCCCGTGGCAATCCATCCCAAGGACCCAAGGACCCAAGAGCCCAGGAACCCAAGAACCCAAGAACCCAAGCTGATGGCGGAGCCCCACGAAAGTTGCATTTTGGAGAACACCAGCTCAACCGACGATTATCTCTGGTCAAGCGACTGTGTATGGAGGGGAACCTTACTCTGCCCATTGGATTGTCAGTCTGCCCAGAGATGACTTTGTTTCTTCGGCGTGGCCTGAGCGAGAAGTCTATATACTCAGCCGCTCGGGGTTCTTTGGGGGCAACGAGTACACACCACACACACATATATAACCAAGTCTCTGCTAAGTCGTTCGCCTTTGCTCTAATACCAGCTGAGCAATCAATCATTTCCCACTGCGTTTCGTAGAGGACTTTGGACGTCGTTGCCCTTTAAGCCCCTCCAATCGATGATTTGTGGCTAGATTACATAGATTCAGATCAGTCGTGCTCCGCCATACAGTTACTCATTTACACATAAAGACATCGCACAGCGAGTTGCGCACGCAAAGGCTACCATGGGCTCCATCACACAGACCTCCAAGCGGACCATCACCGACGACGACATCTCGAGTCTCAAGACCCTGCTCTCGTCGACCAACGCCACTGTCCTCACCCCACAAGATGAGGAGGCGTACTCGGCCTCGATAAAACGCTGGTCCAGCGCCGCCCAGAAGCCCGCCGGAGTGGTCGTCGTCCCGACCAACGTCGACGAGGTCGCCCGCGTGGTCAAGTATGCCACGGACGAGGGCATCGACCTCGCCGTCAAGGGCGGCGGCCACTCCACCGCCGGGGTCAGCAGCACCCACGGCGGGCTGCTGATCGATCTCAATGCCAAGATGCGCCACGTTGACGTCGACCTGGACAAGAAACTGTTCATAATCCAGGGCGGTGCCGCGTGGGGCGACGTCGACCAGGCAGGCGTGCAGCACGGTCTGGCCACGGTGGGCGGCACGGTGGCCGACACGGGCGTCGGCGGGTTAACGCTCGGGGGCGGCTACGGATGGCTCTCGGGCCAGAAGGGCCTGGTGATCGACAACCTGGTCGAGTGCACGATCGTGCTCGCGTCGGGGGAGATCCAGAAGGCCAGCCGCGCCGAAAACCCGGACCTGTTCTGGGCGCTGCAGGGCGCGGGCCAGAACTTCGGCGTCGTCACCGAGTTCGTGCTTAAGGCGTACGACCAGGGCGACGTGTTCGCCGGCATGCTCATCTTCCCACCCACGCCCGCGGTGGTCGAGAAGGTCGTCGCCGCCACCAACGACCTATACACGCCCGACGCGCAGGGCAAGACCAAGGTCGCCGGCCGCGGCGCCGGTGGCATCGCCTTCGCGCGGCCCCCGCCCGCCGAGGGCCAGGTCATGCTGCTGGCGGTGATCATCTACTTTGGGACCGAGGCCGAGGCCCGGGAGAAATACAAGGCGCTGTACGACATCGGCCCGGTGGTGGACACGACGGCCATGGTGCCGTACCCGGTGATCAACACGGTGCTGGCGCCGCCGATCGGGCTCCGCGCGAGCATGAAGGGCACGTCGTTCACGATGCCGATCCGGGCCGGTTTCGTGACCGACGTGCTGCGCGAGTACACGGCCTTCACGGACGGCAACGACGACACGGGCATCAGCCTCGTGCTGTGGGAGGTGTACGACCCGGCGCAGGTGGTGGCCCACGGCGGCGACGACGACCGTGCCGGCAGCTTCGCCAACCGCGGCTGGCACCTCAACGGCATGATCTGCCCCATCTGGACCAAGCCCGACCACGATGCCGCCTGTCGCCAGTGGGCCCGCGACCTCACCGCCCTGTTCAAGGCCGAGCTCGAGTCCCAGGCCGGCCAAGAGACGGGTACGGGCGTCGACGGCGGCGTAGGCTTGAAGGGGAAGAAGGGCGCCACCATGCTATATGGGAACTATGACCGTGAGTTTACTGTTACCTTTCTCTCTTCCCCCCTTCTTTTTTTTCCTCTTCGAACATAATATCGTCTTCCCACTTTTGTACCACCTTTTCCGATCCTCCCTCCCTCCTTCCCTCTATGATTAGCTACCATAGCCGAGTATATACACTAACCCATGGCTCTTCTTCTTCTCGTTGATATATATAGAGTACGACGAGAAATCCCGCGACATCTTTGGCGAGAACTACCCGCGCCTGCAGAAGCTGAAGGCCCAGTACGACCCAACCAACATGTTCAACAAGCTCTTTGCTGTCTCGCCACAGTTGTGATGGGAATCATATATACAATATGTATATATTCGATCATCAGGGTGGAGTTGGATTCTTCGCTGGATCAACAATACACAGTACTTAGACAGCCAGCGGCTTGACTGTTGTGAGATGGGGAAATAGCCATTGCATTCATCCATGGACACTCGTGAATCTTGATGGCCTCGTTCGACTCATACTGGACTTCACACCGACTGCGACCCACTGCGCTGATCTGATCAATACATTTTCAATGTTTTCAATTCATTAGGTCTTGTTTACTCATTCTATGAAACTGCCCTTTTTGTTCGTGTCGAACATGCTTGTCTCATCGAGACCAGGCCAACATCGTCGCACTCTCACTCTCACTCTCACTCTCCATGCGTGATCACAATCTTGCCGCCCGCGTCATGGCTTTGCAGCAACTCATGTGCCTTCTGGATCTCGTTGTACCTGAACACGAATGTCGGCTTCGCGTCCCACTCGCCCCGCTCGATCTTGTCCGCAATCTCCTGCAGGGGGATATTCGCGAGCGGAAAATCCTCCGTGCCGAGCACCTTGCTGTGGAACAGGCTGAAGTGCACGCCGGGGTCCATCTCGATCATCGGGTTGAAGTCCTTGACCGGCGCGAGGCCGCCCAACCACCCGGCTTGGAGCATGCGTCCGCCAGGGCGAGTGAGACGGATGGAGTCGAGGAGGGCGACATTGCCGATCAAATTGAGAGTCTTGTCGAATTTGCGGTCGGGGAGGAATTTTTGGCTGAGCGGGTTTTCCTCGAGGACCATGTCTTCCACACCCATCTTCTTCAGCATGTCGAACCGTCCTGGACGTCTCGTGGTGGCAGTGACTCTGGCCCCGGCATTGACGGCAAGATGAACGGACGCTTGACCGATAGTGCTTGTCGCGCCACGGATGAGGATCCGTTCTCCCTTATGCAGATCAAGGACAGTGAAGACGCACGAATAGGCCGTGGCATATACCTCGGGCAGAGCAGCGAGTTGTTCCCAAGGGAGGTTGGTCTTGACTGGCACCACATTTGTCATGGGGACGTTGACGAATTCCCCGTAGCCACCAGGTCGGTTTCGACCCATCCCACCCATTACCCCGATCACTCGGTCGCCTTTTTGGAACTTGCCCGAGGGGTCTGCCTCGACAATGCCCACGCATTCTAGGCCTGAGATGGGATTCCATTCGTCCCATTCACCTCTCCGCATGTGCATTTCGGCATGGTTCAAGCCAAATGCTTTCACGTGGACAAGCACTTCCCCCGATGTCGGGGCGGGCTTCGGGACGGTCTGGTGCTGTAGAACTTCTGGGCCTCCAAAGGCGGAGATGACGATGGCTTGCATGGTTTCTTGGTTAGACATGGTTGTGAGATGGATGGTAACTCGAGTATATAGATTGGTGAAATTTGGTATTATGCTGGTATTAGTGTTTGATGTGTTTGTTTTTATGGTCGATGGGTGACCAAGTATGTAGTTGATTGCAATGCTTTCTGCTCTGATCAAGGATGGGCTCACGCCTTTATATCTCTACTCACATTCACCAGATGTATTCTGCCAACATCATGGTTCCTCAACGTGCTGCTCTTCACACTGCAAGGCTCAGGGCCGTGGAATACGAAGACATATGCACGGGCAAGGATGAGGTGTTGCCTGTTTCGGAACAGGCGCATCGCATTGGCAGCGACCACGAGTCAGTTGGGTTCGTCGGGACGCTGAGAGTTGCTGGATTAAGAAGATTCTCCCCGTCAGCAAGGCTGCCCCGCGCAGAGAGGGATTGACGCCATCATGGCATAGAGGAAAGATGACAAACGCCGCGTCTGTGAGAAGAAACCTTGATGGTGACGCTGTTTTATTGATTGCTGCTTTTAAGGTGACGTAGCGCGTGCGTACTCAACTCAACTCAATCTGGTAGGCTGCCCGCGCGCCTCAATGTGGGACCGTCAAAAGCGGCAACCTGCGCGAATTTGAGGCACATCCTGTTTGAATATCGAATACTCTGGGAATGGTCAATGCTCATTCATCCCTTGCTCCGTCCTCTACCTCGTACATGTCTCCGATGATCCCGTGAGAAGAAAGCCTACCTACACCCCAGGCTAGTGAGGCCTCTTTAGGCATATCTACGACAATATCTACCCCTAGCTCGCGCGGGATCTCCACCCGCCCATCGCTAGCTGTAGGGTCCGAGATGCCTACACCCCACCGTGAATATGAACCTCTCAGCACATCTTTCCACTTATCCAGACGTCTTGAATGGGCAGAAGCACGCCGAACGAAGGCCTTTTGCCAGAGAGCAGCATAATTACATGCTGGTATGATCGGTGGCTGGAGCCTGACGTCGAGATGCTCCCCTCAATCATGGCTGAATCCCGCGCTAACGGAGTAGCTAATCGATACGCGCCGTCGGCGGTCGCTATTGCGCTATTGCGGGTAGAAAACGGTATTGGCTATGCTTCAACACCCCTGGCTGCTTTGGCAGGCTATTTCCCTGCCACCCGTCAAGGAATATGTCCCAAACTTCCCGAGCATCAAAGATGTCTCACTTTGGCATGCTGGCACCTGATCGTTTGGGGCGATGCTCTCAAGCCACCGCCGGGAAGTGGCCTGCGTGCCACAGACACCAAATCCGCGACATGGTATTCGAGATGCAATCAGAGACTCGGAATAGGCGCTCGAGTCTCAAGCAGGCATCGTTCCTAGGTACACTCCCCAGTCAACGCCACAGACTGCGCCGACTTCCCATCAAGGGTAAGTAGGTTGCATTGACGGGCGTCCAAAATTGGTTGGACCTGGGGTGCTACGATGATAGAGTCACACATTGAATGCCTTGCAAGGCGTACTCGGGGGCCCTTAGCCACCTTGGCAAAAGTACAAAGAAGAGCACTGAGGTCAGTCCTACTCGATGCTCTACCGTCCTGACTGCTTCACCCACGCCAAACATGGCCTCTACGCCTGAGAGACGTATTCGAATTCCTGTCAGTCGAAAGCCAGCCCTTCGGCGCACCCCGGCAGGTGCAGACATCCATGCACTCACTTCACAGCTGAGCCTTGATGATCCGTCGAAAGACTCCCCTCCGGCCACTCCTGGCCTAGAGTGGGCCGAGACACCGCAAGCGATCGACGACCCTCCAACCCCAGAAAACGACCTCGATCCTGACGAGGTTATACGTTTGCCTTATTCTCCTCTTGCAGCTCGCAAGACCGCCCTCGAGCAGCATGTTATTCCCCTGCTCGAGGCAGACGCACCGGAGGAACTACCGTCACATCTATCCAGTGAGGCCGGTCAAAGCAAACGTCTTTTTCAGAATGAACTCTCCAAGTCGACTTGGACCGTCCCCTCTCAACTGCATCCACCTTCCTCTACTGATACTACGCCTTCACCTCCTCTTTCCCTTGTGAAGACCGAAGCAGCGAAAGTACCATCGTTTGGAATCGTGCTAAAACCTTTCTATGTCGGTCCTAGTGGAAATGAAAACCGCAATGATACCATTAGGGAATATTCTACTTCGGGTGGCTTGCATACCGTTGCGTTTAGCATCAAGCGCGAAGATCTTTCGGTTCAATCTCAACATGTTGTTGCCACTGAACATCAGACGGACACCGTCACAACGACACCAGCCACTGAACCTTCTCCGCGGCTTGGAATGAAAAAACCTTTATCACTTTCTTTGGCGTGGTCACTGAGCACGAAGCTATCCACCATCCTACCCTTGGAAGCAATTGAAAGATTTGATGACAGTCCTTCGACATGCATCGCAACGACGAAGGAGGGCAACAGATGCAAAAATTCAGTCGCGCGGACAGCGAATAAATCTTTTCTCGCAGAGTTGTCCAAGGCTCTCTCGTCATTCGCGTGCTCACTCGATTTTGAAGCCTTTGCAGAGCATATGAAGCCACTGATTGAAAGTATAACATGTACACGTTGGCATAGAGAAGCTGTTCGCAGGTGTTTGGAAGAACTATGCTCTTACTCATGGCGACCACTCATGACAGCTCCTACAACCTCGCACCAAGCCAATGCTATTGCCAACAGTATTGCGAGTACGTTCAAGCTCTGGATATCAGCTTTGACGAGTATTCCAACAACAGACGAAGGAACAGTCGTACCAATAAAAGGAGACGCGGACAATGTGCAAGGCTCACTCTACTCAGATACTGCCTCCGCTGCGGCGACGGCGGCAACCGAAGGGAGTCTTACACACTTTCATTATGCCAGTACGAAAGCGCCTACAGAATCAGGCGAGATTGATCTTCGTGCAACCAATAAGAGCACCACTATAACGCCAAAAAGTACAGCAATGGAACAGCAAGTGACCGGTAGGAAGCCAGTCCGTTTATCCACTCACCTGAACCACGACTTTGTAGAATTTCCTTACTCGAAGGCAAAAAGAAACGTTACGCCCCAAGACTTGATTCGCCAGATTCTCTTGGAAAAACTGACACCCGCTGACATGAAACGTGCTGGATTTATATACATCTTTTGGCATCCCGGCAGCATGGGCTACGTGAAGATCGGTTACGCTACCAACGTGGAAAAGAGACTTCAAGCTTGGCGAAATCAGTGCAAATTCAGCCTCGAGCAGCACAAGAGTCCGGAATCAATGGCCTCGAAACGAGTCCGCCATTTACACCGAGTCGAGTCGCTGATTCACGCCGAATTGAAAGACTACCGGAGATTAGAGCCATCGTGCAGGGGATGTGGAAGACGCCATATAGAGTGGTTCGAGGTCGATCCGAGCTACGCTTTGAAGGTAGTGGCGAAATGGACCAGTAGAACCCTCTACTCTGGGAGACATTTGGATCCGAGTATCAACGACGAGGAGATCGACCAGCTTTGCGAACTGACCAGAGCTGACACCTACCTGCCACGGCCACGGCCTAAAAAGGTGAAAGGAAGCTCTCGCCGAAGCACTAGAGGCCGCCAACGTGGTGTGAAGTGATGCCGGGAGAGGAATGGCGAGACGTCTTGCTCTGACGGTTAGGATAAGTGACACGGGGAATATCATTGACTTGGTCAGCCTGCGAGACAGACGGTAATGTGATTGTTCCAAGCATGTTTGTATTCACGTCGTGGGTTTAGAAACTTTATATCCGTACAAGTGCAGACAGGACGGCGGACATAGCGGACTTGAAGCTGCACATTTGACTGAATATCTCCAGGTCCTTGGTCTTGTGTTTTGGGTTCTTCCTCGGGCACGTTCCAAGACAAAGCCAAATATGACCGAGGGTAAAGGAGTGGAAAGTGGGATGAGATATGTAAAGCCACATTCACGGCCACTGGCGTTCATTCAATTTTATATTTATATCTGAATTCCCCCGGCGCTCTCTCTCTCTCTCTCTCTTGTGATTGGTGCCCAGGCTTGAACGGGACTTGATCAAAATTCGAGAGGCGGAAAGAAGACCAGCAAGACACGCCAGCCGAGACAGAGAGAGTCAGTCAGTTCAGTCAGTCCGTCCGGCCTACAACTTGATACCGTGACCCTTCCTCTCTCTCTATCTTTCTCTCTCTCTAGAGAACATACAATGTCTCTAGAAGCCCAGTCTCAGCCCCAGCCTCAGCCCCCATCCGAAACCCAGACAGAAGCACCAGGAGACCCCCAAGCACAGCCTCCGAAGCAAAACAAGCAACTCACGCTCTTCGTCGACTTCCACATCCAACCGGACCAGATCGAGGCGTTCAAGGCGGCGCACCGGCCGGTGTGGGCGGCGTGCGCGGCCGAGCCCGAGTGCCTGCTGTTCGACGTGTTCCACGACGCGCAGGACCCGGCGCACTTCCGCTTCGTCGAGGTGTGGGCGGCCGACCGCGCGTGGTTCGAGGCCTGCCAGCTCACCAAGCCCTACTACGCCGCGCTGTGGGAGCGCAGTCGGCCCACGTGGCGGCGCGAGGTCGTGATTGAGTATTTCGAGCGCGAGGGCGAGGGGTGCAGTTACCGCCAGGGATATTTGGACGGGGGGAAGAGGATGGGCTGATGAGCATTAGCCATTAGCATTGGCTTTGGATAACTTGTTGGACAGGTGGGTCGGTGGGAGGACGACACGGATATTTACCCGCGGAGGTAGATAGTGAGGACAGAGACGGGGATAGGGACAGGGTATAAGGGAGCTAAGAAGGGAGGGAGGGAGAGATACGGGTCTAGTCTTGACGACGTATACAGAGACACCCACCCACAGGCAGATGTGCATAATATTAACGGCATATGGCTCGTCAAAGCTCTAATGAGGAGGGTCAAGGGGTATGTGACTCCATGTGCTGGTATATGTACGTCTACATATGCATGCAAAAGTAGACCGATGTATCGAGGACACCCGTCTGTCAGAATGGTACGATCGCTTCCTCCCCCAGAAAGGCTGGTAGCCAACGGCCAGGCCTATCCGCATCCGGCATCTCTTCTCTCCCTCACACACACACACACACACACTCTCTCTCTCTCTCTCTCACTGCCATGGACCCTCGCCTTCCTTGCCAGATATCCCGCGCCCGTCATTCACTCACCTCCGGTCCTACTTCATCTTCAGAGCTAAATCCAACAACGCCGGAAAATTCGGCGTGCCCAGCCCCGTGACCGCGTCCCACCCCTTGACGGCCTTCCACCCCGCGCCAGGGACTTCCGGCGCGTCCTGTCCGGAGTCGGTCACGGCATCACAGCCCTGGGACGAGCCCTGGGTGATGTCCGTGAGGGCCTTGGTCTTGGTGGCGTTCTGGCCGATGCTATACAGCCAGGGATTAAGAAACCCAAGCGGCTTCAGCCCCCGCGACAGGCGGGCCGAGTTGAGGTTGGCGATGATGGCGGCCCAGGTGGGTGTCGCCGCGCTGGTGCCGCCGCTCAGCTGCTCCTGGCCGAGGTGGAAGATGGGGAAGGTCACCCAGGCCTGGGCAGCGACGTCGGGTATGCCTCGGCCCGTGCGGTTGTACAGGCCGGCGAACTTGTCCTTGATGGTGGTGTTCAGATATGTCTCCACGGCGCCATGCTGGAACGCCGGCCGCGCGAAAACGTCGCTGAAGCCGCCGCCGGACAGCTGCTCGGCGATCTCGGGCTGCACCTCGCCCGTGCCGCCCACGCTGGTCACCCATGGACAGCTGGCTGGGAACTGCGGCATGAAGCGCGTGCGGTTGCGCCCGTCGTTGGTCATGCAGCCGTCCCCAGGCCCGCCGTCGCCGCTAGATGTAATCACACTGACGCCACGGGCGCCCAGCTTGGCGAACAGTTGGCACACGCTGAGCATGTAGGACAGTGGGTGGGTCTGCTCATCCTCGCCGTAGGAGATGCTGATCACCTGCGGCAGCTTGTCGTACGTCAGGTTGACCATGTACTGCAGGTACTCGAGGAACGGCTCCTGCTCGTCCAGCACACCGGGGAGGTCGGGCAGTTGCAGGTCGTGGATCAAAGGACCCCGGCCGCCGACTTTGTAGAAGTCGACCGGCGTCGGGTACGAGAGCGTCAGGCCGTATTGGACGTCCATGTTGGCTTCGGATGCCCAGGCCGCGTCCGTGGATTGGTTGTTGACGCCGCCGTTCACGGACGTGATGGAGAAGTTGGCACCGCGCGCGTACGGTGCCCACTTGTCGACAAACAGGGCCACGTCGGAGCGGAGCACGTTCTGGCTGGCGAACGCAGGGATCCCCAGACGCGAGCCGGAGCTGGCGTTGGCGCGGAAGTTGCCTATGCCGTAGAGAGCGCGGATGCAGTCTGGCGAGGTGGTGGTGTTGCAGTATGTTGCGTTCAGTTTGGTTGCGGACCCGTAGACGGGGATTGCGCCAGTAGTCGGACCGGCTTGCTGGGCGGCACGGGAACGGGCGAAATGCGTGGTCGGTTGAATCGTCTGGATGTAAGGATGGAGAGTGTCGGGGACCGAGTATTGGAGGGTGCGCATGCGACAGCTTTTGTCTCGAGGGTGGTGGAAGAGGTAGAAGGTCGTGCTGAGCAGGGTTTCTGCCTGCATGACGGTGATGTCGAGATTGATCCACTCCCCATTGTCTTCTATGTCCGCGGCCGGAATGTTTTGTTCCTCGAGCCACGAGAGCACAGCTTCGGAGACTGCCGGCTCAGGGCGTAAGAGGGTATTGAGCTCGTGGACATCGTAATGTTGGCCATATAGTTCGTGCTCGGGGTCGGAGATTTTCAGCAGCTGGTCTTGGAGGAAAGCGTGCTTGTCATCCTGGCGGATAGACAGATGCAATTTGAGACGTGCGAGTGCTGGAGCTGGCGCCCCTTGATACCAGCCGTCGGGGACGTCAGTGACTTGCTCGAACACCTTGAGCCGACCGTAGGAGGCGGCAGCTGCGACGGTGTTGAGCCCCAAAGCACATAGCACAAATGACCTGGTAAAGTTCACCATTACTAATGACAGCCACAGATTCTAGATGAGGCTCTCGATGCTCTGAGACCTGTGGTGCTGTTGGGTGCGTTAAGGGTCGTCCGCTTGCCCATCCTATATGGGCCCGTCCCCAAGATCGTCACGAGGCTGTGTCTTTAGAGAATGGGGTCGGCCAAATAAATAGCGGGACGATGATTGGGATTCCAGACCCAAAGCCGAACTCGGCAAGTGTGTTCACCAGGCCAATGCAAGAGGTTGGTATAGTGCTGCCTGTTATGATTTTGTTTGGGAATGACGCTGCTCTCCGGGGAGAGCGGAGCCGGATTGTCATGAGGTATAGGTTGGATGTTTTCCCCATTTAGGCCAACAGTATGTGCATCTGAACCTCATACGGAAGAGCTCGCCTTCTTGTTAAGGAGACGAATTAAAGGTATTGTTTCTGCCTGGCGGTGGGGTCTCAAGCTTAGTGTTGCGTCGCCAATGCCGTGCCAACCGAGTCTGGAGTGGCAGTTCTTTGTCTTGCAGACAGGATGACAGGGTGTAATTCCTTGTTCGATCGACAATGGGTCAACGCTGGTGGAACATGCCTCTCCCTCGTGATACCATATAGGATCCCAATCCCAGTCAGTCCACCAACAAGGCCGTGGGGAGATTACAAGTACGTATCAGCCGCGAGGAGCGATGTTCCCGTGGGACTCGGCGGGTTTGGTCAGCCGTAGGATTCATGCGCGGTAATATCTGACCCAGCTCCTGGATGAGTATTGGAGCACAAAGGAGTCCGGCGGAAGAGCCCCAGACACTCACAGTCCGCCAAGGCTATACGTCCTTGCAGCCTGCAGACTTACGGTTGTTGTCTTGAGAATTCGGCTGAGAGGAGGAAGGGATCCTTGAGGAACAAGGGGAGGAATGTTGGGAGCTGCCAGGGTGTATATTATTCAGTGACGGTACAGAAGGAGATTCAGCCTGACGGTGCTGTACTGGTGTGCTCTGGTCTCTAGTTTGTCGAACATCAGTCGTGGTACAGGTAGTTTCCGAATCCTGGTATTCTGGGTGTGTCTAGCTTCTTCAGACACATGTACAAAAAAGCCGTCGATAGGAAAGGGGCCATCTTTCAGGTCATGTATCCCATCAGAAATGAACCAAAAGCCCTCATCAAAAAAAGTCGCCGTCGCTCATGATGCATAAAACCTCGATTAGCAAATGTAGCCCGTCAGTCAGTTCAGCATATCAAACGTCCACTCCTGTTGCTGATTGCAGTCTCTGATGCACCTCAAGCTCAGTCAAACCCCTGCGCCAACATCCTCCGGAAATCCGTGAAAAGATACCCTTTCACCGATTGGTGTTGAAAAACCAACTGCTCCGTTTGTTTCCTCCTTCGGATCCGCTCAAGTTCGAGATGATCGGCAAGCTAGGCATTCCATTTGCTCCGTCAAGGTTTGATGGTGCGCCACCGCCGCCGCGAAGAGGTTTGGCTATCCTTGCACCGGCATTCATCAGGCTGTTGAATCCACCCGTGGCGCCAGCCCCAGCAGTGGCCATGTTCCTTGAGGATACCTTTGCTGCTTCGAGACGTTCCTTCACTGCAGCAAGTTGTGCTTCGAACCTGTAGAGGACCGTTAGTTATCAAGTCTTCTGCCAGGACAACGATGGCAACATACCGGTGGTTAGCTGCTGTTAATTTGTCTTGACTATCGGCCAGCAGGCTCTCCAGACTCAGTATCCGTTCATTTCGGGCGATCAGTTTTCGCTCCGCAATCGCAACTTCCTTCTTCAGGCTCGTGTTCTGGTCAACAAGTTGTCTCTGGACCACCGTGAGTTGCTCAAGGTTACGCTCCAAAAATGCCATCTTCTTCTGCTGTTGGCGGTTGTTGCTCGATCGGAGCACATTGTTGTATTGCTCTCGCGTCTCATCAAGCGAAATCTCCAGCTCTACCACCCGTTCGCATCGGTTCTGCAGATCACGCATCAGATTCTTCTTCATGGATTCGAAGTCGGCAATTTGTTGTTGCAGGGTCTTGCTTGTGACGCCGTTGGCCACGCCAGCGCCATTGGCGGCACCCCGTGACTGGAGGTCCGTGATGGTCTTCTGGAGTCGCTCAATTTCTTGCGATTTGTGTGTGAGTTGATCCCGTAGGTCGTGCACAAGCTCGCTCTGCGTATCCCTGCGGTCCGTGAATAGTTGCTCGAGTCGTCCTTTGACTTCTTCCAGATCCTCAGGTCCCAGATTTCGAGTCAGAAAGTCTTCATAATCCTGCTGCACCGCGGCCAGTTTCTCTTCCAGCGCGATTGTTCGGTCTTCGTGCTCGTCCTCGGCCCGTTCAGAGAGGGATTTCTCTGCCTGTCGCACTAGCGTCTGGGATTCCAACAATTTCGAGCGGAGATCTTCCAGCACATGGCTGGGTACAGCTTCGCCGTTGAGGCTTGCAGCGTGTAGGGCGTCCACCTGATCCAGCATCTCTCGCATGCGATTTTCATTGTCGGAAAATGCACTGTCACCGAGATCGAAACCCGCCATCATCTTCGCCATCTTCTCTTTCTTTTTGCGGTCCTTTTCGTCCAAAGCCGCCGTAGTCTCTTTGGCGCTCATCTTGAGCTCGAGCAACTGCTGTTTGACCGAAATCAACTCCGCCTCGAGTTCTGAGTTTGCGTCTTTCAAGCCTTCCATGGTGATTGCATCTTCCTTGCTCTGGTACGACAGCTTCTGCAATTCCAGTTGGGTCTTGTTCAGCTTGTCCGCCATGGTCTCGTTCTCCTTGGCCGTTCGCATGGCCCCTTCTTTATATGATTTGAGCTCCTCTCGGGCCTCCTGCAGGCTTCGCTCCGCGTTGGCTGCCTGTGTCTCCTTCTCGGTAAGTTGATCTTGAAGCTCATTCTCTCGTCGCAGGAACTCCTCTCGCTCATCTTTCTCGAGTATAATACTGGGCGTACTTGACCTTTCGCCAGCCCGGGAATCAGGTCTACTAGGGGTATCCGATCTGAGAAGGTCTGAAGGCGCTCTTGAGGGTGTGTCTGGTCTTGCCTTGGTCTCCGATTTCTGTCCTGAACCACCCAACGGAGGCACCCACTTTTCTCTAGGAACCGTCTCGCCCTTTCGCCAGAGCTGTAACTCCGAGTCCAACGAGGCGATGTACTTCTCAAAAGTCATGGTCTGGTTCTGAGCGAGCTTGAGTTGACGCTTGAGCTCGGCCGGGCTCAACTCGGCGTTGATCTTGGCCTTGTTCTTGATAGTCTTTGCTCTCATACCGAATCGCAGGGTACTGACGGTTTCGGCATCGTTGTAGCTGCTGGGGGAACAATTTATAATCAGGGTCGTTCTCGAATTACCACCCAAACTTTCTTGTAAAATCCTGGTCAGCTTGGAATCACGATAGGGGACGTGCGTTGATTTGCCATCCGTTAGAGCATTGATGACCATTCCCAGCGCGCTTAAACTCTTGTTGATCTTCTTTGCTTCTTCCAGTGTCTGTCCACTTGCGCCCGTCTTGCCGACCTTTTCTGATCCTGCCAAGTCCACGAGATATAGCATGCCACTCTTTTGCGACCCAGTGTTGACATCTTTCTGATTTATGGTGACCAAGAATATCGAATGTGACCGCGATGACTCTAGATTCATGTTGGTGGATGCGGTGACCCTTGATCGCTGTCCCAGATGCATAGCGGTATAGACTTCATCGACCGTGTTGACGTAAATCTCACGCAACCCTTTCACGTATGGTCCCCGTGGTCCTTCGTTGATGGGAAGATTGTCCATTACCGGGTTCAGTAAATCGCGTATTCGTTCCATGTAGATTTCCAAGTAGGATATGCCGACGGTATATTCAATTTGCGCTGAGCCGTGAACGAGGATGGAGTCGAATATCTGTTCGGTGATGCGAGGAATTATACCTTTCTTGTCCGAATCATCCATGTCTCCCATCATTGTATAAGACTTTCCGGCACCCGTCTGACCGTAGGCGAAGACGGTACCGTTGTACCCATTCATGACGTCTTCTACCGTTGACCGTATGGAGAAATCAAAAATGTCGGCTTGTTGGGAGGACATGTCAAAGACTCGATCGAAGGTGAAAGGGGCATTGGTCTCGGACGACTGTCGGCGTATCAGTCAGAGTGTTTCGTGCGATGCGATTGAAGTCACGGGCAGCACATTACCTGAAGCTGGACGGTGTCCTCGCCCATGAACTGGACGATGGGCTGGCCGCCATTTGCGAGCTCGACTTTATTCTGAGGACGAAAACGGGCAACAACTGATGGAGGCAGTCAGTGGCGGACTGGGCTGAACACAGGTCCAAGGGGATCGTTAACCTTTGATGTTGTTGCCGCCTCCGCTGCTCCCTGCGGCAGAACTAGAATGCGTGGTCAGCGCCGACATATTCAGAAGGTCCGGGACGGTGCAGCATACGCCATGTTTTATTCAAGACCCGGCGTTGTCAATCTGGCCAGGCGGACAGCATCAGTTCTGCGAAGTGTTGGCCCGACTGCGCGGGTCACGGTGGTGAACAGGGTAAGTTCAGGGTCGCGGAGCGCCAATGTTGTTGACGGACCAGCCGCGACTAAGAGATTCAGGGTGTGATGGGAGAAACAGTCGAGAGTGAGAGCGCAGTCTGCGTGCAGTGTCGACGGGCGAGTGATGCTATGTCGTTGTCAAGGAAATTTCCGCTCTGGTTGGCGACACAGCATGAATTGGGCGTCGGCAGTGTCAGGCATACACACGCGGTGCAGATGCAAAGTGCCAGGCGTGCCTGCAGCAACACCCTGTTTTTTCTCCCCTTGGCTGCGCCTTTGTCTTGTTGACGCGCCAGTCTGGTGACTTAGGGTTGGACCCTTGAACCCCCCGAAACTGCAGCTAGCGCGCCTAAGGGTGCCCGTACTCTTTCTCCCTCCCCCACCCACCTACCCCTGGCCACCTTTGGGTGGTCCCGTCCCCCCCCCCGCCCGACCGCACCCGTGGCTTCCTACAGGTACAGGCGTAAAATAGGACATCTTCCCGAGTCGATACCAGCCAAGTACCGAGCTATCGGAGTTAGTAATTATACCTATGCTATATACCATTGCAGGACAAGGTAGGCACCGACAAGGACTGTCTAAGCAGGATATAAAAGACTTTGACTCTCCCCCTCTAGGACACTTCAATTTGAAACAAAGCACTCACAAGCAGTGCAATCTGATTATCCAAAACTTCCATCATCCCAGTCCAATCATGGCAGCAGCAAAGACTCAGTCCCTTTACTCCTCGCTCCAACTCACCCACAATGTCACAAAGACGTCTTCTGGCTCAGATGTCCATAGCTACACTTCGGACCTGGGCCCGGACTCCCCCATCCTGACTCTCATTCATGGCTATCCTCAATCTGCTTATGAGTGAGTCACGCATATATATCTTGTCTGGTGGCAGTTCATCAAACAGTTCATCAAGGCTAGTGGGCTGACAGCGTGTTGTGTTCAGATGGCGTCATGTCGGTTTTTCCCCCTTGGTGCCCCTTCCCCCTCGCTTACCACAGCCTTGCCCACATACCACACGCATGATATAGGCCCCCCATCATCAAACATTGTTTCACTTACCCTATCAACAGGTCGTTCCTCTTCTCCGAGGCAAGATCTCCTTGTTCGTGCCTGAACTTCCTGGCTATGGCATCTCGACGCCGATCCGCGATCCGGCATCCAACACCAAACGATCCGTTGGCACGGCTTTGTTGGAGGCGCTCGCGGACGTTTTCAAGACCAAAACGGCCTCTTCTCCACGACGGGTCATCCTGGGCGGCCACGACCGCGGAGCGCGAATTAGCCACCGCCTCTCCGTCGACTTCTCCCACCCGCCCCAATCCTCACCTGCCCTCTACAAGGACTTGAACTTGACCGTCCCCGGCACCATCCTACTCGACATCATCCCGACCAAGGAGCAGTGGAACGCCTTCTCCGACCCGGCCATATGCCAGGGATACTTCCACTGGCCGCTCCTGGCCAACGCGGACCTGGCCACCGAGATGATCTCGGCGTTCGGGGGCGCCAATTGGGCGAGAGGGGCGCACACACGCATCTCCGGCCCAAACCCGAAAGCGCTGGAGAGGATCTCGTCCCACGACGCCCTCGACGTCTACGCGGACCTGCTCAGTGACAGGGAGACCATCTATTACACCTGTCTCGACTACGCGGCCGGCGCCGCCCCGGAGGCCACGGAACAAGACGAGGACCAGAAGGCCGGCAGGAAAGTCGGTGTGCCGCTACTCGTCATGTTCAGTAAGTCGAAACTAGGAGCGCGGATTGACGTCGAGGCGGTGTGGAAAGGCTGGATCGCTCAAGGAGTGGATTATGAAGGATATGGCGTGGGAGACGGCTTTGGGCATTACCTACCCGAGGAGGCCTTCGAGACTGTGGCGGAGAAGATTTCGGCATTTATCAAAAAGGTGACCTGATCACATTGGCAGCGGAGAGGCACTGAGCCTCATCCGCGGAAGGGGGTACCCGAGTTCCCGTCGTGGACAATGAGACCGATGAGTGACGGACGCCAAAAATGAGGCACACATGTCATGATATCAATGCCAAAACATCATCATGGGAGCTCGCTGTCATTCATTATCATATTACATTATCTGCCTGCGAAGATCTTGTAATTGCCGCCCAAGAGCGCCCTCCGAGTGCCTGGCCCGCCCAGCCCCCAGGAGGATGCCAATCTCACGGGGATCTCTCGACGGCTGTCCATCGTCTTTTCCCGGGACTCCTTGCCCTCCGGATCGAAGACTCGCCACCCCAAAGCCCTGCCTGACTCGCACTACGAACAGGCAAAAGGGGCGAGCTCGATTGCTCATCACTGCCCCTGGCCTCAGCAGCGTTGGCACCACCGGTACTGCCACTCCCGCTCAAGAGCGGGAACTCCTCTTGGATGCTTTCTGATCGCCCGACGCTCAGCGAACTTGGCGTGGCGAAAGCATCACTTGACGACTCGGTCGTCTCGTCGCGGGAGTATCGACTTCCTCGCCGCCAGAGTCCGGTAGGAGGTTCGGACGAATCCGTCGTGTCGGCAGCATGAGATCGCTGGCTTATGCTCCTGCCAGGCATCATCGATACCGAGCCGCGCGGCACCATGGCCTCGCCGAGACTGAAACCCTCGGGGGAATCCGCTCCCACCGCTCGACGACTGGCAAATGCCGGGGACTTTCCCAGCCGCGGCGAGTTCAATCCCAATGGGTTGGACGCGCCACGGAGGTGTTCGGTAGAGGCTATGATTTTCATGTCGTAGTCCTCCGATATGGTCAAATCCAGAGATCCTCTTCTTCGCGTTGGGGATGACGGTTCTGGGGGAGCCTGCTGGGTCTCTTTCCTCACAGCCATAGACAATGAAGACAGGCCCACATCACGCAAGGCTGGTGCAGCTGTCAGCAACCTGATAAGAGCATTGCAGCCGGCCTGGTGGGTCACCAGGACGACCACGAGATCTTCGTCATCATCCCGCGCTTCACTATTATTCGCGTCTGCGCCAGCTGCGTTCTCATAGTACGCGATCATTTTCTGCAGACCATTGCGAAACCTCCGGTGCATTTTGCCCCAATCCTCATCAAAAGGTCCGCCATCGCCCCAGTCAAGTGGCTCATTTTGGCTGTCCCACTGCTGGTCAATCTCGACACAGGCATCTCGCGCATGGGCGACAAAACCGGGGGGGATTTTGTCCGAGGACCCAATTGCATAGTTCGGCATGGGAGGGCTGTACCCCATGGGTCCCTGCAGAGCTCTGTTCAATATCCGAGCACCATTTGCCAACTCGGTCCCAAATGAGATGTTGCGTGGTCGCTTCGGAAGAGAATGGCCAACGGCTGCCATGGCCCGCAAACCCGTCTTTTCATGGACTGGCATGGACGTGATGTCAGACTGCCCCTCTTCCACCTCAATCGGTGGGAGATTGAAGGCTAGGGAGCCCGATAGATCGGCCCCTTTGATCTCTTCTTGTGGCTTCTGTAAGCTCATTTTGGCCTGTGAGACAAGAACGGCGGAAGGCGGAGGTGCAGAGCCCTCGTCGAAATAACTAGCAGTCTGCCATTCCCCTAAGAATGCATCAATGCGCAACTTGCAGGTATTGTAACCAAGACGATTCGTGTGTCCTTTATCTTTGCTTGCCACACGCTCGAGAGGCGCAGGATCACCGTCGCCCGATTCCAAAGCGGCACCCTGCGCCTCATCCATGGGCGAAATGTTAGAGCGGGTCGAGAGCTGGCGCGACTTCATGCGTGGTCGAGAATGGTTTTGAGGATGTTGCATGCCAGCGGCTATTGCAATCGAAGACTGGACACATCGCAGATATGGCGAACTGTGGATAATGATCTTCCGCCTCTTGCGAGGTTGGCTTTCCTTCGCTCCATCCTCCTTGCCATCATTTTGGGGCCGGGGTTGTTTGTCGAGGTTATGCAGTTCGTTGTTGATCCTCAGGCCCAAAGACTGGCACTGAATCCAACCGCCATAGGATAGAGGAGGGTCGTAAGGAGCTTCGGCAGTGGCTGCCCAATTCCTATCGGCCTGGTCAAGGCGTGCACCATGACTATTGAAACAGTATCAGCAGCGACATTCGCATGCGCGACAGAGATATTTTGGGAACGTGGTGTATACCGGACGACGAAGATTACGGCTGGCTGTTTCCCCATTGTGGAAGTCGAATGATTCCAGCACAAACGGGTGCTGTTCCTATATTGCAATTTGAACGTAGGGAAAATACGTCAATATTGCAGAATTGCGGGGGTCGGGCTGGCAACACAAAAGGATCGGTTCCCGGCAGCCTAGAAAACAGAGATGAAACGCCAGAGGGAGTGGTGTGTCACCGTAGACGTAGACGTGACATCTTGAAGGAGGGGGTGTAAGTGTACCAAGTTGTTGGTACAATGTCGAGGTGCAGCCAGCAACCAGCAACCAGAAATGTGGCGGGAACTCTACTGTTCTATGATGTCTTTTTTCCCTGTGAAGGGTCACAGTGGGAATTGTTTTGGGGGTGCGGTGTGTATGAGATCAACTCCCCATTCATTCATCGGTCCGCCTTCTTCTTTGGCTGTGGCATGCTGCCAGTTGGCGGAATTTGTTCCAGGTACGAGGAACGCTTCCCGACCAGCTGGAAGATTTATCCCCGAAGCCAGGTCCTTTACTCGGTACAGGTACGTTTGGAGACGCATGTCGGCTTGTCACCATTGTCTCACGTGTCTGGCTTCCCGTCCCGTCCCTCACCGTCGAGAAAAAGACAAGGCACGAGTATCCCCGTTTCAAAACAGGGTGGCACATGGCTATCAGCGACACTCGTCTCGGACCGATAGTCCGCGTATCTCTTGATCAATCTCGTTTCAAGATTGAAGACCAAGAAATCGACCATGGACACGAACACAGTCAGGCTTACTGCGTACGAGTCTCCCGGGATGCCTGAGCCGCGAGACGCTAGTCAATGACCATGAGTATATTTCATCTCGCTCCAAATACGCATAACATCTTGCGCCTGATCAAACTGGGCATTCCCCCTCGACCAACTTGGGACAGATGCAGTGAACACGCATTTGGCGACGGTAGGCGAAAGTATCAAAGGTCAGGACAACGGAGAAACAGAGCCGATGGGCTTGTCTGAGAAACTGGTGAAGCAACAATCCAGTCTTTTCGGATGACCAGACGCGGCTAGTAATGCCAGTCTCTGCAAGTGGCCAGCCAGCTCATCCACCCTTTTGGGTTGTTTCAAGTTGGTGGAGCAGCCAATGCAGCACAACCCTTGGACTCGCCTGAATGGAGCAAAGCCTGCCACCCATCCCCGATGCTCTCGAGAACACCCCTGGCAGTCTTTAGCGACGAGGGATCTGCCGCGCCCGTGCTCTTGTTCGTTTCGTTCCGTTGGACACACGGCCAACATTTGGGTCGAAGAAGGGACCACCAATCATGTTTGGACTTGCAGTCCTTTCGTTTACTTGGAGTTGGCTGCCCAAAATTCGAAGTAAGGGGGCTGCCAGCAGTACGTACAAGATGCAGAGTCCAGTTACCAATTCGTCGGCATCGGCTTGCCACCCTTCCCTTGGTCTTCCTGCCCGCTGAGGTGTCTGTTTCGAAGTGCTGGCTACTATCCACTGACTCTCCACACTGGTCCATCTTTAGGCATCCGACCACGCCGATGGTGTCGTCTTGTTCCTGACGATCTGGAGCCGGGATGAGGGGTGGCGTGGCCAGGAGTTCGTGGCTGGATCCAATCCCATCTCCAGCTTTCTCGTGCCCCTGGCATGGCGCAGGCATTCTGCCTTGTTCCTGTTGGCACTGGCTGCAGCCCCCCTGTGGCTCTTTTGCAAAGGTCAGTCGATCCCCATTGCTTCTTGCTCTTTCGTGCGTTTCAAAGTGTCATTCATCGTTTTGCTTTGTTCCGTTCATCGAAGATGGACATGTTTTTTTCTTTGACCGGCTATCTGCATTGTCATCATCCGCACTTCAATCCACTCGGTCGACTCGTCAGGGCGGATTACGCAGCATGTGCCTGATAATCGAGATTTTCGTCCCGTTCTCGCTCTCTCTCGCTTCTTCTCCGCTTCTGCATCATGTGGCTCGTTCTCAAATTGACCTGTCCAGATTGGCAAATCCGCCATTAACAATGACGCTATGTTCCCTTCATTTTCATCGAGGCCCTGGCCCCCATGGATCATGGCATGGTCAAAGCATCAGAGGCCTGGCAGTCCCAAGCTAGGCCCCTCGTAATGATTTCAATCCATCCACGGCCGTTAGAACTACTCCGCCATCCTGTCAGAAGCGGGATGCCTGGGAGCTCAAAGGCAAACTTCTGGATCCTTTATCCACCTCTTTCTCGCTCCCATGAGACGATCTTCCGTGCGAGGGGAGCTGTCAACTATCGTTATTGGTTCAAGCAGCATCTTCCCTGCAGCACTGCATACACTTTTTTGTTGCTTCTCCTCTCTCCATCACCCGGAACCTTACCATCTACTTCTTCAGGACTGCACTTTGTACAGTTCGTTACTTTCGACCTGCTGGTTCTCGTTCTCCTCGTTCTCCGCTTCAGCCGGAATTCTTTTCTTCAACCTTGTTCTCGTTCTCTCCCCTCCTTGATCACCCATTTCCCAGCCCCGTTGCAGACGGGTTTGCGATCCTATAACTCTCCTGTCACATTCCAAATTCTCTTCTCCTCTGACAGGCGTACCCTTGGTCATCACGGCGACAATCCGTAAATAGTCTTGAAGACTGTTTGGCACCGATACCGGCAGATTGACTTCAAGTTTTCTCACTTCAGACGTCTCGAACGTCCTGTCCACGCCTGGTCGACGTTGTGGCCAGCTAACTTCAAACATCTCGATCTTCTGAGTTGATTCTGCTGCCCGGTGTCGATGCATCGGCCGCCAAGTATATCACCTCACTCCTAACCCTGTCGCTGGGTACGCTCACTCTTCATTGAGTAGCCTATACGACCTTCGACGCGATCCGATGTTCTCTGCCCTTGTTCCGGCACGTCATCTTTCTTCATGAAGACTCTTCTTAACGATACTGGTTTACCTGTCTGGGTGTACATCGTCATAATTTCTGTCGGTTCGACGCTTCTGTTGGTCACCACTGCCATTGCGCTACGATGTTGGTTTCTGCGTCGAAGGGCCAAAAAACGGAGAGAGGTGGACAACCTCACGGGGCCGCTTCGCCGCGTCACCCTGAGACGAGGGCGCATTGTTCCCACTTCACAGCACCTGTCCTTGACGGGCTCCAAGTTTGGCATGAGGCAGTTTGGGATGCTGGCAGACAACGAATCGACCATGACTGGTCGAAAAAGCCCTTTTGAATGGTGGAGCACTATCATGGACAGATCACAGTCCCGACAAGATCAAATGTCTCAGGTGGAGACTGCTTCGATAATTACTCGACCGACGTCCAGAGCCACCATCACAGGTAGAAGGGAATTGTACAATGCTACTCCCGTCCAGACCCCTGAAAAGACGAAAGAAGGGCCCACCATGAGAGCATGGGAAATCACAATTCCTTCGCCATCACCGTCACCGTCACCATTAGGGCCAAATAGGCACACCAACTTTTCCAGATCGTTCAGCAACCGTGCCCCTTGCTCGCCAGTCACACAGAGATCTCAGGCGACTCTTTCTCGAATATCGGAACGTTCGCCTCATCATTCCATGATCAGTACAGCAAACGGGCCCATGCTAACCCCACAAACCCATTCTTCTTATCATTCGGCAATAAACAATTTCGAAGGCACGCCTCTAGCAGGCCAGTCACCACAACTCACTCCTGAACTTCCATCGGAGCCAACATCCCTTGCGGTCCCAGCCCCAGGCGCTCGATCTCTGAGGACATCTCTGGCGTCACAGCATGATCGTCCCACTTCTTTCGGCTTCATGCCGGCGTTCAATACACAGAATCGACAGAGCTCCACCCCAACATTAGTTTCTCGTCCTCTCGAACTGAAGCCACCTCAGCATTCTATGCCCCCTTCAGCCTCCCACCCGAGTCTTAACAACGCTCACTCCCCAGTCTCTAGTTCCTTCTACCGACAGGGGAACCAATCTCAGTTCAATCTCCCCCATCCTGGCCAAGAGAACAGCACAAACTCCCCAGCAGCGTCGACTACACACCTGTCTCGGGTGTCTGTCTCTAGCATTGGCCCTAGTGGAATCATCTACGACACCCAAGTTCCGCGTTCACACTACCCGACGGAATATTGGTCCACAAGGATGGACTTATACGACGTTTCTTCTCCCGAACAAAGCGTCTCCGCACCTCGGTCGGGCCATTCGTCCCGAAACCCAAGTACAGATCAAACCTTGCGATCGAAGAACTCGTCTGCGAATCAAGATCGAGAGCAAGAAAGGGAGAACATAATGGGGATCGTGACAGTCCCGGGGAAGAAAAACACCAAGGTTCTTAGGAAAAAGTCGCTGAGGAGAGCGCCAGTCGCTAGCTCAGTTGCCACATAAAAGTGACGCTGGGCTTTGGAACACAGGTTCAACTGGTTATGGGCGGTAATTTGTTATTCATTTGTCATTTAGTTTTATTTTTCGGCAGCGGCGACGACACCTTTTGACGAAACACAATACGACCTACAATACACCTTGAGGAACTTGCAGTTTTCTCAGGGCCATTTTCCCACCACATCACACACGGCTGAGATGACCTCTTTTTCGCCTTTCAACTTTATACCCGGCATACGAAGATTTTTTATGGGTCTCAGATCCCGGGTCTGGAATCTGGGATAATCTGGGACTTTGTTGTTCCATTTGTTCTACACTGGGCTTGCCCCCATCGATCGAGGTTCACCTCCTCTCTGTATTTTTCAAAGTGCGAAAAACAAAAAGCCTTTGCCGCCCGCTCAACAGCAGCAGGCGAAATCTATTCTACTCCCCCTCTCCCCCCATCACCTATATTACAGAATGGCCCAAGTCCGACACAGTTGGTTTGTCAGGAGGACATCTTCATCCACGGACCGGTGCCTGAGAAGAGATTGGTTGTGTTTTTTGAGTGTGGAATTGAGTGAGGGAATGAGAGTTCCTAGCGAGACGGGAGCTCGTGCTCCAAGACTACCACTGCGACGGACAGGGGTGGAGGGGCCCATAGAAAAAGGTACATAGATAGCCAAATCGCGAAAGAATGTGCCCAAAGCTACTGCTTAGATGCTTTGATCTGATTGTTGAAGTTTTTGAGAGATTTGTCCTATAGAAATTTTACGGTCACCCCAGCACCATTCTTGCGGGCAATGCTAATGACCTCCTATAGGTGTCAATGATTGTTAGGGCGAGTGAGGAGCCACCCTAGCCCTCCAACCGCGGATTTTTCATGCCGATATCCATAGGTTTTAGGGTCCTCCTACAAAAGACGACGGTATTGTACAACGCCGGCGCTATGCTCTGCGACAGCTGGATGTTCCTCTCCGATTGACTGACTGACTGACTGACTGACTTCGTAATCCACCACTCGGGGCTGCTGCTGCCGCTGCCGCTGCCGCTGCTGCTACCCAGCTTCACTCCAGCTGTCCTCCTTCTTGTCCAGAATCGGATTTTGCTTTTGCTTTAGCCTTTGCCGTTCATTCTGCGCATCCCACACCCAAAACCCTTCATGTAGTCGAGCCGTAATTTAGTCCACGCTCTCGATGCGTTGCACAATGATGGCCGTCGCCGCGCCACCGCCGTTGCAGATGGCGGCACAGCCGTACTCGCCCGGCTGCAGCTGGTGCAGCAAGGTTGTCAGGATCCGCGAGCCCGAACTACCCAGGGCGTGGCCGAGCGAGATGGCACCACCCAACAGATTCACTTTAGCACCCTCCAGACCGAGGATCTGTTTGAAGAAGGTTAGCCAAAGAGGACGCTGGAATGTGACTTTGAAAAGATGGTCACACTTGCCTGTTCATTTGCCTTGATGACTGCTGCAAACGCCTCGTTGAATTCCCAGATCGCAATGTCGTCTTTGGTCAGCCCCGCCCTTTCCAGAGCTATAGGCACAGCTTTTGCGGGAGCGATGGGAAAATCTACCGGATCGATGGCCGCATCGGCGGAACTGACAATGCGGGCAAGCACGCGGCTCCCCTTGCCATATTCCCGGGCAATGTCCTTATTGCCTAGCACCAACGCGCTCGCACCGTCATTGAACGTTGACGAGTTCGCAGCCGTCACGGTTCCTTTTGAAGGGTCCTTTACGAATGCAGGTTTCAACGTGGGAACCTTGTCCTTCTTGAGGTTGTTGTAACCTTCATCCTCGGAGATGACAGTGTCGCCCTTCTTCCCCTTGACGGTGACCGGAACAACTTCGTCTTTGAACTTGCCTTCTGCCCAAGCTTTTTGTGCCCGTTCAAAGCTTTGGATGGCATATGCGTCCTGCATTTCTCGTGTGATGTTGAACTTTTTGGCCGTGTTCTCCGCGCAGTTGCCCATGTGGAACTGGTTGTACACATCCCAGAGGCCGTCTTCAATCAGCCCATCTTTCAGTTGCATGTGTCCGAACGGCGGGTTCTGCGCCGCCCTGGGCAGGTAGTAGGGCACCCGAGACATGCTTTCCATTCCACCGGCCACTTGCGCCTCCGCTAAACCAAGCTGGATATTCTGTGCCGCGATCGCCACTGCTTTCATCCCTGAAGCGCAGACCTTGTTGATGGTCACGGCTTCAACCGTCGATGGCAGACCGGCGAATATGGAGGCTTGCCTGGCCGGTGCTTGACCCATACCCGCTTGAAGGACGTTGCCCATATATACATCTGTAATCTTGGAAATTGGAACTTTCGACTTCTCAATAGCAGACTTGATCGCGACGGCACCGAGTTGCGGGGCAGACATGCTGATAAAGCTGCCATTGAACTTGGCTGTCGGCGTGCGGGAGGCAGAGAGAATGTAGGCTTCGCCGATCTCTTTGTTTCGCGCCATGGGGGAGGTGGCTTTTGAGCTCATGTGGCTGCGCATCTGGGCCAGGCGGGCGCCGGCGCCGGTTGCCGAGGACGCGCGAGAAGCCGCGCGAGCAGCGGAAGAAGTGAGGGAGGGCATCTCGTCGTTGTGGGAGGGTTGGGAATCCAGTTTGGGCGGATGCGCAAACGAAGGGGATATTTATTTGGTAATCAAATGCACATGTCAGTCAGGTCTTGGACTTGCCCGAGCGGGGGAATGAGGAGCAGCGGTCGGACGGGGGAAGAGACGTGGTGGACGAGACGAGGATTTAACGAAAATCGCTTGAGCTCGAGGTCGAGATGCCCTACTAATCAGCCAGGGTCACAAGAGCATGAGGAAGAGTTTTATTCATAAAGAGTCGGGAGGCAAGCTTGCGCTTCGGCCTCTCCCAAGTCGACGCAGTGCGGAATCCGGTCTTTTGGAAGGGCGGAAGAACATCCTCGGCTGCGGTATGGACGAATTTCGGAGCAGAGGCCGCGCCACGTGACATCAAGCTAGACCCACTCCGAGACAAGATCACGTGGTGGCTGGCTTGGCGTGGCGGAAACTACTACGGAGTACTCTGGAGTAGGGTAGCCTGCCCTTTGGCTAGGGTGGAGTATTCGTCGTCCCTTCTGGAAAGGCGAATGGGACGGGCGGGTAAACCACTTACAGACACTCACTCGTACTACTACTATTACTATTACCTCGTACTTGGGCGCCACTCCGTCTTCGCTGCCCTTCTATCTTTCAACCTCGTCGTGCGTCCTTCCTGACCACCTTGTCTCTTCCACACACACCGCCTTACTCACGAAACTACACTCCGGATCAATTCTTGATTGACTTCTCCTCCTTCCACATTGTTTGCACCACCTCAAACTCCTGAATAAACCACCATGTCCACCTCTGCACGACGCCGCTTGATGCGGGACTTCAAGGTACGCCGTTTCGTCGATAGCCAGTGTAATGGATATGGGACTGCAACCCGACACACAATCTCCTGCAGATACTAACCCATGTTCTTCTGTAGCGTATGCAGACAGATCCTCCCGCCGGCGTGTCAGCCTCTCCCATCGCCGACAATGTCATGACCTGGTAAATCTCCCTGCCCCTCACCGTTCGTTCTACTCTTCTCTCTCCAGAACAGCCCTTCTCACAGAAACGCTTAGGAATGCCGTGATCATTGGCCCTGCAGACACCCCCTTTGAAGACGGCACGTTCCGACTTGTCATGCAATTCGAAGAAGCCTACCCCAATAAACCCCCCGGGGTCAAATTCGTGTCACAAATGTTCCACCCCAACGTATACGGCACGGGCGAGCTGTGCCTGGATATCCTGCAGAACCGGTGGTCCCCCACTTACGACGTCGCGGCGATCTTGACCTCGATCCAGAGCCTGTTGAACGACCCCAACACCAGCTCCCCTGCCAACGTTGAAGCGAGCAATCTGTACAAGGACAACCGGAAGGAGTATACCAAGAGAGTGAGGGAGACCGTGGAAAAGAGCTGGGAAGATTGAAAGAGCGAGTGACAAAACAATCTGAAAGTCTCTGAACAGTTCCCCGAACACAGCCTCCCTTGTTTTTTCCTTTCCAGCGACTGCATCAACAATCGGATGGGCCGGCGTCAGGGGTTTGGGATTCAGCATTTATCCTAAGTGTTCGAATTGGGTTTTTTTTGTGTACAGGAACCAGCGCAAACCTTGGATAAGGGAACATCAGTCAACATATGAATGCTTCGAGAATTAGCGAAGGAGTTTTTTTTAGCAACCTGTATTCTCATGTTGTTGTTGCTTCAACCCGCACGATATTCGAGTCAAATGATTCGGCCCTACGAGCAGGTAGACAGGTATGATTCAGTTGCTAGTCGTGTCACATCTATCGTCGAAAGGACATGGTCAATATATCTTCGCTGGGTCCACTCTCTCTTATTCCTCCTTATCCGTCTCATCTTCACGCCAAGGCCCCCATCGGATCCCACAGCGGCAACACGGTCGGCTGGCCTTTCAAGACATCGCGCACCTCCTTGGCCACAAAGCCCGGGTCCACGACGACCTGATACACGAACTCGTCCATCCACTTGTCCGTCATGACGAAATAGCCCTGCTCGCCGGCACTTTCGCCCCAAGAGTTCATCACGCGCCACCGCACGCTCTTCTCGCGGCCCTTGCCGTCGTCTTCCATCTGGACGCCCGTCAAGACCATGGCGTGCGTCATGGCGGATTCGCGCACCTTGAGGCGCTGAGACTTGGACAGGTTGAGCGAGATGTTGAAGGCCAGGCCGTAGTCGTACAGCTCCGGATCCATGATTCCGCTCTGGGAATTGGAGAACTTGCCTACATCGCTGCCAAAGAAGACCGGCAGACCAGCACGGAGCATGGCAACCGCAGCTCTCTTCATTGTGGCCATGTCGACGTTGACGTAGGTTATCGGCCGCCCTCCGACGACGTTGCCCAGGCGTGCGACGGTGAGCAGAGACATGTACTTGTTGCGGGGGTCGTTGACCAGGCTGAACATACGGGAGACGTCGGCACCGCCAAAGCTCCTCACCACGCTGGGAGCGGAGAGTGATTTAGCCAGTTCAAGCGGTGTCATGGTTATTTTATGGTACTTTTCGTCCTTGTCGTAGAACTCCCAGGTGAATTTCTCATCGGGTTTGGGGGCAGGACCCAGCATGAGCGTCAGAATGCAGTGGATCTCACGCATCATCTTTTCTTTTGCCAGTGCCAGCGAGGTCGTCCGCCTGGTTTTGGACGACGAGACTCCGTTGTGGACAAGGGCACGGAGAGCAAGACCGTCTTCCCGCAACTTAGTGGTCAGAATCGAACCCATGGCCGACGAATTCATGGCGTTGTAGCTGTCGGGGTACAACTTCTGCGGAACCTGTATATCATCACAAGCGTCAGAACTCAGATCTCCAGTACGAGAACTGTCACAGGTAGTCTCTTACCAATCCGTATTTTTCCACCAAGTTACTGGCCATGTCCCACTGCCCGCCATCATTGACGGGGGCACTCAACAACTCCTGTACCTCCCTATCTGCCAAGTCCGTAGCTGCTGTCTCAATCATCTGCTCGAGAAACCAATTTGCCTTCTCCATCTTATCCCAGAAGAACAAATACGACTGGCTTAATTCAAACTCTTTCAGGTTGTGTTTCTTCATTATCGGCACACGCAACACATTGGTCGTGGCGAACAGCCAGCATCGTCCCGACAACCGTTGGTTCGTCACGGGGGACCCTTCAAATGGGATCTTCACGTTGAATGTTTGTGTGTCGGGCAGAGTTGCGATCTTGTTGCTGATAACGGAGCGGATATCGTTCGAGAGCAGTGCATTCAGTGCGAGGCGGTTCTTGGGCGAGGAGAGCAGTTCCCGTTCCCATTCTGCAGCGGCTTTGATGTCGAGAGAAGGGTCGGTTGAGTAGCAATGCGGGATGCCTTTTTCGGCATCGACTTGGACGTAGTCGTGGTCGATTTCGACCTGGGAGAGCTTATCGCGGGTGCGGAGTTGTTGGAGTTGTTGGACCAGGAGCTTCTCGACTGCGGGCTCATTGAGGGTGGAAGCGCTCTGCGAGTTGCCCATCGTGACGGCGACGAGGAAGAGAGATTCGGTAGAAGTAGAGCACGAGTATCCGATCTTGACTCTTTGAGGAAATGAGTTGAGACGAGATGATGGGCGCAGCTGCGGCGGTGGGGGAGATGGGATGATCAACGGAGCCAGCGCAGATAAGCGATAAGGAGAGACACGGGTCCACGTGCCTCGATCCACAGACCAAGCCGAGTGGAGACACGCGTACGATTCCAACTTTCTCCCATTGACACGTTGACAATTCTGGGTATATCTATGCAGGTCATTGCATCTGGGCTCATACGCTGCAAGACCAGAAGAATACATAACATCCAACCAGCAAACCCCTGCGTGGTCCCGATCCTTCTTTATACGAGCAAGTACCCCAGGTAGCTCAACAGACCGAACAGCAGCCCTCCACTCAACTGTTCACTCCCTTTATGGTCCACTCTTGCCGCAGGGTTGGAATTGGGATTTGCACTCGGAGTCGCGCCGCCGACGGTTACCACTGAATATGACACAGAAGGAGCTGGAGTTGTGGCAGGGGTTTCTGCAGGAGGGGTTGCAGTCGTACCCGCATCGGTGGAATACCCAGAATCCGTGAGCTGAGGAGTGTGACTGGTTAGCAGACTAGACAGGTATCAGAGCGCTAGGAACGCCAAAAAGTACTCACCGAAGTCCCTTGGATAGTATTCCCTGGGGTAGCCGAAGTTGTCGCCGATGCTCCTTGCGAGGAAGGAGTGATTTGTGCATCGCCCGCGAACAGAGTGCAAAACCCTTCCAGCGCACTGGCATCACTGGCTATATCGGTGTCGATAGTGGCATACTGTGATGCGCACAAGGAAGCCAAGTCGTCAAACTCTTGAGGACCCCAGGTCAACGTGGAGATCTGGCTGGTGCAGAGACAAGATGCCTGTGAAGTCGCCGGGAGCAGGGTGAAGCCGCTGGTTTGTTCCTCGCACAGTGACATGACATCGACCAGAGCCTGGCAATAGTCGAGGGAAGTCGATTGGGCAAGTACGGCAGACACGCCAAAGGCGAGGAAGAGAAGATTCTGCGCCATCGCTGAGAGGCTGTAAGGCTGTCACAGAATGATACGAAGCAAGTTGAGATAGATATATGACGCTCAAAAGGTACCGACTATTCTTCGACGAGAGAATTAAAAAACGAAACCTCCCGCGGGAAATCCTGCAAAACAGAAACAGGAACAACGCGCCGCAAACCTTTTATGTTCAGCTGGCATAGAGCAACACTGAGAGGGAAAGGATAGCTCGCGTACCACTGAGGTCACACGAGCCGCATCCGTGCACCTGGTGGCTGAGAGATGTACGTCCGGTTTGGTCATGGGCCTGGCGCGACATGACGCTCTTGTAGGACACGAGGTGGAAATATCTCCGAATGCGCCCTGTTTCTAGGCTGGCCAAGCATTTCCTGCAGCCGATTTAAGACATTGTGAGAGCTTCTGCCCTCTTATTGAAGCTTAAGTGAACAGAGACCTGCGAATACGAGCATCGAGGAGGTGGCGTTGCTCTAGGCACGGCTAGGCGGCTTCAGGGGTCAGGCTGGACTTTGACATTCATCAACCACAATTTTAATTTTCCGAGGCGTGGCGTACAGTGTCTACCTCTCAGCCTGACCGAGGAAATTGCTTCATTCTTTGGAAAGAGTTCAACCTAACCAATGCTAAGCGGGCTCAAAAGTAGCCCGGCGAAGTCTGGCGTGGTCTGGCTCAATGGTAAGTGCAGCATGCATCCAGGCAGTTGTCTCTCAGCCGTTTGCTTTTGAATGTCCTCCGGCCCTGCGACTCGAGATTCAGACAACGGCTTGAAACAATGTCTACTGATCCCGGACGCATTCACACTGGATCGTGGGTCAACCACTCCGAGGGCTCGATCACTGGGGGGACTTTGACACTTTCTAGTTCACATGGTGCTTTCTTGCTTGCTTTTCTCGGTGTCTTCATCACATTGGTGGGATCGCAGTTCTGGGTTCTCGTCAGTTTTGCTCTTCATCAGCTGAACTGCACCAAGACGTACGACGGCCTCGAAAAGCATCATCAGATAATCCTGCGAAATAGCGGGACATCCGCCGGCGCTGCATATGAATTGCTCTTTCTCCCATTCAGCTGGTGGGGACGAAAGGATGAGCCGCAGCGCGCCAGGCTGTGGCCATTTCTGAGACGCTCCTGGCTTTTGTCACTGGCTCCGCTTCTCTCCTTCGGTTTGTTTTCTGGAGCTGGAGTGCTCTCATCTCAAGTAACCAAGGCAGCGGGAGACGAGCTGCTTGTATCAGGATCGAACTGCGGACAATGGAATTTCGACGCTCAGGCGCCCATGGGCTCATACGTGGAAAAGGCCCAGAACGAAAGCCAAATTGCGTCCAACTATGCTCGTGATTGTTACGGCGGCTCAGTAAGCTCGACTACCTGCAATACCTACATACGTCAACAAATCAGATGGTCTGAGGATCAGAATGCCAACTGCCCATTCGAAAGCGGAACCTGCCTGCTGGGCGACACCGCAGCCCTAAAGCTCGACACAGGCTACATCGACTCCCATACAGTGTTGGGCATCAACAGCCGCGAAAGAGACCGCATCAGTTACCGAAGAGTCACCACTTGTGCACCACTGGACGCTTCCGGCAGGATAGAGCCGAACAAAATCACCGACTCAAGCATCACCTACTACAACTATAACTTCGGACCCCTCAGCGGTGGCAATTACACCTGGACGTATTTCGAGGTTTTCTCAACCCTCGGAGGCCTTTTATACTCACTTGAGTAAGTTTAAAAAAGCCAAATGACCAGGCAACGAGGACTTGTGGAATGCTGACTGTTTGGATCAGCCAATGGGTTAACGAAGCTGGTGTGCCCAGCCAGTCTTGGTTTCCAGTCCCTGCTCTGGCTCAGACAGATGCAGACATCACGCTCTTTGCTGTGTCGCCCAACAACATTGCATATCTCAATCCTGTAACAGATCCCCTTTTTCAGGCAACAAAGCAAGTCAAGGTGCAGACATCCACAGGAACGGAATTATACTACAAAGCAAATGGTTAGCGCCTCTCTGCCTTTTCACACAAAATAAGTCGGAAGAGTATACAGGCTGATCTCCGATTGTCTTTATAGATTATGACGAATTTGTCCATTTTGCCTCTTGTGTGGACCAGCATCAACTTTGCGACTCTAACGTTAACCCTCCTAACTGTACGGCTCTTCATGGGTGGCAGACTCTACAAGCTGCTATATTGAAACTTTCATGGACTACAGCTCGCCAGTTGGCTACTGCTTTACGTATTCAGCAAGTTTTACAATATGCATCCATGTTCTACACCACGTCCGGTCGAGGGGGGTTAGCTTTGCGTGCCTCTGAAAAAGTTGCTGATATCATCAGTGAAGGTCTCCCGAACGATCAGTGGGTGATCGAGATGTCGAACCTATTCGCGATGGCACTTGCTCGACTTCAGCATGGCATCGTTGAATACGCTACTGGCCCCTCGGACGTTACCGATGGGATGATCGTGCAAGGACCTTCAGACTCAGAAGGTCGAGCTCTCTGCTCTGCGCAGATGGTCCGAAACACGGGCTTGTACATGAATTTCTCAATACTCGGGCTGAGCCTCATCGTGGGACTTGGAGCAATCATCATCATTGCCAGTATCTTCGTTGAGTCTGTGGTCGACTTCTTCCGTCGTCGGCGGCGTTATTCAATGGTTAATGGCTCTGTCGACAAGAGTCTACAGTGGGTTCTGGATGGCAAGTTCCAGCTCATGCGGCTGGCATATGAAGGCATTGGTGTTGGGACATGGGTTCGGACAGATGAGCATACTCCAGTGGTGAAGGAAGCTGAGCCAAAGATATTCAGCACATTTGAAGGGTCCAAGGTAGATCGAGCGCCAGCGTGATGAGACACACTCGGCTGACAAGTCGATTATCAGAATCTATCTCAACGTAGACCGGGATGATCAGGGGTAAATGATTTGCGACGTCCCAGGGACCTCAGTTGAGGAGCCATCTAGGAGTCGGTTGTTGAAGTTGTATATAAACGGATGACTCTTCTTATGCCCCACGTTGATTGTAAGTAGGTGGTTGTCTCAACACCATGCGATCGCGATTCGCGCAACACATGAAGCCGCTCCCTAGGCAGCACAGGTAAATTGAGTCATCTTGTATCAACTGATCTACAGTGCCAGTGGGCTGATATGCCATGTTACTCTCTGTAACCATAGAGCCATGTATGCTCCAGCACCATCATCGATCGTCGGGTCATGCAAAGTACCCATAATTTGCCTAAAGGGGTCACTGCACTAGTCCGAGAACAGCAATCTTGGCAATGCTTGGCCGAAATGTGTGTTTCATGATTGGCGCGTTATCGACGGGCCTGAATCGATTGGTGGTAGAAACATACCTCAGACAGCCGGGATTACATACAAGAGATAGAGCAACGAGGAATGAAGCAGTATGGAACAGGGCGCAACTAGTTGTCTTTGCTAGAGGCGAGGCGAGCTAAAGAGACCTCGTGGACCCGACGAGAACAACTTGCGTGCATGCGATTTGCCAAGCATCCAATGGTCTTGGACTGCTCTTTCACTGCGAACAGCATTTAACAAGTCGCGTCTGCTTCCTTGCTTGTTCTTGTCTTTCCCCCTTGCGCTCCAAGTCTATTGAGTCCCATAACGACCTTCTTGAATATGGCCATGCTACATGACTTCGACTCGCACACGTTTGTCTTCCTTGCGGACTTCAACTCCCTCGGTCCAGCGTCTCGCTTCGAGCGACGGTCCGCGATCAATAGCCATGCGGCCAGAAGGATGCATTTGAAGCGGAGGCAGTCGCAGAGCCAGCAGGTCAGGAAAAGTGGTTTATCTATCCTGACTTGGCAAGCTTCGGTACCCAGGCGGCGAATCAAAGGGAACAGATCTCGGTCGAGGGCTCAGGAGTCTTTCCCCTTTGATATGACATGCAAGAGCGACGTAAGTTAAGTATTGTGTAGTTCCTGCCTACTTGCACTTGCCTCTTTATTGTGATTCATGGCTGTGTATTCATCCCCTGAAGAGCCATGCTGACAACAGTGTTGCTGTTTAGCAGGATGCCAGCAGACGCCGACCACCCCTCAGCGCAAAGGATTGCTTCTTGGGCGTAGACCCAACCCATCAACTCTGTCCGAACAGTGTTACAGAAGCATGCCACCGAAAGCGATCCCGCTGTTCTGGGTCTCCCGAAGCTCGATTGATTCACGACCGAGTGTACGAAATTTGGAAGGACCTCGACGAGAGTGATAATAGCTGCTTGGATTCAAAGAGCCTCTGTCCGATTGATCACCCGGCCGGAGATACACGGGATGCCGAAGATAGGATGGAGTCGATATCTTTCTCCAACACAGATCTCTTCGGGATGCCCTCCGTGGCCTGGACAAGAGATGAACATGAGCTATTTCATTTATGTGAGCATTTCACTTATCAATTCCTCGCTGGGAGCAATATCATACCTAATATTCCTGTGATCAGTTGACAACACTGTATCAAAATTAGCCGATAGTCAATGCCCAGCAGCGCCTTTGTCCTACATACGACGAGTAGCGCAACAGTTCATCCATGATGAGGCCGTCATGCAGCTGATCCTGGCGTTCTCTAGTTATGCGTGGGCTAATTTCAACGGGGGAGATAAACACTACGAGAGGAAAGGCTTGACGCATATGATACAGGGCATGACGCTTGTCATTAAAAACCTGGCGCAGACACAATCCTCGACCTCTGAGGGTACAATACAGGCGACAATGATCCTCTCGGCAATTGAGGTGAGATTTCCCAACGATTTCCAGCATTTGAATTCAATCCGAACGTACTAAAGTACGTCCTACAGGCCCAAGCTGGGAACATAGAGGGCTTCAAAACTCACCTCTCGGCGGCAAGGCTGATGGTCAAAATGCGTGGAGGCTTGGATCAAATCAGCTCACTTCTTCGATGGCAAATATGCTTGTAAGTAACTATCTTCCCCGTCTTTGCAACTTGACGCTCTTGCTTACGCGCCAACCTGGGTTGAAGAAGCGAGCCAGGAATCTACCAAACCATCGGTGTTGAGACGTTTCCTTGCACAGATCGCTATTTCGGCTTCTTCCTTCTGCATTGCCGGCCAGACGTTGCGATGAGGCATGCAGTTTTCAGTAAAAGATCACCATCTGCCAAGCTACCTGTTGAAGAGGTGCTGGAGTTCCGTGATCCTCTTGATCTCCCACCAAGCCTTTACTTCTCAGCGTGCATCACCGAATTCCTGTTAGTCACAGGACAATTTCGAGAGCTCAGCTCAGCAAGAAATCGGCATTTGACCGATCAGTGTGGCCAGTTTAGTGCCTTATACGCTTCTGCGAAGTGCACATCAGTGTCGAACGCTCTTCATCCGAAACTCCGTTCGATCCTCAACCCAGACCGCAGTCCGACAGAATCATGCAGTGCCAAGAAAAATGCGACATCTGCAGGCCTGGAAATGCACGATGCTATGGGAATGGTGTGTTTGTTCTACATCCACGCAACACTTTGGAGATATAGGCACGAGCCTGCCGAGACGGATAGGTATATGCAGCGCTTGGTTCAGGACGTGGAGCGTAATAGTCTACAGTCGAGCCAGACCTTGAGCGCGCTCAATCGGCTGCTTGTCTGGCTGTGTCTCACCGACGAGAACCTGAAGACAGACGACGGCGAAATGGGTTGGAGAGGGCTGACGAGACTGGTCTCGCGGTTAACCCGCGTTGCGAGCAGGCTGAGCGAGCAAAGCCGCAAGAATCTGGAACTCGCCATGTTTGAAGGTCTGGGAGGGAAACAGCAGTCCTCCATGGCAGGGGAGGTTGATCATGTCGGGCCTCCTAGAGCGACGGCTGAGGATTGCAGGTGGCCCAATCCTGAGAAAGTATGGAAGGGTTTGATCGGATCTTCGTGGCCATCATCACAGAAACTTGGAAAGGTAAACTGCAACTGTGCCTAAATGGACGAGGCGCGAGCACATGACAACGACAAACATCCACATTGAAGACTGCCTCCGTCTCGCCACATCACTCTCCGCTACATATTATACCACCATTGCAGATTTGAACATAGTCGAGCTTTTCTAGACGGCTATTCCTCATATCTACGAGTTGTTGTACTAGCTATGGATGATGACTTATTTGCGTACGGCTAGGAGGCATTACACGTGTGGCGCCATGGCGAGGCGACTCGAACGCTTTGTGGCAGATATCCCTCTCCAACGTAATCGATACACGAGGTGCCATAGCCATAATCAGAGATGGGCTGTCTGCTGAGTAATTTTCAAGATCGGCCGCTATCGAAAAAGCACTTATCACTGCACCCGTTGCGGGAGTAAAGTTTCCGAAGCCTGTATCGGGGTATCTGGACACGAACGCCTTCGTCCGTCGCCCTGTGAGGGCTGCTCTGTCCAACTTGGCTCTTTTGGAAACAACCCGTGGACACAGGAACAGGCCGATGTATCCGCGTTACGATGTTGGCCTGAAGGCCAAGACGCCAGACTATCTATATTTGCCACGCCGCAGCCTCTCACAACGCAACGTGATTGAGACAGCGATTGTAGCGACGCCTTAGTCAGGATTCGGTCTGTTCGAACGCCGGAGGAGGGCCTCGCTAGGCTGGCCTCCTGGATTCTCTGCTGACAACATGGCCTGTGCCCAGAAAATGCTTATTAAGGTGTCTTGGGTACTTCAGCCACCACGATCATGTCCAGGCGCACAAGTTAAGCTTCCGAGCTTGTGAAGTGGCATGAGCAGGCTGATAGGCTAACCTATGAGTATCGCAACAAGCGGCGCCCAAGCACCATCTTGGCTCGGTTCTGCGAAGTTGCCAAGAAGCAAGACTCAAATGCCGCTCGGTAGCATGCCTCTCTGAGGTGTCTAGAGCACGTCAACTCCTGACATCTAGCTGAAGGAGGAATGAGCACAAACGGCACATCCTGAACCTTGTCACGGTTGGGAAACCTATTTGGTCAACGGTGCTTCTTCAGTCTCAGTCCGGCTGGCAATATAAACCAGGGAGCAACGACCTCCCTTCCACCTCCTTCACATTCAACCAAACCCTCACTGTTGCGTGACTGTGCGGGATATCATGGTGGGCGTCTTTCTCCATCAGACGAGCCATGTAACGCCTCCCCATGAGCTGTGACCCCTGACCTCGCCATGGAGCCTGTCACGCTATGCTTTGTCGAGGGCCGTCCACAACACTCGACCCAGCGGGAAAAAGAATTGACTAACGCGACAATCCGGGCACACAATGCTAAAGTCGCTCACGCGAAACGAAGCAAGAACACGACAACGACGAATGTAATCGAACGACAGCCAGCCTCGACGAAGCCGTTGGTCACTCGGTTTCGTGTAGTTCCTCCATCTTTGGGGCGTGATCGGGGCCGCCAGCCAGTGGACGAGGAGGAGGAAGCCCTGAAGCGGGCTCAAGGTGTTGTCCATGCGCAACGGAGAGGCCACTTTCAGAGCAAGCGGTGGCTCTATGCCATGCTACACCGACAATGGATGGATGCCATATGGACCCCATTCTCGGGGAATGTACCAAAGCACATTGCCATATGTACGCATTCTTTGGTTCGTGTCTCTTCTGTCTCGCTCTGATCTGACGTTGTTCCCAACAGACCAGCAAATGATCGTACCCACGATCCAGCTCGCGTTCGAAGTATTCCACGTCCGTAACACTCATAACTACGAATTCCTGCTGTGGATGACCCGGCCCACGACGTCAGGCTATCACGCCGGGGCGGCTGGTCTGCAGCTCCTCTACGACCAGCAAGTCTCGCCCGGCTGTGGCCAGACGCGGCAGTGCCTCTCCCACAAGGTCCAAGCGTCGGCGATTTTGAGGGAGTCGTTATCACAATCCCCAACGAGAGTGCCTGATGATGAGTTACTGGTTATCTTGTCCTTGGCCACGGTAGAGGTAAGGAAAGAAATCCCATCCCCATCATTTGCACACAACCCGCCCTAAGAAAGTGATCCAGCGAACAGTGGATATGGAGGTTCACCAGTATCACCTCGAGACGCTGTCGAAGATCATCACTGCGCAAGGAGGCATGCACTTGGTAGCGGACCACCCGCAGTGCACGATTCTGCAGTAAGTTCCCTGATTTTCTGTAGATTACACACCTGTACTTGCACCACACATTGTAGTGGAGGGGATTAAAATCAAGAGTTCAATGGCTTCATTGTCTAGCTGACACAGAGATTCTCTTGGACCAGGTTCGACGCGTGGTGGAGTCTGTCGACAGGCCTGCGGTATTTTTCCTCGCCGCTAGCTCTCCCCCAGCCTGAAGCCGATCCGGAGATCGTGTCGACGCAATTTCGGCACCAAATCCAGGACGTCCCCGTGGGCTTCCACCCGTTCATCCTGGCGGGAAAATGGGCCACCAGCACGGTCGACATCCTCGCCCGGCTCGCTTACGTCTACCGCAGGGGAGGCAAGCTGGAGAGAGATGAGACTGGGAGACTCATCGGCGGCGGTGGACTCCCCAACACCGCCTACCCGGTGTGGCGCACGTTCCAAGAAGCCTGCCCGGCCTTGGACGCACCAGGGAACCCCCCTGAGAAGTTACTGGCTCTCGCCATGGTCTTGTACTGCGGGATCGGGTTCGACTCGGCGCCCGTGTCGAGCAACGGCGGGCTGGCGTCACGCGGCGCATTGACCAAGATCTTCACCACAATGGATGACGAACTGTCACACGAGTCGTCGTCGTCGTCAACAGAGGACGAAAATGAAGACGAAGAGCGTTTCCTCTTCTGGGTCTGGATGGTCACCATCTGCGCCTGGCACAACGCCGCGAACAGCGGCTTCCTACCGCCGGGGATCGATCTGCTCCACAGGCTGCGCCGGCGGTTTGTGTCGGTCAAGGACTGGGGCGGCGCCAGGGATATCCTCGACGCGTTTTTCTGGAACGACAAGCTCAGCGAGTTGTGCAGGATCAGGTTTGATACTGCGGTGGAGGGAACTATGTAGAGCCTAGACCTTGATGATGATGATGAGGAGGAGGAGGAGGAGGATAGGGAGGGAAGGGGAGGGGGAAGGGAGTCGAGGTCTAGTGGGCTACATGTGCTGAAGAGGACCGGTGTGCCTGGGTGCCTGCGATAATGACAGAGACTAGAAGTCCATCTCTGATGAACAGACTCTTAGCATCACAGTAGTGTGTTTCTTTCTCCACACGAACGAATGTGTCTGGCACACACTAACTATTACCTTGTAGATTCTAGAGGGTGGGTTGGAGAGGGTCTCCGGGGAGTAGGAGAACTTCTGCATCCAGGCACTCGAACAACCATCCATGGAGAAAGACAACTTCTCTCTATCTGTAGTGATCGGGCCTAGACTGTGTTACTGTAAGTACTCGCGGGGGCCCGCCAGTCAAAATATCTCGTAGAGATTTCAAAATTACAGTATATCAGTGCTTTCCCCATGGGAGCTCTCCTATTCATCCATCAATCTTCGGGGCTGGTCTGTGCTTCGCATTCATGTATTTATAGGAGCACTGCCTGCTTGACACTTGGTGATGCCCTTTGCACGCCATTCAAACCCTTCTCGTTTCGAGCAGCTCGGACACTCCCGATTCGACGACTCTCTCTTCTAAACGCGAGTTTCCACCTCTGCCTGTCGAGTCTGAACGAGCTGCGGTGCGGTGCTGAAGGGCCAGAGACTAAAATGCATAGCTCGACGGATGATTGACAGCTGGACCAGCACGATGCATCACATTTCTGAGGTCTCAATCTTTTCCTAGCCCGGCTCACACTCCAGGGTATGCTTTCGGCTCTTCAGAGCTCTTGAGATAGGGAATTCGTCTCTTGATATCCCGGAGGAAGAGGCGTCTCAATCGCCCGACTTTGGCGTGATGATCTCAGAATGCGTAACCTCCGCCCTGCCCCCCTGGGCTTTCACAGGCAGCGCGACGCCTTCGTTCTCAATGGCCGTCAGCAGCCGGCCCGTTCCACAGGTCTCGTACTTCTTGAATTGCCATGCATGGAGTCTGGCCGCGAACAGTTCGTCCACTTCCTCCAAAGATCGACCCTAATCGCCAGGTTTGTTAGCGTCGGCGCGAACAGCCTTCGACACGAAGTTATGATCCAGCCTCAAAATCCTCACCTTGAGTTCTGGGAAGAACAGAGCACCCCAGAGTGTGGAAAAAAGGGCCACAGATCCAAAGATCCAGCCAATATTGACACCCATGCCGGGTAATAGGTAGGGCGTCACGAAGGTGACCAGGAACGCAGCTACGACGTCGCAAACTGTACCGAAAGCCTGTCGGCGGAGTTAGATTGATCCACGCAAACTTCAAAGGCAACTCCATCCGCGACTTACCATTATCTTCTTCCTCATCCTGACTCCTCCTATTTCGGCGCCTGTCAGGAAAGCACAATTGGAGGCCGATATCCGACAAAAGGCCGGGAGGATCATAAAGCAGGCGACGAGAGTATAGGTCTCGCTTTGGTTCGGGTTATGGATCAGACCCAAACCCGAGGCGAGGTAAAGAAGGAAAGTTGCCACGGCACTCCCAGCAATGAATAAGGGACGGCGTCCTGTGATGTCGAAGAGAAAGAGGCCCGCCAGACATCCGACGACCCCGAGCGCCCCTCCGATAATGTTGTAGGTGAAGGACATGGAGCCTAGACCCTGTTGGACGTAGAATGTCGGTGCGTAGGATAGGACAAACTGGTTCCCGTTCATTTGTTCTAGGACGAACAGTGTCGCACAGATCTGTGGCATCCGACGTCAGCACCATTAGCGTAGTCGACAGCGAAAACGCCACCCACCCAAGTACGTCGTAAGTAGCTGCCACGGAATATATCCAACCACGAACAACGCTCGTTGGCCTTCGATTCTTCGATAAGCTGATCGATCGCTTCCACCTCGGCAGCCGTGGCTCCATTGTCGACATCATGCTTAGGTCTGATCTTGTCGAGGGCAGCTTTGGCCGCTTGCTTGCGACCTTTAAGGACGTACCAACGAGGAGATTCAGGAGTAAAAGGTACCAGGACGAGGAATGCGACAGCGGGAACGAGCTGGATTGACGTTGGAATAATCCAGCCTTTCTGCGTTTGGGTGGTCGCGTACGCTCGCGACAGTCCGGCCCCGAGGAGGTTACCAAGACCTGTAACGGCCATGATTGAACCCGACAAAAGACCTCGTGCAGCTGCCGGGGCCGTCTCGGCGTTGTAGGACGGCACGACGTTTTCAACCAGCCCGACCGCGAAGTAGGCCACTATACGGCCGATGGTAAACTGTGCCCAGTTGTGTGCCGTCAATTCGACTACGTAGAATCTCAGCACAACGACAACACAAAGGTCCAACTCCTGCCTGGGCAAGGACTTACTGATAATTCCCACAATCTGAATCGCTCCAGCAACGTACATGGTCTTCTTGTACCCAACTGCTTCGATAATCCTTTCCACGGTGGCGCAACCAAGAACCTTCCCCGTCCAGGGCAACGAGTTCATCAGTGCTTTCCGCGTCGGTGGTAGTGCGTACTTCCCCTTGGAATTGAGGACTCCGAAGCGGCTCAAAAAAGACGGAAGGGCTTGCAATGAACCAAAGGAGCCGGTATCACTAAAACGATTAGCCCAAAATTCATTGCACAAACGGCAAATGGAACCTACATGCCAAACATCACAGCCCCCAGAAGAAAGACGCATGAGTTGAAAACCAGGTAAGGCGTTAGCTGGTGCCATACCTTGAGCGCCATCGTGATCGAGGCCCGGCGGGTGCAACGTGTCGAACGGAATTCAATAAAGATACCCCGGGTCTGGAGCAGGCGGAGTCAAAGCCGGCGTTATATAGAACCCTCCAAACGATTGCACCATCGCCTGTTTGGGAAGAAGATTGACAGTGGAAGGATTGAAATGGATTAGCGGCGTTATGTGCACCGGCACCGACAGCCGTGCCAGCCGCCGACATACTTTCCATGTGGAGGACGGTATTCTCCAACACCCGTCGCCTCAGCAGCTCTGGATTGTGAAAGGATTGCGAGAACCATCAGAGGACCCCCTCTGAACCTTGTCCAAAGCCATCAAATGGGTCTTGGAATAGTGACATCTGATCCCAGGCGCTGGATACCGACTCTAGGTAGGGAAATGCATCACCTAGCTCCACATTTGCCGTTGATTCAAGAGGGGGAAATGGTACGCCCCGTGGAAAAGGTGCTGGATGGGCGTCACTGGGCATTTCCGGTGGTGTCAAGGTAGTCTGGCCAATGCTGGGAGGTTCGAGAGGTTGAATAGGTGTCCGGACCTTTGCTGGGGGGACCATTTCGAGCTTGGGGCTGTCGTCTGTGAAACCGACGCTGCCCAGTACCGTGTGTCTTGAGACGAATTGCCTAGGAACGATTTCCCTTGTGGTCTTCAAGGGTCGTGGTCTCTCCAAAATGCCATGTGACGCAGAAAGCAGTGCCTGTTCGATGTCTACGATCTAAGGCGTACGTCAGCCAGAACTTCCACGCCAAAATTGCCAGCAACTTGCCATGGGAGATACAGCTGGGTACATCCGAGACATGTGCCAGATCAACCGCAAACAGACGGTGACGTCCCGCACTATGTCCTCAGTTGAGATACCTAGTCGGTCTCGATGCGCGGCATCACCAGCCAGCAAGACCTCTGTGACACTATTTGCGCACTCGGCCATTTCGTATTCGAGTGTCCATGAGTTGCCTTCGATTTCGAGGAGAGAGGCGAAAATTTCGGCGATTGTGTGCGCATGAAGGAGGCATTTGACCTGCCTTTCGAACACCACATCTGTTCCTAGATGATCCAGATATTCTTGCGGCAGCGGTTCACCGAGTGCGGGAATGGTACCACGGAAGAGTTGACAGTGGCATTGATGCCACCAGACATGCGTCATGACATAGCGTGGGAGGCGCGGAGAATACGCTCGCAAAGCCAGATTCGTCTCAGAATATTGCTCGCCTGGAGGCAGTCTCGATACGAATGCCTCCAGATCCTTTTCCAGGCTCTGAAAGCGTGATGATATTACCCGGACATCGGACTTTGAAGACATGGCTTGTCTCTTGCACCTTGACTGGCGTAAGAACGGAACGGATACAGGCTCAGGGAGGAAAATACCTACCTCATAATCTCATCGTGAAGGTTGATGATGCGTACGTAATAAGCTAATATGCCCAAACGGACAGATTGAGGCCCATGGTCCCGGATATGGTCGGACACGTTCTCGTTGCTGAGCTCGAAGTCGTCTTCCATAGCCGGAAGGCGGAGGTGGATTGCGGTGATTGGGCACAGTGTATACTCTTGAAGCCCGCACGCCATTGTTGAGTCAAGAATGTAGATGGCCCACATCAATCTGCGCCGTGCTTCCTGAACATAAAAGGAAGGCCGTAATGTTTCGTGGTTGATGCGCAGGGCGAATGCGGATCGTGTGAGTTGGGCCATGAGAAGGAACGCGGCATTGTGGGCACCGGTCCATATTCTGTATTTGATGACGAACAACAATGCCTGCAGCTTAAAGATGGAAGGCTGTCTGAACTCAGCCTGGATCAGTTCCTCTGCCCAGTCGGCGCATCGGGAACTGATCTCCCTGTGACTTGCTGGTGCACCTGCAGTATGAGCAGTGACTGCGACAATCGAGGCCAGTAATGCCTGGTCAGCTTGGTCTTGGTGAACTAGTCGCAAGAGAGATGCCTTGTGCAGAATGGCGAGGCCCGGAAGTGGCTGGAGGTACTGAAAAAAGGCCTGAATGGCTTCCAGGACCCGTTCATGTGTGAGCAAGGGTGGGCTATCTCCAGTCAAACATGGCCCGAATCTCGTGTCGACGTGACTTACTGTCGTATGGGTGACGCTGCTGGTTGGCTTGGACTGGGTTGCTCTGCGACAAAGGGGCTTCGTCGTGATGCTATGTCTGAAGCTCCCTCGAAAGCGACGCCACTCGGCTTCTGCCCAACAGCGAGAGGGCTAGTTCCAAGATGTTTCCTGTCGCGTGGAGGGTAGACACATTCAATGCCTTTGCTGTAGCACCGACTGCAACTTGGGGACTCTCCGCTGCACCGTGCCTTCATAGAGTGACAGGCTTTGCACGCCCGCGACACTCGCGCCTTCTTAGGAGGCGATCCAGCTGTGAGAGAATTTTCGCTTTGTTGTAAATGGAGAAAAGAGCAGCTGAATCCCAGCCTGGAGCAGTTACTGCAGGGTTGCTCTTGTCCAACCACTCCATCACAACGGACCTTGGGAAGTTCAGCACCGACTCTTGCATTGGCAATGAGTCTCAAGCAATTGGGGCAGACGTACCTTCCTACTCCGACATTGTGTACATGTCTGTTTTCTGCCCGGAACCGGGTCTCTCTCGGACGATTCGCCCTCAACACTGGAGATACTGGGTGGGTTCATAGTCCAGGGGTTCTCGAAGTAGAAGGTGAGCGGCGAACGATGTCGGGGGGTGTTGAAACGTTAGTGGTTGAATTTTCTAGGCTTTGACTTGGGCCTAGCGAGGCTCGTTAGGCCAACGATTGGTGCACATGGGGTCAGTGTTATTATTTTCCGGGGGAGAGAGTCTAGAAGAATCTAAAAAAAAAAGAGTACGAGAGAGATACGAGTCGACATCATCAAAGCTCCTCTACTCCAACAAATACCAACCATGCAACCCACCCTATGTCAAAGAATATCGTGACCTCTTTATCTCTCAAAGGGGACTATGACTTGCTATTCTTGCGGTCCTTCTCTCCGTCACGTCAACTCAATCTCCGACTTGAGCGAACTGGCATGGAAGTCGACGATCCACGAATACGGCAAGAGCCTGAGAACCAGGTTGCGGAAATAGTAGGCAAGGGTGCTTTTCGGGATGAACCAGGCCGCCATACGCCTGGAGCGCGCCTGCAGCCGTTCAATGGACGGACGGAGCTTCGCTTCATGGTTTCGGAGTGCTTCCAGTACGTCCGACGTCTTCTGGAGCTCTTTACCAAGGATCTCCGCCGACACCAGTGCCATGCCGGCGCCTTGGCCTGACAGAAGCGTGAGGCAGTGCGCAGCGTCGCCGAGGAGAAGCACACGACCCTGTGACCATCGAGGCAGCTTGACCAACGTGAGACTGTCCATGTTCACTAAAGCGCCTGCTTCGTCGGCACGGTCGACGGCATCACGCACTTGCTGGACACTGTCGGCTGTTATTCGGTGGAGGATGTTGAACTTGTCTTGAGGACTCTCGGTCGACAAGGTCTGGTCCTCGCGCCAGATGTGCATGGCCGTCATGCCTTTGCCTCGCAGGGCGAACAGCATGTCCAACTGGCCCGGGCGGTTGAATGAGTGACAATCGTTCTGCGTCTCGGCCTCCTGACTGAAATTATACGCGGCATAATAGTAACCCAGGGGTTCCAGGAAGTCGCCCTCGGTGTCTTTCCACAGACTCTGGCGAATTTGAGAGCGAAATCCATCGGCGCCGATCATCAGGTCTGCCTCAATCACATCGCCACCGGCGAGCACGACGCGAACCTTGTCTCCCTCATCAGTGAACTCCCTCACCGTCTCCTGAAACCGGATCGAACAGCTGTCCGGCAGACTTTTGGCGAGCAGTCGTGCCAACTCGTCACGGCGAACGGCCAGCGCGTCCAGGCCACCGCCGTGGACGTCAACGTACTTGACGCGACACAGCTCCCTTCCATAGCAGTCGTTGATGATGTTGTATTCAAAGTGCTGGGAAACCGATTGCAGCTCGTCTAGAAGGTCCATGTGTTTGACGGTTTCGTGTCCGAGCCCGGAGATGGTCATAGTGTAGCCGCCGACACGAAAGGCCTCTGCTCGGTCGACGACGATCGACTGCCAGCCAGCCTTGTCCAGCCACCAGGCCGCCGCCAGACCGGCGATGCCAGCTCCCACAATGAGCGCCACTGGTTTGGCCATGCCGGAGTTTGTGGTCGAACCTGATATATATTTTCAATCAGGGTGTCCTGCATGAATGATTCGGATCTATATGCTCGCCCTTCGTAGACAGAGCGATAAGCATTCTGGACGCGAGTACGACTCCTGGCACTGAGACACCGGTATCGGAACTGCACGACGCATGGCCCTAAGCATGCCGTCGTCATCTGCCACCGCCACCATACTCGCTCGGCGTCGCCATGCTCGTGCTCGGTTGGTAGATATTGGCTTAAGCTTTTCTTGGAGCCAGCACGCCCAGCGACCAGCTTCTCGAAAACGAGGACCTTAAGGATCCCAGTCTCGGGGAATTTCCCCATCCTCGCTTCCGCAAAGCCCATGAAAGAGTCTAACATGTAATCTATCCGAGCCACATATATCTTCTCAGCCACCGACGTGCTGGGCAAGCTTCTATAATCTTGTCTTGTGCACACCCACACCGAGTAGAGAGCCGTAGTTTGTTTCTACTGTTCCCATTTATGGTCTATCTTCGACAACAGGCCACAGGAAAATGCATTCCTCTATGTCCCCTGCACCAACCTCGGATCGTCGACGGCGTACCGCTCCAGGCCCTCCAGCGCCGCCGAGTCCAGCACAAAGTCAAACGCCCGGGGCATGTGCAGCTTCTCGCCCGCGTACCGGCGCAGGGCCATGACGCTCTGGCCGTCGCGTAGCAGCCACGGATCCTGCGTCTGGTCCTGCCAGGCCTCGCACGTGCGCCGCATCTGCGCCAGCACGGTCGCGTGCGCGGGCTGGTCAGCCAGGTTGCATACCTCAAGAGGGTCAGCGTCCAGGTCGTACAGTTCCTCGGCGGGGCGGCGGACGTATTGCTTGAGCGAGCGGGCGCCGATCAGCACGTTCGCGTCCACACCTTCCTGCTTGCCGGACGGAGCTTGGCCTCTGTGGTTCCTCCGCACACCTTCCAGCGTCAGGCTCGCGTACAGATCCGACGCGAACGGGAAATCCAGCTGCCACGCGATGTTGCGGTGGTACTTGAAGCGCCGGCCCCGCACCACCCGCGTCGGCCAGTAGTTGGCGATCTCGTGGAAAGTGTGCGACCCGTAGACGTGGTGCTGCCACTGGTCGTCCGGCAGGACGTCGGAGCGCTCGATAATGTGTAGAAAGGACTGTCCGAGACGGCGGGGCGGGGGCGGTGGTCTGGTTTCTCTTGTCCACACCTGGCCTTTGGCCGGAGCCTCGATCGGGGCGCAGAAGTCGAGCGGTGCACCCGCCCAGTCGAGGAATGTGGGTAGGATGTCGATGTACGATATCATGTTGGGATTCCGCGTTCCGGGGTGTGAGTTTCCCGGCAGACGCACGATGAACGGGAGCTGTGTCCCCGCGTCGTAGAGGGTGGTCTTCGAGTTGATGAACGGAGGGCCGTTGTCACTGCACAGGACGACCAAGGTCGAGCTTGCGAGGCCCTTACGGTCTAGGGCGTCCAGGACCAGCCCGACACCGTAGTCCAGCCGTGCAATGGCTTTGTAGTATTCGACGTATTCAATCCGTGTCTCGGGCAGGTCGGTCAGCCAGGGCGGGATCTCAACTTGATCGGGCTGGACGTCTGGGGCGACAAATTTGCCATCACACGTTTCAGCATTGCCAAACTCGCTCCGGGTCGTGATGTCTCTGTGCGGGTCGACGTATCCGACCGTGAGGAAGAATGGGCGCTTCGTCTCGATGGCCCGCTCGAAGAATGCCTCCGCCCGTTCTGCTGCCCAGGCGACATTCCTCGTCTCGCTCTCCTCCCTCGACTCCCAAGGGAACACGGCCGCGGGCCCAACATGTACTTTGCCCACGATGCCCGTCTGATAGCCCAGGGCATTGAACAGTGTGGGTGCCGACTGGATGTGGTCGAAGGACTGGAAATGGCTCGTGCCCCCTGCGAGGCCGTACTGCCCGTTCTCGTGTGGGTGCAGACCCGTGTACATGACTGTGCGACTGGCGCTGCATGAGGCGGTGCTGGTGAATGCGAGGTCAAACACTGTTCCATTAGCCGCGAGCCTGTCGATGTTGGGTGTCTGGAGCCCCTTCGCCCCATAACAGCCCAGGCATTTTCCCAGATCGTCGGCGATCAGGAACAGGATGTTCTTCCGCGACGAGCCGTCTATCGAGCCCATTAGGTTGTTCTTCTGCGTTCGGCGGTATGGCGTAATAGTGGAAGGAGATGGTGACATGGCTGGGAAACCCTCACGGTACTTAATGCCTCGAGTTATAGTAGAAAGAGGGTGAGGGAGGGAACATGCCAGCCGATCTTCCATGCTGGAGGGGGCCGACTGGGCCGACCGAGCCGACCGACGTCTGAGACTGATGTTGCTCCTCACCGACAAAGGCATTGGTCGCTCAATAAGTTGCCGAGCACGCAATCCGTTAAGCATGACTTGGACAGACAATCTGTATCGAAATGTCTTCCAAGTCCCACATACCTTCAAGACTTTCTGTTGTTCCTGGAGAAAGCCACATATTCCATGGGACCTGTGAGGTATGGAAGAGCCACTGGTTTATTCCCCCAATGGAAAACACGGTGCTTCAAAGGTGGAAATTATCGAGGACGCAAGCAAGTCCTTCCATCTAGCCCTCAAAAGTCGAGTGTCTAGCTTTAACTGTCAAATTGCATCACAGGGTCGCCTAAGACAACGTGGTGTGCCTACAGCCTCCAGCCCTGGTGCGTAGCGGGCGTCCTTTCCGGGACCCACGTGCTAGAAAGTATTCGAGATTTTAATGGGGGTGACAGTTTTGCACTGCACGGCAGGTAGGGTAAGGGGCGACGAGCCTGACTTGCAGAACATCTTCCATCCTTGAACAGACACTCTGCAGTGATAACTGCACGCGAAATAGGCGAACGCCCACAATTCGAGCCGCGGTAGATCCGGGACCATCAAACAGTTGCCTGTTTCAGTACCTGCATGCATGCTTTCGCAGTCTGGACTTCTGGACTGACTGGACTTGATGATCGACGCAGGAATACCAGTGGGACGGCTCTGGACCTCGTATACGCAAGTAGTAGCGACACTAGATCGTGGCAAAGATATCTTCGCCTAATTGAAGGACACAGGGCTGGATATTCTTCCCTGGTTTGCGGTGTGAGGTACAGCCTACGATAACAGGTGCATCTCTTGGAGCTGACGTCCACTATCGTGATGGGCAGAGGTTGCTGAATACGGTCTTTCTTTCCAAAAGGTGAACCATTGGACGGCACATTCTCTCGAGCAACACCCCTCCCCCTTTAAACACTCGTTCATCTAGCTGCCAAGGCGCGACGAGCAAGCCACCGATCGATGCAGCGGGAGAAAAAAGGGTTTTCTTTTCAGCAATCATTCATTATTAAGCGACGGGCAATCCATCGGGCACCACGGGCATCGGCTAGGTTGGCGTCTGTGCTGCAGGGCTGCAAGCCAAACCAAACACACACTTTCCCTTTTCTATCAGGCTCAGCCGCAAGAGTCCCAATGCGGAAAGTGTTTAAGTATCGCCAGCGCCCACATGTGGCTGCCAGGCTACGCACCAATCCAATGGTCCATCGGCTCCTGAGTTGGGCAAACGTTGTTTGGCTAGGCCACTAAACCCTGAGCCTTGAACCTGGCTTGTTGGGTGGCTGCTACTATGTACCGACTTGTACGGCTAGGTACGTTATCAATCATCAGCGGATCGTGTGTATGCGTGTGACTGTGTGTATGCATCCAGCGCGGCCCAGGTGCCCATGGGTCTCAGGCAGCTAGCCAGCCCGCCAGCCCTGTTCCGCAACAAGCGGCGTTGGGATCTCTTTCCATTATTGAATTCGGCGTGGTCTAGCACCGGGTTCCAGAGCCGTGAGCTCGCCATGTATATAAAGATGGCTACCACGAACCGGTTGTGGCGGCAGCAGCAGCAGCAGAAGGAGCAGGAGTGTCTACCAGTTCACACACACAATCCCTTCGACATTTTCTCTTTCCCAGCACACCCCAACGATGATCAACTTCCTCAAAGAGACGCCCGCGGGCCAGTTCCTCCGCCTGCTGGGTCTCCGGTCTGAGAATCTCTTGTACCCGGAGGAGAAACCTGGCTTCGAGCCCTCCAGGAGGCTCCCGATCGACCGCGACACAGCACCGTCTCCGGCCGAAAGCGACCTGGAGAAGATCCTGCCCAAGCAGGCCGCTGCCACCATCACCGCGTTGGAGAAAGACAACATGACACTGTCCGCCGGCGGGGAAGACGACGAGGCGGCCTTCGTCGTCGTGTCCTGGACCGACGAGCACGATCCCGAGAACCCACGCAACTGGTCCGAGAATAAGAAGATGTGGACCCTCTCCGTGGTCAACTTGTACACGTTCTGCGTCTACTGCACGGCCTCCATCATCACGCCCACCGCCGGAGCCATCCAGGAGCGATACGGTGTCTCTATCATCGTGGCCAGCCTGGGGCTGTCCATGTATGTCGTTGGCTGTACGTCGGGCACCTCTACCTTACAATATATGTAGCCTCCGGTCCTAACTCTTTGCCAGATGGTCTGGGACCCATGTTCTTCTCTCCCATCAGCGAAATCCCCCGCATCGGCCGGAACCCTCCTTACCTCTGGTCCTTCGTGGCCTTTTTCGCCGTCTCCATCGGCCTGGCCTTCGTCGACAATTTCCCCGCCATCATTGTCCTCCGCTGGCTGCAAGGCCTGTTCGGCAGTCCCGCCTTGGCCAGCGGTGCCGCGTCAATTGAAGACATATACGACATCTACAGTGCCCCCTATGGCTATGTGTGGTGGATTGCGGCCATGTATTGCGGCCCTGCTGTCGGCCCGTTGATGGCTGGATATGCTGTGCCTCATAATTGGAGATGGCCGGTGAGTTTTCCCTTCACCTTCATTTCCGAAGTATCGTCATGTTGTACTGACGGATTTTCCACAGCTCTACGAAGTCATCATCATGTCCGGGATCATCCTGTTCCTGCTCCCCTTCCTACCCGAAACCTACCCAGGCACCATCCTGCTCAACCGAGCGAAGCGCCTTCGCAACGCCACTGGGGACGATCGCTACCGGGCCGAGAGCGAACTGCACCCGATCCCCTTGAAGACGCTCCTCTGGGAAGCCCTGGTGCGCCCACTGGAGATCACCATCAAGGACCCGGCCGTGCTCTACGCGGCGCTGTACGGCGGGCTCGTCTACGCCACATACTACTCCTTCTTCGAGGCCTTCCCGCTGGTCTACCTGGGCACGTACGGGATGTCGCTGGGCCAGCTGGGGCTGATCTTCCTGGGTTTGATGACCGGCTGCATCTTCGGCCTGACCTCCTACTACGTCTACCTGCGGCGCTGGTTCATCCCGCGGGCGCGCAAATACCACGCCGAGAAGGGCAAGGCGGTGGAGCAGGAGGAGTGGCTCCGACCCGGCATGGCGGGCGTCTGGGGGCCCCCGATCGGCCTGCTCGTCTTCGCCTGGACCGCCCGCGCGGACGTTCACTGGATCGCCCCCACCATCGGCATCAACATCTGGGCCGCTGGCAGCTTCTGCATGTTCCAGAGCATCATCTGCTACATCGCCCTGGCCTACCCCAAGTACGTCGCCTCGCTGTTCGCCGCCAACGACTTCGCGCGCTCCATGCTCGCGGCGGGCTTTGTGCAGTTTTCGAGGTCCATGTACGTCGATCTCGGCATTGGGAAGGGCGTCACCGTCATCGCCGGCCTCTCCGGGGTGGGAGTCGCCGGTATGTATGGTCTCTACTATTTCGGTGCGTTCCTGCGGGCCAAGAGTAGGTTTACCGGTTGAGCCTGGCTGGCAAGCATGCATTACATGTCAGCCCCCCCTCCCCCCATGGGAAGGGATGGGTGCGTGTGGTGTTTGCGAAGAGTCGATCGTTCGAAAAAATTTCTCGCTGGCACTTGAAGAGGTTTACAAGAAAACCCATCTATCCATTGTTCGTTTCAGCATTTGGGAAAACAAGGAGAGTGTTATTATCACCAACATGTCGTCGGTTCTTTTCTCACGGGTTGTCCACAAATTGAGGGGAGTTCTGTACATTTTGCATGATTGGCATGGCGATTTCCAGCAACTGTTCATATGGGGCTGCCTAAGCGGCCTTTTCAAGCAAGAAGCAAGCAAGCAAACAGGCAACGCATTGTTCTAAGACGGCAATTCCACTATTCCGGTAGCCTTTCTTTCTGTGTCTTCCCTCGCTGAGTTTGTGCGGGTGGGTCGGAGCTTCGTATTACCCCATGAACTCCGTTGCCGCCTAAGCACTCTCGTGTCTCGGCCAGCCGTACGATATATCATCATTTATGTCGACCCCTTGAAGGGATGCAGGGGCTAGCTGCTTACCACAGCATGCACGGTGTGCCGTTCCACAATCGGCTTGGCATTGAGACTCGATATACAGAATCTGTAGCAGGATGGGCACCGGAGACAACGGCATGCCAGTGAAATTTCGTGTGGAATCAAGCTGATTGAGCCGTAGCAACGGTCCTCATATCAGACCCAAAGCTAGAGGGTTTGGGACGACTTCTTGGGTGTTTAGAATGCTTTTCCGGTCATGTCTAGGCGGCAGAACGGACACTGTCCTCAACGATCCGCTTGCCACAGGATACAGCTTCGGTTTCACCGGAACTGCCAAACCATTCGCAGGGGGGTGTTGAGTCTGCAATGCTTACTCCGACGGAGCGTGGATGTTGAGCGGAGAAGCGTCATGATCCCCTTTTCAGATCACAATATGAGCTGGATCCCACTTTCTGTGCTTTGAAGTTGTTTCTTTGCGGTCATCTCGCTAATGACCCTCTTTTGCTTGGGCTGTTCCGCTCTCCTTTGCAATCACCTGAAGTGCCAGATCAGCTCGTGAGACAGCGCTTCCCGTCTTTCGTCTTTGCTACCATCACAACAAGGCTGCAGATCGACAGGAGGGTCGTAGTCCTTGCCCTTGCTGAATGGCCCACATCCATGATGGCAATCCCGGATGGTTGTTGTCAGGCTGACACGCGAGTTCCCTGACCGAACACGCATGAACCGCGGAGAATTCTGAGGTTTCATCCAAATGTACCGGGATCCTTGCGCTTGAAATGAATCTTGCGAAGAACTTGATAGGAGAGATTCCCATTCCACAAGAACTTCTCGCAAACTCTAATCTTCTGCATCCAACTGTGCTTCAATCCTTGCCCGCCCAGAATCTTCATGCCCAGTGACCATGTGAGATCGTTGGTGTGGGAGCTTGCAAGCATCATCATGCCGACCCAAGTCAGCCATTCCGCCTGTTGATTCCGTGGATGGGCATTGTCGGGAAAGGAGAAGTTGGAGGGAAGAAGTCCGGCATGGATCTGGAGATATGCCAGATTCAAAAAGCGTCCCCTATCGCTATAGTCCATCAGAGAACAGTAAGCTTGCAAGGCCATGAGGACATATTGCTCTTGGATTGGAAGATGGGTATTCTCAAGCAATTCAAAGCATCTCGTGGCGTTGTTAAGATTCTCTTCGAGCAGTGAGCTGTTGCAAATCAAATACTCTTTTTCGTCTTCCGAGGCGTTTGCGTTCACAGCGTCCACCCAAGCAGACACGTCAGAGAGGATGTCGATCACAGCTGCCACCGGGCGCTCGTTTATACAAAATTCCTCGAACGCTGGTGGTAACCTCGCTATCCGGTTACACAGGGCAGGTGAAAATGGGTGTACGGGACGATCCAGGCCTCCATATTCGTAAGCTGCAGGGTCAGGCTGGCGGAAGATCGCTCTTCGGCACTCTGCGTGTGCGATGAAGCTGAAGAGAGATCACGCTGTCAGTCTGTCGGGTCTCGAATGCAAGGGAAACACTTGCCTGTCAGCCACAGTCGCAAGCCAGCCGTCAAACGGCAGTCGTTGAGGGCCACCTCTGCGCATTATAGCTTCGCTTACCGCTTTCAAATGGATCCAAGCACCGTCATGGTTGAGTGTCAAGTTCTACACTTTGGTCAACTCGCTACATCTCGTCCTCGAATAGGAGGGCGCCATACGTCGAAAGCTGCTAGAAGCAGCATCGTACAGATGATCAAGTCAGACACTTTATCAGCAGTCGACTGGAGGTACAGGCGGAAAAGTTGAATGGTCACATCGTAAAACCCCTTTGTTTGTGGAGACACACCGTCACGTCGTCTGTCCCTCAAGTCGAATTGCAGCATGGAATTTGCCAACATGGCGACGAATGACACCTCGTTGCTAAGAATCAGGGGAATGTAATGGCGGAGCAAGGGCAGATCCTCTGCAACACCCTGGAGCTGAAGTCTTCGGAAGGTGGTAGGTGCATAGATATCAAGATCTGCCAGGCCGGGTCAGCAACGTTGTTGCGCTTGTGCCATGCGAGGCCCTCGACGTACAGTATCTGCAAGCAGCCTTTGCCTTTCCTTGGATTCGAATGGGAAAGATTTCGAGCGGCAAGTGCGCAAGCGTTAATAGCGCACGTTGACCATCTGGTAGGCTCGCATCATGAGCACGCTTACGCTTTGTCGACGCTGCATGTTCCTGCTCCCTCGCCGGCACACTCCTATCTTGGCGCCCACTCTCCATTTTCGACGACGGCTCACATAGGCTGGTGTTGCTGCATGTGCGCGTGCGCCATCCCAACGTTCTGCGTCTTTGATGGTGGTCGCCGAACGGTTCACCCGATGACTCCCACTGGCTCCTCCTCGAAAGATGATGGAATAATACTATCCACTCGGGGATCGGCAATTCTTGATTCTCTTTTGAAGTTGGGCAATCATGCCAACGAGCGCCCGTATCACGCTCTCGGCTGCAAGGCGTATTAATCCACCGTCGGTGTGATATAGTCCCTCTCCGACCCAAAGCAAAGAAAATCAACGATCGAATACAGCCTCTATTTGAAAGAGTTGATTTATGTAATACTGTGCCAGTCAGATTATCTCAGCGATCTCAAATTAGCCCTAACATCGTCAAAGCGGGAAGTGGCCGGGGGAGTACGGGCAGTCATACAAGCAGTGTAACATCACCGGCTTTCTGAGTAGACCCAAGGAATACGGTTCATTAGCTGCCGGGCCGCCTCTTGCGATATAGCTTGTTGCCTAAATAGGCTGGAGGATATATAACCCGTCATTGGCACGGGACGATCATGCCTGGAGGTTGATACGGATCGAAGTTCAAGCGGTAGATTGGGGGTGGGTCAACTTTCCCACTCATTCAACAGTATTTCCCTCAGTCAATGCGCGGGTCGACAGTGTACAACGAGGGGTGAGGCGCGTGGCTCCTGAGGCTTCTCGTGGACCGTGCACCAAGGACACGGTCTGGCACTGTCGCATTTCCGTCTCCAATCCCAACGACGACTTGAGACTTAGGGTTCCTGGTGTATATAATCGATTGGTGGGGTAAGACTCACCCAGTTACCTGTCTAGGAGCCAATGAAACTACCGAATCATCGTTAGTCATCGCATGCATATACGAGAAGCAGCAAGACTTGAACGCGATGTGCTCAGCCCCGTAGCCTTACAGCAACAGTTGTTGGGTCTTGACTCCTCTCAATCTAGTATATTTGGAGGATCCTTCTGCCACCGAACTCGAGGGCCGCTTTGGAGCAGCATGCTGGTCATCATGGGTCAGGAGGAAGGCCGTTGATTGTGCACCAACGCAGTGAAAGGGGTATAAGGACATTCAATCCAGTAATGATGTTCCAGGACTACCCTGTTGTTGCCTCTCGGCTCTTTTGAAGCAGTATCCACGGGATGCCGAAACAGCACCCTGGATCAATTTTGACCCGAGTCCCGAGGAACCTGGAGGAAGGAATTCCTGTCGAAGCGATCGAGATGATGGAGAAGATCTAGCCCATCAGACGTCCGTCTCCTAGAATCTCCCTTTTGCCGCTGCCAACATGGGAAGGTGCCTTGTTCAGAGGTTTGATCCTGACAGCGCCACCGCCAATACGGTGGAAGACTCAGGCTGGGTACGCCACTGCTCCCTGGTGCAGGAGCATGACAAGAAATTAGAACGAGCGAGGGACTTTCGACGAGAGGACGGGGTAGCGGCAAGAGAAGCAAAAAGCAAAGTGGGATCATTTTGAATGAAGTATGAACAAGAACGAGATTACGTACCAAAAGTTGTCGCGATCAAAAGGTGTGGAAAAGAAACACGGAAATGTGTCAACCACAGAAAGATAGAGACCTATGAACGAGACCTCAAGTGTTTACTCTATTGATTTCAAGCTGGGACGGACTGGTCTTTCAGGCTCATGATACATGCTCTTTGGGTCTGTGCCTATTCTCATTGTCTGGGATGTCCCTAGCCCCCAAGCACAGCGGTTTTGTTGACTCATACACCGTAACATGCGTGTTCACAGGCTTTGTGAATTATCGTCAGTACAATGGATATTCGGGTCCGGGAGCAAGAACCATCCGCTGCGATGTAGACCTCCAGCCAGAGTCTGTCTGGTTCCCAAGCGCCAGAAGCTGCGTGGGTATGTAAGATTGGTCAGGACCTGATTTGCACAGAGCCAGTCGCATAGAACTCTGATGATGTTCGGATCATCTTCTGGATCTTCTGGGAGCCTGAGCTATTGACTCACGCTTTCATTGATCTTCCGGTCGAGTGAGTATGGTGACCACATCTACCTGAGAAATTTGCATTGCACCATCTGTAGTTGTTCCATCAAGGTCTCCAACTGAGGCCATGGCCACAGGGTAGAAAGAACAATGCAGACAACGATGAAAACGTAGGATGAAAGGTGTATTTAGTAACGGACGAATAGAGGAGGAAAAGATAAAGAACAGGCGAGGGAAGCCAGGCAGTGTGGAGCGTAGAGATGCAGTGGCAAGGCAGTAGAGGTGAATGAACACCTTGGGGTGAGCGCAAGTGCACAGAGCCATAAGATTAGCGGGTTAACCGTGAATCAGCATCTGTCCTCTTTACAGCCACAATATCATCCATTGTCATATGCCCTTGGGACTTTCTTCGTCTTCTTCCCTGTCACCAGGTCCCGTTGACGTTGTTTCGTTCTCTCCCTTCATTTAACAGCTGTACCACGACTTATCACAATTGGATCTCGCCAATGCCAGACGCAGAGGCTACTGAATGGCCGGTGCCGAGGATTGAAGTCTGAGCGGGCTGAGGCGATCGTGTTGACTGCCTCTGCTGGTCGAACGTCGAGAAGCAGCTGGCCTTGTCGGTGACTCACTCAAGCCCTGCGCGTTTGACTGCCGCGGTAGCCTCAGGACCTGGCATCTGCATTGCAGATCTCTTAGTACCGACCACAGTCTGCTCCTCAACTAGGATTAGATCTTGAATTAGGATCATAAACTCTAAGGACCGGGGTGTTGACTCACTTATCGTTGCTTGATACAGTGTCTTTTTGGCGACCTTTGCCCAGGGATCATCGGCACTCCTGGCTTGTGCTTCCACATCCGCAAGATCAAACCCCTGTTTTTCGGCGAATCGCTATTAATCCGCTGGGTGCAGGAAAACAGGTTTCGTTCTGTCAGAGCGGACGATGGCCAGCGCCATTTCCATGCCAAATCGCTCATGAACATTGAAGAGCCGAGCCCAATCTTCCGTCTCTCGCCACCTGCGAATCCAGTAGGCCACATGTTCGACCACGTACATTTGCATGGAAAAGGAACTGTCTTCAGAGAATAGCGAGCTGACGAATTCGCGAGACCGGATTCTTGGTAGACGGGAGACGACATGCCTGAGCTCGTTATACGCCAGGACTTGCGGGCCAGGGCTCATCAAACGACCCGCCATAAGGTAACCTTCAGCCAGAAAATATCTTCGTGCCAGCGGAAAGCTGTAACCTCAAACGCCCTGTTCTTGAGTGCGGCCTTCCCGCATAAAGCCAGTCGACGAAGAAGGCAACGACTCTTGGATCTTCCTCGGGCAACTCCATTTCTTGACTTTTCCCCTTGCTGAAGTCTCCTGAGAAAGCTCTGCCAACGAACTTGGAGGAGGCACATAAAGGGTCTTTGTGAACGGTGAATTCTTGTTGCACATTTTTGGGGCCGACAACGAGTCTGTCAACCCACTGACCGTGGTCGACGCTGGGAGGGTCTCCCATTGGGCTGCAGAAGGAAGTGATCTGAATCCGAGGCCGTGAGGCGCAGGTGAGGGGACCCGTGGCAAGGACACAGACAATTGAAACGGTGAAGAGGACCTGTGGCGCGCAGTGCAGTGTGACAATGTTGTGGTGAATTGGCTGTGTGTCACAGAGCAAGGAGAAAGTTGAATGAGAAAAACCACAGTGTGAAAGCAGGTTGAAACAGGGTTGACGGCGGCACACAAACCAAGCAGATATGCCTACGTATAACAGGTGTAAAATCAACCTCGATTGCCAAGTCCGCCTGCCACTTGATAAACTCCTAGAAGCAACAGAAAATTTCCCTTGGCCTTCTTTCATACAGGTCCCTACAACAACAAATACCACGAGTCCCAATCATGGATATGTCATTTGACCTGGACTGGCATAGGGCTGCTTGGTCTTTGGATCCATGCCAGTCGTCCTCACGATGGCTTCCTTGTCTTCTTGAATCAGGGCGCAACATCCACACCAGCACGACGTGCAGAAATCACCACAGCTGCCTCCCTCGATGCCATATCTGTCACGTGTTGAGCCTCGATTCATGCACTGGAGGATGCAGTGGCCGCCAATACACATCAAGGCATAGAATGCGCAGCACTTGAATGGAAGTCAGTCGATGAAACCCGGCCCACACACATATTACAGGGCCCGATCGTGAATGAGCGGGCAGCAAAGCCTTGCAAGGGCCAGACGCAAAAAATTCGGGATGCTTACCGATCCGTTGACACCGCTAGAGTCATGGTCACCCTTATACCGGTCCTGCGTCCTGCCGTAGAGGATGCACGGGCACCAGCATGCCATACAGCCTGTCCCGCAAGACCATAGTCAGCAAACGATCAACCAACAAGTGTTTGTTCCAGTGAGAGTACGTACAGGTCCCAAATGGAGAGAAGCAGTCGAAGAGACCAAACGACCATTTCCCTGAAGCACCAGCAGCACCACTGGGATACGCTCCAGCGACCCCGTTCATTGGTTTTTCGATAGGCATGTCGCCGGGTTGCTGTGCCATTATTGCCTTTAATGGAAGATGCGATGTCTTGAGAGGGAGTATGTGAACGAGGCCAGCAAGCTCAGTGAGAACCTACAACAGTGCAGAAGTATGAGGGTTGAGGAACGTCAGGTTTCAAGAGGATTTTCCAACCCGGGGAGGCGAGATATTGGGAGTATTTCAGTCTTCACAAGGCATAATCTCGGGTAGCAGTTCGATCGAACGCTCCAGGAACCAGACGCGCGGACTGTGCTGACACCTGGTCATCATGGGAGTCTCCGTTAAATTCTACGGCCAGTGAAAAGTCTGGTGCTTCAGCTGAACAATGAGTTCAGCCCCCTCGTGGGCACGGTTGCAGTTGTGGTTCTTGCAGGAATGAAGAGTCAGCCTTTCTCTGCCCCTGGGCCCTTACCCCGGCACATTAGCTGCTCTGGAAGATCTCATTGGACGAGAAGGGTGTCTAGATTGCGGATGAGGCTTGATGAGGCACGGCCAGGGCTGGCTAAATGGCTCCTGATGTCGAAACTTTGGTCGCCTAAGGTTTCAGTACTGATGACGCTCGATTACCTAAAGACAGAATGAGATAGTAGGATACGAGCTGGCAAAGTCATGGTTGAAGGATTCAAAGGCTTTCACAAGGATCCAGAGCGTTCCACAAATTTGTAGACGAGCGCGAAACGGATATTCGCCATCGTAACTTGTGGAGATTTGACTCGAAAGGTGGTCTGCTCTATCTTGGCTTCTGCTAGCCTTGATCGCTCTAGGATGCTGCTATTGTTTCGTTATGCTTGATATCTATGAATCGGGAGAGCTAGGAGAGTCTCAGAGTCGGTCCTTATAGAGAAGTGCACAGCGTACCACCACTGGACTCTCGCAGAGGATGACAATGCAGTCACCTTCGCGAGTAAGAGTCAGCTGCAAACTTGTAAGGCCATTCTAAAATCCGCCTTCGCCCCTGAGGAAAGCCCAGGTCTAGCGGCACCAGCGGCCGACTCTTGCGTGACACGAGCCACATCCAAGAACACCTGATGCTCCTGGTCCGAGCATGAAGCTAAAACAACGTACTTTCAATAATTTCGAGTTTGAAAAAGGGATCTACCTTTTCATTTAGCGAAACCCCACACCATTGGGGGCTGAAAAACTCTAAGGCTGAAAATAGGAGGTGGAGATCAGCAGGAAAATCCGCCTGTCGAATCGATGAGAAGTGCGGACTTGGGATCAAGGGCGGAGTCCCAAAGTACCTCGTAGGACGTTGGTACAGCGCACGATAGAGAGCAGGGGCCTGGAATGTGGGTGCCGTTGGCCAACTGGTTGCAGTCCGCATTGGGATAACATAAGATGACTCTCTGGGGTTCATGGATAATCCCCGACCATGGCCCATGAGGCAACGTTGCGGCGGCGTGGTTTCTTGTCCTTCGTGAAACTGGAGGCTCTGATCATTGACCTCATCATCCGGATCGAGCTTGAAGCGGCTCTGGTGTTGCTCCTCAGGCGTTTGCTCCAAGCCATCCTATCCTGCTGGAGATGTGGTTTCCATGGATGGCCTGATCTTCTGCAGGGTTCCTTGATTAACTGTCTCGCCATGAACAATCTCTCAACAGATGCCAACAGGTTTGCTGTCTCGGCTGAGTCGTTCAGACATCGTCTGAATAGACAACTTGCAGGTCTTTGATGGTGGGAATCGTTTCAAAGCTGGGTTCTGTGACATTCAGCCCCCAACTGATGATGCCTCAGTGAGGGCCGAAATGAAGCACCTAGGTGAATTGATCCTGCAGTCCGTCGAGCTCCGTAGTAATCTCCCATCAGATGGCGTCCAATTCGCCTCTATTGATTTTTCGTGTCTCCATTCGCCGAAGCGTGCGTTGCGTGTGCTCGGTTGTATTCCTCGCGCATCGTCTCCAAGATCTGCTGAACCTGAACCTCGCCCTCTTCACCGGGAAATCGTTCCTCCAATTCTTCTATCACGAGAGAAAGAAATTGTCGATCGTCGGGTTCTGCTGGCTCTTCCTCTTCCTCTACAGGTATCTGACCGGCCGCAGCGTCGTCGTCATGATCATTATCGTCATGGTCGCCCTCGCCGTTGACACCCTGTGCTTGTGTATCTTCATCCGCAGCCTTTTGCCGTTGTTGACCCCTGGGCAGTCCCAATCCCAGATTGATCAACCCTAGCGCTTCCGTCTTCGTCAACCCAAATGCATGTAATCTAGGCACAACATTTTTGATGAACGTCTCTGGCGGTGGGTATCTAGCGATGAAGGGGACTGTATTCGTAATGTAATGCCCGAACTAAAGACGTGTCATGCGAGGTCAGCAGCCGTTCTCCTCCTTTTATGGATCGCTGAGCCCAGGGGACACATTCTCGGGCTGCTGTAGACGTACATCGTCACGCACGCGCTCATAGTCCTTCAGATTGACCTGCTTGTAGGAGCCAATCTTCCGGGGCGCGGGCCTGGGCGGATGTTGAGACAGGAACTGATGTACTTCGGAGGTTGTCAGAAGGGCGGATTGGGGATCGAGAACCTGTGGGTGAGCATTTCGTTAGCAATGGTCACAGAGTGTGTGGTGGGAACGAGGTGAAGAGTATAAGGTCGTCAGAGAGCACTTACTCTCATGTTGGCAAATCTGGCCGCCGCTGCTGCTGCTGCTGCTGCTGCTGCTGCTTGACGCTCTAATCTCAGATATTACCGGCAGGCACACTCCCCTTCAACTCGTTCTTGGGCGAGGAACATGTCTAGAAGCCACAAACTCTTCCTGAGCAACACAAGCACACGTCGGATTCTCTGCAAAGCCGCAGATAACAGTGCGGAGAAAAATTTCGAGAACCAAACCCTACTGCGGGGAAACCTCAGCTTGACGGGATGCATACATTAAGCAAAGCATCACTTTCCATGCTGACTCTAAGCGCAGAACCAGATGCCTCGCACGGATAAAGCTAACGGTGCATTCATGTGAGGGCGCCATCAGTACGGTAGCCTTCTAACTAGGCTCGTTCATTGCCACAGCCGCGTGGTTTTAGATTGTACATTTTTCTCGTCGCCACCATCCCTCCGACCAGCGAAAACACCAACCTCCGACGCCATGCAGTAACCTGAAGATGCAGAAAGACAAAAAGACAGCGTATATATCAGTCAGCACATTATGCCTTCTCTTTCCGCTTCTTTTTCTTCTCGGACTTGGAGATATCGGCATCTTCTTCCACTCGTTTCCGCTTCTTGGACCCCTCAACCTCCCCATTTGCCTCCTTTGCCGCCGCTTTCTCCGCCGCCTTCTTAGCCTTCTTGATGTCCTTCTTCGAGACGACTGCCGGTGTGCCGTCTTCTTGGAACTGGATCTCGCCTTTTGCCAGCTTCCTCTTGTATCTTTCCACGCTCAATCCACATTGGGCAGCATATGCTTCGATCTTGTCCTCGTGGCCAGCCGTTGCCGCCTTTTCTGCTTCGGCCTTCTTTTCTTTCTTCGCAGCCTTGCGAGCAGCTTTCTCTGCATGTTTTCTTTCCTTTTCAGCCTTCTTGGCCTCCTTTTTGGATGAGCCATTCACCCCGTTGACGGCGGACGGTACTATGGCTTCAACCTCGGCAGCAGTTATCGGTTCGTCGGGTTGTGACTCCGCTTCATCCATATCCAACTCGCCGTCTTCTTTCATATCCACATCCTCCGAAACCTCCTCAATGAGCTTCTTGGCTTCCTTGCTTTTCTTATCCTTCTTTGACTTCCTCTCTTCTTTAGCTGGGGCCTCATCACCAGCCAACCCATCGGCATCTGGGTTGTATTTCCGTGCTTCCTTGATCTCCCATTTCTTTGGCTGCGGCGTGGTAGACACTCCGTTAGGAGCAATAGCGACTCCGCGAGGTTTGAGCGGCTTGCCCTCCATAGCAGCAAGTTTGCGCTCAAGGTTCGCTCGTGCGGATAGGCCAAGAGCGGCCTTTTCGTCTTCGGGAATGTTGACTTCGTCATCGCCCCATTCTTGCAGCGCATCGACTCTCAGTCCGAGTGCAGCTTTGGCGGCAAGTATTCTGGCCATCTTGCCTTTGTTTCTGCCGGTGGCTTGGCCAATCAAAGAGGCATGGTAGATGAGACCATATTTAGGAGTGTCGTGCTTTGTCTTCAATGCGCGGAACAGTGCCTTTTCGGCTCCAAGGATTTGTATCGTACTCGCGGGGCTTTTGGACAGGTTCATCAGACTTCCAGCGTGGGCAATGAGTCGCGCACCCACAAGATCACCGACAAGAGTTGTTAGATTGGGGGCGATCGCTGTCATCCTTGCCGTAAGATAGCTGGCAAGTTGTGTACGATATTCTGTAAACTGCACCACCTGCTCGGCCAAGCTTTGGATGTTCTCCAAATCTTCGTCTGTGATTTCCGTTCCCATTGATCTGTCCGCAGCAGCCTTGACTGCAGCTTCAATCTCTTCAGGCAGAATTTCGGCCAGGTCGCAATTCTCCCAGTTCGTCCGCATGCCCATCTTCAACACTACTTTGGCATATGCGAGGTTGTCGTTCAGTATCTTTGCCATCTCCGGGAAGTGCCACCCATACCATTCCTTGACTCTCATAGCATATGTGTTCAGCTCTTTATCCAAGTCGTCCAGCAGGCCAATTGCTTGTACAATCATGACATCGATTTTGTCAGGAGAGAACTTGAGCTTGTGCCTCGCCAGAGAATGCGAAAGACCCAGGGACATTGTCTTGACATCCTCCGGCAATAGACCAGGAATGAGAGACGGCAGGTATTCTCGGATGGCTCGATACAGGTCGGCAGTGGTAGAATCGGCAATGGCTTTGATCTCCAAGCCTGGAATCTTTCCGATCGCGTTTCCCAGTTTTGGGTCTGCGACAGCCAGAGAAATCTTCTTCTCGTCTTTCAAGGTATCCAGCAGCGAGGAAAGTTTCGGGGTGACTTTGCCTTCCACGATTGCGGCCGCTTCTTCGAGTGCCGCCGCAGCGCTATCAAACTTTTGGAATTCCTTCAATTTGAGCATAGAGGTGACATTTTCGACACTGGTCAGTTCGGAAGCAAGGTCGTCCCGCTTGAGAAGTTTCTTGTCTTTGGCTTTGAGCAGGGCATAGCCCGCGGAGGTCTCGGTGAGGATGAGGAGGGTCATGCTGAGGATATGCGCAACACGCGCCTCTAATGAATGTGGGAGATATTAGGATACTAGTTGTGCCTCGAAGAAATATGGAAAAGCTCTCCAAAATTTCGCGGACCTCAACTGCACAATTTTGCGGAGCGGACCCACCAGCGCCAAGACTTTCTGTAAACGGCAAGTGCGGCGAGAATATTCTGGCCGCTTGTCCATCACTCCATGCCATACAGTACATACATACCGAATACATATAGCCACCTCCTCCAGCAGCTCTCGCAGAAGTGTGGGTGAGCACAGAACTGAAATGTGGACAACTCTCTTGATATCAGTACAACCGCTTCTAAAACGAGCTCTTGTGGAAGCCAATCCAGTTCCCGACCGCTAGGCTACGGCTTTCCCCTCGCATTCGACCACATCTTCTCGATCTCTGCCTCTGGATCATGCCCATACGCCCACCCAGACACAACTGGGTCGCTCCATTGATTTGGGCTCTCCTTGATCTCTATACCCTGCACCTCTGCCTTCATGGCTTCATCACGAGCTCGCTGCGCCGGCCCGTCCGGAAGGTGTAAAATCAAGCCATGTCCGTAACTGGCTTCATGGACTCTCTTCACCCGAGGTTTGCGCGATTCTTCCCATTTTGATATTGCGACGGGAAGATCTTCCTTTGGCTGGACATGCTTCAATGTGGCTGCTAATGCGGCAGCATCTTCCACGGCCATGGCGGCTCCCAATGCCATGTACGGGACCATCGCATGAGCTGCATCGCCCGTGATCAAAAGTTTTCCAGAAGCAGATGACCAAATGTCAGGAATGTCGATACAGTAGATGGGCCAATCTAGGGTTGAAGTCACCATCTCCAAAAGCCGCCTTAGGCTTTATCCAGAAACACACACAGTCAGCGTATTTCGGCACCACCGTTGACCGTGTTGCCCGTGAGAAATCGACTTACCATGGATCCCACCCAACATACCGTGACCTCATTTCCTCCAGTATTTGAGGCATGGATTTTTCCGCTGCGCCGTGCCGACTTTGCGGATGGGTCACAACCAAGTTGAAACGTTCACCCCCAGCAATGGCATAGCTCATTACGTGAAGATCGTGGCCGACCCTAGCACCAAAGTTAGCTAACCTAGATGCTCGCAACTGTTTATGGTACTCAAATGTGGCATACCACATGTGAAGATTCGGCTGCTCGACGATCCAACTTGTCAGCGGGTCTGCCCTCATATCGGCAACGGAAATGGTTCCTCGGTATGCAGAAAGCCCATGACTCCAAGGTCCTTTGTCTTTGTCGCCGTTGAGTACACGGCGAGCTAGTGACTTCAATCCTGTGGCAGTAGAAGTCAGCTGATGGGCTGCAACAGATCATATCTCAGGCCCATTCTCACCATCAGCAGCAATTATCAGATCCGCCTTAACTACCTGGCCATCGACAAATGTTACTTCGCCATTTTGGATGTCATACTTCTGTACCCTTTTGGACAAATACACAGGAACACCCAGCTCAACCGTACGATCATGCAGAACCTCATGCAAGTGTGCTCGGTGGGTCACATAGTACGGTGAGCCAAACCGTTGCTCAATTTCTGGGTTGAGCTTGGTTTTTCCGATGACGGACCCGTCCTCCCAACGTCGCCAGAGCAGAGCCGCGGGCTTGACAGACCGCCGTTCGAGAGCAGGACGCAGACCCCACGAATGGAGAATGCGAGTCGAGTTCGGGGGAATTTGGATACCAGCCCCGACCTATGCACACCACCATGAGCTCTTGCAGAGCGGACCAACTCAGGGAAGATCCGGGTCAGCGCGACAGAAAGCTTACCTCACTCAATGCGGAAGCCTGCTCGTAGACGGACACATCATGGCCCATTTGAGCCAGGGCAATTGCATTTGAGAGACCCCCAACCCCAGCGCCGATGATTGCCACGTTCAATTTCACCCATGATTGCTCCGAGGTCCCATTTGGCCCATTCCTTCTGCTGGTTTCTGCGCGTCTGGTTGCAGATGCAGCTGCTCCGTTTGACAAGCTGTTGTTGATCGGCGTCGGCAATGACAGTTCCTCCTCCCCTCGGAGACGGCGGATGAAGTTGTACGATCCTGAGGGATAATCAGGTATCTGATGGCGATTCCTTTGTGTCAACGGCCTGGTCTTGGAAAGGATTTGCGACTAATGAAGGTATGCATACGTACCTGGATTTTGTCTAGTTCCACGTTCATGTTGATACTCCAATTTTCTGACAGCCTGTTGCTGTTGTTGCTTGTTGTGAGGATGCTTTCTTCACCCCTGCTTCTAGCCTGGTTCCTTTGATATCAGTTATATACAAGGTGTTTGTTTGATTAGTCTGCTCTTCTCCCGACGATGGTGCGTCACATAAAGGCTCTCGGGTCGCCCGAACAGAAGTCGAATAAGAAACATTTCCTAAACTACAAATAGAGGCAACAGGTACAATGACACGAGGATTCGTGTCAGCAACCCTTTCCTGCATCCAGCAGGACTGTAACATAAAGGTGTTACTGGTAACACAGCCTTGATGTCGTGAGATTCTCGGAAGCCGCCCGAAGTTTGATTATATATCAAAACTCTATCAATACTGAGTCCTCCGTACCAATCCCGAGGAAGCCAGCCCAGTTTTACAAAGTGCAAACTGCCTGATCTGGCAATATTACCATCGTCATTGTGGTCTGGCCGACGCAAGAATGAGGATCATGGACTCTGTTTGCCTGCGGCTCCTTTCGGGGGCAAACGAGGTGGGAGCGAAGAAAGTCTCATCACCCGCGGCTTTGCTGCATGGCCCCAACAAGTCCCTTCACATCGGTCAGGAGACTCGGTACTTTACAAAGGGGTATCATGGCTATCTCTAGGTCTTGAGTTTTATTCGGAGCAAGGCCATCGTCCTACTCTTGGGCTCATAATATTTTATGCCTATGCTCATGGATCAGCCTTCTGCAACTGATGAACTAGCCTCATTTCGGGAGGACATGGGAGACAACAATCCGTCAACCCAGTGTTTTCTTTGCACATGTGTACATCTCTATCAAGCAACACACAATCCCTACTCCCCGAGAGAGTACATCTTCAGTTGCACCAGCAAAGGCCTGTCGGAGAGCACAAAGAGATAACAATCCTGCTCGCCATCCGCTGTATGCACTATGCGACTCCAGGCGGGCACGGCGAACGTGTCATGCGGACCCCAGCGGACCATCTTGGTCGCGCCGCTCGTCGTCGTGATCTCGGTCTGGCCGTGGCCGGAGTGGACGTGGTAGATATAAGAACACGTGTCGCGCTTGCCCATCGACTGCTTTCCCGCTTGCACCTTCTCTGCGTGTGCGCCCAGCGTGCTCGAGATGAAGTCGCCCGAGGGGCTTTGGTAGTGCTGCAGTGCCCAGGGCGCGGAATCGGCGTCGAGTCTTGCTTTCATGTCCTCCCAGGGGAAGCGGAGGGCGCTGTTTGAGACGGGCCTATGTGTATTGGAGAAAGTTCTGTCAGTAATTTACTTTGCTTTCTTCCTTCTGTTCTACACCCGAAGAGTAAAGTTGAGATATTCACCAAAGGGATCTGGGGAATTGATGCTCACTTGCTCGGATACCGCTCCTTCTCATACGGCTCGGCAAAGTGAGTGGGGATCTGGTGGTAGAGCGGCAGATCCAGCCCGTCCAGCCAGATCATGGGCCCTGTACCCTCGTGGCCGTGGTCGTGCCACTGCCACTGCGGGGTGAGAATCACGTCGCCAGCCTGCATGTAGACCTTTTCGCCCTCGACGGCGGTGAAGCCACGGCTGCCCTCGATGATGAAGCGCAGCGCGAACGCTTGGTGGCGGTGCGCGGGCGCCGTCTCGCCCTGGTTGATGAGCTGCAGGCCCGCGTAGATGGTGTCGGTCGTGAATGGCGCCTCTGAGGAAAACACCACATTAGTCCAGAGTGTGTGGATTGTGTCTTGCCCATCCCAAGAGCGAAATAGAAACTTACTCAGCGCCGGATTTACGAGCATGAGGACGCGCCGCTCGGCCTCTTCGCTGCTCACCACGTCGCCCGCTTCCAACAACAAAGAGCGCAGCTCCTTGTATCTCCACACCGCAACCTCCGCCTTGGGGGATGGCTTGGGAGTGACCATGGCGCGCATGGCCGTCCACAGAGGCTGGACATGCTGCTCGGGGAGTTTATCCAGCAGCTTTTCCGCAGGATTCACAGCCGATGCGTTGTTGGTGTTGTCGGTCGCTGCTGTGCTGCTCTGCGTAGCTGTCATGTTGTGTGAATGAATGGCGTGCTCGAAATGCTTCGTTTCGAATGAGTCTCTTTCTCAAGGGTGAGTAATCAATATGTGCTAGCTTAGATATAGGCCATTCAATGACTCGACGACAAACTCAGCATGATTCCAATTACATGTGACAGCGAGTCACAAGATGGAAAAGATTTGGATTTCCTCCAGCCTTGTCGGCAATGCAAAGCATCGCTCGGAGGCAGACCCGAGAAGATCATGATGAAACTCGATCGAAGTTCGGGTCAGCCCCGAACACGGGCAAAAGGAAAGCATATGCCGATTCATCATGATGGCCATGGTGAGTATCGGCTAGAGAGACGACCGAGTCAAAAACTCGGCTGATTACAACCAAAACAAGAAAAATCCCAGGGAGGAAAATGTGGTGGGCAAATCTGCCAGCTCGCTCGCTTCGTGTCATCCCGTAGTCGATGGTCGAGTCAAGTCCAGACTCTTCTCACCCAACGTGCCATCTTTACATAGAACAGCCTAGGAATAGCTCCAGAGACTTTTTGAATGAACAGAACAGTCTGAGCGATTATCAAAGCCTGTTCCAGAAATTTTTCTGTCTCGCAAGAGCCTTCGTGAGAATATTGTAGATGTAATACGACTTTGACGGGGCGAGGGGCGCAGGGCATATCATCTAGGTGGTCATGGCGTGTGAAAATATTTGGCGCGATGTCGCTCGGTAACGGAGCGGTACATAATAGATTGGGACAAGGCCTGACTGACCTTGAGGGACTTTAAGACTTCGATCACCAATATGATCAAAAATACCCAGCTATGCATGATATGGAGCTCTAAGGGGTGGAGAACCGGCCAAAGCTTCAGTTCCGCCAAAAGTTAATCACGACCACCTCCATCTCCCTTTTCCTTTCCCTTTCCCAGACCTCCTTCCTCGTCGCTTTGGCTCCCTCTTCGTGCATGTATCGGTGCAGCTGGCGCTTGAGCGAGGCCAGCGCCTCGGCCGAGATGTCATGGACAGTCTGAAGCCGCGATACGTGGGCGAATTCGGCATCATCAGCCCCACTGCTCGAGCGTCGAATGAGCCGACCGGCCTCCAGACGACGGAGGGCGGACATCACTCAGATCATCTCGTGGCGGGCGGTTCTATCCTCCTCATCATCACTAGCTAGAGTCTCCTTGTGCAACGCGAACTCGTGGAGCAAAGTGAAGCCAAATCGCTCGAGTTGGTGCTGGTTATTATGGGAGCGTAGCTTGGCAACGTTGATCCAGTCGTTTTTGAATGGCCGCTGATGGCTCAAGAACTCTTCGCACGCGACGGTCAGAACTCCATCGCCACGACATGGACCCGTCGGAGCTCGCTCAACTCTCCGGCTATACTCATATCTACAACATGTTGAGACCAAACGTGGGCAGTGTCACTTCCTACCGGACCCGGGCAACGGGCAAAGGGTTCCTCACTCTGATAATAAATGATCTAGGTGCAAAAAGAGTCATGGAGCAACATATCCGTCTCCCGGAATTGGAAGTCCTGACTGAGTCGGACGGTAATCTCATGTGGTTTCCGATCCGTGACCATGGATTCGAGAATGCCTTGAGTCCGACCTCCGTATATCTTCAGACCGCTGACAGGTAACGGGTTTATACGTTTCGACTTGATGGCCGCGACCTCATTGCGCTCGCGCGTAATATTACCGAACCGAAAGGTGTCCGGGAAGTTCGTGTCATCGAGAGTTCCCCCGGAGCTGTCGCGTAGGTAGCGTTGGTAATGAGATCCCCCCGTATTTTGCTCACGCTGTCTGGTGAAGGAAGGGTGAATGCACTTAAAAGCTGTGATAAGCTTTGATTAGGTGCTGGTAACCGCAGGCAACTACCCTTTGATAGATAGCCAAGTACACAAACTTGAGAACACGTCGTGACGGTGACACAAGCTAGGCTATCATGCCATAGTATCAGACCTGTCTCTGCACTATCTTTTGACTAGCCAGGTGACCGTTCCTGCTTCTGCATCGAATATAGAGGATCTGGAAGCTGCTGGTGTTGCCCAGTTCCATGAACCGGACGGTGGTGGAGAAGCAGAGAGCCATGAAGGTCAGTTCGTTGTTTTTGATACTTAGTTCTGCCTTTGTGATGGGGAAGGGATGAAGCAGCAACGTTTCGTTGGTGCAAGGGTAAGTCCATATCACCACTCCAAATATCAAGTGAACTTAGAGCTGGAGTCAGTAATTTGCTCAATGCATGCCTGGCAAGCTGAGCCCGACCCGGCCACACCTTCGGGCCGAGAAAGAACGATAGATGTGTTGTACGTTGGTTTGTTCCCCGATCCAACCTGCACACTGGGCTCATACTTGACCGTAGGATGCTACGGCGGAGCAGATTCGAGAAAGTGAGGCATTCTTATATCTCCCGAATGGCGCATCGCCGTAGATACCTAATAAGGACGATGCCATCCTTCTGGGAGTTATCGTCGTCTCTAACAAGACAACCAAGGAATGAGTGGGTGGCATTGGCACTGGCTGTGAGTGTATCCACATCGATTTATGGCCAAAAAGGACCGACACGCGCATTGCAACATTTCACACATTGCTCTACTGCCCTCAAACGTGACCCGGAGCCGTGAGAGCGATCGGCCCATCTTGTCACCTAATAGACGCGGGTTCCAATGGATAGCTCAATTGAGCGATGTTGGGCTCTCAGCAATATTGCTGGTCATTGTGGCCATCGTGCGTATCATCATCTGGAATCTTGACAGAGCAACACCTCGCGAGTCCGGCTCATCGTGAGTAAGGGAATGGGAAGTGTGGCGAGGAGGTCTGCGACCTTTCTTCTGCAACTGCTTGACTCCGTTTAACTCTGTATTTCCATTCCCGGGGTCTGGATTGGTATGTTTTCACATCACCCTGTTCTCGGTGTTTTTCTCCAGCATCGAAAAATACCACATTCAAAAACCCCGCAACGCCTTCAATAAGTATCAGCCCGCCACGACACACAGCGATGTCGGAGCGGACTTAGGTTGATCATAGCCTTTCGCTCTATTCACATATCATTTGGCTCTTCGTCTTTGCCATGACCATACGAAGGCTTCCCCGACCTCCGCCGAACCTTTCTCGTTGCTTGGCTATACTCCAAAGCAACTTCCTCTCGTCCTAAGAGTATCCTCGGTATCGCGCCAAAGATTAATTCTCAAGCCTGCCCCTGAATTCATCCTGGGCTAGTGATATGCCGTATTGACACAGTATTCCGGACTTCTGATAATCGCATTCTTCTCAACAAGCACTCAAACCATAATCAGCATGGCAGAGGAGAAACGACCAGTAAGATGTTTTCTCCACAGATAGAGAAATGGTCGGTTATGGCTAATGATTTCATGATACTTACAGACGCGCATTGAGACGGACGCCATGGGCTCCATGGAGGTAGTCTTATGCTCATTCTCCAGAAGTCGTACCTGGACAAGGAAAGTTTCTGACTCTTTGGACCCCGGTTAGGTACCATCTGATAAGTACTGGGGTGCTCAGACGCAACGGTGAGAAACACTGCCTTTGTTTCTATTCACCTGTGCTAATGTCAGAATGGATGTATAGCTCGTTTCAGAATTTCCGCATTAATCAGGATCGTGACCGCATGCCAAGTACCGTGATCCGTGCCTTTGGGATTCTCAAGGGTGCTGCAGCGAAAGTGAACGTGGATTATAAGGTCCTGGGTGAGTTAGGAATGAATGCTTCTTCCTCTCTTTACGTGCCGGGAAAGCTAAACAAAGATGTCGACATAGATCCGAAGCTTGGGCAGGCAATCCAGCAAGCAGCCAAGGAAGTGGCGTCGTTGGAACTGATAGACCACTTCCCCCTGGTGGTATGGCAGACCGGGTCCGGCACGCAGACCAACATGAACACCAACGAAGTGATATCAAATAGAGCCAATGAGATACTTGGCCAGCCGCTTGGCCAGAAAAGCCCGGTCCACCCCAACGACCACGTGAACATGTCCGGCTCCTCAAATGACGGCATGGCAACTGCGATGCACATCGCGGCGGTATTGGATGTGGAAGACCTGTTGCTTCCGGCCTTGATGAGTCTTCGAGATGCCATGAGGAAGAAGAGCGAGCAATTCGCCCACATCATCAAGATTGGCCGGACCCACCTCCAAGATGCGGTGCCTCTCTCCCTAGGACAGGAGTTCTCTGGTTTCGAGAAACAACTCGACTTAGGAATTGAGCGAGTGCATCAAGGTCTTGAGGGTCTCCGTTTCCTGGCCATGGGGGGCACGGCGGTTGGGACAGGCTTAAATACGTATAAAGGATTCCACGAAGCCTTCGCCGCTGAAGTAAGTCGAGTCACGGGCAAACGCTTCTTCACAGCACCGAACAGGTTCGAGGCCATTTCGGCAAATGACGCCATCGTATATGCCTCCGGCGCTCTCAACACGCTGGCCTGCTCCCTGTTCAAGATCGCCCAGGATATCCGCTTTGAAGGTAGCGGACCACGGTGTGGCCTGGGGGAGCTTCTCCTACCCGAGAATGAACCAGGGTCGTCTTTCATGCCAGGAAAGGTGAATCCAACACAGTGTGAAGCAATGACCATGGTCTGCGCGAAAGTGGTGGGAAACCATGCCGCCATCACCCTCGGGGGTTTGAACGGACAGTTTCAATTGAACGCTTTCAAGCCACTCTTGATCTCGGATTTCTTGCACTCGGTGCGCATTTTGAGCGATGCTATGCGGAGCTTCGAAAAAAATCTCCTGGAGGGACTCCGCGCAGATGAGAAGCGCATCAATTTCCTCCTAAACCAGAGGTGAGCCAGATCCCCGTCCCCCAATCTCCCACATTTAATTCACGAACCTTTCCGCCTGACATTTGCACAGCCTCATGCTCGTGACGTGCCTCAGCGGCAGACTGGGCTATGACTTGGCCTCAAAGGTTGCAAAACATGCCTATAAGAACGACCTCACATTGAAAGAAAGCGCGGTGGAGCTCAACGCTCTAAGTGCAGAGGAATTCGATCGTCTCGTACGTCCTGAGAACATGATTGCGCCATCAGGATAGTCATCTCAGGGACGGTAGCAAGCCAGAAAACGAGAGTGATGGTGTTCATGAGTCTGCGAGGAAGTGGAGAGGGGTATCTGTACATCTGTATAGGGTATTTCTCTTCTGGTGTGGCCGACAGAGACGTGGCTCTGGTGATTCCGTAATACGGGGTCATGGAACCCCGGCTACCCCGGATTCGCGGGGCGAAGGCGGCCACTAAGCTGAATAAGATCTCGGGCCACGTCCGAGTTTCTGACTGTATCGTAACTTAACTCGAGTCTCGACACCGGATCCTCATCGTCTTTTCTTCTATGATTGAAGCTGCGGGCGAGCGGTGGACGGGAAAATAGCCAACTACCTGTTCCCACCTCGCTTTTTGTCGAAGCAAGTGATCCAGGGGCAACAGGGTTGTGCGCGATGGAGTCTGCAGAACCATCGGGCGCAGTCGCGAACAGGAAGCCCAGAGCTGACAATGTCGGCTCCAGCCGACGAATGAAGCGTGGCTCCTCTAAGACGCTGAACAAAAGCCTCAAAAGGCCGAAAATAGCCCTTGCTTGCGAAGAGTGTCGAGCCCGAAAGGTTCGGTGTGATGGGGTCCAACCTGGTGCGTAGCTACCAACCATCCTTTGCCTTATCCATCTGGAACACTAAGTCTGCTGCAGTGTGTGGAGCTTGTCGTCGCTGTCGCAGAGCTCACCCAAACTGCGTCTATCCTGATAGAGGCTCATCCGGCATCTCTGCCGAGTTAGTCAATGCACTGAAGATGTCTGCAACGATCCTAAGCTGATGCACGGAATCAGATATGTGATACACTTAGAGAACCGGATCCGGCAACTGGAGGCCACACAAGGAGATGATTCACGACACGATTCACGACAAGGGAATGCCGACCAGATCCTGAGCCAAGCATTACCCGTCATCGATGCATACCAGCCGGTAGGTTCTCAGGCAGTCAGTGAGGGCCAGAACGGCAGAGCTGATACTAATTCCACAGTCGCCCTCAGACGTGGAAGTTCACTCAAATGCAGAAAACAGTCCAAGGCAGGAAATTGTGTTGTCCCCGCCTCTGACTGCGCCTGTTGAGCAAGATCATGTTGACTACGAATCAAGCCCTTTCACGGGGCGGGTCGAGGGTATCGATGGCATGGGGAACATCGGGACGACAGAAAACAGCTACTCTGAAGAGACATCCAGCGCCGCCAGTTTCATGAAACAGGTAAAGAGTGCTATGGCTGCCAGATTAACTTCCTCTGTGCCGCGGGCGCTGGGAACGTCATTTTACAATGCCCCTCCCGTCTTCCATCTCGATACCCGATCCAGTCCGCATGAGCAATCGATTGCTGAGCTGTTCGTGCTGCCACCCCGCCGGGTTGCAGACGATATGATGGAAAAGTACTGGAACGAAGTCTACCTCCTCTACCCCTTTCTCATGCGGGAGCGGTTCATGCCGGCCTATCGAAAGATCTGGACTGGTGAAGACCGAGAGACCGACCAGCGATTGCTGTACTGTATTTTGAACCTAATCTTTGCGATCTGTTGCCAGATCAGCAAGAGGCAATCCCCATGCGAGAAAGCCGCCGCCGCCGAGGTGTTCTACAAGCGAGCTTTACATCTGATTCAGATCAATCTAATAAGTGGCGGTTCCCTTGAGCTTGTCCAGGCCCTTCTCCTCATGGGTCAGTATCTGCAGAGCACCGAATGGCCGCATCGGTGTTGGGTGGCCATTGGCCTAGCTATACGCATCAGTCAAGGATCTGGCCTCCACCTTCGCCGGACAACGACGAATGTGGCGCAGATCGACCGAGAGCTAGCGCGTCGGGCGTGGCATGGGTGCATCTTCATGGACCGGATGGTATCGATGACCCTGGGCCGTCCGATGATGATATCTCGAATGGACGCGTCGGTGGTGCCTTTCCCGGAAGCCATCGACGACCGATTCCTGTCTCAGGAGCTGGGACAAGATGGATCACAGCCTCCGGGCCAAGTTTCGATTGTCGAGTTCTACGTTCAATCATTGAAACTCTACATCATCACCGAGGAAACATTGTCGGCCATGTACCCGCACGAAGACGTCGCCTCCTCGCCGACCCGCCCGGCTTCTGCTCTAGAGAAGCTCGCAAGCCTCGACTTCAACACGATTTTGAGAATCGACTCGGCCATCACCAAGTGGTACGACGCCGTCCCAGAGGCGCTCAAGATCGATGATGCTTCTTCGCGGCCCTCCCAGGATGCCGCCCATTCCAGACAGGCCAATATACTGCGTCTCCGCTGTCTACAGGTCCAGATCCTCTTGTTCCGCCCGATCCTGTCGCTCCTGCTGGCTCACGAGATTAGAAACAAGGCAATTTGTCTTCCGACGCCAGAATTGTGGCTGCCGCTCTCGATGGGGCTGATTTGCGCCAGAAAATGCATCTTCAGCGCTCTCGAAGTTATCAAGATCATCTACGAGAAGCAGATTGATCCAAAGCCGGCGGATGTTGAGCTCCTTCCTGCATGGTGGTTCCAGATCTTTTGTAAGTTCCGTGGCTTTTCGGAAAAATAAACCATTTGCTAATGTGTTGAAAGTCATCTACAGTAAGCTAGTTTTGACCCCTTTAATCCACGTTAGCACAAGAGCTTCCTTCCGAGGAGGTGTGACTTTGTAACCCATCTCGTCGTGCGTTTGGGCTGGGACTGCGATGATATATCTTTGTGACCTCAGTACCCAAGAAACTGACCCAATGATACCAGCTGCCGCCACAGCTCTCATACCGGCACGCGTTTACAGTTACATTCGAGGGGATATCTCGCAACCCTCGCTAACCGAAGCCTGGCAGCGCTCACTCGAAGTCCTCCGACGGCTCTCCCCATTGAGTCCGACGGCAACGCGGTGTATGGCTGCACTCGAGCTCCTGGACGAAGAAGTGGTTGCAGACGAGATGCCCGACCACCCCAATCCGATGCCGAACAACAGCGACAAGCATGATAGATGTGCATCACTCATCCCACCCCGTCCCTTTGATCTTCCAGTTAGCCAGCTACATGGGAACATCACGACGCAACGTGATGCATGCAACAACGCTATCAGCACACAAAATGATGGTAACACAATAGATGGTAACACAATAGCCGCACCAACATGGAATGGTCACATTCCTCCGCACCCACAACCAGAGATCGGCGTTTCTTTCCGGATGGAACAGCAGCAACAGCAATACAACCCACTAGGTGATTCATTCGGGCGAATGTTACAGATGCAGGATTTCACTTGGCTAGATTCCCTCCCGGCAGATCTCTTAGCTGGAGGCTACGAGGACTTGCCAGAGCTTTTTCCCCCGGCATGAGTTCAAGGAATCTGGAATATATACTATACTATCCGAGCCAACGGAAACTGAGGTCTACTACATATTGTATACCTACCTCCCCGAACGGAATTTTCGCCCCCTTCGCCAGCCCCTTTACTTCTGAGAATTGCTTCGAGTCCATGCCACGTATCGTTCATCCTGTCTTACTTTGCCAGTGCTTTGTGAGGGTTCTACTTTCTTCATGGTAAAATAATCCGAGCAGACGAGTGGCTTTGTATCAATGAGGACAGTCCTGTTTCAATCCAGTCACTAGGGATGGATTTTTTATTGTTCTTTCCAGCCTGAAATCTTGGGCATGATTCAATATCCAGCATCGCTTCAGGCCTGAGGGTCTTGGCTCACAAAGAAGTCCAGCTCGAGCACATTATCCATCACATTCTCTCCTTCTTTATAGCCCGATCTCGTGTTTTCATTTTCTTGGATCCACCATGAAAGCCACCCTCTAAGGACTGAGATGCTCAGAGGGTACTTGTTGTTTATTTCTTTTCTTCGAATTTGACCATAATGGTCTTGGGAAACGCGGTTCGGCCATCCGCGAATTCCAAAGACGCGTCCGGCTTGGTGAGGTCCATCTTTGCAAGAACAACTGTCAGTATGAAACTCTAGACTGGCCTATGTAAGGGAGAAAGAGGTCAACAACTCACCTTAAACCGCAGCACCAGAGCAGGGATCAGCTTCTTGATCTCCAGCTCCGCAATGTGCCGCCCCAGGCAGACACGCTTTCCGGACCCGAAGCCCATCGACGCTCGTTCCATGGCGAGCTTCTTCTCCGGGTCCGTCAGCCAGCGTTCGGGCCGGAACTCGTCCACGTCCTCGCCGTAGAGTGCACGATTGCTGTGGATGACCTTGGCGGCGCAGCCGACCGTGGTTCCGGCGGGGATGTGTTTGCCAGCGATGACAGCCCCGCCGCGCGGCACCACGCGCTCTAGGGGGATCGTTACGAACGGGTTGCAGCGCATGGCCTCCTTGAAGACGGCGTCCAGGTACTCGAGCCGGTTCACCTCGGTCCACTGCGGCACGGGGGTGGAAAGATGAGCCTGCTCCAGCTCTTTCTTGAGTCTTTCGTGCGCAGCTGGGTACTTCATGAGGAAGAAAAGGATCGTCGTGACCGTCACGGTCGTGCTGTCAAAGCCCGCCGAGATTGTCGACGTCGTCATCAGCTCGATGATGTCGTGAGTGATGGCCGGGTTCTTCTTGAACGCGTCGACGTACTTCTGGAGCAGGTCCTTTTGTCCCTCCGTCTTTTCCAGCGGTGCCGATTCACGCTTGGCTAGTTTCGCGAGCGCCTCGAGCGCCCACGCGGACGATCGCTTGGTGATCCAGTTGAAGAGCGGGTGTTGGAACAGGAGATACTCCAGGGTCGGGAACGCCTGCCACTGCACCCAGTGGAGGACGCGGTCGCGGCTCGGGTCGACCATACCCCACACGTCCCGGCGGTACTGCAGGTGTCCCAGGTTCTCGCTGAACGCCAGCTGCGTGAGCATGTCGAGCTGAAAGAACTGCATCGTCTTAAAGAGATCGAATTCAGGAACCTCGATGATAGTCCGGGCGAGCTCGTTGACAGTCTCATCTACACTGTGCTCGTAGTCGAGGAGGGTCTTTGTCGCGAACGCATTCCCAACCCCTCTCTTCAACAGGGTGTTGCCCTCTTCGTCCTGCATATCGATCACGCTCCCGATCGACTTGCCACGAGAGGTGGGCACCCGCAGAGGAGAGTACGAGTCCGCCTGTAATGCATTATGAGAAATGTCGTTGGGAAAGGCGCAATAAGGCAAGACACTGACCTTTTTGAATTCCCCATGGTTTGTGTAAATCGTGCTGACGGCAGCAGGGTCACTGACATGGATCGTGTTGGGACCAATACGCACCAGTGGACCGTGCTTCTCGTGAAGCTTGATCAGTGTCGTGGCGATGACGCCGTAATTCTGAGCATATGCTCTCCAGAGGTCTGTGAAACTGGCCAAAAAGGGGCCTGGAATAGAGCTTAGCTTTCGATATCTGAAGTAAAGTTGTAGTGGAATCAGAAATAGGATAGCAGCCAGCACAACACCCTGGACCGGTGAAAACATTTTGCGACGCTGGCCCTGTCGAAACTTCTACAGGTATTGCTATCGACTACCGTTTGCTTGACCTTTCATTGATGGCTCTTTATAAGTACTATCAAAGCATTCCATCAACTCTTCTATCCTTGTGACCCACCTGACAGAGTTGAGTACGTTCTGGTAATGTGTTTGATATCAGCAAAGTTCGGGTGCGATCCGAGGATTGACAGTAAAGCACGGAACTGCTGATCAGGGAGCGCCTTATGGGCGCCTGACAGTGGCAAGCACCGAAGTCACACATGATTATTTTCAGCTTGCAACATTATGAAGTTCGGACCTCTGTTATTCTTATTCCAGATCCACAGCCCGTAAGACAATCCACACAGTAAGAACAACAGGGGCATTAACCCTGATGGGAAAACTGACAACGTCATCTTGAACAACGGTTTTCATTGCAAGGCATGGAGTGTGGCGAAGTTTGCCGCGAAAGACTCATTATAACTCCGACGTTTGCCATATGTTTCAGCGTCGAGAACGCAGCCCGCTCATTTCGCAGCAGGCAGATCGACTTCGGAATCCAGAAAGACGACAAGGACTCGTACAAGATATGGATAGAGGATAGAGAGGATAACTTCAATAGAGAACAGCCAATAGAACGTCCTCGCTCAACCTTCCTTCACATCTATAGCTCGGGTATCCTTCCCAGCCAGCTGCTGATTGGCTATTTTCTTCTGGTAATAGGGATACCCACTATTTAAATTTGCCGTCAGTAACCGAGGTAGAGCCAGATACTCTTCCTACCCCTACCAGCCTTGCATGACATGGGCGACGAGGGATTCTGAGGACGTGACAGCACATGTGCACCGCTCTGAGCGAAAGCTCTTGTTGAAAGTGATACCAGCTACAGGCTCTTCAAGGACTGCCTTTCAGCTCCTGTCCCTTGTGGGTTTTATTGGGTGTGGTTACTTCTACGGTCACAGCCTCGTTACCGAGGGAGGTAGCAATTTGTCCAAGATATATTTGGCTGAAGTTCATGGCCCCGAGGGAGGGTAGCCGAGCAACCTCGGATTCAGCTCTGCAACCACAATGCAATTTTCTCACGCTTCTGATTAACCTATCTAAACCAGGATAATATATTGTAAATCATCAAGGGTTCGCTAGTGGTATGCAAAGATGGCTGTGCCTACCGCGGGGGGAGCAGCCTCGCGCCACGATCTCGATGATGCTGCTCTCGGGAAGTATTTACAAAGACAGCAGTCTGTACCTCCATTGAAGTTACCAGTTGTTTCGACAAAGATCGGCTATGGGCAAAGTAATCCGACGTACTACGTCGACGATGCCGCGTAGGTGGTATACACAGACACATGAATGGCTCCACCACAGCTAACATTGGGCGCCCAGCGGAACTCGATTGATTCTCAGAAAGAAGCCGGCGGGGCAAATCATCACCAAAGTTGCCCACCAGGTTGATCGGGAGTACCGTGTGCTGAAAGCCTTGGGCACGGTAGCCGGGTTTCCTGTGCCGAAAGTCTACGCGCTATGCATGGACGATTCTATCATCGGCACCGCGTTCTACGTATGCTCATTGTCTTCATCCCTGAACTCGGCACCGCATCATTAACTAGTCATCAATGCTCAAATAGGTCATGGAGTTTGTGAAGGGCAGAATTCTCACAGATTACAGCCTTCCAGAAATGTCGCCTTCGGATAGGCGCAAGGCGTGAGTTGCCCTTTACATGTGCTTGCCACGGGCTAAATTAATATTCCTCGCTCAGCTGGTTCTCTCTGGTGGAAACTTTGGCGTGGCTGCATTCCATTGATCCGTTTTCTATCGGGTTGGAGGGGTTCGGCAAGACCACGGGGTTTTACGCTCGACATTGTAACACCTTTGAAAGAATTGAGGCCGAACAAGCAAAGATCACAGATAGCAATGGCAAGCCACTCGGCAGAGCACATGAGAACTACGACGAAATTATCGACTTTGTGAGGAAAAATCTTCCTGGCGAGCGCTACGCTATTGTGCATGGGGACTATAAGTTTGACAATGTGGTAAGTAACTTCCTCTCGGTGGGCCTCACAGTCTGAGTTGGTATTGATAACAGTGATTCATTTCACAGATTCTCCATCCCACCGAGCCACGAGTCATTGCAATCCTCGACTGGGAACTCTCAACAATTGGACACCCGCTGATGGATGCAGTGATGGTCGTTGGGCCGTTCTGGAACGAGACCTATAAGGCGACTGGTGGTCGCTCTTCGACTCTTCTTTCGCAGACTCCCGGAGTGCCCAAGGCTGATGAGCTGATGGACCGTTACAGTGAGATTGTGGGATTCGACCCGCGAAAAGACGGCGGAGGCAAGGATTGGGAAGTCGCCAAAATCTTCAATCATGTCCGGGGTAGCACGATTACGCATGGGATTCAGGCCAGAACGATCCGTGGTCAGGCCAGTAGTGAATTTAGCCACCAGTATTTTGAGTACACGAAATCAGGTCTAGACATTGCGCTGAGGATAGTTCGGGAGATGAAGGCAAAGGAGAGATCTGTACCGCGACTCTAGATATCAGAATGACCTCGAAGTGCTCTGTGACATTTGGGTGCAATCCTCCATACTTAACGAAGAACCACTACACTTCGGCGACTGTATAACCCCACGAAATAGAAGCATTATTCCACACGTTGCTTAATAACATAAGCACGAAAGAACCCGGGGCTGAGTGGGTATACCCTTCCCCGCAATATCTTATCTGTGGCGGCTGAGGCCCTTTTCCAGCCTTGAGACTGCGAAAGTGGATTCGTTGCACTTTCAGCAATATATAATCACAAACCTCAAACCTGCCTTCTCAACAATTAGACAAGCATGAGTCACCTCTAGGTATCCGGAAACAATCATTATTTCGAAATAGAAGCTCAGGGCTTCTTGGCACCTTTACAGGTTGTCCAAGGCCGCGGCTGGTTTCCCATCTAAGGAAACCGTGGTAAAGCCAGAGGTAACATCCTCGCGACGGGATCTCGCATCTTCTCCCACTTTATTACTGCTGCTCAGAGTCTTGGGGGCTGGAGCTCTGCAGGATTAACTCCTCAGGGAGAGCTCTGCTTCCCTAAACTAACACCACTTGGAGTTAACCGAGCAGCAGAAGTTGGGAGTGGAAAGCATTAGTCTGCCGCGATGCTTGGTTCTAGTCCCGTTAGTACGGGGTTGAAGCTTGCAATTTGCGGGATATGTGACCCTGACAGAGATATGTCTTCGTCAAGATCCGGGGTAGTCTACCCCATTTGGTACAGGCAAGTTCGGGTATGCGAGCAATCAGCATGGCCGAGGCTATCTATACAAAGAATACGGTCGTCAACATCGACATCAACGAATTCCAACCCCGCCTTGGGAGATATGTGATATACCAAAGCCTGGAAGCTCAGAAAAGACACGTCTCTTCCATTCCCTTTTCTTCCTCCCCATACTCCCTCTATTCTCTCTTCAACAAAACACTCGTCAAAATGCAAAAGTATCAGCTATTGTGCATTCTTTTCGTCACCTTTGGCTCCATCTTCTATGGCTATGACTCTGGTGAGTGTCCCCCGGGTTACGGGTCATCAGTACACTAACTATGTTTAGGTTGTACAACGTCCGTCCTCGCATACACCTCGTTCATCGAGTACTTCAACCTCGACGCCACGACCATCGGAGCTTTCGGATCTGCCTATTACGGTGGTGGCGCTGTCGGTTGTTTTCTCAACTACTACTTGCCTGACAAATATGGACGCCTGCGCACCATACAGCTATCCTGCGTGATCGCCTTGATCGGCTCTGCAATGCAGGCCGGAGCGTCAAACTTCCCAGTCTTCTGCACTGGCCGTGTCCTCACAGGAATCGGCACGGGGATTATCTTCAGCGTATGCCCCACCTACGCCTCTGAGATTGCAACTCCCGAGATCAGAGGCCGTGTGGGCTCGCTCTATGCATTCAACGTCAACTTTGCCTACATGCTCACGGAGTGGATGGGGCTCGGCTTCTATTACATCAAGGGCAACGCCGCATGGCGCACCTTGCTGGCAATACAGCTTGTCCCGGCCTCGTTCATGCTGATTGCTTCGTTCTGGATGCCCTTCTCTCCCCGATGGCTCATCATGAAGGGGCGGGAGGAGGAGGCACTCGAAGTACTGAGAAAGCTTCATGCCGGCGTCGAAGGGCACGAGGAGGACTTCTATATCAAGGAGTTTCACCAAATCAAGACCCAGTACCAGATCGACAAGGCTAACAAGCTCGGCCTGGTCGCCATCTTCAAGAAGAAATCGTACCGCAAACGCATGTACCTCATCTTGTTATTCGTGTCATTCTGCCAGTTCACTGGCATCATTCCACTACAGAACTATCAAGTCACCATCTACACGAAACTTGGCTTCACCAATGTCTTTAGTCTTGTGCTTACAGGTATCTGGGGCACGTTGGGCTGCTTGTCGACGATCACCGCCAGTCAGATTGTTGACAGAATGGGCCGACGACATCTGATGGTACGTGCTGCATCATACATCTAATATTGTTATCAACACACCTTTGCTGACATTACGAATTAGTTTGTGTCGTACAGTTTCATGATCCCTGGAGGCATCCTTCTCGTGGCTCTGTGGGCAAGCTTCGAAGCGACCAACAGCACCAACTACGCGATAGGCAAGGCTGTCATCTTCGGTATGTTTTTCTATGGCTTCGGGTATGGTGGCTTTATGAACACCTTCTTCCCGACCTACTGCACCGAAATCATGCCCACCAACATTCGCGCCACCGGTACCGCTAGCGGCTACGCGCTCTTCAACCTTATCGTCATCATGCTGGTGCAGGTCACGCCCATGGCCATCGAGGCCATCAGCTGGAAGTACTTCATGATCTTCGTCATCTGCGACATTATCTTCATTGTCATCTTCGTCATATTCTACCCGGAGACGAAGAACAAGACCTTGGAGGAAATCAGTGCCATTTTCGGTGATGAGGTATGTCGAGAAAGCACCAGGAACAGGAGAGCAAGCTCAAAACTAATGTGTATTGTACTAGATTGCCGAGACACTCGAAGAGGCTGGTCAGCATGTGGATGAAGTCTTGCACGAGCACGAGAAGGCCGTCCACCATATTGACGAAGTCCCTGTCAAGTCTGCGTAGAAGCCTCCGACGACACAAGGCGACAGTAAAATACATGGGACTGTACAACTGCTGCCCCTGATCGCCACAACAGCATCCCTACTTCTTGTCAGCCCGAAGAGCCGGTTATCAGGAATACTGTTGAGATTGCTGGCAACAACTCGCTCATACTACTTTTCATCGCCCTCACATGACGGGGAGTAGAGATAGGCAATGACGTTGACATACACACGCAAGGATATTCTTCCCGTCTGTATTGATATTTCGTAAATACTGTATCTACAGGTTCGTGAAGGGTGTACACGCCAGGAAGATTCACAGCTAGAATGACCTCAAAGAGTGATTAGCGGTTCCGAGCAGACAGCATATATCATTCAGAAGCCTTGTGTTAGGAGCTTTCTCTGCCTCGAGATGCCGATTTGAAGTTTCTGGCGTCCAAGAGTTTGTACGGTAATCACTTGGAAAAAGTAATTAATTTCGGGGCGAAGTTGTGGTCCTGTCCACAAATCATCCAACTCTTCAGTGAATGTGCAACCTGCTTATGTCGCAGCTCGAGCCACAGAAGCCCACCGAAGGACCGATCTGGACGACTAGACTCCCAGGAGATCAATATGCCTCTATTATTATCATCTCCGGGCGACATCGACACATTGGACCCTCCTCTTTTTCTACGACAATACTTCCTATGTTCCACCGCCAGACTAACCCACATTTCTACGCAGGCTTGCAACATAATAGTATCCCGAAGATTTTTGTGCCCATTTCCGCCGCTCTGCCGTTGTGATCAACCCTTCTCCTTGCAGGAGTCGTTATGGACCGGCACACCAAATTGTGTTGACAGCTCTAGACAAGCCCTGCGTCGTGATAGGGAATTCGATGTAATGCGACAGATAAAAAAACTGTTAGTCCTGCATCGCCACAACCACCACTGGGAACGGTACGTGTTTGCAACTCACCAACGAGAGCCCGAGATGTCCAGGGGAACTGTGCCAATGAAATGCAGTTTGTAGAGACATGGTGCAGGGACGCGAAGCTTCCTCCATAGCGCTTGCCAGGACGGGCAGCTCCAGGACTTCGGAAGAGTACCTAAAGTCCTCGTCCATTACGCCCAAGTCAAGTTTATCTTGAAGGCTTCGTCGAAGATTATTGCAAGCGGGATGGGCAATATCCATGGCCTAGATCCGCTGTCGATAATGTAGCGGTACGCGTTGCAGTGGACTCTGATTTCGGCCACTCGAGGGAAGCATGTTGGGATCCTCTTCCAGACCTCGGGAAAGTCACTTTCAACATTTCTGCCCGACACGTTGTAGATGACGAGCTTGGTGATTCGGCCCCGCAGTAGTTCCCAGCGAGGTTCGCAGATCTTCTTGTATGGCGTCGAGTCCCAGTCTTTACCCCAAAAGATCGTCATCTGGCCGTTGAACGATCGCTGCCGTGCCTTGTGTGAATCTGCCCTAACCTTTTTGCTGACCTGTGCGAGGATCTCGTAGTCATATCCACGGACCACCAGCTTAGTGCCATTATATGGTCTATAGTATCCCCGATTTAGTGCCGTAGATTCAACCATGAATACTCGTCTTGACTGCTTCTCTCCATAGACGTACTCATAGAACTTTTCCTGGATCTTTTGTGGGAGCTCGAGGAACCAGAAGGGATAGGCCGTTGGGGAAAAGGTGTTCCCAGGCAACGCATAGGTCATATCGGTTTCCCAGTCATTCTGCCAGGTCCGAGTTCTATCTGTGGCTTCGTTGGCTAGATCAGGTAAGGGGTCCCATCATTGACTTTGCCCACCTTCATCCCGACTGGAAGTCTGATGAGGTCGAAGCTCAGGGTGGGCGACCCAGCATTGGCTGGTGAAGTGGCCGTACTTTCCGCACTTAGGGTGATTACATTTGATGCGTCGTAGACGGGAGGTAGAGGGACGATTTTTCGAGCCGTCTGAAGCCATTCCAACGGGGGTGGCCAGCGCAACGCTGGCCCGAAACGGGGTCTGTGAGAGCTGTGAGACAGGATAGATTAGACGTGAGAGCTGTTGATCCCACCGTGCAGGTGTTCAAGGTGAATATTTGGACGTAGCAGAAGGGCGGCAGATGGTATATATAGTGGTTGTCACTGGCACAGGCAAGAAGGAATGGATGCTGTCACTCCAAGCTAGAAGCAGCCAGTGAACAGCTTGCGTTCAGAACCCTGGTGACAATGGTGATATATGTGACGAGGGCGGACCCCGAGCCCCTCCAGTGACCAGGATCTTGAACACGGCGGCATCAACAAAAGAGAGTGACATGCCTCCCAGAGTTGAGCTTCGAATACTCCAAACGTGGATCCCTAGCTCGACAAGCATCTGATGAGGTTAAGCGTTCAAGCCAAAACTCTCTACCAGAGGACCGTCAAAAGTTTTTCAAGCCTTAGAACCACGCCGCATTTGCCATCCATGTCTAGGTCCGACATTATATGAGGTATGCACAGGTTATGACTTACGAGCGTTCCCAGACAGTTAGACTGCAGTTCAGTTCATCACCTCGCAAATTCCGTGAGCCGGCAAGAACTTGTTAAAGACGATATTCAGCCTGAGAGACCCGGCATTCCGGTGCTCGCACGGACGTGTGCTTCAGGTCGCGAAGTCAAGGCTGAAGCTCCTGCCGTGCAGGGATGTTAGTATAAAACATGGAGGGTGTATAAGTAAGGGACAATCCAAGGTTGTATCCTCTCGGCGACGCCCGATCTATAACCAACGCTCTCTCTGACTGCGGACAATAACCTGTTGAACCTGACATAATTGAGTGCCGAGCCGAGTCTGCAGGCTTTAGATATGATCAGGCTCCATGGACGGCAGAGTTGGTACCACGAGGATATTCTCAACAGTGGTAGGGGTTACTCATCCGGGGATGGGAGACGCCGGCGAGTGCGAAATCGCACTGAGGAATAACGACACTGCTTTCAACGACGCGTTTATCCCTCGGTCGACCACGCTCACCGGCCCTCTGTTCTGTCATCAACCTACTTATCTTGATAGTCCTGTCGAATTTGAGTTCGCTTGTTGGGTGAGATCAGGAATATGTTGATGATGCCTAGGGCGTGTTATATCTCCGAATGAACTGGTCTAGTTGGAATTCATTTATGACAGTGTTCATCGTAGAACAAAGGCTGAGTCGTGTTGCGTCAATGCTGTACATATGACAAATCATGCCGAGAAGTCTATGACCCAAACCACCGGTCTAGGGCCACCTTGGCCGCGGCGATGTCTGGCTTTGTATCATCTTCAACCACCCAAGCAACAATCCCATCCGGTCGAACTAATAATGCACGAAGTCCTCGGGTGTCCTGTGCGCCGATCCCAATGTATTCCACTCTGCTCTCATACTTCCCGTCGAAGACCAACTGCTTCAAAACTGAATCATTCTGAAAATCGATGAGAAGTCCCTGACCCCTTCCCAGCTTGGATCCCAGTCTCGAGCCGTCATGCAACTCAAAATCCGGAGCGCTGCAGCCGACAAGTGGGTGAGCGTACGCCTCGCCGTCGCCAAGTATGTATCGTTCAGACATGCCCGAGAAGCGCCCGATGAAGAAATTAGTGCCGTCGGGAGTGTCGATGAGGTCGCGAATGAGCGCCTGCACAGCTTCGCCGTAGGGATCAGGCTGCAACACGACCACTTGTGCTCGCGTCCACTGAAGCACGCGGGCTCCCGCTGGATGGCGCTCACCGTGGTATGTATCGAGCAGTGCCAGGTCCGCAGGAATACCTTCGTTCTTGGATTCTCTTCGTATGGTCGCAGCAAGCTTCCAGCCCAGATTCATAGCATCACCCAGCCCAAGGTTCATGCCCTGGCCACCAAGAGGTCCGTGGATATGGGCGGCATCACCAGCAAGCAGAACACGACCCTTGCGATAGCACGTTGCTTGTTTGCACCGGTCGGTAAACGTTGATGCGAGGTGTATCTTCGTAATATTGACATCTGTGATTCCCGACACGCGGCGGAAGACATCTTGAATGTGCTGTTGCTCAACTTCCCCCGTGCGATCAAACGCACCGCCATCGAAGTCGGTCAGATAGAGAGTGTCGGGCAACCTTATAATATACAGCCCGACATTGGTGATATGAAAGCCGGGTTTCAACTTCTCTGGGTGATCCCATTCGCATTGGACGACGTAGCCCGTGAACTTAGGCTCTGTCCCGACAAAGTCGAACCCTGCCGCCTTGCGAACTATGCTTCGCCCGCCGTCGCATCCCACGAGCCACTTCCCGCGAAACGTCTGGTTATCTCCAGCTTCCACTGTGACGATACCTTGCTCATCCGACAGAATTTTTGTGACACCGTTACCTCTCAGGATGGTAATGCCTAATTGCTCGGCACGTTCCGTCAGAACGGCCTCGACACGCGCGATGGTTGTAGGCCCGGGAACCAAGGCCGGTCCAGGGATGCGATACTTCCAGCGGTCCATCTCCAATTTGTTGGCGTTGAGCATTATCCCAGCGAAGTGACCGCCGAATTGGAAGCCCGGTTTTTTCTGGTAAGATGAGGGCCGCTCGTCGGGGCCAAAGAGCTTGCCTAGGAGTCCCCGCCGATAGAAGTTTTCGAGTGATGGCGTATTCATGCCACGAAAGCCGAGAGGTTCGCCTTTCCATTGCGATTCAACCTTGAGATCACGCTCGAGGACTAGCACAGACACGCGTGCTAGCCCTAGCTCGCAGGCTAGGAAGAGCCCGATGGGCCCTGCACCGGCGATGATAACGTCGTAAACCTTGCTCATCGTGGTGTGCGGTCAAGATACAGTGCCTAGTTTTCCAGAGACACGACTCTGGACAAGGAATGAAATACATCTTTGAGGATTGCCAGGGACTTATATAGCTGCTTTAGCAGAGACGTGCACATTGACTTTGTTCGGCCCCGTTGGAGTTGAGGTCGTACAAGAGAAAAGGGAGTCAAGCCTCGGGGACGCAACATGTCCGAGCGGGTTGCACTCGGGGGAATGGCGACTGATTCCCCCGAGCCCCGCAAGCTGTCTTGTACACCAATAGGAAGATATCTTGGCACACTAGCGTGCTCCCTTTCCCGATCGGCTCTATCATGATTCATCGTTTTGCCTCGACCTCGGAATCGTCTTTCCTATGCGATGATTGACCAGCCTTGTGTGAGAGGTAACTGTTTCCATTCGTCTCGCGGATGGAATTTCCCTTTGCTAGAACTCACACTCATGGTTACTATTTCAGTCTTACGTATGTTCGTTTGTGATGAATCCTCTAGGTCCTTCGCGGAGGACGCCGCCCACAACGCGGACCTCTGCAGCTTGCATTCATTGCTCGGATCGTAAAGTCAGGTGCGACAAGAAAACTCCATGTAGTACCTGCACCAGGCATAATGTACAGTGCATTTTTCCGCCACCGAAGACCAAAGCACTTAGAACGAAACGAAAATGGGTGAGCATCGAGGAATATGACGAGTTAGAGAGGCGATACGAAGCAATACTCCAGAGAAACGGCATTGGCATCAACCAAGACGATACGACCACCCATTCGCAATCTGAAAATTCTTCCGCAAGCAGTGGCTTGGACGTGTCACGAACCAATCGGCGCTCTACACCATCTGACTTGGCTGTTTCGGAGCCTCAAAAGACATTCTTCAAGCCCGAGCTACTACATGGCCAAGGGGGTACAAAACTTGTGCACAAGTAAGCAACATTTATTAGATCTAAGGACAAAGCTGAAGCCCCAATAGCAGTTTGTGGTCACGGGTAGCACAAGAGGTAGGTGAATTCTCGTCCTCTCTCCACCTCAGACTTGGTAGCCTTATTCGTGGGTCGAGACTAACTGTAAGGCCAGATGCAAGAGGCGGAAGAAGCACTTGAACTAGGCTCAGTGGCTGACTCTGTTGAGTACGGATCGCCAAAAGATGATTTCTCCTATGTTCTGGGCTGCAACCCGTCAGCTACTATATTATTGCACCCACCATCGGAGCACATTGATCAGTTATGGCAAGTTTTCATCAAAAACGTTAATCCCCTTACGAAAATAGTGCACGTGCCGAGCTTGCAGCTGGCAATAGAGAAAGCGATCAACAACATCGAGCACATCCCTAAAGGCTTCGAAGCTCTCATGTTTACCATTTATAGCATCGCGGTCTTGTCGCTCACTGACGATGAATGCAAAGAGATATTAAGAGAAACCCGCCCGATATTGCTTTCCTATTACGTGGCGGCTTCAAAGGAAGCTCTATTTCGAGCAAAGTTCATGAGTAGTACCAGTATTGTTGTTTTACAGGCGCTGATTCTTCATATCTTTTCAATCCGAGACGACTATGAACCCCGTGCCGTGTGGAGCCTCACTGGAGTCGCTCTCCGTATTGCAGAAGGCATGGGTATGGGCCTTGATGGCACGTTGCTCGGGTTGTCGCCCTTTGAAAGCGAAATCCGTCGACGCATCTGGTGGCAGCTCAGGACGCACGACTTTCGCGCCGCAGAGTTGAGTGGCCAGGCCAAGTTTCGAGACTTTGAAGTCAATGAGACCACCCCCAAAGCGCCCTCAAATGTCGACGACAGTGACCTTGATCCTGGAATGCCACAAGCAGCTGTCGAATCAACTAGACCAACAGAAATGATATGGTGTATGGTCAGGTCGGCAATGGCTACCTTCGCCGCTGGACAAACGGCAAAAATTGTCAAAAGACGCGAAGTCGCTTTGACATCTGATGAATATCCTGCCATGGACGACCTGAAGCGAAAAGACGACTTTATCAAGGGAGTTGAAGACATCCTGGAGACGAAGTATTTGCGATTTTGCGATCCATCCCAGCCACTACAACTAATGGCACTAGTTGGTGGTCGGACAGCAACAAACCTTGTCCGCTTCTTGGCCCATCATCCACGTAGATGGGCCTATCAAGACCATGTCCCAGCATCGGAACGGCGATTTGTTTGGGGCATCGTCATCCGCCTCCTGGAGCAGTATAATATGATGCAGACCAACCCTAATCTGAGGCGCTTCGCTTGGCATGTGCCCTACTACATCCAATGGCATGCTGTCATCCATGTCTTGGACACACTTCGAACAGACCCTCTCCACGGAGATGCCCAGAATGCCTGGCGTCTCATCGACGCCTTATTCGAAAACAATCTCGGGATGTTGCTGGGCATGAATAGGCCGATCGTGGCCGCGGTGGGAAATCTTTGCTTAAAAGCCTTCGCTGCTCGCGAGGACGCTTTAAGGAGACAGCAAAGAGTCCCGCATCGCCCGCCCGAATACATAACGAAGCTTCGGGATCAACGAGAAGCTGCCAAAGCAAGGAGAGAAGAAGCCACGATGAGAAGCAGGCCGCAAGACCCATTGAACAGTCAAATGGATCCGGGGACGAGCAATGCCGAATCAACACCACCAGACGCGATTCCGCAGTCAAAAGATACATTCTTTGTAGCCCAGCCGCAGGGACACCTGCTGTCAAAGCAGCAGGTAAGCGACTTTCAAAGAAATTCCCGGAGTGAAGACGATGCGTTCTGGCTCAATGACACTTTAGATAATCGGTCTTCCACAGATGGAGCGGTCGACATGATAAGCCTTTACACTGATGCCATTCTAACTCAGGATTATTCACTCAACACTCCCAATGATGAAGCCATAGACTGGGAACGATGGGATACTTGGTTTGGCCATCTGGATCTTCTACGTCCAAATGCCGTCTCCCAGAGAGGAGCGGCGAATTAGTGTTCAGAGCCTGATACCCAAGTGACGTCTCCTCTGGCGCTTCGAAGCTGTACAATAGCATTATTGAATCTTGGACAACCCTGTTTGCATTGTCAGCGACATATTGCATACGACTCCTTCATGGCTCAGTATAAACAAAGGTGTCTGGGATGACGCAGAGAATCTGTTTGATATTCTCTGGGGTTTTGGTCGAAAATCCACGTCCATTCTCTTCGAGCAAATGTGAAGATGGTGGCCTCACGCAGCTTCGGCCACCGGCGGCACTCGGGATGGGAACCGGGACTGATCCTTCTACGATCCCGGCACCACAGGCCGTAATTGTCGGATTTATCTGATAACCAGACTACTCAAGTCGCACGTACTACTTCGATGGCACTGGAACCGACTTCTCTCCTGCTGGCGGTTTACTGCATACCCTCCAGACAAGCATCCTCAACATCAACACCGAGCTGGGACAGTTACCGGTTCGCAACTTCGAGATCGGGTTGTTCAAGGAAACCCCTGAATGGATCAAACACGATGCCTTGCTGCCTAAAGAAGTCTTACGGACCCGTTCTCTGAGACCCCATCCAGGAGTCTTCACGGTCCCGCACTTTTGGCCCGCCTGGATCCTTGAGGATGTGTCAAGACGAGAGACTCCCGCATTCGAGTTAACGCATTGTGGGGAAGGGCAGGTGGTGTCAAGTACATACAACTGTTCAAAGAATCCTGAGACTTTACTATGTACCCGAGCAACATCACATTGACCATTCGGTGTCGTCACCAAGCAGGGAACATAAGTCCCGTACAAGTACGGCCTCATGGGCCTTGGACGCCTCCGCTACGATCACCTGATCCGTCAACTCTCCCTCGTATGTCTCCTCGGAGGATGTAGCGGAGCTTTCCAGCCTGAATCCTCGCCGACGGTCGTGTGGAGACCCATTTCGGGCCCTTTGGCTTCATCGACGCACGATAGCCCAGTTCTAGGGCTCGACCTACCTGTGTATGGCGGACGTGCTGCCAGAGGAGAGGACAGATTCCTGCCTAGAGGAGCAAGTCCCCACAATGAGACCGCTCGGTGCACTCATCTCGACGAAAATGGAACTCCTGCATCAGAAAAGGCGGTGGCGACTTCTATGGATTCGATTCTTGAAGCGGATATGTTCCACGATGGAGTAGGCGGACTGATCCGAGTCGAGCTAACAGCAATTGATCTACATGAATCGGACGTGGCTTAGGGCGATGAGTCCATATTGGAAGTCTGAGCGGGTGAACCTGATCTCGCCACCCTGAGGTCAGCATTTATTGGGGTCAAAGGGGAGTTCGAACAATATGCAAATGGTTGCCAAAATCGTAGGCTTAAGGCTTAATCTTACATAGCAGTCTCTGTGATGACTACGTACGAAAATCAAAATGAGCTGCAGCAAAGGTGTTGGATTCATGATAGGACAACTTGGAATCCGCGAGGGCGACTATCGTCTATCCAGATAATTACGTCCAAATTCCCCAACATCTTTCGCTACTGAAACTCCCTCACAAAGGCGACCCAGCACGCCCGGCACCGGCGAATAGCTTCGTTAGCGACTCCCAGATCGGCTGGCCATCATATGTAAGGTCACCAAGTGGTGGACACGTCAGCGGATCCAGTGCTGAGCCGAGGGCGTCTGTGAGCAATTTCAGGGGCACAGCCAAGGTTGAGAACAGCGGGGACAGCGAGTCTGGCGAGACCATGTTGACAATCTGCAACGCGAAGCAGAGCAGATTGTTGCCTTCCAGTAGCGTCTCTGCGTTCAGGACGCCGCCAGACAGGTCGTTGATGTCCAATAGTGTGAAGGAGTTGACTGTGCCTGTATTGCCTCCAATCGAAGCCAGCTGGGGGTACTTGATGAACCAGTCCACCAGGTCCAAGTTGAGCTGCACCAGGCCATAGTCGACGGGCGTTTTAAACCAGTTGTTGGGGATGCGTTCCCATCCTCGTTTGTACTGAAGCGAACCGTCGGCATTGTCGACCACGCCCCAGAAAGATTTGAATACTTCCTTGGCTGTTGGAAAGTTAACCGAGCCCTGCGACAGTCGAAGGCTGATCACTTACTCATAATCCCTCCCGGATACTCTGTTGAGTGATTCGATAGCAAGCGAAGAGTAAAGGCCGCCCCGGCATTACGAGCAATGGCGCCAGTATAAGGCCCGTACCAACACCATGGATTAGTGGCAATGCATTCGTCGAGCATATCATTCGCATGCTGTAGCACATCGTCTGTCGAGATCACGTCTGTATCATCCCCCGGACGGTTATAAAGTTGCAGAAATCGATTCATGTCCATCGTGGAAGCATCACCTGTGACATAAAGGTCATCGCGAGTGAGCGAAGCGTCTGCCTCAATCCAGTTGTGCGATCTTCCAATTCCGCGTGGTGTGCCGAGGAGCCCGAGCAGATTTCCGAGCAGATTCTGCGCTTGGGGAGATGATGTGTCGATTGAGAAACCTGGACTTAGGGAGATCGGGTTGCCCGTCCAGACGGTGCCTGCGAAGACTTAGCCGATGCCTCTGCTTGTAGATTGATATGTCCTACCCATGACGGCAAGAATTGTCGAGAGTCCAATGTCCATTCCATAAACTTGTTTGATGGTCAATATCTTTATTTGTATAGATATTTGGTTGGATATTTACCTTCATTTATAACGCCAATAACATCAGGAAACTAACCACATAAAAATTAGAATTGACAAATATACATCACCTCCCGGACTCGAGCCTACTTTTGCAACCCCAGAACGGTCGATATAGCCATGGTTTGCCAACGCATTCAATCCAGGGCACGGCCCTCTCTGTGCGCTCGAACTGGGTGCCTGCCATTGATGCACACCGTCGACTTGGAGTACGTCAGTCACATATTTTTAACGCTGCCCACACGTCTTACCTTGGATCGGTGTATTTAATGGATTGATGAGGAGTCTCTTTTCTCGCTGGTGCTGCACCTGGCGAACAATCTCATCGAACGACAAGCCCTCTGGAACATCAAGACCTCCTGCTCTGGCCAGAAGTGCAACATTGGAAGCCGTGGGAAACGCTGAGGAAAGCACACAGCTACCCAGTAGCGTGGCACAAGCTGACAAAAAGGACTTCATTCCCGCAAAAACGAACGACAATGCCGCTGAACTGGCCAGCGACGTACCAAAAGAGCGACTGGAGTGAGTTGGCAAATGCTGCTGCTGGTAGAACACAATCAGAGAATCAACCCATCGAGCATCGAATATTGAGAACTGGTGGTAGTAGGAGCCATTGGTCATGGAAATCTTGCACCGTTGATTGGAGTGCAGATCAATACCGTTGGCTCATCTCGCGGAGGCGGACGTTCATCGCTAGAAGAGCCCAGCGACTTTGGGAAGTGGGTGGAGAGACAAGCTTCCTCCAGGAGCTCGAGCTCCAGACGAGCAAAACAGGAAACAGAATGGGGTGGGCCTGTCTATACGAACGTGGAGCAGCCAGGTTTTTTATGCAAGCGTTCCTCCTGTGAAATAGGGTGAGTGACCGGGGTGCGAATGCATGCCGCCAATGCCACTACCGTCACTGACTAGACCCCTAGCACAAGGCAAGTGCATGGACCGATCTCCACACTTTCTAACGGCTCGGGTGGCTGACTAGTTCGACGGTAGTTCTCGGGGATGTAGATCCTGATGTTGCTCGGTGCATCAATATTGGCCCCCAGTCAGTCGTTACGCTGGTGGCAAAGTTCCGACCTGAGTTCTCGTCTCTGGATGGCGATGGCTTCGACTTACCGTGTCACTGGCCAAATTGTGGTCTTGCGATAGAACCGAAAGCAGGTCGCTAGTTCCTGTGCGAAGGAAGAGGAAAGATTCATGGCCCCAGGCTCCAAGCCAGGCTGCATTCTTCGAAGACTATTCTTGTCCAAGACCAAATTCCCCGATTCGTCCCACAGCTCCTGATCAAACGCCACGACTCGTCAGGAGGTTGTGGGTGACTGCCTCCCAAAGAAGGAGCCCGAGCCTGACGGGCTGCTCCGTCCCTGCTTCTGTCGTCTGCGACTAGACTCCTTCTGCGAGGCAAATCCTTTCTGGGCTGGGCTGGTTCCAAGATTCTGGTCGTGATGTGGGCACGAGGCTGGGGATTATCCCTGTTCCTCGCGGCTGCAGGCGGAACCCTAGACTCTAGCACACGAGTAGGTAAAGTTAACGGGATTGGCAGGGGCCAAAAGTGGAGATTCTATTGACTCCTCGAACGAGGGAGACCCCTCGAAGTACCGAAATGGTCAATCTTCCTCAGCAAGGGAATACCTAGGTGCAGAGAGAGAAATGCCAGTGTGTTTTTAGAGCCCAGTGAGTGCTCATCTCGTCTAGCTCGCCGCCGGCGTGGAGTTGATCATCAGTATGCTGCATCTCTACCGAGTACAGAGTGTTTGAGGGCCCGGTAAGCTTAGAATGGAATCCCATGCCCAGTCCCCTCAAGGTTTTGCTTAATTACAGCCTCGATGCTAGGAGCTTCCCTGTGAGTGGAGACATCAAGTGTGCAAATCTCAAGGGCGTGTAATAATGGGGACGAATCCACGAATTCGGCATTGGTCGTGCGTCTCATCCTTGTCATGCACGTCTTTTCACTGCTCTATCCCGACTGTTGATCTTCTCCAGATACTCTTACCTCTTGGTATCCGTGCTTCTTGCTCTATACTCGATTTTTTCACGTTTGTGGGCCAGATAACTTCACTGTTGGGCCAAATTCTCCACCGCCGCAGCAACGACGTTTTCTTTCCCGTCTCATGTATCCCTGGCGGGCTCTTGGTAGCTCGAAGAACCACGCTACTAACACTGAGCCGCTGCTGGTAACTGGGGAGAGTTTGCGATAGTTGAAGGCTTTCCAAACGAAAGGAAGTGTTACCCTCGGCCCTTAATATTGAGGCATATCATGCTTTAACTGCGGTTCCCTTCTCATTGATCCTTTCTGCGAGACGGGACTTATTTTACGTTTGGGACGATACGTTCACGACAATGAGATTGTTTACGGCCGCGCTCTTCCTCATAACGACATTCTTGCTTCCTGTTGTTGAAGCAGATTTGGAGTCTGCGGCCGCTCTTTATCCAAAATGCGGCGTAAGTGTAACCCTCTTTCCGGCCTTGCCGTCGCTGATAAGTCCAGCTCGACTGTACCATAGCAGGCATCGCTCAGTCGCCCTGCTCTGCGACAGACCAAGCATGTATCTGCACAAACCAGCAGTTGGCAGAAACTATCACAATATGCGTTGCCATGAATTGTACGATCAAAGAACAACTGAGTAAGCTTGCAAGCCAAAGACTCAACAACCTGTTCACACTCTGACAATTCCTAAGCCACCAAGAATGTGTCCATGACGGCTTGCGGCTCACCCATCCGTGACAGAAGCAGTCTTGTCTCAGGATTTGGGGCAGGAGGAGGCGCTGTAGCCCTCATCATCTACATGATCCGTATCTTCGCCAAACTCAAAGTTCCCGCGGCGAAGATTGGTTACGACGACATAACCATCACTATTGCAATGGTACGACCAGGTGGACATCTTGCAGCTGGATGACTCAAATGCTGAATCCGAGTGACAGATTCTCCTTATAGCATTCTCAGCGTTGTCAGTAGTCCGTAAGTATCAACATCACTCGCATCCGGCGTACCAAATCTATACTGACTGTCTGCAGTTGCCAGTAACGGCTACGGCAGAGACATCTGGACCGTTCCGTTTGACGACATCACTCTCATTCTCAAAGTATGCACGAACCTTTCAGGAACTATTTGGGAAAGCAATCAAGCTGACGACCTGTCAGGTATACTTTATTGACGAACTTCTCTATATCATCATTATTTCCCTGACGAAAGTGGCAATCATATGCTTCTACATTCGAGTCTTTCCGGAGAAGTATTTTCGACGGGTAGCCTTCGCCACCATGGCCGCCACCCTTCTATATATGGTTGCATTTCTCGTCGTCTCAGCCTTCCAGTGTCAACCAGTGTCTTTGGCGTGGACGCACTGGGACGGCGAGCACGAGGGCAAATGCAACAATGTGAACGCTCAGGGATGGGCTGCGGCAGCGATCAACATCGTTCTGGACGTGGTCATTCTCGTCATGCCATTACGGCTGGTAATGAAACTAAGCCTGCATTGGAAGAAGAAGTTACAAATCATGATCATGTTGAGTGTGGGAGCATGGTACGTTTCTCAAGCCTCTGTCACAACGCCGATATCTAACCTGTCTTTTTCTAGTGTGATCGTTGTTAGTGCTCTGCGACTGGACACGCTCTTCCAGTTTGCCACTTCCCAAAACCTGACATGGGACACCACGGCATTCGGCTACTGGTCCTGTATCGAGATGGACGTGGGGGTCATTTGCGCCTGTATGCCCGCGATCTACTCGCTATTCAAACACTACTTTCCCAAGGTCATCGGGGGGACAGTCCACGGCAAGAGCAAGGGAAGTGGTCTTTCTGGCAGCCGGAGTGGAGCTCGGACTCCAGCGATACAACTTGATAGGCGGAGGGATGCCAAAGACGGCGGACAGGACTTTGTCCGTTTGGTTGACCTGGAGAGCGTAAAGGACGACCGTGTCGGCTTTGCACCAGGGACGGCATTCTAGACAGGCTGACCATTACAAGGCTGGCCATGGAGCGATGCCCTGCACACATACGCTGATGTACCTCGTGAAGGCGTAGGAATATCGTTAGATTGTGCATGAAGTACGTACATTCATACCACCGTCAAGCAAGATCGGATGACTGGCCCATCCTCTCACAAAGTCGTAGATAAGGTTGTCGAAACTCTGAGATCAACAGGTTCTATGTAACGGTTATTTCCAGCCGAAACTTTGAGACTCTTGCGGTCTTGTCACTCACTGCCGAAGAGTGGCGTAACTGAGCTGCCAACGAAGTGATGACAGGTGATTCATCCACAGTGCACGCCCCTGCGTGAAGCCCGAGGAACCCCTCCGAGCATTTCGCCAAAATCTTGGAACAACCGTCTCCCACTAGCCGCTAATAATCGAAGCAAGGGCACCCGGTACCCACAGCGGGATCGTCCAACGGCTAGCAAGCCACAGAGCCTGGTGGCTAGACGAAGCCACTAGCTTGGCCCGAGAGGCAACGGGGGCTGAGTTCAGCCGGTTGGCATTCAGCCTTGTTTGCTCCATGGCTGCTCCATGGGGCCGGCGCAATGCCTGCTCCATTGCGTACTCAAGGGAGCCCTGGAAGACATGGGGCCCATATTGCACCTACCTGGCAAGGTGCCTGGAGTCCGCAAGTTTTTGTTCTTCAGACCAAATGGCCGGATATAGCTTAGAGAACATCCATTGTGCGGTTCCGTCCGGTATTGCGAAGTAACTCGCCGGGTCCATAAGCCCCTGGTCTTGTTTTTCCGCTACTTGATGGGGCATGGCGCGTTCGAGTTGCGAATACCCTCTACCTAGCCGTGTGCACTTGTCCTCCTTGGACATTGAGACGTTTTCGGTGGCCTGGCTTCTGCCAGATTCGACCGGGTCTCTGAGAAAAGTCGGAGGGGAGCCAATTGACGATCCCAGTCTCCATCCATCTCAGAATGGATTGATACATCGAGGGAGGACATGGCCTTTTCCAGCACACTATAAGATACATATGGGAGCCAGCACTTCTGGTACTGGCCCAGTTGCTTGCACCTTCGTCATTCTTTTGGTCATTTGTGTTTAGGTCCTGTGAGCGTCATTTTGCTGGCCATGAGGACGAGTTTAGCCTTTCTGACCGTCCTGGGCACGACTGTGTCGGCTCTGTGAGTTTAGTTGCCCTTAAGTAGAGTTTTATCAAGGCTAACATAGGGGCAGAACAGCGTCGCATAGACACTCACATAATAAGTTTTTCAGACGTGACAACATCACACAGACTGTTCAGGGAGGCAATGCCACAGACCCTGCGACCTACGACTATGTGGTTGTCGGAAGCGGCCCTGGAGGAGGCCCACTGGCATCGAGGCTGGCTATCGCAGGTTATAAAGTGCTTCTGATTGAGGCTGGTGACGATCAAGGCGATGCCATCTGGCAGCAGGTTCCGGCTTTGCAGCTTCAGGCCAGCGAATACACCCCAATGCGGTGGGATTACTTCGTCAACCACTATCAGGACCTTACACGGCAAGAAGAGGACTCCAAAATGGTCTGGAAGACTCCTTCCGGAGACGAATATGTTGGGAACAGTCCGCCGGCAGCCTCAACTCCCTTGGGGATCTGGTATCCTCGAACAGGTACACTGGGAGGTTGCTCAACACATAACGCAATGATCACCATTTACCCCCATGAGAGCGACTGGAACAATATCGCGTCAATCACTGGTGATAGCTCTTGGAGCGCAGCGAACATGCGGAAATACTTTGAGCGCATGGAACGCTGCAGGTATCTTCCCAACAGTGTCGTAGGCCATGGGTTTGATGGTTGGTACGAGACTAGCCTCACGGAATTGTCTTTGGCGGTTGAGGACCAGAAACTCTTGTCCCTCATCATAGCAGCGGGAACAGCAATGGGCAAGGGTCTTCTCGGGATGGTTCTCAGCACAGTGGCTGGTTTGGGCGAAGTCTTGCTCCGCGACATCAACGCCGATGTCCCCAACCGGGACTCTCAAGAGGGCCTTTACCAGGTTCCAATTGCAGTCACCGAGGTAGACAAGAAACGCAATGGTGCTCGCGACTTCATCCTCGATACTGCTACTGCTACCAACGCAGACGGTTCGCGCAAATATCATCTTGACATCAAGCTCAACACCCTAGTGTCGAAAGTCCGGTTTGACACCTCTGGGCCCAAGCCGAAGGCCATCGGCGTCGATTATCTGGAGGGACAAAGTCTGTACCGCGCCGATCCTCGTGCAGGCGCCTCGGCCGGTGGCACTCCAGGCAGTGTCAACGTCAACCGCGAAGTGATCATTTCTGGTGGTGCATTCAACTCGCCGCAACTGCTCAAATTGTCGGGTATTGGACCTGCAACAGAGCTTTCCAAGCTCGGCATCCCCGTAGTCGTCAACCTTCCAGGTGTGGGGACCAATCTGCAAGACCGGTACGAATCAACAATTGTCGGCAACAGTAATACCGACTTTGCCATTACCAAGGACTGTACCTTCCTTCGCACCCAGCCTGACCCGTGCTTGGTACAATGGCAGAACCAACCAGGTCCATCTCTCAAAGGCACTTATGCAACCAATGGTATTGCCATAGCCGTGGTGAAAAAGTCGTCTGTTGCAGATGGAGATCCTGATCTCCTGATCTCCGGGGCACCAGCCTATTTCACGGGCTATCACCCAGGGTACGCCAATGAATCTCTCAAAGACGCCCATCACTGGGCCTGGATCGTGCTAAAGGCACACTCGCGCAACAACGCCGGCACCATTACCCTGCGCTCAACCGATCCTCGTGACACACCCATCATCAATTTCAATTATTTCGATACAGGAGTAACTGCCGACGATGCTGATGAAAAGGATCTTCAAGCTGCATATGAGGGAATGGAATTGTCTCGAAAGATGTTTAAAGATTATATCCCGCTGCAGGGTACTTTCCAAGAGGTTTGGCCAGGTAATCAGGTCACGAACGAGGCCGAAATGAAGGACTGGATCAAGAAAGAAGCCTGGGGACATCATGCTAGCTGCACTTGCCCGATTGGCGCTGACGATGACGAGATGGCGGTTTTGGATTCCAAATTTCGTGTTCGGGGCGTCGACGGCTTGAGAGTTGTTGATGCTAGTGTCTTTCCCAAGATCCCGGGCTTCTATATCGTGCTACCCACGTATATGATCAGCGAGAAGGCAGCCGACGCTGTTCTGGAGGATGCTGCTGATGTATAGATCGAGTGGCTGTTATTAGAGATAATTACTGCCTTCCATAGTGAGAGCTATAACCAAAAGTAATTTTCTTCATATTCTTGTCTAGTGCAAAGAGGCAAGCTCCGAATTTTTCGGGACATTGAGGGACTTCAGGCACTTAATGTGAGAAGATGGCAGAGCGAGGTAACTTCTAGATGTGTGACTGGACTTGTCGACCCTTCGGAGAGGCCGCGCAGGTGGCGTTCCGCCGAACGCTGGAAGGAAGATAGTACGTGACCTGAATGACTGGTAGTGCTTCTTCGCGACAGCGTCTGACATTCGAGGACAGCACTGGAATTTGAACCTTTTCGTGCCTTTGTGTGGATTCATCGCGTCTGGAATGTTGTGTAAGTCCAAGTCTGGCTCTTTCAGCTTGTTCTAGAAGGAGACATAGACAAGTAGACAGGATCAAAGAGTTGGGGGATGGCGGAGCTGCTGAAGTAAAAGCGGCAGTCCATGCCGTCACGAAACTTTGGCCCAGACACTAAAGCGGCAACTGCGCAGCTGCCAGTTCCAACCTCAGCTCCGGTAGATCTATTCGCCTGCCTGCCCGTCGACGCCTTTACCTCAAGCTGCCACTACTTCAGGAGCTTCTTGCGGCTTCGTATCTTCCCATCGCTCCATTGTTTGGTTGATATCTTGTGCTTGGTACTATGGAAGGTGAGCACCCTTGACTCTACCGTATTCCGTCCCTAAATTGCGATCCAGGTCTTCTGTTCAACGTCAACGGGGGTTATTTGGAGGGTATAGTTCGTGGTTATCGCAATGCTCTACTGACAGGCACGAACTATGGCAACGTATGTACCTCCAAGGACCAACTTGGGGACGCCTCATTGACAGAGTACAGCTCACTCAATGCGAAACGATCGAAGACGTCAAGACGCAGCTAGGTCCAGCTTACGGCGAGGCGCTCTCGAATCTTCCTCCAAACCCCTCGACATCGGCCCTGGCCAGCAAAACTACCGAGAAACTCGTCTCTGACTTCAGATACCTCCAAGGACAGGCGACAGGATCGTTGGCAAAATTCATGGAATACCTCACATACTCATACATGATTGACAATGTGGCCCTCCTCATTACTGGGACACTACACGAAAGAGATACCAAAGAACTGTTAGAGAGATGCCACCCGCTGGGTTGGTTTGAGACAATGCCAGTTCTTTGCGTGGCCACCAACATTGAGGAACTGTATAACTCAGTCCTTATCGAGACTCCTCTGGCTCCATATTTCAAAGGGAGTTTGAGTCATCAGGATCTGGACGAACTCAACATTGAGATCGTCCGAAACACCTTGTACAAGAACTATCTGGAGGATTTCTACCACTTCGTAAACACGGACCCCGATATGGCCATGACCCCCACGGGGGAGATCATGTCTGAAATCCTCGAGTTCGAAGCTGATCGACGAGCTATCAACATCACCATAAACTCCTTCGGGACAGAGCTGACCAAGGAACAGAGGAAGAAGCTCTACCCTGAGTTTGGGAAGTTGTATCCGGAGGGAATGCTCATGCTGTCGAGAGCGGACGACCTTGAAGGTGTCGGACTTGCAGTTAGCGGCGTCGGGGACTACAAGCGATTTTTCGATGAGGTCGGATTCAATCAAACCAGCGGCGTGGGTGCTGGGAACATGGCTGGAGGCTCAGGTGGGGAATCCAAGTCTCTGGAGGACATGTTCTACCAGAAGGAGATGGAACTTTCCAAGATGGTTTTCACTCGACAATTTACCCATGCAGTCATATACGCATGGGTTAAGTTACGGGAGCAGGTGAGTTGGAACCTTTCTGGGGAGACAAGGCCGCTGACTCTATTTTAGGAAATCCGCAACATCACATGGATTGCCGAATGCATTGCTCAAAATCAAAAGGAGAGGATAGGGAACTACATCAGTGTGTTCTAACATGGGTTAGGGTCATTGTCACGTGGGCAGCACGGCGTTCGGTAGATGGGGGTCTGCCTTTGCGGCCTACCAGCTTGATAGCTCCAGACCGAAAGAACAACTTTTTCAACAACAACTCAAAGGAGCTCCTTTCATCTTCTTGCGAAGACTACTCGATCCGACAACTCTCGGGGAGAAGGTACGTCTGCGTGGAGAGCTCCTTACTGCCTTCCGCACGGACAGATCGGACTGTGGTTGCCTGAGGACAATCATCAACAGTTCACATCAACAGAGGTGTATTTTCATCCTATCGAGTGATTCTTTTTCATCAAACCTTGTTAAAAGGGCCATCTCCAACAATCTCGTTGATTTTTCCCACCTGTTATAGCGTCATCGATACCCTCGCCTGGCACACAGCTTGTCTCGCAGCTCAAACCAACCCCCCGTTTGTTCGATCGATCTCTGTGCATTGACAAAGCCATCAAAACGATAAACGATAATGCCGGAGTCCCACGTCGCCGCCGTACACTTCATCGAGGTACAACGCCCTGCTCTGGAGTTGATTTTGTCGCCGATGACCTTCTCGGCCGAGCGTGAACCCTCGCACCCCTGCTCAGATTCCATCTCTGGGGAATCTCCACTCAGAAGAATCGACTCAGGTTATTTTGAGGGACCGTGCCAACTAGAAGAGAACGCAGAGTCATTGGCTTGTGTCGAGGACATTAGGAGCTGCCGACCAGAGTCTCCAATCCCGGAACCTCATCTCGACAATTGTATCAAGCTGCAACAGCCACAGCACCCTACTCGACAAGACTTCTGGAAACCTGATCCGTCGCTTCACTGGACAGACCATGGTTATCTTCACCCTGACATCTGTACCCACACACAAATGGCTGCGATCTGCTCACATGCGGTGGGTTCATGCGAAAACATGGAGGTTGTCAGATACACACGAGTGCTTCCAGAAAGCGGAGTCCAGGGACCACCTTCCTTCAAAACATCCCAGTTGTTTGGCCCATATGCTCCTGGCGTGGAGGCCGGCTTCCGACAATGGGCAGCTGAAAGAGCCCGCCTCCACCGACGTCAAGCGCGCATGAACATCAGAAACTTGAAGGAAAAACAACGCCAAGCGAATGGTGGACTTTTGGCCAGCTTGCGAAGACGCATCGATCGACCGACGGGATGCCCTGCGATCCTCCATTGTCGGGTGAATAAGCCGGCGCGTCCAGAGAAGACGTTGCTTTCCGACTACACAAATGCATTCCGGGCGTGGGATGTGGCCATGTCAAAATCTATCCCCGGCTACGCGGACAACTATGAGAAGAGGCACTGGTACATATCTCAATGGGATACACCAAGTCCTCAGTGACGGCTCGTTGTCTGCTGTCAATCCAACACGTGGACATCCGGTCGGGGTCTGGGAGAGAAACGGCTCGGTCGGTCTTTGTCCAGAACCGACAACCGCCAAGGTTGCTCAGCCAAGATCGCTTGTATTGCAGGAGATTGTCATTTTGTGTGTTCTGGGTTCAGTCAATGTTGAAATACATCTGTCTTTTGCAGTGAATAAATACATCATATCGTCCATCTTTGAGTCACACATCTATCTCTTTTTCCCTCTTCTTCGCTCTTGTACGCAGGAAACCTAACAGGTCCATCTATCCATAACACCGAGAAATGTCAATGCTCGAATTCTTGTGAGTATTTACTTGAGAGCCTCGTATGCACCGCCCTCAGCACCCATTCCATCCTTGGCCATCCTCTTCATCTCCTTCCGCTCGCGCTTGTCGTCTTTCTTCTGCTGCTTCCGCGATTTCTTCTCTAGCTTCCGCTCCCGGTCCTCCTGGGAGAAGTCGCTCCGCTCGCCCTGCAGGAAGCGGCCCGGGTAGAAGACGTTGAGCCACAGGAGCGCGAAGAACATGGGCACGCCGTCGAACACGTATGCGAACCACTCGTGCGTCACTGTCGGGGAGTTGGCGCCCATCCCGAACTCGACGAGGCGGTAGATGTTGCGCACGATGATCAGCGCCAGCGTGATGTAGAGCAGGCGTAGTAGCGGCGTGGCGAGGTCGAGGTTAGGAGATGTTACTGTTGTGGTGGTAAAAGGGTGCTCCGGCGTAGGGTAGAGGGACTGCATTTGAAAGGAGGACCGGCGGCTTGGGTCGGGTGAGGGGGACGACGCGGGCGCGGGTTGGTATTGCGTTTCGATGTCGGCGAAGTAGAGACCTGCTCTGCTAGGGGACCTTCGCTGCCTCAGGAACTGGACCTTGCGTTGGAACCCGATGGCCAAGGAGACAAAGATGACGAGAAAGAACAATTGCACGCCCACGCCGCCCGTGTAGATGTTCAAGCCGGTCTTCTGGACCGACGCACTCGCGCCCGGACCCGTCATGGTGCCGCCGACGGCCTGGATGAGAAACGCCGTGATGTCGAACGCCACGAACATGCGGGTGATGGCCCGTGCGCGGATCTTGAACACACGGTCCTCGCCCTTGGGCAAGAAAAAGTGGATCATGCGCCCCAGGAGCATGTAGATGTAGGCGTTGATCCAGAGCGGCGCGAGCAGGATCAGGAGGAGCTGCGCCGTGTAGATTCCGCTCTGCAGCTGGTTCTCGATCGAGTATATGCGGGCGACGTATCCGCCAGTCTCCCACAGGGCACCCATGATGAGGACCGTGGCGAAGGGCTTGCGGTAGATGATTGCCTGGACTATATGGGCGCACGTCGTGATGCCGAAGAGGACCGTGAAGAGGATAGCCGCGCCCAGCGAAGGGCAATAGGACCAGATGTCGTTGGGCCCTGTGCCGGCATGGCACACAATCTTAGGCATTGTTGTGGTGTGCTTCTCGTTGGAAGGGTGTCCTGTGGAGAAGAGCTGGTAATTCTCGAGGGAGAAATGTACGGATACTTCCTGCTGTTGTGAAGAGGGCGGGTTTCTTTGCCAGGTGAGGTAGGAAGAAGTATATCAAGACTGAGGGTTGAGCACGGAGAGACTCCATTGGGATGAACCATGGTTGATATAGCCTACCAACCTTCGGGTACAGGAGTACAAAAAATAGCTGCCTGGAGATTGACAGCGGTACTTGCACGTAAACGCCATCGAGTACGGCTGTGCCCCAGGGGATGGTTTCAGAGGCCGGCGTATTTTCACATAACGAGGCATAGCATCGATGGGTTTAGCGCATACGAGCTTTTGCACCAGCAACAGCCGCCAGCCAGCTTCGGGGCTATTTGATGACAAAGGAGATGGTGGTGGTATGAAATTGAAGACGACTGAAAGGGGGGCTTAGATGTTGACAACCCCTGGTTGCATTGGATTGGCAAAGAGGCTTAGGGGAAGCTATGGCGTATGATACGCAGTAGTACACAAGGCTAGCCCATGCGAGTTGTCATTGGCCAGCAGATTGCTCGTACCTCCTAACCATTTTCGGCTAATGTGGGTGGCCTGGTCTGGGAGAGTGCGAAATAGGGCTTCGGCTAAGGTCCCCGTCGACGTCGTTCCTGGACATGGCTTTTGTTTTCCTGTACATATTCTCCTGCCACTCACGGGCAGTGTGCCTAAACTTGGCACTGGTACCTCTAGCAGTACGTGGTTCGTCTAGAGACTATCCCTGTAGGGCCTTTGGATGAAACCCAAAGCTTGTTGCCTGAGCGTCAGGGATTCAATGGTCAGGCCCACAGATCTCCAGGCAGTAGCCAAAAGAGCGGGCGAGGTATTCTAGCTGTGTGCCTCTGAATGTTCAGCTTGGGGCGGCATTGGCTTCAGGTAACGCCTAATTGAATATAATATCTAGAGAATCAATCTCCTGGACGTCTCCGTCGAGCCATGTACATACAAAGGTCCGAAAAGCACCAGAGTCATGATCAGGATTGGTAAAAACAAAGTCCGGACGGGATGCATTACCTGCAAGTAAGTCAAAGAAGCCTAGTCCTGCCCCAATGAGCTATTTATCTCTTGCCCCATGGCCACCTTCCTGATGCGGGACAGGAGAAGACGAGTTAAATGTGACGAAGCACGACCCAGTTGCAATCGCTGCATCAGGGCTGGCAAGTCATGTGAAGGATACGCCCACGATCCGGAGTCCGGTCGAGGGAGCGAGCCCGTTAGATTCGTCGTCTACACTCCCCACAACCCAACTCCTCTGTTGTCGGAACATCCAGACCTCGATTGGTCCGAGCGGCGGGCGTTGAGCTACTTCCAGGATCGCACCGCCCTGGAACTGGCCGGTGCTTTCCAGCCGGATTTCTGGCTAGCGACCATTCTCCCACTTGCGAGGCAGGAGAGCTCGGTCAGACATGCGCTCATCGCGTTGAGTAGCATGCATGAGCAGTTTGCCAGCGTCGATCATTTCTCGCCTACACGAAGCGTCGATTTCGCTCTGCACCATTACGGCAAGGCCATAAGAGAGGTTGTCAGGCTCAACCAGTCACAGCTCGATCAGACATTCGATTCTTCTCTGGTTACGTGTGCACTCTTCTCGGCCTTTGAGAGTCTTCAGGGCCAGTATCATGAAGCGTGCTGTCATGCTGTGTCGGGAATCAGAATCCTTGCTGAGGAGCAACGAAAACCGAACACCAATACAATAATGCAGACTCGTGTTCCTCGTGAAGACCTCACACGCTTCTTCGTTGCCATGGAGAGACAAATTCTCGAGATTGGGGATCCAAACTTCCCTGTCCCCAGGCCGAAGTTTTACCATACGAAGGCTGTAACAGCCATCCCGGACCAATTTACCTCCCACGAGCACGCCTTGCTGCATTTGGAATTCCTGCTGGCAGAACTTGTTGAATACGTGGAACGAGCTGATACTCTGACGAATGAGGGTCTCATATCGGAGGACGTTGGTCTTTCCCTTCTGACTGAGTTCCACGCTATCAAGATGCAATTCGAGAAGTGGCAGGCCGCATTTGACGCATTTTCTTCCATCGACTTGAACGAATACTCAAAGGAGACGCCTGACTCCTCCTCTTCAACGTCTTCATCCCCGCCAGCCGACCGTTCCAGACCGCGAAGTCCCGCTTTCCTGATTCTTAGGGCGTATCAGGCTCTCATGACAGCCTTTCTCGCACGGGTGGAGATCAACGATGAAGCAGTGTACAATGATTACAGACCGCAATTTTGGATGGCTCTTGATGCTGTCGAAGAGTTTATTCAATGTACTTCCACGTTTGTCAGGCCTGTGGATAGTAGGACGCCGTCTCGGTCACCATTTGACCCGACAACCACAACCACAACCTCAACCTCAAACTTAGCCGCACAGTCTTCACCGCAACAGCCCCTCGTTGCGCGACCCACATTCTCGCTCGCCCTCGGAATCGTGCCCACCCTCTTCCTCATCGCCTCTCGGACCCTCGACCTCGAATTGCGCGATAAAGCCATCTCCCTCCTCCGAATGTGCAATCGGCGCGAGGGCCTCTGGGACTCCCGCCTCGCCGCGATTGTTGTCGACCGTGTCATCGAGTTGAGGGAGAAGGCGATTGAGATGAGCCGTGCGCAACAACCTCTTGCCGATGCAGATCTAAACCCGGCTGCACAAGCAACAACAAGCTCAGAGACCGAAAGGAAAGATGTTTCCCAAGGGGCTGGGGTAAGCAGCCACAAGGTGGTGGAGTTCAAGCTGTTGGACATCAAGTTCCTCCCGGGCCGCCGATGCGGGTTTCGATACGCATTCGCTACAAGGTATGGCAATGTCGAAGGAACCCCGATCCCGATGATGACTAGTGAGCCCACGGCAACTCACGTTCCTGGCGCGAGTCTGTATTCTATAAAGGAGTTTTGGGAGGAATTGCGGTGGAAAGGCTAGCGGACCGTAGGCAAGCAACCACGATATATTTTTTGTCGAAGTAAGAGGGGGGAAAAGATACCCATGTGCATGCATGCATCTTCGTTCATGGCTGTAATATTAGCAACCAATTTTGCATTGCGAGAGAGTGTATTGGGAATTGCACCAGTTTTCGCTATTATTCAGGATGTCCATGACTTGAGGTTTGAACCTTTCAGAAAAACAAAAAAAAAAAGCCACCCCCATGCGTTGCAAAATGTTTTCAAGATGGATGGAACCCGGCCCTCCCGATCTTCAGTGTTCGGTACCATCTCTGGCAGCTTCCAGTCGTAAGAGAGGCTCACTGGCCCGTTGAAGCCGCGCTGAAATTATTCCACACGTTCCTGGACGATACCCTCTGTGCTCGAAGGACGTGCATGATTCCCATCCATTCAAGACGCCAGCCGCCTGGTGAAGACCTCTCCAGCACTTGGTTCAAGGCACTTCGGTTCTCTATTTTTGTATACTATCTCTGTCTGCAGTTTTTTGTGAAGGTGGCTATTATTTGTGTTCGCGCGGGCGGAACTCGATCTTGGAATATTGAAACAAGTACGCGAGATGACATTGCAGGAAAATATCAGCAGCAATCCGGAAGATCATAAAAATTCATTGGTCGGAAGTAGTCGCGCGAGCACCACTGAGCTTCGAGAGCGCACGAGGAATTGGTCCTACAAAGACCGATCACTAGTCATATTGGAATAGCACACTGATGCTCTCGCCATAGTGCACCCGTCGAATTGCCTGTTGACGAAGATTTCATTAGTATTTTTCCTTTTCACTTCCATGCAATATTAAAACCAGGCTTGGACTCACCTCGGCAAAGACGTGACCGACCTCGAGCACCTCGAGCTTGGGGCATCTCCTGACGTGGTGAGACTGATCCACTGTATTGGTGACAATGACCTTATCCAATGCGCTGGCATTGATTCTTTCGATTGCGTCTCCACTCAGAACGCCATGTGTCACCAACGCATAGACTTTGCTGGCACCTTCTTTCTTCAAAAGTTTCGCCGCTCTAGTGATCGTGTTACTCGTATCGGCCAGATCGTCGATAAGAATGGCGACTTTGCCGGTAACATCGCCAACAAGCATCATAGTCGCATTCTGCCGGTCGGTGATTTTGGTAGGTCTCCGCTCTTTGTGAATCAGTGCGAACTCGATTCCCAAGGAATCGGCGATTGCGGTTGCTCGTTTAGCACCTCCAGCGTCGGGACTAACGACCACTCCATTTCTGTAATCTGGAATGTTTTGCTGGATGTACTTTTTCAGAATCGGCCGTCCATAGAGATTGTCGACAGGAATGTCAAAGAACCCTTGATATTGAGGATCGTGAAGATCCATAGTGATGATATGATCCGCACCAGCGCAGGTCAAGAGATCTGCCACGAGAGTACCTGCCTGAGCGACCCATTGTCGATAACCGGGGCGAGGTTTGAAAGTGTCTTGCGGATCCATCTTCGGTGGTAGAGCGAAGTCATAATTGGCAATGCCGTTCGTGGCTGAAGCCGTGGAGTCTCCTCGCTTTCGCTGGGATGGAAAGTATTCCGACTTTGTTGATGAATGGGAGCTTGTATCACGGTCACGGTAGTGACTGAAACGGGCCTGGTAGGTTGGGCTGTTTTCTACCTCATCGAGCTGCGACTTTGAGGTTGCTTTGTGCAAGGGATGTCCGTTCGCGAGGCCTTGGCTCTCGGTTTTGTCTGGATGTGGAGTTGGCGGGATGCTGTCAAACGTGTAGCCGTTCGAATCAGGAACCAGCTTGTTGGACGCATTCGATGCCTTGACTAGAGGCGCACCACTCTTGTTGTAGGGTATGTCCGACTGTCGAGAATATGGGAATAGTGGAAGCACAGCAGTGACCTTTTTTGCAGAGGCCGTCTTGCACGCCGAGATGGCAATAAGAAGTTCGACAAAGTGGTCGTTGACTTTCCCACCACCTGACTGTATGATATAGACATCTTTTCCTCTAACTGACTCGCCGATCTCCACTCTGGTCTCTCCAACCGCGAATTTCGAGAAGAGAGCTTGGCCAGGTGCAATCCCGAGGATCTCACAGATGGTTTCTGTCAAGGTTGGATGGGACGAGCCCCCGAACACGACAATGTTTCTGACCATCGTGCACCGATCGAGAGGTCCGGCCGATGATTTGGGTGGTAGGTGAAGTGAGGTTGAGAATCTTGCACGGTCGGAGGAGAGTCAGATCAAACGACAGTCGCGGTGGGAGGATTGTCTAAGCGGTCCTTAGACTATGCAGCCTGCTGTGGGCCGCGAGGCCAAAGAGCACAACCTGGTGGTTGACATAACACAACAGGATGAATGAAACTACGGATAGAAAAGTTCAACTTCAAGTAAAGCGCAGTTGGCGGTTTGCTCTCCCCACGAAACTTTTGTCTCGCCCCACCTTCCGCCTTGGATCCACTGGTTTTCCCGAGGTCAATATGTCGTCATTTGCATGCATTTCATCGGACCAGTAACACAGGATGCAACTGGTCTACCTTGACAGCACAGCGTTTGACAGAGGACTCCTATTCTCTGGACTGTTGTGTGTGAACAGCCATGTTCCCACCTCAATATACACGTAATTTTCGTGTGCTGCCTACCCACTGCCATTCAACGCCAGGCCCTCCGCCATACGGCCACATACGCCTGCCATCAATCGCCCGTGTCAACCTCAAGATCCAGTTGGACATTATTGCTGACACCGTAGTCTTGGAGAGTCAGTTGGTCTTTGAATGGTCTTTCGCCTTGTCGCTTGAGCAGGATCTCGTGAGGTTGTCTGCCGATCATCGAGGCAACTATAACTTTGAAGTCCTCTGGCATTTCATTAGCACGTGAAACCCCCACGAGACTGATATGGACTCACTTATGGGATCTGTAGGATAGCATGGGATGGCTTTTTTTGTCCCCAGTCTGTCGTTGACGTAGACAATGATCATTGGCTGCGCTGGTACTGCAGGCGCCGGCTTCTTCTCTTTCTTGTCCAGTCTGTCCTTCCTCTTTTCTTCGCGGGGTTCTTGTTCTTCCCGATCTTGTCGCTTGTCGTCTCTCCTAGGGGAGCGTCTTCGAGAAGGCGGGGTTCTGGACCTCGAGCGAGGTCGATAATGATCTCTGTAGCCTCGTTGCAGTCCCGAGTCGCGGTCTCGCCTTGAGTCGTCATCATCTCGCCGTTTTTCCTTCCATCTGAATCCCGCATCCTTGCGCCGCGGCCGATCCTCGCGCCTGTTTCTATCCCGTCGAGGAGACCTGCTTCTTCTGCGGTCTTCGCCCCTGGACGATTCTCGCTCTTTCCTGTCAGTATTGGTGGTTGGAGGTGGAGATGGTGAAGTCTCACGCTGGTCGTCGGCCATTTTGAAGCACAAGCAGCCTCTGGCAGGTATTAAAAGCGCGAGTGGACAGTCTATTCGAGCTGACGAAAGTACCTGGTGAGGGAAAGAACTTGCATCAGGCTGCGATTCTCCCGGAAAAACCTGTAGGGTGCGGAATAAACATCGGATAAACATCGGATTTTGTGCTGCTAGGAGGGTCAGTCTCGGCACAATAATTTTCCGTTCCGGGCGTCACATTACCCGGAGCGAACACTGTGTAAATTGACATCGCTTTCGTCGAAGGCCATGCAGAAAGATATCCTCACCTAGTCTCCTGAAATAACCATGGAACCATGTTCTCCGGTCCGACCCAGTACCTCTCCATCCACCTCCCGAGCCCGGCGACGGTCAGCTTCACCGTTTCCACGCGACAACCGCCTCGAGCGTGGTCGACCAACAACAGAGCCAGCTCACACTCGTGGTTCTGTCACCTCCGCCGTGTCCCCATCTTCACCCTGACCAAGTACGCGTTGCGGGTGCTGCTCGTCTTGTACACTGTCGTCGTCAACCTCGCTAAAGCCCAGAGCGACACGCAGTCCCCACGACTCGACGCGTATGCAGACCTCGGGCTTAAACTTAGCCTGGTGGGCGGGACCATCAGAGCTGTGGCCGAGCGCGCGGAATGGTGGGTGCTGGCGCCCGTGAGCTTGGGTATTGTCTATGCGTGCCTCAGGAGGGATTATGTTGGTACGTACTTCATGCCATCTCGTCTGGTTGTCCCCCGTTTCTGGTTCCTGTTCCATGGGCTTTGCTATTGGAGGGTTTCTCGATCCAAGATCAACACCAATTGATTTTCTGTCTTCAACATCTTTTGGTCTATTGGCAGACAGTCTGGATACTTTCAGGAAGGCTGCTCTGACTAAATGCGTGATACGTATAGAAGAGTCCCTCTTAGTACTCCAGGGCCTGGGGATCCAGACATCCACGTCGTCGCCCTACTTCTTCACCGGCCCGACCACGACATTCATTCCCACTACGCAGATCCAGGACATCGTCATACACGAAGCCTTTAAGGGGCTTGAAGTCCGATTCTATCTGGCTGTGATAGTCGAAGGAGCTACCGAGGTGGTGGTTGTCTTCCCTGTAAGCATTTTCTCTTCCCCTTTGTTGGCGCCAAATGAAAAAATGGTTGTGGTAGCCTGCCTACAAGTACCAGAGACTGACATTATTTATTTTGGCTACAGACTCTGCTCCCTCGACGGGAAATTCTCGAGGAAGTCTGGCGAGGCGGTCGGAAATGCTTGTATTCCGGCATCCGCTGAAAGCACGGCGGCCTAATAGTTCTACTCTACTTCCGCGTTGGTTTCCTCGAATTCTTCCTTGGCTTTATTCCTCGCCTCGCCCCTCTTCGCCCATTTTGCGTTCAGCACCTCCAAGGTTTCGATCCTCGGCTTCTTCATCACGGGGACATATCGTCCGCTGGTCCTCGCTCTGCTACCCCCGTCAAAGACTTTCTGACTTCGTCCTCCCCTTCCTCGGAGCCCGTCTCGTGTCGTTTGTCTTCGAAGAGGAGTGCCGTCGCCTTGTGAGATGGCCAGGTCGAGCAGACTGCCGGCGAGGAGCTCTTGCATCTTGGCATCGCGCCACAGGGTCCAGAGTTCGTCGACCACGGAGCCCGTCCCGAATTTTCCGTCGTTCTTGGTCGACGTCGTGGTGAGCGCAGGGACCGTGGCTGCATCCCCAGCATATAGCCAAGGTAGAGAGTCTTCCATCATCCCGCCATCTGCGTTCTCGTTGTCGGGAAATATACAGTCCCACAGCACCAATGGTGCGTCATCGGCCATTTCGTACGCTGGTCGACGTGGATTCTTTTCGATATCAAGCAAATCATCGATAATGCTCGGCTCTTCGAGGCCTTGGCCGACAAGGAACAATACCGCCACCATACACCGCACCTGATGCCACAGGAACGCACTGCCATGAACGCAGAAAGTATACACCTTTGGACCGCCGGACACCCCTGGCGCCATTCCCTTTCCGAGGACTGACGAGGCCGATCCCGTTTGGTTAAGACCTTCGTGTTCCAGAAACATCCTGCCGGTCTCGGGAAACTCAACCACATCCGCAAAGGTCACCCTCCGCACGCAGCTGGGCATCTGCTTACTCGCATCGATCTTGCAGAGATTCCTGAAGTCATGCGCCCCGACGAGTTTCCTCGCGGCTTCCCTCATTTTCTCGATATCCAGCCACCCCTCCCGCAGACCGGCCAACCCCTTCCCGTCTGCGCGCTGGAGACCCAGAGGACCCGGGGTAGGGCAGAACGCCGGGTTGGTGAAGAAGTATTTATAGCGGCGCTCGCGACAGGAGAAGCGTGCGTCGAACATCGGTGGTGGGCAAGGGCACCAAGCGAGAATGCGGATATCGGGCGGGAGGATAGAATTGAGGAGGGAGATGTACGGTAGTTCGTCTTTGATGGGGTCGAAAGGCTTTGTGTGGTTGTCCGTGACGAGGTCGGCAGCATCTATGGATGGCATAGTAGTATCGCCTGCACCATCGCCATCGCCATCGCCATTCTGATGCTTCACGGCCCCGTGCCGGCCGGACTCCTCTGGTGTAGACTCCTGACCGGTTTCCAGCGCCCGGTTACTTCTGACTCGAATGCCAATGACCTGGCCAAACGCCGACACACCCTTGTCCGTTCTCCCGCACTTGCTATACTGGCACCCCTCCCAGTTGAGATCCAGACGGACCCTCTTGCCCCCGCTCTCGCCATTGCCCTGTCCCTGTCCTGGGGCTTCTCTCGTCCACCTTGTCAAGTATGTCTCCCTCCTCTTATCTTCGCCCCAGACCACGTCGTAGCTCTCGTCCACCCCCTTAGCCAGCACAGGCGAAATCAGCCGCGCCTTCCGCAGCGCCTTCCATAGCACCTCCTCAATCGTAGGCTGCGGCGTCAGGTTGTTGTTCGCATGCTCATACCCGCCGTAGCGGCGGCCCAGATACGCGAACTTCAGCGCGATGTGCCGTGTCGAGTACAGGGCCGGGTTGAACGGGCGCGCACGCCGGGGGGAGCGCGGTCGCGAGGATGACGGCGACCGACTGCGAGCAGTGGGGATGGTCTGTGACGGTTCTGGTGGTCCTTGGACGAAGGATGTGCGAGTAGCCTGGTTCGCCTGCGTCAGGGACGCCAGGAGCGCCGTCTGTTCGCGAAGTTGGCGCTCCAATGTCGTGATGCGCCCGACCAGTTCGTCGGTGCTAAAGCTCGTGTAGTCCGCAGCCATCGTATCACTTGCGACAGTCTCGGCTGTGCTGGTCGCCTCTTGGTCCTTTTGCGTGCTCGGAGAAGACATTGCGAGGTGCGAGGAGAGTCTAGTCGCGGATGACTGGCGTGCAGCAGCAGCAGCAGCAGCAGGGTGCGGCGGAGAAAATATACAGATCTGGCACCAGAGAAGCCAACGAGGCACGAGCCCGCTCGTGAGGGATACTGGCGCGACAGCAGCAGCAGCAAGCCTAGGCATCAAAGCACAACAAGAAACCTACAGAAAAAGAAAAGGCAGAGGGCGCAGAGAGCTCAGGGCCAGGGCCAGGAATGCAGCAGGATGGATGGGCTGCGGACTTGGGAAAATAAAAAAAATTGTGGTGACGCCTCGGGATAATGTCGTCCGAGACGAGGTGGCATGCGAGCCTTGCGGAGAGAGGAGTGCTACGAAAGGGGTCACCACACAACAGGGAGTACCAAACTGATCATATCATACGACTTGTAGTTCGGAAGTTCCATTTTGTTGTTACACTCACTATCGGTACAGAAAAGGTCGGTACGTCGCCCTTTTTGACCTCCTCACAGGCTGCACGGCGTCCGCTGTAGGGAAGACCGCCAATGGAACAGCAGCCCCTACATCTCTTCCTCCCTCTGACCGCGTCGACATCCAGTTGCACCGTCTAGCTGAGTCCAGTTCGTGGTCAGCAGTAGTTTCCTAGTCCACTGTGTCGTCGTGTTCTTCTCGTGCTTCATGAAATTCTTGTTCTTCGTCGTTGCCGGGGCTGCCTTTATTTTCTGGTGCATCCTGGTCGATATTTTCCTGCGAGTCTGGAATTTCGATTTCGTCTTCTGCATCATGCATTTCCTCGTCGTCATCTTCTGTGCCGTCGTTATCTTCAGCGGCATCGTCGACAGCATCCTCGGCCCCGTCCTCGCCTACATCGTCCACATTGTCCCTGGAAATTTCGTACTCTTCCAGCATGTGCTTCTTTTCTTCGTCCAGGTCCTCAAGGTCACTGAGCTCACTGCCCGAGTCTTCAGCGTCGGCTTCTCCATCCGCACTATCCTGAATAGAGCCACGCCTAGAGCTTGCTCTGCTTCCGTCTATGTCTTCGTCTTTCGTTCCAGCTAACCGTTTGTCGATTGGTGCTTCTGTTTCGGCTTCCACCTTGGAAGGGATCACCACAATAGGTTGTTTCGAAAGGATGGGTGTCTTGATCGGTGGTGGCTTCACTATGGCTGCCTCCGCCTTGCGCTGAATTTCGCGGCGGGTGACTGTCTTTGTACGCCCAGGTCTGGCTCGTTCGCGCTGAACTTCGGGTATTGGTTGGCCACTCGCCACAGGGAAAGGGGCGGACGAACTTTGGAGTCCAAGTCCTACAGGCGCTGAGATCGACACAGACAATGGTCCGTCAACAGCTCCGTCGCCTTGAGCGCGCAGTATGTTGGTTCCATCCTCGCCACTAGCAGCGAACTCGGCCGTCATATTGATAAAGGTCCCTTGGGGGAGCGCGGCAGGCTGTGGCTTGGTCTGTTCTTCGGGTGGCAATTGTTTGATGAACTCTTCGTAAAGACAAGCGTAAGAATCTCCTATAAGGTCGTCAATGACGGGTCCTTTCATCAGACTGTTATTAAGCCGTTTCAAGTCGATGCCGTCTCGCATAATGTCCAGGTAGACTGAGGTGGTGTCGGGATCATGGGCCCATTTTTCCATCATCTCGGATTTCTTGGTGAATTCTTCATGGTTCATGCCGTCGAACAATGCGCGTTCTCGACCTTCGGGTATTTTGCCCAGTCGTCTGAGCAGGCGCACATAGGTCGTGGCCACCTCCTCCCATACCTTGGTGTGGTCGAGGAAATCGGTGGTCTTCCTCCGGATGCGACGGACTAGCGCGTCCAAGTTTGCGCGGTCGTTGAGCTGCTCCAGAATGTGCACGAAGAAGGAGACGTATCGACCAGTATATACATAATGACGGCCCGGCCGCTCAAATTCAGGCTTCCAAACCTGCATCGTCATGGTTTTCGTGAATATCTGTTGCGTGAACTGATGCTTAGCACCAAGCGCACCGGCGAAATTCGGTTCATCATCAAAGATCACATGGGCGGCGCGGTCGATGATTCGATGGTGCCAATTGGACTTGTCAGCATGCCCAAGCCTTTTCAAGATTTCCAGCATGTAGGGCACCCAGTCGACTCCTTCCTCATCCTTGGGCAGAGACACCCCTTGCGCATATCGCGATGCTTGCAGATACTGGTAGGCTTCGGTATGTGAGATCTTTCGACTTCTTACCATCTTGTGAACGGTTGATACAAGCTTGAAATGAGGTTCCAAGATCGGCTCATGATTCTTCTCCTTTTTAGGAAGAGCCTCAATAGCCTCAACAATAGCCTCTATGACAGCTTCTGCGGAGATCCGATCATGATTCTCCGGGCTTCGAAACATCTTCCACAGACACTTCGCGCGCGTGTAGTGGGATGTCCACGGTTTGGGCCGATCCGTCAGCTTCTTTCCGAGAAGATAGGCAGCGAAATTCCACAGGCGATATTCTCGGACCGGCAGATGATAGGGTTGCTTGGACATTGTCATATCAACGATGCTGCTCATGTGACGCACGTGTTTGTCGGTCCGGAATGCTTCCATACTCAGGGGAGGCCGAGAAGAAGCATATAAGCGGGTGGCAAACTCTGTGAGCATGTCCTCAATCTTCTCCACAGTTTCTGGTCGGTCATCAGCGGAGCGCATGGCTACGGCAGCAGCCATGATGTAGCTGTGAATCGCTTGGCGCTCGAGCAGGGCAATATCGGTCCTGGAGTCATTGAGTTTGGTGGAATTCCAGATCAAGTCGTCTTCAATCTTGGCCTCATAGACTTGTGCCAAACGATACCAAGTTTCCCATTTCTCAATGTTGTGATCCAAGTCCTGACGGAAGAAGTTCGCAGCAACATCCAGGTCGTCGGTTGGCGTTGGATTGACTCTTTTTATCGACTTGTATTTCGAGAGCGTAAGGTGTCCAAGCATGAAATACCAGCCACTGCTGGCCGCAATCTGCGTGTCTGCTTGCACAGCACGGGTAGGCAGATCACCGATACCTCTGAGGCACTGGTACAAGTCATTTGCATTGATGATTGACTTGAGGTACGAAGAAATGATCCGTTTATTTTGCTGTAGCGCTGGAGGACTCTTCACCACTCCTAGAGCCTGCTGCATTTTGTCAATTGTTGCTTTGAGATCGCTCTTGTTCAGGTCTTTGACGTTGAAACGTTCTGCATATTTCATGATCGTCGGGATCAAGGACCAGGCCGTCTTCTTGTCCAGGTTTTCCGGAGGACAGCCGTGGTCGACATCTCCAATACCAGTGGCAAAGCGGAGTTGGTAGAGATCGAAAAAGACTTGAGCAATCTCGCTAGTATAGTCCTGTTCTGTAGCAAGATTTCCCAGTTCGGATTTGACCAACTTTACAAAGGACTTATTGGCATATTTACAATACTGTCGGAGGCCGAAAGAACTGTGTACGTTGCAGAGATATTCTGCCAGGTCGTCTGCCGCTCGCGGATACAACGAAGATTCTTGGACAGTCGCTTCCTTGAGCAGCGTATATTGCAAAGTCCATGCGCGGACGATCATTTCTCTGAACCGGTCCTTACTCTTCTCGTACAGCTTTGTTGAGGTGGCGCCTTTGAGTTGGGGCCCGGTAGATTGGCCAACGCGTAGTGAATCTTCATAGAGGACGAATCCGTGGAGGAGCTTGACAAGCTTAGCGACTGCATCAAGCGATGAACGGAGATGGGACCCGTCAACGCATTCAAAGGGGTTCGAGTCAGTAAGGACCTTGGCTAACAATCTGATCATCATCTCGTCCGCGTCATGTAACCATTTGAGCATTGAGATCTGTCGAATGTTTGGTTCCGTTTCGAGATGCCGCGGAGTGGACAGTTCCTCAACAATCGTCTCGATCGATCGGAGAAGACAAGATACAATTTTGGGGGTATAAGAAATCGCGGTGTAGGCGTTTTGAAGGCGTCTCCACAGGTACAATTTGAGCGCCGCGTCGCCGGACTCGAGAAATTGGATGAGCTCTTCTGCCTGGGCAGAATGCTGGAAAAGCGCCGCCTCTTCTCCTGTTTTAGAATTTGACTCTAAGATAGGTTCCAATTTCTCGATCACTGATACGGGGTCGCTGTTATCGTCGTCGAAGACGCTCGTGAAGAAATCACGCGTACTGAGAGCCGATAACTCTCGATCAATCGCGGCCATAGAGATAACAGACATTGCAGTATTGTTTGGTAGAAAGATCGGGTCAGCGTTTGTCATTTCCAAGAAAGTTTTCAGGTCTTCGAGCATTGAGACAATATGTTCTTTGGCAACATTGTCGTCAAGTCTTGCTTGGGCCACTGACGCCCAGATGAAACGAAGAACTAGAGGATCGTTTAGGCCAGGAGCAGGGGAGTAGGAATAAAGTTGCATGAACTCGCTCGCCAGACTTGACCATCGCTTCAGGCGGTCTGCATGGCAGGCTTGCTCCGCATGGTCCATATCTCCGCCCAGATCGGAGGCTGAGGCGGCCGTATCGAGAAACAGCTCGAAAAGAGTCTCAACGATCTCGACAGATGAACGCACCTCCGGATCAATGCCATCAACTTGCTCCTGGCTTGAGTTGGAAATGGAGGAGAGGCGCTGGTGGAAAAGCCCCCATAGATAGTCCTCCATTGTGCGCGCCAACTCACCTACCATGTGTTTCACCTCGACGGTCCATTTCTCTCCTAGATAGAGTGATGGACATGGTGCGCCCGCGCTGTTCGTGCTAGTGAGAACCGCGCACAGCCAGGAACTTGCTGCTCCGTAGATATTTGTTGGTTCGGCATTGATTGAGGTGATTAGACGGCCTAGTACAAATTTGTCGGAGCTCTTCGGGCGCTCTGTCTCCTTCGGAATGGCAGGTTTAAGGTGTTGCAAAAACAAAGACATGCCAGTCGCTTTCTCAGCAAAATCCTGGTTCCCATGCCCGTTGACGATAGCTTGGCCCTTATCATCCGACCAGTTCATCAAGATCAAGCGGAGGTCTGAAGACAGTTGTAAGTCTTCCAGGGAACTTTCGAAGCCCTCTTCATTCGCTTTCTCACTGGTACCCGTCCAGAAAGCTTGCTTAGCTTGCTCTGTTGAAAAGTATAGCTTCAACCCCAGCTTGGTTAGAAGGGAATTTGTTATGTCGAATGTGGCTTGATCCGCCTGCTCGAAGACAGCGAGTTGGTCTAAGAAGTACTGGGGATCTTCGTGCGACGCTTCATCTTCTTGAGCAGTCGGATCAGCCAGTGATTCTCTCGCTCGCAATCTTTTACTCTTTGCTCGGCCTTCAGTTTCATCGTTACCAGCAATTGTCGTAGACCGTTTCCGTGATGGCGCTGTAACAAGAGGTCGCACCTCGGTTGTGTCGCCATCTGGCAAGAGCCCTGTCTTGTCGTTCTCTTGTGGCAACTCCTTCCCGGGTGATTGCTCGATCTTGATTCCCGTCTCAGCCGGATGTTGACCAGGACTCTGCGTCAGTTCGTCTTGGCCAGAGCCGGGGACGTCGGCCTCATTGCCCACATTCTCGGACGTCGCTGCCATCTCGACCTCGTGATCTGTCGTGCTCAGATCTATCCTTATCGTAGTAGCACTGTTGAGATTGGCTGTACCCTGTTCAAGACGTTCCAATGTCTCGGAAATCTCCTTGCCAAGAGAATAAAGGTCAGGTGAGGCCGGCCGTAGAGACAGTTGACCTACTGCGAAGCTCAAGGGGCGATACCTGTCATCAGTGTATTCGAGAGCAGTGGCGTGCTTTGGTAGGAATGGGTAAGGGTCATTTGATGTCTTCAATAGTGTCAAAAGCCTCTCCTTGGGTCTTGCGTCTGAGCTTCGAAGACGGCTCAGGTCATCTTGTACGAGGGCGACTACCTCCTCAAGTTCACCGGCTGCAAAGGCTTCGTCAAGACCCGATAAGTCGATGGTTTGTTCGCCGTCATCATCTTCACCAGCCAGGACGCTCTCCAAGCAGAAGCGTGCTATTCGCTGGGTGGACAGAACATCTGCCACACGGGCAGCCTTCTTCCAGGAGTCGAGATCGGTATCATCGCGCTCAAGAGCTTGTGCGAACTGTCCAAGGCTTTCCTTGCAGGACTTGGCGTAGTACTGACAGATCTCGGAGCGAGAGCCCCTCTGGTTCGGGACTTCGTGGCGAGCAACATCCAGGAGAAATTGACCCCTGTTCTTGAAGGCGAGATAGAGAAGCTGAGGAACCGAACTTGCAGAGGATTCGGCGGCACTGCTCGGGAGCAGAGAGATTGCACCGGCGTCTGCCTGCGCAGCGGCGATCGTCGCCTCATCGTCGAGTTCGTCATGTTGAAAGCCCGAGACCACATCTGGGTATTTGAAGACTTCGGATCTCAGTAGTTCGTCGTAAGCATCCTTGGCTTCTTGAAAGTACTCGGGACCCTGAGAATGAAGTTTCAGCGCATTTTGATAGAGTTTGAAGGCCTCTTCAAGCTGGATCTCACGGGTGTCGTCAATCTCCTCTTCGAGAGTGTCTTCGGGTTCGACATTGAGAGCCGTGAAGGCAGACATGATGAGTCTGATATTAGAAATCGTTCCCCTCTGCCAACACTGATTTGCGACGATTCATCCGGTATTGGCTGAGAGTCATCTTAGACTCAACGCAGATGTTGCAGCCTTTTTCGATAAGGGAGAGGCGACCGACGAGATGGCTGATGATGGCGTGCAGTGAAGATCGATGACGTTTCCCCGTGGAGGCAGTGAAGATGCCGGGTTAAGTGGTCGTTATGAGGATATCTTGTCTGTCTTGAACGCGTTTCAAATGTCCAACTCCAGACGCGAGGTAACAGTTGCAGATCCGGTTTAGGAAAGCTTGCCGAAAATGCACTCAATTGATCCTTCAACAGCCCCCGAAGATTGATGAGACACGTAGCATTCAAATTTCATGCAGAGACAAGAGCTCGGAGACCTCTTTGTCTGACGGTGCTCGTCAAGTCTGCAATCACCGCCTTCCCAGCACGGGCTCCCGCGACCAGGATTGACGGACCTTTTATCTTTCTGTTCTCAAATTAACTGTCAAACTCCGCCCAAAAAGGGTGCGTCGCCATGGTTGCGCCAGCAGTGCCAGAGTCAGTCGCCCCTCCCGATATTGTCTCTTTCTTGCTCCCACCACTAACAAGTGATTGCAGGATCATTGAAGACGATGACATCGGCCTTGCTGTAGATGCTCGCACGGAAAGTCTCCCCGGACTGCGCGAACTAGGGCCTCCCGATCTTGTTCACTTGGTCAAGCAGAGTGTCAAAGCCGGCAACAAGCAGACCGGCGTATACCACCATGTTACCGGGATCGATGCCTCCTCCTCCGCAAGCTTGGCGGCGTACGTCAACACCTTGACGTTCAATCCCACGGACAAAACGCATAAGGTGGTTTCGGGACTCTACTGTTGCTACAATGCCTTTTCGCATCTAGATATGCGCGTGGAGGTCAAGATCCCTGGCAGTGTGGAGAGCTACTGTGTGGATGAAAGGGGGGACAGAAGAGTTGCCACCGAAAATCTGTGGCTGGAAACATTTCTCTGCGCCGTGTTGCGAGCATATTCATATTCAGACAATGGCAGCGGTGACACGATCAAGAAGATTATTGGCGTCCGAAGATTCAACCCGATCATTAATACTGAGTTGGAGCATCGTTTCTTCGAGGCCGCCGAGAGATTGTTCTTCAGTGGCCGTCAACTTGGGTCGGACCCCGAAATCCAGATTCCCAACGTGGTCTCCAATCATCTCACAGCGGGACTCTTGAAATATATTCGAACAACAGGACGATTTGCATCGGGCGTCAACTTGTTTGAGAAACTCCGGACGAAGGATGTGGAGGTTTCGTCACTGTTGGCCCGGGTGTTACTGGATGGGGACGAAGAGATCCAGGCCGTGCGGCTTCTACACGATGCATTGCAGGATGTTCCTATGGACTATGCCCTTCTTGACTGTCAAGCTGCCTTCTGTCAGAGTAAAGGCGAGGGTGAGATGGCTTTGGAGCTGGCCAAACAAGGAGTTACAGCGGCTCCCAGTGAATTCAGCACTTGGGCTCGATTGGCAGAGGTTTATGTTGACCTGGAGCAGTGGGATCTGGCTTTGCTTACCTTGAACTCCTGTCCAATGTTCTCATACCAGGATAAGGACTCGCCTCGGATGCCCGAGCCAAGTCGCGTGCTCCTGCCAATCTTACCAGAGAGTGCGCTAGATGAGATTGATGAAGGACAGCCCAGACATGGAGAACCATATGATCAAGTCCATGTTTCATTACGAAAATTGCAGGCGGCCACGTATCAAGGGACCTTCTTAAAGGCATACAGCTTGCTGACACGGATTGCTGCCGCCATCGGATGGGACACGCTCCTCAGGACCCGCAGTCAGGTTTTTGTGATGGAAGAAGAGTACCGGTCAGAAAAGCAGCACCAAGTAACTCCAAGGATCCCTACTAGCAAGAATGCGAGCACAATCGCCCTGTCTGGTACTCCAAATGGCCACTCCAAACCCAACGAAAACGGAGCAGGCGACGATGACGAGTCCGAAGATGGCTCAGAGGAGGAAGAGTCGAAGAAGTTTGACGAGGAGAAAACCATCGATGAATCTTCCTCTACTGCGCCAACACTCAATGGCGGTGCCAACGAGAACGAGAACGCAGAGGTCAAGGCCCACCGATCAATGGAGAAGCCGGTGCCCACCATTGCTGCAGAGGAAGTCAAGTCGGGCAGTGATGAGCACGATGCATCCCATGCACACTATCCACAATTTCAGAACAAACGCCTATGCGAACGGTGGCTCGACAACCTCTTCATGGTCCTGTATGAAGACCTCCGGATATATACCATATGGCGGACGGAGATGGGCCAATACCGGCAACAACAAATGCAGTATAAGAAATCGGCAGCGGAGTGGGAGATATTGGGGGACCTGGCTGAGCGACTACATCACACAAACGAGGCGCTGGAAGCATATCAGCAATGTTTGAACATTCGATTCTCACCCAAGGCCATGAAAGGTATACTGCGAATGTACGAGAAGAAAGGCGACACGAGGAACATACTGGCATGCTTGATTCGACTGATCACCTGGCAATACCGGTGGTACTCGGAGGTAAGGGATTCCCTTTCAGAGCCTACGCCCCTCATGCTGATTGATGTGACAGTTTTCGCCGGAACTCTTCTACTCGATCCGGAAGCTCATTGAAGAAGAAGGGGCAGTCAAGATCCGCTCTATCGTGCAAAGCACCAATCTTCCACAGCATGTGCTGGACCTGACTCACGAATATTGTCGCTTGTGCGTCACTTTTAGAAGCAGTGGCACTGATGGATGAATGATGGGTTATGGGACTCTTTATGGCAGGTAATCTTGTGCACAGAGGAGGATGGGGTATTCTTTGCGTTGTTGCTCCTGAGCGACTTCCTAGCGGCGGCGTCTTGTCACACTCAGACAGAGGGGGTATCAGGTAGAATGAAGACCACAAGCCCAACCCAGGTTGCTTGTGTCCGCCTTCCATAAAAGAAATTTGTGCCGCTTTTTGCGCTGTCGTGGCTGTCGGTGACTTTTGGCGCATAGGCGCCTAATGCGTGTCCGAAACAGATGACTACGGTCGATCATTTAGCTAACTGCCTTTGCACTTCATCTTGACCTGGTTCGATGACTGTCCTCTGAGATAGACCATTAATATCCCCGTCTCAACCACTTCGGAACTCTCTTCCAACCCCTTGTGCTGTGAGGTATCAGTCGCTTGATAGCCCAAAGTGTGCACAATCTGTTTCCTCAAACGCATTCCATTGCCGAACTCCCGCTCCAGCAGCCTTGAGGCGGGACGGCAGGGCCAGGCAGTCAGAAGGCTCTTGAACATCAACTGTCACCTTACCACCCAAGTCTGCAGCCGTCATGAGTGCCCACAAACGCATCACCAAGGTATGGAAGAGGAGCTCATGGACACGGCCGTGGAAATTATATACAACTGACCCTGCGCGCCAGGAACTTGGCGAACTCACTACGTCTCCTCCTGCGGGGATCACTGTCGCGTTGGCTGACGAGGCGAATCTCTTCCAGTGGAAAGTCACTATGGAGGGACCTGCTGGATCGCCGTATGCTGTAAGTATGCCTTCAGTGCGTCCCGTGGAAAGGATCCTTTGCGCTGGGCGCAGTGTCTTGGACCCTGTCCAGGCCGCGAGGGCCTTACCTTGTCCTCATCTGGAGGGCTATTCCCCCGGACAATGAAGAATTGGAACACAAACATAGAAACACGCAAGAAAACCTTACTGACCTATCTCGCTCTCTCACCATGACCAGGGACACCTCTTCAATCTATCCCTGACGCTTCCACCGACTTATCCCTTCAAGCCACCGACCGTGATCTTCACCACTAAGATCTATCATCCGAATATTTCTAATGACTCTCCACCAAACTCCGGCACCATGTGCCTGGGCATGTTGAGGGAGGCAGACTGGAAGCCTAGCACGAAGATCGCCGCGGTCTTGGAGTTCGCTCGTCAATTGTTGAAAGGTATGTTGACACCGGAACTGTGCCCATTTAGCCCTTCCCAGCCACCAAGCTCCGCCCTCTGCCTACAGACCTGGCGGTCAAGGCTTACTTGCTCCCTCTGCCTGAACACGGATACTTGAATCTGTGCGTGCTACTTTGGCCGGGATCAGTCGAGCCGGGTCGGGTTTGTTGGAGAGGGTTGGTGGTCAGGGGCGAGCAGTCTCGTCAAATGCCGTTTTCAATTCCATGTCACGAGCGTTAACCCGATGGCACTTGCTTCACCTTCTAGAACCCAACCCTGACGACGCCGTCGAAGGCAAGATCGCCGAGCAATACCGCAACGACCACGCCGAGTACGAGAGGGAAGCCCGCGAGTGGGTCAAGCGCTATGCGACTCCCAAGAAATGAGCGCCCTTCCTTCTCTTCGTCAAGTTGTGACTGACTGACTGTTTGTCTGTCGGCGCGTACGCATTCCCCCAGTTCTCATTTCATGCGGTTATTGGAACAGGATACTCTTCTCCTTTTTTCCTCGGTTTTTTGTTCCACACGACAACGAAATTGCGGGAAAGGTGGAGACGGCTGTTCCCAAATTCTAGCGTGTGTCATATGAGGAAATGGACGGGATCCATGTGGTGACCACGGAAACAAATTATCGAGACAGGAAGGGACATACACGAGAGACATGACATGACATGACATGACAACGGACATGATACGGCGTGACAGACATGGTGAGCAATGATCGTGGATGGACTATGATGGCGAAACCTGGTGCGCTGAGCCACACAAGGAAGCTGGCGGGCAGGCATACATGCATGTATGTATGTATGCACATGGCACAGATCAATATCGATGGCGATTGTCAGGGCTTGGAAAAGGATATCCCACCAACCTCAAGTAGCATGAGTCAGTCTAGCTCTGATGCAAAGACAACGCCGGTTTTAGTATGCAAAATGACAAAAAAGGATTATTCTTAGTTCTCGTTTTCGTGCCCATCGCCCTCGGCGTCGTCCTCCAGGTCGTCATCCCAGTCCTCCATATCATCGCTGTTCCACTCCTCTTCGTCGTCGTCGTCGTCGTCCTCCGCCTCCTCCCCGGCTTCCGCGTCACCTTGGCCCGAGTTGATCTTCGCGTTCTTCTTCGCCAGCCTCTTCCTCTCAATGTTCTCCTTCTGCTCCTTTCGTCGCGCCTCTTTCTCCTGGCGCTTCTTCTCCCATTTCTCCTCCAGCGCTTTCTCCTCGGCGTCGGTCTTGGTCACGAACTCGTTCCACATGACCCGTCCCTCGCAGATGCCTTCCTCCACTTTCACCATGCGGAGACGCATCCGGGGGCCGAGTTCCACGAGTTTCACAGCCCGTTTTTCGACGTTCGATTCGCCATTAGTGGCCCCGGAGTCTTTCATCGTCGCATCTTTGTCTTTTCCTTCCTTTTGTTGCTGTGGTTTCTGTTGCTGCTCCCGCTGCCTTTGTTGCTCGCGCCGGCTCAAGACTCGCTGCGTGGTGGTTTCCAGGACTTCGATCTCGGCGTCGGTGTCTAGCTCCGTCTCGCTGGCGGACGTATAACCCCCGGCGGACGGGTCGAGAATGTAATCCGCTACGTCCTCCAGTTTGCCCAAGTTCGGCAGCGCCCCCGACTTCTTCTCGCGCAGTCGCTGCTCGCTCGGATCGAATCTCCGGACTCGTTTTGAAATGCCCGTTCGGCGCGTTGTGATCGCATAGTGGCGCAGGTTGATTATATATGTACCATCGGATTGAGGTTCGCGGTTCAACAGCAAAATTCTCCGTATTGAGCTGAGAGGCGTCGTCTGTGGGGATATAGGAGGAAATATCGACTGGAATATCGTGGTAGTGAGGGATTCGAGCTGTTTCTTGACAGGATCGGCCTTGGCATCTTCGCCTGCCTGGGAGGTGAAGTTGTTCATGACCAGCAACGGCGCATTCAAATATTCTTTCCCGCCACCGCGGGGATGTTTCTGGGCTTTTGCGATGTCTTTGCATAAAGCATAACGCTCGACTCTGAAAGTGAGAGTCGGCCCTCGAGGCGTGAGAGCGACTCTGAGGTGGACATTGCCGGATTTCGAGCGCGAGAAGAGGAAGAGGTGTGTGACCCCCAGCGGACCAGCCATGGCGGTGTAGTCTTTTAACTTGTTCGCTCGTCGTTCCTGGGTAGAGATGTCAGCATTGAGATTATAGGCCCTGACACCGAGTCTGCTCACTTTTAACCTGCTTGCGGTATCCGGCTCCATGACTGCTCGAAAATCTCGCGCCAGTTGTGTCACGCTGGATCCGACGTCGCCTGCGCCCATACGAATGACCATGCTCTTGGGCCGTCGGTTAGCCTGCCCGGGCTTCCCAGGCCCATCATTGTTGGGCACATGAGTCCTCTTCTTCTTTCTTGCTTTAGCCATGAGGTTGCGTACTGGCTTTGGAGTTGTTGGTGAGGAGAAATTCGTGAGGTCTGCGTAGGTGAAATTGGGATACAACTTTTTCTTATCGATAAGAGGCTCCCACCGGTGGAGTATTAGGGTCGAAGCGCAGTTTGAATCATTTCGCGATGAGGATTTAATTATGGAGAGCACTGCGCTGATGTTGAATTCGTACCTGCTAGTCTTATCTAGACTCGGCTCAAAAAAGACACATGGTTCGGTGTTGGATCGGTAACAACAGCACCAACACCTCCTCATCAGCATGGAATACAATTGGAGTAATTCCGATGTGGCCTACCATTTACGAGGAATGTCTCCGGTGAGTCAGTTGCTGTGGCGCCTTGAACGAATGGCGCCGAACTTGTTGCCGGCCACATTCACGGCGTGCCCCTATTGCTCAGCCCCTGGAGCCTAATGAGCCCAGTCTTAGGGGTACCCGGTATCCCCGCGTCCAAACTGGCTGGCTGAATCTGTGCATCTCGCCAATGGCATTGAGGGCCCTAAACAACTTCGGCGAGGCTGAGCAGTATTCCCCTTCGTGGACGCCCGCTAGTGAGTCACCAGCAGGATGAAGGAGACATGTATAAAGCCTTTGCAACACGTCCAGCAGCCTCTCAAGCATATAGTTCATAGGTGACTCCTTCCCACGGGGCTCAGAAGGATCAGCTGTTGGTCCAACGACGCCCGTCTTCTGGATATTGTACGAGAGACCTGAAGGACAGGACAGCACAATGCCACGCCGTTGCCACGACTGCACATACTCTGAGACATATAAAGACCTCCGGTCTGAGAAACGCGGCCGGAATCGACTCTCGAAGCAATCTGCCAAATACTATGGTTACCGCGGTGTACAGCCCAGCTGGATCGACCAAGAGTACCTCTCCTTCACCAACACTCCTCGACAGCATTTCTACCCAAATTTCAGTATCTTCGTCAGCTCGGCCCCGCTCGTTACAGAGCCCACCCATGCGAAGGTGGCAATGTGGACAAAGCGCGACATGTGGCTGGACCGAGGTGTGGACATCTGGCCGCTCGACATCCGGCACCACCGGGGGAGAAGAATCAGGGAGAAATACTCCTTCAAGTGGAACGAGCTGGAGTTCGGTCGAAGGATGAAGCAGAAATCCCGATGTCTCGAATTTGCCGCTCAAGACGGCGAACTCCTGGCGACGGACGACGATGCCGACACGATGTATTGGGACTTTGAAGAAAATTGGGACTTTGACCTTGACGAGGGTCGCAACGATCATGACGAACGGCCCCCTCGATATGTTGGTCTGGATGGCGAATGCTATCCTGAAGACAGTCCCGATCTGGTCGAACCCGACGACCCTATTGGACCCTGGGAAAGGGAACTCATAGAGCTTTACTGCGACACCGGCGATGGAGATGATTTCAGCGTCATTTCAGAGCGGGAAGTATTCGATTCTCTGCCGTTATCTTCAATTGAAGATGACTATGAGGTGGTGTCATGGTGGGATGCGGATTGTGTAGCGACATGACTACGAAAGTGCCTTGAAGATAGGCAAAAGGAGCCATCAATGAGTGTTAAAATTAAAGATGGGCCGCGAGTCCTGAAAGCTCGTTTGGTGCCTAATCAACCAAGTATATATTCAGACGAACACTCGGATTGAGGCAATGAGTCCTCCTGACAGTATATGTCAAACCGAGAACTTTTGGCTTCTATGGTAAAGACAGTGACTTCTCAGAAAACGCCTCTCCTGGCCACGAGAGAATGAATACTGACGGACTCCTCCCGCCCTCTAATCGCGCCCCCTAGCAGACACATCAGGCGGCTGTTGAACTCCTCACATAGACTCAATGTCCTTGCCCTTGCCGTCGGCGTTCACATGGACATTGGTCTTCCCTTCGAGAACAGGAGACACGCCAGCGTTCGAGGTGCCGCTATTGGTGCTGGCTTTGACGCTATAGATGACGCCCTGCTCGATCTCGTCCAGTGTACGGCCTTTGGTCTCAGGGATCAATAGTGTGCAGAGGGCAGTGAGAGCCATGATCCCGGACAGGATGCCGAGAACAGCAGGCAGGCCAATGGCGTCTGTGAGCGAGCCGAAGGAAAATGCAGTGACCATTGCACCCGCCTTGCCCGAAGCTGCGGCGATACCGTGCGCTGTGCCGCGGACTCGGGTTGGGAAGACTTCAACGGGGATGAGAAACGTGGTGCAGTTAGGTCCCATGTTGAGGACCAATTGGGACAGTGTGAATAGCGTCACCAGCCCGGCTGTGGAGCTGTGATTGAGTACGCCTGCCCAAATGGCGTACAGGACGGCGACGAGAGCGCTGCAATAGAATTGTTGCTTCACTCGTCCAATCCAGTCCGGCAGGAAGATTCCGATGTAGTAGCCTGGGAGGTACCCCTTTTGAGAAGGTCAGTATGGAACTCGTATTGGCAGAAGAAATCCGACAGTCCGTCTTACCGCGGCTGCTACGATAATGTTGCCAACTGCAGTGTTCCACAGGGTGTGCCATGGAGTTGGGCCCTTGCCGTATCCAATTTTCGAGAGCACAATGCTCTGATTGAGGTTAACTCCGTAGAAGGCGATGTCGCTGCAGTTTCATCAGTATCAGGGATCCGGGTTACAGAGAGTAGTTGACCGGCTTACAAGAGGAACCAGCACATGCTAACGGCAAACAGGACTTTCGCATGCCTCCATTCTGAGAAATACTCCCTGAAATCTCGGAACTGGTCGCGCAGACCACGTTTGCCGTCCTTTTTCAGAGATGTCTCCTCAGCGACATCTAGGAGACATTAGCAAATACCTCCGAAGCGGCGGAAGTTCTACTCACATTGCCGATAGGGCTTGCTTTCGGGCATAGTCAAACGGAAATATAGTGTAATGATCAAGGGAACAAGCCCTATGCCGAACAACAATCTCCATACCCACTGCAAGTGGTAGATGTTGTCGTTGACAGACGACTTGAAGGCGGCTAAAAGGACGAGGTAGACAATGCCGGAGGACATGCCTCCAAGGCCAATAGAGGCAAACACTGTCAGGACCAGTTTCGCCCTTGAGTGCAGAGGATTTTGTTCAGCGGACAGAGCTGAAGTCATCGGGTAGTCTGCAGCAACAGCTTAGCATGGCTTTTCAACGACTGTTCTTGGCTGCTTACCTCCGCCGATGCCAATACCCGTCACCACTCGAAACACAGACATCCACGCAATAACATCATGGTGCGAGAAGCCCCTCCATGGCATCAAAACAACGAGCAAGGTACCGAGTATTGTCAACATGAGCTCTTTGCCGTAGATCCTATGACGGCCCAGGGCGTCGCCAAAGATTCCGAAACCAATCTGACCAACGATCATGCCCATGGAGAGCGATGCCTTGATCGTGTCGGCCGGGACTGTAGGGACCGCATTCTTGTTATCTTGGAAGTAGAGATAACCGAGCATCGGAACAGCTGCAAGAGTCAGTAAAGGGACAGTATAGCTTGGAGACGGGGAGAAAGACCAAGCCCAATGCTCAGGTTTAGATACCCATCACCATACAGACCAACACCCGCCACCACCAGGAATTTCAGGAAGGAAAAGCTCGAAACTGTGTTGGGCATGACGAGAAGTTATTGGTGTAGCGTTGCATGTGATATAGGCTTGGAGCTCGATTCCAATACTCAATCATCTTGCCATCGTTGGAAATATACATCTTTTCGACATCCTTACCGGACTCAGGATCTCGCACAGGTCTCGGGCCAAGCCCGCGGTGGCTGTATATCGTTCGAGTCACATATTTCCAGGATACACATGTTGTAGGGTGATTTAGATAATCGACAAACGAATTGAGGGACACGAGGTAACCACGTGCAGACGTGATTCAGGGGATAATCTCACCCGATATCAATGATGTCTGAATAGCACCAGTTGACTTCTTTCCGACACCTGGGACGAAGACCGCAGGCCCAGAGAAGGATCCTGCGAAAATTCCATCCTTTTCGGGTCCTGGAGGCGAGGGAAAGTCAGCCACCCGCCGAATGCGCCGAGTTGTCCAGACACAAGAGCCTCGAGATAAGTGGGAGACGGCTGGCCATATATCCAACCACGTGGGCATGGTCGCGGGAGGCAGGGAAGAATGTAATGACCACGTGCTCGACTGGAATTGGAGGAGTACTTAAGCAAGATGAGTGCAATAATCGGTTGTAATGTCAACGCCCCCGTCGATCCTGTACCTGAGCGGCAGGACCCAATCACGTCAGCAAATTTCACAGGTGGCCATTGGCTGGAGAAGCACGACATGATCGACCTTCGGCCCAGGCAGACTTCCTTCTTCCCCTCTCCTCGTTACAACTGCTTGTTACCTCGCAACTGTGACCGACCATGGCGACGAGCCCGAGCGACCCCGGCTCATCGGCCGTGCAGGCTCTGCGAGACTCCTTTGGCGACCGCAAGCCCATCGACATCAGCCGGAAAATCACAGCGTGCGTCTCGTGCCGCAAGCAGAAGATCAAATGCCATATGGGAGATGGTACTCCACCGTGCACGAGATGTAAGAAACGAGGGCTGTCATGCGTGGTCAATCGAAGTTTGCAAATGCTTCTTGAAAGCGATGTAGCGTGAGTCCGATCCGCATGCACTTCTTTAGACAAGAGGTCGGCCCAGTCCTGTAACAATGGACGCAACAGCTACCATGCTGTCTGTCGTCCTGCACCATACTCAGTATTTCTGGCATATTCTGCTGTGCGACCTGATATGCGGGACTGGTGCCGCTCTCTCTTCGCCAATCCGGTCTAGACTTACACGGACAAGGCTGACTCCAGTAGATGGAAAGCCAATATCGAAGAGAAATTGCGGATGCTGGAAGACTCTGTGAGGCAGCTCAACCAACGATCGGACAACAGCCAAAATGCTCCTCTCTATGGTCCACAAGAGACCACTCCTTCGACCCTCCCGACCAAGCCGGATGCCATTATGGCCGCTGAACAAGCCCAGCCCACGGAACCAGGCTGGGAAGTCGTCATGGACCTAAATAGAGGGCCTGGAGTGGTACCGGCATCTTGCGTGTCGGAGGTCTCAGATGCTTCGCCAGCGGTGACTCGTCAGAACTTGGCCGACAATTTCGATCTCATTGACCAAGGCATCATCACGCTTGACGATGCGGAAGGCTTCTTCCAACTGTACGCTCGACGCCTCGATCACTTCTTGTACAGGATTCTGGCAGAGCATGACTCGCTAGAAAGCGTTCGCAAAAGCTCGCCCCTCTTAACTGCTGCTATATGCGCCGTTGGAGCTCTGCATACTCCCTCCAATTTGTATCACACTTGCTATCAGCACTTTGTTAGTTTGGCATCGTCGAAGATGTTTTCCAAGAAGAATAATCACGATGATGTCCGCGCCTTTTGTATTGGTGCTTTTTGGATCAGTGATATGTCGTGGACCCTCGTGGGAGCAGGCAAGTGCCTAAATACTGATACCTTCTTATGAAACGTGTGCTGACTCCGACGCCCTTGACAGCTGCTCGCCTTGCAGGAGAGTTGAACCTCCACCGGTGTATACCAAAGGCTCCTCACACAAAGCGTGCCTGTTATCTGCGCACTCGCTTATACTATCTCGTCTTCGTTTGCGACCACCACTTCTCAATCTGCTACGGAAGACCGCCTTTGACGAGGGATTTCACCGCAATCACTCCTCTGAACCAGTTTCTGCAGTCTGAATATGCAACAGAGGACGATGCTCGGCTTATCAGCCAGGTGGAAATCTGGACAATCAGCACGCGCGTCTTCGATCAGTTTAGCCTCGACCCCGAAGCCCATCTATCGGACCAACTCATCCCACAACTCCGCCGGTTGAGCATTGCGCTGGATACCTGGCGAGCGGATTGGAATGAGCGATTTCATGTCAATGAGTGCGTCGGCAACTACCCGCGAAAGGGGGTGGGTCTTCATTATCACTTTGCGAAGCTGTTCCTCTGCTCCCACGCCTTTAGAAGAGCTCCTGTCGCCGAAGGCGAACATCTCCAATTGGATCCTGACCTAGAAGAATTTGCGACGAGCGCAGTACACTCGGCGATCTCAATCTTACAAGTGATTGCGGCCGACCAAGAAATTCAGTCCTACTTGGATGGACTTCCAGCCTACTTCGATACAATGATTGCGTTCGCCTTCGTCTTCCTCCTCAAAATTACAATCAGGAACCCTGCCAACCTTCGGATTGACAAGGCCGGGATATCCGAGACTTTGGATGTTCTAGCCACCGTCTTGAGTAATATCACATCTGCCATGCACCCGCGGCACCTGTTGACAAGCATTGCGAGCAGTGCCCGCAAACTGTTGGATCGGTTCTCTGGCCATGAAGTCGCTCCGGCACAGTCACAGACGGCGCCTGGCCCTCTGGCGTCTTTGGACCTCGACAGTCAGTGGCTTAGCCCTACAGACGCAATGTTTCTTGAAAATTACAACTTTTTATATTCGCCGGACGCTGACCTCAATTTTGACTCTGAGTTCGGTTTCGCCCACCACCAATAGCAACATCATGGGCCAGAGTATCTCACAAATTAAGAGCCAGGTCAAAGACGTCGAAATTCCTCCACTGTCGATCTTCGACGGGATTGCTGAGAGGAAGAGACCTCAGTAGAGGGATTGGCTGCTCAGAAAGTCCACCGTGAGAGCGGAGTCGATGGTCGCGCAAATTGTCAAGCGCATGCTCTTCTCTTCGACTTCCGAGGACGGCATTTTCTTTAGAGACCAGTACAAAATCGCCCTCTCGGTCAAGGGGCATTTCGAACATTTCAGCCGCTGTTACTGCATCAAGAGCAAGTTCGATTTGCGGGAACGTTCTGCAGTAAGCCAGGGCATCTTTGACGCTGATATCTGGTCGGTTCAGGTATACCCGCACGAAAGAGCCCAGCGCGCCGTGGTGGCGGACGAAAGGATCTGTGATGGGGCAGATGACCCTCGAGGAGCCCTCGCCAAATTTGCGATCCAGCTCTTCCTCGACAAAGAGAACGTTTGGTGTACCGTCGTCCTTGCTTTTATCGCTCATCCCGTGGTCTCCCGTTACAGCCACAACAGCACCCAGTTCAACCAAGCGACCGACGCAGTTGTCAATATTCGCCATGAAGTCATTTGCTTCCTTGCTCCCCGGGGCAAATTTGTGCTGGACATAATCCGACAACGTAAGATAGAACAAATCCGCCCGGTTTTCCTCGAGGAGCTTGATGCCTGCCTTAAGCACAAACAAAGACAAATCGCCAGAGTATTGGTCCGGAGCTGGTATGCCCAACCACTTCTCGACGTCCGAGATGCCGTTCTCCGCGAGGGTACACTTGTTGGCATATTGGGCTGAAAAGCAGATGTCCCCGCGCAAGCAATTCAATCCGTGGTTGATAATTGCTCTCAGTTTGTCTTTTGCAGTTATGGCGGCGACACGGACGCCTCGTTTCGACATCTGCTCTAGGATGGTCGACCCTCGAAGTAAGGTGTCGTCCACGATCATTTCCTCCTTTCGAGTTGTCCGGTCCAGGAAGAAGTTTCCCGATATGCCGTGAACAGACGTCGGCGCCCCGGTAATAATGGAGACATTGTTGGGATTGGTAAAGGCGGGCATGGCACATTTGGCCGTTGCCGCGAAGCCTGACTGGACGAACTTGGCCATGTTAGGGGTAGTGCCGTCCGAGATCCCCTGTTCGAGGTATTCGGGATCAAAGCCGTCCACACAGATCACGACCGTGGGTCTCTCAGGAAGCTTGTATTTTCTTCCATGCAATTCAAAAACAGATCGGGACACTACACGGTGCGTGGTTGAGGTCAGCTTCTGGCACGCTGGAGGTGACGAGAGCACGGTCTCTGACGCTTACCGAGCAGGCTTTTGGTTGCCATTCGTTCGTAATATTCGAGCGGCAGTGTCTTCAACTTGGGTACCTTGGCCATGTCGTCCCAACGTCGAACGGCCAGTTTCGCCTCGAGAAGAGGGTCGTTTTGGGCCTCGACAACCTGCTCTTGGGTAAATGTGCCGCCCTGTTCTTTGATTTAGCCCTCGTGCCAAAAACCAAAACGCGTCATATCTCCGAGATAGAGTAGGGTGAATACAGACCTGGAATTTCAGGGTCGTCTTGCTTGATTGACTCAGGCCGTCATAATACTCTTTATCCACGGCTGTCAGGTATCGTTTCGCCATGACGTGCGCCCCGACCAGTTGACAGATTGACTCGTTGAACCCGAGGCTGCGGAGATACTTCTCGCCCAAAACTTCGTGGCTTCCACGTCCAACAAAGACTCCATCCGGGGCGATCATGGCCGGCATTTCCTTCGCCGCGGGGATGAACCGACCGACATCATGGAGCAAAGCGCCTAGTACTGTGTCATCGTCCGCACCTGCTTGTACCGCAAGCTGACCGGTCTGTAGGGTATGTTCAAGCTGGGAGACCTGCTCGCCCAGGTAGTCGCCTTGGCCTTGGGCGGCTATGAATTGGAAGAGTTCTTTGACACATTGGCTGGCGTGGCGCTCGACGGAGGGCAGCATTTTTGGGGGCCTTTTTTTGGGATCGTCTGTGTTTTGGTTTTGGGGTTGGTCGTGTGTGGAATTGACGGATATCAGGTCTAATACGACTAAAAACTATTTCAAATGGGATGATTTCGGAGAGTTGAAGAATTCAATGCTTTCAGCTGGATTTGTTCTTGAATATGCATACGATTGCTCCTTCTGGACCCCGTCTCTTGCTGTGCTCGAAGACCAGGCAACCGGCCGGTAGATGGCCGATAATGGTTACCACACCGGACTGAAGATCGAGCTTTGCAGCTCGGGGGCGACTTGTGTCTAGTGCTACCTGTAGCGATATCTATGAGATTTAGGCTCGTGTCTAATAGTGGACATGACAGTCTTCCGAAAGACTCGGGGCGTTGATCGAGAATGCATTGCAGAGTATATTGCGGACCTCGACGGAGATGGACCGTATGCTTGGCACCGGCATGAAGACCGCAAGGCCTCGACCAGGGGCCTCGACACCGCAATGCAACCGCGCACTATTAAACGGGCTGGGAGACTTGACCGATCCGGGGCTGGAATGCTACAGGAGTGACTCTGCTGCCTGAGTTGCTTGCGAGATACGCCGAACTCAACCTCGAACACTTCCGTCCCTGTTGCTTCCAGAAACGGAAGCCTGCCTGACATGGCGTCCTTCGTGCCGGGCCCCGAGTTGGTAGAGCGATTCCACCGTGACGGCTTTTTGGTCCTTCGGGCTGAGGAGCACGGCCTGGTGAGGCCTGAGCAGCTGCAGGCCTGGACCAGAGAAGTACGCGAATGGCCGGCCGAAAGGGGCAAATGGATGCCGTACCACGAGGTCAACACAGATGGGACACGACAGCTCATGAGGACGGAGAACTTTGTGGACTTTCATCCCGAGTTTCATGCATTGCTGTGCGGCGAGGCGTTGGCGAAGATACTAAAAAGCATTTCGGGAGACGTAAGTGCCGATTGATCCTGGCCAAATGCTTCGTGCCGTTGTTGGTTGATTGACATCGAATTCGCGGTTGTCGTCTAGGACATGCTTCTCTTCAAAGACAAGATCAACTACAAACTCCGCTCGGGCAACGGGTTTGCAGCGCACCTGGACGCGCCGGCATACGACCACATTGGCAAGATCGAGCACCTCACCGCCAACTTCGCCGTTGACGAAGCGAACGCCGACAACGGCTGCATCGAAGTCGTGCCGGGGTCGCACAAGATGGACGTCGAACTCGCTCACGGCGGCGCCATCTCCAAAGCTTGGGAAGACAGCCACGAGTGGACGAAGGTTCCGCTCCGGCCGGGCGATATTCTGCTGTTTGGGAGTCATCTCGCGCACAGGAGCGCGCCGAACCGCACGAGTAGCAACAGAAGTAGCATCTATGCGACGTACCACGGGAAGAGTGACGGATTGGACCTGAGGCAGAGGTACTATAAGCACCGGAGGGAGAATTTCCCGCCTGACCACGGTGAGTGCTCCAAGAACGCCCTCGATACGGCTTCCCCGCTGCTTCTTTCACTTTGTTGTTTGAGGGATTGAGACGAGACGAAGGCTGACATTTTCTACCCGTTTCGTTACAGAGCGCGTTGCTGGGAAGGATTATAGCCAGGGCTATAAGACATACGGTTTCGCAGCTCCGTTCATGTCGGAGAAGCAGGTTGAGCAGGATAGCGTGAGGGTGCAGCCCGTTCACTAGGCGTGAGGTGAAAGGCTCTCAGTGGCATTCTCCAGGGATAATTGCCAGTATCCTGTCACCGTCGGGGATTGCCTGCCTATTCAAAGCAGGAGCATGGCTTAGTCGGCTACCCATGTGGATATGCGTGTATGCCTCTCGTATAATAATGGGTGGTTGTCGCTGTCGCCATCCATGCCGCTTTTGGACGGTCTAGGCTTCGACTGCCGCCATGATGCATCATGGAGAATGCGGGGAATTTCTTGCACAGTCCCTGTTTTTTGATTCTTGTTTTCGTGCCTCCTGAGAGGCCGGGCCACGAGATCCTATCCTTGTTGAAGCCTTGGAGCATATCGTCATGAGGAGCCATTGCGAGTCCAGCGTCCAGACTTTACGTCACAGGATGATGCTCGCGGGCAGTCATAGAACAACAAGAGATGCCATATGACCAGAGAGCTCCAGACCATGACACGCCCTCCCCCATGCGGAAAGCTCCATTCTTCTGAAGAGTAATTTATACGGTTGACATCAAAACCAGCCCCTCTCCCGTTGCTGACTACCATGGTCAAAGTCGCAGAGAACCGTGTCATCGATCTCGACCTTCTCCCGGGTGATCCCAAGGCGGACAGGCTCTCGGAGCAAACCAAGTGAGTGGTGGGAGTGAACGGTCCCTCTGGTGCAGATTGCTGACAAGTTCTCTGTCATTACTTCCGCCAGAGCTGCCATCGCTGGCAAAGTCCCTCAAGACGAAGCCCAAGGAGTCTCCTCGAACACCCAAAGCGCCGTCACTGCCCTCGGAGGGACGTTAGGAGGAGGGGTCAAAGGACTCGTCGACACCGTTGGAAATACCGTTGGCTCTCTGGGTGAGGGCGTGGTCGGCACTGTCCAGGGCGTGGGAGACGGAGTGGGCAGCACGGTACAATTCACGGGCGGCGCAGTCGGTGCTGGTGCCGGCAAAATTGGCGACATGTTCTCAGGCAGCAGCAGCAACAGCAATCAAGGTGAGCAGCCGCCCCGTCTGTCCATGTGAGGCAGAGAGAGATAACTGACTGGCAATGTTGTGTGGCTGCACCACCAGATGCGAAGGAGGCCCAGAAGGAGAGACTGGAGGAAGCTACAGACAAGACCAAGGAGATTGGCGGGGATGTAGAGAGGTCGGTCGAGGAACACAGCAAGCAAGCGACCAATGCCGCCAAAGAGGGCGGTGAAGGCACCAAGGATGTCGTGGCGGGTATGGCAGAAAACAGCGAAGAGAAGGTCGCGGGAGTGTCTTCGTCGTCGTCGTGAGGAAACGACGGCACTGCGACGATGCCGATGATACTCTCACCATGTCATGTCATGTCATGTAACAAACAACCACTGACGTCTTGTCTTGTCTGTCTGTCTGTCTGTATCATGGAGCCATATATACCTGTCTTCCATTGAACCACGTCTGCAGAACCTTCGCCTGCAGCAGCGTCTCCGGCGCCCAATCCATGTCCAAGACCACAAAGTCCGCCTTCATGCCGACCTCCAGCCTCCCCGTGATCTCGTCCATGAAGCAGCTATGCGCCGCACCCTGTGTGGCCGCTGAGAAGGCACCCAACAGCGGCAGGGCAAAGTGTTCGTTGACGACCTCCTGCGACGCCGGTTCCCGTGCTGATCTGCGTGTCGTGGCCACGTAGAGGTTCGGCAGGGGCAGGTTGGGCGCCGTGGGTGCGTCGGTGCCCAGCGCGAGAGGCACGCCCTCGTCCAGGAATTCTCGGTAGGCAAAGGCACGGCCACGTCGCTGCTCGCCCAGCAGCTTGTTCCACTGTCGCAGGATGGCTGGATCGGCGTGCACGGCTTGGACCGACGCAGTGATGCCCGCCTCGCTCAGCCGTTTGGCGTCTCCCGGCGAGGTCAGCTCAAGGTGCTCAATGCGATGGCGTCGCCCACTGGAAGCGACGGGTTCGAGGGCGTCGATGGCCATCTTGATCGTCGCGTCTCCGATGGCGTGCAGTGCACATTGAAGCCCCGCGGCATTGGCTCGTTCGACGACCTTCTTGAGCATGTCTGGATCCCACAGTGGATCGCACGAGACTCCGTTGGACGAGTATGGTTGTAGGAGGGCCGCCGTGCACGCGTCAATCACCCCGTCGCCGATGACTTTGACGCCCGCGATTCGGAAATTGGGTGATGTCTGCAGGTTATATTGCTTCCACAGCTCAATGGCACGATCGACCTGGCGGAAGTTCTCCTCGTTCGTCTTGGATGGGTAGATCAGCCAATGCGCCGCCACGCGAATGCTAAGTTCCTCCTGCTCCTGGGATCTCAGCTCGAGCAGGGCTGCCCATGCATTTTCGTCCATGGCCATTTCCACCAGCCCCGTATAGCCGCAGGAGTTGTACGTTGTGATGGCCTGGCGGATGGCCGAGAGCTTTTCGTCCATGGACGCCACCTGTGCGAGATGCGGCCACACAATCGTGATGGCTGCCGCTTCACTCAGCAACCCCGTAGCATTCCCCTGCTCGTCGCGTTGGATCTCCCCGCCAGGTGGATCCGGCGTGTCCTGCTGCACACCCATCTCCTTCAGAGCGGCCGTGTTGCACCACGTGGAATGCAAGTCCTTCGAGTCGATGAAGATGGGCCGGTCCAGCTCGTCGAGCCCGTCCAAGTCCCTGGCCAGTGCCTGTCCCTCGGTCATGAAATGCATCCAGCCCCGACACAGGATGCGCCGTTTCGAGGAATCCGCTGCTCGGGCGGCTTCTTGGATCGTGGACTGTATGTCTGCCAGCGTGCGACAGTGCTCCAGGCTGATCTTCTGCAGCGACGTGCCGAACATCAGGAGGTGCATGTGGCCGTCGATAAAGCCCGGTGCGAGAGTGTGGCTGTGGTCCAGGTCGACGACTTTGGCGCCCTCTGTGGTTGCCGCTTGCACAGCAGCATCGGAACTGTCGCCCACAAATTCAATCAGGTCGTCGTTGATGATCATGCATGAATGCTTTCCGTACGATGATGGACCCTGTGCGCCAGTGAAGACTCTGGCATTCTGGAAGACCGTGCGCATCGTTGTCGCTGTGTCGTTGTATCGCCACCTCAGGGAGGTCACCACTATATAGAGCTCGGCGAGGCTACCGTCGGTTAGGGGCTAAGCAGCACCCGAAAACTTTTGCTACTTGTTGCTCCACGACAGATCTCGAGCTCAGACCCAATAACTCAAAAATCGAAGGCGTAGTGAGCACGATATCATTACCATTGATCAGATTCGTCTCTTCATCATCATCGTCGTGCGACAGTCCAATCCACTCCCAAGTAGTCTCTAACCACAACAAGTGCAATGGTAGGTACGAACGGACAGATGTTCCCGAAGGGAAATATTCCGGCCCCTGGAAAGAAATGGAGGGGATCATCCCAATCTCACCCGGCAGCTCTTCGGAATGCCATAATATCGTCCTGTATTCGGTACGGAAGGACTTCTCCACTACCAGGACCACCACCAAACGTGCCCCTCGAGTTCGTCTCCCCTTCGGATAAATCTGGCTAAATGCTGTCAACACTAATCCGCATCGGTGGGGGAAACCCAAAGTCCAAGCAAATGGAGCCCGTGTAAAAGGGCAGATATATAAAGATGAGGCAGATACTGAGAAGCGGTAGTTTCTTTTCTTGTCCTCTCTTGGTCGAATACCTGAAGGGGCGAGCAATATACCGCACTGAGTATTATCAACCATACACGAGAGAATAGCAGCAGACATGGCACCGCAACCACTCGTCACTCACATATACACGGCCGATCCGTCTGCGCATGTCTTTGAGGGCAAGATCTACGTTTATCCATCTCATGTAAGTCGACGTGAAGGCGAGGAGCAGGCGGTGCACCATGAGATCGGATGACGAGGATGAAGAGACATCACCATCAGGATCGGCAAGGGCGGCTACGCCAATGCCCAATTGCCTGCCCCAATCACTCCTCTTCTTAGTCTCTACACCGTACTAATCCAGTCCCCTGCTTGCTAGGACCGCGAAACAGACATCAAATTCAACGACAATGGCGACCAGTACGACATGGCCGACTACCACGTGCTGTCGATGGCGGAGGTGGGCGGACCGGTCACGGATCACGGCGTGGCGCTCAAGGCCGAGGACATCCCGTGGGTGTCGAAGCAACTGTGGGCGCCGGACGCGGCCACCAAGGACGGCAAGTACTATCTGTACTTCCCGGCGCGGGACAAGGAGGGCATCTTCCGTATCGGCGTGGCTGTGAGCGACTCGCCCGGGGGACCCTTCACGCCAGACCCGGAGCCCATCCCGGGTAGCTACAGCATCGACCCAGCCAGCTTCGTCGACGACGACGGCCAGGCGTACCTGTACTTCGGCGGCATCTGGGGCGGCCAGCTGCAGTGCTGGACCGAGGAAGGTAAATTCGACGACTCGATGTCCGGGCCCAAGGAGCCCAAGGGCGCCGACGTGCCCGCCCTGCTTCCCCGGGCCGCCAAACTGAGCGACGACATGCACACCTTCGCGGGGCCCGTGCAACAACTCGAGATCCGCGACCCGGACACGGGCGCGCTGCTGGCCGCCGACGACCACGACCGGCGTTTCTTCGAGGCGGCCTGGATGCACAAGTACAGGGGCAAGTACTACCTCAGCTACTCGACGGGCGACACCCACTACCTGGTGTACGCGGTGGGCGACCACCCGCTGGGGCCCTTCACCTACGCCGGGCGCATCCTGGAGCCCGTGCTGGGCTGGACCACGCACCACAGCATCGTCGAGTTCCAGGGCAAGTGGTACCTCTTCTACCACGACTGCGAGCTTAGCCGGGGGGTTGACCACCTCCGCAGCGTCAAGATGCGCGAGATCGTCTACGACGACCAAGGCAAGATCTCGTTGGCTGAGAAGCAGTAGTAGTAGTTAGTAGTTAGAGAGGAACCCACCAAGACATAATGTGTGTGAGTAAGTGAGTTAGGTGTCGTGTGGTGGTGAGAGAGGGAATAGGAAATGAGATGGAGCCAGTCAGTCAGCCATCTATGGTTCAGGAAGAGCATATGGGATTGGTAAAAGGAAACGAGAGAGGGGGTGTGTGTGTGTGTGTGTGTCTGTGTGTGAGGGAGATGGGGGAGGGCGTCTTCTTGCATATATCACCTTACGCACTACATTTCCTAAAAGCCTGTGTCTGTTTCGTCCTCTTCGCCCTCCCTCGCGAGTGGCGAGGATAAACATGAAATGATAACGGTAATACATCGCCATGCTATCAATATATAAAGTCAAGCTGGTTCTCTGGAGGTTGTTTGATCCCCGAGGGGCCTCATCTCATCTTGACGACGCCCATCTTACAGCCTCGTCGATGCAGTTTCTCCCCTGGAGAATTCAGGCCGTGCCGTTCATTTCAGCCTGGGCCAACTCTTCGGCCACCTTCATACAGTCGAAACCATAGACCATCCTTTGAACGTCGGCGTCGGCCCATTTGTCCGGCACGGGCCCCTTCCCTGCCTTGAGGGCCGCAAATTGTTTGTCTCGTTCTTCCTTCGCCGCTCCGTCGCCCAGGTGCAGGGCTCGTCCACTCGCTGCCGCGAGCTCAACCAGGGTCTCAGCACGTTCTTTGCGCACCTTCTCATAGAGCTTGAGAGCCTTGTTAATGTCTACAGGAGTCGCGCCGGCCGGCAGGTGGGAAAGGACCACGGCAAGGACTGCAGCGTCTTCGATCGCCTGTGCAGCTCCTTGCGCAAGATGCGGTAGCGTCGGGTGGCACGCGTCCCCGACCAGCGCCATGGACCCCATGACCCACGTCGGGAGAGGCGCATGGACTCTCAGTTTCCATTCGCACACTTCCCCCTCCGGCACCAGGTCGAGCATCCGGTGGATCATGGGACAAAAATCGGCAAAGACTTCCAGCATGGCCTTTTTGGAACCTTTGGTCGTGTACGTGGCCGACGGAGCGGCGGCGAAGTTGACGTCTGGCTGTGTGGTCGAAATATTGTATATTTGTTTGCTGGACACCGGGTATGCGATGATGTGTCTCTTCTCGCCGATCCAGCGTATCACCTTGTCGGCCTCGATGAGAGCCAGCAAGTCCGGATCCGAGGACATCTGTTCCCGACTGAGCATGATTCGATAGGCCGCCTGACCCGTGTCCTTGATATCTGCATCCACGTTCAGCTCCTTGAGCATCGCGACCCGCGTGTTTGATTTGACGCCGTCGGCGCCGAGCAGAATATCGCACTGCACCTCGTACGGCTCCCCATCGCGGCGTGGGATCGCCGTGAACGTTGGTTTTGGCTCAAACCTGAAGTTCTCACATGTCGTGGCGAAGCTGAATTTAATGCTGGACGACTCTCTTTTGCAGCCGTTGTAGAGCTCGCTTGCGAGGGTTGACCGATGCCCGACCGTGTGCGGGAAGCCATACGTCTCGCGGATGTACTTCAAGTCCACGTGCCCGAGCTCGGCATCGGTTGATCCTTGTCGGATGCTCGTCTCGTTCAACACCACAGCTTCTTTCGCGATGTCGTCCCACACACCGAGCCGATCCAGAATGCGAGCCATGTTGGGCGCCATTTGGATGCCGGCGCCAACAAAGCCGAGATTGGACGCAATTTCATAGATTGTGATGTCCTTGAAGCCGGCACGGGCGAGGGCGAGGCCACAAGTCAACCCGCCCATGCCGGCTCCAATGACGCATATCTTGAGCGACTGGATGTCGGAATGCATCGTGAGATTCTGTCTGGTAGACCTGGATGTTTCCTGCAATTCGTGCTCGGCGTTTCTTTACCCTTTATATCTTTTCTTCTTGTTCGGGGGTGTTGCGGCAGATCTAAAATGGATCTCTCCCCTCGAGGCAGAACTAGACACGGGAAGCCATATGGCGGGAAAAGACAAACCCGGGCAGTCGAAATAGAACAAAGACGAAGCAAGATGACGAACTAAGCCGCCTACAGGGGGAAGATCGGAGGCGGAGGCAGAGGCAGAATGTGGAGATCCCCACGCGCGCTGAAATTTCAATTGCCGAGCGGGACTGCCGACTTTGTCCGTCCCGGCGATTTGACATCGGCGGAAGGATCCCGTACGGCTCCATGGTTTCTGGCTTATATCTTTGGTGGGTTTCTTGTAGACATTTGGGGGAATGGAGGCCCGTGAACACCAAGAAACCCATGAAGGGGTTGCATAGGAGAGAGCATTGCATATAGTAACAGGCAAGGGGACCTACGACAAGTGTATTCTCGTCCACGACGTCAGCCCTTTGTTCTCCTGTTCAACCACAAGAATGTCTCCCAAGGGACCCTACAGGCTCGTGACAGTCAACAAGGTCCCTGAACGGGCAAAAAGACTGATTGGCCGCGTGACGGAAGAGCTCAAAGACCAGTACACGATCCAGCACCTGGCAAACTGCGAAAGTAAGTCCCTGCAAGCACTAGCGCAGTCTCCACGATCGACGCAATAAAGTCCGATGAGACCTCAAGTCACAGTTCGAGACTGGTTTCGCTAATATACGTCGCGAAAGGCATCGATGAAGTCGAAGGGACAGTGAAAGAGCTCCAACCAGACGTACTCGTATGTCTTGCCTTGCCTCCTCCTGTATCAGATCCAACCTCATGACCTTCATCAAGAGGCATCTTTCAACTGACAGCTCCTTCAAACAGTTCTGTGCCTCGATGTGGACGCCCGAGGAAAGTTCAAGAATCCAGCAGATTGCCAGGAGTATCGTGCCGGACATCAAGACTCACGCAATCCCAGAAGGACTGCAGGTCCAAAAGGGGCCGGATGGCGTTGTCGAGTATCTGAAGGAGAATATTCCGCGCATCCTGGGATAAAGAGCAGTACGCGAGACTGATATAGACGGCTGTGGGAAGATTTCTAGAATGATAGACTTCCTGATTTTAGCGCCTTAGAAAGGAAGGAAAGCTGCTATTCGGAGGAGGGTGGGAATAGACATCGACCAGCCGCATATATATGGCCTGAAGGCTCGGCTACCTCGTCGTCGGGATAGTTCCGAGAAGCAAAATCCATTACTCGGACGCGTACCAGCAACCATGGGTTAGGGTTACTCCGGCGATGCTGGCGACCGAACTTAGCTTTCGCTTAATATACCGGCAGCTCCCTTCCGGCGAGCTCTGAGTATGCGTCGTGTGTTGCAAATCTGGGAATTTATCCTCGACACTAAAAAGACTGAATTCATTCCTCCCATGTACCGTGAACTGGGCGTGCGAGCTCGCCTATCTTGGGCGGATCCTCACATCAGTTCCACTTTAGCCTTGACCAGGCACATGCACGTTTCCAGCTGATGCCCGGTGCCTGTTCCCCACTTGATCAGGGCTGGTTCGCTGACGAGCCATACGGTTCCTGCAATCTCGGTCTCGGTCTCGTTGTCCAAGCACGACATGAGCTCGTCGTCTTCGGCCTTTTCCAAGCGGCCGCTATCTGCCCGGGGAAACTCCAGCTCGAAGATGGCGGGCTGTTTCGCAATAAGGCGGGCAAACGTGATCCCAACCTCCAGCATCGCTTTGGCTTTCTTCTGGAACTCGGCACCCTCGACATCAATGCCCAGGTCTTTCACCAGGTCCTCGAAATCGTTGAGCAGCTGCTCTGCCAACTTTCTGTCGGATTCGTTGTCGATTGACAGTGCGAGCCTCGTCGCAGTTATGTGTCTCCACTTGCCCGACTCCGATTGTTGGTCTGCCACTTCATGTCAGTGATCTTCATCCAATCCAACATTGAAAGTTTGATCTTACGTGGATCGGGAAACAAACGCCAGTATCCTTCATTCATCGCCGGGGCCAACGGATCGGCAAAGCTGCGAAGGGGTTCACGTAACAGAGCTTCGTGCAAGAAACACCATACGACATTCTTCAGCAGCAGCTTTTGTTCATCCTTGTCTTTGGTGTCCGGTATCTTCGTTCTAAAGTCGACGGATCCGCGAGCGACAGCCTCCGAAGACTTGACCTGCCATTCCTCCCTCGACAATCCGGTGTTCAACTTGCAGAGGAGGCTGACCAAGGGGTAGACTCTGGTCTGAAGCTTCTCAAACGCTCTGGTGATCTCGTCGTCCGATGATGCCTGGACACTCTCTACTGAGCTCAATGCCTCTGTTTGGAGCTTCTCGAAAGCAATCTTGAGCTGCTGGAGCTCATAGGACTCCTTGCTTTTCTCGTCTGCCTTCTGTTGTTGCTTCAAACTGTGCATCACATGATTCAGCTGATGCCGAAGGCACAAGATATACTCCTGAACCCTCCAATCCTGCTCACGGATGATGGTCTCGAATTCGGAGGTCCCAAATTGAGCCCTGGCTTCTTCAATCTCGTGATCGGAAACCAAGGACAAGTCGTTGCCCTCGCCGCCTGCACGGAGGTCATTCGCTCTGCTCTCGCAACGGCATTCTCCCTCTGGGGTGGTGCCGCCATTCATATCATCCTCTGGCATTTCAGATGATGCTTGGACTCCCTGTTAATGTCAGACGGATCTCACACATGAATTCTGCATTGAGAATACCTCTGTCACTCTATCCGTGACGGTTCGTTGTGAGGGCCTGTTTCGCGGCCGATGGTGGGCTCTTTTGGATCCCATGTTGCTCTGCTGTCCTCTCTTTTTTTTGGAGCGCTCGGATGAGGAATTATGAAGAAGAGGAAGACGCAGGGGAAGGGGATACCAAATCAAGGGCATGGCACAGCCTTACAGCACCTCGTATCCGATGGAACTATTTCAACGCCGCTTCCAATTGCGTTCCCACCACCATCACTATCACACTTTGCCAAGATCCATGGCTTCTTGGAGGCTGGAGCCACATTGGACAAGGCGTTTCACCGTTGGCAAGGCTAATTCGGTGGAAGCTGAGGAAGCAAGGCGCAGTAGTGAGCAAAGCCTCTTCCCCTGAGGAGGTCTAACTAGCTGGGACAGGCGGAGGATGAAAATACAAGAATGAGCCTATCAGCCTGACACAGGGATGGATTCGACTCTGAACCCATACTCCAAATCCAGCTCCGGCAGACCTGCTATCGATATGAATCCAAAGCGGCTTGTTATTGCTCTCGACTTCGGAACCACTTACAGGTTTGCCATCGCCGGTGATGCGAGTAACTTCTGAGTCCCGACTGACAACTGTACAGTAGCATAGCCTACAGCGACAGCAGCTCTGCAGCAAACAATGCCAATGCCATCCAGCTGTACACATCTTGGCCCGGTATAGGCAATGGAACCAACGAAAAGGTCCCTTCCAGGATCTGCTATGGAGTTCCTCCCAAGCACGAGATTGAATGGGGTTACAAAATCCGGCCCACCACCAAAGGCAAAGTCCATGCTCTTATGAAGCTCAAACTCGACGAGCGGCTGAAGAAGTCCAAGCAGCTAAAGCTCCTTCTTGCCTTCCTCAGCTCTCAGATGGACGGGCTCAACCTTGACGATTCCGATTCTGACGATTCGGATGAGGAGGATGGGCCTCCAGACTACCCCGGGAAAGCCCCGGTGGATATTGTCGCCGACTACTTGACCGAGTTGCGCAAGAGCTTTTATGAAGGACTTGCAAAACAATACGGCGAAACGCTTCTTGCGTCGCTCCAGAAGGAATTGGTCGCCACAGTACCCGCGGTCTGGTCGGAGCGTGCAAAGGATCTGACGCTCAAAGCGGTGGCCAAAGCCGGGTTCAACGCGACCAGCATTTCTCTCGTGACGGAGCCCGAGGCTGCTGCCGTCTATACCTTGAAAGGCATGACTGAAGGTGCTAACAAAGACGATGTCCGCGTCGGCGACTACTTCGTCATGTGCGATGCCGGGGGTGGCACGGTTGATTTGATTTCGTACAAAATCACCCAGATCAGCCCAACTTTCCGCATTGAAGAAGCAGCTGTTGGCAGCGGCGACAAGTGCGGTGCCACCTACGTCGACAAGGAATTCCTTTCCTGGCTGGAGACGTGGATCGGGACAGAAGCATACAACGCGATCCCGGTCTTCAAGAAGAGACATGGCAGCCAGATGATGAACGCGTTTGAGACCCTGAAACACCACTTCAGCGGAGAAGAAGATGACATTGAAATCACCCTTCCGAGAGAATGCGGCATCGACGATGATGCCGCCAAAAGAATCGACGGCAGAGTGCTCACCATGACCAAGTACGATCCCTGTCCTCGATGATGTGAGGAAAACAAGGTCGAGCTAACAATTGGCAGTGCTCAAATGGCAACAGTATTCAACCCTTGCGTCAACCGCATCCTGGAACTTGTTGATGGACAAGTCGACGCTGTCATGAAGAAACACGGTACGAAACCAAAGGTGAGTGTATCCCTCCAGGCCAGTATCGTATCAAAGTCTGAATGCAGCTGTAGATGATCTTGGTGGTTGGTGGGTTTGGAAAGAACGAATATCTCTTCCGCAAGATCACCGAATACGCCACCGAGAGAAGCATGGTGACCCGGCAGCCTCAGTTCCCGTGCGTCTTCCAAAACTAGCCCGTCCGAAGAGCCCAGTACATGCTAACACGTTTCCAGCTGGTCGGCCATCGTGCGAGGAGCAGTATGTAGAGGCCTCGAAGGCCCACAGAGCGGTCTCATCGCTGTTCGACTCGCTCGCAGGCACTACGGAACCTATACGAGTACTCCGTTTATCCCAGGAGTGCACGACCCGAGTGACGCGTATATTGATGAGTTTAGCGGCAGGAAATATGCCAGGGGGCAAATGACCTGGCTCATCGAACGAGGTGAACGACTTCCCGAAGCACTTCCAAAGGTCGCTTCCATCGAGGCATGCTGCAAGTTCAAGAAAGACGACAACAGGACTTTTGGAGCCGTCCTTGTCGGTTGTGACGAGGACGTGGCACCTCGTCGCTTCGCCGACCCAAGTAAGAGGCCTTGTCCGCTATAGAAGCGATGTCACTAACAGCCATAGGTGCACACAGCATCTGCAAGGTCCTCGCCGACCTCAGCGTGGTCCCAGAGTACAAATTTATGAAGCTGAGCAACGGAATCAAAGGCGAGGAGTACTGGATGGCTGAATTCAAGCTGGAAGCCAAGTTCCAGGGGGGAAACATCCGTTGGAGCTTCTTCTTTGATGGCAAAGAGTATGGCAACGTCGAAGTGAGCTATAATGATTGAGACAATAGAGTCGCCTTGGTATTGGTGGTTTCGTTCTGCTTGGTGGATCGAGGTTGAATAGGCATCATAATGACCCTTTTTTTTTTCTCGAGCTCCTTCTTGGAAACGACTTGATCCTGGTGGTAGTCTGCGCCTCTGAGACCTAGACTCTTGTTCTGTAAGACACTAGACAGGAGGCTTGGTTAGGCTTGATAGAGGCAAAGGGAGTGACGCTCCGCCCCCTGTGTCCAGACAAACACGCCAAGAAACACGGCGGAGACATATTGTCTTGGCATGGGACTCATCAAAGTCCCAAACTTTTCTTCACTGACCAGTTCATGGCTAACCACCCGCAACCTGTCGTCCTACGGCTACGTATATGACATTGTACCTTTAAGAGCTCAGCATGGGCACATGCCCCTCCTGAGCCCATGTTCCGATGTCTAGCATGTCATGCGCTGGCATTCGTCCATCATTGCCCGCCCATCAGGCTGAGCTTGTGGCGGTTTGCCCAGACCTCTCGAATCTATGAATACGAGGTGCAGGTCTCGCGATCCCAAAATGGACACACGCAGTCCCAGCTCTACCGGAAACCGTGATAACGGAGCCCAGTTGGGGTCAGCCTGTTGATGACGCCCTGCAGCTTGATTCGCACAATTGATTGAAGCGCCGTTTCTAGGCCCCCTTGCTTGCTAACAGTCCCATTCTTCTTGCGAGGCAGATTTCGAGACGCCTCAGGGATAGCACTCCTTATCCTTGCAGCGTCACCCAAATTTGGTCTTGGAGAAGTGCTGCTCGTCTCCTTTTGCCTCTGACGGAAAAGAGGTGGCTTGTGCCTCAATCTCCTGATCCCTTTTCGTCACATTGCCAATATGGTTTACGAACGTTGAATTTCGAAGATTCTGGACGGATGCTCTTCGTTAAACTGGGATTATGGGTGCTAATCGGGGTTCAGCCAGGCTTCCAATTTCGTGCTGATATCCTCACTGACGCAAAGCTCGTTTGTAGAGGGCTGTGCCACCTTGGCGCTGCTCGATAACTCCGCCGTCAACTGTCCGATGGAGATATTGACCGAACAGCTTGCATCAGCCAAGAATGGAGAGAGAGAGACAGCCATCGTCGTTGGATGACAAAAATCTCTCTGACCAAGGTTACAGCAGCAACAGTGAATGGCAACTGAACAGACACCAGGGATCCTGCCGGCCTCAGAACCATGACCACCACGCAGCAATCAATTACTACCCAGGCACCTCTAACAACTTTCTGGACGCCGCCGGCCTCATGCACAACCCAGCTTCCTATTCTGCAAGCAGGCTCATGCAGTCCGCCCTGGTGCTGGACGTACAACGAGAACGACTTAATCGCAAACTGGGGCGCGTACACCAATTGGGGTTACTGGACCACGAGCTCCTCACAAGTCTCGTCAGAGTGCTTCCCGCCATCAAGCGAACTGGTGAATGGATTTACATATTCTCCTGCCATTGGATGTCCAGTGGGATACACCACGGCCGTTGCTACTACCAGCTTCAACTCGGAGAATGACACTCTCGCCATTTGCTGCCCCAAGGGCTTTGAAGGGTCTGGCTCGGACGTTGGGGGCGCTTACGTCTGTGCGCGATCGGTCGAGCCTGCTGGCGAGACAATGCTGAAGATCGCATATGGAGAGATCACTGAATACGACTATGCAGGATCCTCAACCTATGCCTACGCAACAACGAGTCAGATCGGTATCACTGTCTTCACACCTCCTGCCACTGCAACCACGACTTTCCAGATCACTGCCACTGGGATAGCAATGCTTGTTCAGTCATCCTTGGCAACAACAACGCCGAGTTCCACGAGCAAAGCTAGCTCAGATGATAAACCATCGTTCAGTGTGTTCCACCTCTCTTTCGCACTGTCGATTGTTGTCATAGTTGCAATCAGTTTGGGCGGCCTTCTACTCTTGTGCTGCTGCTGTAGATCCTGCTGTCGATCGCGACCGCGATCGCAACCACGGCCACGACCACAACCAGCACCGTACACTCCTCTTCCCGTCAGCATATCATACACTCAACCGGCATGCGAACACAAGCTATTCTGTACGAATTACGGGAAATGTTGCAAGTGCAATGACGGGCGACCCCAGCGCTTCAAGCTCGAGAAACGCGTCCAGAATTACTGTCCTGCATGCGTTGAATACTGGACGCGGACTGATGTAAACAACCTTCCGCCGGAGTGGAAAATAGCTCCTTGTTTGCACCTTCGGCGAACAGGTTGTGTGGGAAGGATTGATTGCTGTTCCTGCACAGACACACGAAGCGACCCATTGTCTCTCGACCAACGTTTGTCACAGTATTGTTTCAATTGTAGAAAACATTGGAGATCCCAGCCAGCCGGCGGGTTCCCCCCTTTCTGGAATATCAGGAGATGCGGCCATTTGAGAAGGATCGGGTGCTCGAACATGGTCAGCTGCTGCTCCTGTGAAGATCCCCGGCTGGACAAACTTGCCCTTGCGGATCGCGTGAAGCCTTATTGTGCAAAGTGCAGAACGTACTGGCACGAAAGGCCCATGTCGGCACTGCCCAGTTCTTGGAAGATAGAGCCTGAACCATCTGAGTCCGTATTAGCTGGGCCATCTAAAGGGAAGCGACAATCAGATTTGACCATGCCAGAGCGTTCACATACCAACCCCTTCAGGTCAAAACCACCGAGACCTGCACCGGCCTGGGAAAGTCTTTTCGCAGCCGACTCTAGACTGTCAAGAAACCCAACCGAACCAAGACCTTCGCACCACGGTCTTGGAGGATCTAATCCGTCATCTGATGACAAAGGAGACGCGCTGCAGAACATTAAAGCACTGATACCATTAGGTGAAGCGTCTGAGCCCAAGGTTCAACATGGACCGCGCCCGACAAGCCTGACACATGGTCAGATGCAAGACCTTGGTCCCAAAGGCGCCATCTGGCAGAGGACCATTCCCGGGTACGACGAGATGCAGGACCTCGATCCCGCAGGCAGGGCCCAGACCCTGAGGGTTCCGATAACCGAAACGGGCCAGCAGAGCGATGACGGCCGGGGAACGAACAAGGGGGGAATCCCTGTGAGACCGCAAGGGAGTGGCGACCCAACATCTGCCGCAGAGGGTCGTCGAGACACACCTCGGACCTCCATGCTACCTGCCCGGCCAGCGAAGAAAAAACGACTCACCAGTGATCCTCCACGGCTCAGAGTGGCGAAAGGATAATCCAAGCCAACTTTTTGTGCTCGACATGTTCCTTTATCGCCGACGTCGCCTGACCATTGACCCCTCTTTACCAATCCGCCCGCTAATATGTGCATGGAAAGTGCTGGTGGATTGCTGAGGAATCTGGGGATGTCTGCCGACGACAACAGCGACATCCACGTTGATATTCCAGCGAACTTCCGGCTGGATGGTGATATTCGGGATCAAGTTGTTATCGATGGTAGCATTCCGATGAGACCACCCTAGCAGTTGAACTGGTATGCAGCTTGCTGATGGTGGCTCGCACGAAGGATGGATGATCTATGTCGCGCTACGTGCTGGGTGGCGATGGTGGATCGCTTAGACTGGGATCGGCAGCGGGTTTATCTCGAGACTGGGGCTTTGCAGCACGGTGTCAAGGAAACTGCGCAGCTTTGAACCGAGTTCCTTCTCTCCTTGCTGCTGTGAGGAAGATATTCACGATCTCACACGAAACCCAAGCTCAGACGAGCAATGGAACAAGTCGGCAGAGATGAAGGCGGGCCGACGTCCTGTCCCTGAAAAGTCGACCTACTTTCCATGCCGCCAAAGCAATTTTATGCACTCCTGTGTCCGCTATTTTCCAGCACGGCCTGAGCTACTATCATGGGAGATTGTCAGCGAGCCAGCTTACGGTATTCATGGCAATAGAATCGATAGAGGTAGCGCTGGATCTCGCTGCGAAGGCCACCAAAAGAGATAGGGAGCTTTTGTACAAAGAACGATAACTGTCAGGACTGACTGGCATCCCGGAAAGGTCTTGCTTCTCGTGTGAAAGCCAAAGGTGGGCATCTGGCTCGAGCACGGTCGGGGTTTGGTAGAGTCGGGCTACGGAGATATTCACACGCTTTCTCGGAATACTTGGACCAGAACGGGCAAGGTGTAATCATTAATGACAGGGGTTTCTCAGGGAGGAAAGCAGGCAACTGCTACTGGAGGGGAGTACCAAGTAGTACCTCGTACTTTACTTCGTATCTCGGGTTGTGTCCACTGTTCAGCCTCATGGCATCTACCGTCCTCGAGACTACATACATATGCAACAACGAACGACGAATGAGCACGGAAGACTGGGCTCCGCACATCCGAAGTGTGTAAGTCTAGATTGTCGGCAGTGATAGATTTCCACCACACAGGCCTCGTCCTCCATGAAAAAAAGATGATACGCTGTCAAGCGAACTCGAACCGGACCATGGAGGAGCACGGATCCGCGCGGAAATGTTTATGTTGTTTCCTTTTTGTTCTTCTCTGACTGTGCATCTACATATGTACTGACCGAGTGGTAGTAATAGTAGTACACAATTTCCCTCCGACGATCAACCGAGCATAATGCTGTAGATGATAATGAACACACCAAGACAGGGGGGAACTAAGAAAAACGTGGGCTAGTGTATCAGCCCATGCCCATGCCCATGCTTGAATCGAGCTTCTCTATCTCGGTACTTGTGTGAGTACCGGACCGGCGCAGGGTCTCGCTAACATGCTATGTTTTGGGTTATATACTAAATCAGGCGTATGTGGTGTGGCGTAGATGGGCAGATGAGGATGGGCAGCTGCTTGCGATGATGATGATGATGCTGATGATGGATAATGATGAACTGCCGGCCGGGGTGTTGGCGCTGGCAGGGAAAGTAAGAGATGAGATGGCCTGGCTGCCGCCCTTTCGGATAAAGAACCCTGAAGGGCTGAAAAACTTGGCGCAGCCACTGCAGGGAAAGATGGGGGTGAGGTTTGAGAAAGCCGAGAATAGTACCTACTGTAATACCTACTATGGAGGGCAAGGTTTGGCTTGGTGTGATAATCTGTCTTGTCTTGTCTTGTTGTGGTAGTGTTGCTGGTGGTTGGTTGCTTGTTTGTGTTTGTATCTATCTGTGTTTGGCAACTCTCGTGGTCGCTAAAGAGAGAGAGAGAGCCTCGCAGACTACTGTTGGTCCTCCCCTTTCCTTAGATTCGTACTCGGTACCGAGTACACATGGCATGATTCGCTGTTTGATCGATGGTCGCCAGTGAAGTGCCTCGGGGAGAATCCCCACCGGGGTGCTAGTTCGCGTAGACGGTTCACGGCCTTCTCTCGCCTTTTTTTTGTGCCCTCTCCCACCTAACCACCCACACGTGTCGAACCATGTACGGCGTATAACAATAGGCGCTAGGGAGGTGAGATGCGAGGCCACTAGGCTGCTGCCCCAGAGATGCATTATTAAGGAGTTCCCAAAGTTCGGGGTAACACCGTAACGAGTGGGAGGAATGACGACGGCAATGGATATGGACATGGGCATGGCAGCTATCATCATTCATCCATCGAAATCTCCAAGAGGTGTATACTGTACATAAGTCTATTGTTGTGAGTGGCTGTGTGGGAAGAGAAGAGCTCTCTCTACTCGGCTGCCCACATGGACACCTGTCGAGTACTCCTCCTCCTCCTCCCCGGATCCCAAACCCCCCACACGCCGGTCCTTGCTGTATCAGATGGACAGTAACGGGACCTGGACCTGGACTTGGACCTGGAACTGTGGCGGTGGCTGGTCGTTCTTCTCCTCCTTCCAGTAGCACCTACAATTTCCCGATCCATCAACCAATAATGACTCCCTCAAAACCTTCGCAAACTCTCGTGTCATAAGAATCATCGGCATTTGCATCTTTGAATCATGCTTCATAAGAACCCAAAATTAGGGGGGCCCAGCCCAACTAAACAAGCCTGGTGGTAAGAGCCCGGATGGCCGCTCTCTCTCCCAGTCAAAGTGCCTCCCTCCCCTCGGCAGATGCAGATCCTCGACCACCTGCCTCAACGATCTCTCAGGAGTTACTAGTCACAGTCATCACGGGAGCTTCTCAAATTACTACTCTCTCACTAGCTGACGCCGGAAAAGGGCACCAAACACCGCTGCCAAGGGGGACAGTCATCATGAGCCCGATAGACCCGCCAGGGGCCCCGGCAGGTCGCTTGAAGCCCAGCTATTCTATAAGGGAGAAAGGCTGAGCAACGGCAGTTGTATTTTCTGCACACCCCACGACGGCCATGATTGGTACAGCCGTTCTGGGGCGTGTCTCCAGGTGGAGAACCATCTTCTGGGACGACTTCCTGCAGGACTGGGCGAACTCTGGGCGGAACTGGGGCAATTCCGTCGACCGCCTTTCCCCTGCCCCATGGGGCGAGATCATTGGAGAAAAAGACCTGCATCACGGACCAGGCCCACGCGAACGAAGCTTCCGAGGCTGCTGGTCTGGCATCCTCCTCATGCACGAGGTCGAATGAATTTTGTACCAACTTGATGAGGGGGCCCTGCTGGCTTTGTGGATAAGTAGACCGGTCAGGCCACTACATCGCCGTCTTTCTGTTCCTGTTTCTCTTTCCTTTGAAAAAATCAGCCCCGGTGTCTTCGACTGTACGCAGACCTCGGAGAGCAAAACAAAAACAAAACAATCAAAGTGGTGCACCCTCTTTTGGTTGTGGAAGCCCTGCCAAAATGGGTCTTGGAGTCCAAGAAGGTAAGGATCACCAACCCCGATCAATACTCTCGTCCCTCGTCACCCACCCATATTGACAAGTCGGTCTACAGACAAGAAGCTGGACCACGTCCCGGGAACGGTCCTGCTGAACGATGAAGCCGCCCACTCAGAAGCCGTCACGTCGGGGCTCAAGCACGGCAGAGGCCGCGATGCCCATATCGTGCTGTCGCCTCAGCCCAGCGAAGACCCCAACGAGTAAGTTGCGCCGTGAATCGTAGAGAAGAAGCCTCGTTCGCCAGGAATATCGTCCATGGTTGGTTTGGATCCAGGGCGCAGGCTAACGAGTACGTGTACAGTCCCTTGAACTGGTCACTGTGGAAAAAAGAAATCATCATCGCCATCCTCTGCTTCGGGTCGATGCTGAATGCCGGCACCAATGTAAGCAGGCAGCGGACGATGTGTGGCTGTAAAGCGACTGTTTCTGATTCTCCTGTGTTAGGGACCTTTCCTCAACGCGTCGTACTTCGAAATGGCCCAAGATCTGAACACGAATATCACGACTGTCGTCTTGGTCTCTGGATATAACCTCTTGGCTGCAGGATGTATTGGCCCATTCGGTATGTGTTCTCTCGACCCCAGTTCTCCCTCCTGGTATCAGTGGTTGAACGTCCACTAACCCACGGGTGCGTCTCGTCCAGTCTCCGCCTTCAGTCGCAAATACGGCAAAAGACCCGTCTTCCTCGTCTCGACGCTCTTCGACATTGTCGGCACCGCCATCGGCGAGGCCAAGATCTCGTACAAATATCTCCTCGCCGCCCGCATCGTTCAAGGATTTTCGACCTCCGCCTTTGAATCCCTCATCGTGGCCACCGTCGGCGACATGTACTTTGTGCACCAGCGCGGGCTACGCATCTCGATCATCAACTTCATCCTCAACTCGGCCTCCAGCCTGGCGTCGGTCATCTGCGGTCAGGTCTTCCAAAAGCTGGGCTGGCTGTGGCTGTTCCACATGTTCCAGATCTTCCTGGTCGTGCAGTTCGTGCTCATGTTCCTCTTCTGCCCCGAGACGACCTACATCCGCGACACGCGCTACAACACCGACACCGCCGTGGACGAGAAGCTCCAGGACCTGGCCGTCATCGAGGCCACGCACAAGGAAATGGTGGGCGAGCCGGGCCAGGGCGAACGCACCGACATTCCCAAGAAGAAGACGTTCGTGCAGGAGCTAGCCGTCTGGACCGGGGTCTACTCGCACGACAACGTCCTGAAATTCCTCCTCGGCCCGTTCTTGACGCTTCTCAACCCGGCCGCCTGCTATGCCATCATCGCCTCTGGCGTGCTCAACAGCTGGTAAGTTTGCGACAAGACACCCGCCGCCCTAAACAAATCCCTAACCGCTCCTCAGGTATGTCGGTTCCGCGATCATCTTGTCCGGCATCTTCTCCGGTCCGCCCTGGAATTTCAATGCCTCTCAGATCGGTTACGTCGGATTCGGTCCCTTCATCGGCGGATTGATCGGGTCGATCATCACCGGCGTCACGAGCGACTATGTGATCAAATGGCTGGGTCAGAAGAACAAGGGAGTCTAGTGAGTGGACCTTTAACATCCTTCCGTCCCGGCTTGAGATTCGAGTCCGAAAAAGAACCAGAACAGGACAGAAACTGACGAGTCTGCCACCATCTAGCGAGCCCGAGTTCCGTCTTGTCTTCATGGCCCCCGCCGGAGTCGCCTGTGGCCTCGGAATGTTCCTGTTCGGCTATACTCTCGCGGTGGGCTCTGCCGCCGTGCTGTGCGCGTTCCTGCAGGGCGTCATGATGGTGGGCGTGTTGATCGGTATCTTTGCGACGCTCTCGTATGGCCTGGACTCGTTCCGAGAACAGAGCAATGAGATCTTTGTCATGAACATGCTGTTCAAGGTGCGTTTTGGCTCCTCCGTCCATCCTTCCTTTTTCTCCCCATTCTCCTTCTTTTCACCGTGTTACTAACCCCAATTCACCACTGCAGAACTTCATGTTCTACGGCCTCTCCAACTACGCCAACAACTGGGTCGCAGACCACGGGCCCGAACAGATCATGTACGTGTTCGGCGGCACCTCGATCTTCCTCTCCCTCCTGGCTATCCCGGTGTACATCTTCGGCAAGCGCCTGCGAAGCTGGTGGGCGCGGCACGACCTGTTCAAGACGTTGAAGATGGAGACGCACGGCCCGGTGGGTGAGATGGGCTAATTTGTTCTGTGCTTGGATCCGAGACCGCTAGGCCGGGGGGTTAGAGGACGGGTCTGGGGTTGAAGTAAAGGCCAACTGATCAAGTGATCCTAGACCAGACCATTAAGGTCGGGACGGGATGGCATGGGATGTTTGGGGTCACCTTACTGTATAGCTCGCTCGCCAGCCTCGACTCAGTCCAGTCCAGTCCAGTCCACTGCAGCCTAGCGAGATTCAAATCCCATATTTTTTCTCTGAGAGATCCCGGATGTTTTAACACAAGTCTTCGGAGTGACGAGGAGCTTCCACCTGCGGTCCCAGTTCCCTGCCTACCTCGAGGGAACTCCTACCCGAGATTCGAGATTGCTGGAATGCTCTTCTCTCCCCCTTTCTCCCTTTTCCCCCTCTCTTCCTGTTCCTCTTCTATCTCACATCTATTTCTTTCTCTTGCAGTTTAGAGGACTGGTCCATGACATTCCCCCTTTTCCTTCTTCTCTGATTATTGACATGCATGCCTGCATGCATGTCCTTCTTTCTCACTTCGCCTGGCTCGGTCCAGCTCATGGACAGAGTTATTCCAAGCCTTCGCGAGACGAACGCCGATATAAAGTTTTCTCGTATAGATATGCAGGCTCGGCCGAGGGATTTGGGGCTTCGCGTGTTCGCTCTCGGCTTTATCCCGTTCAATAATCCCTCTCCCCGTGCGTTGACCTGTTCCAGGCGGTCTTTCGAAGCAAAACACAGCCAGCCCACTAGCTGCGGCGGCGAGCGTCTTCGCTATGTCGTATGCCTGAGAGGCCACATGGGCAAATTTGACATTCTCCGCCGTGCCTGGTCCCAACGCGCTCAGATGGTGTCTGCATTCCGGAAATCCGAGAGTGCAGACTGCCCTTGGGTATACTTCTTGGCTTGCTTGCTTGCTTGTTAAGCTACTTACCTGCGGACAAAGAAGATCGAACCCTTCACCTCAAGTGCGTCTTTTGCCGTTGCAACCCATATACATTCGTCTCCGCCTCCATCTCCGTAGCCGTTAAGTCTCTCTTCCCCGAACAAGAAAAGTGTACGATATGCTTTGGCACCAATGCGCAACTGCCCCGCCCCGTGTCACCGGGGCAGGGGATTCGCTGCTTGCAAGCTGCCTCAGACTCGCACGTTCGCAACTAAGCTTGCAAACCAGGCACATCCTCGTTGCTTGTTTTTGTGCCCTGCATGCGGCCTCATCCGGACGACGGCGCAGCAGGGTCGATGACAAAGACTGAACACGCCACGCAGGCCATGCATGCTGTGCATCACTGAACACCTATTGCCGGTTGGTTGGTTCGCGGGTAGTGCCTCGTAGGAGCGAGCGAGCGGAGATGTCGATCACTCTAGCACCGAGTTATCCTCGCTGTAAAGCTACGCGGGACATTCAAGAGGGACCTCTGTATGGGCTGCTCCTTGCTCGGTGCCGTAGAAGTATGAATGGTTTCTCGGACGAAGAAAGTCCGGGGGGCCTGACGAAAGGCTTGTTATACGCGAGCCTCCAATGGTATATAGAGGGGACGAACTTGCCTGTGAGATCCGTTCCATAGTTCCCTAGAAACTGAACAGCAAATAGAGCCGGCTGTCGAACTACCAGAAATTCAACATAAATCCTCCAACAACCCCCACAATGTCGACTCCTGAAGTGGCCATCATCGGCGCCGGCCTGGCCGGCCTCACTCTGGCCCTGGCTCTACACAAGCAAGGCATCAAAGCCACGATATACGAGTCCAGGCCGGCACCTCTCAACATCGGCGGGGCGGTCATGCTCTCTCCCAACGCCCTCAAAGTCTTGGATGCCTTGGACTTGTACCAAGACGTCCGTGGACGAGGCTATAATTTTGAAATGCTCAAGGTGGTCAAAGTCGACGGTGAACTCATCGAGACCTACGAGTTTGGCGGCAAGGAGAAATACGGTTACCAGGCCAATCGATGCTACCGCTACGAGCTCATCGACGTCATCCTGTCCAAGATCAAATCACTGGGTATACCAGTGGTATTTGGTCGAAAGTACGCTCGCGTCGTTGAGGAGACCGAGGACCACATTGTGTGGGAATCGACCGACGGCGCACAATCCACCGCTTCTTTCCTCGTGGGAGCTGACGGCATCCATTCATCGGTCCGCAAATACCTGTATCCCGATGTGGAACCAAAGTTCATTGGGATGGCAGGCATCACCTCAGCTGTCCCGGCGAGCCAAGTCACCTACCCCTATGGAAAGATTGACCAGCCCTTGACCATCACCGCCGAAGGGAAGGGTGCGTTCGTCATTGCGCCTCAGAAACCTGACGCCTCGGAAATGTTCTTCGGAAAGCAGAAACGGATCGACGAGCTCGACCGCGAAGGATGGGACAAATTCCTTGCGGATAAGGAAGGCCTGGTCAAATTCTTGCAGGAAGATGCCGAAGCATTTGGCGAGGTTGCCGTGACCGCCACCTCAAAGATTCCGCACGACAAAATCAACGTGTGGCCCTTCTATGTCATCCCCCATCTGGACAGGTGGGCGTCTCAGAAGCGCAGGGTCGTGATCCTCGGAGATGCCGCCCATGCAATTCCCCCCAGTGCCGGGCAGGGCATCAATCAAGCATTTGAGGATGTGTACATGTTCTCCCTTCTCCTGGCGGCCGTCAAGAACCAGGGCGTCAATTTCGAGCAGGCTTTGACATTCTGGCAGGGCTTCCGTCAAGACAGGGTCAACAAGATCTTGGAACTGAACAAGCAGATCGACCTGAGGAGGATGCCTAAAGGTACGCGTCCCGCTGGTCTGGCGGATGAGGTGGTGCAGAAGGATTTTGACCTGCAGTGGCTTTACGAGCCTGATTTTAAAGCAGAAGTGGAAAACTGGATTCAAAGCTCCAGATCTTAGAGAATGAGGGGAGGGGCAGCTGCTACCGTGTTATAGGGTCGATTGAGCTAGGTTAGATTGCGAATGAACATCAAAGCAACGCTATGGAAGGCGTACAGAGTGAGGATGAAGCGGAGGGATAGAGAGCGAGAGACAATTGTATCTTCAAATGACGCGTCACACACAAACATGTCCCTTTTCTTGGCGTCATTCGAAATTTCACTTTCATTTCTCATGTCTTCCGATTTAGTTGGGCCACCACCACCCATCCACCATCTATCTTATGTGTGAAATCGCCTCAAAATAAGGAAGCTGAACGTCCTTCCCCCCAGTCAGGCAGTGCTGCAGCCTTCTGAGTCTCGTCGGACAGGATGGCCACCTCGACCGAGCCTCATATGGACGGCGCAAGTGACTCGTCGTCGCTGTCGGATCCTCTCGACACAACCAATGATGAAGGCTGGGAAGACATAGAGCAAGATGAGGAGCCCATGACTGTCGTCTCTTTGCTCGATGCGACCACGTTTCCCTCTGCGCAGAGTATGCTGGCCCACTGCCGAGACTCGCGTGGCTTGGATATCTGGAAATTAAGGCAAGAATTTGGTGAATATTGAAGATTTCTCACGGGACAGGATTGTGCTGACACTGCTGTTTGATTAGATCTTGACTACCTAGGACTCGTCCGGCTGGTCAATTACATCCGATCGGAGGTCAAGGCTGGCAATTCGCTGCCCGACGTCTCTTCGAAAGCTCTGTTCGATGACGAAAAGTATCTCAAGCCTGTCCTGGAAGATGATGCGCTGTTGTACAGTCTGGACGATGTCTTCGAAGAGAGCGTGAATCCCGCTCCGCTTTCCGAAGTCGAACAACTCCGAGAGCAACTGGCAACTCTACAGAGTCAATTCTTCGCCTATCGGGAGCAAGTACAGAACGCCATGCTGGATCGCTTCGGACAGGCGGATCCTCCACAAGTTTCGAGTGCCACTCTTAATGGTGCAGCAGTGGATGCAGGAAACCGAGGCAGGAGCCAGGCTGAGCAATTCGACAAAGATTATTTCCAGTCCTACTCGTACAATGCGATCCACGAATCGATGATCAAGGATCGCATACGGACCGACTCCTACCGTGACTTTATCTACGATCACAAGCATCTCTTCAAAGACAAAGTGGTCCTGGACGTCGGTTGTGGCACGGGCATATTGTCCATGTTCTGTGCAAAAGCCGGCGCCAAGCTCGTCATTGCGGTGGACAACTCGGGCATCATCGACAAGGCTCGCGAAAATGTGTTCACCAATGGCCTGCAGGACATTGTGAAGTGCGTCAGGGGCAAGATTGAGGAGGTCACTCTACCGGTCCCCAAGGTCGATGTGATCGTCAGCGAGTGGATGGGATATTGTCTCCTGTATGAGTCTATGCTCGACTCGGTCATCTACGCGCGAGACAAATATCTCGCCGCGGATGGCTTAATGGTGCCTTCCCACGCGACGCTGCGAATCGCTCCACTTGCCGACTCGGACCTGAAGGCCTCCCACATTGACTTTTGGCGCGACGTGTATGGTTTCGACATGACGGCGATGCTAGAGAAGGCGCACGAAGAAGCCCTGGTGCGGGTGGCAGACGAGAAGGAATTGGCCGGCGAGAGCGTTGCATTCCTGGAACTGGACTTGCACCAGACCACAGTGGACGACTTGACCTTCACCAAACCTTTCAGAACGACATGGCGAGATGGATTCAAGCTGCTGGAGGGCTTTGTCGTCTGGTTCGACATCTTCTTCAACACGTCGCGGTCCGAGAGTGTCCCTCCCGGGATGACAGCTGCTGAAGCCAAGGCGAAAGGCGTGGTGTCCTTCTCGACCGGGCCTCATTCTGAAGCGACGCATTGGCAACAGGGGATTTTCTTGGTCAAGGACCCCGTCGATGAGTTCAGCGCTGGGGACAGCCTTGCCGGCGAGGTGACTTACCTGAAGAAGCAAGGTCAGGAGAGGTCGTTGGACATTGACATTGCGTGGAGAAAGGAGAGTGTGGGCAGAAAGGAAAGGGAGCGGGTGACGAAGCAGAGGTGGATATTAGATTGATTCCTTCTTCCCTCGACACGATGTTTATGACCAGGTCGCTCATTCCCGGATCTTCGGATGAAGGAGGATTTTGTCCCGCTCACACCAGTGTGCAATACTGGTATCTCAAATATGGGCACGGGATACCCGTGACGTGAAGAGAATTCAAGAAAAAGTTTTGATAAGTCCATAGACCTGGATGCTGGCGATCAAAGGAGCTTCAGAAGATGCCCCGTCACCTCAGATCACATGAGAACGATGAGATGAGTATTCTATCAAGGCGAAGTTGAAATTTTGCTCCTGCAGATTTTGCTGGGTCTCTGCTCTTTGTCGCGAACGCGTTCATGGGTGATAGAGAGAAAATCATCCATCCCTCTGGTAGTGAAAGTGAAGGGAGGCTTTCGAGGGCTATCCCAGGGCATCAAAGTAGATATACCTTGATAGGGGAACACGATAAATTCTACAGAATCCTAAGGACCATCCAAGTAAGATAACTATCCAGCAGGAATGAACGAGGGGGCTGAAGGCGTCCCAGCATGACAAGTCTGTCTGCCAGTCAGTCAGTGAACCCACTCGCCAGTCACCACAGATCTCGATATGTACGCACCTCGGCAGCGCACTTCCCACGAACCAGTCACATTCTCACCCGTACAGTCGTACCCACAATCACATGCTCAGGAAAATGCAGATATATATATCACGACACCCAGAATGTCTGGAAAATTCGTCCGTTTCCAGCGGGTGAAATTTATTCTCTGTCCAAGAGTAAAATCATTGTCGCTCCGCTGGCGCAATGGTAGCGCGCCAGACTTCTATACTGATGGAAATCTGGAGGGTACGTTCATTCCCTCCATCACCGCGCTGGTCAGCAGAGTAAAAATCTAACAGACGTGTCTATAGCTGTGTGTTCGAGTCCCACGCGGAGTGTCTTCTTTTTTTTGTCTTTTTTCTTTCAAACATGGGAGGAATAAAGAGAGGTACATTCGGGAGGTGGCGAAAGAAAGAAAAATCATGGTGAATGACGTGGTTGGCGGGGGCTCCCTCCCTACCTACCGTACCTAGGCTTGGCTGTCGTTACCTTTCTGAACACCCCCCAGATGATGTGACTTCGAACAAACCAAATCTTCCAGAGAGTGCATATGCATACCAGATCTATCGGCCTGCCTGCTTGGGCGTGCAATGACTAAACTATTAGGTATCGGTAGGCAACTGACCACGCCTCCTCCCCTCCTCCCTTCCCCCCTCTCTCTCTTTGTGTCCAGCATACCTAAGAATCAATGCAATGTCTCTTCTCCCCCCGGCCCGGGGGCGGCGGCGAAGACATACTGTATGAATGTACATCCATGGTCCCCCCACGGGGGCCCAGCCCAGCCCTGGCCCAATGCCGTATCAAGTTCCAAGGTAATTTGGTTATTGGCCTGCCTACCGAGTAATCACTGTGTCCGTGTAATGCCACTCAGCCGATGCAAGGCTTGCCCTTTGCGCCGCAACGAGGCAATGGGGGCCCCGTAGACCGGTCGGTGGAGTAAGTAGGTATTTTACCTACTGGGCCCCGACCACCGACCGCCGACCACCTACCCCAGCACACAACCGAATCGAACCTCCGCAAGCATGATTGATCGATCAATTGATTAATTGATTGATTGATTGATGATGGATGGACGGATGGATGGAAGGTGGGTTACCTTTTCGCGTGAGGTCAGAGTTGAGCTAGCTGACCTGCCCTACTACTGAGGAGAAAGAGGTAGGTGCAGGAGAGGGGGCACATCGACGCAAAGATGGGCGAGACGTCTTCTCCTCGATATATATTATTATATACTGAGGCACTCAGTGAGTCCTGCCTGGGTGGCTTCTCGCCTGCCTACGACTTACTGTATCTGCCGATCTGCGTGTCTTGCGAACATTGCCGTGTCTCCTACTTGTCTGTTAGCTAGCTAGCTAGCCAGCCGCGGTCAACCAGTCAGCCTCGACCGACCTTCCGAGAACTCTGAGCGAGCCTGTTAGAGTGGCAGATAGGCAGACAGACAGACAGACAGACGAATCGGAGAAGGAGAGGAGGGAGGAACTGAGTGGGTGCAATGGCGCTCCTCTCCTCGGCCGCAGCCTCGTGCGTATGTATCCCTTCTCCCTACCTCGTGTAGATATTCATTTATTCTTTCCATGGCGTCCGGAAATTCTGAACACTTCGTACTGAAACAGCTGTGTAAACGTCATAGTGCAGCCAGCTCCTGTCCTCCCTTGGTGCGTCCCAGGTGTCCTTTCCCAACAGCACGGTCTACATCGCGGCCCAGTCGTCGTACTGGTCGATCCAAGAATCGTCGCTGATCCCGACCTGCATCGTCAGCCCGATGTCGGCGCAGTCCGTGTCGACGGCCGTCTCCATCCTGTCGGACGGCGAGTGCGCGTTCGCCATCCGCGGCCAGACCCACGCGCCCGCCGCGGGCTTCGCCAACATCGCCGGCGGCGTCACGCTCGACATAACCAGCCTCGCGAACGTGTCCCTCAGCCCCGACCGCAGCGTTGTGTCCGTGGGCGCGGGTGCCTCCTGGCTCTCCGTCTACGCGTACCTTGACCAATTCAACCTCAGCGTCGCGGGCGGGCGCAACGGCGCTGTGGGTGTCGGTGGGCTGACGCTGGGCGGCGGCATCTCGCACTTCACGGCCCGCGTGGGCTGGGTGTGCGACAACGTGGTCAATTTCGAAGCCGTGCTCGCATCGGGGGCCGTCGTCGACGCCAACGCCACCTCGCATCCGCTGCTCTTCCGCGCCCTGAAGGGTGGCGGCAACAATTTCGCCGTCGTGACGCGCTTCGACCTGGCCACCTTCCCGCAGGGCGACGTCTCGGTCACGACACTGAGTTACGACATCGTCGAGCGGGACAGCGTCTTCGGCGCCTTCACCAACTTGACCACCGCCTCGCCCTTTGACACCAACGTCTCCCTCGTCATGGGCCTCTTGTTCAACGCCACGAGCAAAGCCTGGACGCTGAGCAACTCGGCGGTGTACACAGCACCAAACCCTGATCCGCCAGCGTTTCGCCCGCTGAAAGCCATTCCTCACCTGTCAGACACGACGGAATTGACGAATCTATCCACGTTTGCGAACGAAAGCGCGACGCCGCCTTTGTAAACCAAAACCACCCCCCCTCCCTATTTTCAGGAGCCAGGCGCTAACAGGTCAAAATCCAGGAACTGGCTCTTCTGGACAGGCACGTATGCCGCCTCGGCCTCGCTGATGTCCCAGTCATTTGACATTCTTAACACCAGCCTCTACAACTTCACCGTCCCCGGCGGCGTGGTGTGGAGTGTCGCCTTCGAGCCCTTTCCGACAATCATTTCGTCGTACGCCGCCACCAAGGGAGGAAACTCACTTGGCACGTCGCCCGCCGATGGGAACGGATATATCCTCCTCATCTCGGCGCTGTGGCCGAATAGCTCGGCCAACAGCCTCGTCTATCAGACCGCGCGGTCGGCCGGTGCACAAATCGACGCCCTCGCCGCGGTGAGGGGTCAGCTGCACCGGTTCCAGTACCTCAACTACGCGGATCCGACACAAAGTCCCTTGCAGAGTTATGGGGCGGCGAACGTCGCAAGACTGAAGCAGGCAAGCCGGCAGTATGATCCGGATGGCGTCTTCCAGACATTCGTGCCGGGTGGTTTTAAATTGTCGTGACAGTCTCCGGAGTCATAGTCTGCGGAAAAGGAATTGCAGGGAGTGATAGTTGTTGACCAGGTTGATTGTAATGGTGGGCTGTTCGCCGCACGGGATGGGACGAGTGGTTCCAGGTGTTTTGATGCCTCGAGAGCGGATTGCTCCAATTTGATGAATCTGAAAATGCTTGTAGTCCTCCACCTTTGAACGAATGGTGATGATTGATTCGGAGACCAGCACCCTGCGATCAGAAGTGCAGCTTAATCTCTCAACTGACCTCGAGCCACGAGAACCACTTCTCTGCAGGCTCGCCGTTCAGTCGCGCGGCCTTCCTCTTCACACAGTCGACCGTGTACTCGTCCTCAGCCCCGTAGATCTTGAGGGCCAGATCCAGCTCCTGCTCAGCCCAGTAGAGGCTCTTGGCCTGATCGCCGCTGCGGTGGTTGGCCAGCGACAGGTTCTGGCACGTGAAGATGCTGCTTTGGTCGACGGGGCCGCGGTAGGCGTTGGACGCGGAGTCCAGCACGAGGATGCTCTCGAACACGCACTCCGCGTCGTCCCACCGATTCTGCTCGCAGTACAGATTGCCCAGGCGGCGCAGACAGTTGCGCGTCGCCAGGCTGAACGGGCCGTGAACCTCGCGGCTCGCGCAACAGGCTTCTCGGATCAGGGCCTCGCTCCGCTCGAACTCGCCCTGGCGCATCAGCTCGACCGACAGGCTCTGCTGCAGCATAAGGACGTCGGGGTGCGCCGGGCCGAGCTCCCGTCGGTTCAGGTCAAAGATGACGGTTATGGAGGGCTGCGCGACGCCACGCATCACGTCCCAGTCCACGAGTCTGCTCACGATGTGGGTCAACGGGTGCTGACTGCCCAGCGCCGTCGTGGACATGGAGGACATGAAGCGCAGCACGGACTGCCACACGTGCTGATAGCGTTCCCAGCGGCGGTTGCCCATGACCATCATCAGACTCACGAGGGTGAGGTTGGTGGGACGCAGTAGATACTCCTCAGCCATGTCACAGCCCCGTTGGAAGTCGGCAAAGGCGTTCGAGACCTCCCCTTGCTCCAGGAGATTCAGGCCGTGCTGGAACTGATTCCAGATGTAGTTTTTCCGGCGCCGAAATGGTTTACTTTGTGAACCGAGGGTGTCGCCCGGGCTGAGCGGAGCCGGGACTGCCACAAAGGACTTGACAAAGGCGTGGGTGGCTAGCACGATTGATTCGACCGTGTCGTTGAGCTCGTCCTTGATCAGGAAGCCGGGCGCGGGACTTGGGACACCGCGGAGTCGCCTGGCCAGCTCCTGCTGTCCGCCTGATCGCAGTCCTAGACCCTCCGGATCAAGATCGTCCGGCGGGGTGAGTCTCTCCCGTGGCAAACCGCCCGGCCGCGCCGATGAAGAACTCGTGGTGGACCGACCGTCATCTTCGGTTTTGTTCGGCGAGGCGGTAAAATCGCTGCTGAAGGTCGAGACCAGAGCCGTGTCGGGATCAAACAGGATGCCAGGCGGATTCGAAAGTGGAATGCCCGCCCGATAGTATTTGCGGATCCCCCACGATCTGAGCTTGTTCTTGTATGACCGGCACCTACATGGACGAGAGGTCAGCGGGAGCAGGGGGACACAAAACCACCACAGAAAATAGTGTTCCCGTACGAGGCCCTGAAGTGGTATTTCTGGCGGAGAATCCTCTGGACGTCCAGGAGATTACGCCCGTCGTCGACATAGAGCTTTTGAATCAGAGACTTGTAGTCCGCCCAGTCCGCCAGTGATGGAGGGTACGCCGGTTTCGGGGGCGTCGGGACTTGGACATCCGCCGTGTCGAGGACAGCAGTCGCGACAACAGGCGACTCGTTCTCCGACCCGCGTCTCGGAGGTGTGTCCATAGCTACTTACTACATGCTTGTGAGAGCATGCAGAACATGGCAAGTGCAAAGCTAGTACCCACGTACAAACGTACACAGCGCAGTCAGAAGGTAGAATGCCGACAGTAATAATCCAGAATGCGACGACGTAATGGGGGAAAAGGTGTAAGGAAGTAGGAAGTGTGGTTAGTGAGGCTTAATAACGACGAGGTCGGTGAGGCGTAAAGAGGGGAAATAAATCATCATCGTCACAGGCGAAATTCCGGCTACGACGCATTTAATACTCTCTACCACATAAAATACTCGAGACGGCCCTGGCTTTTTGCAACAAGATTATGGATTATCTGTGTGTAACCCGCGAGACATGTCATAAATCATCCTCTCACATTCCTGCCGTGAAATCCTTTGTGATGAAGCCCACTCCTGATCATTTTCCCTGAAGATACACTTCCAACCGTCTTGCTTCGGGGCTAATTCATTCTTCGCATCCGTGTGAGTGCGATAAGAATCACCAGTAGTCACCAGCTTCAGAGTTTGCTCTGGCCGAGGGTGACTTCGACCATCAGAAGATCCCTTGTGGTCATCCCAGCAAATTCTTGTTTGTAACGGGCGGTGTTTCCGTAATCCATCATGGAAAAACCCGCAAGCTAAAATCAATGTCTCCCTGTGGTTGGTACCAGTGGAAGACGGTACGTCCCAGTTCAGTGACGGCTGTCTCAAGGACAGCCTGTCTTTGACTTAGCGTCCAAAGGTCCGCCATATCTGAATAAGCTGCCAGCGAAGGTTGGCCGAGTTGCGTCGCTGGAAGAGATCAACTGCGGGAGGACAGTGGCTGTAGACACGTCCAGGGAGCTGAGAGAAGGCAAGCCGCAACCTTTGGCATCCGCATAAAACCACATCAAACCGTTACCCACTTCCAGCAGGAGTCATTTTCACTCAACCCAGGCGGCAGACCCTCCAGGTGCATCCCACACCATCGATTGCTGTAGAGATGGTTGTGAGCCGACACTCAGGCGTACCACAAGTCCATGAAGACGGGCTCCAACTACGCGGTCTCGTCGTCATCAAAGATCTGGAAGGTGTTGTTGAGGATCGTCTCCACGACCTTCGCCTGCCATCCCGCGTCGGCGATGTCTGCCCCTCCGGCTCCATTCCCATTCACGCCGCCTTGCTGCCCCATCAGTGTCGGAGCGAACACGATGGCGAGATTGCTGTTGGTCATCTTGTTCCTGGCGCTGTGCTGTGCGACTTTGTGCAAATGAATCGCCAAGATTCGGAGAGTCGCATAGTTGGGATCAGGCAGAGCATTGACCAGGGCATGGATTGAGTCTCTGCGCACAATCTCGTCCTCTATCTTCGCGGCTTGAATGAAATCTCGGTACTGTGCTGCCGTGAGCAACGGATCTGGAAGGTCACGAAGGAAATGCTTGAGCAGTGTGGTCACAGAAGCGATATCCTCGTGGAAAGCCGCCGGGTTGCGGAGGTCGACTGCGTTGGCATCTAAACAGAGGTCAGTCTTATACTTCACCCACTAGAGATCGGTCATCTTACCGTGATCGAATTGCTGTCGTAACTCCATAATCCAGTTCGTCGGTCCAGAAGTCCTGTAGATGCCTTCGACGTCCAACCCAAATATCTCGACGGCTTTAGTGCACTGCATGACAATGGTTGGCACGGCGGATCCTTCTCGTTGGAAGAGCTCGTCCAAGGACACTCCGAAAACCGGTCGAATGGGAGGGCCTGGTCTTGGAGCTACTTGGGCTCTTGAGGGCAGGACGTTGACGCCACCGGCAGGAGCGGGGCGAGGTGCACCGTTCTGAGGTCCGTTTGGTCCTGGGCCAGCGGCTCCACGACCGGCTCCCTGAGGAGGACCAGGTTGTTGCGCGCCGGCTGGAGCAGGACCGCCATTTTGCGGCGGCTGTCCTCGGCCCATGGCTCCTGGTGGTGGTTGACCGCGGCCGGCTGCTCCTGGTGGTGCTCCCCGTCCCATTCCGTTCGGGGGAGGTTGTCCGCGTCCCATGGCGCCTTGAGGTGGCTGGCCCCGGCCAGCACCGTTTGGCGGCGCTTGGCCTCTTCCCATTGCCCCTTGTGGTGGTTGACCTGGACCTGGTGCTCCTTGAGGCGGTTGTCCTCGGCCCATTGCCCCTTGTGGTGGTTGGCCTGGGCCAGGTGCTCCCTGAGGTGGTTGACCGCGTCCCATGGCGCCTGGTGGTGCGGCGCCCGGACCAGATCCACCCTGAGGTGGCTGACCCCGTCCTACTGCCCCTGGTGGTGCTTGCCCACGACCCATGCCTTGCGGGGGTTGACCCCGTCCCATGCCCTGGGGTGGTTGTCCTCGGCCCATCCCTTGCTGAGGCGGCGCACCTTGACCTTGCGGGCCCATTTGGCCTGGTTGGCCGTTTTGCTGCATTCCTGGAGCCTGCTGCTGTTGGTTCATTTGTTGCTGACTGGGAGGCGGCTGCCCCTGAGACACGGTCCGGACATGACCCGGCGCTGCCCCGGGAGCCTGACCGACGGGCGGCTGAGTGCCAGCAGCGGGATTATTCTGGAGAGGTTGTCCAGGACCCGGTGGCCTTTGAACAGGGCCTTGAGCACCCTGGGGCGCACCCATCTGCTGCTGCTGCTGTTGCTGCGGTGGTTGTTGTTGTTGCTGCTGCTGAGGGACTTGTCCAGGCGTCTGATTTCCCTGATAATACTGGGACTGAGAGCCATCATCATAATACTGCTCGCCAGGGTAAGGAGTGACTCCCGATACTTGCCTCCCCTGAGTTGGAGCATAAGGATCTTGATTGTAATACTGATCGGTGAAGCCAGGCTGCTGTTGTTTGGGCGAGAGCGAGGGATGTTGTTCATACCTGATCTCGTTAGGTCTCATTGGGGCTTTATTGCTAAACCCAAGCACGAAGTCGGCCAAGTCCTTCTCGTTATTGACGCCCGAGGCCAGTTCTCGCAGACTCTTAGTGCCTTGACCGGGGATCGGTGACGGCCCTTTGACGGGCGCAATGCATAGTCCAAAGCCCACCAGCAGCTTCTCACTGAGATCGGCGAATTTCTGCACATGCAGACTCAGTCCCGCATCGGTCTCCCTGATGAGTTCCGAGAGCGCATGCACCGTTTGCGGTCTCGAGGTGCTCAGCAACTCGTTTCGCAGATTTTGGGCAGCCTCAACCTTGGCGGAATAATCAACATCGGCGGCCTCGAGTTTGTGTTGTAGCTCTTCCTCTAGCTGGGCAGCGGATCTTTTTAAGCTAAACTTGCCAGGCTGCCGTTCCCCGGTCCTGGCGCGGTCGTACTGTTCCGCCAATGAGTTGTATCGGTATTTGGCCTTCTCCATGGCAGCTTCTGCCTCTTGCACCCGTTTTTCGGCGTTCATGCCAGTCTGCTTCCAATGTTTCCGCGCCCTTTCGGAATTGGTCGCCAGCTCGTGCAGTTCCTCCGACATGGCGTACAGGGTCACGACATATTGCAGGGCATGCTCGGCCATTCGCTCGTGAATGCTGGTCATCTCCTTGAAGTTTTGAGCGAAAGTCCCTTGTCTGCTGTCAGGTCTTCCTATCGACTCGTGCGTGCTCCGACTCAGTCTCTTCATGCCCTGTGCGTGTTTCTCTTCTAGAACCGCTCTTTCTTTCAGGAATGCCGCAAAGTCCTATCCACGATCAGCAGGCCGCATAGGTAGCAAGGCAAAGGGAGACGGTACTTTGGTGGAGCCAATGCTTTGTTTCAATCGTTGAAGCAATGTGCTCATGCCAATCTAGGAGGCCGGTCAGCAGAGGGCCGTCACGGGAACTCGAGCTCGTGCTTACATCTGAAGAGAGGACATGTTGCACTCTGTCTCTGGCCGCTGGATCCAATTGTTCTCCTGCACCCTCCGCCGTGGGAATGGGAGGCAGAGGCTGTTCATTTTCTCGCGAGGGTTGCGGTGTCGCCGGTTGAGGGGCGCCATTCATGGGCGCATTTGGCGCGACTGCGGCAGCCATCTCTGACACGCCTGAAGTCCAGCCAGCTCAATGAGAATGGATAGCGACGGCAGGAGTAGATGCGAACGATGAAAAGAGGGACGACATACGGCAGCTCTGAAGGACTCGGATCCGCTGCTCTGGCGAAGAGAAAGGGAAATCAAGTTGGATGAATCTTGGACGGCGTTCTGTTGGTGACGAATGCCCTGGGTTAACCTTTCTGTGCTCTTCCGCCACGCGCAGTGCCAAACCCCGTTACGATCGTCCCGAGCCCCCGTTATTATGAGAAGCTTAAGCTGACCCAGGCGTCATCTTTTGTTAAGCTGCCACCACTGCGCCTCGCTTAGCCACAGGGGTTGCGGCGCCCCTCCCCACCCTTGAACTCACAGGTCATTGCCTGAGGGGGGGCCATTCCTGGGCCTACCAGCAGCGGGCATTCCCTATGTCCCGACCCAAGATCGTCCTCGCAGGATTAGAGTGGCCAGCTATCCCTAACCCGACAGGGCATAGAGGAGGACCCCAGGTGTGTTATTATTGGCATCTGCCATCTGCACATAAGCTGACACATAGCACTTGTTGGTACCAGCCTGGAATACTATTGGGGCGATGGGCACTGGTATATACCTGTATGCGGTGTGGAGAGTTTCGATTTGCCTTCACAAGAGGACAATATAATTGATTACCCCCGACTACAGTCTGCCCCTGCGCCTGTCTTCACCGATCTTAAGCACGGGCTTGAGGTTCTTCTCCTGAACCGGTCCCAAAGACTGCCTAGTCCCAGTCTCCTCCCCCGAGCGTCTTCCTTTCGGAAGTACTCTTCGGCAGACCTGATCCTGGTGGGATGGATCTCGTCCAGGAGCTTATAATCTCGACGAATGACACCCTCGTTGCGTCCCGAATGCGTCCACATAGTGAAGAAGCCGGTGAAGTTCTGTTTGAACGTCATGAAAGCGGGATCCTTGGGGTCCGAGTTGTACCCTGCTCCCGTGTTGGCAGCGGCCGCCACGGTCCCCGTCGCCCAGTAGGTGTCCATATCTGTGTCAATATATCGGGCGGGGTGACCCGTGACTTTTTCAAACGCCTTGGCAAGGTCGGCATAGTGGATGTGATCGATTGCAACTTCAAGGTCCATGCCGTTTGACCGCTCTGGATGGTCGAATAGCCAGCGAACATAGTGCTCGCAGTCGTCCAGGGAGACGTGAACCACAGCTCCGTCTCCGACGGGGCAACGCCATGTCACAATCCCATGCTCGACCTTGGGCGTAAAGATGGTGTGTTTGGCGATGCTCATTTCGATGTACGGTCCCGTGGTAAAGACTGCGACGCCCATGCGGTGGCTGTTGACCTGGTTCTGGGCGAGAATCCACTCCCCGATCCTGCCCTTGCCGTCATAGTGACCGGTCCGGAAGCGGGGATCGTAGCCGCTCTTTTTGTAGACATAATCCAGGTTTCCATAGACGTAGAACCTGACGCCCTCCTCGAGAGCCAGCTCGTATGCCCTGATTGCCCAATAGATCTCGGTCTTTTCGCCAGAGTTGAAACCGTCGATGTTGACAAATGCTCCGTCGCAGCCACGGAACAGTTTGCGAAGATCCTCCTCGCTGGCGAAGGTGCCCTCGATCAGTTCCACATTTCCCATTGCCACGAGTTCTTTGGCCCTGGACGAATTAACATCTCGGGTCATGACCCGACATCTGTACTTCTTGTCCTTGACCAGGCCTCGAACAACCGGGATTCCCTGGGCCCCAGTTCCCCCGATCACGGCAACATAAGATGTGTGATGGTGAGAGGACATATTGCAAGGACGTGAAATCCGACAAGAAGCTGGGTGCGTACACGAAGTAACAGAAAACAAAATCTACCTGCCTCGTCCACCACCCAGCTCGAGGTTTTAAGGACTGTATTAAAGCGGTCCCATGTTGATTAGTATTCCGACTTCTTTAGCGCCTTCGCCGAGTCCTTCTCGCTGTGTTTACTAAACACAGGTCTGCTGAAATTGTGCGAAATTCACCCGCATGGCATTGTGTAAGGAATTGGAAATTGGAAGTTTGGCATGTGTTTAGCAGGCGGAGGGTATCACTATTGCATCCGGTAGCAGCATGGGTAAATACCTAAGCGAACCGTACAAAGACGCCACGGGTATCGAAAGAGGAGGTGCTTCTCGTCGTATAGTAATTCCCTGGCGTGCTTGGCGTCCTTCTCAGACCGCGGCAGAAGCTTTACTTTGTACGCACAGTGGACTTCTTAACTCAACGGCAATTGCCCACGCTGCCAACAAGGGTCCGTGGCATCCTAGCGGCGAGGAACCCACTGTTTATCCCAATGTTGTCCCTCCCATGACAGACCACGAGGTAAACGAGGAAACTAATCACCAGACCGCAGGTTCTCCCCTTTCGAGACACACCCCGACCATTGCGTCTCTACATATACGGCCGAGAACAACGGACATCTGTCTGCGGATCGAGGCGGCCGCCTCCATTTCACCAATGAGACTATCCTCTGGTGGGTGTGGAAAAAAGCATTGTCCGACGGCAGAAGGAGGAATTTCAAGATGCATTGTTGATGTCCGGTTGTACGACTGGTGCATCGAGGACTGAGTGTGGCCCTAAGATTGCAGTCCGAAGGTGGGAGGAGCAAGCCAGCCAGAAGGTAGGTTGAGAATAAGCAGTGGAGCACCCTCTGTAACTTGTATTGACGTTGGGGTTGAGGGCTGTTGTTGACGGGTCGAGCAGTGACCATCACCTCTGTTGGATAGGGCGTGTGTCTTCATTGGATCTCCAAAATCCTCTCAAAGTCCAGAGGGTCCTCCCCCCGGCTCAGGCGCCACTTGTTCGTGGAATTCTGAAAGTTGGTTGCGCCTTTCAGCAGGAAAGGCCATTTGCGTGCAAAGCATTCCGTTACTTCCCACCCTGTCGCGTCCCAGGGTTCCGACCATACAATCAACCCATTCGTCTCTTGAATGTCGAGGCCCTCCAGCCCCGTGCTCTCGCCATTCCCAACCATGTCAAGACACAACTGTAGATCATCAATCTTGTCTTCCCCGTACCGGAGGATGTTGTCTCTAATCTCCGGGTCAGGAAAGATGTCCCACATTGGATGGTGTGCCATGGTCTTTTGTAGTTCGGTCGGCTGCAGCGAAGGTGGCAGGTGGCGTATGTTCGAGGTGGCGCTCTGCGACAGCGGCAGGAACGGGGAAGGATAGTCGTCGGTGTACATGAGATTCAAGTCCAGGCCCAGCATATGGGTGTTGGAGATGAGTGCTCGGTACACGTTATAATAGATCAAAGAGATCAGATGATCGGAAGGAAGCGGATACAGCCAAGCGTTGTCGCGGTCCTTCTCCAGCTTCTCCGCCAGGTCCTTGATGGTGACCAGCCGGTTTTCCAGAAGCACCTCGTACCATCGCTGACAAGAGTTCTTGCTCCGGATGGATACAAAGGGCGACTGGCCTGTGGGGTCAAACGACTGGAGGGCCGTGTGCCATTCGGTTCGGTTGATCCTCTTGCTCCTCAACGCTATCAGGTCGTTAAGATCGGCCCGCTCGACCAGGGGCACATCTTTGAGCCGTGCAGCTCGAGAGGAGCTAGCACTTGACGAGGCGTCCTCCCCCACCTTCTTCTGAGCAGCCTTGCGTCGTCCTATTCGGCAGGTCAGCGGTCTGCATGGGCAAGGGCAAGAAGCACACAATCGGAACTCGGGGACGAAACAAGTCTTAAACCTACTTGCTGCTCGTTGGTTCAATCGATTCTGAAGTTTCCGACGGGTGGCAGGATCCGTGACCCCGGACCATTCCTCGTCTAGGGACTGCACGTCTGGATGTAATTTCAATTCAGCACGGAGACCTGGTGGAAGTGGCATGGTGTCTCTTCTTCACCCCTGCTATCTCCTCTGTGATGGTGATTCTGCACTCGCTGGGGGAGGTGTGGAAGACGACTGCTGACGGTTTGGAAGTGGAGGAACCTCTGATTTAACTGCATCTTGCTGACACGGAGGTAGAAGACCCAGTTCTGCCAGGAACAAGCGAAGGTGGCACCGGTGGCTTTTGCCGGAGGCACCAGCGGAGACATCAGGTGCGTTATGTCAGCATTCACTGTATCTGATTGGACACTCAGATCCACCTCATGCAGGCGGCTGACAGGTGGAGCCTCAGATTTCCCTCAAACCCAATCGCAACGACGCACGGACCGGAACAACTTCTGCCCATATTTCCCATCTGTCTACAAATACCCTTTGAGGGATATCGAGCACAGCAAGGCTGTACCTCTTTCACCTGCCAACTTCATCTGCATACGTCACTGGCACGGCAGCTCTGCGGAGAATCACTGGTCTACGGGCACGGTTGCCTCGAGGCGGTGTGGTCCCAGGGACAATGGAACCAAGTATAAAATCCAACGGCGCCAGTATGCTCAGGAGGATGGACCATCATCCCCATCACCAGCGGCAGAGCCACCAGCAGAACCAACCTTCATCAGAAACACACGTTGAAGAAAAAAAAGTCTCCATAGATAGCAATTTATCGCCAAATTCAACCAACCTCCTCAGCCCCCAAGCATGTCCCCTCGTCTCAACTGGACGCCAGACTCTCTCCCATCACTGGAAGGACGTACATATGTGGTGACAGGAGGCAACACCGGGATAGGGAGGTGGACGGTGCACCACCTCGCCCTGCACGGCGCAACCGTGTACATGACCTCACGCTCAGCGGAGAAAGGAGCGTCCGCGATATCGTCCATCACGGCGACGATCAAGGAAACACATCCTGAAGTCGTCGATGTCGAGCACCGGATCCACCTGGTGGTGATGGACCTGATGTCCCTGCGGTCCGTGGTGGCGGGCGCGAAGCGGATCCGCGCCGAGTGCACGCAGCTGCACGGCCTGGTCAACTCGGCGGGCATCATGGCCACGCCGTACCTGCTCAGCGAAGACGGCTACGAGTCGCAGTGGCAGACCAACTACCTGGCCCATTGGCTGCTGACACAGCACCTGCTGCCGCTGTTGGAGTCGACGGCGCGGACAGCGCCCGAGGGCACGGTGCGGGTGGTCAACGTGACGTCGGTGGGCCACGCCGCAACGTTCAAGGAAGGCATTCGCTTCGAGGACACCGGCCTCACGCACGCCTTCACCTTCCGCCGCTACGCCCAGAGCAAGCTGGCCAACATCCTGCACGCCAACGCCCTGCACGCGCGGTACAACAGCAACAACGACAACAAGCCCTCGTCATCGGTGCCAGCTTCGTCCAGCACTCCCAACAACCCGCCTCCTTCTTCATCATCTTCTCCTCCTCCTCACATCTGGGCCATCTCGCTGCACCCGGGCAACATCAACACGCAACTGAACTCCCGCGCGTGGGGCGGGTCCACGCTGGCGCCCATCCTGCGCTGCATGGGCGTCTACATCACGCCGGAGCAGGGCAGCTACAACTCGCTGTGGGCGGTGGCCGGCAGCGACATCACGCGCGACATGTCCGGCGGCTACTTCGTGCCCGTCGCCGAGCGCAAGGCGCCCAGCAAGTTGGCGCAGGACCCGGACGGGACGCTGGCGCGCAAGCTGTGGGACTGGACCGAGAAGGAGATGCGGGAGAAGGGGTTCTTGGATGGGATTGATGAGAATGGTGAGAATGCGATCTGATGAAAGCAGGGAGGGAGGAGGTTTGATGTAATGCGAAGGACAAGCTTGAGAAACTTGCGAAACGGGATAAAAGGGCAACAAAGCACGCGATGTATCTGTTCCAAAGAGTACGTTTTCTCTTCTTACGGATGTTTGTTTTCAGTTTGATGTCCCAATGTTTTCTTCGTTTGTTCCAATTCATATCTGTTGTGCCCGTTTCATTATATCCTTCAAGATCACACACAGGAGGCTAGATATAGACATACACAACGAGCCAGCGCCGCCCATGAGCGCTGATTTGTTTTTCAGATCTACTGCAAGAAGCCCGTCCGACCTTTCCCAGAAGGCTTCCTGCTGTTTTCATTTCATATCCCGCCCAGCACAAAACCAGAACGGAGAGACCACATCAGTCGTGGGGTGCATTACCCGCCGCCCACAATGCCTTGCTCTCAAGCAACGGCATAGAGTTCCTCAGGGGGCTAATTCATCCTCCAGCGTCTCCCCATTCCAGTCAATCAGTAAGAACACGACCATCGGCATCAAGGAGGGTTATTTCACGACCCTCGCCCACTCAGCAGGTGAACTTCACACTTCCACTGCCGATTTCTGATATCTCGACCTTCTTCCCTTCCTTCTCCCCTCTATACCCATATAACTCGCGACTGCTCTCTTTTCGGACCACGAGTCCTGCTCCGTGGGCATCAATACTCCCATGTCCGTGGGTCGAAACATGGACCATACCCTCCCACTGAGGCGGGTATGCGATGTTCATACTCCCACTGCCACGAATAGTGTGGGCGGCTTCGATGGCACGGATCGCCTCGGTCGAGCTCAAGGCCGGAACCACCTTGATGTGTTGGCCACCCGAGTTGGAGATAGTCGAGATGTTCGATTGCGGATCCAGCTCGGAGACGCCGACGGCAAATATGGTGACCGAGATGGAGCCGGCATTTGTGGAGATGGAAGTAGATCCGCCGTTGCCGTGCACCAGGCTGCCAGAGACGCTACCGGCGTATGTAGAGATCTCCGTCACCAGTGTCCTCGATTTTGCGGCGTCCGAAACGGTCGGTTTCGAGAAGAACCCGCCTCCAGAAACCATTTTCACGTTGACACTGCCTGCTGAGGTGGAAAGACGAAGTACAGCGGGCTTATCTCCAGGCTGAACGTCGACGGTGACCGTGATGCTGCCCGCTGTGGTCGACAGATCGAGCAGATCGTAGAGTTGGTAGGTACCGCTGATAGAGCGGAAGGTCTCATGCTCCCGGTGTTCACGTTCTGGCGGAGGCCAGGGCGCATGCGAGGGACGTTGGCCAAAGCTCGGGAGCTGGTATCGTCCATCCTGTGCAGAGGAGAAACGTATTAGCAACTCGACACAAATTATACACACTGGAACCCCGAAGAAGATGGCTAGAAAGAAAAGGGTCTGTGTACATTCTTGAGCGATCGACATAATCCCGGGATCAGAAGCCATAGGCAGGCAATAAGTGCCAGGACGATAAAGCAAAACCGCTTGAAACGGCGAGCTCGATGTTTGTGGCGATCACACTGTCGTATCGCCTGCCGGCGCCCGCGGCAGCCCCGCGCTCTACCAGCCCCTCGACCGGCGGCTCGGAACCATAGACGATTCCGCCGCGAAGGCTGTTGCACGAAGACCGGAAGTCCGTCTGAGTCTGAGTCCGCATCTTCATCGTGCTGGTGAGGATCATGGTGGTGGTGGTGATGATGATGGTTGTGTCGGGAGTGATGGGTATGGCCGACAATGTCGGACGAGGACGATGGGCCCCCCTCTTCATCATTGTCTCGAAATGTACATGGAAAGGATTGTGGGTTGGAAGAAGAGGACGCCGCGGCAGGAGCGCTTACTAGCTCTGGGACTGGAGAGAGATTCGATCGTGCAGCCACGGGAGACGCCGGCGCTGCAGGCGACTGAGCTCCCACCTGAGTGCTGGCGGAGGGAGTGTAGACGGGAGGCGGATCTGATGGATCGCCATCCGACGAGATATGCGGATATCTGATATCCCTCACTTCGTCGCCGTCGACGGTTGAAGCTGCTGGGGTAGGGTTGGTGGCGGGAGTGCCGCCTGCGAAGTTGTCAGCCCACGAGCCTTGAGACCCAAGTCGTTGAGCCTCCGCCGCAGCGGAGCGAGACTTGTCATCGTCCCCTCCTCGCCGGTAGGATGTGGGAGACTGCGTGACGCTATCGTCACGGTCGTCATGAAATGTGTCGTAGCTGCGGGCAGGGTACTGTTTGCGGATAGTCATGGCAGAGGAATTCTGTGTGGTAGTTATTCGGGCAAGAAGAGGGAAGGGTTCGACTCAGTGCATTGAGCCTGTTGAGAGAATTTTCAGGAAGAGAGATTCTGATCGTACAGTCAGAAAAGTGTTGATCTGATATCAGAATTACCTGGTAAAATCATCCATATCTCCAGACATTCGGTCCTGGGGTGCAGTCGTTGTCGCAGGCAGACACCAAAAGAACCCTGGAAGGGTCCCGGCTGCGCCTCCACCCCTCCATCCTTCTAGGCACTGGACGCTCCCCAAAGAGGTTACCGACTTTATGCACGTCCTGGGCCCACGGGGGAAGAGATGGGCATTGATAGGCTCTTCGGGCCCGAGCTGATGGTGCATTCGGGGGCTCTTGCTTCCAGAGGGCAGCGTAAGGCCCCCCGCGTCCGTCTGGAACTGCCATAACGTCATAAGTCCACCCCACAGGTTTTGCGACAACCTAGATTCGCGACACGCATTGCAACACACGCCACTACAATTGCCTCAATTTCAACGATTCGTCTACCACCACCATGTTAATTTGTTAGGCTTACGAGGTAAATAGTATCAAATCGCGAGCTTAGACTCCAGTGGGCTATTTATGACTATTAGTGTAATGGGGATAGTCCTAGGAAAAGTCAAGTCACGTGTCTATATATTATATAGGGAGATAACGGTAGCTTCCAATTAGTCGGATAAAGTAGAGAACTTTTTCTTTTCTTTTAATGGCTTGGATCTCCCTAATAGGCTCCTGCACGACCCCAGTGCTTAGGGTCAATGCTCGCTATGTCCTTGATCGCGCCCTCGGCTTTCTGGATGGTTTGAAAGTAGATGCTGGCCGTTTTTGCACGGGCTTCGTTGGCTAGTTTGAGACGATCCCGTCTGTTGATTTCATCCTGGCAAATCCTCTCGAACAGATCGGCCGTGTCGGCAGGAGTGGGCAGCTCCATGTCGGCACACGGTGGTCAGTGAATCCAGACGCACAAACAGGCTTCCGAATATGGGTCTTATGAGGAAAGAAAGAGACGAAGCCTGGAGCATAGGCCCTCTGGTGAAAGGTTCAGGTGCCAGCCACTTACCACGGTGTTCTGGCGTATTTTCTCTGAACCAGACCATTTCTCCCCCTTTCTGGCCGTCTGCCTGGCCTCGTGAAAGCGGGTCTCGTGAAGACACCAAGCGGAGGTACATAGTTCGGAGACGAAGAATGGGGTTCATGGCGAAGGTCGAGGGCGGTCCGAAGCGAATGCTTCGATTCGATAAGCATGCGGATGGTGTCAGTAATGACTCTGAACCGAGTCTAGCAGCCAGGCGGGCATCGAAGCCGCCTTCTACTTGGCAACAAGAGAAAAGAGTGTGAGAGCCCGGTAAGCTCACGGTTCGGTACTGGCGGCTTGCTGAGGTTTGTTGATGGTTGGAGCATGAAGAATTCAATTGCTTGTTGGCTTGGGTACCTGAACAGGAATCTACCAGGTACCTATTTAGATGACTTGGTTACCTGACGAGGGAGCGAGAGTCCCAGGAGGAGGCCTGGTTACTTAGATAGTCAACTAGCTGGTTGATTGCTTAACTACAGCTCTGTTCTACACGACGGAATCGCAGTCTCAATGCTTCAAACTGACGCCTGCCTCCATAGTACTAATATCACTCTGCCTGACACCACGGTCGACAGCGTCTGCAAAATCCTTGAGGAACGACCAGCGGATCTTCTCGTCTATCCGATTCTTCTTCCACTTGTTCAGGGTTCCGTGGGGGAAGAACGGCACGCCAGCCGCGGGGTCCAGGACAGCCGTGTCATGTGCGATCAGACAGAGCACGTTCGGCGCGGCGTCGAACTCCTGCAGGTAGTGGATGGTTTGCTCGGCCTGGGAATGCTCGTGGGAGAAGTTCGCCGCAAGGACGTAGAATTCCTTGGTGGCGCTCTGGTCGCGATGCAGCTTCTCGAACAGAGCGCCCGGACACACGCCGCCCGTCCGGAGCGGCGACGGGTTGAGGACTCGCGGCAGCGGAAGATATTGGTTGGGCTTCCACTCGCCTCCTGACAAGATTGGAGATTGTGAGTGAGTGAGAGACGTGGTGCGGATTCCGGAATAGAAACGGAGACATAACCAGACGCGCGGAAAGAGGAACCTTGAACAAAACACACTCACCATGATGACAGGCGTCGCCGCCCATGAAGATGAAAGTGTCGTCGCCGTCGCCGGTGACGCGAGCCAGCGCGCAAATGTGGCCGATGGCATGGCCCGGGGCATCGAGAAGATAGAAGCTCCCGTCGCCAAAGTAGTCAAGGGCCTGGAACCCACCCAGTTTCAGGTCGCCATCGAAGGACAACTCGATCAACTCTCGGCCCTCCCAGTCACTCTCAAGCACGGGGCTATTCTTGTTCTTGGGGTATCCGGGCGTGAATGCATCTTTGAACCCGGGGCCGACGATGAGCTTGGTGGAACCCGGAAAAGTCTGCATGTTCCCGATGTGATCGTCTGCCTCACATCACATCAGCCCGTTCTGTTGTGTGCTGAGGATTGAGAGGGGGGATAGAGATGAAAATGGAGATGGATGAATGGAACTCACAGTGCCAGTGAGACCAGAAGACGGCCTCGATGCTCGCGGTGGCAACGCCGTTCTCCTCGAGGATTTCCGCCACGTCTTTCTTGGCCGCGGCGCCCCAGCCGGGCTGAGTGATGAGTTTGAGGATAAAGGGTGCAAAGTTCTCGGGATCTTTGCGACTGCCCAGGTCGAAGAGGGTTTTGCGCCCTGACTTGTGCTCGATGAGGAACGCCAGCGCGGGGCACCGGATATAGTCGTGGCCTGGAATACTGGGGCCCATTAAATGAGAGAGGGGAGCCTGGAGCTCGGCCGTGCTGTCTATCAGTTTCACAGACACCGTGTCCCCTGATGGGATGTTGAGGGCTGGGGGGGCATTTGGCTGGGCGAGGTACTCGGTCGTCGACGATGACATTGTTGATGTTGAGTGCCAGCTGGCAGTGGCAGTAGCAGTAGCAGTAGCAGTGTTAAGCGACAGCAGAACTGGTAGAACAAGGTACGCTACACGATCCTTGGTGTAGGTAGTGTTGTGGGAGACGAGTGAGAAGCAACAAGCAAGAAAGGCACTTGGGGCACACTGTACTCCGTACTGTACCTGTCATAACGGCGGCAATCGCGCCGGAGAGCCATGCTCGCGACTGGGCAGTTGGTTTAGTCACCAGAGCATCGAGCATCCTAGTTTCTGGCATATACAAGCACAGGATAGGGGTGGGCAAAGACCTTCCCCACGGGGAACTTGAGATGGGCCGGCCCACTGGGCTAATCAGCCAATGACACGGCTCGGAAGTAGCGAGAGCCGGTGGAAGAAGCGGATGAGAGGGCGGCATTTGGACAACCTTACAGCCGACACGGAGAACGAGAGGAAAGCAGTATAGCGCGAGGGTCGAGAGACGGGAGACGGATGGCGGGTGACGGAAGACGGAAGACGTGGTGACGGCTTCATCAGGCTCCGGTCGCTCAGTCGGGGGGACCTTGGCCCCAAAACATATGTGGACATGTATATACGGTGGAAGGGCACGAGGACACAAGCGAGCGAGTCTGGAATCTCAATCTGAAGCTGAAGGCAAAGCCACAAGATCCGACCCGGTGGTAGTAGCACGTACAGTAGTTTAGCTTACTAGTGGTACGACTCCAGGATATCCAGGATCTCACTGAAGAGTGAGAGGGAGAGTCTGCGATCGTCTGCTCCTCTGGTCCGGATTTTCCTCTCCATCGAACGAGAGCTATACCTAAATATACCAACCACATGGACATCACAGGCTACGCAGCCATCTCGGGCGCAGGGTCCGGCATCGGACGTGCCACGGCAATGACCTTTGCGCGCGAGGGAGCGGCAGGGATCGCGATGCTGGACATCAGTGGCCCAGCACTCGAGAGGGCGCGAAGAGACGTCGAGGGCGCCGCCACCAACCCGGCGTTCAGGGGCGTGCTCACGTTCGAGGTCGACGTACGGGACGAGGCTGGGGTCGACTCGGCTATCGCGTCGACGCACCAGAAGTTCGGCCGCATCGACTACCTGGTCAACTGCGCGGGCATCGCCTTCAAGCACCGGGGCACCGCCGCCGCAGAGACCAAGGACTGGCAGCGCGTGCTCGACATCAATCTGACCGGCACTTTTTTCGCGCTCAGGGCCTGTGCGCGCATCATGCTGCAGCAGGATCCCATCAAATCGGCCATGTATGTGGCCCCCCCGGGTCCCCTGTCTCCTGTCTCTTCCCGTGTCTCGTATACCACCTATACTGACCCCGGCTTCCTGGCTACTTTAGTGACGGCAGGCCGCTTCAACGCGGGTCCATCGTCAACATCTCCAGCGTGCTGGGTCATGTCGGCGTCACCAACAGCGTGGCCTACTGCGCCAGCAAACACGGGGTGATCGGGCTGACCAAGAATGCCAGCGAAGACCACGCGGCCCAGGGGCTTCGAATCAACGCCGTGTGTCCTGGCTTCATTGAGACTCCCCTGACGGCGAGCACGCCCGAGATCATCCAGACATTCAAAGACAAAACCGAGGTTTGGACGCCCATGAAGCGGCCGGGCCAACCTCAGGAGATTGCAGATGTGTGTGTATGGCTGGCAGGTGGCCGGAGCAGCTTCGTGACGGGGACCAGTATCTGTGCCGACGGAGGGTATCTAGCTCGATGATGGATGATGGATGTTTCACAGTTCGTAGATGTTAGAAAGGCCTCACTAGCCAATCTCCCAAGATTGAAGTGTTCCTTGTTTGCTCCCGGATGGTCACAGGGTCTTCGTCACTGGGTTCCTTAGGCTACCTTGGGCTCACGAGGCGGCATCATCGGCCGCTCATAAGGCTCCTACGCCAGATGAGTGCCCATATGCTTAGTGAACAGACTGTAAGCTACGGGCGCTGAATGTTTTGGCACCACGGCGAGAGCATACACCACGTAGTAAAGACCTACCCATACACAGAGCCAAAGGCAAACATGGATCTAGCATTTCACACCATCGAGGTATTGCTCATCGACTCAGACTACCATGCCTTGCCTGTCCCCCGACTCTCTCTCTCTCCGTGTATCCTTCTCTCAACTTATCTCGTCTGTGAAAGTGGCCCCTCGCTCCACGTACAGCATCAGCCGTCGTGATAGACTGGGTCTCTGTTCTTACCCGCTCCCTTATTTCCCCCATTTCCCGCTCCATACTTGTTGACCTGCTTCACCAGCGAAAAGTCAGTCAATCGATGCGCCCTTCTCCTCAATCTCCTGGGTGCTGGGACCCTTGACGGCAGTATCGAAGTGCTCAATGTCAAGGGTGCGAGCGAGGCGCGCGTCCAGGGCTCGGCGGTCCTCGTCAGACAGGTGCGAGATGTCGAGAGCGACCTCGTCGCCGAACAGCGCGCCAATCTCCTCCAGACTCAAGCCCTTGGTCTCGGGAAACTTGAAAATGATCAAGGGGAGCATGCAAGACGTGATGACGATGAAGACAATATAGTATCTCCAGCCAATATGGTTGAACGCGGTGCCCGCCGCCGAGGTATAGACTGTCCGGAACAACATGTCAGTTTTGGGGGGGCTTTCATCGTCTACCCTGTCTGCAGACACTTACTGGTGGTCATCAGGAACAGACCGGCGACCGACAGGCCCACGCCTCGGGCGCGGATGTTTGTAGGGAAGATCTCGGAGCAGTAGACGTAGGCGCTGACGTCGAGGCCGCCGCCGTAGAAGGTGGCAAAGCAGAACATGAACAGGAGAATCATGGCCGAGCCCGTCTTGTTGGTGTTTTCATATCCGCCATACTGCGCGACGAGAGCAGTCACCAGGATGAGGGAGATGGTGCACGCAATCTAGTCACTCCCATGTTAGACTCGATGCTTTGTTTCACCTGTATGTCGGGGAGCTCCTCACCAAGCATGTCACGAGCATCTTGATCCTCCCGACACGGTCGACGATCAACGAATTGATGCCGTTCGTGATGGCTGCTAGCGTGTTGTACGAGGCCAGCAAGATCAAAGCTTTGGCGCCGGTGATGCCCAGCACTTGGAGTTCGATGATCTGGTCGACACAGAAGCCCTCTAGTCAGCACTTTTTGTTTTTCTTCTTTTGAATCCCAACTCAGACTCCAATATAGAATCTTACCATATAGTTGGTCAGCACCAAAACACCGGTGCTCTGCGTGGTACACTGCAGCCAGAAGCCGTAGAATATGCGCTTGCGATATGTCGGCACCTTCATGATTTGCCACCAGCTGTTGACGTTTTGCATGCGATCCAGCGCCAGCTGGGTTTGGATTTGGATGAATTCTTCGCGCGCGCCGATGTTGGGCCCGTCGCTCCCGTTGGCATGCAGCTTTTCAATCACTTGGAGACCTGGTATGTCGTCAGTTGTGTGATGCACAGGCCAAGAAGACGGGGAGTGACATCTTCTACCTTCATTGTCCCTGCCCTTGTTGATCAGATATCTGGGCGATTCGGGGATCCAAGGGCTGCCCAGCGTCAATAACAAAGGCGCGACACATTGCAACGCGAGCAGAAGTCGCCATTGGATGGTTCCATTGGACTCATAGAAGGTCCCGAGACCGCACCAGCCGGAAAGTCCCTGGGATGAACCGTGAGTTGAGGTCTTTTGGTTCAAACACAAGGTATGGTCAGGGGAAAAAAGGGGACTCACATAGCCTACACAGATAATGAACCCGTGCGCGCCGACAATCCGACCACGCTCACCAGCGGGCGAGATCTCAGAAATGTAGACGGGCACGCAGCAGTTGATCCAGCCGACGGTCAGTCCGTTGAAGAAGCGACCCACCAGGTACATGGCAATATGCACTGAACCGGCTTGCAGGGCGCCTGTGATCAGACACCCGATGGCCGCCACCTGGATGGCACGCTTGCGTCCGAGAGCGTCGAGAAGGTTGAACACAGTCAGGCAGCCGATCACTCCAGCGCCGGCGTAGAGGCCGTTGGTGGCACCGGTAATGGAGCCTCCCAGCGAGCTCGTGGCTTCGAAGCCGAAGTAGTTGTAGAACGAGGGCTGGCCCAGCACGGCGCCGATGACGGACGAGTTGAAGCCGTAGGTGAAGGAGCCGAGCGCGACAAAGAAGGCGACGGCATAGTTGTACCTATTTGCTTTGGCCCCTGTATGGCGGCGGCGCTGGTTTGAGGACGACGATCCATGCATGGCCTCGGTGGATGTCGAATCTCGACGGCGACCTGGGAGGCTGGGACACTGGGCAACTCCAAGGTATAGCACAAACTTGGTAGACTGTGTTCGAGGTCAGTCCCGTGTCTTCGACTTTCGAATATGCCACTGCAACTGAACTGCAACCCACTGCACTGCATGGAAAGGAGAAAAGGGGGCCTTCAAAAGACTCTTATCCAATTGCCTCCCGGTCGACGAGGCGTCGAGGCCCTCCGGTCCCGCTTCACTGTGGCCCCCGTCGCATACCCCAGAAAAGGCTGGGGACACGGGTTTTCGCCAATGGCTTTTGACCCTGACCAATGACTCCTGACTAGTATACCGAGGAGGAGTTCGAGTCGGGACTGGGGAAACGAGACGACCGGGGTGTAATTGGTAGGAGATAGTCCGGCCCGACTGCTTTTAGGTTGCGGAACTCACTTCAATGCCACCGGCTTTATGACCATCCGGACGATTCGATTGGATGGTTGAATATGGGGCGTCTTGGAGTCGACCGAGAATGTATCCTACGACGTCGTTGGTTAATCGGGTAGCCTTGACTGACAGCCAGAGTGAAGCATTTCGTGAACAACGCGATTGCATCCAGATCATAAACACACATACACACACACATACACCCACACTTACTCGTTATTGTCACCCCGATTCTTCGTCTTATCTGATCCATAATGGCTTTTACCAGCGTCGACGGCAAGGTGGCCATCGTGACAGGGGCCGGGTCAGGCATCAACCTGGCGTTTGCAGACCTGCTGTTGTCGCAGGGCTGTAGCGTCCTCTTTGCCGACCTCGCGTTGCGCCCGGAGGCTCAAGCGCTGGTGGAATCCCACAGCACCAGCGGATCGGCGGGATTAAGAAGCGATGAACCAAGAATCAAGGCGAAAGCGTTCTTCCAAAAGACCGACGTGAGAAGCTGGGCGGACTTGGAAAGGATGTTCGAGACGTGCGATCGCGAGCTGGGCCCCGCCGACATTGTGTGTCCTGGAGCCGGCGTCTACGAACCTGCCTGGTCCAACTTCTGGATCCCGCCGGGCACTGAACCGTCCAAGGACTCGCCCACGGGCAACCGGTACGCATCGTTCGACATCCTGTTGACGCACCCGGTGCGCACGACGCAGCTGGCCATCAGCCACTTCATCCGGCACGAGAAGCCGGGCAACATCGTGCACATCTCCAGCATCGCGGCGCAGTCGCCGGGCATCCTGTGCGTGCTGTATCGCACGGCCAAGCACGCCATCAGCGGATTCGTGCGGTCGCTGGCCAAACTCGAGGTTCCTGGCGATCCTCGCCTGCCCACGGTCCGCGTAACCGCCGTGGCGCCGGGGGTTATCAAGACGCCCATGTGGCTCGAGCAGCCCGACAAGATGAAGTGGGTGGACGAGGATCAGGACGCGTGGGTGTCACCGGAGGAAGTGGCGCGGGTCATGCTGGATCTGGTGCAGAAGCCCGAGTTTGTGGGCGGCACAGTGCTGGAAGTGCTCAAGGGCAGCGTGCGCCGCGTCGAGACTTTGAATGACCCCGGGCCTCGTGGGAAACCCGGCGGCACGTTGCATCCTGGAGATCACAAGGCTGATGTCTGGGACCGGCTGGCGAGCGGCAGCTGGGGCCAAATATGAAGAATGCATTAACGGTATTGATATTGATATTGATATTTGACAGAGACAGAGACCAAAGATACATAAGAAGAGATATCTGTTGTCTTTGGCACTTTTTTTTCAGCTTTCGTCCCTGCTACTCTCGATGAATCCTTTGCCATAGCATAGGACTCAGGGACGGTGTGGTGTCCAACACACGGCGCTCTTCCACCACATCGGACTCGCACGCTACGATAAGCTATATAGAATTCTTTCAGGGACAGAACTCTACACCGGCACGACGGACCAGACAACGTCAAAGAGACAAACGCACGCGCAAGCCGTGAGTGACAGGCTCGACTACTACTTTCACGGTATCAGCTTTTGCTTCCGCTCCCTCACGTAGACTTTCGTCTCGCTGTGGCCTTGCCCTATTATGTCCCACTGTGCTGTGTCCTGCACCATGACTGCTATATACCACAGCAGGAGAGAAATCAAAAGCACAGCTATATCCGTGGCCGTGACCGTGACCATTCGCTGCCATACTGTATGCCACCGGCATCAGGATCGCTCCTGTCACCAGGCTATGGTGGAAGGGTGGAAGGGTGGAAAACACTCCAGGCCGCCCCCGTCCAAGCCATGGCGTTTCAACGGCCCCGACCCCTAGCTGGACAGTCGAGAGCCGATCGACGCGCGCATCACTATACCCATGCCGATGACTAGCCACACGCTACGCACGAACCGAGCACTCACGAAAGTATAGTGTAGTATAGTAGTGTGGTCGTCCTCCTCACCCGGTCAAATGGAGGCCCAAGTTCCGGTTGTCTGGAGCCTGGAGCCTGGAGCCTGGAACCTGGAGCCTGGACTCGTGAAGACGGGGAGCGGGGGCGACTTGGAAACAATTCATGGTGGTAGAATTAGATGGTACGTACGACTGGACTGGACTTCCTTTCCAATCACCCTGACTCGTTCAGGCTCAGGCTCTGTCTCGGGCCTCGGGCCCCCCCCCTCTCTCGCCGGAGGAGGATTGCGCGATATCTTGATCTTGACCCTCTCGGTATCTACGCAAATCAGCAGGTTAAACCATGCGACGCACCGAGACATATTCGCCTTTGGTCCGGCCATTCTCAGGCGGCTGCTCTGCCCCCTGCCCCTGTGCTACCCTGCTTAGAGGAGGATGCTGTTTGTCGTGCTGCGCCGACGTCGGAGTGAGCCGCACGTTTGTGACGCATGTCGGAATCGTTGCATGCAGGTTGTTGAATGTGGTGTTCGAGTGGGTGGTCGTGCAAGGCCTCACGGGAGGCTCTGCTGCTTGACCAAGTCCATGTGCGACTGATCCGCGCGCTTGAGGCGGCGGCGCCGAGAAGGCTCATTCGGACACTGCGTATCGAGAGACTGGCCTTGCGTATCGTTGACTTCTCCCTATACAAGGCCTCTTCTTGCGGCCATTAATCGCGGACTGGGTATCAAGTGAGAAACACAAACACCCACAGTGTGGCACGTAAGGGAAATAAACTAGACTGGATCTCTATCTGTTTCCACTTCAGCTTGGATCCGCCGCGTAGCACATCTATTGCTACGACAACAAATGAATGCGAACTCGACGAAGAGTGTACCAACAATGCAAAAGAGTTTCCTTTCATACTGGCTGCGTGCGCCGCAAACCGAGCCCCTGATCCGCCGGATCGGATCTAGTATTGATACAGACCTTCCAGCAGGCCCTTGATCTGAAGAGCCAGAATCTTGGAGTAGAAGCGGCAAAGAGACAGGTTGCCACCCATGAACCAGAATCCAGGATGGCCCGATTTCTGCCAGATAGTACGCATTTCCCCCTCGTGGTTGTATCCCCAGACATCCCCGATCCGATCGGCCAACTCATCCCCAAAGATCTCGCGAGCCTGGCTCCTCATGTTCGAATAACCCGTCGCAAACACGATCTCGCTGGCTTCAAGTTCCGATCCATCGGCAAAGCGAAGTCCGTGGGGAAGGACTTCAAGAATCTCCTGGCCTTGCTTGACCTTGATTTTCCCGTCGGCGACAAGTTGCGAGCCCCCAACGTCAATGTAGTAGCCACCTCCACGTTGGAAGTATTTCATGAAGATACCTGCGTCATCCGGGCCTCGATCAGTTTGGAACCCGACTTTCGCCAGACGCTCGAGGATGTCGGCGTCAAAGTCCGCCTGAGCCTGTGCAATCTTGACCGAGACGGCCTTGAGGACTTCGCTCGGGAAGCTGTGGCGGTACAGGTCTGCGTCATCGACGGCTGGGCCATCTTCCTCGTACAACCCTTTCATCCCGATTTGCATGATGGCCTGGCTCGTGACAATGCACGTGGTGGAGCGTTGCACCATGGTAACATCGTAGCCTTGTTCATAAAAGTCTTGAGCAATGTCATGCGCCGAATTACATGAGCCAACCACGACGGCCTTGGTGCCTTTGCCTTCCTTTCTGGCCCCTCGGAAATCCGACGAGTGACAGAGGACGTGACCCTGAAATTGTGCGAGTCCTTTGAGATGCGCTGGAAAATTCTTCTTCCCAGAATGGCCAGTTGCCTGGATTAAATGCTTGGGGTGTATCGTCCGAATCTCGGAGCCCGTGGCAGTCGTGCGCCGTAGCTTCACCGTCCATACGCGCTCGGTCTCATCCCATGAAGAAGATTCAATCACGGTTTTTACCCATACATTCAGCTCGAGGATCTTGGCGTAGGCCTCGAACCATTCTGCAAGTTTGTCCTTGGGGGTGAAAATAGGCCAAGTCGAGGGGAATTCAAGATAAGGCATGTGATCATACCAAACCGGATCATGAAGGACAAGTTGATGGTATCTCCGCCGCCAGTTGTCGCCAACTCTGTCCTCACTGTCGATGACCAAAGTATCGACCCCGAGCATCTGAAGACGTGCCGCGATGGTCAGCCCACCTTGGCCCGCACCTATAGGAATCAGGATTAGAACATCAGAACAATGATAGACGGGCCACTAAAAGGGGAAATCGCACCAATAACTAGAACCACGGGCTCACTATCCTCGAAATTGAGAGCAGCATTCCTCCGCTCTTGCCAGTTCTTCCGATCAAATTTCCCGCCATGCTCGACGCCCTTCGGTCGATGGTGGTGAGTTGTCTCCTCGAATCCTTTGATTTCTCGCAAAACGGTGTAAAAGGTGAAGATTTTCCATTCTCCATGACCCTGGTCCACGAGGCGAGCGACCCCCTGGCCGCTTCCGATCTGCGAAACGAATGTGAAGAAAAATTGTATCCCTTTGGTACTACTGGGTGGGGAATCGAAATTGACAGCCTTCGGTGCTCGAAAAGCGGAACTCCTGTCGACTTCGATCTTGAGCAGCGGCAATCGCGTATCGCTGATAAAGTCCACAATTTGATGCCGTCCTTTCAGAGTGCGCAGGTCCCATGAGAGAGCGAGGTGGTCCCGCCAATAGCCCTCTTCCAGGAATAGAGCGGCTATCCTTTGAGGATCGGGGTCGCTGCTGTTCAGAGCTGCATTGATAATGCCGGTCGTCGCGTCGGCGATTGAATCCGGGTCGCCTGAGATGGTTTCTGCAGTCTTGGGCCATTTGCAAACTGGCACATTCACCGATCCCGGCTCAACGCGGTCTTTGGAAGGAATCAAGGTCCCTGCGGGCGCGGATTGGAGTTCAGCAACCATTGCGTCTTCTTCAGTCGTTATCACCTTGGAAACGGGCGCAATCAGAACGAAGTAAGGGGTTTCGGCAGACGGATCAAACTGCCAGCACGCTTAGAGTCCGGCAGTGACAAGCATAAATAGCATCGAGTGATTTGGTTGCAGGAATCGGAGTGTCCAGAGGTGGACCAGACTGGCTCATGGTTACAGCCATGGCATGATAGGAGTCGCAGTTTCCTGTCTGCCTGCCTGCCTCCGGCGAATGCACTCGGGTCCTCTCGTAGTCAGGCAAGGATTGAAATCCAAGGCGGAAGTCCTGCGACCCATCATTGGAACATCGAATCTACCCATTCCCCGTTCCACTTCCCCACAAAAACAGGTAATTGAACTCGGATTTGGGATTCCCATTCGGGCCGATCGTTATGCCACCGGCTTATCGGCAGATCTTCGGGCCGTGGGAGGGTTTCGATACCGAAGGGGTAGTATGCAGTATGCAGTACGCCTTGGTCGTGAACACCAGGAGAGATTGTTCAATAGTTGGGTTCTCCAAATTCAGCGGAAGAGCCTCGAATGCAAGATTCCGATCCCCCTTCTTCCCGGCTGGCGGACTTCCTTCTGTCCGGGAGAGGTGAATTCGAACCCACCCAAGTGCGAGGCATTTGGGGTTATCCATCCCTGATGCCATGCCAAGCATTGATCCCCGTGGGGAATGGAACGAGAACGAGAATTTCATCTCCCTGACGACAAGTTCGGGATGTCTCGAAAGGTGACGCCATTCTAGAATGCGTTCTCGAATTCAAATGGCCAATTCCAGTCTTTCGCCAGATCCCACAGCGTTTGGCTCATGCCTGACAATTCGACTTGTCCCAGACCAACCGCGGTGTCAAAAATTTCCCAGTTGACGGGAACCTCCATGTGTTGGATCGTGGGATTCTCTTGGGGGTACAAACTGTCAGACTCGGTGAAGATTGGGATAGAATTGATCTCTGTCACAGTACCAATGTCGGTCGTGGTGGTGGTTGGTCCGTCGCTGGTCACTGGGCCAGGGGGCGCTGCTGTGTCTGTTGCCATCAAGGAGGGAGCAGGCATTGGGCCACAAAGCGATTCGGCCTCCTCCATCAGAACGACGTTCAGAAGTTCTCTCAGCAAGATTGAACCTGACTCGGCTGTGGCGCTATGGTCCATAATCATTTCCTGGATTCGGATGATACGGCCCAACCCTCTCTTCGCTTCGGATGACCGAGAGTCCTGGAAATCCGAGGCAGCGATGACGGCGAGAATGAGCCCTGATGCCATTAATGTGATACCCAAAAAAGAGCAGGCGTGTGTTCGGTGGAACTGTTGAAATACTCGTGGATGGTCATCATGTAGCCTGGACATGCGTAAGGCTGCCTGCCAGCATTGCTCTGTTGAATACACAAAGGGGTCAAATGCCTTCTCGGCCTCTCGATCAACCGAGGACATCTTGTAATGGAGAAGCGGCCGGTATAGGAGCATGACGAGACTGTCATAGGTGATCTGGAGAACCATTGCTTGCATCTGGAGCTTGGCCCAGGTCCTTTCCTCAATACCAAAAAATGGGCCTGACCGGTCGCCTTGCTGGAGACGAATCGTGTTCGGAAGGGTTGCTGCCCACTCGTGAAGCTCAATGTCAAGTTCTCCAATGGCCGACACCAGCTGCGAAACATACTCGTTGGTGCGATTGCCGTCCCCGGCTGACGGTGGACTCTTGATGCGATAAACGGATGTCAGTGTCGAACGCATCAGACTATACAGCCAGAATTTTTTGAAGTGGTAGTCAAACAACGTTGGAGGCGATTGGGTATCGAAGCCATGCGATCGCCATAATGCATCAATCTTGTCCTGGCCAAAAGTAGCGAGATCACGCTGAGAAACGGTATAGATCTCGCGTAGATCTCCGGTGACCACAACAGGGGGTGTGTCGGAACGCGGATACGAGACATCGCAGTCTGTTGCATCTATCCCACAAGGCCGGCCGTAAACCATTGCAGCAAAGCTATCATAAGCACTCAGCGCCCACCACGTCATTTTTCGGATGTTTTCGTCTCGATCCCAATCAAACGGGTTGGAATTGGTCGTGTCAAAGTGGACCTCTCGATGCAGATTGAGTTGCTGAGCCAGTTTGGTGGCTGCGCCCAGGACCGAAAACGAAAGATTGGGTGCTCCGTGGTAGATGAACAGGCTACCCATCAATAGCGACGTCTGCACGGCGGTTACACTGTCTTGAGAAATGATGGTTAGGTAGTTGCTCCTCACCGTCTCGAGACAGGTCCGGGTGATTGCGTCCAGCTCGGCAGAGTCGGGTCTCCTCCCGATCTGAGGGGACAAAGCACCGTTTCTCTGTGCATACTTGGCACCCATGGCAATCATGGTCAGAGTCAACATCAAAAAGCCATAAAGATGATCAACTCCAAGATGGTGTGGTGAGTCGTCCACAGAGTCGGGATCTGAACGCTGGGCATGGAGTTTCTCGTAAACCTCCAGATACCGCTCTGGGTCGAAAAGCCACATAAACCATTGAACATTAAGAAAATATGCCTCAATCAGATAATCGCACATTTCCCTGTCTGGCAAACGAGAAAGTAGATCTTGAGTGTTATGAGACGGCGATCCAAGGATGTACTTGGGCGATGCTGACGCAGTCGGGTTCCCAAAAGGACGGCTGTGTCCGCCTGGAAGATTGTACGTTTTCCATGCCTGAAGGTGAGATTTTTGATATGTTTCCAGGACCTGAGTATGTTAGCTCCCTTGGCTGCCCACTTGAAGAGCCTTGCATTCGGGAGACTGACCGATTGAGTGACGCGTAAAGACGATGTGTCAACCCACAAGTTGCTCCCAACGCCGTCACGTATGGCAGCTTGGTTTCCAGGCCTGACCTTGCCAAAAACAGATCGAGACTGAACCCTGTGCATGTCCAGGAAGCGCCTTGAGGAGTGCTCCCGCTCCAGGAACCCTGCTATCGCGTGTGTGTCTCCTTCGGTAACGATACTATTCTCTGACGATTTCGCGGAGGCTTGGGATGTCAATCTCTGACAATCCTTCTGTCCCGCCGGCCCAACTGTGTCTTGGTAGCGTCGCAGAGTGGTAGTTTCCTGACTTGTGGACTGTTGCGTGCCATTGCGGCTTTGAAACCACTCATTCGTGCTGTCTCCAACCGAGTCATCGGGCCTTCTGACCACCGGTCTGTTCACTCAGTTAGCCAGACAGGATGCGAGTCTCGAATTCTGGGGGCGGTGCGGCTTGCCTTCTACTCCTTCGAGAAGGGCTTTGCGGCACACATTCCACATTGGCGCGTCTGCACATCGAACATGGTCGATAAGTATCACACTGTGCCGGGATCGATGAGTAACAGGATTCGGTTAGGAGAGCACCCTTTCGATGGGTGAAGGCATTACTGACCCGAAGCTTCTGTCTCCGACAACGCACGCATGCCCTCGATGTTCTCTTTGGATGCCGGATCATGATGCTGCTAGGTGAGGAAGAGGTGGAGGGACAGGTGGAGGGTTGATGACATTAGATGATCCTGTCGTCCGTCAAGCAGCTCGGTGATTGAGAATGCAACGGTGTGGGACGGCCTGGCAAGCCTGGGTCACCCCTAGACGAAGAAATAGCGTCTCGAAATCGGGGTGATGACCACATCACGCAATTACGGTGGCCATGGAGATTTACGAGTGCTGGGAGCTCGGGGAGAGGGCGACGCCAACCAGCGTGTTGGCTTCGCTTGGGTTGAGAATAAAGATTGGTGAGCGGACAAGCGGAGAAATGTTTGGCGAGGTTAAGGCTCACTCATTGGATATGCACCTAGTTAGTAAGTTAGATACGGTATGGGGGGACAGTCTACGGCAGACTGTGGGGAAGCTGAAGCCTAATAGTGAGGACCAGTGCTACCCCCCCGGCAGTCAATGGCCACTACTAGGCCTATTTAGTTAGTTAGAGAGCCCTCCAGAATCCCCCCAGCAGCCCCCCGATAGCCCCCAGTGCTTTCTGGTTTCAACCCGAAGACCCGCAACCCACCTACTGTACCTACATTGCCCGGCACCATGTCATCCGATGCTTTTCAGACGGCCCATTTTGACTGTCATGAAGTAACTCAAGTTAGGGTTATCGTCCATAATATGGGCGCAGTCAGGGCCGGAGCTGATATTAGCTACAATCACTGGTCTATATCCTTGCTCACAGCCAATCCAGATGAGCCCATCCGCCTCGACATCCAGCCAGAAGGCCCCCCGAATGGCGAGCTTTCCATCATTCATCTCCCCTATGCCCTCACACTTCATGTGACAGCAAGGTTTAATTTTACAGTCAACCCTTCGAGTAACCCAGTAACCGTCAGAACGATCAAGGATCTCCTTGAGATGAGTGGGAGACATAGATACCAGAGGATGTCGCATGGGGACTGCCAATGGTGGTGGTGAGTGCTGTCTTCCCACTGGACGAAGCCATTGACTTACAAGTATAGATGGAATGTTGCCAACGACTTCGCGGGTGCCGAAATTCTCTCACCAAACGCTGGGGAAGAATTATCCACAGTATTGAGGAATAACTACTCGGTTCAATTGCCTCCCGTAGAACATAATATCGAGCTGGGGGAATTTTATTGACACAATGTGGCATCCAGAAAGGTTTTGTATGGGCGTCAAATCTGTGCCTCGTTAAAAGGCAGTAAGCCATGCAAAGATCAAGCGGTTTCAGGGGGATATTCGTGAGGCCGTCGAAACAGGGCATTGATTACTTGTTGAATTGGGTTGCAAGTACAAGCTGAGCGTGTTGGCTTCATGAATCTTTTGACACCGATAAAATCGTCACAGCGCCTAGCATCTTGTGACAGCCTCTCATAACATCCTCCACTTATGTCTTTCTCGTTCATGCCCCTCTCTACCACCCACATCGCTTTGCCTTGACCGACCTAGCGCAAGTTAAGAGTCTCTCTCAAGTGTGTACGCGGAAGACTAACAGATTGCGAAGGATGTTGTTATAGTAGGCACGCCATAGCAGCCAATGGATGACCTTTTCTTGTTCATTGAGGGATGGAAGTGTCCCCATCACAAGGTCCTTGTCCGCGGCATCGTTGGTAAGAGTAATGTCGAAATTCCGTACTTCAAGAACCCACGGAAAGAAGCCAGAGCATTGCCAATCGAGAAGGTACAACGTCTGGTCATCGGCGACAATCATACTACGCCGATTGAGATCGAGGTGACAGAACGATAGAGGGTATTGAACCAGTTCGAATTTTTTGCCTTCTGCTACGAGAGCCCGATCGAACCAGGCATTAAGGTCGTGGATTGCATTAAGGTCGTGGATTGACTTGAAGTCTTCGTAGGCACGGTAGTCAGGGACCCATATAGGGCCTTTGGGCTCTCCGCCATCAATTGGTCCTGGTGTGTCGCGATGAATTCCTAATATAGCTCGTATGGCTTGAGAGATTCAGTCGACGTAGTGCGGTAGACTATCAAGAGCTCAATCTGAGCGTCGTATCCCGGGGACGAATTTCATAGTGAGGAAGCCAACGGGGTCCTGCCGGTGGTTGTTCATATCCTGGCTTTGAAAGAAACGATATACGCGAGGGACGCGTACAGATAGACATCGAGACTCTAGTAAACTTTGGGCAAACTCTTTGTTGGCCGCTTCTGACGGAGTCACCAGCACACCAAATTTCACCACCGCTTCGTCGCTGATCTTGACCAGCAGGTTGGAGGTCCATTCGCCGAGCAGGCGGTCCCGATCTGATCTATTCTTGGCGGGTTGGCGCCAGTGTTGGCACCAGTCAACGATATTCTGGTCGGTAGCGCTTCGATAATCAAGATCCCCTATCTCGTGGTCCGGGAAGGTTGGGAAGTTCGACGAGAGTGAGCATAGAGGTAATGCGGGAGGGCTCATCTTGAGTGCTTATCATGCAGCAGGATGCGTCGAGGGACTCGGGGTGACGGAATAGTTACGCCAGTCGTCGTACCCAGAGAATTCGGCCTGTGTGATCGTAAATATGGAAGGGCTTCAGTTTGAATGTAGTTATCAAGGTACCAAGTCGATTGAAGAGAGGCGGAAGGTTGTTGAACAGAAAACCATCGATCAGTTCAGGAGTCAGGCTGGACCTAAAAAATCATAACGATTACATGCAAAGGCCTCAGTATCATTGGCCAGATTTGGTCACATCTAATTAGCTAATATGAGTGTTGGTGAACCGCCGCTCCTGCTAGCCTCAATGAGACGCACTCCTATTTACTAGTATCAAAAGTATATACTAGGTAAGGGAGATAATGGCACTTTTGAGCGTAATAACGATAGTGCTACGGACGACTATATAGACCATAAATAACAGGAATACCACTGAACTCGGGCGAGGCTTCATGGCCAGAGGCGATGCCTCTCTGCGGCGGTAGGAACACGTACAACACACCACAACACCACCAAAACAAGATGGATGGAAATGCTTGATTATCTGTGCTATCTCTCTGCCACTGCCTACGTGAAAATACTATTGAAAGAAAAGAAAAAGCTCTCCACTTCATCCGTCCAATCAGGAGCCACCATTGCCTCCCTGTACAATGTACAGGCACGTGACCTGACTGACTCTTCCCATTACACCACCAGTAATGACCTAATTGAGGTGTTTATTCATGTGTTTAATTCAATCGATAGTGGAAGTTGAGTAACTGAGACTTGTTCCGTGGCATGGTGGTTGCAACGCGTGTCGCGAATCTACTGTATGTAGGTTGTCGCAAAACCTGTGGGGCGGTCTTATTAAGCCACAGATGTCGTATTCGTACCGACCAACAATATCGCTACCTCGTGAGACTGTGGTGACGGGGCGGTATCAGGGTTGATGGACTGGTTAGCATGCAGCTGAAATCCATCACAAAAGAGTATGGGAGATGCAATGAACTCCTAGAAAGTCCAGAGTGGTCACATCCAACGCATCGTTTCAAGGAGTCAAGTGCAAATGGGCAAGACAGCAAAGCCATCCCGGATGCTTTGTCTTTGCGAGAATGATGTCCTCAATGCCTCGAAGCTTTCATTATTATCCAACGACGATACTAGTAGGGGATATCTGCATGTGAATGAATGTACAGTCCAATATCCAACTTGAACTCCCTCGCTGATGCATCTGGAACTCGACTCGCTAATCTCGCTCAATCGATCTTCGCTGAAAACTCGGCAGCTTCACTAACCGAAGCATATCCAACACTGTGCAGAGAGCTTTTGGACGAAATCACAACATGCACGCTCATCAAATCAATGGATGTTCCTTCACGACACCTGTTGCCCTGCCCTCTCTGCCTGCAAGCTGAGACTGGCGGCACACTGACCCTGGCTTCCAGGCTCTAGACAAATCCGAGATTCTCTAGAATTGCCTTCGCCTCGTTCATGGGCAGTCCAGCGACGCCCAGCGCACGGACTTGCGTTCCCCTTCTCAACCGCTGGAGACCGACAGCGACCTTCCAACCCTCGGATTGAGACAGGATAAAAACGTACTTCTTGCCTTCCTGGTCGCGGATGCTCGCGCGGAGGACATGTAACCCGGAGAGTTCGCAGCTCTGTGTGAGATTGGAGTCAGTATCAATTGCGATAGGTGGTCGCTTGGCCGCCGCGGGTTTATTTGACAAAGAAAAACGTGGTAGGCAGCTCTGAGGCCGGGATTGGGACCTGTTCTTGCATACGCCTCCGCAGGTATCCAGCAGCTTACTGACGAAAGCCACCGATTCATTTGGCGAAGGTGAAGGGGGATCGCGCCTTGCGTCGACGTGCAATCCGAATCCAAGAGAGAATTTCCGTTTAGGGGGACACACATCCATGTTCTCAGGGGAAAGAAATTCGGGACACCATACCTCTGCCAGTTTCATCGTCCAAGCCTTAACATCCCACTCACGCTGTGGCACTCCACGTACATCGTCGTCGATGAACAGGCCCTCGGTTGTGATGCGCAAGATCAGTCCGTCGGTGACATTACCTTGTCCAGATACCAGCTGGGAAATGGGGGTCCGCATAAAGGCATTATTGAAGGAAAAGACGCCTTTGATGACAATCTTGTCAGGGTCCTTGGTCGAATATGGTCCACGCATTGAAGGAGGCGGTGTGGTTTTGGCGGTGCTCTCGGACGGGGCGTACGATGATTCTGAGTACATCGAAGCCGCAGAATTGGCTTTGTGTGTTCGTTTGGGTCGGTCATAAGGTCTGAAGGAGTATGCGTCGTCGTCTCGTTCCGTGGTCGCAGTCGGCATGGGTGGACGCTTGGGGGGGCTTCTACTCGCCTGCTCCTGCTTCGCTTTTTCAGCAGCGGCGGCAGCTTTGGCGGCAGCCTCCTTCTCTTCACGCTCTTTCTTCTCCTTCCGCTCCCGCTCCAGTCTTTCCAGCAATTCTTTTTCTCTCAGCTTCAACCGCTCCCTCTCGAGGAGATCTTTCTGTCTCTGCCGCTCCCTCTCTAATTCTTCCTTCTGGCGTTGAAGCTCCTTCTCTAGCTCTTCTTTCTCCCTCTGGCGCTGTTTTTCTAGTTCTTCCTGCCTCTGTCGTTCCTTCTCCAGCTCATCTTTCTGTTTCTGCCTTTCCTTCTCCAATTCCTCCCTCCGTTTTTTCAGTTCCTCCGCCCGCTTGCGCTCTTCCTCTCTTTTCCTCGTCTCTTCTCGCGCCTTCTCCCAGCTAGACTTGGCACTGGTAGTGTTTGCTTTCGTGTTGGCCTGTGGTGGAGGCTTCTGCCACGATGACTGTGGAGGAGGACTGCTGGTCCCATGATTAGGGGGAGGAGGAGGACCGCCAGCGGCTCCAGGATTTGGAGGATGCGGTGGAGGGGACTGAGCGCTCGGTTGAGGCCCAGGTTGCGTGTAAGATCCAGAGTTGCCGTAGCTGCTATGGCCAGGACCCCCTGGATCGCCTGATCTTGAGTTAGACCCTCCACGATTGAAGCCGGGGTAGCTTTGCCATTCACTTTGGGTCTTGCCAAATGCCCACGCAACAACTGCAACGCCGCAGATGAGCGAGAAAACGCCTGTCCCACCACTATTGATAGTGCTCAATAGCCATTCTTTCACAACGGGTACGGCGGTGTAGTAGAGGAAGAAGGAGGCTGCCGTGCAGAAGACTCCTGCCAGGAAGGAGTTGCGGTGTGTCTGAAGCGAGGGGAGGTAGAGAAAGCCCGAGCCCGAGGAATGTGGAGGGATGACAAAAATGTCGTATTTGCCGTTTGGGAGACCTCCAGACCTGCCACCGCCTTGAGGATTTGTGCCATGCGGCGGTGGCGGCGGCGGAGGTGGCTCCATGCGAGCAAAGCCCTCTGGTGACTGAAATCCCGGTCTATCTTTCCAAGCACAGTGGTATCGTCCGTCGTAACTGTGCTAAGGCCTTCTTTTTCATATTAACAGCTGGACTGCGCAGAGGGCAGTTCCAGTGGCAGGGGACGGGGTCCGCGATTTGGAGGGAGACGGGAGAGGCGCCGATGCGTGAAGGAATTGGGCCGTGGTTGACTGTATCGTGAACTGTCAAGATCGGAAGGGAATGACAGTCGAGCAAGTGTTCGTGAGTGATGTGTCGGAGAAAAGTAGTAGGTGGGAGGGAGAGTCTGGCGGAAAAGTAGGACAGGAGATGGAGCGCAGGAAACAAAGCCCTCCCTGGCAGTCGATGTGATTTGACTTTGAGCCCTCGAGAGAGAGAGACTCGACACTGGACAGGGCAGGGAACCAGGTGGGCTCGTGGGAGGTGTGATGGCGCTAAAGCGGGAGGGAAGGCCCTCGAGGGTGTCGGGGTCAACTTTCCGGTGAGCGCCCAGGATCCTGGAGTATGGCCCAAATAGGGGACTGTCCCAATAATGGGTGGATGGATGGGGAGGGGAAAAATTGAGATTGATGCGGCAATCAATCGGTGAATTTCTTTTTTTTTCCCTGTCGGGTGAGTTCTGGCCTCTGTTCCTGGGGGTGAAATTTGTGAAACGGGTGCAGGACTCAGCAGAAGGTGGTGAGGCAGGGCGCAGGAAGAAATCCCAGAGAACGCAGAGAAGACTTGCAACCTGCCGGCCTGCCCTTTTTCAACCCCCCGGTTGAGAAAAAGAGGCGCCTTTCTGCACACGACTACGAGCACGAGCACGAGATAAATACGGATTTCTACGCAGTCTGGGTGTTCGCCGCACGCACAACCGAAGTCCCAGAGGGGGAGCTGCAAAACAACAAAGTCGACCGATATCCAATGGAACCGAGGGTGAGCAGCAGGATGATGCCAGGGCCTGCACTCGAATTTTGCTAGTTGGGCAAATCACGGTTGCAGCTCGAGCGCCCAGGGCGCTGATAGGCAGGTTTTGCTGCAGAAATCAACGCGCCTTCTGCGCAAGTCCGCCCCCCTTTGGAGCAGGCAACCAAGACAGCATCCTTCGCTTAAACCAGAAAAAATCAGCAGCGATGGTGTCGGTGTCCGGTTTGTGGACGCATCAGAAAAGACCACGTTGAACGTAGGATCAGGCGGTGAGTTCGTCTGATGGGGACTGGCTGCACGCGAAGATGTGATGCGCGTTTGTGAAAGCCCTAGGAGCTGCTGATAAACAATGCGGCCCGTTGGAGGGTTGACGGGGGAACAACAGCGCGGGCGACGAGCTAACCAATTGCTAACACCAACCAGTGCCGGGGGTCAACGGCTGTTGCAGCAGCCTAAGCAACGCCTGGTCACGGCTCGCTAGGCCTAGTCTTGCCCCTAGAAGCCTGCCAACGGGAAGTTTGGGCTCCGCCTGCCCGATGTCGTCCAACCACTCGTCACCCAAATAATCCTCCGAGCGGTGCCTCGTGGTCCATGCAAGATGACTTCATTGCAACTCGACCCAAGATCGCCTTGCCCCAGGCGCCTTCAAAAGGTGATCTGAAACTTTTCCCTTACCCGCCCGCCGAAATAATAAAACAATAACGGACTCGGCGCTATCAAGACCGCAAGAAATCCGAAGCAGCTGATCCCCCAGCCGTAGCCCAGCTTTTCAAACAAGAGCGGCGCGACCAGGGGTACCCCACCGCCGACCAGACTGCGGAATACAGATCCCCCTGCAATGGCCGAGGCGGCGTACGTCGAGAACGAGTCGATGTAATAGTTCTGGACGGTGTTGAAGACCACCACTTGACCCACTCCATAGAAATATGTCGCCGCAATGCTCGCAAGCCAATGGACGCGGTACTGGACGGTCCAGGCAAACCAGAAGAGACTCACTGGGATCAGGATGCTGCCCACGTTGGCGAGCGGTAAGCGGTATTCGGGAAGCGCCTTTCCGCCATTCTTCTCCGTCAGTCTGTTGAAGACCGTATCGATGCGTGGTACCAGGAATCGGACCGAGGTCAGGAATCCCAGTCCTGGACCAAGATATAACAGGCCAATTTGCTCCGAGCTGAAGTTGTAGGGCGGTTCAGAGTAGATACTCTGCATGTTGGTGTAGATACTGTACGTGGTGCCAAAGATCAGGGCTTGATACATGCTCATGGTCAGCACCATTGGCTGCACGAAAATAACGAACGGCCGTTTCATGCTGGCCATGAGCTTTTTGGAGAGTGGTCTGTCGTCTTGGCCATCGAAGTAATATCTCGTCTTGTTGTTCCCCCGTCCTTGGAAATCTCGTTGGGCGAGCTCGGCTTTGCGGCGACCCAGGAGGACCGGCGCATAAGTCTCCTTGAGGAAGAAGTAACCAATTGCTGTATTTATGGCGCAGACAATTGTGAGAATCTGGGCCGGCGTCAACTGTTAGCCTATCCCAGCCCCCCGGTTGTCATATTCCCACACTCACCCAGTATATCCACCTCCATCCCAAACGACTGACAATGACGCCCCCGAACAGAGGTCCAAGTGTGGGCCCTATTATGTGGTCAGCCATATCTCGGGACGTCACAGAGAATTCTTCTATATTCACCTAGAAGAGGTCCAAGCAAGTACCATCCAAAAATGCCGGCCCGTTGAGAGGGGTGGTACATGTCAGAAATGGTTCCACCTCCATTGGCTATCCCGACACCTGCAGCACCTATCAGTACCCTTCTCTGCTCGCCACAAAAATCCTCCCTTTGTGAATTGTTGCTACTCACTACCGAAGAAGCCCGAAACCGTCCTCATCCCAATCAGCGTCTGGATATTGGGACTCAGCGCCGAGGCGGCCTGGAGGACCGTGAATACGGCGAAACAGCAGATGTACAACGCCCGGCGCCCAAAGTCCTCGGACAACGGCGCCCAGATCAAGGGCCCCAGTCCGAGGGTGATCACGAAGCCGGTCGTCGTGGCGATGACGCTCTGCTCGTTCGTGTCCAAGTCCTCGGCGATCTGGCTGATGCCGGGCGTGAACATGGACGAGGCCAAGGGGCTCAGGATGGCCATCAGCGAGATGATGCCCACGTTGAGAATCTTCTTGCGGCCGTTCCAGGCTTTCGGGTTCTCCTCGTCGTCCGCGCCGAATTGGATCTGGTAGGTCTCATGGCTGTGTTGGCTGGCGCTGTCGACGTCTCCGTCGGGGCGCAGGAGAGGTCGTTCCTCGTCATCTTCTTCGCGTGGGGGAGGCATCTGTTCCTGGATTTAGAAACGAGGCAAGCACTACGGCTGGCATTGACTGCTATCCGGGTGAGTGAAGGCAAGACATGATGAGAGGGGAGGTGCCCACGGTTCATGCCAACTGTGTGAGAGAAATAAATAGACTTTGGGCTGCCAGATCTGGCGACCCTGTCACCTGGATCGATGACGCCCACCGGTTCGACGCCCTGGCACCTGGCCATCCAAACGGAGCTTGATCCCGCTCATCAGTTGCTGCTGGGTGGCTTTTTTGATCGCCGAAAGGATCGAATTTCCCCCGCAAAGTCCCACCACCCAAAGAAGCGAGTAAAAGATGAGAAATTTAAAATTTTAATAATTAATTAAGCCCAGCATGGGGTAGGTATACAGGATGCCGTCCATACATAACTCCACTATCAACACCTATCCAGTTACAGTAGCCACGAAAACCCGAGGCGCCTCTTCTCCACTGGTCTGGCCAAAGCACCCTCGTGAGGCGTCTCAATGTGATCAACAGCCACCAAAGGAATTTTTCATTGGAGTGGATGTAGATTCGTATATCTATTTACCGACCAGGAGATCTCTAGGACGTACATCTATAATATATTCTGCCTCGACCTGAGAGACAGGGAAGGAGTACCTCAAGGAATATGCTTTAATGCTTTTGTAAAGTTTGAAATACACTCGTTGAACCAAAGCTGGATGATTGTACATTTGTAGGTCGTGAACTTGCAGTTTGTGAGAGATGTGGCCGCTGAGTCGGTAGTTGAGCCATGGACATTGCTGCTCGGGTATCTTTTAGGCGCGAACGAGACTTGCTCTGGATGGGTCGTCGAAAAGGGGCCTGATAGTGTTGATGGCTTTCTCCATGTCCTGACGTCGGCAACAACGTGTCGTGGCGGTGTAGGCGAAGATGTCAGAGGTGGTCGGTCCAACATCGTCTTCCTCATTATCTGACCTGCCACGAGCTCTTCTGTCCTCATGACATGACCAGGACGTATCCTTTTTGAGGCCCAATCACCTCCCCTGCCCCCGTTCATTCGTCTGCGAAGGTGGCTGTCCTTTCGCTTCCTTCCGCGCCAGTACTGTCGCCATCCATTCCTCAAACTCCTCTTCTGCTTCTTTCTCCGACTTGCCTGTCCCATCGACGCCCAGCCCACCTCTTAACTTCCTCCGCGCCTCTGCCAAACTGTTGATATCGAGGTACCACAGAGCCCCTCCCGTCACCATCATCGACAGACTGAGGACATTGATCGTCGCAATGTTCAGTGCTTCAACAGCCTCCATGGCACCGTTCACTTTCTTCGCCTGTTCTGCCTGGTGGCCCGGGGCGTTGGCGTAGAAGGCCGGGTTGGCAGCCAACCGTTTCCGCGCGAGGCTTCTTCGAGTGACGAGGAGGGAGAAAGCGAAGAATACGGCGCCAGCTCCGAAGATGAGTTTGTTCCTGTTCAAGCGCTCGCTCTGCGTGGGTTGCGATGTGATGTGCTTGGGTGCTTCGGTAGGAGGCTCGGCCGGCTTCACAGGTTCTTCGAGGATGCGCTTCTCAGCGGCTGGGGTCTGACCGCCTGGGGGAGCCACAGAAGCTTTGGACGACGTGAACCATGATGTGAACCACGACATCATGTCAGAAGTGTGACTTGAGGTCAGCGAGAAAAGTTGTCTTGGGCCTCTACCGGCAAAGAAACAAAAAAAAAAGATCGGGCGGAAGATCAGTGCACATGGCGCAGCTGCGGAGATGCAGCACGTGACGAATCTCCGAGCCCATATCAGCTTGTGTTCATAGCGGAGAGAATTGGCATCTACAGTTCAAATGTGGTTCTCCAATTTTCAGTGATATGTTCCACCTCGCTCATCTCATCGAGGAGACCGATACAACACATACAGCACTCTTCAAGCTACCCGTCACTATCACTGTTCTTTGCCCACATTTCCTACTATAGACAGCGAAGTATTCACCAAGACCGGCCTGCTCCCCAAAACGGACGAACCACACAGCGACTATGCCTGGTCCTTCTCACTTTGCTCGGAGTCGACGTGCTCGACGTTGTCCCGATGAACGGCTCCGTGCTTTTCCACGTCTCCACCTGTGGAAGGTCGCGGAGCACCAGCTTCAGTGGCGATCCTGTGGATATTGTGATTGCCATGTTCGTCGACAACGAGTTCGTGGGTGCGATGATCGACATGCAGGTCTTCGGCATAGACGACAACTTCATCTCCGAACAGTTTCGCCATCTCTTCAAGCGGGATATTCTTTGTCTCGGGAAGATAGAAGTATGCGAAGAAAACGCCCAACCCCGAAATGATGATGAAGACCAGATAGAACTTCCAGCCGATGTTGTTGAAAGCCTACCAGACTCGAGTCAGTAAATGATCGAACATCGACACGAAAAGAACACTTACCGTAGCCGCAACTTGTAGGTATACCAAGTCTGTCAGTGCAATGACGGCAATACTAAGAGAGAGACCCTTCGCTCTCAGGTGGTTGGGGAACAGTTCCGAGTAGAAGACGACACCAGCCACATCGATGCCGATGCTGTATACGGCCAAAAACAGATATGCAGCCGCGACGCCCATTCGAAGCCCGGCCTTGTTGGTTGCTTCTTCGGCGAAGGAGCTAACCATTGCTGCTTCGAGGATGAGTGAAATGCAGCAGCCGGCCACACCCATGACAAGCAGAGGCTTGCGGCCTGTCCAGTCCATGATGAGAGCTCCCACCAAGTTGCCAAGGATGCCGACAGTAATCCAGCCACACTGGAAGATCAACTGGTACAAGGTATCGTATCCGAGAGCGGCGTAGATGGTTGGACCTGTGCCTTGTTAGCGTTTCCTTTACACAAGTAGAGCAGGTCTCGCGCGTTAGCTTACCATAGTTGTTCAAAACCAACACGCCTGTTGACTGCCCAATGAATGCGAAACCCATGGCCATGATTGTGCGCTTGCGGTAGCTAGGTCGGCGAAACATTTCAAGCTGTGAAGGTTAATACACTCGTTCTGAATGAAAGGGAGTAGCTACTGACCCAACCCGGTTCCATAGTCCGATCCAATTCGGCTTGCTTCGACATTTGGTAGAATTCCCCGCGAGCGAATTCTTGATCGGGGTCATTCTTCGATGCGTGCAACTTGAAGACAACGTCTCTCGCTTCATCAATCTTCCCTTTCATGAGGAGATAGCGGGGGGATTCTGGGATGACGAGGCAGACAAGGATCATCATCACTGGCCAAACAAGTGCAATTCCCAACGGTGCTCGCCATTGTGTTTGCGGGTCATCCACATAATAAAAGGCGAGGCCCATATAGCTGGCAAGAGCATAGCCTAATGCGATATTGACGCCGTTCATACCCACCATGAGGCCACGCAGCCCTGGAGGCGCCAACTCGGCAGAGTAATACGGCGCTTGGTCTTGTCAGCAGGGAGCCTGAAGCCAGAACAGAAGCCAGTACATACTGACTGCTAGGTAGCCCCAGCTACCACCGCCAGCAAACAGGCGGGCGACGATAAACATGGTGGCATTTCTGCTGCCGCAAAGCAGCGCACCTCCGAGCAGCGACAAAAAGCCACACCAGTGGAATCCTGCCTTACGTCCCCATCTGCCACCGGTCGTCAGCAACGAACGTGTCTACTTTGGAACCTGGCAGGTTTCAAACGTACCTGTCTGAGATATATCCGGCAATGAAAACGTTAATGGCGGCGCCAGCTTGGAATACCTGCAGAGTGGTCAGTCGGATCGTGCAGAAGAACATGTTGTAGCTGTGATTGTTGAGATTTGTGGAAACCAGGCAGGATCGTGTCAGATGCACCGAATCTGACCTGGCTCCTGGGTGCTAGGGGTCCTTTGTAGGATTGAAGGTTGACATATAACTGGAAGGGATTAACCTACTCCCGACATTGCCCCAATCTTTTGATCCGCCCCTGTCTGTTCATTAGCTTGCTGGCATGAGGCTCTGCTGGTATGGTTTCCTTACCTGGAGTCATGGCTGGGGGATCCTGTGTGACATCAAGCAGGCCCATGTAAACCAGAAAAGACGGTTGCGCAAGCGTAACACCGATGATGGAAGCTGGATATCCAAATGCGATCTGGCCTAAAGAGACCATCCAGCAGATGAAGAAATTCCATGCGCTCCAGTGACGTTCGGTACCAAAAGCCATGGTGGACGACGTGATCGTGCAGGAAGAAAGAATACAAGCGGCGTGTGACGCTGATCGAACGAAGAGAACCCGTCTAAGGGAGAGCCAAATCTCAGCGAAACCACCCAGCCTTTAGTACCTCTGGTGAATCATCAGTCCATCCGAATCGATTTCGTTCAATATGCCGACTGCCCACCTGCTCCCCGCTGAGAGAGCGCCGCGGTTATCCTCTTGCAGTTTGCTTTCCCCTTGCCCAGATTGCCCAGATCTTAAGCAGAATACTACCTCACCGAGGTTCCCTGTATTTGGTTGTCTGGTAAGGTTTCTCCATGTCTGCGCAAACTTTCTCCGTAGCTTAAAGAATGAGATCCACCCCCTGAATACGAGATGGGTGGGAGTCGGCGAGTTGGCTTCTGCAGGGTGACCTCTGCTGGGTGTTACTGCACACAGAATAGCCTTTGCATCTGCGAACGCCAACATCAAAGGAGGAGAATGCCACATTACTGACCATGTGTTGAGCGCGTTCCAAGATGGTAGGTCTCAGCAACTTCTCCAGACGCTTTGACAGATCGTGGGGCGTTCGAGATTTAGCAGTGGGTTCGTGAAACGTGGAGAGAGACCTGGGGGAAGACTTTGGGTTTGTGGGGGAGACGCCGGTGATGAACCATTTACGAGAGTGGATATTCCAAGACTCCCAGGCGGCGGTCGCACCACAAAGACTTGAAGGGATGTTGCGAGATTTGACCGGGAACCTGATAGTCTCTCGGAAATCCAGACCAACTAGCAGGTGCACATCGTCTGATCATCAAGATCCGCGACGCGACCAAGGCGATAGGTAGCCTGAGTGAGCTAGGTCTAGAACGCACGTGTGACGATAACCGTGGGATAGAGTTCATCGAGTCAGTCAGCCATGACACTGTTTTCAGCAGCGTCTTTGAAAGACTAGCGCAAATTTCTACCTCATGTTCAGGAAGAAACAGTTGCAGATTGTCTCCTCTCCTTGTCGTGGCAGCCGAACAAGTCTCACAGCGTCAGAGCGAAGATCCCGAGTCGAGGCCCGAGATTGTTGTGCAACGAGTAGCGGGGATTTTTTCTGCTGTTGGCTGGCCATACGTTCATGTACCCTGGTGCAGGACAGTGTCCACTAGGAATGTGGGATAACCCGTGTTGTAGGGCTAAGACCTGAGGAATGGATTCGTGCTGAACAGAGAGACGGCTCCTATGGCATGTCTGATTTGTGGGAAAGAGCCGAACAACTCATTGCCACTCCTATCCTTTTTGGATGACTCGATAGATTGTCTTCGGCGAGTGTTATGCTTTTGAACCAGCTCTCAGGCGCCTCTTGGCCTTCTTGGAGGCACCAAAGAATCCAGGATAGCAATTCATCGTCTGCAGCGTAGTCTCTCACCAAGACCGCCACACCGTATTAACTTGGCCCAGACATGACCTTTCATGTTTCCGTTCTCGGTCCCACTTGGTGGTATGCAAACAGCTCCGCAGATACACTGTCAAGAAGGGGACTTTGGGAGGTTCTCATTCCAGCCTCTGTGGAAAGTCTATGCGTGCTGAGAGGAGAAAACGGACACCAAATGATTGACCGTCGCATAGGTAGCTGAGGACGTGCCTGGCTTTTTCAGATTAGCGAGAGCAGAGTATCAAGTATCAAGCATATCACTGCGGATAGTTAAAATCCAGGATAACCTAGATCTACGTCTCCTGGAAAGAACATTTTCATCTGGTCAATCCAGGCTTTGAGGTCAACCGCGACAAAGCCTTCGATGTCGATATCTTTGGCTCGCACGACGACCATGGACGTAAGAGGCACCGATTGAAAGCGCGCAGGCGTAAAGTGGGAGCATGATTTTGGGAGGAGGGACAGCTGTGGATGTGAAAGGACGAAGAGGACGAGAGGTTGAGATCCGAGGTTCGAAGTGTCTTGTCAATTAGGAGAGCTGCCAAGACTTAAAGACTGGCAGGCTCTCTGTGTAATCCACTCTACTCGTAGGCAGCGGACAAGTTTACTCGGAAGACACAGCTTGGTGGGTTATTAAGCTGTTAATACTCTAATATTTGTTGGGGCTCGATGGATATTGGATAAATTGTGATCGTTTATTACGGCCAAAAGAGCCCTGCAACAGCATCACAACCAGCACCACCCCAAGATGCCATACTTGTTGATATCCTGTCATTCAAGAAAAAAGCCATCATGTCGACTAGGAGAAACTAAACCTCACTTATGCACCGTCACCAGCATACCCGCCACGCCGGAGCGTCGCTTACCCAGCCTTAGTTTCACCACAAACCCACATGGCTCGAATGGATTCACCCAAACCGGAGACAAGAGGTCCGAAAGGGGGAACCACACCCCTACCTCCATCTCCCAGCAAATGTATGTCAGAACTTTTATTTCAAGGCTTATTCTTCCTTCGAGCGCGGTCCCGCGGCCTTGTGAAAAGGAATGGGTGTAAGGGGGGGGAAATGCGGCACACCAATAAGGTGTGAGAAGAGGGCCTAGGCAGCGTAAAATTGAAGTCAGACGAGGTGACAAACTGTAACGAGTAAGCGATGTTCAAGGCGTCCCAAATTTCGTAGGGACTGTGCACTATTATAGGGTGCCACAGAATACATCAATAGGAAAAATCAGTCTTTGGGGGATGGTACGTGTTGTATTAACAGATTGAGCTTTAATAAGGAGTCCAGATAATAGTACATCATCATCCTTCCGGCTTGTTGAGATTGTCAAAGGCCCGAAGAGCTTTACCGTGCCCTTCAAGCTGTCCAGATTCTTTGGTTGAAAGCTAACGGTTGAAATAAATTATGGCCATCACCATGAGAGTCGCAGAACTGCTTCAGGATGCATTTCCAATCATGTTCTGTGGGGCTACCGTTGGTTGGAAACAAATAAATCTTCTGGATTCGTTCCATCTGACCGCGCACCCAGGCAACTTGGCCCTTCCTGAGCTTTCCAACCAGTGGCCCTGGTTTCGAATTAGCCTGTGCCATCGCACGGGCCCTGAGGAATCCGGCCAGAGGTACCATGATGAACCAACCACCGATCGCCGCCGCAGCGCGTACATGGTCTTCCATAGTCATCTCGACCTCGTTCCCGAACGGGTCGACATAACTCGCCAGGCGCCGGAGCTCAGCAGGCACGTGAGGGTACTCTCTGTGTTCATCGGGGAATGCCGGTCTTGTTCTGTTGCCCAGATGGAACGGCACCGAGGCGCAGAACCGGTCGACAACCTCTTGAACTCGCAGGTCAACATAAGGCTCGATTTGGGGGTCGACGGCAATGCCAAGTTCGTTAAGGCCTCTCGAGCATCTTGTAATCAACCGAATTGCACCAATCTGAGAACTCCGAGCAGCGTTGTTGACATGAGAGACTGCGAGTGAGGAATATACATCGCACATGCCTTCGTAGACTCCAGCGTCACGTATGGAATGATGCAGTTCGGAGGCCGGGATAGATACTGGTTGCCATGACTTGGGGAGGGCGTCCACCCATGCTTGCAGTCTCTTCTCGAGGCTAAGGGCCCTGTCCAAGATAACCCGGTAGAAGTCGGCTAAGCTGAGGCCAGCAGCTTCAGGACCGTCACGAGCCAACACCAGCAAGTCCGCCAGCTCCACGTTCAAGAGGTCGAGCTTCGCGGAAGGGAGGACTGCAGTTTCGTCTGTGAGGAGTTCGGGATCCAGTTCCACCCTTTTGCCGAATTGTAATGAATAATTGATGTGACGACTTCTCATGGCATTAAAAAGCCGCTGAGAGAGCGGGGTATTGAAACTGTCTCTCCCTCTATGCTTGAGCAAAGCCACCGCACCTTGTTGATGGGTGCCGGTGTCGACAAAGTGTACAAAGCGCCGATTGAGGGAGTCGTAAAAGTCCAGCATGAACACAGTGGCGAGCGTCTCATCTGCCTTGGCTTCAATGGGATCTTGCAGCAAAAGTTTCAAGCTGGTCACGGCCTTTGCGTATGCCTCTCGGGCACGGTACGAGTCAACGTAGCGGTTCATCCACATGGAAGTGATATTGATAGCGGAGGCATTGATAGCTTCAGCCAACGCCGAGCTGGGGGCCGTGTTCAAGTATATGGGAAGGATGTATTCGATGAAGATGTTTGTACTGGGGTCTCGGGGGATGTTGACATAGTTGGTGAAGAAGTAACACAATGACTCCATCTCTAGATTTCGAGATGGTTTTGTGAAGAGAGCGAGGTCCAGAGTTCGATCGACATGGCTCGGCGACGGCGGGTTTGAGACGCTGATACTGCTGTCTGATGAATCGCTGGTCGGAGAGTGCACCTTCTTCTGGCGTTTCGGGGCGCTTTTACGAGAGGTGGTGAGAGTCTCGTCTTTATGTACTGCATCGAAGGAGTTCCGGTAGCCAGGGCATTGCTGTTTCCTCTTGATGCAGTTGCCGCACTCAGGCCGTTTCTCATCACACTGTTAATCCATCGATCAGCATACTATTGAGCAATCGGACTGACAAGGAACGATATAATTACCTTCACACGGCGTTTCCTACACGAGTGACATCCTTTACTGGGGCCTTTATAGACCATCTTGCTTCCTCAGCGGGCTTCGCCGTCTACTTACGGTCTGCACAATAAATGGGATGATTAAAACAACGTTATTGAATTCATATCTTCATCGTCGGGACGGGGGGCGTTTAAACCAATTCTGAACATTCGAATCTGATATAAGGCTGCCCATCGTCATGCAGGCAGCATTGGCACTTTTGCTGAACCACGCAGAAGCGAGAATAGGATTGCAAATTGTAGTCGGGGCTAGGGATACCAATTTCTTGCCCCGACCGGCACCGAGAGGGTTTATTTTGTCCGGCATCAAATGGGTGGTGGGTGGCTGTGCTCACAACCTTTAGGGCGAGGGGGTTCAACTCGGTTATGCTGCCCCCTAGCGATCAAAGGGCGATGGTGGTGGGAACTGAACTTCCCGCGTAGAGAGGGAACAACGCATCATTGTGGCTGGGGGGAGGAAATGACGACAATGGCGGGCTAGTAAGGCTAGTGGGCTTGTAAACTAGCTGCGTAGGGCCATCCATACGGAGGGGGAGAGCAATATGGGCCACCAGATACGAGAATAAGACTCGTATACGCCCGTATTCTCAAACCTGTCGAGCCTAGCCAGCCCGTCTCAGTGGGCATTATCCGCCATTCTTCTCAGGTGATCAACTAAAGCTACTGTAACTTCCCGCTCATTGGAGCTTTAGAGAGGCCAGAATCACGTCCTTCCACAAAAGTGAGAGCTTTAGGAGAAATGAGTACCCTCGACGGGTATTCCACACCAATGGCGTCCCAAAGGGAGGATCGTGCTGGGATTCTTCACTCATACTGTGCGCCCCCAATAACGATGTCCATGTCTCATCTCCCATTGTATACATACGCCTGATCGATTCTGCGTTAGATGGTTCACCGATGAGATGATCTACATGACGAGATATAGCAATTACGGTCGCTTGGAAGCAGCATGAGCGGGCCGAACTTCTAAATGGATTCAAACTATCTACTGCCGCTGTTCTATCTTGTTTAATATATCAGATTCCCGAGCTCACCAAGGCACCTGAGCGCCGTTCTGATCCCAGAACTTTCCGCTGTACGTGGCTTTGTCGGCTTTATCGAATACTGATATCAGACCACTGACAGAATCTTCCAACTTGACTGGAACCTCTTCCGGCTTCATACCCGCGAGTTCGGCGGCGGTATTGCCCATGGCTGTTTCGATCTCAAGTCAGCATGACTGCTTGGGGAAAAGAAAGCATTCGAGAAGGAACATACCTGTTTGAACCCAACCGGGCTGCATGGCGACAACAGTGATCCGATCCTCCTCGCGGTGAATGCGGCTTACTGCCCAGTTCACAGCTGCCTTTGACATGCCGTAGGCAATCACTGGCAAGGGATAGTGATCTTGGAGACTGTTACTGCCGATACTGGAGGAGATGATAAAGAACTTCGGAGACTGCCTAGAGGCATTCAATAGTTCTTGGGTGCCCTGGTAGAGCAAAATTGGGGCTAAAGTGTTGATTTGCAAGTGCTCCATGATAGTCTCGGCGGAAGCTTCTTTGGCGGGACCGAAGTGCTTCAGAATGCCCGCATTGGCGACGACGACATCGAGAGCAGAAACGTTGTAAACTGACTTGAGGTAGTCGGCAAGCTCAACCGCCGCCGTCTTTGATGAGGCGTCGTACTTGGCGACAATGATCTTGCTGCCAGCACCAACAGGTAAGGAAGTCAGGGTTTTGGCAGCTTCAGAATCAGGCCCATCTCGGATAGCGGCAATGGCTAGTGTGTTGGGACGGGCGGCATAGGTGGCCAGCAATCCTTTGCCGATGCCGGATTTGCTTCCAGTCACCAGAATGGTATTGGCGAAAGACATGGTGGTCTTGTGGATGTGTCGTTGGCTTGGCTGAGGGACGAGGTTAGGAATTGGGTGAAGCTGTGGAAGTTGCTTTGGTGTCTTGCTGGTGTTTGCTTTCGATGATGGAGGGACAGTTCTTGCTGCACTGGAATGACTCTATTATATACTTACAGGGACTCATGCTTCGGAGTCTGTGTGGTGTCGTGCTTGACAATTCAGTTCTGTCTCTTTCTACGTTACCTCAGCAGGCGCGTATATCTCGTGAAGGCGCATGGTTTCCCAATGGAGAGCTTGGTCTATTGCGACCGTGGTGTTGGTGCAGGTTTGATGACACAACAGAAGAATAACAACGATGCGCTGCATATGTCTAGCAGGAGGACAGCAACCACAACTTCCGAGAATGGAAGGCTTTGCAGAGGAGCCATGTTCTTCCATTCCTCGAATGCTTCCAGATTGTAAATTCGCGAGGGGCTGACCAACCAATGTAGTTGGCGTTGTTTGATTGGTAGAAGTTTCATTTCCAAATTAAGACACTGGTCGCCTCTTGTCCAATCCGCTGCCATAAGTACAGTCTCCACGGGCTTTCTACACGGCCTACATATCGAGAGCGACCACTGTTGGCCCCGTCATCGCTCATGTTCACCTTCCGAATGGTTTCTGCGTGCTTGGCTCCCTGCGTTGTTGATTTGAAACGTGGCTTTCGACCATAAAAAGTGTGACGTGATTGCCATGACTGAGCACTTGGCGTAACCCCGGGAGTTAGGGGAATGGCGGGTGTTCGACCTCAAGGTCTAGGCCAAAGGAGCATTGGTGGTACTGTACATTGGTGGCACCCTGGTGGTAGATGATTGCGTTATTAGTCACGAGCAGAAGGAGTGATGCTTGTTGTAAGAATGCCCAGCAGCGGGACTTGAGGTTCCGCGCCAAGGTTCTGCGGTTGATTAAGCTTAAAGTTAATCCAAGACAGGTTTTGACCAAACAGGTCCCCCAAACAGTGCCCACTGCCATGCTTAGTATTTTCCCCCGGCGACAGTCACAGCCCGAAATGCTGTGACAACCATGATGCTCCTCACGTCTACCTCCCTTGACTGCTGACCTCATCTCTGCTTCAGGGAAACCCTTTGGTGAGAGTGCAAACTCCAGTCTCGTTCACAACGGCAAGCTGTTGAGCGTCGAAACGTGGTCTGACCTGTTACGACGCCAAATGCGACTCCTTGACACAGCCCCCATGTAGGCATTCTTTCTCGATGGGACTTTCTCACTTTCTCACTCCGCGAAATGTTCCTGTTTCTCTCTGTACGCTTTCAACGATGCCGAGAATTGACCCGCGATATTCAATTTTCCGCTTCACACATGTTGTGCTCTTGAGCAATGTGGCTCCTTGACACCAGCACCCTCCGGCTGTGCCATTTCCCCTCCAATCCACCCGCTTACGGTATTCTTTCCCATACTTGGGGCTCTGAAGAGATATCATTTGAAGAAATTGGAACACCAGAGTGCGAACAAAAGCATGGCTACAGGAAAATCAAGGGTTGTTGTGCGCAAGCCGCAGCGGATGGGCTCAGCTACGCTTGGATTGATACCTGTTGTATCGACAAACGAAGTTCGAGCGAGCTATCAGAAGCTATCAACAGCATGTTTAATTGGTATTCACAGGCTCATGTGTGTTATGCATATCTGGAGGATGTGGTTCTTTCAAAATCGTTAAGCCCGCATGGCTTTACCAACAGTAGATGGTTCACAAGAGGATGGACTCTTCAGGAACTCATCGCACCCACGACCGTGGTGTTCTATGACAGGAGCTGGTCTTTTATTGGAACCAAGGGAAGCTTGTTGGACAAGATTGCAAAGATAACGGCAATATCATACCAAGCTTTGACTAATACAAGAAGTATACGGACAGAGAGTATTGCCGAGAGAATGTCCTGGGCGGCGAGCAGAACGACAACCAAGGAGGAAGATGAGGCATACTGCTTGATCGGTATTTTTGATGTTAACATGCCGCTATTGTATGGCGAGGGTCTGAAAAAGGCATTCCGACGCCTTCAGATGCAAATCATGGCCACTTCCGTGGATTTGTCCATTCTGGCATGGAAGCTTCGCCGTCCTCGTCGCCACATTTTGCACCACACCCCTTTACCATCAGAACCTTGTGGTGTCCTGGCCTCGTCCCCCAAGGACTTCTTGAAGCATCGAACAGACTCGACTATCGTTCCGAACCACAATGTCAAAGCCTCCGCCGACTCTCTCGTGTCCATGATAAAAATCGGTCTATATGTTTCAGTGCCTCTCGTTCAGCTCCAGCAAGCCACTGTTGCTGTTCTGAACTGCGAACGGGATGGAAAATGTGTTGGAATACACGTAAATCTGAACGAGGAGACAGGCTGCTACTACCGAGTACAGTTGACGGAAGTCGTTCTTGTTGATTCGAGCTTGAAACTCGAGCAAGCGCAGCCCATTTGCCTCTCTACCGATGAGCCAACCTCAGAGTCAACCACGAACTCCCGAGTGCCGACATTCCTTTCTGTGGTGGATACGACCGGTTCACCACACCCCTACAGAACTACACGAATCCGTATTTTCGAAAAAGATCAAGTTGTATGGTCCGACGATCGCAGAATTCTGAAGCCGAGGCAGTTAGACATTTGGGAGCCTCGATGGGCGTTGGTGCTCCTTCAAAATGGTTGTGGAGATTACTTCTCACTTCTGTTTGGAACATATCATGGGAAGATATGCTCTCATGGTGTCCCGCAAGATCTAACAGGCCACTCCTGTCGAGACGGGATATCGTTGTGGGAAGAAATTCGACGCGATCTCGGGGATCCGAAATCTGCCTGGAGATACTTCAGTGATCGGCGTTGCTATTCCCATGACAAGTCATGGCACATGCTGGTCACGACAAAGACGATACCAGGTCGGCGGGTTGAGTCTGAATATGAAGTCAAGGTTGAACAGATTTCAAGCAAACGGAATTGTATTCCGCGGCATAGCTGCTCACTGCGAAAGAGCTGAGCAAGAGAAGCAAGAGGAGCGCTGATGTCGACGGGACACCGCTATTTTTAGAGGTAGATGAAATGCTCAATAGCTAAGAAGGTCACCCTTGATCTATCAGTGACTATATTCACCTTTACCTCCAACGACACGCCAGTCATGCACCTCTGCTACTGACTGCTCAATGCCACTCGGTAGATATGCAGCCTTGTGAAGCCTCAATTGGTCGGCTAAGTTGCCCAATGTAAAGAATTTTATGCACCGCGGAAAGGGAGGCTTTCGCCTTGAACGCGAAGCTTGGATGGTTCAACACCAAATATAACGCATATCGTGGTCGAATCAGACGACCTCGACTCTTGGGTACTACCCAAAATGATCCCAAGGTAGTAAAAGAAGGCGCAAAATGGCGCCAGAACCCTCATCCACTCCCAACAGCTCGAGCGCGGCGCCGACCCCGACTCCTTCACCAGCGCCCTCTCCCATACCTCCCCCAGTCCCTGTCGAGACTCATCCCAACCGAGGGAAACCGCAAGCTAACCGAATCGCCCTTGACCCGAATCGCCTTGCTCCTGAAGATGCGTACAAGACCTTTTCGCCGCCGCGATTGCGACCAGTCCCTGAGATCAGTGGTTCTGCGGCCGCCAATGCTGCCGCAGCCGCCCTCCGACCAGCAGTTGCATCTCTACGGGCACCGCCTGCAATCCCGCCGGTCGCCGCTAGACTAGCCGAAGAAAGACGACGGGCAGCCAGCAGGAGGCGGAAGCAACCTCACGTGTGGAAGAAATTACTGTGGATTAAACAGCATGGATTTCCCGACAACTATACGGATACCGAGACCTTCCTCGACCATCTCCAGAGGAATCCCCGGCTGAGACCCTATGATTTCTGGCCGTTGGTAGCAGACTCGGCGGTGATTGTGCAGCACGTATGCTCCGTGGCCATCTTCATTTGCGCCTACGCTGGAATTTATCAGGGCCGTCTGTCCCCGGTGTCGGTGGTAACCTGTGGCACGATTTTGACGGTGGGTGGATGGATTATGTGGGACTATTGGATGGGTCAGCAGGAAGCCGAAGAGTTGGCGGTGCTACACAAGGCAAACCGGCTTTCGGTCGAAGTGGACGATGCTGCAAGTACCAGCTCTGGAGGCTCTTCTAAGATCCAGATGCATGGCAACGGGCATGTTGGCAATGGACACGTGAACGGCTCCCTGGGAGGAAGAGGCGTTGGTCTGAAACTCTCGACCACGAACCTGGGAGTCAAGGATCACGAATCCAAGTTCCCCGGGAAGCATGGCCAGTCCCTGTCCAAGTCATCTTTCCAGTCGATTTCTCCCATCGACCCGCTGGGTGATGGCTCCGTGGAACCGTTCCCCGACCTGGGACCGACGACATCTCGACCCCATGTGCCGCAGTCGCCCAGCATGGTCTATAGTCCAACGACGTTGCCAGCGACGATATCCCCTCGCAATCAAGCACGACTCAAAACGCTCAAATCTGCCTCGTTGATCTATTTTGCACTGTTGGGGCTCTCGCCGATTCTCAAGTCGCTCACGAGATCGACGTCGTCAGACTCGATCTGGGCGCTGGCGACATGGCTTCTGATCATCAACATCTTTTTCTTCGACTATGGAAGTCTCTACCTGCCCAAAAAGCCCGAGCGTGCGGAGCCAGCTGCCGGGATGTCCAACGCCACACCCACCGGTCCATCAACATCTCAATTGAGCAACACCTTCCGGCCGCCTCCCTTTCCATCGTCTCTGTCGACCAATGCCGCCTTGATGGCCAGTACGGTGCTTGCCTCGCGGCTCATGACTACCACGGCGGTGTTTAGCCTGACTCTGTTTTCGATTCAGGTGTTTGGCCTTTTCCCCGTGTTCCGGCGGCATCTCCATTACAAATCATTTAAGCTGCACCTGCTTCTGACTTTCGCACTGGTCGCCATGTCCACCTGCGGCCTGGGCTTGATCTTATCTAAATCTTACACCCATACCTATGGCAACTGCGGGCTCTGCTGGGGTTGGATCTGGCATGTGATTCTGCGGAGCACCATCGGATTTATAGTCGGAGGATTCAGCACAGCATTTGTCATGGGCGGATGTTCGTGGTGGCTGATTGGACTACAGCGATATAAGAACGTGGTGATTGGGCCCTGGGATCCTGCCAAACCTGTCCTTGCCGGCGGTGTCTATGGAGGACGAAGCAGAACTGGCACCGACTGAGCTGAGACCCAACCAACTCTGATGACAGCCTTGGGAGGGGGGATTAGTTTCCCACGGGAAACCCAAGGTGGTACAGTCCGTCCCGGTATCGGATCCGCAGCCTTCGACCTTGGCCGGAATTGGAGAAGCATGTGGCCCGGCGACTTTGAGCCCGCTAGCTTGAGCGCCGCTGGCACGAAGATGTTTCGGTGCCAGGCCTCCGTTTCGGGGTTGCGAGAATGCCGCAACATCGTACCATTGTTCTCCAACATCTCGGAAGAGGGGTTTTTTCTCGGGAGCTCAAATTGCGGATATAGACACACACGCACAGAGGACAACAAAAGCCAAAGCCAAAGCCAAAGAGGCAAAACGAAGCAGCAGCTGCGGGGTCGACGCCAATAATGACGAGGATTGCAACTGTTTGGCCCTCGGGGTTTCGCTGATTGATGATATTATTCTTCCTATTATTACAAAACAACCACATCATCCCTCACGTCCAGTTCAACTCCCTTTCCCATCCCCCTCTTCATCATCATCATCAATCATTCCCGCAACCACTCGACTTATCCTATCCCAAAGAGGTCACCACAATGGCACCCAGCCTCCCCTTCGAACTCAACGACCCCGACCTGCTGCGCCAGGACTCGTACGTGCACGGCGAATGGGTGCAAGCAAAGAGCGGCAAACGCTTCGACATCGTCGATCCTGGCTCAGACAAGACCTTTGCTTCGTGCCCGGACAATGCAGTCGAGGATGTCGACGCCGCCATCCAGTCCTCGTACAAGGCCTTCCAGGAATACCGCATCCTCAACCCCCGCAAACGCGCCCAGCTGCTGATGAAATGGCACGAGCTTATTACCGCTGCCAAAGACGACCTCGCCAAGATCCTCACCTACGAGACAGGCAAACCCCTCGCTGAGTCCGTCGGTGAGCTCGACTACTCGCTGGGCTTCACCTGGTGGTTCGCCGGCGAGGCGGAGCGCATCCAGGGCTCGGTCTTTACCCCGTCGGCGCCGAACCGGCGGACGTTTGTCATCAAGCAGCCCATCGGTGTCGCCGTCGCCCTGGTGCCGTGGAACTTCCCCATCGCCATGATCCTGCGGAAAGCGGGAGCGGCGTTCGCAGCTGGCTGCACCATGGTCGTCAAGCCCAGCCCGGAGACCCCCCTGACCTGCTTGAGCCTGGCGTACCTGGCCACGAAGGCCGGCTTCGCGCCCGGAGTATTCAACGTCCTGACCACCAGCCTCGAGAACACGCCGTCGCTCAGCGAGGCCATGTGCCTGCACCCGCTGGTCAAGAAGGTGACGTTCACGGGGTCGACGCGCGTGGGCAAGATCGTGGCCGGGCTGTGCGCCAAGAACCTCAAGAAGTGCACGCTCGAGTTGGGCGGCAACTGCCCGTTCATCGTCTTTGACGACGCCGACCTCGAGCAGGCGCTCGCGCAGTTCATGGCCCTGAAGTGGCGACACGCGGGCCAGGCGTGCATCTCGGCCAACCGGCTGTACGTGCAGGCGGGCGTGTACGAGAAGTTCACGCAGATGCTGGTGGAGAAGACCAAGGCACTCAAGGTCGGGCACGGGGCCGAGAAGGGCACGACCATGGGACCCGTGACGACGCCGCGGGGTCTGGCCAAGGCCCAGGAACAAGCGGCCGACGCGGTCAAGCACGGTGCGCGGCTGCTACTGGGGACCGGGAAGGCGCACAAGGGCTCGACCATGGACGAAGGGGCCGGTGCCGGCAAGGGTGTGGGCGGCTACTTCATGGACCCGACCATCCTCGCCGACATGAACGAGCAGATGCTGCTGGCCAAAGAGGAGACCTTCGCCCCCGTCACGGGCATCTTCAAATTCGAGAAGGAGGAGGAGGCCGTCCGCTGGGCCAACGACACCTCCATGGGTTTGGCCAGCTATGCATTCACCAAGAACGTCGACCGCCTGTGGCGCATGCTGGAGAACTTGGAGGCCGGCATGATTGGATTGGTGAGTTTTGCCCCCTTTCCCATCCTCTTTTCTTCTCGTTCGCTTTTCCCTGGTGGGTATATGATTGCGAGAAACCAGAACAAAGAAAGAAAGAAAGATGAAGAGTTCTGTCTTTCTCTATGTTAGTTGTCAGGCTAACCTCCTTTTGTTTGTCTCAACACAGAACACCGGTAACTCGTCCGCTGCCGAGTCGCCCTTTGGCGGCATCAAGGAGAGCGGCTACGGCAAGGAGTCTGGCAAGGATGTCGCCGTCAACGAGTACCTGATCTCCAAGACCGGCACCTTCACCATTGACGGACAGTATTAAGCTTTTGCTTGTTTGTGCGCGCCTTCTAACTTAAGCCACCTATCCACCGTCTTTTCCCCTGCCCCGCTTTCCTCGATTGGGATTGGAATGGCATCGGCTTGAATGTCTTGGTGGAAGGGAGAGGAGAGAGGGAGTGTGTGTTTGAGTAACTATCTAGCTGAATGCGAAGGCGGTTGGTTCATGAGCAGGAAGATTGAAGGAGGATGAGAGCAGTGGTGAGCTCGCTGTGGACATGAAGCGATGGACCGACTATGTCCTTCTCTTCCCCTTACCTGCCTAGTTAGGAACGAGGCCGAGGCGGCTATTATGGATCCCTTCGGATCCCGGAATTCATGTGAGTTACATACAAACATAACATAACATGTCATCGGTGTGATGCACCGTCTGTTCCAACTCGGTACCCTGTTCTACGAGCACACCTGAGCTAGTAATCGGCCAGAGACCAAAGTTCGACTTCGGTTCCAGTAAATCTGAAGGTCTTCCTGTGTTCGATCCACAGTTGAATAGCAGACATCATACACCATACACTACGGAGTACACATACCCTCCCTTCCACTCTCCACTGCCCAACTCCACTAGTTACTTCTCTCTCTTTCTCGTCTCTTTAAGTACGGACATACACAGGCACACGTAATAACACACGTCGAGAGCTCGCTCGCTCTATCAAGTCTCGAACTGCGAGACTGCTAACAGTTTAGACTCTAGACCCTTCTTCTTCTTCTTGTTGTTGTTGTATTGTCATAGCCGATTACATAGCCCCATCCCATCCCATCCCATCCCATCCTATCATCCCCCCAACGCCTTGTCTCTGCCTACCTGCCTGTCTACTGTAGTATCGGGTGGTTCTTTCTCGACCTGTGCGCATCAACCACCACCACCACCCCCCTTCACCAACAAAAACCTCGTCTCTTAGAAAGCTATGGGGGACCGCTTCACCCTCCAAAGTATATTGGGCAAGGCTCACCAACACGGGCGGAGGCAGTATCCATGGTTGTTGGTTGTTGCTCCATCCATGATCAAAGAAGACACCTGGCTGTGTCTACCTGTCACGGCGGGGCGAGGCATCCTCAAGACGTGCTGGAAGCCAGAACTAACTACAGCAACATTGCTCTTCTTGCTATGCTATGTATGTGTCTGTCACGCGCCTGGCGAAGTTGGCATGCTTCGCTTCTCTTCTCGATGGCAAGGCATATCAGAGGTCGTCTCAGATTCATCGCCACTGACATTCCCCCCACCCTCTCCGGGATCTCCGTATATTAATAGCGGGCCATCAACCACAAACGTCTCTTCTCATCGCCGAAGCCCCTCAACTTGGCCATTAGACTCTCCGAGACGGCAATGAAGTCGTCGACTGCCGCGTACCCGAGAGCTCGTCGTAAGACTTTGTCTCGGTCCAACGCTTTGAGACTCTTCTCCAATGTGTTAGGCAGTTGCGTCGTAATGCCAAGTTTCTGCCTCTCCTCCTCACCGATCCCAGTCGGGTCTCCAGTACAGTCCTTGTGCTCAAGTTTGAGATCTTGACGCAGTCCGTGCAGTCCGGCTGCCAGGAGAGCCGCCATGGACAGATAAGAGTTGCCCATGCCGTCGACGGTCTTCAGTTCAAAGTGTCCCGGTCCACATTTTCGCAATGGGACTTCTTTGTTCTGCGTGCCCCAGCATACATACTCTCCGCCGGACCAGATTCCAGCGTTGACGCGTTGATAAGACTCCTCAAACGGTAAGAAGAAGGCTATCAGTGCCGGGAGATGTTCCAAAATACCGGCGAGGAAGGGTGATTCATATTTTTCGACCGTATCACCGGGTCCGTTAATGCTGAAATGGGCATGGTTGGCGCTGCCCGGGCTGGATGCAAAGGGACGCGGATAGCACGTCGCTTTCAGGCCATGCTTCTTGGCGACATTGCGAATCACATCTTTGGCCTTGAACAGAACGTCAACGGCCTTCACGGGTTCAAACGCAGGCAAGGGAAACTCCCATTGTCCCGGTGCGGCCTCGGAATGGAATTGCGACAGGTGAATATCAAGATCGGCCAGGTTTTCCACGATTTCTTCAATGATCGGTAACATATCGAGCTGTTGCCACGTCATGTTTGACCACGAATGGACCATGTGCAACGGCTCGAATTCCACAAAGTCGGACTTGATGTCGTTGAGGACCGGCCTCATGAAAATGATTTCGAGTTCGAATCCCATCAGCATCGAGATGTTGAACTCCGACTTGAGAGCGTCAGCTTGAGATTGAAGCAGCCAGCGGGGACAGCGGTCGAAGTGCTCGACAAGGGGAACTTGCTCCGAGTCTGCCATCCACCATGTCTGCACAGTGGCCGACGGAGACGAAATGCCCTTGTTCAAGGAGAGAGTCGACAGGTCTGGAATCATGAGAAATTGGCCAGTAGCCGAGCATCCGGTTGCAGGGTGGTCGTCCTGCATCAATCGTGTCAGAGCATTCGTACAACAGAGGGGCTTCCCTGTTGACAACTGCTTCTTGAATTGCTGGACGCTCATCATGCGATTACGGAGAGTACCCGTATAATCCAAGTATTGTGCCCATATCCACTTGAGGCCCGGATTTGTTTGCAAGAAGGCATCAAAAATCGTCACATTCTGCGCAAAGATGGCGGTGGAATTTTGGCCGGAAGGCGCACTCGCACTCCCAGACCGGAGTGGGAGCGAAAGGTTCGTCGCAGACAGAGACGTTGCCCCGGGTCGTGCTGCCGCTGCCGCTGCCGCTGATGTCGACGCACCCCCCGCAGCAATCGTGACAGCGGTGCTCGCGTATGACTTGAAAGAGGGAGCTTTCGACCCGCCATTCACAAGCGTGCGCATGCTGTCTGCGGGTTCGCGGCCACAGGCTCGGAGCAGCTCGGGATATTTGCGCTCTTCGTCAAGCTTGTAGAGTAAATTGGAGTTCCAGAACATGATGTCGACGGCGATGTCGATGGCCTGGGCAACCGTAACGTCACCCGCTGCAACGTAAGAGGTAAGCAATCTCTCGAGCGCTTCTCGGAAGTGCTTGTTGGCCAGCCAGTATGTTTCGGGATAGAAATGCCCGTCTGTGCTCCACAGGATCTTGGAGCTAGGTGTCAGCTCGAGCGCCTGTCGTAGCACGGAATCCTCGCCTTCACGAGAGAGCATCGGGAACGCCTCTCCAATATCGAGCCAGGCGTTGGAATAGTTGGCTGCCAGGTAACCCGCCTCTCTCGTGTACGGATAGGACGAATGGAGGATGACAAAGTCGACCTGAGGGAATGCTTCGATCAAGGGCTGCATGTACGCTGGATTTGCTTTGACCAGGTTGATGTCTGTGTCGCCGAGACCGGTGTGGAACTGGAAGGGAAGGCTCTCACCATCTGTGTCTACAAGCTTTTCCAGCACGTCGCAGACGGCGACAACCAGGAAATCATTGACTTCCTTTTGCTGGATACGATACTTGTGATCGCGCACCGCCTTCTGTAGGAAGTCATGGAAAGACAGCAAAAGAGCTGATTCAGTCAGAGACTGATGAGGGCGGAAGTTCTTCCTGCTCTCGAGGCCAATGTCCAGACCCGAACGATAGCAGATGACGGACTTGAACCCCCGGACGTCTGGATCGTTGGCCAGCGTCCGGATCTGGTTCCTGAAGACGGTATTGAAGCGGACCAAGAAGCTCTCGGTCTGGCTAATGTCCCAATCGGCATCCAGACCGACCCTCATGAAGCCTGCTGCGTGCGCGAGATGTTCCAGCAGCTCTGCCGCGACGGATTCAATCCTCACAATCCGTGACACCGTAGGCACAAACTGTCTGTGCCATTTGAAAGGATGGATGATCTCGGGCGAGAGTCCATCGTCCATCATGATCGCATGTGTTCCTTCAAAGCATTTTTTGATCAGACTAGGGTAGTCTCTGCGCACCCACTCATATCGGGCTGCCTTGACGTCTTGAAGAGTTTCCGGGCACTGATAGAATTCGGCCAGATGTTTGACTCCGCGCATGTGAGCAAGGCTGGTGTGGACATGATCCGTCAGAGCGTGTCCTTGGGCTTCTGAGGTGATGCACTCGAAAGGATACTCGGCACTGCCATAGGCATGTTCTTCGGTGAGCATGTTGTGGGCATGGTTGTCAATGACGGGGAACGTCTGAATAATCTGTTGCAGGTCCTCGATGCCTGCAGTTTCGAGATCGCGGACTCTGTGGAGGGTAGGATAGAGCTCTGGCTGAGGTGCCATGGCTGATAAGGTGGGAGGTAAACAAGGCGGCCAGGAAAGTCTGCACGGATCAGAACACGACAGGTGTCGAAGAGGTATTTAACTGACCTAGGGAGGAACAGATCGAAGTCGGAGGGGCTATTCGACTGATAGGAAACCTGCCACAAGTGCTCAACTCCGATAGAGCGAGCCTTGATAGACTTTCAATGGGCAGCCGATATAGGTCCACGCGCGGCGCGTTTGTCTCTTGTGAGGTCAAACGAAGTCTTCAGCTGCTCACGTCAGAGAACACGAACTGGTGTGCTCGTGTGATCAATTAAAGCAGAGTGCCTTTGAGAAAGCTGTCGACGACAGTACGGCGTAAGGCAGAGTCGAGCCAGAATATAATACTGCATTATCATTTGGAAACTGCGTGACCGTTTTGGGGATGCTAGGAGCCTCGACCGCGCGCCTCCTTTTTTTCCCCGTCGAGCATGGTCCATCATCCATCCACCCCACCACCATCACCACCACCACTACAGCCACCGAGCTACCTGCCTGCCTGAGCCCCCTCCGCCCCATCCTGATCCCCAAACTGGCGACTCGGAGCTTTGCCGGAAGAAGGCTGCGTCGCTCTCCTGCCTAAATGAGACAAGAAAGACAAGAAACCTTGCAGATCAACTGTCAAGCGCAATTGAGGAGTTGACGGGACCGGGCTCTGGGGCAGCTCCAAAGCTCAAAGGGTGAGTGACCGGAGGCCCTGAATCCCGAAGCAGCTCAACTCACCACTCAAATCCCTGTGTCACAGGTGATGAACCCATCCTTGACGGTTCGGTCCGTCGATGGTGAGGACGCCCCCTAGCAGACGCCTATTTGGCCCTATTGGAAACGGGATAATACTGACAGTGTCACAGTGGGCTCGTCAGACCTTGCTCCCCCTTCATGACGTCGCCTTGTATTGGCAACGCCTGCGTCGGCACGGAATATTTGACGGCGGACTCAAGACTACCTGGCCCTTAGCGGCGAGAGACACCTCGAGTGCCCATGTCCGTCACCGCTGCGAAGAGATCCCTCAGCAGCAGCACCGGCAGGTCCATCAGTCCGCCTGCGCTGAGGAGGAAAGTTTCACACGCCGCCGAGGACGATACACACGTGGCCCGCACATGGCTTGCAAACCCGGACCATGTGCGAATCTTCAGTTGGAATGTCAATGGCGTCGGGCCACTGCTGCAAAAGCCTCTGTCATTCGACCCTGGATCCCTGTCGCCGCTGCGATCTTTTTTGAAGCGCCATCGGTGGCCTCAACTGCTGTGTTTGCAAGAAGTCAAGATCAGCGCCAAAGACGTGGCAACCCAAAGACACCTGCATCAAGCTGCCAACCACGGTCACGCCGCCGGAGAACCTACGTACACGGTCCATTTTTCTCTCCCTAGAGACAAGTACAATGCTACGGGCTTCGGCGGCAAAGTCCATGGAGTGGCGTCCTTCCTCAGAGATGACTTTGCTTCGGGCGTTCGTATTACCCAGCGACCAGGATGGGATCTGGAAGGTCGGGTCTTGATACATGAACACGAGGTTGGCCTGGTCATCATCAACGGGTACTGGGTCAACGGGACTTCTAATCCCTATCGAGATCCTGCAACGGGTCAGATCTCCGGTACCCGGCACGACCACAAGCTACGTTTTCATCAACACATGCTGGAAGAAGTTCTCCAGCACGAAGCAGAGGGTCGCCATGTCATTTTGATTGGGGACATGAACATCGCGAGATCCCGAATTGACGGCCATCCAAATCTACGAACATCCCCTCGACAACATGTCGAGAATCGAGCCGATTTCAATGCCAAGTTTTTCGATGAAGCCAATGGCATGCGCGGCAACGACATCTTCAGGCACATGCACGGGAACACCAAGAAGTTCACATATCACCCGCGTGGAATTGCCTGGGGCGCGAGTTGTGATCGAGTAGACCTAATCATCGTCAGCCACTCCTTGGTGGACGATCTGGACGCGGTCACCGGTACCGACATTCTGGATTCCGCACCCGAGCGTGGGCATAGTGATCATGTCCCCATCTGGATTTCCGTTGATATAGCAAAACTGGCACGGAATCTACATGACCGACCCCGCGCCCCGGAGAAAGGATAATCCGGCACCATTCCCCCTCCTACGCGTATTAACCTCAGTGCCCAGCAAGGGATGGGCAACTTCGACCACTTCCGTTCACTCACTATGTTCGTTTCGTTTCATGCTTTACCACTCTTGTGATCAATATCCCCACTGAAGGCGGATCTGGGTTATCCGATACTCCATCTGGATCTCCTGTCTGGGTGGAATCTCAATCCCACTAACGGCAAACATGTTAGCCCTGAAATCCATGAGGCTGCCTTATTCTGCGGCCGACCCCAGGCACACGACAAAAGCAAAAATCCAACTCCCGTCAGAAGTCCTCGATGTGGTTGCAGAGCTTCTATATGAGAGTAGCTGTCGGCAGTTGAGCTCGCTTTTACCCTTTTCTCTGGTAGCACACCACTTTCGAAAGTCGGCATTGCCCTTTCTTTTCGGCACCGTGTCCCACGTTATCCGTGATCGACCAGATCAACGCGGTTATGGCCTTCTTCGCTGCCTCCTCGACGATTGCCACCTTCTCGGCTATGTCCATACACTACATTTTCAGCGCCCACTGGAAATACCTGACTTGGAAGGTCGAGAACACACACCCTGGGCGACCGGTCGCGACCAATTTGACTCGGACCTGGAGGTAGTCCGCCAGAGTCTGCCTTTCATGCATCGGCTTCGCCGTATCAGGTATGTGCTTGTGGGAGGCGTTCGTGTCCCGGAAAAATTGTGCGAGTGGAGCTAATGGTGTCTCAGACTGGACTGCTCTGCGGCGGCAGCATACGAGGTGCTTCAAATACTGGGCGACGATCAGCAATATGAAGTCATCATCGACCATCTCTACACGTCTTCGCGCTGGCCTGACCTGATCCAAGCTACCACCGCCATGGTGTCCCTGGCTGAGCGCCATCGGCTCGCACTGGGAGCGTTCGCCGCACCTCCTTTCCAATACCCTGAGCCCGATCAATCCGTCTACGATGCGATATCAAGAGCCGCGGCCGTAAATCTACACATGGACTGGCTGCTTTGTGGCTTCGGAGCAGATGGCTCAGACACGCCACCACGTTTAAACGAAAGCCCTGTCTGGACCGAGTTGCGGCTAACTGTGGCGCGACACGACGATAACGAGGGCCGCTTAATCGGTGGTTTGTTATCATCAGTGATACCGTGGACAAATCTTCGACGGCTCTCCCTCGAATGGGTATCTGACGCACCCATCAACGAATTCATCTATCGAAGTGCTCCTCGGCTCATCCATCTCCAGGCCCTCCGTCTCCATGCAGATAACCCACTACACTATCACCCCAGATGTCTCCACGTGGAATCTCGGCCTTTCGGGTTACCCAATGATACGCGCCGCCCATTCGTGATCGACTTCACGCAACTGACGGAGCTGCGAGAACTGGAAATTGATGGCATATGCAACCACATCCCTATAGCGGATCTTGTGGGCTCAAATCTCCGTCGCCTCCGGCTGCATTGTGCTGAATACCCGTCTTCGGTGCAGAGCAAGCAGAGCCAGCGTACCCATACCGACATTCTGACGGCGGCGAAACTCGCCCCAAAGCTCGAGCGGCTGGAGTTGGACGTAGGCTACCTCGAGCATTTGTGGCATCCCACCGCAATTCCTGCAGTGGATGTGCAGGTGGAACAATATGCCTTTTTGAACGCACTCACCAAGTTTCAGCACTTGCGGTTCCTCCGCCTGTTCCCTCCCTTCACCGCCCGCTCATACCTGCGCACAGAATCAAGGCTGGAACCTCGCCTTCCAGTTTCCGACGATCAGGCGATCCGCATCTTTGAACGACTGCACAGCGAGTGCCCCTCGTTGCAACTGTTGTCCATCGCCGCAGTCCCATCCTTCGTTGACGTCAACACCATGTATTGGGAGGTCACGCGACTCGGAGTTCAAACCGTCCTGGAGACCGGCCACAGGGCGCGAAATTACAAAAACCGCCAAATCTGGATCGGACAACGGAGGATCCGCAGCGAAATCAAACGTTTCAATACGCCGCAGATCTACCTCCCAGACTCTGATGGTTGGATGCTGACGCGGAATGATCTTCATGATGTCCGTCAGATTCCTCCTTTCATGCTGGAATGACTGCTTCTCTCAGAATCTCAGAACCTCAAAATCACCTCATTGGTTCCCAGACGACTCGATAAGGAGGCCCGATAGCCGTCGCAGATATGTCATGTGGCAGCCGATCTGGACATTGATCGACACATCGCGCTCTTCCGATGAGAAAGACTTTGGACCATTTCACCTTTTCTACTGTTTTTCTCCTTTCAATTTTCATTTTGGACGAAGCGGGAGTTCCTTGTTTCTTCATGATGGGGTATCGACCGCAAATTTTTCGCAACTGTGTATTTATATGCAACGTGTTGGCTTTCGTGGTGTTTGGGCAGGGAGGAAATGGTAATAAAAAGAAGGAAAACCAGAACCTCATGGGAACTACCGGACCCAGAGGCGCTCTCCTTTTCTTTTCCCTTTCTGTTCCAGTGTTCCTACAGATGTTCTCTCATTCTTCTTCATCTTTTGTAATGGGTTTTCTGCACATCTAGATATCGACATGAGCCCCGCTGTCAAGAGAAGTGTGATACCAGCCACTGCTCCACTGCGAATGAATGCCAGATCCGCGTGCGCAGGTGTCCGTATCGCCAGTACGGGCAGCTGGATGACACGTTCCTTGCGCCGCGAGCTTCATTCATTTCCTGGTATTCTTTCTACTCGGGGTGCTTTTCGTCCAGCAAAAAAAAAGAAAGGAATTTCATTCTCTAGGCACAAAAGAAACCAACCGTCTCAATCAGTCCCATGCTCCAGGCATTGCCCCGGGCATCGTACCAGGCGCCGCCCTGCAACTCTCACAGATCCGGTCGCCACGATTTTGATCACTGTCGCCATCTGTACTCTGCGCCCCCGACTCGCGCCGTACCCACCAATCAGACATATCCACGCCGCACCTCTCACATGCTCGATCCAGCCCGCTCTTGTCAAGGGAGCTGCTCCCGCTGTCGTTGGCTCTTGTACTGACAGAACTGAGACGATGCGAAGAGGCCCGTTTTCCAGCTTTAGACCGCGAGGTAAAGATCGCCGAAAGTTCTTTGAAGAAGGGCGTCCTTGCGGGGGCAATGTCTTGGGAAGGTAATGGGGTGTGCATTTCTGCTGGACCGCATGATCCCGCAGGAGCGAGAAATGACCTGGTTGTGGAAGATCTTCGGAAGGGATTGATGGCTTTAGTGGTTGAGATGCTTCGTCGGATACGACTCCGGGACCCGGTCTGCGACCTGTTGTTGGGGCCATGTGATGATGCTGGCGTGAGTAGACGCTGGGAAGGCGAGGCTTGGGATTGTGTCGAACTTGGGACTGGGGATTCTTGATGGTTTGACGACCCTGCAGGAACCTGGTCGCCCGAATGAGGACGAGAGGCGGTTATGGACTCCGTTGATGGACCGGCCAGGCGTGCCGACGAGTCTTCTCGGGAGGGAGGCCAAACCTTGGGACGAGATGCCGCTTCTATGCCTCCGGGAGATTGGGGCAGCGTGGTGACCGGCGGGCAGGATGCTCCGCCTTGTTTCTGCAGTGGAGTTTGATGTTGTGTTGGGCTTGATTGATGAATCGGTTCTCCATATCGGTCTGAAGGCAGCAGAGTCATCCAAGGTATGGGCATTCGATGTCTGTGATTGACGGTCCCGAGCTTATTGGCACCCGGGTCCAGGGGCCTCGTCAACGATATTCTCGATGACGCTCCATCTAACAATCCATTTGGGGGTGGTCCGACACCGTCTGAGTCTTTCCTCGGCACTCTGACATGGTGCTCCAGCTTTGCAAGGGACTCTGGCTCATCGGCACAACGGGGGCAGACCGGCGGTTCCTTGACAATCATGCCACGCTTGTACGGCTCACAATCACAATCAAGATACGGGGGAGGACGCAGGGGAGACTGCCGGACCGTCAGCGGGATCTGGTCAGCGTGAAATTGGTATTCTTTCGCCCTACTGCGCAAATGAGACAAGAAAAGCAATTCCAATGCCACTAGCACCATCCGAAATTCACCACATCAGTCCTGCGAAACACGACCTCTCCACATCTCCAACAGATGCTCATGTTGTGTATCCATCTCCAACAGTCCACACACACGATGCGGCCCTCGAGACCAAAAGTATGCGGCAACGATTTATGCTCAGTCCAGCAGACGGTGCAGAGGAACGGCGGGGATGGCGCGGGCGTGGGTTCAGGTTGTTTCCGCGGCTTGGGCGGCGCCGGAAGGGGTGGAGGCGAAACGAAGGCGCTCGATATGGATCGAAAGAATGATAACGATATGTCGGGATTTGATAGGGATCTCGAAGGAGCGAATGTGTTCTGCGGGTAGGCCATGAAGGGAAAGACATGCGGCTGGGTACGGAGAGTTCGAGGCGGTTGAACTGGAAGGGGACAGAAGACGAAGGTGAAGGTGAACTGGTCAAGATCCAGGAAACAGGGCAGTTGCTCTTTCCACCCTTTTCCATTTTCCACCACGAGGCACAGCAGCGCGGTCCGATAGCACTGTGGAGCCCTCTAGAACTGGCGCCCACGCACCGGCACCTCTCTGCAGATTATCTCCATGTCTGATCGTGATGGATTTCGCTGTACAATTCGGCCGCAGTCTCTGCCTTTAGTGTCGACGGATGACATCTGTGCTGTCGTCCGGTCCCAGCGGCTCGAGGACTTGTCCGGCTTTGAGTGCCGCGATAGCCTCCTCGGTCCAGTGCTGGCAATGCCGGAGTTGGTCTTTTGGGACGAGTAGTTTGTTCTTCTCGAACTGCTTTGCTGGTGGGGGCACTGTCCGGCAGACACCTTCGACCTCAGCGAACTTGTCTTGCGAAACGCGGCCGAGTGGTTTCATCCATTCACATGTAACACCAGTCAAGGGCCATCCTGACTCTCGGGCCTCAAATCTCATGCCTTGTTGCATGGAGCCAACAACATGACAAAGCTGCCCACGCGCACCGGGCTGGATTCCAACGAAGATCGCGTGGTGGTTCTGTATTGGGCTGAGATAGAGGATGAGGTACACAATGTAGCTGCTGTGAGGCGTTGCCATGTTGTATGTAAAGCTGGATAAACAGCTGGATGAGTTGGATGATGGTGTTGATGGAAGGAACAGCTGGATGAGATGAATGATGGTTTTTATGGAAGAAACTGGTGGATGGTGTTACACCTATCCAAAAACGGAGGAAGGGATTGATTGCCAGGTCCATCCTCACAAACAGAGACAATGACTAGGCTCATCCTGGAGAGGCAGCCCTCGCGCTGCGTTGGACTGTTTGAACGCAGGCTCTGTAAAAGTAGGGAAGGTGTGTTGAGCAGCCTCGCCAACCTGTAAGACGGCTGAAGAGCGACGCTCTCAGCGACAGCTTCTTTCAAGCACAAAGGAAGTCGAATGTTTGTTCCTGTAGCGGAGCTGTTGCTAGCCGGTTTGGTATAGCTAAGACAATGTTGTTGTTTGATGGACGGATGCGGAGCGCCGTTATGACCAAGTTTGCAGGGTGTCTTTGTTGGTGAGACCGGATGACCTCTCCCATTCTTGGGGATTGTTTGGAACCACTGCCATCATGATGATCGATCACATCATGGCGATCCAGAACGCCTCTTTCTGCTCCTGCTTGCGGCGCAGTTTAGGAACATGTCATCGACACCTGCCAGAGCTTTGTGGTATATGAAGTAGTTGTGGGCGGAGAGCTCTCACCCTGCCGAAATGAGTGCTCCATTGTTTACCCGGGAGATTCAAGAGTGCAAACACGCGCTCTTCCTTTGGCCACGTGGCTTGTTTCCTCGGGTTAGGGAGCGTCAAGATGTGGGCTGGCTGACTTATATGGATAGATAATCTTGACCTCGTAGTGTTATTCAGTCACTGGGCCTGTGCCAAGCGGGCACGTGAGAGCACGTGAAGGTATGTGAATTCTGGGGCTAGTGAGGCTCTTTCCAAATGCGTCTTTGTGACTGGCAAGCATGCCAAGCATTGAAATGACTGTCTGCGCCAGTACTCGGCGAGTCGGCCGAAGGCCTTCGACTAGTCAGACAGGTCCCAGGACCTTGTAGAATTCACCATGTTCCTCCACTGAGTCACATCTCTTCGTCTCTTTGTCTCTTCCTCATAACAATATTGCATACACCTCAATGGGAACGCCCAGATCAGGCGACCACCCTTGGCACCATCCTCATTCTCTTCGAGATGCTGCGTTCGGCGATTCGGCCCATTGTTGATAATATTTCATTCATTCCGGAAGCGGCATACCGGTTGCATTTCACCCAGCCCTCGGGGCCATAACATCGTCGTCGGCTCTCACCTTTCTGCCATGTGCAACTCAATCCTTCCTTCCAACGTGGCGTACAAGATTTCGATTGACCCCCAACAGGCATCCAGCGCAAGAGGCAGAAAAATGGCGACACGTCCAGCTCTCCCCTATTTTGCCCCCCCAGACCAGCTCCCGGCCCCGCTGCCCACCGTTGCCGAGATCCTGGCCTCGACACAATGGATGACACGGTGGACCGGCGAGCCACTCCCTCACGTCGTCCGTGTCGGAGAACACTTTGTTGCCAAATTCGGGCCGGGGATCCGCCTCCGGGAAGGCGAAAACATGCTCTTCGTGCAGCAGTCTACCAGCATCCTCGTTCCGACCGTCTATGCCCTTTTCCACGATGACGCGACGGGGAACAACTTCATCATCATGGAATACGTCCCCGGTCAGGGCTTAGACAAGTATTGGAAAACAGCCGATCACAGCGGCAAGGAGGCGGTCGTAAAACAACTACGACGTTACTTTGACGAACTCCGCAGTATCCCATCACCCGGCTATTTCGGCGGCTTATGGCGACAGCCTATCCTCGACCTCACTGCTACAGGTTTCAATGAGGCCCTTGAGAAGGGCGATGTGCTGCCATGCGAAACGCAAGAGCAGTATATCGACATTACGCTCCAAAACGCCAATGCCAGATTCCCCAAGAAAAATCGCTGGCACCTCGAGTTTAGGAAGCATATGTTCCATTCGGTCTTCCGAGGCCGTGACTCTGTCTTCACACATGGCGACTGCCATCCGTCTAACTTCTTTGTCCGCCACGACAACACGATGGTCTTGATCGACTGGCAGTGGGCGAGCTGGTGTCCGAGCTACGCGGAATATTGCAGCGCAATGACATCTTGTGATGAAGAGACCGATTGGGCTCTGTGGATACCACGTTTCCTTGATGAACATATTGCTGAGTTGGGTTGGATGTTCCATCTCCTCGCGTGGCTCAGGTACGATGGGTTCTAATGGGTTTGGGACACGACAGGCAGTCATGTCGGGCACAGACGAAAGGCGAAAGGAACAACCTGTTCCGCGATCTATGCGTTTTTCTCTGACTCTGCCACGTAAAGCGTGAACACCCACCTCAACCAAAGGTCCACCAGCACTAGATGATCGGATCTATTTGTTCCAGTAACCCCTCCCCAGCCAAGCCGCATACGAACTCATGCCCACCACGAAACCTAACGTGCCAAAGTATCCGACCGGCCTGCCCCAGCCCATCGAGTCTTTCGCCCTCAATCCGAATTCCACGTGGGCAATCCGGAACAGCAGCAGGGCAGCCAACGTGCCCGTCAGCACCCAGGTATTTCCACCGTTGATCTCGACCACGGACGCGACCAGGAGAGCCAGGGGCACGTTCTCGACGAAGTTGGCGTGGCAGCGGGCACTGACGAGAAGACGATCCCCAGCTTTGTTCTGTTCCTGTTGCTGTTTCTGGGTCTGGGCCTTAGTCTGGTCGTCGGAACTGTTAGAGGTGGGAGAAGGAGGAAGAGGAGATTGACTCTCGTGGTTTGCGGCGGCTTCGACATCGGTCCCCATCATGGTCTTGCACGACACACGCACCAAGCTCACGCGGAGGTTGAGGAGGGCGTAGTAGACGGCAAATGCTGCAGGGTCCAGCCGGTCAGCGTATAGTCAGCAGTGGCAGCAGTGGCAGCACCAACAGCATCATCAACCAGAGCACACTTGGGTTGGGAGGAAGAGCAAGATAGATAGATAGATAGATAGATAGAGGAATATTGTTGTCAGCGTACCTGGTGCAAAGCCGCCGGTCACAGGGAGCAGTGGCACGGACATCTCGACCGACTGACTGACTGACCGACAGACCGACAGACGACGATGGGTGTAGAGTGTTGGGCGTAGGGTGTTTTTGTGAAGAATGCTTCGAAGAGTAGAAGAGGGACGTGGTTTTGCTTGCTTGACTTGACTTGCTTGGTTCGACACCTCGAAATCTTCACCAAGCGAGGAGGACAGCAACATTAAGTATATATATACTTATTGACTTACTTACTTGTGAACTAGTAGCACCAGCACAAGCCTCATTATGCACATGCACATCCACCACCACCACCACCACCACCACCACCAGCAGCACTGTGATCCCAAGCACATCGTCGTCCGTCCGGTCGAGATCCGACCCTAGTTGATACTACTGCCACAGCCCTCTTTCTCTCTCTCTCTCTCTCTTCCAACCCGACGCATCCTCGTTCGTCGTTGTTTCCTCCTCCCTCTCCCCAAAACGCAAGTTAACTAACAAATAGTCCCGTCCGCAAACGTCGGTTCTCCGATTCGTGTCATCTGTTAGTTTAGCGCGAAACAAAACCCCCCGAGCCCCCCTTGTGTTTCCTATTTGGGGGCACCCGCACTTTCCGCTTCCGGCCTTTGCAGCGAGCGCCGCGCCGGTGCGTTTGGTCGCAGAGGGCGCCACAACCCGCACCACCATCGCAGCAGCAGGCTCCGGCCCCCTGCCCCCTCCGCAAATGATTTGGAAAAAGGGACGACGATGATGATGACGAGGGACACACCATCTACCTCATATCTCGTATTACACATACACTTGCCTTATATCGACTACATGCAACTTCCGATTTCTTCGCTTCTGTCCGTGAGGAGGTTGGGAGTTCAAGACAAAGAAAAGAGAAATTCCAAATCGACGAGGAATCCGCGGCTCACGCCTAGTTAGACACAGGCTGGTGACGAGGCTCACTACCTAGGTATGCATGTCCCCAGGGAAGAAGCCTCGAGATCCACGAGCAGCTCCGTTATGTGCCGCGGTGTGAGATCATAACGGCTCTGTCTCTCTCTCTCTCTCCCTCCCACATCCCTTATGCGCAAATGTATCCCGAGGCCCATCTGATGTGCTGCGCATGTGCTTGATGAAATACGAGATGACGTTGGTCCCCAGAAAAGGGTGTCGTGCATAAGAAAGGGAAGCAACAAAAGGAAGCATGTTTTACCCTCTGCATATTATGCTGCTGCTTAGTGGGCAGAGATCTTGGCCCCGCATCTGCGGGAATAATTAACCCGTCCATCCATACGGTAATGTTGCCATGGCCTTTTCTTTCGCCTGGACTGCCTCATACATAACTAACATGTGATGGGAAAAGGAGGGAGAACAAAAAGAAGAAAAAAAGAAACCGAACAGATTGTTTTTGGATGGTAAAACCCGATTTCAAATATAAATGCTATCTAATGCTTGTCTGCACGTACGCTACTTGCGGCTTCATCGCCGAGGAGCTGAAAAACAAAAACGCCAGTCGCTATGCCTATCGTAAAAAATGATTGACTACCCGCCCCCCCAGAGATTTCCCGTAGATGTTTTTTTTCCGTCCATCATTCCTTTCATGAAGACCGAATCCTCCCCCTGCGTCTTGCATGCCAGAAACCACTCCTGTTTAGTAGTTGATCTTGCAGCGGATCAGGCACTCCTCGACACCGAGGGCCAAGGGAGGGGGGATGTTGGCCTTGAACTGGGCGAAGTTGTTGGCGTCGATCTGCTTGGGGAAGCCGAGAGTGGCGTCGACGATGGCCGAGTCGGTGTTGATCAGGAAGTTCTGGGCGATGGAGCTCGCACCGGGGTCCTCGGAGTTGAGACCGGCGATGGCGACCGCGGGCGTGCAGTCATTGTTCTGTTGCCAGTGGATGGAGCCCATGGGGAAGACGGTGCCCTGGAACTGGGTCAGCGACGTGGTGAACTCGGTCGCCAGGCCGTTCTCGAGCACGAAGCCCGTGGTGAAGTTGTTGGCCGTGGCCACGGTGAAGAACTCGCTCGCGTCGGGGTGGATGTGCGGCGTGTTGAGCCCGCACGGCTGGAAGAAGATGCCCGCCGCCGAGATGCCCAGGTCGGTCAACACGGGGAAGTTGGCGCGGTTGGCCAGGTCGACCTGCCCGCCCTTGCCGGGCGCAACGCCCGGGTTGGCCGCCGGGTTGAAGTCGAACTTGAGCGCGATGTTGCCGGACTGGATCTCGGACTGGATCTCCTTGAAGCGGGCCACACGGCTGTCCTCGGTCAGGAGCTTGGCGATGGTACCCTCGGTGGGAACCGGGTTGGGGCTGGCCGTGGGGTTGCCCAAGACAGAGCCGGAGGAGGAGTAGGACGAGGATCCCCAGCCGCCGCTGCTGTAGCTAGAGTAGCTGGTCGGCTTGCTGTAGTAGCTGGTGGTCATCGAGTAGCCGCCGGTGCTGGATGGGTAGGGGGGTGCGGTGCTGGACGAGCTTGCTTGCCAGCCGGAGCCAGTTCCCAGAGGAGTGGCGGCGGCGGCAGCAGCGAAAGCAGCAACGAGAAGCGACGTAGAATGCATTTTTTTCTTGGATGGTTGGATATTTGATTGAATCGGGGGTTTTGTGTTGGTTGGTATAAAGTGATTGGATTAGAATGTAGTTGGTATTGATAGCTGGTCTGCTAAAGAGTGTGTGATAACAGTAAGGAAAAAAGAAATAGGAAAAGAGAAAAAAAAAGGAAAGATTGGTTGAGTTGGTTTGCTTGTTTGATGTGTGAATGAAAGAATGAAGTGGTGTTGCTGGAAGGGAGGGAGTGAGGTCTTTTATGCATCTTGCCCTCTGCGTGGCTGTTGCCATGTGCCGCGGAATCTGGCAGCAGCAAAAAGCAGCGAAACAACTGTCACGTAGGTACCTGATTAGAAGCTCATGCGTTGCTTACTGTGGATAACGACTGGCATGGCGTTGTAGCTGTTGCGGCGGCGGCGAGGGCGGCGATAGGGATTCGGGGAGCCAAAAGGACCAAAACCCAGATCCCAGTATCTGCCGTGATGGCCTGCCTATGCAAGGATGAGCAAGTTCGGTCACGTCAAAAACACCACAGAGGATATGGGGAAAATTGGGTCATCCGCCCAAGTACCGAGCGAGTAATTAGTTCCAACTGCGCGTTATTCTCGGGTACGGGAGGACTGGACCCGTTCTTGTTTGCCGCGTGCCAGCAGTCACAACGACGACACACAAAATGAGATGAATGAACCTGTGCCTGCAGCAGGCTTAGTGCTCACGCTGTCCTGCGCTGCCGTGCCGTCGCCATGGGCATGGACAAGGGCAGGGGGGCCACCACCCGAGGGCCTGTACCGAGTACCAAGCACGGAGATACCTCAGCCGTCAATAGGTGTGTATTCCTGAGGAGCCAGGTGACTAAGAAAGACAGAGTGAGTGAGGGAAGGAGGGAGGCTGGGAGGGCTGGACAGCGGCAAAACGGAGGCGAGGAAAAGGTACGAGGATATTACTAGGCACTGCGTCCTACTCCGTCCTGGGTATCGCATGTTTCTATTTTCGGAAGCAGCGGCGGTTGATAAGCATCATGGCATCAAGCATCAAGCTGTCCAGCCAATTGTGTAGTGGCCAGGGGCGCTAAGCGCCTCCCTCTCTAGGTATAGCCCTCTGTCCCTTTTAGGCAGCCATTGGCCACAGGCACAGCACAGCTGTACAGGTGTGGATACTGGACGGAACATCGTCGAGCCGACCACATTGCGCAGCAGCATTATTATTATGGTCAGAGACCACTCGAGACGGGGCTATGCTGACCGCAGATAATGCCTCCGCATAGTAGCAAACCCGAACAAACATACCTGGTATTATCGTGTGGACCTTTCAGTAGACCGCCCACCAGCAGCAACCCGATCTGGGATCTGGGTGCATTACCCAATATGACCAATATGACGGTGGCTGCTATTACTACTCTTACTACCTCGTACAAACAGAAGCTTTGAAGAATGAGCCCCAAGTTCCACCCAACCCACTCGGCTCACTTCCTCACTCACTCACTCGCTTGTTCGCTTTCTCTCTCTCCTATCCATCTATCTCGAACTGTATCTACCGTCGTGGCGGTACCTTGGCTAGCATGAACCTTCAGCCACTTTCTTCTAGAAGCACAACCACTACCACCACCAATACCAGCGGGCTCACTCGCTCGCTTAACCCTGTCCTGTCCTGACCGCCAAAATGCAAAAGGACCCTTTTTCCTTCTCATTCTCGTTCTCATTCTCATCTGTAGACCGCGTTGTACCCTCAGGCAAGGAATTCCGTAAGGCAATCAATCGGAGTCTCTTGCGGTCAAAGGGGCTCACTCCGTTGACCGTCACACACCACACCCTCCTCCCATCATCCATCAATCCTCCTCGCCCGCCTGATCGGTGCACGCTGGCACACACTCTCCGATCAGGTACCACGTCTCGTCCCGCATGAGGGATCTGGCGAAATGATGGATGGATAGATGGGTAGGTGGCCCTGGGGTGCTGCTGCTATTCCCGATCTACCCCGCTGCCTACTGTTGCTCTCAAAGATCTCACTATTGATTCCCACCAGCGTCGGCCGGCGGACCCGGCGCCGTCGAACCCCCCCGTGATCCGATCAGAGTCAGATCTTGGCAGGGAAATCACGAGGCTGCGCCAAAAGTCTGCATATATAGATATATATTTATATATATATCCATCCGCCAGGAGCCACAGCCTGGCGCGGTTCGCGCTGGGCATGGGATTTGGAATTCCTATATCGAGCCTCGGACATGCCCAGGTGGGAGATAGGTTCGACTAGGTACGTATCCCGGTCACAGAGATGTCGTTGTTCGGCCATGAGACGAGAAATCATGATGCACATTGCCTGCCAGTTGCAGGGCAAGACGCTGCCCGCTCCAAAATAGGCTGTGTGCTAGCTATTGATCACGATGCCGCATCCAATCCTGCCAGAATCACTTTTAGGTACTGGGCAACCCTGTAAAATAATGGTACAGCTCAAGAAAAAACAACCCCCGGCACGCTGCCAACTCATGCCCGACCGACTCTATTTGTTCAAGTTCTGCACAAACGAGTCGAGGTTGAATTCCTCTTCGTACTGTCTCTCGTCCCATAGTTCACCCACGTCGTCAAGCCACCCCTTCTCTCCTTTCTTTCGGACTTCACCCGTCTCGAGATCGACCATGTCCTCTTCCTTCGTGCCGCCAGCCTCGCCACCACCCTCTGCCGTTTCTCCGAGATTAAAGAGGTCCAGGATCTGATCTGTTTCCATGCTCCCCAAGCCTGCATTCTGTTGGTTAACAACCGTCGACGCGACGTCAATCTTGAATCGTTGGAGGCTCAGAATCTTTTCCTCCAGAGTACCACGCGTGATCAGGCGATAGACATTCACCACCTTCTTCTGGCCGATTCGGTGGGCTCGGTCCATCGCCTGAATGTCCTTTTGAGGATTCCAGTCGTGTTCGACGAAGATGACCGTATCGGCACCAGTCAGGTTCAAGCCAAGACCACCCACGCTGGTCGTCAGCAAAAGGCAGTCATAACTGGGGTCGTTGTTGAACTGGTTGACAATATTTTGACGCTTGGTGGCTTCCACGCTCCCGTCGAGTCGCAGGAATTGAACGCTGGGAAGGAGTTTGCCCAAAACCTCAGTTTGTACCATGTCGAGCATTTCCTTCATCTGGCAGAAAATCAGTGCCCGGTGTTGCGACACATAACTCGAAGCTGATACGTCGTTTGATTCGTTGTCCACGCCGATGCCACAGTCAATCAGCAAGTCGCGTAGGGCGCCCAATTTGGGTGCATGAGCAATATCGCGCAGACTGGATTTGGACGCCGCAAGCTGTTTTTGGATCGCTTCATATTGCTTGTTTCCTTCCTTGACGACGAGCGCGGGCGAGTTGCAGAGTTTCCGCATGTACTGCAATGCTTGGAAGATGTGCTGTTTGGCCTCTTTATCCGCCGAGCCGACACTGTTCTCCACCGTCTTGCGCTCCTTTTTGAAGAAGTCCTCGAACAGACGCTTCTGCAGATCACTCAGATCACAATAATAGTTCTGCAGAATCTTAGGTGGGAGATCGTTGAGCACTTCTTCTTTCAAGCGTCGTAACAAAAATGGCAAGACTTGCTTGTGAAGAGCCTCCACTGCCAATGCGCCCGCCTCCTGTTCCTTGGAAGACGACTTGGCATTGCGGCTGGCTGCGATCGGTTTTGCAAATCGATCTTGGAAGACTTTCTCGGTCCCCAGGAAGCCAGGCATTAGAAAGTCGAACAGAGACCAGAGCTCCAGGACATTGTTCTGAATGGGGGTCCCGGAAAGAATGAGTCGGTGATTGCTGATGAGCTTCTTCACAGCCTGGGTGATCTTGGCTTTTGGGTTCTTGATCAGATGGCCCTCATCCAGCACGCAGTAATTCCAAGTGATGGGTGTTAGAATATCGTTGTCGTTTCTGCACACATCGTAGGACGTGATGACCACGTCGGCCTTTTCGAGTAAAGGGCGACGGCTGACCCGGTCTGCCGGCGGTCCAACGTACGCCACACAGCTTAAAAATGGCGCGTATTGCTTGATTTCCTGTTGCCAATGGCCCGAGAGCGTTGGTGGACAGACAATAAGAGACGGCAAACGCCTCATATCGGGAGCTTGGGTCTTGGCGTACTCCTCGGCCCGTATGTGATGATCGCTGGCGACAATACAGAGAGTCTGGAGAGTCTTCCCGAGACCCATGTCGTCGCACAGAACGCCGTGGAGGTTGTACTTGTTGAGGAATGCCAACCAGTTCACACCATCTTGCTGATACGGTCGTAACTCCGCTTTGATCGCCACGGGAATTGGGAACGGCTCCACCTTTTTGGGATCAAGCATTTGCGCCATGAATTTGCGCTCCCGTTCACGTCCTTGGAGCAAGGACTCCGGCATTCCCGGCGGATCAGGAATACCTGCCTCCAAAGGCACCAGCTTGACCAGCGTGGCGAATGATGTCGTCGCAAGCAGACGTATATCATTGTTGGCATCGCTCATCCGACCCAGAACAGGTACAATCAAAAAGATCACATAGGGCAGGATCCTGTCGCCCATGGCCTGTATAAGGTGGTAGACGCATTCGGTGATCCCTTGTCTATCCCTGAGGTCCAGAGGGTTGTTGATGTTGGGCAAGATATCCTGCACAAGCCTGGTCATCGCCTCGACCGGTATGACACTACATATCGTTGCGAAACATTTAGCGGCGCTGTATCTTATGACCGAGAGCCTGCTTCTCATGGCTTTCCCAATGAGAGGGCTCAATGACAAGACCCAGGTGTGCAGACCGGCGTCCAGAGTGGGCGAGAGTGTTCGCAAAGTTGACATAGCGTCAACGAGTGATTGACCTTGTTCTTCGTCGACCTGCAGACTAGCAGGATCAGAGGACTCGATTAGGTCACGGATCGGACTTTCGATGAGGGATCTCAGCACAGGGAGTTTTTCAAGGAGCTGAGCACGATATGCTCCCGCCAACTCATCCAGAGCACGTTTGGCTCCCCGCCGCATAATCCGGGCTTCCTTGGCCTCTTGTTCAAACCGGGCAGCATCCGGATGGTCCTTTCTGTCTTCCTCCTTTCGCAGTGACAAAACGATATCTTCGAAAGTGGCGTTGGGACTGAATTCTGGGGTCTCTGAAGTATCCACGCAGGTAAATTTGACCAAATTAGAGACCAGCTTGTCTACCGGGCCACGTTTCGGACTCTTGGTATAATGATCAACGAGCGCCGCAACAGCTGATGCGGATCGAGCCTGTAGGTCCTCATATGCTTCTGACTTGATGCTGTCCATAATGCATTTAATCAACTGGCCAGGTTTCTTTGGGATTTCTTCTAGTCGAACCAGGACCGATGCAAGCGTAGCCTTGATCGCGATGTCTCGACTGTCTTTGATTTTTCTGGCTTCGTCCACGGCCGTCTTAGCATTCGTACGGGCATCGTTCAGGTACTGCGTTCCCGAGACACGCTGTGCCGGTGTAAGGCCTTTAAGAAGACGATCGAAGTCCGTTGTCACAATCCTCTCGGCATCGGCGAGTGAGAAGGCTTTGGGGCCGGCTCCACTGTCGCCTTGGCAGACAACTGCTATTGCCGGTAACCTGTCTCGAGAGACATGCGCCTGATTCTGAAAAGCGCTAACCAAAGACTGGCATTGGCCTCGGGCCGCATGCAAGGAAGACACTATGTCTGCATACCAGTTGTTTCCGGTTTCGTCAAGGGCCTGCTGCAATCGTGAAACAATCTCTGATGTATTCGCTGGCTTCTGGGACTGGTTCTTTGCAAGTTCCTCCAAAATCATCGCTGCAAACAGGCTTGAGCTTGAATGAGGAGAAGTGACAAAAGACATCAGGCGAGTCCAATATGAATCAACCGAAGATGCGCTTTGTTTGCTGAGTAGAATGCCGAGTGCCAGTGAGCAGACGATTCTTGTGCGTAGCATGACATCCATTCCCACGAGATCTACTTCCCCGTGTAACATGTGTCCGTCGGTGTTGTGGGAAACGTGCTGCTGATTTGTGTCAGGTTTCTCAAATTTTCGTCGTTTCCTGACCTGCTGATCAGATTCAGAAGTATACCCGTGCTTTGTCGCGATGGGGACCATGGGAGCCCCCGATGGTTTGATGAGAAGAAGCGTGTCCATGGGAATAGGGCTCCTTGCTTGACCGATAGGCTGGATGGTGGCCCCAATCATGGGTGCTACGTGCGGCTCTAACTCCGCGGCGAACGTAGAAAACCCTCGCTGTTCCATGAAGGTAATGAGAGCTTTCCAGACCTCGAAGGACATCCACAGGACCGTTTCATTCCGCTCGAGTAACATGTTTTGGAATATCAGGCGGACCACACGGCCATCTACCCATTCCATATTGTTCGCATTCGAGACATTCAGGAACGTGGCCAACGCCTTCAACACTGACAGCCGCACACTGGTGATTGTATGTCGCAGGAAAGGGTACAGACGGGGAACGAGCTTGTCGAAGGTCTGCCATCGGTCCCCTTCCGCGTTCATACGCATTGCCTCCAAGATCTCTTGGTGCGAGCAGAGAGTTGCAAGAAGATCCATGACGGCTCCGGTACTGGCACTTAGGTCGTCTTGCATTTCCAAGAGACACTCCCACACGACACTAATAAGTTGGCCCAGAGCGTCTGGGCGCATAGTTGTCAACTCCTCAGCAATTGGAATGAGGGTTGCTGCGCTGACAGACTTGACATCGTCATCAGGATGAGCAAGTCCGTGAATGACGGCTGCGACAACACCATCGAGGAGGTTGGTGTGACTCAGAAGAAGATCTTTGCGAACAGCAACAAAATAACGCAGACCAATCATGCCTCCATGACATACTTCCCAAATTGGATGCTTCAGACCCGTATTCTGTTGATTCACCATTTCCTGCAAGCAGTTATAGACAGAAATAGCCAGGTCGTCGGGTAATTGAGTGAGTAAAGCACCTAGAGTCTGACCAATCGACTCACGGATCGGGGCAACCACTGTGTCTGACACATAATCCCCGAAACGATCTAGCATCAGAACACAAAGCAAGCGGCATGCCAGATCATCAAGCCAGCGGCGATTTGCAAGGTCATTCTCAGCTCTGGACTTGCCATATCGACGACCAGCACCATGTCCATGCACACGGAGAATTTCTCGCAAACCCATGGCCGCTCCGTGTCGGATCTCCCAATTAGGGTCAAAAAGGTCCACCGATAAGAAGTCACACATAACATCAAATGGCCAATCGTGGGCGTGCTCTTCGTCGGGTTGGATGAGGGGCTTTTCCGGAGCAGCTTCGCCCTTGTACTCAGAGACAAGCGCGGTGGTGTCATCGGAGCCTTCTTGCTTGATCGAGAAGTAGTCTGGTTGAGCATCCCCGTTGGAGTCTTCGTGGCCGTTGAGCTTCACTGGATGTGGAACCGCTGAAGCCGGTGTCTGGCCAGACTCGGGCTGACGCCGCACAGAAAGGTCAACCACGCGCATCTTGCTCGCGCCGGCTTTGGCGGCCGACTTGTTTTTCCTTTTCAGCTGGTTCAATTGTCGTTTGCTCAAGTTGGACTCATCTGGCAGGGAATGACCATTGTGATCTGAAGGAGACACGGCACTGTAGGGAGTGGCGGGGCCCACGCTGTCGAGTCGTTGCGTTCCTGATTTGGTATCTACTCGAGTCAGACCCGGGGTTGTAGCAGGTTTGTACTGCGAGCTTGCTGCGAAGTCGTGCTCGTTCACCAAGTCGTCCTCCATGTATTCACCACCGAGGCCGAGTCGAGCAGTAAGACTCTGCTTCTGATGCGCCAGGCGTTGAGCAGGCGTCATACCCGCCATTGAGAATTCATACTCCTTGCCGGCGCTGCCAAGCAGTTTCTTCCCATGATTAAGGATCAATTTGATGTCAAGAGTGCTGAGCTGAAGAAGGTCATCCACTTCGGGAGTCTTTTCGGCAATCTTGATGGGCACCTCCTCGACCTTGAGGGGCTCGGACTTGGTGTCTGCATCGTCAGCATTAGGATCGAACTTTTCGGCGTTCGAAATGATACCGCCTATGGCTTTGGCGGCAGCTGTGCGGGTGTCCCATGATTTGGACTGCAGGTAGGGGAGAACCCTGCCAAGTAGGGCAAAGAGATTGTCAGGGTTCTGTTTCTGAACATCGGCAAGTTGTTGTGCGGCGGTATTTCGAATGAGCTGTGTGCTGCCCTTGTCCAGCAAGCTGCGGTTCAAGTTAGTCTTGGAGGTGATACCAACGGCGAGGCTCGCTGGGGACAAGTTGAGCCTGGAGACACTCACGTGACAAGACGATCTAGTCTGGACAGAAGAAGTTAGCCTCCGCTTGGCAGATCCTGGGTAAGAGGGTTTCCAACCTTGAAGTTCCCGTAGTGGCCATTATTATTCTTCGCAGGTGTTGTAAGCCGGTGTTGTCTTTTCAACCACACGCCAGCCAGGTCGCGACTCGGGAGCCATCAAATGAACGACTTGAGTAACCGAGAATGAAGTCCGCCAGAGCAAATTAAGTCTCAAGGGAGGTGAAGGGTGAATTACCTGGGACGGGCTGGTCACGGTGTCATGAGTGCAGTATCGGCGTGGAAAAACAATGTTGCTGGTGGTGCTGCAGTGAGGCAAGGCCCTTTCTCTGGTGCCGGGGAGGGCACAGGCAGATCAGAGAATTGGAATCGGGGGCGCAGCGTGGGCTTAAGAGGGTCTGGAATGACATTTAAATCCTCGCTTGCTGCGCCTGCAGCCTACATCAGCCCCTGGCCTCTGATTGCTCTTTCCGTATGCCCAGGGTCCCCACCTTTTGCAAAATTCGGCCACTTAAACTGCGCTAGCACGCTCAAGCTTTGTGCAAGCGCGTCTTGGCGCTTCATCCATCCGTCAAGCCCGTCCAGTGCCTGCTCACTACTCTCCGAAGCCAGATATAACTTCGGTATGCCGGTCACGTTACAGCAATGCAAGGGATGTGTCGGGCATGCCAGGCAGATGCTGAGCAGTCCGTGTGCCTGCCAGCCTCTCTGAGCGTTGAATGGGAGAACAAGAACTCTTATCACTGCACTTTGGTTGTCAATTCTTATTCTGGAATGCGGCGTTCTACCGGCTACCTTTTCAGCTCGAACGAGCCGCAGATGCAGCATCCCCATGAATTATGTATTGGAGGCGTCTGCAATACTCCACCAAAGCAATTTAGGAGCAACTCGCCCGTCACCGCTTTAGGACGCATAGTCTGAACCACTTCAAGCAGGACTCGGCGATGCCAAAGACGTTTCAGCTTCACTTTCAGTAGGCCAGCTTCCAGCTACCTCAAGATACCTGATTAACGTCTGGGACTTCTGCGAAAATCTTGGAAATCGAAGCGACAGCTTCATATTTGGAGGGTGGGCTATGAAATTCCGTGTGAACTTGATGCATGTGACGCGCCGCCTGTCAGCTCAGTGGAAGTCGTTCCGGTGAAGCTTGATGATATGTACAATTTTTGCAGAAGGCTTCCCGCGAGACTGTTTGTCCATAATGACTCCAATCTTCTGCCAACTTCGTCCGTTTTCAGGAATAAGTCCCGGGCGTCGTGCCCAGCATCGACTTGGTCTCCTCTTCCTTGCCTATCAGACCCAGGCTTCGTATTTGACCCAGCTTAGGCGCATTCTCCCGGGGGTGAGCAGCTTCTGCTTTTCGTAGAGCCTTCTGTATCGCCACGGTTCTCGCATACTAGGCCGATTGAATCAGTGTCCAAGCTTCACTTCGTCGTTATGGCTGGGAACGCTGCTACCTCTTTCTTGTGATGCAGACATTCGTAGTAGTCTTCTAATCGTGGGGCGCAGACACCTTTGGCTCTGGCTGCAGGGTCGTGTTGATTGATGACATAGCAAGACATGTACTCTTGCCAGAAAGGAAAGCATCGAGAGACGCCTGTAGACCAGAAAATAAGTCAGTGCAAAGCTTCAGTTGACTTGAGCGTCCGCCGCCTGCAGACGTTGTGTGCACTGCTGGGATTACCACTGACCTCCAGTCAGACCGTAGCCAGACGCCATCGTCAATATCGAAGGTTGTTTGGGACAGATACCCCGTGAATATCAGGTGGTGACAACGTTGCTGGCGCTGCGATGTGCGGCTGTCGGGCAGTGGGTGAAGAGTGAGGGTCGAGGTTGAAGCAGGCCAAGGTTCAGGTTGGGCCGAATCTCCGACCCTGACGCAGTTGTTTGTTGGCAGCGCTTGCGAACTTTCCACGCTGTCTACATATTACTCCCCGTGCTTGTTCAGTCAACACCAGCACCTATTTGCACCATGCCCCGAGACCTTGCGTTATGAAGACTCCGGACGAGCTCACAGATGCTCACATCGTCCTCTCCGCCGTTCAAGCAACTTCCGAAGGCGAACTGGACTCGCTGCTCAGAATCGTCCGATGGCGGCCGGACCTCTTCCCTAACACTTTCGTATACCGACTACTGCTTTCTTTCTATCCTGCAGAGACGTCTGAATCATCGGCTCTTGTCAAGTTCTTAAAGTCTCTTGGAGATCGATTCAATGATGCCAGGGGTTCCGAAAGTCCGACCCTCGAGCCCTCAATATCCATTCTCACCAAGAATGAGGCATTACGTCGATGCCGTGCTCTAAGCTTGCGATCGATCTCTGAACATGGATCTACACGTACTCAGAGCGAATTGGCCAATGTAGTCATTGCATGGGCAAAAAGATTGGAACAATTTCATGGCTCTGCTCAGCCAGCTGGGGAATTCGTGCAAAATTTCATCGGACAGGACTCTGATCTGCGACTGTGGTATGAGACGTATCTTGTACCCGTCATCCGGCTGCAATATGAGTTCTATCCGGACAGTGAAGACGTGATCGGGCTGCAGGATATGGAGACACTTTCGCATACTGATGGTATACAAACCCTACTCCAATATGCGGTGCAAAGGCACAATCCTGTCGAAGTTGCCAGAGACCTCGACTATGTGGTATCGCCTTGGGTTCGGGGGGAGAGTGAAACAAAGAGAAGAAGGGTGGATCATTCTGCTGAAGACACCACAGCTGAAAAGGACCCTTGGGAATCCGTATATGACTGGCTAATCTCCACGAGCACGACTGAATTTAGTGTCGCAGCAAAAGCCTACGCTGATTGGAATGGCCCCACGGAGGACCATCAGCCAACGGATGAATCTGTTGCGCGGTTTGCTCAGACTGGCATGGCCATTGTCTATCGGTGCTCAGAGACTTCATCAGAGGCTAGGAGTGTCTGCAGAAAGGTGCTCGTGAAAAGTGCAAATCTTCTCAGCCTAGGGTCGTCTGACCTCTCGCAACCTGAGCCAGACATATCAGTCCCTGAGAAATTTGCAAAAGACCTTGATGAGACAGATTTGCTGGTCAATGCTCAATTCAAAAAATCAAACAAGTTCACGCGAGTGACTGAGTCTTCCATTCAACTGCTGACTGGAATCTTTGCTACGGCAGACATCCTATCTGGATTTGGCCTACCTCGCACCATAAATGAACTGGCGCACGTCAGCATCTTCGGTTCAGAACGCCGCCATAAGGATGAACTCCGTCGATTGCTTCAACACATTCCCATGCAAACTCGGCAAGAGATTGACTGGCGGTCCGTACGACGGCAGCTTCTTTGGCTCCAATCCTGGACTAAGACCGAGTCAATGGATACGTCAAACCAGCGGACAGCTTTTCTCTCGCGCTTGCCCGTCAGCTTTGTAGAAACTCAAGTCCTCGATGGAATGCTGAAGGCTGCCCAATTTGGTATTGTCAAAGAGGTGTACCTCGACCACCCTTTTTCAACGCTCTCTGTGTCAGAAATCGAAGCCCGTGTGGTTGTGGCGATTCTCGAGGCGTATGATAATGCCAGCAATGGGAACAGAGATCGCGGCGGAATGAAGCGGGCAAGCGAGATTCTGAAGGCATTTCGACCGAACTTCCCTCAGTCCGCTGCTCTCTCCGATATTGAGCACTTGATCAAGGCCACTCACAGTCTGTCATTCTACCAGCTCACTCTGCAGCACGGTGTTCCTTTCAAGCCTGTCTCTATTCGAGTGCAGAAAGACCCACTAACCTTGGTAGAGAAAGTCTTGGAACAGGACGCGAGAGCGTACACAAAGTTGGAAGACCTACTAGAGATAGGTCGTAATCTCGTTCGTGCTCATCTACCAAATCGACGGAACACGGTGTCAGAAGACACTGAGCCTCTTCAATTCCGTCTGCCGGATGCTGAGCACAGGATAACGTACCAGGCCATCATGGCTGCTCTCAATGCGAATGACTTCGACACGGCATATGCCTATATTACAACACGCCTCAACACATCACCGAACCAGTCTGCCTCTTCTGAATTTGTTGACGACGTCTCCTGGCGTGCAGCTTACGCCGCGGGGAAATATCGGCCTAGTTCATCGCCAAAAAATTTGAACACTCGCATAGACAGTTTGACACAGCGGATGGAGCTTCTTTCCCGAGCCTTGATGTTGGCCCCTTCTGGAGAAGCTCTGTCGGGAATCCTTGCCACATGGCGCCGCTACGAGGAGGAGCTGGATGCGCTGAAAACACAAGCTGTGGAGGAAGAGCGAGCTTTCGATGCCAAGGCAGACGCCTCAGTGCCCGGAGCATTTGGCCTCGACAATCGAGAAGCAGATGTAGCTGAAACGAAGCGCTTCATGGCTCGTCGATCTGGGCCTGTTGGGTCCGGGCCTTCTTATGAGGAAGAGGCGCCGTTGGGTTTGTTCGATATCGCCAGAGGAGCCGCGTCGGCACTACGGAAAAGTGCTGCTTTCCCTCTCGGATCCACCGGGCTGCGAGATCTCAAGATACAGCCAGAAACTCCGAGAGGGCACGATGTGCAAAGGGAGCAAGCCGGCTCTCCGGTGTCAGACGACGGCGGAAGGGTACGAAAGAGAGACATGGTGGCTAATATGGTCACAAGTGGCCTCGTGAGTGGGATGGGTTGGGTGCTTGGTGCTCAGCCCCGAGATCGATTGGACCACAGCGGTGAAAGCCATCAATGAGTGAGTAGAGTGATTTGGTTGCGTAATGTTCTTGATGATCTCAGGTTCGATGATACCAGGGGTTCGGTTTTGCGTTCTTCACGTCAATGTGTGAAAAGCGAGCGCCTGGAAGACCGCAGACTCCTCAATTGCCACGTGGGACGACTTTGTAAGTGACAAAGAGTGAATAGAAGCTGGTTGAAGGCCTCATCAGGAAAGAGTTCCGACCTCCAGCTCCCAGAGTGCAGGTGCTGCAAGATGCGTCTTCTGGTATGGCTCGCTGTTCCTGCCCTCTTGGGTCGCTATCACACAAACCTCTCGCAGGTTATTGTCGCCGCCGCCGCACATTCACGTCGTCCAGCTGTTCGCGTCAACAAACCCCTCTCCGCGACCACTTCCATGCTCCCTCTCCTTTGACAAGCCGAGGTGCAAAGCACAGTCCCTCTGATTGTCAGTCCTCCATTGTTGACCTCCGTTACAAATGATGGCCGTCATCCCTGTGAAAGCCCTGCGCCCTCGTGGTGATGACAACTCAGGCCGGACCTTCTCCATCATCTTTGCCGTCATTGCCTTCCTCGTGGTCCTTGGCTGTGTGGTCTGGGGCATTGTCCTCCCGAAATTTCGAAAGAGACGCGGCACTCATCGGCTAGGTCGATACACAGTGACCCCGAATTACCCAGCATTCAGTCCTCCGCCTCGATTCCCCAGTCACCCTGCCCTGTTGCGTGGCTTTCGAAAGCAGCCTCAAATTCCGGTGCAACGATACGACCCGAGAATCGAGAGCCCTTTCCCAAACAGTCCGGCTCAGCTGCATTCAACTCACCGTCCTCCCCAAGCTGGCTCGGGCAACGCTGTCAGCCACATCTACGGGCTTTTCACACCCCCTCAATGCTGGCTTTCCATGAGAAATCACACTCAAACAATGTCACGCGGCAACTTGCAAGCAGCAAGACAAGGTGCAGGGATTGACCCGCGAAACTTCACCAGCTTCAGAGGCAAGCATGATTACATACTGCCGGTTCCGGAGCCTGTTGTCTTGAAACCAAGGCCTGCAGGGAGACCACCGCCATTGAAGAAACAGCTGGAGCGATTTCCTTTCCCTTTCGATTCTGGCCGTAACGACGGACTCGTTCATCCCGTCAAGCTTTTCCAAGAGCTGCAACTGCGAAAATCAGAAATAAACAGAGCCTCCTTCGGGACACCTTCCCCAATCCCACAACATACTGGTCGGCCGGCTGCTGTGGAAATGTCAGTGATGGGACCGTCCGCCCGCTGCCGAACCGCTCCTGGAAGCCTTCAGTGCGAGATGCACAAATCTGTGGAATGTAAGAAACACAATGCACAAGAGGTTGGCCCGTCGTCAGCTGCGAAGTTCCCGCCCAAGGACTGCGATGCGGCAGGAATACCAAAGACGAGACAGGTCCGGAAGCAGGAGAAATTGGAAAGAATGGGGACGTTGAAGACCAAAGACTCCGGTGGCTGAGATACGAGATTGGTTCGATCGAGCGGCGAGCACTGCCAACAAGGAGAAAGAGTCATCCAATCTTTACACGCCCTCCACTAATCCCTTCACAACACCTGGGCTAACTTCAACTCCACCGACTTCCCCAACACAGTCGGCAAAGAAGTCACAAGTCCTGGCAACGCCATCGCGACCAGAAGGCACCGCTCCTTGCATGAATGTGCCATCACACGGCCACCGGAGAACACCTAGTTCGGTCATCCTCCCGTCTCCGGGAAAACTCAATACGTTGCAGCGCGCGGCCCGAAGCGAAAAAGTGAAACAGACAGCGAAAGGGTCTCCTGCTAAGATTTTCCAACGGCGATCAAATTCTGGACGTGCCAAACTCGTGTCGTGGTCCCAACTGCGACCCAGCAAACGCATCTCGCGGCGCTACTCTGCGTCCTCGCTATCGACAATCTTCAAGCCTATTCTTGCCCCGAGGAGCAAGCAAAGCCAGGGCACGTCAAGCATATATAGCCGTGACGTGAGGGAGCTGAGTTTTACAGGCGGAGTAGATCGTCAAGGAGGAGACGCTGAGGGCAACGACCCAGTTGTATCTGGGTTGTCATCCGGAAAGGGCAGTCACTTGCCTCACAAACCATCAGCATCTATTGACCATCTGAAGTCCAAGATTGACAACTGGGACCTTCACACGGGCGATCTGGATGCGTCCGTGATCCCTCGTTCAGCTATCAAACGCTCGATTTCAGATTCTGGGCTCCGTCTCTCTACCTCTCGGAACGAAGGACGTCCCGCGAGCGGGCAAGGGGCTTGCGGTTTGGCGGACGAAGGTCCCGAGAGATCCATCCCGCTCATTCAGATTGGACGATCCAGCGACGATGTTTTCGGTATTGAAGCAGACGGCTTCCAAGCCCACGAAGCGGGCAAGTTGATGAAGCGCCTTAGGCCTTTCAACACAGCACCAATCGTTCTGGGTGGCTTGGGTCACGGTACGGCACCCGGCGGTGGGGAGTGGATCTGAAGAGACCTAAAGAGAGAACGAGCTGGAGCAGCCGAGTGCCAACAGCATATGAAGTTATGTCAAATGGTTGAACGAAAGAAAATGATGGAAAATGTGCTCGCTATGTGTGTGGCAGAGCTGGGCCAGATGAGTGACGGCGTATCTGCGTTGGGCATATTGAAGGAGCTGGGGTTGAGGATTCTGTGGGTATTTGCGGCTCAGAGGAGGATGGAAATCCGTGTACCATGAACTGCTTTTGAGATTGAGATACCTTGACGCCACAAGAGGCCTCAGAGCCTGTGCTGAGCTAGAATTTCAAATGAAGACAAGTTATTCGCTGCATTTGACTTGTTAGGTCCAAGGCTGTGTTTTGTGATAATCACTGCTTGTGACACGAGGATTCGGCGAGTGGCGGTGGCTAAGCAGGTCGAACACGATCCAACGCCACCTCAACCGAACCGAATTTTCCTGGCACCAAGCAGGCGATTCGGACCTGCATTGGCGAGCGCCGCCATGAGCCAATATCTACGACATAGGAAGCTTCACCAGCTGAGCTCCCAGCCTTGACCATACCACCGAGTTCCTTGTCGGGAGATAGAGCACAATACACAAATCTCAGCAGCTCTGACCCGTATTCAGAGGTTGCGTCAAACTGCGCAGTCATCTGCTTCTGCAGAGTTGAGTCAGACTGATGATATTCCCCCTGGTCCGATGGTGGCCACGGCGGACCGAAGAGTGGACTATGGTCAACTGCTAACAACGGGCATCCACCGGTCCCACTCTTCTCAGACAAATGAAGTTTTTTTTCACTCACGCACAAGACGACGAAGGATTGATCTCCAAACTCCGCGGGAATAATGGCAAAACGCCCTCTGGGTCAGGAATATTGCAGTTCTGTTGGGTGCTTGGATACGGCCACCCTCCCACGCCCCAACTTGCGATGCCAAAAAGCCACACCATGCCAGGGGGGGACTCGTCGTGGTACTTGTACTCCCTGTACCTACAACACACGCGCATACCCTCAGTGGGTATCAGGCCCGGTCTGAACCGCCTCTGAACTCTTCCATCGTGCCTATTTTGGGTAGCCTCATGTGCAGGATAGCATCATAGCCTCACCATCTCTTCGATGGATGTGGAGCTGGTTGCCCCTGTCTGAAACATCCTAAGGTCAGATCTGTTGACGGACGACTTGGCTATGTTTGCAACTGCCACACTATGCAATACGTCCGAGTCCTCGTATCTCGCTCCCATGTGGACTGATCGTCGTTGACGGCTCCCTGTCGGGATCCCAATTCTCCACCTTGTCTGCACATCATATGTAGGGAGAAGATTTCGATTCCTTCGTCTTTCATACTCTTCTCCGTTTTCATTTCCCCGCGTCTCTATCCCCTTGCTTTCTTGCAGATCGACACTTTGTCCATCTGGAAACTGTGAATCATCTCCTTTCTCATGGTTCTTGAGCTCGAAGGGATTTGGATTAGGTGCATGATGGCTCTATCAAGGCTGGTAAGTGGGAGTGGTCTGGTGCTCCGAGATATTGGAAAAGACCTGGAGTTGCTGACAGTCGATGCCAGGTCCTTCTTACCTCTCTCTTCTCTGCCTGTACTTCGGCCGCCCCCCTCACGAAACGCGCCGTCGATGTGGTACAAGGAAAGCTTGGGAGTGATGGATTCTGGAATGACTACGATGGTACGTTCTCCCGCTCTATCTCCGCCGGAAAGGAGAAAGGCTGATGAATTGGGCCGGGAAAACAGGTGGTCAGAACAGTTACACACTATACACTGGAAACGGCTCGGTAGCTGCAGGATGGCCGTCAAGTCTGTCGTGGATATCGTTTAACGACATGTGGGTCGCCAACCAGAAGACCATCTCTCGAAGCTGCAACCACCTCTACAATCAACCCAACAATTCCGACCAAGAAATCCAAGACATTTATGATGCCATCAAAGAGATCTCACAACAGACACGGGTAGATCACCGGTTCATTTTGGCCGCAGTGATGCAGGAGACGGGCGGATGCGTCCGTGCAAAGACGACGGTATCGCCAGATGGCACCGTGAGGAACCCGGGGATCCTCCAATCTTTTAGAGGGAATCACACGTGCAACGACAATGGCAAAGTGCAGAACCCATGTCCGAAGGAGCAGATTCTAGGCATGATCCAGGACGGAGGTGAGATGCCGACACGACACCAGCACCTTGTCCGCTACGCATATCTGGCTAACCTTTCTTGCTTATAGTGGCTGGCACGGCTAGCGGCCACGGATACGCATCCGACATCAACGCTCAAGCTGACGTTGGCGACATCGACTACGCCGAGGGATACTATCGGGCAGCACGGCTATACAACTCGGGCATGATTGATCCGTCGGGAGATCTTGGGAAAGGTACAGCTACGCATTGCTATGCCAGCGATATCGCCAACCGGCTGACGGGGTGGACGGATGCCCCGTCGGCGTGTACTCTGGATAACAGTGATTAAAAGCATTTGGTTCTGGGTCCTGGATTCTGGGCTCTGGTCAGGAAGGGGTGGGTGTCTAGCATCGGCGTTATATTCAGGGCAGAAGCTACAGCAAATCCAGACTGGCGAAAAGGTTATCAGGTGCGTTCCGAGATCGACACAAGCTGTTGTTGACCTTTTGTTCTCGACGATGGGTTATGTTTTATTTTTTTTGGCGTGGCGTTAAAAGTGCTCAAGGCTGGCGCTCTGTTCTGGGAGAGATTGAACGAATGGAAAAGAACCTCTACAGTGAGGAGGTATTTGGGAGCTCGGGCAGAATCCGATGAGAATACTCGCACGACGATACCTCGATAAAATGTTACAGTACTGAAAGTGCTCCTGAGCCAGGGCCAGGATATATCTTGTGGACACGCTTCCATCTTCTGTTTCACTGCTCCTTTTCTTTCCTTCTTTCTTCAGTCAGTCATCCTTCACTACTGCAGGAATTTCCCCGTTCCGACAGTCACTTCATCCTCCGTTGTCACTCCTCAAATCATCCTCACTGGGGGCACTCTTCAAACCAGTTTTATTTACCGATCGCCAGAACTGTCTTCTCCGAGTTTCGAACTTTCATTCCTCTCCTCCTCCACCTTAGACCCAAGCACGATGGCGTCCCAGACGAGTCCCGACACGAAGATTGACTGGAATGCGGCTGGTACCCAGCAGCCGACAGCCTCTTCCAAACAAGGTCCCGACGATCAACAACAACAGCAACAACAACAACAGCAGCAACCACGACCCAGTGGCGAGTGTAGAGACAAACCTACCCACGCGCAAACGAGCCTCTGACTAACGAATGACTTACAGCCACCATGCCCCGGACCGATCCAAATGCCGACAGTGCCACCGGCAGACCGATTGCGCCCACTGGCCCTCCCACAGACGAAGAGAAACGCGAGCTGATCGCCCGCTACGCGCAACTGTTCTACGAGCACTTTCGCCAATTCAGAGACCCGCTCGAGCGCATGAAGTTCATCAACACGGAGATCCTGGGCCGTGCCAAATTCGACAAGCGCTACCTCAGCGTCGAGGCCATGCACACGGATTACGACCTGATGCTGTCGCAGTATCTCGTGCACACACCGGAGCTGATGCAACGAGTCGGGCTCGAACTCAACAAATTCGCCGAGGTGGGACGTTACTGGTGGCCCAAATGCGTCGCCCACGCACCGACGCAGGCCGAGAGACAGGCCGAGATGGAGGCCGTGTTTGAGCGCGTGAAGCACGAGGATTTCAACGCGCCGGCGTTCGTGGTCGAGTACGAGGAGTTCTACTCGGCGGATTACTACGAGGGCGTCCTCTCGATCATGGATACGTGGATGAATGCCACCGCCGGCGGGATCATCACCCGTGAAGCGTAGGTGGGCGTGCAGGCGAGCCGGAGAAAAAAGGTGTGAGGAACGTACGTGCCAGAGGGGAAAGCAAGAGAGAAGGCAAGGGCCAGGGAAAGGTGGCTCGCGTGCTTGTTGCTTGCTTGGCTAGGCTTGTGTGCGTGCGACGACGACGACAGCATATATGTGAGAACAGCAAAACACCGTTGTTCCCTCATGCTCATCTCTGCTTGAAAGTTGGGCATCCGGGATCCTCATGGGCGCTGAGGGAGCTTTCGATCCTACTACGGGCACGATTTCGAACAGGATTGATCACGAAAACGACGGATGAGCTGGCGCCTGCCTCTTTTCAGGCCCTGCTGAACGGATGGTTGAAGGCCAAGGCGATGCTCGATACTGTGTGGATAAGTGGACTCTTGCGCTGAGCTGAGTTGGGGAGAACGAAAAGATTCCCCGTTCAAGAAGTTCGTTCGACAAGATGAACTGCGTCCGATAGCCTCCGCGAAAGGTATCGTCGACATGGGAGGAATAGAGACCTGGATATTACCTCTTTCCGCAACTACACATCTTGGGTCTCCACGAGAGACAAGGCCTTGGATAAATCAAGCCGACTGCGTTAGCACTCTTCTCACTTTCAAGGTGCCGAAAGAAAAACCACTCAAGCATTGAAGCCCGTTTTTTCCCGCTCTCCTTTCCTTCCTTTATATTCCTTCTTTTTTCCTCTCTCCCCTTTGAAGCACGCTTCTACTATATTTAAGGATATGGCGAAGCTCCCTTTTTTTCGTGCGTGTGCAAGATATGTGTAATCTCGATCTTTTCCCAGTTTTTGTGTTCGTATATGATTGAGGTAGCTGGCTGTGTCCGGGCACGTTGATCCTTGTATCCATCAAAAAAAGCATATGGTTTGGATCAAAGCAAGGGATGAAGTGTGTAGCGATCGATGGCATGTGGACCCAATTTTGGCTTGGGCCGCCACCGATATCAGTGCAGGAACATGATGAATGTACCTGGCTGGCTGACTTTCAGCGACTCAAGCCAACCCAAGGAATATTACTGTCCTTGACTGAGAGACACCAGTTCCCATTGTTTCCATGTGGCTGACGCATAGTCCTTATGTCCATTCTACCATTTGCAACCGAAGAGATGACCATGGATGCTCCCAAGCCCTTGCTGCAACGAACCACCGTTGCGCATATTCAGGCAACTGTATACATACCCTGTATGTATATCCCCATCTGTACAAGTGTATATGTGTATGTATGCATTAGTGGTGTAGACCTGGCAGCAAGGATAGGTCCAGTGTCTTCCATTCCCCATTCTCCCTCTTTCCTTTCGCCTCTTCGTTGTGGTCTATTCAACGCCAAAGAAACGAGGCATTCCTGCAATCCTTCGTTCAAATTTCAATCACTGATCCCACCTTATCTACCCCTATCGTTCTTGGTCTTTTGCAATCACCCAAATCAACACTTTGGTATCTGGGGGAACTGTGAATGCTTGAGACTAGGTTTGGATAGAAACAATGATGGCGCTTTCCGTGGGATGGTATATACTGTACCTCGGATGTTTAAAGCGGCGCCGCCAATGTGGGCCATATTACTCCGTCCTCCACTTGAGCTCCAACGGCGGAGACGGAGATAAGCATTTCATTGTCCCGCATTTGACGAAGGTTAGTAAACCGTCTGCGACCAGAGTCAATACTTCATCACTTATCCGCAGCCTGCGGTCTGGCTTCTTTCCCTCAAGCATTTACCTGCCCTCACTTATCCCAAATCAAGCCATGGCCGGTACCCCGGATCCTCGCGAAGGACTGAGTCCCTCACCGACCAACATGCTTGATATCTTTTCCGTCGACGATGACGATGATGACGGCGATAGTTTCCACCCGACCGAGGAACAAAGTACCGATGCAGATGGCACGCAGGACGAAGACAGCGATGCTGATTTCACCGGTACATACCAGCCATACCGTAAGAGATGTATGGCTTTTGACTGGCTGCAGACGCCCACGAGACGCTACACGGCATCGAAATAATCTACGAGGGCGGAGACGACGACGACGACGACGAGGCAGATGAAGAGGAGGGAAATCACACTGAAACCGAAAATGATGGCACTGAACCCGGCGCAAGAACTATCCGATCAGCACAGGGTATGTTTCCGTTATCGTGTGCCAACTTGTTTCTTCTGACCGTATTATTCTCGCAATAGTGACTGTCAACGACATCCGCGGCCTTCTAAATACCAGTGCGCCTCTTCGGCAGCTCATTTTGAGTCGTTACCGCCTCATACGCCCGAACGGAGCGCTCTTCGACGTCGACGACGATGACGACGATGAGGAGCCGTACGTATACGGCGGTTTCAGTCGCCGTCGCCGGGTCCAACGCCACAAGCCAAAGGGCGACCGCTTCCCCAAAGTTCCCAGCGAGGCGGGAACGGCGTTGATGAACTCTGGCACCTATGGTTATCGAGACACATACTTGGACATCCGACTGAAGAGACGGCGCACAGTCAATGAACGCCTGCTATGGCGTCGTCTAGGGTTAGAGGCACGGTCCACTATGAGACGACAAAACAACCTCATCGCCCAAGAACAAGTACCCAACACTACCACTGCAGACAGGATCATCCACTATGACTCACGAGCCTACTCAGGTCAATTTTCCGACGATGGGAACTTCTTCTTTAGCTGCACGCAGAATTTCAAGGTTCGTATGTACGACACGTCTAACCCTTACGATTGGAAATACTACAAGACGGTGGATTACCCCTTCGGACAATGGACGATCACGGATGCTACGTTGAGCCCGGATAATAAGTTCCTCGCATATTCGTCGATTCGACATACCGTTTGTCTCGCCCCGACCGACCCAACGGACCACTCTGACCACACTTTATTGGATTTCACCAACTTCGCTCCCGGAGCAGGGATGGGCCGACCGACCTACGGGTACATGGGTCGGCATGGCTTTGGTATCTGGTCCTTGCGTTTCAGCGGTGACGGACGAGAGATTGTCGCCGGAACGTCGGATCATTCGGTCGTGGTGTACGATCTAGAACGTCGCCAGTCGACTGTTCGTCTATCGAACCACGAAGACGACGTCAATGCGGTCTGTTTCGGCGACAAGTCCTCACCTCACATCCTTTACTCGGGCAGTGACGACCAAACGTTGCGAGTGTGGGACAGACGATCAATGGCCGATGGCCGTCCCGCCGGCATTTTCGTCGGCCATACAGAAGGTATCACGTATGTTGACTCCAAGGGCGATGGCCGTTATGTCCTGTCCAACGGCAAGGAACAAATGATGAAACTGTGGGACCTGCGGAAGATGATATCTCCGAACGAATTTTCGAGGATCGACATCCACTCCTACACCACGAACTTTGACTATCGATTCTCCTCGTACGATGAAGACGACTATGTCCCCAATCCCAAAGATTGCAGTGTGGTAACCTTCCGAGGCCACTCGGTGCTCAAGACACTGATCCGATGTCACTTCTCGCCACCCGGGTCGTCAAACTCTCGTTATGTGTACAGCGGAAGCGAAGATGGGAAAGTATATATCTGGAACATGGACGGGACCCAGAAAGCCACAATCGACGTCTATGCTGCGACGAGACATACAAGACCGAGAAACGATGGGAGTGACGGGTTCGGTGGCGGAGGGTATGGTTACGAGCTACATGGGCACCATAATAGTGTGTGGAAGACGTGCGTCAGGGATGCCAGCTGGAGTCCCACTGCACCAGTTCTAGCAGGTAAGTTCGAGAGCTTTCTTCCTCACCCCGTTTCTAGGTCTAGCAGAGTCTTTTCCACTCTGCATATCTTTTCGCGCTTGAAGAAATGTGCTGATGTTATGGGGACAGCCACGTCGTGGAACGGTTGGGGTATGGCTACGGGCACAGTCTCAGTACATTCCTGGAACGACGGCGCCGAAGACGACGAAGCCCTCCCCGCCATGTCCTCAAACTATAACGCCCGCCTTGACCCCAGAGAGGACTTTGACAATGCCATGCGTCGTGCCCGCGGCGGAGGACGGGGCGATACAGCAGGGAGTGGACCCACCACGACGCGCAGTCGCGCCGAGGGAAGAGGTCTGAGAAGCTTTCTCGTCAGGCCGGCCTTGTTTGGTGGGAACAACGAGGGCGGCACAGGGGGTAGAGCCTCTTGACAATCACGCAGCAATGCCGCGAGGAGGATGAGGAGACGACTGAGTCTGGGGAGCGCCGCCAGGCACGAGACTGAAGACAACGAAGAGGATAAAGCACCTGATCCATCTGCGCGTTGAAACAGTCAAGGTATCCGAGACTGTACCGGCCGTTGTCAGCAACCCCAATTCAAGTGCGACATTCTTCAATGACCTGGGATATCCGAAGTGGGCTATGGATTGAAACGACGGAGCGCAAGAAAGCCCTAATGAAGAGGAGAGAAGGCCGCAGGCCCTGTCTTCCGCACTGTCCATTTCCTATAGAAGAGGGCCTATTGACTGAGCCTCCCAACGCATGCGACGGACGGACGGGGGTTTCTTACCTTGCCTTCCGTACAAGCACGAAGAAAAAGAGAGGACTGACTGACTGACGAGATACAATGGAGGGTATAAACCACAACAGTTCGACATTCAAAGTACGGAAACGATTGGGCAAGCAAAGCAAGCAAAGCAAGCAAAACATATATCATGACCTGCAGGCGTCACGGGGATAGAATGTGCTGTGATGTGATATGAGCTGCAATGTGATTATTGCATGGCACGGGTTGGATGTTTTCCGGCATTGGAACCTGACACGTGCTTTCTCTCTCTCTCTCTCTCTGTGCTCCCTAAATCTGAAGAGAACCAACAACATATCTATATATCTTCCTGTAACCTTGAATGAGAATTTAGACTCATGAAAAGATCACTTTGGCCCCTCTGCACAGAGCGAAAAGATAAGCCAGAAAGAAAGGAAATAATAGGTTAATTAAGTTAGCTGCTCTCTGGAACGGCCGTAGCAGTGATATTTTGATTTTGATTTTGATTTTTTTCGGGTCTGGTTATAGAAAAAACAAAAACCCCCTTTCGAAACGTATTTCACAGCCCCCGATCGATCATTTCAGCTCTTTTTGTTTCCTGCGTGCGTGCGTGCCTTTGCTTGCTTTTTCTGGCTGCAATGGACCCCTGGGATCCGATTTTGGGAGGAAGAAATAGTAATACAAAAACGCTCAGTTAGGTAGGTAGGTGTTTGTGTGACAATGACGATGGTCCATCGCGTATTGGGAAGACTCGACGGATGGATGGAGGAGGATGATTGATTGATTATGAGTCCGTCTGATTTGGTATTCTCCCTCCCCTCGTCTCCACAGTTCTTGCTCTGTGTTGCTTGCCGTTCGTTCGGTGGTTTTAAATCATCCAACTAATACATTGTTGACGGGTATGTGTACTGCGTGCCGAGTGGGTTGGACTGTTAGCGCCAATGTACTTCCTCTGTCTTATTGATAGGTGTGTGCAGCCGTTTTCCTCATTTCACGTCTCGTGATTGGGATGGGAAAGGAGCGCAAAATGGATAAGGTCGGGGAGTGCGCACTCAGCTTGATGAAATATCCGATGGCGCCCATGATCAGGAATCCCATGCCCACGGCTTGCGAGATCTTGATGAATTCCCTGCGATCGGCTGTTTTTGTTCCAACCAAAAATGGAGTTAGTATGGGTGGTCGGTTTGAGAGCAAGTTTTCGAGCACAGCCGCCGCTGTGTGGACAATGAAGCGCAGTTGAGAGGAGCGCCGGCGGAGGAGAGATACAGGACAGGCAAAATGGCGCTCTGCTTTGCTGTGCGTCACAACTCCGCCATGCACCTGCTGCTCCTGCTCCTGCTCCTGCGTCATGGAATCACGAGATAGGAGAACGGATGAGAGGAACGTACGCTTTGTACATCTGTTGATAAACTGCGTTCCGTCCTTGAAGAACTCCTTAGGCACGTCGGCGATCTCTTGGAGTATATCAGACATCTTCTTCTTCACTTCCGGTTCTTTTCTTCTCGAGGTAACCTAGGGCGACGATTCGTAGATTCCGGAGGTTTTGGGGAGAAGCGAGAACAGAGAAGAGGTGGCTCGATGTCGCGCCGGCGTCCGTCAATCAATCAGTAGTTCCCTGTGGGGAGACAAAGACCAAGATCAATTTCCTTTCTCTCTAAAAGACTCGTGCGATCAGGAGCGGAAGGTTGGAGGACATATAATACTGGGTGAATAATGTGTTGAACAAAAGTCTACGGCGTAACTCGCACGTGCTGTAGAGCAATAGGTGGCTTCTGTGCTGGCTTTGGCGAATTGGCGCTGCGCTTCCGAGGGTCAGGGGGTCAATCTCCAGGGCTTGGCAGGTCAGGGAGCGTTAAAGCGGCACGCCTTTCCCCTTTGGTGGGAGACCTTCCACAAAGGGAATGGTTCGACTTTAGACAACTACACACTGTGGTATGATTGATATTCCCAAGACGCCATGGTCGCTCAGCGGCACTGTCGACTGTTTTTGCATATACTGGCTGCTGGAAAAGCAAGGAACGTTATTCGCCTGACGATGAGCTTCGTCCCTACATGCCAAATTCATTGCCGACCTCGAGGTCCTCAGTCGCAGCAGACCTCTCTGTCATTTCTGTTCCAACCCGGCCAAGTGGCTGTGGATATCGGGCTCCTCCTCGTCTAGACGACTCCATCGATGCCATCGGTTGCCGGCCTGCCTGCGGGTGAGCTGGCACCATCGTCAGCGGCTGCCTATGGATGCCATTGACGACCATACGGCGCACCGCCAGTGTCTCTCCTATGGTTGTGGTTCGACATGGGTGGTCCGGTGCTAGGCTCTCTGTCACGCCAGGGTGCGAGCCGTTTGCACCTCCGGGGAAACCTACCAGTCCAGCTCTCTCGGTTGTTTTCCTCGATAATGTCACCAGAAGCATTGCCCATGTGGGTTCTGTGTGCCCCATCATCCTTCCCTCTCTTTCGCGGATACTTCCTGGGCCTCCTCCGGACCCACCAAGTTTGGATGTCTCCGATGACGAAGGCGACTCCGACCAGTGGCAAGCTGACCACCAGGCCTATACCAGTAACATACTGAAGCACCCAACCAAGCTGCAGCTTTCCAGTACCGGTCCCCGCGGGACGGGGAAACTAAATGATATCGATTGCAAAAAAGCTCGAAAGGAAGCTAAGCGGCAGGAAAACAATGGTAACCACCGTGAACACCATGATTGTTTGCCGCTGCCTTACAGCCTCTTCGGCCTGCTTGCGCTGAGCCTCTCCTTCTACAACATTGGCGTGCTTCTGCTTGAGCACCAAGACTTGCGTCAAATTATCATTGACACTTCTAGCTTGCCGTGCCACGCGACCGAGATCCGAAATGTCCAGAACGACCAGTCGCTGCTGCTCGCCGACTTTGTTGTATAGGTCGAATTGGTCGGACTGGGACATATTCTTGAAGTCTCGGAGGGTGGCGTCCAGGTCGCCTAGGACCTGTCTCTGTTGTCGAAGCAGACTCGCGAGAATGTCCAGTTCGTCATCGACATCCTTACATTCCACCAACAGAGCAGCTTCTTTATCGATTTTCAAGAGATCATTGACAAAGAAGCCGGATGCTTTATGACGATCGCCCCATATATCCATGCTCCTTCTCGTTTTTTCTCCGGCATGTTGGTGCTCATCGGATGACCACCCCGAGGAGTAGTCATCTCTAAGCGGCCCTGTTGAGAATCGAATGAAATATTGCCCCCATCGTGCCCTCTCAGCCAATGAGAAGATACTTCTCTAAAGCTTCGAAAGAGCTTGGTCTCTTTCCTCATCAGCCGTCCAATACTTAGTTCAAACGTCTCAGCGAATAACAGATCGTCGCTATCCCGCATATCCCTGTTATCACGTCGATTACCGTTGTCCCAGTACTGTCGATCAAAGAGGGCCGTACAACGCTCGGTGATGACGGTCGCGAGCTCAAAGATATTCCTGACGGGAGGACGGGTGGTGGAGTTGATGTCCTCGACAACGCCCTTAAACAAGTTGAGGGCGTCCTGGTGTGGTAGGTGCTACCGCTCTGGGAAGCAGGAAATAAGAAGATTGCCAATGATAATCAGCCACAGCTGGTCGACCATGAAGATCTTGAGCTGCCTCCTCTTTTTCTTGTAGAATCGAAAGACGACCTGGTCCGCATCTCTTAAATATCGTTACATCTCTGCAATCTTCTTCCAAATACCGTTTTGTAAGCAGAGCCTCAAGCCACGAGATGTTATTTGCGGGAGATGGATCAACGGAACAGTGGCTTTTTGACCCGTTGTTGTCTAAGACGTGTGGAATAGCAAACTTCACCGGGTCTTTATCATCCCGAGCGTAGAGAACCTGCCAAATGGTGTACTTGTTGACCTTGTTCTTGACGCCGCCGTGGGAATCTTTATCCTCGAAAATATTAACCACTGCAGCCCGGAACCGCTCGCAAGCTTGTTTGGCGATGCGATTGGTGAGCGCTTCGAGCACATAAGGTCGAAGTGCGCCCACACCATCCCAGTGGCGATTCAGAGCTGCACGGATGAGAGGAGTGCTGTCGAAGCTATCCTTGCTGTTTTTGCGAGCAGCTCGCTTCCTCAGTATACGCTTGACGGCATCCAGCTTCCCACCTTCTGCAGCCAAACGAGGGGAGGTCATCCCGGAGGACGTTCAAGCATTGACGTTGGCATTGGAGGTCAGCAAGGCATCAATGGCACTCTCGATCCCTTCTTTTGCAGCCCGGAGGAGAGGAGTCCAGTCACCGTCACCTCTTGCTTCAATCCTAGTCCTGGAAAGGACGAGGAGCTTGACCATTTTAGATTCGTCGTGCCTTGCTGCCAAGTGCAGAGTCGAATGGCCTTGATCATTCGTCTGGTCCACGTCGACCACGCCCTTTCCCATTTGACCAGTGCTCCGACCGAAGCCATCTGGCCTTTTGCGGCCGCCTAAAGAAGAGGCGTCCTGCCTTCTCGACCTTCGCTATCTCTATTGTTGAGGTCTTTGATTTTGAGGAGAAGCATCGACAAGGCCTGGGCACTCCATTCCATGTTTGGCTTCGCCTCTGAGGCCATGATCAACAGCGCATTTCTGCCGGTTTGGTCTTCGATGTTCGGATCACCTCCATACTTAAATAGCGTGATATTAACATCTTGTGTCCACGTAGGCAGGCGTAAACAAATGGCGTCCTCCCAGCAGCATCCTTAGCTTCGAGTCAGCATCCGCGACTCAAAGAAAATTAGTTATAGCATTCCTGGTTCTATCATTTGTGTTTGCAATAGCACTGTGCAAAGGGCCTTTGCTACCAACCCCTTCGATTCTCGCACCGGCTTCGACCCAGTAGTCTGACGCCACTCTCGTATCCGATACTTATTGCTTTACCAAGGACGGCGTGGAGGTCCTGCTCGTGGTTACAGCCACTGGATTTGCAATCAAGCACAAGTTTCTGCAGCTCAGTGTCTCGCTTTTGCACGACGACTTTGGTGAGCTTGATGCGCAATTCCACGACGTCGACTATTGGCGCAGCCATGTCCCGGGTGACAGCTCTGAGACCAGAAATGAAGGACTTGACGTGAAACAGGGCCCTGGTCTCAACCCTGTTCAGAGGGCCTTTTGGATCCAAAACTTTGATTTGCTCAATATTGCTCAATAAAACCTAGTATAACAGGAGACAGGTTTGAGATTGCAGAACCCCCCAAAATTCATGGGCAAGAAAATAAGCGTGAAAATATCCCTTCGAAATATGATACCATGTCTCCCAAGAGTTCGCGACCTCGCGCCATCCACGATCCCACAGATCCCAAACTGATAGTCCATAAGAACCCACATGCGGCCTGAGGATGTTCAAAAAGGTTGAGCTCAGCCTCTTACTATGCGAAGGTACACTCCTCTGAGCCTTCATTGAGTCCCAAAGACACATTCGGCCTTGTCCTAATCCCACTGACTGAGAACGCCAGAGCATTGTTACCTCTAGGCACCAGTACAAAACCCGGCAGGGATGCCGCAACCCGTTGCGGTAAGTGCTTGACCACAAGCCACGACAGTCATCGTAAAAGTGAAAACTTCGTCTCCTGCATCATTCACCTGGGTTGTCACAGTAGCGGACGCCGCATTGCTGATTGAATTCTGGGACTGAAGGATTGATATCAGAGCATCGATCTGCTGATTCTGAGTAGAGCATTGCTGGCAATTGTTCGAATCGCCTTGGAGCTTAGCCCCAACCCAGGCTGCCACCAGCCCAGCTGCTCCACCTGTAATCTTTTGTCAGTCACTCTCTGAAAGAGGATTTCGACATAAACAACGTACCAGCAGTGAGTTGGGCAATGAAAGGATTGTTATTCAGAAATGTATTCACGGAAACCCCCGCTGCAAGGGCGGTTTGCCCTGCGGTTGTAAGATAAGGGCTTGCGAACTGTCCTATCGTCGCGACGCCATTTCCCACAGTCTGAGCCGCTGAGTAGCATGTCGTGTATGCAGAGCACGCAGCTTCGAGCAGGCCCCGTTCTTGCAGATCTTTGATGGTAGCGTCGTGGACATTTTCGAGGATCAGTTCCGTGGTATTTCTGGTATGTACAGCATCATCCCAATTGTGAGGCAAGATACCGATGTACCCCGTGGCATGCACCTGCTGCCATTTGTACTCGATGCCATCAAAGGATGCAGTCATGCCGTGATAAAGGAACGGGCCACTAGTGTTGTGTTGATCGATCGTGGTATTCGGAAAGTGATGTCGCCGCTGCTCAGGTGAACGCCGTGTCGAGGAACGCGAAGCAAGTGGATTGCTTGAAACGACCTGGAAGGATCTATATGCCCCGACAGCGCCGATATCGACGGTGAGACACCCAGCGTCGGCGCGAGAGATCTCGGTTCCTGAAGAACAGTCATCTGAACTGTAGAACTGGACCGTGGTCAAGTCATCGACAGCCCCAGTTGATTGGATCACAGCCCCTTCCGCAATACCGCTTCCAACAATTAGCATTTTGTGATATGAGCCTGAGTCGTGGATCTCTGGTTATCTTACGCGTATTCCTGTCTGCAACCTTGCCCTTCTCCACCCACCCATGTTCCCACGTATTCGCCTGCGCAATTGGTATCATCGTAGAAGGTTACCAAGAAAGCTGTAGAAAACATGACCAGGTGACAGAAAACAGTAATGGATGTAAGTGCGATCGCCATATTCTTCACACTGGTTCCTAGTAACAACAAAAGCGGCTGATGAAATATTTTGTATAAAGAGTAGCTCAGATAAGTCTGGATGCACCGGTCTTGACTCTGTACATATCCCCCATTGCAATGTGGAAAGACACGGTCTTATATGGTGGTCTTGCGCCGCCTGATGTCAATTGATGCCGCATGAAAGACTCCTTCGAGGCCCTTTTGACAGGCTACTTGGTCGGTCGAGACATGACTGTGCCACAAAAAGACGCCCATATAGCTCTATAGCGGTTAGGAGGTAGTCCCAGTCGGTTTGATAGACGGCTTTCAGCGGTTGCAAGCAGCATAACCACAGCTCAGCCTCCTGTGGCCATCTATACACCACCTGCAGCGAATCCTTCTCGCCAGCTCGTTGATATCAGGTATTTTGGGTATGGTTTCTGGCCCCATTGAGTTGCCATGGTACGTGCACTGTTCACAAATGAATTGTAAATGTAATTTTTGGATGTACCTACCTACATACATAGCACTGTCAATTGCGAAAGTCATAAGTGTTGACGAAGAGCCTCGTCTGTCACGAGATAGTCAGTCCATGAGCCGAAACGTTTGGCTCAGACATCAGGCTCTCCTATGTCGATGTGTTCGAAACCAATGCAAAAGTGTTCATCCAGCAGCAAGAGGCCGTCACAAGGCACAGTCAGTGAATGCCTCCGTAGGGATGTCCGATTTCGCCTCGGCGCCTGCTGCAGCATCGGCAATGCCTTGCATAGCCGCCAAAGCAACCAAGAGGTGGCCAGGCTGACTTGTGGGTAGGCGCCAACTAACCAAAGGGACCTGTGTAGAGACCCCCTCAGTGTGATAGCAGAGGTACACCTATTTGAGGCGGCAGAGAAGTACTGCATGGTTGCCAAGCCCCTTGAACCTCTGCGAATCGACTCCCAGTCTGCTCATATCTCTGGATTTACTTCTTCATTTCATTTCACGTCGATCATCTATCAGCTGCTCTCACCTTCCGTATAGAGTCCTTTCTTGTGGCATGAGCTTGGCCTTGACAAAGCAACAATGCAGCAGGAAGCCAGCAACAGTACAAGTGAGGCTAACAAATCGTCAAACTCACTGTTATGGATCACCGTGATCTACCCCCTCTGCATCACCCTTCTCACCATCACTTGTTACTCAAAAATGAACCGTGTCATCCAAAGTATTCCGGTTGCTGAGGACGCTTCTTCAAGTACACAAAATCAACGGCCAGCTGATCGGAAAGTCGAATCTTCTGTTGACGACGATGAGGAGGTGCAGTCAATCAACCCACTACCAGAGGGTGTGGCAGAATCCTTGTCGGCATCAGAAGGCCTAGAAGTTGCGAGCAGAAGGGCCATCAGCGAGCCAATCTCATCAAGTAAGGAAGGACCGCTGCGATCCTCCATAGCGACGGCAGAGAAAAGCCCTTCTGATACCCGACAATCACAAATTATACAAGCGAGCATACTACACACACTGGTGATGTTGATGGCGCATAGACTGGGATTCATCATACCCGAATATATGCAAGAGACACGGAATCCTCGAGAGAAAATCCTCGCATTGGTTGCAATGGCTGTGGCCACCGTTCTGGCTTTGTATTCGGGCGGAACACTCGAGCTTGGACGGGCACTCTCAAGGCAAGGATATCGCGAGAGTAGTGGAAAGCGACCCAAAATGGATCAATCGGATCCACTAGCTATGTCCATCGTCTTCTCCTGGTACTCTTTGTTCATTCCATGGGTTAGGCTGCTGATGGCATGGTGAGCGGAGACGAGGGGGGTTTTGTTTCATGGTACAGTTGTCGCTTGCTTTTGGAGACAAAGGGTGAATGGCGTGTAGAGAGAGAATTAGCAATTTTAAGCAGAGACGGGTACACCCCCATTATACCTGGGCTGACTTCTTTCACTCCTGGCAGATCATGACCTTGATGGTCTGGCCTGCCATTTCACGGAGGGAGTGTTGGACAATGAATCCTCAGAACAGGGCGGCAACAATATGCCTCCCAATAATCCTAGGCGAGCTAGTGATACACGCCCGTTTCCCCTGCGCTTGGCCGGGAACAAACTGCGCTTTCGCTTGAACCTCAGCGTCCTCTCTCCTATTCAACTGCTCGTGTCTTTCCAACTCACTTCACCAGTCCTTCCATCCTCTTCTTTGTACTCCTTAGGCCTGGGTCTTGACTATATTTCTACCTGTCACTGCCACGTGCGGCCTTCGCTTTCACGAAGCTTCCGTCACGAGAATTCTTCCTACCAAGCCGCGCCCAATACCTTGCCCGTCGACTTCTTGCCGGCCCTCTCCGTGTCTAACTTCGCAGTGCGATCGGACTCGGTGCAACACAGAGAAGCAGCCGCCGGATTCATTTCCTTTTCCCTATTACTTGCTAGGATTCGCATTGGAACAACTGTATCACAAGCTTCGGGAAGACAGCTGGCCTGCTTCATGTATTATGACCTTGAAAAGTGCGAATTGATATTGCAATGAAAAACCACACTGAATTGTACAAAAGTCTAACGTTCTGTACGTATTACTTACTGGGTGGCTCGTGTCTCTGAGGTTCAAGTCGGAGCTGTCTGGGGGCGCGGGATGTTTTGATGTTTGGCAACACAAGAAAGAGTTGAATCTCAGGCCATGCGTCCTCTGTTTGTGAACCCCTCATGTATCTCTGGCTAATCCTGCATGTATCTCACAGAAACTACCTGGTTCTTGTGTCCTGCCTGTTGATTTGGCCATCTTGTGCGTAGATCTGTGGCAGACAAAGAATCCGACTTCATTCTAACCTCCTCTCTCCTCTAAGCATCTCCTCACCATGGCTTCTGCAGACGAAGACAATTTCGATATTGACATCTACGGCGACGGTGAGGTTGAGATGGGTAATGATGGAAACGTGGACTACAAGGACGATGATATCCAGCTTCATACCGAGGCTGAGGACATGCCAGTTGCAGACGAGACACATGTGGACCCCGAACCAGAGGAACAACAGCCTATTTCGAGTTCAGCTACTTCTCTGGCGAAGGAGAAATCCGCAGACGCCCAATCCAACAACCCCGATGTCATGCCTCATAGACCCATCCCACAACAAGGTATCAAGCGAAAAGAGACCTCGGACGACAGACCCATCGATCACGGCGCTACAACCGCTCTGATGATTTCAGACTTGCACTGGTGGACAACCGAGGATGATATTCGTGGCTGGGCTAACGAGGCAGGGGCTGAAGACGAGCTGAAGGACTTGACCTTCAGTGAACACAAGGTCAACGGCAAGAGCAAAGGGTTAGTCGCCAAACAAGCTGTGGTTTGGGTCAGCGCTAATACGAACTTGACAGCCAAGTATATCTCGAGTTTTCTTCTCCCCAAGCAGCAACGGCGGCAAAGCACAAGATCGACTCCCTAGCTAGCAGCCAGCCTGGCTCACGCAAGCACTCGGTCGTCTACACCAGTGCCACCCAGAACCCTTTCAAAACCCTCCCAAAAGATGCCCCTGCTGCTCGGACCAGGGAAGACAGACCCGTTCGTGGCGGGTCATTCAACTCTGGACCCCGGTCTGACAACAATTACGGTATGAACAACCAAGGCTTTCGAGGTGGCCGGGGTGGTGGCTTCAACCGCGGAGGTTATGCTTCGCACAACCAATACAACCGCAATTTCTCAGGTCCGATGGGTGGCTACAACAACAACCAGAACATGGGCTTTCAAGGCAACATGGGGATGGGAGGTAACTTCGGCGGCTTCAACAACCGTGGAGGTATGATGGGCCACCCAATGCGAGGCGCCATGGGTGGCATGCGCGGGGGCCGTGGGGGCATGAACAACATGTTGCCCATGGGTGGTGGGATGGGCATGGGCAATATGGGCATGAATCCCATGATGGCTGGCATGGGAATGGGAGGTATGCTCGGATGCTGACATTTCTGTCCTGACGGATGTTAACATTGTATCTCAGGATTTCAAGGAAACCAATTCAATCCGGCCATGTTCAACGCTGGTCCAGGTGCGAATTTTGGTGGCGGCGACTGGAACCAACATGGAGCAAAACGTCAGCGACAGGAATAGCTCCACAACAACGAGCATATCCTTGCCTCAACCGTCGGTAACTTCCAACCCCGTTTCTACAACCAACATCGCTCAGATTGGCTGCGCAAAATATGCCATGCCTCTGCGCCGTTGCCACCAATTGGCAAAGACCTAGAACGAGACCGATCTTAGCAGGACAACGCCCACGCTGCACGTCGCAAAGATCCTCAAGAATCCTCCGAGGAGACGGAGAGCATGAGGTAATTCTGCACCCCACAACACGAGCATGAGGTGATGATCAACACTATTGCAGGGGCACATGTGCCAGGATGTGGTATTTCTACACTTGTCATTCCAGCGTTTCGCGGAGATGTTCAGCTTGGGCGGGCATATACTTTGCATGATAGAAAAAGGACTTAGAACCTTTATCAGGATGATCTTGAGGGACCGCCTAGGTCATCTTCTCCAACGCGCCCTGGTTAGTCGGGGACGTAGCTTCCAAGCCCGTGTTCCTGGGAGGTCTGGCAGTTGGACGCCCGGAACGCATTTCCATTCACATCTGTGGCGGTTTTTGGGCGACAGACCACGAGAGGAACTCTTCTCACTCTATTGAATTTCCCATCAGGTTTCGTTTTCATTGATTTACCTCGCGGCTCAATTGCAGCACTATGCAACTTGGACTGGTGTGCTGCTGTCTTCCTCACTGTGCCAGCCCAAAGACCAAGGAATTTTCCCCCGCCCATTCAGCAAAATCTATTACCTGCGCCACTCGCCGCGCCGCCTGCTCGAGCCACATTCACGTCGTCGCGCATCGCTGCTAAGGTAATAATTCATCTCGCTTCCAATGCCGGAGCAAAAACATCAGCGTCGTGGCGAAACCCCCCGTGCTACTGCTTCCGGGCAGGGTCAAGCCTCCTCGAGACCTCAATCCGTTTCTCAGACCCCAGCCCAGGCCCCGGTGCTCTCAATCGAAACACCTACAGCAGACCTTTCCAATCGCCTGACGCCCGCCTCACAGACCCCTCACTCTCCCGCGCCAAACCTCCTGTTCCGTGTTCCGCAATCTCCTCTCACTTCGGCTGGTGAATCGTCCCAGAGAGCTGGCAAGGTCGCCATCCCGAGACTGAAGAGGTCGATTGATCCGTCCGAAGACCCCACGCGATCAGGGGGAAGGCACCGAGTTAATCACGCATGCGAGCCATGTCGCCACCGAAAGACCAAATGCAGTGGGGAGCGACCGGCGTGCAGACACTGTCAGGACTTCAAAATTACATGCTTTTATGCCGATGGCAAAAGAGATAGGGCCAAAAAGTCAGTTGATATGATCGTTCCCGTGTGATTCTTATGTTTTGGTGCTGATTCTCACCCAGGCAATTTGGTACCTTGAGGGAGAAGGTGGCGGATTATGAGAAACTATTGAGAGAACTGATATCCAGGGTTGATGAAGACGATGCAGGATTGATTCGGGCATCGCTCGAGAAGGTGGGCCTCTCATCAAGCAAAGACTATCCGTGTTGCTATGCTCACTCGCGACAGGAGTCGACTTACGAAGCCGAAGAAACCCCTACCGAAGGCACCACTGAAGCTGCCCGAATTGGTGATGCTGAGACAGAAGAGGAGGACTCCGGGGCTGAATCTGAAGCTTCGGCGGGCGCTGGATCCACGGGCGCACTCGATCGAACTGACGAGGATTTTACGCGCGAGCAGGCCAGGATGACAGGCTTTATGGGAAAGAACTCCGAGGTCACCTGGCTGCAGCGCTTGCGTGAACAGAACAAGTATGGAGACGTGCAGCAAGATCGGCAAGGTAATGAGACGCAACAGGCACTCGCTGCCATGTCCAGTGCCTCGCTGACTTCAAAACGTCCAGTCGGCGACACGCAAATACCTCTTTCGGAAGCCGAGGCTGGTTTCACGGTCAAAGAATCCAGTTACCACATGGACGATGAGTCGATATTCATGTATGAGGCCGTAGATGCCTACGAGATGCCGACGCCCGACGTTGCGGACCATCTATTCAATGCATATATGCAACGGGTTCACTCGTCCTTTCCCGTGGTCGGCAGGCTGAATCTTACAACTCAGTTTCGAAGATTCATCAGCGGCACTGTGCAAAGACCCCCGGAAAAATGGCTCGCCATCCTCAACTTGATCTTTGCCATCGGCGCCAAATATTCACATTTGATCAAAGCCGAGTGGAAAGGCGATGAGAGGGATCACCTGATCTATTTCACCCGAGCTCGACTGTTGAGCATGAATTCTGAAACAATCTTTCATCATCCGGATTTGCAGCAGATCCAGGTACTGGGCTTGATGTCTTTCTACCTGCTGTGTGTGAGCCAAATCAATCGGTAAGCGTCGCCAATCACAGTTTCGGCACGGGCATGAACTAACCTGAGAACAGAGCATGGATACTGAACGGACTTGCTATTCGAGGGGCTGGAGCCTTGGGTCTAAATATGCGCAATGACAGCGATGGCCTAAAAGATTCCCTCAAAGAAATCCGATACCGACTTTGGTGGGCTCTCTACACCTTGGAACATCGCTTGTGCAACATGACGGGTCGAGTCAACTGTATCATGGATGACCATTGCACGACACCCCTGCCGATTCCCCTGGAGGAGGAACAATTCGAGACCGAAGAAGGTCAAAGACTGCTCAGCAAGGAAATTCAACAAGGGGATCGAGCCCCGTCCTCAAATTCTCAAACCCCAAGTATCGGATCAACCCCTTCAACCGACCGCTCTCGTTCGCAGACCAAACTCGACTCGCGTTCACCTTCGATGCCTGGAGGGATCAGATCTGGTGACTTGGAATGGGCAAAGGATGTTCAACCGAACTCTTCGCTCTACTTCCTCCACGCGGTACAATTGGCCCGCCTGACGCAGAACATCTTCCACAGTCTCTACAATCCCGCCTCGATCAAAGGAACGTGGTCAGAAGTTCAGGCCAAGGTCAAGGACCTCGACGAACGCCTCGAACATTGGTATCGCAAACTGCCCCAGGCTTTTGCTTTTCGACGGAACCAGCGCGAGCGCGGGTCTTACGAGTTCCGCTTGAACCTGGGCTTCTTTTACTACAGCACGAAGATGACCATCCATCGGCCGTGCCTCTGTCGACTCGACCGCAAAATTCCCGGGCAATCGTCCAAATCACTCGAATTCAACCGCAATTCTGCCGCGTCCTGCGTGGAGGGTGCCATGGATATGCTGCAACTCATTCCTGACAAGCCCAATGCCGTTGGCCTGATCCGGGTCGGTCCCTGGTGGAATATCGTTCACTGGCTGGTCCAAGCTACGACAGTATTGATGCTTGAAATATCCTTCCGAGTCAATCACATGCCAGAAGAAGCAGAGGCTATTCTGGAAGCATGCAAGAAAGGCATCCGCTGGTTGCATGCATTAGCAGAAGACAATGTGTCCGCCAGGCGTGCCTGGGCACTGTGCTTCACACTGTTTAAGGACTCCGTGAAGAAGATCGGACGCGATGTCGACGACTTGCCGTGGGAAGCTCCGGGAAAGCCTTCTCCTCCACGACAAGATATTTCCATGGCAAATTACTCCACCGTCAGCAACCCTCTGTCCTATGTGTCGGCTCCCAGCGCGCCTTCCATCTATGGCACAATGCCTGATATGCCGACTGCGCGAGCCTTTGCGGCGTTTGACCCAATGATGCGATACGACCAATATTTCCCCCCAGATATGCTAATGGACGATCCGTCCATGCAATTCCAGCAGCCAACAGACGCGGAGATCGAGTTTATGAGTAATGTCTACCACGAGGACCCGGGTCACCAGCAACCAGGTGGAGAGTCCAGTCGAGGACCCAGGATGAATTGAGATACCCAGCCGAGACAGGTTCTAGAATGTGGGTTTCAGTGCGCGCCGCGTTTTAATCGGCCGAGGAAGGACAAAAGGGGGCTGCACATCCACATACCAACCGCCGCGACTGAGCTGGCATTCCACCATACGCGGTCTGGACATAATCTCATTGAAATGCCCTGCCATCCGAACAGCTTTTTTCCCTGCCAACTTTCTGTAGCAGGATAAAAAGTCCACATCGAGTGTGCTCATCTTCGCTGGCGAAGGTTTTCATTGAGACCATAACTTAGCTTCACACTCTAGAATACATGGCGATTCTACTGCTCCTCATCGCCCTGGCAGCGCCCATTACTTCGATCAGACAGCATGAGGGCCGGGCCCATTTCCACCCTAAAGAACGTCGACAGCAGCCCGTCTCGCCCTTCCAGGGTTTGGGAGTGCTGGCAACCTCGGCTCCTGTCGCTGCAGCCTCCACCACCGCGTCAACGACGCCCACAATATCCTCCTATGTCTTTCCCACGACGGTGATTCAAGTATCCGTTGCGACAGTGTGTCCCGACACACCGGCTTCATCGGCAATATTCCCCATCCTTCCCGTCTCTTCGTTGGCATCCGTGGTGGGAGCCAACACGACGCAAGGCTGGATCACTAACAGCTCAACTTACATGCCCATTCGAGTCAATGTCACCGCCCTGCTTCCAAATGGGAATACAACCGTCTTCTTGTCTACCAGCACGACGCAGGTGCTCCCGACGACCACCACAGTCACGACACCTCCCCTCGGACCAGAAACAGCTCGCATAGTTTTGGACAAGAATGGATGTCAGACGGTATACAGTGCAAAGACGACAGCGTGGTGCAGTACGACTGTGCAGGCAGCTGGATTGCTACCCGTTCCCGTGACTGACTGCGATCAACTTGTTACGTTCTCCAGCCAGAGACTTGGTGGATGCTCTACCACCACCCCCGGATCAAGTCCCTTCGGTTCGTCCCTCTCTCCAGTGGAGACAAATGAGCCTATGGCATTCTATGTCGCCCATTGGTACGACCTCATACGAGGTCCCATTCCCTCCGTCGTCCAAGTCCAAGATTGTCTCCCTCTCTCCACCGGGTGGAACTGCATCACGTCAAGTGAAAGCTGGGACGTGGTGACTGCCACGAGCACCAGTACGGGAACTAGTGTCGCATCATTCGCAGGGGTAGGTTGAAGCCAGTCCGCTAGAGGAATACTTCTCTGACACCGTTATTTTTAGCCCGCCGTGATCGCCTCCGGAACGTGGACGGTCACCACCACGTTATCCTTCGAATCGACTCTTACGACGACCACAGTGATTACTTCATCCGCGATCAGTCGACATCAGCTCGGGGGTAACAGTGCTGCCACAACATCAGAGCGAACAGTGACTGTACTGGTGACCATGCCAACCACGAGAACCTTGTTGTTGGACTCATTGGCCCGAACGACGATCACCATTCAACAGACGACAACGATCGAGATCACAGAAACAAGGACTCGTACTTTAGGTAGTGGTGGTTTACCGAGTGCTACAGGACTATCCAGTTAGCTTGCAGTGCCAAAAAGTCAACAAGCAAGTATTTCTCGAGATCTTTTTGTTGTTTATTCCTTCTAATGCCTTTTGCTATTACATACTTTCCAACGTGTGCCCCGTTCCCTTGTTAAGCCCACTCCACACACGCATAAGACAATTTTGAAAGCGATGACCGGGGCAGGGACATGCTTCAAGTGAGTTGCTTGATAATCACGTTGTGTGCGATCCTGCAGCAATTGTCCTACTTCCCGACCGTGGCATACGCCTTGCCCCCCGCCGCGACGTCAATTTCAATACACTCCTGCAGTCCACACAAGTTAAACGCCTCCTTGACACCACTGGCCGAGTTTCTCGGTGTGGTCTTGCCTGTGGCCTGGAGGACCTTGAGCTCGTTGCGCACGCTCTCGAGGATGGGACCGATGCAGAGGCCCGGGTAGATGAGGATGCGGAAGCCCATCTTGGTCGCCTCCTCGATGGGAACTTCGGGTGTGGCGCCGCCCGGCACCACGTTCAAGAGCACGGGTGTGTCGCCCATGATCCGGCACACCTTTTCCATCTCTTCCTTGGTCTGGAGTGCCTCGAGGAACACGGCGTCGACGCCGATCTTGACCGCCTCTTGCAGTCGTTCGATGGCTTCGTCGAAGCCGTAGCTCTGTCGCGAGTCCGTGCGCGCAATCAGCACGATGTCAGATTGTAATTGATCGCGAGCGGCGACCGCTGCTCGCAGTCGGCTGAAGTACACCTCCCGGTCCACGATCTGCTTGCCGAGGAGATGGCCACATCTCTTCTCTTGCACCTATGTGTCTCATCTGTCAGTCGATTCCAACACCGGTACCATGGTTGGTTGGTTGGTTGGTTTGATGGATGGACAAACCTGATCTTCGATGTGCAGCGCCGCCACACCGGCACGAGCATACTGGGTAACGGTTCTCGTGACCATGATCGGTCCGCCGTAGCCAGTGTCGGCATCAGCAATCAGGGGCACTGACGGGTTGAGCGACGCAATCATCTCGGCATTGCTCCTCATGTCATTCAGCGTGGCGATGCCCAAATCCGCCCACCCCAGTCTGGACATTGATGTCCCTGCCCCAGTCTGCGAAGACAAGAGGACTTGTTGTTAGCACACATTGTTTTTCCTTCCTCTGGTGGACGTGTGTGTGTGTGTGCCACAACCTACCATGTACAGGGCATCATACCCAGCAGCCAAAGCCAAGCGTGCCGTGAAACCGTCGAAGACTCCCGGACACACGACGACCTTGGAGGGATCCTTCAACATTTCTCTCAGCCGCGACGCGCCAGTCAACGGCGAGCATGCCTTTCCGGGCTTTGTGTTCGCGGTGTCGTGGCCGACGGAACCCATTGTGAGGCGTCGATTGTTGTCGGGGAAGGTTGAAAGTTGGTGCAATAACGATTTTGCTCTTTCGTATGTCCTTGATTGAACCTACGTATATGTATACATATATGGATATATAAGCCTCGTCAGATATAACATCGTCGACACGAATCGTCAAGGGTCACTATATGTAAAGGAAGTATATTCTTGTATCCGAGGCACTCCAAGACGTGGGGAACAAAGGAAGTGGGAAAGCTTGACTGGAACGGTGCCGATGTCGATCAATCCAGAGCGGCCCAGTCCGATGTTCGCAGCGAATTCCGGACTTCGAACGTCCAATATCGGCCCTGACTAACCCCGGTCTTGCTTGCACGCCATTTTCATTCGCAGGAGCGGGTTGGATGAAGGCCTGTGATGGGAGTTCCTCTCGCAAGCTGCTAGCTGACTAGATCTTCATCCGGCATACCGAGTACAGCGTGGGATTTGCTGAGGGAGGGGGAGCTTTACTCTTCTCCTCTAGAGATGTTCCCCGCCAGGCCCCCGAGGTCCAGAATCCAATATACATATGTCCCTCTCCCAAGCTCGACAAACAGCGACCGCTCGGTTCAGACCAGATCAAGTTAACTAACTAGACAATGGAGACGACCACAGTGACGCTACAAAGTGTCCCAGACACCCGGGACGATGCCTTCGAGAGCAGGCTACGGGACCTCCTATCCCGCACCAGGAAAGTCGATGTGGCTGCTCTCGACCTCAGCCCGCAGAAGTCTTCCAACAGCAGCAGCAGCATCCCCGCCGTTCTGCTATGCTACGCCGAGGCCTTGAGAGATGCACATCTTACACCTGAAGCCGAAGCGCTGGACCAGGTTCGCGAGAAGGCGCTCGACAAGAAAGCCTTTGGCGGCCTCGGTCTGCAGGAGGACGAGGACAACAACGACAGCACCGCCACCTCTGCCCAGCAGTCAGAAGCCCTCTTCCTGGTCGAGGCGTGGCTCGAGGCCGTCAACTCGCGGGAACGGGCCCAGAACTTCTTGTCGTACAGGACCTCACCCGCCGAAGGGACAAGGCCCATGACTCTGGCCCAGAAGATCTTCGCGCAGCATGTGATTGGCGAGAAACCAGAGAACGGGCTGGCGGCCGGCGACGTCGTCCGGGTGGGCATCGACTGGATCCTGGCGTCGGAGTTGTCCTGGTCGGTATGATCAATCGAGACATGCAGTCCTTCTTTTTGGTCCCTGCTTCATTTCCCTGAAACGATGGTGATGATGAAATGCTAACTGACAGTTTGGTGGAGCAGGGAATGGCCCGGACGTGGAGACGCCTGGGTTCTCCGGGCATCTGGCGCAACGACCGGTTCTGGCTGGCCGGCGACCACGTTGTCCATCCTGCGGTGGCGCAGGTGCCCAAGATCAAGGCGCTGGTGGAGGTCGCAGAGAAGGCCAAGCACGAGTTCAAGATGACCGAGTACCAGGGCATGAACTACACCATCATGCACACCGAGTTCGTGCGCGAGCGCGTCGAGCCCGGCATGCTCGCCATCGGGTCCGACTCGCACTCCTGCTCCGGCGGCGCCGTGGGCTGCCTGTCGATCGGACTGGGCACGGCGGACGTGATGATGACGCTGGCCCTGGGCGAGACATGGTTCAAGATCCCCGAGTCGATCCTCATCGAGTTCGTCGGCCGGCCGGCCTTTGGCATGTCCGGGAAGGACGTCATCCTGTACATCCTGGGCGAGCTCAAGCGCAACACGGTCGCCGCCGAGCGCATCGTCGAGTTCGTCGGCGGCGGCCTGAAGTACCTGTCCGTCGACGCCCGCTTCGCCATCGCCAACATGTGCACCGAGTTCGGCGCCATCACGGGCATCTTCGTGCCGGACCGCATCACCAGCGAGTACATCGCTCGGCGGCGGCGGAAGGCCAACCGCGTCAATTCGCTGTACTTCCGCCCGGACGCCGACGCCGAGTATGCGGGAAGGTACACCATCGACCTGTCCAAGGTCGAGTCGTCGGTGGCCGTGTACCCGAACCCGGACGACGTGGTGCCCGTGTCGCAGATGGCCGGACGGCCGCTCGACGGCGTCTTCATCGGCGCCTGCACCACCACCGAGGAGGAGCTGGTGCTGGCCGCGCTCGTGCTGAAGGCCGGCCTGGACCGGAAGCTGCCCCTGGCCAAGGGGAAGCGACACTACGTGCCGGGCTCGCTGCCCATCGTGGAGAAGCTGAAGGACCTGAAGCTCCTCGAGATCTACGAGGCTGCGGGCTTCACGCGTGGGCCGCCCGGGTGTTCGTACTGCGTGGGCCTCTCCGCCGAGCACGCCGACGAGGGGGAGACCTGGTTGAGTTCGCAGAATCGCAATTTCCAGAACCGCATGGGCAAGGGTGAGTCGACGACCTTGTCCTTTCGTACCTGTTTTTTTTCTGAGCCCCTGGAAAGGGAGGAGTCCTTCCTTAGTTTGTGCATCCTTGCTCACCTCCTGAATAGGCGCATTCGGCCACATTACCTCCGCCATGGTCTGCGCGGCCTCGAGCTTCAGCATGTCCATCACAAGCCCGGCGGACTTCCTCAGGGACCTGGACATGGACTTCTTCCAACGCTACCGTCCTCTCCCTGAGGCGGATATGGTGTCCGTGGAGTATGTTGAGCCCGAGCTCAGCGGCTCTAGAGACGCGCAGACGAAGAACAAGAGCAGCAGCAGCCCCCTTACCACCACGGAGTGTCCCCCACAAGACACAGATGCCGAGCCGCAGAGGAAGTTGGACAAGATCACCAGCAAGATCGTCACGCTGGGCGACTTTATCGACACAGACGCGGTAAGCTTTCAGCCCAGAAACAGTCCACGCGGCTCCAAGAACGAAACCGTGAAACCCAGGCAAAAGGCAAGGCTGACACTCCTTAATCCGACCATACAGCTCGCGCCAGGATACACACTGACCTCGTGCGTGACCGACGAGGAGTTCGGCCAGCACGTCCTCGAGCACACGCACCCGGACTTCCGAGCCAAAGTGCGCGACGGCCAGCAGGTCGTGGTCGCCGGGCACGCGTTCGGCGTCGGATCGAGTCGCGAGATGGCCGTGGGTGCTTTGAAAGGTACGTTCCTTTCGCCTTCTCCGGTCTCTCTCCCTCATTTAACCTAAGCACCTGGGCAGGCGCCGGCGTCCAGGCGGTGATCGCGCGCTCGTTCGCCTTCATCTACGGCCGCAACCAGCCTAGCCTGGGCTTGCTGGGGGTCACGATGACGGATGAGGCGTTCTACGCCGTGGCGCAGGAAGGCGAGGAGATCACGCTGGACATCCCCACACGGACCATCACAGTCGCCGGCCAGACGTTCCCCTTCATTTTGTCCGAGATGGAGTACAATCTGACCATCAACAACGGCGTGGCCGAGAGCTATCGCAAGTTTGGAAAGGCCATCTGGGAGCGGTTCACGGGCCGAGGCAAAATGGAGGGGGATGGGGAGGTTGAAATGCCCAAGTCCATGCTCAGTGGGGAGGAAGGCAAGACGGAGAATAAGAAATTGGACTGGTAACATATCCAACGCTGTTATACTGCCTGTCTCATTGAGATATACTCGGTATAGTCTTCCTATTTCAGCCCTTGGTGTGATCCCCCTCGTCGGATAGCGTGGCTCTATCCGCAACTGTAATCCGTTCAGGTCCTTGGCCTTCGGGGAAAGGTGCGAACTTGTCAATGAGATAGTACATGTCGTCGAATGCCCTATATAACCAAAAAGGGTCAGTCAATGCATTTGCCAAGGAGTGTGCTGACAAGCAACAACGGGAAGCGAACTCACGTCTGACGGACCGCCTTCCCTTGGCTCCTGTGATTCACCGAGTATAATATATTATAGTAAATGCAGTAGAGTCGATTTCGATCCGCCCATTCTTCTGTCGGCTCGCTGGGCCCGTTACAGCGGAGATACGTCTGCGTATAGACCTTGTTGTGAATCTTGTTGTAGCAGCACCTCCAGTTTCCAATCTCAAACTCGTGATGGGCATACATGGCCGCTGCGTCAAAAAGGTAGATATCTCCCGTGTAATACGAAGTTCCAGTGTTGCCTTCCCAAAGATCGCCGTGGATGAGGGACGGCTTCACCACACGGCCATCTTTGGTCAGGTTGTCCAGAAGGTAGGGAACCACTCGCTCAAGAAGCCGATCCTCGAGGGCGCTGAGGGCGTCCCAGCCGCCATTTTCTGCATTGTCGAGTGCAATAACATGGCGGAGCAGGTTCGTAAAGTAGGTCGTCCAGTTACTCTCCCAGGCCACGGCCTGAGGGATCCGACCTTGACATGTCGTGATGTGGAAGCCGAACATTCCTGTCGGAGAGACGCTGGTTTTATGCAGCCTCGCCAACTTGGAACAGAGCTGCTGAGGCTCCGGTGCACGATCAGACATGTCGATGAATTCGGCCAGGAAGTAATATGTGTCGATAGCGGAGCCTGAACACTTCCCCCAGGTGTATGGTTTCGGGAACAGTTCTGGCATAGTCTTGTATAGCTCTGACATGGAGTTGTATTCGCCTTCGATCATCACCCGGCCAGCTTCTCCGGCGGCACATTTCAGAAAGTACGACGCAGGGGTGCCATCCGGCCGTTTCACGTCCAGACGTGCGGTCGTCGTCCACTTCGACTGACCACACTTATTAGCAGATAAGACGGTGGTCTGGACAGGAAAGCAGTTGATGATGTTGTCATCGACAGGAAAGTTGCCCTCTATCGTCGTTGGTTTCGGTCCCTCATAAATGAGCCGCTGGGATACAACCGCAGTCATGTTGAACAGGGTCTTGGACAGACTCCAAGAGGATCAAGATATAGATAGCAGATGTTGGAAAAGTAGATTCGACAGAGCTCTCGGCCAGGCTTGGGAGGAAGACATTGGGAAGAGTTACATCTCCGAGCCCTTTATCGTTGACAAGCCCGTGCAAGAGTGGGTGTTGCATCGCGCACCTGGTGGGGAAGATGTGGTGGCGGCGTCTCGCCCGCTAGTTCTTGGGGTCGGAATCTTTAGCAAAGACGGGCCAACCGAGCCCCTTGGGGCCCCTTGTCGCGGGATTGGAGCCAGACACCATCAAGGAGGGGGCGTGGATGGGGACCACTTGCCGCCGGGCCTTGAAGCACAAGGCCGTTTCCGGAAGTCTAATCAGCAGAGATGATTCGGCATTTCGTACATGTCCTTCTCCCATCTTAACCGCTCACGAATCTCTGAGACAGGTCTAATGCAAGCCAGCCGCCGACATGGACGCGGCTATCGAGATGCAACGACATTGCTCTGGTTTCGACACGCTCTGGACGACGGGTCAGGCTCATAGGAGCTAGGGTTCGTAAGTCAACCTTTTCAGGCGTTGACTAGACCATGCAGGGATTGAGACGGCCAGACACGACGAAGGTGTCATGTGCACTTTCTTTTGCCTGGAGAATGAGCGGACAGATGGTCGCGACTGCTATCAACGGCACCAACGGTGGGGACAGCAGGGGCATCTGTACCTTGTACGCCTCCTGCTGCTGGCTCACGTTCCTCCAGCCAGGTTTCACCTAAAGTGAGGCTTCAAGTCAATGGACATGGTTGAAGAAAGTGGCGCCAGGGGCATAGCCTGCCCTGGATGCCCTAGGGACTCCTTTTCCAACCTATCCCAGGATTTGACTGGAGTTATGAACTGGTCGTGATCGAAAGACTCGAATAAAGAAGACAGAATCAAAACACTGCAACCTTCCAGGTCACCATCTTCCGCGGCTAACCATTGCCTTCCAACTCGATCTCCCAGGCCTCTGCTCTTTCCCAATCTGCGTTGATACGTGGTCAAGATCTGTACTCGATTAAGACAAAGCCTGGATTGAACCTTGCCGGCTGGTTGCTAGGGGTATTGTGCTGGCCGCTCTCCAATCCCAAGGTCTGATCTTCGCGTGGAAGCGTGTGTCGTCAACAGTGTCTTTCCGATCCATAACTTTACTAGACACTCTCACGCACCCGAATATCTTCGCTCGAAGATGCCTCCTTCTTAGGGCACGCTGACCCCGTAATGTCACGCTGACCAACCTGGCGGACTGAATGCGATCACCAAGAAACAGATTGGTGTTCTGGCTGAAAGGCAAAACACCGCTGTAGGGATATACTAGGTTACTGGCCAGTCGCGCGAATGGTATGTCATCCTTACTGTACGAGGTACTGGGAAATTTTTGGGACTCACCTGGACTGCAGCTGGCGAAACTACGATCCAGCTTGTCCTCTCGGGACAAAAAGCGATCCGAGGACACGGGTCGCCGTCCGAGCAACAATGAGAAGCTATCTGCGAATTCTCGCTTAGAATGGCTTCGAAGAAAAAGCTCTGGCTCCATTTCTACCCTCTCTTCCCTTCGCGCCTCCAACACGAGTTTGAGCACAGATGAAGGTGTCGATGCCTTCACAAGCTTCGAGCCCGACGCCCTCGGGCTCCATGTCATCCATGAGCCAGATACGAAACCAATCGCCGATATTATCTTTGTACATGGCCTTGGAGGCCACAGTTACAAAACCTGGTCTAAGGATCACAACCCCGCGTTCTTCTGGCCAGGATTGTGGCTTCCGAAAGACTCCAAGATTGGCAAAGCGAGGCTGTTGACGTATGGGTACGACTCTCAATTGGGAGGTCCGAAAACTGTGTCCAACATCATGGGGTTCGCGAGGTCACTTTTATTCGACCTGCGGCACAGCAGGGGCGATCGAGAATACAGCCTTGGAATAGGCCGCGCCCCCATCATCTTTGTCGCTCATTCCATGGGTGGTCTCGTCGTCAAAAAGGCTTATCTTCTGGCCCAGAGCGATAAAAACTGTCGAGATTTGGCTCAATCGATCTCCGCCATTGTGTTCCTTTCGACACCTCATCGTGGAGCGTCTCTCGCCCATTTTCTCAATCTGCTGCTGAAGGTGTTATTTCAACACGAGAAGTCTTACATCAAGGACCTCGAATGCAACTCTCCCGCCATCGAAGAGATAAACGAGCAATTCCGTCATTTTGCGTCGAAATTGTCGCTGATCTCATTCTACGAGAACTTGCACACTCTTGTCGCAGGCCGTCCCGTGATGATCGTGCCCAGGGACTCTGCCATTCTCGGCACCGAAAATGAAGAGCCGCGTGGTCTTCTTGCTAACCACCACACAGTGTGCAAGTTTGAAGACGAGAGAGACGAGAAGTTCAAGATCGTCCGGGACACATTAAAAAGTCTCGTGGAGATGTTTGGTCAAAAAGTCCCCAGGGCAACTGTCGACTGGTCTCCAAATGTGAATGGGGATATCAAAAAGGTCCTCGCCCTGTCCACCGCCGACGTCGACGATTTCAATACTGCTCGGAAAAGATGGGTTGCAGGCAGTTGCGAATGGGTCTTGGAGGATCCTGGGATGCACTCTTATCTGGCAAACTTTACCGAGTCCCATCTGACATGGTACCATGCACCGCCAGCCCACGGGAAGTCGGTCCTCTCAAGCTACATTATTCACCATCTTCAATCGAACGGCTACGATTGTCAGTATTATTTCTTCAACTATGGGGATCAAAAACGGAAGACCATCAGCCAAATGTTGAAGTGTCTGGCGTACCAGATATCTTGCATAATGCCCGAATACAGGGACGAGATGCTCGCCTCCTCAACCGAAGGCTTTCAATTCGACCACGGGAATCATCGACTGCTCTGGCAGAAATTGTTCGAAAATCTCTTGTTCTCCAAGACACCTGATCGCCCTCTCTTCTGGGTCATCGATGGCCTTGACGAATCAGAGTCTCCGAAGACGGTCGTTGAACTGCTACAAGAAATCCTTCTAAACTCAAGGGCTAGAATGAAGATCTTTGTCACCAGTCGACGGACCGAGACCCTCGCCTTGACATTCAAGAAGCTTGAGCGCGTTCTGAAAGTCAGCATCATTGATGGCGAAGAAGGCCAGAGCCGTAATCTTCAAGACATCGAGCTCCTTGTGGATAGAGAACTTGAAGATCTATCCGGTAGTACCGCTCACAAGGAACGACTCCGGCGCGAGCTGCTACAACGCGCAAGAGGCAACTTTCTGTGGGTAAGCCTGGTCCTCGAAAAACTACAAGATTGTCAGACAGAAAGCGCCACTTGGCTGGCCCTGGAACAAATGCCGGGCGACATGAACAAGATGTACGAGCATATGCAACGCCTGATTACCGAGACGAAAGATGAACAACGGCTGAAGCTGGCGAAGGAGCTACTACAGTGGGTTACTTGCGTACCACGCCCTCTGACATTGGGCGAGTTGCGGGACGCCATAAGCAAAGACTACCCTGATTTCCTTGATCTGAAGAGGACCATCCGCGACGTCTGCGGACAGTTCATTGTTGTCGACAGCACCAACCACGTCACCACCGTGCACCAGACCGTCCGGGACTTTCTCATGAAGTCGAAGACCCTCGAAGGCTCCATTGTCATTGACCGCCAAAGTGCTCACAGCGCGCTCCTCGTGAAGAGCCTTTCCAGTCTCCGTGGTTCGAGCCTGAACGCCAGAAGAGGGATACAACTCGTAGAAGAACTCGAAGCTAAGCATCCTTTCACAATCTACTCAGCAACCTCATGGGCCTATCACCTCAGTTATGCCGACCCTGTTTCCGATGCAGTATTGGACGAGCTGGAAAGATTTTTCAGTGACTCTTGTGTGCTGGATTGGATACACCTGCTCACAATGCTCAACAGTCTCAGGACTTTGGCCAGGGTGGGAAAGGCACTCTTGATCTTTGTTGCATCCAATCGCACCCTCAATAGCTCGCGGAATCCGATGCTCCATCGCCTCTCTACTATTGAGCTCCTGGAGGATTGGGCTATCGACTTGGTGAGAATAACAGCAAAGTTCAGCAAGCATCTGACAACCCAACCCGATTCCGTATACGAGATCATCCCAGCCGTGTGCCCGCCAACTTCCGTGCTCTACCGCCAATTCTACCGGCCCAAGAAGTCCAAGGTGCTGGTATCCGGTCAGAATGATGCGTGGAACGACGTATTCTCTCGACTTGTACTTCCCCAGGACGAGGTTGCCTCGAGGATTGTGTCTGCAGGGCCGTATTTGGCGGTTCTCACTCAAAGTGGCACCGTTTACATATGGGGTTCTGCAGATTTCGAGGAGATATGCACGATCCGTCACGGTGAGCCCGTGACGGCCATTTGTATGAACGATAAGGGCAACTTGCTCGCGACTTACGGCTTGAAGACTACAAAGATCTGGGAGATTCCCGCCGCCACCGTCCGCCAGCAAGTTCCGAACACGGTAAACAGCAAAGCAATGTCACTTGTGTTTGCCACGAATGACAAACGCATCCTGGCTGCGACGGACAACCGGTCAATAAGGTTCCTGAATACAACAGAAAACATGCCATCATGGCAGTTACTGGACGAGGCTTTGCTGAAAGAGAAGACCCAATCGGATTCAGTAATTATCAACAGTCCAAGCCGCATGATAATCAATCCCACCGGGACACAGGTGGGAGTATGCTATAGGTCATTTCCTCTTACGGTTTGGGATTTGGAAACTGCAACGCTTATCGGCCGCTGCTTGAGGCCAACTGCTGGTCTGGGCACAACCTCGACCTCTGCGCAGACCTGGTTTCCCGTGGAACTTTTCGCATGGAATCCTGTTACTGGTCATATCATCGGCTGGTACAAGGGAAATACTCTTTTCAAATGGCACCCAGTAACAGATGAAAATCATGAAGTCTCGGCTTCTGTCGACGAACTGGTTTCAAGTCCCAACGGTAAAATATTCGTCACAAGCGACAGCAATGGAACCGTCAAGGTGTGGAACTTTGCATATTTCACAGTGATCTATCAGCTGTCTTCTGGAGACTTGGTCAGCGGGTTGTCCTTCAGCCCAGATTCTACACGATTTTACGATATTCGAGGATCGACTGTCACTGCGTGGGAACCCGGTGGGTTGACTCGACTTGCAGAATCAGAAGAGACCTTCAGCGACGCCGCGAGTGATGAGCACCGCGGCACACTTGTTTCTCATGTATCCGAGGCGAGCGCTCCACAATATCCCAGTATTACCGCGCTCTCTGCAGCTCCAGATGGTCTGCGGTACGTATATGGTAACGATGATGGCGAGGTTTATCTTGCGGACGTGCAGACTACATTCCAGACGGAGCTGACACGCTTCCACAATTTCCAATGCGTTAGCCACCTCGTCTGGAGTCCAGATGGCCGAATCGTTGTTGCCGCCGACCTTGCAGCTGACGTCCGCATAATGGAGATCAACAACGGGACCTCCAGACATCTCGAGCCAACAGACGTTCGAGCCTTGCAACGTCCAAAGTTGGCCCTGAATGGTGCTGCCATACATCAAATGCTACTGGACTATTCATCACGGCTGCTTCTTGTTATCAGCGACAACCTTGCTCAGATATGGGATATCGTTGATTGCTCTATGAAGACTTCAGCATCCCTGGACGTCGCTACTCGGCAGGGCTGGCTTAATCACCCTACTAATCATGAACTATTCCTGGGAATCGGGCCTGAACATATCAGGATATATCGATGGTCTAGCCTCCAGCAGATGCATCATTTCAAGCTCAGTAATACAATGCCATCTCTGGTGAGACAACCGACTTCTATTGCACTATCGGACGAAACAACCAATAATTTGCCAGCAAATGGTCTATCGAACTCGAGACAGGACCACGTCACGGAGATGTCCAAAGTCATACTCTCACAAGATGCCAAGCATATTCTTGTATATCTCAAAGAATATCTGCCGAAGAGCAAGGTTCAGAAAAAGCTCCTTATTTTACAGACGAGGGCATTAGATGCAGCCATGGATATTGGGAAGGGAGCTTCACTCGAATACATGGAGATTCAACACGATCTGATGAGCAAGATCGAAGTACCTTTGGGGATTTTGCCAGGAGAGCAGCTGGTCTTCTTTGACCGTGGCTATTGGCTTTGCTCGGCGGACCTAGCTCGAGGATCCAAGACGGATATAAAGTATCACTACTTCATCCCAAGGGACTGGACGAGCGTAGGAGGTCTAGCTCAGAGCTTTATCTTGCCCGAAGGGACCTTGCTTTGTATCCAAGAAGGCAAGGTAGTGACGGTCAGAAGCAATTTTGGCGGTATCGATGCTTGAGATTCCTCTGTCGTCGAGACCGGATACAGAATGATTAGCCTGACAAGCCATCTTCCCAAGACACAGCTAATAGATATTCCTGGCTTAGTCGAGAGGACCTGTACACATTGGAAGCTACAATGTCCGTTGCGAGACTCTGGGCCGAGCATCTAGCCTGAACATACGACAGTGATTATTACGTTGCTTGTGAGTATTCTCCATCCTTAACGGTTAGAGAGACTTCCTCCTCTCCTGTATACCCCGCTTGGATATCATGGAAATACCTGAGCAACTCTGGGTATTCAGGTAGATCCTTGCATACAAACCCCGCACCAACATTCCGCCATATCTATTGCTACCTCAACCAAATCTTCCTTCTGCTTCGTATTTTTTTTAGAGTTTGACTGGACTCTGAAGGCCTCGAGTATAATCGTCGCGGACGCTACTGGCCCCCGTAGCGTGCTACCCTCTCTGCTCGACCTCGTCCACGACGGACATGCTACGACGACTCTGTATTGGTGTCCTCTCAACCAGGTCAAAGAATTCATGGAGGTCAAGGAGGCAGAAGATGGCTCGACTCCCGTCACCGAGGCAGCGCCTGTCCCATATACGACCTTTGGACCACAGCAAAAGCGTCTGCTCATTGCGCTGCTTGGCTTTGCTACCACCACTTCACCGCTGACGGCCACGATATATTTCCCTCTGCTGCCGCTTCTGAGAGAGCACTTCCACACCACGTCGCAGGCCATCAACCTCACCCTCACGATCTATATCATCTTCCAAGCGATATCACCGGCCATTTTCGGACCCCTGTCGGACTCTGTGGGCCGGAGACCCGCGTATCTGTTCACGCTGTCCCTTTACATGGCGGCGAACCTGGGCTTGGCCCTGAACCAGAACCACTACGCGCTCTTGCTGGGTCTGAGGGCCATACAGAGCCTTGGTGCAAGCGCCGCCTACGCCATCAGTTTTGGGGTGGTTGCCGATGTCTGCGTGCCAAGCGAAAGGGGAAGGATGCTGGGACCCGTCAGCATGGCGTTAAATCTGGGCGCCTGCATCGGCCCGGTGGTCGGTGGCTGGGTCGCGTATTCCAGCGGCAGCTTTGAATGGATCTTCTGGGCACTGGTGATCGTCGGAGGTTTGCTGTTATTCTTGGTTGGAACCTTCTTGCCGGAGACGGCTCGATCGCTTGTCGGCAATGGCGAGAAGAGGGCAGCCCTGCCAATCTGGGAGTGGACCTGGCTGCGTATCCTCACACGACTCATCTCAATCGCCTCACTAAAAGGGAGTGTGAGACGCACAGCAAAAGTCGGGCGTGAACGTCCGGAAAGGAGGCTGGACGAGGAGAAAACGTCGACGTATCCAGGGTTGCTCCCGCGGCTGCAGGTCGGCAACCCGCTTAGCTGCGTGCGAATCATTTTCCACCTCGACACGTTCTTCGTGCTCTGGATGCACGGCTCGTTCTACACAGTTGACTACTCGCTGGTGGCCGCGATACCCGACATATACAAGCAGATCTACCACCTGGACGAGTTGCAGATCGGGCTGACGTACCTCCCGCGCGGCATCGGCATTATCGTCGGCGGCTACTGCGTCGGCAAGGCCATGGATTTCAATTACAGAGCCACGGCGAAAAAGATCAACTGGAACATCAACAGTCTCTCGGGCGACGACCTGAGAGAGTTTCCGATCGAACGTGCCCGCGCCCGCGGGAGCGGCTGGCTGTTGCTCGTGTCCACATCAGGACTCATCGGTTACGGCTGGGCAGTCCACTACCACGTGCATATATCAGTCTTGCTGATTTTGCAGTTCCTGCAAGGGTTCTGGGGTACCTGCTTCTACACATTCTACAACACGTTGCTGGTGGACGTGTTTTCGCAAAGTCCGAGCACGGCGGCAGCCGCGGCGAGCATCACACGGTGTGCCATGGCGGCGGCAGGGGTCGCGGTGTTGCAGCCCCTGCTCGACGCCGCGGGCAGAGGCTGGTATTTCACCGTCCTGGGCCTGTGGAGCGGCAGTTTCGGCGCCGTGGCGCTGTGGTGTATCAGGAAGAAAGGAATGGGATGGAGACAGCGTCGATTGGACAAACAACACGGGGCGTCTGAGGTGTCTACCATTGTCATAGAGCAGGACCAAGCTAGACCCGGTAAGCAAGCAGAGTGAGCCATGATCAGTAAGCAGGGGAAATATCAACAGTCCTCATCATTCTGTAGTAGAGAAGTTGATAACACCCAAGTCCGGAGGATTGAGTGTCGGACCGGAGTTCGCAGTCAATATCGGCCTCGGTGCGTAGTTATTCCATTCCGTCGGAGTCTGGACGCCGAGAACTCGCCAGCCACAAACTCGCTCCTCTTCTCAGAATATCACCCTTTCTCCTCATCCAGCCCGTCAACGGCGCTCAGCTCCTGTTTCGGAGGCAGAAATATAGAGACTGTCTCCCTTGGATGCCTCCGTAGGAGATCGAAGGCTCAAGCCATACTGGTTGACTACCTAGGTTACTATATCCTGAGCCACACCGGTCCCGGTCCGTTCCAGAGCTGCGTATTGCATCGCATACAAAGTCAGCTCTCTTTTGCGCTCAGCCCCAGGACCAAGGTGAGTTCGTCATGAATGGAGCATCGGGGCTTGAATAACGGCATCGAATGTACTATATAACCTTGGGTGATATCGCTGTGGATCTATTGAGACAAGTCCGGCAAAGGTGACCTCCATTTCTACGGTACGAACCACAGACAAGAAATTGTCTATCATTCCCATTACACAGCAGATAAGACTTGAGACAGCATGACTCCCCCACGAAAGACGACAACTGAAGAGGGGCAAACTCCCCACGATTCCACCGTCGTGAGCAACCCGTCCAGCATCACGGGCAAACTCTGCACGTGGATTCACGACACCACCATCACCTCCATCCCCGACGACGTGGTCCGACGTGCCAAGTACCTCATCCTCGATGGCATCGCCTGTGGTCTGGTCGCTGCGCACTTACCGTGGTCCGAGATCGCGGCACGGGCAATCTTCAAGATGGAACCAGAGGGCCAATGCACGGTCATGGGCTGGGGCGGGAGCAAGAAACTGTCCCCGCTCGCAGCGAGTATTCTGAACAGCACCTTCATCCAAGGCTTTGAGCTCGACGACTACCACTCCACCGCGCCGCTGCATTCATGCTCCATTCTTCTCCCTGCTCTTTTCGCCGCCGCCGAAGCAGAGCCGGCGCGCACGTTCTCGGGTCAGGACTACCTCAAAGCATTCATCGTCGGGTGCGAAGTCGGGCCCCGAGTCGGGTTGGCCCTCCATGGCGCAGATTTGCTCTCGCGTGGCTGGCATTCGGGAGCTGTACAAGGACCCTCGGCCTCTGCCGCAGCGGTATCCTCCCTGCTGGGTTTGCCCTCCGGGTACATCGAATCCGCGCTGGGGATAGCCTGCACGCAAGCCGGTGGCTTGATGTCGGCGCAATTTGGGTCCATGGCAAAACGGATGCAACACGGCTTCGCCTCACGCAATGGTCTCTTTGCCGCCTTGCTCGCGAAAGAAGGGTATACGGGGATCCAGGAGGTCTACGAGACACCGTACGGTGGATTCCTGTCCATGTTCTCCGAAGGAGTGACCAACTTTACCCCCAAGTCTCTGCCTGAAGAGCTTGTTAGTGGATTAGGGGAGAGGTGGGGCCTCCACGGTATACGGGTGAAGCTCCACGCCGCCATGGCCGCGCTGCACGGGACGATCGACTGCATTGAGAAGCTGCAGCGTGAACACGGGGCGCTCTTCGCAGCCGAGAACCTGGACAACATCGAGGCCATCACGACTCAGCACTCGAAGCCGGCATTCGAGCACGGCGGCTGGGCCGCGCCGGCGGACAAACCGCTCACCTCGACCGCGGCGCAGATGTCGATCCAGTACGCCGCGGCGGCACAGCTGGTCGACCGCGAAGTGCTGATGGCGCAGTTCGGGGCTGACCGGCTGAACCGGTCGCAGCTGCGTGCGCTCATGGCCAAGATCACACCGACGCACAACCCGGAGTTCGACAGCGACAAGCGCAAGGGGTGGCGGACCGTGGTGACCGTGCGATTTGCTGGAGAGCAAGGACAAGAACAGACGGTCGAGGCCCTGGTCGACGGGCCCAAGGGGATCATGCCCCCAGCGAGTGAGGACGACATCGTGAATAAGTGGCGCATGCTTGTGCAGGACGTGCTCTACGACGACCGGAGGGATCGGATCGAGGCTTGTGTCTTGGACCTGGAGAAGCTGGGCGACGTGAGGGAGCTGATTGCGTTGTTGGAGGGCGCCGTCAAGTGTCCTATCGTTGTCTGAGTGCAGGATGGCATGTTGTTTAGTATGAGTATTCCAGGCCAATGCAGTGTCTATGGTCTAAGGGCGTCAGGGGATTTTCTTTTTGGCCTCGATACTCAAAGATCTAATCTTTCTCGGTCTTTCCATTACTTTTCCTGTCTCCTTTTCGATAATGGGAGAGCACGGGTCCAAAAGCCCCAACGGCCACGACGAAACATGATCCCCATCCATCCTCCCTCTCTATCCCACCTACCTCCCTGTGCTTCCCTAACTACCTACCTATCTATCTATCTATGTATTCGTCCTCGCGTCCATCCAATCATCAAACCATGACAACCGTATGTTTCTTCGCCCAGCGGCCCACCGGTTCATAACAGATATAGTGCTACTACCGCTGCCAATACCCCTACCACAAATACATCACCTCTGACGACCCTTCCAGACATAGTACGCACCCTCGCAGTATTCATTTCATGCCGATCTGTCACTCTATTCTACCTCTCTCATTCAATCACACCGCTCGCAACCCCCATCCCTTCCGAAAGACATAACGCCGGCAAACTACTATCGAACAATATATATATGTCACCGAGGGGACGGCAATCTCCTCGGAGCCAGGAAGCCAGCCAGCCAGATATGGGAACATGATACAGGACATGCCTAGGTCGTCGCCTTGGGGGCCTGGATTACTGATCTGTCAGTCAGTCAGTCGATCTTTTTGGAGAGTCAGTGGAGCCGTCGTTCTCTGTTCGGACGGAATACTATTAGATGGAACTACATACGCAAGCACCACACACGCAGAATTGAACACACGCTGCTTTTGGTGCCTCAGTCCGCCCAAGAAAGAAAACAAGCAGCCAGCAGCCAGCCCACTTACCACGTTCTGTCTTCCTTTTCTGGAACTTGTGCTGTGGACCTTTTTTTGGGAGGGAGTCGTCCATCTCGCCCATCCTTGCTCAGAATAATAGTGCCCGACGTCCTCCCTCCTTTTCTCATGTCCGCCAGTTCCCCCTTCTCATCTGTGAGTCACTTCAAATTTCACTCGAAATTTCGTTCTCGTTTTGTTCCTCATGGCATCCGGTGTCGTGTCGTGGGTGAACGACGATGACTCATTGCTGACTCTGACTATGTGACTAAGCAAGCAGCCATGTCCAACTACAATAAAAAAACACTCGTCATGCGGATAGTATGCACGGAGCAGCGAGGCAGGCAGGCAGGGAGGGTATGCTCATGCGCATGAAACCATCTAGCTGATCCCTGTGTGTGTGTGTGCGTGCGTGCGTGTGGGTCTCCGCGGTTTCTCCCACTTACCCTTTTTAGTACCGACCCTATTCTTCCTCCTCTACCCCTGCCTAGCACCAGTGCTAGAGCCCTGTACAGGAATTATCCCTGCCTGGAAGACCTGGCCTGCTTCGTGGTCCTCCTCCTTCTCCTCTACCTACCCCTTGTGGAAATGCAGGAGTCATCCATATGCAGCAGCAGCACACGGGGTTGCGGTTGAGAGACTGGATAGAGGACGGAGTTAGTCTAAAGGTGTTTTTGGATGTATAACCCGCACACATACATACCCACCCAAAGACACAAACGCATATAGTACAGAGTAGAGTTATGAAGTACATATATACATGCATACATAGATATTCGGTCGGTACACATATTGGTGTCTGTCTCAGAGCCAGAGCCGGGGCGAGACGAGGCGAGATGAGAAGCCCAGCAAACATGGACATAAGGGCAAGAAGGCTGGCTCCAGCTCAGCTGCAACCGGGAAGTGTGTACGGTAGTATCAAAATCGCGGGGCGTTCATGAGATAGGATTGTTGGAATTGATTTCACATAGGCCTGGAAATCGCCCCTCAAAAACGTTCAGCCTTGCGGCGTCCAGGGGTAACGGCCGAACGAGAATGTGAGAACAACTCCAATGACATCAGGATGTTGGTACTCTGTGACGAACACAAGCACGGGCGCCGTCAGCATCAGCCTCAGAATCCCAACGACCAGGTATCGGAGCACGTCAACGGACCCGGTCCATCCACCCTTTTCTCTACAGAGCCTCCCCATTGCCGTCTCTCCCTAGACCCTTTCTTTACAAAGCATGTCCCGCTGCTTAGTTGGTCGACTAACGAGCAGTAAATCCGCCCCGGGGTGCCTGTTCCTGGACCTGGATCTGTTGTGTCCTGTTCAGCTTTCCGGGGGTTATCCGTGAGCCGAGCTTGGCTGCTGCCATTGGTCGAGCTCGACGCGAAGGATTGGCGATTGCAGCCTCCCGTCGCCGCTCCCCGTCATCTCACCACCAACACCACGTTTTGTCGTGATGACACAAAAATTGATGTATCCTTTGGCTGAGTCAACACCCTGAATACAGCTTCCAGATGCACGGATATCTCAGGGATACCGCAGCGGCGCCGCCTGTCTGCTTCGGCACCACATACTCCATGTCGGTCCCATTGCGCACGCCTTCGGCAGCCTTCAACCTGGAGCCCCTCTGGCCGCTGTAGGGGTGGCATACTTCGAGGGCTTTTTGCATGCTGCTTTGTCAGTGTCGCCATCAATCATCCCTTCCTCTTCTTCTTTTCTCTTCGCCAAGTGTCGAAAACCCGGTGACGATGCCGTCGAGAGCTATTTCCACTTCGTAAGCTCGACAAAAATCTTCTCTCTGGCAACTTCGCAGCTGTGCGCTGGATGAGAGGAGAAGGGACATCGACACTGCATGCTGAAAAGTATAAAGGGAGTCGGATGGCATCGAGGTCGATGGCCAGTCAACTCACACAGACAGCAGTCAATCCACCAGCTCCCGCAAACCATCTTCAATCGCACATTTAACCAACAACCAGCCTGTTTTTTCAGCTCTCGAAGTCCGAATCCAGCTCTCCAGAACCTCAAGATCATGGCGCACTTTCCCCCCTCCTACGGCTTTCGAGTCACGCCCACCCTGCACAACAAGCCAGAAGGCCCGACCTTGCCTTCGAATAATCCGGTCCCCACGAGTCCATTCGTTGTGGTCGTGACAGGCGCCGGCAAGGGGTTGGGTTTTCACACGGCGCTCTCCTATGCCAAAGCCGGTGCCAGCGGCTTGGTGGTCTCCTCCCGCACCCAGTCGGATCTCGACGAGCTCAGCCGCCAGCTGAAAGCCGCGAATCCCTCCGTCGACGTGCTCGCACTCGTGGCTGATGCGGCCAAAGAAGCCGACGTTGCCAAACTGGCTGCAGAGACCAAGGCTCGGTTCGGAAGAGCAGACGTCGTGGTAGCCAATGCTGGTGTCATGGGCAAGTACTACACCGCCAAAGACGGTTCGACTCGCCTCCCGTACAACGTCGAAGAGGACCTGGACCTTCCAGACGTGGTCGATATCAACTTCGTCGGCAGCTATTACTTGGCCAAATACTTCATTCCACTCCTGAAGGCTTCCCCCAACGGAGCCCAAGCGTTTATTGCCATCAGCTCCGTCACCTCTCACTTTCCCAACAGCGGCTTCACGCCGCTGGCGTACAACATTTCCAAGCTGGCGCAGAACCGACTCATCGAATCCTTGCACAACGACTACGCCAAGTCCGGCCTGGTCTTCTATGCTGTGCATCCGGGCGTGGTCCTGACACCACAGACCGCGTCGCATCTCACCGTTACTGATGGTGCGAAATGGAAGCCGAGTAAGTACAACCGCTCCCCAACACCGATGCTGGGGCTTTCGCAAGAACCATACATGCTGACTGCCCGTGTTTAACAGTCTTGAACGATGACATTGCCCTGTGCGGTGGTTTCTTGACATGGCTGACCGCTTCCAAGAAGGAATGGTTGTCCGGCAGATTCCTCATCAGCAATTGGGACGTTACCGAGCTGGAGGGGAAGAAGGATGACATTGTCAGCAGAGACCTGTTCAAGTTCCAGATGACAGTTTGAGTTGCGGCTCATGCCCCTGCAATGATTGGACAGGGCAGATGCGAATCGATGGAGTGTGGCTGTTGACCCGGTGGGCTCGTACAACTTTCGGTTGAAGTATTGTCATAGATGTCAATCGATCTTTACTACCTTGGGACGGAGTGAGGAGCATTATCTTCCTCTCTCACCGCACTGTTGAAGACGCAATCAGTCGCTCATGTTTGAGAAATGTCGGGAGCGTATAGAGAAATGGAATTTCGTGTTGCAACGACCTCTTTGGCACATCTACATTCCCCATGCCAGTACAACATTGCGAGTCTAGACGCATGGAAGCTCTGAGCTTCAGCAGTGATACCGGGTGTTGTTGAAGTTCATTGTAACCTCTGATGCAGCTACTAGAGGGCGTACAGTGCCACATCTCCAGCCCAACCGAAGTAAACTGGGTCATCGTGGTTTTGCTGACAGATCTGGTTCCATGGTTCGCAACATTGTTCGCGATTTGCTGATTCTGCCGGCGAGTAAGGGAAAACCCATGCCTCCAGACCTAGGATTCGGGCCCTCAGCTGGCAACATTCTAGAGCACCGAATCAACGTCACACAAGTACCGAGAGTTTGGAAGTCGGGTGTGACACCGAGGCTCGCAATCGAGTGGCGCCCACGTACAACCGAGATCTGTGTGCCATCAATTGAAGAGTTGATGAGCTGTTGAAGGTGACAAGATCCAAGTATCAAAGATTTGTCGATCACCGATAGCCACCACTGCCGTCGTGGTCCGTGAGAGAACCACCCTGCGTGCCATCGCCATTCGTTATCGGAAGGACGTGACACAGCAGCGGCTCGCTGAATATTCGAGAACAAGCAGACCGCCGGAAGCAATGGCTTGATGAAACTGACCACACCAGCAGCAGGAACCGGAGATCGAAGGGGGGCCGTGGTCTCGATAGTGACACCTAGGTTGTGTATCCTCAACCGCATGTTCACCTCTGGAGCTTCTCTCACAAAGTCGTGACCCGAATAGACTTTGCCTCACCTTGTTTGTCTTTCACTGATATCGTCAGTATATCCAGGATCCTGGAGTTGTCGGTCACTCCCGCTTTATAGGTGCTTTGCGTCTCGTCTGTGAATGTCGAACGGATGATTGAAATTGACCTTCACCGGCTGCGATACCCTCAACCTATGTCCGAGAACTCCTTCACCACCGCAACTTGACGTCCCGAGGACTTCCCTGGTTGTCAATGTCTGACTGTTCACTTCATCACCCCTTCCTCTGAACCGTTTCCTCCTACCGCAGCAATCGATTTCTCACCAAACGCCCAGTGTGACGCCGCAAACGGGTACCATTGATATGATGGATGATCCGTGTAGAGGCAGGACTGCATCTGCAGGTTTTCAGCTTGCCCCCTTCTGCCCATACACAACAGACTGCAACATAACCAAGAAATCCACTGCAAAGAGGCAGCCGACCGAGAATAAATTTACTCAAAATCCAGAGAACCGAACCTCAACCAGACATCCAACCACTCCCAAATCACACCGCTCCAAGATGCCGAAGTGTGCATATTGCGGAAATCAGTCCGACCACTACTCATGCAACTGCGGGTCCGAATATTCAAGCACTTCGTCCGTCGATAGAAATCCCACATCCTTGAATGACCCGAAGCCAGAGATGGGCATCTCGTCCTCCATCTCAAAAACTAGGTCGGGCTCCTCTTCTTATACACCAGCCCGATCCAACGATTACGTTGGCAAGCCGAGCGGATCCACGAGCAGTCGGGATCGGAGATGAAATCGCTGACAATTCTGCTCATCTGAGTGTTATGAGAGACACATGGCTTTACAGAGTATCCGAGCTGAGGGTCGGAAATCAAATGTCGATACCCAGAATGTGAAAGTGTTCGAGTCCAGGTAGGCTAGTTTCAGATAGAATGGCAAGCCTGCTGAGCTCCACGAATTCATCTTCCAGCCGTCCTCCTCTTTCCTTGGTATTTACCGCGGTTGTCATTGTACAAACAAGAAGTGGTGGCTTTCGACCATTCGAGATCTCTGGTAGAGCAAATCAGTCAAACCCTTCGACCAGCCAGCCTCTCAATACAGTCATCATCTCGTCCCTCTGCGCGTCTCTCATACATCCCCACAACCTAATTGCCGACATAGTCGTCTCTGTCAGAAACAATTCCTCTGCCTTTCCCAAGGCTGAGCTCGCTCGGATTGGGTCTGCGTCAACCCACGCCTTCGCGACAACCCAGAGCAAGGTTTCGAGGCGAACAGAGGAGGCCTGCGTTTGAGGGTCGATGGTGCCGGAATAGTGGAGGGAATATATGACCGTGTCGAGAAAGGCAGTCCCGTGGGCGAAGATATTTGAGTTCGAGGGCAGCAAGGGATAGCTGTACGTGAGGAAATGGCTGAAGTCATTCTTGCTGCAGCGATAAAGAATAAGGTTGAGGAGATAGAGGAACGCGAAGCGACTGGTTCGCGCACCATAGGTCTCTTCAGCACTGCTCGGTAGATGCAAGATATATTGCTCCGTGACTGGGGAATTGAATGCGAGGCGTCGATTTTTGAGGTATGCCTCGAGGTCTTTGTTGCCATTTGCTTGATGTGTTGATACAATGAAAGAGCGGAGGTTCTGATTGAACTTTGCCATATCGGAAAAGGACCGGTGAAAATTTGGTTGACGCCCATCGGCTTCCTCTCGACTCGATTGTGGCAACGGTGCTGGGATCAGAAAGCCCAGAAAGAATAGTGGATGGGACATCACGATCGGAGACTGGAAGAGGGAGGATAAGCCACCTCGTTGCTTGATCAGCGTCTCCAGACCTCTCATGTGCATCGTTGTCGCCTTGAGATCAAGAAATCTTGACTCGACCACTATGGCTTCCATAATCACAGCCAGCGTTTCGTCAGTGTATCTCCTGTCTTCGTCCTGCAGGAGCTGCCCAATGGCTTTATACGCTTCCATTTTACGGCGGACCGATGATGGCGGCTCAGTGAGTCGACTCAGAACGGCCCCGTGTCGTTCTGCTGCGACCAGCATCCATATGAGTGCTCCAGGGTACCGCTGACAACAAGGCAGGCAAATATCTCTGAAGGTGCAGAAAGGGCCGGCTCCAGTGGTACCATACACGGCGCCGGGGACAAAATTGAAGTAGTTCCATAGTGTGCTCTTTTCAGCGTGAGTGAGGGTAATTGGAAGAGTATCGAGAATTGACGGCGTGATGGCGTAACTTGGGTGCATGACCTCCCCCCATGGACCCCCAGGGTGAACTTCCCCGGAGCCCAATACCAAAAGCCTCAGTTCTTGCTTCCTGATTCCTTGAGGACTAAAGCCTCTGCAATGGTTCGCAGAGTCTAACTCCCTCTTCGGGTCCTCATCACGCTCTTGAGCATGGTGGTTGGCGTTGCGACGGAGGCGACAGTCGTCTAAAGGAGATATTTTATCCAGGTTCAGAATCCCTTCTTCGAGCAGCGACTGCCATTCCAGACGGGGGGAATCTTCCATTTGGTGGACTGGCTGTCTGCTGACATCCTTGGCTGTGTATTGTCCTAGTCGCCAGGAAAGGGTTTGCGCCAGCCATGGCTTCCTAGGCCGCTCGTCCTGTCGGATCATTTGTTTGATCGAGTTTCGTTCTGGTCGCACAACCAAAGCTGTTGCTCAAATGTGTCAACATCGAGAGCAACTTGGCGGTTGCTCTTAACCTCCTCATTTCGCTCCGACCAAAGGACCGACGTTGCCATCTTCCGCTGACCTTCGAATGACATGCCTTGTTTGAATAACGAAGAGGCAGGGTAGACAACTCCATTCGTTCGGAAGTCGCCCCAAGATAGTGCTCAAAATCGAGCAAAAGGCCAGGGGTAGACATTGTTGATGCTATTTCTGTTGGCTTTGTCCTCTATATCCCTCGCCGGCCTGAACCTCATTCAACGGAGTGTAACTCGGCAACTGTGCTTTGGGAGGAGTCTGCCTCATTGGCACCCTCAGATACCTTTTGGGGATTCCAAATGGGGCCGAACCAGTCCTGCGAGCATTGTGTAAGCAATCTGTCCGTGGCGAGCCGAATAACTTGTGATCTACGTGCTGCGGCGAGATGCACTTTCCCGAGTGAAACTACCATATTTAGCACCTTAACGGGAAGAATGATACGCATCTAGCTCCGGTGAACGTACTGCCGAATGACCGACAAGAGGAGAATTGCGACAGGCGACTGTGGCGATGATAAAAACTATTGACTGGGCAGGATGGTGAGGGTGTTGATTTGGAAATTCACGCGCGTCTCGACAGGGGTAGTGCTTCCGTACAGGCCAGCAGTTTTTGTCAGAGTGGCAACGTGGAACGTCCAGTGTTCGTCGTGCTTGCTCTTGCTCTCTTGGTTCTGTTGGGAGAAACCATAGTAGTGACACATTGACCACAGCTATCGAGTCAATCGTATTATCAAGGATACACTTTTTTTTTTCTATATACCCATTCCATCCCTTTAACCACCTTGACACTTCTCTATCGCACCGCTGTGCTGGACTGAGATGGGCCTTGGAGACAATCACCGGCCAACCCAAGAGCCTCCTTCCTTCATGAATACCACGTTTGGTGCACTCCTCACCTTGAGAATACTCATCCCAAACTTCCCTAGCTTCGGACAGCCAGCCGCAATCTTCTCGACATCTGTCAGATTCGCAACAGCCAATCCAGCTTTCCAATCCTCGCCTTCCTCCTGGGCCTTGTCGGGGACTCCAATCACTTCGATGCCTTCCAAGACCGCAGCCACCCCCTTATACTGTAGACCTTCTGCCAACTTAGCGGCCCAGTCTTCTTCGAGGAGAATGCTGACAGTGATGTCAACCAGTCCAGCTGCCTCCTCCCCTCCGGCACAGGCATAGACTACCTCGCCCACCTCCACGGGACGAAGAGTGTACATGCCCAAATTCAGGATCTTCAAGCTCTTCAACTGTCCTCCATGGCTCATGTCCTCGAACCGCTTCCTCACCGCCGTGGGCGCTCGCCCGTCGCTTGCAAATGGTAGAATTCCTTCGTTAACTTTCTGACTGTCCTTCTTCCCATCTTCTCCTTCAGGAGCTTCTGCCAACTCATCCTGCCGCTCCGGGACGAAGTCGAAGCTGGCACCTACCAGGCCTTTGACAATAAGACTCGGCAAGTCCTCGCCTTGAACTCTTGCCAGGAAGTCGCTGTCCTCGTGTCCACGGAAGGTGTAACTGACGTCGACAAGCTTTAGGCCCTCACTAGCGTCGCCCTTGGCATGTGCTTCAAGAAGTCTACCAGCAGCCTTGAAAAATCCGGGCCTTGCGAAGGAGTCGATGATATGTAACTCCCTTAGGTTCGGCAGACACTCGAAGAACTTTTCTGCATCCTTCCGGGATGCATCGTCGAGACCGTCGATCAAACAACTGAAGAATGTAACGCTTCTGATGTTTGGCAAGGACCGCGCGAGTCTAGTGAGAAAAGGTGGCGTGCCAGGGAAGCCGAGCCCGAATAGTTCGAAGGTAAGGTGGGTGATGGATTTCGGCAGATCTGGTAGAGGCGGTTGAGTGATGATGGCGTCGCTGTGGGTTTGGACCATATCCTGGTATTCATCCAGCTTGATATCGGCGGTGAATGTGAGTTCTCTCAGGCGGGAGGCATGGGCAGGAAACTCTGGCAATTGAAATCCCTTCAGGGGAATTTGTGCGGCCAGAGGGTATGACCCAGGGTCTTGAGGCTCAAGATTTGCTGCCTCTGTTGAGGACGCTCCATTTGCGACACCAGCCATTCTGGATTTCTGATTCTGTCCGGCGTAATATATCAACCCTGGATCGGTGTTGCTCTTTTCTTGTTGCCCACTGCCGTGCACCAATTCAGCCGCCGTAGGTATCGAGAAGGCAAAACCTTGATCAAATAGACTTCTGTGTTATGAGTCTCTGAGTTGCGTAGTCTGGTCGAGCTTCCGACCGCGGATTTCGTTGGGGCGTCACAGGAAAAGGCAGAAGGGCCAGATTATGAAGAAACAGGTTGGATGTTTCTCACACACTGTGGTCTCATCCTTCCCCTCGTCTCGCTTGACAATATGCCGTGCTTCGGCGAGATTCCACAAGCATCTTGCGGCGCATGATGTTCCGCTGCTGATGCGTGTCTCGCTGCTTACCCCTCAAAAAGGGGAGACGGTTGTCCCGCAAATTGTGGTCCTGGCGCCGCTGGGCGCGGGGAAAGCCCTGCAGGGATGATAAAGTAGGATCGGCCGGATAAGCAGGGAATGGGAGTCTAAGTGGTTGAGCTTCCTCGCAGGACAGTATCTCGGATCGGAGGAATGGCAAAGTGGTTGGAAGCTGGAGAAAGGCCCAAGCAAGCTATGGAGAAGTTGCGCTGATGGCACCGATGGCTAGTAGTGTGGTCGTCTGACCGAAGCGATTTTGCGGATTCTGGCCACTGTTCACGTAGTATTTCAATTGACGTGCTCAAGTGACATGGCAATCTCGTTATGGATATCACTTCAGCAGCTTGGGTAGAATCTCTTGATTGAATTCATCTGAACGCCTATTTACTCGTGACATTTCGTTTCCGCCTAGCATTTGCGGCACATCAAGGCAACCTGCGTGAAGACATGTCGTAACTCATCAGTCATGAATTCCCGGAACGACGTCGATAATCTCGCCAGTCGGGACGATGTCGCAGGCTCGCAAGTGAACAAGCGGTATTCCAAAGAGGACCACGCCTTGCCAATTAGTAATGCATGCATAATGAATGTGGCCAGCCGTAACGGTCGTACACACCATAAAATCATATCCAGGCGTATCAGTCCGTCTCTCCGGTCACTCCCCTCTATGAGAAGATGTTCACGGATGCTGCTAAATTGGCTGATAATGCAGATGCAGGTTTAACCAATGCTGAGCTGCACATACGCAGATTTGTGCGCGTATCCCGACTCTGGAGAGGCAGCGTCTTTCCCGGTATGTTCTGTCCAAGTAATGAGCATCTTCCACCCACCGTTAACAATGTCGTCGGCTCCGAAGTATCCCGCATGCACGCCGCCAGCGTAAATGTAACCCTGGACAGGAGCATCGATCTTGACCAGGACTTGCTCATCAGACCACTTGGCTTCCACGATGTTGTCCACGTCGAAGTCTTGATCCTCAGCATTCAGATCGAGGTCCAGATAGCGGTAATAGAAAGTATTGTCGGCCAGAGTGTTGAGGTACACCATGAGGAAACTTCGCATGGCAGGAACATAGATGACATCTATATCTTGGACCGAGACATTGAGCATAACAGCGCTCGAATTCAACGAGGGTAGATCACCACTCCAGGAGCTGCCATTCCAGTAATCATAGGTTGTCAAATCGGTATATCCACTCGGAATTGTCCTCGCCACGAGGACGCCATTGTTGCCCTTCCCGAAGAGGTAGATGTGGCCGTCATTGCCCCCTGCTCCAGAGGAACCCCAAGAACGGATGCCACCCAAAGTACCGAACGCGACTTGATTTTGGGTGTAGAGCTGTCGAACAACACGATTGGCTGACGGACCATAGGTTGGATCCACAGAGACTAGAAGAATCGAGTTGCCAACATTATTGAAGACTGCCGCCTGTGTGGTCATATCCACAACGTCATAGACCAGCGCCGGGTAAAGCAAAGCATGACTTTCGTTGAGCGGAATCAGGGACGACTCAGGCCACACAGCATATCGATAACCGTTCCCGGACAGATCAATGTTGAAGGATTCTTCTCCTGTTGTCATTGGAGCGAACCCTCTCATTCTGCCAACGTCATCCTGCCACTCGCCAATGTTGTCCACTAAATCAAGTGATTGGCCATACAGAGCCTTCATTCCAACATCTGTGGCCACTGAGCTGGACACAAATCCAACCATCTGGCTGGTGTTGGAGGTCTGATCGATCTGAAAACTGGCAGTGTCACAGAAGATAAAAAGGTGCGTCCCATTGATCGTGCCTCCTTTTCCACCATCACGAGACATGTGGGGGACCACCTTCATGTTTGACAATGTCGTGTCGGTCTGCAGCTGGCTTGAGGTCCATGAGCCCGTATCATCTGCTATGGGGTACTGTGTGATGAGGTCGGTGTTAATTCCCGGGACCAGGAGCTTGCTTGCGAGCTTCTGTGGGATCGCGGGCACATGGCTCACGTACTGAGTCGTAGGCTTGTTTGTGGAGCTACCAAGCATTTTGAAGTCCCCTACACGAAGCGAAGGCGTAGAGCCACTAAGGTAGGAACGAGGAGTTGGGAAAGCGGAAGACGCGGCTGGCGAAGTACAACCGGAAGCTGAAGAGATGATTGTCGCACCCACGAGATGGATTGTTGCTGAGCTTGGACTGTTCAAGGAAGACTTCAAGTAACAGTCGTCCGCGTCGTTGATGCGATCTGGTGCAAAGACGAATCCTGCACAGTGGGTGTCGGTGATATTCTTGAGATTATAGGCCTCACATTGTGCCAAACACGCGTCAAAAGAGCCAGCCAGAACAAAGGGGTAGATATTCTGCGCAGGGAAGTCCACATCACAGATCAGTGTGTACCTGGTTCCATTGGGAGCAGTGTCCAGAAAGGTCGAGCCGTTGACAGCATTGCAAGGTAGGTTTCCAGGAAGAGAGGTAGCAACAGTGCAATGGCCACTGGAACAAGGAGTGGCTGAGTTCGCATAGATGGAGCTGATTTGAGCTTTGGCCGGGATAGGATATTTGGTTGTCTGAACTGCTTCATCTCGACCTGCGAGACCAGGGTGGAAACCATTGAAGCCGTGAGGATGAGCCGCGGAAGAATAAAGGAAGGAGAGAAAGAGATATATCGACAGCATCAAGCTGGTCAATGAAGAGAAGGAGCGCATGGTGCAGTCTGCGTTCTTTTGGTCAGTTCCACGTTTCCATCACGACGTACTTGTCTACACTCACCTCTCGCCAACGAGTGGTGCGCGACGACCGAGCCAGCCGGTTCAATCTTGACGATAGAGAGTGACAGCGTTGACGAAAAGGGTTTATTTGCTGGGATCAAGTAAAAGATGTTGTTCAATAATGAATGTTGTGCTTTGGTGACAGAGGAAGGAAGGAAGTGGAAATCCGACAACCTCTCTAGGTGGTCAACAAAGGGTAAACAAGGACTGGCAGAACTCGTTGGCGTGGTGCTAAATTGTGAATGAGGGCACGCGGAAGAGGTAAAAGATTCCAGGTGAATCCAAATACATGAATACAGACTTCTGTTTCGCGATTTGAGCATGGAGGATGTTGGCTCGTCCTTGTGGTCACCGAGCAAGCATCTTTTTGAGCTTCATTTCATATTGTGAATATCTCGATTCCAGTCGGATCTCACGAATTCTCCTTCCAGGCTTATCATTGCATGCTTCGCTTCATATCACCCTTCGTCTGCTGCCGAGGATGGACAGAGACAGATGCGTGGTTGCACAGCACTCCTAGTCCACAGAAATAGAAGTCGTTTCAACTGTCACTGGACTTGCCACCGCCTCACAAGTGTTCCAGAAATGATCCTTACTGTTCCAGCCTTATTGCCCTGTGCTGACCCCCATCACCGGCCGCTCCGCGACAAGTCCCTGGATAAAGCCAAGGTTTGTGTAGCCTTGTCCAATGGCATCTGGATAACCGGTCTGAATCTTATGGTGGCTGAAGTCGTCATCACTCGGCCTTCTCAGCCAGCTCACGGACCCTTGGAGCCGTTGTGGCATTCTTCTCAATGTCTGCAGCCCATAGAGCTGCACCCACAGTATTTGTGAAAGCGAAAACAAGATTTGCAAAAGGTATCATCTCAAGCAAAAAGGCAGCCATTCCAAACGCGGTATACCCTCCGCGATGCTCCGCAATGTGCATCTCGCGCTGTCTCTTGTTCCATTCCTTGAGCTGAAAGTACCTGGTATGGGCGGCCGGACCTGCTCGTTTGCCTTGGAGGGCTATGAAAATAATGGTACCCACCACGGGAATGAAGTTGAGTGGCAGGTAAATGATGTACCGGATGATAGCATTGGGAGTGAATTTTGCGAATGGTCGCTTGAGTAGCTTTCCCAGCCTGGCAATGTTATCCCCTCCGGCTTTTATTTGCCTGCCTTCCTCGACCAGATTGGTGCAATCTCGCGAAAGAAGGGTGCCATCGAAGGTGTCGACCAACGCCTCTTCAATCAAAAATGTTCTCGAGAGGAGGTTGATGAGTGTTGAGCTCTCGCTGAGGGTAAGTAGGGCCGCTGAGACGGCCGCAACAGGTCCGGAAGTGAAAGCCATGACGGCGGCTTGAGGCACGTACGCCACGAGGAACATGAAGGTGGTCACTCCAATGCTCAGCGTGATCGTCGGAGCCAGTTTGGAAGTCAGTGGTTTCCACAAGTCCCTATGAGAGACAAAGTAGAAAATCCCCTGTCCACGGGTCAGAAACGTGATCTTGCCATGGGGAAGAGCCTTGCCTTGAGAGGATAGAGGTAGGCCCGCGACATGACAGCCTCTTTAGTCATCCTTCGCACGTTCTCTGCCTCTTCAGCGGCAACTTGTTTCACCCGATCAGCCATCTTAACCCGAGATCAATTTGCACGAAAGATGATGGGCGTGGAGGTCTAGATCTTCGAATAACTGCAAACAATCTGAAACCAGCTCGAGCTGATCCAAAGAGAGATTCTGGTAGAAGCTCGAAGCCGTGATGTCATCGTGGCACAAAAATCTAAAGCCAGTCACTTCTCCACTTTGGCGTCACGGCGCGGGGACTGAACTTCCTCCCGGGAGAGTTGGGATAGTGCAGTTTGCAGTGAATCCGCACCTCAAGAACTCCTCCAAGCCCCCCTGAGTGTTGTTTGCTACTGTGGAGAACTACTATATTGAGGTTCGGAATGTCACAGCGCACTCTGATCCGGAGGACCCCAATACTCGGTCTGCATGGCCCATTCCAACCCACAGAGTCGATGGCAAGGAAGCCCAAGGAGATGGAAAAGACGATCCCAAAAGACCTGGTTAACGCGGCAGGCGCTGAGAAGAGCATGCCAGCGCACAGTGTCTATACGTACCTTGGTGCTTAACTAATTATAGACCCATTGTCGATCGATCCGCCGCTGATCCGGCCTAAAGATCCGCCAGAGATATCAATTGTCGATGACCAGATCCACACTATCGGAGCACCCAGCAGATCAAATTCCTTTCAAGAGACCATCGGAGCAAGGAGTATCTTACTGAGGCCCTTGTTATATTGGGCTCCATTCTAGAGGGGCTTTAAGGTCCTCCCTCCACTATGACTTGCCAGCCCAGGGATACCTTCCAGCAAGCCAAGTAATAACTACGCGATCCAATTCGCAACATGACAACAATAACGCGCATCCTGTGCGATAGCCAGGTTGTGGTGCTGAGAGAGTTCCAGGTACGACGATGTTAGTCCAAGTTCGATCCTCCGACTCGAGTTTGGAATACTAGAGAAATGAAACCAGTTTCAGTGATGAAACAAGATGGCTTGTAACGATACTTGATTGCAAAAGGATTAGGCCCGTAATAGGTTTGGTCAATGTCTTGTACAATGCAATTGCAGATCAATATTTCAGTCTTCGCTGCCAGACGCCACAGAATCTGACAATGTCGTTCCAATGGCAGCCAAATGCGCATGCCCTCGTTTCTTATCCCTTCGCACCAGAGCAAGCACAACAACTTTGAGGTTTTCTAGCATCCACCCGTGCTCTTCTGTTCAGCACCATCTCAGCACGGGTCCATTATCTTTCTTGGCTGGGGTGACTAACCAAACTTGATCCCAGACGCAAGCACTGCATTTTGGTCAGTATGCCTGATACCAAGACTCCTGCGGTATACACACCCTAACTCTTTAAACCAACATAATCAACAAGCACAATTATCCTTTTGCTGCTTTCCCCTATCTGCGAGATTCACCCTCGCTTCCTCCGCTCGTTGGGCGGCGCCCGACAACGCCGCCTGTGTTCCGCCACCCGCGGCTCCTCGAGCTCCCTTCAGCGATGTCTCGGGAATGGCGTTTGCAATCGCTGAAAAGACCTCAGCAACGTTCGTGCCTGTCTTTGCCGACGTTTCAAAGAATAGTAGGCTTTCCTCCTCGGCGTATGACTTGGCTTCTCGTGTAGAGATTTTCCGTGCGTCCCCAGTGTCTGTGGGTTCGGCTTCAGTCTGTTCAGCACTGTTTGCCTCGCCTTCGTCCTCACCTCCCGCAGAGGATGGCTCCTGAGATGTATCGGCAGCGTCGCTGGAAGATTCGGCGCATAAGTCCAGTTTGTTACCGACCAGCGCAATAACGATCCCTGGTGAGGCTTGTCTCTGCAGTTCCGCCACCCAGTGCTTTGCCTTCACGAGGGAGGTCGGTTTAGTCAGGTCATACACGACGAGCGCGGCTTGAGCGTTGCGGTAGTACATGGGGGCGAGGGAGGCAAAACGTTCCTGGCCTGCGGTATCCCATATTTCGAACTTGATGATCCGATTGGGAAGGGAGATCTTTTGGGTAAGAAACGCGGCTGGAAAAACGTCAGCTTGACGGTCTCAAAAGAGGTCGCACTGTTCTAGAGTAGGATGGGACAGAGAGAGAAAGGAGCGGTTCCGAAAGAAAAAGAAAAAGACCCGCAGTTGGGCGGAAAATACGACGTTGACAAGACGTAGACGTACCGCCAATGGTGGGTTCCTTGTTCTCTTGGAAATCATTGTTGACGAAGCGCAGGACTAGGGATGACTGTTCAGGCTGTCAGCGACGATCCTAATTCTTGCACCCTCTCCATAGAACTCTCATGACCTCCTCCCTCCGCTCCGTTTGAAGGCATCTCTTTTCGGTTGACGTGGGGATAAGGTATCGTGATCTCAACCGTACAGCCACCGCCGTAGCGTCCAGAGCTGTCTTGAATGTGACATGGCAGGGAACTATCGAAAGCCAGGGAAGGAGCGGTATTGGGTCGTGCGCAACCCACCTTTCCAACGGCGGCCTCTCCCAACAGCACAAGCTTGACGCTGCTGGAGGGCTTGGGAGCTGAAGATGAGTCTGCCATGCTACTCCTTCCGAACCTCTTTCAAGCGGAGACTTTTCCTGGAGATGTCGAGGGTTCTTTCCCAGAATCGAAAGTGCAGTCAGGAGACTGTCAGTCGGGGAAGCTCAGGTTTGGGGTGGAGGTGGGCGGGTGAGGAGCGGACGTCAAAAATCTCGGAATATCTTCGTATATCTCTGGGTTGGCAGTCCGCCGTGCGAGGAGGAGGGAGGGGGAGGTGAGAGCACAAGACCTGTCAGGGTTAAGGGCAGGTGCAGATTGAGGATGATGATTAGAGGCAGATTGATTGCAATGAACCGTAGAGTGACGACGAGGGATGCCGAGTTCCAAGCCCATTGGCGGTTTCTGCCGCTACGCCCCACCGTATGCCTACGGCGCGCTACGTGCCCTCTGTAGCGATTGCATATTTTGCCTCAAATCGATTTTCCATTCTGCCTGCGCACTAAATTCCCCAAAAAGCATCCTTGGGGCAACCCCTGAAGGCCGAAGCCTCGTGTGACGACCCATTCATGCATCTCGCTGTCAGCCTATATCGGCGGCAACCCAGAAGAGCGCACAAGTTACGAGGGACAGATCATTCGTTCGATGTTGACAACATTATTCAATCTCATTTAGTGTCAAGAGCAAAAGGAAGCCACTCATCGACAATGACCTCTGGTTGATGACTCCACAGGTATCAAAAGAGCCTGTGTGTCATTTGTATGGGCCACTTCATTTTGCTAACCACATCATGGTGTCCAGGCAGACACCTATTGCAACTGGGTATGGCCGACGCAGCAGCATCATACCCTTTCCTCCAGACCCGTAACGAAACTCCCAAAATAGTGACCTGAGTCATATAATCTATGCCGCAATGCTCCTCATCCTTGGCCGCCCGCCTCCGTATTCCAGCCTCCGTCTATAGTGATAACGCCGAGAGAAAAAGCACTTTTTTGATACATCAAATATTGGTTGTACAGGAAATAGTCGTGCTGGTCGAGTCCCCGAAAGACGAAAATGTTCCTAGCGCCGTACATGCAGGGTAAAAAAGTGTCGCCGAGAACGCTCAAATCTTTTGAGACAGTACTTGTACAGGGTAGTCGATTGGTCCAAAAGCACATGGGGGATTAAAAGTGTCGAAAAACAGGTTGCTCGGTCGGAGTGGTAAAATGGAGGTTGTTGTAATGCGACACTCGGGAGTATGACGAGTCGTCTGGTCGGCGCCTTACGCCTGAAGACTCGGTGTCTGCATTCGACCGGCAAAAGAATTGAATGTTTGGCAACCGCTGCCACATGCCCTGGGGCGGATGTTGAGGTTGGACGTGAGAGCGACTCGTCCGGCGTTATTTTTGAGGAGGCTTAGGTTTCGGCACCCCTGTTGTGTCGTATCCACCACGGCCCATGTCGCAAGGAGTTGAGGATGCTGATGCTGATGAGGAAGTCATTTTGTCTGAGGGCGCAACAAACACGTTAGCTGGAGAGTTGGTGGATAAGAGGGTCGAGAAAAGTTTAGGGGGTAGGGGCCGGACGCGGGCTTATATAGCCAGGCAGTACGGGATTCTCTTGGGCTGACTCACAGAGTAATATTTGAAGTCCGTAGACTATTTTGCACCCGTCCAGTGAGGTGTCCCGGAGACAAGGATGTGATACAGAGTTGGCTCGCTGATTGCCGGCCTGGGGAAGGTGGCAGTGTGAACGATCTTGTCAGGGGCCTTTCCGGTCCAGCCAAGGGGAGGAATGCGAGATGAGGAGAGGGAGATGCGCCGAGAATTTGAGTTTTGTTGCGCGCTGTCAGAGAAGAAGTTCCAGCCCAGCGCAAATGTCTTGTTTGGATTGAGCGACAGATCTGAGATCAGGTTCGATCCGACAGGTAGCTTATCCCACGTCGTCGAGTCTCGGATAGGAATTGATTGCGGGCAGGTAGATTTGGTACACGCCCAGGTCGCTGTCTGATTTAGGGGGTGCGGCCGTTGTGATGTGTCGAGCCGATGTTTCTCGAACGTCAAAACTAGAAGGCAATTCGGTACAGGACCAGGGCCACGATTTGCGTCGATGACAAGCGAAAGTCAATGCAGGACTATGAACAAGCAAAGAACGTCGAGAACAGATGAGAGAGCGAAAGACGTGTAACATTTGTAGCCCGGACAAGGAAATGTGATAGTTATAGCAGAAAGGATGGGACAGGGAGACAAGCTGCAGCTACCCCTTATCCACCCCCATCTGGTCGGATGGATACTCAACGGATGGTACGTTAGCATAGAACTAAACACTTCGGATACGCAGGGTTTGTTCCCAAGAGGCTTTTCTTCTTGGGAGCCGGGGAGCCACAAGGCTTTCAAGTTGCTCCAAGGGCTCCAGGCAGGATGGACGGGTGGTGGGGCCTTCTCCGAAGCCTAGAGGCCTAGTTTCCCGCGGGAGCTTTACAGGTGCGTCCCAAACTTGGAAGGGTCCCAGCGGCACTAGGGGGTGGTTTCCATTTCTCGAGTCGCAAGCTGACCGAGTCTGAAGAGCGGGCCTAGTCTTTCTGTAGGGGGAATTGTCTTTTACCTCAGCGAGACCCAAGGGACCAGACACCAAGCAGACGGGAATCGAGGATGCGGCATCCGTAGCTGAGCCCGCAGCGACACTAAAAGTTCGAGTCAATTCGAAGGCAGGATTCGAGATGGATTATGGTTGCGATTGCTCGGTCGCCTCGACGTTTCCGAAGCCATGAGTCGCCATTCTCAAACAACGATGCACTGGAGGCACGGGCCTGGACCGGATCCCCGATCGTAGTGTACCATGCACGGTTGCAGATGGCTCGACTCCCAGCAACCCTTTTTGACTTTTGTGTTATTTCTGCTCTATTTTGTTCCCCGTGAACGAGAGTATCTACTCGGGCTCATCATGACGCATCGAGTGAAGTTCCGAAGTGGGGATCCGTAGTCGGCATTGGACGAGGGACCAGCAAACAAGGACCTGTCGATGCTGTTGGCAAGATTGATTGTCCAGCAAGGGGTGGCCTAGACTTGAGGGAACTGTATCTAGGGAGCAAACTCGTCTGAGAAGCCGGAACATTCTGTCGTGGCCAAGATGTGAACTCGAGTGACAGGTCAGTGACAGTGACATGGATCAGTTGTGCAAGCTGAGCCGCCGACAGGAAGGAGACTTTGACGCGAGGCAAGCATACGGGGATCGGAGGGTGAAGGCAACTAAACAATGGCCTAAATTCTAAGGCCAGGGCAGAGCGCGTGGATCAGAAGCAAGCGTGATGGAAGCATGCCAAACAAGTAAACGAGGAGGCTAGAAACCCTGGAGAATGATTGATTGCCCGGATGCGCAATGAGCCCACATTGCTGGGGCTTGGGCGATTGATTTGCCAACACCAAGAGAAATGTGAGCCTGTGACAGGGATTGACCCATGGAGTCTACCATTCGGAGGCAGGAATGACATTGAGTACCTTCAGCTCGATTACATAATGCGAGATTGGAAACGGAAAAGCAACCCTCAGCAAAAACGAAATCACCCTCCAAGTACCCAGTAGGAGCGCAATGAGAAAGCAAAACAAAAAAAATTAATCGACAGCTTGTGCAGGGACAAGGGCCCTTGCTTAATCGATACCTAAGATATCGCGTCGGCCCCAGGGCACCAGGGGAAAGGCCAGGGCGGGCCTTAGTGTGTCGATGGCTCCCCATGGCTTGCATTGGCGGGTGCCAGTCGCCCGGCACCCTCAGTTCGAGAAATCATGCCCACAGCACCCTTGGCAGCTCCCACTAGGCCCACTGTGCCGTGCCATAGTGCGCCGGCGTGCACCCGGTACCTGCAGAAGCGTCGATCAGAGTTGATGCCTTGACGCCTCCTTTCACTGTTCACCTTGCCTCCACCTCACCCGCCGTACTGTACCCACCCACTTCTGCGTCCACTCACGCACAAACACCTCCAACCTTTTCTCCCAATCCGTCCAAATTGTCCCTCTCCCGAACCTCCTACTGCATCTGGTGTGTTGCTTTCCTGTTCTGACGGGTCAATGACATCTGACATATCGACGCCCACCTATCAAGCCAAGGAGCCTTTATCGAATAACGGAGTTTTCCAGGTGTAAGAGCGCTCCCAGAACGATACCTTCGCTGGTCTGCTAACATTGAGGTAATCGCATCTCAGCGTAGTGCTACAAGGACCAGGGACTTCGTATGTATGGGCGCTGCACGGGCACTACCACGGGGCGATTTGCGTCGAGTCAGCATCGCAGGACTCCGTCTCTTCGTGCATGTCACTTTTTCGTAAAGCCACCCTCCACATATTCAGCGATGCATTCGGGCCTGGCGGCCCGCCGTAGCGACCTCCATCCCAGCATCCCACAAATTTAAGAGGGGGGTCCGCACAGACGATACGGTTACTGCTGATAATTTTCCCTTTCTCCGGCAGGCGTTGTGCTCGTTGCTTCAGCCTGATTGACACCCAGTGGGTTTTCCCCTGCAGCTAGAATGCAGCTAGAAACGCGGCAGATTTTGGTGGATTGCTTCCACCCGTTAGACCCGGACGCAAAATGACAAGTCCAGTTCACCGCTACATGGCTGAAACTCGAAAAGCTGGGAGTTGGGGGGCGTTGCAATCCGGTGTCTGGATGAACAGACCTGGCTTTCGAACTACACAGCAAGGGCAATATTGGCGTTCCATTGCCGATTGCTGGACCTACGACCATGTGCTTTTCTGCGTGAGAAGCTGCGTCGATAGAGACCGGGATACCGAGTACTCGATCCATCTCGACTCAGTCAACACTTCCACTAGTCGATCTAGAACTTCGAAGCAACAATAGTAACAACAATCTCGAAAGGCCAGTTCTCGAGACTCCCAGTATGTGTCACGCGATTTGCCGACACGACTTTCTGTGACACGTTTCGCTTCCTATTATCTGTCCTTCAACTTCTCGACCGCAAGCCATCACACCTAGAGCACGGCTCTCAGCGGTTGCATTTCATCCTAATTGGCTTGATTTGTTGGGAGAAGATAGATAGCCCCCATTCCTTGCAACTGACCCAGTCAACCATGTGGCAGAGGGAAGTTGCCGGCTGCTGTGGTCGGGCCGCCGTTAAAGTCAAATTGCGCCACATGCAGAACTCCCCCTTGTGACAGCCAGATTATTCTGCAAATGTATGAGAAAGCTGGATTATTTCCATGCGAGCGCCCAGACGAAACGCAATGCTTTCTTCTCAGCCTCTGAAAGCTATTTCCACCTGACAAAGTCGATACAACACCTGCTCAATGGCCTCGGTATCAATATAGCCGCTCCCTTGAGATTGGGTGGGCTAAAAGATGTTATTCATCCCAGCCGCGCCCAGAACGGAAAAGAGGCCGGATGGAGGCGTGGTCAATGAACTTCTCCCTTGGCAAGCCTCAGGGAAGGTCGACCCTCGTTGTCCATGTGCCTTTCTAGCGCGGTTCCCTCCAATTCCACCATCTTGGTCGCGGAAATTATCTTGTCAGCCTTGCGCTTTGGGTATAGTCAGAGACGCCCTGTACTTGTGCCTCCAACGCCCACTTGCCGCGGGACCGCAATGATCCCACCTTCCTGACGATTGTCGATTGGCGTTCCATGATCGATTTGAAGGGTCCAGTAGTTATCAACTTGTCGTGCCGAGACAGCGTTGAAGGGTGATGACTAGACGCCCTCCGGGAAACGAGCTCCTTGACCATCCTCCATCAGCAGGATCAGGGAGGCTAGGATGCCTTTCCATGCTTCCGAGAGGGCTCTACAGAACTGGGTCTTGACCAGGCAGCCGGGTCGCATTAGGTACACGCCTCCCAGTGGATGCTTTGTGAAACAGCATCAATATTCGGTTTCGATTAATCGTCTGATCTATCTGGTGCCACCTGTGCCGGTGTCGGAGAGCGCACAGCGTCTCCATTGACTCGGTCCGTTGAGTAACTACCCAGCCATTGGTTACGGCTTGATCGAGGTGATTTGGAATGCACAAAGTACCTGTTGGGTGTCTGACAGCATTAAATCTGCTGCCAAAGTACTCACAGTGACTTTGACACCTCTGGAAGAGCTTCGTTGGGGAATTCTATACGTTCAACAGATTTTGCAACCCTGCCCTTTCTTTCCTTCCCCGAGACAAGGCTCAGTACTAACTAGATTAGATCGAGTATGCAACTGCACGGACCTCATGGACGTCTACCTGTCGACGTTTCACAGACAACATGATTTACGAACGGATCCGATGATCACCACAGATATGAAGGTTATTGGACAGACGCATTCGCAGACTGAGTCCTATCTAGTTGATCAACGCCAACACGACTGACGAGAACTTTCCTCCACGGAAATCGAAGATACGCTCTTCCAGCGCCTCGACGTTCCTTGCCACAGGAGGCGTGAAATGCAGAACTCCAACGCGACCTCTGGGTTCATATCAGTGGGAGGGCAGAGCGGACGTATTTCGACGGCGTCTGAAAATGTCCTTACATCGAATCCAGCTTTACTCGGATGGACCTTTGTCCCTGCTTCTAGTGAAGCGTGGCTAGCAACCCTGGAGGCCATGCCCCCTCCAGTGAAGCAGCACTGAATCTCACCGAATGCACGGTGCTCAAGCAAAAGCAACATCCCAATATCGATCCCAATACGTCAGTCACGGGTGCCTCCTGTTCCCAAATCTTCACGTCGCCCATCATTGTTATTCCGATGTTGACAGAGAGACAGAGACACGGTTCCAACCCCAACAACACTTTAAACAGTCCTACTCTTGATAATTCCTAGGAAGCAAAACTAAGAAGAGCGTGATATCAACTGATTTGACTGATGAGTAAGATACCACGGTCCCTTTTTCCAGAGTTATTTAGAGAACTGCATCGTCGTCTTGTGCCCAAATGTTTCGACTCGGTAGCGCCTGCGCGTGTCTCAACTTGAAAGGGGAAGACGCTGCTTAAAGACGAACAGCCGCACACTCTGATCCCGACAGGGGATGGCAGCATAAAGAGAGCTGATGTTAACATATATATTGGTAAAGTTCCAATCGCCAGTATGAGCATACCGGCCGCGCAGACGTTCAGACTCGTTTGGCTTACCCAGCTCATAGCTACCGCAAGTAACGGGTGTTCTGACCACCAGCCAATCCCAATACTATTGCACGCACGCAATGGTTTCAGACAGACCTCGTATAAAACATGATGCCTCGCGCGTCAGGCGCATTCATATCTCAGAACTCGATTCGTTCACCCCCAAATCACATTCACTTGATCCCCCTTCCCACAAGCCCGTTAGTGTTTTCTCCTTTGTGATGTTTCTTCCTATCGCCAGGACAATACCATTTCACGGTCCGAGGAGGCAACTCCGCTAGAGATACGCATTCCATGTGGAACCATTGACCGTAGTCACACTAAATAAAGAGCACAAGTCAGCTCAGCCCTTACAAGAGGACGGAAAAGGTCAAAAAGGGAGCGCATGATTTGCTGGTGCGAGGGTTGAACATGCCTTCTCGTCCATCTCACAACAAATCATCTCTCCCCAACTAACATCTCCGCAAAGACAATACCGCTCCTCATCTGGATCCACAATTTCTTGCCTTCCATCAACGTCGATCCTAATCTGAGGTATCTGGGCCGTGGAGGATGACTTCTTGGCAGGTTTGGTCTTACGCTTGCTCACGCTCACGGCAGCGCCTCCGTCTTGACTCGACTGCATGACTGTTCCCGGAGCATCACGTTTGCTACGGCGGCTCGCTGCTGTGGGGACGGCGATGATTGCTTTCGGACTCGGCCCTTGTGCTTCCCTCTCAGCGGGTGTCTTCTGCCCTCCAACGAGAGAAGGCGTGATGGACGCCCGTCGGCTCGATCTCGCGGTAGGTAGCTGGGGTTCCACGGATGCAGCGGCGGAGCGTCGCGAGGGAGGTCGAGAGGAGGCCGTCGTCGATGCTGGCGGGGTAGTCTCTGGCTTTGGTGCGACTGAGTTGCGCTGCACACTGGGAGCACGGGTTGTCGGAGCAGGGGTTGGTGTCTTGCTTGCATTGGCAGAAGCTATTCCCGGAGATGGAGCTGCAGCTGCAGCAGCCACATTGAGTTTCAGTGGAATTTTAATGGTTCCCGTACTGGTAGAAGGAGGAGGTTCGCTACTTGTAGCGGCAGGAGATGTAGGAGTTGTGACTGGGACTGGACTGACTGCAAGAGGCGATGGTTTAGGCGCAATCTTTTGCTTTTTTCTTGCGGCTTCCGGCTCCACTGACGGGGAGACCGATGAAGTTGGTGTGTCTTCAGCCTTTCTCTTCCTGGACGTCTTTTCTGTGCCTTTCCTTCCTGTCGTAATTGCCCGGTTAGTAGCGACCGGGGTGCTGGCACTTCGGCTCAGCGATGCAAGGGCTGAAGTGAATGGAGTCGTGAACAGAGTGCGAAATTTGGAGCCGATATCTCCCAGCCTTCGGGCTGCAAGTTCAGCCTCTTGGGCTGCAAGGGCTGCTTGCGACCGCGCAGGATCCGGCTTCTTCTCTTTCTTTTCATTTTTCTTCGTGGATTTGGTTTTCGGAGCAGGCGTGCCACTCGGGCCTGCGGCAGATTCCTCAGACTTATCCACGACCTCTGGCTCTTGCGTTGGGATGTCCACCTCCTCTGCCTTCCCCACTGTGTCTGCCGCGTCTGGCTTCTCCACGCTTTCTACCTGATCAAGGATTTCTGTTTGTAGTTTGTCAGCTCTCTCATCTTTCGGTGTTAGTTTTTCGATACTATCGATGTCGATGAACCTGGTCCCATTTGCTTGAGCTTCTGCCTTTGCACGGTAGTAATTGTCCCATCCTCTACCACGGTCTGCCAATTCGCGTCTGATCATAACATCGCTAGGCTCCCATGCATGGTTTTTCTTCATTTTCTTCCGGAGCCTGTACATCTCGTACTCAGTCAAGTGCGTCCATGGCCTGTACTTGCTTCCGATCTCAGCATCTTCGGGGGGAGGAGTTGGTTTGTGATAAGGCTCAGTTGCCTCTCGAGATTCGCGGGTCTTTTCGTCGCGTGGCAGAGGCTTCTGTTTCGGGAGCTTTGGCGGCGCCTGTGGCTTAGGTTGTTTGAGTTTGAGAACAGGGCGTGGAGGTGAAGATGGCGGGGATTCCCAGTCCGAGACTTCTGTACTTGCGATAGGCGAGTCGGGATCGTATGGTGGCATGACATCTCCCGGGACAGTGACGCGGCGGCCACGGGGTCTTTTGAGGATTGCGGAGGCGACCGCACTCCCACGGGGAGGATGCAGGGTTAGTCTCGTCGACGTGCCAGTCTCGATCTTTCTCCCGCTCCGTGATCGCTTCACTTGGCTGGAGGGTGTTGGCTGAGGAGTGGGATCCCGCGATGGAGGCTTTGGTATGGCGTTCAATTTGGCGATGATACTCCTCAATCTGTTATGATGTCGCTCCACGACGTCAAACAGCCGGCAGGCTTCTGCATATGCGGATTCACGGGCGTTCAGAGCTTGATCTAGACTCGTGGAGATTTGAGCGCGGAGCTCTTGGACGTTCGGACGGAGAGGGGGCGCAATGTTCGGGAGAGAGCCATAGAGCTTGGTAAGGTCATTGAGCGTTGAAGAACTGTTCAGATAGGTGTCATCGAGGCCACGGATAAGGGTCAGAGAGCGAATAAGATCGGAGGGGAGATATTCAGTATAGTCGAGAAAGTCTGTCACCGCAGCCTGCGCGTCGGGGTCGACAGCGCGGTTACTAGCGATCTCCGCCATCGTCGGCATCGAGGCCAAGTGAGACGTTATTGTAGCCGGCGCATCGGAGGGATGATCGAGGCTAGGAGGAACGATGGGAGCAGAGTAGATCGACTGGTTCTTGCTGAAGGGTCTTAATCAGGGGTTGCAACAGGAATTCATTTCATGAGGAACGATCAGTTATCACGGCAGAAATGAGATAGATGTGGTCGCGGCTGGCGTATTTCGTTTCGAACTTGTGTATACATCCCACCAAACCCTGCCGCAGTCGAACGCGCATGTCAAGTCGAGTCGCCATCGCGGCGAAGGCGGTGAAATACGGCAGTATTTCTACGCAGTCATGTGACTCATGGGAAGGGAAACTGTCGCGACCAACGCCTCAAGATTGCAGTTCTCTTTCAGCCTCGTTATTAATCGGCCTTCAGTTTGACCCTCCACCTCACTTCATAAGTTGTTGATACTAGAAAAGCTGCAGTATCAAAAGCTTGTCAAGACAACCAAGGCCAATGTGAGCCCCTTACTCCTTCCTGAAAATCTCAAGACAGACTTTCATCAACCCCTTGCAGTTTGATATCTCTCATACTTCACTCCAATCTTTCTGTTCTTTGTTTTCATTGCAGACTTGCTTCCAATCTAGCTAGTCGCTTTGTTGGTATCCTGTGCCTTCTCCTTTTCATAATACAGAATAAGGTCATTCAGAATTAACGAACGGCAATCCGTACCACCAATACCACTCCTTCGATCCCTCCTTTTCTTTTTCAAATCTGATAGCACCACGGTTTGTTATCCGCAGAATTCGCTTCTGGGTTTTGAAACTTCTCCACACGTGAACTGCCAGTGAGGCTGAGGTAGAATGGCCAGCACTACTCCTCAAGATCGATTGAATCGGTTGTTTTCCAACCAAGCACTTCCACCTGCTCCAACCCCCAATCAACTTCACTTCTCGGAAAAAGAACTAGAACAAAGAGAAGCAACAGAGCAACAGCCATGGAGGGTCCCTGGAACTGCGCAGGACCGAAATGAGACCAATGCAACCAAAAACCAACATCCGCAGAGAGATGTCTTAGTTCTCACCAGCTCCGACGACGACGACGATTATGTCGCCTCCTTTAAGCAGAAACCTTCCATGAAAGCTACTCCGAAGAGATCACAGCACAAATCAATTGCCAGGCTTGCACCCGATCCAAGTGGAAGTCCCAAGGCTGTTGAACCTGACGACACCATTCGGTATTTTGCCAAGGGGAAGCCCTCCAAACGCGAGTCCTCCCGATTCGAGACCGAACATTCTGACTCTGACAACAATGAGCTGCCGACCACAGACAAGAGAGGAAATCCGGCCTTAGGACACTTCTGTCAATTCGTCCTTGCTGCAAAATTCCCATACAAATACATGAACGATGTCGATGATCGTGTCTCGCGCCACTTCTTTGCATCCAATAAATTCTACAATCGGACCTGGGACCTGTAAGTTCTGTTGCTGGCGTTTCTATCTATCCTTGACAGCAACAAACCTATTGATGGACAGCTATATTGCTAACGCTGAAACTAGCCACTTCCTGCATCCTCCCTCCAGCTTGAGTGCGAAACCTATCTTCCTCGTCCCACATGCACAAGTTCAGGAGCTTGTGACGGAGATTGGCGAGGCCTTCAATATACCGGTCTCAGTACCAGCGTTTCCATTTACTCTCACATTTTACGAGGACGGAACACCCGGACCTCAACATTTGGGCCAATCACACTCCAAGGAAGAAGCACAAGAAATACAAAACAGTGTCCCTGATGCTGTCTCTGACCACGGTGAATGCCCACAAGATGCCTCGCTCGAAAGCAGACAGCAATTTGAGGACTTCGAGCATAAGTGTCGAGCAGCCCTCGCCGCGACTAGCAAGAGCAAAGGTGGGCGAAGCAAAAAGAAAGGAGGAGATGACCGTTTGGTTGCAGTAAGAAATTGGTATGTACAGTTGAGACGAGCTCAGAGGTACATGGGCTTGCGTCGAAAGACCAGCCAGATCCAACACCCAGACCCGAGCATGCCATGGGATGAACAGGAACAGTTCCATCAGCAACAATTGAAGAGAGCGCATTTAATTCTTGATCCCCTCGACCTCAGCGCGCCAGTTCCCTATCCCTTTGAAGCAGAGCCCGTCATTATTGCGATTGATATAGAGGCATATGAGAGATCCCACAACCTTATCACAGAAATTGGAATCAGCACTCTCGACACACTCGACCTTGTCAATATCCCTCCAGGCCCAAGCGGTAAGAACTGGACGGATCAAATCCGTTCTCGACATTTCAGAATCAAGGGCAGGGAGCATTTAATCAACAAGGACTTTTGCGTTGGAGATCCGAATTCATTCCACTTTGGCAAGTCTGAGTGGGTCGACCTTAAAGATGCCGTGGCCAAGGTCGACAGTTGTTTTGAATGGCCTTTCTCTGTGGCTCACAAACATGTCAGCATCATTGACCCCTGGGATGTCGAGCCAGACGGCTCTAGGAAAGAGAACAAAGTCCAGAGGCAACTTCCACCAATTTTGGAGGGGTTAGCGTGGGCCCAACCAATGCTGAACAGGACATTGCGAACAGAGCGGCTGTTGCCAGTGTTCTGTATGGCCTTGGCGATCAGGATGCCATCACACATGCCGTCAAATTTGCCAAAGAGAACAAATCGGCCACAGAAGTCTTGCAGCGTGGACCAAAAGGGCGCAACATCATTCTGGTCGGGCATGACGTTGGGAAGGACGTCGCGTATCTCCGGGATCTTGGATCCAAAATTTTCACGTCTTCCTGGGCAACGTATCCCATTGGCGCTATGGACATTATGGCCAACGGAGAAGGTTCTTCCAAAACATTGGCCTCCATCATTGATACACTTGACACGGCACCGTTGTATCGGATCCTGAAAGAAGAGATGCAAAACCGTAACCTTGCTTCGATAATGAAGGACTTGGGCCTTCCATGCTACTTCCCCCACAATGGTGGAAACGATGCACGATATACACTGGAAGCGCTCGTCGCAATGCTTATCGAAGCACGATTGAAAGATGATAGAAAGCAGGAAAAAGGTGCAGAGGAAGAGGAACGGCACAAATTGGACTCCAACGACAGTTAGGACCAAGGCCTGACTGCGAATGATGATCCGGGACGACCATACACTCCAGATAGTAGCCGACGAAAAGCAGACAATCTCGATCCTTTTGAGGCTTCTATCCTGCCTTCGTCCGAGTCTGAACTATCGCCACCACGCCAGAGAGATGACGCTATTGCTGCCCTTGTGGAAAGATTGAAGTTGGATCCGACTGTTGATAAGGAGCACCCAAAGCGTCCCTTGAACCAGGTATGTGGTGGAAAACAATGAAGGTATTATGGCGTCGCAGCCTTGGAAGTTATGTGCTTTTAGTTCGCCCGATCTTCCCTTCTTTTCTCACTCCCGAAGTCGTTTCCGGCTTCTTGGTGGCCCTGGCGTTCACAATGATTTCAGGTATGGAGAGATAGCAGGCTCCCATGAGAAGCTAGTTTTCTACGAGGGTCAAAGTTTTGTTTCAAGAGCAATTGAAGCTCGAGTAATTCTGTCCTCGATAAATTTGACTCTGACCTTCACTCCAGCTGATGTATGGTTTTTTGTGTCACACTCCTCTTGTTCTAGAAGTTGTAGTACAGAGAGAACGCCGTCTCTTGTCATAAATTCCCCAGTCCCAATGCTTGCAAAATATTTGTACAGTTGCTCACCAACTGGCTTTCTTAACGCCGGGAATGGTCCCTTCCAGCGCATTCATTCGGAATTGGAACTGCAGAAACACAAGACAGTCAGCACAGACATTCACGGCCTTCTTCACCTCCCTCTTTTCTCTTATAAGCTAGGGGTTGGAATCTTCCCCATTGTTGATGAGACTCGAGAGACATGTCAGGAACTTACCCTGCCCATCCTGAACTTCCTCAGCACACTCCTAGCCACACCACCCATTATACACCTATTCTTTATCTGCGTCGGCCGTGTATAGCAGTGCATATTTCTCAGCTCGAATTGCGCTTTCGTCCGCACCCAGTCTGGGAGAGATGTGTTCCGTACGAGGTAGCGAAGTGCTTGCCTAGAGTACTCGGTCGGGGTCAGGTAAACGGGAATTTGGAACTTGTGTGAATGGCTTGCGGGGGGAAGGGGGAAAGGACTAGACGTAAGACGAGGAAATGCGTACCTCTGCGGTTCAAATTGCTCGAATGTTTTCCGCTTTGTGTGGTCGCGGATGATTTTGGAGTTGACGAAACAACCCAAGTCAAGTTTCTTCGCGCGGAACTGTGCCATCATAAAAGGAGATCTTGGTGGGGGCTATGGAGGCTACGTGCAGTCCGACAAACTTGATGCTCGCAAGGCCTGAAGGTCACCAGGAACTGGTTTGCGAGAGTTAGAGGATGTTCACCTTCGCATTGGGGTTGGGAGAAGTCTGCGCAGCTACGGCGTGTCCTTGCTCTGATTGGCGAATTCAGCGGGTCACGGGTGTCACACAGCGCGAACTTCCATTCAAATGACAGTCACCGATGCCCTCAGCTTGACGAGATTGAGCTCTTACAGCTCGCTTTCTCTTCTCCTTGAAATGCGTTTGAAGTACACAAAGACGACTGCAGGGCTGTTAGTTGCATGACTCATCTCTTCCATGCACGCCAGCTTATAATAGCCAAAGAAGACGACTAGGAACGGCTTCAAACTTCAAGCACGCGAATCAGATTATTCAAATGCGTATTCGGACTTCCTCAGTGACTCATGCCGATCGAAGACTCACAGTCTCGTATACGACAAATTGGAGTTTTACCCGCAGCTTCGACCCCAGTTTGCCTCTTAAGCAATCAGCTACAGAAGCTAAATCACTGCCGCCCCGTATAAAATAGCGTGCAGAGACACAATGTAGGAGACCCTCATGTGAAGAGGCAAGTTCTCAACCCCCGAGAACAGCAAGGGTATAATTCTTTCTTTTGATCCAACCTCTTCTCTTCTATCACAGCGCCTCCCCGCATTGTAAAAATACTATGTCCAAGTCATCAAAGAAAAGCTCGTCAACGCCCTCCCTGCAGGATGGAACCATAGTCGTCACTAGCCAGCAAAGCCGCTTTCATGTGGATGCCGTGGATGCTCCAACTTCAAAGGATATTGATGTTAAGGATCTGACGCTATCCGTTGGGGGGCGCGGATTACTGGACCACGCACATCTACGGATCGTGGAGGGCGTGCATTATGTCCTGGCTGGGCGGAATGGAACCGGGAAAAGCTCGCTGCTGCGAGCGTTGGCGGAACGACGAGTACCTGGTGTTCCTCGCAATTTGCGTCTACTCTTACTTGGGCAGACGCGAATTAGTTCCGATGCAGTGACAGAATCTGACGACAGCGAGGGCGATAGCATCAAGGTACTTGAACACGTCACAAGAAGTGACCGACGCAGAGAGCAGGCTCTCAAGGATGCCAGCCGCATGTCGCCTCCCCCTGATGCGATGGCGTCTCTCATTCTAACGTCGATCTAGGTCTTGCCGCAGCACTAGAAGATAAAGCCGATTCCAGCAATATTGTGCCGACGGTACGGTCGCTTCAACTCGAGCAAGCTAAGCAAGAGTTGGTCGAGGCTCAACTTATAGCGGCACGACGGAGTGGTGCGCGAGGACTCAAGGCCCGCCAAATGCTCACAGAGAAGGAGAAGGAAGTGGAGGCGGCGCAAAAACGGTAATCTATTTTTGCCCATTCAATTGCTCTACTTACGATCAACAAGCTATGATGAAGCCGGGAGCGCCGAAGATGAACAAGAAGCGACCAGAATCGGGCTCGATATGCTGGAAGCGACACGTTCGGCACTAGAGGCAATGGACGCTGGTAGTACTGAGGCTCGAGCCCGAACGATACTCCTCGGCCTGCGGTTTTCCGAGGAACAAATTGAAAACCCCGTCAAATCGTTGTCTGGAGGATGGCAAACACGCTGTGACCTCGCATGCGCTTTGATTCAGAAAACCGATATACTGATGCTTGACGAGCCCACGAATTTTCTTGATCTGCCAGCCATTATTTGGCTTGAAAGGTACATCACGAAATCGCTAGCGGGGACCACTGTGATCATTGTTACACATGATCGCGACTTTGCCGACGCCATTGCTCACGAGGTGTTGCTCGTCCGGCTTGCTCCCGCCAAAACGCTGGAGGTGTTCAAAGGCAATTTGACAGAATATGAGAGCGAAAAGCGGCGACAAATCCGACGCATGACCAAGATGGCCGAAGCACAAGAAAAGCAGACGGAACACATGAAAGATACCATTGCCAAGAACGTCAAGGCTGCGAAACGAACGGGAGATGACAAGAAATTAAAACAAGCGGCATCACGGAGAAAGAAGCTAGAGGAACGGACTGGGCTTGAGGTTGGCCAACGTGGTGGTAGGTTCAAACTCAATCGAGACCTTGCAGGATGGCACAACTCAGTGCGCGATGGCATTGATATTCCCGAGTTTGATCCACCTGTTACGATAACGCTGCCGGAGCAGCCAGAACCGCTGCGTCATTCCGGGCCTCTGTTCAGCTTTGACAAAGTCTCGTTCACCTATCCCAAATCGGGCGTCTGGACCTTGAAAGATGTTGACCTAGTTATGCACCCTCGTGAACGTGTAGGGCTGGCCGGTCTGAATGGAAGCGGAAAGTCCACACTGGTCAAGCTCCTTATGGGAGCAGCCACTGGAGGAGATCCGAGACCATCCAAAGGCTCAGTCACAGTGCATTCCAAGGCGAAGTTCGGCTGCTATTCTCAAGACGCCGTCGAAAACCTGGAGACTCTCGGGAGGCAGGATTTGCAAAGAACGGCTTTGTCTCACCTGATGGGACTCCCGAACTGGACGGGAGATGAACAGGCTGCTCGGGGTACACTGGCAAAGTTAGGCCTCCGAGGGAACACCGTGACAGACATTCCTTTGGCCTCTCTATCTGGGGGGCAACGAGTGCGTGTGGCACTGGCAGAGGCTTTTTTTAATTCTCCTCATCTACTCGTCCTAGATGAAGTAACGACGCATCTGGACGCGGACACCATCGACGCGCTGATTCAGGCCCTCAAAGAGTGGCAGGGTGCTCTGCTCGTGATCACTCACGACCGGCATTTTATGCGATGTGTGGTGGACCGAGAGAAGCCAGTAAGGACCGAAGACGAAGGCGAAAGCAGCGAAGAGTCGGATTCTGATGCAGGTACACCCGGGGTGGTATACCACGTGCGAAAAACTGGGCTTCGAAGGCTGGACAGAGGCATGCAGCAGTACGAAGAGATTGTGGCTAGAATCGTTGACAAGCTCGGTATCTAGAGGCGAGGAGCGTTTGCTTGGCCCCATCATCAGTACTCGAACTGGGTGTCCCGGTACCGTTCCTCGCTACCATCCCGATCTCGAGGTTGGTGGTGGAGTCGGTTCAGTGACGTTACTTCTATCTAGCTGTTCCTGTGCCTCACTACCGGCGACACACTTGTCAACCACTGGACGGATCGGGATCGGCAGGTTTATCTGCAGGCCCAACCCTGGTATTCGACTCGGTTACAGCAACATGTTTCCTTTGGCGGCAGTCGGCCGGTGGACGAAGACGAGAATAACTTGTACTAGACCGACACGTGTAGCGTCTGCGGCTCTACAATTGGTGCCAAGGTCCCTGCCGGTGGTAGGGAACCACCAACTTTGCTGCGACCTCGCAGCTTCACCTGCTTCTGCCTCCAACAATCAACGCCATTGGTCTATAGACACCACGTCTTCCATCAAGCTGCAAGAAGCTCGGGGCAGCTTCAAGCTTGTCCTACTGCTGCTGATGCTTAAGCTGTCGACTTAACAATAAAAAGGCTGAGTATCCCTTGGAGCAGTCTGCTCCTTCTCTGCTCAATAGAGATCCCACGGTAGGTTGAGATCCTCGCTCGCTCCACATATATCTGCTTCCAACTCTGCCCATGATGCTCTGTCGTTGTACGTGGCAGTCATTGGCACTGCCTTTGCTGTCCTGCCCACTCGCCTATGCCCAAAGCTCCAGTTCTCAGCTCTTGGCCTATACTGTCCCTGCCGGCTTCCCTACCAGCTTATTTCCCTCGTACTATATCCCCCCTTCGCCAAGTCAAGAGGCAAGTCTTCCAACCTCAGATGTATGCATCGGGTTGTGCTGACAGACCACCTTTCAGCCCCAACCCGTCCTTTTTGACCCGGCACTAAATTATAGTGAGTCTCTTGAATGCCATGTGCTCTTACCATTCGAGTCTCTCAGAACGCTGCACTGGCAGAGAGTCTTCGTCGTGCTAATAACGAAACAGCTTTCCCCCTCGAATTGACAAACCAGACAAACATCCCGCAGGAAAGTGAAGATCCCGTCTTCTATCCAACTCCCCTCTTTTCGGTCACCAACGGGAGTGCAATTGTGGCCAATGCTATCAGCCAAGTCAACTCCATCCTTGCAACAAACGCAACAAATTGCACCAAATGTCTCTCGGCATTGGAAGTCGGGCAATATGTGGCCCAACGAGTCCCTACCATGGTCCCAGATCTGCTGGTTCAGTTGTGTATAAGCAGCGGGTTCATGTCCAACACGAGCTGTCATGAAAATTACGACGCCGAAAACTTCGGAGCTGTTTATACCCAAGTTCTTGCCTTAGGTAATATGTCCGGATCTGACGGCGAGTATCTTTGCAACTTTTTGAGCGGGAATTTCTGCCCGCACCCATTCACCCTTCCCTCAAATACAACGGGTTACTTCGGCCCGAAGCCTGACAATATCACAATTCCGAAACCCAGCGGCAACAGAGTCAAAGTCGTCCATATGAGCGATTTCCATATTGACCCAAGATACGACGTCGGCTCCGAGGCAAACTGCTCAAGCGGGTTGTGTTGCCGTTCCAATAACCCCAAGAGTGCTTCTGGTCAGCTGGAGATACCCTCACCGCTCTACGGCTCATTCAGATGCGACAGTCCTTATTTCCTCCTGACGTCAGCCTTGGAGTCCATCGGTCCTCTGACCGGCACGACGTTCAACAACCAAACCGAAAACGACCAGTTTGCCTGGGGAATATATACCGGCGATTTGGTTTCTCATGAGTCCCAGAATGAGCTGTCTAACAACTACACCCAATACGCCGAGGTTTCGATCTATCACATGATCAAGTCTTACATTCCTAGTGGACCTATCTTCGCCGTGCTTGGAAATCACGATTCCAACCCTGGTAAGGACAAGCCGGACCCTTGTAAAGAGAGGCATGACTGAGGACGAGGATACAGATGGGATTGATTCTCCGCACAGCATGCCAGGAAACCTGGGCCAGCAACAGTAAGTGGATCCCTCCCTTTCTGGAAGTCTCTGACTTGAGAGCAGGTCTTGGAATTGGAACCATGTTGCTTCGCTGTGGCAGCAGAACAACTGGATTTCTTCCGACGCCGCAAACGAGGCCCGCATGCACTACGGAGCGTACAGTATCAACCATCCCAAGTATCCACAGTTGAGGATCATCACTTTCAACACGGACTTCTGGTACCGAAGCAACCTCTTGAATTACATGTAGGCCAACTTCCCCATTCGGCGGAGAGAGGTTTGACTTCTGGACAGCAACACTACAAATCCAGACAACAGTGGAATGTTCAAATTTGTGGCGCAAGAGCTCGCAGATGCCGAGAGCAAGGGGGAACGAGTTTGGCTCCTGGGCCACGTCTTGTCCGGTTGGGATGGTTCCAACCCGCTTCCCAACCCTACAGGTAAGTCCGCGAGAGCTTGCCATTGCGGTGGTGAGATAGGTCAATGTAGGTTTTAATTTGCATTTGCAGATCTTTTCTATCAGATTGTTGACCGATACTCTCCACATGTGATTGCTGGTGTCTTCTTCGGCCACACCCACGAGGATCAGTTTATGATCTACTATAGCAATAACGGAACCACCCAAGATGCTGCGCATGCTATCAACGTTGGCTGGATAGGCCCGAGTGTAACCCCTCTCACCAACCTGAACTCCGGCTACCGCATGTACGAGGTGGACACTGGAGACTTCTCCATATATAACGCCTATACCTATCACGTCAACGTCAGCGCGTTTCAGACTCTCGACGCTGCCCAATCCGGCCCTGTCTGGAGCTACGAATACTCTACCAGAGATACATACCAGGTCGGATGGCCTGAGGATGCGCCTCTCAATGCAACGTATTGGCAGAAGGTCACCGAGGCTATGGCTGCAAATCATACGCTGGTCAGCATCCACAACACTTACCAGGGGAAGATGAGTGTCATGAGTCCCAACTGCACCAACAACGCGTGCGCGGAGGCCAAAATCTGTTACATGAGAAGTGGGAATGTCGCGTTGGGCAGGGAGTGTCCTCAGGGGTAGGTTTGCGATGGATGAAGCTCGGCCCGAGAACTTGCTAACAGCTATTATGCAGATTCGGCTCCGTCCAGAGCCCCTTTACTGGCAAGAATTTCTAAGCCAGTCGATAGAAATATCTCCGGTACATAATGTCCAAGGCCTGCGCAGTCCAGGTTGTACAGTTCACCAGACGCAAGTGGTAATAAGTTTAATGATATCAAAGTGACCGTTCCAGTTTGCATCGGCCAATTTGCTTGACGAGTCGCAGATTTTCGTTGAGTCCAAAAGATGTGTGTCCCCTGACAGCGTGGCTTGCGGGCTCATTGCCAGTCCGTCTCCGTCTCATATTGCATTTGGACTCTCCGAGCCCCGAAAGACTGGACGATTAAAGAGTGATAAGAAGGTCATCCGACCACATCTTAAGATTTTCACTGACATCCGAAAGTGCCTTTGGTTCCACATCTTTCATTGATTCCGGGCTAGTGACTTCCAAACAGGAATGCATGAAAATGTCACTTTGAGATGGCTAGGTCGCGGGCTATCCTCGCCTGCAGCACTTTGCAGATCAAGGATCACGCGCCTATTCCGTTGGACTTGCCTCCGATCGCAAAAGGTGAGATACATTGACATTCACCTCCATCACTCGCTGCTCGTAGGGCGGGTATATAAACCCATGCGCCCTCCTCATGGACGAACCAGCATCTATTCGGCGGTCAAACCCACAAATTTCTTCATCGCACGCACACCAGCACCGTCAGGATAACAACCACGCAACGGCCTTCCACAAATAGACACGATTACGACTGCGATCTTTCCTTCGTCATACACTTTGTTCACCCTCAAATCCCGTGCTCCTCACAGTCGGGTATACTTCCCTATCAACCCTCAAAGCGCACAGGCGTGCAGGAAATGTGCGTCTCCTCGCCGACGAGAAAGCACTGCCGCAATTGCGGCGTCCACTTCGCCACGGACAACTACTTCGAGATTGAGTGCGACGAGTCGATACGCAAGCGGCAGCAGCAGCATCACCGCCATCAACATTCACACCAACACAGCAGGTCGTCAAGGACCGATGCCGTCCGCGAGATCGGCCTTTGCAGATCCGGGGTGAGGCGACGGGATACCTGGACGGATTGGTATAGAGACTTGTGTCCCTCGTGCGGTAGCAGGGACGAGGCGCAAGGTGCCGGTCGAGAGTTGCTTTGACGGTCAGGGAATGTCGTCCCTCCTTGCGGCAGAGACGCTGTGTTGTGTGTTGTCAGTTAGTTGAACTTTCTTCGGTGATTACAGTTGGTATGTGAGATCGTCAACGGTGCAGAGATATTTGCGCAGCGGTGGCGGAGAGGAATGGTATCGGTTCTACAGAACGTGAAGCACAACATGTTGTCACTCGTGACGGACACCGTTTGTATCAATTTCTCCTGCGTCATTTTACGTCTGTGGACAGTATCACAGGCCGTTAGTCTGCCAGGCGCGTAGTACAGAGTTGCCTCGTCACTCAGCAGCTCCATATCTATCTGTGCAATTATCAGTGTGTGGCATCAACTGACCTTTTTTCTCCCGTCCCTCTTTTCTCCATTTCCCGCTTCCACGCACCAGGACTCTCCGCACCCGAAAAATATTATTATGTACGTACAAGAGCGTATAAATAGATATAAGATGTAATGAATAATAGTCTCTCGCAATCGACCATAGGATCAGGAAAACAGGGCTTCCCGTTCGCTCAGCCGTACTTAAGCCTGATGCCGGTCAGTTAGTACTACCGTGGGTGACCAGGTGGGAATCCTGGCTGTTGATTGTTTTTGTCTTTTTGGTCTTTGGATGTGTATATTTATGTGTTTGAGGATGTTGGAGGGGTCGGTCGATAGACGGGTTCCAAGAAGTATCTTGCCAGTATAATTACATGGTTAGGGTTGTCGGATGAAAATGGTTCTCTGCTGTGGTGTGATTGTGGCGGGTGAGTTTGAACGGGAACGGAAGGGTGGTGTTGTGTGGTGTGGGGATTCTCCTGATTGTTGGCAGCCTTGCCGCCGCCACCTGAGCCGAGATCGATACATAAGAGCGTTTGTCCGGAGCTCTTTTACTCCAAAGGAAAGAAAGACCGCTGATGCAGGTCTCGCACGTAAGGTAGAATCTGGCTGCTGGGTTCGTTCTTCTAGGGATGAATGACACAAGCAAGACAACAAGGCATGGTTTGTGGGAGTAGGGGAATATTGGGATATTCCTAGCCTGCTTACTTGCTTGCTCTAACTTAATACTTATGCTCAGCAGAAATTGAGCAGAGATGCAGCCTGTCACCTAGTACCAAGAACAAAGTCCCGGGCAAGAAAAAAGAAGGGAGGCCAGTAGCTGTCAAGAATAACATTCACCTGACAGCTGTCATCCTTTAGATTAGTCCTCAGGACTCCGTTGTATCATAATCCAGCCTGATTAAGAAGCGAATCTAGTCTACCGAGCGCCATGCACATCAGAGAGCTGCCCCATCCGCCGCTGCCAGCGATAATGCGAATGGCGCGCTTCCAGCGGGAAATCAGGTCGCTCACCTCTGCGCGAGTCCCGTCCCCGGACTCGGTCATGAGCAGGAGCTGCACCAGGAACGTGCTGACGATGGCAAAGTTGCCCTGCGACCAGGAATGCCAGAACGCGTTCCACGGGCCGATGAAGGACACCATGTTCTCCAACAGCTCGACAGTCTCTCGCGCGCAGTTGACCGAGCCGGTCATGACGGCGGCGGCTGCCGACTTATAGCTTTCGACCGGTGAGCCGCTGGTGCCGCCGCATTGGACGGGTCGGAGGAGGGCGCGGAAGAGGACGATGGACACGACACACGCCGCGAGGTGCACGGACGCGCTCATGCCCGGCTCGTCGCCGGAGTTGAGAGGCAGATCTGCCTTCAAACTCTGCCGGCAGTCGCTGAGAGCAGAGCGAAGGGGGCGGGCAAACTCGAGGGACTTGAACAAGTCCGAGGCAGTCTGCTTTGCCGCACGGATCGTGTAATAAGTTTCGTGGATCTGGGAGAGAAGATGCGTCAGAAGCACGAGTCGGTCAAACTCGTTGCCGTATCCCGTAACAGCCTCGTAATCCCCAGGCTTCCCGTCTCCTGACCTTGGCAGGGGCGCATCATAGTCGTCAGACCCTATCGATCGTCCCCCAGGCGAGTCCACGCTCACCCATATATCCATAGTAAACGTAGCCCACCAGAGCCGGTTTCTAAGCCGCTTCTCTGCCAAGGGAATATTCCATCCGCTGCAGTCGTATTGTAGGCCAAGAGACTTGGCCATGGTGACTGCGATCGCCGTGAGCCAGGAATATGTTGGCGTCAGCCCCTGATGCTGGATAGTTGGACCTTTCTGCAGCAGAAGCAGACAGGCTTGCAGGGCTTCAATGGAAGGCGAGCTCGCCTCCTGCAACAAGGCTGCAATCGCGATCGAGTACAGCTCCTCACGTTTGCCGTTTGCGTCTGTCAGAGTGGCACTCAGGTAATCATTGTGTATGGCAAATGGCAGCGCCGTTGCAAACACCGAAGCATACAGAGCAAGTGAGGCCGTATCCTGAGGAGGATCGTCTTGAGCTTCGCTGTAGGCTCCGTCACTTTGCTGGAGGATGGGGAACAAAGGCTGGACAAAACGAAAATACAGTCTGAGCAGCTCATCGCGTTGCTTCCCCAAGAGCAGACCCTCTATGTCCGACCACGACGCACGTTCCATCCACGACTTGCCGTTGAGCAGAAAAGGCGGATCCTCTCTCACCATCAATAAATGAGGACTTTCGCCGGCCAATGAGTCGTCATTGCGGTCTCTGGTACTTCTCAAGCGGACTCGGGATATCTCGAGCTGAGATGTCCCTTTCATCAACTCCGTCATTACATGGCGGTTCAGATGGCCCGTATCCGGCGGGACCTGAGACCGATGGAGGGTGCTTGAGTCGTGATACCTGGCGTCTCCGGGGGACGGACGCACGCTCACCTGCGGCTGGAAATGGCGAGGGCTCGTGCTCGCGTGGCGCCCATCAGAGGCCGGCGGCTGTGGAGGATGTGTGGGCGACCTTTGGTTCTGGAACGTCGGACTCCCGTCCTCGGCCAGATCCAGATTGTCGAAGATGGTGCTGTCGAACGCGTCCACGGGAAACTCTTCCCAGGTCGTCTGCGATATTGACGCCGCTAGACCATCCGGCTGCGGCAGGTAATGATGATGGTGGTGGTGGTTCGGCATCGAAGAGGAGAACCCCCGCCGTCGCTTGTTGTTCGGCCCTTTCTGGAACGTGCAGGTGCTCCCTCGACTCTCGCAGAAGGCGCACGGCGGCGAGGTCTCAATGCGGCACGCTATCTTCCGCCCTCGACAGGCGTCGCAGGGTCGATCACGCCGCGAGCGGAACGGTCGGGGACCTTCCTGGCGACTGGACAGGTCCATTGGGATGGCGTAGGGCGCATCCTTGAGGCCTGTCACGGAGAGACTGCATGATTTCCAAGGGAGCGGAGAGGGAAGGATGGAACGATACGATGGGAGGAGAATGTGTGTTTCTCGCGGGGGAGAGCGGGAATTGTTATCTCAAAGCGGCTAGTCAAAGTCGTTTGATAACGACGACGACGGTCTCTCTCTTCGGGCAGTTGCCCGAGCTTGGACATGGCTGGCTCCCTCCTCGCTCCTACTGCTCTATAGTTGTCGTCGACAGAAGTCAATTGTGCGTGAACAATGAGCCGCCTCCAAGCATGAAGCTTCTTATAAAGCTGCCACCCTGACGCCTTCGTTGTCGGGCTTCACGAGGTTTCGATATTGACGTCGCGCATCTCCGGGACCCCTTCTCCCACGCATGTTGCCCGTAAGGAGCGTCGATAAGAGGCCTCAGAGAAGTCGCCGTCGCAAAGCTGCCGAACGAAGCTGGCTTGAGGAACTCCATCTACTGCGACGCAACTCCACCGTCTCCTATAGAGATGCTGGGTCCATCAGGTCAGGTAAGAGCAAAATGCTATATAACCACAGGGAGCCCCCTTTCCAGTACGCTTGAACCCAGACGAACAAGTAAAGAGAAACTGTATGACCACAAGATGCCTTCGTTTCGCTCTTTAATCCAGAACAAAGCGTGCCTGATCGGGACCTTCGTCAGTTTCAATGACCCGTACAGCGCCCAGATCCTGGCACAGTGCGGCTTCGACTGGCTCATGATCGATATGGAACACTCGCCGCTCTCAGCACAGGAAATTACAGCCATGGTGCATTCCACTGTGGCGGCTTCGGCGGGAAATTGCGCGCCCATCGTCCGGATTCCCTCGCACGGCGTCGAATGGATTAAATGGGCGTTGGACAGCGGTGCCAGCGGCATCATTGTTCCCATGGTGAACACCAAGCAGGAAGTTGACGGCGTCATCAAACGAGCACTATATCCCCCAGCAGGGCAAAGAAGCTATGGGCCTTTTCGAACACCCTTTGCTGAGATCCCCGCCCCGCCGGACGTGGCCGACTACAAGCGGAAACGGTCACCGGAGGTTATGATCTTACCAATGATCGAATCGAAAGAGGCGGTAGAGAACGCCGAGGACATCATTGGAACGGATGGCGTGCACGGCATCTTCATCGGCCCTGTTGATCTGAGACACTCACTGGGCTTCGAGGGATCAACGGGGGAAGAACCAGAATACATCGCAGCCTTGCAGAAAGTGCTTCAAGTGGGCAAAAAGTTTGCAAAACCTATCGGGATTCTTGGCTCACAAGCTGCGGTCCCTGGTCTCGCAAAAATAGGATTCAGCTTCATCATGTTACCGGGGGGAGATGCAGGTATCCTGGCAGAAGCGGCCTCAGCGCTGCTCAAGGCGTCAAAAGAGTCCATTAGCTAGATCACAATCTATGCTGGTGCGCCAGTTATATTGTCGAAATGCCCTCCTTCAATCTTGCGAGCCTTCATTTCCAGGGCCTACCATCTCAACTGCCGTGTGCTTCATGTAGGGAATCTGTTCTTCGTTCCACTGAGCGACCAGCTTGGCGATCTCCTCTCCAGAAAAGTCGCCCTTCTCGATTCGTTCCCTCAGTAGCCGGGCACGCTTCTCGAGAACATCAAGACGGTAAGTCGACCACTGCTTGAACAGTTGGTCGTGGCGACTGCTTTTCTTGACATTGCCGAGATTGCTAACATCCTTCAGACTCGGGTCTCGTGGGCGGAACGAAGTAACCATAGTTACACGCTCTCCGGTTCCGATGGCTCTCAATGCGATATGCTCGATACAGCCTCCTTGCATCATCACAGCCCAGCCCACTTGTGGCCCTCTGATCTTGGCAATGGTACCGTCTCCCTTTCTGAGGCCAGTCTCACCACCGATCATGTTGGATGGGTCGGACAGCATGCAAACACAGACCCAGGGATACGAATCTGTGTGCCACCGACCAACTGAAGAGAGTTCCTCTGACTGGTCAATGACCGGAAGAGGAGTTGAAGGTGCCTGGTTAGGAGGCATTGCGGGCGGCAGCGCGGCGTCTAGCGGCATGCCATCCTCCAGGGCATCGACTTGGACGTTGATGTGGGCGATTTCGTAGTCGAAGACAACATCGAGATCAACACCCGCGGCTTCAGAGCAGGCCTTGATGACTTCCTTGCTACGCCATGCGGCATCAACGAACGGAGTATCTTGCGAATATCCCCTCATTTTATAGCAATTCTTCTTCGTCCTGTTGCCATGCTTGTTCACGACTTCTTTGCGGAAGAGGTCTGCCCGCATCTGCTTGACACCCTCAAGCGTGAACAACGGGAACGGCTCCGTAATGGCGACAGGCGAGATGGCATCTTTTTCCGACAATAGCAGCTCCTTCAAAGTAATGATGCTTTTTGGAGGCTCAAAGCACATATGTTTGGCAGGATCGAAGCGAACGGGAGCCGGAGGGCTGGAAACAAGAGGCTCGACCTTGACAAACGCATGGTCGACAGTTGGCAAGGGAAGAACACTGGTCTCGGCGGCCATGATGGGTGAACGGTTGGATACTGTGGTGCTGCGACTTTGTGAGTTTGGCTCTTGCTCTAGCTTACCTCGATCTTATAGACATGCCCCAGCCGTCAACTATCCCGCAAACTCTAGGATATTGGAGGCATGGCCGTCACAACGGGGAGCTTCATTGCCGGGAGATAGGTCATGTTTAGCTTTACGAGCTTCCTGTCGTCTGGAGTAGTGGAAGGGGAAGACGATTCCCGTATGGACGGGCAAGCAGACGGCGAACCGAAAATCGATCTGGCGGGCATCTCCTTCTTCAACGGTTCTTGCGCTAAGCTCATTTCGTGTTGTCGGAATCTCACTGCGACCGTGAGATAAGCTCCTTCGCCGAGCGATATTGCCCGTGATAGTCTCTCCTTCGACCGGGCGTTTCCCTATCTTGGGGAGGGCTTGGGGCCTCTCCAATGAGGATATGCAGCCTTGGCCGTCCACGGGCAACCGGATAGCTGGTTCCTTTGGTTCTATACCAAAATTCCACACTATCCACGTCCCCCATGTTTATCACAATGGAGGACATGGAGCCGTGGCAAGATCCCGTGGGCCTATCAAGGCAGATATGATAGGACCGAAAGTCAACCACGAGGAGATGAACCACCGATTTAATACAAAAGAACGGCCCTTTTCTGCCGGGCATGCACCAGACTTCTCCCGAGTTCAGTACTTCGACTTTAGAAAACAGGAGGCATCATGGGTATGGACAAAGAGACCAATGTTGGGACTGCGAGCCCAGTCTCAGAGGAGGTAGCCGAAGTGGGCTCCATTCGAGAGCTGAAGTCGTTGCATACGGATGGTCTCGACCCGATTTTTGAGCATCAAGCTCGACTCGTGAACCATGCTGTCCAAAAAATTGGCATGGGCAAGGTAATACCAAGAGACGCCACACATCATTGATGCGAATTGACATTTTCAGTATCAATGGGCCCTGTTCTTCCTCTGTGGGTATGGTTGGTTGTGTGATCAGGTAAGTCTCAAGACACCGCTCTGTTCAACGCAGGCTGATTGTTTTAGCTCTGGCAAACGACCGTCTCAGATGCGCTCGCTCAAGTAGCCGTCGAATTCACCCCGAAGCATTCAGCGTTCTTGTCTCTTGCCTTGATCGCTGGATTGGTTGTTGGAGCAACTTTCTGGGGGTTTGGATGTGAGATATCTCTGTCCGACCCATATGAGAGTACGCTGACTGTCATAGGTGATCTGATTGGGAGACGGCTGGCGTTCAATTTAACCCTGCTGATTGCCGGAGTTTTCGGCACCGCTGCAGGAGCCGCCAACAGCTTTGTGTCGTGTGCCGTTCTTGTCTCCTTCTGCGGCTTTGGCGTTGGAGGAAATTGTAAGTTCACAGGACTGAACTTTGCAGAGCTTCCACTGATCGTACAGTGCCCGTCGACTCTGCCGTCTTCCTGGAATTCCTTCCCGGCACTCACCAGTACCTGCTCGAAATATTGGCCGTTTGGTGGTCCGTCGGGCAATTTATCCCAGCAGGAGTGGCATGGGGATTTCTTCCCAACTTTTCGTGCAGCGCCGACACCCCAGTTGGGCAATGCCACAAGAAGGACAACATGGGATGGAGATACTTGATGTACACCATGGGTGGCATCACCCTCGCTGCTTTCTTTGCCCGCTTCGTCTTCTTCCGACTTCGCGAGAGCCCACGTTATCTGATTGGTCAGGGACGATACCAGGAAGCCATCGACGTTCTCAACGATGTTGCCAACTACAACGGCACCACGCAGCCTCTGACTGTTGAGGATCTGCTGCAAGTCGAGAGAGACTATGCCAGCTCTGGGCATCCTGCGGCCACCAAGAGGCCAACGTCCTGGGAACGCACCCTGGCGCAATTCCGACCCGGCGGCTTCAAGCACCTTCGAGCCTTGTTCGCGACTAAGAAGCTGGCCTACAGCACAGCACTCATCATCTTCGTATGGGGCTGCATAGGACTTGCGAGTCCCCTCTACTCGAACTTCCTGCCTGAATGTAAGCATCAGGACGTATCTGGAGAGATAATGTGAGAACAGTGCTAATATCGGAATAGATTTGGCGTTGCATGGAGCACAGAGTGGCTCCAGTAGCATCAACATCACATACCGCAACAACTTCATCATCATCGCATGCTCAATTCCTGGCACTCTGATGGCAGGGTGGTTCATTGGACTGCCATATATTGGCAGAAGAGGCACGCTCGGGATTTCCCTGATCTTGACATCGGTCTTCTTGTTCGCCTTTACCGCGGCGAGGACCCAAGCATCAATCCTTGCTTTCAACTCTATAACCAGCTTCGTGTCGTACATGTGAGTACCTGTGTCAGGATCTTCGGTATTCGACTTGTGCGCTGACTTGTAATGCAGTATGTGGGGTGCGTTGTACTGCTACACACCGGAAGTCATCCCCAGCGTGCACCGAGGAACAGGTTGCGGCCTGGCGGCGGCATTCAATCGAATCTGTGGTCTCATGGCACCCATCATCGCAACCTATGTCGGCTATACAAACACTCCCATCTTCGTCTCGGCGAGTTTGTACATCGTTGCTGGGCTGGTGAGCTTCCTCTTCCCGTATGAGACAGCCGGAAAGGCCAGTCTATAGCGCGCACGATGCGAGATAGATTTGTATTCGTTCCATTTTAGGTCTAGCTTGATGGAGCCGTACCACTATAGAAGGAGATATAGCCGGGACCAATCACTTGTTGAGGTTGTTCACCTCATAAGTTGCCAATTCCGATTGAGTCGGTTCTCTTCTCGGTTTCAAGCAGGAGGCGTGAATCCCAAGTCCTGCAGGGACCACGGTCTGAGCTCTGCGAGATCATCCGGGTCTTTTTCGCCCACGGGGTTTGCAAACTCAAACAGGAATTGCAGCATCCATTTGTCCATGCGGAAGGACGTCTCTTTATATTTCTGGCACGCTTTGTGAAACTCGCGGAACCGCGTGAAGCACACGTCCAAGGTGGGCCAGAACGTCTGCAGGCGTGTCAAGATCTCAAAGTTCCTTTCCAGCCGCGATCGCGCAGCTCTGATTTGTACCTCGTTGGTGCTGAAGAGCAGGATGTGGAGTTGGACGGTTGACGCAATGACCAAGACGTGCCCGACCATTGTGTAGTATACCTCGCAGCCTGGGGTGGAATATGCCCGGTACAGGATCTCGCAGAGCCCGATCGAGTGGCCCTTGCATTTGTCTGCGTAATATCGCGCATGAATGGTATCGTCATATGAATCCTCGTGCAAGTATGGGTAGTACAGTAACTGCCCGTAGTGGTAGTAGCCCAGGTACACAGCCACGAACATTGGACCGAGCCCAATTGTGGCGTAACGTGACAGGTTTGCATGGGTGTCCTGCAGCCCGACGGGCAAGTTGTTGTACCAGCCTTCTAACTTGGCAGTGAGTGCATCAACGGCTTCCTGGTGATGGATGCTGAGGTGGGAATGGGACGCCGCCAGTTCATTGACAGTGCTGATCTCAAACAGGATCGCATTCAGCTTGATCATCTGTGTCAGCAGCGATGCGCTCGACTCCTGCAGGCTGGATGGGCTTGGGACGTCAAAGCCATCGGAGCGCAGTCCGTGAAACACTGTCTCTTCCATTGGATAGGGAACGTCATTTCTGGGCGTCAGCATTCGCGGGATCCGGACACCCCTTGAAGACCAGACGTCAATCATACAGAGCGTCCACCACGCTCGCCGATTCACCTCCTGCTCGGCGCGAGATGGAACGGCCATGTTGGGAAGGTCCAGCAAGAGCGCATTCCGACAGGCCACACTGTAGAAGACAGCCTCAGCCGCAGCCTCCCCTTCCGTGATGACATAGGCGCCCAGAAGGACAGCCGCCTGCAACGTCGTCAAGGAGACTTCTCGCGGGTTGAAGAGATGCTCAGCTTCTAAGGCATATGGCCTGCCCCGGATCCGTGGATCAATTCCGGCGAAGAAAGGATCTTCTGAAAACCTCGCCGAGAGACTGATCATAGCAAACAGGATAACCGTTGGGACTGTGCCGTTGACGACATCTTCCATCACGCTGGGTGGATGGAAGAGGGAGTGAAAGGTATCATGAATGTAGCGGAAATATAGCTCCACAAGCTCTATGCAGAGAGGACGGGATGGTATTTCCGTCCTGATGCTCTGGCACCGAGTCATACCCGATACAACATTGTCAGGAGTACTGGTCGGTGATTGTCCAGGCCAACTTCCGTTGGTCTGGAAGGCAGGCGCAAAGGAGCAGTTGAGGTTGCGGGAGCTACAGTAGCCACATGGCGAACCACGGACGGTGACTTCACATTTCCGACGACGAGTTCTGAGGGAGATTTAGACTTCAAGATCGCAAAGGGGTTTAGAAACACGCACCGACAAACGACACATGCAGTAGGAGGACGCATGGTCTGGGACTGATACTCTTGGGTCGAGGTGCGAGGCGAGTCGTTGGCTCAAGGACGGGGAAGCATGATGAGGGTTCGACAGAGATCGGAAGCCTTCTGCACAGATCAATCCGACACATATTCTAGCATCGATCGGAAGCTGTATCAATGCAATGATATGGCTGCCACAAATGCGGGGTTGGATATTACATGGAAAGATGAATGGGACGGATGGAAGCGGGGAAAGAACAGGCCTATGAGACATGCCGCCAGCGGGTTTCTTTTCCGAGACGAAAGAAATCAAGAACTGAGAGAAAGTGGCAAGGCAGTATCCCTGGCAGGATGGCTACCTGGTATTGACCTCCATCTATTCCATCTATATAGAAACCCGAGACCGCAAAATCTCGATTGTCTACTGGTGTGTCTACCCTTGATCCATCCCATCCATACTCACAGCTCGTCCTTGGTCGTTGCATATCTGGGGGAGCCGCCGCTCAAGTTCCGCAGTCTGAACATGCGAATGCCGTGTCGGGGAACATGAGCTCGCAGAACGTCATGCTTTGGGCCAATGCTACCCACACGCTTGCCCAAGAGCCGCAAGTCAGCCTTAGCCAAACCCTCCTTATACGGTGTCTGAGTCGCGTTATACCAGGAGCTCTTGTGTTGGGCTTTCCCATTGAGGATCTGTTTGGCTGTAGAGTCATCCATGCGGTCGGCCCACAGGTCGTAAATGTCGTATTCCTCCATGGTCTGCGGCGCCGAGCCTTCGGGCCCTTCGTGCAGAAAGATATCGTTGAGGGTCGTTGTCATTTCAAGACCCTCGTCAGCAGCATTGAGGAAGATGACAACTTGGTCGTGCAGCCAAAGAGGGCCACTCCAGATTTGAATCTCGCCTTGTCCGTACCTGTCCTTCTTGACCTCTCGATCATGGAATATTTGAGCGACCGATTTTCCGAGAGGGTCTTGACTGACCGCAATGACGGCCGGATTATTCAGGATGGTCAAGGCTTCGGGCGACAGTTTGCGAATGTCGGTGCCGATCAGCAGCGGAGATTTCAGAGCAGCCCACATCGAAAAGTGTGCCTACATGCCAGGGATTAGTCAAAGGACGGACGATGAAGCCCACAACCGGTGTACCATACTTTGTATTCTTCATCCGTCATCCCACCCTGTCCGACTTCCAGCATATCCAAATCGTTCCAGCCACCAAACTGGCCCCGATCGACGTAGGGTGCAACTTTGTTGATGATATTCATGACCGAGCAGTGAGTGCCTGGTGCGACACAGTGCGGATCTCGAGGATCATCGCACGCACACAGAGCATCTGGACGATTGAAGTGGTCGTAGATGTCGCCGGATACTCGCCAGGAATTGGCAATGGACATACCCCAAGTGTGCACATAGTCCTCTCCCCAAGAACATAGCGAATAAAGAATTGGCCGACCAGTAGCATTGAGAGCCTTCGCCATCTTGTTGTAACGGTTGAAGGAAATTTCAGGATAGCCAAATCGGCCACGATGGTAACAATTGTCGTATTTCAGGTAGTCGACATCCCATGACGCCCAGATATCTGCATCTTTCTCCTCATTGTCCAGCGAGCCCTCGTATCTGGCACACGTCATCTCTCCAGCACTCGAATACATGCCAAACAGGAGACCCATGTCGTGGAGTTGACCAGCGATCCATTTCATGCCGTCGGGGAACTTTTTCGCATCGTGTCGAAGATAGCCACCTGCGTCGCGACCATCCGACCAGCAGTCGTCAAGGACGACATACCGATAGCCCACGTCCTTCAAGCCGCTATCCAGCAACACTTTCGACGTCTCGAGCAACAGCGATTGTGAGACATCACAACCCAGGGAATTCCAGTTGTTCCATCCCATCTGAGGCGTTCTAGCCAGACCATTGTTGACAGCATACACCGAAGTGGCTAGGATGGTGGGGGCGAACAGAAGTAACATCGTCTATGGGTTGAAGGAATGTTTGAATACACAATAGGTCATCTGGGTTGGCACAGAGACGCTCAGATCGTCATTTTATAGAACGAGAATCACACCGGGGATTGCACCTTCAACTCTGCCGTAGGATCCGGCGTTGGGGGACATCTCAGCATGACGCAGCGTCTGTATGGATCAGAGAAGTCGTTGGAGCTGGAGGGGCGTCTGGCCACAATCGAGGGTGATGAATGGAAAGGTCTTCGTGGAGGCGGTCACACAAGGAACGGCATGTTGCCATACGAAAAGAACCGAGTCAACGAGCGGACGAATGAGGAATAGAACAGCGGCATTTGTGTCTGGTGTCGATCAACCCTTCAGACGGTTGGTGGTTGGTGGTTGGTGTCAGTCCTCCGCAGTTAAGACTCTCGCTGTCACTTTGCGGCGTTTGTCAATTCCGCCGCCAACAAACTTGCCGAGACTGTGAGCCAATCACGTGCAATCAATCCCGCCGCCCCCCTTTTCCCCTTTTCCCGCTTTCCCGAGTTTTCCTGCGCCAACATGCATTCCCCGTCATTTCTCATCACCACCACATCCGAGTCCATCTGTTTCTCCGAGCGCTGGACTAGCGCGCAAAGGCAAAAATCCGGACGTGTCGTTGTGTTTTCACGTTTCCATCTACCCCATAAGCACGAAGCAATACAGCCTCTCTCCCCAATGGCACGTCCATGACCCACACAATCTGGGGTCTTTACCCGTGGATTCCGTCCCCTCGCGTCTTTTCGCCATTGGCCTAGTTCTGCCCAACATTACGCATCAATATCTTTACGCGACAGGAGGCTCCGTTCGCGGCTCTAACCGCTCGCTTCGCAGCTAACGAGGGGGGTTGACCATTCCTGTGAGCGGTGAGGATGCCCTGCAGACTGCAATGGACAGTAAGGACTCCGAGCTGAAGAATACTCCTACCAACCTCGAATGTACCTGACCGCGATATCCAGACCCTGATTCCGTACCCAGCACTCCATCGAGGATAAGTCTTGAGGACGACGACCATTCAGGCGACCGCCCGCTGTTGGCCAATGCAGAGGCGGCCGATGAGAATGTCCAAGTACGAGACTTCTCCCATGATGGAAGCGCGAGACAGTTACCCTCGCGCCGTGAGTGGCGTGGCAGCAGAGCGGAAGAGGGGAATAGCACGCTTGACCGAGCTGCCTTGAATCATTCCCATTTTGAGCACAGCTTGACCGTACGAGAAGCCATCAAAGCGTACCCAATGGCCGTATTCTGGTCCCTAGCCGTCAGCACGTGTGTGATTATGGAGGGCTTTGACAGCATCCTGGTCCCCAATTTCTATGCTTATCCAACCTTTCAACGAAAATGTACGTCGCTTCTCCTTCCCGTTAATTCGCTCTTCCGAGCTGCTGGATGCTGAGGATGCTCTTGCAGATGGCGAATTCGTTGGAGTTACGGAACAGACGAAGTCCGGGTATCAGCTCAGTGCGACTTGGATGGCCGCAGTAAGTCTCGGAATTTCCTACACTGCGCTCCAAGCATGCTTGAAACATGAACATGTGGTGAAGGCTAATCACAAACCGCAGATTGGAACGGCGTCGGGCGTCGGCGCCGTCCTGGGCACAGTATTGAATGGCTATCTGGTTGACCGACTTGGCCAGAAGCGAGTTCTCCTTGGCGCCCTGTGCGTCCTCGCTTGCCTCATCTTCATGACTTTCTTTGCCCCCAACATAGAGGTCCTGATGATCGGGCAATTCTTATGTGGTTTCCCTTGGGGAATCTTTGCCACGGTCGCGCCATCTTACTCCAGCGAAGTGCTCCCCATGGCACTCCGGGCTTACCTGTCGAGTTTCACAAATATGAGTTTCATAATCGGACAGATTATCTGTGCGATCGTGCTGAGGATCTTTCTGGAAAGGGACGACGAATGGGGATTTCGAATACCGTTCGGATTTCAATGGATATGGCCGGCTTTCCTCATTCCTCTGTTGTCGTTTGCGCCAGAATCACCCTGGTATCTCGTCCGGAAGGGCCGTCTCGAGGAGGCTGAGAAATCACTCCGACGCCTCCAGTCGCGCACAGCAAAGATTGATCCCAAAGACACGCTCGCGGACATCATCCACACCAATAACCTAGAACAGTCGTTGCAGATTGGCACGTCTTACACCGACTGCTTCCGGGGATTCGAACTCCGACGAACCGAGATCGCCTGCATGTGTTTTGCAGGTCAAAACTTCTCTGGGCTCTCCTTCGGGTATAATGCGACATATTTCTACGAGCAGGTCGGGCTCAGTGCAGAAACAACGTATACCTTGAGTCTCTTTGGGACGGGGTTGGCGCTGCTCTCGACTTTGGCGAACTGGTTCCTCGTCATGCCCTACTTCGGTCGTCGAAGAATTTACACCACTTCGATGCTGGTCATGGCTCTCATCCTCTATGTCATTGGTGTCTTAAACGTCTGGACCTCCCACGTGTTCGTCGCCTTCACACAGGCGCTGCTAACCCTCGTGTGGACCATAGTGTTTCAACTTTCAGTGGGCCAATTAGGGTGGTCCATCCCTGGAGAAGTCTCTTCTACTCGACTTCGGACCAAGACTATATGTCTCGCGCGCAATGCTTATTATCTCGTTGGTTTTATAGGAGGGGTGGTCCAGCCGTACATGATGAACCCGCAAGCATTGAATTGGAGCGGTTACACGGGCTTATTTTGGGGCACCACAGCCATGCTCACGTGGGTGTGGGCCTGGTACAGGCTGCCCGAGACGAAAGACAGGACTTATGAAGAGCTGGACATTTTGTTCTCAAAGAGGATCGACGCGCGAGATTTTGAATCGACCAACGTCTACGCCTCGGACGAGAACGAAATGCAGCGCTTGACGAGGAAAGCATGCAATGATACGGCGGCCGACGGGGATACAGAGTGGGATATTGTAGATCAGCGCGAGCGATCGACCAATACCGACGAGGTTGAGGGAAGCGGCCGGGGCGCTAGTGCTTTTCGAGGGGTGGGCGACGATGAAGAGCGGCTGCTAGGGGGAATCGAGCCCGGGGAAGACGTTGACGGGAAGGGTTAGTTCACATTGAGCTTTCTGGTCTGGAATACGATCTAGGAAGAAGCTTGTGCATATACTCCGCACGGCAGCTGGACGACGCAATGGGAGCTCTCTATCTATTTCCCGATCCCTGCGGAAAATGGGTTCTATGTTCGAGAGGCACGACTGACTTGAGCTGCTAGAATCGGGCCGAAAGAAGATGCGACGACTAAAGGTCTTGGACTCGACGATGCCACCCACTTTTCTCCCCCGCATCGCTTCGGCCCTGTGGACACCTTCTCGGCGCCATCCACGCCTTCGACACGTTCTAGGCTGAGGCTGATCGACCCTTCGTTGGTAGCACTAGTGGTTTTACTGGCGACGGACCTTGCCTGCCAACCGCCGTTCTGTGCTGCTTCCTCCAACGTGCCTTCAACCATCAGCAAATCATACGACTCCAAGCCCGCCGTTGTCCGCCACCATCGGCGTTGTGTGGCTTCACCTCGTTGTATTCCCCCAAATCTTGCTGAGTGCAGGAGACACTGACAACAGCACGCACCATGGCGGCTTTATTTGCTTTTGGCGGGAATGGACCCGATTCTGCGATACACGCTGACGAAAGACTCCTGCGACTGAGGAGGAGAAAAACAACTATAACTACCAGCTTGCCCCAATGCTCGGTGCTGGGAGTATCGCAACAACTCTGAGGCGAAAAACGTGCAAAACCTTATCCAATTCCAAAGATACACTCACACTATCGCAGAATGTCGGAAAAAGGGCAGGATGTCATCCACTCCGAAGAGCCCAACGGCAACTTCGATCGCACATGGCGGGAGGAGCAGTGGGGGGACAAGAACCTGAGTGTCGCGGCTCAGGATGTCGCCAGGGACGAGAAGGACATGACAATCCCCCAGGCCATCAAGATCTACAAGAAAGCCATCTTGTGGAGCTTGGTTATTTCAACCTGCGTCATCATGGAAGTAAGTCCGCCGCAGTCAGAAGACTCTTTTACTCAGCGTCAATCTGACTGGATTAGGGATATGATACGAATCTCCTGGGCAACTTCTACGCATACCGTGGGTGGCATTGAGAGTCCCATCTCAAACTTACATTCATGGACTGATCATCCGTATAGCATCCTTCCAGAGAAAGTATGGTGACTGGGTTGGCATCTCGAAACAGACGCCCACTGGCTATTCGCTGACTGCTGGTTGGCAGTCTGGTCTGGGGCAAGGTAGTGGTGAGTTTTCAACGACAAAATACTGTGCTCCAGAGCATCGGTCGTTAACAACCATCACAGGCTGCGGTTCCATCTTAGGCACAATCCTCAACGGGTGGCTGGTCACGGCATTCGGTCCTCGCAAAGTCTTGCTGTGCACCTTGTCTGTCATGACCTGCTTCCTCTTCATCGTTTTCTTCGCGCCCAGCAAGGAAGTACTCCTCGTGGGCGAGATTCTGCTGGGGTTCGAATGGGGCATCGTAAGCCATCAATGCCTGTTCCCATTCAAGGTCTCAATGCCAAATACTGATCCGCTCTCTCAGTTCGCCACCACAGCTCCGGCCTACGCCTCGGAGGTGCTCCCGCTGCAGCTGCGCGTCTTCTTCACCTCGTACGTGAACATGTGTTTCATCATCGGCCAGTTCATCTCCGGGGGCGTGCTGCGCGGCCTGGTTGGTCGTAACGACCAGTGGGGGTACAGGATCCCTTTCGCGGTCCAGTGGCTGTGGCCGGCGTTCCTCATCCCTTTGATCTGGTTCGCCCCGGAGTCGCCGTACCACCTGGTCCGCCACAACAGGCTCGAAGAGGCTGAGAGGTCGATTCGCAGACTGCAGGCCCCCGGTCCCGGTCTGGACCCCAAGAGAACTCTCGCAACCATCGTTTACACGAATAACCTGGAAGAGCAACTCGCCGTGGGAACGTCGTATTTTGACTGTTTCCGCGGGTTTGAGAGACGCCGGACCGAGATCGCCTGCGTGGTCTTTGGAGGTCAACTCGTGTGTGGGCTCTGCTTTGCCTATGCTTCAACATACTGTGAGTTTGTTCCTTCCAACAGACGCAGATCTTTTCACTCCTAATACGCTCGCAGTCTTCCAACAAGTCGGCCTGGACACCAAGGCAGCTTACTCCTTGGGCGTTGGAGCCAACGGGCTCGCGCTCCTGGCCTGCTTCGCCAACTGGTTTCTGCTCATGCCGTAAGTCAAGACAAATTTTCATTATCCCGACTTCCTCCCATCCGCCTCACATTCTGACGCTGCAAATTTCCCAGATATTTCGGCCGTCGCACCGTGTACGTGTGGGGGATGTTCGCCATGGCCGTGGAGCTGTGCCTGATCGGCATCCTCAACGTGTGGACCGACCGTCCCTCCGTGGCGTGGACGCAGGCCGTGCTGACCCTCGTGTGGACCGTGACATTCCAGCTCAGCGCCGGCCAGCTGGGCTGGGCGCTGCCCGCGGAGATCGGGTCGACCCGGCTGCGACAGAAGACCGTGTGCCTCGCGCGCAACGTGTCCAACATCACGGGAGTCATCGGCGGCACCCTCGAGAACTTCTTCATGAACCCCAACGCCTGGAATCTGCAGGGCTACACGGGCTTCGTGTGGGGCGGATGTGCCTGGCTCGTGTTCATCTGGGCGTTCTTCCGACTGCCAGAGACAAAGGTACGTTTGTTATTCTCTCCTCTCCCCCTTTCGCCCCCTCCCATTCCAGGCACGCAACAAAAGCTCTCGATACCGACGAAAAACTAATCACTCTCTCTCGACGCTGATATCCAGGACCGCACCTTCCACGAACTCGATATCCTGTTCGCGAAGAACATCCCGGCGCGCCAGTTCCGGACGACCCAGATCGACGCCTTCGACGAGCACGCCCAGAACCAGCTCGCCGCGCGGTACAACTCGTTCTCGGTGGACCGTGACGGTGACGGCCACAGCCGCCTGCAGTCGCCACGCCGCCCGTCCTTCGTGCCCGCCGTGACCGATCTGCTGGCGAGCCACGGCCGCGCCGAGGACGCGCTAGCGCAGCGCAGGGGCTCGATGGTCACAGCCGCGACGCCGAATGGGTCGCGCAGACCGTCCATCGCCCCCGCTGTCACGGAGTATTTGAAGACTCATTGAGGTTTCTGACCAGGGGGTGGGGGAAATTGATGCGACTCTCCTCCTGTTAGGAACTAACTGTTGTAGTTAGTCGCAGCGATGGGAGAAAGGATATTAAGGCAGCACGTTCAATGCAGCGGATTTACTTATGAGTCGCGTATGGAAAACTTCGATGTATCGGGTGGGTACTACCGGTTGGTGGGTGTTATGGCGCGAGCAGCTGTACCGTGCCGTGCTTTGTTTTCTCCTCTTGATCCTGCTGCCCTTCTCTCTGTCTCATACTAGTACGTGACTCTTTGTATATATATTTATGTGATTGTGTGTGTGTGTGAGAGAGAGAGAGAGAGAGTCCAGCTATATATAGCGCATGGTACATTAAACGAAGCTGTCGCGCCCGACTCCGGATTTTACAATGTTCTGAACAGGAATGTCATGGCACCATTACATCGATAGACGGGGGCTTCTTCCAAAGTAAGCCTCCCTTTCCATACGGGTTCCTGTCTGTTTCGCCGCAAGGTGTGAGTGAACAGCACGGCTGATTTGTTGTATTGATAATATACAAGTATAAAACAAAATATGGCTACAAAGTCACACAGCCAGCCCTGGGTAGGTGGACAGGGACTGCGACAAGGATTGCCCGGGCAGCACATAAACACCGCGTGTCCGGTGGGATATCGTTCATGCAATGCACCAACCACCCACTCACTGATCACAAGGGGTGTCCTTTATATCGTTCGTTGATGACCCGCAGATGTTTTGCCTCCAACCCAGCACATCCGACTTTCTCCTTCCGACACAGGTTGCAAGTGCTTCAGGGATACTATGTCCTTTACCCCTCCTAATCGACCCCTTTACTCAAAGTCAGAGAGCCATCTTGGCCATAGGGGCCTTCACCGGGTCTCTGTCTAGTCGTTTGACTATGTCCAGGGCAGCCTGCACAAACACAGGCAAATCCGGTTGTGTCAACGTGGGAGAGCACAGCAAGGGTCGCTCTGCAAGACGAATCTCTTGTCTCGTAGCAGTCGTGCCGGTGTATGTGACGTGGTCCAAGCAGAAAGACTTTGCTGTGGGCTTGGTCGTGCGCGTGGAGGTCGACTTGGGACTAGACTTGGTCCTAGAGAGCTTGAAGGACTCCATCAAGAAGAGCCGCGAATCAATGTCGATGACGTCTACTGACCGGAGAATATATTCCTGTTTCTTCTCGGCCATCCCTCGAGAGCTTTTCTTGCCTGCTGTCGCTGCTTCTCGGTGAGTACCCTGCTTTTCGTCTTTACCGACGACGCGCTGAGCCCCTTTGTGCGCCTCTCGCAAATCGGGGTGTACTTGTAGGCCGACAAATGGCAGAAACACCCAATCCGAAGAACTGTGACCTTGCGCATTGCCGACATAGGCACGCAGGGCATTCGTCAAGAGTTGTACGGTGTCGCTCTCGGAAGATCCAGGGTAGACGAGGTCTTGCTTGAGCCGTTGCGTGAATTGCACGTCCACGTGAGAGTGTGGACACAGCACCGTAAAATGCTTTTCTTGGTGAATGGCCGATACCCGAATGATTTTGAGTCGGGGTCGCTGTCCACCAACAGCCTCGCCTGCGGTGACAAACACCTCAAAAGACGGCAAGTCTTTCGAGATTGGAACGGGTGAAAGCTCAAGACGCAGTATAGCCCGGGTGTGTTTGTCAATATCCTGTGAAGGGTTTCGTGGGTGATCAACCCATGGTTCCATCAACGCAAGGTGTTGTGCCAAAAAAGCCCCCCCTCCGACGAAATGTTGTCTCTGAGTTCCGTACGTTTTCTCTGGTTGCTCTGTTCTTGCTTCTGTGGAACCTTCACTGATTGACCCTTGACCACCCAGAGTGGTGGACGAAGGAGGACCATCATTGACAGTGCCCGTCGCAGAGTGTGGAAGCTCTTGCATCAAAGCTTGCCCAAATTTGGCTGTCACATCATAGTAGAGTTCCTGACGACTGTCCGCATTGCGAAGTCCAGAGACCTGATCAAAGGCATCCTGGAGACCTTGCAGAACCGGTGCAAGTGCGATATCTGTGCGAGTGCCAGCATTGGAAGTCTGCAAACCTGGGGTGGTAGACACCAGCCTCAGCCACGGAGACTGATGGAATAGCGCAGGAAATTCAGGAGGAGTCGGGAAAGGCTGGTGGGTAGACGCCGATGTGTCCATTCGCGGCCAGACGAGCGACTTCTCTGAAACATTCTCCATTGACACAGAAAGCAGGATCTCACGACGGGCTTGGTCAGCACCACGCTGATTGGCAAGGTGGACAATTCTGATGCACTGCTCGTCCATGCCGATAGTTAACCCTGGGTATTTCAGCTGGATTGATTTCAGGTATGAATTCAAGTAATTCCTTGTCGCAAGACTTTGGTACATGGCACGATGGGTGCCCTTCAACTGTATCACAATCTGTCCCAGATTCTTGGCGTAACGAGAAATCCTCTGCAGCGCTTGCTGGGCGTTGGCTTTGGATCCCATTGTTCTAATTTTAAATTGTGACGGATAAACATCGATCTGGACGTCAAACTCTTCGGCGATTGTCTTCAGCGGCTGACTGGGATGCATGAGGAGGTGGTCGAATTTGACGGGTTCAGTCAGGGTCAAGGCCATCTTCGACTGGCTGCTTGTGGAAACGACAGACTCATCGTGCACCGGAGTCGTGAAGCCCCAGACTTCTTCCACCAAATATTTGATGAGATCCCTCTTGTTGCATTTCTCCAGATCCTCTGGGAAAGAGAAATTGCCTCGGCGCAGGCGAATGTACTTTCTCAACTGCTGTTTCTGAAATCCACTATGCAGGTGCCTCTTTAATGTTGTCCACTCGTGCTTTTCTAGCTGCCCGCGCATCTTGCCCACCAAGGCGCGAACCTGCTCGATGTTCTCCGCCAGCTTCTGTCCGCTCAGCGGGACGTTCTCCGAGGCGATGGACTCTTGCAGTGTGCTCCCAAGCATCTTTTCCTTCCCTTCATCTTTGGGCACTTGAGGTATTCGACGATCTCTTGTGGGCAGGAGCAGCACCTCCGCAGGTTTGCCCAGGGAATTGACCCCGAGTTGCGCAGTGGGTTTGGGCTTCCATTTTCGAAAATTCAGACGTCGGAGGTTGTTAGGCCGAGACGGCAATGTAGCTTGGAGTTGCGCATCGATGCCTTCAGAGGAGGGTTTAGCGTCGTCCTCATGGACTTCGCCAACTTCTTCGTGCGGTAGTTGATGTGTCGCTACACTCTGCCATCGCCGTAGGCCCCGATTGTGGACGGACTCTGCACCGCTGGGTAGACTGAGGTTGACCCTGGCAAGATTTCTCTGGCATCGCAGGCAGATATTGACCGGGTTGGTCGCACGGGCTAACATATATGTCGTGCATAAAATGTCACGACTTACGATCAATTGATCAAAGGAAATGAACTCGAGAAAGATTTCGCGGTTGATCTCAAGATGGAGTTTCACGAAAAGATCTCCCGGAGTTTAGGCGAAGCTCACGTGCGTCCCCGCCCAAAGACTACTTTCACGTTTCGAATACTAACCAAATGATTGATCTGAGAGATCTGGTGTATCACAGCGGTGACAATTGGCCATGATCCTACTAGAAAGAGAAACAATGAGACTGGCGGTCCATTCGCCGAACAAAAAAGGAGGGGATGTAGGGCAATAAGATTCAACATCTGGCCGTCAAACTAGGTCATTGACTTCTGTCCCCCTGTTCGTCTCTGTAGTATATCATGTCTGGCTTCACCCCTGAATTTTGCCCTTTCCACCGCCCTTGACCTCTCACACATCATAGACCTGAAGTTGCGGTTGCATATCCCGGATCGGGTGACCGTTGTAGGAACCGCCTAGTTGGTAAGACTGTCCCAGACTCGCCATATTCGTATCCTGTAGATCCATGTTGTAAAAGCCGTCCTGATTTCTAGGATAGCTCATGATCGAGGCGTGATTGGTCGGAGGGGTCACGAGTTTACCAATAATGGAAGCTATCGGCTAGCAGCTGGTGTAGAAGCATGCTTCGCTGGACTATTACTGCCCCTCCTGTGGGCTCACATTCGACGACCGAATCAGCCATGATTGGCATATCAGACGACGAAGATGTGAGTCCATGAACCCTCCACCAGGACTGGAAGGCGTACCGATCCAGATGAGGTTCCGTTTGGGGCAGGGAGGCGAGAACCCAGATTCAAACCATCAGTCGACAGAGGAGAAATGGTTCAAGATATTTACGATGTTGTTCCCTGGCGATACTTGCCCGACACGGTCGCCTCATCTCGGCGCCGATGACATCCGCAGAGTGACAGGGCTGTCCCTCAAGCCTCACATATCTCGATCTCGCGACGACAGGGAGTTCAGAATGCTGTGACCAACGGGATACGCGACTAGGCAGGAAGGACGAAAAAGGTGAGGAGTCGCATCGTCTCAGGCGCAGATCAAATATTGAGAGATAAAACAACATACTCGAGGGCTTCCAACCCGCCTAGCAATTTATCATCTTACTCGGACTTGCCAGCTCCGTAAATCGTCTCTGAGATCAAATTCGGTAAGCTCGTGATACTCGGTGCGCTCACGCCGGCGATGATCCTGTTGGCTGGCGTGGACCTGCTGCTCGATGCTCGATCGGCCACTAACGGCGCCGGCGGCAGCTGTCTGCAAGGTAGCAGAATCTCGACTGGAGCCGCGCCGGTGGCTGTGGCTGTGCCCATGGGCACCAGCCGCTGCCTGGGGTGTCAAGAGTTGCCGCGGAGTGACCGGTCGTCTGTGTTCATCGCTTGAACTACTACCGTTCTCTTCGCGTGAACCAAATCGGGGAGACTGTTGCAGCTGTTGCTGCGGTGATTGTTGTTGCTGTTGTTGGTTGCTGGCCTTACTGCTCGACGAGTGCGGCCGTCCTCCGCCGTTTCCCCCAGCAAACAGATTCTCGATTAACTTATCCGGAGGCAGTTCTCCGGCTTGACAAGCCCACGTCGCTGCCAGTGTTCTTCGATAAATGTCCTGGGCTTCTGACAATTCTCTCGTCTTGCTGGTGATGCTTGGGATGTCGTCGCCTTCCCCGACCTCCGTCGTCAAAACTCCCGCGATGCCTCCGACCACCATCGCCGATCTCAGTGGAGGTGCGATGAAATTCGAGTCGCCCTCCGTCTGTCTCATTCTGATCCCGATCTTCAGCGTGCTGTTGACCTTGCTGTCTTGTAGGAGGTATCTCCTTGTAATGCTCCCGTCGTCGGCGTCATCCTGGGGATCGCGATCCGCCAGCGGGAGGTCGGACAGTCGAGTGTATTCCGCCAGGTTGAGTTTCACATTACCCAAATGTACACGACCACCTCTTCCGCCTTCATGAAACTCTTGTAGGACCTCAAAGTGGATGTCGCATTCCTGGAGCATGCCCGTCTTGTCGATGGTCATTCGCACCGGTATTTCCTTGCAGTAGTCCCATGTCGCCTTGTGTTCTTCGATCGGGGCCTTGTCGGTGCGTCCGCGGTGCTCTGCGGCGTTGGAGGAGGAGAGGTGCCATCTCACACAGACAGTTCCGTAGATCAAGGGGATATTGGTCAAATCGATGATGCGCAGGGTGAGATCGAATTTGGGCTACAACGATTAACCCTCTCGATCAGCAGCCATGTCGGAGAGAAGTATCAGTGGGGGCCGGTGGGTTGCGCAGAGGAGGACGACGGAAGGAACTCGCGGTGCATCACATACCTTGCGATTTTTGGGGACTGAGAATGTCAGATTGATCAGCGCTTGCTTCCGCAGCATATTCCTCGCAGCATGGGAGGAGGGATTTCCACCATCATCACCATTCGCCATCGATCAAAAAGAAAGCGTGAAGAACTCACCAAAGGCCTGCATGGTCAAGGAAGGGCACGGGACGTCACCTTCTTCTCACATGAGAGATGAGTAGCGAACAAAGCAAACGCGTCCCAGATGGCTCTTAGTGGGTTCCTTCCATTTCCGGCCGCAACCCTCTTGTTTTTGGTTCGCTGGTTCGAACACGGACGCAGAATTGCGTATGCGATGAGCTGCGAACATGGGACGGGATAAGCTTGTGAGAAGCGTGTGGAACAGCGGAGCGAGGCGAGGGTTGAGGTCGAGGTTGGGATGATCACGATGATGCAACCCCCGAACCGACGTTACCGGGCCGGGCGGACGAACGAGCTCCGAGAACTTCCATTGCAATCCTCTACCATCATTGCCCCATTTAGGGCCGCTTCCATAGTGAATGTTTAGCCTCCAAGCCGGTCGCAGGCGGCCTGTGCTTCAATACCTGGTGGTGACCCATATTATCTACGCTCGAGGTCGTCAAAACTGGGCACGTCGGTTGAGGAGGGTCCGCCATCATCCAGTGGGGGTACCGCGACCTCTATCGACTCGTTCTTCCATTTTCCACACATCGAGACAAGAGGACCATGTATCAAAATCGGCGATACGGAGTGTCGAACCCTAAATTCCGACGGCGAGCGTCATGCTTGAAAAAATCAAAATTGCTTGTAAGAGGCACCCTAAGCCGAAGGGTGCAGCCATTTGCCCCTCGCTTGACTCGCTGGTATCTGTCTATCTATTCTATGTCTAGCTTCCCCCAAAGCGCCGGGTGTGTAAACAGATTCCAAGTTCACCCAAGTCCTAGTAATATAGACATCGAATGAATAAACACCTTCGCTACGGCACTGCGCTGGATCTCTAGAACTTGTGCACTTCTTCCTTGGTATAGCCGAGCTCTCCGAGGATCCCGCCCAGGCTGCCCTGTGTCCAGCCAAAGCCGCCTTTGGCGCCTGCCACAGCTTCAATCATGGCAGGGGGCCCACTGACGAGAACCTTGACATTCCGTTCGTTCATCTTGTGGGGCATCACCTGGCTCAACATGGTCTTGTCCACGTAGCCTTGGTGGTAGCGACCCTCATTTTCTGGCGTGGTCTTGCTGATGGTGTAGGTTCTGGTGAAACGGTCTGGGAATTGCTGTGCAAGTTCGTCGAATTCGCTTTTCAGCAAAATATCCTCTTCCGAGTTGTTCGCATAGACCAGGGCGAGCTTGGTCTTGTCTTCAGGGTTGTTGAGGATAGCCCGGGTCAGTTGGTAGATCGGAGTGATACCCGAACCTCCGGCAATGAAGGTCATGGCTGAGTATTGATTTGGCTTGTAGTCGAACTCATGGAGTGGCTTGAACAACATTGAATCACCAGGTTTCAGAGAGTGCATTTTGCCGGATCCCTTGCCATTGGGATACTTCTTGACCATGAACGTCACATATCCGGGTTGGTCTTCACATTATGAGATCAGCCCCAAGTCCGTTTCAACGAAAAACCTATTCAGAACTTACCATTGGCGCTGACAGGTGTGTAGGGTCTGAAAACTGGAATCCAGGCTCCTTCGGGCGTGTGTCTGGTCAAAAGAGATGCTGGAGAAATGTCAGAGAGTCGAGATTTTCACGGGTGACGAGCAGTTTATACGTACTGACGGGGGGAATGCCGGTAATTGATGAATCATCAGGGAGAGCGAAAGTCAGCCTTTTGACATTGTGATTGACCATTTCAGCCTTCTCGAGCTTGAGCTCTGTGAAGCCCTTCCAGTTCATCTTCTTCAGTGCTGCCTTGGCATCTGAAGGAGGGGACTCGGCATGAACTGTGTTGAATTGGAAGAAGGTCGTGTTCCAGTAATGGCATGCTGTATATCCCGCTGTGGCACCAGCTGCCGCAACACCCACAACCTTGAGGGAAGGACGAATGTATGTTGACATATTGATTCTGGTCGTCCTGGACGTTGGAAAGCACGGGGTAATTATTAAAATACGCGGTTCCTGGTCGAAAAAAGAGCTATAAAATAGCACTTCAGGGGGATGACCGTAGTTGCCCCTGAGTAGAAAACAGGTCCACGAGCTGGTGAAAGAAGCACCTGAAAACCCAACGCTGCAACAAAGGGAGATATCTGCAAACAAGAACAACGACCACGGCCCAGAGGAAAGCTCAAAAGCGACGAAACTCGGTGAGAGGGAGAAGGATAGAATCCAGAACAAGTTGTTCAATATTTTTTGGTTGGTGAAAAAGGAAAAGCTAGGGTCCACGACTCAGCACATGTCGGGGCCCGGTCAGGGAAACACCGACATCGGAACTTGATTGGACAGAAAGCTGCACGTGCGGAGGAGAATTCCCCGAAGACGTCGACAAAGGCCCAGATCAGCCGGCCCTACGGATCTAAAAATACCCCTTATCTGCTTGGCACACAGCCTTGAGCCTGGAGCCTTTGGCCCCTTTTACCCTTTTGTCCCTTTTGCCCGCACCAAAAGCATTTCCAAAGTGTAGGGCTGACAAGGCTGTCTTGGGAAAAGGAGAGGGGGAAAGGAGCTTTTGAGAGAAGCCGCAGCCCTATCGCCGCTCGGATTTTAAACTGGTACCACTTTGCGCCGCTCTTCTCTCAAGTGTTAGAGGAGAAATTCCACTGAGTCATAGTATCGTTTGAGCCAAGGAGTACTTTGGGCTTGTCCCCTATTGCACAGTTTATTCTCCTTTCAACGGTCTCCTGATTTGGCTAGATAATGTACCCGCGGGCCTGTGGTCATTGCGAGTCTGGTCAGTAGCATTTGGCGATCAGATGTTTCTTGTCCCAGAAATGGTCAAGTTCACCAAGTCGTAGTGAGTTCCCATGGTGCAAACACTTCATTCCTCGCTTGAAGGTTGCCACCTATTTCTGGCGAGGGCAATGGACCGCTCTGTGCTCTCAACACTCCATTCCCTGTACACCGACCACTTGTTCGTCGAATTTAGCCGCAGTAGCAGGTACGTCTGAACAGATCTTTGGCCGGTGATCGCATTGTTGATGGATGCAACCTAACTGTAATACAATGCATTCATCATCGTTGGCGCGTTCAATGGGAAGTGGTACAAACACTCCCGCAGATGCATGTCGCGGGTGGTCGCTTTCCAGTGTAGTCTCTGAAGGCTGTCTTGTACAACCGGAAATGGGAATTAGAGGAGACTTCTGCCACTGAAGTGGCTGGATACATTGCCTACTCGTGGCAATCGGCACCACGTTCTGTTAACTCACATGTCATATTCGGGTAGATGGCCATGACCTGTGGTTCGACCCAACACTGTTTACGCAGCTTTGCGTCACGGGACAGCTGGTCGTCCCTCACCCATTTGCGCTTTCGTAAATAACATTGAAAATCTCGTTAGTGGTGGGCGCTGAATGTGAGTGACCTCAGCTGACAATGGACGCAAGTGAGATGAGACATGGGAACCACGGCGCCAAGCATCAGAGTTCACAGCAACCGGATTTGGTCAAGGACATGAGCCCCGGTTGACTTCCAGAATCTGAACATGTCATAGCTTTGCCAACAGCAAAACAACACTGGACGATTCCGAGTCAATTTGAGAGGAGCTCACGGAGCAATCATCCGGCAGCGGTGACCGAGGAAGCCGTTCATCAGACATATGCTCTTGTTGCAGACACGAGGCCAAGGGTCACCGGTTACATTGTCCAAGGCCGGGTAAAGCATGAGAAGGGTGACTGAACTGGGATATTAGCCGCTCGGAGATGTGCACAACAGGCATGCGAGAACACAATGGTAATGCGCAACACTCCCCAAATAGATGTTGCGCCGCTCCCGCATCTTGCGTCCTGTGCCTCGTCATCCTTCTCATGGCTCGTGCCCAATTTTTTGTCCTCGGTCATGGTCTCCATGAAAGATGTCAGGAGCGAAGAGGATCCCTCTCGAGATCGACAGCACCAAAGGTGGCGAAGCCTCTGCCTGAGGTACTTTTGAGCCTCGGAAAAGCAAGTCAGCCGAGCACTAAGGCTACGACAACCACGTGATCGGACAGACCGATGAGGCGTGAGGCGTGAGGCGTGAGGCGATGCGGCTTCGCAACGTATTTGAATCATGCAACGTGCACAGCCACAAGAACTTGTTCACCTGGTCGGCCACCGCGCGCTGGCCAGGGATCGCCCTGTTTCCCAACCTCGCTTTCCCCGGGTGGTCGATCTCATCAGCATCTTGCTTGCCTCGGTGCCTCTCCATTTTTTTTTTAGCTTCTTTCTTCGTGGAGACGCACTGCACTGTCGTCACTGTTTGGGATACCTGGGCTGAAACATGCAGCTTGTCGATCTAGAAACAAATGTCGGCGGCTGCTGCGACAAACTTGTATCTTGTCCCTCCAGCCCGTCAAACCAGTCTGCTCGCCGTTGGAGCAGGTGGGCACGGCACAAACTGTTGTCACATGATGCTATGCCACAGGCAAGTGAAAAACCAGTGCAGCCAATCAGAGTGTGTAGCAGGGATGTTGAGATAAAGTGCCACGCCAGTGTCCGTGATCAGCAGCCAATGCCTTTGCAGAAGTGCCTTCCGACGAGGATCACCTCAGCTGTCCTGCGCCAGCTAACTCGGGCGGATTTGCAACAACCCAGCATCCTGTGTCAACGAGTGGTTGTGCATGCCTTTTGCCTTCCGCCAGTCATCAAACCGCCCCGAGTCCGGCCATCATGATTTCTGAACTCTGTCCGTTCGGCGAGCTTCTGGCCTGTGCCCCGATTCTTGGAGACCGAGCATCCAGAGGCTGGTGTTTATGCTGCTGAAACGGGGCTCTCGTACCACGAACTCGGGTCTGCAAATCGCAGTGAAGGGCGACCAAAGACTCCTGATCTTTTGAGACAACCGCCCCAGGCCCGGTATACGTAAAGCTTTTGGAGGTTTGTGCTCGAGTCTACGAGTCCGCCAACGGCGAGTACAGAAGGCTCATTCCTTCCCCAGCCTCCGACAATGCCACCAACCTGCTACGGGACGATGAGTCTTCAGGGATTCAGGAGTGCGGTTCCCTGACATACCAGAACTGTGATTGAACGACTCTTGAGATTGAAGGCCCCCCTGGGAGGCCGTTGCTGAGGATAATCATCAGGCCCCTCACGAAAAGGAAAAAGAGCCTTGCATTTACGAGGGAGCCCAGAAGCCAGGGCTTTGGGCTGGAAACGATGGCAATCTACAGGCACCGTAGGTGGCTTCAGAACAACGCACGTTCAACTAGTTCTTCTAGAAGGGGGTAATCATCTCGAAGAACGCTTGTGCTCGGGGAGAGCCGTGGCAAGGGCAGACCTACGAGGGTTGTTTGCCAGAGAATTGGAGATATTCGCCGTTTGCGGCTTGCTGATCCAGGCGCCACTGCCAGGGCCAGGACCTGGAAGCTGGATATGGGCGAGATATTGGGGGCGTAGGGCGAGGCCAAGATCAATTTCCGCCCACGTGTGCCGAGTTGAATGTTTGACGAAGCCTTGATCAAACTTGATATTGGCAATCAACGCTGGTGCGCTTAAGTGAGCATGCTTGATTTCAAGCAAGATGGCCATCGTAAGCCCGGCCACCAGTTACATGACGAGAATGGATGAAGCCGGGCGAGAGAAGCGTCTGATCTTGCATATGCAGCTAAATCAATTCTGTCCTCTGTCAATCTTTTTCTACCCAGCTCGGAGGAGGGGGCACGGGGAAGGGGCACGGGGGTGGGAAACAGACTGAGCTGGAAACATACACGAGACTTGGTGGTGATGACGAATGGCCAGTGGCAGGGCTCAGACGCAGCTTGTACCGTAGATGTTCAGCAGGGACGAGTCGGTTGAGCGTGCAGTAGCGTAGATGCAAGTTGCAGGTCGGCCAGGTTCAGATCCAGCTTCACCTTTTTACTTCAGGTGCGCCGGTGTCCTTCGTAGGGTGCAGGCTCGGGATCAGAGGGAAGGGAGGGGGCCCCGTCCGTAACCGGGACGCCGTGCAGTGTAGCCCGCAGTGTAGCCCACCAGCAGTAGCATTCGTGAGTTGCGGTGGATGGAAAAGAGGCGAAAAGAGGATCGTAAAAGGAAAAGTGGAAAAGTGGGCTGCGGGCACAGTGAATGCGAATGGCAATGGGGCAAAAACGGGGAAAACCTTGGTTTCTTCGGCCTCGCCTGAACGAGTGACTAAGTAAAGTGAGAGACTGTTGGGTGTGCCCTGGTGTGCCCTGGTGAGCCCTGGGCGTGCCCGTGCAGAATGAGTAGTGAGTGACTTCGGACTTGCCTCGTTTCCTCACATCCCCGGCTGCGCCTCTTCGCTCTTCGTCGCCTTTGCCGTTCGTGCCTCTTCTTTCGTTCGCTCATTGCCGAATTCGCCTCTTCTGCACTCTTTTCGCCTCCTCCTGGTCCTAGTCTCGCTCTTTCCTCCTCCTCCCACTCCTGCAACTGTTGCCAGATGTACCTACATCCTCGCATGACTATGGCAGATTGCTTGATTTGCTTGTGGCCTTCCTCGCTTGCTCCATTCGGAAACACACCCATCTCTCCTTCCCACGCCTCGCATCCCTCGCATCCCTCCCAAAGGCTCAGGCCCATAGCCAGTAATCCCCCCTCCCACTCCCCCCAAAAAAGGTGGTTCCCATCCTTTCGTGTTGCTGATGGGGAGACCCGTGTAGGGCCCGTATCCACAATTTTTCTTTTTACCCATGTCTCCATCCAACTGCATAACGCTTGCTGCGCAGCCTGCGCCTGACCGGCCAGGTCCCCCATCTTTAGCTTTGGATTCTTCAGCCTATCAGTTCCGTGAATGACTCTTCTCCTTTGCTGGATATAAGGTACGGCTCTCTCCTCCTTCTATCTCTTTGCCCTTTTCGTCATCCCCGCTCTTCCCACCCTCGTCCCTCTACCACTCTTTCCCTCCACCATCACCATCACCACCTCTTCCCCTACCACTTCATCTCCGAACCCTCTCTGCAAGGCGCGCACACTACTTCCCTCGTTGGGACCGCCTAGAGATACACTTCGATCTACGCAATCATTCATCCAATTTACCCTGAACCCTCGTTCTGTCGTCTCATATATTATCTTGTTGCTTCTGGTTGATCAGCCCTTCCCTGCCCGTCAGTGTCGAATGTCTCTGTGAGAAAAGATCAAAAGAACCCCTGCATCTACCATAGAAGGAGAGATAATCGTCACAAAAAACCGAACAAACAAGTCCAATTATCTCATAATGCCGACGATACTATTGCCCGCCTCGGCGGCCGCCTTTGCGCCGCGATCAACTTGCAATGTGGTGCTCAACACAAAGGTCGAGCCCTGGTTGACGGCCACCCTCAAGCGGATCAACAAGATCAAGCGACCTCTGAACAGTGTGCCTCAACATACTCGATGTCTGACCGAAACCCTGTCATCGCCCAACGCCATCTGGTCGCTGTGCTCATTAATGGTGCCCAAGGCGCCCGAGTCGGAGTTGAGGAAAGATTCGAATCCTCTGGTGGAGGCTTTGTTCAACTACCAACTCATCCACATCGAGGCATACGTCGTGCATGTCGACATGGTCTCGCAGAACGAGGTCGCCTTCAAGCTGACAACAGACACTATTGATTCGCTGGTCGAGTATCACAAGGAAGTCTTCTCTGTCGACACCAACGCCAACACCTGGGAGTGGTCGGAGAAGGAACAACAGCTCAAGAAGTTGCAGGAGGAGTTTGTGCAGGCGGCCAACAAGTTCGTCTATCGGACAAGTGCCCACGCCCTGGAAGGTATGGAGGAAGATGGCGCCGGCGAGCTCCTGTGTGGCCGAAGCGACGAAGTGCGCACCGCCATCATGGGTCTCTTTGTCCCTCTTCTACCTCCCCCCCCAAGGATCGTCGATGTCATTCGCCCGACTCCTCTGCTCCCCAGCTCGACCGGTGCGGAACAGTGGTGGTCGTCACATCATCTGCACGCCATCCAACCAGCCCCCGTCGAGGCATGGAAGATTGTTCCCTCAAGCCCGAGCCCCGTCTCCTCTTGCGACTCGCATCACAATATTTGGTCCAACGTGGGTGTGCACGAGATTCAGCTTCCATCGCCGACGCCCTCCTTCAGCCAACCTTACTCCACAGCGGCTTACAATACGTCTCAATACTACAGCGCGCCTGCTTTCAGCGCTCCGGCCACAACATCATCGTTCGCCCCGCTCCCTCTCCCGAGCATGCTCACTCCACAGCCGTGCAGTACGTCTGCGGGTCTGAGCACGTTCGGATGGGATCGGTACCAAGAATACACGATGCCGTATGCCACTGCCATGTGAACGATCTTGGAACGAGGACTTTCACGTCCGCTTCATTTCGTCTGCACAAAATTCTTCCAAGGTTGATGGCCATCAACCCGCTGTCCTCTTAGGAACATCAACAGTCGGCTGATAAAGAGCGGCTCAAGTCCGCGGGAACAAAGATCTTGAGCATTTTGAGCAAGGAGTTAATCGATCGAACTTTAGCGACACAAGGATACCACTCTGCATTTGACACAGGCTATACGGGACACGGGACATGGAATAATATCGGGACAGGGTTGATCTTCCAGCAAGCGTTGTGTTTTTTTGCTCTTTTCCTCGCTAATCTCCTATGTCGAGTATTAGTTTTGTGGGTTTTTTGGACTATACATCAGCGGCAGGTCTGACTGGATGGAACACAGAGATATCCCTGGGTTGGATACAGTCCCGCATTTTCGCAAGATCGGAATGCCTCGCGGCAGGTATGCAAGGTTTGGGATACACGCTGGGATCTCTTTTGGCAATGCCGTGGTGACACTCGAGGTGTTGCGATGACTGAGGCGAGCCCTCCGCGTTGCACATCTTGAACACCCGTTCCTCCTACACCTGACGATGCACTGGCTGGCACTCAAGGTAGTGGGAACAACGGCGGGGTGGCAAGGCGTCGCGTCAGGCATGTGACGAATGCTGCCTTACTGCGCGATATCTGTTTGCAGGTACCAAGGACTCGATCGGGGTTGCGTTTCGTTGGCACGCCTGTGGCGTGTGCGAACTTTCCATTACGGGTCCGTGACTTGTGTGGGCAACAATGAGACAGTCTATGGTGTCTTGGACATGATGCAGTGTGGTTTATAGGGTCATCTCCTATATCCTCGGCCTGGTGTCGAGGAAGCCTGCTCCACTGGGTGGAGGGGAATCGGATGCTGGAGCTTGAGGCACACACCTCAATACATAAAGATAATCTAAAAATATGAGCATCTTCTCAATCTTTTCACCGCTGGACTTGCTTTCAATCCATTGATTTCTGGTCTTTTTGCTCCATTTTCTTCTGCCTCTTTGTAGATTGGTTCTACCACAACCTCATCGGTCTGGCGGTGTTCCGGTGCAGGTCTCGACCTGTCAGCCTCTTTGTGGCTGCATCTAGATCTGCTACTCAAGTTGTCTGCAGAAAACAGATGAGAAGCTGCTGAGCTAGCACGAGGAATGGGGGAGGTGGGAAGTCCAGCCGATAGCCACATTATAATAGTTGAGCCATACCCGCTGCGTACGGGGCTAGTGAGCCTCACTAGCCAAGGAGCCACGGCGCGACCTCGCCTAAAAGGGCCTATGACGATAACCAGCTCAGCTTCCAAGGCTCACTAGGCCCAGCCCAACTGGAGGGCCGATCGCCCGTCCCCCACTATCACCACCAGCCAGGTAATCCCGTCTCCAAAATGCGCCTCCCCGTCATCGAGACTTTTATCCTCAATGGCCAGGCAATCGACCGCAGGTTGCTCAGTCATCATCAACACCTTCTCATATCAGCGGCCACCCCATTTACTTCAACTGCTTTCCCAGCTTGTGCCTATCCGCATTGACTTGCCGAAGGTCGAATCAAATGTCGTGTCCTCAAGCTCGCCGTCCTTTCCGCTAAGGACTGGCTCTCGCGTCCTCCCGCTTCCACATCCAAGTGACGGCATATTGAAGTTGCCCCTCATCTCCCGCCATGTCCACCACTTGACCACTCCCTCGTCTGTACAGCTCTTCACCCACCAGCGGGCAGAGGTTTCTGATCACACAATCGCCTCGGGAGATCCGCTCCAAGATGGTGAACCTCCACGACTCCCTCAAAGCTCTTGCCCCCTGCAAGTTCCAGGATATCCCCCAGAAGCATGAAGAGCTAGATCCCTTCTTGTCCGATCTCTTCTCCCAAGTCCAGACGATAGTCGAGAGCATACCCATTCCTGATCCCGATCCCACTCACCGACATCGTTCACATACCACGGGCTCTATCACCGCAAGCAATGCCTCCGAAATGTTTGTCTCGTCTGCGCGGAGTCCTCCTCCAGCCCCAGAATACGCAGCTCTACAACATGAGTGGGGGAAGCCGATAAAGCTCGCGGCGAAAGAAAATCCATTGGGTATAGCTGTCTACAAATTGTCTAGCAAGGACGGAAAAGGTTCGTGGTTTGCTCGCAGGAGTGTGCATGAAGGGCTCGGCTTTAATCGCTTTAAGCGCGGGTTTGAGCGGGAGTTTCCTACTTCGCTTGCAGTTCAAGGCAAACCTGGTGAAGGGAATGTTAGAGGTATCGGCGCAGAAACCAGGGTCGAGGAAATCACGGTGCCAAATCGTGGAAAGATCGAAGTATATCGACTCAGTGCCCAATTCCCAGGACCTACCACTCCGCGTGATTTCGTCACTCTCTTGGTCACCTCGTCCAAGGCAATTAAACACCATGGAGACTCTCATAAAGCGCCTGATCTGGTTCCGCGGCACTATATGATCATTTCTAAACCCTGCGACCATCCCGAGACGCAGCCTCAAAATGGCTTCATCCGAGGCCAGTATGAATCGGTAGAATTCATCCGCGAGGTCCCCAGAAGGCTCAAATCCACCATGTCATCGACAGACCTGAATCACTTCAACCACCACCGAGTCCCTTCTCCATCGCTTGAGAAAGATGTACTAAGACACAATGCAGAGAAGCACGCAGCGGATGCTGACCCGCATCACCAGGACGACCATAGGCATTTGAGGGTCAATACCAACGGCTCAGGACTCAGAGATATGTCCCCCGGAAGCAGAAAGAGGAGTGTTACGGTTGATGCACCGGGGAGTCCCATCAAAACCCCTGACCCTGCTGAGCCCTTTGATCCGGAAGAGAACCCTGTTGAATGGATTATGGTCACTCGAAGCGACCCAGGGGGCAGCGTGCCGCGATTCATGGTCGAGAGAGGCACCCCTGCGAGCATCTGCGCAGACGCTCTGAAGTTCTTGGATTGGGCATGTCAAAGAGAAGACGAGGAGGAGGATACTGACAGGCCCGAACAACGACCATTCGGCGGGCGGCGTGAAAGCTTTGCCAGCTGGGAAGCTAACGGCACCCTTGCCGGGATCAGAGAACACGAAGAGAGTCTGCAGGCCATTGGAGAGTCACAACCAGGTACACCCAAAGCGTCCGCTGCTCATGACGGCACAGTTGAATCCCCGCCGGATACGCCCGCGTCGTCGTCCAGCTTGTTGGATACTGTGACGGAAGCCATTAGCTCATACACTCCGCAGACAGTTCGCGAACACCTTCCTCAAATCGGGAACCACGAAGTCAAGGACCAGCAAGAGATTACCAAGGAAGACATACAGCAAGGGGAGAATCCGGATGGCGACGATGATGACGCGTCCACTATTTCGACCACTTCATTTGCCTCGGCGGATTCGCACCTGACGTCCGAGGAATCTCCCTCAATTTCTTCCAAGTCCCTTTCAGAGCAGACGGAAAGTCAACTGCTCCAGCAGCATGACAAAGAAATGACCAAACTCTCGGAACGCAAGGCTGCCGTAGACGCCAAATTTGCAAAGCAACGTGAAAAGCTATCGAGCCGAGCGAATAAAGACACAGAGAAAGAACAACTCGCTCTCAAGAAGGCCGAGGAGAAACATCAGCGTGAACTTAAGAAGCACGAAGAGAGGTACCAGAAAGAAGTGGCCAAATTAGAGCAAAAAAGAAAGAAGGAGGCGAAGAAACTGGACGAGAAGAAGCGCAAACAGACCGACAAGGATGAAAAGTCACGTCTGACTAGAGAACGGGACGAGGCAAGAGCCGAGCTGGAGCTGCTGAAAAAGGAGCAAGAATTGCTTACCCGCCAGATCGGGGAACTGCAGAGAGAGAACACCACTCTGACAGCTCGGATCGGGAAACTCGAGGGAAGCGGAGTGTCAATCGACAGTCCGAGCAGCCCCACCAGCAGGTTCAGGGCAATGACGATAGGACACGAGAGTCGCGGAAGGAGTTCGAGTCTGATGAATAGGAAGAAGGACAAGGAAGACGCAAGCAGCCAGCACTCATGACGGGTGGTGGTACAGCGAAGGACATTTATCTTTGCAATGATTTTCTCACCTCGAGGCAAAAGTTCGTTCACCAAAGGTCGGACTGGGAAAGCACACAAGAACAAGTCTAAGGGAGGCTGACTGAGTACATTAGACCTTGCGTCTCTTTCGTCTTTTGCGTCTCTTGCGTCTCTTGGTGGTGCCAGATGGACGGCGAGCAGTTGTCAATTCAGTTAGATACATTTATTTGCAGATGGTATCTCTCCGTACCGCCGAGTCTGATATCCCTGATTCCATCATGGTGTTGACAAGTTCAGGGACCGTCTTCCGTGCATACGACCCAACAACTGTTCACTGCCTGTTAGGGGCAGCCACGTGATAGACTGTCTCGACGTCGTTTGCTACCTAGCAACCTCCTCCTCCTCATTTGTACAACCCACCCCCCTCGTTATCGTCCTGGCACGACGTCGTCGATCTTGCAATGCCGCGACCTGGACCTTATCGCCTCTCACCCGCCCTAGGCGCGGACATTTCCGCCCCTTGTCGGGGGTGGCTTCGACATCAGAAGACCAACAAAAAAGCTCTTGATGTTGCCGACAACAAAGCCTGAAGTTAGACAGACATATCGTTCTTGGTAACGAACGACCTTACTTCAAAGTCACAGCAATATGCCACTTCCCGGGGCAGATCCTATGCCACCGTATTGGCTTTCCTATCCATCGAATCTGTCGAAACATCGCACAACCGAAGACCTCCCTCGAGAGGCAGACGTCGTGGTGATCGGTTCTGGTTACGTCGGAGCAGCATGTGCCTACCACATCCTCGAAAAGGACGATGGCAAGAGACCGTCAGTCGTGATACTTGAGGCCCGAGACGTATGCTCAGGAGCGACGGGACGCAATGGTGGCCACCTCAAGCCCGATGTCTATTTCAACGCAGCCCTCTATGAAAGAATGTACGGACCGCAAATAGCGGAGGAGGTGACCAGATTTGAAACGCAGCAGGTCATGGACGTTAAAAGATTGGTCGAGAAGGAGCAAATCGACTGCGATTTTGAACTCACCCGTGCCATCGATGTGTTTGTGGATCCTCGAGTGGCTGAACCCACGGTCGCGGCGTATCTGGACATGAAAGCCAGAGGATATCGTTTCCCCGACGACCTGCACTTCATCGGGGACCCCAAGAAGGCTGAACAGGTCTCAGGCGTGAAAGGGGCGCTGGCGGCCTTTACATTCACGGCGGGATCTATTTGGCCCTATAAACTGGTCTCCCATCTTCTCCGCCGCTGCCTGGGGTGGGGGGCAAACCTGCAAGCAAATACTCCTGTGACGGCAATCTCCTCCTCACCTGGCAGCGATGGACGGTGGGTTTTGAAAACACCTCGAGGAGACATCAGAGCGCAGAAAGTGATTTTGGCCACAAATGCATATCTGTCGGCACTGTTGCCCGAATTTGGTGACAAAATCACCCCTGCTAGAGGAGTCGCATGCAGAATCGCCGTGCCGGAGGGTGGAAAGATGGCTCCGCACCTGAACAATACCTACAGCATTCGGTATGGGCCCCAAGAATATGACTATCTGATCAGCAAGACGGATGGTAGTATCGTCGTTGGAGGTGCAAAACAAGTCGTGCTCCTGAACGACTCCTACTGGCGTAACAATACAGATGATTCGCATTTGATACCGGGCGCTGAGAAGTACTTCACCGGCTACATGCAGCGGATGTTCCACGGCTGGGAAGACTCACAAGCGACGATCACGGACATCTGGACCGGCATCATGGGCTACTCTTCCGATCTTATGCCCTGGGTTGGGGAGGTACCTGGAAAACCCGGCATTTTCGTCAACGCAGGCTTCACCGGCCACGGCATGCCACGGATCCTCGGTTGTTCTGCCGCGATTGCGTCCCTCGTTCGAGGAGAAGCAACGCATTTGAGTCAGACAGGGTTGCCGGCGCCATATTGGATCACCAGAGACAGGCTGATGTCGAAAAGGAACATCGCCCGTGAGTATATGGCAGGCTCTCGCCCCTCACTATAAGCCGGAATATAGGATATCGTATATAGTGTTGAACTAGACCGCGAACCGTTAGTCGGGTGGCCAGAAGGCACAGGGATTGGACTCGCCAAGCTTGTTTCAGCTCGCAACAGAGGCGGGCTGTGTCTATAAAACTGCTCAAATCTCGACAGATCTGATTTTGCAATCCATCCATCTAGTTCTTGGTTGAACTGTCTTCATCCTCCTTTTGTAACCTTTGCAACACCAAGCTTGAGATCTCTTGACGCCATGGCCCCTCCGACGCTGATCAGTATTCAAAGCAGCGCCACCATCACTACGACTGCACAGCGGGCGGTGCTGAACATCGCCGCCTCCGACACCGGGTCCGACAAGGACGAAGTCTCCAGCCACGTGGTGTCGACGGTGAAAGACATCCAACAGGATCTGGACCACCTGTGCCCACGGCTGGCGGATGGCGACATTTCCCCCACGGCCCCGGTGAGTTTCTACTCGATCGCCTCGCTCTCCATTTCGGCGGCGGACGAGTACGACGACAAGCACGTGCGCCAGGAGAAGAAGCTATACAGCGCCCACTCCAATATCGCCATACACTTCCGTGACTTTACGCGCCTGGGCCTGATGGTCGTGCGGCTGTCGCGCATGCCGTTCGTCGAGATGCGGGGCATCGACTGGGAACTGGGGGAGGCCAGCAAAGCCGAGCTCGACGATGAGGTCCGAGAGCAGGCGCTGCGGAAGGCCATGATCCGCGCACAGGGCTACAGCCGCGTCATCGGCAGGGCCACAGTCACCTGTGTCAAGATCGAGGATGTGCAGACATCGTGGCCCGTGAGAAAACTCAAGCAGACGGCCATGAGGGCCACGAGCGCAGCGACGTTCGAGGTCGGCGCGGGCATCGACTTCGAGCCGCAGCTCGTTGAAGTCAGTGCTACCATCTCGTGCGAGTTTCACGCGGAATAGTGGGTAGGAAAGAAGAGATTCTAGGTCGACAGGTAGCGGTCGTACTATGAAGTCAATTTGGTCAAAGACTGCCACTAGCAGATGATGTACTAATAGAATGGGAATATCCGGACCTAGAGAGAAATCTCAGAAATGAATTGAAAGCTTCTGGTCGGCTTGTAAAGGTGTTCCAACAGTTGCGATTGAATCAGTATGGAAATTAAAAAGATGTGTTTGAAATGAGACACCGAATTCGCCGAATCGGGTAAGAAGATTTTGTTAGGGAGGATGTGATCACTCCCAATTTGGATTGTTTCTTTGCTGTTAGTCTGTGAATGTTCGGAACCCTCGCATTGGTCCCAGCGCGATTGGATTTGACCTTTTTGAGGACTCGCCTCTACCAGCAGTACTGTCTGTGCTTTTTTAGCACTTCAGATATCTGATTCCAAAAAAGGACTACTACGTAATACATCACTCCTCCGCCTGACTGCTTGGTTGGGGCTTGAGGATAGATACTACTTATTACTCGGGCCCTTGTAAGTAACCCTTTACGTACGAAATCGACAGGCACGGCGTTCGGTTCCCGTCACGAATATCGCTCCCTCTGTTTGTTCCCTATCGGACCGGGGACTCACCGTCTCCGATCGATGGGTGCAGGTTCAATCAGGCACCCTCAGGCAACAGGCTGGGCGTGTCCAATCGCCAAGCCGCTTAGGCGACTGTTGCCTGGCGCGGCGTGGGTGGCGCTCGGGAGACCTAACAAACAACGTGCGAGAACCCAGCCGAGCCGATCGATTGAACTGGGGGAAAGAAAAGACAGAGCGTGGTGCATAGTTAGACCATGCGCGAAAGCGACACGGTCACACGTGAGATTGCTGGCTTTTTGTTCGTGTGAGAGATAAAAATGGCTTTCAAAGGTCCAATCGATGAATGAATAGGGAGGGGCAGTAGATTTCAAGACGACTGACTGCTACCATGCTGATCCTAGTCCCCCAAGCAAAGCACCCATGGCACTCCGTGGAAAAGGGTATTATTTAGATATGGTTCATCATCTCCCCCCGCCGCTCTGCTCTTCGATCCAATGCTTCTTCTTTTACCACTACGAACTACTAAGTACTATTGTTTTGTACTCGTCCTCTCTCTATCAAAGAACTTTCGACTTCCCCTCCCTCCAGTGACCAACAACTAGCAAGCTGCCCATCGGTCCACCCAAGCATAGCACAGCTGATCCAGAATGTCGCTTCACCACCTGGCCTACCCGGTTCCGTTCAGCAAAGTCGAGGACGAGGTCGCCTTCCTCCTCGCCGCATTTGGGCACATGGGCCTGAAGGAAGTCATGCGCCCTGCCCCCGGTGTGGTTGGCCTGGGCGAGTTTGGGCCGTGGCTGTGGGTGACGGGCATCGAGGAGCGGCAGCCCATCTCTGATGAGAACAAGATCCTGAGGAACCATGTGGCTCTGCACGCTAAAGGTGTGTATAAAGAACCCCCGATGTGACTACCGAGCACGTGGTGCTGTTTCGTTCGTTCTGATTACCGATACGATGCGATGGGGGCTGACGGGCCCTTTTTTTTCTATATACAATTCTAGATCGCGCACAAGTCGACGCCTTCCACGCCGCGGCACTCAAGGCAGGGGGCACCGACAACGGCGGACCAGGCGAACGGCCCGAATATGCCCCAGGCTACTATGCGGCGTTCATCCTCAGTCCCAGCGGCCACAACTTTGAATGTGTCATGTTCTCCCACCCCGATGCGAGAGGTGCGGCGAAATGACAGTCCATGCCGCCCCCGAACTGGGTTAGGGTCGCTGGTGCTAATACTGGGAAGGGGGCTAAAAACACAGTACTGCGAGAGGATACGACTACTACTCCTCCTACCATCACCACCACTACTACTACTAGTTGGGAGTCGTCGACCCTATCCGACGGACCCTCGCAGGGACTGAGTCTGGAGTCTATCAGCGGTGGCCGGGGCTGGGGAAGAGGAGGGGGCGCATCCCGGATTTGGGGGATGTACATACGATATTGATAGGGGAAGTTGTACGTAACGTGGTTGTCAGATAGCAGAGGGCAAAAAAGTAGGATTCGGTTCAAAATACCATAGTAGAATCTAGCAGCCGCTGTCTTGTGCCCAAAGAAAAAATGAACAACGAACAACGAAGAAATGACCCTTCGAGGTTTTTTGCATTTCACAGTTCCAAAACTTGGTTGAAAGCATGATAATGCATCACTGGAAGAAGCTGCTCGTCGTCGCCCCGCCCTTCTTTCCCTCCTGATACGTCGCGCTGAGCTGGTCGTACATCTTCTTGACCCGGTCCAGCTCGCTCTTCAGCGTCGTCCGCGCCTCCTCGTCCTCCACCCTGTCGATCAGGTCCGCCAGCGACTGGGCCGTGAAGAACTTGTTCTTGCGGTTGTACAGCGGTTTGGCCGCCAGGGTCTCCTCGGTGTCGCCGGGCGAGGGGACCTGGTAGACGGATTTCAGGATGTCGATGTCGTCTGAGTGGCGGGAATTGAAGATGTCAGCCTCTCTCCCTCCTCTTTCTCTCTCCTTCTCTTTTTCTCTCTGTGAAATATCTTGCCAAGTTGTTGTGCTAGAGGGAATGAGGGGACACTTACATGGAATGGCAAACAAATCCCGACTGTCCTCGTAGGTGAACATGTAGTAGAACTCGTTGAACCCCGACCAAGTGATGCCACTCAGGCACAACGAGCAGGGCTCGTGTGTAGCGAAGAAGATGCAATCTGACGTCTCAGGCCGCTGCTCGCGCGGCAGCCGGAAGAACTCCTGGATGCAGTTGATCTCGCCGTGCAGCAGCGGCGACTCGCGTTCGTTGTTGGTTGCGCATACCACAGGTGCCAGCGTTGCCCGGTCCAGCACGGCCGCCCCGAACAGCTTCGACCCCTGCGACACTTGTTTGGCTGTCAGCGGGATAATGGATTTCTCCGTCGTGCTCAGCAGCGCCGTTGCCAGATCTTGGGCCCGTGGCATCCTTTTGTCTTAAAAATTTCGCTTCGAGGTATTTTCCTTTGCTTGAAATTGGGAGTTAAGTAGGAGAAGTAAGTTCTAAGTATATATGTAGTAGACGAGGTATATGAGGCGATCAGATGGGGCGAGGAGTTTTCTAGATATCCAAGAGAAAAAAGACGAGGAGTTAGTTCCCTACCAGTCCAGCCAGGCATGTACTACCGGCATGCATTTTTATATTTCCCATGTGGACATTGGGTGCCAAGTAGGTGTTCGTGATCAGGGTCGTCGTCGACTTGATAAGAGGTGAAAGAATGTGAAATCGTATCCAATCGCGCCAAAGTCAAAGGAATTTTGGTTTTGTGGGCGCGGAGACCGCCGACGCGCGCTGCATCCCCTGTAGGAACTGAACTGAACATCCTGATGATCAGTTAACACCACCGGTTTTTGTTGGTTTTTTCTTCCTACGACCAGATTTCTCATTCACGGGAGGTCTGTGCATTGTCCGTTGGGCGTTGACAGTCTGCCTTTTGCCTGCTTTGTCCGCCAATCCAACAATACCGTGGGCTCGCAGGCGAAGCAACTTGCAAAGGCAAAAATGCCAGGGCCTGTCACTTGGTATAGCTGAGACATCGCCAAGAAGCTTGAGGGTGAGACGACAAGGAGTACCTCGTACCTTGGTTAGAGACTTGATGTAGCAGATTGAATGAAGGAGAGTTGGTAGCAGAGAGGAGTGCTCGGGCAAATGTTGTTCCCCATCCGGCTATCAAAGCAAGCAACAACCATACATCGGCAAAGGGTCCCGCTTAGCCCAGTAAAGCCTAGGGCGGCTATGGGCTCCCACGGTCAACCTGCATAGTGTCCAACTCATGAGCCCCCTGGGCCACCATGGTACGATATGTCGCTCTCACAAGCCCCCATAGCCACTACCTGTTTAGCCCTGGTATCGCATGCTTCACACAACTCACTTATACCTATCGGTCTTCATAGGTTCTGGGGTAACCGCTATGCTTGGAAATCATATTGTGTTTCGAGTTCTTGTGCCTATATACGCTAGATATCTCCCCATATAAATCATATATAGTGAGTGTACACTCGTTCAAATATCCCCGTCGATCGTTACAGGTCAGGAAGGGATACGCGACCTAACAGCGCTGTCCCTTAAAAAGCTTCATGAAGACCATTTTCCGCCTTAGAACCCTTAGTATATCGCATCTCGAAAAGCCCTTATAGAGGAACGAGATCTTACAGCTATACGTGACCTCCTGGAACCGTCCGATCCAGGGTTCGCAGTCGTTCCTGCATTTTCCAGTCGTATTCAGGTCCATATAGTCAAGCAATACCACAACTACCCACAGCTCTATCTATAAGGACTTTCACCAAATTTGTCCAGTTCTGGACAGACTTCAAGACGGATGCTTCAATGCTGAATTATGAGGGTGCAATGGGGATTATTATGATTACGGAGAACTACTACTACGTACGTACATGAAACAAAATGTCCAAACAGCTCAGTCACCCACTGATTATTTCATGCAGGAATAGTATCCAGACCATCGTGGTAGTTTCCATAGAACTAGTATTGCTTATTTTTTATTTTGCGTCATAATTTCATCAATATCTTCGGCTCCTCATGACTCCAGCACCATTAATCCATTCCAACATCTCCCACAGCCCACCTTCTGTCCTCTCAATTATCCAGATCGAATCCCTCTCTTTTCACTCGCCTCTCACAGTAGAGCGGCGACACCCAGTCCGACGACACCAGCGACACCAGCGACGTTGGCCCACTGTTGCTTCAGCATCTGCGCGGCACCAGTGAAGGTTGCAGCCGGAGTGACGCTCGCCGGCACATAGCTGCTGGTCAAGGTCGCGGAGGTCGATGCGGGAACACTGCTTGAGCTTGGGGTGAAAGTCGGGCCAGCAGATGGGGAAGCCGTGGGAAGGGTGATGCTGACGCCTGCCGAGCCGCAGTATTGTTCGGCAAATTGGAGAGTTGCTGAAGAGAAGTGGGAGGTCAGCTTCATATTCGGTCGACTCTGACACTTCAAATAAGACTGGAGCTTACCCGCTATGTCAGTAGCATTGCAAGCACCGGAAATGCAAGTATACACTCCACTCAGGAAACTGGTCGCCGTGCAGACGCATGCTGCATCGGTGGCTGAACAACCAGTGCTGGAGATGGCGTTGACAGCACAGGTCACCTGCAACGTCTGGTCTCAGTCCTAGCTGGTCGAAAAGCACGAGTGTGGCATGATACATACGGCGCAAGCGGGAAGACCAGAAAGATCTTGCGGCGCCGCAAAATGGAGGAGGGAAGCCAGCCCGACGGCAGCGACAGCAAGAAAGCGCATTTTGGCAGGGATCTGGTTTCTGTGAAGCTTAAGAGTAGTAGCAATAGGCAAGACGACCGTGATTCGACGATTGAGCTGAAACTCGAACAAGCTGTTTGGCCTATATTTGGGAAACGCTGTTCGCAATCAGAGAGCGAGTGTAGGATCGCAGAACCTGGAGTAGCGAGTGCTCAAGTGCATGAGAAGGTCAAGGAGAAAAGAGGTACGCAATCTGGGAGGAGCTTGTTCCAAGTTTTATAGCTGCAGCCCATTGTCTGGCCGCCGATAGGCGGGCATGTCCCGTCCCAGAGCTGCTGGAGCTGCCGCATTGAGGTGGGAAAGTTGAGGGGGAAAGGCCTAAAAATCCCTTCTAAGAAAGTGTTTGGATAGCTTGGACTGCTGGTCTCAGCTCTTGTTGCTGCCAGCCACGAGCATGAGCAAATGGGAAGGTAGGAGAGTTGTCGATGTCTCAGGAACCGGATGGTCTAGCGCCGACACACGTTGTCAGGACAGCGAATGAAACGACGTGGATCCCTGAGAAACTCGGGGGAGGGCCGTGCTCGCTTGCGGAGAGCATTGGACGAATCCATTGTAGCCAATGGTCGGCATTGAAAGTAGAGGAGAAGTTCAAGTGACAAAGAGGAAAAAAGAGGGGAAGAAGATTTAGTTTTTGGCCGGAGGTGCCAAGACCGGCGAATCGGCGCCGAAGTTAGATGGGGTTGAACGTTGAAATCGACGGCGCGTGCAGAGCGTCATCACCAGCCCGGAAAGGCAACCTGTACGAGAGGCGAGAGAACATGCTCTTGACCCGGTACTCAATCTGACACTCGCAAGTCTGAGTTACTCAGTCAGTCTGACTATTCCTTCAACAATATTCGTACACTTTTGTTACGGGTGTATCAGTGCACTAACTAGAACTGATGTAATAGCGAACCCAGATTTATCGACTATCCATTTTCAGCTAAACCGCATTGGGTCATTTTGGTGCTGCGTTCAGAAATGCTAGTAAGTTCATGAATCTATACGATATGCTACATACAAACAATGGTAGCATGCACATATTGTAAATTTACAGTATATATGTAGAGTCCACCGCAGCGTCAATTAGGATGAATCTCTACTACGATAGGTTCTGCTGCGTGCCGCCAATCAGGCATAAGACCTCCTCGTACTCAGCTTCTGCACTACGTGATTACTATCAAGCACTCCTATTGCCACATATCCAAGGTCATCTTCGGGACGAACGTCACCGAGGCGAACCACCAGATCTCCTACCCGCTTCGACTGGTCCGACGCATCCTCCATGGATGACACATGGGCGTAACTCGCATACGGATTGTCCCTCAAAAGTGAGCTGAATTTATCCAACACGTCAGGCCCACGCCGACACGCCCCCAGCACGACGGTGGCCAAGCCGATGATGAACAGCACAAGCGAGCACACCAGCATGATTGCGAGCCACCCGAAGTCGCACTTGACGACATTCTGGCCAGTTGTGATTGTGCCCAGCGTGCTATCCGTGGTGTACGGGCGATAGCCACCTGGGTCCACGGTGAAGTTTCCTGATATCGCAGAGGGAGCGATGCTGTCAATCCAGTAGGTGTTGAGGAGCTGCGAGAACCGTTTGGAGATGGTCTTGTTCCCGAGCTTCCACAGCTTGGTGGTGGAAGTCTGTACCAGCACATTCGACGGGTCCGCCAAGTATGCTTCGATGGCACTAGGGGGACAAAACACAGTGTCGCAGCCCACTGTCGGGTTGGTGGCGTTAGTGAAATCCGGAAAGAACGCCATGTACAAGAGATCAACTTGACCCAGACCGTTGATCGGTGTCCAGTCAGCCACACCGAGAGAAGTAAAGCTGGGGCTGAGCCGGTGCGAAGCAGGATTTTCCGAAGGTCGGGCAGCGACACTCTGACAGGTTTGACCGTCGCATTTGATCTGGACTTCAACGTAACTCATACCGACGGTACAGTTTGCAACGGTCAGAATCTTCCCGGACGGCAGATCATCGCCTTCGTCAATGTCGAGAGATCGGAACGTAAAGTTAGTTACGGCATACTGATTGTACTCGTTTGGAGTGAGAGCGTAATTCGCACCACTCCAGCCAACAAACTGTTCAAGACTTTGTCTGTATGCAGCAGTCCAATTGTGGCCCGATACATTGCAGCTGGCGACCATGTAACCAGTGTTCATCGTGAACCGTGAGACTCCCGCTGATGGAAGGTTATGGATGGGCAGTCCTGTGAGAGAACTCCATTCTACGTCGCCAGAATCTGGCACAGCCCTCCAATCTGAGCCGGCATTTGCTGACAGACTCTCGTACACGGGTATCTTGACGTGGCCGAACTGATCTTGCGCCAGGCCCTTTGACTTCGCCGAGCCGATGATAGCAGAGGTGAAGATGGCATTAATTGGGATCAGCGGTTCCGCCGAGGCCGAGCCAACGCCTTGGTTGCTGAAATTGGATACAAAGGAGAGATATGTAAAGTTCTGCGTCGTATTCGAGTAGAGTTCGTGTGTAGAGATGACACGAAGCCCGGCCTGGCCACCCAGTGGGGAGAGTGCCCACAGCAAACAGAGAAAAGGCGTGAGGACGTTGACGGTCTTCAACGTGATCGGGGCCATGAAAGTGCTGAAGACGCTCCGGCTCTGCAAGAGATATTCGAGAGCGAGTACGGAGGCGCCATTCTCGAGCTTGACCGCTGCTATTGCCTTAAGAAACTTGGCAGCGACCGCAGAAAATAAGATGGGAAAAATGGTCGGACTCTGTCAGAATCCTTTTCAGTAACAGCCATGGCAAACAACAGAACTGTGGCAATGGCCAAACTCACATATTTGGCCGCTTCAAGCAAACCTTGGTTTCCTTGTTGGTCGACAGGCTGATCGCGCCTGGTATAGACCAGAGCGGCGAAGACAATGAAGTAGGCGCAGGTGAGAGCAATGAGAAAATCCAGCAGGCCTTGTCCAATAACGCCGAAAGATAACAGCTGTCGTGCACTCCAAGAAGCTTTGGGATCGTGGGATGGCACACTGTCGTTGTCGGAGCCGGTCTTCAACAAAGGCCCATTGTCGACTCTCGACTCCATGATATAGACAGCCTCCTGCCCTTGATCTGAGTTCGCCATCTTCCCGGACCAGAAGGAGGAAGAAGAACATGTCCATGGGAGAAGGCGACGACGTCTTTTGAGTGGTGGTGATCAGGCTGGAAATTTGGGGCTAGAATATTTCGCGTGCCACAGGGTTTTAGATGGGCTCACTAGGACGGTTTACCATAGGCTGAAACCAACTTGAAGCGTAAGGCATCCCGGGGCGTCCCCCCAGCCAAGGCCCGAGCCGACAAGGCAGTGCCACGGGTCGAGCTCCCAGTGGTTGCTTCGGTGTGCAAATCTCGGCTCATCTCCGTTCTCTTCGTCGGCGCAGAGAGGCTCTGACATATGGGATAATATCTGGATCACGTGCATGGTCACATCCTTCATGTTTACAAGTATTACCGAGTCCTTCCCCGCATTTCAGTTTAGTAACCCCAAGAGCCACTAATGCTGTTAGCGCCCCTGACAATACGGGGTTGCGCTGCTGCTCACCAGCCTTTGCCCGGTCAGGCAGCTCCGCCGAGGTCTGGGCCTCAATTTACTGTCATTCTCCACCAAAGTTTCTCTCCGTCTCTGCTTGACAACCATTTACCCTGATCGTCGCCAACACGGGCTTGTAGCAGATATGAGAGAGAAGCCTGGAGGAAAATCTACCGAACGGTCTGCAGCATGCAGGTCTTGTGGCAAGACATTTGCGCGCTCCGACACCCTGCTTCGGCACGAGAAAAATCATCATTCCACAGAAGATCGAGGACCTCTTCATCGAGTCACTGCTGGGACATTCAGAGCTTGCCATGCCTGTGCAACAGCAAGATCTAGATGCTCAGGGGGCTTTCCATGTGGTAGGTGCAAGCTTCGCCAGCTCGAGTGTATCTATCCAAACAAACGTCGGAAGACGTCATTGTCGACCGAACCAGCGAAGACCAACGACAACGCGGCCACCAAGCAGCAAATAGTCGGAAACTTGGATCAGCTAGCCTTTGCTGCTGATGGCCGTTACCAGGTCTCCTCGGACATCCATACGAGCGGAGACACACTGTCCAGCTCAACAGTGTTTCCTGACCCCTCTCAAAATGCACAGAATCCTCTGTCAAACTACGAGTTGGGACATCAGTCGGCGGGTCAAGGGGGAGAACCGACAAACTCAGGCACGACTCAAATGCTACAGCACGGCCATTTCGGGAATGATTACCTTGCCCCCCCGTTCAGTACTGGATTTGTTGAGCCTGCCGCGGCCTTTGAGTATAGCACGTTCGACGAACCTCTCAACTGGATCCCTCCCAGCATTTACCCGTCGCCATACGATGCAGAGCTTGAACAGGATTTCTCTTTTATTCTCCCCACACTGTCAAACAACCTGAACGCTGACTACATGGTGGACTTCTCACTCAATGCACCTGGAAACATATATCCAGCGAATGAAGACGTAACCAACGACTCGTCCGAGCCTCGAGAGTTTCGTGCCCGTCTCGTGGCTGTTGAACAAAGTCCTTCATCTTCAACAAGTGACGGTATATACATGCCCAAATCGGTCCACGGCAGCTCCACCAGCTCAGACCTGAAGCGCAAGAAGAGGAAAACGTCCCTCCTGCCCGATCGTTTTACGCAACCACGAAAACAGAGCACCGGCTATGCATTTCCAGAGACAGAGGACTCTTGGAATACCATGTTGGCAAATAGGACGACGAAATACTGTCCGGAGGCCACATACGATCTGATTTTGAGTGCCTTCCGAGATCTATGTGTGGAGACGACATCGCCCGCTCCATTTCAGAGCTCTGCTTTTCCACCCTTGTATGCGTTCAATATTTGCATCGATGGTTATTTTGAGAACTTCCACAAGGATTTTCCCCTGCTACATCAGCCATCTTTCGGTTCTCAATCCGATTGGATTGTGGTTCTTGCGGCCGCAACAATTGGCAGTTCCTTTTCAAAATCCACATCTGGCCTGGACGTTCGGGAAGCCTTCCAAGAATTTCTGCGCCGAGCTATCGATAGTCATGTGAACGGAGTACCAGACGCCGTGCTGGATATTCCGTTCGCCCAGGCTCGCATCTTGAATCTTGTCGGCCTAGTTCAATCAGATCACGAGCCGCTGAGGGCCCTGTCGCCACGCTACCATGCAGATCTCTCACGGTGGTGTCTTGAATCCGGGGTGTTGCAGCTCTCTGTGGAAAGCGATCTGCTAGACGGTCAAGAAAATGGCGGGAGTGTCGAAGATCGCTTGCATTTTTGGCCTAAATGGATTAGAGCGGAGTCTTTGCGCCGCGTGGGCTATATGGCTTGGTTACTGGACTGTTGTCTGGGTTATATGGCGAATGCACGTCCACTCTGTAACATGGACGATGCAAGAACTCCTCTCCCTTGCTCCGAATCCGTTTGGAGTGCCACCACTCCAGAGCTCTGGGCGGAGAGAACTCAAGAGCTGGCGGAAACCCCCTCCCTCTGCGAAGCCCTCGAGAAGCTCTATAGCAAGAAATATGTCGATCCGGCCTACAGCGAATTGTCACAGATCTTGCTGATCCACTCTCTTTATCAACGAACGTGGGAGGTAGGCACGCACATCAAGCAACCACTGAGCGAATGGGTTCCCACGGGCAAGGCTCGAGGCTTCTTGAACACACCCTCAAAGGACAACTTCTGGCTCCCGCTCTACCCGCTCTACGCCAACTGGCGCAACAGCGCCTGTGATTGCCTCGACGTGCTTCATTGGCAAGCGTCGAGCATCGTTGCCAAGGCTTCGGGCCTCGAACACGGCGTCATCCTCCATCTCCACCTCGCCCGTATCGTCCTCCTCACACCCTTCCAGGAGATACAGGATTTGCTGTTCTCCTTGATCGGCAAGGTGGGAAGCTCTCCAAAGGCATCATTCTACGTCCATGACGGCAGCTACCAGCCACGCAACAGTGCGAAGCTGCCCCAGATCCGCAAGATAACGTGGCGATGGCTGCGCGAGGATCAACACAAAGCTCGTCTGGCTATGGTGCACGCGGGATCGGTCTTCTGGTTCGTTCGTCGGTATTCCGCCATGACCTTCTTCGAGCCGTTTGCCGTCTATCTGGCGAGCCTGGTCCTCTGGACATATGGCTCCTATAAGTCGACTGCCTTTGAGCGAGACAATGCTGCTGCCAACCAGGAACCTGAAGGCGGTCCGAGGGGCCCTGACGCGGGCGCTCCCATCCAGCCGTCTCGAATGGAGAGGAAAGAGCATCCGATCAAATTCATCGCCAAGGCCAACGAACGGCCAGGGAAGAAAGCTGCTGCTGCCGGTGGCTCGATCCCGCCAGATCCTGCATTTCTCAGATCGCCTGCTGATCGACGTTCCTCGGCTCGCAACTCTGTGTCCGCGACGCATGAAGACACGATGACGGCTGGCTCAAGGTCACCACCACCACGACGTCCGTCGCTCAGCTCCGAGGAAGACTCCGAAGAAGACACGTCCTCCTCGGACGAACGACCCGAGTTCATTCATCTGGACCGTCCTTGCGACGACGAGATGGTACAGCACTTTGTGCGCAACGGCCACACCATGTCCGGGCACATGACGAACGTGGGAGATATCTGCAAGGCACCGCAGAAGGTGCTGCTGGAAGGCGCAAGACTGTTGAGGACGAGACTAGCCTGTTGGGGCGTCAGTCGAGAGTACTACGATATTCTGATGAAGCTGGCAGAGCTCAGGAAAGCGGGTTGAATTTGGAGATGATCCTTTCCACACATGGATTAGGACCTTCATACTTGGATACGAATGCCCTCGGCTTTAACTGCAGCTACTGGCTGTGTAGCCCCTTTTATTCTATATATCCCCGACAGAATATAATCCCGGCATGAGGAATGGTTCGACGTTCGTCGGGCTAGAAGGCTTTCCACCTCAGCATCGTCATAGAACTCTTGGGGAAGACGAACGTCGAGGACTTGCTGGGATCCCATCCCGACTTCTGCAACGCGACCTCCTGTTTGCCCTCCATGTTTGTGACGTTGAGATTGGCCCCCGTGACCGTGTAGACCTCACCATATGACGAGGCATCCACGCCTCCGAGAGTCGTCTTGAGGTCCTGCTCGGCGTGGATGTTGACCACGCAAAGGTTGACCCAGCCCTCGTCGTCGAGCGTGGCACTCACGTCCAGCCACGGCGTCGGTTTGAGGGCTCTCACCCACTCCGGCCTCGTCGGTCCCGTGTAGGCGTCGCATTCGAGGTGCACGGCGATCTGGTGGCCCTTCATGAAGCGGCAGAACAGCTCGTAGGGCCACCAGGTCGTCTGCTTGATGATGCACGTCTCCGTGGTCATCAGGGGGCTGATGACGTTGACGCTCTGTGCGATGCACGCCATCCCTACATCCTTGGACTTGCGCACCAGCACGTTCAGCCACACCGCCACAGCCAGCGCGTCCGAGAGCGTGTACGTCTCCTCGGCGCCCTTGCTGCCGACGGCACGCGTGGGCAGCCACACGTTCCACTCGTCGAAGCAGATAGTCGGCCGCTTCTGGCCTGGCGGGATCTTGTTCTCGACGAAGGCCAAATCGATCAGCCCCGAGCACACTTCGATGTTGCGCTCCGCGGCCAGCGGGGCCGTCATGTTCTCGTAATGGTCGGTGCTCGCCGTGTACAAGTGGATGCTGTGCATATCGATCAGCGGCACGCGCTCCTCGCCCAGGTCGCTCAGCCCGGCCGGCTGCAGGCAGTACTTCAGCGTATAATAGTCCCAGCTTGAGGGCCCCTCTTTGCCGCACAGGATGAGTTCGATGCTCGGGTCGAGCAGCTTCAACGCCTTCGCCCACTGGAGGGCGCGCTCGGCGTATGCTTCCTGGGTCATCTGGTTGACCTGCCACGGCCCCCACACTTCGTTTCCCAGCGCCCAGTACTTGACCTTGTACGGCGCGTCGTGGCCATTTTTCCGCCGCTGGTTTGCCCAATAGGTGTCCTTGGTGCCGTTGCAGTACTCGACCCACGCCATGGCCTCGTCGAGCGTGCCGGTCCCGAAGTTCAGACACAAATAGGGCTCGGCGTTCACAGCCCTGCACCACGCCATGAACTCGTCCGTGCCGAAGTGGTTCGTCTCGATGTTGTCCCACGCCAATTCCGGTCGGGAGGGCCGCTGGTCTCGCGGCCCGATCCCGTCCTGCCAGTGGTATGTGGCGCAGAAGTTTCCTCCCGGGTACCGAAAGACAGGGATGTCGAGCGGCTTCAGGGCCTCGATCACGTCCTTTCGAAACCCCTCAGAGTCGACCAGGTCTTTGGAGGGATTTGTGGGATCATATATCCCGCCATAGATGCACCGACCCATGTGCTCCGTGAAGCCCGAGTAGATGTTTCGGTTGATCTTGGAGATCTTGCGGGTAGGGAATACCGTTATTGATGGGGCCGCCATGTTGGCTGTGGCACAAGTTGGTGTCGTCTTGGATATGTCCTATTTACTGCAGACCTGTTGATCCCCAGGAGTCACGCCTCTCAAGCAAATATCAGCAATCCCAGGTGTCTACCATCCAGTATCAGGGGGCACGCGGTCGTTCATAAATGCAAGATTCGAAGTCAGGTGTGAATCCATTGACCAGCTGTATGATTGGCCTTGGTCGGTAAAAGGCCGGAAAAGCGGGCTCAAGAGACCCTCGTGTCCAACAGGAGACTACCTCGACGGTGGAAAGTTCTTACCTGTCGGTGCTTGATCTCCACGCGAGGTATTCGCTATTACCCGCCAGCCGAGCAAAGCAACAACCAGGATTCAGGATATCATCCGCGGAGCCAATTGACGAGCATGACACCAGCGACCTCCCATCCCACCGGGGAACTTCCATTCTGGGAGACTCGCCTCTTTTCCCCGCCGGAGCTTCAAACTGCCACACACGCAGTGGAGATCGCCCGGCACATAGCTTCGACGAGGGCTTTCGGTATTGCCCAAGAGTCAGCAGCGAATGCGAGGCTCGACCGCGCGTATGTGGATGAATGTAGTCATGCCTCTCCGCGATCCCATGTTTTCCTGGGCTCGCTAGACTCGAACATTCCGCAGGTTAGTTGTGGCGGGGGAGAGAGGGAGGGAAGATCCTCGTTTGTCTCAACTGGGAAAAACTGCGGAATCATGCGAAGGGAAGGCATCACGCGCTGAATGAAGCTTGCTCCGGCCATTATTTCATCGTTTCAAAAGAGTGATGGGGTTGAGACGGCGCGAGGCATCCTCGTCTATATATTTCTTGTGGACTCCGTCGATCTATTTCAAGGCAAGCCCTCACTCGTCTGCGACGTAGGCCGTCTCGTCGGTCTTCAGACTCTTCTACTCTTGTCATCACCATCGACCTCCCTTTGGCCGCTTTATTATCGCTCTACTTTTTCGGCAAATCGCCCATCATGCGTCTACCACCGAAATGGTACCAGTTCCTCGTCGGCGTGTTTGCCTCGCTTGGTTCGTACCTGTACGGCTACGACCTGGGAGTCATCGCCGAAGTCGTGGCCAGCAGCACCTTCAAGGCCAAGTTTGCGGCCGATGACACGCAGACTGGTCTGGTTGTCTCCATGTTCACGACCGGAGCCTTCTTCGGTGCCGCCCTGGCAGGTCCCAGCGGCGACTATCTCGGCCGTCGATGGACCATTGTTCTGGGATCCGTGATCTTTTGTCTCGGTGGCGGGCTGCAGACCGGTGCACAGAACATCAGCTACCTCTGGTCTGGCCGCTTCCTGGCCGGACTGGGCGTCGGCTTCCTCGTCATGATCGTGCCTCTCTATCAAGCCGAGCTGGCCCATCCCAGCATTCGGGGCCGCATCACGGCCCTGCAGCAATTCATGCTGGGTGTGGGTGCGCTGGTGGCCTCGTGGATCTCGTGGGCTACGGTACGTCTTGTCTTATGTGCCTAGAATAGTCGTCGGTTTCGAAGACTTTTGTTCAGCATGAAATGGCACAACTAACAAGGATTCTCCAGTTTGTCCATATCAAAAACAACAGCGCCCAATGGCGAGTTCCGCTCGGTCTGCAGATCATCCCTGCCATCTTTTTGGGATTTTTGATATTCTTGTTCCCAGAGTCTCCCAGGTAGGACTCCTCTGCCCCAGTCTTGTCCTCATCTCGTTGGGCTAACCACTTGCCTTCAACAACAACAGATGGCTCATGGACCACGACCAGCCGGACAGAGCCCTAAAGGTCCTGGCCCAGCTGCACGCTCACGGCGACGAAAAGGATCCCTGGGTGATTGCCGAGTACGAACAGGTCCAGGCGTCCATTGCCCACGAGCACCAGTACGAAGCAAAGTCCTATCTCGAACTGTTCCGGTCGCGCTCAGCCTTCCGCCGGCTGTTCCTTTGCTGCGCACTGCAAGCCAGTATCCAAATGACCGGCGTCTCAGCGATCCAGTACTTTTCGGTCGAAATCTACGGCCAGATCGGTAATGTCTTGCCTCACAAGATATTAAGTTGCTACACCAAAACTAACATGTAGACAATCTATCTGACAGGCATCTCTGGAGACAACACGCTCAAGTACCAGGGCATCAACAGCATCATCGCTCTGGTGGCCCAGTTCTTGTGCATTCTCTGCATCGACCACACGGGCCGTCGCTGGCCTCTGATCTTCGGCAATATTGGCAACATGGTGACCTTCATCATTGCCACCATCCTGCTCGCCAAGTATCCTCCGGGCGTTTCGACCAACACCGGTGCCCAGTGGGGATTCATCATCATGACCTGGCTGTACAACTTCTCCTTCAGCGCCACGTGCGGTCCGTTGTCGTGGATCATCCCGGCCGAGGTGTTTGATACGAGGACGTAAGTCAACCGAGCTATATACCCATACCATTTCAATGATGATGACAACTATGATGATGATGATGATGATGCTGACGCTCTGTATGTCTCCAGTCGAAGCAAAGGCGTGAGCATCGCCACCATGACCAGCTTCGCTTTCAACACCATGATCGTACGTGCTCTTCTACATAAAGAAGCTCTGCCCCTCCCCCAACCACCTCTCCTTCCCCTTCTCACATGCAAAGCTAGCCGTCAGCTAACATGTGATGCCCCGTGTGTTCTTTCTTCTACAGGGACAAGTCACCCCGATCGCCATGACGAACATCGGCTACCGGTTCTACTACGTCTTCATCGTGTGCAACTGCACCAACGCGGTCTTCTTCTGGCTGCTGCTGCCGGAGACGGCGCGCCGCCCGCTCGAGGAGATGAACTACCTCTTCGAGCACGCGCCGTGGATCGTCGTCGGCACCAGCCGGGACAGCTACGTCAGCCACGACCTCGAGCACCGCCTGCACGAGATCACCGCCGAGGCCGAGATTAAGAGAGGGGCTGGCGGCTCCGTGATGCATGAGGAGAAGATTGCGAAGTGACTGACTGACTGGCTGAATGACTGATTGATGGTGGTGATGGTGGTGGCGATGGTATTGGCTGAGAGACATCTGCCAACGAAGTAGAATTACCACTGGCATCTTGCTCTTCAAACAAACACATGTTGGATGGTGTGCAGACATTGCTTCCCCAGACACGGTACTTGTGTATATCGATCTAGCAGAAGGTATGTACTTCAAGATACCATGTCTGGCTTTTCAAACACACCGCATCCTCCTCGCACGAAGAAAATGTAGACCGGATGATCCACCACTTCTACTCTGCTCGTCGACTAGACCTCGTCATAAAGCGGGGGGCGGAAGTCTGACGAGATTATCTGAAAGAGTTTGTCTGCTAATAACCCGCTCAACGACCCCCCCAGAAGACCCCCCTTCAACGAGTCGCAAACAAGATGGATAATTGAGACGGCTTTTCGGGATTGCTCCCCAGCTCGGGCAGTGACTGGAATTTATTGCAGGTAGATTGTGACTATTGTCCGGCCACTGGCCACAACGTACATATCTTCCGGCCATTTGCTCACTCTTACTTGCTCCACGCCGGGATCATCTGGGTGTAGCCATCGTCCAGCGGCTTGACGGTCTTCTTCCACGCCTCCCGGGCACTGACGGTCTCCCACCATTTCTTCAGGTGGGGCCTGCCGTCGAAAATATCAAGGCACCGGCTGACAGTGAACATGCACGGCATGTAGAAGATGTCGACCAGACTGTACTCGCCCCCTCCCATGTATGCCGTCTTTGACAGAACCTTGTCGAGCACGTCCAGACAGTCGAGTAGTTTCGGCTTGTGTCTTGCAACGACTGCTTCATCCGTGGCTTTTCCTAATACGCTGTTCGCTGTCATGTCAATCACCTGGTCACATACGTGGTGTCCCGACTGGGGGAAGAAGGACGTGGTAATATGGGAAAGGAGAGGCGTACGGTCGAATGAGTGTCTCGCTAATAACAGGGACGACGTGGCTGTCGAACTCGATTGCCTCGAGAGTCAACCACATCTCCCAGACGCCCTTCGTTTCGGCGTCGGTGCTCTCTGGCATCAATCCCTGGCCGACGTCCGCGTACTTCAGGCACAGATAGCGGGCGATTGCGCGAGACTCGAAGATCACGATGTTGCCGTCCTCTAGCAGTGGGACCCTCCCGAAGATGGACTTTTCGCGAAAGTCTTCGGTCTGTTGACGCGATGTTAGCAACGCATACTCTTGGATTTGGAGGCGGCAGAGATCACTGACCTTGTGTTTCCCTCCGATGAGGTCGGCAGGGATGCTGACGACATCATCGATCCCTTTCTCGGCCAGCACAAGCTCAGTTCGCAGGCAGTTCCACGACAGTGGTGACGTCCAGAGCTTCAGAGTCATAGCTTTAGGCTTGTCCTTTTGTTACCTGCCACCTTGTTTACGAAGGGGGATGAGTCTGTTGACGAGCCTTAGAGCACGGAATGCCGACCGAGTCGGTCTTAAGTACATTTGTACCCAGTCCGACACCATGACGCTTTTCGTCTGGTTTTCCGAAAGAGATGTCGTTTTCTCTGCCTTGATAGTTCGTTCAACTGTACGACATGGGGCTGCAGCGTTGGCGTTCCGCGCAGCGTTCTGCTCGGCGTAGCATATGCACCCACTAGGTTTTTGACCTTCACGTTATCGACTATTGAAGGTGATGTTATGCCACACTTGCTCAGAGTGGAAGAATGATGGCGGTAAACTGGTGATAGATCGATCCGTTATTTCTTGAGGCACACTTAGCCGAATTCGGAAATGCAGAGAGACGCTTGCTCTCAAAGTGATAGCCCAGGGACACCATAACGACATAGCTGTCGTTCTACTCGTGATCCTCCCCAGAATTACGGCATGTCCCTGAAGCCATGACATAGGGATACGCGTTTCGACAGACGCCAGAGCACCTGCTTAGAAATGAGCCCGAAAGTTTCCGGGCCGACTTAAAGTGTTCATCCCATTTTGCGGCCGTCATCCTGAACGATTCGTCCGACTACGAGTCGTATGGGATTAGGGATTCGAGCCGCCGTACAGACTATCAAAATCCTTCTCCCACCCGTCGGCGGAAGGCAAGCTTGCCGTAGGTGTTAGTTCGTTCAATCCAGTCTGCCTGGCATCTGGCCTTCTTTCTAGGCTCTGAAATGGCGCTAACAGTCCGCTCAACCTGTCAGCTGACCAAAGACTGCCGAACCGACGTCGCCGACAAGCTTGGTCTTCAGTCCTTCTTGTTTTCCATCGAGGTAGCTGGAGACACCCGTCGCAAATATTTTAATCACCACCTCGGTGACCGAGACTTCCCAGGAGGATGTCTGGGCAGATCCAGTGTCAGACATCGCTGGTCTCTGGCGATCACTTGCGGATTTTGAGAGGGAATTGGAGGCTGAGAGACTCAGAATCAGACTCACCTGAAGCTTGCACAAGCTCTCAAAATCCACCTTGTTGCTTCCAAGTTGATGTTGAATTGCCTTGGCTTTGTCGGTGCAACTCCAGCCCCAAAGGTCTTTTTCAGTTTTCTCAACCTTATATACCACCGAAACAACCACCCATGCTACGATATGAACGGTAGCATATAAAACGCTGAAGAATGCTGCCTTATGTTCGGCTTGACACCAAAGAGCAACTAGTGCTGTCAATGCCAGCAAAGAAGTGATGATGGAGCCTGTAAACAGCATGAAAGTCGGCCAGAGAACACTACCTCTGGCCCATGGTCCCCAGGGTCGACCTTCCACGAAGAGGTCTTTCGTTATATGGAGTTTGTAGATGGTGTAAATCATGATCGATTCCGTGAAGATTGAAAACAGTGCTGAAATAAAATTTGTGATGCCGGACGTGATCCTGGTCCAATATCGAAGTCTGTCGTATTGTTTCAGCAGGAACGCACGCCTAGGATTGACAAGAGCTTCGCTTTTCTGTACGGATGTGTGCGGCTCATGGTTATGCGGTAATATTTCCACCCAACTGCTATGAGCAGGTGAATGGTTATTGCTGAACTCTGAAATCTCACTGGTGGCTTCGAGGATGTTTTGCAAAAACTTCGACGTCATTCTCTTCACCTACACTGATGAATATTGATGTTGTCGAAAAGACAGAATGAGGAAGCTGCCAGATGCCCAGAATAATGTTGTTATATGAAGCTGGGGGGTTTAGCATAACCTGACAGCGAAGGGCAAGGGGCGCAGCAACGAAAATCGCATCCACTATGACGAAGAAACTTGACCTTTCGAGCTTCGAACGACGTTGAATACGTGTTCGAGCATGCTGGACAGAATCCTTCGACGTGAAGTGCCAGGCTGAGCCCGATCAGGCAAGGAGAAGCATATATGACACAGGCCGGTTGCACTTAGCGAAGATCCAGATCTTCATAGTCAGTCTCCTCTTTTTGGAGTCCGGAAAAAACATTGCAGAAAAGATTCACTTGGGGAGAATGCACGGTGCTGGACACTAGTGAAGTGTCTGAATAGAGAGATTCTCAGGTGTCCTGTGCAGCTCTACAAGGGCATTTCCTGGAGGGTAGTAAATCAAACCCAACCCAGAAACTGCAGGGAGAAGTCGGATCCCGGTTCGACCGAAGCCAGGCCTTGAAACAGCTAGGAGGTCCTGTACGCGTACACAGTGTGGAGTATCAGCACCTACTGTTTAGGATTCCAGTATATAAGCTGTGAGCTGCTGCGCGCAGCGCTGGGAATGTCGAACTTTGATGGATCCTCCCTTGACAAGGAGGGTCTTTGATCTAGCTAAACTCGGGCGAAGCTTGCGTGTGCCGCGTATTCAGAAACCACAAAATGCGAATGGGATTTCCCATCTCAGGTATGCGAATTCAAGGGTTTTTCTAGACCAGTGACCCAGGCCACTGTCTGCTTGAGGCGCGGACAGGTTGGACGAAGGTAGCGCTTGGCGAAAGGCGGGAGACGAAGTGAGAGACACACCTGCGAGGCTTTGAGGCGTTATAGGCCAATGGCGTGGGCAGCTGAGAAATTTGATGCATGTGGTATGTCCAGACCTCCCAACGATTACCAACGGCGTCAGGAGTGAGACCATAATCAACCGTGTCGGTGAAACTGAAAATGACAAGTGCTCCGCCATGGCTGAATCGGTCGAAGGATAATGCCATTGCGATGCTGGGACTGTGTGCCACGGTCAAGGGTATGCATGATCGACTCACGGCAGCAAATACCCTCCTGATGCGGGCATTGAAAAAGTGGCGTACCACCATACAAACAACGCTCAAATTGATCCGAAACTCGAGGGAATAAATTGCACGATTTGGAGCAACTGTCGGTGGGCGAGGTTGCTGAAGAATTGTTTAGTACGTCAAGGTGATGAAATCTCTCACCAGGTCGCTCTCGATACTTGCCAACAACTCTTGCCTTCGACTTCTCGAACATTACATGTATTCGGGCATCAACTATTCGTACAGCCATCATCATGTCCACCTCTCCCCAAGGTTCACCCAGGATATTGGCAAGCCGGCCCTCGGAATATCCTCCTCTGCCTGGAAAGCCGGGGTGGACATATCATCATTGCAGGTGTGGGCGTTTTGGAGACAAAAGCTGCGCAACCTGGTGGGTAGTGGTGGCTTCTGCAGAGGACGGGATGGCGGTCGTTCGCAACTGGTGTTACTCGTAGGGAAGAGGGGTGAATTCATGAGTGCATCTTTCCCTGGAGTGGTACAAGGGTTGTATGTTCTGGCCAGAGCAGGATAGTGGTTCGAGGACATCCACACGTGGGAAGGTCAAGGAGAGTTCGCAAGTGGGCGCAGGGCACTGGGTGTTGAAGAGGAATATCTGGCTCGCTGGCCAAGAGCAATCTATACCTCGTATACTTCGCCGTATCGGACAACCCCTCGACCCATACGCTCTACCGTATACACTCCGACATTGATCCGTAATCGACACTAGACCTAATTTGTCGCACAAGGCTTTGTGCTAGAAGCTCGTCAAACCCTTCTGTGACAATTCTCCCCGTCGACCACTCTGACACACTTTCGTCTCACGCCAACGAAGCCGTCACCCTGGCATCTCCGTCACAATACGGGGCACGGGGACAGCCCTTGTCGCTTTTCGAGCATTTGGACATATTTCCCTCACCTCATGGCGATAATAAGTTTTAACCGGCTTGTCTGGCAGATTCTTTAGAGCATGGTCGAAGGGGCGGAGATATCAATTCCCAACTTCCTAGCCGAGATGACCACGTTTGAGGGATCTCGTGGCTTCGATGATGTCTTTGTATAAATATATATGTGTGTGTGTGCAAGTGTGTAGCAATTTCCTGCCATGAGAACTATCTATCTACGGAAAGCCCAAGTGACCATCGATTGACCTTACGCTGCTTAAATCTCCCTCAACAGTATCCCGATATAAATCCTCAGCTTAAACGCCATGCAGATGCTCCTGCACATTCTCTCAACTACGTTCCTGCTCTTCATCATCCACACGACGGCGTCGCCGTTATGGTGGGATGACCACATCGAACCGTCTCCCACGACTGGCGACTTCAGTTACCCGATCCGTCCTCGCGATCCAGCCAACACCTCGGTCAACCCCGATGCCGTGACGGGGACGACTTGCATAGACCCTACAGCGGTCCTCAACACGCACGACACCAATGTCGCCATCCTGTCCATCTGCGGGGGTATCGCCGGGTCGATAGAGTTTTGCGGAGGCGACCCGTCGACGACTGTGGGGGCGTCGGGAACGTCAAAGTTTACGTTGACAGCTGTCAACGCCGCACAGGGCGCCACGATCAATGTGAGCAAGGGGAGATGGGAAGGATGTGTGAGGGCTGCGCGCGCGGTGTGTCCGACGGGGACGTTCAGCAGTACGTGCATAGGCGGGACTAGTGATGGGGCAGGGTTCACGTTTGTGTTGAGCGAGAACAATTGAGTGCATACTGTCGCCGGTCACCTGTGCAGTGCTATATACTACCAAAGGCGTTAACGAGTTCATGTACTTCACTTCATGGCAATGCTTTTTCTATCTAGGCTCGGCTACACCGAAGGGATAATGTTGGGAGAGAAGGAATAGCCAGTGGGATGAATAACTCCACATCCACCTGTTCTCTGCCGACAATGCGCCCACAAGCTCATGTGATTGCGCTCTGCCTGGGGGAATTACTTAGCATGAGCACAAATTGGGGTGGTAATCTTGCTAAGGCGATGCCATAACCCCTACAAGGATGAGACCGCCACAGACGGACTTGGTTTGTTGGACTTTGTGGCTTTACTGTGACATGAAGGTTCAGAGGTGGAGAATGAGGCTCGATGCTCGGTCGGGTCACTTTGCTGGCGTCAAACGTTGTAGGGAACACATGATCTCTACATTTGCCGCAGAAGATTCTGCCATCATGGGCAAGGAAGGAAACAAGATCAGAACCGTGATAATCCAACCGTCACATTTTATCTCTAGTATACCGATGATAAGAGAATAGGTTGAAGAAATAGTCATCATTCGTCAAGCTCTCGAAAAATCCACCAAACTCCCCTGCCTGCTCATATCCTGAAAGTATATCTCTCTCATCACTGTAGAAGTGTAGAATTTTGGCGCAACGGAAGTCTAGCTCCTGGGAGCGCATTTCTGCCGCAAAATAGGAGGGAAAGAATCGGATGGTCTCTCGCCCGGACCAATCCCACATGAAAGAAGAAAAAACCTATGTACACATGCCATAATCTGAACTTGCTCAGGGCCCCTGACTCTGAGCCATCGCGAAGGTGTCAAAGACGGGACACGACGGGGCTTCTACGTCTTGTTCCGCCTGGATCAAATTGTCCATCCACGACTCGTTGTTGAAGGGCATTTGGTATTCCAGCTGAGGGACAGGTTCCGATACGCGCGGGATCATCCCAGGAACTGTGCTGTCGACGTAGACGTTTGGCTTTGTCAAGACCTCACGGGCGAACTTAGCCACTTGTCCTTTGGCAATGGTGGCTCGTGGCCAGACCTCACCGAATGATCCAAGCGCCGAAATGCTGAGCTGCAACCGTTCCTTAATTGCCACAGCTTGATCCGGGGTATCCACGATAGCGTACGCCGGCAAGTGCACTGTTGCAGCGGTGGTCAAGCCGCACATCAGCACTGGTGAGCACATCTTGACATCTGTTTGGATGGACGCCAGGTTGGTGATGGCGTTCGCTGCTCGCAATGCTTTGGCAGTGTGCGAGGTGTACGCCAGCGCAGGAAGACCAGCAGCCTCTGCCTTTGTGCATGTCGTGCGATAGTGGTTACGGATGAAGGTCAAGGTCGATCGTGGACGATGCAGACAAATAGCAGCCCAATGAATGACTAGATGGGCGATGAGAAGGCATTCGTCAATGGTACCGTCGTTGCGCACCACTTCTCTCTTGTCCATGGGGAGCGACAAGAGGAGGTTCGAAATGGCGGCATCAATGCCCTCAACTTGAGGATCCGTCACCGCAAATGTGTCTGGGCTTAAGGCAAGCACAGAGCCAAGGATATAGGTTGCTTCGATGCAGTAGGCAAAGGACGAGTATTCAAAAGTGTCTTCTGAAAAGGTCCTGTTGCGGAGGTCTGCAATTGTGCGAGTGATTGGAGGCGATCGAAGTTCATTGTAGTCTTCATCGTGGCCAGGTAATGCCACATCCGTGTAGGTCGAGTACAAGCGGAATGGGGACGATTGACCCCCAATAACCACGACCAAGCCTTCGATCAACAGGAGTGTCCACCATGTTCTCCGCCATGATTCTTGCATTGTAGAATCGTTTGGTGATTGCTGTAGAGCATAGCTCTGTCGGTTGAGACCGATCCGGAGGGTGATCTCGATGGCTTTGTCTAGGGCCATGGATCCTTCACCCTGACCGAACCGAGCGAAGCAGGTTATGGCATAGATGAGGAGGCCTTGCACCTTGAAGCCATCGTCAGGCACGTCGGAGGAGAAGATGGCCTTTGCCGCGTTCTCCAGAGCGGTGTGGTTGGCTTGAGGGATGTAATGGCTGGCCAGCCATCGCATGCATGCCTTGAGCGGTGCAGGCAGGATGTTGGGGTTCTGGCAATAGAGCTTGCGTGGCACGATGAAGGGGTGGGACGGATAGAAATGCCTGTAGAACAGGTCGATCAAGTCGGTGCTCTCTATCAAGGCCCGGTCGGCGTGAGCGGGCAGTATCTCTCGTGAGATAGACATGGTTGAATCGCTGTTGCTGGGACTTGGCAGCTGTTCTTTGACGGGTGCTGTGGTTTGCAACTCGGGAGGGAGAGCTGGGAAGGCTGGATCCATGGTGGGCTGAAAGAGTTCGGCATAGGTCATAGCCCTCAGCTTGGTAGTATCAGCCTCGTTAAAGACATGATAGGCCTCCTGAGACAAAAAGGGCTTGGATTCGTGGAAGATGGTATCATTCTTCGGCCTCTGGTCAGTCTTGTCGTCAGGAGATGATTGGTTTTTGCGATATTCTCGGTATCCTCTTCGGGAATTAATCCAGATACAGTCCCCGTTTTTCTCGGAGCACCTGCTGCATAGCGGCTTCTGGCCATCACATTTGAGATGGCTCTTCCTGCATGGAATGCAGGCGAGAAGGCTTGGATGCTTCGATCGGCCTTTACTGGGGGCCGGAGAAGCATTAGTGACATCCTCGGTGGACATTTTCGGTTTCGTCTGAGATGGCAATGTCGATGAATGGCGGTCTAATATTCCGTAACGAGAAAAAAGGGGGGGTCAATGGGTAACAGGATGGTGCTGATTATGTGGCTTTCCGACTCGCCTGAGGTATTTGTTCCTTGATTGAGAGCAATAGGCAGTGGCTACCTGGCTTGATCGCCCGAGAGCTACGTCTGCTGCGTCCTTTGATGGTCCCCGGGGGGGGGTCCTGGGTGCTGGGAGCTGTGAGCTTGGGAGTTTGGGATATTGCCACGATGGGCTGACTCAGGGAACCGGCGGTGGTGGGAGGAGGAGGTTGTCGGGGACTTGGTGGAGAACGGGACGCCACCCCTCGTGTTGGAGACGGAAACTATGGCGACAATTTTTAGCCCGGCCACCAAAACCGTTGGGCAATAGTGTGCGTCACGTGCGCACAAAGGAACTTAGGGCATGACTGTGCAGAATTCGTCTGACAGAAATCATTTCCTATTTTCATCTCACATTCTCACTGCATTTTCAATCCGTCTCCGGCCCTTCTGGCTTGATCTCTCCCTGCACCAGCATTCAGTGCCCTCTGGTTGAGGCCATATTGTATCGCTCTTGCAATTACGCTTTCACAGACACCCTCCTATCGCACCTCCGGCGGTTATCCGCTCCATTCTTGATCACCTGCAGATCAGGCGTAAAGCCCGCCGTGTGCTCCTCTCTCCTGGCTTCTTGTGTCAGACCCGTGCCACGCCGGCAAAAGTCGTGAAACCCGACGTTCCCGAGAGCTGACCCCTCCCACCCAATGTGAAACGGGATGTGACAAGGGGGGGCAATGGCCTGATCCCAAGAGATGGGCAATCCCGCACAAACAAGCAAGGGGGCGTTCCTGGGGCTGAGAAATAAGAGTGCGAAACGATTTGGTAGGATGGACTCCGTCCAGATCCCCGAAGAGACGACTGCCACGAGTCTGTGGCGCTGAATCACTCTTGTCCAGATAGAGCTGCGCGATGCTAGTCCCCGATATGATGCTTTGCCCTGTTTGACTGTCGTCTGTGCGCAGCGCTTTCCCCTAAAGGTCTATGATCGGGTATCGGTCTTGAGCTCGTTGGCGACTGGACGGTCGGGCGATCCGAATGGGTCAGCCAGCCTCGTGAAGAATAACAAAACATTTCCGAGCATCTGCTGATTTGCTTGGCCCTGGGTGGCCCAGCAGACTCTTATCTTATGTATGGCGGTGCAAAATACGAAGGAACGGTGAGGTCGTTGACTTCGACGCGGGAAGGTCCCTAAGGGGATCAGGATGGCCGTTAGTTGTCTAGGGCTGAATTTACCTGAGCTGACTTGGGCTAGGGGTGGGCTATAGGTATCTCGATGCACTGGATACGAGGGATGCTTCGGCGTCTGCGTTGTGAAAGGAGTTGAATGAGAGTTTATAAGAATATTGTTGAATTGCCTTCTGTCGTGGGCGTCCTTCATGGTGTTCTATCCTGCTTCCCAGCTTTCCGTTGTCTCTTCTGTCTCCTTGAGCATCATCTGATATCGACGCCTGCTCCCTGAAGCATATCGGACCAAGTATTCCCAAGTCGCCATGGCCATTCCCAAAGACCTCGCCTTCTCCGCAGACGCCTCGAAAGACCCGAGTGACATGACAAAGGATTTGGAAAAGGGCCTCGAGCTGAGCCGCCACCTGACCAACAGCGCCGTCTCCAGCTTCTCGTGGTCAGATGTCGGGGTGGTCGTCAAGGACCGGAAGACAAAACAACCTCTGCAGATCTTGACCTCGAGCTATGGCTCCGTCGAAGCGGGAAGTGTCCTCGCCCTCATGGGTCCCAGCGGGAGCGGCAAAACGACCCTCCTGAACGTGCTGGCTCACCGCACGTCGTCGATCAAGGGCGAGATCCACGGGAAGATCATGATAAACGGACAAGTCGCCAATGCCTCGTCGGTCCAGCAGGTCTCTACCTATGTGGAGCAGGAGGACGCCGTGATCGGCATCTTGACACTGCGCGAAACCATTGACTTCGCCGCCAGACTCTCCGTCAACGGGCGCATGTCCAAGAAGGAGAGACTCGCGAGGGTCAACGAGCTCATCGAGTCGTTTGGCCTCCAACGTCAAGCAGACACGATTGTCGGCACGCCCCTGCGAAAAGGGCTCAGCGGCGGCCAGAAGCGCAGGCTGAGCGTCGCCAGCCAGCTCGTTACCTCCCCCAGGGTGGTCTTCCTCGACGAACCCACCAGCGGCCTCGACTCGGCTGCCAGTTTCGAGTGCATGAAGTACATCAAAGAGGTGGCCCGGCAGCACAACCTGATCGTCATCGCGTCCATCCATCAACCATCAACCACAACATTCCAGCTGTTCGACCAGCTGATGCTCTTGTCGGAAGGCCGCACGTGCTACTTCGGACCCGTGTCCAACATCCACACTTACTTCGAGCACATCGACCGCCCGGTGCCGCTGCATATCAATCCCGCCGAGTTCCTGCTCGACCTGGTCAACAGCGACTTTAGCCACAGCGGGGGCGCTGCCGAGGGCAATCTGCGCTACATCCAAGACGCATGGACGTCCTCCGAGGAGTACAAAGCCCTAGAGGCGGTCACCAGCGTCACGGATGCCGTCGGCACCAGCAGCACGCACATTTCTCCTGCACGGACATCGTCCAAGAACGTCCTGACCGTCTCGGGGGTTCTTCTCCACCGCAACTTCATCAAGTCGTATCGAGACTTCATCGCCTACGGGACCCGGGTGGTCATGTATTTTGGCCTCGCCATCATGATGGGCACCGTGTGGCTGCGTCTGTCCTTCTCGCAGGCGTCGATCCAGCCCTTCACCAACGCCATCTTCTTCGGCGGCGCCTTCATGTCCTTCATGGCCGTGGCCTACGTGCCCTCCATCATCGAGGACCTTCACACGTTCAACAAGGAGCGGCACAACGGCCTGTACGGTCCCCTGCCGTTCGTCATCGCGAACACACTCATCGGCATCCCTTGGCTGTTCCTCATCGCCATCATGTTCTCCGTGGTCACGTACTGGCTGGGCCACTTCAACCCGACCGCTGGCGGCTTTTGGATGTGGGTGCTGTGGTTGTTCCTGGATCTCCTCGCCGCGGAGGGCCTGGTGGTCCTGGTGTCGTCGCTGTTCCCCATCTTCGTGGTGGCGCTCGCGATCACGGCGTTCGCCAACGGACTGTGGATGTGCGTGGACGGGTTCATGGTCCCGATGGGCAAGCTCAATCCGTTCTGGAAGTGTAAGTTCTTTCCCCCGCCCGTCTCACTTGCTCAGCCACCCTACTACACACATACCTTCACGAAAGTGACCTTTCTCCCATTTTCCTCGTCCCTGCCCTCTGCCCCCTCCTCGTTGTCCATCTCCTCATGATATGCGAACATGGATCAAACGTGCACGTGGCTGACCGTTGTCGCCCCCCTCCCTTTTTTTTTTTACAGACGTCTTCCACTACATCGACTACCAAGCCTACGTCTTCCAAGGCATGATGGCCAACCAATTCCGCTCTACGGTCTGGGACTGCGCCAAATCCCCCGACTCGGGTTTCCAGTGCATGTACCCGTCAGACCTGGAGTCCGAGGGCAAGATCCGCGGCACCGCGGTGCTGGAGGCGTACAAGTACTCCTGGTCTTCGGGCGTCATTGGCGAGTGGATCGGCATCATGTTCGCCATCATCTTTGCCTACAGGGTCCTGGGCTACGTGGCCCTGGTGATCAAGAAGCACTAGCCGACGGCCAGGAGAGGAGACCGGGTCAATGGACGAGAATGTTGAAGCAGGAATAATTGCCTGGCTGTACTTGTCTGCCTTTCCTTCTTTCCTTCTTTCTTTCTTTCTTTCCTTGCTACGTGGATGGTGAGGCGTGGCTTATTAATGTGCTACTTGGGGATCTTTGAGGCTGTGCTATTCGACTAGCCTGGGCGTGGAGACATTTGGTTTATAATCTTTTTCCCCTTCTGGTGAACTGGTTCGGATGCTGGGCGCTCTATTATGGTCGAAGGAATGGTCGGAAGGATGAATACTTTGACTGGCGGATCTAGACGTGAGATCGGATGTTTTGTTACCTATTTCATTGTTATGCTCACCCCTTTCTCCCCTGCAATGCTTTCTTCTTTCGTATACATACTCCCTGGATCATTATAGAAAGAGCCTTTAATCTCTATAGGCTTTCTCTTTGTCCTTTCTCCTGTCCAATACCACTCTATTCCCCTCTGTCGTCCAAGAAGCACAGTCTTGAGCCCCTTTTTGTCTGGCTGTCCGCTTTCCTATCGTATAGCAGGTCCAGCGACTAGGTGGGTGCTGACTGGGTCCTGATCTGTGGAATTTCGACATCTCATGATACGAGGAGCGTAGAAGTTAGACGAAAACAGTGTGACTCGCACAAAAGCCAGAAGGTGTCAATCGATCTAGTTTTTATTATCGACAGGTGCTGCTTTCTTCCCTCTGTCAGGGGTGGCTTCCTCTGCCCTAGACTACCCGGAGCCTAATATCAACACGCCAGCTCAGTGATCCAGCCTCTCGGACATGACCTCGACCGAAATCTTGTATCCCAACTCCTGCAGCTCCGAGGCCCGAGAAGAACGAATTGCACATATCAACGAGCACCATAACGCTTCGAACGAGGTCAATGTCCTGCAATCACCATGCCCGGCGCCACCAGTTGAGAAAATAGCGGACCTTGACCGTCATCATTCATAACAATGATCGAGGATCAACCACGACCTCACACGATGGGGTCAAAATCAGGAGGCACGCGTTCACGTGAGATCCTCCGTCGCGCCGCCTTCTTGCATGGTCCGCAGTAGATGACTCCACAAGAACGACACTCGAACGAAGCTTGCGGTTTGCTGGCATTTCGACGAGCAGCCGCTCCTCCGGCATTACTCATTGATGGTCCCCTCACATGAGGCGACGTCCCATGGCGCAACTTTTCCCTCGATCCTGTCTTCTTGAGCTCACCGTCTGCAACTTTAACCTTGTTGAAACAACCCATGCATTCCACTTCCAAGTCTCGCTCCTCTGCAGGATTCATAGCGGCCAGCCAGAATTCCGGGACTCGGGCCTTTGAAAACTCACTGAACAGGTGTCGACATCCCCACGTATCCCAGGTCTCATCGGTTGGTTCATCTCCAAAGTCCATGCTTACTCCTTCCCAGTCGATGTCATCCGGATCATCCAGATTCTCAAGCTGTCCATTTGCGGGCTCCTCAGGTTCAGTTGGATCGCTTGAAAGTTCGGCTGCCTCTGGAGCCTGCGTCTGCGTCTCATTCTCGCTGGCTTGGACGATCTCAACCTCAGCTGATTCAATGGGTGCAACCTGGGCTGTTGGCGTTGTATCGTGATTCTGCTCGGGCGTGTCGATGGTGCTGTCGAGAAGGATCTGGTCCTGTGGAGCCTGCACTAGCGTGCGATCGGGTACCTCAGTTGACGCTGCACCGGGCGCGGAGGCAATGTTTCCATCCTCTTCCTCATCAGACTCAGACTCAAATTCTCCTCCGTCTGACTCCTCACCTTCCTGTCTGGCGGTACGACACGGTTTTTGGTAGCAAGCATTCATGGGCCGTTGGCAGTCCCAACACCAATGGGCACCGCATTGGCATCTTATATGAGGACATCCATACATTTTCATGACACCCGTTCCACACTTGGGGCAGGTTTTGTATTCGTACGCTTGCAAAATAAACCGTCTCGAGTCATCGTTGGTGCAAACGTGTTTGTCTTCGGCGTGCTGCCGGCACTCTATGCAGATGGCAGTCGCGCAAACGTGACATGTGACCCTCTTGTCGGTTGGCTTGAACGTTCGAGGGGGAAGGAACGCCGAGCACGTTGGCACAGGGCAGTAAAGAGGATTAATGGTGCTAGACTCGTCGTACTTTTGCTTGTACTTTTCGACTTCTGCCGCTGGCAGGATCCCGCGGGTGACGTCGTGATGCATGACGGTGGCGCAACACATGACGGGCATCCTGTCGATATTTCTCATGGCTGTTTTGAACAGGGACTTTAGGCACTCGTAACAAACAGGTTCTGCGCATTGTCGGCAAGGTGTGGAATAAGCTCCCTCAATATCATCGAAGCAGATTTTGCAGGCGACCTTACTGGCGGGCGAGGATTTCTTGAGACGCTTCCGTGGAGGAGAGATGTCTGACGGTTGAGGTGGTTGAGGTGGTCGAGGTTCGAATGCGGTAACCACACCCTCGTAAGAGAAAAGATCGTACTGACGACCCGCAATGTAGAGATGAGGATGGTGGTGAAGGGCAGAGGATGCACCAGCAGCAGTCGAGAAGCCAAAGACCCAGTAGTAGATCCCGTCTCTGCCTTGTCGAATTGTCCTGAGGCCGAGATATCCTTCCATGTGGGCGAATGGAGGAGTGAAGGGGATCCTAGCCTCGTGTGACGGGATGCTGGGACCGTGCATGGCGATGTAGGAGGAACCCTGGCCCGCCATGCTGTTCAGAAGGAAGAGGTTGTCTCTCAGGTCATTTGAGGATGAATTAGGATCCGAGGAAAAGGCGGCAGTGTGATATTCCGTGGGCAAGTCAGAGACAGTAGATGCAGTGCCAAGAACACTGACTCTGACTGAAGGTGAGGCAGGCGCCCGAGGTGGGGTGGAGGGGTGGGCAGAGTGAAGCCGCGTGGAAGGTCGACGGCGGAAGAGGCGCCCAAGCCAGGCGAGTGAACAAGCCATGGAAGGGATGAAGTTGTCGCGGGGAGGATTGGGCTATATCAGGCTGAGACGCATGAGGCTGGATGGGACGACGAACTCCTGTGCAGGCGTCAAAGAAAGGAGAATGGGAAGGATAGTCAAGGACAGAGCAAGCGAAGACTGTTAGGCACGACAGGCGCAACGCGGTGCAAGAGCCAGGCTTTTAAGCATCATTGCCCCTTCCCTGCACAACTCGTTGAGTGGGAAGTTGTCAAAAGGATCAAGATTGAGTCATTTCGTGACTGCTGGTTACTGTTTGGGGAGCCGGCAGGCAACCGTTGGCCTCAAGGCATCATTGGTGGAGTGCAAGAGGCTGTACCTGTATCACGGGAGGCGTGACGGGCGAGTAACGGGGGCCTGAGAGCTCAGCCGCTTGCTGGTCCCTTGCTTCCCCGATCAACCACAGTGCATCTGGCTCACTGGAATCCTGCAAGGTTGATATCATCGTGCTGAGTCTGCCTAGGTATGACTCTTATTACATGTACCTGATACCGTCTACAAAGATACTGGAGTTCCTGACAGGCTTTGTACCGAGATTGGCGCTAGAGTTGACGCTAGCAGCACTAGGAGCGAGTAGCAGACACGTGATGTGCGTCAACTGTGTGGCCCGTGCACTAGACTATGCCGGAACTAGCACCGTGTTTTATTACTGCGTACTCCGTACTGGCAGCTACTCTGAACAGCGCTAGACGCGTCTGCGGATCTTCCACCTCACGCGTGCACTTGGACAGAAGTTGCTCTGTGGTGGCCTCCACTGCCCATTGACTCACATTGAAACCCCCTCTTGTGCTTACCAGTTCCAGTTCCCCGCCTCGATCACAATCACAACCCGATCGCCATGCCACCACGTCGGAAACGTCGCTCAGACCAAATCTCTGGTGACCCCACCGAATCAGAACCTGAACCGGCTCGAAGACGGCATGCAACAATCGCCACCACTTCGGGGTCGGCCACCTACTCCTCAGACTCGGGCAGCACATACTCTTCCGCCTCTGGAGAAGAAGGACAACCGATAGAGAAGATTCTCATCAAAAAACTCGTCCGTCTGGCTTTAGCCACAGAGTATTCCCGTACCCCCTTGCGGCGAAGCGACATCTACCAAAAGATATGGAAGGATGCAGATATCACGGGAGGGCGGGCTTCTCACCAAAGGGTCTTCGAGGGCGCCCAGCGAGTGCTGCAGGATGTCTTCGGCATGCAGTTGATGGAACTCCCTTCCAAGGAAAAGACGACGCTGAAGGATCGCCGTGCAAAAGTTTCGCAGACAAAGTCTTCGAGCAGTACCACCAGGTCTTACATACTGGTCTCCACCCTCCCGCCCGAGTTGAAACAGAATCCTCTGATCGTAAAGCCCACACGGGCCCCCAATGAAGCCGTCGAAGGCAGCTATATTGCCCTCTACACAGTTGTCCTGGCTCTGATCTACTTCAATGACAAAGCGCTTCCGGACCAAAAGCTAGGACGTTATCTTCAGCGCTTTAACGCCGACGTCTATACGCCAGTGGGCAACAAAGAGAAGCTACTCAACAGGATGATGAAGGATGGATATATTGATAAGCGTAAGGATACGACTACTGGCGAAGAAATAATCGAATGGATACCGGGGCCGAGAGGCAGGGTCGAGGTTGGGGTGAATGGTGTAGTGGGGTTGGCGAAGGCTGTGTATGGCTTTGGAGAAGCGCCTCTCCCTGGAGAACCTCGACCAAATTATCAACGTCCGCAGCAGGACGAGGTTGAGAACGAAGACCCCGACCAAGAAGAAGCTGTCGGCCTAGTGAACATTACCGAAAAGCAACTCGACGCCAAACTCTCAAGGAGTCTTGGCGTAAAGATTGGAGAGAGTGATGCGGTGGAGGATGTCGAGGACGAAGTCGATGACATCGTGTTTGATATGGGAGATGAGGAGGCCGACGGTAACGTGCCGCCCAGCCCGTCGATACCGGAAGGACAGAGCTCCAGACCCAACACGTCTGGTAGACAAGGTCAAGCCAGCGGAAGAAGGAATGCGCGAGAAGTCGATGACCACGATGACGGGCAGCCTGGACCGTCGAGGCCGAGAGGTCAGAGGTCCAGACCCGACGAGCACGAGGACGTACAGTCTCGGTCAACGAGAGGTGGAAGCCAGAGAGTTGAACCCAGTACGACTAGCAGAAACCAAAATCAAGGCGGCAGAAGAACAAGAAATACACGACAAGACAACGATAGCAACGAAGAAGAAGAGGAGGATGCTGCCGAGGCCGAAATCGTACAGCCCAGATCGTCGAGAAAGGGAAAACAGAGGGCTTGATCCAGAGTGTTTGGAAGAGGGGGAGGGGAGGGGCTGAGACGGCAGAAGAAGGGATGTGCAGGACGACGACGCCGACGACGAATGATCATGGTGGACGCGGACGGTTGTCTTCGAATGATTCTCTCTACACAAGAGGAATCATCTCTCCTGTTTGCCACCATTTATCTCGATACTTTCGATTCCCCTACCTAGCCTGCTACCTCTCCCGCTACGCGGAGCCACAGATATCACCCTTTTGGGCCGAAAGGTCGGCGCATCGGTGGACGCAATCACTCCTCACTCAGTGGCATTCGTCACAAACGGGTCTGTGCTATTTATTCCTTCTCATGTCTCCAGGCTTTTCTCCCCTAGCATAGGACCGGTCAGTCAGTCAGTGAAGGCGCCGGGGGAGGGAATATGGCTCGAGGCCTTCGGTCTTCTTGGGATGGAAGATCAAAGTACTGTCAACGAGCGAACAAATATCATCCGATAGGAAAACAAAATGTGTACCAGGCACGCGAGAACAGCGAAAACAGCGAAAACAGCGAAAACAGCGAAAACAGCGAATAATAGCGAAACGGAAGATGCCTGAACTCCAACGTATCTGCGAGTGCATCTATCTGCCCTGATTCCATCTGCTCTCATTCCATCCTCACACTCGCCGAACCAACTTTGTCCCATCGTCAGTCAGCCTCATCCCTCGCCTCGTGAAATAACCGCCATTGCAGGGCCCCCAATGTAAAAGGTCAGGGGGACACACAAGAGAAACGTTGATAAAAATACTCCAAGTCGGGAAAATAGGACCCTGGAGGCCGCAGTGGTCGCGGCCTGGCCTCTGTTCGAATGCACCTTGACACTTTGTAATGTAATGCCAATTCGAGCGTGTCGGATGGACTTCCAACGTCGGTCCAATGCAGTCCTTTCGCTTTTGCTGTCAAGATCCGTACGGCTGCAGGTGGCTCCCACCTCTTGACTGATCGAATGGTGCCAGGATGAAGGATATTGGTTTCCTCTCTGTTTCCGTCCCAGGCTTCGATGCTTTTAGGTATGGACCAGTTTATGTGGTTCACTGGTTGGTCGGAGCGGGATAAGGAGCCTGATCTGAAGCAGAGCTCGTCCTTGCTGCTTCGCTTCCGTCGGTATTGGGGGGCATCATGTATCTTTCCACTCCTCCGAACCCTTTGCTCAACCGCGTTGGAATGGGGGATCTTGTCGAACAGCCTCGCATCCACCTCAACGCCGGTGATCAGTGGCCCGCTCCCTTCTTTCAAGCTTTGGCGAGAGACAACAGTCTCAGCCAAACGGTGAGTATCCACCACCTCGTCCTCCACCAGAGTTGAACCTGAAGCCACCACCCCCAGGCCCTCCACCACCCATTCCGTTCATCATGTTATACAACATCTCCGGATCGATTTGCATACCACCGCCACCGCCCATGCCGCCAAATCCACCTCCGGGGTATCCACCCATCCCTCCGAACCCGCCAGGGAAGCCTCCCATACCACCGGGAAATCCACCCATGCCCATCCCAGGCTCCATCAAATCTGCTCCCGAATCGTAAATCTGCCTCTTCCGGGGATCTAGCAACGTCTCCTTGGCCTCGAGGCAGTCCTTGAACTCCTCTTCCTTCTGCTTATCTCCCTGCGTCTTGTCCGGATGTAACACGGCCGCTTTCTTCTTGTAAGCTCTTTCGATCTCCTTGTCACCAGCGTCCTTATCCACCCCAAGGATCTTGTAGTAGTCCTTCCGCTGGGATTTCTTAAGTTCGAGTTCTGCATTACGGAGTTCTTTGGCCAAATCGACGTCAGAGGGGTTCTCTTCGGCCAAGGACTTCAGATCCTTGACGGCTTGTTCCCAGTCGCCACTTTCCCCGGTAGCTTTGGCCCGGGTCCTGCGGGCCTTGGTGTAGGTCGGGTCAAGTTTGAGAGCTTGATCGCAGTCGGCTTTGGCTTCATCGTATTCCTTGACTTTAATATGGGCCAGAGCACGATTCCCTAGAAGTTTGGCATTCGTGACCTTGTTCGTGGGATCGATGGTGAGAGCTTCGGTGTACGCAGTGACGGCGTCGGAATATTTGCCACGCTTGAACATGTCGTTGGCGGATGTTCGGGCCCTGTCCAGCTTTTTCATTGTTCGCAGCCAGTTGCGAGCATCCGAGTTGTCAGGGTCCAGCGCCAGTGCTTGTCGGAAGTAATCCTCGGCTCGTTCGTAGTCGGTCTTCCCTTGTCTGGGCTTGTCGTCCTTGAGGTAAAATGCTCGACCTGCGAGTACAATGGCTTCGGCGTCCATAGGGTTTTCACGCATCAGGTTCTGCGCAATACCCTGAACCTCCCCAAGCGCATTTGCGGACCCGATCTTCAAATTTGCCTTGGCCTTGAGAAGCTGCCATCTCCTCGGCGTGGGCGTCAAGGGTCCTAGCGTCTGGCGTGCCTGTTCAATGCTCCAAAGAGCCATGTTACCATTTCCGTCCTCTGCGTCAATTTGCTTCTCTGCCATTTCAATCGATTGCAGGGCTTTCCGAGCCAATGCAGTGTCCGTGGCTGACGCATTTGGGATTTTAGCGTATGTATCCAGAGCATCCTGCGGCCGTCCGAGCGAAGTGTAGATTCGGGCAAGACGATGTAAGATCTTATCATTCTTGGGATCTAACCGGCTGGCCTGGAGAGAATCACCAAGAGCCTGGCTGTATTTGTTGGCGGAAATGTAGGCTGCGGCTCGGTTGGACAAATACGTGGGATTCGTGGGCTCTGCGTCAACCGCTGTGTGTATTTGTCAGCCAGTCTTGATCTTGCAAGGTCAACCACCGATGAGGGCACACGTTACCTTTGGTATACTCGACGATGGCCCGATCATAATCCTTGGCCTTGAAGAATTTATTCCCGGCGGCCTTGCAGGCCTCGGCGTCGACTTTGGGTGCTGGAGGAACTCGGTGTGGAGGAGGCGTAGGACTTCGCTCATCGTGGTGGCCGTTGGTGCCGTTGGTGCCGTTGCTTGTCGCATCACTGTTGGCCTGGTCGGAAAAGGCGCCGGGAACTTCTTTCGACGGAGTGGCTGGCTGCGACGAGCCCGCGGTGCCGTTGGACATGGAAGAATCATGGTTATTTGTGGTGTCTGGAAATTCTCGATCCAGCGACATTCTGCCAGCCGACTCAGCAGCCTCTTGCCTGGCCATTTGAGCCAGATGGTGACGCAGTTGGTCAGGAGGGAGATTCAGTGGGTGGGTGTCGGGGTCGGAGTTGTGTCGAAACTTCTTCTTGTCCTTGTCTTTGTCCTGCTTCTTGGGCGATTTTGACTTCCGCATGGATGTTGATGTGAGCCAGTAGAAGGGAGGGCGACGCCGGGTGGGGCTGAGGCAAAGGCTGCACGGCCTGAGCCTGCACCTGTTGTGCCCGCGGTGCGAGTGACACCGGCAGCGGGAGGAGGAGGAGGACTAAGTTTGTTGTTGATGCTTGTTTCGGGCACTCCCTCTGCTGCTTCAGACGCTCCCTTCCGCCGCCCAGTCTCCTGTCTCTTTGAGTCGGCAGCGTGCAGGGATCGTAGGAGGGCCCGTAGGTTTTGCTCAGTCAACGGTGCAGGAGCCGCCTGGCCTGATTTAGGCTTTGACTCCTCGGTGAATAGCGGGAGGGGTGTCGTGTACGACGTCGAGCGGGTTGGGGACTTCAGTTTGCCGGTTGGAAGAAAATCTCGACGGTGGCTACGAGGGTTTGCAGACGGGAAGAATTGGTCGTGCTGATGGTTCTCGCCTTCGTCGTCGTTATTGCTCTCAGGCATATCCTTGTCGAAATGTCTAGAAATTTTGCAGCTGCTGGTGGGACTCTGATTAATTCCCGGCTGGGTGCCGGGGTCTAGAAGATTGCCTCGTTGGCCCTCACCACTCCCACGCTGGCGCCTGTTGGCGTGGGTGTTGGTGGTGTTCATAGGGCCGTTAGGCGCACTTTCCCCCTGAGGCTTGGGCCTTGAGCCTCTGGCGCTCACTACTGGTCTCCGAGAGCCCAACGGCATCTCTCGCTTGCCTGAGTCTCGGCGGCGAACGAATGGTCGGTGGGAGGATCACTGGTTTCTCTTGCACATGATATTGTGAAGGTTATTGACCAGTCACGGAACAGCGAAGCGGATGAGGGAGTGGTGGTGAGGCAGATGGAGGGGGTTCTCCATTGTTTACTGTAGGGGACAATTGTGTCGTAGAGAGCCTTACACCAGGCACAATTCACTAAACCCATGCTTCACCATGGTTATGATGAATGGCGTTTGGAGCTGACCAAAACAAACCCTCCCCATGGACTGTGGCAAATCTGGAAACAACCTATCTGATCAAAGATACCTTTTTATAACTCTTCCGGTTTCAGATCCCTTTCATCGGTGTTGTACACGTTCCGTAATGATACACAGGCGCAGGGACGTTGACATGATGGTCATCCTCATATACACCTTTAACCTCTGCATTCTTCGATTCACTGGGAATTGCTCTTGCAAGTCCAGCTACTCCCGCCTGGCTCACTACTGATGGCATAGCCGCTGGCATACAGTCCCATTCCACAGATGCCGGCTCCCAGACAGAACATCAAAATGTTGACTCCAGTCAAGACCATCTTTCTCCAATTTCTGGTATATTGACCATAGTTGAGGAAGAGCCAGAAAACGCCGGAAATCCCATAAGTGAACCAGGAGGCGAAGAGACTCGAAATCAAAGCCAGCAGATCGTTGAAGTTGGGGATTGATTCAGCAATGATCCACGCGATCACCCACGCTGTCAAGGTAATGGCGAGCCAGCTGCCCACGGCAAGCAATGTCCTCTTGGACATGTGCTTTGTCCCCCGGAAGAGACGCACATAGACATACTTGGAAGCGACGTGGCCATAGATGACACCGGCAATGATGATTGTCGGAATGGCCAGGCCCCAAGCAACTTTTCCGATTAGTGTTCCCGCGGATCCCAAGGCTGGTGAATCAACCTGATCTCCGCCATAGGCGTAGACCACCATCGCGACCAGGAAATACATGCTGGTGTCCGTAACCTGCAACAAGACCAACGCTTTGGGGAAGTCGTGCGGATTCTTCATCTCTGAGATGAAACTGAAGAAAGCTACATGACCAGCATATGCAAACACAATGTTGGTCACGCTGAGAAAGGCGGTGGCAAAGGTCGCAGACTGGGTGGCGTGAAAATGGCCATGTGACGGATCCCTGGCTCCTGTTCCCGCCATGGTGACAATCACCGCGGTCGTAATACTGAAAAAGCTCACACAGGAAAGCCAGGACACTTTCAGGAGAGTTCGAGGAATGTCGAAGATCCAAAAGAGAATCAAGCCGACAATACCCCAGACAATCGTGCAGGCAGCGCCGTCGGTCAATGTGTTCAAGCAGATGGTCCAAGTCAGTATGTGACTCGCCATGCTGAAGATAAGGAAGATGGTTTGCGCAGCACCCAAGACTTCACGACCGATAGCAGCGGCTCGCGGCCCCATGGGTTTGAAGAGAATGTAGCCAGCATCTGCCATATTGTGGACCTACGTGAGACGACATGAGCATATGTTGCTGAACGTTGCCCTGGAACGCAAGGATCTACCTACCCAAGGATGTGCCGCCTTGAATTGTCCGATGACATATCCCGAGTAGGTCGCCACAACACCAAGTCCGACAATGAGAATGGCGCCTGGAACCATCCCAATTGTCGCCAGAACTGAGGGCAAGGACAAAATACCCAAAGAGATCGTTTCGGCAATCATAACTGAGGAACAAGGCATGAGGTCAGGTCGATGATGGGACTAACAAAGCTCATCAAAAGTACTCACTCATACTACACTGCCTGGAGCACGTGCATGTCAGCATGTGCCTGTGCGTTGACGATAGTATACTTACCACCACTCCAAAGTCCGATACTTGACTTCTCCTTCTTCATCGTCTTCCCCAAAGGGATCCGTCTCCTGATACTCGCTTTGGCGCCGCCATGCAGAACCGAGAGAAGAACGTCTCTTCTCTGTGGAAGGGTCAATATAGGGGCGTTGATCTCCCGATACAGGTGGATGATCGAGACCTTGGATGTCTTTCTCTTGGTCTGGACCGAAAGGGTCGGAAGAGGGACGAAGTGTAGGCGAGCGAGAGGCCATTCTGTCTGTCATCGTAGAGCAATGCAATCCCAAGTCCACTTCACGCAAGAGTGCTAGATGAACACACAGGGCAGGGTGAGACACAATGGTATATGAACACTACGCATGGGGATGGTGAAATGATCAGCGAAGGCACCATGTGTTGTCCCGTGTCTTGTGTATACAATGATGCCATAGCTAACATTCCCTTGCCAGTTAAACTTTAGACCTCGACGTCACGACAGCCTTGCCCGCCGATCCTCAGGGAGACGGGAACACGAGAAGGATGCCATTCGCAAGGATGGGGGCAGTGATCGTCCGGTGCGTGTCCGAACATCCCTACATCGTATTGATGAAGAAGCACGAGAGGCTAGTGCTTGAGAAGCTTGTGCCTTGGCTTTGGCTTGAGAGGGGCCTGCGATATCTGCGGAGGCGGTTGAGTTCGAGTTGTCCGAAAAGGAGGGGATGATGAGCAGACGTCAGTTGCAAGAACCCTTGCGTCATCGCCACGGGCGGAAAAACTAAAGGTCGGTGGCCGGAGCGGGAAAAACAAGGGGTCCGAACCAAGTTCAACTGGATACTCCCTGCCTATCCAAATTGACTCGAAACTCCAATATATACTACCTAGATAACCTATATACAAACCGTATCATTAGAAGGGCGTCGCTAACTTGCACATCAATCCAATCACAAACATCGAAACATGGACGGCTAGATCCAGGTGTTTACTCCATTTCTGCGGGTCCATTTTGTCTCAATGATGGGTGAGGGCCTTGAACTGTCCCTGCATCCTTCTCTACAGGCTCCCCCTGAACTGGCGGTTTCGTTACTGCAGCGCCAATCTTTGCTGGCATTTCCGCAGCCTGAGGAGTACCACCAAGTTCCGGAGTATTTTGAGAAGCGGCAGTGCTGTACGATGGGAGAGAATCTTTCTCGGGTATTTCCATGCCGACGTTCTGTCTGTGTTGACGACGAGAACGAAGCCAGAAGAAGATCGCGCCGCAGACTATTGCCACGCCAGCGACTGCTGCTATTGCAATTCCTGCGATTGCGCCACCAGACAAGCTACTGCTCTTCTTTGATTCGACTTCGGCGGGAGCGGTAGTGGGGGTAAAAACCACAGTTACGCTGGGTGTGGGTGCGGAAGTGGTTGTTGCTGCCTTTCTGATGGTGAAGAGCTCGCTGAGTCCCGTCTCGGCCCATCCCCCGGCCGGCTCATTCTTAGTGGCATTCCCTGTCGGTCTGAGCATTTTCAGTCAGTTCGAGGCGTTCCTTGCTTGATTCGCGTCATTACTCACCCTCCGCCAATAGCTTTGACAACATCATCAGGAACATCATAACGGGGTGCTGCGGCATCGAAAACGCTTCCCCATCCGATGGTGCTCAGATCAAGTACTGCTAAGCTCTTCTGTTCCCAGTCACAGTCGGAAGAGATGTTGCTGCTTTCTGCAAAATTACGTTAGTCAATTGCAAACCTCACACCACCTTGAACTACTTACTACCACCTCCACCAACCGTGATCATCTGCCTGGGCGGAATAAAATGGCATGTCACGCTCCACCGAGCGTCCTGCCCCGTGTATACCTTGACCCAGGTGAAGGAGGGAAGGCTGAGAACATAGACATCGTCGAAGATCGTCCCATTAGAAGTACCACCGTAGAGATAAATGTTTGCACTGCTGTTGTCTTGAGCAGGTGCAGCGACCAAACAAAAGTCCACGCGTCCAGAAGTGGGAACGTCACCTGTCGCTGTCTGTTGGTACCACATATTTTTCTTAGCAGAGGGATTATCGCTGAGGTCCGTAGAGTTGATATCGAAGACCCAAATCTCGTCCATAGGAAGCAGGCCGTCTGCTTGAGTTTCTCCACCGATGAGTACGAGCAACCCAGCGTCGCCAAAGTTGTCAACATACACCATCCCAGCCCCTTGGCGATTGCTCTTGACGGCATCGTCGACTGTGATATTCTTGACGGTGTTACTTGTTGTGTCGAGAACCACCATTCCACCGACACCAACGGCATCGTCACCCAAAAATTGGGTCGTGTTTGCTGTTCCACTATCGATTTGGCCACCCACATAGAAAGCAAGTCCTTGGTCTGGAGCCTCGGCGTTTGCCCCCCATGACGGTATTGTGTCCAAGGATCCGGAGGTGTCGACAGCAGCCCAGACGTTGGCATCCATATCGTAGGTCCACAGGGCGTACTGAGTTGTAGGCGGAATCTCGAAGTAAGGGAAAGACTGATTGAAGCTCGACGTCGTCCCCCCAAACATGTAAAGAGTAGTAGAAGAGTCCATTCCTCCAAAGAGGGAACCATCATGAACATTGACAGGCCATTGCATGCCCGAAACGCTACCACTTTCTGCTCTGGCATTCTGGGAGATCGACACGTTTGTTTTCCAATCCCAAGAGGCGGTCATATCGACGGAGATTAGGTTCTCGTCTTGTGAGAGGCGACAGTTAGCAAGGCAGCGACGTTCCAAGGGAACGCATTAACCCACTGATGCCCGAAGTGATTGTACTCCAGTCTTGTTGTCCATTTGCACCAAAATCCACATAAGTTTCGAGACCACCGTTGATGTAAAGCGTGCCATTCTTGTAGACAGCTGAGAGTGTTTTAGTATAGCCCAAAGATGCCGCGCTCATTTCAACTACTAACAGCTGTGCCCAATCCTCCTGCAAAAATTCTTGACGGGATCGAGGGAGACTCCTGCGCGCGCAATATCGAGTTGAGTTAACGCAAAAAGACCAAAAAGGATAAGACGATGGCTCATGGAAGCACGACCGGTATCCATTGCGACAGCCAGCTGCCCGACCGAATGTAGACAGAACGATCAACAAATGAGACTTGAAAGAGCACACTGAAGCGAGTGACGGTAGAAAGAACAATAAGAAACCAAACGAGTGGAAGCTGTTGCTGGGCTTTGTGCCGGTTCGAGTAGTTTTAATTGCTGATCCCTGGGGCAATCCTTCATTTCCCGTGTCAGCCCTAGCTCTCTCTAGACGAGGCTAGGGAACTGGGGCCATGACAGGCCATTGGTTCGTGACACATCGGAGGCATACTGTAGGATGTAAGTCGCACGTTGTCAGTGATGGAAGCTCAAAGAGGAATTCGTCTCAAAATCAACGGATGACGCGGTCGGAAACCCAGAGGAGCTGTACTAGAGCGACCCTCATTTAGGGTCAACGGCCAGAACCTACGCAAATACTATTCTGTTAGACTCACTCAGCCTCAAAAGAAAGCCTCTCACACCATTGTGGCGGTCCAGGAAACTTGGTCACGGCCAATTAGTTGCATGCAGCACGAAACTTCCTACGAGAAACTGCAACACACTGCGCCAATGGAGCATCGAGAGGTCGTGAGCAGCTCAGGAGGACCGTCTCGTGGTGCTATGAGATGATACAGGCCTCACCATCGCGGAAAGGGGGAGCAGGACGAAGAGGCTGGCCAGTCGTAGCTCCTGAAGGATTTTACAATCGTTATTGATACATTTTGAAGGGACCTGAGGCCACCAAAGCAACTGAAGCGCAAAATAACTCTAGAAGGATCAATGGTCAAAGGTCGATGGAGCTGAATGTTTCAGACCTAGCCTAGGGTCGCAAGACGCGAAGTCGTGGCTCGAGGCGCCATTGAACCACGTGACTGCGCGTTCCGGACGTGGCGCTGCACCAGCCGCCGAGTGGCTGGTGCCTCAGGCTGCGGCCCGTTGTTTACGTTTCTGACGTAAGAAGAAAGCGTCCAAGCTCTCTCCACCAAACAATCGAATCTGGCCATCACAAATCCTCCACAACGAACAGACCACACACCGCCTGGATCGGTTTCGAAATCCTACACATCTCTGTAACTCACATTGCAATCTGTCACATCTCCATACCCTGTCGGTCTTGGAGGAGGACATTCAAATATGGCCACTCCTCGCCGTCGCTCAGCTCGATTGAGCAAGGCAGCCCAGCAACAGGTAATGTTTGGCCAATCTGCAAAGAATCAACTCTTCATCACAGTCCATTTGCGATGTAGTCAAGGTATTTTTTTATGGCTTGGAGCTAATGGTGTTGCTTATAGCATGCTTCTCCTCGCAAGATGATCTCCTCGGTGCAGCTCGAGTCCCTAGTAGAAAGAGATGAAACTCCAGATGTCGGCGAGCCCCAGTCTATCGACAATGTGCTTGCAACCCCGACGTCTTCATCGATGATCAAGTCACAGCTTTCGAAGTTGTCTGGTCTTAAGACTCCTAGAACCGAACCACAGGCCGATCGCGGCGAAATGCACCCTCATCTCGTTCACCAAACCACCACCAAAGCTCCGGATTCTGGTCTCAAGCTGGGATTTGTCGACGTGCCGGCCCATCCTCCTCGGTCCATCGCAAGTGCTCAGAACACTCCGTCCAAGGCGCGTATGAATACACCGGCAGGCTTGTCCTCTACCAACTTCGACTTCAACTTTGGCTCTGAATCCCAGTTGAGCAGTGAGGCACAAAAGCTCATGCACAATGTTCGAGAAGACGTGGCAAGGATCAAGGCTCAGATGCAGGTGGAGAGGGAAGCACAAAAGCAGAAGGATTCAGAGGCAGAAGGAATATTTGGCGGCGTAAACGCTACTGGGAGGAAGATCGCGAAACCCAGGGGCAAAGCAGGAAGATTCAGCGATGTCCATATGGCTCAATTCAAGAAGATGGACTCGATAGCCAATCATCCATCCGCTTTCCGAGGGAGGCCAGGCTTTGCTCAGCCTACTACTCAATCACTAAAGAGAAGTGGCTCCAAGGCTGGCCTCGACGAAGCTGATCGACCTCGAACTGCTGGGAAGGGAACCCCGGGTCGGAAGCCGCCTCCATTCCTCGGTCGACCAACCTCGACCAGCCCATTCAAGTCCATAATGGCTCAAGTGGAGAGTGTCGAGCCTGCTATACCCGCCAAACGTGCTCGACGCTCCGAACTCCATGACGTATCAGCCAGTCGACCCTCGGAACAGCCTCCATCAGTACGCCCTACTACCCTACCACGCCCGGTTTCGAGTAGTCTCTTGTCACCTACCAAAGCGTCTCTGGCTAGAGCGACAACGAGCCAAATTCCGATCGCCTCCCCGAACAAAGCACATTCGCTTACTCGCGCCACTTCATCTAAGTCATTGCGAGCTCCGTCGGCTGCGTCCGATGGGAGACCTTCTGCTTCACATGGAGAAAGTAGCACTGAACCCTCACTCGGGCTGCAACAGAAGGGAAGCATACAGGTTGAAAGACCGCTCCCACCGTTGCCACGCGAGGAGCATTCACCATCAGTTGTCAACACTATGCCGCGGTCAAGGTCGATTGCAGAGAGTGCCGTGACAACCAATGCATCGGGCTTTTCTTCCAGACTTCCAAAATTTTCTGGTCTGAAATCTATTCTTCGCCCTGGACGCAAAACCGACATGTTGCCGTTGATTGATGATAAGCAAGCTACACCTAAGCGTCCTAACACGGCCACGACGAATGGCTCCCACAAGAAAGTTGACTTTACCCCTAGTGTCAAGTCTAGATACGCTGTCAAACTGGCTGCTGGAAGTCCTAGCCCGGCTAAGCTGCCACACCTTACGCCAGGAAAGGCGCTGCCACCTGTTGTTCCCTATGATCCAGCTGCCTACACTGTCGAAGACGAAGATGTATGGGAAGATGCATCGAGTGAGATCGAGTACCCAGCGTTACCGCACCCGTCCTCGAGCCCGGCCGCCCCTCCCAAGCTCGATAACGCGTTCGCCGAAAAGGCCAAGGAACATAACCGTCGCGAATCAAAAGAGTTCAAGTCGATCTTTACGACTTTGCATCATCCTTCTCGTTCCAGCGGCCCTTCGACCTTGACATCTGTCAACACTATGGTCAACAAAGCCGATCCGACCACCCATGCGCACGATATTACGCGGTCTCCTAGCAATAGGAACTTCTTTAGCTTTTCCCCATCAACGATCCGGCGGGTCCGTTCCTCTGGTGTCACAGATGTGGTCCAACCTTTCGAAGATGCGGAGGTCAAGACCGTACCACATGGATTGCCTGGCAAGAAGCGCCGACGCGCGTCGACAGTCTCCGATGATCACCAAAGCACGGATGAAGAATCTAGCAAGGAGAATCGACGCATATCAGTTATGCCCAATGTCCCCGGCGGTTGGGAAAATAGCTCTCATATTAGCTGTGAAGATGAGCAAGACGAGGGTGAGAAGCGAGGTGGAAAGCGGCTACGGACTGCCCCAGCAGCAGGAAACTTGTCGGACAAGACGATTGCAGCAAAAACATTGAGCCCGGTCAAGAAGCCAAGACAAAGTTCTGCACGCGAGATGGCGAAGCAGAATGCGAAAGATCGCAAGAGTGGCCGCGGCATTTTGAGTCTCAGTCGCTTGAATATGCTTGCTCGGCCTAAGCAGAGGAGCTGAGTGGCATCTCATTTCCTCTGTCCGGTCTTACTAGTCTACCAATGGCTGAGTCAGATATGCGAGGCGGCGGCGAGTCGGCTTGGACACCCTCTCTGCCTGATCCCGCTCTGCTTTCCAGTGACTGAGCTCCGTCGAGCATGGCGTTCAGTTATTTTCGACTCTTGTTTTCGGGATCTGTGTAGAATTCTGGCTTTTCTAGGGAGGTGCATACGAGCACGGTTGGAATCTGAGAGGGGTCGGGCTAAGCTAGTTCTGATGCAGAACGCTCAACATCATGTTCAGGATTAACAACCAGGGTCAAGGGGATACAGGGTCAGGTCATGCGGATTGGGAATGAGTCATTGGGTATGGCGGTCCAACCAAAAAAAATTGGTCTAGCACGACCTAGAGTTCTTGGATCGAGAGGTTTGGGTATCCTATTCACCCGTTCGAGGGTGAGAGTACTCGGTGCAGAAGCTTGTGCTGCTCCAGCGAAGGTGTGGACACTGTCTGTGAGGCAAAGCTGGCGCAGATTTGGCATAGGATCGAACCATGCATACCACGACACCGGACGAAAGATCAATGAATTTCCTTTTCCATGCATCCATTTCTTCATTGTGACCGACTTCCTTTCCCAACCGTGAAAACAGATCTACTCTCTGGGACGAGAGAAGACACGTCAACCCCGAGAACCTAGTATAAATAGAGGAGAACACAAAGCCATTTGTGGGTGAATGGTACGTCGTTAATACTGTACAAAGTATGCTGTCTGTCTGTCTGTTCGTCGTCCACACAAGGGTTTGATTCCCAAACTCAGGCTAAAGGGGCAGGCCGGAACGTCGTCATGCCATGGCGCAGAGACTCCCTTCGTGCATGCCTGCAGGCTTTCCCGAGTCGCCAGGGCGTGTGCATTTGCGTATGCGATGGGTTCCATTATGATTATCCACTCTCTGCGTGGGCCGTTGACGGATTCATTTAGAGTGAGTCCCGGCCCCGGCCTCGCTGTCGCGCTTGTTGTATACCAATGCCAGCTCGATGAAAGCACAACTGCCCAACCGCAGCGCGTCGGACCGAGCGGACGAGGAAATTGATGGACCTCCACTGTCCCGAAAAGCTGGGAGACCGCTGTACTCTGCCATGGACCTCAAGACACAGACGGAGGTGACCACGATCTGCGTGTGGGAATTAATACACCGCTTCAAGCAAATAAATCACTCCAAAGACCAAAAATGCGATCGCTCCGCCCATTGTAACTATTCATACGTCAGCAAACCATGGACTCTGCGGTAGACACCTGGACATTAACTTACCAGTCCTCAAGCTGACTTTCCCAGCGATAGCTCTGCCTCCCAAGACGGCGGCTCCCGTACAAATAGCATGCCCGACCAGCGCCCCAGCCGTAACCCACCAGTAGTCCTGGCCCGCCGCCATGGCAATGGTGGCGATCTGAGAGCGGTCACCCCATTCTCCGAGGAAAGTCATGACAAAAGTCTGCACCCACGCCGGAGAAAGGAGGAGTGAACAGAGATTGTTAATTCCACCGAGAATGTTTTGTAGGGATGATTGGCGCACAGGCGACCCATCGCGAGACGAGGCCGGAGATTCGGGTGGTGAGGGGAGTCGCGAGTCTGTGTTCTTTCTTCCAGGGCCGCGGCCTGCTTCGAGAGCATAAGGCGATATGGCGGATGATCTTCTCCGATGTCTCGACATCCTCCTTGCCTGCTGATGTTCTTTCTCTTCCAGTTCCATTTCCACCTCCTTCATCTCTTCACTGACGCCTTCATCCGGAGATATTGAGCGGGCTTCCAAAAGCATCTTCACACCAAACACCAAGAACAACCCGGCGGCTGCAAAGTTCGTCAGTGTCTTAGGTATTAACGTTGGAACGGCGTGTCCCAGTATGGCGGATAAAACAGTCATTGTAATAAGGGCGGAAAACGCGGCCGTGAAAACCACCACTCTAGGGTGACGCATGGCCATGAGAGCAGCGACAAGGAACGTCTTGTCACCGATCTCGGAGAAGATAATCATGGTGAAAGATAGCAGGAGAGAGTGCATGGGTGAGATGACGGCAGGTTCGTGGTCTTTTGGTTTACCGGAGGTTTGTTGGCCGGTGGTGCTTTCAGAAGAGAGGATGGTGTCTTTGGGGGAGGACGGGTTCTCAGGATGTGGAATATCGTGCGGTTTCTCGGGGAGATCTTCTGGGACCTGTTTGATGAGTGTCAATACTGTACCAATATAGATAAGTTATGTTCTTTTGCATACCGTGAGACCTTTCTTCGTCTCTTCATCAGTAGGAGGCACTGCTTCACCGCCAACGGCTTCTTTCATTCCGACAACTTCGCTGTGCGGAATAGGCCTTGCGTCTTTCGGGGGATCAGGTCTCTTTTCGGTGATTCTCAAATCTTTAGATTTCCCAGATATGCCCCCCTCCACGCCTCTAGTCCCTTCAACGGGGTTTGACTTGATACGCTCGTCCATGACGGCATCATTTGTCTGAGGCAGGTCGCCATCTGTGGAGAGGTCCTTGTAAGACTCAGTGAACTTTGAATCTGCTACGGGAACCTCGTCCTCAGCGCCGGTATTCTGCGTCTTCTTCCTCGTTCTCTCGGCATTTGTCTCAACAAAGGGGCCATCATGTGGCATTCCATCTTTTCCGTCCACCGGGGCATGTTCTGTGCCCACAGGGAACGCTTTCCCAGAATTGCCACCAGGAGCAACGACAGCTTCACCCAATTTGCCTCCAGAAAGGTCGCTAGGTTCAGCAGCGGCCGATGCCTCGCAAAGAGCAACGGCGGAGAAGAGGAATAGGAGTAGTTGGGCGCGCCGACGTCCGATCTTCATGGTTATGTGAAATATGCGAAGACGGAAGGAAGAGGTGATGGCGAGATCAACGTGAGTGAGACGGGTTAGGGAATCGGAATGGAGAGGTGAAGGCAGCAAACGAAGGGGTTTCACAGATTCGAGGGTGTTGACTTGTGACTGATTATTGTAACAAGGAGGTTGCACGCGCCACTATTGAATAAAGCACGAATTGGTGGTGGATTCGAGCGGAGAGGAAGGTTTGAGGCTCCTTTTTTCGCATGCATCCGCATCTCATTCCTCTGGACACGGGGAATTCTGACGATCCTTGCACCAATCAGGGGGGCCGAAGAGCGTCTATTCTTGGCGCTCCTTTTTCTAGTGAGGCTGAGTTCCAGACCAAAATCTACGAGTAGGTTTACGAGAGGTAGCATCAACACCGTCAGCGCATCGTTAGCCTGACAGTATCTCACGCGTGTACCTCGTACAAGGGACGTCCCATTGAACAGAACCGAGGCTCTTCAACCTGCACAGGCCACCAAGGTCTGTTACTACAGAATGCCAAAGGAAAAGGTAAGGAAAACTCTGCCTTCTACGTCTGCCAATCCTAACCGTGCTAAAACCCTTGTAGAAGCGAAAACGCGAATCAGGGGCGAATAAGTACAGCCACAAGTCGCACACAACACTAGAGGATTCTCAACGAGATGATCATGTCAATGGACACGAAGTCGACACCTCCAAACCCTCGGCAGTTTTCCAACCCACAGGCGGTCGGTCGTACACATTGTCTATAGCCCTACCAGGAAGCATCATTGGCAATGCAAAATCTCACGATCAAAAAACCTTCCTAGCCGGTCAGATCGCGAGGGCTCTGGCGGTATTTTGTGTGGATGAAGTGGTCATCTTTGACGACGAGGACGCTGAAACGCAGCAACAACGACCGACGATGAAAGACAACGTATACACAGCCTTTTCTCACCCAGACCATTTCCTGGCTCACCTTCTCTCGTACTTGGAAACGCCACCTCACCTCCGCAAGACTCTGTTTGCTATGCACCCTAATCTTCGAACCGCAGGTACACTTCCCAGCCTTGATATGCCGCATCATTTACGTGCACACGAATGGTGTGAGTATCGCGAAGGCATCACTACCACCGCCCTTGCCGACGGTAAAGGGACGTTGGTCGATGTTGGCCTACCCGGGTTTTTACTGCTATCGGGCGCAGAGATACCTCCAAACACACGAGTAACTGTCCACTTGGAAGACGAAGAATCCAAAATCGCCGAAGCCGTCTCACCCAATGCTCCACGGGAGGAAAAGGGGTACTACTGGGGTTATGCGGTACGACAATGCCACTCCCTCACAGACGTGTTCACCGAATGCCCCTATGACGGAGGCTATGACATTTCAATTGGGACTTCCGAAAGGGGCCAGCCACTGGCAAACGTGCTCGGTGAACAACGCATGATTGAACCGACTGGCTACAAACACGTGCTTATGGTCTTCGGTGGCGTGGCAGGCTTGGAAACTGCGGCCAAGAATGACAAGAATTGTCGAGAAATCGGTCTTGTTGGGGAAAAAGTCAAGGAACTGTTCGATGTGTGGGTAAATCTGTTACCTGGCCAGGGCAGTCGCACGATCAGAACAGAAGAAGCTGTTTGGCTCGGATTGATGGGCTTCAAAGGTTTCTTTGACCGTCTTGCAAAGAGTGCCGGATTGCCTCGTGGATGATGAGCTCGTGTCTGCTCCCGAGACAAGTTATGCTGAGGAAATCGCCTTCGATCAAACATCATCATTGTGTCACCTGAAACACTCCACCAGTGATCCGACGCGACAATTGACACATATCTTTCGAAGTCTTCGAGAAAACGAGCAAAAGACTCTTGGATTCCTCTCCGCGGAAGTACAGTAGGCAAGGCTGGAGTATTTCCATCATGCTGCTTTTGAGGCCCCCACCACTTTGTCATCAAAATTCAGCCTCTCCTGACACAATACGTCCACCACCAAAGCTGCCCCAGTGCCGATGACTCGAAAATACCGTCGTGTGCAAACATTCTGAGACCGCGGAAAAGGCATGCCTTGAACCCCACCGTGAACCTTGATTGCTGACGCCGATCTTCGGTCCCAGCAAGCGATCGCGCTTACACAGCGACAGATATCAGAAGCGTCCTGTCACTCTGGAACGTGGAACACCCCGAAGGAGCACCAACGAGTATAAAAGCAGATATTCAAACTATACTCTCACAGTTCGCCTCTCACGAGTTATCGTCGTCATGGGTGCTCCGCGGGCAGTTCAGCACCTTAAGGCAACATACACCTTCCTCAAAACCCCCATCATCATCTCCGCGCCTATGCGCGTGTTCGCCGGGCCGGATCTCGCAGTTGCAACGTCTCGCGCAGGAGGCCTGGGCTTCATCGGTCCGGGTCTGCGACCTACAGATCTGGACTCCAAACTTCAGAGGGCTCGGAGTCTGCTGGACCAGAATTCCATCGCTGCCCACAGCTCTACCTCTTTGAATGCCCCAGATCTTGACTACCTCCCTATCGGTGTAGGCTTTCAGCTTTTCGATGGTGATCTTGATGTGGCTGCTGCAACAGTGCACAAGCACAAGCCTGTCGCGGCGTGGCTCTTTGTCCCAGCATCCGGCCAATCCGAGTTAGATCAGTGGACACTGAGGATTCGGAAAGAGTCCCCTTCCACGAAAATATGGATTCAAATTGGCTCTGTCGCTGAAGCTGTTGCCGCGGCGAAGAGTAAACAGGCGCCAGACGTACTTGTCGTGCAGGGGATTGATGCTGGTGGGCACGGTCTTAGAAGGGGTGCAGGCGTGGTGTCACTGCTCCCAGAAGTAGCGGATGCTCTACACGAGTTGGGGTCTGACATCCCCCTCATCGGCGCTGGTGGGATCGCGGACGGCCGAGGAGTTGCTGCAGTCCTAGCCACGGGCGTCGCAGCAGGTGCGGTGATGGGCACCCGCTTCCTCGCCAGCAACGAGGCCGAGATCAAGAAGGGATACCAAGAGGACGTGGTGCGAGTCTCGGATGGCGGCCAAAGCACCATCCGCACCGATTTATTCGATAGACTCCAGGGGAGAGATGATTGGCCGCCACGCTACGACGGTCGTGCGATCATCAACGGAAGTGTGAAGGATGACCTAGCAGGTATGGACTTCCAGCAGAACAAGCAGATATTCGAAGAACAGATGGCGAATGGGTCGATTGGATGGGGAGAGGACGGGAGAATGACGGCATATGTAGGGAGTGCCGTAGGGCTCGTGCGGTCGATTGACTCGGCACAAGAGATTGTTGCAAGGTCCAGAGCAGAAGCTAGACAGGCTTTACGGCAAGCCCTGGACGGACTGGAGGGTTAGTCCGGCGAGAGAGGAGTGGAAGCTACAGTATATCGAAAACGCCAGGCCCAAGGCTCCGTGGATAAGGGACAAAGGGACTTAATTCTTCACTCGGTTCCCCGCTTTCGGTGCAAACAACTTGCTGCACCCCGCATCATCGACGCCAGTTGAAATGCTTCAGCCAGGCCAGTTGGTCTCGTCTTCTCCTCTCATCTCCATTGTGACTGTGTAAGAGTCAGGGCCACTCCAGAGCAAAATCAACCCAGGGACACACTCATCTACACTCATCCACCATGGCGGCATCCACCTCGACTTCCAAGAGTCTCTTCCCTGTCCCCTCAGGCGCCACAGCCACTGTTTCGATCATCGACACCACCACGCGCATTGGACGGATCCCTGTGTCTTACTTGATGGCTCCCCCCCTTGAAGGCTTCGAGCACATGCCCGAAATCCCGTCGTGGTCGTTCCTGGTCGAAACCACCACCACGGGCAAGAAGGCGCTGTTCGACCTGGGGGTGCCGCCTGACTGGGAGAACTTCGCGCCGGCCGTGTACGAGGCGTTGAAGCCCCGAGGCTGGGAGATCTATGCGGAGAAGCATACGAGCCAGGTCTTGGAGGAGAACGGGGTGGATCTGAAGGGCATCGGGAGTATTGTGTGGAGGTGAGTGATTCCTACGCCGCGTCGACGAGGAGGTGTGACCGATATATATTCCTTCCGTGAATGGACGGTTGATTCTCCGGGTGGTGGGTTTGTGTATAGTCACTGGCACTGGGATCACCTGGGCGATCCGTCCACGTTCCCTCCCTCGACGGAAGTGGTGGTCGGCCCTGGATTCAAAGAAGCATTCATGCCTGGCTATCCTGGCAAGCCAGACTCCCCAGTGCGGGAATCTGATTTCAAGTAAGTCCAACTAGCAGACAGGCACTTGACCTCTTTCTCTTTGTCTCTTTTTGCTTCTCTCCACGGGGAATGAGGAGACTTGTTTCTGACCACATGCTGCTCCTCCTCGCCCTCAATAATTAGGGGACGACAGCTTCGCGAAGTGACATTCACGGAGCCCGGCACGCTGCAGATCGGCGACTTCCGCGCGCACGACTTCTTCGGCGACGGATCCTTCTACCTGCTCGACACGCCAGGCCACGCGGTCGGACACGTGTGCGGCCTGGCCCGCACGACATCTACCCCTGAAGACACCTTCATCTTCATGGGCGGCGACCTGTGCCACCACGGCGGCGAGATCCGACCGTCCCCGTACGCGCCGCTGCCGACGCAGATCCACCTCCACCCTGTAGCGGGCGCCATGCAGGTACATTCGCCCTGCCCGGGAGCCGTCTTCGAGGCCCTGCAGGAGCGGCGCGGGCGGTCGCCGGCGCGGACGCGGCCCTTCTTCGACCCGGCCATGGGCCTCTCAATCCCGCAGGCCATCGACACGATCGTCAAGGCGCAGAAGGCCGACGCCGACACCAACGTGCTGTTCATCTACGCCCACGACGCCACCGCCAGGGGTGTGGCCGACCTGTTCCCCCTGACAGCGAACGAGTGGAAGAAGCGGGGCTGGCGCGAGAAAATGTTCTGGGCCTTTCTCGCGGATTTTGGCGTCGTCGCGGACAAGTAAAGATAGATGGATAGACCAGGAGCCCGTGGTTGTTCTCTCGCTCTGTGGCTCGAGGGACAGCCAGGCCCTTCTCATCATGAGAGTCGTCTTCTCCGTGAAGTGAGGAAGCTTGCGGAGGCCCTGGTTGTACACGAGGGCAAAGATGGCCCTTTGTTGTCCATCATTTTCGAGGAAACTGTATCTTCTGCTATCTATACATGCATGCATACTTTATCTCAAAGCATATACTATATCAAAACCGCTCTCCTTCAGAAAGGGGCCAGTATTTACGCTTTGACCTCAACAGGCGAGACACACGTCACTTGCGTAACCAAGTAACTAACATACATACATACATACATACATCAACTACCAACTACTTCACGCCATTGACCTCTCCGCCGCTGGCCGTTTCGACATGGCCATTGACTTCTTCCCGGTACGCATTCATGCCGGCTTTCATCATGGGGGCTCCCATCAGGGTCTCCCAATTGTGCACCATGCGGCTCTGCATCATGCTGATCTCGATCTCCTTCAGGCTGCGGGCCTTCATTTCGTCCTCGTAGGCCCTCACCGCCTGCTCCAGCGTCTTGCTCCCCTGCGTCACCTCGCGCAGTTCCGACACGAGCTTCTCGGCGTCTTGGAACGCGTTGTTCAGCCCCTGGCCGCGGAACGGGGGCATGTTATGTGCGGCGTCCCCGGCTAGCGTGACGTGTGGCCACAGCGGAGAGGTCGACCAGTCCATGTCTGGGCGCCACACCGTGACCGCGTCAACTTGTACCTGTAGGTCGGCAGGGACGTGCAGACCGGCGCTCTTCCAGGGCTCGGCGTACGCCTCGGCCTTGGATTTGATGAAGTCAATCTTAGACTGCTGGTCCGGGAAGTCCTCGGCGTGTGGCTTGCCCGGCCAGGAGAGACACTGTTGGAAGAGCCACGTGGCCGGGTCGTCGGGGTCTTTGACGTCTTGGATCGCCGTCACCCAGCTCATGCCCATCGGGTGGTAACCGATGCGGAATATGGGGTGGGCTTTGCGCTGCAGGAGGGCCGAGTCGGCAGGGAGGGTCCAGCAGGTGTTGAACATCTGGATGTCGATGGGAGCGTTGACAGCTCGATCTTTACCAACAAGCGCCTCGCGGACGTAGGAGTGGACGCCTTCACACCCAACGATCAAGTCGCCAGTGGCTGTGCTGCCGTCGGCGAAGGTGGCCGTGGCCGACCCGTTCGACTGGGACACCGAGACGATCTTACGGCCATATCGCACGTCGATGCCGTCGCTCAGCAGAGCGCGAAGCTTGCGGCGAGACACACGCAGAGGATTGAACCCCTGCATGTCGAAGAACTTCTCGCCCGTCTCGCCATTGAACATGGGCCAGGAGGTGTGCGTGCCCGTGTAGAACTCGTCGCAGTATGCTTCACCCAGACGAGCCATGAGTTCGGGCGGAATGCATTTGGCCAGGTTCTCTTGGCCGAAGTGCAAGGTCATTCCCCATTCTCGAGGCCGAGTGCGGTAGACCGACGCTTCCTCGCGCTCGTAGACGGTGGCCTTGATGCCGTTCTGGGAGTTGAGGTCCTCATTAGCATCTTGTTGCTAGGCGCCCCCTCTCCCATGAACCAGCAACACGTACCAGTTTCAATCCCTGAGCGACTAACAACCCCGTCGCACCGGCTCCAACAATCACAACCTCGAGATCTCTTTTGTCGGCCATGAGTGCTATGGGGGTTGCAGGGGACGGACAGATCGACTCTTATCACCCTGGGCTCCTCTGTTCCCACTGTGAGTAACCAGGTGATAAGGACGACCAAAGCTCGAATCGAGCAGGACGCTGACCCAGAACCGTCTGACCACACTGTCTCAATCATCGTGGGGAGGATGTGTGACGTGGCTAAATTAGCCGAATGGTACCTCGTTATTATGATGAAGGGATTCTCGAGAGACATGGCTGTACCTGGCTCATACTCTAGCGGGAGAAAGGTCGGGCGGCACGAACGGGTCCTTTTGCATAGCGCATTCGTCTTACCAATCGCCACACATCGTCTTGATCGCGACATCCCCGAACCAATAGAGCTGACGTGCCACCTGTCGCCCTATGCACGCTCTTCGACAGTAGCTCCCGGGGAATCAGCGTGGTCCGTCAAAAGCAACCAAATGACCTGCCGACGACCGGCGTGGTTCATGGACTTGTTCACGCTATCAAACCACCAGCCGATCTCATAACCACGGAGAGCCATCGCGATCGATTTCTGCTGCATTGGCTGGATGACTGCATGAACTCTATGTAGGTTTGTGAATTCCAATGTACTTGTCCACCCATGCTCTTTAACCCTATGGCTCAATCCTTTCGGCGTGAAGGGAAGCTTTAAGTATGGGAAGTGGTCCTTCAGGCAAGCCAAAAATGGCCTTTTCCAAAAGGAGGCGCATAAACGGCTTGCGCTCTCCTCTCTCTTGTTTCGATGGTTACTTCGATCTGTGTCTGCTAGGTCAGTGTTGGTTGATGACTGCAATACCGCCGACGGAAACGCTATACAATGTCAGACGAAGGGGATCCAGCAGGAAACCGAGAGGATGAACATCCTCTGATTGATGCCGATGAAGATGAAGGTGTCGGTGATTTGTAAGTCCACAACGACACACGGGCAGATCCCCTTGTTCGACCTCAGGTACATAATGTGCGAGGTAACAGCGTCTTGATTTTGACCATTTACATGAAATAGAGACAACATATCCACTGCTTCATTACGGTCGAGCTTCCTGCAACCTGTTTACTCTCATGGCAGGCGCTATCAAAGCTATAGAGATGGTGGTATGTATATACATATCTTTTCAAGGACGACCGGATGGGATCAAAGCCACTTACCTGGTCAAACACAGAATACCACCGACCAAACGACGAAGTGAGTCTGCTCTGCTATATGACTGACGGAATCTCGTGTCTCAAGACGTTACAGGAAGAACTCAGACGTCTTGACTGGATGGACGAAATATTCTTTCTGATCAACAAGCGCAAGCTGCATCTCGCGCCCGTTGGCCACGGCAGCCTGAGGGTTCTTGACATCGGCTTTGGCACCGGGATGTGGGCGATGGCCATGGGCGACAAGTATCCTCAGGCCGAAATCATCGGCGTCGACATCAGCGCCTCAGCTCCCGAATGGGTGCCTCCGAACACGAGGTTTGAGATTGCTGACATCGAGGACGAATGGACCTTCAGTGCTCCCTTTGACTACATCCACTGCAGGTACATGGCAGGCGCCATCAGGGACTGGCCACAGCTCATGCGTCGGACCTTTGAGTGAGTGACTGGCTGGCTGGCCACTGCGACCCGTTGTTCTTCTCCTCCAACAACTCGACCTTTGGATTCTCCATGGCTGTCACTGACTTTTTTCGTCTGTCCTACAGGAACCTCAAACCAGGAGCTTGGGCTGAGTTTGCTGATCTCGAAATCGACTATTACAGCCAAGACGGCACCCTGACTGAAGACGACGCCATCCCACGTTGGATCAAACTCGCCACTCAAGGCATGGAAGATTTGGGCCGCACCTTGAGACCTGGCAGACGACTTGAAGGCTGGGTGAGGGATGCTGGGTTCGTGAATGTGAACGTTAGTCTACCGGCCGCTTTCGTATTCTTTCTCACACATTGTATTTCTGTAGTCATCCTTTGGCTGACTCGATCCCTGTTCGTGTGTAGGTTGTGCGCAGCCCAGTCCCCGTGGGACCCTGGCCTAAGAACAAGGACTTGGTAAGTCACGCCTGCTCTATCGCACCCTCTGGATCTTGTCAGATTCTCCTTTCATCGTTTTGTGGTTGTTGAAGGTCAGTGTTCTTTACCTTACTTACTTACCTCTCCCGTGGTCCCCACCCCCGGTCTCAGAAACAAATCGGCCTTCTCAACGTCGTCCAGCTTTCCGAAGGACTCACGGGCCTCAATGTCCGCCTCTTCTGCGACTTTCTGGGTTGGACCCGACCAGAGTTGGACATTCTCATGATGGAGGTCCGCAACGACTTTAAAAACCCGGCGATCCATAGTATATATGACATGTAAGTTTGGTGTTTGGTCCGGTGGTTCGATGGACAGATATTGTCACCGGACGAAGAAGAGCAGCCAGGGATCAGTCATCCAGTACGGGATGGGGGATGGACTTTTTATCTGCTGGATACTGACGTCTGGATGTGAAGCTCGTTCTGAAGCTAACGACCAGCAAAGGTACACTGTCTGGGCACAAAAGCCCAAACCTTGAAGGCGATATGGGAGCTTCAAGCCAGAGGACATTCTCTTGCGGGAGTCCGGACCAGTCACGTCAGGTTGACCGCCGCGATCACGGTCTTGACAATATGGTAATGATTGTCTTACCATGCTAGCGCATCACCCGCCACCCGGCCCCTTGCGTGCTGCAGCCTTGCGCGTTGCCCCCTGACAGCGGTGGTTACCGACTTTTGCACATCAAATGAAGTACGTCACACCCAATACCAGTGTACTGGAGGCAGAAAATCGCGAGACACCATCAGATGCGAGGGAGAAAATTAGTTGTGTGGAGTATATATGTGCTACCTTTGTGAAAGGGAACGGGGAGGAACCTAAAATAAAATAAAAAAGGGAAACGAAAGAAATTATGTATCAACGGCAGTTTATTATAGGTAGACCAACACGAGACAATAGCAACGACTGAAGTGCTCTCAGTGACCCTTCCAATTCTAGGACAATCCTCCCTCCTTGAGTCTCTTTTCCTCCGTCTCCTCCTCTTGCTCCTCCTCCCCAGACAGGCAAAGAGAGGGAGAGAGAGGAGAGGAGGGAGGAGGGAAGGACGGCAAATTTACCGCCCAGACACCAGGGCCCGTCGAACCTGTAGCGAGCACCAGAAGAAAGAATTCATTGACAAGACAGGTGCGGTTTCTCATATAGAATCAAGCCTTCTAAGCCGACCCCTCTCCCCCCTTCCACCAAAAAAAGAGCTTCCGCAGGCTTCGCTGGCTGGCTGGCTGGCCGACTGAACGAATGAACGAGTGCATATTTATTTATCCAATCAGACCAACCAGACAGTGAACAAAACAGAACAAAAACAGGAAGGGATACCGGCTGGAGAGTCCAGTTTCCAGGTTCCCAGGTTCCAGTGTGACGGGCGCTTGTGGGAGACGGGTACGTATATAGAGGGAACGCCTATTTATTTATTCATTGGAAAGGAAAGGAAAAAAAAGGGGGGAGGAGGAAAATGAATATTCCGAGTATATACAAGTAATTAGATTCAAGTAGATTGATTCGAAAGGGAGGGGGAATTGGGTGGTTGGTTGCAGGCAGGCAGGGATATGACATGACGAACTCTTCGACTTGCTGTTTCACCATCTTGTTGGCTCGGTATAGTAAGTACATACTGTATGTAATATGTAGCTGTGTGCAGTGGCTCCATAGGGACAGACCTCTCCGTCTGGGTCTTTGCTTGGTCTTTGCTCTAATGACAAACGAACCCCCTAATTCTCGACTTACTCCTTCTTCCTATACAGACATCGTCCTCGGCACGGAGCCAACGAGCCATGACGCCTTCCTTCCCCCCTGCCTTCCTTCCTACCTACGCATATTGCCGTCCTTTGCCCCTTTCTTCCCTAAGAGGAGGGTATCTCGCTTACCGTCATACACACTTCATCCAATGTCACAGCAGGGCACAACGACCGCCGCGGTTTCTTAACCTCCAGCTCTAGCCAAATGAATCATGCTGTGGCCGTGGAGTATTTCCAGCCCTGCATGTCGTTCTCGAGACTGCGGTTCAGAGTGTTGACGTACTCGACCATTCCGCCGGACCTGCGCAATTATGAAGTCAGCAACTGTCCTGTCCGTCTCCCAGCAGGAGATGAGGATTCGGTAGGGATGGGTGATCCTGTAACTTACCAGTTGAGCGGCTCAACTTTGCGGCCCGGGATGTTGGCGCCCTGGTACCAACTCTTGGCCAGGGGGAAGAGCGTCGCATCCCACTTCTCGGACATTCTCTTGCACCAGTCTTCCTCAGACTCGGGGGTAGCCTCGAGCCGGGTGATCCCCTTCTCCTTGATCATCTTGAAGGTCTTCTCGACCCATTCGGCCTGGAACTGCGTGCAGGTCGGGCCCGAGCTGAAGGCGGTGGGCGCCTGAGGCCCGTACAGGAAGAACATATTCGGGAACTCCGGCATGGCAATGCCCATGGCGGTCCGAGTGCCGTCTTTCCAGTGGTCGGCAATTGTGCCGCCCTTCGTGCCTTGGATGTTGAGTTGGGCCAGCGAACCGGTCACCGAGTCGAAGCCGGTAGCCAGGATGATGACGTCCACCTCGACAAGACCCTGTTTGGTTCTGAGGCCCGTGGCGGTGACTTCTTCGATGGGGTTCTCGTTGACGTCGATGATCTTCACATTGGGCTGATCTACCACTTCGTAGAACCTCTGTTCGAGGGACGGGCGCTTGGTGCCCCATGGGTGTGGGGGAACTTCAGGGGCCAGAAGCCTTTGTTTCTCGGGGTCCTTGACGCGCTTCAGGACCTGTTCGCGCCAGAACTTGTAGGCAGGTTCATTCGCCTTGAGGTCGAATAACATGTCCTTGTATGTGGCAAGCCAGAACTTGAAGCCGCCATCCTCAACCATGAGCTTGTGGTACACCTTTTCGCGTTCCTCGGGCGTGTCATCAAACGTGTTTTTCTCCATGAAGTCGTAGGTGAAGCCGGCGAAGGTGTTGCGGGTCTTCTCCATTTCCTCCGCGTACCACCCGCTCTTCTTCTTCTCCTCTTCCTCTTTGGGATCAAGAAGGCGCTGGTTCATGGGCAGACACATGTTAGGCGTTCTCTGGTACACCGTCAACTCCTTCACAACCGGACCGATTTCCTGGATGACTTGGATCCCCGAGGCACCGGTGCCGATTTCAGCCACTCGTTTGCCCTTCAAATTTACGCCGTGCTGGGGCCATACGGCGGTATGGTAAATGTCGCCCCTGAAGTTGCCGAGACCGGGAAACGGAGGCGTGTACCGTTTGCTGGCGAATCCGATACAGGGGATGAACCATTTGGCGTAGATTTCGCTGCCGTCCGAACACTCAACCAGCCACTGTTGGCGACCTTCATCAAACACAGCGCCGTCCACTTGCTTGTTGAACGAGGTATAGTCACGGACATTCCACTTCTTCTCGACGTATTCGAAATAGCGGCGGAGCTCCTGCCAGCCTGGGTATCGCTCCTTGAAAGTGAAATCTTCCCACAGTTCCTTGTCAAACAGCTGGTAGATGGGTGTATCCGTATCCACGCGGGCACCGGGGTAGCAGTTCCAATACCAAATACCGCCACTGGCAGATCCCTTCTCGAAGATGCGAACGCTGTAGCCGAGTTTCCGTAGGCTTGTCCCTGACCGTCAACCTCCGTGCTCATGATCTAAGACCGAATACAGATAGCACTTACCGGTTCAACAAAGTGAACGAGGCAAAGCCAGCTCCAACGAGCAGCACATCAACCTGCTCGATCTGATGAGAACCCATGATTGTCAGGGGATCCGGGGGCAAGGGTAGTTAGTATCCAATGAGTGGGGGGTTCGGGCGGTTTGAGGTTCAGACGGAGAGATGCAGAGGACTGGCCATACAGTAGGACTGTTGGGAGGTGACAGCGAGCCTTTTGTAATCTGCTGTCGACATACCCCGCGTGCCCTTGCCACCCCCGATTAATTACATAGCCCCAGATAGACATGGCGTGTGACGATCTCCATCCGGGGTCTGGACGCCAATGAGCGTCCGACAGTGAGGGGTCGCAAGCGGGCCAAAGGAGTGGCGGATATGAGGACGGATTATTACAAGTAGAAACAGTCAGAGAAGCTTCAGGAAAGCAGGTGGAGGGCAGCTCGAGAATGATGACAGATCGTTACTCGGATAGAAGGGTCTGCCAACACGCGCTGATCCGTGTGAAGCAGGAAACGCCTCGGTGGATAGAGGGGGACCGCGAACCTAGTTGGAAGCGCCGTGAATGGCGGGAAAGAATTCATTCTGATACGGGCAGAGTTTGTGGGACGTGGTGGAAGATGGGTGGTGGGGGTCACCGTGGTCTCTGAAGTAGGATGGATGGAGTTGGGCTGGGGGATCTTGCTGCATTGCATGCCATGGTTGGAGATAGACGAGCAGAGGAAACATCGGGCGGATCACAGCAGTGGCTCAAAGCTACATAACTCGTCGACATGATGACGTGGGCAGTTTGACTCCCGAGAATACGACGAGCAATACTGCGATTGTCTAGACAAGTATGTAATAGTGGCCGTGGGAAGAAGAGATGGAGGGACAAGTATTACAGTAAGTATGTGAGATGCTTTCTTCGACCTCAGCTCAGCTCAGCACAAAGACAGTACCCTTCACCTAACCTATTACCATGTACGGAGTACTGTATCTGCATTAGCCTATGACACCCTGTTGATGCCCCCATACCTCGCGTAAGATATACCGAGTACTCGCCTGGTTGTCTTCACATGCTCCAATTTCCCTGCATCTGTAGACCACCGGAATACCGACGGGATACCACCGGAATACGATCAGGAAAGCAACAAGTATTTCTGATTATGCCGAGGTCGATCAAGCTTTGAGGCCCCGGAGAAGCGGAATGCCTGAAACGGCCACCCGTGGAAATTAGTTTCCATTCTGTTGACCAATGCTGCTGCTGCTTGGCTATACCCGACCAGAATGGCGACATGCAGACCAAGCCTCAAATTTCTAACGAGGTGTAACGCTCCTGTTGGTCGAGAGCCTCGTCACGAGTTCAAGAATGGTTCAGGACGTCGGGGTCTCGACGCTGGGACATTGTTCTCTCGCCGCCAGCGCCAGACTCGTCTCCTCGCTTCTGCTCTTTGAGGTCCCTGGTGTAGTGCTTTGCATTCTCCGTCTGTATCGTGTCGGAGCGAAGACTCTCTTCCAGCCGTTGAAAGAGCCGTTCCAGCAGCCATTCGGCTTCTTCTTTGTCTCCCATCAATGGACTCTGCGCTCCTATCCAGCTCCATTTGGCGGCCCGGACGCTGCTGTTACCCTCTCCTTCCCGACCACGCGCTGCCCCGTGTCTCCCAATGTCAAGGTTGCCACCCTCGTTGTGGTTCTCCTCAGCCTCTCGCGCTTCGCTTTCCTTATCACCATGGGTGGGGGCTCGCCGATGGAATGAGGCATCTGCTTCATCTTCTCCTAGCAATTTGAGGAAGTACTGCCACTCGTCATAACTGTACTTCTTGGGCGTAGCAGCCGAAGCATCTGCGTAGACTCTCCGAATTTGAGAGATCAGCACGTGGCGATAGTGATGGGCATCTGTTGGAACCAAAGTGAGCAACTTGATCCACACTGCCGGGATATGGACGCCCTTTACCTTCTTCCGGACGATCGCCCTTGTCCCTAGCTTCCGACTCGCCCTGTTTCTCCTCCTCCTCAAAGTCGGCAGCCAGGTTATCTTCGGGGGTTTCGCCATTTCCTCCAGACCTGTGCTTCTTGCCACCATTGCGAAACAGACGTACAAGGCCGGGATGCAGTTCCTGGTATCCAGACTCACTCCCGGTCTCTGAGCCCTTTTCCACATCTCGAGAACCTGGCGATCGAGGATCCAGTTGCCCAAGAGTGGCCTTGTACACGCCATGCTTGAGCCGATTGGCGATGGTATCTTCACTGCTGGGGAGCACAGTGATTTCTCCCAGCCAGATGGTGACGTCTTTGACAGCCTTGACCACGGTGTCTCCCATGTCGGAGATGAGGATGGTCAAGGTAGGCACGGCCAGGAGAGTCCAGAAGACAAAAAAAGGCTTGCCACTGTTGGACATGGGCTCGAAATCCCCATATCCGATGGTCAATAGCGTCGTATATGAAAAGTAAAGTGAACCAAAATACGACCACTCCTGGTTCCTCTCGGTTCGTTCGAAGACCAATGCCCCAATCGTCCACTACCGGTAGTTAGCGAGGTTGAGCAGGAGATGAATGCCACACCTACCAAGAAAGCGAAAGCAAACGTCGAGATAAGCAAACTCATGTACTTGCGCTCTGCAGCAGCCCACTCCTGGACTTTCCGCATGGCCTCAAACTCGGCCTGCCGCCTCTCCAGCTCGGACACCTCCCCATCCCCTGGCTCCACGGTCAATGCTTTTGTGGTGTCTTTCTCGAGACCTAGCGCCCCTTTGCGTCTCAAGAGACTCTTCTTCTTACTGATCCGCTCAACCTCCTTGAGCAACCGCATCCGAGTCTTCTCCGTTAATCGGGCCGCCAGCTTCTTTTTCCCTCTCTCCAGAATCAATGACCGAATGGAGCCGACCACCAAACCCAGGATGATAATGCCGCCCATCGCAAAGGGGAACAGCAGCCCTCTACCCAAGTGGGTCGTGGGTGTATAGTCATCACCAATGCCAATTGTCAGAGAAGTGAATTCTGCCCAATACACCGCGTCCAAAAATTTCCATCCCTCAATGTGGGAGTACACTAACGCCCCTAATAGCTGATACAACAAGAACATGATGGTTTGCAACATCAACGACCTCTGCGCCACGGTAAGTTTGAACTCCTTACTGTAATGCCCTTTGTACGCTCCATACACCGTAAAACACATCAAGTATGAAATTATTTGGTACAATCCTGCGGCGAAGATGGCGTAGTAATATGCCTGGGAGAGAGCCTGCCTTTTGACCCCTGGAGCATGGAAGTCGGAGGATGCGACGGCAACCAAGCCGATCAGGAGAACTGAAGCAATCCAGAAGCCGAGTATCGTGATGGGTTGGGCGATCTTGAAAGGGACACGGCGCGCCATGTTAAGGAGGAGGGACATGTTGGCGACAAGGGCAAAGGCCAGGGAGACCGCATTGACGGCGATAAGCCTATACCAGATGTTGTTTAGCACTGTATAGTTTCTGCCAACATCTCCTTTGGCAGGTTAGGGCAACCGGTGGGCTGCAGCGTGGCGGGCATGACCTACCAAGCCGGGTCTTTGATGTCGATTCCATGCTCCTCTGTCCCTCCCGGGGGAATTTCAACCCTCCAATTCTCCACCAGCGCACAGATACTGAATGCATTCGCGATAGGTCCAAAGGTACCCGCTAGTAGGGGAACGCCCGTCGAAGCATACCACCACCGCGCCGGCATGAGAAAGTTCCGCTCTTGCTCTTCTTCCGACATTTGATCGTATCTCTCTTCTGGAGAAGCCTCTGGGTGCCGGGGGGGTGAGGACATCTGGGGATTGTGGTGAGACGCAGGGGGGTGGTCTTCGACATTTTCCTTGAGGATCGCAGAGGCATCGGCAATGGGATCGTCAAGGCCTGGATCATTCATCCTGAGGAGCTACTGCAGAGCCGATGGGTTGAGGAATGGGCTAAGGCATTGTTTGTTGGTGTTTCATGGTACTGTGTGTGTCCAAGTCTACTCGTATGCAAGGGATTGCATGGGCATGGATGGTACAATGGGAGTGGTTAGCTGTATGAGAACAACTTGGTGTGAGACGAGATATAGGTAGGAAAGGAAGATGGAGAAATTCCCATTCAGCATACATGGAATTGTCTATAGTCACGCGGCGTCTTCCCTGAAAAATGACCATGATTTGTCCAACGTCGGTGGAGAGAGATGGCATCGATCGACGCGATGATCTGGGGGAAATTTGTTGAAGCACCAACCGTTATGACGTCGGGGGCGCCAGGTGTGGCTGTGGGTGACACAAGCTGGTCCCAGCCAAGACGAATCAAGCATCACACCTCCTCCTACCTATTAGCAAGGGTGCCTTTAGCCTGTTTAGGCGCCCCCACCGTCAAGTTCAGCATGCCTAATGGCAACAGACTTCACTAAACAGGGGAGCGCTGGGGGTGGCTGATGCGCTTTTCATCGTAAGCAGCACAAGGGTGCATGCGGAGTGTCCTCGGTAACTCCTCCTGCTGTAGGGCTTTGCCATTTGACTGACCATGGCTCCTCTTTCCCAAAAAAAGATATCGATGGTCCCGGGAGTTCAAATTTCAGCCGTCATAGACCATCTTATATAGAACGTGTGGGACAAGTGCCTCCCTGTCATGTTCGCCCTTCTTTGAGCTTGTTCGTGTATCGCAACACGGTCAATTCCCACGTATGTCGCCATGTCTCGAGTAAGTCTTCACTGTAGTAAAACTTCCTGATTGACTTCTCGACCCATTTCCAATTCCTAGCACTGGATAAATTCTCCATTATCCTATCCAGGAGGATGTTTCGTGGGGATTCTGATTGACCCTCACTCGACGACATCGCCTGGCCGGTGGCTCCATCAGTAGATGCGTGTGGAGGACCTGCTATGACCAATGCCATCCAGATGGCGCACTCGGGGGGCAAGTCACGGAGCTCATATTGAGACAGCATTTCCGAGAGTGATTCGAGCATCCGCCGATGAACTGGGTTCTGTTGCTTTGATTTGCTGAACGTCTCTACTGTGATGGCCGCAATCGCTGAACACAAAACCCTCTCGAGTGTTTTCAGCCCACGGAGCGGTACCAACTCGAGACACGCTTGTGTCTGTTTCATATACGTGCCGTTCGGATCTCCCAGTGGGAGAACGCCCTTCTTCCGCGGGCCTTGGAGCTGTTTGACCCATTCCGACACACGTGACAATATCGTTAAGATTTGAACGCAGAGATTACCGGTTAAGGCCATTTCTCCAAACCCTTCGGGGAGTTTGGCAATCAAGGTGCAGAGATCGGGAGGAAATGGGTGCTTTGGATATTGGAGTTTGATGCTGGCTTCGTTCATCGAAATGCTCATCTTTTTGTTCTCGTGATACGCCCAGAGAGACTCGAGGCTGATCTTGGTCAGTCATCTCCGTCGGAACATGGCGACAAGACTCAATGCGTTGGAGGCCCCTATTGTCTCTCGAACTTACCCAATGATTGAATTCTTCAAGAAGCCGTCCCATCCCAGATTATCAACCCCTCCTCGCATTTCAACAAGGTGGCGTAAGCCGATCAAATGGGTCTCGAAGGAAACAAAGTCATTGTACATCAACTTGACAGAAGTTAATTGTCGTTCCTCGTGTTGTGGGAGGTGGGTTTACATACGGCAATCCCCAGCAGCGCCATGACTGCCAATATTGTGGCATCGTCGTCGCAGGTTGAGATCCGCGCCATTTTTAGACGCAGAGCTTCGACTCCTTTTCCATAGTGGACCAAAACTTCCCTCGTCGGCTCCCGAGTATTTCGCCGCCGGGCGTCAAATGAGGCCTGAGCGAGCGCCACCATGAGTTCAAACATGGATGCATTCTCCAACGCGAGACCAAAATACCTTCGCGCCAATGGTAAGCTATCCGCTGGGCCTAACTGTTCCTTTCTAGGATTGATATGGACCGGCGCATAGTGCTGGAGGACTTTGCGCAAACCAAGAATTAGTAACCATCCCCAGACTGGATCGTAAACAAAACTCACAATAGTCGACGGCGGAAAGGACTCCCCCATCTGCTGATATTGGAAAGGCACAGAACGGATCGCCCCGCAGCCCGCCAGATGTCACAGTCAATCTCGGTGAAGGCGCAGTAGCTGTGACGGCGAGACTGGGGTTGCTGCTGCCAGCTTTGGTCAAGCCAAGGAGCGGATCGAGGATGCGCCTTGGGTCGATATTCTCGTCACGAGATGTCGGCAAGATATGGTCGCGACGTTTCCCAACATTTGCCTTTGCTCTCTTGATAGCCTGGTTATGGATGCGATTGCGTGTTCTGGGATTTGGCTGGTCTATGGAAAACGAGACAGGGCGTACCTCTGGGGCGATCCTTCTCGAGACAGGAGTGGTTGGCTGCATGAGAGACGAGATGAGGACGAAGACTGTTCACTGTCTGGAGCAATGACAGCCTGGTGGTCCATAGCGGCTGCTGACAATCATAGAGGCTCATGAAAACATGAACCGTTAGAGGTCATATTTGATGGGTAATAATGAGGATGAAAGGTTTTGAAAGTTCTTTGGTGTAGAGCCCGGCCCGAGGCCGAAAATGGCAGGAGAAGGCGGCCTCTTTTGGTCAGCATTCGGCCAGTCGTGGAGTTTGTGGGATTGGTCCTGCACATCTCGCTTGGGTGGAAGGGGACCCTTATCATCTGATGGGACACCGTGGCGTGCACTAAAGAGGCGAAGGGTCCTATCTCAATACGTCGCAATTATAATTGCGTGAATAGCCATCAGCTGTACGAGATCCGCCATGGCGGATATTCAATTGATGAAGGGAGAATCTGAAGGTGGCAGGGATGGCTGGTCTTCCTCGAGGTGGCAAAGATACGTATTAGGATAAACGCAGCCATCATGATAGCCATTGGACCGTTGTCGAGAGCACTGAGAATGAATCTGGGGACTAGAGTTTGGCAAACCAAGGCAACAAGCTGCAAACTGCACTCCATCCTTATACTGAGAATACGGCAGATCGGAATATAGAAACTCCGGGGAAGACGACGCGCGGCAACAAAGTACTGTATGTACCCTTATCACTGTCCACGATTGGATGAACTTCACGGGCTGAAGAAGGAAGACTCTCTTCGTGTGCATATGTTTCACGGAATTGTTGTTGACTGGCCACTCTGCCCAGATCTAACTAATGAACTGATTGTGTGGACTGTGCTACCCGGATGTACTGTACCTCGTACTCCACTGTAGTTCGGTGGATTGTCGCGTTGCCCTGTACGGAGGTTCTCCCCCGGGTTCTGACTGGCCCAGGCACACCTAAAACTCCGGTCGCCCAGGCCTGAGACGGTAAGAGTTGACGGACATTAGGCGCAAGGTTCCAGAAGATCACTTAGGAACCAGCCCGCCATGGTGTCCAAGTACCCAATCTCGTGTTCTTCCCGCCTCCACTCCCTGCTAAAGCGGCCCTTAGTCTAGGCTCTAACCAATTACCCACCACCTCCCACATACGCCTGTCCACTCTCCCATCCCCCATCCCTCCTCCAAGGAACGTGCATCTGCACCTGCCCAGTTTCCTATTAGTTGGTGATGCGACGACTGCGCCTCAAACGCATCCTGTCCTACAACCTCTACACAGTTACACCTTCCTCCACTGCACGTTCACTCGTTGACTATCTATCATCTTGTAGCACCATTTCATTGCATCTGTTTTTTCCAATTGACATCGTTGTACCATTGCATTCCAGCACTATCGGTGTATGGGGGGAACTCGCCATTTACTCCCGCTCGCTGAAGTCACCACTGCTCAAGAAGACCATCATCGTCTCCCTTAATGCGCAACTCTCACTCTTCCCGACGGTGCGCTTTTGCGCCGTGGACTCTCTAAAAGACCAAACGACAGCTGCGGCATCCCACTGCCATTCCAGTTTTACATCATGCTGAGGCCCGCCACTCCTCTGACCGTGCTGCTGCTCATATCCTTCGTTTTCCTCCTGCTGTCGGTCCTCTCGACGCCTGTCGTCCACAGCATCCCCATCGCAACCTATCAGGGAGTTAATTTTGGAGTCTTCGGCTACTGCACACCAACAAAATGCAGTGGCATCAGGGTGGGATATACAACTGGTAACCACAACATGATCTAATCCCGCATTGCTCAAATATCAGTGTCACTGATTTTTGTTCTCAGATGGCCTCTTCCCTACCGGAGGGGAAACCGACTTCAGCCTTTCATCCTCTACCAGACACTCGCTATCTTCCCTCCTCATCGTCCACCCTGTCGCGGCCTTTTGTAACCTGGTCTGCCTTGCATTGGCTGGCGCTGCTCACCTGCACTCCCCCTCTCACTCCGCCCGCTACCTCCTCGGTTTGCTGATTCTGCTACTGCCAACCCTACTGGTAACTTTACTGGCTTTCCTAGTCGACATATTACTCTTTGTGCCACATTTACAATGGGCCGGATGGATTGTCCTTGCTTCCACCATTCTCATCGCCGCCTCAGGCGTTGTGACCTGCGCTATGAGGCGGACGCTGGTGTCTCGGAAGGCGCGTAAGAAGAGAATTGCCGAGAATGCTGAAATGAGTGGAGAGAACTTTTACAATCGACAAGCACAAGAGTCGAAAACGGTCGCGCAGACTTTTACCACGGAGCCGACGATGCCCATGGTCAATGGCTCGCCCGGTGCAGACCGGCTGCCCACTTTCGCAACCTTTGATGCAAGTCAAAAGTCAGATGAAGAACGTCAACCTCTCCGAGCGCAAGCTTTATCCGCCGAGCCGAGTGTAGTGACGCCCTCTCGAGATGGGGCGTCTGATCGATACTATGGGCCTCCCTCCAGATCCAGCAGTCAACCACCCTACAACGGACAACGCGACCAGTTTGGTAACATCCCTCCGCCGCCGGTCCCACCCACTGCAGATGGTACCATGGTGCCGGTGCAAGGCAGAAGATCCGGGGACGAACCCACTCCTCCTAGTCCTTATCGTGATCGCAGTCTGCCGCCGCCCGGTGGTCGAGGCTATCCGCCGCGTGGCAGAGGCACTTACCCTCCTCGCGGTGGTTTCCCTCCGCGAGCAGGCGGTTTCGGCCCTAGAGGGCCACCTCCTCCACAAGGCTATCCTGGTAGAGGTGGATTTTCCACGGACATGAGAGGAGGATATGGTGGGCGTGGTCGAAGTGGTATCCCGCCCGGTGTCGCTGGGGGATCACGACGACCACCCCCAGGATATCCGCCCAACGGAATTGACAGTGCATCCGAGAGATACACTCCGCCGGACGGATACCCCGTGGCGATGGGTCCTCCGCTACCCATGGCACCAGGCCAACAATACATGGAAGACAATGAGCGCAGGTATGACGCGAGGAGTCCTTCTGTCTACACTCAAGGAGAGGAGCCCCAAGGTCCTTACGGGGCCAGAGCGCAGTCCCCGGCAAGGGACAGAACGTCACCTTATGGCAGTCGCGTCCAATCTCCTTCGGGAACCCTTCGTCGACCTTCTCCACCTCCGGCTATGCCTCCTTTGCCAACAACTCAGCCCGTCGAGATGGCAGGCACTTCCGTGCGTGACTTCAAACCCCAGAGGTCGCAGAGCCAAGATCCGTGAGTGAAACCGCCTTCCGTGACACCTAAATCTTTACTGACTGATCAGCTATGTCCCCGTGCGGGCTCATTGGAACAACATGGCAAATATGTCGGGTGATGATTTGGGATACGCGAGGCCACCTGGAAGGCAAGCTCAGTCTCCTGTCGAGCTCCCTACAAGCGGCAGTCACGTAGGGGGTTATAGCGGTCACCCACGTAGAGCGCGCGTGAACTCTGGAGGGAGTGATGTCTACTACGAAGATGTCGATCCACGGTTCGCCTCTGACCCAGAACCGCCCTTACCGCAAAATCTCCAACCAGAAGAACGAAACTGGAGGCCTCCTCCACTTCTCACTCCAGGACCACCCGGCCAGTACCGACCCGACTCCTACAATGAGATCCCTCCAACAAACTCGTATGAGGAGTTGCCTGGTGCTCGATCCCCGGCGGAGAGCGAGACCAGTAATTTCACCTCCGTCAGTCAACGCGGGGTCAATCCCAATTGGCGGCCTGGCAATGGAGGGGGCGAGTTCAGCGCTCTCGGTCCCATGAGGAGACGAGATCAGCAAACCAGGCAAGACATGCTTCTGGCAGGTAACCCCGACTTCGAGCTGCCTGGGTCCATGGGACCACCGCGTCTCCAACCACGAAGTCGTGGCGGTAGCCCTGGGATGAGAGGCGGAATGATGAGAGGACCGACTCGTGTCCCGCCAGCCAGTGCTGTGGGTGGTGGTGGCGATGGCCCCTATCCCAGTCCCATGGGACCACCTCTGCCTGGCGGGCCGATGGGACCGCCCGGACCTGAATCTGGGCCAGGAATTGCGCCGGGACCAGGGATGGGAATGGGAGGGATGAGGGAGATATGAAGGATATACATGAAAACAAAAGCCTAGCTTACGTACAGTCCAGTCTAATAATGTGTGATATGCAGGCTGGGGTCTTGTGAAATAAATGGAATGATTTGATGATTACGAGTCAATGAGCAGACGACAGGGCTTCCAGATGTCTTCTAAAATAAGAAGCCACCCTCCCTGATCGTTGCAGCTCGGCGGAAAATGACCGTTCCACATTGCACAGGGGTTACGAAATCGAAAATGGGATGGATGGAGGAAACAAAAAGAGGTCAATAGATAGATATGTACTGTAAGATCAGATATCAAGTCAAAACATTTTCAAGCCGCCGTAATTATTTGTTGGTAACATCCCACCACTACCATCACCATCACCATCACCATCAATTTATCATCGCCTACATTGTGCGCATACCTAGATAGTAGTAATACCGAGTAATATTCATTCCCCTGGTCTTTTCTTTCTTCCCCCCATTCCCCCGTTTGCCTTATTCCGGGTTCCCGGGATGGATGGTGTGCTGAGTCTATCAATATTCACGTGACGTGCACGTGATAAGGCTGGGGCAGGAGGGAGGGTGGGGGAGGAGGCGGGCTGTCCTACATATACATACATGTACATGTGCCAGCGATGCAAGACGAGGTATGTATGTATATCCATCCCACTGGGAGCTTATGTCCATGTCTGTCTATGTCTATGTGCTTGTGACTGTGTACTCCCTGCCAGGGGCTGTTATTCCGTAGTTATGCCGAGGATACAGTCCAGTCCGGAGGGCGGGGGTGGTGCACAGGTTTCCTTCCACATGCTGGTGTGACGAGGGGAAAGTAAGTATATACAGACAAGTAGGTATTGATTGAATGGTCGGAATCAAACATATTCATACACGTACACATATGTACAGAGGTATATATGCATCTATCGGTTATGATCCACTGCTTGCTAATTACCGCGTCACGTAGAATTGAATTTCGTTCACATCATATCATGATTCTCCCGTCCTGAGTCCTGCCACCAAACAGCCCGAGGATATTGGAACCACCACCGCTGCCACTTGCACTGCTGGTATTCTCGCTGTTGTCTCCGCCCTCATCGCTTGGTCCACCTAACCATCGGGGCCGTTTGAATCCGCCACCAGCTCTACCTCGATTCGTCGAAGGTTGCATCCACTTGGGTGTTTCGATCGTATCAATCGTGTTCTTCACCCTTCGTCCGAACAGCGTGAAGAAATTCTCCTCATCAGGCTCAGGTTCCAAAGCAGGTCTATCTCTGAACCTACCACCCGATGCCGAGTTGTGTAGCGTACTCGATGCGGTGGTGCGGTTGCTTCCAACACCTGCACGGTCAGCGGAGGGCACCCCCCTGGTCGGTGCGCCGCGAGGCCTATCCACAGACGAGCGTGGGGATTCTGTAATACCCAATGTAGCTGTCGGTCGATGCCCCTGGAGATCTCGAGAGATGAGATCCCGTCCTTCCCGCCAGCCTCCAGTTCCGAAACCGGACGGATTTTCATCCTCGTCTTCATCGATTTCCAATATGCCGAAGCCTAGCACGTTCTTGATCTTGCCATATAGATTAAATAATGTCATGATCACGGGTAGAAGGATGAACATTGGGAACAGGTAATCAAACCAGGTCCCTAGCGGCGTCAGGTTGATCAGCCTCCCCAAGAAATTGTAGAACGTCGAATTTTGGTGGATATCTTTGGGCAGAAAAGTGAGGAAATTGTACGCGAGCGGCACTGTCAGTTTAGCAATCTGTCCCGCGTACCAGCATGCAGATTCAGCGTAGGTGTTCCTTCTAACCAGTGCTCGCTGATTCCAGGTAGGAACATCGTTCATGCTACTTAGTGCGCAGACGCACATATAAGCAATCCACATGGAAGCGACGAGTTGACCGCCGAAGCCAATTTGATAGTTCTTGTCACTTGGGTGATGAATGACGGTGAGGCTGACCGCCGAAAGGTGCGGGGCAGGAAACTTGATAATCTCAGACCAAATGACAGCGATCGATGCGAGGGAGAGGATGGCTCCAAGAGCTATCCTGGCCGCGGGGATGATGTGGAGGTATAGATGATAGCGCATTGATGGGGTCATGAGAGACCACCTGAGTGATGACATGGAACGCCCAAAGTTCAGTTTCCGCGAGCCTCTGGAGTCAAGGATAGCTTGCAGATCTGAGGCAGTCTGCACAATGTTGTCCCATTCCCGGATGTATCTAGCTCGTCGGTGTTTGGCTCGAACTAGTCGTCGGGTCAGGTCCGCCAGGTATCTTTCGGTAATGACGGCCGGGACTTTGGAAGAGGCGTCCATGGTGGTGACGTTTGAGAAGACTCGACTCTCGGGTTGACCGGTCATGTCCACCAATTCATCAATCCAATCCTGAAAATCTCGGGCACTCCCAGTTTTCCTTTGCTTGAGCTGCATCACTTGAGCTTCCAGCTCATCAAGTGCCACAACAGCGTCCTCCAGCTTCTCATGTACCCTTGGAGCCTGACCCTGGACGCGGCGCAGGCTGCCGCTTATATCTGCTTTTCGAAACATTCTCCTAGGGATGGCGACTAGCCCATGGCCCATCAGGTAGATGGCGAGAGCAAGACCCCACACATATGCGAGGGCCATGACCAAGGCTCTGATTGCGGTGAAGTCGAAGCCATAGGAAAAGATCATGTAGATCAAACCGGCGATGGCGCAGACCAGAACAATCAGCTGGTACCTGCCATTGGAACGCAGGGAATAGATCAGCCGGGACTTGGGTTCGCGGTATCCAGCATCCATGTATTCTCCCAACAGAGGCAAGACAACCCATGTCAGGACAAAGGTCAACCAGTAGACTATCCTCCACGAGACCAAAACAGCTCTTTGTGGTAACCATATTCCTTTCCCACCATGATTGCTTTCTCGTGCGCTGGATGCGAGATCAATAGGCACTAAAACGAGGGCGCTGGCGGGAAGGACTAGGGCGAGGAAAATTGGGACGAGGAGGAACGCAGGACTGGTTCGTAGAGGCAGGTAGTGGCGTAGGATGAACAAGACGGCGACTGAGATGGTCAAAAGAGCCAGGCATGCGAAGATGTCGGACCCCACCGAGGATGCCATTTCCTTCCAGTGCCAAACGCAGAAACGAATCTTGCTACTGAGAAAGAGTGCTGATACCGGCCATTGATCGGTCTCTCATATCGAAATGGCACCACCAAAACCGGGGGATCGCAGCTGACACCAGAAGCGCAATTATGATCTGGACGTCAGCGAAATGGTATATCGAGGCAAATCAGTTCGACCGCTGTAAATGCCTCAGACCAAGCAGAATGCGATGAGTGGGAAGGGTCCGGAAAGGAGGGGGGGAACGATTATGCACAACCGTGAAAAAAGGAAATGGTAGAAGGACTGCAATCAGACGAGTGACGTTGTACGGTGTAGTGATGGAGAGACAGTTGGAAAGCGGATGGAGGACAAGGAAAAGCACGGCAACGCTATAGCAGATGTGGTTTAGGGTAACATTAGGTAAAGACCCCAGAGCTTTGGTGCTCCTAAGGGCGCTTTCACAAGGTTTCTTGGTCACAGTGGCAAAAGGGCAAGGGGGTGGGGGTGAAGAACCTGAGGGGACCAAAGAGTGGTGGTCACCCAAAACTAGAGTACCCCTTACGAGTGTGGGAAGCTGTTGGTACAGAACGAGTCGGTGTCGGACTTAGGGAGAATGCAGTAGACCCAACAAGTCCGGTTCATGTCACGACTTCTCGGTGCCCTTGGTTTACCAAATAACTGGAATAGTAGGCTTACAGGTGAAGTGATGGTTGAAGAATGAAGCCACCCAGTCAGGAAGAGCAAGGGACAGTCCATGGCCTTATGAACCCTGTTAGGTCTGTCCCTTGGGCCTACTAGGGCGTAGTGAGCCCTGATTGAGTGGACTCGGGGGCGCATGGGCGAGATGGACTAACAGTCTCCGGGCCACTCATAGCACCTGGGCCTGCACACCTCAGCCTAACAAACATCAGTTTTAGCTACGGTAGCGAATTCGCTCGCGCACTAGTTCTTGTTTGGCGAAGAGTCATCCCATCCTGGGCTCCATCCTCGTCACCTGCAAACAGCGACTTTTTCTCTCTCCCTTTGCTCATTCCTCCATGGTCCCCCGTCGTATCTCCGTATGGCTCTCTAAATTGCTCTGTCGTGGGCAAGCCCCCTTGCGAACATTCTTCTCCTTCTACGGTATATCTATTTACTCGACTCTCCGAGAGGTGCCTCGCACCACCCCCGCGATGTGCTCTTGGTAAACAAGGCTAAACAGCCACCGACAAGCCTCATCGCAAAGTGGGTTGGCCTGGAGTCCTCCACGACGCGCCCGGTTGGCGCCCAATTACAGCTCGCCCCCCGACTCCCGTACAAATCCTCACATAATAAGGCATCGCTGCATAGTCTTCCCAGAGCTAGTGTCAGCCTCGAATTGTTCCGTATTCCTGTCCGACCAACGCATACATCCCACATCCCCAGACTCAACCTCTCTTCTCTACGCTTCCCTCTATGGCCTAAGAGTGACAAAGTGCGCTAGAGTTCACTCCCTGACACCATTGACGACCTCCTCGATCTCCTCCCTGTGTGTCCTTCTTGTTGTTGGCGTCGTGTCACCCCGGTCGACGTCCAACTTCACCGCGCACCAGACTCGCTCCTCGTTTCCATTTCTGCCTGTGTCACCACCTCCCGTCACGGAGGCCTGACCAGAGCCTGCCTTACCGATCTTTTCTGTCCTCTCCCCTGCCAGCTCCCGCCATTGTTTCCCATATAGTCCTCCGCAGAACTCAAGGCAACTCCTCGTCCCCGCCGAACCGATCCTTCGCAACATCTTACTCCCCTACCTGTCCCGAATGCGTTGATCGAGTCCACCGCGCCTGAGCGTCCCGCCGCTCGCCAATCCCTGCCGCAGCCATGAATCCACAGCACTTTCAGAACATGGTGGGCATGGGTCGAGGCATGCCCAACAACATGCAACAACAAATGGCCATGGCAAATCAGATGGGTGGGCAAATGGCGGCACAAATGGGACAAATGGGACAAATGGGCCAGATAGGACAGATGGGCCAGATGGGCCAGATGGGGCAAATGGGTCAAATGAACCCCAGAGCAGGGCAGATGGGTGCGGGAATGGGAAGACCTACACCTCAGCAGATGGCCGGGCAGATGAGCCTCAACCACCCTTCGGTTCAACAACACATCTTCGACATGTTAAACTCTCAGGGGCCGTTTACTGGCTGGCAAGCCAATGTCCACATCCGCGAACGAGCCGGTCAGATCAAGTTGCTCGTCGATTCTCTCCGTCTGGTCAGACCCCCGGTCGAGCTCCCTCGTGCGATCGAAGTCGCTCTCCAGTTCGAACGCAAGTGCTTCACCCAGTCCGCGAGCCGAGAGGACTACGTTCGGGAGTGTAGCGAAAAACTAGGCAGAATCCGTGACCAGCGAGCTCAACAGTTGAACCAGTCTACCGCCGGCGTTATGCAAGGCATGCAGGGTGTGCAAATGGGCAACCAAACTTTCATGCCACAGATGCAACCCAACCAGCAGATACAAAACAACCTGTCGCTGCCCCCGCACTTGCAGCAGTTGCAACAGCAACAGCAGCAGGGCTTGCACAGCTCGCCCGTTTTCAACCAACCCCAACCTATGATGAGTCAAGCAAGCCAATCCGCTCCAAACCAATCCATGGTAGCCATGATGCCCGGTAATGTTCAACAGAAGCAGACTCAGCTGCCCGAGTTGACCCCGGAGGACAACAAGGCCATTAATCTGCGAGCGGCCGAGCTGGCCAAAAGTACCCCCAAGGAGGAGATGCGCAATATTGTGGAGAAGATGAATCCACAACTACGGCAGAACCTGGCTCAGAAGGCCGTCGACCCTATCATTTACTATTTCCGCATGCTCGCAACTAAAGAGTTTCGGCGACGAAAACAGTTAGAGGGGAATGGGGGACAAATGAATAATGCCGCCGGCATGATGGGACAGATGCAAAATCAGTCAACTCCGAACTCGATGGGTCAGGGAATGACCATGAACGGGAATCCGCTTATGGGCGACATGGGCCGATTCCAAGGCCAGCAGGCCGAGGGGTTGAGATCTCAAGAGGGTGGCGAATTGGTGGTTCCTGCCAGCAGTACGCCAGGCATGATGCCGGACCAGTTGCGTCTTCAGCAACAGATGATGGCTACCCAGCGCATGGGGCAACAAAACCAGGCTAACTTGAACCCGGCATTCATCGCGCAGCAACAGCGCCTCCAACAAGCACAGGCTACCAAGTTGCAACAGGCCCAACTTCAGGCACAAAACCAGGCACAGGCTCAAGCTCGCGCTCAAGCCGCAGCTCAGGCACAAATGGCTGGTCAGCGTCGGGATATGCCAATGCCACAGTCCAGCACCCCCCTATCTGCCATCAATCGTCCTGTTGGACCAAATGTCTCGGGGGCGAGCCCACAAACAGTCCCCCGACCCGGCTCTGGAACTCCTCTGATGAACCAGCAGATGCAGCAAATGAATAACGCAGTACAACAGGGCCAGCAGCAACAGCAGCAGCAGTTGAACATGCAAGAAATGCAGAAGCGTGAACAGGCGCTGGCCAGCTTTCCTGTGCCTCTCCAGGTGATTCTTCGTCAAAAGCCACAAAGTGAATGGCGTAGTATCCTACAGCAATTTCAGCAGAGTGGTCAAATGAAAAGGAGCATATCACAGCAGCCACAGGGGATGCAATCGCAGCAACAGCAGCTGCAACAACAGCAAACGCCAATGGCTCAAACACAGAATAATGCATTTGTTGGTGGTGCTAATATTGGCGCCATGCCCATGCAACAGTCGCTGTCGGCTGGGGCAGTTTCTCAACAGGGTCAAGAAATGGCTGCCATGCAGCCTGGTAGCCAGGGTCAAATGCAACAGAATCAGCAGGAGATGATGAGGCAGCGCCAAATGCAGATACAACAGCAAAAGCAGCAGCAGCAGCAACAACAGCAACAACAACAAGCGCAACAACAAGCACAGCAACAAGCACAGCAGCAGCAGCCGACGCCACAGCAGCCACCGCAAGGGACTCCAAATGCCCAAGGACAACCACAGGGCCCTCGTCAACAGTTGACTGCTCCGCAGATGAAGTTGATGGATCAGCAACCAGTTCCGCCCACGGTGTTGAGCAGCATAAGACAGCATGCTGCGTTGCCGGAAATACGGACCTGGTATCAACTCAAACAGTGGCTGCTCTCGAACCCAGTTGCAAACTGGCCCATCCCTCATGTATTGGACATCCAGGCGACACATTTCGCCCATATCATGAAAAATCGAGGTCAGAATTTACAACAGCAACACCAACAGCAGCAAAAACAGCAACAACAACAACAACAGCAGCAGCAACAACAACAACAACAACAACAACAACAACAACAACAAAATGCCATGGCGGGCCAGGCTCCTGGACAAGCGACTCAGACAGTGCCTCAGCCGTCTATGCAAACCATCCCTTATCAGCCTCCTGGTGTCCCGCCTGGAGCCATGCCCCTCCGAACCCCGACCGCTTTCGATATTCAGAAGGTGCGGGCCGCAAATCCTCGCGTCGCAAATATGCCAGACGAGCAAATTAGAGCTATCCTGATCAATCGACATCGTGAGGTGCAAGCAAAGAACATGCAGCAGCAGCAGCAACAACAACAACAACAACTGCAGCTGCAGCAGCAGCACCAGGCCAATCAACAAGGAATGCAACAGCAAGGACCCCCAATGCCACCGCAGACAGGTCAAGCAACCTCTCAGGGACAACAATTTGGTGTCCAGGCATCCGCACAGAATCAATCTCCGGCGCAGGCTCAGCAGCAAGTTCGGCCGCCTTCGGCTTCAGCGCCAGGACAACCTCGCCCGCCACAGACGCCAGTCCAGCCTGAGAACAAAAATCTAAAGCGACCTAGCGACGACGATGTGGTGGAGATATCAATGCAGAACAAACAAGCCCAGCCGCAAGTGAATGGCAACAAGGCCCAGGGATTTCAAGCTTTGACAAAGGAGCAAATCAACGCGTTGGATCCGGTAAAGCGACAGCAATACAAGAATTATCAGCTGCAGCACGCCGCGATGCGGAAAATCGTGGAACTCACAAAGGAAGTACAAACCAGCATGCCCAAGCTGCGGCCCATGACCAACATGGATGCCAGTGGCAGAAAGCGCATCGCAGACCTTTTGACGTCCGTCAACGTAAAAAACATGCTCGGGCGGTTCGACTCGTTTCTTGTCGCCTTCTATCGCATCGAGCCGAATGACGCAGCTATTAAGCAACTGGTCCTCCAGAAGATACAGTTGTTCTCGCAGTACAAACCGCAGTCGCTGCAGAACAAAACTTTTGAGCCGGCTGACCACTTTAGCATTACCGCGGACAACGCTGAAGGAATTGTTAACAACATCACTGCTAAGTTCCAACAAACTGCCGCGCAAATCCCAAACAACAAAGCCCGCCCACAGCCTGCGCAGCTCACGCCGGAGAATCTCAGTTTGCTTGAGGCACAAGAGAAAGAACGGAAACAGTCTCTTAAGGTCAACCAAGCTCCTCCCGCTCCGACATCCACACAACCACCATTCCAAATCGGAGATCCCAGAGGGCAAGGTACGCCAAGATACGCGACTCCAGGACTTAAGCAAGAAGACCTCAAGCTTCCTACCGATCCCAAGAGGCGGAAGAAGAACCAACAGCAACCCGCAAGTGCAACTGCCACAACGCCTACCGTGCTTACCTCTCCTCAGACGACCAAAACGCCAAAACCTGCCGAGATGTTCAAGTGTCCTGTAAATGGGTGCGATCATCAGCTCAAAGGGTTCGCGACTCAAGGCGAACTTGATCACCACCACAATGTGGCCCACAAGCTAGATATGGAGCCCGTCACCGATCCTCTTGCCTTTCTCCACGATTCTCTTCGCTCTGCCTTCAACCTAGACGAGAATTTCCAGCAGATCAAGAAGACTTTCCCCAAATCCGAGGGTAAAGCCGCAGGGGCGACCATCATTAAGAACGAGAGCTCCGCAGGCACCCCTGTACCCATGGCCAAAATGCCCAGCCAAGGTCCTGCAGGCACCACTACCAGAGATGGTGACGTCGCTATGGAAGATGATGACCCTTGGAAACACAGCAATATCACATTGGATCAGTTGCGGCTTGCCTTTGGCGGCGACGACTGGGACGAGCTCTTTCCGTCCGAGGAAAAGCTGTTTGAACAACAGTCCAAGTTTTATGAGGCCTATCGCAATACCAGCGAACGATGGCAGAAGATCGTTGAAGGACCCAATGGTGCTTTGACCGACACCTCTACCGAGAAATCCAAGAGTCCAGAGATCGTCAGTGACAAGGAAGGCAGCTCGGCAGCAGCCGCGTCGCGCGAGGACAAGAAGGAAACAGTAGAGAAAAAGGCTGAAGACGATCAATGGAAGGTCAACCTTGATGGGATCGAGGGTCTTGATCTCAGTGGGTTTGGCGACATGTCCCCGTTCGAGACCATCAATGATCTGGACATCATGATGGGCGAGGACGGCTCACCATTCGAACCAGTCGAGAAACCGCAGCTATCGACCGAACAACTCCATCTCCAAGCTCTAGGAGCCGATCTTGAGCATCCAGAGACCTGGACTGAGCAGCAGAGACAATTCGCGGACTTTCTGTTCGGCACCTGAGCCGACCAAGGCAGCCTGGTTCAAGGCCAGTACCTATTCCACATTGTGTGTTCATTTTGTGTATTTTCTGGGGGCGGCGATGGTGTGGGTTGGAATGTGTTAACGGGGCAGTATTTTGCGACTTGTTTATCAGCATGGCGTCCTGTGGGTCAGTGGATCCTAATAGGAGGCATGGATGGCTGGATGTCTTACGACTTTGACGAAGCTTCCCTGTAAGGGAAAGGATACTTCTCTTCTTGACTCGCGAGAGGGGAAGGGTGACTTAGGGCGGATGTATGCGTTGGAATTGATCTTTTCTACGTGGGGGAGCGATTTTGTACATTACCAGATCCAGCTCGGAGATCGACCTTTCTGTCTTTTCAGATACCTCAGGATCAGCAATTGGGTTGTTTTGTATGTTTCGGATCATGCCGTGATGGGATGAAGAACCGAGATGGTTATATTATGGGTTTGGACGACAAAAGAAATACCCGGCAGCAGAATTGCAGCCCCCCTTTTGATTTATATATCTTGGACTGTGTCTCTCTCTTCTCTCTCTTCTTCTACTATTACTGTTATTACAACTGCTTCTACGCCTTTTCCCGGCTACCGTATCACAATGTTTGACCAAGAGGGAAGTAAATAGTGACGAACATGATACCGAATTTCTGGAAACCCTCTGGCAGAGGAAGACGAGGAGGAAGGAGAAAATTGTCCAACGTCTTCACCCCAGAATCTGCAGTGCTAGAATAGTCAGCCCGGCTTGGGTAGTCAGTCAGTCAGTCAGCTGTCTCCACGTATCGCTCCTGCTGGGGAAAACGGACAAAGGGTCTCAGATGGAGGCCGGGTTAGTTGGCGCGGTCGTTGATGAAGTAGGGTGGGTGGTGAGTGCAACGAGAGATCGAGACGGACAGACACACACACAGAGAGAGAAAGGGAGACTGGGAACAATATGATCCCCTTCTCGCTCAGTGTATAGAACTATACTCCTATAAGCCCAGCAGCTTTGCCTATTCCCAAGAGTTCAAGGTTGTCCTGGGTATCCGGAATCGCAAGCGACGAAGGTCTAAGAGAATAAAAGAGAACGAAACCAATAGATGATTGTAGATGTCACGTTGCCGCCAGCCGCTCACCCAAGGAAGCCCTGCCCGCCCCAGTAGAAAGTCCGCTACCTAATCCCCAAGGTCATCGTCATCTTCAGGATCAGCGTCGTCCCGCGGTGCGGTATAGCGAGCTCCGCTCTGACCTTCAATGTAGTCGATACCTAGTTTCCGGAGCTCGTTGATTTGTCGCTGGCCGACACTTACGAGCTCGAATCCGGGAGGTAAGCGGTGACCGGCTCTATTCATAACAAGTTAGCCACACAATATTTGGTTGGGGACGGGACCCCTTCCATCCACAGGTCATCGATGCAGGGGGGAAAACAAGGAAGGAAAAAGGAACTCAGCGTGGCGAGCAAGAAGGACATCGACGGGAGGAAAAGCTTACTTGAGAAAAACCAACTTCATGTTCCGCGCCTTGTCCTTCAGCTGCACCTGGGTCCTTCCGAGCAGCACCGGCCCCTTCTCGTGCGTCCTGTCCTTTTCCAAGATCCTCACCCACTGCGTCCCGTACAACGCGATCAGCTCCATCAATCTTTCGACCTCGTCGTTTGTATATGGTATACGAACTTGACCGCGTTGTGGATCCGGCAACAACTCCCGAGACATGCGCACTCTTTCTCTAGCTTTGCGATTCACGTCATCAATGTCGAACACGGGTGGCGCCGTTGACGGTGGCATAGATACCCGGGCACTCTCAGGATGACTTCGAGCGGGGGCGCTCGAAGGTGGTGGTTTTCGTTTGGCCGCTGGGATAGATTCAAGAAGTGCTCGGCCTGATGGCGATCTCTGAGTAGTGGATCGTGTGGGCTGTGAAGATCCGGAGGACAACGTGCGCTGCACGGCATCTGGCGACTTCGAAGGAGTCGTTCGAGCGGGTCTTGAAGGCTGGTCTGGAGTTGCAAATGCAACCGTGCGAGATTTCTCAGAGAGACGAACATCCTTGTTTTGGGTAGTTGTGGCATCTTCCCCTTCCGCTGGAATGCTAGGGCGCGTCATCAAGGGGGGTTGTCTGTTGAACTCGGCACTAGCACGAGCTCTCTTTATTGTTCTTTGGTCTGTCTCGAACTCGTCATGGCCGCCATCATCCTCGAACGTTCGAGGCAGTCGACGCTTCAGGGCCTGGGGCGGCGGACTGGGGGTATCATTGTCATCAGAGGGTTCCTCCCATTCCACCCTTTCTGCCCCCTTTTGGCGGTCGAGCAATGAAGGCTTCTTAACGGGTTGATGCCTATTCTCCTTGTCGCTCTGTTCGTTTTGTCGGCGGACAGTCTCCAGGACTATGTTTGTTTGCTGGGTTGGGACAATCTCTTCGTCAGATGCAGCGGCTGGAGGAAGACTCTGTGGTTGGCTGTCGCCTCTATTGGCAGCTGATGGTTGAGTCTCATCCACAACCGGCGATGGCGACCGTGGAATTTCATGCTCTGGTTCTGGCGGACTGGGAGCAGCAATGTGTTCGATTTTAGCACCGGACGTGCGTGCTGAATGCTGGACTTTGATGGCCTTGAGTCTGTTTATGTTTGCTTTCATGGCTTTCCCCAATAAACTCCCGGTCGTTCCCTTCTCCGCCGGGAGTGGAGACTTGTTATTGGCATTCTGAACTTGCTCTGTTTGGGTGTCGGCTGTGGCAGATTCCTGCTTTCTAGACGCAAAGCTTGCTATCTCGGAATCTGGAGTAAGTCTGTTTGAGAGAGCTGCTTCATCTTGGAGATCTTCAGCGAGAAGCAGATCGACGAGCTCCTCTACTCCCCCTCTGGATTTGATTATTCCGTCTAGCTCCTTTTTGTAGGCTAGGCTCCACCTGACTGCTTGTACAACAAAATCTGACCAAGGAAATTGTTGTCTCAAGGCTTCCACGTTGAGCCACGGGTGTTTTGGCATGTTGATATGGGATCTGATGGAAGACATCCGTGATAATGCTTTGGCGTACGTCACGTTGTCTGCCGATCCCTTTATCTTATTGCGTTCATCGTAGAAGACAGCTCCAAGTAATGCGTCAGGATCAAACCCGGCTTCATGATGCTTGATCTCGACTTGTCGGATATAGAACTGAGTGAGAATCTCAGTGTGAAAAAGGAGAGTACCCTTTACCATGTCAGCCGAGACAGGAAATGCGTCAAGATCATGAAACGGTTCTGGGAAGTTGTTGAACATGAACTCGAGGTACGTGTGACGCTCTTCTGTTGAGCGGTGAAGTACCTTGGCCAGCTGCAAGGCAAGATTTGCCAAATAGAGAACACTGTCGGGGCGCCACGGGCCGTTGTTGATCTCGTGCAGTTCGCCATCACCAACAATTTTGCGAGTGACAATCCCTGGGACGATAAAGCCCGGATTGCCCCCATAGACTTCCATCGTGGCCAGGAGCTGTTCCTCCCGGCGCGTCAATTTCCGGCAGAGTAAAGGGTTGAGTTGCAGCAGCTTCGCACAGATGTCCCTCACTCTGTCGTCACCACCCTCAAACATTGAAAAAACTCCGTCGGAATCATTGCGCAATTTGACCAGATTGTCGATGATGGCGTCTCGGTCCAGGGCATCTAAAAGACTCTCCCAGGATGACCCTGTCAAGCTCTCCTCGAATGAGACAGACGGGCTGCTGTCGAGATCTTCGGCCTGCTCCGATACCGCGTCCTCTTCGGCGACAGTGGGCAGTGCCTGCTCAAGATCTTGCGGTTGCTGTTGCGCTGCTGCGACTTCTTGGCTGGATGAACGCGTCCGTCGTTTGTTATGATTTGGTGGCGCGTCGATGACGACGCTGATCGAAGGGGGCTTGGGGGGCGAAAGAGGCGAGTCCTTTCTGCTACTGGACCTGACTCGCGGACGAGGAGCCATCACGGCGATGTCATGAGACGTGAAGAGTGATGGACTGGGGAGTCAGAGCATGTCTCAGGGTTAGTAACCCTATACCGACGTCGGGTTATTTTCGTGAATTAGGCTGCATTAGCGTGGGATTGGTGTCGGCTAACTTGACTATCTGGGAAAGCCAGAGATAGCCATGTGGATTTTGCGGGGTGTCACGTGTGATAGAGCTGGCTTGTCACGTGCCTGCTCCTGGCTTTCTCTCCATGACACCTTCACCAACCTTGAGCTGATCTCTATCTAAGCCTCAATCAACGCCTGGTCTCGTCAAATGACAACACGACACCACGATCAACCTGTGCGGCAATTCAAGGGGCGGTGCAACCACGCTCGCTGCCAGTTCTGGAGCTTCTCCAGAACATGCCCCATGAGAAGGCGCAATCATAGATCTGGCGACTCAGTCGCGTACTATTACGCGATGCCTTGCGGGGTGCAAAGCTCCCACCTATTGAGGCTCGACTCCGCCACTCTCCAGTGTAACCACCCAAGTTGACGGCCCGTGTCCCGTGGTCATGTCGATCTGCGAACGGTCATTCCAGCCCTTGTAAATCTCGTCTATTATTGTATTTGAATCAGCACTGCCTCGTTATCATCGAACTCGTCGTCAATATTAAAAGACCATCACGACTGTCGCGGGTTGGTGGGTTCACGCATCGACCAAATCAACAGATTCAACCAAGAGCAGTTCTCCTGGGCAATGTCTCGCCGCGAGTCCGTTGGACGCCTGAGAGCGGGCTCCCAATCCGACTCGGCGCCACCAAGTGTCAAAATGGTGTCTTGTGCCGTCCTACCTCCGCGCCTCCCAGCAGGAATGGCTCCACCGACGGGCATCGGGGCGTTTGAAGCCATCAGCTACGATGAATCCCTCAACTGGGAACACAACAACCCGATAAGCGAGGAGGAGCCCAGCAGGCGGAAGGGTTTGTTTCGCAAGGTTGGCCTCACCACGCAACGGAAAAGACGCGACTCACAAGATGATCTGCCGCCCTTTGTGATGCGTCAAATCCCTTATGACACCTGGCGAAAGCATTATGCAAAGGACAAAGAGGGCAACTATAGAGGGACGCATGCTCCGGCGGAAGATTGTCTTCTCAAACCAGAAGATGTACGAAAGTGGCGACTTGGTGATCCAATCACGAAGGCGGACAGGTGGACTCGAGGGAGAGAGGCGCTTCCCGTCTATTCGGAGGTCCATGCCGAAGGAGCGGTGCCAGAGTATCAGGTTGACGACGTCAATCCAGACCAGCCTCTGGCGGGCGGGGGCATGATGACCCGAGAGGATGACAGGCTAGCGAAATACATTGATGCAAGCGACCCCCTGCAGCAGCGAAGCTCCAGGACCGCTTCCCTGAACCTCGAGCATCCCAGCATAACATCATCATCATCATCATCACCACCGCAGCCGACTTCACCACGTCAAGAGCAAACGATCGCCGATGGGAAGACGGCCACGGAGATAATCGAAGAAGCTCGAACCAAGGGCAAGCCGAAGTTGACATGGAGACAGAAGTTGTCTAAGGGGGTCTCGATGACCATGGCCGCGCCTGTGCAAACGACCGTCTGGACAGGAATCTAGTAGCTTGTCGCAGGGGCTTCCAGAGCGAGGTGGATGACAGGACTTTCAGGACCGTAGCCTCCAAACAACATCTGGGAATGAGAAGAAGCTCGCGATCTCCGCTACGCAAGCGGTGAGTGCTCTTTAGTGGAACGGACCTTCTGTTCTGCCATTGGTGGATGACGTGCAGCATTCCTGCCCATGTGCGAGCGGATGTGCCAGGAGAAACCCCTGGATCCCTGCCTTCAGATCCTCAATGACCATATATAGGTCGAAGAGCAAACCCAGCGAGAGGCAGCACGGCGGCGAAGAGGCGTACTGGAAACGTTTCGACGATGAAGTAGCAAGACTCGAGCGAAGATTGGACGAGGACAGAGCGAGTCCCAAAGCAACAGGAGAGGCGGACAGATCGGCTTTCAATAAAAGAGAACGAGAAGATCAGGCAAAGCAGCGGGCAAGGGAACCCGAAGACCGGGAGATTGCTAAAACATGAATGGAGGAAGACATGACGGGGTCCGAGATGCCAATCAGTCTCTGGGGTATGAATGCTGTAAGGCGACGACCAGAAGAGAATGGCAGGTGGAAGGGATGGTTGTTGTTGTTGTTGTCATCTCGCCAGACCAGGTCCTTCTTTTACCTTTTTCCAGGAATCACAAATACAAGAATCACTCCTTTTACATAGTCCACCACAGATGAGAATTATGACATGATGCTCTTTTGTCCTATCATAAGCGCGAGAGAGAGAGAGACAGAGGAGAGGAGACTGCTCATCAGGTCTTGTTGCCAATTCGAGATCCCCATTCCCCAGCACTTTTCTTTCATGGATATTTTTAATATATATGTGTTGGCCAGGTGGTGCGACACTCCGACACCCAAGGCTATGTCCTGGCGAAAACCTTCGAGTTCTAGACCCAAGTTTGGGCATATTATCTACCGTATGTACGTTCCTGCTTGACCTTGGCGACGGGTCTAGAGTTGTTCGGGTCTAGGGGGTGGGATTAATATGTCCAAGAGCCAGCGACGTCTGTCTTTCAGCTGGCCACAAACTTCTGTCCGGTTCGACCATGATCCCAAACCTGGAGCACGGAGAGGTTGCTTGTGCAAAGGGATCAAGAATGCCGCTGTTATGCAGTGCCTGCGCCAACGTCTTCTGCGAGCAGGAGGAGGAGGACGACGACGACAAGGGCCCTGCTCCTGAGTCGCCCTTCTACAAGGCCAACCACCACAGTCTGCCCCGGTTGAAGAAGTCCGCCTCCGACGGCTGCCCCCTGTGCATGCTGCTCTGGGCCGCCGCACCGCCCAAGGTCCATGCTTTTTGGGATGAGATCCTGCGTGACGACCGTCCGGCGCACTGGCTACCCTGCTTCTTCACCGTCAATCGGGCCATCTTCGCCACCGCCACGCACCCGTGTGACACGAAGAAGCCGAAGCTGCTGGTCGAGTACAAGTACCAGCTCGGTCTGACGAACCCGCACGAGCATCTGAAGCCGATCAGGCGGCATTTCAGGCTGCTGTGGAGTCAGGGTACGTAAAGACCCCTATAGGAGCCTTCTTCATAAAGGCTGGTGTGTTGACTGCTTCGATCATTGTTGCTGGATATTGGGCGGATTGATGCTTTCTGTCTCCCGTCTCTTCACAACTAACCAGCAATCCAGAGGCAGAGCCCCTCATACAGCAAGCACGGTTCACGTCCACCACCCGGTCGGAGGAGAGCTGGCACACGTTCAAAAAGTGGATGTGGACGTGCATGTCCAAACACGGCCAATGCTCGCCGCGGTCGCTGCACCTCCGCCAGCGCCAGCTTCCAAAGCGACTCCTCGAAGTCGGCGGCGAGGCGGCCAACACGGTCAGGCTGCGGACGGTCGAGAGCATCGGCGACGCCTACGCGATCGAGTACCTCGCGCTCAGCCACTGCTGGGGCACAGAGCCCCCGCGGGTAATTCTCACGACCCGGTCTGCGGCCAGTCTGGTCGCGGGCGTCGACGTGGACGAGCTGTGTCGCACCTTCCAGGACGCCGTCGCCGTGACGAAGCGGTTCTGGGACGAGTTCGCCGTGCGATACCTGTGGATCGACTCGCTGTGCATCATCCAGGACTCGACCGAGGATTGGCGCCACGAGTCGACCATCATGGGCGAGATCTATCAGAACGCCTTCTGCACGCTGGCCGCGACGGCCGCCGCCGACGGGACTCGTGGGTTCTTCTCCGACCGCGATCCGCGCCTCGTCTCGCCCTGCACCGTCCCCGTCGTGCCCCAAAAGAGGGGCGGTGGTGAGAAGATGACAAGGTTCTTTTACTGCGTCGACCACGACGACTGGGCCAAGAACGTCTCCCGGGCGCCCCTGAACGGCCGCTCATGGGTGCTGCAGGAACGCCTGCTCTCGCCGCGCGTGCTACACTTTGGCGCCGACCAGCTGTACTGGGAGTGCTCGGGGCTCGAGGCGTCCGAGGCGTTTCCAGTAGGCTTTCCGGACGGGCTGGGCGAGCAGTTTAAACAGTTGCTGCCGTTCTCGGGCCTGCCGGCGAATATGTCGTCGTCGTCGTCGTCACCGCAAGGACGCTGGGATCCCAGCCCCGGCACCAGCAATGGCCGCGGCCCCTACGCCATCTGGGACCAGGTCATGGAGACGTACTCGGCGGGCCAACTGAGCCGGCGCAGCGACCGGCTGGTGGCGCTGTCGGGGATCGCGCGCAAGCTGCAGCGCCGCCTCATCCCGCACGACACGTACCTCGCCGGCCTGTGGAAGCAGGATCTCCCCTTCGAGCTGCTCTGGGACGTCAAGGACCTTCCTCGCTCTCCTCCACCACCACCACATCTTTACAAATCCCATTCGCACAGCAGCCGCCCTGAGTACGGGTACGGGTACGGGTGTGAAGACGAATACATCGCGCCGAGCTGGTCGTGGGCGTCGCGCATGGCCACCGTGCCGTGCGAAACCGAGACGTGGGCGACGGCGAGCACGCTGATCGAAATCACCAGCGCGACCGTCGTGCCGGTCGACCACGCCGACCCCATGGGCCAGATCCGGTCCGGCAGCTTGCGGGTGGCCGGCGTGCTGGTGCGCGCGTCCCTCTCGCGCATCCACCAGCCGGGTTCGCCGACGCCGGGCCTGGCGCTCCGAATCCACGGTGAGCGCGCCGTGCCCTCCGCCATCTGCCGCCCCGACGACGGCTTCAGCCCCACCGTCCACCTGCCCCCCGTCGTCTACTGCCTGCCGATCCTGCGTGGCGTGCGCAACCGCGTCCCCCGCTACCGGGGACTGCTGCTCGTGCCCTCGGGGAGGGAGCGACAGCTTCGCAGATACGGCACTTTCACCGCCGACGCGGCTGGCGACGAGTTCCTGGTGGTCGTCGCCTCGGGCTCGTCGTCGTCGTCGTCGCAACCGCGGCCGTTTGACACGGGTGATTTAAGACCTGATGGCCGCTATGAGTTTACGATTGTATGAGCCATCTTTTATAGGCCTATGGAGGTTTTATATCTGCTAGACAGACAGACAGACAGACAGACGGCAGACTTGGATGGGCAAATCAGTGCCTATTATGGTAGTAGTGAGCGAGGTACATGTACACAGCACACCGGAGGCGGAAGAGGACTGACACGGACCCAAACGCAGGAACATTTCTGAAGATGATGGAATGTGATTTCTATCCATCTCGGTATTGATGGCGTATATGGGGGGAATAAATGAAGAAAATACCCAACATATTCCACCACGACAACCGGCCCGGTCGAGTCGGTCTGCTCAAGCCAATTCTATATATATACTCTGTAAACACACTACGTCTTCTCCTCTATGTATACTAAACACTCCCATGTCGCAACGTCCACGCCTCAAAATTCTCGTCTTGACATCCATCTCGACACGATGCTCTGTCTTCCTTCACCATACCAGAAAACCCATGGTCACGTTTTTCCCAAAGTAGAGCACGTTCCTGCTCACCCACCGTCGACGTCTGCTAGGCTTGCGTTGATGGATGGCGACCTCACAGTCAGTTTTGTTTACACCGATGAGGGTGTATAGCACTCGAACTGGCGAAAAGCTCTGTGTTGTGCAACCTTGAATACCCACGACTTCTTGCTGGAGTCCTCTTTCCGGTCGCCCTCGCAGGAGAAGGGGATGATTTTTCCTGGAGCCAGATGCTGTCTTCATGGAGAGTCTCGAGTACCAAGGAAGGTGCCTGGCAAATGCAGAACATTGATCCGTACATATACTCCATTGCATGAAATGCATGTGACCTCTGCCTCCGGGTGTGTGGTGTCGATATGTGCCGCCCCGAGTGTAGCGGCCAGCGTGATCTTGGACGCCATATTGAAGAAGAATTAGGGAGGTTTGAATGCAGTGATCGAGGCTGAGGCAGTGCATCCATCGGTGTTTGCGACAGTAAGTCGCCGGATGACCGCCCTGAAGAAATCATGCTGTTCTTCCGAGGAGCAGGACCACTGGGTGCGTTTCTCTGGCCGGGGCAGGCCCTCTTCTGCTCCTTTCTGTGGTGTATGCGGTATAGCCAACATGTCCGCAACGAGAGACACAATAGCTCTATGGGTCACCTGCTGAAGCCGCTCATTTCTTCTTCGCCATACTCGCCATCCGAGCCGCCGCCCTCAAAAGGCTCACGGTCCCTTCTCGTTCTTTGTCCATGGCCTTGAGCCTCAGCTTCTCCACAAGCTCAGTCTGATCTTCTTCTTCTTCGTCCGCAGACCTTATCTTGCGCCGTCGTTTCATGTCGCCATTCCCATACACAACAGTCCAATCCGCCACGTTTCGATCCACCGTCACGCCCGCACAGATCTTCGCATGGGCGCCGACCGTGACATTCGCAAGGATCGTCACGTGAGATTCAATCAGGACACCTTCCCGTATTGTCGCTCCGGCGTGGACCTGGGAGCTTGGATGGAGGTAAACACAATCATGAATGACAGTCTTCATGGGGTCACGCTCCTCATCATCGGCATCATCAGCACCGCCCTGATTGACAAAGGGACTCGGCTGATTACTCCTGCTGCCAGCAGCAGCATTCGAGGTTTTCGACGCCGGATCAGAGGACACACCGCCCGAGCCCCGAACCGGGCCACCAATAATGCATTTCTCCGAGATAATACACTTATCACCGATGGAGAGGGGACCATGGACAGCAACCAGCTGTGCTCTGGGGTGAACTAGGTCATATTCACCCACTGTGATGGCGTGTGTGCCTCGGACGTAGGCGCCTGGGTCGAGATGGGTGGTCTGTCCGAGGGTCACGGGTGGGCGGGAAGATAATGCCGATACTGATTGAGACGCAGCATGCGCAGTACTTGGCTGGGAGCTCATCACTTATGGCTGAGTTTGGTGGGATGAAAGAGCTGAAGACAATATACGGGGACTCTCGAACGGCTGGAGGCGAAGAAAAAGAGATGCGTTTGATTGGTTCGGTGGTAATATCACGTGCAAGAAATGAAGTGTGCTGCTTTAAAACCACCCCTAGTCCCGAGTTGGCGGTGAAGCACACATCCGCCTCAGCGCCGCTTTACTTCAACAAGCAACAACAAGCTCCCGTCGGCGCTAGCTTATCTACGTTAGTCTCTTTCTGGGGCTTGGCCTCGACCGTTCGCGTCGCTTAATCTTGAACCATTTCCCTGACTATAGCTCAAGCCACTCCAGGACAACCGCACTACCAGTTCGAGTCTCGACCGGCCGCTGAACCTTCTGAACCAATTGGACTATCTAATATGGGGGCTCAGCCGAGCATCGCTTGGGCCATGGCGCAAGATATATTCAGCCTCATCCGGCCATTTGTGCCTGAGCCTCCTGAACATCTCTGGTGCTGCCGCCCTGGCCTTCTCCGACAACTCCAGGAACCATGGGGTGGCCACAATGCAATTCAACGTTGTCCGACATGATAGGTAGCGCTGATGTCACCTCTTTCCATGTTCCGTTCTGCTAACCTGTGTCAGTGACCGAAGAAGCGGTGGGGAACGGTTGGACGGTACATAAGATCCTTGTTTGGGTTGCTATGGGCTCGACCATTTTAGCGGGAGTGCTCTCTCTGTCGCAGATTTTACTGCACGCCATGCATTACCTGCAGCCGTCGCAGCAGAAGCAGTGAGGCTCCTGTCTGGATTCCGGTCTCTATGCTGATGGAGCCGCCAGTGTCACGAGAATACTCCTCATGATCCCGGTGTACAGCGTCAGCAATCTCCTCGCGGCGATCTACTACAGGAAGAGTATCTACTTCCTCCTCATCGGCAACGCCTACGCCGCGTTTGGACTGGCGTCCTTCTTCAACCTGCTGAGCTCATACATCGCCCCAAATCTGCACGAACAAAAGCAGTATTTCAGAACCGTGACGCCAAAGAAATGGAACTGGCCTGTCCCTTGGCTGCAGAAGTGTACCGGCGGGTCGGAGAGAGGGCTTCTGCGCAACCCACGGAGCGGCCTGACCTGGTTCAATGTAAGAGAGGAACCGAAATATTCCTGGAACGAGTCTCACCCTCGACAGGTCATCTTCTTCGGCGTTTTCCAGTACTGTGTGGTCCTGATGATCACGTCCGTCGCCGGGGTCATCGCACAGGCATTTGACCGCTACTGTTCCGAGGCTCCTATCCAACCTGCCTTTGCGCATATCTGGGTAATTTCGCCTCCATGGCAATTGATGACCGCGGTCTGGCTGACTTGTTACAGATTCTGGCCTTTAACAGCGTCTCCGCTATCGTTTCATCCTATGTAAGTTGCACCTGCTTCTCAATGTCCAGAGTACTCAGGCGTGATTCTACGGTTCTGGGGAGACCGACACAGGCTCTAACGTCTTTACAGTGTCTGAGTCAGTACCATGACCAGAATGTCCACGATGTCCGCCAGTGGAAGACCAACTTCCAGTTTTTCTGCATCAACATTGTGCTCTATTTGTCGACTTATCAAAATGTACCGATCCTCGTCACTGTGCTCGTCTCTCGCATCTGCTGACTTGGAGCTAGTTGCTCATATCCATCCTCGTGAAGTTCGGCGCCTTCACGGCCACCGCGCGCTTTCAAACCCCCGACCTCAACGTCTCCCTGCCGGCAACTCTGCTTTGCGTCGAGATGGCCATAATATCTCTTCTCCATCTCTGGGCGTACCCGTACAGGCCGTATGTCAAAAACGAGACCTGGACGAGGCTCGATGGATCGGAGGCGGGGGGCGAGTACAAGGGCGGCACTTTCGGCGTCAGAGCCTTGGTCGACGTGTTGAATTGGTGGGATATTGTCAAAGCCATAGGCCGTGCAGCCAAATGGATGGTCGTTGGGCGCAGGAGCCGACAAGCCGACGTCAGCTACAAATTGCCCACGCCTTACACGGAGGATGATCTGTCCGAGAGCACTCATCGCCTCCAGACCTTTCCTAGCCGTGGGAGTGGAATTGGGGATCAGTATGATAGCGGCACCGACGATATCGGTCTGGCACCACCCGCCTATCGAAGTCAACACTATCCAGAATACATCTAGCGCAACCCCAGGTAGATAATATGTTGAATGTCCTGCCCTCCCCACCGATCTCTGTCGAGTCTCCCCTTGACAGCGCTCTATTTCGCGAGAGGTAGATTCGGCTTGTGAATTCGGTTTTTTTCGTGGCAGCAGCACACAAGGGACGCTTTTATATGTAAGCTTCTGTGTCCAGAGGATTAGATCTGTGTCGCCGGTAGTCTAAGTAGCGGGTCGATCAATGGTGGAGCATTGAGCAGTGCTGACCGACCACCACTTGGCAGACCCCAACTTCTATTACTGTATGTGCCTATACCAACCCCTGACCCAAAGAATTCCTCCTTGCTATATACACGCTTTTCTCGATCTTGGGGCCTCACACATGGAACTCTTCCGTGTCTAGCTACCCAGGCATGACCGACCAACGCGCAGCATGTCTTACTACGACGTTGACGCGATCCTGACCGACTCGCAAAAACTGCCCTGCACCTTCGAACTGGACGTGCCGGGCCTGGGGTACTTGGACGGCAATGCCGGCGGGACGGTCAGTTTTTTCTCTTTCTCTCTCTCTCTCTCTCTCTCTCTCTATCTTTGTCTTTATCTTTATCTTAGGCTGGATGAAGTAAAGGAAGGATTGGGGGACGGGGCACCGCAAGAAGGATCACTGACGCGCCCACACGCGGGAGAGTGACAGATCAAAGCCGGCACCAAGATCGATCTGCCCCTGTGGCTCGGGGTCATGTTGGCCGTGTCGACGGGGTACGTATTTTTCTGTGAATCATTCTGTCGAGATTCTGCCTTTTCTAACGCGTGATGCCTCCTCCATCCCATGATCTCCCACAAACAACCAACCCCATGGCGAGGTGAGGTGAGAAACAACTCCGTGTCTAACGTGCCGTCTCTCTGGACTGTTTCTAGAAACACGCCTGGCTCTCCCAAGCTCGTCACGTTGGACTTCCCGGCACCGCTGCAGCAGCGCGTTATCAACGCGCTCAAGGCCGACCCCAAGACGGTCGACCTGCGCGCCCAGGCACCGCACTTTTACGCGCTCGGCGCTCGCATCATGGAGTTGTTCGACGATCGCGCCGTGTTGGATACCCTGTTAGATGTACGTTTATACTCACTCCCTCACTCACTCACTCGCCCACTCGTGTCTCCCCCCCCCGTTTCTCGAGTTCCAAAGTCACGTTCCGATGTTGACAGCGACACGCCCGTTTGTCCGGATGTCTAGACATTCAAAGAACGAGCGGCAGAAATCGCCGACCAGGCGCACAACCCCCGCGGCGCGTTGGGGGGCGAAGGGGCCGAGTTTCTACGAGGGCTGGAGGAGAGCGAGCGACAGTTGTTCAAGGCGGCGCACGAGGGCCCCAAGGCCGTCAGAGCGTGGACGCAGGATTTGAAGAAGAATACGTGACATTGTGTGGTGGACCTCGAATGACGGAGAAATAGAAATGCTCGCTTGGACGCAACATGACAATGTGTATACCAGAGTCGGCACGCGACAGTTGTAATCAGCTCATCTTAGCCAACACCGCCCGCGGCCTCCTTGACCTTGGCTTGCTCCGGAGGCTCATCCACGAACTGTGGAGTGACTTCATCCTGCAGGAAACCCGGTGTGCTCTCACCGATGCCCATCTCCTGCTCAAACATCATGTCCTCGCCCAGCGCCTCGAGCTCAGCATCGAGCTCGGCCTCGTCCACTTCATCCGGCACATCGTAAGCGCGGCTGATGCTCTCATTGATCTCGTTGCCGATCTCCATCAAATCCGCCATTTCATCCTGCATCTGTTCGATCTTGTCGATGTTGATCTTGCCGTACTGCTGTTTCAGCGCCTTGTTGGTGGTCTTCATGGCGTCCACGGTGGTCATGACGTTCTTCAGGTTGTCCTGCATCACCCCGGCCTGTTCCATGTTCCACGACTGCTGCTGGAGCTGGTCCCGCTGCGACTCGTACATTTTGCGCCGCTGGAGGACCTTGAGGGCTTTTTGTTTGATGGCCTGCTTCCCGGGCCCGTCGCGCATTTTCGACAGCTTCTGCTGGTATGTGGAGAGTTCGGCGTTGATTTTGGCGAGCTTGACGTCGATCGAGTCGATTCTCGTGTCGACCTGTGGCGCGAGAAGTCAGAACATGCCCAGCTGCCCGGGAGGGGCACATAGTGAAAACCCACATTTTGTATGGCGCTGTTCAAGGTGGGCTTCGGAGCCGTGTTCTTTGCCCCGAAGAGACGGTTCATCGTGTGTCAGATGTGTGAATGAAAGGGCTCTTTACGAGACTCAGACTAGTTGTTGCGGGGGATATACCAGGCACTCGAGTGTAGGGCGCAGTGAAGGAGAGTTGCCTGCGGTTATCTTTCTGGGGCGTCATCCCGCTCCGACATTTAACCGGGCGTCCATTCTATGAAATCATTTACAGGCATCCAGCCACCAGCCTGGGGCACTCACTACGAGATGTACTTCTCTAGGGTGAATCCCCTATTCGACTTTCGTCAATCGTTTGATATTGGTGATTCTTGGATGTCCGTGTCATCCCCATGGCACCATGAGCAGCCCCAGTTGTCAGGAGGTCCCGGGAGACCAGGGGTGAGAGATCGTCCCGCATTACAGATCTGCAGATGTCGCAAATTGATTCCATCCTCATCCTCGTGCTGCCCAAAGCCTTTGTGCCAGATGATGCCGGGGAGAGGGTTGCACGTGCCGACCGCCCCCTTTTTGCTGTACCAGTGTGTGCCACCTCATCTGCATCTTGTGTCACGCCGCCTAAGCGTCAGGGCATTGTCATCATATCCTTGGTCAGTGCTTGGACCGGTTGGAGGTTTGGGCTGCAGTGAACGAGCTAAGACATCTGGGGGCCGTGGGCTTGCAATTCGGACTTTCTAGGGAGCCATGTGGCATGGGCATTTCGTGGCGGACAATAATCATCAACATAGTGCAGAACTTACTACCAGGGAGAAAAGGGGGGCGCTTGTTTGTGGAGGCGCCGGGCGCCGGTATCTGGTCCTTCAGCCGGTGTTGAACCTCGTGCCCAAATCACTCGGTTAATCCATGTGTGTCGCACGTAGCACAGCTCTTCTCACTCGCTATCATCAGTGTTTGTGCTACAACTTATTCAAGGCCCCAGCCATCATCCTTCAAGACACAAGACACCCAGATACCCTGGTGTTGCATTCCATGTAAACGCGTGGTTTTGGTGATCTGACGGCAGCCGCCTTTTCTGCCAAGTTCCAGTTCGCGCGGGTATCTCTCTTTTTATTATTACCCGCCGCATCTCCATCTCCCACCGGACGCCAAATCATCCACAACTCACAAACCATCCTCTCATGCGATCAGAGACGCTCCATCCCCAGAAATAATACCATCCCCGGCGAACTGACCTTGGGACCCGTGTCTTTGACGGTAGTCCTGAGTTCTCTTCCAAGTCACTCCTTTGTAACAACAGGTAAACATGCGGCATTGCAAACTCCGAGCAACCGGCGACAAGCGCACACCTCAAGAGGTTTGCCCGGTTGCTCATTTTCCACCTGTACTGGCAAAAGAGGCTAACTTTTGGAACGCACCCATCACAGCGCTGGACCGCCTGTCTATGTCTTACTCAATATTCGACTCACGAGTTACGACTTCCCACGGCCTGTTACTTGACGACCACACCCCGCCGATTCTGTATCATTACTAAGACCTCCTCTCCTTGAACTCCGATCGCGTCCGAATCGCAACCGCAACCATGTTTTGGCGATTTGGGGGCTACTCCAATATCTCCTCCATCGACACCCTGCTCGAAAAGCCCAATGTCAGGCTCGAAGATTTACTGGAAGAGTCCGACCTCATTCAGGAGCTCAAGTCGCACCATACCAAATTGATAGAATACCTGCGCGACGAATCGAATCTACGTGCTCTCCTAAACTACGTTATTACACCGGGCCCGGTGTCTGAATCCGATGAAAATGAGGAGGATGCGAAAGCCAAAGACCTCGCGACGGGTGGCGAGGATGACCCGCCGCCTTTCGACGAAGAACAAGAGAAGGCTGAGAAGAAACGCTTGAAATATGCCTTTGTCGCTTGTGAGATCCTGTCGTGCGAGACCTGGTCGATCACAGAGTCGCTGGTGGCCAACACTCCTGATCTCACGGGATTTTGGGATTTTCTGCGGAGACCCGCTCCATTGGACCCCCTACAGGCAGGCTATTTCACAAAGGTCAACGAGACGTTGCTGGAAAAGAAGACGGAGGAGATGTTGGATTTCTTCAAATCTCTGCCGGGAATTGTTCCTGCCATTCTGCAGCACGTCGACTGTCCCATGGTGATGGATCTCCTGCTGAAAATCATCAGCTTGGAAAAATCAGATGGCGGAATGGGCATCGTTGACTGGCTCCACGCACAAGATCTGATCCCAATGCTCCTTTCCAACCTGTCTCCAGAATGCAACTCGTCGACCCAGACCTCGGCCGGGGATTTTTTGAAAGCCATCATAACAATATCTGCGAATGCGGCTCAAAATGAGCAATCCTGCATCGGCCCCAACAGCCTGACGCGCCAACTGGTGTCGGAAAAGTGTATTCGACAGCTGATTTCGTACATGCTCAAAGGAGGGAATCCCCTGACTGTGGGCGTGGGAATTGTCATCGAAGTTATCCGGAAGAACAACTCCGACTATGATCCAGATCAAGGTCACAGCGCTGACGCCCCTCCAACTAATCACGACCCCATCTATCTCGGCACGCTCCTGAGATTGTTCGCCCAGCATGTTCCGGATTTCATGAACCTCATCCTCAGCTCCAAGCACACCGTCACCAAAGGTGAGGAAACGCGGATAGTGGAGCGAGGTCAACTCAAATCAGCATGGGGCACGCAGATCGAGCCTCTCGGCTTTGACCGATTCAAGACCTGTGAGTTGATGGCAGAACTCTTGCATTGCAGCAACATGGGTCTTTTGAACGAGAGGGGCAGTGAAGAGTTCATCAAGGCAAGGGATGCCGAAAGAGAGAGACTTCGGGCGCAGGGGGCGTTTCTGTCCAACCGACAATCAGAAGATTCAACAGTCGACATCTCGGCGAGTTCGTCGAGGTTTGAAAATGCGTTCACTCCGTCGGGGTCCACCTCGACCGAAGAGCTCCGCATCGCCAACCTGAACGATGAGGATGGGTTTGAGAAGGTCGCTGTTTCGGAGGCCCCGGATCTCGGTGTGGGCTCGAAACCGGATGCGGCTGAAAAGCCAACACTATTCTCGCAATCGCAGGAGCATCCGACCACGCCGACCGGTGCTTTGGATGAGACCGTGCGCCGACTCAGCCTCGAAGACACGGACATGACTGCACCCGACGAGCATGAACAGACGACAGCGCGAGAGCCTCAACAAGGAGACATTTCACCTCATCCTGAGGACAAACCGGCACCGCTGTTCTCCAAATCGACGGATCCTAATAAGACTCCCACAGCTAACAGCCCGGAACCGTCTACAAGTCCGTCAACCGTGAAAATTCGACTTGACGAAGGAGGCCAGCCAGACGGCGAATCCTTCCAATCGGCCCAAGATGACACCATGCACAACGTCCAGCCCGAGCACACCGCTGCAGAGTCGGCACCGGTCGTCGGGGATTACTTGAAGATCATGTTCGTGGAGAACCGGGTGGTTCCAACGATTTTGGTGAGGATACATTCCAGTCCTGCTGAAGGACGAAGCTAATATTGGACAGAGTTTCTTTTTCCGCTTTCCCTGGAATAACTTCCTCCACAACGTCGTGTATGATGTGGTGCAGCAAGTCTTCAACGGGCCAATGGACCGGGGCCACAACCGATTCTTAGCATTTGATCTTTTCGAAACCGGGCGGATTACTGACGCGATCATTGAAGGTCAGCGACGAAGTGATGAGGAACAACGGGCGAGGAATATGCGTCTGGGATACATGGGCCACCTGACGCTGGTAGCCGAAGAGGTCGTCAAGTTTGGCGAACGACACCCCAGAGAGTTGCTGTCACCTGTCGTGCAGGACTACATCTACTCTCAAGCTTGGGAGGAATACGTGACCAAGACACTTGCCGAGACTAGAGAACGCGACAATGCTATCTTGGGAGGCTTTCGACCGGACAACGGTCTCGGTCCCAGACAAGCTGTCCTGAATGCTGTCAATGCAGGTCAAGGCTTCGGTGTCTCGGGCGGGTTGGCTGGCGTAGGACTGGGCGGTGGCCAACATGCTCTGGACAGCATCGACTTGTCCAACAATGGCAGCGCCACTAGTGCTGGCTACAATTCAAGTGGATCCGTTTCCAGTGGGTTTGGAAGCTCGTCCGACGACGACGATGAAGATATGGATGATGCCGAGGACGATGAGCATGTGCGGACGGTGACCCAGCTATCTTCTACTGATAATGGTCTTTCGTCGGAGAACGTAAGTGGGACCAATGCAATCCGACGACTGTTTACTTTTTAGGCTAATGATGCTTTGCTGTTCACACAGTCCGACCAGCCAATCCCTTTGCTTCCACCTCCACCCGCACCACTCAACATCGAGCCATCACGTGCTCGTCGGCGGTTGGCTGATCGTTTAGCGAGACACAAGCAAGAGGCCGAGCAAGAAGTGGCTGCCTCCGAGTTCGGTTCCGAAGCAGACGACCCGTTCGCGGCGCTGGGAAACGGCGGCGATAACGACGGCGGCGACCAATTTTCGTTAGACGAGGAAGAGCAAGACATTACGACGTTTGGGAAGCGCAGCAATGTCAACTCGTTCAATCCCAGCACGAGTGATCACCACAGCTTTTCCGTCAGCCGAGGCCTGACCAGTCTGTTTTCTTCAGCGCCCAGTCGGGACATGCACGGACAAACATCGCATGACGACTTTGACGGGTCTCTCGATGATTCGTCGTCTGACGGGTCGGGTTCTGACATCGATTCGGGACATCCACCCCTGGAAGCGAGGACGAGTCTCGAGCGTCGGCCCCTGGAAGTTTTTGAAGACGAAGAGATGGGAGAGATGGTGACTCCCACGGAAGACGTCGAGAGCAATAGTTCTGACGAAGAAGTGCTGAGTCCGTTGGAAAAAGAAAAGCTGCCCAACGCGTATGGCATGAATGACGATCCCGACGAGCAGGCCTCGGAGTTCGCGGGACAAGCGGATCATGATGACGACGAGGAGGATCATTTGGTTGAGATTGCGATGCCAGCTAGCTCGAAGCGGAGATCTCGAGGGTGATGTTTTAGCGATGAGCGGTGGATTTCTTCAGTCACGAGGAATCGGGCGCGCGTTTGCGTGGCAGCAGGTCCAAAAGAGCTGTCATAATGCGCGTGGACAGGCCTGCACCAGCCAGCGGGCAACGAGCGGACGGACGTGAAGATACAGTGTACAATTACCGCATCTTTTGTGATACCCCCCCATACACATTCGGTCACGAGGTACAGCAGGGAAAGGTTTTGGGCACAGCGATTATGGGATGGCATACAGCAAGCAGATGAGACGCAATAGCAGCAGCAGCACGTTCCATGTCTTTCTTTGTCCGATGGAAGAAGAAAAAGACGAGCCAGGTTCGGGATGAGATGGATTGCACTCTGACCCATAAGCGGGGAGGGGATGTCTAATAGCATTTTGGAAACTAGCAAGACTTCTTTTCCCGGAAAGAAAAAAAAGAAGAGATGTGAGTGAGCGAGTGAGTGAGGCCAGGTCGACCAAGGAGGGTTACGCCGGTCAATCAGTCGATATGTGGAGAGGGGAGTGGACTGCAGCGAGTGAGTGAATGCACTCAGACTATCACCTTGAAAGCGAGAAAGCGGGAAAGAGAGAGAGAGAGACAGACAGGGAGGGAGGGAGCGAGAGAGGCCATGTCAACACTACTACGTCTGTGATTCCCCTCCCCCTGCGTGGGTGCCTCTTTTTTTTTGGTGGGCTGTGTGTGTGTACGATAGATAGATCAGTGGGCCTCTACGATGATGCGGACGGGATGGACGGGACGGACGGGGAACGGATGCAGATGATGCAGATGACGAAGAGGCGCGAGGCGTGAGTCATTCATGAGTCGAGTCGAGTGGGAAAGGAGACGAGATGAGAATCGGAATCAGATGAGATGAGAGAGCCTGAATTGTGAATTAGGGATGAATAAAAAAACAATGCAAAACAAGCAACAACACGCACATACATCACCCATACATAACACATAACATATTTTACTAACGCTATACACATATACATATCTATCCATACCTATACCTATACGGAGTACCCATACCTATTATACCTATACGTGTCAATCCACATTATGTCCCCCTGTCCATACAGATATACAGCATCTACAGCATCTACACCATATCATATACCGATGTAATTGTAAACGCAAATGTAAAATGCCTACCTATATTTCCTGGATGTCGAGCGAGCTCACTGCAGACTGTTGCTTGCTGGTCGTGTCACATATGTATGTACTGTCCCGGACAGTATTACATGCATGGTATCATGCCTGCTGGACCTTGGACACTTTCTTGATTTTATTTTGGGGGAGGGGGAAAAGGGAAGGGAGGAAGAAAATTGGCAACAGCTGTTGAGGGGTGGGAAATGAGAACTGGACTTTTTGATTCGATTTGAGCACGACCACTTACTTCCCTTTCCATCGTCCATCCATTCATACATACAAACATCGGTTCAACCAGGTAGTGTAAGTAAGTACGTCGAGTCAACTACCCAGGTTGGCCCGGTCTGTCGGTCGCTCAACAGACGTCTATTTTTTTGGGATGAGTGGGCGCATGCATATCCGTCTAAAAGGTATCTATCTATGAGAGCCCCCCAACAACCAACCCCACCCCCAGACCCAGGGGGGGGGGACCTGACCGAGACTCCATCAAATCAAGCAGCACCGAGTACCTTCTCCAGCGCGTCCAGCTGCTCCAGCACGGCGCGCCGACTGGTGCCGCCGGTGGCGTCCTTGAGCTCGACGGAGCGCTCGTAGTCGAAGACGGCCCGCACGTCGTCGCCGAACCGCCGGTCGACGGCCTGGAACTGCGCCACGCTGAGCTGGTCCAGCGGCTTGTTCGTGTCCTCAGCCAGCGCCACCATCTTGCCCGCCAGGTGGTGCGTTTCGCGGAAGGGGACGCCTGGAAGGGGGAAAGATTGGAGATGTTAGTTGGTCCCGAAAAAGACGAGAGATGAAGGGGCGGGAGAGGGGAGAGGGAGATATAAAGATAGATGGGAAATCAAGGCGGAATAAACACGGGTCAGAAATGCTTGCGTGCTTGCTTGCTTGCTTGCTTGCTTGCTTGCTTGCTTGCTTGCTTGCTTACCTTTCCGCACCAGATACTCGGCCAGATCCGTCGCCAGCATGTCCGGACTCAACGCCGCGCGCATCTTCTCCGGATACACGGTCGCCGTGGCCAGCGACCGCGCCGCGATCTGCAGGCTGTCCTGCACGGTCTTGACGGTGTCGAGCATGGGCTGCAGGCTCTCCTGCAGGTCCTTGTTGTAGGTGGAGGGCAGGCCCTTGACGCTCATCATCAGGCCGGCCATGGCGCCGAAGACGCGCCCGGCCTTGCCGCGCAGCAGCTCGAGCGAGTCGCTGTTCTTCTTCTGCGGCATCAGCGAGCTGCCCGTGGTGTAGGCGTCGGCCAGCTTCACGTAGCCGAACTCCAGCGACCCGTACACGATCAGGTCCTCGGCCCACCGCGACAGGTGCAGGCACACCGTCGCACAGCACTGCAGCGCCTCCACCACGAAGTCCCGGTCCCCCACCGCCGACATGCTGTTCATAATCACCCCGTCGAACCCGAGTTCCCTCGCCAGCTGCGCCCGGTCGATCCCGAACGCGTTGCCCGCCACGGCCCCCGCGCCGAGGGGGAGTTTGTTGATGTTCTTCTTGGTGAAGCGCAGCCGCTCCAGGTCGGACTGGAACGCCGTCGCGTAGCTGAGCAGCCACTGGCTCCAGCGGATGGGCTGTGCGCGTTGGAGATGGGTGTAGCTCGGCATGATGTAGTCGATGTCCTGCCGGGCGCGGAGGGCGATGACCTTTAGCAGATCCACTAGGTACTGCTCGATCAGGCCCAGCTGATCACGGAGCCACATGCGCATGTCGGTCGCGACTTGGTCGTTGCGGCTGCGGCCGGTGTGGAGCTTGCCGGCGATGTTGGTGCCAATGATCTCGCCCAGCCGGCGCTCGTTGGCCGTGTGGATGTCTTTTTTGTCAGCTGTTTTATTTCTAGAAGGGGTATTCTGGTAACAGCAAAGCGAGCATCTATCCCGGGGTATGGGGTTTCACCCTGGACAAAGAAAGTCTCACGGGACCGAGGTCGCAAATAGCAAGCATATACCGTTGGGGGATCCAGAAGTGTCGTGCAACACTCACCTTCGTCTCCGGGAGCCGGCTGGAACGTGCCCTGCTCCCACTCCTTGAGGACCTCGTTGAGGCCCTGTTCCAGTTTCACAAACTCCTCCTGGGTGAGGATGCCCGTCTTGACATTGGCCCGGGCGTAGGCGATCGAGCCCTTGATATCCTGGGCGTAGAAGACACGATCGACCGACAGACTCTCGTTGTACTGGTTCATCAGAGGGTCAATCTCGCCCGTGAACCGGCCGCCCCATAGCCGGACAGGGGCCGACGCCTTGTTGCCCTGGTCGGTCATCCTGCAAGACTCGGTTGCTGAGGTTGTTGTTGCTGTTATGGTGGTGGTAGTGGTGACAGTAGATAGACGGGCGTGTGCTATATCGACTCACATTTTCGGAGAAAAATGGAAAAACTTCGGAATAAAAAAATTCCTTGCTCGCTTATTAGTCCGTTTATTTGCTTCTGCGATAACAACATGCCTTGGCAGAGAATTGGGCCATGACGTCTGCCAAGACCTGGATAAGCTAACTACTTTCGGTTCATCCCGAATCCGGGGAAGGCAGGAAACTGGGGAAATACCAGGACGATTCAAAGAATAGCTGCATATATTATTTAGATAAAGGGAGGCCGCCTAGTATCTCATCTGTTCAAACCATGGAAGATTCCCCTCTTTGCTCTCGCCGGGGCAGTTCTCTCCCTCCCTCCCTCCCCAATCTTTTCCTGGTCACCGTCCTGCTCACACAAGTCTGATCTTCCGGGTCTTCGCCCCTACCAGCCAGTCGTTGCCGCACGAAAAATAGCCGATCCGTTCAAAATCTCCCGGCACTCGCGCCGACCCGGTCAGCACGAGGCCGGAGATGCAGCCCTGGGAATGGCCCCCCACGCTGAGACACCACACCGGCGCTTTGAACGGCTTGTAGCTCTCTCCTTCTCTCCCCCGCCGTACCATCCCTCGCAGCAACCCGGCGTCATCCTCGATCGGGTCCTGCACCAACAGAGAGTCTGGAGCAACGCCCACCGTCGTGGCGCCGCTCCTCGTCACCAAGTAATATTCGAATTTGTAGCGTTCCGGCGCCACTAATGTCGCTTCGACTACAGGTCCGCACACGTCGATGAAGCCGCCCGTGACGGCGCCGAGCGGATTGGCGCCGAAAACCGTGCACGAGGTTTGGGTGATCGTGATATAAGGGCTCAAGCGGACGTTTGGGTCCTCTCGGTCCACAAACGGCTGGATCTGAGTGTCGACCGAGGCCCACGAGAAACTCGGCGCACGATATTCGACCAGCCTGCGTGCGAGATGCGGCGACTCCAGATGCGGGGCGGAAGCCCAGAGTAAGTCCTCGACCAAATTGTCGTTCCAGAGCCCGGCAAGGTACGCCGACTCGGTGGCGATTTGAACCTTTTTGGCAATGCCTGAGATAGCCGGGAGCTTGTCGGACGGGACGGTCAGCTTGCGGAGGGTAAACTGCGCGAGCACGCGTTGCCAAGCTCGGAAGATCTTGCTGGGCCGTTCGGGACATGAAAGCAGTTTGGGCAATAGGCCCGGAGTCGTCGCTTTCCGGCGTGGAGAGGGGGTGCACTCGCACCGGAACGTGGAACGACACTCGAATGCGATCTCGGTCTCTGTATAGTGGAGAATCCGTGGGGAGAGCATGGTCTCCTGCAATGCCCAAGCTCGAGACCTCAAAGGTCCTTCCACTTGAAAGGGCAGGCCCTCCTCCGGCGCTTCGTGGTGGTGGGAACGTTTACGCACTTTGACCGTGTACGATTTTCCCGGTGTGGTCTGGTGTTGAAGGTGCAGCCGCTTCGGGCGGTCTGTTAGACAGCGGTGGCTGTTGTCCTCACACCAGTCGGCCGCAATTGTGACGTATGAAGCTTCATAGATGTCGCTCATTTTCGAGGATTCTCTTTCCCAATCCTCGTGATCATCTTGGACAATGCACAGGCCGTCGATCCACAGGTAGGGGACGTTCAGCCGGCGAGTGATGTTGATGGCGTCCTGGAACAGGGCTGGTAAGGTATCCCATTCGATAGTTTGTCGCATTCGTTGCACATTTGAGATTGTCGTCGTCACCGCCGAGCCGGCGCCCCAGCAGTAGCTGAGGGTAATATACCGGGCGATCTTTCCGTTGAGCTCCACAAGCTTTATGTGTCGGTCATCGCCCCGGACGTCTATGAGGCGCGTCGGGCGTATGGTCGGAGCGGGATTCCGGCAGGCGGTGTGGTTAGTGTTCGACAGGCAGTCTTTAATGCAATTACGCGCAAACTCGAACGACGCCTCAGACGCCGAGGATATGGGAATCCTGCTGGCGTGACCCAGTGCGGGCCATGGTGGGCGCTCATCTGCCACAGTATCACGACGTTAACGTCCTTGTCGATGGCCGCAAGGCTGAGGAACATCCACCGGAACAATCATTGAAGAGATATGCGGAGCACAGGAACGCAAAGACACACCTGATGGGGTATACAACTCGCACGCCGTAGTCTTGCCATTGGACTCTTGCACCGACAGTATGATAGGCGAGCCGTCCACAAGATCAAGACACACCGGGGCAGAGATTTGGGACCACTCGGGCCCAACAAATTCCCGCAGGCTTTGTTTCAACAGCTTGCAATAATCGCATTTGCTGGCGGATAGCAGATGAGGATTTATGCCGAGCGTCAGGCTGGCTTTGGGTGTGGTGGCACTGTCTGCATTGTACGAGATGGACGTGTGACCCTGTGGTCGGAGCTTGTTGCACAGCTTGCAGCCGGGATTAATGGCTGTGAGCCGCTTCTTGCGTTTCTTGGGTTTTGTTTTGAGGGTGCCTTTCTTTTTACACCAGATCATGTTGATCTTCCACTCCGGGGTCGAATTAACCTCTCGAGAGATCTTCTGTGTAGAGCCCGATTGGGGGTACGTTGGGGGGGGGGGAAACTCCACCCTCGGGCTTGGAGGGACTCAGGATCTAGCTCGCAGCCGGTGGATGTATAACAGACACTAAGGCCCCACGGAAGTATGAAAAGCTTCTTTCACCTCGCGAATCCTCTAGCTCGTGGTTGCTGTGTTAAGGCGCATTGAGAAGAAAGGAGAGAGAGACAGAGAGAGCGGTCAATGAAACAGGGGAGGTTAGGTGACACAGCGATGCACGTGATGAACAAACCGAGAGAGTCTTGTAAAGACAAAAAGGAAGGACGTCATTCTTGACATTTGTTTGTCACGCCAAAACTAGGAGCATCAGGATGTCACAAGAAGCCCTCTGGCAGCTCATGCAGTGAAAGGGCAGGATTGGCGGGCGTGCAGAGGTGAGGTAGTCGCCGTCTATTCCTGAGAACTCTGCCCAACCACTCCAAACTGTTCCCCTCAACAGATCTATATCGCCGTCTATCCTCTATCGCCATGTGCAGAGAGTAGTACATGGGGGGATTCTCTGGCCATCTACAGTTTCGAGACAGGCCCATCGAGCCTCTTGAGCAGCTTCTCGAGGTGAAAGAACGGTTCGAACTGTTCCAGCATCGCCAGCTCCTGCGGACTGACCCGCTGCTTTGCCCTCGCCTCTGCCCCGCCGTTCACCACCGCCTTGACTTGGATCTCCATCTTCTTCCCGTTGGCGTTGTACGGGATCTCCGTGACCTCGAAGATATGTGCCGGGACGTGTCTTCGGCTGAGGTCCTTGGCGATTTGATCGCGTATGCGGTTTTCCAGGTCCTTTTTGGGGAGGATGCGGTTCGACGATTCGCCTTCGTGGCATTTGATAAAGAGGAGAACCCGTTCAGTCGTATCTGAATACGGGGCGGCGTGGCGTTGTTGGCCAACGACCAATGAATCGACTATCGAAGACGTGAAACGATCTGACGACAGGATGTTGTAGATTTCTGAACTGCCGAAGCGGACGCCAGACGGGTTGAGGGTGCCATCACTGTACAGCATGTTACGACGTGCGTTCACGGAGTTGTGGAAAGCTGACTGACCTCCTTCCTAACACATAGGTTCCCTTCGTCGCTGGGTTAACCTTGATGAAATCACCATGCGTCCATACATCTTGAGTTTCGTCAGTCCGGTTAAGTGGCTTCAGCATCAAAAGAGACCAAGAGACCTACGAGGGAACATGTCGAAGTACGTGTTGTAGTAGCGCTTTTTTCCAGGATCATTCCAGAACATGATCGGCATATTCGGGAATGGCTTCCTGCAGACCAGCTCGCCGCTCTCCCCATCGGGCACTTCGACGCCGTCGGGGGAATAAGCAGCAACATCCATGGCCAATGCCTTTACCGCAATCTCGCCGGGATATGATGGGAGGGATGGCGTGCCATGTATGAAGGAGCCGCACAGTTCGGTGCCGCCGGAGAACTGGATCTGGCACACCGGTCCAAAGGCTTCACCCAGCCATGACGATAGACTGGGTGTCAGCACGGCGCCAGTAGAGAGGACTGAGCGAACTTTTTGAGCGTATTTTTCTGGTCCATGGTCAGCATCAGTCCAGCAGAGGAAGGCCGAAGACCACCAACTGGGTTTCACATCTCTCTTCTGTAGCTCGGCGAAATAACGTGGGCCAGCGCCAAACCCGGTGACTCTGCAAGTTCTTGTTAAACACGGTCACAAGGACACAAGGGCGGTGCTACGGACCCGGTTGCCAGAACCCCTTGGAGAAACTCCTCTGGAGACGGGTAAAACGGTGAGCCGTCGTACAAGACGAGAGTGGATTTGCAAAAGAGGGCACCGAGCGATATATTCCACAGTGTCCATCCGATCTGCCAGGCCGTGAGAATCTCATGAAAGAAGGGATAGAGATCGGGATGAAAGGGAAGAACTCACGCCACTGAAGTGAAAGTGTATATCCTGCGGTCCGAAATCGTTGTGGAGGCGATGCTCCTTGAAGCCGTTCAAGAGGATACCCTGCATTCCACATGAGCTGGTGCCTGCCATATTCGAAATCCGAGGCATACCCCGTGAGAATGTACGATGCCCTTGGGGATCCCTGTCGTTCCTGAAGAGAACATGATGACTATTGGCGTGTTGAACGGGACTTGCTCGAATTTCAGTGATGATTGAGGAGGGTTGCCGCTGATGAAAGTCTCCAGGCTCTGACTGCATCGAGACAAAACAATCAGTTTTCTCATGATGAAGCTGTGACATCCAGCTGGCCTTACCACTTGGTTTTAAAGCCCGCCGTGTCACCTATCACAACCAGCTTCACTGGGCTAGAGGCCTTGCTGGTCCAGCCGTCGACCTTTGAGGTGATATCGATTCGCTTGCCATTGTATGAATAGCTCGACTCGACGAATACTACACGAGGCTCAACCTGGCTGAGTCGGTCGTTGAGGGCCTCGAACAACATCAGCACAAGGTAAACAGGCTTCGTCGGATGGGAGCTTCACCTTATCCCCGATATCAGTGGCGAAGGAAGCAAATATGCCCCCTACAGCTGCCGTGGCAAGAAGCAGGGCCAACGCCCTCGCGCAGTTGCTTCCTATTACTAACGAAGCATTAGCCGCTGAAACACCTCACGTATAGCTGCGTTGATGAGGTTCGATCCCCACAGCATGCTTACAAGCAACAACATCTCCCCTGACAAGACCAGAGCGGCGTAGCGCGGTCGCATAGGTGTTCACCAAAGCCCGGAGTTCCCGCCACGTATATCGTCGAGGACTGTGCAGATTGTGCTCGTTGATGTCTACCACAGCAACCTGGTCATCGTCGCCGCCACACAGCATATTCTCTGCATAGTTGAGTCGAGCCTCCTCGAAGAATAGTGGGAACTGGTCGATGGGAATATTCTCGTCCACGGCCTAGACAATGACCATGAGCACACGGACCGGTACCCAACCAGCGAATCACAGCCCACCTTTTGAGGATGAACAGATGCTTTGATGTCGAGAAACCGCCATATTGCCATCCAGAAGTCATTGAGACGGTTGATGGAGAATCCATGCAAGTCCTCGTAGGTTTCTTCGATAATTGCCGACGTTAGCATGCACACACGGGTGGTGCAGACGGTATCCAATGCATTCTCCTCAGGGATCGATCTACTTACGCAGTTGCAGCCCGTAGCTCCTATTCACATAGGACGTGAAGTCGTCCAGGGCGGTCCGGTAGCCCGGAGGTGGCGTGTATACCGGTGCCACCGACATGTTTGATCTGGCTGTCAATATGGATGTTCTTGCATCACATTGAAACAAACAACAAAGAAGGATATGTTTCACGACAGCTTCAGAATCAAGAAGAGGCTGTGAGCTCGTCAGAAAGCATACGTTCCAGAAGCCACGTCGCTCTATCTTCGGCCTTCTCCTCTACGCGCCCCGACCGCTTTTCCCGATAAATTCTCCCGCATCAAGCGCTTCACACCGACAAAGCCTTGTTCCTATGCCGAGGCTCTCCCCCGCCCAACGGAAAATCACCTCCTTCTAGGCGAGCCGCAATGTTTTAAAGTCTTCCTTTTCTTGTCTCTCCGGGGCAGTAGGCAAGAAAAGCTATTTTGTTGATGAGTGGTGCCGGGGTATGGCTTCCACTGCCGGAGTAGAGACCAGAAAGACTAGGAGAATCAACCTGAGATGGGGCCCAAATCCGGGGCTTCGCGATGCTCGGCCTAATTCCCGTGACACATGAAGGCAGGAGAACTATATCAAACTCCACACCATCCGAGACCCAAGATCAAAGTGTGGCTTTTAGGAACCCAAAAACCCCACCTTCGAGATCTCTATCCTGTTCATATACTTTTGTGGAATTTCGATAGCAAGATATCATGTCAGAGTTCTTCTAGAGAAGCTTGCTCCTGTTTGTCCGATCTGGACGACGTCGATCGCCAACACATTCCATTATGTTTTCTGGGCCACAAGAACGAGGTGGTTAGTCACTGATCAAAGTGTGGCACCGGGACTATCTGCAGCCCTAAGCCAGGGGAAGCTCTGGCCATCTGCGCCACGCGGTGTTAGAGCTTACTTGTATTTCAGTGGCTACAGCCACGGCAGGCGTAGGGATAACCCCTATTCTATTTGTACGTAGATAGTCAATGCTTCTATCATTGTTTGTCCAACGCCTCGGCAGGTCTTCCACGAGACGATGCTTCTACGCTCCAACCAATTCGCAGTGATAGTTCAGATACCCTCTGTCTGATGCTCTCGATTGGAGCTGCCAACTCGCCCGTGTGTGATGATGAAGTGGCTGTCTAATTGCTTAAAAGGGAACTCCACCAAGGCCATCGGTCAACGGACCAGACAGTTATACAGATTGTACACCGTTGGAGGCTTTCTCTACACACGGTTTGGCAAATATCTTCAAATGTTCGAGTAAGCACCAGGAAACCTCCTATTAATTGGGGACCAACTACTACCCAGCATTCTGATGCCTCTGGGAAGAGCAATCTCCAGGTACGAAGTGGCGCTTTCTGAAACCAATCTAGTAGGTAGACAGAGCTCGCATTTTGGCCGGCCAGGGATGGATTGATATTTCTTCTCCCCGTCTTTCCAGAGACTCTCTTCGCTCTCAAAACCAAAAGTTTTCTGGATGCGGCGCGGTATTGGCAATAACAATATCTATGCGTCGGTAACTCCATCCTCGCTCCCAGCCTTGCGGGCCACACCACATCATCCCTTCGCTAGTGTTGAATATGATATACCGATCTATTCCGGAGGCGAGGGTCCACTTCCTCCTCCTCCTCCTTCTGGTCCATCTGCTCGCGAACGTCACAGCTTTGGAGATTACGTATCCCAAGATTGGAACTATCTATCCCACGAGAGGGCCCCTTGACGTGCAATGGCAGTCGACGTCCGAGTAAGCAAGCCTGTCGAACGAAATACATCTGTCTGTCCCTGGTCGTTGGCTAAACTCAGACACGCAGCTTTGATCCCACGGAGCTCGCTATCTACCTGGCGACGTATAGTGGGCAGAACCTGAAAAGCGAACAGCGGTGTATTGTCGCCGTCATCGATGATGGATCTACCGCCATCACGCTGAGTCAACCGCCACCACAGGGGTAAGGTTCCTCCTCCTCGCCTTTTCGCGGGAAGGAATTGCACAGACTGATATCAAGTCCTCGCGCCCTTAGAGACTCTTGGACTTGGATGTTCTACGACGACAGCCTCATCATCTCTCTCGGCAACAACTACGTCGCAGAGTCGGTGCATTTCCAGTTCCAAAGTGCTACCCCCACCCCCACCCCAGCCGCCTCTACCGGGACCTCTTCCGCAGGCCTGTCGCCGGGTGTCGCGGCGGCGATCGGCGTCGGTGGGACGCTTGTGGTGGTGGCGTTGGGTCTGGTCGTCGGATACTGCTGCTTCTACCGGCGACGGCAGCAGAGGAAGCGCGAGACCATCAGCGCCGTGCCCTACACGCCGGGCCACCGCTACTCCAAGCAAGAGCTCGACAGTAAGCCCGGCACGGCTCACGGCCCAGCATTCTCCAGTGCTCCAATCAATCCACCCTCGTATGCAGGGATGAAGGGAGCCGTGCAGCATGAGATGGAAGTCTACCCCGGCACCCCCTCCACGCCTGTGCCGTCAAATGACCTGGTCTCTCCGGGCGCCGAGCTCTCGGTCAAGGCACGCCACTCGCATCTCCCACCGCAACAGCATGCCGACCAGCCCATGTCGCCGTGGAACGAGCTGGCTCTATCACCCGTACGGCATGAAATGTACCACGATCCGCATCGCGTCTTGCCGCAAGAACTACCCGGCGATATGGGACATGTTCAGCCCAGGTGATGCTATTCGTGATCTTGCCGGATCTTGTGGGACGGTCGCCTTGTGACTGGGGCTTCGTGTTTTGCTGAGATGTGAGACCAAAGCACTCCTCAAGGCCCCTGGCCTCAGGCAGAAACGTGCTTCGGGACATCGAGGTACGCTCTTAAGCATTACCGATACGTCCTGAAGAGGGTAGGCCTCGATCGAGTGGACAGGGCCCGCCGGCCGGATGTGTGCTATATACGTGTGCAAACGACCGTTGCCGCAGTCCGGCTGCTGTGCTAGACGCAGGGGTATAGGACTTTTTCGCCCTCTTTCAGACTTCATCAACTACCTCAGCCCAGGCTATGCCGGTTGGAGATCGGCGACAATTGCTCCACGTCCACGAACAGGATCTGAGCCTCAACATCAGAGCCTGTCTGAATTTCAGAAGGCATCCGCCGTGCTGCCTCTCACTGCCACTTCCAGCCACTCTCGAATCGCTGCCTCGAAACCACCAACACGCACAGAGAAAGAAGTCCCATCGAGCGGCGGATGCTCTTCACTTTTCTGCCACGTCAGCTTCTGGGACTGGATGTCCCCCTGAGTTTTGGATGGGTATGGGGGGCCGGGCTGGCTCAGCTTGATCGAGAATGAGGCTTTCTGATACGTATATTCCGATACAATATATTTCTCCACACGCCCGACGGATAGAGATGATGTGATATGTATAACTATATCTCCAGGAACCGACTAAGTGAGAGCTATTTGCACAGAGGAGAATGAATTTTGCAAGCTTCAGGTTCTTGGGGGAGGGGGGAGGGGATGAGCGGAGGAAGGGAGAAAGGGGCCTGCAATGAAGAGGATTGTGCTGCGAGGGTGTGATTCCCAAATCGACACATCCTGTTTGTTCGTTCGAATGATAGACGAAGAAGAAGCCGTTTTGGGGTGATCTTTACCAAGCTATCACCCCCTGCATGCGCTGGTTTCGTTTGAACAGAACAGCATAACATCACGGATGGACCATTTCATTTGAACTTTGCACACACTATCTGATATCATATCGTCCGTTGGTGGTTGAGACACCTCCGGTGGCCACACCAGGGCGAACGAGGGATTATGTTTTTGTTTGGGACCTCCCCCCCACCCTCCGGGGATCATTTACGGATGGAGGGTCGTGCCAGACGAACAGCCACCACTCAGTCCTAGACGTCGAGAAGTCATCGACCATCTCTGTCTCTCCCTCTCTCTTCAACCACCTCTCCGTCTAGTTTCAGTGGACTTGTCTTAGGACTACACATTCCACAATCGCGAAGCGATATATCAGCCATCTTTCCACGCTACTATCTCCGCCTCCCCTTTGACCTGGAAAAACATTGCTTGGGGACTTGCATTTTGTTGAGGGTGTTTCTACTTACACAAGTGCACGAATTCGTGTTATTCTGCCCGGGGGAGCAATTGCCCCGACAATCGCAGAAAGCTTTGCCCTCGGCGGCGTCGTATTTGCAGACGTGGTTGGACCCGCACGAGACGCCGCCCGAGCAACAGAGCAGGGAGCCGTCGGGCAGCTCGCAGGCCCCCGTCGCGCCGCCGCAGAAGTTCGACGTCGGCGGGCCGATGCCGAAGTCAAAGCTGACTTGGGCTGCGGCGCTGGAGGTCAGAGCGGCGGCGGAGGCCACGAAGAGGAGGTTTGGGAGTTGTAATTTCATTGTTTTGTTCGACTGGGGTTTCGGGGCAGGCGCGTTTGTTTCTGGTGATACGAGATACGTACAGAATGAGGTGCGAAGAGAGAGAGAGAGAGAGAGTGTGTGTGTGTGTGTGTGTGTGACAGACAAGAATAAGATAGAGTGAAGGAAGGAGTACACGGTTCTGATAATGTTACATGTATATATATAGTCTTCATACTATGGGGGAGCTTGGTCGATTGATTCATTCCGTGGAATATTACCCTCATTCGGGATTCTTCACGAATCCAGGGATCCTGCATAGCAAATGATACGAGTAATCTATCGACTTTCCACGCGTGGCAGGAGTCTATACCACTAGGCTGGTCGCCGTTGTGTCATCCGTAGACGTTACATTTACCGGAACAAGTTAAGACAGTCCGGGAGGAATCAATAAATAGTGGGGACGGGGCATCAGTATCCATTGGGTGCGAATGGTGCAAAGACACAGAATTGCCTGGAGACTGGACTGTACTGCCTTGTTGGAATGCATGACAATGGGGCCTGTCGAGGACATGCGAGAAAGACCCCGTCAACCACCATCAGACCGGGCTGTCACAGCTGGACACATGACACATGAGCAAGATAGTCTGGGCTCCCGTTGTCCCAATCGGCAGGCAGGCCACTGTACCCGCGGGATCGGGGGTCAAGAAAAAACAGCATAATCTTCTCTTCTTTCCGGTCCGCACTTCTCATGCTACGCGGAAAGGTCAATTTGCCCGGGTCGAAAATAATGGCTCTGGCTCCGGCTCCGGCTCTGGCTCCGGCTCCGGCTCTGGCTCTGGCTCTGGCTCTGGCTTTCTCCGGTATGCCCCTCATCGAAGCAGGAAATTGATCAGCGTGGCAGGATACGGGCGGGCTCTGCAGAGTCTGCAGTGACGAGCATGAGCTTTTGTAGTTGCAAGTTACTTCCTCTCTCCCATCGTAGGAGCTGTCGTCTGTGGGTTGGATGAACATATGAGGAGGGTCGGTGGAGGTGCTGGCCGTGATACCGACTGACTGACTGACTAACTGACTGACTGGAGGACGGTAGGATTTAGGGCCTTTAGCATAAAATGGACAAATGTTGGGGCATTGTTGAACCTGAACCGTTGAATCTCCTATTTCCTTATCTTCCACAGTCTGTTCGTCAGTGTTCGGATTTCAACCTCCTCAAAGGCGGCGAGGGGACGTCACTCTCAAAATCGCACGTAGTGCCCAGCCGCCAGAGGAACCGCTCGTCGTTCAAGTTCAGGCCCAAGTTGACCTTGACCTTGCCGGCGGCGCTGAGGGCGACAGCAGGGTAAATCTGGCCGCGCACGTTCTGGAACCCGGCCTCCATCAATCGCTCGCCGTTCAAGGTCCAAAACACGGTCTTTTTCTTCACGTCGATCCCGCACCCGACCGTATCGCCGTACCCATACTTCCGCGCCGACCCGAGGTCCTTGATCTTGGGCGGGTCCGCCACGCACCAGATCTTGCCGTCGTCGCTGTGGTATCCCCAGCTCGACGTCCCCAGCTTCGACCACCCCGGGAACCACAGCTTGGTGGATCCTGTGGGCTTTTGCGTGATACCGATCACGAACATCGGATCGATGATCTTCTCCTCGCGATCCGCGATGGTCATTTCAAAGTAATAACGCTCGGCCGACGCCGGGATGGGGTGATCGGTGACCAGCGTCTGGTCCGTCGTGTAGCACAGATTTCCATTGATGGTATCCGTGGTGGGCTTGCCTCGTTCAAGCAGCTCGATCTCCAAACCACATGACGAACAGACCAGCACGTTGGAGAAGCTCCCCACAAACCTGGACGGTCGACTGCCCGCCCTGAGCTTGCAAGTCTTGATCACTTCGACCACGTCCAGCCGGTCGTACTGCTCGGCGAGCTGGAGCACGTTCCAGCCGTGTTCGTCCGTGGCGTAAGGGTTAGCTCCGTATTCGAGTAGTTTGGCCACGAGGCTGGGGGAATCGTTGATGGCCAGCGTGTGCAGCAGCTCGATCTCCGCGATGGCCGCTTGCTGGTCGTGGTCGATGAGGGCGGATATCGTCGTCTCCCGGGCCTCATCCGGCTTGGTCCAGATCTTGCCATAGCACAGCTGAAGTGGTGTCTTGCCCTCCGGATCCTTGCATCGACTGTCGGCCCCGCGTTTCAGCAGCGTCATCGTCGCCTCCGGACGGGCCCGCAGTGCCGCATAATGCAGGGCCGACCAGCCTCTATTGGACACCGTGGTGAGGGCAGCCTCATTGTCGACATGGGCAAGGATGAATTCAATTACGGTAGAAAGTCCTCGAGATGCGGCTCTCATGATCGGTGTTTTCCCAAAGGTATTTCGCCAGTTGAGATGTTCGATTCCCCTCTTCTCCAACATGGCTTTTCCAAGCAGGAGAGCGGACTCGGCGTCACCATGCTTGCAGGCCATTCCGAATGGTGTCGCTCCCATGGAATTTCGTTTGAGTGGATCTGCCCCTCGCTCAAGGAGGACCGTCACCACGTCCGTATGGCCAGCCAATGCGGCCACGAAGAGCGCTGTTTGTCCGTTTTCATTTACGTCTTCGATGTCGGCTCCGCGGTCGAGCAGCAATTTCACCGCGTCGCAATTTCCGGCCAGGGAGGCCTCGAGCAATGGTCTCTCCGACGCGCCATCCTCTGTGTCGACCCCGGCACCTTTCTCGATGAAATACTGCATGATGTCGACGCGACAGTTGACCCGACGGGCGAGGAGATGCATGACAGACTCCCCCCTGGTATTCCGGATGTGGATGTCCGCTCCGGCCTCAACCAAGGCCTGGCCAATCTCAAGCTCGGCTTCTCCCCAGGAGAAGTAATGCAGGGCATTGTTGCCAGTTTCATCCAGAGCATTGATATCGGCCCCGTGTGCAAGGAACATGTCGAGCTGCGCCTTGGTCACGGTCCGACACAGAAGGAGAAAGTGAAATGCAGTCCCCACAGGCTCTTCTTCAAAATGGTTGTAGGCATTGGGGTCAGCCCCAGCCTCCAACATGGCAAGCAAGAAAGCATCCTGAACCTTCTCTGTATCCATTTGGTAAGCTACCACCCAACCCGACGCACTCATTCCCTCCGGCGTCTTGAAGTTGATAAGTTCCGAGGCATTGGGTCGGGCCAGGAGGATGTGAGCCAGGCTGGTCAAGCCACAACACGCGGCAAAAAAGAGAGGCTGTATTTCTTGGTCGTCAACAAAGACATCCATCGAATCAACGGAGAGGCCGGCCGCACACAATGTTCTGATCCATCCTTTCCACGCCTCGGATTCCGGATTAAGAAATCGGTCGAGAAGGTCGCGTAACTTGTTCCATTGCTCTCCAGACCTTTCATTGGCCGGATAGATGTCTTCGAGTTGTGTCAAATGCCACCTCAGTCTCGATATTTCGTACCGGGCCGTGAACGCGTCTGAATCCCACTGCAGATCCCAAAGCCTCGCTCGATCCTGGTCCGTCAAATCTACGTTCTCATCGCTGTCTACAACAGAGTGATCGTCTGTTGCTTCGTTTGTCGGCTCAGCATTGTCGTTGTTTTGAGTTTCTTCTCCATTCGGTGGGCCATCGCCATTCGGTAGGCTCCCGTTCTCTTGTACATGATTTGAATCACCATTGGGCAGGGTAGACTTTGAATCCAGGTCACCGGAGACACCATTAATTGACGGGTCGCCATTGGTTTCTGATGGTTCCTTTTTTGCTGCTTCCTCGTGGTGGTCTTCAGATGTTTGGTGGTCATTGTTGAGGTCCTCCATTCGATCATCGGGGCCGTGATCATGCACCTTGATGCCATTGCTCTGGATATGCTCGTCCTGGGCTTCCGTAAATATTGTCTCTGCCGGCGTTGCCTCCGCCGGTGGTGCATCATTCTCATTTTGGACGACTTCAGTTCGGTCCACACCTTCCACTTTTGTTTCCTCATCTTCCTTACCATTCGCTTTGTCTCGAGGTTTAGCGTAGTACTTGCGTTGGAATGACGGAGATAGCAGATGCTGAAGGATCGTGGTGATTATCTGCATGTGTCCTTCCCGTTCGGAAACGACAAACTTTTTACTATTTTTCAACTCCTTCTGGCATCTGGCACATTCACATTCGGGCTCAGCCGCCGATTTCGCACTACCATTGACCACGCTGTTTGATTCCAGGAAAAAGTCTCGCACGGTATTGTGGACAAGGCTTACGGCATGGTCAGTGTTGACGCGAAGGAAGCCGCTTCCCGCTTGTCTGATTTGGTCTTCATACAGTTCCAAGTGCACGTTCTCTTGGTCATCGTCAAGCAGAGGGTTGGATTCCTCATCCGTAAAACTGCCCTTGTACCCATCAATGAGTTCCTGGACACGCAATTCCTCTCCCGCAAGAATCGTCCAGGTAAGACAGTGGGTGAGCAGATCGTAATAGGCCGGGTTAGTCTGATTGAGCCGCTGAGCATAGATATTTTCAACACCGGACGGCAAGGACTCGAGATGCGATGATAAAGGCCTCCGCCACGGCCGACGCATGAAATCCATAGCCAACTCGACGTAACGAAAATAACAGCCTGCTTTCTGGGTAATTTCTCGACAAGCTTCGTCACGCTCTGCCGGGGTGAATCCGGGCAATTTGTCCATCTCAGCTTGGACGTGTCTGGCGATATCTCCTGAGTTATTCTCCTCCACGCTGATTCTCGGACAATTTTCCAGAACGGCGGCAATGTCGGGTTCATCTCTGCTGCTACAGTAGACGTTTACCTTCAGGCCCGGGGTGCTGGCTAGTTTCTTGATCGTTTGAATGAATTCTTGTGTTTCTCCGTCCGCACACTCGTCCAAAGCGTCTATCACGAGGTAGATTCGCTTGTTGATGATCTTGGCGAGAGCGGTGTAGCTCTGTTCAAATACAGCTGGACCATCTCCTGATTTCTTGCTTGTGGTTTTAGTGGTGCTCTTTTTTTGGCGTTCGATATTTTCAATATATTCTGCCATGATCTTGTTGCACTTGTCCAAGACGTCCAATGATTGAGCTGCGTCTTTATAGAGCTGGGCGAGAAGATGACGCTCGATCTGATCAGCCTGCATGGTTGCCTGGGAGCCCTTGGATATGAAGAAATAGTGCACGAGAGAGTCGTGTCGGTGGGCGTTGTTCTTGAGGTCTCTGATGACCACAGACATGAGGAAGGACTTTCCAGACCCTCCTGTGCCGACCAGCCACGTCACATTACCACCTTCGGCGTTCACATAATCTTGAAACTTGTTGTTTTCCAGAATCCAGCCACAAGTTCCTGGCTTGCAAGCCGTCAGTTTAGAATCCAGCACTTGCTGATTGTCGTCGAGGGACGGTAGTTCCTTCTTTTGCCTTTCCCAATTTTCATGCGTGATCTCTGCCGCTGTCATCCGTTGGTCTTTCCTGTGAAGCTCATCCCTCTTCATCAATTCCTCCATCAACTGGTTCTGCTTGGCGGCCTCCTCTTGCAACGCCTGTAGCATTTCCATTTGATCCGACAAGCCCCTCATCATCGTCTGGTCATTGTCCAAGCCTTTCTTTTGGTAGTATTGTGAGACTTGCTGGTTTGCTTGGGAGGCATATTTGTTCATCTGAGCTTCATTGTCTTTGATGGCTTTGATCTTTGGCTGGAACTTTCCCTGGGCACTACGGAACAGGCCCTTGATGACACGGACACCAGCACCGGACCGGGCATATTTCCACATTTGATATGAGAACTCGATGATGTTCACGTAGGTTTCTTTGATGTAGCTCAGCACCTTCTCATGAAGATCGGTGAATTCTGGAGGATGGTCCTGACTCGCATACAAGCCGCCATACACTCTGCAAGAGATGAGAATCCCCAAGATGTCTGCACATGCCCCTGAGAAGAGGCTGAAGGTGGCAAAGTCATCTTGCACGGAATGGAGGCAGAGTCTGATACCAGTCCAGGCGAGGCCAATACTTTCCGGAGCTGACTTGATGGCAAGATCTCCCACTTTCATAAACTGGTCGACCTTGTCGAGGATAGCACCAAGTTTCCCATTGTACTCGGAATTGGCCTCCTTCTGGGCCTGCACGACCGAACTCCGAGCCGATTCGGGAGTCGTATAGTCTTTGAGGAAGGGCTGGAAGTTGGCGGGATCATGATTTCCAGAAAATACTGCTCGAGCAGCATTCCACGCCTCCCTTTCGAATGTCTCGTCCTTCTTTTTGTCGTAATTGCTCATAGCGGATCGGCAAATACTTGCTCAACTCGACAGGGTGGAAGATCTTGCCAACAGGTCATAAGGCTAAGTTCATAACAGGACTGCTATTTTTATGGGTCAAGTTCCAAAACGATCCATGAAGGAAAACGGTGCGATATATACTCACGCGACATCAAGACAAGACCAATGTAATGACTCCAAAAAAACTGAAGGCTTTTTAAGGACAAGGACGGCTGAATAAGAGACCAGCGAGCGGAGCACCTTTCAAGTCCCAGGAGAACATATCCAACCCCCTGATAGTCTCAGAAATTGGCTATCTTGCGGTTCTCGTGTCTATGCGGAGTCGTGGCCTGGACCATGCTCGTTAGGCCGACCACGCATGGGTGATGAATCGGTCCAGTGGTGGGTGGTGGTGGAGGCATACAGCGTAAAGCGCGAGCCAGCCAAGGCGCTTTGGCTCCAGTAGGCGTCCAGCCTTGGAAGGTGTTTGCTCGCATCCATTCGCGGAAAGTGATGGTCCGCATCTATTGTCCCAAGGGCTGTTTCAGCCGCCTGAAGAGAACCTGGTGATTCGCAGCGCACTTTGGGTGGAGACTCTGCCAGTCGAACTAGAGGGACACGGCCTGGGTCGAGCCGAGTCCTCAACCTGCGTGCTTCATGACGACGAGATAATATCGGCTCGCTTGATGTGGATCCTCTCCAGCTGAAAGTTGTAGCCGTCAACGGTCTCGTATCGAACTAGCCTGGTTTTGCAGATGTTGTGCAGCTTTCTGTCACATGGGCCAGACTGGCCCAGCTATGAGCTATTGGGGTGCAGCCATGAAAAGCCTTTGACCTGAGAAATTGAACAACAAGGGTGTCCATGGTCAGAACTTTGCAACAAATCGACAAACAAATGTCTCAGCGTCCCAAATCAAATCAATGGCAGTATACGAGAAAGAAAGGGTATAAAATTGGCAGCCGAACGTGCCGGCTGAGTTTGAAGGCTGTTAACTGGGGCCATTGACGTTGGCATGAAACGGGGAATTTTCGATTGATACGTACGTATATAATGCGCGTGAGGGGCCAAAACCTGACACGACGAAGGATTCGTTGCTGGATGTGGATTTTCTTACAACCACATAATATAGTAGCAACGGAGGGTGGCCGGCTATGACGACGACACATACTACTCGGTATAGTGATCGATATCGGTGGGGTTTAGAAGTCAGTGCCTTGAGATAGCTATCCTGCATTTCACACACATTTTTGCTATCACATAACCATAGGATTGCCGTTTCCCCCTCCTTTCTATGTCTATATCGTTGATCTGTACACTGATCCCATGATAGAAAACGCCATCGCTGTGCCCAAAATCAAAGCCACTGCTAAGTCTCCCACTCAAATGTCCCCCCTCTTCCATCATACGCATGGCCGAAATTGCAGAACCAAATCCCGTACATAAATCCCAATTGTAGGGACGTCAGCCTTCCAACTCGGCCATCTGCTCCTCGTTCCTCAAGTCGTTCGACGTGATTCCTCTTCGTTTTCTCCATTCCCACACTCCTCGGTCCACCTCTTCCCTATCAACTCCATCTGGGACCAGATAAAAGGTAACCCCCAATTCTGTCTCCACATTGCGGTTCCTACCTTCATCGTCGAAAAAGAGCATCTCGTCGAACGGTATCGTCCGTCCTCCCTGGCCGCCATGGCCAGATCCACCGACTGCAGACGATGGCGGTGGTGATTTCTTGAGTTGCGTTTGCAGACGTCGAAAGTGTGTTGTCTTAGACCCCGGGTATATTTGTGGATGGATGAATAGATCAATAGCCCTCAACGGTTTTGTTTCTTGGTCCTCTTTAGATTCACCTTGCGTTGAGGCAGGGACATGTAGGCCCTTCAGCATATCCCGTGCCAAATCTGGCGCGTGGGTTCTGCTCGCCAAACTCATAACGATGCCTTTCTCGCGTGCGGCAGCCAGTATTTGAGGAACCTCGGAGTAAAATCCATAAGGTTCTCCCCACCGATCAAGCATGCGAGTATTGAACGCCCCTGGTGTTGAGTTCTGCGGTTTCACGGGGGCAGAGACGTGCGTGTCAACCCAAAAGGGCCAGAGTGTATAGTCTAGATCGAAGACTATGACCGTAGGGAGGGGGAGGGAGTCGGTGAATGTCGCGGGGATGGAGGAAGAGGTGGATTGAGGACGCTGGGACGCGCGTGGTTTCGGCATCTTGACCACTGGTGCGGGAGGTGACGAGAAGATTGCAGGGAAAAGAATGAACAGGAGCCCGAGGGAAATAAGGACAAGGAGAAGTTGGAAGTTGGAAGAGGGAGGGATGGCCAGTTTCATGGACAGGCGAGCTCAATACCTCTCTGTCTCGTTCGTATTGATACTCTCAAGTGGCAACCGCACTGCGGTTGGGCTTCGACAAAATGTCTTATCGATAACGAATTTTCGCTCCGTTCCGGAAGACCCATTGACCCATTGACCCAATCCTCCTCATCACCCACAACTGTGACTGCAACTCCCTTCTCTTCTCTTCTTCTGAAGAGCTTCTCCTCTGGTTGATCAAAGGGGATGATGGCCAGCTTCCTCTTACATCGGCCATGCTGACCAACCAATGCTTGCGCCTCCCGTTTCGTGCAAGAATTACTTCTTGTCAACGCTGCCACTGCTCAATCACTTTTGCTGTCCCAAGGACTTTCAGTAGCGATGCAGCTGCAGGGCACGATGGAAATGGCCCAGCTCCGACCGTGGCCATCATTGGCTCCGGGCCAGCAGGCTTCTACACAGCCCAAAAGCTGCTGCGGGAAATTCGAGGGACAAGGATCGACATGTACGAGCAGCTTCCGGTCCCTTTCGGCCTTGTCAGGTTCGGGGTTGCTCCAGATCATCCAGAGGTAAAGGTCATACTGTCCCCCCTTCCCCGCGCGCAATGGTAGACTGACACGCCCTCCAGAATGTCCAAGACACCTTCCAAGCTATCGCCGCGTCCCCGGAATTCACGTTCATCGGGAACGTCAACCTGGGCCACGACCTCCCCCTCCCGCTTCTCGCTAGACACTATGATGCCATAGTCTTCGCATACGGTGCCTCGAAAGACCGCAAAATTGGCCTCGAGGGAGAAGACAAACCTCATATCTACTCCGCCCGCGCTTTCGTGGGTTGGTATAATGGCCTCCCCGAATATCGCAATCTCAACCCCGACTTGACAGCCGGAGACACCGCGGTGGTCGTGGGGCAGGGAAACGTGGCGTTGGATGTTGCCAGGACGCTGCTGAGCAGGGTCGATGTGCTGAGCAGAACCGACATCACCGAATACGCATTAGATGCGCTTGCCCAGAGCAAGATCAAGCATGTTCACGTCGTGGGTCGACGGGGTCCCATGCAGGCGGCATTCACCATCAAGGAAGTGCGAGAGCTTCTACACCTCGAAGACGTCAATTTCCGCCCCATCCCCAATCATCTGTTCCCGCCGGACCTGTCAAAACTGCCCCGCCCGAAACGACGACTCATGGAACTTCTGAAAAAGGGGAGTCCGCTGAAGGACAGCGCCCCCAAATCGTGGTCCCTGGATTTTCTGCTCGCACCGACCTCGCTGAAATGGTCCGATGCAGACCCTGATAGACTGGATGGAGTGGTGTTCTCGAAGACGAAGCTCGAGAATCCCGCCGATCCAGAGTCGAAAGTCAGTGCGACGGATGAGACGCAGCTGATCCCCACGTCGACGCTGTTTCGGTCGATCGGATATAAGGCCGAAGCGATTCCCGGTATGGCAGAGCTGGGCGTTGACTTCGACGAGCGGAAAGGAACGATCCGTCACGACGGAATGGGGCGAGTTGTGCCCATGGGCGATTCCTCCGGGCACGAGGCTTCGAGCATTTACTGCTCGGGTTGGGTGAAGCGCGGGCCGACCGGCGTGATCGCCAGCACCATGACCGACGCGTTCCAGACCGCGGAATCCATCGTCGCGGACTGGAAGAACAAGGCTCAAAGGCTGACGGAAGCATCGGCGCAGGGTCGTCGAGATGGGTGGAAGGGCGTCCAGGCCGACGCCGCCATGTCCGGCCTGCCACTGAGACCGGTCCACTGGGATAACTGGCAGCGGATCGACCAGGTGGAGAAGCAGCTGGGCAAACAAAAGGGAAAGCCGCGCGAGAAGTTCGGCAGTGTTCAGGAGATGTTGGGCGTGAGCGGTGACTGAACTGATCACTATACGAGGTACATGCTGAAGTGACCCCAAAACGAACACCAACATTCAAACGCGTCACTCGGTCAATCTGCGTCTCTCTCTGTATTCGTTTGCACGTGTCCCTCATACCCCAATTCTCCTCTCCTCTCTATAGAGAGTCGTGAGGGATGTTCCATCTCCACTGTACGTATGCAGACGTGTATATTATTGTATTCTCCAAAAGAAATAAAATTACACATTCACCAATGGTTCGTCCGACGTCCCCATCGCTTCAGCACGACGAACTTCCTTCCTTTCCTACTTCCTCCCTTCTTCCTCAGTTAGTTAAGTTCATTACATTAGTTCGTCAGTTCAGTGACTCCTACAAGAGCCTTGGGAGTACATCGCATGGGGCCAACTCGACTCGATTCAGCTCGACTCTTGTCATGCATTTTCTCCTTCTTCTTCTTCCTCAAGACTACCTTTGCCTAGGTAGGTAGGTAGGTAGGTACTTTAGCTAGACTTCGTTTCTTCAGTTGATTATTCAGTGGCAGAGGCAGAGGCGGAGGCAGAGGCAGAGAAGAGAAGAGAAGAGAACAGAAACTGTGCTTCGGGCTTTGTTTGGTAGAATGTACAAGGAGGAAAGCCAGCAGGGAACGAATAACAGCCCATTCGGGACCAAAATCATAGCCTTGTTGTTTCTGTATAAACAGATACATATAGAGAAACTACATGTTTCCCCAAACCATCTGATGTCTTGTTTTCCTGCCGTCGGCTTCACAGCTCGAGGGAGTGCCATCCAGCCTCCGCTCGTTCCGCGTCCAATATGCCCTGCACATCCATCTGTTTCGTCACATCGTCATTCAGGTACTTCAGCCCATCCATGGCCTTGCCGTTGCACGCTTGTCCCAATGTCAAAAATGCAAAATGTCCTCCAACAACAGGTCTCGCAAAAAAGTTCGGACCGGGAAACTCTCCTCTCCCTTCCGTCATGTGTAGGTCGGTAAATGGTCGGTCGGTGACTGTCTCGTTCACCCACTTAGCCACAGATTGCAGTATATTGGCTCGGACTTTTGGCGCCGCCACCGCCATCGCAAAGAATTCCCAATCCGTCTTGGTGTATAGATGTCGCGAGTCGAGAGGCAGTCCATATTTCTGACGAACGGCGTAGTACCAGTCGCTCTGCATCTGGTATATGTGTTTCGGCACGAATCCGTCCTTGTCTCCCCTAATGGAGTCCTTGAGGGGTTTCTGGTACTCATACCGTCCAGCGATGGAGGTTGTTTCCGAGGAGTTGGCTGAGCCCAAGTGGAAGCACAGGAGACTGTCCGCATACAGATTGTACGTGGTTGTCCAGGAACCATACCAATTGTACGCAACCTTGGCATGGGTCTTGTCTCGAGAAATCCCATATTCTTCCCACTTTTCAATGTACACTTTGGAGATGTTGTTGAACACTTTCGCATCTGCATAGTTCTCCGTGAGTTCTGCAAGCCCGGCCATGGCTTTAATGCCAATGATACCTTTAAGAGCCAGGTTGGTCTGCAGAGCCAGCCAGCCGGCAAAGTCGTCGGTCGAGAGCTGATTGTGGGGTAGCAGAGAAAACTCGACCAGGTAACTTGTCCATTGTTTCCATAATCGATAGCTTCTGCGAACCCACTTCTCGGCTCTCTTCAGGCTTTCCGGTTGCCCAACCCAAGCATCGTCAATGTAGAGAATGCCATCCTCCTTGCCCACAGACAACGGAGCCAGGCTGTCCGACGAAGGCATCGGTGTGGGAACTCCGCCCATCGGCTGCCATGTGGATGATGCAGTCCAGCCCGCATCATTTTTCAGAGCATTCGCCAATGCCAATCCCATGATCAGGATATTTCCACACTCTTCGACCGGCATGTACTCGTCTTGCCCTAACGGGTGCCCGGTAGCATTTGGGAAATGAAATCCAAGGTCATGCATGGCATATTTGTTTGGATATTGGCCGCTCAGCATGTGCTCAATAAGTGGCTCGAGCAGATATCCAAGCCAGCGCGCATTTGTGTACAAGAAGAACGGAAACGCAGGGAATATAACGTCAATCGTCTGGAAGTTTCCGTTTGACGAAATTTCCTTCAGGAAGAGAATCGGATCGTCTGGGGTACCCGAAAAGCTCGTCGCTCCCAGCACCTGACGAGCAGAGAGTGCAACGATGTCGACGTAGTCTTCCGCACCAGACTTGAAGGCATCCACAGCCAATTTCGCCGAATAGTTTGCCGCCAATTCGCTAGCATGATTGAAATCGAGGTAGTGGAAGGTGAGAACCTCTTGGACAGTCGGGAAATATGATTCCCACAGAGGGCGCATGTAGGTAAGCCCCCTCGCCGCGGCAAACTGAACAACGGGGTCCTGAATGTGAGCGATCGTAAACGTGATACTCTGGTCCGTGGATCGTGTACCGTTCAGGTCAAAAGACTTGGAGAATGCGAAGACAGGTTCTTCATCCATAATCGACCGGAATTTGTGATCGATCCGGTCTCCTAATGTCCCATTCCGGGCAAATTGCTGCCTCAACCGAGCCGACACACCGGCTTCATGATGCACGTCTGAGGGCGCGGAGAAGTAGAGGGTACCCCATTCAGCTCGATCTTGAAATTCGGTGAACAGCTGTTGCACTGCCCGCTGGACCTTCCACGTCTTGAAACCGCGGGATATACCCTCCAGAGCTGTATGATCAAGTCCCCAGACGATCTTGCTTCCCCGGTCACCGCTGACCCATTGGCCATTGACGTCGATGTAGATATCAACAGGCACATTACCGGAGACGTAGACAGTGACATAGCTCGCGGGGATGGACTGTCTGACAGTCGAAGTGGGAGTTATAGGGGACAAGAAAGAGACCGTAATGTCAATGTAGCTGGACTGCGGGTAGAGTGAAGACAGCGGCAGAGAGTAGGACAGATTCGTGGTGGAGGCATCATAGACAGCTCCGTGGTAGATCGGCGAGGACACGGTATAGCTACACAGAGGTCAGTTGTCCACTCCAAGACGAATGGCACAGATATTTACTTGTCACCCTCCTTCCGCAGCGAGTCCTGAGGTCTTCCGAGCAATGGGTATGCCGCCCTCGTCTCCGGGACACTGGCGAGAATGGAGAAGCCAATCTCTTGGCCGGTCCAAAACATGGGCCATTTTTCCCACGGCACGTCTCGTGCGTTAGCTAGCCAAGTGCTGAGGTACGGGTTTCGCACGATCAGAGGAAGGACAGGAGGCGTGAGGCGTGAGCATTCCGCCTGGAGGGGGAGCGCAGCGGCCAGGACCGCCAGTGCGGAAACCAGCCGCATGACGGGCGGGGAAAGGACTTTGTTAAGAGCTCGACTCGAGGACAGAAGACATGAGAGTGTGAAGAAAAGTGAGAGGAACACAATCCAAAAACACGAGGGGGAGAGCAAAATCCGGGGAACGGAGAAAGTAAGAAGTGTGTGGGAAGGGAGAAGAAGCTGCGATGGTCAGCCGATCAACTGCGCACCGAGCTTGCAACCTGCGACACCAACCACCAGCTTTGCTTCTCCAATCACGCAATGACGGCATCTGAGCAGGATGGGCCATGACTGTCAGCAATGCACTGCTTGATGCGCTTGTGACCATCCTCGGAGCCTCCATCGCTCATTGTCGCCGCCGACTCCCCTCCACCTCGCACTATGCCTGTTCCTGTCATCCCTCCATGTTTCGTCCGCCGGCAAGGCGGCACACATGTGGAAGTTGGCGTAAAAGAGATGAGGGCACCAGAGAGGACATCAGTGGGGATCTACTCGGTACTGGCAGCACCGTCTGCTTTGGCGAGAAACCGTGGGTACCCCCTCACCAATAGCAAGTGCGATCCTTCGCTTGGGAGAGACGGCAATGGATTGGGAAAAGACTCGAACGAAAGCCGGATATGCCAGAGTTTGTCACGGCCTCGCCCCTATTGGCCGGAAACCTCAGCAAAATGCATAGATGCGATGCTTTGGGATTTTGCCTCGTCCCAGTCGCTGTCGACGGCCTATCTATGGACCTCTATATAATGGCCTGGTGTGACTGCCACCATTCCTCCTTCTCAACTGGATGTTTAGCCATATGAAATCTTGCGAGGTATCGTAGTCCACCCTACGATGGACATCCATAACAAAGAGGCTGTACTGGCTCCCGAGGTGTCTCCTTCCCTGACGCCTCCAGATCTCGAGCAACAACCCAAGAGCGAACCACCGTCCAGTGTACACACATCAGCCTTCAAAAGTCTCGGCATCCTTGATCAATTCCTCGCACTATGGATCTTCCTGGCAATGCTCGTGGGTATTTTGTTGGGCAACTTCGTCCCTAGCACGGGCCCCGCCCTCCAGAAAGGCCAGTTTGTCGGCGTGTCGATTCCAATAGGTATGTTGGAATCACCTCGGACAGCCTAGAAACCACCGAATGCTAACCGTGTAGGTAGCCATCGGATTGTTGGTCATGATGTATCCTATTCTGTGCAAGGTCAGATTCGAGACTTTGCATCACTCTTTTCGCAAAAGGACCCTCTGGGTTCAGATCCTTTTCAGCGTCGTTGTAAACTGGATAGTAGCACCTCTCTTCATGGTAAGACTCGCGGTATTGTGGAGTGTAGCCTCAGTACTGATAGGATGTAGCTGGGCCTGGCTTGGGCTTTCTTGCCTGATGAGCCTGGCCTCCGCGACGGACTCATTCTCGTCGGGATTGCCAGGTGCATTGCGATGGTTTTGATCTGGACTGGACTGGCTGGTGGCGACAATGAGTACTGTGCTATCCTGGTCGCTATAAACTCTCTCTTACAGATGGTCCTGTTTGCCCCTCTGGCTCTTCTTTTCATCAACGTTATCAGTCACTCTTACAATGGTGTCGACGTCGACTATGCTCCGGTTGCGAAGAGCGTCGGCGTTTTCCTCGGTATTCCCCTCGCCACTGCCATTGTCACCCGATTCAGCCTTCGAAACCTCGTGGGCAAAGATTGGTATGAAAAGCAATTCCTGAAATGGATTGGGCCTCTGTCGTTGATCGGCCTCCTTTTCACAATCATCGTCCTGTTCGGTTCCCAAGGTCGCCGCGTGGTCCATCAGATCGTATCCGTTGTGAGGGTTGCCGCTCCTCTCATCGTGTACTTTGCAATCATCTTCCTGTCAACCCTCCTGATCACCAGGAGACTCGGTTTCGGATACCGACTTGCCTGCACCCAGAGCTTTACGGCGGCGAGCAACAATTTTGAGTTGGCAATTGCCGTTGCCATTGCTACATATGGCGTCGACAGTGACCAAGCTCTTGCGGCAACTGTCGGACCTCTTATCGAGGTGCCCGTTCTTCTCGGACTCGTCTACGTGGTCAGGTGGTTTGGCAGGCGCAAAGATTGGGCGGCATAAAACCGAGAACACCTGATATCACTCACATCTCGGCCTTGCGTCCATCTCTTGCAATATCTGAAGCAAAATCTGGGTGTTGACCCGGCAGCCCACTTCCCCAGATCTGGGAAGGCTGAAAGCCGTGGCCAGCCGCGCCGTAATCTCTTCCATTTCAATCGAAGTCGGCTCGTACCGATCAATCATCGCTTTGGCGATCAAGCACTGCACTGTGTCTGCGCTGTCCGGCAGAAGCGGCCCGACTGGCGGGATTCCGAAGGTCTCGCAACAGAAAGTCTCGGGGGAGAACGAAGGGAGCTTTTGGCCGTCGGGACAAGGCATCCATTCATACGAACTCAGTGAGGACATCGAGGTCACTTCGGGTAGAGTCGTCGCAGGCGCACCGCAAGTAGCCACCAAAGGTAGACAATCTTGGCCACTGTAGGCTTGTAGGGGCTCGGGCGGCAAGACGGGTGTCGGAGCACAAAGTGACGCCGGGGTTGGGAACGCGGGACAGGTTGGTTCCGGGATTGAGTCCTGTTTGGCCATGCCGAGTTGATACAAATCGCCGGCGCGCACTGCGCTGGGTTGGTGATATCTGGGCTTGATTTGGCGAGGTGCAAGCGCTGCAGGATTGCTGGGCAGCGCTTGGATGCCGTGGCGGCCGAAATTCTCGACGACATCAGGGCTGATACCAACATAATGCAAGAGATCTCGCAGACGAGCATTCTCTATTTGCAGGTCGGCGTAGGCTGCGCGCTGCAGATCCGCCTCACGACAAGACACCTGGCATTCCTTCACCCGGTTTTCCAGACCAGCCAGATACTCTTGCCGTCGAGCGCGGCTGCGTCGTTGATTGTCGCGGATTCGCTCCTGCTTGGACTTGGTACCTGGGGGGGATGTGCTGGCTTCTTCAGACGCCATGTCCAGCAAGCATCAATACTCCGTGGCGGAGGAGTCAGTGGCTGGGGGCAAAGAGCATCAGAAACGTCTCGTCCAAGGGGAAAGTTGCTCTGGACGGGCAGAAGCTGTCCCACTGGCTTAGGCTGAATTAGAGGTTGTGAAAAGTACCAGCAGCGTGATGAGTAAAAGGAAAAAGACGATTGGCCAGGTGGCCCTGGCGCTATGCTGGGGGGGTGGCTGCTTTGGAGGGCCGGAAGGACGCGTCAGAGACCAACGCCGGCTTTGAGCGGCCTCTCTAAGCTGGATGGGGGATGAGGTGTACAAGGTATTCTGGGAGGAAGCAGACAGAAGGGATTCTCCTTTCCGTTTGGACTCGGCAAGAAAAATGGTACCAGCAGCAATTGTGATGAGAAGCCCTGATGGTGTTGGTGACGCTGGGCAGGGGGGAGATTTGCCAACAATATATAGATAGATAGAGATCTGGAGAGTCAGAGACCTACTCTTAGCTACGAAACATAACCAGACCGGGGAACGCACCCCGGCTCCGCCGCGGAGCTGGAATCGTTCGTCCCAGCTCTTAGGGACTGGGACTGGACAGCGAGCTTAGATAGATCAGGCAGGTAGCATAGCTCTAGGAAGAGAACGGACCAGGTACCTGGGAGCAACTGAGTTTCTGGACAGCTGAACATTGGTAGGCCTCGCATGAATAGCGTGATGGTGAATCGTGGATAGAGATGTCAGTGGACAGCCGGTGTGTTGTGGGGAGAAGAACAAGTTCAGCCATCAAGCTGTTCGTTCACATGGTAAGCACGCAAGAGGAAAGAAAAGAGGAGGAGGAGGAGGGGGAGAATGAGGCGATGCAGACAGAGGACAAAGTCAAGCAACGGCTACTTAGAAGGATACTACTAGGCACCAGGCTAGTAGGCTGTAGGCTAGTACATAGGCTCACTAGGCACACTAGGGCAGCTAGACCCTTGTGACTGCGCCACCGCCCATGGCATTTCTCAAACTTCCCCATTGTTACTTGCTGAAACTCCATCTGTCCATCGACGCTTGCCCCCTCTTCTCGTCCACTGAGATCCTGCTCTCCCATCTGGTGATGTAAAGCTTTATGTCACATTCATGCTGGAAATACCTCTGTGGGTTAATCGTCTCCACCTCAAGCTTCCGGACAGTGACATTGCCGATCAACTCTGAAGGGCTCATCGTGTTTGATGTGCTTGTATGAGATATTATTCTTTCCTTTGGCTTTCCCCACCGACATCAGTGCCTGCAAAAGGAAATACAGATTCCCGTAGGAAAGTCTATTACTTCGAGGTCCACACAGTCGCCCTCCTTGGGAGCCCTTGTACCGTATGGGCATACTATACACCACCCCCCTTGCCCAACCCAGATGCAAAGGGAGGGAGAGATCACAGATGCTAAGAATTAACTCCAGAGGTGATGGTGGTAGTCCCTCTCCTTCCCAACTCCTCCTCTCCCCTCCCCTTGCGTACATTACTATTATCAGACCCCTCGCATCGGACCGACTGACTGAGTCCAAGGTCCAGAAATCACTCAGAATCCTAATCTCTTGCACGCCCATCCTAGGGCTGGGGGACCTCCTCGGAAGCAACGCGAGCTAATCCCAACACCTTGGTCTGACACTTTCTCGGGACTGCCGGGGGATCCCAAAGGCAAATCTCGTTGGGCAATAGCGATCTAACTATGGATTCTATCCAGACACGGCTTCGAACTAAGTCTGGTTAAGCATGCATTGATCCATGCACGGTCTCGCCGAAATTCTCGCTGGTCTGTGGTGACTGGTGAGTGGATAGCTAGGTATCCTCAACAACGGGAATCTCTAACGCTGAGTCGATGAACCATTAAAGCATTGAACCGTACTACGCCATAGGGATGGTTTACCGGCATCCCCCGGGCAGAGGGTTGCACCAGCAAAGCCCCAAAAGCTTGCATTCCAGATCAGTGGGGGTGAGTGAGTAAAGCAAGTTATTCTTCTCCCTCATCAACCAGTCACAACGACGACCAGAAATATTTGGTTCCAACAGTGAGCTCCCCGGACCACACGAAGGCCAAAAGACTCAGCCCAGGCTTCCTCTTGCTTGGCTAAACTGCCAAATTGGGGGACCGGTCATAGATATTACTATCTTTTTGGCATTCTGGCCAGCCCGAGGAAATCGCAAGCAAGCCTTCCGGCGCCGCCCTCGACACGAGTTGTGGAGGATCTACGCCGTTGCCGTTGCGTTGCAACCGGGGTTTTCTGAGTCCAGATCATACCAGTGGAAAAGAGTTCCAGGTATGTGTCTGTGTGTGTTCTGGGAACAAAACTCGTCAGACAGCGCCCCAATTCTGCATGGTATTAAGATAGTTGCATGGAAATGGACGTGGATAGGGATCGGTGTGGCCGAGAGAGGCCTCTGGATGGAGCAGGTGCGAGACTGGGGATGTCGTAGCACTGCGCTGACGACGACTTGCGGAACTGACGGTAGGTCGAGCTGTTCCCCCGGAGACCACAATTGTGTGAATGGAGACTTTCAGAGTCCTGTCCTGTAAAACTCAAAACCAGGTCCCACGATACCCCGGATAGACGGGGCGGGAGGTATGCAAGCTCAGGGATATGATGGGATTGAGGGAGATCTAGATTCGGAACCCTGTGCTGAGCCGCTGGGTGCTGACGAGGAAAAAGTCGGCAAGGATCATCAGTCTGCCCACGCGTATGCTTGCTCACTCACTTCGCGAAAGCGCACAACAACGCAGAGAAGAGAAAACTTGGAAAAGCAGGTTCAGATGATTGATAACACAAGTAAATTTCGAGCCCTTTTTCCCGGTTGGTAATAGCTAATCAACCACAGAGAACCAATACAACGACCGGCGAGAGCGACCCAGCCGAAACATGTCTCCCCCAAGCCGACCGTCACGCGCACCGACGTCAAACAAGTCACAACTTTGACTGGCCACCGCTGACACGCTTCAAAGCGAAGGGATCCCTCTGCTCCAGACCGTACTGGCGGAGCAGCTCCTTGGTCTTCTCCTTCTGAGCGGCAATGCGCTTGAGTAGGGCCGGACCGCGCTTGTTCTCATTGCGGCCCAGCTGTAGCATGTGCACCTCATCGGGCCCGTCGACGATGCGCATGGTGCGGCCGGAAGCCCACATGCCTGCCAGCGGTGTGTCTTGTGACACCCCCGCGCCGCCGTAAGCCTGGATGGCGCGGTCCAGCACGTCCAGCAGCATGTTGGGCACCTGGACCTTGACCTCGGCGATCTCCTTGAGCGCGTCCTTGGCGTTGGACTGGTCGATTTTGATGGCGGCGTTGAGCACCGCCAGCCGTGCCGCATCGATCTCGATGCGCGACCGCGCCACCCGCTCCAACATGATGCCGTGCTCGGCCAGCAGCTTGCCGAATGGCTTCTTGGCCGGGTCGTTCATGCGCGCCAGGAAATACTCGAGCGCCCTCTCGGCCTGCGATGGATTAGCTAGCCATCATACAACCCCACGCCGTGGCAGAGGCGAGGAGACAGGGATTCCACTTACAGCGCCGACAGACCGCATGGCGTGGTGGATTCTGCCAGGTCCGAGACGGCCTTGGACGACCTCGAAGCCACGTCCCTCACCCAAGATCATGTTGCTCTTGTGCACGCGGACGTTGTTGAACGAGATATGGCCGTGTCCGTGCGGGGCATCGTCAAAGCCAATGACTGACAGCATCCGCTCGATGGTGATGCCGGGGGTGTCGGCAGGGACGAGAATAACCGACTGCTGCTTGTAGACGTTCGGATTGTTGGGGTCGGATTTGCCCATGACGATGTAGATCTTGCATCGGCGGTCGCCCGCACCACTGGACCACCATTTCTTTTTGGAGGCCCGTGTTAGAGAGAGATCTCCAGGAAAGGGCGACGATCGTGGGGGAAAAGACAAACCTGGCCATTGAGCACGTAGTAGTCCCCATCCCGCTTCATGCTCAGCTCGATGTTGGTGGCATCACTGCTGGCGACCTGCGGCTCCGTCATCAAGAAGGCCGATCGAATCTCGCCGTTCAGCAGGGGGCCGAGCCACTTCTGCTTCTGCTCCTCGGTGCCGTACTTGGCAAAGACCTCCATATTGCCCGTGTCCGGGGCGGCACAGTTGGTGGCCTCGCTGGCGACGCCCGACTTGCCCAGGTACTCGGCCATCAGGCCGTACTCGAGGTTGGAGAAGCCGGCGCCTTCCTTGAAATGGTTCTTGGGCAGGAACATGTTCCACAGACCCAGTTTGCGGGCTTTGGCCTTGAGGTCCTCAATGACCGGTGGATGGGCGTCGAAGCGCGACACGATGTCCCCGCCCTTTGAGTTGATCTGCTGCGCAAATACGGCGTCGGCAGGAATGCATTCTTCCTCGACGAATCGCTCGACCTAAAGGGCACAGGGTTGCCGTTAAACATTGACTCTTTTGCTTCTTTCCACTGGTGCCAGGCCTTTTCTTGAAGCGTCACGGAGAAGATGCATGAGACAACTTGTAAGAAGTCTTCTAATGCTAACTTACCAAGTCCAGTGTCTTCTTTGCTCGCTCACTCACGAAAGGTCTGGCAATAACTGGGATCCTTTCAGAGGCAGGAATGTGCCCGGAGGCGCTGTTGATGAGATACGGAACAGACATGCTGGAGTAACTCTGGTGAGAGGTGGGGGAGAAGAGACAGAAGAAGAAGAAGAAGCTGCGGAAGTGGTCAGAGGGGATTGTTTTCCCTCGATTATTCGAAGAAGCAGCGAGGTCAGGATTAAATGAGATAGATGAAGGACGGGATGGATTTAGTGATCAAACACGAAGACCAGAAGTTACATGGCAGCTCTCTGGCAGCTGGACGGCGGTTAATCCGAGAACCGAGGCAGCAGAAGCCACATTCGGAAAAGGTGTATTATTGTGCTTCCGGCTTGCTGTACTGGTTTGCCGCTGTATTAACCACCCCCCGGACTAATCAGACCACTCACTAGAGGCACTACAATACTCACTCCGGGGGCGTGGAGGAATACCCAGACGAGGTTGGAGAGACCAGTAAGTAACTCCTACTGCATCAATGCCACCGCCCTCTTCTCTCCTACCATGGCTTTGCCCAGCCTGAGAGCGGCAACATGCCACATCTCACCCCACATTCTCTCCGCTGCTCGCACAACCCAGAAGACCATCCAATGCATCAAATCCGCCGCCCGACACTCGGCCAATCTGGTCGTGTTCCCGGAAGCGTCGATCCCTGCATTTCCAATATGGTCCTCTCTCCTCCCACCGACACACACCCATCACTTCTTCCGACGGATGGTGCAGGAGTCAGTCTACGTCGATGGCGAAGAGATCTCTGCCATTCGTCAGGCCGCCCGCGACCACCGCGTTGTGGTCAGTCTGGGCGTGTCTGAAAAGGTGCGATACAGCGCCGCCACGCTGTTCAACACGAATATAATCGTCGGGGAGGACGGAGAGATCCTGGTTCACCATCGCAAGTTGATGCCGACCTTCTTCGAGAAGTTGACCTGGGCTCCGGGTGACGGCTACGGTCTACGTGTGGCCCAGACCCGGCACGGCAAGATCGGGGCCCTCATCTGTGGTGAGAACACCAACCCGTTGGCCAGATATGCTCTCATGGCACAGGGCGAGCAAGTGCACATTTCCACCTGGCCCGCCATCTGGCCGACCCGGGTCATGGTCGAGAATAATGCCGGCCGTGCAGACGATGTCGGGAGCAGCACGGGGAGTCGCAATTACGACAACATTGCTGCAAATCACACGCGAGCAGCGGCTCACTGCTTCGAAGCCAAATGCTTCGGGATCATGAGTGCGGGACATCTGGATGATGCCGCCCTGGCGGACATTGCTGCCATGACAGAGGCACCGGAGGACATGCACAAGAAGCTAGCAAGCTACCCCCGGGGAGCGAGTCAATTCCTTGATCCCACAGGGAAAACCGTCCGGGGAGGCTTCGCATTGGAACTCACCAAGGACCAGCTGCTGGATGGGCAAGACATCGTCACGAACACGGAAGCAATTCTCTTTGCGGATCTAGACCTGAACGAGTGCATCGAAGGCAAGCAGTACCACGACGTCGTGGGCGGGTATCAGAGGTTCGACGTCTTCTCGTTGCAGGTCAACCGTCAGAGACACGAGCCCGTACAGTTCCATGACGGGAATGGGAATGTATTGAGCTCCAGCAACGCCATCCTGGCGAATAATGATGACGACCACTGAAAAGTTCCGGCGGGAAATGGCCAGGGGAAGCGTCAGATCCGGTGGAAGCGAAGGGCGGCACGGAAGTAGATAGCCGGCAAAGGTGCCCAAGGGGCTCATGCTACCTCGATACATACCTCGGGAGTGGTAATAATGCCACATCACATATTACCCCAACTTTCTCGATCTGATGGTATCTTTCACAATTCTGTCGGTGGCTGAGCCGAGGAACAGATTACAGCTTTGCTATGTGTAGTTGTGTGATATTGAGATGGACTCACTCTCACTACGACACCACACAAAGATCTTGACTGACGGAGAACCCGGTCATTTGAAGTCTCCCACGTGACGGTGGCGGATCTCTTGGCTATCTCGGAGGCTGTATTTTTCCGGCGCCGATCCAAAAATTTCCCCCATTTCCGCATCGAATGTTTCGCCTTGCGTTGTACTACTGCTACCACTACCACCAGCATTATCCTTTCTTTTCCCTCCTTTTGACTTGTACAGTTCTGCCTTTTCTTCCAACACTCGCGCGCAGGCTTCCTCTTTTTCCATCTCTGTTGTCCAAGCTGATTCCGCAAACCGTTCATGACCTTTCCTGCGGCGACTCCCGAGGCTTTCCAGGGTACCAGCACGAGAGGAGAAAGTGCCGCTCTGCTCCTAGAGCCCCGCGAGACTGGACAAGTCGTAGTGCCGGGGGGACAGAATGGGCATGCAACTGCGGTGACCAAGGATGGGCCCACGGCGAAGCCCTGGGCCCATTTTGTCGCGGGAGGGTATGGGCGCCCCCAATACCCAGATTTTGTCACAAAATTGAAACTCATGGTGTTCTAGGATCGGTGGCATGGCCGCGGCCACCCTCACCTCTCCTCTCGACGTCCTGAAGACCCGTCTCCAGTCCGACTTCTATCAAGCCCAACTGAGAACCCTGCACGCCCAGCACCCTCTACCTCATAAACTCACCTTCACCTCCGTCCCCCGAGCGGCATTTTTCCACATCGCCGAGACGGTACAGATCCTGCGATCGATATACCAGCACGAAGGGTTCCGGGCGTTATTCCGCGGCCTCGGCGCAAACCTGATCGGCGTTGTACCCGCACGGAGCATCAACTTCTACGTGTACGGAAATGGCAAGAGGATACTGAACAACTACTTCAACCCCGAGGGGCGGGAGAACGTCTGGAGCGTCCATCTTCTGGCGGCGGCCACGGCCGGAATCGCCACGGGCACCGCCACGAATCCGATCTGGGTCGTCAAGACGCGACTGCAACTGGACAAAAACACGGCCAGCCATGACCCATCAAAAGGACGTCAGTACAAGAACAGTTGGGACTGCATCAAACAGACCGTCCGGCACGAGGGCTTCCGGGGGCTGTATCGCGGTTTGTCAGCCTCATATTTGGGGGTTACCGAGTCGACGTTGCAGTGGGTGTTGTACGAGCGAATGAAGCTTTCTCTGGCCAGACGAGAAGCCAAGCGCCTGGCGCACCCCGGGTACCAACGAACAATGCTCGACGATGCCGAGGAATTCGGAGGGAAATTCTGCGCCGCGGCCGGCGCGAAGCTCTTCGCCGCCGTCATCACATATCCACATGAAGTGGTCAGGACGAGGTTACGGCAGGCGCCCACCATGACGACCGAGACAGGCAGAGTTACAATGAAATACACCGGCTTGGTGCAGTGCTTCCGCCTCGTGGCTAAAGAAGAAGGGTTGGCTGGGCTGTACGGAGGCATGACGCCGCATTTGCTCCGGGCTGTGCCTGCAGCCGCCGTGATGATGTCGACCTACGAGATTTTCTTGCGGATCTTTGGGACAACCTCGTGACGTCCGGGCGGCTGCTACTGCTTGGAATTCAACGAAGGGAATCCCCCGTCGTGTGGCTTTCCTGGAGTTCTTGTACAAAAGTATCTCTTCTAACGGATGGGCATTTCTCACGTGTCACGGACGTGTATTGCATCGAACGGGGGGTTGGGGCGTTTCTAGTGTACCACCAGTCTTATCCACTATGGAGCACTTTGTCACACACCACGGCAATGGGGGATCGGCGGTTGAAATGAGGGAATTGGGGAGAGAGAGAGGAGGATAATTTGTGTCCTGATCGACACAGAAAAGGACACTCACCCACCCACCCACCTCCACGCCCATTGTATGTACGATAAAAGGGGGCGAGAGAGAGAATGAGGATAATCTTCTCAACTAAATAACACCGAACAAAACCCCCCTGTAGTGCTGAAAGCGAGGCCAATTCTGATTACACTAATTCTAGATGGGATCCGTTTGCACCGTCGATCCTTCTTCCAGTGTTGTGTGTTGTGTGCTGTAGCCCTTGGTACTTGGTACTTGTCGTGCCTCGCTATTTGCAATGTCGATGTTGGCACAGGGAGAGGGAGAGGGGGAGGGAGAGGGAGAGGGCCACCAATCTCAACACTCACGTACATACCCCAGTATTATTACCTCGTTAAGTGTCGTGGCGCGGGGTGGCGTGGCATGTCACGGATGTGCTGTCTGGCCCGGAAGCCCCAAGCATCATACATGTTGAGGACATTTCTCTTCATCTGCTGGAACTTGACGCCCTGGCAGCCAGCCGATGATCCGGTCTCCGTCCAGAACATACACGTCGCCGGTACAAGCGCCCTTCTTGCCCGCCGCGCGCATAAGCACGTAGCTAGGTGTGGTACGTGGACCCCCTCGGACAGATCTTCCAGCAGCGTCATACGGTCAAACCCACCCGAGATGTACGCCGCGTCTTCGCGGGTCGTGCTGCTGCCGTTTAAGACGAACCCCGCCAGATGCACCAGGCAGTCAGTCAGTCAGTCCAGTACGGGTTGGCCGCCCACGACGTAACCTGACCGACTCTGGGCCTGGCACTGCGGCCACGCAGTCCACCAGAAGCGGTGACCGGTTTAGCGCGGTGCGTCCTTCAAAACCTCCTGCAGAACTGTACCCAGAGTCACGCCCGGATAGGGCTCACACTGCTGGTGGAAATGATCGATACCCTCTCTGGCAGAGGCTTTGCTGGCGCCCGTGAACTTCCCATTATCCATTCATAATCCACCGGAGGCAGATTGGGCGAATGGGCGACGATGGCGATAGGCATCCGGATCTGGGGGAACTCACTCACGCGCAGGATCAGGCGAGGAATCTGCGAAGAATTGACGGCGGACCAGATATCGTCGTCCCATTGGGGCCCAGGACGCTGATATAGGCACCGCGATGCTTTGGTGTAGCCTTAGATGGTTCGATTTGTGTCAGCAGTTCGCCGTGTTGGTGCAAGGAATCCGGATAGGCCACGTCCCATACTTACAGTGGCAGCATGGGATTCAGCGATGATGGATTGTAGATCGGTGCTGGATATGCCCTTCAACACGTAGCCCCAAGCCCCTGTCGAGACCTGGAGCCTTCGGGTCCTCTGCTCCGTACTCATCGCCAGCCTTCCACAGAAGGGAATGAAAGTGACGGCCCGGTCGGCCGGTTCTCAGACGTGTCTTGCAGCAGTAGCGATCGCGGCCGGTATCAACCCCACACAAAGTCCAAGAACGGTCATTCGACTCGTGAGCAAGCCTGGAGCCGTCAGCTCCAAAGGGCCCTCCCGGAGCGTGTTTATAGCTTCTCCCATACATGATAATCGCTTCAATGCGGGTGACATAGCATAGCGTCAACGAAACAGGACATGACGACCGTCGGATGAATCGAACGTTGCCCAGAGATCGAGAACCGAGCGAAAGGTCGGGAAGCTTTGCTGAGCTTGCCGGCCCAGACCCGCGATGGGCGTTTGCAACGAGTCAGCACATCGAAGCAGGAAAGACGAGGGCAGGACCGACGGCTTTGCCTGCTCAAAGAGGTGCTTGATTGCGAGGTGTGTACGTTCCGTTTGATCTTCATATACGAGCAATCGCTGCCGTCGATGGACAGCCTCGCTTTGCATCTCGGGTACACAAATTCTGTTGATTGACGTTGGGTTGAGAGTAGAAGGAGAACATAGAACAGACGGACACCGTCCTGAGGCCCAGGAGCCAAGGGGTGAAGCAAGGGAGGCAATCCAGACCAAGGGAGTCAAGTCCGGTAATGCCCGGTTCACACAGGTCTGCGAGGTATACAACAAACTCTCTGCAGTACCAGCCATCTCTGCAGCGAGAATATCTCCACGCGCCTAGTCCTAGAGAATGTGAATCGAATGGTGCCCAATTGTGGCAGATGCACAATTGTCAAACGCTGCACGACATCGGGGCACGGCTCGACGGGTGGGCTGACGGTGTAAGACAGCGAGTCCAGTTCGGAATTCTTCGCGGTTGGTACTTACTTGCTCGTTTCTCAAGTTTGAGATATATTCGAAGGTCGCAGGAGAGGGAGAGAACACCTGAGAGCAGGGGCGACATGTCCCACCATTTCCTCTTCCATCAGGAAGGGCACACGTCCCCCCGTAGGCTTCAAGGTACATTGTCCCATGCCTTCGGCATCCCTGTCCAACGCTCCTTTAGACCTCTTTGGTCCAATTAGATTTGACAGCATGATTGTTGATATTACGTAGGTATTCATGTGTCTTATCTAGGGTAAAGTAGAATGAATGATATGTATATACGAGGTCGAAAGAAGCTGAGCGCCAACCGGAGACTTAGTGGGGAGTTAATGCCGATCAGGTTAGTGCAATGTCGGCAAAGCAATATCGAGACACCAGCATACTCCAAGAAGGGATTTATTTACCAGTATATCCTGCGGGAATAGAGCCCCAGCTGTTCAGGACCGAACCTCAGGCTGCTGTTGTCAAACTGGATACCCACGCCGGCAGACACTGGCCAGCCCTTCATTATTAGCATCGGCATACTGATCCGTAAAAAAACCTGATATGGTAAACAACAGGAACGCCACATATGTTCCCAAAATCAGGATGTAAATCGATCTCGAGATGCAGAATACCCTCATCGCCTCACCCTCTGCAACTGGCTCATACTTGTCGACGATCTCTCGAGCCCGCTGTTGTCACAGCCTCCAAATAACGCTGCCAACCCTACCCACCTGAACGGTCACATCGAAGACCTGGCTCGAAGCAAACCGCTCTGCTCGGGAGAGCGGGCTGCTTGAGCCAGGGCATTCGAGAACTCGGTCTCTCGTCGCCCTAGCATAATATCCTTGTCCCACATCCAATCCTGTAGCTATCAACCCAGGACCAGTCGCCTTTTTCCACTCATGTCGTTGCGAGGCAGCCCGGCGTACGCGCGAAACACGTTTTCCAGATCTCGCTTCGCGCCGCCCGCGGGCTGTGCACAACCCCCTGCAGCCACGCAATAAGTGGGCCCAGGACAGATAGAACCAAATAAGCCGTCGTTTTGGACGCATGTATTGTAACCGCCGGGACAATCACTGTTGGTCGTGCAAGTGGTACCAACGGAATTGCAGTACGCACCGCCATTGTCGCAGAAAGGTGTCGTTCCATCGGCGAGAATGTTACATTGGCAATTGCCTCCGCCTGCGTCACGACAAGCTGTGGATTGCGCGACACTGCAGGATGTCGACGTCGCTGGAGGTTGGGACGTGGTGGTTGTGGTGGTGGTGGTGGTGGTGGTGGTGGTTGTAGGCGACGTGGTTGTGGTTGTTGATGTGGTTGTAGTCGTAGTTGTTGTTGTGCTTGTTGTTGTTGATGTTGTCGTGGGCGTCGTCGTCGACGTAGTTGAAGTTGTGGTTGAGGTGGAAGTTGACGTCGAGGTTGTAGTTGGTGACGTAGTAGTTGATGTAGTAGATGTCGCTGAAGTTGTGGTAGACGTGGAAATTGATGTAGTCGATGTCGTTGAAGTTGAAGTTGACGTGGACGTTGACGTTGTAGGCAATGTTATAGACGTTGCTGAAGCCGATGTCGACGTCGATGTTTCAGTTGTGGATGGACTCGACCAGGACGTAGAAGCAGTTGACGAAGTTGACGTAGTTGGCGATGTCGAAGGCGTCGATGTCGTCGATGTGGTAATGGGTTCGATTGGAGTGGGAGTCGAGGTCAAGGTATGATGAAGTGTGGACGTAAATGTGAGAGACTAGATACCTGTTAGAAATTATGCCGAAATCTAGCCATGGAATTCTAGGGTTTGACTCCGCAAAACTCACCGATGTGTAGGACGGATGGCCCCAGATACCGCTTGAGGTTCGATGTGCTATCGGATTGTCTGTTGATTGTCCCCAAGGCGCAGACGAGGCCAGGCTGCCCGGGACTCTTGAAGTAGGCGCTACACCATGGCCACCGTGGTCACCATGGCCATCCGGACCGGACGAGCTGGGCCCTGATCCCCAGGTACACAAACCGGAAGCATGGTTGTCTCCGTGGGCACAGCTCGGTGCAGCTGGCGTAGAAGGCAAAGTCGACCATTGGGAGAAGTCGTGACCAGAGTGGTCGCAAGGGCAAACGTAATGAGTGGACGTGACAATGGTGGTCACCGTCGTGTCAGGATCCGCCCAGGTATGAGCAGACCCGAGGGAGAATAGAAGGGAACCAAGAAGGTAACGAGCGTGGACAAGCATCTTTGCAACTGCCAAACGAATGGACGACAGAGAATGATTCCGTCAAAAGTACCATAACCCCCTAAGAGAAGAAGAAGGCAGCAGATTCTGGGGAAGAGCAAACCTGAAGCTTTTGAATCGATTCACCTTCGATCGACAACAACCATTCTTGGTAAGCTTTTCAGCCGTTCTCGCACAAGCCCTGCTGAGAACCTGTTAGGTTGGTCGAAGCGATTCGGTCCGCGTTGATTGTGGTCCACCTCGAAAGGCCAGACTGCATTCTCCATCAGCGCGACACCGTTAGCATGGCGAAGAATCCAAAAGTCCCATGGTGCAGACTCCAACCCGACAAGCCATTTCTGGATATCCACCAGCCGCTACAGGCGCCACCGGTTCCTACCCTTCCTCGAAACGGATAGCCCCAGATTAGACCTTGTCCCCGACGAGCAATCAAAGCTTGGCCTCAAAGGTTGACAAGATTGAATGCACGCCTCCGCAGTGTCATGGCTGAGCTGAATAATAATAGTTTGTATGTGCATGCGATCCCTGTGTGGGCCATTTGGGTCGCGATCGCCAAGGACGAGAACGAGTATTCATCGCGTAGGCGAACTGTTCCATGCCAGCAACGCTGGAGTTCGTGTTCAGCTGTGGTACAGTAGCACCCTCAGGCAGGGGTTTCGGATTGGTACGGATGATCTTTTGCTCTTGAAAAATTTTCACGACTTTCCTCTGTGCTCAAGACATGACTGACTGCACGCTGAGAGAACGTGGTGCCGGTAAAAGGGGGCAGGCAATTTCCCCGTCTGAAACGACCTCCCATACACACTTAGCGGCTCCAACTCTTATGCCCACTATATAGACTTCAGAGACTCTGGAGCATCATCTTCCGGCTAGAATTCCCCTTTTGGAAGCCATGGGAAACATCGGTGAGAGGATCATTCGAGTACGTGATCAACCCCAACCAGTCAGGCGTTGGAAAGGAGTGATAATGTCTCCTGGGGGCGTCAACGCCGAACCGGTTGTCTCGCTGCCGCCGATCGATCATGTATCCCGTTCGACGCCTAGGTGACCTCAGTCAGACATGGGGATTGCGTGTGAGACTATTGCTGACTGACGACTGTGACCTGCTATCCGGCATTATTCCTGTGGTTGAGAACTTCCCCGTCCTCTTATGTTCCTGGCTGGAAACAGCGTTAAGTCTAGAGCATCTCAGTTGTTTCGACACCCACCCACCCCTTAACATAGGAGTTCAGCCTTCACATGATTGTGTGATGTTTGTATCGACCACGAGAAGTTACATCGTTGACAACAGTAACACGGCCGGAAATGCGATGACCACGAGGCCACTTCAGTTGGGCTGGCCGAATACAAGTAGCAACTACAAGCGGAGACCGGCATGTCACATTATTAATATGCACGCCTGATGTCCCTAGGAACCGCTCACGTTGGTGATGGCTGTTCTCGGGCCACCTGACGTGCGCCTCACAGTGCGTGGAATGGAACTCAAGGCGGCAAGCTACTAGCAACAAAACTGGTCCCGCCGTGGGTAACAAGGTTCCATCATCCATGGTGCTTTTCACCGTTTTCCAGAGAAGTTGTTGCTTCCCGGGTGGTTGAACGCGTCGTGTTATTATTTCCGCCATGATAGCAAAAAGAATTGACAGTTGAGGCTACTCACCTACCAACCGCATGACCGTTCCAGCCAGTACCACGGCTCGCCTCCCTCCAATGGCGGGTGATGAGCATCCACTACGGGAGCAAATAAAGACCCGTCGCCCAGGAGTGCCGCCCACGGGTAGAACGCACTTAACCAGAGATTCACGCAGATTTTTCCCCCGAAACGGTCGAAGGGAGCAGTTCCCCTCCATCTTTTCGCCGGCAAGACGATCTTGACGGTGGAAGTCAAGTTCATTCAACTGGGGTCTGAACCGTACAATCAAACGTTGAGCAGGATTTTTGAGACCGAGTGGGTGCGAGGCGTGTTCTTCGTGGAGGAAGTGGGGACGCTGGGAGCAGCCAGCGGACTCAAACGGGGGAATTCTGGTTATCTTCCCTGGGAACATCGGGATAGACCAGTAGAAACTCTTTGAGGTGGCTGGAATGTTGCTGGGATATACTGCCCTGGCTTCTATCGCCAGATATGCCGTGGTTCTGAATACGAGCATTGCTTCTGCCCATGTATTGGTCCAAAGAGAGAGGATCAAAGGAAGGATGAAGATAAATATATTGAACTAGAGTATCGTTCGACAGTCTGACTGCTTGGTAAACCACTGCCGTAGTTGCAGCAACATTGCCATTCTAGCTGCTTATATGCGCAGTGCCGATATGGGAGTGACATAACACCGCTTGGCGTCGTTTGTTTACCTTGCCAGATACATCGGAGTGTCCTCGGTGCAGGATACTCAGTCTTCAACACGTCGACTTTGTCCCACAAGACCGCTGCGTGTATTGCCTCTCCCCGCGTGAGACAATGGAATCTATGGGCTACCAGGATACTCTCGCGACCCTTCGCGCTCAACAAGCTGCGCACCCGCTCTCAATCATCTCGCTCGCCGAGCCCATCACCGCGTCGCAAACACAACCTCTGAAGCCCTCAAACTCGCAATCGCGTCCTTCAGACACTCTATCAACTTCAGGGACCGAGTCAAACCTGCAGCTCACGCACGCGACTCTCCTCGCCGACCTAGCCCACTACAAAGACCTCTTCTCCAAACTCCGCTTCAGCTACCTCGAACAAGTCACCAAGGAGAAATACCTGCGCAGCATCGTGGGCGATCCTCCCCTTGTCGTCAGCCATGAAGACAATCTGGCTTTGGAGGACAGGCTGGCGGGCATGAAAAGAGAGTTGAAGGCGAAGAAGGAGGAGGTCGATGCGTTGGTGAAGGAGATGGAGGAACGAGCAAGGGATGTTGCACGGGCTTATGAGAGCGTCGGGGAGGGGATGGACGTGTTAGGACGTGTTCCGGCTGAAATTGAGACCTTGAAGGCAGAGGTTGAGAGCTTGAAAGCCGAACTGGCTGCTCGACAAGGCGACGACAGCGCTCACCATGGGAGCGGCGATCCGAGGATGCACCTCTCGCTCACCGCCACGGAACAAGCCCTCGTGGAGCAGCGAGAGCGGAATGCCGAGATAGATCGGCAAATAGCAGAAATACAGAAGCAGATGCCAGCAAAGGTCCGGGAGGTAGAGAAAATGGATCGTGAGCTCGCCGAGCTGGAAAAGAGACGTAACGAGAGTACAAAACTCGCGATCGAGGGACGAAGGAGGCGTGAGCAAGGAGGGAGGGACGAGGTGGAGGAGCTGGGCAGATGGTATAAAGCGAATGAGGCTGTCATGAAGGGCTTGCTAGGGGTAGAGGGATCCTAGCAAGGAAATGAAAACATACTGAGAAAGGGAGCACGGGGTGTTTGGAAAGGCTGCCGGCGCCATTAATATCGCGCACCACGATACCCTGGGACAAGAAATGGATATGAAATGTATGAAATCTTTTGCATGAAAACTTGGTATTGCTGGCGGACACAAATGCACCGCTTGCACGATGGAAGTCCTCGATTTGACATCTCCTTTGGCTTCCCACTTCGGGCTTGCGAAGATGGGCTGGCTCTATTTGCTTTCAACAGAATGGCCCTTGATCTTGCACGCCAACATTCGTGTCAGCGTCTGGATGATCAGACCGAGATAGACTGACCAGTCACCATGCGCCGTGTCATCGTATGATCTACTCCTCATCCTCGGCACCCTCGTCACCATCCTCATCCTTCTTTTCCGCAGCCTTGGCCTTCTTTCTCCTGACGCGGCCGGGTCTGCCACCACCGAAGGGACTCGTCAAGGCGAAGTCAATGTGCTTCTGGCTGTCTAGTCGCACTATGAAGGAGGGGACGTTGACGATCTGCTTGCCGACGCGGATATGTCGTTGCTTGATGAGCACGCGAGCGTGGTGGATGGATTTGGCGAGACCGAGTTTGTAGACGCAGGTTTGCAGGCGACGCTCCAAGAAGTCTTCGACTTTGAGGGCCAACACGTAATCGAGTTTCATACGCGATTCGTCGAGCACGCCGACACGGACGAGACGGCGAATCAGGGCGTTGCCTTCGAACAGACGCTTGGGGTCCTTCTCGTCGAGGGTCAAGAGTTGACTATGATGTGAAACGCATGTCAGTAAAGGAACTCCCTAGCAGCTCCCGCGACAGCGGAGAGATTCGCATGGATGATTTGAGATTTCATACCGAGCAGCACGACGGATCTTGGAAAGCGTGAGCATGACACGCCAGACCTCACGCTTGTTGCGCAGGCCATATTCGCCGACAATCTTCAATTCCGAATCCCTAGGAGACTGTCAGGATATCTCAGACATGAAGCACAGACAAGCTGGTGCTCAGTGGCCAGGATATTTCATGTAACGTACAGACGGGCAGACTCGAATGCTGTTTGTGCGAAGTCAGTCTGGGATCCCTTTCGGCCACCAAGGGACATCACTTACGTCGACGAGGGACCTTGTAGGTCTTGGAGTAGGATCGCGGCGCCATGATTGCGATGTAGACTGCGCAATCGAGATGGTCGTCGCAAGGGAGAAGTCGTTGGGCGGTTGGACCGTTTTTTCGTAGAGAGAGAGAGAGGATTGAGGTGGGCTTGTGTCTTGTGCAAAATTGGTGGATTTCGAGTGGTCTTGGCACGCCGCACAAATTCGAATTTCGCGCTCCGCGGCTTGGCATCGATTTTGGGGAAACTGCGCCTTGAACCACACCAACATTGAAACAGTTCTACAATTCCGTCTCGACAACCAGATCTTTTGTTGCCGACAAGTCACCTCGGACTCATCCGTCACAATGGGTCACTCTGCAGGTCTTCGGGCTGGCACGCGCTATGCGTTCAGCCGCAGCTTCCGCCAGAAGGTAAGATCACCCAGAGGATGCAGATGGAGAGACAGCAGGACTAACGAGGTGGATTTTACAGGGAATGATCCCTCTCTCGACGTACATGAAGACATACCGTGTCGGTGATATCGTCGACATCAAGGCCAACGGCGCAGTCCAGAAGGGTGTATGTTCTACCCACAATGCAATTTTCCATATGAGACCCCGGAGTTTCATTTCGCACTTCAAAAACGTCGATAACTGATTGCGATTCGGACAAGTTTAGATGCCCTACAAGGTGTACCACGGCAAGACTGGCGTCGTGTACAACGTGACCAGAACCGCCGTTGGAGTCATCATCTACAAGCGTGTCGGCAACCGATACATCGAGAAGCGAGTCAACGTCCGTGTTGAGCACATCGCCCATTCAAGATCAAGAGAGGAGTGTAAGTTCCACCTACTTCGCTTTTGACAAATCATTCCCCGCTGCGACCGTCAGACCTCTTGCAATGGGGTCATGCGCGAACCGATCGAGGCAGTGTTTGCTGATAAAGTGGTGTGAAAAATTGCAGTCTTGAACAGAGTCAAGTCGAACGCCAAACGCCGTCGCGAAGCCAAGGAGAAGGGCGAGTCTGTGCAATTGAAGCGTCAGCCACAAGGTCCCCGGAAATCTCACGTCGTCGAGTTCACAGGCGTGGAGAGCCTTGCGCCTCAACCTTATGATACGCACATCTAAGCGCGCTCCGAGACTGGGTTTTGTGTCTTTACTGTGGAAAGCTTTATGGAGCATGATGCGGCGAGGACCGAAAGGGGCAGCGAAGTGGGGTGGGAAACTGCAGGACGACTTGGTCAACAGGGCCTGAGAATGCGGATGATGGTAGAAAGGAGTCACGAGCGAAACCAAGCTCTGCTATTCTTCTAGAGACCCTGGGCGGTGGAAACCTCCGAGAAAAAAAGATCACGAGGGAGCAGCAATGGCTAGGGAATACTCTCCTCCTCTCTGTCTCCTGCATTGACAATGGCAACCGATATTCAAACGTCAAAGTCCTGGGGCGCGGGTGCATGTCATGTCCTCTTAGGGACCGCGACGATAAAATTCCTTCTTCGGTCAATCAATGTGCATGAAAGAGATTTATTTGAGTGTGACTGAAATCAGTCTCCACCGCCACTTCCCAGTTTCAAACCTATCTATTTCCCCCTTCCCCTTCTCCGGCGTGCTGGCACTCTTGGGCATCACGGAGACACGGTGACATAGACTGGTGATGTCGGCTTTGACAAAACGGGATCGAGCGAGACACAGGTTTGAGGAACTACGTCTGTGATGTATGCCTATCTCCGAGCTTTCAACTACCTAAAAGAAAGGTCTCGTCACAGATCTGCGTTGCTGGGCGCAACTATTCTCGTCTTGCAGTAGCACAATTCTGCATAGTTCCCCTCCCCGGATGCGACCGCCGGCTGTACCTCGATTGTCTTCGTGCCGAGCGTCGCATATCAAGGAATTGCCTGCCTGTCCACACGTTGAAAGTCGTGTCTCATTCCGATAAAATGATCCAAACACCGCGCTATGCTTTTGGGTATCATGATGCTGTTTGAGCCCGATACAAAAAACCCCCTCTCAAACCTTCGTGTCGCATCTTCGGCCTGTCGTGACCTTGGTTTGTTGTTTAGATGGCATAATTAGAAAGAGTGTGTCATTGGACCTTATCTGGTGCTTCAGCTCTGGATGGCAAATTCCAAATTTGATCGTGATTCTGTAAAGTCGTCAAGGTTCAGAAAGTGAACTGATCCTCATCATCACCACTATTGTCCTCAAAGGCATAAAATTCTTCCTCTGTCATTAGGACTGGGTCTTTGAGCGGTAACTTCATGTCAACTCCGAGCGGAGGTCCTTTGCTCGAAGTCGAAACCATGGAGCTCTGGAAGCGACCTGTGGCAATGGAGATGGGGTTTTGGGAAGAGTGCACCAGGTTCTCCGATGATATATACATGGGCGAGGGTGGTTGGTCGATATCATCTGAGCTGGTAGATCCACTTATGTTGCTTGTGACCACGGAAGGGACGTTCGAGGAAATCATCGAACTGTTATCAGAGGTAGCTGGCTCTTCCATATTTCCGCTGGCAGCTTGTCGTCGTCTCAGTGGTAGAAGTTCTCCTGACCTGCTGTGTCTGGAGGCCGGTGGTGGCATTTTTATTACTCCTGAGATTTCATTCTGTGTTGCAATAGTTATTTCTGGTCGTGTCATGTCCGCTCTTGCTGCGATAGGCATGGATGGATCAGGCAAGTGGTCGCCATGATAAGTCCACTGGGGACTAATTTCCTCAAGCAGGAGGTCATAGTCACTAGACTTCAACTGTTGTTGAGCTATCTGCACTTTTCGGCCTTCGTCGTGCAGGATTGTGTTTCTCGCAATCTTCACTAGGGTATCCTGAAGTACCCAGGGGAATGATATAAAGGGCATATCGGTGGCAGCGGGACTGGATTCATTCAAGTCATCAATCTGTGACTCAACCCCTCCATTGTCTTGCTGTTGTGCTTGTGCCTCTCGAAGTTCGTTGTGAGTGATATGATACGCTGCTATCGCGAATGGCTTGAGCTTCTCGGCGTCATATCCACCAGCCTCTTGGCAGAAGGCTTCGTAGTATTGCTCCTTCAAATTTCTCGCGTGCTGTCCGATCTCTTCGTGAAACTTGAAATCTCCAGAGACTTTGCTGTGGTGGAGTACAAACGTGGACCAAACCTCAAATTCAGAGCCAATTTGATGCTGCGCCATGATGCGCCGCATACTCTCATCATAACTCTTTTTTAGATTGCTGACAGTCTCCATGATCCCATCTGCTGGAGGATGTATGAGGATCCGTCGATCAAAGGTCCCTGACCAGTGCGGCTTAAATTTTGCTCTCTCGACCGCGTCGTACAACTGACCCAAAATTTTGCGAGAACGATATTGTCCTAATCGTTTCTTTTCCATGAAGTGAGGCCAATTGTTCCGCTCAAGGTCACGACCCATCTCAGCAGGAACGCCAGTCTTGGGGTAGTCGACAGCCAACGAATGTAATTCGACCAGCTTCAGGCACTGTTCGCTGTTGATACCGTCATAAAGGTAATCTGCAGCTGCGAGATGGGCATTAGCAATCTTTCCCAGGAAATCGTTTTGCATATAGTCGTAAAAGAAATTGATAACATCGTCGACAGATATTTTCTCCTTTTGGATTGGCTCCGGGGCGTTATAATGAAACGGTTCAGCGTTCCATTCCGAAGGTATCAAATCTGGATCCCAGCTCACAATGTAGTCGTCTCCATCGAGATCCCCCCCGGAGCACATACTTGGCAAGTCACGATCGCCTGTCGCTGGCATAACCACAACGTCACAGTGGTGGCGTAAGTGAGGGACATTGACGGCTTTGACTACTCGTACATCACCGCGGTGCAGGGACGGATTCCGCGCAATGACACAAATACCTTCGACAATACGGCGGACCCCCTTCACCGGGTCTGTATATTGGATGAAGATCTCTGGTAGGGATTTCTCCTTCTCTTGGCGACTTGCGTCGGGCTTGGGCTGAATCTCATTGATGTGGCCACGAAGCGTCTTCGTTTCGTCAACGACGCCGAGCACAAAGGCGCCTTGAGTGATCGGTATCTTTGCTTTCTCTTTGAGGTATTTCAAGGTCCAGGCCCTCCAGAGCCGAAGAAGGGACGCCACAAAAGGCTCATGGATTTGGGAGAACCCGGCCTCTATCAAAGCAGCGACGCTGAGGGTTATCGAATTGGGGTCAACGGTCGTGCGCAGTGCCTTCAAGGCAGCCACATCATTCACCAGCGCCGCATCCAATGCCTCTATGCAGTCTGATTGTTTGTGCAAGAATACTCTATCAGGAACGCCCAGCGCCGAGAGCACCAGAATAAGCTGGCGGTTGAGGAATGGCTGCCAGTACTCTGAGACGCGAATGATCTCGAGCTCGTCTGACTCACAGCTGAATTTGTACTGACTCGGCCGAATCTTAATGTCGACGCCATTGAGCTTGGGGTCCACGGCGAGGACCCCTTTGCAGCCGCCGAGTCGAAATTGGTATGCCGAAGGCAGGTGCTCTCCCTCAAGGTTGAGGTTTGTTTTGACAAGCTGAGCAGCGAGTGGAGAGATCTTACCCACCCCATCTGTAAAAGTGTACATTCCATTGATTATGTCAGGAATCGGGTCTCTTTTCCAGCTGTTTCTGCTGAGCACTGGGACTGGCTTTGTTGTGGAAAAGCATTGACCCATCCGTGCGGCTCGTTTTGCGACAACCTTTTCGTGATCAAATGTGCCCATGTCTCTGCGAATACTCTCGGCAGTGATAACGGGGTTTTTCGAGGAGGCGAAGAAGTAAGCTCCATGTTCTCGAAGTTGGGAGTTCCCCCACGCCAGAAACTCGTAATGCCGATCACCGAGAACGATACCATTCTTGAGCGTCCGCCGAACTCTGTCAAAGACGAGCTTCATTCTGCCGTTCGTCGCGGGATAGAGCCTCGTTTGGCCTCTGTATGGATCATCTTCAAAGCGCACTCGAAGGAACCGGTCGCTGAGGCGCCTATACTTGCGCACAATACGGTTGGTAATCTCAACGGAAGGTGTGTGAAACAGGATTCCGGTTGCAGTAACGGTGGCATGATGTATTTCTGCACAGTTTGATGGCAAAGTGCGGGCACGTACAGGTTTGGAGTAGCGCAGGTCGGTGAAGATAGACATAGGATCGAAAACTCTCTGCTGGAAGGAATCGACGTGGATGAGCATCTGCTTTGCATGTGCAGGGCGCATTCCCGTCAGACGACGCAGAAAACTTTCGTCCAAACTGTACTCGTTGAGCCAGCCTTTGGAAATACAAACCTCAAGTTGATATCTCAAATTGAAATCAAGATAAGGCAAGGAAAGTTGGTCCGACAGGGACCGATTTGAAGAGGGATCACCGAGCAGACGCCAAAGAGGCGCTGCGCCACTGGGGCCCATCACGACTTTGAAGGATGGATCTCGAGTTATGCGAATATTGAAATCTGCAAGAGCCTTCAGAAACAGCCTCAGAGAACCGTCGTGACTATCGGTGCTTGGCTTAATAGTGACCCGAAAGGTTGTCCAACGCGCAATGTCAATGCTGTTGTCGAGCTTTTGCACCGATATAGGACTGCTGTCAATCTTGTGGTAAGTCTCCTTTTCTTCGACAATATCGGTTTGCCGAGACCAGGTATCGTCCGCACACCACCTGAATGACCTCGGGTCGTGGCTCAGTTGCATAGCCTCCTTCAGTTGTCTCGAATAGCAAGGCGGACGCTTGACATGGATCACCAAGGAAGGCAGTGCCCCATTTGGGGTCTCAGAAAGAGAAAACTGATCGTCAAGAGCGACGAAGAATCGGTAAGCTCTCTCGTTTGTCCTACCCTTGGACTTGATCGTCACCGGAAAGTGAACTTCCATTTCAAGCCGCCTGAGATTGAGAAGCAGTCTAATACCACTACCATGGACATCAGACCTCCTCGCCTTGACGACCATCAAGGTCGGATTTTCCAGATAACCGAAGTCGATCGAGTTGCCCAACAGAGCCATTTCAGATGGATACGTGAGGCCGGCGCAAGCACGACTTTCAACGAGCTTAGTCGTGGGTTGGCTCGGAGACAAAGAGACCCTGACTTTGTACTTTCTTTCACCATTTTTGTCTCTAAGAGGAAAGTCGATGCCATTTCTGTAGATCGAGTCCCATGGAGCTCTTCGAGGGGGTGGCGGTCTGTGGTTACAATGAGCGAGGGTGGCCAGCAATCATGACTTCACCTACCTAAACGTGACATGGGCATATCTGGCGAAGTTGCCCTGACGGGTTTCCTCGATGCGGATATATTCCAACTTTCCAAAGCGTTGTAAATTCTTGTGGATGTCGTAGGTCGTTGTGCCGCGAGGCAAGTTGGGAATCGTTGCTTTCACAGATGACCAGGTTCTCCATTCACGCTCGGGGTGAGATTGGCGCATCACATCACGCGCCTCAGGCTTGTGCAGCGCTGCTGACGCTGACCAGCGTAGATCTGTCATGACTTTCCGAAGTGAAAGTGAGGGTTGCTGGCCATACTCTGTGCGGAATTATCTGAGTTTTTATGATCGTGGCCCAGACAGTGAGATCGATCGGGGGCGAGACGGCTGGAGCCGCAGCTAGCCAAATGTACACTGTGCCTGAGGGATTGGAGACGAGGAAAAGGGGGTTTGAGCTGGTTATGTCGATGCTAATGGTGAAGCTGAGGATGAATGCATGGAAAGCTGCAGAGTAAAATGCGGTGAGGCGTAGTGATAGTGGTAGAAGTGAAAAGTGAAAAAGCAACAAAGACAGAAAGACAGAAAGAAAAAGGTGCAAGTGAGCCGCAACCAGACAGTGACGACAATGCCACTCAACACCCAACTTGAATAAATCACAATTCAATCCACAGACTGAGTTGGCCTTGTTGATGTTAAAACTGGACAAGCTAAAGGATAGCAAACGAATCAGCGACGCCGTGTTTGGTTTGCTCGATTAGTTCCAATAGAAACAGACACACTTACCAGCGTGAACGAAGGGTGTGTCCCTTTCACACCACTGGCAAAGAGACAAACGAAAGCAGAGACGCTGTCCTAATCCGTCCACCACTCTGTATCTCACAATGAAAATCTCATTCGCGCCAGAATATGCCACAGCTCACGGGCGAGGCTGCATGCCATTGCGAAGAGTTAGTTGGCGCTGCGCCGGCTATCAGCAGAACTCTGCACCCTCACCTTTGAACCACATGGCACCGCCTGATGTCGCCAGCCGTTTCTGGACCAGTCCAGAACCCATTCTTCACCGATACCATCGGGCATGAGTGGGCTGTGAAGGTTTGAAAGTTCTTGAAAGCGCGAACACGAGGACCCTGGACCTTACAGCCTGGGATACGAGCTGCAGCCATGCGACCTCACTAACCCCGCTATATGGTCGATGGCGCGATTGACAAACGCCCCCTCATTCATGAAGGGTCGGGCGGCTTTCATTCCGAGAACCCCCGGCCTGAAGCTCTGTTGAAGCTTCTTCCAAGGTTGGGGATTACCCTTATATGTTGCTGGAGAGTTGGCCAATATCTCTTTATTTTGACTGCAAGGAAGATGGAAAGGTTCAGACTGTGCTCGGATCTGCTCCAAGTATGGACTGAAGGCGCTTCCCCGAAGAGGCTTTTCGCTGCAGCCCGCTTGGTTTCTAAGGCCCGTGCGCAACGCCCTTCGCTAAGAGCCGCCACAAGAGCATACTATTCAACAAGGCCTTCAGCAGCAGAGTCACTGGCAAAATCCAGACTTCCACTATGGACCTCCAGCAGGGTTTTACTGCTTGGAGGGGCACTTGCCTCCATTGGATATGTTGTGGGCGTCACCGATGCAGGGAATCATGCGGATGAGCTACTTCCTCGCCGACCCAAGCCTCCCAAGTACGCCAGCAAGAAGGACATGGACAACGCCATCGCGGAACTTCGTGAAGCCCTGGGAGAGGATGCGATCAGCACGGATGACGAGGATCTCCAATCACATGGTTATTCAGAATGGTCTTCGATCAACATTGATCAATTGCCAGTTGCAGTGGCCTATCCTAAAACGACGGAAGAAGTTTCACAGATTGCCAAAATTGCTTCAAAGTACAAGGTCCCAATGATTCCATATTCTGGAGGCTCTTCTCTGGAAGCCAACTTTGCTGCACCCTTTGGCGGTTTCAGCATCGACTTTGCTTTCATGGACCAAATCCTGGCGATCCATGCGGATGATATGGACGTGGTGGTCCAACCCGCGATTCAATGGATGGACCTGAATGACAAGCTGCAGCACACTGGTCTCTTCTTTCCGGTGGATCCTGGCCCGTCGGCCAAAATTGGTGGCATGATTGGAACGTCCTGCAGCGGCACTAATGCGTTTCGTTATGGCACCATGAAAGATTGGGTTCTGAATCTGACTGTCGTCCTGCCAGACGGCCGAATTATCAAGACCAGGCGGCGGCCACGCAAGACGGCAGCCGGTTACAACTTGACAGGTCTCTTCGTTGGTGCGGAGGGTACCCTTGGGATCGTGACGGAGGCGACGCTGAAACTGGCCGTGATTCCTCAAGAGACCAAAGTCGCAGTCGCTACGTTTCCCACCATTCGTGATGCTGCGGCTGCGGCGTCGCAGCTGATACGCGCTGGCGTGCCCGTCGCCGCGATGGAGATAATGGACGATGTGCAAATGTCGGTGATCAATCGCGCTGGAGGCACCAATCGGACGTGGAAAGAGGTGCCGACCATCTTCTTCAAGTTCTCTGGCACGAAGGCGGGCGTCGAGGATAATATCAAGCTCACCACTCAGATCGCGAAGAAAAACAAGGGTGGGAATTTCATCTATGCAAAGGACGACCGAGAAGCCCATGACCTGTGGAAGGCGAGGAAAGATTCGTTGTGGAGCATGCTCTCCCTGCGCAGGGAGGGCGACGAAGTCTGGTCCACTGATGTCGCGGTTCCGATCTCACGTCTACCCGATATCGTCGGTAAGCATATGCATCCAAGCCTGTTGGATCGAGGGGGCTGTTCGGCTGATAGGTACCACAGAAATCACCAAGACAGAAATCGACGACCTCGGCCTCTTCGCCAGTGTGCTCGGACATATTGGAGACGGCAACTTCCACACGTCCATTCTATATAACCGCAAGGACCCAAAGGAGAGGGAGCGCGTTGAACAGGCGGTGCACAACATGGTTGACCGGGCTCTTGAAATGGTACGTCTGAGCTCTTCCCAGACAACTCACAATCCACAGGGGAAAAGAAGAACCACGCTAACATTCGGGGCCACAGGAAGGCACGTGCACGGGTGAACACGGCATCGGGCTGGGCAAAAAGCAAAGCCTCATCGACGAGCTGGGCCTCGAGACCATTGGTGTCATGCAGACTCTGAAACGCAGCCTCGACCCGCACTGGTTGATGAATCCCGGCAAGATCTTTGATGCCGTGAACGAGGAGAATACTAAGAGCCAGCCGGAGGCCACCGCTGCTTCGACACTGGAGCGGCCGAAGGGCAAATGAGGATAACCGGTTAGGGGGGGCAATAAAGGATAGCAAAAGGAGGTGACGCAGGGAGGGGGGATGGGTGCTCCATTTCGTCCATCCACCATGGTCCGTCTCCGTGTTTGGAGTTTGAATCTGGATATTGCTGCAATCAAAAAGGTTCTTCTAAGTGTTGATGATGGTCAAAGTTGCTGTGGTCGTCTATGAGCGATGATATGACATTATACCAGCATTGGTTGGCGGGTTGATTTGCGTGGGCACAAGCCAAGCAGTCCATTTGCCAGCTGTTAGTCAGTCCCTTGGGCTGATATCGGTATTCGTTAAAGATACCTTCGGCTCTGCACCCAGACATCACATCACATCACATCACATCACAGCGTCTGTGTGTCTCCCACTTTGTTTTCCCCGTTCTTCGCTCCGACCAGCACCATCGTCCTCCTGAGCATCCCTGCTTGCTGTCCAAGTCCCGCCTACTCTGCTCATCAGAACTATTTCTCTCTGAGCCGCTGTGGTGGGAAAATCGATCGCCGCCCGCGGAATGGTTCCTACCCAGACGCGACGGGGGAGAGGCGTTTCCGGGTAGCTTTCGCTCTCGCTCTCGGCGAATAGCTTGACGCGTGACGAACTTCAGAGTTTATTTCTCAACTGACCGGTTGAACTCCTTTCAGACCGAATGTCCTCTTGGCATATAGCCCAGGTCCTCCATAATCAATAAGTGCACACCCTGTCCATTCTCGATATCCAAACGATCGGAACTGTGCGTGACAATCAATGACCAGAGTCCAAACCTCAGGTGCGCCACAAAGGCATCTTGATCGTGGAGGTAGTAGCGAGTTGCGGGATTTTGCCCTCATCGCACGCATATGTCATGCATCATCACTCATGACTGACTGGCGATGTGACCCGGTGTGGGACACGTAGACCGATCATCCACTGAAGAAGACTTTCTCCAATTTTCGAGTGAGGTTGACGCAGGGGGTGTCGACGCCTCGGAGGAAGACGTCTGCAGCCCAAATGACGGCCAGGACAATGATGATCGACGACTTGAGGAACTCCAGCTGGAACTGTCTCATGATATCCGGTGTTTCTATTTCGGGTGTTGGAGGGAGAATCTGAAAGTTTTTTCAAGGAAGGGTTAGTTCAACAATTATTGATCACAGATTGAAAAGGGAGGAATGGCTTCCATACCAAGTAGCCCAACGTGTGGATGACCGGACCATGCATCACGTACAGAGGGAAACTGATTTTCCCCAGGTACTGGATCGGGCTCCAACAGAAGGCCCTGTTTCGCCAAAAGCCCAGCCGCGACGACGACCAGACGATCATGACGGCGCCGATGTTGGGCCAGAAGCGATGCTTCTGGGTAAAGTTGGCGGGGATGAGGTTGGTCAGGGCCAGGTATCCCGGTGTGGCGTGGGCGTCAATATCCGGATAGGAGAGCAGGAAAAGGGAAGCGCAGAAAGCGGCCCAATACAGGAGCTTGGACGATAGTCGCGGCTTGTGAGGTGGTTGGCTGTTTGCGACCGACGGCAGCTCGGGCTGCTTGAGCGTCGTCCAAATGATATCCAGCTCGGCAATCACCATTCCCGCCCAGAACGGACACAGTTCCCACCGGTCCCATGAGATGCCCCAAATGATCAGTGCCGCCAGAGTCGACAGCCTCAGCCGGGCGGACATCCTCGCGACCATCATGTGCGTCAAGAACAAGGCCATGCTGCATCGAAACTCGACGGGGATGGTCCAGAGATGCCGATCGAGCTCGATGGAGCCTGCGAAGATATTCCAGTTGAAGACGTCCACAAAGATTAGCATCTGCACCAGCCAGTCCGTAAACTGCAGCCAGGGGTTCGGTTGAGTGTAGCAGTGGCTCTCACGGATCATGCGCATTTGGTTGGAAAACCCTTCGGTGAGTTTGTACAGGTTGAGCTGGGCCAGACAGATGACGAGGAACGTCGAGGCGAGGCATGGGAGGAACAATCTCAACCCCCGTCGGAAGATGGACGAGGTCATGGTCGTCATCAGCTGTTCTTGCTGCCGCGACCGCATCTGCTTCAGAGGCTTGTAGCTGAGTGCGTAGCCCGAAATTACAAAGAAGATGGCGACCATGGGAGGGCCAGAGTAGAGAAGGCGGACGATGGGTAATCGTAGATATTCCCGAAAGACAGAGATCGGCTGGTGTTCTGGGTCCGGGACGGCGCCCCAGGCGTGGGCAATATCAAAAGTGCCATAGGTGAGGTGACAGATGAAGACCACAAAGGCAGCAAGCCCACGCATGCCATCGAGAAATGCCGTTGGGGCAACCTTGTCTGGTTTGGCCTGGTCATTATGAAGCCGTCGTTGGAGAAAACTCGGGATAAAGAGGTTGAACAGTTGACTTAAGATTTTTGTCAGGTATTTGACCGACAAGCATAAGGTGATCTTGGGTATCTGGCGAGAGGAGCCGATGCTCGTCCAGGAGCTGGTGCTTGTGGTCTGTAAGTTGTAGTCGAAGTCGTGCTTCTCGTTCAGGAGTCCGACGTGAGATCCATCTGAACTGGATCGCGAGGAGCCAGTCCTCGACGGGCTCATGGTCTGTGCCGGCGAGGGAGGTGTCTACATTAAGCAAAAAGGACGTGAGACGGCACACATCGAGCGGTGACGCGTACACTGTGCACAAGAATCGCTTTGGAAAGTGAAATCCGGGGTGAAGGAGGTCTGGAGTTACAAGAAAGGAGAAGGAAATCAAAGAGGCGCCTTTACAGCCCCAAATCCACCATCGAACGCCAAACACGGGGGAATGGCCCAACATCCAGACTATTTTTGATGTTTTCCCGGGTTTGGGGCCAGTTGCTCAGCCCATCAGGCCATCAATACTCCGTAATGCCTCAGTGAAATCCATCAATCACTCCTGTGCAACGTCTGTTTCGCTTGGCAGATCATCCTTCTCCACAAATTGTCCACAAAATTTACGCGTATCAAGCCAGTCACCTTTAGCTCTTGCACCGTCTTCTGAGACATGATCAGCCCTCTGTGCAAACAACTGGCCAACGTGTGCGTTAATCAGGGTATGAGGAAGACGATGGAGCAACACCATATAGTATCACTCTTGTTGAAGTGACTCTGTAGGTTTTGAGGATTTCCAGGTGACTCTCTCTACAGGGACTTCGAAACACGAAACAAATAGGGTGAAGGATGAACTCCGTGGCGCAAAGCAAAAAAAGGAGGTGGCGTTTCCGGGGCTCGCTTGTGCTAGATTATGGGTGGATTCGGGTGGGTAGGTCGAGATTTTACCGCCGTGCCTGGAACCAGACCAAGTGTTGTCACCAGTGATCACCAGTCACCAGTCAACAGCAGAGCATTCCATGAGATGAATATGTACAGTACGAAGTGTGTATGTACAAGATCAGGAAGTGCTCTTGACCAATTGTGCTGGTACACGTAGCTGTTTGAACTAATCGGGATATTTTCGAGTCGTCTGACAGATCTTTTTTGTGACGATGCAGTTCCTTTTACTTCTAAAGACGTCGCATTGTAAGGCGACGTGCCGCATTCACCACACTCTCCTTCAAGCCAGTCTACAGCGAAGCTCTTCTCTTTGAGACTTCATCAGTAGGATGTCCAGATACTAATGGTAATTCCTGCAGAGTTCGAGTCTTGAACCGATGGAATCTCTGGGTAACTTCTCACAGTATTGCTTCCTTCCCTTGTACGAGTGTTGGTTGATTGAGTGCTGACTCGTGCTTTAGATTGTTGCACAGTAGATGCATCACGATCCACGCGGGAAAGGGCGATTGCAAATTCTTCGTCCACGAAGCCCTTCTTTCGAAGTCTAGCTCGGAATCGCTTCAGAAACTAGTTAAGCCAGGCTGGAGGGAGTCATCAGAAGGATGCATTGACTGGACGCACACAAATTCCCAGACAGTTGAGCGAGTCTTGACATGGCTTTATTTTGGCGACTACCAAAGTCCTGACCCAGTACCCCGAGAAGTCGGAGACCCACATGAGACAGGCAGCGACAGACATGCTTCAGAAACAAGAGAGGGCAGTCAACCAGCGGCACAGGGTAGTGAAGGTGTCGATGATACACCGGTTGAAGTCGAACCAGAGTTCGAAGCCGAGATCGCAACTGACGAGCCAGAGCCCGAGGTAGATGCCGTACCAGACAGTCCAGCGGCAGAATCGGACCCTCTGGAAGCCGAAGATCCAGAACTCCAAAATGCGATATTCGAATCATGTAGCGTGCGTCCACTGACTCCACTGGGCAAGTGTGTTGGAGTCCCCCCCCTCATGACGGTATATAAAAGTGCCGGCGGAGTATTTCAGGATCGGGAGTTCCCTCACAAAGCTTTTTCCTACTTGGAACCATTGCTCGCCCATGTCGGAGTATACAGTTTCGCAAAGTATCATCTGCTCTCCGGGTTGAAGGAACTCGCCCTTCAACGAACAATCGTCACGTTGAGGAAATTGGATTGCTCGGTGGACCATGCCGAGCAGGAACTCACAAAAGCCATTGAATTTGTCTATGACAACATTCCCGCCGACGAAGAAAACGAAGAACCGATGAGGAAGCTCTTCTCTCAATTTGCAGCTGCAAATTACACTTCCCTTATGCATGGTAGCTTCGAAGTGCTGTTTACTGGTGGCGGTGACTTCGCACTTGATCTGGCACGAAAATTATCGCGTCGCCTTCTTGCGCATGGGGTCTCAGCTGGCTTGGTAGAAGACGAGCTAGAAGGTCGCATACAAAATCTTGAGCTCCAGGTGCAGGAACGCGATCAAGAAATCAAGACTCTGAATGAAGATCTAAATGAAGCATTGAGATGGGGCCGTGGTCTCAACAAGAAAGGAAGGCGACGATAAGGGGCTGTTTTGTTCAAGACACTTAGGACTATATGACTTTTTACTCCGTTCTGTCTGTGCTGTATCTAAGGGGCGGCTCCCGCCCGTTCATTGTCATCCTTCCCATATCACGGCTAGCGTGACGGGCTACCGGGCATGAGGCTGCGCGCACCATTTTTCTTTCGTGACGCTACCGCCACCACTAGTTAGACTCCTTCCGCCTCAGACACAAGAATGCCAAGTGCTCAAAACGACGCACTGACACCAAAGGCACAAGACGAGGAGACAGAGGATTTGCGAGGTGAGGTGAGATTTACCACTCCCAACCCGCGCGAGAGGGGCTGCGGAACGGAGTATCGAGATAGAGGCTCATGTCTTGCGGGCCTCGGAGAAGATAACATCGACCTAGCTAAGATAAGACAAGACTAAAAGAGGGTAGTGCTCTAAGGACAACACTAACACAGGGGAGGGCATTACGGGCCGCTTAATAACCCATGCCTAGGTTCTAGAATAGGCATAGCGGCTCTCGGCGCATAGTACTGTAACACTTAGGCAGCTGGGACGCTTAAATTGAATTCGTCATCATTATCAACCTTCCGTCTCAGAATTTCATATCATAATTGCACCCTAACAGTGATTCTTCCTGTTCCAGGTTACGCCGTGATACCTTCTGAGACTGTCCTTTCCTGGCCTGAGCGCGCTCAGCAAAACTCTGGGGAACTTGCATGCGATCGCATCAAACTAAGAACCACTGCGTTGTGCCTGAACGCGCTCAAGCTAACAACAACAACAAACATCAGTCCGACTGCCCTGAAGCACCAACATGCGATCATACCAAACCCAGTGACTCAAGACCAGTCCAGATTCACCAGTCATCTTATCATCCTGATCAAGTTTCCGAATCATCAGTAAATCCGCATGCGATCATTTCAGACCCGTTTTCACTGAGCGACACGAAACGCGAGAACATCCACCATTTCATCATTTCATCATCATTCATCGATTTATTCATTGTTCATTCATCAGTTCTACCAGTCCAAGCTGTGAACACGTCCTCGAGACCCTAGTTACCACTTCACACAGACTACGCATCGCAGTCTGCGTATGATCAGTTCACCACTTCGCTTTCTCTCCTGAATAAGTTTCCCAACATCGTTACTATCCATCCGTTATCGATCAGTCAACATATCTTCAAACCTATAGGGCATCGGAATAAGCCTGCCGAATTCGAGACGTAACCGGCAATCCCGACTCGACGATGGCGACGGAGATGATAAACTTCAGGTTGTTAACGATCGCTCTATAGAAGAACCTGAGCCCGACCCTCCTGATCTGTCGACTTAACAGTTATCCTACACTACAGGACGTTCAAAAACGCAATTCTAAGTGCCAATCCAGCGTTCAATTGAAGATCTGATGAAAATGGCACCTATACGCCGCTAACCATCTACAAACACTGCGAACCCACTTCTCCAGGTCGGACAGTCTTCGATGTCCGGTGCTTGGAGCTCGTCCCCTCTCCTACCTCCTCCGGTAGCTAGAGAAGCTATCACGGTGTAAACTGGAACAGGAGGAATCACTGTTAGGGTGCAATTATGATATGAAATTCTAAGACGGAAGGAGTCTAACTAGTGATGGCGGTAGTGGCACGAAAGATAAAAGGTGCGCGCAGCCTGATACGCGGTAGCCCGGCACGCTGGCCGTGATAGAAGCACCATTCCTTGGACAGATTCAGTCACCGCCACTGCCTGTGGTAGTGAAAAGAGAGGACACGATGGAAGAGGAATACGAAGTGGAGGATATCTGCGACGCGAGATTCTTTGGCAGGGCCCGACAATTATAGTACTTGGTGAAATGGACAGGATATACAAAGGATCAAATGGTGCTGCTGGGAGTATGTGTTACCAGGATGCGACGAGGCGGTACAAGAATTCCACGCATAGGTACCCAAAGAAAGCTGGTTCTACCGTATGCTACGACTTCAGCACCAAAACGAAAACGAAGATGGAACGAAAGGATATCAAACCTAGGAGAGAGCGACCACGGGTCGTCGACATCGGTCAGGGCATTCAGCACGGTTCGGTTCACCTTTTAGGATGGAGGAGTTGTTAGGATGTTATCGATTACCTTCGAGGATGAAGGACTGATTTTGAGGGAGGTTGATATCACGGACAGCGTGGCGGGCTACCGTGTATAAGGCCGCGTGCACCTCTGATCTTTCGCGCCGCTACCGCCATCACTAGTTAGACTCCTTCCGTCTTAAAATTTCATATCATAATTGCACCCTAACAGTGATTCCTCCAGTTCTAGGTTACGCCGTGATATCCTACCTCTGCTCCAGATACGCTTTATCTGAGACTGCATCTCGTCACGATCAATGGTCAATATGAGCCAATTCGCCCATCCCACCAACCCCCGACTCTAAGCGTAGTGAGATATCCTAACGGTGTAGATCCAACTGCCATGACATCCCCTGGGCAAGGTCACGAAGAATTCTGTCAATATGACTGCCAGCGGCACTCAGATAGAGTATATGTGCAATGGCGGCATGAAGAGCAAGAAATCGTGGAGAAGGAGGGTCAATCGTTCGGGTGTCCGTTGCCGAAAGGGTGCGGCGCTCGATAGGAAGGATGGAAGGGCGTAAGAAATCCTCTCCTACTGAGTCGATCCGGTATGTATGCAATTGATTGCCTTGGGCTTCGAAATAGACTTCAAAACCGCCGAACAATCGGTGGAACTCCATTGTCAAAGTGATGGCATTGCACTATGGGCGAAATTGGGGTCGTCAGCACAGAATGACTTCAGCGATGTAACATCCCTTGCTGTCGATCGCACGACTTGGTTGTGCCAGGTTCTCGTCTCCACCAAACCCGAAACTACAATGAAGAGTAGACGAAATGAGGAAGCCGGTTTTGCAATTCACTGTACATGGAGACCTTGCTGATCTGTTTGGTGGTTTATGTTATGCAGTCTGGACTGGGCAGATTTACCGGATGTCCCAAAATAGAATCAAGAATTTCCCTCCATTTGTCGACACAGCACAGAAACAGAGACCCTTTTCCATATCTAGTCCGTACCGTACATTGTCCGTTGGTCCTCCATGCCCGATCCCGATCCCACAAACATAGTCTACAAGGTATACCTCGTACAAATGGGTACACCAATTTTCTCGAGATCCATAATGTCAGTCCGTTTCCGTCCATCTCAAAGACGATATACCCCTGGATCCACCAACGCTGTGATACCTCCTCGTTGCACCTCCGTCCTGTATCAAATCCCGTGGCCTACCTGTTCCATGATGTCCGTCTCGACAATAGGACCGTTGTATCTGCCCCGGAGGTACCCGAAATAGCTAGTCACACCAATGATCATGGTTCCACCCCATAACAAGCAGGACCAATTCATGGATTGGAGTGTCAAATCAGTCCGTACAGAAGGGAAGAAGCTGAAGGTCATGACGATGGCAATCCATATCAGGCCAAAAAAGTTGCAGAAGATGCCGAAACGGCGCCCCAGCGTCCAAGGGCCATAGTGTATGGACGAAGGATTATATATCTTCTTGTGCAGGATCAGGACTAGTCCGTCGTTAGCATCAAACGGACGACATCCAAATGCATAGGTCGCTGTCGCCTCGACCAATTTTAAGGGGGGGGTTTTCCATAACACTTACTGATGGGTATGGTGTAACTGCCGAGATAGCCAGACACGACTAACGAGGCAACGGCATTGAAAGCAGCCGATGATCCAATGTTGATTAATCCCAACAACAGGGTGATCAGAACCGAGAGCGCGACTGAGTACAATGGGAGCTTAGTTCGGGGCTCAACCCGAGAGATGAACCGAGATCCAGGAAGACCGTTGTCACGAGCAAAAGCCCACGTCATTCGGGACGCCGCAGCTAAAACCGCAATGGTAGCAAAGATCATCAACGAGAGGACGATCGAGGTCAAGGCGGTCGCTCCGCCATTCGACTTTACCGCCTGTTTGAAAATTTCGATGAAGGGGAAACCTGTCGGAGTTGAAAGCGCGTTGTCGATGTCGCCAATGCAGAATAAGATCGCGATCAGCATGGCGAAACCCATCAGCCCATTGAGACCAATAGAAGCCACCAAAGAGTGAGGCACCACCGTCGATGCGTTTTTGATTTCCTCGCTCATGTGAATGGCGCCGTCCGCCCCAATAAAAGCAAAAACGGTGGTGATGAGTCCCACAAAGAACGAGGTGCCCTTGTCGTAGCCTCCATTGGCCAAGTATTGCACAAAGACATCGTGAGCGGTGCCATGGGGTGCCAAGTATACCAGGGTGATCAAGACCCCGAAAAACCCAACAATGTGGACGATCAGGACCGCACCCTCAACCTTGGGGAGTTGCTTGGCGAGGTAGGTATTGAAGAGCATGGCTAAGAAGATGACGGCATACAGGAGAAGGGTCCCTTGCCACCTTTGAAAATCATAGCTGGGATAATTCAGAACGAGAAGCCCTTGAATGATGGTGCCGCCCAGATATGCCGCCGACGCGAGACAGGCTTGCCACGAGAGAACGGATTGCCAGCCTGTGATGAAGGAAAGGAAGTTGCGACAAGACTTAGGGGCAAAAAGGAATGTCCAGTGGTATTGCCCTCCGGCGGTTGGTGCCCTGTTCAAAGTCAATGTCACGAGAACCATGGCCGGCCTCTTGAAGGGAACCCACATTGAGACCATTTCAGCAAGCGAAGCAACAACGGTGAAGTATCCCACCCAGCAGAAGAGATACCCATACACCAGGCCGGCCGGCCCTCCGTCGGTCAATCCATACACGAAGACCGTTAACAGACCTTCCCAGGTGATCATGAGGGTGCAGGAGAAACCGAGCATGCTCATGAATCCAAAGTTGCGCTGTTCCCAATGTTAGTCCCGCCGATCTGTCGTGCAAGCTTTGCGATGCATTGTTGCCATACCCTCAGCTCCTGACGCTTTCCCAACCTGGCCATTTCCTGCTCATCTCTGTTGACCGACTTCTCGCCATTTTGCTCGGAAGAGGACCTGGAGTGATGGATCTCTGAGGTGAACTTGCCTCCGCTCTTCAGGGCGAATGCGTCCGCCATCGCAGCAACACTGTGAACTTGTTTCGCGGGTCCAATCGATCGGTCTCTTTTGGACTGATGCTGTCGTTCGCGCAGGCTGACAACAGGAAAGGATCGAATACTACTCAGACACAGTGAATGACAAAGCACCTGGAATCTCAATGAAGGCAAGCAAGAATATGACAGCAAGTCCCACGAGGCAAGACCCGCTTGTGATCAGAAAGTGAAAGGGGTTTCAGGCAGGCGATATACTCACAGGATCGTCGTTCTGCCTCGTGGTCTCCAGGCGAGGTACGAAACACTAAGAGGGTTTGTTCCATCGGATTGTCCTCCGCAACCCACGGCGAAACACTATGGAGTTGACCAATTTAGACAGTTCTTACCTGCCGGTGTGAAGCCACCATTCCCGAATGCTTATCGACAAGGGACCTGCGGCACTCGGGTTCCATGCACGGTGGTGGGTTGGGTGGTGACACGGATCAACCAGGATTACAAGATGGTGTCAAGGTATTGCTGTTGAACGAGGTAAGTCTCAACGTCTCTAAACCCTGTTTTAATTAGGGTGTCGGGCTTGCAGTAGCCTTGACATAGCGCATGAGAAGTTTCCTACAGCCACATCAAGTGGGAGAACTTCGACAAGCAATCCAGTGAGAGATCTTATCGTCTGGGATGCAGGGATGCGTGAACTTTGTTATTAGCGTTCTGTGACCCAGGTAAGAGTAGGGCTTCGTGTCCCTGATGAACCTTTCACGCCTTCGATGCAATTTTCTGATGTGATGTGAACACAACCGTCCCTGTGAACAGCCACATGCGAGATGAGGCAGACATGTCCAGGTTCTGGTGGCACTCCGCTTGACTGACTCTACATCCGTGATCGACGCGGAGTCTCCTAGTTTAGATACAATGTATCGTACGAGATTCGTGGGAGACTACTTTATAGGCACCAATAGTAAGACCATTATTGACAGGTTGGTGGCCACCAGGAAATATATTGTGGAGTTACATCGTCGCATGCACTGTGACAGTTCGCGGCACTCCAGGACCTGGAACCCCACGTTACCCGGACGCTTTCGTTCGACTCCAGGTCTTGCGGTCTGTGCTTTTGAGGGCAGATTACTTGGTGATTTGAGACGCCTTGGAGACTTCTGACAGGAACTAGTGGAGATACGCCATGTTGCCTACAAGGACAAGGGACATAGGCTAACACTACTTCAAGGTTTGCTCATGTGAACAGTCTCTGGCTGACACAGTGACAACTGTGAAAAGTCCGAGACTGGAGACTGGTTTGTAGGGCCCATTCCAGCAGGTATCGACACTTCCTCTTAGAGAGTGATCAACTAGCAGGACAAGTACGCAAAGGTATGTGTTGAAAAGTGGCATTCACGCAAAGATAACCCAATCGTCGGCTCTACATGCTGTCCATGGCCAATATCACGACTATTTTCCATCCACCGCCCTGATGTCGATCGCCGCCATGTCTTGGCCCTTGGGATTTCGACATTGGGGCCCGTCATGTACGGATGTGTTGGAATAATTTCGCCTCCAGGGCGAGCTGCTAGTTCGCAATGCTGGCGTGTGTCTTGAGCTTTGGTCGTGATAAGGCTAACGGCTTCTGACGCCAACAGCTAATAGTGGGCTAAATACTCCAGGTGTGAGGTGGGAAGGATCGGCAACTACGGGGTCTTGGGTGGCTTGTCTCTTCTCTGAAACAGGAAGGCAAATCGCGACAATTGGCACCGGATACAAACTTCATCCGGTCACTATCACGAATGACAATTCCATGTTCACGACCCCATCACCTCCACGACGGGATTGTTGATCTCAAGGTCCTACCCATTGCCTCTCGCCATTTCCCAGGTTTTAAGTCGGAGATATGAAGCATCTGAGACGTATTCGGAGAAGATCTAGGGTTGAGCTACGAGTAGTCGTCTTTGACATCTTTTGTCCACGGACTGAAGGGTTTGACTCCGGACCACGCGTTGGCTGGGAGGACATTCAAGTCACCCAAAGTTCCACATGAGCCTTACACTACTCCTGTACAAGTACAGTCAGCCAGCACAGAAGGCCGTTATCACTCCACAACTCCCAAAGGTCCACCACAGCGAGGGGCAACTGCCGTTGATGGAGGCTTGGGGGACGCTACGCGGGAGCACTCGGGGAGAGGAGATCGCCCGCTCCGACACTGCAGGACGCTAAATGCCCTGGACAACAGGTAAGGCAGAGGCGGGGGGGTTGGTGGCTTCACCAGCCCAAACTCTCGAGCATGTTCGTGAACGGGCACGACGGGTCAGGCCTCCCTCGCCCTTTCTCACCTCCACACCCACCGGGGTCCCTAAGCGCAGCCTAGAGCCTTGCTTTGTACCTTATTCCGACCCCTATGTTACAGCTTGGGCTAAGCGAGCTCATCTGAGAATGCGCCTATCTGCAAGATGACCAGGTATGCGCCTGTTCAGGCTTTAGTGGCCGCTTCTACTGGTTGCTGCACGTCCGCGCTTGTGCTGAGCTTTGCATATACTTCGTAACTGCTGACCTTGTTTGTACTGGCACAATCCTAGTCCAAATGGGAAAGCCTGTTATCGACATGCCTGACAGGGCCACCAGCGCCCATCCGAGAAAGCGCAATCGCCCCCCCTTGTGCGGAAGAGCCTGGCAATTGCAAAGACCGACCTTGCGTGGTTATCACAATTGCTGTCGCATCGCGCCTAACCATGTCTTCCTGCTACCCCAAGTGCAGGACAGTCGGTGCTCCTCATTTTCATAGCCCCCTGCTGCCCAGGTCTCAACGGTCTCGACGTCGATCAACTTCTCGCTGTCAGTGCCTGTCGGAACCTGCCCCTCGTCAAGCCTATCTATGAACTTAAAGACACTCAGAGGACGTCGTAAAAGTGCTCGGCCTCTCTCCTGACACTGCAGCCCACCATGGCAGGAATCCACAGGCTGCTCACTCGAGTTCCGTTGATATCGGCCACCCACAGAGGCCCTGTGGTGAACTTGGTCGCATGGATCACGGTGACAACCATGTGTCTGGCAGTTCTCACTGTCTTGACTAGTAAATTGGTGGTGTTAAGGAGACTGGTATGGAACGATTCTATTCTTATTACGGGAATGGTAAGCACTCGGCGAGATATGAGCGCGATGAAGACATGGCTGACTGCTTCACAAAGGTGCTCTCCATTGGATTTACCGTCGCAGTCAACCAGCAAGTCAGTGGAGGATTGGGATCTGAGATCTCGACCTTGGGCGTTGACCAGTACGACAAATTCCAAAAGGCGGGATATGCCTGGAACATCCTCTATGTCACCAGTCTATCCTTTGGCAAGACCTCGACGTTATCCTTACTCCTTGCTCTGTCGCCGAACAAGTCTTACCGCATTCCGATGCTGGTGACGGGCGGCTTGACGGTGGCGTGGGCAGTTGCATCGATCATCGCCAGTGCATTCCAATGCTCACTCCCCCACCCGTATCTGATCGCAACGAACAAGTGCTTTGACCAGGAGGGCTTTTGGGACGCTGTGGGAGTGATCGACATCATTATCGACGTGGCACTTATGGCCATACCGATATGGCTGGTGCACAATCTCCAGCTGCCCATGAAGAAGAAAGCCGCCGTGTGTTTCGCCTTTTCGTTCCGCACGCTGGCTATTGCCTGCACGATCTGGCGCATCAGTGAAATGCGCCACTTTTTCGACCGCAGCGCAGATGTCCCCTTCGAGAGCTGGCTACCCACGATCGCGACTATCCTGGAAGTCTTCTTCAGCATATTCTCGGCATGCGTCCCGCATCTCCGACCCTTCATGGAATCCATCCAAGCAGGCTACCTCTCTGGCGTAATTCAAGAAGGGGACGGGCGCTTCGGCTACGGCAACGACAGCTACTTGATGGGCAAGATGGCGGCGAGCAAGACCGGGTCGGCACTTAGAAGCAATGCGCTGAAAAGCGAGCTGCGTGGCGAGAGTCTTGATCTGCCACGCCAGGGAGCCACGATCGGGTCGATGAATGATGCGACCAGTCATGGCATTGGGCAAGCCCTAACGAGCAGCAACCGCATCGTGGTGAACAAAATTTCGACGGGCAGGGCGGAGAAGGAATTTGGCTCTGAGAGGCATCGCAGCGAGAGCATCAACTCTGACGGAGGCAGGAGCCACGGCAGTGACGGGAGCAAGGCCATGATCATCAAGACAACCAAGGAATGGAGCGTCAGTTATCAGGACGTCTGATCCGAGGTGATCTTGGTCTTTTCTCTCTCTTTTTAGATGCTGAAGGTTTTCCTGGGTACACGGAAAGGTTGGGACCGGGTGTATGAGTGGGTGGAAGCCGTACGTTGGGGCTGGCGCAAGGGCCGCAAAAGCACAGAGACCCCGGGGGATATTGTACATCTACATGGGTATTGTTCTCTAAAGAAATTTTGCGTGAGCAGACATGTCATGCGGTAACAAGCCATTCAGGTTCGGTTCATGCGACTGGATCTCATCTGGTGTTCCTGTCAAGGTCCCCTTTAGATGAAGACACAAAGAATTGCTGAATTATCTCCTCCTGCAGGTCTCTACGGCGGTCCACACGGATTGACACATCTCCACGATCGTCCAGGCAAGTCCATGCAAGCTGCGACAGATCCACCGGGGGAGCCAGGAAAACACCTTATCACGCCTACATTCCTGGCTTTCGCCACCAATTCAGGCACATGTTCATACAAGGACCAACGTTTATGAGCACGGCAAGGCCCATCCAACATGGACTGCTGTGCGCGAAGGGCAAGAACGTACTCCGAAGGCTCTTCCTTGCAGAATGGGTAGGTCGGGGTATTGCTGACGCGCCCATTCACTCACCCACCCCCAGCTACCGCCTGTGGCCACGTAGGATGCGGTTCTGGAAATGCCTATAATACATAGTGTTCATTCACTGTGAAGTTTCATCCTCGTTCAGATCCCTGATACATCGAGGTCTGGCCCTCCATCGTCCTCCCCTGGGTCCCAAGGATCCAAATGCCGGAGGAGTTGACTAGGTTGTGCACAAGAAGGCCACCCCCGGCCCTGTCCCGTCCAGCCCAACCCAGCCCTGCGTTGTGGTGGCAAACCACACTGGACGGGCCACTGTCCAGAGGAGCTCCCACTAATACACCAAACCATGGTGCTACTCCTACGGGGCTAATTTAATGTCAATGGTCCGTGCGCTTGAGCGTGTGCCTGAGCAGGGGGCCCCGGGCGAAGGAGGTGTTGATAGACGTGATGGGCACATGGCGCCTGGCCGTTACAAGTATTAGGACTTATCGCCCCCCACCCAACGTGTTCGTTTGCCGGGGAAAAGGATGCCGGTAGGGCGTGGTGACTGGGCCCGATTGATAGGCACCGAGAACCCCTGGCATCACTGGTTCCTGGATCGATTAGCCTCGTAATAATCAGGGGTTCTCGCCAGCGCGCGAGTTTCCCATGTGAGTGGAAAGTGTCAAGTGAGTTAGTGAGTGTTTATCTCTGGTATCTCTGGTATCTGTGGCATTTATCTCTCTTATCGGCGTTTGTCCTGGCTCCGTGGACAGAAGTGGATGGATTGGGAGAGGGTGAGAAATGGGGGAGAAGTTTGGGGGTGTTCTTGCTTGCTTTTGCGCTGCTGGATGGTAATAACGGGCCGGCACGCAACGATGGGTGAGCGGAAGCGGGACCGTGAACGTGGGCTGGCTGGATAAGCCCCCGGGTTCTGATAGGGCTGTCGATGTAACCATGTACAGTACCTGTCTATCTATCGACCTTTGCCTAGTCTTGCGAACGAAGTATTTGCAGAACGTTCGGGTTTAGTGTCGACGCGTTTCTCATAGCGCAAAATCCTTCATGCAGGAACGAGGGAAAACCGATCCCTTTCGAGGCGCAGGATGCAAGGCACCCGTTGAGAAAATCCTTTGGTGGATGTGTTTGTGCGTGTGTGGGACGCGGACAGGAAGGGAGGGAGGCCTTTCGACACGCCGATTACTTCTGTACTGTATGAATGCTTGGTCGGTGCTTGGGACCCTGGCAAGTTCATTCGAGTGCCCTTTCACCCACTTACCAAAACGGCAATGGAGAAAATACTTCGACAAAGGCTTTGCAAACATTTATACCCCCCGACCCGAAGAACTTAATTGTCATCTCCTGAACCATCCCCCTGGTGGATGCGGATGTGAGACCTATGGCGTGATTTGAATGTCGGAATGCTTGTCACGGCCCATAACGGAGGGAAGAGGTCTATGAGTTGTCTGTACGTCCGAAGCTTGAAGCGGAGGCTTTCTTGTCGCCAACGTCTTGCAGCTTCTGAAGAGGATCTGATCGTGGTGCTGCGGCGAGTTCCCGGTCCAGGTTCGACAGTTTGGATAGTTTTCGCAGGATAATGCGAAAGGTGCGTCAGTCACACTCACTGTAGAATAAAACTTGCTCGTGTTAAGGAGACCTCTCGAGATGCGTCATTCGCGTCACATTGAAGTCTTGCTTCTCCTGTACTGCTCAAGCAATACAAGGTCCAACAAGAGCATCATTCAGCAGCTAGGGAACGACTGATACTTTCCAATCGCGAGTGATGATAGCTGCGCGCCACATGACAATTCCAATATCAAGAGCTTCTGGTCGGAGAACACCTTCCGGAAAGGGTGACGAGACGGATGTCGGTATCATTGATTCAAGGCCCATATCCCTGGATGAACCAGATGTCGATAGCATTGACATGTGCTCACATCTGTGGGAGGAAAGCAACCACCTTTCCTGTAATATTTTCAACGCTCACTTTGGATCCAGTAGCTCGCTCGCCCAAAAATCCCACATTGGTGACTCATGGCAAATAGTCACCTCAATATTGATCTGGCAGCTCTCCGGGAGCCTCCCCTGCTGTCCCATACTCGCACAAAAGAGGAGAACGCGCTAAGATCGTCGTGGATGCGTGAGAAGCGGCAGTTCTCTGTGAGCTCATTGTTCTCGGTAGAGGAGCATAAGTGCTTACTTTCGTCCAAAAGGCTTGTGCGGGCGACCTGATGCGATGACGTGCAGATTTCTTTTCTCTCAGGAAAGCTCAAACATCTCCCAGGTCGTCGCCGGCTAGTGCTGACAGGCTCTGAACTCGAAGCCATATAGGCAGACATAGCTGTTTCATGTGTTCCTTCGTCGAATATCTAGTCCAGCTTTATGCAGAGCGTAGAGAATTGAGGGACTCCAGCATCGCAGACGTGTGAAGGTGCGATAAGTCGCGCTCAAGGGGACACCTGATGGTGTCAACCCCACCGCGACGAGTAATGGGTGCAAGGCCACTGCCATGATGGATTACGCTTGTTGAGAGGAGGCGCATATGCGAGGTCTGTCGAAAATACCAGTAGGAGGCCAAAATCATTGTGTCGCAGAGAAGGAGACGTCCAAATATGAGGTATCAAAAGCGAACGCAAGTTGGCGCCCATGCAAAGGAAGAGGATGCCTCCGGACCGCAAGTTCGGTTAATGCTCGGTAGAATCAAACCACACCAAATTTGGATGGGAATCAATTCTTCACGATATAGATCTATTTCCTGGCGTTATCCTTGACCTCTACGCCGTCTATTTGACCTCGCCGCCGCCTGTTTTGTGTAACCAACCTTATTATTCTTTCCATCCCAGCGAGGAAGCCTTGTTGCTTCGATTCAACTAGCCCAGTACTCTTCTACGGACTTGCTTGCCTCTGCCACTGCCACTGCCAATGGTGGGAGGCGCCGTCAATGGCGGTAGGTTGGGCGCCGATTTAAGAGAGTCCTCGGGAGAAGAACTGCGACGCGGCCGTAGCCGATCTATCGTCTGTAGAGCTAGTTGTATCAACCAAGTTGAACTCCATGGCGGAGTGCTCTTTTGTCTATCTTCTACTTCTTCCTGCCCTATTTTATCTACGGGCATCGGAATCTGTAAATATCTCTATAGCGCCTGTACTATCGAAGCGATCAAGCAAAAGGTGCCCATAAACGAGATCCGAGGCCTATAATGTAGGCGGCGGCGAGGTCAAATAGACGGCGTAGAGGTCAAGGATAACGCCAGGAAATAGATCTATATCGTGAAGAATTGATTCCCATCCAAATTTGGTGTGGTTTGATTCTACCGAGCATTAACCGAACTTGCGCTCCGGAGCCGCTGAGATAAGCATTACCAAATTAAGTATGGTTCAAAGGTACTCTAACCCAATATTGACGTTATGGCCCCCACTCTCGGCAAAACGATTTTACGTACCCACAAGGCTTGGGGTGCCAAGGGAGCCCCGACCAGGGCCTTGAATAGAAGTACATGTCATGTACCATACCATGCAGGTCGTCTTCTGTTGTCGCGGCGGATTATATTCGTATGTGTTGAGAACCCAATGCCCAGCTCACATTTCCGGGGACAAACTTACTTTATTTCGAAAATGGCGGTGCTCGCTCTGCAGTGATACGACTACACAATGGATCAACATGTAACCTTCGTTTTTGCAAAGCAATCCTCTGTAGGTTTCCCATCTGGAAACGCCTCAGTAGAAGGACGCTCACAGATCAAGAATCATATTCAAATGAAGGTGTATACATTATCTGTTCGAGGGCAGCTATAACTGCTTGGTATGGTATGGCCGTTAAGACGTTAATATCTTCCACAAAAATTGAAAGTCGTAAAGAGTGCGTTAGGTAGCAAAGCATGCACTGCTTTCCTTGCCTCCTTAATTCAACTCCGTGGGGTATCCAGGTTCTTTCTCTTCTCCTCTTATTCTTCCCTTGCTCCTCAACCAGCCCCGATCTTCTGATCTTCTCAACTCATTAGTTCGCAACACACCGAACAGGGCTGTCTTGTCCTTTTTCTTTCCGATGTATGCTGCTTCCGCCGATCTCTTGTCTCGTGCTGACGTAGAAACCACGTGGTTGGCACGCGGCAGTTTTACGCATGGTGCTCGGCCTCCTTTTCGGCCTCTTTCTCGGCGTTTGACTCGTCGCTGCTGCGTTCGGCAGCGGGGGTAATATTGTCGGGTTCGGCGATATCACCAGTTCCAGCCTCGCGCCGGATTCTGGCCATCTCTTCTGGAGAAGGAGCAACCCATTCGCTGCTCTTCCATGGCTTCACACCGAGAATGTACATGGTATCAATCTCTTCCAGTGTTCGGCCCTGGCCTTCAACAACAAAGAAGTAGACCAGGGGAATGGCAACCAGGTTGCAGCCAGCGAAGACGTAGCCGTAGAGGAAGTCAATATCTCCGGTGATGAAAGGTGTGAAGAAGGCGATGAGGAA